TGTTGAGCAATTATTTGACATACGGTTGTCTTACCACAACCAGTTTCACCAACTAACAAAAGTGGTTCACGATATTTCATAGAAGTTGAGACTAATACAGCCAACCTACGCATAGCTCTGGTCCAAACGATATTTGATTCATGTGCGTACAAGGACTTGTCTTCTAACTTATCATAGTAAGCTTCCATGTCAAGTTTAACTTTCATAACTTTTTCTATAGTATCTTTAACCAATTGTCTTTCTTCTTCTTTTCTCACTCTTTCAGCTAAAAGCATATAACCATTAGCGGCAAGTTCTTCATAGCCGACAGCTTCTCTTTGAGCCCATCTGAATAAATCTCTAAGAGTAGCGAAAGAATTCTTTTGTTCAAATAATCTGGTGGATTGTCTTTGAACTGATAATTGTTTATAAACCTCAACTATCTTCTTACCATAAGAAGGAGCAATCTGACATCTTTCTTTCAAAATAATTTCCAATTCATCTTGAGGAATATCATCGAAATGTAATTCTAAAAATCTATTTCTGAAAGCTCTTGATAATATTTTTCTACCACCATATAAACCAGGAGGATTTTGAGTTGCAAATATCATAAAGTCAGGATGAGGATGAACAACTTCTTGAGTTTCTGGAATGAATAATTCTCTGTTATCATCTAACAATCTATTCAATGCTTCCAAAACATCTGTTGGAGCAAGATTAAGTTCATCTAGAACTAACCAGTAACCTTTTCTCAAAGCTTCAACAAGGACACCTTCCTTAAAGGTTAATTTTCCACTGGAGTCAGATACATAAGTACCTAAATACTCTTGTAAATCTGTATGTTCATGATTATTAATTCTGACAAACTTATGACCGGAAATAGTTGCCAAATATTGAATCATGGACGTTTTACCTGCAGAAGTAGGACCTTGGATTAAGATTGGGAAACGTTCACCAGCGATTGCTCTTACTAAATTAAGCATATTCTTTTCAACAAATGGCGTTATAATATAATGTGGTTGTTCAATTGCTTCTTCTTGACCTTTCTTAAGCCAATAATGTTTGAATTGAACGTATGAAGAACCAGAACTGGTTGGAATTGGAGGGATTTGATGCATAACTGATTTTGGATTCTTTAATCTACCAACAGTATGTTTGTAAATGAGTGGCTCCAAAAGTTGCTCTGATTTCACATCCAATAAAGTTAAGAAAGACATACAGAAACCTTCATAAAGTGATCTTCTTAAACCATAGATGGACACTATATCCCTGACATAAAGTAAAGTTCTCGTCAAGGTACGAATACTGAAATGTGGTCTTTGGTTAGCCCCATCGACAATTTTATTACTTGAAGAAAGTGACTTTGCTTCTAAATATAATTCAGCAATATCATTTCCAATCCATTCATCACCTAAAGAATATCTGTTGATGTATTTATCAATAATTGCGAGTAAATCATTAATATCTCTATCTGGAGAATGGACATAAATTTCACTGAAACGGGATCTTATACCTTGGGGTAAATCTCTTTTACCAATATCCGTAGAAGGATTCATACACCCAAATATTCTGAATTCAGGATGAGCAATGATAGATTCGACGTCTCCCTTTTCGGTTAATAATAAAGATCTTTGAGTGGATGCTTCAGCTAACAAGTCCGAAATACTTTCTAAAGTATCTGGAGAAGCTAAATTGATTTCATCTAATAACAACCAATTTCCTTCTCTAACAGCTTTGACTAAAGAACCTTCAACGAATTTAAATGAGAAGGAATTATCTACTGACCCAGCTTGTAATTCAAAATCTTTGACTTCAGTTTCGAATTGGAACCATTTTTCAAGTAAAATTGATTTTTGTTCTAAATTCAACTTTCTCTTCTTTTTGGGAGTTTCTTCTTCACTGTTATTGGACACAGTTTTAAGAATATCTCTAGCCATTCTTAAAGCTTCTCTCCATAATTTAATCACATTCTTCCATTGACTCTTATTAAAACATTTAGATAGCATTTGAGAAAATTTTTCATTCTTCTTTTCAGAAAATGTAGCAATGAATAAATTCTCAAACGTTTCCTGTATCGGTATAGCAATAGATTTGGCACTTATAGGTTTATAACCACCTAACAAATCTCCTGATTCGGTTTGTTGAGAAACATTAATAACGACTAATTTCTTATTCATTATTTGGGCCATTTGTTGAACCACAGTAGTCTTACCGGTACCAGTTTCACCTACTAACAAAGTTGGTTCACACATCTGTATAGCGACACCGATTTGTTCCATTAAACGTAAGGAATGATTTGTTCTTGCGAATGAAGTAATGTTTTGACTCTTCTTATTGTTATATAATGCCTTATCGATTTCTGATTTCACTAATACAGAACGACCAATTCTTATTTCATCATAATCATCTAAAATTTTGGGAACATGATTAGATACAAAAACTTGAACTCTAGATGCTGGAATTTCTAAATTTGATCCAATACTAGTAACAAGTGGGGTTAAAGCTGATTCTTCAGTAATAGCGCTACCATAACAGTCAACTGCTTCAGCGAAAATTCCATCATAAACGGATGATTCAAGTAATTGATTTGGAGACGTGACCCCTTCATTGATTAAAATCTTGTTACATCTTGAACAAAACTTCATTAAATCTCTAAAGGAGATAACTCTTGGATTGGAACCTTTATTTAAGGAGATGAAAGATGGTAATGAATATATATGAATGACTTCATTATAACATTTGATGAATGAATTAAGGAAATTCTCTAATAATGGGAACTTCTTTAATAATATATTTCTTAAATCTTGTTGAGTTGGTAATGCTACTTTTATCTTTTCCCATAATCTTGACCCGATCATATCTGGAATGGAATCATTAGTTGAATCATTTGATATTCTTATAGTTGAGATTAATTGGAATCCATTTTTGGCTTTGATGACTTCACCACGAGATGGGATAGTTAATTCTTTCTTTTCTAATAAAGTAAGTAAGATTGAAAGTACTTCAGTGGGAGCTTTATCGATATCTTCTACTAAAACCCATTTACCTTCTTTAACAGCTGAAGTCAAAACACCCGCCATCCATTGGAAAGTACCTGGTTTTTCCCCTGAAGAATAAGTACCTAATAATAATTTAGCATCAGTTTGTTCACCTAAATGAATCTTAACAATGGAGTTTTCATATGACATTAAACGAGCTAATTGATTGATTAAAAAGGTTTTACCTGACCCAGCTTTACCATATAACATTATAGGTTTATTATTTTGAATGCTTTGAGCAATATTTCTTAATGCTTTGATTGATGATTCAGTTGGAACATAATTGGAAATTTCATTACTGGTACTATGTTTGGAAGATGGGACAATAAAATTTGACACTAAAATTCCACAAATAGATATAATAGATGGATGTAATTCTGATACAGGGATATTTATGATTGAAGATGATGATTTCTTGTTGGATTCATCTTTGGCAGGTAAATTAAAATAGTTGGATAATCTTTTAGCTTCTAATAAATCTAAGAATTTATAATCAATATTTTGATCATTTTCATAAATTGAAATAAACTCGGTATCTTTATTAAAATGATGATGTAATAAGCGCTCTTCGGCAGCTTCTGAAGAATTTAAATATAATGATAATAATTTGATGGATAAGTATTTGGATACATCCAATTGAGAATTTTCAGTATTAATGATGGAATATAAAACTTCAGGAGATACAAATGTCATAAATCTAGTACGATCATATGAAAGTAATCTATAAAATGCTAATAAGATGACTTCTAATTCTTGACATGAGATAGAAGGATGTTGTGATAATGATGCGAATATGTTAACTTGAGAAAGGAAGTATGCAATAGTATTAATTGATTCATTATGAAGTTTAACAAGTCTTGAAAGACTGGAAAGAATGATACTACCTGGAATAACAGTATTTGAACCATTATGAGTTTGTTTGAACTTATTTTCAAATCCAGAATAGTCAGTGACCCATCTAGCTGTCAAATCAAGAAGAATATCCTTACATGAGTAAAGTACGGGTACTGTAGTTGATGTTTGTAATGCAAATAAGGCTAAATCATTCAAGTTTTCACTTATGGATAATGATTTTTGAAAAACATAGAATTTTGGGATTGATTTGGAAGGAAATCGTTCCTGGTATTTCTTATACAATAGATCAGCATCTGCTATATTGAATGATATATAGTCAGTCATGATACCGTAATTTCTATTGATATTAAACAAAGAATTCTATGATTGAAAAGTTTCCAAAATACAGTTTATACCGTTAAGAAAAAAATCTCCCATACAAAATAATTTTTTGGTGTGCGATGAGAAACTATTTTTGCATTCCTGCATAGACTGGCATACTTCATCTCTTTATAATTGCAACCAAATGCAACTGCAATTTAATTGTAGTGAATTTGTAGTAATGAGTCATTCATTAAGGTATTTGTATGATTAATGGTTGTGTTAGATTTAAATAGTTTTTAAATAGTAAAAAGTTTATTCATTAAAGTAGTTGGTATGATCCTAGTTTAACTAGTTTTTCACAGCCATTTACTATAAAATAAAGGATCATTTTGCAAAGTTAATTGGATATATTCTGTAAGATGTACAGAAGTTAAAGAATCCAAGAAAAGAATCGAAACTCACTGTAAAAGAGAGGCTAAAGAGTTCTAATGGTTTAAGGCTCAAAAATTTGGTATGGTATGATATGTAAGGTATAATTCTGTAGACATAAATACAACATTTATTCTAAGTATACATAGCTTAAAAAGTGAAGTAATGTACACACAAATGGTATAAAAAGTATACCAGTTACTTCATATGACGATAAGTCAAGATATTAACTTTCAATAGGATTAAAACAATGCTATAAAGTCATTATATCAATTGTAAACCAATATACAGTGATTTCTTGTGAAAATTTGATCATGTGACCAAAATATCGTGACACACACTCTATAAGAAGACATTTAACAATTTTTTTTCAGAAAAATAAGGCAACTTGTCCGAGTGGTTAAGGAGAAAGATTAGAAATCTTTTGGGCTTTGCCCGCACAGGTTCGAGTCCTGTAGTTGTCGCCATTTTCTTTTTTTTATTTTTACTATTTATCATTTTAACTTACCTATGTTTATTCAACTTTTAACTATAATTATATAATTGTAGACATTGTACTTTGGTAGTTGACTGAACCTATTCCTTTGCAACTCAATTGATATTGTAAATTAGCCAATTGAACATAGAGTGGCTGTTAAAGGAAGAGAGGTCCACAGTTTAAATTATCTCACTGGCTGCTGCTGATAAAGAAATCAGAGCCACTCCCTATTAACACCGAATACAATTTTAAAGGATCGAAACCATATCGAATTTTAACCACAACTTCAACTCCTTTCTTTTTCCCAAATCCATAGTGTTGGTCTGGGTATAGGGAAAGATGACTGATTCCATTAAAGATCTCGTCTATATAAAGGAATCAAATCAATTGATTCAAATTGAAGTGAGTGATTCGGCGTATGATTTGAAAATCTCCACCATTACCGAGTCATCTGTCATTGATAATGATACTCCACAAATTGAAGGTGGCAAACATCAATTACCATCATTTTTAAGTGAAAACAAGGTTTATATCATTGATTCTGTTAACTCTGGTACGGGTAGATCTGATCAAAAGAATTTATATTCCAAATTGATTAAACCTTTATTTGATTCCATCTTACATATCAATCATGCTTATATTGCAACTACTTCACCCTCATCAGTTATTGAATTTGCTCATGATTTAAAATCAAAATCAAATGATCCAATCACAGTAATCTTCATCAGTGGTGATACTTCAGTCAATGAATTCATCAATGCCTTACCATCCATTGAATCATCTTCAAAAATCACGGTGTTCCCATTCCCATCAGGTACTGGTAATAGTTTATCTCTTTCCATTGGGCTCACCGATGAGATTACAGCCTTACAAAGATTAATCACTACCACTACTCAATCACCCCTTAACTTATACGAAGTTGAGTTTCCCAAGGGAACCCTGTATTTAGTCAGAGATGAAAAAACAGTGGAAATCACTCAACCATTGAACTTTTTAGTGGTGTTATCATGGGCGTTTCATGCTTCACTTGTGGCTGATAGTGATACACCTGAATTAAGAAAATTCGGATTAGAAAGATTTAAAAAAGCAGCATTTGCAAATCTTGAACAAGAACAGAAATATGATGGTGAATTCATCATTAATGATAAAGAAGTAGTGGAAGGGCCATTTGCGTATTGGTTAATCACCGCCTCCAAACGATTTGAACCTACATTTGAAATCCTGCCTAAGGGTGATATCATTGAAGATAGTTTATATTTGGTTTCATTCAAGACTGAAACTGATCCATCCTATATCATGGATATCATGGGTCAAGTTTATAATCAAGGTAGTCATATCAATGATCCAAGAGTTACTTATAGAAAATTAGAAAAAAATGATAAATTAGTCCTTAAAGCTTCCAACTTAATATCAAAGAGAAAGAAGAGATTCTGTTTAGATGGTAGTATTATAGAATTACCTGATCAAAGTACAAGTGAATTGTCTTTTAAAGTTAAAGATAATACATATAATAATTGGCATATCTATATAGTTAACTAATACATTAAATACATTGCTTTAGAGTTATCTTCTATAACCATTTCTTCCATTATTATTATTCCCTCTTCCTGGCGGAGGAGGTAAATATCCTGATCTACTTGATTCAGTGTTAGAATATGATGAGTAACCACCATTACCAGCATTATTATATTGCCTGTTTTGACTTGGATATCTATTGTTACTGTAATTGTTGTTATTATTATTATTATTATTGTTGTAATTATTATTATAATTGTTATTATTGTTGTAATTATTATTACCACCATTATTGTAATTGTTATAACCATTATTATTACCATTATAACCCCCATTATTGTAATTGTTGTTATTATTATTATAATTATTATTATATCCTGTTCTGTAATTACTATTTTGAGATCTTTGAGCAGTGGCATTCTGCTCATAATAACTTGTCTTATTCAACATATGTTCAGTATAAGATCTATATCCTCCTCTTCTCATGTTATAAGCAAGATAAATCTCTTTTCCTGATGGACCATGATTGATATAACCCCTATTATCTTGAGGAGTATTATATCTACCACCACCACCACCATTTCTTTGATATCCAAATAAAATATTATTCTTATCTTCCTCATTAAGTGCCACTACACCAGGTATAAACCCATTCAATAGCATTGACTTACCAAGTTTCTTGGCCGGCTTCTTATATGTTACCAAAAGATAATCACCATTAGAAACATCAGGCATGTTACCTTGTTTCAAAGGAAATACTAATTTACCATCCACACTATACTTTTCATGTTTGATAGCTGTACCGGATAAATTCGTCTTGGCACAATGGAATTGAAGTTGTTCATTATCATTGATATATAAAGTTTGAGAAAACTTTTTAAAATTCTTATTCTTAGTTGAAATGAATAATACATCTTGTTTATTTGTATTTCTATCCATTTCATACTCGCTTAACAAAGGATAAACTCCATGAACAGCTTTTAATAATCGATCTTCATCAATGAACGGTAATAATGGAATACCTTGCCAACTCATTTTTTTCCCATTCATATCAATCTTAAAATCTTCAGGATAAAAATCAATAATTTCACTATTTGGATTACTCATTAAATCTCGGAATTGTTCAGGTAAAGCATGACCAGAAGCAGCTGGTAAAACCGACATCAATTGTTCAAATGGTCTTGATGGATTTCCTTGTTTGAATTTAATCCCTTCTTCTCCAACTATTTCATGAACATTGGCAATATCAGCCGCAAATGGAGCATAATGATATGGATAATACCATTGCCATGCAGGACATCCTTGATAATAATAAAGTAAAACCCATGAAATACCTTCAAGATAACAACGTACAACATCACGTCTAGTACTTTCGATTTCTTCTTCAGTTTTAGCATGGAATTTAGTTTCATAATATCTCTTTCTATATCCTGGTTCCCATAATTGGACATCACCATTGATTTGAGCTTCAACATCATCATCAAATGATCTCTTCTTACTAGCAGCACTTGTAGCCGTAGGAGTAGATTCTTCATCTTCTACTTCAGTAGTGGAATTATCTTGTGAAGTTTCTTCATCTTGAACTTGTTTTAAAGCTTCAACTGCACTTATACCACCATTATTAGATTTTTTAGAATCCAATAATTTCTTTAACGCAGATGCTGCATCAGCATTAGACATATTTGCTTTCGTTATTATATCTCTATTATGGACAATATCTTTATTTGAAAGTTGTGCATAACCCTCCACCAATTCACCACTTGTGGTCATTAATGGCATATTCATATCAGCCATTAATGGAGCTCTATCACTCCCTTTTGAAACTTGTTTACCATATACACTCTTTAATTTTTTCTCTTCATCTTGTAAAAGTTTTCTTCTCTTTTGACTTTCTTCTCTTCTTAATTCATTATCTCTTCTCTTTCTGAAAATATCATCTTCTTGAGATGCTACTGAAGCCATAACTTTTTCAACTGAATCCATATTAAGATTACCATCACAGGTTAAATAATCTTTCAAATGAGGTAATAATCGTTTCCAACAATTGACAAGAAGTTCAATCCCATTATCTCTAACATCCAAACTTGGCATATGAGGTAAGAAATCATTACCCACAAAGAAACACATAAAGATCCAATCATCAATGGCTCTTTCAAGATCATAAGGAAACAGTAGTTGGGGATTATATAATTCAAGAGCCAAGTATTCTCTTAATACGTTGATATGTAACCATAAGAATGGTTTCTTTTTATCTCTTTCAGCAATGGCTGCTTCTTGTTCAGAAGTAATTGAAAGTTGATCTGATACAGTCATTCTTTTATCTTGATTTGCAAACACATCTTCTCTTAAAATTCTGAAATGAGGTTCATGAGTAGCTAAACCTAAGAAAATCAAATCGGCATCTAAACCATATATACAATGTCTAGTATTTGGATTATATTGAGGATCTTGTCTTTGCAGCCTTATGAAATTCATTAATTTATGTTCACCTTCACCTGGTACACTGGCATCACTAATGATAACTTGTAAGTCTGCCCAACCTGGTTCAGTTGCAAATTTATATGCGGTCCAATATCTTAATGCTTCAGTTAATCCATCCATAAATGGAGTACCGGGAGTGATAACATTAGTATCCCAAGATTTCTTTTCCTTTATAGAAGTATCTATCACCTCTCCTCTCATTTCACGTTCTTTTATATCACGTTCTTTCTCTTCATTCTGTATCTTAGCATCTTGAACAGCTCTAAATCTTCTGGCTCTTTGTTGATTCATTTTAGCTCTTGGAGCAACTCCATCAATTGAAATCATCAATACTTTTCTGGGTCTAGCCATCATTAAAACTCTATCAGTATACGTGAAAATATCCAAAAACATTTCATCTTCTGTGGTTGGAGCAGGTTTATGTTCAGGATGAGTACAATTATGAACAATCCCATTCATATCTAAATATAAATTATCAATTTCTCCATTGGGGTTCTTGTCACTATACTTTGCTCCACCAATCTCTTCATCAACGTCTTCTTCTTCAACGGGTGAAATACATTTGGGGTATTTACGAGACAACCATCTAAACAATGCTGGAACACCCATGATGCTATATTCGTTCTAGGTGCCCTTATATCTTATTAAAGATTGTACTTCTTAACTATGAAATTTTTATGGTTAATTCTCTTTTTGTACCTTGGTGATTTTTTCTTTGGTGATGAGAGAAAGTTTTGAACTTTATACACGAACTTGTATCTATAGTATGGAGAAATAGATCTCTAGCTCTATCTTCTTACCTTATAAAAGGGGAATTAACTTAAAAGTCTCTCATATCGAATCAATGGTTACACTATACTAATCCTGGTCAATTATTCTACTCAGTTGATACATGATTTAATGCTCGTAAATACAATAGTTTGATGTATTTTTTTGCAAGGTAAATTTTCGCAACTATTTATATTTATTATCATATATTATTAAGATTTTATATTAAACGATTATATTTAAGTAAACATAATCTATACAGTTACATAACCACTAATCAACCTTCTTTGATTCTTCAACACCATCATCTAATTCAGATGCGGCAAAATCAGGATCAGTAGCAGAATTAAAAATAATAATACCATTATCCTTAGCATTTGCTCTTTCATCCTTTTTATAAAAGTATAATACTACAAATGTCCATAAGGATAAGGCAACACCACTAGCAGCAGTGAATGAATAACCCTTTAAGAATCTTGGAGCTTCAACAGTAGGGAATACTAACACAGATGTCCACGCTGTACTTTGTTGAGCAATAATATTACAGATAACAAGCATGATGTTACGTTCTCTAATATCTTTTCTTGAAATATCCCCTAACCAAGAATATAATACTGGAGCCATAGCCCAACCAAAACTGGAAACACAGAATCCAAACCATTTTGCTCCTTCAGGAAGATCCCATACCGCCAATAAAACATTACCTAACACGTTAAATACTTGACTGAAAATAATAGCCCCAGTTCTTGTGTTAAATAAATCAGCAATGGAACAAGTAATAGTTAACCATAATAAACCTAATCCAGGAGGTAAAGCAGTATAATCTTGTAATTCACCAGGTCCGAATCTTGGTTTACCATCAGCATTCGTTAAAGATTTCAACCAAAGAGCAAAAGCACCAGTAGACATATTACTATTATTCCAACAGAAGATATTCCAAAGACATAAGACATATACGTGCCATGAAGTGAAAATAGATTTCAAAAGTTTAATATCAAAGAAATATTTAACCACATTTTCTCTTGGTTTGAACCCCTTTTGATCATCTAACATTCTCTTTCTGGCAATTCTAATATCATCATCACTTAAAAAGATACTGTAACAATCTTCTGGAGTTCCTGGAAGCATATAGAATCCAAGAACACCAACAACGACAGAAATAATACCATCAATGATGAAAATCCATTGCCAAGCTTCAAGACCATTAATACCACCCATATGTCTTTCAATAGCACCAGAAAGTAAACCAGAGGTAAGGATACCAAGATATTGTCCAAGATAATAGAAACCTGCTCTTCTTGAAACTTCCCCAGTACCACCTTTAAACCAAGAAGCAAATAAACTATGATAAGCAATATAACTTGTAGCTTCAAACCCCCCAATGAAAAATCTAAGAGCTTTTAAACTTGGAACATTTTTAACTCTATAAAGGGAAATAGTTAAAATAGACCATCCAAGATCTAAACTTGGTAACACATAATTTAAAGGAAATGCATAAAGGATATACATGAATGGAATTTGGAAAATAATATTACCTACAGTGAACATAACTTGAGTTTTAATGAAATCATTACCTTTCATATCAATAGCTTGTTCTAAACCACCAACATAAGCATTGGTTAAATTAGTTTGATCTAAATACTTAACCCAATAAGCCATTAATGAATAAAGAGTTAATAAGATATCGATTTTCACAATTACTCTTCTTTCAGCAGCAGTATCATCATCATGGAACCAATGATACCATTTTCTATTACTTTTAACTTTATTAGTGACTCTATATTCATATTCATCAAAGAATTTATACCATTTTCTATCTTTTTCATCACGATATTCAAAAGTTTGTTGTTGATCTGATACTTCAGTAGATAAAACTTTTTCTAACGATCCCTTTTCATCAATATGACTATGAGTTTCAACGGGAGCTTCTGGAAAGATAAAATGACAATTTTCATCTTCATCAACTAGACGTCTAGTTGGAATAAATCCATACTTTAATCTGCTTCTAATAATACTCATCCTAATTATAAGTGAAATTAGTGAGTACTTAGTTTTTAAGCCTTACGCTGATCGACTCTTAATGCAAACGGATTTTGTATCATTATATAGTGTTGGTTTCCTGGTAATTATATAATTGAAGCTGATAACAAGTGTCACTATTAACCCTTACAGAAAACTGTGGCTCCCCATTATAAATAGCCGCAAAAACTTTTTCCATTCCTTATTTTGGTACAGGAATTATTTTTTACCGCTGAGAATATTTTTTAGACGGTATAATTTTAGTCTTTACTTATCTTTAGTCAAGATCAACCAACCATCAACCAAGACAATTAATTAGATCAGTTAGATGTGAATCCACAGTTATAATCCATTAGGTATTACCGTAGAAAATTAATTTTATACACTATACGTTATTTGCATTGCATCTAATTACAAATTACGGTAAAATCATCCTGCCGTGCAATCTTACTGAATCACAAAACAGATCTAAAGTCTTGTCCTTTATTTCGGATAATTCCTCCTTAAATCAAATTAAGTTAATGTTGCAAATACACGTGAGTAATTTGGAGGATACCATTCCTTTTAACCTTACCAACAAGGTTTTATGCTGTTAAATATTCTTTCAAAATAAGGTTGTAGATACTTTAATCCACGGGATATACGGCATTCAATCTAATTTATTGACAAACGCCATACTTTCGATAAATTACCTAAACATTTAGATTGAATTATGTTTCCTTATTTACTCTTGGGGATTTATTGATCAATTTTTCTCGTAAATTTTTTTTTCTGTCAACAATGCTGTCCCATGAAGCTATCATTCCCCCCTTGATCTTCCACACCGATTGTCTTATCATCACTGGCGGCATATGAACCACAGTAGATAATGAACTTTTTACGCAACTTATTATCCTTATTTGGTAAATTGGATCTTTTCATTATTCAACCTCTCATGGGTTATCATTTTTGGTCTCCACCTACATTTTTAACTGTTAACCGCCAATAATTCATCTAATCGGTAATTGATCTACCGAGTAATTTTACTACTTTAATAAAAACGATTTATAGATATATATATTATACTTAATGAATACAGATAGAACTGAAAAAATAAAAATTAGCTAATCTTTTTGCTTTTTGTTGGCACCTTGTTGATGATTTTGATTCAGAGATCTCTTTTTATCATTATTATTATTAGCATTATTATTATTATTAGAAGTTGTATTGAATGAAACAACTGGTTTATTATTATTATTATTATTATTTTGGCCCTTTGCTTGACCACCACCTCTCTTACCAGCCTCTGGACGAACAACAGCTGGACGATGTACTGTCAATGTAGATTCAGTATATGGAGAACCTAATGGTTTTGATTTAGCTTGAGGAGCTTTGTTTGTTACAGCTGGCTGAGGTACAGTATTTGTAGCAACATGAGCTGGAGCTGGAGCTGCAGCAGGAGCAGTATTAACGGCTTGAACTGGAGCAGTGGCTGCTGGAGCAGTTTGAGCAAAGTTTGACATAGGAGCTGGTGCAAATGCTGATTGGAATGGAGATCCGATTGGTGGGAATGGCATACCAGGTTGGAATGCAAACCCAGAAGTTTGGAATGGATTTGGCAGTGGGATAGGTTTAAGTGGAATTGAACTAGGAGTCATATTAAAAGCACTAGGTGAATTACCTGAAGTTGGAGGATTCTTAGCTGGTGCTGCATTCGATGCTGCATTAGATGCTGCATTCGATGCTCTTTCAATCTTTTTATTTAACATTTTAATCTTAACTTCAAATAATTTTTCAGTTTGTGTTCTAGTAGCATTCTTTTCTTCTTCTAACTTGACTGCAAACTCTTCCTTCAAAGTCTTAATTTGATTTTCATAGTCATTCTTTAAAGTAGTCAAAGCTTCATTACTGTTAATTCCTTCTAATTTAGATTGATATTCCTTTTCTAATTCTTCTTTTCTAGTATTTAAAGATTGTTCCAATTCAGTAGCTCTAGCCTGTGAAGAAGCTTCTAATTCTTTCTTAATAGCTTCAACATCAACACCAGAACTACCCAATGATTGTTCTAATTTCTTTTCATATTGAGCTTGCAATTCCTTTTCTAAAGCAACCTTCTTCTTTTCGAAATCTCCAGTCAACTCCTTTACCTTTTCATCCAATCCAGCAGCAGCACCACCATTATTTTGTGATTCCTGTTTCAATTTAGAAAGTTCAGCAACTAAATCATTCTTTTCCTTAGTTAACTTATTGATGTATTTTTGAGATTCTGCTTTTGCTGAATTAACTTGTTTAGTCAGTTCCTCCTCAACCTTTGACCGTAATTCCTTGAGTTCAACATCATGAGCACTCTTTAATTTGGTAATTTCTTCATTCAAATTAGCAATAGTTGTATTAGATTCACTGATTCTTTCATTTAGTGATTTGATTCTTGAATTAGCTTGTTTGGTGAATTCACCTAATTTACCTCTTAAGGCTTGAATAGTAGCATCAGATTCAGGAGTTCCAGCTGTAACATTTGCTCTTAATCTTTCATTTTCTTCTTGAACTAAATTAACCTGTTGTTTTTGAACTTCGACTTCTGTAGTCAACTCAGTTAATTTCAATTTAAGTGGATCCAATTCCTTTTGAAGGCTTGCCAATTGATCTCTTAAACTCTTCAATTTTTCTTCTTGAATATGATTTTCAGATCTCAAAGTAATATTACTTTCTCTTAAGATATTGACTTGTTGTAATTGATCAGCAATCTTATTATTTTCATTTTGACTCTTCAATAAATCAAGAGGGGTTTCTTTAGCTTTAGATAATACAGATTTTGCAATTGATAATTCTTCAGCAACCAGCAGGACACGTTGTTCAAGTCTACGGTTTTCTTCAACTAAAACAAGAGCTTTAGCTTCGAACTTTTCCTTTTCTCTTCTCAAGTAGGTAACCACATCCTTAAGTTCTTCTCCTACATTTTCAGTTTCGGAAGGACTCTTACTTAATTCTAATTGATTTAATAAGATAGAATTCTGTTCACGTAATTCATGAATAGTGGACTTAGCTTCCTTTAATTCTTCTTCAACAGCAGCTTGTTGCACACTCAAAGCATCTTGTTTTGAATTCAATTCTGAAGTTATTGATTGTAATGAATTCTTCAACGTCTCTACTTGAGTCTTATAATCTTCGATATGTTCCTTACTGGCAAGTAAATATTTAGATAATTCATTATTCTTTTCTAATTCGTCATGATATTTAGCTTGAGTATCAGAACTAAGACCAGATTGAATTTCTAAATCTTTACTAACACTTTCCAATCTTTGTTTATAATTTGCTTCCATACTATCAAATGAATCGGCCTTAATTTCATATTCATTAAGTTTCAATTTCAATTCATTTAATTCTTCCAAGTGTTTAGCATTAGCAGATTCTAATTCATTTTGAGCAACTCTTATGGTTTCTTTAACTCTTGCAAGTTCTTCAGCTATATATTCTTTTTCTTGTCCGAGTGATTTGAATTTTTTCTCTGATTCAATCTTATATTCTTCAAAACTATTTGTAGCATTTACCAAAGCATCTTCACTTGCTTTTGCTAATGTTGAAAGATCATTTACTTGACTTTCAGATATTTTCAAATCTTCCTTTAATTGTAGGATTTCAATCTTTAAGGTCTTCTTGGATGTATCATCTTCTTCAGAAGTATCATCAATTTGTACTGCTTGACGTCTGGTTAATGAAGCAGATAATTCCTTAACTTTATCATTCAAGCTTTCTATTTGTGATTGTTTTTCTAAGACTTTATTCTTGGCTTCCATCAATTGTCTGCTAATTTCATTAATCTGTTCCAATTTAGCATTTTGTGCTTTCAAAGTTAACTCAGATTGATTTGATAAGATGAGAACCTTTTCTTCCTTTTCACCAAGAATCTTTTGTAATGATTGATAGTTTTCAATAGATTGATTTAATCTATCAGTTAATTCTTTTGTAGATGAATCTCTTGATTTTAATAATGATTGTAAGTTGAATACGAATTCGTTCAACTTAGTCTTATCTGATTTGAGTTGGATGTTTTCATCCTTCAATGATTCAAGAACTGATGCATTAAATTGTTTCTCAGACTCCAAGTTATTAATAGTTATAGTGAATTTAGAAACATTACCTTCGATATCTCTTAGTTCATTAGATTTCCTAATCAAAAGACTCTCTTGTTTGCTTGCTTGTTCTTTCCAGAATACAATATCTTTCCTGAGTTGATCTATTTCTTTACTGGAGCTATCTAAAGCTCTACGAGTGTTTTCAAGTCTTGCTTCAGCTAATTGTGATGCATTCTTAGCATTGGCTAATTGTAACGAAAGATCATTCTTGGAGGATGTTACATCTCGAAGTTTGTCATTCAATTCTGTGGAGATTTTACTGTTTTGATAATGAATTTCCTTAAGAACTTTATCACTTTCTGATAATTTAGATTTCAAATCGTCATTGATTTCTTTCAAATATCTTGAATCAGAATTGGTAGAGATCAAGCCACCTTGATTACCTGATTTAATAATATCTCTTTCTTTAACAACAGCTTCATATTTGATAGTTAAGCTATCTAATTCACTTTCAAGAGTTAATATAGCATCCTTAGCTTCTTCAATGGCGGCTGATTCAAGACTGGCATTTTGATCTTCCTTTGATTCCAATCTTTTACTTAATTGTCTTACAACTGTAAGTAATTCAGAATTCTTTTCTCTTAATTCAACAATACTTGAAAATTCTACCAATCTTTCAGAAATCAAACTATCTGATTCGGATTCTTTAGTGGATTCATAATTACCACTACGTTGAAGAATACTTTCAATGGCTTTCTTTTCATTGACAGTTAAAGGATTTTCATTATTGTCTCTTATCTTAGAATGGATTAAATAATAACATAATTGACGACCAAGATCCTTGGTGAGTTTTTTCAATGATTCCAACTCATTCTCATATTCAACAGCACGAGATCTTAATCTATTCACATCCTTTTCAACTTCAGATTTTTCCAGTCTGATTGTTTCAACCTTACCTATCATTTCCTTTATAGACGATTCATAGAATTCAATTTGATCACGATAATTGGAAATTACTGGTTTCTTAGATTCTAATTCATTAACGAATGATTCTAATTGAGTGGCCAACTTTTCCTTTTGAGATCTTTCCAATAATAATTGTTTCTTCAAATGAGTAAATTCGGAATATAAGGCCGATAATGAAATACCTTGCGTGGAAGCAATGAGAGCTGATGAATCTGTTAATTTTGGTAAATCTGTTTCCTTATGTAATTCTTTATCTAATAATTCTTCAGTACTCTTTAATCGTTCTTCCAATTCAATAACTCTTTCTTCTTTAATAGAAAGTTCAGTACGTAAAGCAGATATTGATGAAGTAGTCTTTTCTTTGATTTCTTCCACGTATTCTTCCAATTGTGCTATACGGTCAGACTTTTGATCACTTTGGATTCCTGATAATTCAATTAAATCATTCTTATTCTGAAGTTCTTTTAAGAATTTAGCCTTTTCAAATTCATAATTTGTAGTGGTTGACGATACTAATACCACATCTTTTTCATTCTTGGCGGTTAATTCCCTGATTTGATCATTGGCAGCCTTATTTAAACTCTCCAAGGTTTCGTTTCTGGAAGTCAAGTTCGATATTTTATTTGAATTGAGTAAATATTCAGATTCATGTTTCTTAATGAGATCGGTGAATCTAGCTTGAGTTGATTTTAATTCTTCATCATACCATTTAGATTGATTTTTTAAATATTCAACTTCATTTTTAAACTTTGTTAATTCAAGCTTTGCATTGAAATTCTCATTTCTTAATTCGTTAGTTTCTTTAGTTAATTCATTAATTTTCTTGCTTTGATCTATATTTGTACTACTCAATTGATTAATAGTTTCAGTATACTTGTATGAACTTTGAGTTGAATTATCCTGTAACCGTTGAAGTTCCTTTTCGGATTGTTTTTCTTCTTCTTGAAGTCTGGATGACCGTTCTGTTAAAAACTTATTTGATTCTTCCAATTCTTTAAGACGATGTTGTTCTGAAGTTAAATTATTCTTGAGAGTTTCAACTTCTTCCGAAAGAGTATTCGCCACCGTTCCAGCTTTTCGAAGTTTTATATTTAATGTATTAATTGTATTATGATAATTCTTTTCATTATGTTCATTTTGGACTTTAAAAAAGGAGTTTTGGGATTGTAATTCATTAAATTCTAAAACCTTTTTCAGTAATGCAGCCAATATGGTTTTATTATGGATCGATTCAATTAAAGAATCTTCAATTGAAAGAAATGACAGTATAATGTTTTTGTCCTCTTCATCGATTTCCACGATATCATCAACCGTATAGTCAGCAGTTTCATCCACAGTTTCATCAATGTTTTCATTTTGTAATTGAGGCTGTATTTTACTAACTATAGGTGAACTTGAAACATTTGGATCATCAACAGCTACGTTGAATGATTTTGGAGTAATGATTTCATCTATATCTTTTAAAGCAGGTAATGATTTCAGTGGGGTAGCGAATTGAGGTATAGTTTGAGGTATTTGTAATGATGAAGTATTTGGATCTTCTGGTTCAACATCATCTTCAACATCATCTTCCACTATTTCTTGTACAGGTTCTTCAATGATTTCCGGAACACGTTGTTCAACTTGTTCCGTGGTATGTTCTTCAACCGGTGCTACAGTTGTCAGTTCAGTAGGTTCATCTTCATCAACCACTTCGGTGATTTCTTGGGGATGGTCATGTTCAAGGAAGTTGTCTGGGTTAACAATACTTTGTGAAATATCTGCATTCAATTGATTGATGGCATCAGCAACTATCATTTCCACATCTCCATCTCCATCTCTATATATTGGATCTACTTCAGTAGTAGTATGATCAATTGAAATATCAGCATTCACTTCCTGAACATCATTTGAATTAGTAGAAGTTGTTTCATGAGCCGGTATGGTTGGACTATGATCAATAATGACTTCATTGGAACCTTCAGTTACTGGAACTTCATCATCATCATCATCATCATCGTCAAGGTGTACTATTTCAGGTCCGTCAGTAGATTGTGCTGGCTTAACTTCAGGTACATCAATTACTTCAACCTTACTAGTTACTTCATCTTTAGGGATGTCATCAGGGTTCTGATCACTCATTCTAACCCTTTGAAATGAAAAAATATGATGAATTGAACTATTGATTAATGAATTAGATGTAGGATTCAATTATTATCCTATTATCAGTTTATGATAGTTGTATGTGAGTGAGTTACATTATTTAATCAAAACATTGCGACACTGACGACATTACTCAGAATGAAATGTCTCCTAAGGGTAATTACCCTAAAGAGTCCATACTTCCACGTGATCGATTCCCGATCAAAACTCATTTTTCTTTTTTTTGCCGCTGTCAAAACTTAAGCGTGTTAATTATATTATAAGTGGATTTGGTAGTGCCATATTACATACAGGACAGGCCATACTATACAGGACACACCAACCAACAAAATTTTCCCAGACAGGAGAGAGTAATAGAAAAAAAAATTCTGAAATATATCAATTACAATTTCAAGTTGTTTCAATCTTTTGATACATTAGTCAGATAAATAACCATTAAAGATGATTGAACCATCCTTAAAGGCTTTAGCTTCCAAATATAATTGTGAAAAGTCCATCTGCCGTAAATGTTACGCCAGATTACCACCAAGAGCCACCAACTGTCGTAAGAGAAAGTGTGGTCACACCAATCAATTAAGACCAAAGAAAAAGTTAAAGTAAACTATTCAACCTTATATTCACTTTGTTTTATGGTATATTCTTTCAATATATCTATCTATCGGTTCATCATATACTTCACACTGTTATTAATCAATAATAAATTAAATCAATCATTATCATTTAACATTATTAGAATAGTTGAGGATATATAATATAATATCATATGATATGGTATGAAGAAAATCAATCAAATCAAATAAAGTATTGTATTTAGCTTAATAAGTTCATTTTAATATAAAATCTAACGTTATAGATGTATCAAAAAAAGAGAGTAGACGTTTTATTCATATCCAATCAAACTCATTCATCCCCCCATTTTACACTCAAATGAAATATGGTAATAAGAATAGAATTATGAAGGGAAAGTTATCAACTACATTCTCAGTTCTATTTCAAGTTCCATTTCTTTCAATATCACTATGAACCGAATACCTTCCAATTCACTGGTTGGTTGACCGAACAATGTGTCATGAAAAAAAAAAGAGTTTGAGTAATGTATGGGGTTTGACAATGAATGGAGTATGGGTTATGGGATTGAATACGTTCACTTATTGTAGTAAATTATTAGAGTATTTAACCATCATTCAAGGACATCAAATTCATTTTACATTGTTCTGTCAACAGTTGCGTTGAATTTACAGTGAGCGGTCGTAACGTCAAGATTACACTAGGACAACCTTTCCTGTTATTCATGATCCCCAATGTGATCATCAACTGTTTAGTTACCATATGAACTTATCATCATCACATCTAGGTTAACCTTTGTAAACTCTACTCTATAATCAGTCTCTACTCTGTAACAAACCCCGAATCATCATCATCGATTTTGAAGAAGGAGAGAGAGAGAATTTACGGGAAAGGTCGTGCGAATTGTGCCAAATCCTGCTTACACTGATGTTGGTAAAAACAGACAGCCAGATTTGGAGATAGATATATACCAATGGGGATCATCAAACTTTCATTATTTAATCATATTTATTTCTCATCAAGGTCTATTTAAAGAATCAATTATCATCACGAGTATCTGCTTCAGCATTTGCCTCATTGACGGGTTCTTTAATTTACCATGAACAATAATAATACCAATCTTCTTCCTGATCTAGTGGTAAATAACATTCACCATCTGCCAACAGGTAATAATCAAAGTGAAGTAGTACCAATTTCTCAACAACAAAAGAGGCAAAATAGTTTATCCAACTATATGATAGGATCTTCCAATAAAAGAGTTCCTAATACTATGCCAAATCCTGATTTCCAATTTGGATCATCCCCAAATAAAACCTCGCAACCTTCGCCATCAACCCCCAACGTACAAGCCACAAGATATAATAATCCTATGGTTCGGGCCAATATAAGGAGGAACATCGGTTCATCTCAACCAGGTGTACAAGGTTTAGTAAATATGAAAACTCCAACTCCATCTGCTTATGAAGTCCCCTCCAGTCCAAATATTAATCCATTAGCTAATATTTCAAATCAAAATCATTCAGATCTGTCCGAATCAAACCCAGTAATGGATCAACAGGATCTACATCAATCAAGTGATATATCATCTCTTCCAAGAGATTCTTCTGCTCCAGCAGCTACCCCTTCAACCATAGTGAATCAAGATTTAAATGAACAACAAGGTAATCAACAACGAGCAATGTCAGATGAAGAACAACAATTAGCTACAAAGTTGAAAGAAACCTATAAGAATATCGTTAATTTTGAAGAAGTGGTTCAAAAGAATTGTATAGAAATAACGATCAAGATTAATCAAATTACAAGTAATACTAATAATAGTAGTCTAGTATATGGGAATTCTCCATTAATTAATCAACAATTATCATCATCGGTTAATTCAAATAACTCATCAATTGCATCAACTACGGTTAGAACTTCAGAATTACTGAATGATTTATGGACAGTATATCATCATAACATAACTCTTTTAGATAATTATTATGATTTTTTAGTCACGGCATTAAAACCTTCATCAAATAAAACTCATTTCAAAACAGGCAAAAATATTGTTGAATTATATAAAATTCCAAGACGAATGTGGGTCTATGGTATTGTGGGATTCCTTGAAGTTTTAAAAAACATTATAAGTATATTTCAGGATCATGAAATTTGTTCATGTTTTATTGCATATTGTTTCAATATTATCTCAATTCTTACTGACCCAGTGTTGGAAATGGAAGGATGGTGGCTGGAAAAATTAGGTGATTTATCAAGAATGGCAATAGCATTATACCCATCAAAATTCATTGATTGGAAAATTAGTGCTGAATACTGGTATTCCATTGCCATGAAAACTTTATATGGTCATGGAAAGATTTATTATCATATGTGTACCGTCCAACAGGATAATTTGGATGCATTAGTAAACATTGGTAAATCAGTAATTTGTCATGATCCATTCGTTCCAACTCAACATTATTTAAAATTAGTAGTGGAAAACATTTGTACTCAAAGAAATATTTTATCATTGTTGGAATTACCCATTATTGATTTCATAAAGATTCATAAGGTTCTTTTAAGTATTTACTCCAGTAATAGAAATACTGATGGAGGAGTTTCGAATTCAGTTGAAAGTATCCATGATAGTCAACTTCAATATGGAATTGATCTTGTTACCAGATATGGTCTTACCTTTGGTTCAGATTCTAATGGATATAATTTTTTCACCAGAGAATTATATACTCCAACTGGTGTAACCTTGATAAATGATCCTCATCATCCATATTACTTACAACAACAGCAGCAACAACTTCAACAACAACAGCAACAACAACAGCCTAGCGCTACTAATACAATCGAAAAAATGAATTTCTGGTTTAATAAAGGATCTTCTTTTGCCATTGCAAATATTAATCATTTAGTTGGTTTAGGTGATGCAAAGAATCCATTCGCCAAGATATTCATGCTTCCAGAAGCCTTAAAGGAAAGAAAGGATAAAAAGGATAGAAAACGCAAATCTAGAGTTTCCCAATCTCAACAAGTTGAAGAATCAATGAATGGAGTAGATGGACAATCAGTAGTTGCATTAGATTTGTCTTCCAATGATTGGTTTTATTGCTTACAATTCATCAATAAGTCGGTATTGGAATTATCCATCCGTATTTTGAATCATTACTTGATTGGTCCAAAACAAGCATCAACGGGACATGTTATTGTTTGGTTATATTTTTTAATTTCGGTAGGTGAAGCTACAAAGAAATTTCCAAATTCAAAAGCCATGTTTGGATGGATTTTTAAGAAACTTTTCCCATGGGAATCATTTATAAATTATTTGAATTCATTACTTGCATTTGTCAAAAATAGTCCCAAATTAAGTGAATTATGTAATCATTATATCAATCATTATTCTGATTATATTCAACATTTCAATAATAATGAATCACTTCCTGAAGTTTGGAAATGTTGGGGTACGTTATGGTTTGATTGTATTGAAGAAAAGCTGGATTATACTGATGTTGAATCTGCTGGTGTCAAGAATAATAATTTATTTGATATGCCAGCTTGCGGAACATATCCCGTTGTCACTATGGCCAATGAAGCAGCTGATCAAAAATCAAGAAAAACCACGGAAAGTGAAAATGATGAAAGAATAATTAGAATTGTATTATTAGCCAGAGTTTTGGCTGATGAATATGAATTTGGCTTGATTAGAACTCCAAATGAATTCAAATATGATGAAAATATCCATGCTACTACCGATTCTTCAGTAGTTCCAACTCCTACTAATTCCAATGTTAGACAAAGTGATCCATATTCTTATATGGAAGAATTTTTATTAAGTGATGGTAGATTTGTGCAAAATAACTTTTTACAAGCTATATCGCTTGATAATTTATATGGAGTAGCTGATGGATTAACCCAAGCTCAAAAGGATGTTTCATGGTTTGGAAGATATGATCATGATTTAGATGATGATGAAGAAGAAGATGAAGAAAGATATTCTGAATTTGAAGAAGATATGTCAGAATATGAAAATAATAATTCATATCATCAAATGATTACTGATCAAGGGTTTTATTCAGAAGGTGATCCTAATATTGATACTATTGAAGGAAATCTTGGAGAATTTATGGATACAAACATTACTTATATAACCTTGGATACTAATATTTGGTTAAAGCATTGTGGAAGAGTATTTAAATGTGTTCGTAATGGAGTATTCAAAATCCTGATACCTTTAATTGTATTTCAAGAATTAAGAGCTTTAAGAAAATCGGCTGAAGCAACTATAGCTGATGCTGCTACCAGATCTGTTATTATTATTAGAGAATTATATTTATCAAAAGAAATACTTCCATTAAGATATGATGGAACTGTTGCATCCGATATCAATGAAACCACTGAATTTGAAAACAATTCAAATTGGAGATCAAGTGTTGATGAAACTATTTTAAACTCCGTCAATGAGAATGATGAAATTGGTAAAAAACTGGCCAAAGGAATTAATCAAAAATTATCCATTTACAGAGCCAATAAAGATGATGATCAATTAGGTGATTCAACTGTCTTAAATGCAAAGATGGCAAGAATGTTCCGATATTGTATATTGATCACTGATGATAGAAATTTAAGATTAAGAGCTAAAACTGTGGGACTCATAAGTTTCCAAAGCAGATGGTTTTTTAATCAATTAGAAAATACGTTTTCTAGAATGTGCATAGATTAATCTAAAACATGAGATCAGTTTTACCAATTATATTTAATTTTTACAGCATCATTAGGTGTTGCTTAGCAGCTTTACCTAAATAGGAAATTTAATTTTAATTTTCCTACAAATACAACCTTTCATTCATTAATAAAGTTCCCGTTCCCCCTGAAATAGCATTTAAATAAAAAAAATAGAAGTAAGAGGATGTATGAAAAAGTATTTCCCCCAAAATCTTAGCATAGTAGCTAACCATAAATTTCATAATACATTTTTTAATAAAACATTTCGCAAATGTAAGAGAGCATGTAGATACTTGTAGTTACTTACCCATAAGCACCAAAACGAACGCGTAATCCCCCTTATATATGAGTTCACTTTATTCTTTCCGCTAGAGATTTTCTTAGTGGGGCGTTATTCACTTGGTAACGATGTCGACGGCGGTGGAATAGCGCGCTTTTAGGTACTTTGTCGCAGCCAGGAGTCAGGTACAGGGATGAAAAATAAATAGGCAAAGGTTTGTTTGTTTAGTTCACGTCTATTTTGTGTTAATAAAAAGAGTCTGGAATATGGTTTCATATATGTTTTAAACTATGTTATTTCATTAGCAAATAAGTATATATATAGAGCTATGATCCATTGAAAAGTTAACTTGTTGGAAGTGAAAAATCATCATCAAGCATTGATCTTTACACTCCTTTTAAAATATACCTCACACTCCTTTTACTAACTTTATACATTCCTTTAATAAAATGAAGTTTTCAACTATTACAATCATTGGTGGTTTAATAACTGCTGTTGCAAGTATGCCTGTACCTGAAATAGTATATGTTACAGAATATCACACTGTAACCATAACAGATGGAGAAGAGAACTTGGCTATACCAACTACTTTAGCCACTGCCGCTACTAGTTCTATTGAACAAGATTTGAATATAGGTGGTGTTGTGTCTGACGTTGTTTCACTCTTTGACTTTAATCCTGATGAAACTACAACTCCAACTACTTTTGCTGCTCCAAGTACCACTGAATTAGCTACTACAACCACCACCTCAGCTCCATCCCCAGTTGAACAAGCTCCAACTATTACAACTACCAGTACTCCTAGTAGTACATCATCTACATCACCTGTTCCTAGTGGAAGTGCATTCTCAGGACAAGGTACTTATTACTCTACTGGTTTAGGAGCATGTGGATGGACCAATCAAGATACCGATTATATTTGTGCTATTTCTCATGATTTATATGATGCTAATAATGTTAATGCCAATCCTAATGATAATTCGTTATGTGGAAAAAAGATTCGTGCTACTTATCAATCCAATTCGGTTGAAGTTACGGTTGTGGATAGATGTACAGGATGTCAATATTATGATTTAGATTTTTCACCTAGTGCTTTTTCACAATTGGCTGATCAATCATTAGGTAGAATTGATATTGAATGGGAATGGGTTTGATTTATAAAAAGTTATGAGAAAACTAGAACAAAAAAGCAAACATATTAGATTGATTTCAATGTACATACGAATAATATGGTTATAATTTATTTGAAAGTAGTTTACATAGTGACCACCCCTACACCCGAGGAATGAGAAAATTTCAAGCTCTATATTCTAGATAAGAGAATAAGTAATATTCGTAATGAAATCTCTAAACTCAAAAAAAAAGACAATGAAAAGTTTATATCTGAATTGCAAAAAGCAATCTAACTTTTTAGTTTGTCGCAAAACTAAGTCACGTGTGTGGATTTTAAAAAGCAATTACAAACAGAGACAAGAAATCTCCTAAAATAGACATTTAATAAAAAAAACAGGGGGTGTAATGTCTGAGTTGATTGATTTGATTGATTTAATTAATTACATACAGGGTGCGACATTTATATCCTACTAACTAACTATTAATCTCATGCACGACACGGACTTTATAGGAGGAACCGATAAAATATCTAAAAATGGAACTAATTTGTTGGTAAAACCAGTTAGCAATTAAGCATTTAACAGATCTATATTATCCTATGCTATAATGGAATATAATTAAGAAAGGGTGCACCACCCACGGTAAGTAAGTTGAATACACTCTTATCCATTTATTTATTTATTTATGCATTCTAGAATGATGTCTTTTATTTGTAATTAGTTTCTGCTTTATCGGTATTGGGTTAATTCGTTACAGAGAAGAAAAAAAAAATAGGCTGTTAAAAAAATGTCTTCTTCTCAGTAAAAAATTTTGTTGGTAAAAAGGATTTAGTGAGAAATAGCTTGTAATAAATAACCAACACAACACAACTCAATAGGATCAGGAGACTTCTATCAATCGATTGATTATTAACAAAGAATGTTAGCTAATATTCTAACCTTACCTTATATCGATTGATCTGCTTATTTCTTAATGTTATGTAATTGACTGGACTAGTCTAGACAGTAAATATTGTTTGTTATTCAATGTGAATGTGTGTGAATTATTATCCCTTTTGGCCGCTCCTGTATATGAGCGGGTCCCCAACTAAAAAAAATTTTCTGTTGTTTGTTGGGTCCTCTTTGTTTTGTTTTTTTATTTTTTTTTTCACTATCGCTAAAACTCCTTAAATAAATTTAGGGGCAATTTAATTAGTTAAGATTGTTACGGTTAAATTAGTTAGTTAACTCGTTAGTTTGTTAGTAGTATACAGTAAAACTTAGACCATGGGATATTAAATTTAACTTAACACAAGGCAAAAATATAATTTCTTTTTTTTATTTTATTTAAAGATATATTTACTCCTACATATCCTCAATTTCAATTTGATTTTAACTGTTATTCTTCTTCTTCTTGTTCTTGTTTTTCTTCTTCTTTATCCTTATTCATTACAATTAACCGTTAATTGGATCATTTTAACTTGTTTTGTCAACCAAAACTACAATTTCAACAATTATATCATAGAGAGATACAGAGAGAATTTCTTTTTAATTTGTTTTCTTCCCTCCTTATACCATCACTTTTGCAATCCAAAACATTTTTTACACCAAAATTTTAATACATTCATCAATAATCCAACTCACATACACACATACATAACATGTCTGCTTCTCACGAACAAGTCGAGACTGTCGATATCACTTCCCTTAATGCTGTCGCTGCCGGTACCAACAGAAAACAACCAAGAATTGTTGCTGCTGGGTTAGGTGGTAGATTAATGGGTACCGCCGATTTAGTTAAAGTTACTGCTGAACAAATTACCGAAGATTCTTTACAATCTTTAGCTGAAAAAGATGAACAAGAAAGATTAAAATATACCAAAGTTAAACATATTAGTGAACAAGAATGGACTTTATCTAATTTTTATAAACATATTAATTGGTTAAATGCTATTTTAGTAGTTGCTATTCCTGCTTATGGGATTTATAATGCTGTTAATTATCCACCTCAACTTAAAACTATCACTTTAGCTTTTATTCTTTATCTTTTCAGTGGTATTTCAATCACAGCTGGTTATCATCGTTTATTTGCTCATAAATCTTATGATGCTCATGTTTCATGTAGATTATTTTTTGCTTTCTTTGGAGCTGGTGCTGTTGAAGGTAGTATTAAATGGTGGTCTCATAGTCATAGAATTCATCATAGATATACTGATACTCCAAGAGATCCTTATGATGCCAGACAAGGGTTTTGGTTTTCTCATATGGGTTGGATGTTAACTAAACCAAATCCAAAGAATAGAGCTAGAGCTGATATTAATGATTTAGCCAATGATTGGGTTGTTACTTTCCAACATCGTCATTATTTACTCCTTATGGTTTTATCAGCTTTTGTTTTCCCAACCGTTGTTGCTGGTTTATTCTGGGGTGATTATTGGGGTGGATTCATCTATGGAGGTATCTTAAAAACTTTTATTATTCAACAAGCTACTTTCTGTGTTAATTCATTAGCTCATTGGATTGGTGTTCAACCATTTGATGATAGAAGAACTCCAAGAGATCATGTCTTGACTGCCATTGTTACCTTTGGTGAAGGTTATCATAATTTCCATCATGAATTTCCATCTGATTATAGAAATGCTCTTAAATGGTACCAATACGATCCAACCAAAGTTGTTATTTATACTTTATACAGATTAGGTTTAGCTTGGAATTTAAAGACTTTCAGTCAAAATGCCATTGAACAAGGTTTATTACAACAACAACAAAAGAAATTAGATAGATTAAGACAAGAATTAAATTGGGGTACTCCAGTTGATCAATTACCAGTTTGGACTAGAGAAGAATTTAATGAAAAGGCTAAATCAGAAGGTTTAATTTTAATTTCTGGTATTGTTCATAATGTCAAGAGCTTTATTAAGGAACATCCTGGTGGTCAACCATTAGTTAGAGCTTCTTTAGGTAAAGATGCTACTAAAGCTTTTAATGGTGCTGTTTATGCTCATTCTAATGCTGCTCATAATTTATTAGCTACTATGAGAGTTGCTGTTCTTAGTGAAGGTGAAATCAATGGTAATACCTTTGAACTTCAAAATCAAATGCTTGCAAAGGAAAAGCAAGCTTGAATGGGTATTAATGAATGAAAAGAAAATAAAAAATATATAAAGATTATTATTAAAAAATAGGACTCAATCAATAGAGCCAACCATACCAAAACAGAACAGGCCTGATAAGATTAGATTAGAATCAAATCCTAAGAATAAGAACATAGTAGAGGATGATGAAAGAAAAAAACCTTAAATATGGGTAGACGAAGAAGAAGTGAAGTTATAACTTTTTTATAAAATATGACGAGTCAATGTTTTTTTTTTGTCACTTTTATTATTCATTTTATGACATACATATGACTCTCTCTCTATATTTGTTTATTTTAGTTAGATATTTATTAAATATATTTTGTTAAATAGTGTTTATTATTGTTATAGTTGGTTTTATTGTTTATTAATGTATATACAGTCAATTATAGTTTTAGTATTAGTAGTTGGTTGGCTGTAATTGGTTGATAGTTAATCCGATTACTATCGATAAATGACATATAGAGGAATATATCGGACCTGGACCTAAGTTTTTACGTGGTCATAAGATATGAATCAGCCTTTCTCCTAATGTAAATTCCAGCCCATAACAATTCATAAAAAACATTCTATAATTACATATATGTAAAAGTGGTGTGGATCACAACTCTTTATTCATTTTATATATGGAACCTTGTAAAGCTAAAAAAAAATCAGGCAACATGCAAAAAAAAAGCTCTCATATCGTACCACTAACAATTAAAAAGAGGTGCGGAGTTTTCAGGCTATTCTTGTTTTGCAACCATATTATTATGGGTAAACCCTAATTTACACGAATCATCTATGACTTATTATTATTTTGATGATATTTTATTGACTTGCTGTAAATTATGGTATGGTTAAGAAAAAGGATCTTCACGGATTAAACTTTGCTTTCAAATAAGTAAACTAGAGAGGAACCCTACATTCTTTTTATATAGTTATATAAATAGTTGGGAAGTTTCGTCGTTTAGGAATTTTAGATTAATTTATTTCGTTTCGATTCGATTCGTTTTCACCTATTTATCAGTTTATTTGGTTTCCATCAGTTGTCAAATATACAAATATATTCACTTATTCATACTTATAATGTCTGCCTTCAAAGCCGCTTCTACTCCACTTTATAAACTCTATCTCAGAAGAGTTCCAGACATTGCTGTCTGGGCCGGAGGTATGACTTTCTTCTTAGGATGGCCTCATGTTTGGTCTGCCGCTTGTAATAAAATCGACGACGTTCCAGATATCAATACCAGTTATCTTTCTCTTTAAAGAAATAAATCCAAAAGTTTAGTTATATGAACAACATCAAGGATTCTGTTGTAAACAGGAGGGAAAAGTTAGGGACTGCAGCCCTTTAGTCTTTTTTACTCCATATTTTAGCTATTTCCACTTGCTAATTTCATTACCTATTAAACCAACTATTATTTTGCTATGATTACGACCTACAACTGCTTGCTATCAGTCTAACTAGCTACCCAAACAAATTGTCATGCTTTACTATGTTATTAGTTATTTATTATTATTATTAATATCTTATAAAAAAATATACAATCATCATTTATACCTATTTCTAATTATATGTAACCTGTAGAAGAAAGTAGATTAAGATGGAGAATGACACTTAAGGTTAATCTAATGGGTAAATCATATTTTAATTAAGCATACCATCCTGCATACAATCATCACCAAAGAAAATTAATTTAAACATCATACAAAAACAAAAATTAAAGGAGAAAGGAGGGAGGGAGAGCATATCATAGATCAATTTTAAGTTATTAAAGGGTGATTCAATCACAGGTACATTTGTGATACAATCAATCAAAAGATCTAACAACATAAGAAGCAGCCCCTCCTTTCACATCCCAGTCACTTTATTTTATTTTATTTTATTTGCATTGATAGTTTGAATTGTATTATCTCAAGTTTTGTGAGTCAGTCAGTCAATTATCTATCTGTCATATTCATTTGTATTAATCCTATTGTTATTATTAATTTTAGTCATGTCTAAACCATTTCAATCCATAAGTGATGTCATAAACACATCTCCATCCAAACATAAAGCTCAATCATTCCGAGAGATTTATGGAGAACCGGAGAATTTTCTTGAAGTTGAAGTACGAAATCCTCAAACTCATGGATATGGAGGTGATTTATATACTGATTATGAAATCATTTGTCGTACCAATATACCAGCATTCACGAAGAAGAATAGTAGTGTTCGAAGAAGATATAGTGATTTCGTTACGTTTCGAAAAATACTAGAACAAGAAACTACAAGAGTTGTTATACCTCCATTACCGGGGAAAATTCTTTTAAATTCAAATAAATTTAATGATATCAATATTGAACAAAGAAGACAAGGATTAGAAAAATTCTTAACTACCGTTAGTGGTCATCCATTATTACAAACTGGATCTAAGACATTGATTGCCTTTATTCAAAATGAAAAATGGGAAGCAAGAACAGCTTATTATTAACAAGTAACCATGACTCAATTAGATAAATAGTTTCATCATCATATTTGAATTAATTGAGTTGTGAAGATCATGAAAAGGAACATACTATATACAAATAAGTGTGTTGAAAATATACAATTTTAATTTTAATGTTGATGTAACTTGAAAATGATCGTAGATCTTAAGTATACCCTTTCTCTTTGATTCTCTGACTTACCCCAGACTTCAAAATCTAATCTATGGTTATCGAATAATTGTTGACCTTTAGTTTACAATTTGACTCCTTTGTGCCGAATTATAGATAGTAACTGTTGTATATTATAAGGTATATATACTGATTGACTTATCGTGTGTTAGAAAAGGAGTTTAGTTCGAAGTTTGACAGATATCAGCTAAAGAATCCATATAAATTCAATTCAGGTAATTAGTTCATAGCTTGTATGAAATTTCTGGTGGATACATATATACCACAAAATTAAAATTTAATTTGCCCTATTTTGGGATCGGTATTAAGCACATTCTTAAACTCCATATAGAATTTAGAATTTTTGAATTTATACTTATATCCATTTCTAGCAAACATTCAAAATTAATTCATCCAATCTGATTTAAGCATCGATGTTGGCTTAATTCAGGTTAGATTTATTTATTTATTGTTGGAAGGAATTTAACATCCAATGTTAAATTCGAGTCCATACATATTATTTTTTTGTTGGCTCAAAAATAGCGAAACGCCAATTTGAGTTGATCCCTACTATGGATGATGATCAAAGGTTTATTTTTTTTAAGCAATTGGCATAGTTCCACTGGGTTTTGCTTATTACCTGGGAGAGGGATAGGAGGTTAGTAGTTTAAGTTTTGTTTTGTCGGTTCTTACCGGTGTCCGATCGTACCATTCTAATTTAGGAAATTATTCATTTTAATAAAAGTTAAACTCCTTTTTTGCATATAAGGATAATTTAATGTATAGAATCCCATATAAGCGTTTAATTTGAAGTCCGATGTATTTGCTTACAAGGTCCTGATCAATGGTGAGTTTACTAGAATTTTTAAAAAAATTCAACCCAAACAGTTTTTGCAGTTGATTATAACGTTTACATCTCTATCGTTTAAACGTAAGATTTACAATTGGGTTTGGAGTACCTCTCCAAACCCTGTCAATTGAAATATAAAAAGTGTGTCAGTTATCCTTGTTATCCCCCAATTCGATCCATTCATTAACCGGGATAAACCATATAATTATAACTTTTACCATACACTACTACACTTTATCTCTCCACCTTTTTTTCCCAGTTTGGAATGAATGAATAAATGAATTGAGGGAGAGACTTAGTTTGATTGGCTTGGATGTAAACCAGTATCAAAAGTATCATTTCATCCCGATACCGAAACTTAATTGTTCATATATAACCCTTTTTCTGAATTTGTTGGTTATTAACAGATAGTTATTAATAATTACTAGTAAAATCCTATTACCACAAAACTTATCTAATGCCATAATTAAACCATAACTGACCCTACCCTTTACTGTATGTTTCCAATCCCCGTTAAATATATTAATTGGTGATTAGACACATATAACTTATACTTATTCTCCTGTATATACCTAAAATCGGTAAAGGTGTTTATTTTAAAATTTGCGTTTTAAAAAAAATTTATTGGCGTCAAAATTTTGGTTGGTTTAGTGGGGAAAAATCTGGGGTTAAATATGGTAATATTGGAATCGATTTAACTAAGTAAATACCCCCCTCTCACTATAGTCTCTCATGATTTGCAATAAATTCATTCATAATTCACAATTCATCATCATCCCTTTTATCCCCCATTCTTCTATTCTCCTATTCTCCTATTCTCCTTACTTCATAGGATTATACGGTAAATTTCTCTCTCTCTTTATTATCTTTGTGTTGAAATTAAAAAAGCTTAATGGGTAACAATTTTGTTGACCTACGTCTAACTGCATTATTCGGAGTTTTAATCGTAGTCAATTGAATGGTAATAGGTGAATTTTTATTTATCATTATTATTTTATTAGATCGCCAACCTAAACATGTGTTGGATTAAATTTTTGAAAAATGGGTATAAATATGGGGTAAAATAATCTTAAAATCTATATTTGAATTATTTAATCTTTTCTTTTATTCTTCTTCTTTTTTAATTAATCAGACAATAAATCAATTTTGCCTATTACCTTTTATTAACTTTCAATTAAACTCAATTAATCTACAATGACTATTCCATCCACTCAAAAAGCTGTTATCTTTGAAACTAACGGTGGTCCATTATTATACAAGGATATCCCAGTTCCAAAACCAAAACCAAATGAAATTTTAATCAATGTTAAATACTCTGGTGTTTGTCACACTGATTTACATGCTTGGAAAGGTGATTGGCCATTAGCCACCAAATTACCATTAGTTGGTGGTCATGAAGGTGCTGGTGTTGTCGTTGCTCTTGGTGAAAATGTTGTCGGTTGGGAAATTGGAGATTATGCCGGTGTTAAATGGTTAAATGGTTCATGTTTACAATGTGAATATTGTGTTACTGCCCATGAATCCAACTGTCCATCGGCTGATTTATCTGGTTACACCCATGATGGTTCTTTCCAAGAATATGCTACTGCTGATGCCATTCAAGCTGCTAGAATTCCAAAAGGTACTGATTTAGCTTCTATTTCTCCAATCTTATGTGCTGGTATTACTGTTTACAAGGCTTTAAAAACTGCCGATGTTAAACCAGGTCAATGGGTTGCTATTTCCGGTGCTGCTGGTGGTTTAGGTTCTCTTGCTGTTCAATATGCTAAAGCCATGGGTTTTAGAGTTGTTGGTATTGATGGTGGGGTTGATAAAGGTGAATTTGCTAAATCCTTGGGTGCTGAAGCATTTGTTGATTTCACTACTTCAAAATCCGTTGTTAAAGATGTTCAAGCCGTCACTGGTGGTGGTGCTCATGGTGTTATTAATGTTTCTGTTTCTGGTGGTGCCATGCAACAATCTTTAGAATATGTTAGACCAACCGGTACTGTTGTTTTAGTTGGTTTACCTGCTGGTGCTAAAGTTTCTGCTTCTGTTTTCGATTCAGTGGTTAGAACTGTTAACATTAGAGGTTCATATGTTGGTAACAGAGCTGATACTGCTGAAGCCATTGATTTCTTCACTAGAGGTTTAGTTAAATGTCCAATTAAGATTGTTGGTTTATCTGAATTAGCCAATGTCTATAAATTAATGGAAGAAGGTAAGATTTTAGGTAGATATGTTGTTGATACTTCCAAATAAGCAATTTGATTTGATCTGATCTAGTTTGATCTGATCTAGTTTGATCTGATCTAGTTTGATCTTTTTTGTTGTTTTTTTATTGATTATTAAAATTTGTGGTTTTGCAAATTTAAAATCCTTTTATTAACGATATGTTTATGAATTGTTTCCCTTGTTAAAAAAAAATTTAAATATTATATTTATATTTATTTAAAGAAAATAAAATATTAAAGATGCTTTGGTCATCGATATTTAAAAGTACTTTGAATCCTTGTAGTTTGTAGTTTGTAGTTTGTATATATTACTGTTTTTTTGCATCCATGGTTTTGATACTATAAAAAATAAAATATTTCCCTCCCATCACAAAAACTAAATAATTATATATACGATCTACAACAATAATAAACGAATAAAATTTAAATTCTTATATTTGATAATAATAATAATAATTAAAAAAGGAGGCAACTAAAACATTCTTTTTACTTTAAGAGTATATTGGTTTAAAAAGGAGTTGATATTGGTGAGTAAACAGTCTTACCTTTGTAAAATTCAATAGTCTTAACAGCTCTTTCTGAAACACCTTCTGGAGTGAATTCAAAGTATTTATAAATAGCTGGACCTTTACCAGATGCACCGAATCTGTTTAAACCAAATTGAGCATGGGAGTATTTAGACCAACCGAAAGTAGACATAACTTCAACAGATAAGATTGGAGCACCATCTGGTAAAACGGATAATCTATAATCTAATGGTTGTTTATCAAAAGTTAAGAAATCTGGAATTGAAACAACACCAGCTTTGAAACCTTCAGTTTCTAATCTCTTAGAAGCATCAACAGCAAGAGAAACTTCAGAACCAGAAGCAACAATGATAATATCTGGTTTATCATGTTTAATTAAAGTATAACCACCTAAAGAAGCAACTTCAATAGAAGAACCTTCTAATTGAGGTAAGTTTTGTCTAGTTAAAGCAATAATATGAGGAGTTGAAGTAGATTGAATGGCACTATAGTAAGCAGCTGAAGTTTCATTACCATCAGCTGGTCTCCAAACAGAAATATTTGGAGTAGCTCTGAAATGAGCTAAAGTTTCAATAGGTTGATGGGTTGGACCATCTTCACCTAAACCAATAGAATCATGGGTAGCAACCCAAGTGACTGGATGATGGGATAAAGCAGCTAATCTAACGGCACCAGCAGCATAAGAAACGAAATTTAAGAAAGTACCACCGTAATTCTTATAATTGGCACCAAAAGCAGCAATACCATTCATAATAGAACCCATACCATGTTCTCTAACCCCATATCTGATATATCTACCACTGTAATCACCTAAACCAGTAGATGGAGGTTGGAAATCGGTTGAACCAACAGTTTTAGTTAAATTAGATGGAGTTAAATCAGCAGAACCACCAATAATTTCTGGAACAACAGGTAAGATTTTAGTTAAAACAATTTCAGATAATTTTCTGGTAGCAACTGGACTATCAGATGGAGTATATCTTGGTAAATGATCAGCCCAATTCTTTGGTAATTTACCATCTAAACGTCTTTGAACTTCTTCACCTAATTCTGGGTATTTTTGTTTATAAGCAGCAAAACCTTTTTCCCATTCAGCTTTAACCTTTAATTTTTCAGCAACATTAGCTTTATAAAATTCAGTAACTTCAGTTGGGATAGCGAATTTTTCTTCTGGGTTGAAACCAAATTTGGTTTTTAATTGAACAATATCATCTTTCTTTAAAGCAGCACCATGGACACTGTGAGTACCTTGAGCTAAAGAACCGAAACCAATAGTAGTAGTTAATCTAATTAAAGTTGGTTTATCAGTAACTTTTTTAGCTTCAACAATGGCATTTTCAATGGCAGCAAGATCAGTGTTACCATCAGCAACTTCAATAATGTGCCATCCATAAGCTCTATATCTGGCAACAACATCTTCAGTGAAGGCAACTTCAGTTGAACCATCAATAGAGATTTTGTTATCATCCCAAAAGGCAATTAAGTTACCTAATTGTAAATGACCAGCTAAAGAAGAAGCTTCAGACGAAACACCTTCCATTAAACAACCATCACCTAAGAAAGAGTAAATAAAGGAGTCAGCAACTTTAAATTCTGGTTTATCATAAGTAGCAGAGAATTGTTTTTGAGCAATAGCAAGACCAACAGCATTAGAAATACCTTGACCCAATGGACCAGTAGTAACTTCAACCCCTGGAACATCTAAAACTTCAGGATGACCTGGAGTTTTTGAACCTAATTGTCTAAATTGTTTTAAATCTTCAACGGTTAAATCAAAACCGAAAAGAACCAATAAAGAATATAATAAAGCACAAGCATGACCATTTGATAAGACAAATCTATCTCTAGCAATCCATTTAGTATCTTTTGGATCAAAGTTCATGTTTTTCCAAACAACATGAGCAGCTGGAGCTAAACCCAATGGAGCACCTGGATGACCAGAATTGGCAGCATCGACGGAATCAACAGCTAATAAACGGATGGTATTAATGGCTTTTTGTTCGACTGGGGACATAATTGCGGGTGGAGGGAGGGTGGAGGGTAGGTTAATATGTATTATTATTCTTTTAATTGACTAAAATTCTAAGATCAATTGATGGTGTAATGGGATCAATTGAGTAGGGTTTTAATGAAATAAACTAGAATGATAACTGATTATAGTGAAAGAAAGAAGTAAAAACTAAAAAGAAAGAAAGAAAAAGGGAAAACTTTCAAAATCGAACTGAAAAAAAAAATAGCAAAAATCAACAAATTTATTTAAAAAAAAGAAAAAGAAAAACAGCACCCGAACTAATTAACAGAATTAACAGAATAATAATAATAATAATAATATCATAAAAAGCGTTAACCTTAAGACAAAGGGTTAATTGTATATGTAATGAATTTATGTGGTCAATTGGAGCTGAAATGTACAAGCGTGGGGGGAGGGGGGGGGGATTCACTTTCTGTTTAGTAATGAACCAAAAAAAAACGTTAGCACCCACCACCACTAAAGTTATTAAGTACATCCTCATTAATTTTAATTTATCTTACATGAATTCCTCCCTGGAGAAACACGGTTCTATAAACGGCATGGGAAAAAGATATGTTTCGAGAGAGTTACGAGGGTAGAGACGAACTGGTTAAGTATGGGGTTCACGCGCTCGTGGGCGATTAATCAATTATTTGTAATTGATATAATTGATCTAGGCAGAAAGAAATGATCAATTTCAATCCTTTCACGATGAATTTAAACATTGATGTAGTTAATTTGATTTATTCCTGTTATTCCGAAGTAGATTAAATTTAGATAATTATTATAATAATAACGATGATGATGATTGAAGTAAAGTTTTTCTTAGCATTTTTCAATTACATTATCTTTTTTATATTATTAATAATATACTAATCTATTAGTAAATATGATCCTCCATAATTATCATGATACAACAGTAGTTATACTATGATCATAATTATCTATTACTTTATGATAAACCATAAGAGCTCAAGACTAATCATTAAATTGATGAGCTCATATTCAGGTTATATAGCATATGTCATTTTTAAACTATAAGATAACTAATTGCTGCTGATAAAATGAGAACACACTCTGTCAGACAAATTGTCTTGTCTTGTCTTGTCTTGTCTTGTCTTTTTATGTCTTGTCTTTTTATGTCAGTGTCTGAAGTTTGTACTCACCGCGTTTGATTCAACCGAATTCGGAGTCATTCAGCCCGCCCGCCTGTCTAGGATCCATTCTTTACTTCTAAACTTTCCGACCGAACCCTCGAAACTGATCTCCCTCTTTTTTTTTGGGTACCGTCCCCAACACAGACACACGTCCTAAAACTAATATTTGACTAAATTTATAAAATGGGACATTCTCGACCATAATGAATGATTAAGTTTATTATTTTTTGCATTCATTATCAACAATCAATGATATCAATCAATTGATACCTATCATTCTTAATCATATCTCTCTTCTTCTTCTCATCATGATGACCTCTTAAAGTCCTACACTGTCAAAATCAAATTTAGCTAATTTTTCGGGACAGGTCTTTTTTTTTTGTTATTTATTTTTGTGAACAGTACATGGTTTTAAAGAAGGTAATAGCGTTAATGTAATATATTTTGATAATTCTTTCCAGGATAAATTTATTCTTCTACCTTATTCAACAAGTATCATTTATTAAGAATTTCTTTTTCGATTGTAGGTTGTTCCCAGTTCCGAACTTTCATTTTAAGCTTTTATTATTATTATTTGTTCTTATTATTGCTATTATTATTATTTGACCTCGACGGATTAATTCTCCATTGTGTCAATGTAAGTTGTCACTTTTCTTTTTTTTAGATCAACTTACGGTTTTTAAATTTTTTTGCAATCATCTTTATCTACATTTCTACATGATTTGAATTAATGATAAATAATAATATATAAATTAAATGTACTTATAAAGTATATAGTCTGTTTCAATCCTCCGATGGATCTTCAAATGGACTTCGTTCTCCACTTTCATCAGATTGAGGTCTTACTTTCCTATTATCCATTTCAACATCAAGGACAAATGATCCATGAGGTGAAGTTGAAGTTTGAAGTGGTTGAAGTGAATGAGGAGGTTGGAATTGGGAACTAGCTAAACTATTGGTATTATGTTGGGAAGCGATATCTAATAAGATTTCTCGATCAGGTTGAACATTACTAGAACTATTATTACCAGAAGTAGAATTAGTGGCGGCAGTACCACTTGATCTTTTCTTTTTTCTAACACTGGTAGCTCTGGTAATTTCTCCAATATCAGAATCAACATCAGAATCTTCATCATCATCATCTTCTTCATTAATAATAAAATTAGTTAACGTTGAAGTATTAATATTACTGGTAGAATTATTCATAGTTGAATCACCTCCAAGTTTTTTATAATCTCCATCAGTATCACTTCGGAACGTACCTTCATTATCCAAACTTTCATCATCATCTTCATCATCGGTAACTTCTTCCTCCTCTTCTTCTTCAATTCTATCGACATTAACCAATCTTGGTTGAGCTTTAATAGCAGTCATGGTTCCACTATTATCACTGGAACTACCACTATTAACTTCATCACTACTACTATTATTACTATTTGGACCACTGGCACCAGACCCAGGAGCTAATGTTGTACTACTATCAAATTGACTTCTTCTAACATCACCTATAATCGATGCATTTTCAATGGTATTTAAATCGGAAAATAATGATTCACTATCATAAGAATAAATTGATCTAGTATTATTAACAGTAGGTCGAACAGTTACCCCTGGAATATAAGCAATAGGTAAGATATTAGATGCATTTGTAGTTGAAAAGGAAGTGGCGACAGAATTTCTATTACTGGAATTAGAATCCAAATAAACACTATGTTCCAATGATGATTGTTGATTTTGATTTTGTTGTTGTTGTTGTTGTTGTTCATTGGCACGAAGGACAATTTCTCGTTGTCTTGCTCTTCTTTGAGCCGCTTGTAAGGCTTGATTCATTTGTTTGGTATTACCTCCTTTATTATTAGCATTATTGGCTTTATTTCTATATTGAGGTTTTGTAAATGATTCATAAGATGATAATCTTCTTCTTGCTTTTGATTTGGCAGCTGATGGATTAGCTATTATACCTCCACTATTAGTTCTTCTTGTCACTGGTTTTTCTAAATTTTGATTGGTAGAATTAGTATTATTACCTCCATTTATAAATGAATCACTAGCACTTGAATTATTAGCACTACTACTAGTATTACCAACATTATTAGGATCAATACCTTTATAATCACTATGATCATCATCATCAAGATCACCATCATGAATATCATTCATCATCATGGCTTGATCATCATCATCAATAGGATTACCATCTTCATCATAAGACATATCATCATCAGACATTAAAGCAGGATGTTTTTTTCTATATACATAATTATAATAATAATAACCGGCCAAAAGACCACAAATGACAATGAATCCAATGACCCCACCTACAATTCCTCCAATGGGGACTGATTTAGAAGTACCATTATCAGCGGGAGCACAATAAAATTCAGGACATTGATGACATGTAAGAGTACGTTGTTGACAAACGGTATTACCGGTACAAGAAGGACAAGTACCAACAGTGGTGGGACATACTAAACAACCTTTTGAATCAGTGGGATAATCTTGGGATGAGGTTTCAGTTGCAGTTTCATCAGCACGACGATGTAAGACTTTAGTAGGTGGAGGAATGAATGCAGTTGGGAATGAATTTAATATTAAATCTTCTAGTATAAGGGTTGAAGGATCTATGACTTGGGATGTGGCTGGTATGGATGAGAAAGATGAGTAGTAATCTTGATTAAGATACGGTTGTCGATTTCGATTGGGATAATCAGGTATTTTCATGATTTAGGTATTATTATGATTTGATGCGAAGGTTGGTTGTTACTATTGGGATAGTATGATATATGTACAAAAGTAGATTGATTGAATGAATGAATATATGGATCAACTTTGGAATAAATGAATGAAATGATTGATAGCAAGTATTAAATCAAATCAAATCAAATTAAATTAAATTAAAAAATTTATGTTATATGTAAGGTTATATGTAAGGGCGTGTTTATTTATTATGTACCTTGAATCAGATCAGACTATGAGGTTTGAACCATAGTTTTGATTTGGAATGATAAAAGGAATGGAATAGATGGATGGATGGATGGATGGAGGAGATGATGAACCTTTTTGAAATGATTTGTATATTATTTGATATAAATCTTTTCAGATCAAATTGTTCAGAAGGGACAGACAGACAGACAGACAGACTATTCTAAGGCAAGCAGACCGTCAGACAAGGCCCAAAAAAATGTGTTTCTTTTTTGAAAAAAAAAAAAATTAATTTTTTTTAATTTTAATTTTTTAATTCTTATTTTTAAAGACAAGACAAAAAGAAAAGAAAAGAAAAAAAAAAGACGTGAATAATACGATTCCTTTTTCTTAACCGTAACTGAACTGAATTGAAATGAAATGAACTAATATATGAAATGAAATCGATTATAGTAGATCGAGGCGAATAAGACAGTTCTTATAAAGTTAAGGTTGACGATAGAAATGGTCTATTATCGGAGAATGTTTAAAAGGTTAATTCGTTAGTCCAATCTCGTACGAGATCTAGATCGAGTGAGTAACAGTAATTGAGATACAAAGGTGATAGATAAAATGATAGTTTGATTGATTGATTGATTGATTGATTGATTGATTGATTGATATCTGAATGTTATTTGGTGATTTGAAACAGACTATCAGTAGCTAATTAAATTAACGAAAAAGATGAAACACCCACACTTGAGACGATTAATATAATATGAAATATAAAAGAATGTTTCAATTTAAGACCTTATTGTTTTATTTATATATAAATTTTTATAGACGACATTCTTTAGTTCTGTCTGTCTGTCTGTTTTGTTCTGTCTGATTTTTATTTTTATTTTTATTTTTATTTTTATTTTTTTTTTATTTTTTTTTAATTTTTATTTTTTGTCTTTTTTTTTAGAATATGTAGGGGCCAAACCAAAACAAAAAAAAATTTATTTTTAATTTTTTTTAATTTTTTAATTTTATTTTTGATTATTTCTAACTTGTATTCTCCCTTTGTTATAATTTTATTGTTCTCAGATCTAAAGCCAAATTATAGAGTTATGATATAATGAGAATAATCATCATTCATTGATTGATTCCATTCATCTACGGAATAACTAATGGCGGTAGATATCCCGTACTTACCTATCCTCCCCCACCCATCCTCCCCGTAATTTTATTTGTTTTTCAAAATACGCCTTTATAAATTAAACATAAATAAAGAATGAATATACAATCATTAACTATTGATAATCAAAATCTGTTTAAACAGTAGTAGTGAATTGATGTATAGATAAAAAATCATTACCAACAACAACAATTAAAAATATCACACAGTAAACTCATATATTTCCATTCTTATTTTATAAACCTGCAAGCGGTACCGAATGACGAAGAATAATTATCCGATTATATAATTATTTATAATTTGAAAATCGTAAAACCAGCAGTTGTGGATGATTATTCCTGGGTAACCTTCCTTCATAGAACAACAACAACATTAACCACTTATCATGAAATATAAGCTGTATTGCTTTGCCGTATGTTATGTTATGTTATACGTATAAAGTATGCTATTTATAGAAATGGTAAACATTAACCGAATTTAAACTAAACAAAAAAAAAAAAAAAAAAGAAGACAAAAAAAAAAAAAATTATTTTTGGTAATGTCTGAGATAGGAACTATCTACGTTTTATCTTTTATCTTATATATTTCAAATCATATTTGAACTCGTGTGGAACATAGGTAGTAAATACAAATACTTCCATTTAATCAAGTAGTACCCTCGTTTAATGCAGTTCGTCAAAGCAGCATTGACTTCACCACTCACTCACGTACATATCAGACATTAATATCCCCACCATACTATAAATGTTCTATAAATCGATTAACTTATGAAGAATCAAGAAAAAAACTACATTCTACATCTATATACAACTAATATATACGTCATTTAAGGATTAAATTTAGCAACAAACGTGAACGTACGAATTACTCCTGCTTTTTAGGCTTTTTAATATTTTTTTGTCTGTTCTGTTCTGTTCTGTTCCTCTTACTTTTGTTTTGTCTTGTAATCCCGATCATCTACAATTTTAAGCTTTTCTACATTGAATTAAAGTATATGATTTCTGGGTAAACACATGAACAACTCCACCCACGTTATACACATGGGGTGGGTGGAGAGAGGGGGCTTGTATGGACTTTAACTTGAATTGAATACTTCTTTACGAAATAGAATAAAAATTTTTATATTCCTATTCAATAACGGGCTTTATTTACTTTTATTTTTTTTATTTTTTTTTATTTTTAATTTTGCGGTTTATTTTTAGAAGCATATTTTTTGACAAAAGTCGTGTGCTAGATCATGTTTCTTTTTCTACTTGGAACTGAAATGTAAAAACTTTCAAAAAGTAATGTAAATATTTTTACTATATACTTTACTTTATCCTATTATTATACACATTATTACATACAATTGGTAAGTTAACTCCAAAACTAATCTTTTAAAAAGTTTCTCTTAATTCTTTAGCAAATATATAATTCTCTCTTCTTCTAGTTAACCATGTCTTTTCATAATCAAAATATTTATAATTATTTTCTTTCAATTCATCATCATCATTAATTTCTTCAGCAGTATTGGAGCTTATAACATTCCCATTACTAACTTCATTATCTGATTCTCCATTCTCATGATCCTTTTGACTTATACTTAATTTAAGATTCTTCTTCTCTTCTCTTTGAAACCATTGTTTTAATTCATTATTAAATATCCATCCTCTATTACTTAATTCCTTTGCGGCATTATATCTCAGAATTTGATCTTTACGATCACTGTAATAAAAACAAAAAAATAACGTATCATTATCGAATTTCTTAAAAATATTACTCGATGTTAATTCAAACATTGGTTCTTGAGGATAATCAACTGATGAAGGATGAATGGTTTGTGGGTTATATTGACGTGGTTTATCACTATCTTGAGAATCTGGACAATTATTTAATGAAACTTCAAGCATTTGACTCACAGTTGAATATGGTAATGGTTTACGAATACGAGATTGGAAAAGATTTCTTAATTTATTCAAACTATTATCATGAATATAATCTGGCTGTGGTGTGCCTTCTTTTAATTCATTCTCACCATCTTCATCTTCTTCATCTTCATCATCACCATCTTCTTCATCATCCTCTTCTTCATCGACACCATAATGACTTTCTCCAAAATCTGCTTCATCATATCTACCTTCATGATCACTTTCGTCTCCACCACCATTACCATAATCATTATGATCTATCTCATTGGTATGGGTTTGACTAATTGGATGTAAACCAGGTGGAGGTGCCACCACTCCAGAACTACTACTGGCTTGACTAGCAGCTGCTGCATTAGTAGCTTGAACTGCTTTTATAACATTTGAATAATTAATTGGAGGTGGAGGTGGAGCCACATTAGTTGTAGTTGTAGTTGTAGTTGATACTAATGGTACCATTGCTGGTTTTATAACTTTCTTAGTAGGGGTAGTTACTGCCGATGCTGCATTGGAAGTTATACCTGAAGCTGATGCCACTGCTGCTGTAGTTATGGCAGAACCACTTCCAGTTGAAGTATTAGATACTGTTTTAGTAACATTATCATTTTTTGATGGTGTTATTGGAGCATTACCAGCGGCAGCCACTTGTTCAGGTAATTTAGGTTCATATTCCAGAGGATCAACTGCCATTTGAGATAATGAACCATGAACTTCAATTTCAGTATCTTCAATATCTAATTGATCATAAAAATCATCATATTCTACATAATCTTCTTCTTGATTATTTTCCACATAATATTCTAAATCATCTTTAATATCATCAACTTTATTAGGATCCAATTTTTCATTATCAAGATTATTTAATATGGTTTCGATTCTTTCAATATGATTATTATTTCTTTCCATTTTATATTTCATATCATCAATTTGAGATTGAATTGAATAAATATTGGATGATTTGGCCTTTTTTAAAGAGGCGGTTAAACCATTTACTTCTTGTTCGAAATTATCATTCTGTTGTTGGATTTGATCAATGATATCACTTAAATAATTGAAAGCTTCTTGTCTTTTAGCATCTTCTGCTTCACCAAATTTATTAAATCTTCGTTGTTGAGATTGTAATTCTAATCCTTCATTTGAAAATTGTTTTATTTTGGATGATTTTTCTAAATCTTTAAATTGATCCATAGCATGTTCAATCTTAGTACGATTATCTTGTAATAGATTCTTATCCAATTTAATACTACCATCTCCTAACCATTGTTTTAATTGATCTCTCAGTCTTTGTAATTTTTTAATTTCCTTCTTTAAATCACTTTCTAATTTCTCCTTTTGAGAACTAATCTCAGTAGTCATCAATTTATCAAAAATATCATCAAAGATCAGTAATCCTTCCGCTATTTTCTTGTTGGTTTTATCAAACTCTTGTTGAAGTTTTCTTGTACTCATAATGGATGTTATTTGATTATATTATCATTAAAATATATGATTATGATTTCAATGGGCTGGGGCGTCGTTCTTTTATTTTAAACAATATGTTATTGGTGACTCTCTTTATATAATACAATTCCTATGATGATATAGTATAACCATTTATTGACACGTTAAACTATTGATTGATCTATAGTTTCCTGTTTAAGATATTTATAAATTGCTATGAAAAAAAATGTTTAATTGTCAAACAGAAAAATCTCACAAATCAGCGTGATTGAATTTACCCTGTTCTGATACTCTTATTTACGCATACCCACCACCCATTTTATATCCACACTAAAAACACTTTCTAACCCTTATATCTATATGTATATTTTATCTAAATAATCTAATCAATACTTCTAAGATATCATAATTCACCTATTTCTTGTTTTAAAAACTCTTCACTGAAATGACTTATTTGTTCAAAATTAATTTCAAATCCATTTATACCACCATAATAAGGATCTTGAACAATCTTACTAAAACTAGTATCAACTCTCCATGCTCCAAAAAGATCAATCTTCCCCTTAAAATCTCTAGGTCTCGAATATAATAAATCAGATTTATTGGATTCATCCATTGCAATCACATAATCGAATTTATCAAAATCTTTGGTCCGAATTTGTTGAGCAGCATGATTTACAGGAACACCGTTTTTACGACATATTTTAACTGATCTTGAATCAGGGGATTCTCCAACATGATAAGCTCCTGTTCCATAGGAATCAATCAATTTGAAGTAGGGTGAATAGCCTAATTCTTTAACTTTATGTTTGAAGATGGCTTCTGCCATAGGTGATCGACAGCTGTAGAATGTTTGTGTTAGTATTATGTGTGTAATGAAGTTGAATCGAGTCATTGAAGTGTGGGGAGTTGTACGTACATGTTTCCTAGACATACGAATGCCACTGATATCTGTTTCTCTTCTGGGTTGAACTTTGGTGCCATTCTTGTTGTATCTAAGTTGATGGTTATAAATGGATTCAAGAGTAAATTGTAACGTCTTTAAAAGTTCGCATAATGGAAAAATACAACTGCAAAAAAATATACAGTAGAGAATTTTACTTTTACACAAATTAGATAGATACACTTTTAAATGATAACAATAAATTATAATATTAAAACGGGAATGCCAATCAAAGAATAGAAATATAACAAAATAAATAACAAAATAAATAAAATGACGTCTTTAGAATTAAAAAAAGAATACACAGATACAAAAAAATAACAAATAAATTGAACAGAATCAATCAATTTTGGATATGAGAAACGACAAATTTTTTCCACTCATCAAATGAAACAGCTTCATACATAAACTTCGAATCAGGATCATCATGATGCTCCAATTTAGGTTTCTTATCAGTGAATAAACCTTCTAAATCATCATCTTCATGTTGTCTCTTGATTGAACCTCCAACTGCATTACTAACATGTTTGATTTTATCATGAGCTAATAAAGTACAACTTTCAATTAAATCATTCGATACTAATTCTCTTAAACTATCAACTTGTTTAAATGATGATGTGATAGCTTGGGGTTTGATTTCACATGACCATTCTCCTGATTGAGTCACAGGTGATAATGGAGATTTAATATTTGATTTGACTCCACCACCATTAGTTAAAGCGGGAGTCTTTGGAGTATTAATCAATCCACCATCAGTAGTACTTATAGTATTAACAATCGTATCCACAAATGTTTCATCTAATTCTAAAAGATTAGCAAGAGAAGCATAAAAGAATTTTTCAGGATCAGTATTTGATAAATCTCTTCTTCTAGCCAGTTTGGAATCATCTTTAGTATTAATGAAAATATCAGCATCAGTAGTTGGAATAGTGGTAACACCAGCAGCGGCAGCACCAGTAGCACCAGTAGATCCAGTTGAACCAGGAGTCTTGGCAGGATGATAATTTGGTGATTGTTCAGAAGGAGTATTCTTAGCACTTTGACTTTGAACAACTTGAGGAGTAGGAATACTATTTGGGGTCTTGATATTATTAACCACACTACCAGGGGTGGCGGCAGCACCCGCTGGAGTTGGAATACTAGCAGCACTAATAGATCCTTTAGCAGTTGAACCTTTTCTTCTCCCTGCAGCAGCACCTCCTCTTTTTGTAGCCGCAGTTCCACTAGCAATTGGAGTTGGAGCAACAGTTGAAGGTGTAGTCTTGGTCATATTCTTTGGAGTAGGTTGACTTTGAGGTTGAGGAGCATGTTGTTGTTGAAGTAAAGGCGAACCATTATTCATCATAGGACTACTATTGATAGTATTGGGTCTAGCATTAGGAGCAACCGTTGGCCAATTAGCATTTGGACCAAGTTGAGCAGCCTGTTGTTTTTGCTTCTGTTGTTGTTGTTGAATCTGCTGAGCTTGCTGTTGAGCCTGTTGCTGAGCTTGCTGTTGTGCTTGCTGTTGAACTTGTTGTTGAGCTTGCTGTTGTGCCTGCTGTTGTTGAATCAGTGGTTGTTGTTGTTGAGGAATTGCTTGCTGCTGTTGTTGTTGTCTCTGTTGTTGCTGTTGTAATTGCTGTTGTTGAACCTGTTGTTTTCTACTAGTGATTTGATCCTTAACATAAGTAAAATACTTTTGATATTGAACCGATAATTTCTCTAATAAATCAGGAGTAGCCAAATAAATCCCACGATTAAGATTATCAGCAATATTCTTCGTCATAAATTTCATTTGAATTAATTTCTTAGTACCATCAACATTAGTAGTTAAAATAAAAAAATAACTTATAATACTATCGACATTACCATATTGTTGATTAATCTTAATCATACTATCTGTGACCACCTTTTTATCTTCAGAAGTCAATAAAGCAGTAACATCCTTTAACGATACATTATTTCTTGAAACTTCATCAACCAATTGTCTTAATTTGATTTTTAAATCATCCGTCAATTGTGGAAGAGCAGCCGCAAGTAATTGTTGCTGCAGAGGAGTTTGTTGTGGAACAGGTTGTTGTTGACCTTGAGATACAGCCTGGCCTTGAACTCGAGCTTGTGGTTGAGGAATGGCTTGTGGTAAAGGTTGCGGAACTTGCTGAGGAGGAACTTGACGTGGTAATTGTTGTTGTTGTTGTTGTTGCATTTGAGGGGTTTGTTGTACTGGAGTTTGTCTTTGGAATTGTTGATTAGCAAATTGAGCATTGGTATTATTATTTGGAATGATACCTCCTTGAACAACACCATTAGGCATTAATGGAGATGATAATTGTTGTTTCATTTGAGCTTGAGGTTTCAACAATGGAGTTTGGTTAGGGGCTAAATTGTTTAACAAAGGCAGTTGTTGAGGTTGTTGTTGAGGTAATTGTTGTTGCTGTAATCTGTTTTGTTGTTGTTGGATGATCTGTGGAGTTGGCTGTTGTTGTGGAATCGGAGCTTGTTGTTGATTAGCCACTCTATTCTGTTGTTTCCAAAGTTGAGTCTTTTGATATCTAATATATTTTTCAACAAATACACTTGGTTCTAAATCCGCAGCAACATTACCACTAGCTTTCACTCTTGCATAAGCAGTAAGAGCTTCATTTCTATAATCATTAATGTCCTTTTGAGTGATTTGAATGTTTGGAGGTTTAACATTAACAGCATTTACATTTACATTATTATTATTATTTGGTTGTTGAGGTTGAGGTTGATTTTGAATTGGTTGTTGGTTTTGCATAACGGGAGACTGTTGTAACATGGGAGATTGATTTGTGGCATTATTATTTCTTTGTTGCATTTGTCTTTGAATGAATTGTTGTTGTTGTTGTCTTTGTTGAGCGGTTAAATTGGTATTATTATTATTAGTGTTATTAGTAGTATTATTATTGATACCATTAGCATTAGCAGTATTATTAGTGGTATTATTATTATTGGTATTATTGCCAGCACCATTTTGATTTTGTAATTGATTCAATTGTTGTTGTTGTTGCAGTTGTTGTTGATATTGATTTACAGCAAGACCTAAATGTTTACTATGAATTTCTTTAATATCAACTAAAGCTGATTGAGGAATGATTTTTCTTTGAATACAATCAAAGATTTGATTCCAAGTATTAACATTTGGAGGTAAATTTGGAATACGAGTTAATAAATCATTTGGAATTGGGGTTGTTCTAATCATTTGTTGAATTCTTTGAGTGATTTGACGTTGTTGATTTTGATTTTGATTTTGATTCTGAACTTGTTGAGGAGGTCTTTGTTGTTGTTGTGGAACTTGTTGTTGTTGTTGTTGGCCAGGTACTGCTCTTGCTTGTTGATTACCTTGAACCATACCTTGTTGCTGTTGTTGTTGTTGTTGTTGTTGACGAGCTTGTAATTGTTGTTGTAAGTAGTTCATATTTTGAGGATTAAGATTTTGACCAGCTTGTAAATTGGCATTAGCATTAGGATTAGCAGCATTAGGTAAATTTCTAGCTGCTACTGCTGCTGCTGCACCGCCACCGCCATTATTATTATTGCCAATCATTTGTTGAGGTAAAGCGGGACCATTATTATTATTATTATTATTATTGCCATTATTGTTATTATTGCCATTACCATTATTATTGGCATTATTGAAACCTGATCTTAAACTATTTGATAATTGAGTGATTTTACTTTTAATAAGTCTAAGATATTCATCTCTACTTTGAGATTTCATGAATACAAACTTTTCAAAATCTTGAATTTGATTAGCCCGTTGTTGATTGAAATTAACTCCTTGGAAATCACGAAGTTTGGTGATCATGATCTCCACGATTCGTTGACGTTCTTGGGCTGAATAGAGTGATTGCCAGGAATTATTCATTCCTTGTTGTTGTTGGGGCATAGCCATATTATTATTATTACCGTTATTATTCATCTTGAGATCAGTTCACACTATACACACATACACAGTTCTACGATTTCGTTTTACCTTACTGTGGAGGGGTGGAGGGGAGGAGGGGATTGTATGGGTGTACCTTCACTTGATGGTATGACTGATGGAACAAGCTAATAATGGGATGAGATATGATATAATATGATATGATATGATATGATAATGCTGCCTTTTAATTGTTATAATTTCTGATTTCAAATTAGACAGACAGAGACGGAGAGCAAAAAATGGAAAGTGGGTGAGTTTAAGTTACCACTTTAAAAAAATTTCTTTTTATTTTTTTTTTTTTATTTTTTTTTTTTGCTGTTTACGATTTTCGGAATTGAAAAATTAAAAATTTACACTGTACAACTGCTTAGCTAATAGTAATAATGATTATTCACCATAGAGTGGCAATATAGGATAACTAATCAACATTTGTACCATAAACCCCGAGAATATATCATGTTATATATCCATATACTTAGTTAGATAACTATATGGATATATGACTACTTCTCTGGTTTACTCGGTGTTTCAATCGGAGTGGAGTGCCGTTAGTAAGCCACTTAAATGTACTATCACTAATTATCTTATCTACAATTCAACAGTTGTAATAGTTTATAGAATAACACATGTAACCACAACAGATCAAATCAAATCAACTCAACTCAAATCATAACCCTCCTCTTCCCAATTAGTTACACTTTTTTAACATCACTATGCTAATATTTGTAGTAGTACCCACATTGTGGTTAGTGATTCCCCTCATCCATTTTAAGTAACACAGCTTAAAATGATCGACTCATAAAAATTGGACTATGATAACATTAATATATATATGTAGTTATCACGATAACAACTATATTATAACTATTACTACTACTATGATATAACTTATAAGTTGGTCTTACCATTTCTTCATCTTATCAAGTTACCATCTCAATCATTTGAAATCAATGGCAACCGACCGATTGCAAATACTTTAATCTTAATCTTAATTCTTAAGCATCCGACTTCTTATCTCACCAACCCATATATTAATTAATCCCCTTTCAATCCGATTGAATTCAATTATTCACCAATCCAATCATTCCTTCATGTTCCGAACCATATATATATATATAGTATAACTATAGATATACCTCTCGTAACTGTGTTCCATATCAGCCGCGCCACTACCATTTCTCAATTGGGAAATTGAGAAGAAAAAAAAAAAAACTGTCCAAATTAGGAAGTTACGGCGCTACCACAAACTCATATAATCTATATCTTGTTTATATTAAAAAATGATACTCTCTATCATCGTCTTATTCTATATTTACATATCGTTTATCTATACTATACAACAGTAGCATAACTTCTCTTCACAGCCTTACTATCTTCATACTCTCTTTGTTCTTTTTCATCAATATATTCAGTTTCATGATTCAATTTCCATTGTTGTTTAATAAATTTCAATCCTTGAGTATTAACTCCTAATTGTTTCGAAGTTTTATTCAATTCAGTACGTAATTGTTGTTTCACTTTAATCAATTGATTTCTTAAATGAGGATCCTTTTGTCCAATCAATTCTCGAGCATTATTTCGAATCACAAAAAATAATAATCGACAGATTAATGACATATTAACCACATTCAGAGTAATATTATCTTCATTGGTCCACACTTCAATCATTCTTAATAATTTCAACGAATATGAAAATGGTAATACCAATAACGCATCATCCAATTGAGAAGTTCTAATCTTTAACACTTCCTTTAACACATATTGTTCTGCCGTTAAATTTAATGCTGATAATACAATAGCTGGTTCAGGTTTTATAGCATTGGCCTTATCGATTTTTAATTGTTGTAAATAAACTTGTCTAGCATCAAGATCAGTAATCCCAATATCAAGAGCTTCCATTAATCTTTCTCCTGCTTTTAAAGTTTCCATTGTTTGTTTAGTAACTTTTTCAACTCCATTAATATCAGCTCCTTCACCATCTTCTTCATTATTATTATTATAAACTGCTGGTTCATCATCTTCTAATGAATCAATCAAATTATTCTCATATAATTCATCCATTTCTTTTTCTCTTTCTTCTTCTAAAAACACTTGATCATCATTCTTAGACCATAATCTAATACTATGATCATGAGAAGTACTAACCATAAACTCACCATCATTACTCATGGCTAAACACCAAACTTCAGATTGATGAGCGGCTAATTTTTGAATACATTCGAATTTATCCCCATCCCAATATTTAATTAATCCATCTTTACCACTAGAAAAGAAATTATGAGTCTCTCCAATGAATTTAACATTCATAACCGAATCTTGATGACCAAAGATGGATTTATGACAATCACCAAAATCTAATCCCCAGATCTTAATATTCTTATCAGCGGATGATGTGATGATTAATTTTGAATCTTGAGATATATCAATGGATAACACAGGTAATTTATGTCCGTATAAAGTTAAGAATAATTTTAAACTATCCATGAATATAACTTGAACATTATTATTTAATAATGACATGGCTAATAATCTTCCATCAGGGGAAACTTTAACACAAAGGACATCTTCTCCTACTTCTAAAGTTTGAGAATGTTGTAATCTTAATCGAGAGATTTTTTCATTAGTACCAGGGATAATATCATCTTCAACTTTGAAATTCCAAAATTTAACTGATTTATCATTCCCACCCGTGATTAATGTCTTCCCATCAGGGGTTAAGTCTAAACTCCAAATAGCTGATCCTTCGTCATCATCCATAGATCCATTCACTTTATGTGCTTGTTCAACTTTATCCAATAATGATGAAGTGGTCAAATCATATAATTCTAAATCACCATTTTTGAACCCTACTACAACCATGGTTCCACCCGGTAAGAATTTACAACATAAAGCATATCCTCCTTCTAATATAAAAGTTCTTATCACATTATTAGTTCTGATATTCCAGATTTTTAATTCTCCATTTGAGGCAGTGGCTAATAATTTATTATCATTCGAAACATCCATTGATCTAATATCATTTCTATGACCTAATAAATCGATGGTATTTTGTTTGACAGCATAGATTTCTCCTTGTGATGATGATTTCTTTAAATTTTCAGAAATTGGGATATTATAATATTCAATACTATTATTCATTAATGAGATTAAAATATCAAGTTTGTTTTTCTTCTTGATATCAATAATGAATGAACATGATTTGATCTTTGACGTGGTTCTAACCGTAGTGAATGGAGTTATCATCATACTTACTTGAGCTTCATTAATATTTTGTAAAATTTCATCATCTTCAAATCCTTTTTCCTTTAATCGTTTAGAACGTTTGGTAATCCCCTTTTTAATCTCATCTTCTGATCTAATTCGGAATATTTCAATCGTTCTATCTGAATTTTGTAAATAAAATAATTCATTATGTTTAACAGTCTTAAATGAAATTTCATTACATCTTGTTTTACTTTGTTTTTCAAATTTACCAATCTCTTTGATTTTTTCACCATCTATAGCCTTCAAATCTAACGACCATACTTTAACTTGATCTTTATTCCCACTAGTAATGATTAAATCATGATTTCCATTTAATCCCATTGACCAACATTCATTAGAATGAGCTAAATGAGTTTCAATACATTGTTGAGATTTCAATTCCCATAATTTAATTAATCCATCTTTAGAACATGATAATAAATAATCATCCATTTCATCGACATTAGCATTTTCAATGGCAGATAAAAAGAATAATCCTGTGATTTGACTCTTATGACCTTTTAATTTGAATAATCCTTCTTCTCCAACTAAATCCCATACAATAATAGATGAATCTTGAGATCCAGATACTAACCTAGTACCACTTCTATCAAACTTTAATAAACTGATCCCTGATTTATGACCCGTGAAATTAATTAATACTTCTCCACTAGTTAAATCCCATAATTTAATCGATCCATCAGCATATCCACTAGCTAAGATATTAGTGGCGGAATGATAAGTTAAATAGACAACTGAAGAAGGAGCAACAGAACTAGATGCATTAGAGGCACCAGGAGTCAACCCATCTCTGAATTTTTGTATTATTTCCCCTGTTTTAATATCCCATATTATAATCTCTTCCAATGCTGATGATATAGCACGTCCTAATGAAGTTGTGGATTGGGCATCAGAAGGTGGTAACCAAAGAATATTGGATTGTGACGATATCACACCAAATACTTTCTCTTGATCATAACGTTCATACGATTTCACCATGTTTGACTTGTGTTGTTCTTTGGTGGTTTATGATACAATTCAATGTTCCGTTGAAGTATGTAAATTTTGTTTAAATCATTTTTCAAGATGCTCTTCTCTATTTTTTTTTTTGAACTCATACAAATTTTTTAACCATCCTTGCCGCACTACAAAACTAATTTGCAACTATTATATTTTACAATTATGTATTTCAAAGTCTATATATAGTTTTAAATAAATGTTTAGATGCTGAGTTTTGGAGGTTATATTAAGGCAATACAAGCGAGGATTATTCCCCACACAGATACATATTGACCAATTTGAGTAGAACTTGCATCATTATGTTTAGTACTTGTATGCGAAGAAGACGATGACGATGAAGATGAAGTTGAAGTGGATAATGATGATGATTTAGGTTTTGAAGTAGATGTAGTACCAGCCAAATCAAATACTGTTAGATTAACATTTGGTTGAGCTGCTTCAGCAAAACCACCCGTCCAACAAAATTGATCAAAACATTGCTTACATTGATCAGACTGTTCAATGCCCAATCTCTCTTGTTGTCTTCTTATAATTGCACATCCAACACAAGCTGGCCAATCATCAGTTACATTAAGTTGAGAAGCCACTTCATATCCATTTTCAATCGCCTGAAAAATCTCATCTTCACTATATGACATTTTATACGTTGAAAAATTGGAATTTGTAACGATTCTATTATTGGATAATAACACTACCAAGGGAATATCTGTCTCATTTATCGCTTTATTATCATGATAGTTAATTAATGCAGTTAAATTATTAGCATCACAACCAAAGAATACAGGAGTTTCACCCAAATTTTGATCTAAAAATGTTTGAACATCTGGAACAGGTGGGAATGGTGTTCCTTTACCTTGGGCTGAAAATTGTCTTAAATAGGTCATCATAATAGAAGTACCATTTGGCCAGTTAAGTTCTGTATCAGCAGAGTTATCAAACCCAAATATAACGTCAACAGATCTACTTTGTTGTATCAAGGGATAAAATGGTACATTTTGTTGATCTTCACCTCCATCCACCAAAAATAAAGTTCGATTCAGGACAATAGCTTCTGATCCAGCATGCTCAACGCCATAGAATGGATTCGGTTCATATGCTGCAATATCATCTTTATTATAACTCACCACACCTAATATTGAATTCAACACCGCTTTAATGGCAGAATTTAAACTGGTACCTCCAAGTCTTAAAAGTGCCTGATTAAATAATGACGATGACGTTCCCATAACAAAACCGGCGTTATCAAAGTTAACTATACAATTTGTAGTGTTTGGTATTCCATTAACCATTTCTGTTCCAATGAATTGTAAATCCACAAAACTATTCAATGATGGATCCCATGATCCTAATTCAAACGGACTTATTTCAAACACAGTGGAATTTTCATTTATAATCATTGTACCTGGAGTTCTACCATTCGCCACAACGATGGGAAATGGCATCTCATGATTCTGAAAACTGGATAAATTTTGAATTGATGAAAATGTTATGTTTTCACCCCCAAATGTTCCAGGAAAGAATTGATTAGATAAAGCTCTACCCCAAATATCGGTTATAGAAGTATCAAACCCAGCACTTAATTTGGCAGCAATAGCATCTTGAATTCCATAGTAATAACTTAATGTTTCAAATACATTAATACCAGCAGGGTTAAAAATAGAATTATCTAAATTCCAAATTTCGATTGAACCATCTAAAATATCATTAACCGAAATCCAATCATTTAACACCACCAGTCCTACTAACCAATTACCACCTGAAAGACCAACTAAATAGGTTGAGCTTTGTAAGAGACCACCTATACCATAAATATCTGAAGCATTGTATCTATCATCTAAAGCAAGTAATTGTCCTGCTCCATTTAACATAGCTCTATAACCACCTCCACTAAATGCTAAACCAATAGTAATGTTATGTTGATGTGAATAATCATTTATAAAACTTTCAGCATCAAAATCAGTCAAATTTGCTCTGTTATTGAAGAAATTGATTAAATTCTGATTGGTAATTTCATGTCTATTTTCCAAATACTCTTGTTCTTCTTCTGAAATCCCACTAGCTTCACGTATCAATGACCCATCTGGACAGGAGGTATTATATGGAGAATATGGATTTAAAGTTGTAGTAACTCCATCTTCAGTTACCACATGAGCTGTATTTGTAGCTGAAGCAGATGCTGTGCCTAGATCTGATGATGTTGCTGTTGAACTTGACGATGACGATGAACTATTATTACTCCATGGCCACCTAAATGTGAAACCACTTGCTGGATCTAGCAAGAATATATATATGATGAATATTATAACCCAGTTATGATGCATGTCTGTCTGTCTTAAATTTCTTGTCTAACTTTCAAACCTTAATGAATTTATTTTAAGGGTCTTCTGAGCTATTTCTTTATTGGGCCCAAAGTCTATAATATGTATGTGAATCTATAACCAGAAGGATATCTATCTATTAATTAACTATATCATCTAACAGTAAATGGTATGATGGTTTCAAATTAAGGATTATAAGTAAATAGTTACGAAAACAAATTGGTGATCACATATGGTTTGCATCATTAACTGTTGCTTAGAGATGTCTGGAGAAAAAAGGGAAGGAGTTCCTACGTCACTAAAATTATTGCCTAATGAGGCAAGTTTTTTTAGTGATAACGAGCGGCTGGCATAACTTTGCAACTTTCCTATCAATGGAATTATATACAATAAACAACTCTTAAGTTAATATATGTATATCTATTCTAGTAGTTTCTATTTAATTCTATCGCTATTCTATTTTATTTTTTATATGTATCTAATTTAATCTAATCTTCTGGTAGCTTTAACTACAACAGGGATCATACCACCGGTGGAAATAGTAAAATGTCTATGATTAAGAGCTACTATGAAACATCTGATAGTACCAGCATGAGAAGTAGTGGAAATAAAAGTATTCTCTTCAACTAATTCTTTATCGATGGTATTATCTGATTTAACATCTTCATTGAATAAACTTTGCAAAAATCCATTTATTCTAAACGTTTGTTCTGGCATAGTTTCTCTATAATCATATTTGAAATCAATATCATTTTCAGGCATATCTTCAGGAATTATAAATCCATATTTACCAAATCTTTCCTTGATAACAGTTACGGTAGATCTTTCATCGCATAAATTTTCACCAATGGTTTCTCTGATTGAAGGAGTAACTATTGGTCTTTTTGATTTAGGTTTAATATCATCCCACGTAAGAACCAAGGTTTGTGAAGATCTTTGCATTGGTGAAACATAAAATTTACTAGGAATTGGAGCTCCTGCTTTAATTTCTCTTTTCCAAGCTTCATTATTTTCTTTGGCTTGAGCTATACCAACATCAGTTAAACTTGCATCTGGAGCATAGGTCAATTCTCCATCAGTAGTGAGGAACTTCCATTTGACATGCCATTGATCTAAACCATATTTATTGACAATGACATTATGATAACCTTGACCATGTCTGGCTAAAAAGATTACTTTATAGACCTCATTCGATTTGGCATTCTTATTCAATTCTTTAATATCTTGTTCAATTTGACTCCAACTTTTCAATCTACCAAAGTCTTCTAAAGCGTAATTAAATTTAGCATCATCAGTTGAATCATCTGCTTGTTTGAAAAATCCATGAACAACTTCAAATGACCAAGGGAATCTCCACGCACCGTGTTGATCTTTTTCATCTTTGGCCTTTTCATAGGCTTCACGGTATACTTGTTCAGTATCCAATGCTCCATGAGCATCTTCATAATCGTTATAAGTAGGAATCAAAAGGGACATGTTGGGTATAGCTTGTGTTTTACTTATTAATATGAAAACATTCAAAACATGATTCATAATTATAAATAGCGAAAAACGTTGGTCTATTTATGGTAGTGTTACCACGCTGCACTACCCTCGGCGAAGCAGTATTTCGGCGAAAATTATTCCTGATTTTTGAATCTCTATAGGGGGACAGTCATCGTCATGAGCAGCGTAAATAGTGAGATCTTTAATCAGTAAAGGCGGCATTGCATATTTCAGGTATAAGGAACCATCATCACAATCTTAAACATATACGTGGCAAATGTAGTGTGGAGTTAGATTTTGTTTGTATCACCATTTACCCAGGCGCAGTTCATGTCAATTCACAAAGATGAAATTAAACAACTACAATCAAATAGTTTATCGAAATTGTAAATTATGAATATAAAAAGCTAAATAAAATATAAAAATGGAACGAGCAAAACAGTGTGAAAATAAAATGTAAACAAAACTTCAACAATATACACAAACAGTAGCGACATGGAATATCACATTACAAAATATTTTACAAAAACATTGAATAATATACATAGGTAGTTTAGGGGAAACATAACAAATCTAAGTCTTTCTTGATGGACCAGTTTTGAAATCAGGTTTGAAATCAGGTTTCTTAGCTCCTCCACTTTTAATTTGGAATTTTGTTACAAGTGGAATATGATCAGATGGGAAAAATGCATTAGGAAATCCAATGTAATGACTAGCAAATTCTTCATCCACTTTACCTAATAAACCTTTAACTCTCAAAGTTGACGTTGAATACCAGATATACTCAATAACAGCTATGAAAGCTGGGGTATAATTTGTGAATGGTAATTCACCAATACTATCATATGCCGATCTCATTTTGAAATTATTACGGAATCCATCGACTGTAAAGTTACCATAATCTCTACCTTCTAAATCTTTATGCTTTAATACCGAACCTGTTGATAATAATTGATAAACAGCACTATCAACCATAGAATTGAAATCACCACTAATAATTAATGAACTATTTTTAATATCATCGTAAGAATTAGCATGATGAAATTTCTTTAATATACCTTGAAGCTCTTCAACCAAAATACCCACTTGAAGAGTTTTAACATCATTAAGAGCAGGATCCCAATGTAAATGAGTATTCACCACAAGAATTTTTTCCCCAGTTTCATTATGTTGTAAAAATGAAATTAATGCAATGTTATCTCTACTCATAAATCTGTTGAATATATCTTTGGTCTTCTTATATTTATCTGATCCCATACAAGTTGAACTGTATTCAAAATTTTGTTTTTGAAGAAGGTTGAACTTATTGGCTTTATAAAACGTGGCACAACCATCAACCTTCTTTGAATCAGCTTCACTCATAGTTTTTGATCTTGTCTTATTGAAAAATATACCTTTATAACCTCTTTCTTGTAATAATGGAGTCCAGAAATCGTAAAATGTTTTGGTTTCTACTTCTTGCATACAAACAATATCACAATCAAATTTCAAAATATCCTCCTTCAAAAGATTTCTTCTATATTCCCAATCTAATGCCCAAGATGGAGTATATTTATACATCTTTGTAGTAGCATAATGTTGACATAAAGTATTATATGATAACATAGTGAATGAATCAGGAGACTCAGTTTCATTGGCATATGCTTCTGGATTAGTTGCGGGATCTATTATTTCGCCATCATCTTCCAATAAAAGCCAAGGTCTTGGTTGAGGTGCAATTTGAGTTTTAAGATCTCTTAAATATTTTATAAATTCTTTGCTTCCCTTTTCAGCTATTAAATTGGCAAATATAGGATCTATAGGATTTCCTTCTATACCTAAAAATTGTAACTCAATCAAGTTACCAAATTCATTTGGTAAAGTTTCAATATTATTATCAAACAAATAAAGAAATCTTAAATTATAACATAATCCTAATTCAGGTGGAACTTGATTAATTTTATTATATGATAAATCTAATATTCTTAAATTCTTTAACTTTTTGACAATAGGTGGAATTTCAGTTAATTTATTATTATTAAGATATAATGATTCAAGAAAGTCATAATGAAATAACTTTGGAGATAAATGTACAAGACCTTGACCACTTAAATCTAATTGACACCATAATTGTAATCCTTGAGTTTTTATTCTCATTCTTTGTTCTTCTTGGAGATGGTCATCATCTTGAGCTTGGGTAACTTTTTTATTATACAATAGAGCGGCGTTAGTGGTTGGAGTACTAGAACCAGTATTAACAGGTTTTAATGTTTTCTCCAACTCTTCAACAGAATTTCTAGTAGCATCGACTAAGGTGGTTGGCTTTGTTTCAGTATAAGGATTCTTGAGCTTTCTTGAATTTGATGCGTAATGTCTAGCGTAATAATGAGGTATAGTAGCATTTCTTGATAATTGAGCTAATTGTAGTTGTTGTTGCCAATATGGAGTGCTTGGATTGTCTACATTTATAATCTTTTGTAAATGTGGTGGTGGAGGTGGTGGTGGTTGTACTTGTTGTTGTTGTTGGACTTGTTGCTGAACTTGTTGTTGTTGAACTTGTTGCACTTGTTGAACTTGTTGTTGTTGCTGAATCACAGCTTGTTGATTATAGAATTGCTGTTGTTGAGGTTGTTGTAAATGAGGTGGGCGGGGGATTTGTTGTTGTTGATACTGTTGTGGTTGCAATTGCCCTTGTTGTTGTTGAGGATTTTGTTGATATGGCAATTGAGGTTGATTTTGTTGTTGATTTTGAGGATATTGAGGGAAGAATTGTTGTTGTAATTGTGGTGGTTGACCTCTTTGATAATTATTATTGTAGATATTGGGGTTTATATCATTATAAGATTCATTTGGTTGATTGAATTGACCACCATTTACTTGTGGTTGTTGGGGTTGAGATTGCCCTTGAATTTGTTGCAATAATATTTGTTGTTGACCTTGTAGCGGGCCCAGTTGAAACTTTGAGTTTACGTTCATAATATTGCAGGATGGTCTTGTTCTCTAAGCGAACGTCATAAAATATAATGTTGACAGCACGTAATAAGTAATTTCAAGAATGATCTCTTGCCTTTCAATTTCTAAATCAAATTGCGCTTTGTTCTGCTTGATATATCTTCGATACTTTTCTTATATTCAAAGCAGACAATCAAAAAGAAGCAATATGATCTAGATCACTTAAGTAATACTTCTCTACTTTAACCTAATAAACTTGACGACTTTGAAAATTGAACGTTTAACTTGGATTTGTAGGGGGTTGTCTTTACAATTGATAATACCATCAAATCTTTAGTTGGAAACTTTTTTTTTCCTGGTCAACAAAATTTTGTACACTTTCGCACGACCTCTCTCAAATATTTAGGTGTTTATTATTATTATTATTATTATTATTATGTATAGTATAGACTACATACTAGAGGAATATGATCAGATGGGAAATGCTTATCAGGGAATCCAATAACCAGATTGGTATCAAGATATGACTCATTGACATTGCCTAGGACTCCAGAAACTTTGAAGTTGTTAGGACTAATAAATATGTGATCTATGTAATCAGAGAATTCTTTGGTATGACAAGTAAACTTTAGATCATTAGGTTTGATCAAAGTATTGTATGAACTAGTTAATAGAAGGGGATTATTAATTTCATTATCTTCATTCACGAATTGGTTGTCAGTACCATAATTGTAGGCTGAAAATTCAGGACATTCTTTAACATTGATTTTATGAGTTTTGTTATTATTTGAATCCAACAATCTATAAACACTGGAATTGGAATTGGAATTGAAATCTCCTGCAATGATGATATGAGGATCTTTGACGTCAATGAAATCAGTTAATGCATTCAATAATAACTTTGTTTGTAATACCTTAACGTCATTAAACTTTGGTGACCAATACAAGTGAGTATTTGCAACATAGATGGTTTTATTCGTATGCTTATCATGTAACTTTAAGATAAGAGCCACTGTGTTTCTAGATAAAAGTCTTTTACATAAATCATCTGTAAGTTGACATTTACCTTGAGAAGCTAATTCACCAAAATGCAATTCTAATTTATCTTGAACTTCAAATCTTTTACTATTAACAAATATGCTTACCCCATCCATAAAATCAGGAGGTTTATCACCCCAATAATCAGCTGGTGGTTTTCTGACAAAATAACTATCATAACCTTTGAGCATCATCTTCCAATGTTTTTTATAAATTGAACATTCCATTTCCTGGAAACACATTATATCACATTTAAGTTGATTGATGGTTTTATTTAGCAATGGGAATCTATAATGCCAAGCTAGAAAACTAGGAGCAACATAGCCAAATAGATTCTTGAAAGCATAATGTCGATTAAGCAAATTGAAGGACAGAATGGTTATTTCTTCATCTATATTAGTCTTTGCTGATTTTGATTCAATCCATTCTCTGAATTCCATTTTCGTATATTTGCGCATACAAGCACTACTACTCCAATAATATCTGTTTAAATGATTAACTTTCAACACTTTTGATGATAATAGTCGATTGGGAGAAACATGGTTGTACATATCTTGAACCAACAGCTCAAACGATCTATATATATACTAATGACAAGCTTTGTTAGAAATGGTATATGTATTTCAATAATCGTGTCATTCTCTATGTGATGATACTGCGTGGTTTTAGTGAAGCAAAACTCACTCCGCATTTTCCTCTCCGCTTATAAGGAACTGATTTTATTTTTAACTGAAAATAGCCATTTAAGTTACGGCACTTATTTCATCGTAAATACGATATGAACGCGTAATTTATTTATAATCTAAAAGGACTATTCGGTATCTATGATATCATTCATAAATTATTAAACCTTACTTCCCGGGGTTTGGCGCTCCTCCTTCCCTTCTCTTCCTTATTATAGTTCTATTTTCGCAGTAAAATCAAACCATTTACGTTAATTCTATTATTATTAAGGTTTAAATATTAAATCTATAGAATGTACTGCGTTAACTATGCTTCAAGATATTCCATCAACTCGGATAAGTCCGCTCTGCTTTTCATAAGTTTAGCCTTTCTTTCATCTGATAACGGAAACTTTAATAATTTCTTATTCAGTGACTTACAAAGACCTTTTGTAGCGAGACTACAAATATCACAATTACTTGCAACAGATGGACATATAACTTGTCCAAATCCCACCGTTAATGGATTTATGTCAGCCCAATACTTTTCTGGTAACCATTTCTCTAATTCTAATCTCGTATGTTCCGGACTCTTGGAGTTTTTAGGTACCCATCCCCACATTTGAGCTAGTCTATGAAGGTGAACATCTACTCCTATACCACTATTAATATTCCATCCATTTTGTAATAATAGATATCCCATTTTGGGACCGACCCCTGGAAATTGTACTATCTCCTCTATAGTTTTTGGAATGTCACCATTGAACTGAGCCTCCAACATTTCACACGTCTTCTTTATATAAACAGATTTACGATTATGAAAGCCAACTTTGTTAATATACGTATCAATTTCTGCTTCCGATAATGCCTTAATCGCCTCTAATGTTAAGCCTTCTTTATGGCCAAGTTCCATCATTCCATGGTGTAACTTCATCATAGCATCGTAATTCACTTCATCTTTGGTTTGAGATGATAACATCAACGATATCAACAACTGAAATCGATAAGTTCGAGGATTTCTTTCTTTGATATTTGGATTAATCGTATTTGGCATTCTTTCACAACCTTGAGTATCCACTGGTGCCATGAATAATTTTCTCATGTTGACTATATCATTATATATTTGAGACCAATTGTTAGGACCTATTGTTTCGTGCTCCTTGTCGACATACGGAAACACATTAGGACTCACTATTTTATTTTCTATTTCTACCTTTATATGATCTATTTTTCTATATTCATCTTCCTCTTGTTTGATACTCGTTAAACTTTGATTCACCTCTTCTTCGAGTTTAACATCAATTTGGGGAAACTCAAGTTTGACTTTTCTAAGTGGTGGTTCAACTGTAGCTTTAGAACTCACAGATTTCACTGCATCTATACATCTCTTGGTTCGTTTCATCGATGTATTAATAAACAATCTTTGATCATATGCATTATCATTAAACATATTAGATCATTAATCGTGTGCAGGAAATTGAAAATTTTATGAGTCAAACCATAATCAAGAAAAAAAAGCTTTTTAGAGGTCAATCGGAATGTGGAGTGGGATTTGACTCACACAAAAAATTTAGATTATCATATCAGATTGCAATCTATTCAACAAGATATAGTTAAGTGTTAAGTATATCAAACAAACACGGAGCATATCGCAAAAGTATGGCTGATGAAATAATACCCAACGGGTTTATGAAGTCGGAGTTCCAACCTGATTTGATTTCAAATCAACCTAAATCATCAAAATCAAAATCAAAGTCCAAAGCAAAATCACGAACTACCAATACAAAAACGATAAAGGCTCCAGGTTCAGTAAATGAAAGAGTTGCTCAAGCATGTGATAGATGTAGAGCTAAGAAAACAAAGTGTGATGGTAAAAATCCCTGTTATGGTTGTCTGTCTGTGGGTCTTGAATGTATTGTATCTGATAAGTTATCTAGAAGAGCTTTTCCTAAAGGTTATACAGAAACCTTAGAGGAAAGAGTACGACAATTAGAAGCTGAAAATAAGAAACTTCTCGGTATATTGGATATACGTGATGAACAGATTGGAATGCTTAATTCAGGTATAAGTGGAAGTGATAATCAACCAGATACCGATACTAAAGATGAGTTATTTGATGAAGTAACTAAATCGAATCTTAGTATACTTGAAAGTGAAAGCAGTGAAGATTTCCATCATCACCATGATGGGTGCCCCTGCGGATGTTCCAACCCTCATGCTGTCCACGAGAGACCCGTTTCAATAGCAGGTTCGCTTTATGAAGGTATTGATGCTCCTATATCGATTGCCAGTTCAATCAATTTAAGTGATGACGAAGAAAATGATGACGATAGGGAAAGTTTATTCTCATCTGATTTTGATTATCCTGGAGGGAACAATCAAAGGAGATATAATAGGGAAGTAAGTCCTGCTCCTGGAGCTTTTGCAGCCGCTACAGCTATTGCTCAAATGCAAAAAAATAAAATATTCCAACAACAACAACAAAAGTTAGAGAATGCAAATAGCAAACAACTGATGCTTACTTCATTGGTTGCTATTTCGATTCCTAGAAGTACAGAAGAAACATTATTTATTCCTACCTTATTAGCCAGAGTGTGTGAAGCTTATGGATATGACTCAAAGCCAGCTATATTAACCGCAAATTCTATTGCATCATTAAAAGAAATATCATTTGAAAGAAGTCCAACCGATATATCACTAAATATCAAGCAAGATCTAGAGAGAACTCTTATAAACAACGATGTTCCAAAATTAAATGAAGCGGATGCCCTCAATTTTATTCTTAATTTATTAAACTTACCAAATTCCAGAATCGATTTAGATCAATTCATCACTGTATATTTCCAAGATTGGGGTAATTCACTTCCTGTGATTGAGAAGGAAGGATTTTTGAAGAATTATATGGAATTGGTGGAAATATTAGAAACGGGTATTTATGTTAATTCTAGAGAACCAGCCTGTTCATTCGATCTGATTGAAAAATTTGGAGCTCTTATGATTTTAGTATTAAGTTTAAGTTTATTATCAAACAAACATTCCCACATAAGTGATAATGATGATCGATATGTTCAATATTTGAAGTATTATGATTATTTAATCCATGAGTTCATTAAACCCAACTGTATTATCACCAAACATTGTTCAATTCAATCACTTCAAATCCTTACCCTTGCATTACAATATTGTTTAGTAGTGGGTGATATAAATACATGTTATGATTTACGTGGTAGAGTTATCAGTATGGCTCAACAATTAAGATTACACAGATGTCCAGCTGCAGTGTTAGGATTATCAAGTGATGTTAATGATTTAAAACTTCAAAACATGAAACAAGCTGAAAGACGTATTTTATTCTGGTGTGTGTACTGTCTTGATGTTTATTCTTCATTTAACTTGGGTGTACCGAGACTTTTCAAAGATTTTGAAATTGAATGTGCTATGCCATTCGCAGGTAAAAATGATGATGATGATGATGATAATGTAAATATCTTAATTGTCAACAATACTAAATTATTAATTGTTGGAAAAGTATCAAAATATGCCTTGAGTATGATGACATACTGTAAAGTCTTGGGAACTGTCTTAGATTCAATTTTCTCCAGATATGATAATCCTGAAACATACAGTAAAGCTTTAAGTAGAGATAGAATTCTTGATTGTTGGAGAAGGGATTTGCCAACAGATTTAAAATTTGAGATTGATGTTAATGGTCTTTCACTTAAGGATCAAGCCACACAATATAACAAACAACAATTAACCTTAATGTTCCTTTACTATCATGCTAGGATTTTAATATATTTACCAATATTATCGAAATATGGTAACCATCACAATGTGGGTTTATCCAAGAAAGAACTGTTGCTTAAAGGAGAAGGTGATGTTGCAACTATTGTGTCTAGTATTAGTATGGTGCAACAATCATCAATTCAAATTCTTGAAGTGTTAAAGTATGTTAATGATACTACCAATCCATATTTATTACCTATACCTATCAATATACCTAGACAACAAGCTAGGTTTGCCCTTTTAGTGGCTAAAGGTAGTTTAGATTATCTTAAAGGTGGTCCATTATTTCAAAATCTGAAACAATTACTTTTAGATACAATAAAGGATTTGATTGAAGAGAGTAATTTGAATATTCCAGGTAGATTAAGTAGATCTACAGCAAAGATACTTGAATTATCAATCTTGAGTATTTTGGGACTTAATTTATCCAAGAATAAATTCGTGAAGAAGAAAGTTGCAGCCAATCATCCAATTACCAAAGTTGCCGTACCAAGAGACCCATATGGAATTGATGTCAGAAGCAGAGCACCAACTTCCAGACTTGCCAATGAGTTTACTGCTAATGACGAGTTACAATTATTACAACAAACCAATGAATTGTCAATGTCTTCAAGTTTGAATAGAATTACTTCTACTTCAAGTAACGATTTTGAATTTGGTAGTAATGACTATAGTGGAATCGATGACCCTGAAGGATTAGAACATATCTTGGAATTTGATCCATTTAAAGTTAATGTTAACAAATTATTAATGAATGACTTTGCAGCTGATGGTTCCCTCGGTCTTGTACCATTCTTAGATATGAATGATCTTGAAAATAATGATAATGATAATGAAATTAGAATGAATAATAATAATAATAATAATAGTAATAACAATGGAGATGCAAGTGAAATACCCCACCCTGAAATTAGAGGGATTTCGTTATTCGGAATGAACAACAACAACCAATGGCAATGATTTAAACTTACGAACGTGTATATATGTATGTAGACCTTGAAATATTGTAAAAATATATGTTTAAATATTTATTCGAGATTCGGAGCCGAATTTTTATTTTGCAACTGAAAAATAAAAAAAACTGGGGAAGATACAATGGAGAAAAAAGTCCGCTCCGTGGGCTGTTTCAGCAAATTAAATGCTATAAATAAGCAATCAAATCCCTTTCTTCTACTGGCTATTCAGGGTAATTGTTTGACATCACCAGCTAAAGATACTATCAATAGACAATTAAACAATATGACAACTTTTTCCAAGATTAATTTCAAGACTTTGAATTATAATTCATTTCGTCCTCATTATCCTCTGTCATTTTATAAGGTTTTAGTTGAATATGTCACTAAGGGAGATAGTGCCAAGATTCCGTTAGATAAGGCCATTGATCTTGGATGTGGTACAGGGGTGGCAACTTATCCATTATTGAATACTACTAAGGAAGTATTTGGTCTTGATTTATCTCCACTGATGATCAAGACGGCTGATTCATTGATTGATTCAAGATGCAAAGAATTAGGGATTGAAGATCATCCAAGAATTAAATTTAGAGCTGGTGCGGTGGAAGATTTCCTTTATACTGAATCTGGTGGAGCAAGAGAGATACCAGATGAATCAGTTGATTTGATAACTGCTGCCCAATGTATTCATTGGTTTAAAGATTATGATGCCTATTTCAAAAATTGTTATAAATTATTAAAAAAGGGAGGTACATTAAGTTATTTCTTTTACATTGATCCTGTCATTATTGATTTCAGAGTTGAAAATGGGAAATCTATCACTAAAGATGAAAAATTAGAAATCTTAAAAAGATCAAAAGAGTTATATCATAATTTCGTGTATAATGATCCCAGTTCAATGGGACCACATTGGGAAAATCCAGGTAGAAACATTCTTAAAGATTATTGTGAAGAAGTTAATAAGAGTATTCCTACTGAATTATATGATGATGTTAAAATCAATACATTCATACCAGATTTTGAAACAGGTAAAACTGTTCCTAATGATGAAGTTGATCTTGATTTAAAGAAAATGGATATACCTCTCAGTGGATTTGTTGATTATCTTACCACATACAGTGCCTATCATACCTTTAAAGATACCACTGGAGATCCAACTAACATATTAGAAACATATGTCAGTAATTTAGAAAAGGAATTTGGGTGGGATAGAAATACCACCAAGATTGATCTCGTGTGGAACACTGGATATACCTTTATGACCAAAAAGTAGACTTATTTAGATACATTACTCAATACATAACCCCCATAAGTTGATTGATTGACCATTGTAACATCGATGTTACCATGAAAGTGAAATAACCAGGGGCTAAAACTTTGTGCTGTAAAAAAAAATGATGATTTCCCCCAACCCCAACATTTGTTAGTGAGGATTTCTCAACACTGTTTCAAATTTGGTGATACATCATAATAATAAATAACAGCACCAAAAAATTGAAAATTTCACAATTCAAGATCAATTGTAGCAGCCACAAATAAAACTGGAAATTCAACAATTTTATTCCTTTGATTCTTCTTATACGACTCTAGTTAGATGGTGGTGATATAGCAGATATGTTATTAAGATTACCATTTCAAATAGTTATTTGGTCTTTCGTGACGTGGATTATCCTTTCCACAGTAATACCCCAAGCGTTACTGAAATATACTAATATTGAAATTCAAACTAATAAATATACCAGATCAGATTATCCCTACAACTCAATTACATCTCCAGTACCATTGCCGATTCAAAATAGTTCAGTTTACTTTATCATTGGACATCCTGACGATGAAGTGATGTTCTTTTCCCCCTCCTTGATTGAAATCTCCAAGGTTAAATATAACAATAATGTCAAATTAATATGTTTCTCTAATGGCGATTCAGTTGATGAATCAATGGGTAAGATACGATCCCATGAATTAGTTGAATCAGCTAGAATATTGGGTGTTCCTCAAGATAATGTTATCGTACTTCAAGATGATTTTAAAGATGGTATAAACATTGAATGGGATTCAGATTTAATAAAGCAAGCTTTATATGAAAACGTTGATTTTAACAATAATACTCAACCAAAAGTATTCATTACTTTTGATGAAAATGGAGTTTCAAACCATCCAAATCATATTTCATTATACTACGGAACCATCAATTTCTTCAATTCTTATTATTCAAATAAAGATAAATCATCATTACCTATCAAACATAAATTATTCGTATTGAAATCATTAAACTTTTGGGAAAAGTATAGTTTCACATTATTAAACAATGTTGAGTTATTTGTGGATCATTTATCAAAACTTTTGATTAATAATATTTTAAAAATTAATGTTAATATAAATGTTAGTTTCTTTAATAAAAAAGAATTAACTAGTTCATCTATCAAGTTTTATTCTGATTTAAACATGTTAAGTGTTAGTTATGCGGCCATGGCTTATGGTCATTTCAGTCAAATGGTTTGGTTCAGATACGGTTGGTTAATTTTAAGTCGTTATTTGACTTATAATCATTTAATTCAATTAATTTAATTTTAAAATTACATTCTCTCTATATATATACACACAAATATAATACATAATTAAAACAGTCTATGATAAATTTTTAAATCCAAATTGTTTCTGACACCAATTTGCTCCATGCTCGAAATATTCTTGTTTTGATACACTAATATTATCTAATACATCATTATTAGTAAGATTTATTCCACCTAACCAACTCATTTCATCTTTTTCAAATCCTTTATCTTCTCTTATTCTTACAAACCAATTCAGAGGCAATTCTCTTCTAAGTTCTGATAATAATCTATGCTCAAAATTCTTTAAATTAACTGATCCACCCACTACACTAATATTAGCCAGTAATAAAGGTCTAGTGATTTCGGGACATGCCATTATAGATTCAACTACTAAATCAGTAAGATTCTTTAATGGAGCACTTTGAAGAACTGCATTTGAAATGATCTCATTATTATCAAATAAAATCTCAGGATGATAATATGCTTCAGGAATAGTGAATCTTTCATCAGTTAATTTCAATAATTGAGTATCAGGTGTTATCTTAGTATTTTTAGTCTTCACAAACCCAGTTGTAGTAGTTTTAAAATCTGGTAATACAAATTCACATTGAAGTTTTTGTTTATCTCGTAATGCTTTTGAAAAATCATCCGTTAAAACAAACGTTTGTTCTTTAATATAATTAACTAAGATTGGATCGTCACTAATATCATAATGTCGGAATGAAATCAATTCTTTTAATAATCCATTTAATAATTTCCCTCCGATTGGTAATTTTCGTACTCCTTCCCAATAAATAGTTTGATAAATCATCGGTACAATCCAAGTGGAATTGAATCCAGAATCTATCACCAATACAAAATCGTTATTGCTGGATTTATTATTATCTTTGAATGGAACGAAAGGGACCAATGATGCTGGGATACATCTATAATACTCATTGAAACCATATTCCTCAAACACTATCTGATCAGTATTAGAGGATAGTTGAGGTAATTGAAACGGAGATTCTGTTAATGTTAGATGAGTAATGGAAGGATCAAATTCTTGATCTTTATTATGATGCAGTTTCTTTTTATGTGATTTGTTGCTGGTACCAGCATTTGCGGTGATTAATTGATCGAATGTATAATCCCATATTGGTTTTTCATTCTCCCATGATACTAAATGTCCCTGTTCATAAGGTCGTTTAAATTGAATACCTGATAAGTTATTTGAATGTTTTAAATATTCATTTCCTATATGAACTAACCCATCTTTGGTTTTTGTGATAGCGTTTTGAACTTTTATAGGACGTATATCACTATTTTCTCCTGTATTGAATCCAGCCTTTATATTATACGACCCATTATCTATTACAAGATATTGCTTCGACATACTAATGCTGGTTGAATCAGTATAATAATGGTATAATGGTTTAACAGTATTTAAATTTTTCGGTTTCGATATTTACAAAATAATTAAAGAAGTGGCATGGATGTTTTGGCATTTTTCTATCTCCAGATTTTAGAAATATTAAACTTTGAATTTATAAGTATTCAAATAGAAGTAGATAGATGAATTCACAGTAGAAATGTCAATTCCTCCAACACCGATACATCCAGGTCCTAATGAAGAAGTACATGAACTTCCACCAGGTCGTTTACCGGATAGTCTATTGGCAGATATAGACTTAGATGATGATGAAGATGATGATGATGACAAAGATGATATAGTGGTGACTGATCCACCAATTCAAGCATTATCTAAGTTAACCAATAGATTAAGCGACAGCTTAATGAATATTGATTCCGTCGACTCCGAAGTTAGTCTCGAAGAAATTGATTTAAAAGAAATGATTCAAATCACCTTACCATTCGATGAAGCTTATGAATTATTACAAACCCTGTTAAAAGAAGTTGAACCAATTTTCTTAACAGAACAACAACAAAGTAAATTAATCAATTATATTGATGAGAATCTATTAAAGATTCAAAGAAAGTTCATTAAACATATCTCAGATACATCAGAGGTGTATACCTTACAAGAATTATTGGATGAATTGCTAACTATAGTTAATTTGATTTTCACACCCATTGAAAAGAAAAATCCATTATTTGGTCAAGGTGAATACTATATTAAAATACTTGGGGATGTTGAAGATTACCTCAATCATTATCATACGTTATTTGATGAACATATTGATAGCATAATTCAACGATTTGATAATAATAGATTAATTCAATTCTTTATATTCTTTCAGAAATTAGATTTACAAATTTCATTATTGATGGATGGTTATACTGATATAAATCTGAGGAATCAGAAGATGAATTCAACTCAATTGGTGAGATTAATTCCTATAATATCAAGATTAAGAATCCTAATTATATATAAAGTTGATCAAGTAAGGTTGAAATTAACTAATTTATATGAAAATCAATCTACTTCTACGTCAACCAAACAAGAATCTAAGAGACTATTACACTTATTAGAGTTAGAGATAGGTCGACTATTTGAAGGTATTCTTGAAAGAAGTTCTTAATCATTTAATTTTTGCATCTATTTTTATAGCTTTTATATATGTATAATACGTTTTTTTTTGTTCTTCTTTCATATTTCGATCGTGCAGGCACCAAAAAGATTTTCCAATCTATATTAAATGTATATATAACTATATAGCAAATATAGAAGGTTATAGTACAGTTAATAACTATTTCAATATCACAATGTGGCCATTCACATCATCATCTGGTGGAAAAGATGCTTCAGAGTTAACTAAAGAATTACCTGATAATTTAAAACAGTTTTTCAATGAAGTAAATCCTGAACCAAATCATCAATCCATATTCGAAATATCACCACATCAGAAGAGAGTAAATGAAGTTCTAAAAAGAGAAGATGATTTGAAACGACCATATGATGATGAATTCTACAAATACAAACAAACAGAAAAGGCAAAGAAAGCGTGCTCCATAAATTGTTCTGAAGTAAATCTGCAAATATTAGAGTGTTTCAAAAATTGGAATTATACTAGTTTTGATACTCCATGTTCAAAAGAAATTGCTGCCACTACTAAATGTCTAGAGGTTCAAAAGAACGCATTCAAGAAGTTACATTATGATGAATGTATAAGTATAAAACAGTGTAACCAAATCAGATATATTATAGATAAAATGTTCACTGAAAATTTCGGTCAATTAGGGAATGAAATAAATGATCAAACTCATAAGAAATTCGATCAAGATTTAGATAAAGTGTTTTGGAAGATATGGAGATAGAGAGATAATTATAGATCCATTGTACATATTAAACGAATCAAGTCATAATTGTCTATTATCACGCTATATACGAAAACCATCATTGTTCTTGTAAATAAATAACTTATATCACACTCACTAAATCATTCCATAACGCCAATTTCTCATGATGCTTCAAACTTGTCACTAATCCTGATGTATTAGGGAATACAAATATTTTAACTTGTTTATTGTCGATCTTGGCCTTCAAGTTCTTCAATATTATATTATACATTCTAACTTCTTCAATCAATCTTTCACCTTGATTGATTTCTTGTTCACCCCAGGTAAAATTCAACTTGGTTAACTTGAATTTCTTAATATTTAATTCATTAGTCATATACTTGATAAACATTTCCCATATTCCCTTCCCAATCAATATAATATAACTTGTATTACTATAATTGAATTCATCAATTAATCGCGGTATATTATCAAGCTTCTCTTGTAAAGATAACTCTTGTGCAGTTTTTGTACATCGTAAAACCAAATCAGTAAATCCAATCTTATATTTGATGATATCAAAGTCATGATGAGGTTTCAATGAAGACTTTCCATCCTTCATAATATCCTTTAACAATTCATCTTCTTTGATGTTCTTATCGATATAATCAGGCTCAATTCTATTAACAACCTTAATAAATAATTGAGATTCATTAAACAACTTCCAGAAGGAATTGGTGAAGTGGGCATAATGATGTTGTCGTACTGATGATTCAACTCCAGGATTATAGCCTACAAACAATAATATTTGATCTTTAGTTAATGAAGGCTGCAAATCAGGATATGATTGTGATGAACTGGAGCGCGTTGCAATCTCATTCTGGGGTTTAACACTCTTCAACTTCTTTTTAACAGTGTGAACTTTGGTTACTTTGGATATTTGGTTAGAGATGCTTTTCTTTGGCAGTACAACATCGTCATTGTATCGGAATTGTTGAAGTTTACTCTTTAAATTTTGATTATTCATTATAGCCTCTGAAGTACCGTAACATCAATTATAAATAATTTGAACCGCTAAATATTTTTTTGGTGTCGCAAATACAAAAATGTGTTGGGTATACAATCGTTAACGACATCTAAAGTATCACGAATAGAATCCATTGTGGAATTGATAATTATATGACATGGTAGATGATTCCTCGTCATTTGGGTTTTCTATCTTAGAAAAGCCAGTGTCTCCAATCACAAAGGATGGAATAAGGCTGAATTCAACTCCCAAAACATTTATTGATGGTGAAAACTCTCCCATCGATCCAACTTATATCCAAGTAGATTATAATGAAGAAATACGACAGCAATCGACTCCATCAGTATCTAATCAACCCAATTTACATTCAATCCTAAAGAGTAGTCCTAGTAATGGTATTCAAGAAGGAATTGATACATCACTACTGGATTCCTTACTTGATAGACATCCCGAGTTAAAACTAGCAAGAGGTAAACGTGGATACAATCCAGTAAAAGGGGCTAGAGTGATATTTTCCCCTACCAAAGAGATATTATCTTATAGAACTGATTATTTTGAGGATGGGGCTGATGATAATTCTAGCTATTTAAGAAACATAAAACAAAAGCATAACGTATATCATGATTCTCTTGATGATGAGAATGAAGAAACTGAAGATCAATTAAGTTTAGATTTGACTAAAGAAGTAATGGATAAGAGTCAACTCACCAACAATGGAAACAGTAATAAACTTGTTAATCGATTAATGACTGATGCAAATATTCCATATGTGCTATCTTTATATTTACAATTATTGGTTAATCTTTTATTGATATCAATTGTATTATACCTCATATATATATTCATCACCACTATCAAGGAAGATATCAATCAGAAATTATCCATTTATATCTCAGATGCGATAGAAGAAATTTCGTTATGTTCTAGAGAGTATTACAGCAATAAATGTTCAATTGAGGATGGCAATAAACGAGTTCCTGCTTTGGAGCCATACTGTACAGAATGGAGCAAGTGTATGAATAGAGATCCTCAATTAATAGGGAAATCAAAATTAACTGCCGAAACTTTCGCTGATATAATTAATGGATTTGTTAAGCCGTTGAGTTGGAAATCATTATTTGTGATAACCTTATTATTATTTGGAAGTTTAATAATAACCAACGTTGCGTTTGGTACTTATAGAAGTGCGTCCCATGTTAAAGACCAAAATCAGTCCCCTGATGATAATGATAAGAAAATTCAACTTTTGGAACTTCGACTCAAGGAGCAAGAAATGTTGTTACTTGAATATAGAAATGGTTCATCTTACAATGATCAAGCATCTGCCAAGAGAAACTCGTTCAAGTTGGAATCACCGTCACATATAAATAGATACTCCAGTTAAGATGACACTTGGCTGATCTTAGGTAATATTCTTTATTGTATAAACGTCATATTAGTTAATCATATATATTTTTTTCATGTAATAGTAATTTGTTGCATTGTCATGTCCTAATTAGGAAAGTTTTTCGATACAAAAATTATCATTGCGAAATGTATCAAAAAGACATATATTACATCAAGGATGATTCAATTTTAAAACCTATATAATCATGCTATTATGGACCTTTTTAAACTATCCAATGTTTAAAGATGTAGTAGAGACTTCTTACTAAGACTATATAATGTCACAGTTGAGAAATCCGTTTACTCCAGAATCAGACTTATCCGACCCATTCAGTGATAATAATCAAAATGATAAATTCGAAGAAGAATCATATTCTTCAGGATCTGTTCATGGAAGCAAGAAAGAACAAACAGATTCAAGTTCAGGATCAGATAAGGATACCGAAGAGTCAGCAAAGAAAAATGTGTTCATGTTTGTTAAAAGATCTGATATACCTTATATGATTTTTGCCAGTTCATTAATGGCAGCATCAGCTGTTGCAACTCCGTTACAAACTGTTATGTATGGTAATATCTTTAGTAAGTTAAGTGACTACTTTTTAGGCGATATTGCAACCCTTGGAGAATTCATTAGTCAAGTTAGATTATTGTGTGGTGCTATTATGATTATTGGTGCTGGTAAGATGGTATTTACATTTTTAGGGGTCTTCTTTTGGATGAAATTTGGCGAGAAACAACAAACAAGAGCCAGAAATGCATTATATGCTCAAGTATTTGATAGGAAAGTGGAGTGGTTTGATACTAAAGCAAACCTTATGGGTGAAGTATCCCAAGTTAATCGTTGTGTGGAAGAATTAAGATCAGGAACTTCTGAAATTATAGGTTTATTAATCCAAACCATTGCTTCAATTATTGCTTTACTTATCACTTCTTTTTACCATTCTTGGTCTTTAACATTGGTTATTATGGCTAGTACTCCAATCATGGCTGTAGTTGGTTGGTTTTTTGGTAAGTTAACTTACATGAATCAAGAAGTTGAAAATGAAATAACCGCTAAAGCTTCAAAAATCTTAGATTGGACTTTAGTTTATGGAACTGTGGTGAGATTATTTAATGGGAAATACGTCGAAATTGTTAAATTTAATAAATTAGTTGATAATTCTGCAAAAGCATTCTTTAAAGTTTCCAATGCCATTGCAGCAAATGGAGCATTATTACGTTCATTATCTTTGTTGATGTTTGTTCAAGGATTTTGGTTCGGAAATTCTATGATTAGACTCGGAAAACTTGAGATTAATCAAGTGTTTACTTGTTTCAGTTCTTGTTTAATGCTTGGTGCTTCTATTTCAGATCTTGGGGGTATTTTAGCTACTTTAAATAAAGCCCATGCAGCAGCTGGTAAAATTGATAAGTTTCTTGATACAAAGGATAATGTCGATAAATCCCCTCAACTTTATCCTCAAAGATGTTATGGTGATATTCAATTTCAAAATGTTGTATTTCAATATGCTAGTAGACCAGAAAATGTATTAAAGGGGACAAGTTTCAAATTAATGCCAAATGAGTTAAATTTTATTATTGGTCAATCAGGTTCAGGTAAATCAACAGTAACTCATTTATTAATGAAATTGTATTCTCCAACATCAGGAAGAATTAAGGTGGATGGATTTGATATTTCAACAGTTAGTCAAAAATGGTTGAGTAACAATATTACACTTGTTCTTCAAAACTCGGTAATTTTTAAACAATCGTTAAAAGATAATATTGCTTTGGCGGTTTATAACAGGTTTGATTCTTTACATGATGTTCCAGATCTTCTTATTGATGACGCTTGTAAGTTTTCTTTATTGGATGAGGTAATTGATGGCTTAGATGATGGGTTAAATACCAAGATAAATCAATCAACTTTATCAGGTGGTCAACAACAAAGATTAGCTATTGCGAGAGCTAAGATAAGAGATACACCAATTCTTATCCTTGATGAAGCTTTCAGTGCTCTTGATAATAAAAACAGAGATTTGTTATTTTCCAGAATCAAAAAATGGAGAAGAGGAAAAACTACCATTATAATTACTCATGAACTCAGTCAAATAGAACCAACTGATTATACAGTGTTAATGGAAGATGGTATAGTTAAACAACAAGGTCCTTTCTATACGATGGAAAATTTTGTATATAATGAAGAAAAAGTCGATCCTATAGTTGCTACCATTTCAGAAAAGGCGATTAAAAGGGCTAATAGAGAATCAGTGTATGATTATAAATTAAATCCAGTTATTTTGAAAGATCTTGAAAAACAACAAACCACAAAAGATGATAAAGAGAAAAAGGAGGAAGATGAAGTTATGGGTGTTTTGGCCATTTTGAAGTATTGTAAGAATACTATGGATAGAAAGGATCTTATAGTTATTGGTTTGATCTTCTCTGTTCTTGCTGGTGGAGCAGGTCCTGTATTCTCATATTGTTTTTCGCAGCTATTAAATAATATGATGAACACTGCTATTGGTGTTGAACATGTTAATTCTGCTTTGATAAAATGGTCCTGTATTGTTATTGGTGTAGCCATCGCTACTGGTATAGTCCATTATCTTTCCCAATACATTCTTTCTATTGCTGGTGAAAAATGGATTATCAGTCTTAGGAAGTTGTGTTTCACAAGAATCAATGAACAAGATATGAGTTATTTTAACAATAATGAGAAGACAAAACCAGCAGAAATAACTGCTCTTTTAATGAATGACACCCGTGATTTAAGAGCTTTAGTAACTGAATTTATATCTGTCGCTATTAATTTAATTGTGATGTTGTTAGTTGGTATCATATGGTCTACAGTTATAGGATGGAAGCTTTCATTAGTAGGTCTTTCATTTGTTCCATTGATTTTGATTATAACCAGAGTATATGGTATGTTCTTACAATCTTCTGAACATAAATATAAATCCAGTATTGCAAAGTTGGAAAATCACAATCATGAAACTGTCAGTTGCATAAAATCTATCATTCTGTTAAACTTATACACTTATTTTAAGGAAGAGTATGAAATTAGAATTTTCGAAGTCAATTCAATTTCTGTTATAAGAGCTGCACATACTGCATTTGGTCTTGCTCTTTCTGAGCTCTGTAATGCTATAGCTACGGGTGTTATCTTATATTATGGTATGGTTCTAGTAGGAAATCTTGAGTACACAAGAGATCAGTTGTTAGAAGTGGTTACTGTGTTAACGTTGACCATGACTAATGCAGCTGGTTTACTTAATCAAATTCCTGAAATTGCCAGAGGTCAAAGGGCTGGTACCTTTATTATCAAATTGTTAGAATTACAACCTTCACAAGTTGAAATTGGTGGTGAGATTAAACCTGTAAGATTAAGAGAGCCAGTTATACTGTTCAAAAATGTGAATTTCTCTTATGGTTCTGGAGTGAATGTGTTGAAGAACATATCTTTTGAAATTCACAAGAACGAAACGGTGTCCATATTAGGTGGATCTGGAAGTGGTAAATCAACTGTTACTTCATTATTAACAAGGCTATATGGTGGTTATAACGGTGATATCTTTGTTTCCAATTTCGATCTTAAGAAATTGGATATTGACTGGTTGAGAGAAGCTATTAGTGTAGTTCCACAATTTCCTAGATTCTTTGAAGGTACCATTCGTGAAAACTTACTATATGGATTAAATCCTCAAATGCAAGTTTCAGATGATGATATCTATGAACTGTTCAAGATTTCCAATATGTATTCCTTAGTTGTCTCCTTACCTGAAGGTTTGAACACGAAAATTGGGGAAGGTATGAATGCTTTAATGTCAGGTGGGCAGTTGCAAAGATTAGCTATAGCTAGAGCCCTTGTGAGGAATCCTAAAATTTTGATATTGGATGAATGTACTTCAAACTTGGATCCAGAAAATAAGAAAATGATAGCTGAATTGATTCAGGAAAAACTTATGGGTAAATACACTATTTTATTGATTTCCCATGATGTTGATATGATGAAATTTTCTAGATTGGTGGTATTACAACAAGGAAGAATAGTAGAGCAAGGTCATTATGACGAACTTTACAGTAAAAGGGGAGAATTGTACAAAATTACCAATGGAATAAATTAACAAAATCGTATCATTTAGCTAAAATCAACTTCTACTTCTTTATTAGATATATATGTATAAATAAATTATAATTTAACACAAATGTAAGGTATTTCAACATCTTCACCAGTTTTATCATCAGCACAAATTTCGAAAATCAAGTAGTTAACATGTTCTGGTATATCTTTTTTACTCACTTGTTTAATCAAATCAGTTAATTTAAGACCTAATCTTTCCTTAACTTTCTTTGGTGGATAAAATGAGGCATATAATAAGGAAACACCATATGATAACATACTAATTTCTAAGCCTTCCTTTTCTTCAAAATGAGTAAGTAACTCTTGTAATGTAATATCACCTTCCAATTCAAATCTATCCCAAATTTGATCAAAAGTCTTATCATTATATTTACCTTGAGCAGATTTAATTGGTTCCGAGAAACCAATGAAAGGTAATGCCAAGTTAATGAAACCATTCTTATATTGTTCTATATCATCATTCTTTGCAGCAACCTTATATAATTCCAAACAAACTAACCCAGTCACTAATGCAGTTGTAGTAGCAATGGCTGGAATAATCTTACCAGCAATAAATTTAGTCTTGGAAGCATCAGCAGGTTCGATGGAATAATTCAAAGCTCTACAATTAGAAGCAGCTGTTATGAACTCAATATGGTGGTTGGTATCATCATCCTTTTCAAATTCAACTGGAATTAATCTATAACCAGCTAAAGTGCTTGGTTCAGGTAAAGTAGCAGCAATCTTATTGACTTCTTCAGTATCACCTGATCCAGAAAGATTATTAGCTTGTTCTTCAGCTTCAGCATCAGTAGCAGCAATAGTTACACCTGATTTTGGAGTGAAAGGGGCAATGTGAGTGGAATCTAAAGTCTTCTTATAGTCTTCAAAACTATATTCAGGTGCTTTTAATCCATAGATATAAGCTAATAAATGAGCACCACCTGAGATGAAATTGAAATGATCAGTATTATTAATATCAAATACTAAAGCTTCTGGAGCTCTTTTTGGACCTGACCAAAATGGTGCACCTTGTGAGGTCTTGGCATCTTTAGGGAAATTATATAACAATTGTAATATTTCATGACTAAATTTATTTTCAAATTCTTGTCTTGCCCACTTGATACAGTCATCAAAGGAGTAAGGACGTTTGTTTAAATAAGCTGCAATATTTTCAATAGTACCTTTAACATCTGGACTTTGCTTTAATGTTTGTTCCACGTAATTTGGTTGACTTAAGTATAAATTAACGGTTTCTGGAGAATCAGCAAAATAACCTTGGAATAAAGACTTGGCCCAAGCAATTGTATGATCAATTTTATTTGGGAATGATCTTAACGTACATAATGGAATAGATTTTTCTGGAGGATCTTGTGAAGATGAATATGATTCAGTCAAGTTTGGGATGATGACTTGGGTGTTACCTTTGGTACCTAAAGTTCCTGATTCCAATAATGCCTTTTTATAAAAGATACAACGACGATCAACATATGTTCTAGCATCGACATTATCTAATGCATTGGTGACAAAGTCTAATTGTCTCCAAAAAGCATCGTTAAATATATCTTCGGTTTCAGCACCCACTTTATCAAGTTTAGATTCAATTTTACCAATTAAATCAGGATTCATATGTTGGACTGCTCTAGCGGCAACTTCAGATTTATTACTTCCAACATCTTTTGGTCTGAATAAAAATTGACGATTTAAATTTGACTTTTCAATGGAATCATTATCAGTTACAATAATTTTACCATTTGGACCTGAACCAAGACCCATCATAGCCCAATTTTTTAACATTTCACATCCAATGGCTCCTGAACCAACTAAAAATACTTTAACATTTGAAAGATCTTCATGGAATTGTTTACCAAAGACTGCGATTTGTCCATCATATCTGGTACCAAGAGGTTTAGTGACTTCAGCATTTCTTGGATATTTATCAGCAGGAGGTAATGATTCTAATGAATCAAAATATAACCATTGTTTAACTGGACCGAATTTTGACGAACAATTCTTTAAAACTTCTTGGGCGATTAAACCACCATAGAAGGCAGAAATACCTGGGATATCACCTCTAGCTTGATATGATAATTCTTTGATTATTTTTTCATTTAATTTTTCTTCGCCTAAAACAGTTGGATATTGAGATGCAACTTCTTCGGCCAATCTGAAAAATTCATTTGCATCTTCTTCATGGAACGATCTTGGTAATTGATTGTGTCTTGTCTTGAAAGCATGTAAGGCTTGAAATCCAATATGTAATTGAGCAGGTCTATCGAATTTACCGAAATCAGAAATCACGTATTCTGGGTTAGCCAATTGTTTAACTAATGGTTCAAATTTCAAATCTTTTGGAACTTTAACTTGAGTGTAGACTCCACTTCTAAGATATTTACCATAACTTTCATCAATTTTAATCTTAAAGGCGTATGGGCCTAAAACTTCAATCTTATGAGGATTTCCATCATTTAATTTTGGCATTCCATCAACTTCAGCAAATTTAACAAAATCACCATCTTCTAATCCATGTCTATTATCATCAAGCATAGTAACAGTTCCATCAGCTTCGATATCGGAAACAATACCAGTATGAGGTTCTTCACCGGTTTGATCAATGACAGTAAATTTTTCACCGAAATCAACAAATAATTGACCGAATAAACCTCTAACATCAGCATTAATATATCCAATATTGTGTTGATGAGTAAAAGTGTTAATTCTAACTTGTTCTTCCAAGCTTATGTTTGTAGACACGATACATTTGAATTCAGCTAAAGTTTCTATATTTAAATCGGAAAGGACATTAATTGGAACGTATTGATTTAATTCTCCTAATCTTGGAGCAGAAACTTCAGCTCTTGGTTTACCAACATCACTACTTTCTAAGAAGAATTGACTTGATAAATCTTGTATTTCAACTGGTTCTGGATCATATAAAGCCAATGATTTAACCCCAGCAAGGGCAACGTTTTTGGCGATTTCAATACCTAACCCTTTTAAACCGATTATTAACACATTGGCGTTTTGCATTTTAAGCATGGCTTCTTTACCCAAGACATACAATTGTCTGGAGTACAATCCTTCATCAATTTCAGGAGTGTCAACTTGCATACTTTCAGCCATCTTGATTAATTCTTATTATGGTCAATCAAATGATGTAATTATATATATAGTTATGACAAATTATATATATGAACAATAGAGATTACGATTCATTTTGAATTACAAATTTCTGGATGAGAAACTCAAAATTGCCACCTCTGGGTTATATGCAGGTGTGTTATTCACGTGACCAAAAGGTTAACTCTCTATCTTGAAAGCAATTAAAATTGAGGTTTAATGAAATTCTGACTATACCTATTCTGGATATGCTTGTTCAAGCTATAATAGGATGCATGTAAAAGTGGGAGTAAAGTCAAATGAAGATTACCAAAAGTAGTAAATAAAGTGGAGACCAGTTTTCGCGGCCATATTAGTTTGCTGGCAAAGCCAATTTTTGAAGGGCGAAGCTAAAAAAGAGAACTCAGAGTCCAAAAAGAGAAAAAATTTAGAGTGAATGCAACATTTCATACTAAAGGTTTATAATGTACTAATATTGGAAACTTTAGCAACAATGTTATTTAACATATTGCGTGTAGTCTGCAGATTTATGTAGCAGCAGGTAAGGTGAGAAAGGGAAAGGGAAAGAGAATGAATGAATGAATGAATGAAAAAAAAAAAATACATTAAATGAGAGTTACAAATAGACAAATCAACACCATCATGATACGTTCTATTATTATTATTATTATTTAAGAAAGTTTCTAGAATTATCTTCTGTTAAGGGTTTATCTTCTTTAGTAATTTGCAAAGCCAATATATATGATTTTACAAAAATAATAGTAGCGAGATGTCAATGGATATGGGGGTTGTACACCTGTTTCTAACCTGTAATTTTTTAGAAACTAGGCAAATATTATTTTGAATCCTCAAATAATAAATTTATTTTTTAGTATGGTACTTATGTTATTTTTTTGTTTCATTCGAAAATAAAATAAAAAAAAAATACAAAAATAAAAAAACTTTAATTTTCTGGGAACTTTAACACAGCCAAAGAAATGATTACGGGAGTTATTACACACAAAAAAAAAAACATCTTTCATTAAAAAAAAAAAGTGTTGTTGACACATTTACGAGTTTATGAAAAAAAAGAAATCAGATAAATTATAGGAAAAAGAAAAGAGAAGAAAACATCAGTCAGTCAGTGTAGAAATATCAATATCAATATCAATTAGTTATGTGTGTAGATGTGTGTAATATTGTGTGAATGTGTGTGTGTGTTATTTGTTTGTTTATTTGTTTATTTGTTTGTTTGTTTGTTTGTTCCCTCTTACAATTTAATTAAACCTTTTTTTTTTTTTTTACTCCACTCATGACGACCACCCTCTTTGATTTACTTTCGTTTCATATCCTTCCGCATATCAATGATTTCTTTTTAATGTATTTGATAGTTGACCAGGATTTGAAGTATGATTAAGTCCTAGTTATAGTAGAAGGAGAGATAATACAGTTTATGGCGATAATTTGCATCATTTGTATCCTGTAAAAATAGAGCAAACAAAGAAAAGAAAAGAGTAAAGTAAATCTGATTTACACAAACAGAATTAAAATACAATGAAGCAGAATTTGAATCATGTAGATTACATCTCTAAAGTTGCATTTACCTTATCAATTTAAAATAATAGAAAGTAAATGGAAACGAGTAAAAATAAACCATGAAAGAAAGAAAGAAAGAAAGAAAGCAAGATCAATCGCCAGGAGCCTAGACCATCTGTACTTGATTGTATCGAAACAGAATTAGGTTGGGGTAAAAATTTAAATCAATCTTTAAAAAAAAAAAAAGAAAAAGAAAAAAAAATGTAATCACGTTGTTAAAATCACATGACGAGTTTATAAGGAGGAGGTGGGGAAGGGTAGTTTAGTCGAAAGAATGAGTGGGAAGACAAATATTAATAAACTTAATCATTTCCCAAATCGATAATCTAAAGCAAAGTCTATATTATAATTTACTAAGTGGATCAATAATGACTGTCACCATAAATTGCTTGGCAGATGTATGTCTTATACCCATTGGAACTGCTTCAGTGTCAGTTTCAGATGAAGTAACTGCCATTACAAAGTTAGCTCAGGATTCTCATTTACATACCACTTTACACAGTGCCGGTACTACCATTGAAGGACCTTGGAATGAAGTAATGGATTTGATTGGTCAAATGCATGAATTGTTACATACCAAACATAATGTGGTTAGAATCCAAAGTGATATAAGAGTAGGTACAAGAACTGATAAACGTCAAACTCCTCAAGATAAAATTGATGTTGTCCAACGAAAATTAAAAAATTTACAATAAATTAAATATATAATAATAATCCAATCAACCCACATATCTTTTAACGATTAATTGGCCTTAGAAAGGACTCTGTAGATTAAATGAGATATTATTATTAATTAATTTAAAATTAATTAATAATTTAATGACGTATTACTACTGAACTCCAACTTTTAATCTCAAAATAATAATAAATTAAAATCATAAGTATTTATAGATTATATAATTATATATAGAAGTACAAAGTTTATAGAGTAAGGGGTTGGAAAATAAAATGTGACTATAGTTATTTTTTTGCTATTTTAATTAATTTCCTATCTTAAATTATTTAAACATCAAAAAAAAGTGGCCTTTTCTCGTATCAAGTACCCTTTTACCAAAAGCATGATATAATAATAATGATGATTAGCCAAGATAAGAATGGAGATAAATTGAAATTACGAAAAAATTGTAAAGTACTAAAAGAATGTTGGATGAACTAAAAATAACTCCCAAAATGATAAAAGTAATGAAATAATTCACTAGTGTGACAAGTAATAATAGGGGAGTGAATTGTAAATTATATCAATAATATTAGTAGAATTGAATTCAAAACGAACGAAAACGAAATCAAAAACTTGGGAAAAATGCAAAAAAATGGCAAACTTAGTTGATTAAAAACTAAAACCAAAAAAAGGAAAACTTGAATTACTTACTTAATAAAAGTGTTTTGGATAACTATATTGATTGGCTGCTGGATTGGCATTATTATTAATGTTTGTGTTTGGCGTTACACTATATCTTTGATATGCACCATGGGATAATTGTGGTTGAGTACTGTAATAAACATTTGAAGTTGCTGGTGCAGGATTGATTTGATTTGAAATTGAATTAATACTAGTAGTAGCTATAATACTATTAGCATTATTACTTTCTTCTTTTTTAATTTCAGATCCACTTGATGACTTTCTCTTTTTAGATGATGATGAACTACCTGAACTACTATCACCACCTTCTGATTTTTTCTTTCCATGTTGTTCACGTTGCTCAACTGATTTTTCGGCTAATTTCTTTTCTTTAATGCATTCATTAATAGTATCTTCATTAACAGAAAATTGTCCTGGATTTGCCCAGAATAACATTCTAACAATTTCACGACATTCAACATCGGTAAAATTCTTGCTGGTTGCTTTATTTAATTCTGTACTTATAAATCTCCATTTTTCTATTTCTCCAGCATCTAAAATTCTTTGTAAATGTTCTTTATCTTCATTATCCCAACTTGAAGAATTATTATTTCCTTGTTGACCCACAATAACTTGATATCTATTTCTAGCAGCCAAGTAAGATCCAACTTGAGAAATTTCTGCAATTTCAACCCATGATTTGCCCTTCTTTTTAAGTGAAACAATTAAATCATCTTGTTGTTTTGAAAACTTAGACTTTCTCTTGGCTCTTTTATTGGAAAGACTAAGACCAAGTTCAGGTCTTGGATCTGCTCTTGACAATGGTGGTGGAGGTAACAACTGTTGTAAACGTTCACAAAAGTTTGGAAATATGACATTATTGGTAATTGATTGAGGAGGATTGGCAGTGGAAACACTAACTTGTTGCAGTTGTTGTTGTGATTGTTGTGGCTGTTGTTGGGCTTGTTGTTGGACTTGTTGATGTTGTTGACTAGTACTACTAACAGTTGGTATGCTACCAGTACTTTGAGATTGTTGCTGTTTTGGAGGAAGTCCTGGAGCAACTTGCATTTGTGGTGGAGGATGATATTGACCATATCCAGTACTATAATAATTGACTTGACCTAAGTTATTAGTAGCCCCAATTTGATTATTTGGATTATTTGGATTTGGATTACCTGGAGGTATTATATAATAATTGTTACTATTGGGGTCATAATAGTTTTGTTGTTGTGCTTGTTGTTGTTGTTGATGTTGTTGTTGAGGTTGCTGTTGTTGTTGTTGTTGTTGGACTTGTTGTATTTGTTGTTGTTGGGCAGCGTAAGTGTTACCGCTAACTTGAGGAGCGGCGTAAACCATGGCTTGATTAAATCCATATTGACCATTGGCAGGATAATATGAAGGAATTTGAACTGATGGTGATGCATAAACTCTTGGTTGGTCGGCTCCAGTGTTGACATCTTTTAAAGCATGAGCTTGAACTGTTGCAGGAGCCCCAGCAGTTGCTGTGTTGGTTTGAGCAAAGGGAAATTGATGATAAGAATTATTAGGATTGTTATTGTCGTAGGAAGACATCATTTACTTCTTTTTATAATAATAATATAAGTATGAGGAAATAGGAAAGTACGGGACAACGCAATAATGATTGAAATAAAAGTATACAGTCTTGACTGATAACTTTTTGACTTTATTTTATATAGTCAAATATATGAATAACAACGAAAATAATCAAATTTAAGACTAATCAGTTTTGATCAAAATCTACCAATTGCTTCAAACTATATGCTTTATTAGTAATGAATAATAATAAATATGGTAGATTATATGATTGACGGCAAGGGTACTATTGGGTATGCTCTATCTTCAATTTAATACAGATAGAATCAATTCAATATAGTCGTCGTCTGATTGATTTGATGTAATTGAAGACAAGATGTTGTTTTAACTTCTTAAATTTAATTTTTAAAATTTAAAATTTATTTACACTTCCTTATATATATTTATTAAATTGTTTTTTTTTTATTTTAATATTTTAATTTTTTATTTTTATTTTTATATATTTTTAATTATTTATATTTATTTATTTATTTATTTATTTATTTCAATGTTTTTTTCTAATTCTGATTTTTTTTTTTGGGATTATTATTTTTTAAACTTATTATGAATATTTTTTAAGTTTATGATAATTTTTGGTTAATAATATTGATTTTTAATCTTTTTTTTTAATTTTTATTTTTTTTTTATTTTTTAAATTAGGATGAATCTTAATAATATTCAAACACACATAAATTTGAATTGTTATTTAGTTACGGGTCCTCGTTTTATTTAAATTAAACAGATGACTTTCCGTAGCCTGCATGCGTGCTTGGTGTATTTTTTTTTTGTGCACACTTTATGCTCACAACTTTTAACATGAATCTCAGATAATAATATTTTTTTACTAACACATTACCTAATTCTCACATATTAATTAATTTACGAATTTTTTCTGACAATACTTTTTTTACAGATTAATATGCATCCGCCTGAGGGATTTTTTATTTTTTAAGCTCTAATCTGTAAATTAAGCATGATTCAGGTTAAATTGATAATAAAAGCTAAAGTCTTAATTTGGGATTCTCATGAATCAGTTTTAAAATGCAATTTTATTTTAGATTCTAACGTAACTTAAATTTAAAATAATATTGCTTATTTCTAAATTCAATTGTTAACCTTCGATAAATACAGAAAAATCGGCTGTTTACTTCGTCCGTAAAAGGGACCGTTGATCAAAAAGCATTTAATGTACAAAGTTATCAACTATTTATGTAAAAGAAGAATTTAAAGTCTCGGATTTACTAAAAATTATAGTCCCTCGACTATCGATGAAATAGAGATAACGTAAGATCACCAGTACCACTATTATCAACTATTACCACAACTCCCCTATACTAGTTCCGTCCCGTCCCCTCTCGTTCAAGTTCTAGATTATTTCCTTTTTATTTTTTGCCTCCCTCTTTATACTTTTTTTGACACTATTATTATTACTGATTACCCTCGCACCCCTATCCCTGCAACTCTAAATTGATTAAGGTTTGAGTAGGCAACAACCTAACAATTATGAAACGTCGAAGACCCTCTGTAATTAAACAATCATAACAGTTTAATAATCAAATAAGCTGTCGTTGTTAAAGGACATTAACCATTATTTGTAAACTTCTGGTTATGTACTCGTGCCAAAGCTTCTACAAACCCCCCAAACACATTAGCAATCAAACCCTCAGATTAACCTTACTGTAAAATACGAATATCGAAAAAAAGGAAATACTAAAATAACACAGAACCAAAAGCTTAAAAAAAAGAAACAATTAGGAATTATCTTTATGATAGTCCTGTCACGGTCATGCATGGGGGTAACTTTCACCAAAAGTCTTGTTATTATCATTGACATATCACACACACATGCTATTTTGAATTGACAAGGTAGACGTTGTACACAACCTCATTTTCTTTGTGCGGAATCAAAGATGTTACTTTTTATTGATAATTCATTTTAATCGTTTAAACTTCGTAAATTATTCGCTACAACTCTGAGCTTTAATTTGATTAACTATATCGATCTTCATTTTTAAAATGTTCGGAATGAATTGTTTAAATTATCGTTTGGTTGCTAGTTTAGGTGAAGTGAGTTTGTGTGCGCTGCTGTTAGTAAAGAAAATGCACAAAAGAAAAAGCAAAATCCAAATTAATTTCACAATTTTTGGAATTATCGTTCTGTGCATTAAAATGAGTTTATTTGTTTTAACATCTGATTAGGAAATCGATTCTACTAAGCTATTATAACAATTACTTCAAATTTACACAGTTTATAGAGCTTTTACATCACTTTGCATTTCTTTTTGTTTCATGGGGCCCTTTTTTTTTTTTTTTTGAGGTATTTGTATATGAAAACACACTCACAATCTATCGCGTAGTAGTAATTTTAGAGGTTAAAGGTTGAGGGAAGGGTTCTTATTTGCTACTATGAAAAAACATATGAGGAGTAAAATCATAAAGAAAATTCACAACTTGAAGCTTACGTGCATTATGGAACATTCAGGTATAATCATCGGGAACATGTACCCATTCATGTACAACTGATTACACGAACGAATGTATCGCCTCAACTGCAAATCATATTCTACTTGCCATCGATGGAAATGATTTCCGCCTATACTAACTTCACCAAATGGGGGAAAAAAGATTGGAAAGGAAAATAGCGACTGCGCAGGAAGAAGAGCAGGGAAGGGGAAAAAAAAATAAAAGGAACATATCGCCCTTTCGGCAAAAATCAATTTCTAAAGGCAAAGTACTACAGGATAAATGAGATAGGCATTTTGGATTTAGGAAGCGGCAGATCTCGAATGTAATGGAATACTTCAGAACTGGTGATTCATTTCATGTATCTTATCCATTTAAAATTTTTTTATCTCTGAAATAGGAATCAAATCGAATCATATTATATCATATCATTCTAATAAAATGCCATCAAAAATGGAATTAATCTCCTGTTTTGTACGATAAAGCGTTGTTATCGCTAGTTTTATCCCCGCTGCAACCCAATCAGTAGAGTTTATCTTAGAGATAGGTTTCAGTTAGTTAATCATACTCTCTATAGTCTGACAGTTTTTCTATCAAGTAATTATACTTCAAAAACATAATAGAGCTTATTCACTCGGTTATTTCCTATGTGATTTTTATTTTATTCTAGGTAGGGATCAACTTTTTTGGTAGCGATTATTATTGTGGACTTTTACTATAATTATTATTACGATTTACAGACACATGACAATAAAAGAGTCAGTAGGAAGTGCTGAAAATAATAATTTTATTATTACATTCACATTAAGGAACATGAAATGTGGTTAGCATCCCCCTTTTTATTATTTATCGAATTTATTTTACAATATTTTTTAATTTATTTTACTATACTTTTATGCCATAATTTTATAAGTTTTTAGGTACTGATTTAAAAAAACATCTCCAGACAACATATCATTTATTGTATTAGTCAGTTACTTTAAACAGCTTATCTATCCCCATTCCTTTTATCTATCTGTCTTAGTAATCTCAAAAAAAAATGTTTGTAGGTTCAGTTCAGGAAAAGTGACGACCTCCCGAGATGTAGCTCAGACGCCTCATAGCTACCAAAACATGCAAGAAAAACAACAACAATTAATTCCTAAAAATATGGGCATACTGCCACACATCGTACATTTCGGTAAATTTACTTATACACAAATAATAATAATAATAATAATAATTTGGTGTTGCTTAAAAGTATATCTTCCTTTGTGTGTATATTTATTGACTTACAAATTTGACCACACACAAGATTGGGTACTCTTGATCAAGTGTCAAAGTGTATAAACTTTTGGTAAACATTGACTAGTTTTGAAATATTGTAAGAAGCAAGTATGGTCTTCAGTAAGGAACGATCGTGATACATTTAATCATGTACACTAATCTCAAAACTGAAAACAAGACCTCAAGTTCGAATTAAAAAAAAAAGGCTGTATAACCTGTAAAAAATGAAATTCTTTTAAGAATAAAAAAAGAAATCAAAAAAAAAAGATTTTGGTTTTACGGGCCTAAAAATGAATAAAAATAAATGGAAAAAAAAAAAGGAAAAGAATCAAAAAAAAAAAAAAAAAGATCTTGAAAATATCAGGTCATAAAGTTTAATTGTATAATTAAACAGCTAAAGATAGATAAAGTCCCAACCGAAGATAATATAACATATAACATAATGATAACTATTATGCTTCAGCATATAGACTGCATTCAATACGAAGATAGATCTTCATTAAATTTTCATTGTGTTTCATTGTTTGTAAGCACATTAAGACTCCATGTCTTTGTCACAATTGATGATTACGTAGCCGCTAAGAACTATAAGAACTTTTGCGGAAGACAGTGATGATAAACATTCTCTCTCTGTCCTTCATTTTTTTTTTTTACTTTTTAGTCTTTTATTTTTTTCGGCTCATTCCACTAACAATTTCTGTCTATCCTATCTCAATTCATTATCCCCCACTTTTATAATCTATAAAAGATAAGTTCTATTATCTTGGTTCTGCCTTATCAAATCAATGTATAATGATGTAAACCAATGCTCTTTTGTTCAATTGGAAATCCTTTTAATACTAAGAAAATAAATACTAGTTCACAATATTTAGACTTCCTCCACTTATCATCGATCATTCCCCTCTCTAAGTTTTGTAATAAAAATAATATCAACGCAAAATAAAAGGAAAAGCCTAATTAGAATTATTTTCTCTTAATTTTAACAAAAAATACGTTTGGAATATTGATTATTTTCTTTTTTAATTTATTATCTCAGCTAACTCACTTTCAGTATCAACTTATCATATCTATAGCAAAAATAGATTTACCAATTCTACTTCTTCTAGAACACCGAATAAAGCCTATCATTTACAACCAGAAGTAGATCAAAATGATAATTACTAATTAAAAGTAAAAAGTATTTCATGATTCTTCCCTTCTGCCCGGTACTATAATTTTTTGCCTCGAAATAACTTAAATCTCTCGGAAGCACAAATCTAAAGTTAGATAGTTTCGACTTAAAAAGAAAGAAAAAGCCTTGTGTAATTGTACATATAATTAACCATAATGTAGTTGAATCTTTTAATTCTGCTATTTTTTGAAAGTATTCTTCTTATACTTGCTGTAAAGGCATTGGCACCCTCTTATGGTGGTGCTCTCACTATTTGTTTGATTTCATATCCCCCCACCCTCGATAAATTGTTCTCAGATCAAAAAAATTCAAATGTTTCAAAATTTACATGTTAGTATGCATGCATGCATTGAAGAGATACATATTAAATAGCAAAAATAGTATGAAATTCAAATTTGTGTTCAATATGCAAACATGATAATCTTTTTGTTTTGTGATATGCAAACATTATTTTTTATGAATTTGCTGTTGGGGTATTTATCTCGTACTTACTCATGGTGACAAATATAAATGTTTATTCCTTTGGATGTTGTTCTTGTTGTTGTTGTCATAATAAGCTGATTGAGTTCATTTGCAACTTGAAGGTATGTTTAAAAGAGCATATATGAGCCATATTAGATCGGGATAATAAAATAGCTAGTGAATACTTGATCAGACTAATGACAGAATTTGGCCACTATTATAACATAGTGGAAGATGTTGCCACCAATCACAAACAAGAATGTAAAGCTGCATTAGTTAACGATATGATTAACAAATAATATTAGCTATGGCTCTCGCTATGACTAAGAGAATTTATGTAAGTACTAAAATAACACCTTTGATGCAAATAATATAAAGATATACATTCACCTCTATGGCCTCTTTTCCTGTACATTCCGCCCGCCCTATTTGGTGTTTAAAGTTAGATAAATAAATATTGTCTGTTTTCTCCATCTTGAGCATGAACGAATCTTTAAACTGTTCACAAAACGATTCTAAAGGAAAACTAGCATATCATCATCTACATGATTGTTAATTTTCAACTTTTCATATCATTTCCCCAATGAAGTAGCATAATTAGGGAAGTATCATGAAAACCAATCAATTTATAAGGGGGAAAAAATAAAAGAACAACAAGAAGAAATCAAACCAAAGGGACCTTCCTTCTGGCTACGTTTTATTGTTTTTAACTATTCGTTTTGAATATTTAAGCAATATTATTAGGCTTGTTATTTTTCATTACAGTAGTTTTTGGAATATATTATTCTTTCAACTAGTCCAAAATATTATATTATCAAAAGCTAAACTATTATTATTATGCAAGATAAAATTTTCTGACATGTTTTAGCAAATCCTATTAATATTTTTTAATGATTTTAAATTATTTTTTGATGGGTTTTTTTGGGGTTGAATGAAAACTATAAATCAAACAGATCTGACACAGAAATCTGAACAATGCCAAAAAAAAAAGGAAATAAAAAATCAGAGTTTAGAAAAGTTTAAATAAAATACTAAAAAATAATGAAAAAATATAAAAATAAAATAAAATAAAAATAAAAATAAATAAAAAAAAATAAAATAAAGGACACAATAAAAAAAAACATCACTTTTGCCATACACCAGATATCCTTTGCAAATTGGCTATTCAGTCCGGCACAACAACAAAACTGTTCGAGAGGCATTGATGCAAAAATTCAAATTTTCGTCTCTTTATTATGCGATTTAACAAAATACGAATAATTTAGAACTAACCCTCCAAAAAGGCTTGTGTGTATATATATCACTTTTCGTAATTGCAAAGGATATGAGCATACTACCACTTTGTTAATATGAATACGTGTTGATGTTGTTAAGAAGGTAAAGCTTTGGGGGATGTAGTTTGTAAATACTTAGTAATTTGATTATTCATTCTGTAAGAATTAATTATTTTTTGGAAGCATATAACAGCAAGAAAGCAATGAAAGTTACAGTAAAAAAATCAAGTAAAACTTTTACGAACAGCAGAGTAAACTAAACTTCTCCTACAAATTTTTTTTTGTTGAAAAAAGTAACATATTAATGATTACAAACAGTAATTATAATCTAATCATGAAATAAATCCTCCCAATTACCAATATAATATAAATAGAAAGAATCCAAGTTTAATTGAAGTGAAAGTTTTGTAATTTATGAAATATAATAAAATCATACACTTCAATAGAATTGAAACTTAATAAAAAAATAACATAGCCTGTACAACCATCATGTCAGTTCATGGTCATGTTCGTGATCATGATCATGTTGACTTTCATGATCTTCTTCTACACCTTCAGCATCATTCACTCCAACTCCGACTCCAGCTCCCACAACTATTCCATCTCTACCTGGTTCTATTAAAGCCGAACCAGCTGATTGATGAGTGTGGACTTGTCCAGTAGCAGCAGTGGTACTAGTTCCTGTACTAGAAGTACTAGGTATACACCAATTTCTATGACAATGCCATGCCTTCATTTGACATTCTCTAGAACAATATTTAGTTCTCTTGCATCGTCTACATTTCAGAAATTCACGAGGTGATTGTTCCCATTTACCACATTCTAGATTACCACATTGTCTTACACCTCCTCTTAATTCATTCCTACGACATGAATTCCTCATTATAACTCCTGACCAATAATACATATCAGTTCCAGCTAAGAAAGTAAACTTTTCCACTATAGGGAATAAATTAGCCTTTCTAAATTCAGTCAATGAAGGATCCAAATCTTCATGATCTTCGTCAACATCAAAATGTTCATAATCATCATAACTCCATTTTTTAGTTAAGAATTCTTTAGCTTCATTCCTCTTGGATATGATAGAATTCACCAATTTTTTACTTTCCAATTCAATAAATGAATTAATTTTATCATTGATCTGACATAAGGCAATTTCTCGTTCAACTTCATCAGCAATAGCTTCACAGTCTATCACAGATTCATAAAGTTTAGCCAAAGTATTAGAATTATTACTAATGACCTCGTTAATTAAATTCGACTCTTTATCAAGAATAATATCACTATCACTCTTGTCTGATGAATCATCATCCTCTTCAAATTCTTCACTCTCATCTTCTTCATCTTCGATTTCAGCAGTTTCGGTTAAGCCTGATTCTTCTGCTTTATTACCTAATTCAAATTTATCTTCCTCTAATAAGAAATTATCATCATGAATGGTATTTATATCATTTAACATTTGAGGTGAATTAGATGGAGATGGATTGAATCTTTCGATATATGTAGTCTTTGTTTTTCTTGATTTGGGAGTTATGGTTGGTCTAAGGTTTACTTCCAAACTTTTCTTTAATTTTAATTTCATTTGTTTTTGTAAATAAAGTTTTAATTGTTTATCCCTTATACTCATATCAACTATATAATGAGTATTTTGTAAAACATCTTTCAAATAAGGATATTTGGAAATATATGCTAAAAGTTGTAATGACCATACAATATCGTCATCTCTTGGTATAACAACACCAGTATCTGTAAAATTCCTCACGGCAATTTTGCTACTGTACATTGTTTTATTGGCTTCAATATCTTGAATGTATAAATCAGAAAGGAATCTTAAATTATTATCCATTTCATAATCGGAATCATTTAAAAATGAATCATCAACAAGTTCATTTTCTTTTTCTTCTCTTAATTTCTTTAAAAGATTGGCAATTACATATTTTCTTCTAATATCATTATTAACCGTAGTACTTTTGGTTTGATTGGTAGAACTACCGATTTTATAAGGAGCAAAATTGTTTGATCTTGTTAATCGCACTAATTGATCAATAGTTAAATTTTCATAGTCATCACTGGTTAAACTGTTTGGTAAACTACCATTGAAATATGCAAGATATGGATTTTGTCGAAGCATAGATTGATCCAAGCTATTGGCAGCAAGTTGTAATGGAACCTGCATTACATTTAAATCGAATGGATATCTTGTTTCGGTATTAGCAACTTCAGGATCGCCTTGAGCTCTGTTCCAATTTCCTGCAGTTGAGATATCAAATGGGATTTGAACATCATTTTGAAGTGGTGCTTGACCTGGAACTGGAATTTGTTGTTGTCCTAATAAGTTGATTGGCTCTACACCTTGATGTTGCAAAAATTGTTGATGAGGAGCCATTTGTGGTTGTTGCTGGATCTGTTGAGGTTGTAATTGTTGTGATTGTTGTTGCAGCTGCTGTTGTTGATGTGGCTGTTGTTGTTGAGTTCTTGAATTGGCATGAATAAAAGTTCTTTCATGAATAGAAAGGTAATTATCTAAAACAGTTGCTATTATGGGTAAAATACCAGCTTTTACCACCTTCTGTCTTATCTTTTCTGTACCTCTAGTTCCTACTAATACTAAACATTGAAATGCTAAAGTCCATTTCCAAGCCGTTAACAATTTCTTTTCACTATTAAATATATTATCTGATGCATTAAAGGTTGAGTTATGACATTCATGTAAGATCTCAATAAGTCTTTCTATACCACCATCTATGGATAAAGTTTCTCTTACTTTTGCCAGTGAAGATACAAGATATGTTAAATAGTTTAATGAATTAACCAATGGTTTATCAGAAGTTACATCCAACGCCCTTCTATCATATAAACTACTTGTGATAGTGACAGCCGCCTTATTAGCCGAGATAGACTTATAATTTGAGTCACGCATATGGCAGCCTACCCTTTCTTGATTACCTTACTGATGGACTCCCTGGTGAACTAATGGAGGAGGAGGAGGGGGAGACTGTAATCCTTAACTGAATGCTGACAAACAATAGGAAGCAGATAGATTGTTGATGACGAGATAAATGCAGAAAAGCTAGTCGAACTTGGGATTCTAAACGCACCAGTACAATATTCACCCTCTTCTTAAATGGGGTTGAAGGCAAATAAGGGTATGAGGTTTAATGAATTTAAGGTGGTTTATGTTTGGCTTTTCGTACGGTCCTGAAGGATTTTTTTTTGTCCACTTTGCCACTTACAAAACTGTCTTTAATTTTTTTTTCCTTTTCTGTATATAAAAATTAAAAAAAAAGTGAGGCATCGTATATGCAGGAAAACAGGAGAAATCAAATCTCTACAAATATGGAAACCCTTTTAAAAGGAAAGTTTAGTTAATATCTAAATTACATTTCATTATATCATATTGTATAAAAAGGGGCTCTATAAAAATAGTTTCTAATAAATAGATCTATGCTCTTAATTTCAGTTCAACTTGAACCATGACTTTCATACATTGTTCCATGAACATTAATGTTAAAATAGAATGAGGTCCAATTCTAAATAATTGAGCCCAGAAACCTTTATATAATGCAGCAGGACCTTCTGTTCTGATAGTCTTTTGGAAACAATCGATTGGACCTTTATATAAATTACCCTTTTGATTATATAAACGAGTAAGAATAACATCCCATGGATTCATTACTATAGCTACTCCTAAACCAGCAGTTGAAGATGATATGAAATGCATTTTTAATGAATTATCTTCGGCAATATTATTCTTTAAAAGGAAGTTCTTGGTGTAAGTATATACTGGAAGTTGAGCTGATGATCCAGCTCCTGTTCTTAATACAGCAGCATCGACCCCTCTATATAAACCCTTAATACCTTCAGCTTTATAAACTTTACTTAAACCATCCCAAACCCCCTTATAATAGGTTTGTTGACCGACATGATGAGCAGCTTCTGATCCTGCTTTGGAATAAGATTGCATTCTTGTTTTAATTAAGAAAAATGGAGATCCAAGAATAGCACCGGCCGATCCTGAAATAAAACCTGAAGAAACATTGATAAATAAATTTTGAGGAACTCTTCCACCTTCAGTAAGACTAGAAGGCAGGAATATACTAGTTAAAAGGTATCTACTTGGTTCATATAATCCAAGTCTACAACCATTCAATCCCATTTGATAGAAATAACCACAAAGTAAACCTTGTTGTAAACCTCGTATACCTTCATTTTTATAGATAAGACCAAACGCTTGGAATGGATTCTTATATAATAACACTTCACTAGAAGCCTTCTTATGCAATTCACCTTGTAATTGCATTCTAGTCTTCACCAATTCAATTGGATTAGTAAAAGTAACAGCTCCACAAGCTGCTATCCCACCAGCAACAAACCCTCCAAGAGTGGATACTTTTTCAAGACTACTCCTCTTACCTCCAGCATGTTTCTGTGCCGCCACTTGTTCAACCACAACAGTCTTGGTAGTCTCCTTTATTTCACTCATTGAACTGCTGATAAGGAATAGTTTATCCTCTTCTCTGATTTCTTCGTAATTTTTTTTTCCTTTTTTTGATTAGATACAATTTTTGCATTTATCGGTTTTTCTTTTGTTTTGACGTAACTAGCTCAATTTTTCATAACGATAACGGGCCGATTTTGAGTCATGTGATGAGTCACGTTATCAGTCCAAGATAAATCTTAAATGTCATATATCTATCATTGTTTAATTAAACAAGGTTTTATATGTTGACGAATTCACTAACTTAGCTTGATGAGCTTCAGTGGTATCAATTAAAAGTTTCGAATTGTGACGGAAGGGCTGTTTGATGGTTTAGTTTGAATAATACCACCAACCTTACTCTGTAAATCTGGAGTTTGTTGACTTATATGGATCAATTTCCACTTTCAGAGAGAATTCATTATATTAATGACTATCTAAATAGTAATTGTCAGTTATATAGCCCTGTATTAACATAGAAGAGTTAGTAGCATTTGCATCCATTTTCAACTTTAATTTTTTTTTTTCACTGCTGTTTTTTTTTTGCCTGCCTGTCTGCCTCATGAGATCGATCTAGACAAAATATTCGACCTAAAAAGCCATTGACAGGTTTAACTCATTTCATTATAATCACCAACATATGCCATGCTAAGAGCCAATTTGAAGCATCTTAGATCAGGAGTCCAAAGGCGGTTTGCATCTGCTGCCTCATCGTTGGCTTCCCAACAAGCATTACTCAGTAAATATCCTATTGGGTTGAACCTTCATGGATTTGTAATTGAAAATGTACAACCAATTCCTGAATTTTCATTAGTGGCAGTGTTATTGAAACATCAACAAAGTGGATCAGAACATCTCCATTTAGACTCTCCATCAGATATTAACAATGTTTTCCTGATTGCTTTCAAAACTAATCCACCTGATGCTACTGGTGTACCTCATATTTTAGAACATACTACCTTATGTGGGTCATATAAGTATCCTGTTAGAGATCCATTCTTTAAAATGACTAATAGATCATTAAGTAACTTTATGAATGCCATGACTGGTCATGATTTCACGTTTTATCCATTTGCCACCACCAATGCCAAAGATTTTCAAAATTTAATGGATGTATACTTATCATCAGTTTTTGAACCATTATTGACTTATGAAGATTTCATTCAAGAAGGTTGGAGATTGGAAAATAAAGATATCAAAGATAGTAAAAGTGATTTAGAATTCAAAGGGGTGGTATATAATGAAATGAAAGGTCAAAACTCAAATTCATCTTATTATTTTTATATTAAATACTTGGAATCAATTTATCCATCACTTAATAATTCAGGTGGAGATCCAGCTAAAATTCTTAATTTAGAGTATGAAGATTTACTTGATTTCCATACTAAGAACTATCATCCTTCAAATTCAAAAACTTTCACTTATGGTTCATTGCCTTTAATCAACCATTTACAACTGTTGAATAAGTATTTTTCCATATTTGGTGCTCGTATAAAGAACTTAGATGTAAAACAACCATTATTCAAAGATATAACTGAAAAGAAGACGAATATCGATGTGGAAGGACCTCTTGATTCTGCATCTGGTAAATCACTTGAAGAACAATACAAATCATCAATTACCTGGAATTTAGGTGATCCATTAGACAGCAGTAGACAATATGAACTCTTCAAATGGAAAATACTCAGTTCGTTGTTATTTGATGGACATAATGCTCCATTATACCAAGATCTTATTGAAAATGAATTTGGAGATGATTTCTCAGCTAATTCAGGTCTTGATACTACCACTGCTTTATTTTCATTCACTGTTGGTGTAAATAATTTAACTGTTGAGAAAGTTGAAGCTTTAGAAAGTAAAATTGTATCTATTTTAAAAGAAAAGGCTTTACCTGAGTTTGAAAATCCAACTAGTTCTTACGGTAATAGAGTTAATGCTATTTTGCATCAACTTGAATTGAATTTCAAAAAGCATAAACCAGACTTTGGACTTGGTTTATTGAATTCCATTGTTCCATCATGGGTTAATGGATTGGATCCAGTTCAATCTCTTAGAATTGAACCTATAATAGAACAATTCAAAGCAGACTATGCTTCTAATGGATTAAAGGTATTTGCCGATCTCCTTACTGATACCATTTTGAATCCAGATACTCAAAGAGTACAATTTACTATGAAACCAATCGAGAGATTTAATGAAAAGTTGGCGGAAGAAGAAGAGGCCACCTTAAAGACTCGTGTTGAAAAACTTTCTGATGAAGATAAAGAAATCATTCATAAAAGAAGTCTTAATCTTTCAGCCAAGCAAGCTGAAGAACAAGATACCGAAGTTTTACCAACATTAACCCTTAGTGATATACCAACTCAAGGTACTTATTATCCAGTTGTTTACAATAATGACATTAGTGGAGGTAAAACCTCATTACAAAAGAGAGTTGTTGATACTAATGGATTGGTTTATGCCGCTGCTACTAAGGATATCTCATACCTCCCAACGAAATATTACAAGTATATTTCATTGTTTACATCTTGTTTAACTAACTTAGCTGGAACTAGTGCTACTCCAATTCATGAATTAGAAACCAAAATTCAAGAAAAAACAGGTGGTATTTCTTTCAATACTAGAATTGTCAATGATCCATTCGATATTAGTAAAGCTAGTTTACAGTTCCTGTTATCAGGAATGGCTCTCCGTTCCAATACCACCAATATTTATGATTTATGGAAAGAAATCTTGACTGAAACCAAATTTGACGGTTCTGATGAATTGGTAGTCAGTAAACTTTCTACTTTAATTAAAAACATGGGTCAAAACCAATATGATAATATTGCTGATAGAGGACATTCATATGCTGCTGGTTCAAGTAGTTCAAGATTATTACCAAGTAAATATATTTCTGACATTATTAGTGGTCTTTCTCAAGTTCAATTCGTGCTTGAATTAAATTCTAATCTCGAAAAGCAAGGAAAGGAATATTTAATAAAGGAAGTGCTTCCTGTTTTAAAAGAAATCCAAGATTTATTAAATGATAATAATGCTTCAAAATATAAGTATAGATTAGTTGGAGATGAAGAATCTATTAATGAAAACGAAGTATTAATTGAGAAATTTGATGATAGTATTTCTACTTTAAACCATAATAAATCTCATACTGAAGAATTACAAAACTTGTTAGTGTCATTCAATTCAAATAAATTAGGATTAAATTCATCAGCAAAAACACTTATAGATTTACCTTTCCAAGTTAGTTATTCATCATTAGCCAAATCTGGTGCTTCATATGCCAGTAAAGATGGTGCTGCCTTACAAGTATTAAGTCAATTGTATACTTTCAAGCATTTACATTCTATAATCCGTGAAGCTAATGGAGCTTATGGTGGTGGATTAACTTATGATGGATTAAGTGGATTACTTAATTTCTATTCTTATAGAGATCCAAATCCATTAAAATCAGTAAAAGCATTTGAAGACTCATTTCCATATGGGTTAAGTGCTAATTGGACTGAGAAGGATTTACAAGAAGCTAAACTTCGTATTTTCCAAAGTGTTGATGCACCAACTAATATTTCTAGTCAAGGTTCGACTGAATTTTATGATGGTATAACTAATGAAATGAGACAAGAAAGAAGAGAAAACTTTTTAAATATAACAGGTCAAGATTTGAATGATGTTGTTGATAAGTATTTAGTAGGGAATGATGTAAACCTGATTACTGTTATTGGTGACAATGCCAATTTACAAGTTAGTGATGATTGGGAAGTTCAAAAGTTAAAATTATAGAAATAGATTAAAAAAAAAGCCAATGTGTAAATAGGATAAAAATAAAAACAACTGTATATATGATTACAAATGATTAGCAATTGTAGTTTTGAAATGACATTAAAAATCGTTAAATTTATGATATAAGATATGCTATGTATAAAAGTCTATATGTATGTACAAGGAATATTTGGTGGTAGTGGTGGTGGTGGTGATAAAAGGCGTATCAAATCGCTCCATGTCTATACCACCTACCTATGACTTCTGCTAAAATCTTGTTTAGTTCTTTCAGCTATTCTTCTTTTCTTATCTTCTGTGAAAAGGCAATGTCTCTTTGCCCTTGGATCATAAAGTATTAAACTCAATCTTGGAGTATGTCTTGGAATATTAAACCATTTTTCATAACCAGTTTTGGCAGCTGAAATAACCTTCACCATGGTATGTGTTGCCTTAGCCTTTGCCATCTTCAATATATCCAATAATGTTGTGCTATAAGTAGGCCTTTGAAGTGTTCTTGTTCAGTCAGTAGATTTTTTTTCAATTCATTCAAATTTTTTTTTTTCAGATTTATTTTTGTACTATAAAAATGTTGACTTCCTAATCCAGCAATCTCTCAACCATACACTCTTTAAGAGTAACAATTTAAAGTTTTTCTTGTTTTTTTTTTTTCTGTAACGCGTTGGGAAACCAAAAAAAATTGTGAATTGGACACGCTAAAGGTTTTGAAAATTGAAGTGGGATCAAAAACTTTAGTCAATATCAAAATATATATAATTACAACAAACAACCAACGGTCGATTAATTTGTTGAATTGATATATTTCAAGGAGAAAGTCTACATTGCTGTGATCATCTCGATTTGTTATTATATTGTTTCAGGTATTACTTTAGTGAGACAGATTTAGAGTTAATTACATAACATAACAGTCAGTCAGTCAGTCAGTCAGTCAGTCAGTCAGTCAGTCAGTCAGTCAGCCAACCAACCAACCATGAGATCATATGCATATTTATTGGCTTCAGTGTTAGCCTTCTTTATGGCCATTGCATCAGCTTTACACATTGAAGTTGCATCCCTGCAAAATCCAGCACCAGTGTGTATCCGTGATTTTGTTCAAGAAGAACAATTGGTTGTTGTCAGCATAAAAACAGATGGAAAAGTTGGTGATGGTCAAAGATTGGATTTACATATTGTTGATCTGATTGGTAATGAATATAGAAGAAAAAATGATATTGCTGGTACTCTTAAAGTTGCTTTCACTAGTCATCATAATGCTGCATTTGATGTTTGTTTCACTAATTTCCTTGATCGTAAATATAATGAAAATAACAAAGTATTTAGAGAAGTTGAATTAGAAATTGAAAGTGGTTCTGCTGCTAGAGATTGGAATGCCGTTCAAGCTGCTGAAAAACTTAAACCTGTTGAACTTGAATTACGTAGAGTTCAAGAATTGACTACTGAAATTGCTAATGAATTACAATATTTAAAGGGAAGAGAAGAAAGAATGAGAGATACTAATGAATCCACCAATGCTAGAGTTCAATGGTTCTCAATTGGGGTTATAATTTCTTTAGTTGGATTAGGTGTTTGGCAAATTCAATACTTGAGACACTACTTTAAAATTAAACACATCATCTAGATGGTTGAACTGTTCTAGTTCACCTTAATCAAGACACATACATGAACCTGTATCATAGAATTAAAATCTACATAAGGCTTCGGCTCAATCTTTTTCGTGTTATACAAAGAGAGCTACATAAAAGAATAAATATAAATTAAAAAATTATATTAATACATTAATTAACAATAATAACCACTATTGTGTGGTTCTAAATACTTGTAGAATCTTTGATCAAAAATATCCTCTGTGCAGTTGATAATAGGATTCTTTCTTTGAATCTTTTGAACTTGCTCTTCTGTTAACTTAAAGTTATATGAATCCTTTTCATAATGATCAATAACAAACTCCTGGAAAAGTTTGCTTCTTAATTGATCCACAGTTTTACATTTGGAACGAATGGTTTCAAAACTACTTCTAATCTTCACTTTGTCACCAGTACGACTCTTGATGAAATCATCATATCTTTCAAAAGCCAAGTTAATACTCCATTCAAATAAAAAGTTAATTTTCATCCATTGTTGAGTGAATTCATCAAAATTATTATAAGTTTCATCTTCAATAATGGCGGAGTAAATATATTGATCACCAATGGTATCCAACATCTTATAAATATTTCGTAATTGTATAGGATGTTCTAAATACAATTGTGGCAATGCTGGATCCGCTTCAAATGCGATAGTTTCTTTATACTCATGGATATTTGCATCTTCATCATCAACAATGATAGTTTCATATGTATCAATCAGGAATATGTTTGCCTCTACTGTCTTTGTAATTTCAAGAATAAGTATATTACTTAATTCTTCGAGGAAAGCTTGCCTTTCTTTTATTGATTCATAAGGAGGGTCAAATGCACAATAGAATTTTATGATATATGAGAAATCAATATCATTGAATTTAAAAGCTAATTGAGTTAAAAATTCCCGTTTACCTAATATATCAAAATTAGTTGAACCTCCCTTGATATTATGAAAATATTTGGACCATTGATATAATAACATACAAATTTTATATCTGATTTTCATTGAATCCATATTATCATTGAAATGAACAAAATCACTGGATGAAAAATTATAAAATTGTTCTTTAACACTATGATCATGATTTATTAATCCCTTCTCTCTATCGTAACATGACTTTGGAGCTTCTTTACTTTTATTTCCAAGTCCGTTAAAGATATATTCAACCGCTCTATCATACCAATCACGTTGTGATGCTCCTAGTTGAGTCACAAGTTTCAGGAGCAAGATTGAATCGGAGTCCTCTATAAATTTTGCAGTTTTTAATCGACTAGAAGCTAATGCGTTTCCATCAGACACTGATTTCTTGATTAATGGATCATTCTTTAATTCATATTGAAAGTTATATGATATAAAATCGAAAATAAAGTCAATTGTATCACGATGGGCTGAATAAATGAGATGAAAAGCTGAATAGTTAGAATTAGGTGATTGTCTTTGGATTTCCGACGATTTATCTGCACAATAAAATGTCCAATTGACCAATTGCCAAAGATTAAAATTCCGGTTTAATCTTGGATTAAGCTTCTTACTTAAAATAGAATCATCAAATATTTTTAATGAATGCCAATTAGGGAACTTAGAAGGTGACATCATTCTTTGTCTACTTCTATTGTTTTTATCTCTATCCATTGAACTACTATTAAACAATGCTTCAGAACTGTTTAATCCTGATGTCATTTGTTCATCATCCAATCTAAGGATATTTCTGGATAACTTTTTAGTAGGCGTTATATTATAGCTTTGGAATTTATTGACTTCTCTTTCCATATCTACCGCACCTGATCCTATATCCAGCACCGTCCCTTCAGAATCACTGATAATCATGTCATCTGCATGTTTTCCAGTTTCATTTTGATTGATATCCGTAAGAGGAATTCTAGGAGGAGATGATCTTGGTGGACTCTGGAAATAACTTGTTATATCACCTTTTCTCTTAGGTGATGAACTTTGTTTGATTACTGGACGGATAGTGTTGCTATTTGATGACAGTAAGGTAGATTTAGTTACTGTTCTGTTTCGTACGATAAAATCATCAAATACCTTTCTAAATTGATCATATAACAATAGAAGGGTTGGATCATCTAATTTACGATATTCCAGCAAATATGAAAAATAGTTTTGTAAAAGTAGTAAACTTCGTGATTGTAATGGAGGTTTGTGTATGCTATTATAATAATCTTCATTCAAGACTCTAACTTGTTCATTAGTAGTTTGCAACCCATCTATAGAAGTAGTTGTATCAGACCAGTTACTACTTCTGCATCTAGAAGCCAATGTCAATAGCACTCTTAAAATATCTAAAGAAGGAATCCTTATATTGGAATAATCACTTGAAGTGCTATAACTGGCTTCATAATTGGTTCTAAATGTTAATTCTAAATGGGTTAACAATTCATCAAATTGTTTAACGTTATTGAGATTGATTTCTGAACCATCATTTTTTTTCAATTCTGGAATAAGCAGATCAATGAATTCAGATTGTTTCTCTATAAACACATCCAACGGTATCAACACATGAGGTCGTACCTTTACTTCTTCATCCATGATCTGATGCATCCACGATATGACTTTTTGAATATTTTAATTTTAGATTTACACATATATATATTGAATAAAAATTTTGTGAGCTGTCGCGTTATATTTGTACATACATTAAATTGCAGTTCTATAAAATTATCATTAAAAAGTCTATAAATATGGTCATTAAAAGAAAAGTTGTGATCATTAAAAGGGTATTACTAGTATGTCTAAGATTGGATCAATCGGTTGATTCTAATTCACCTAGATTTCCAAGGATTTCAGCAAAATCCTTTATTGTAACACAGAGTCCTATTTTTGGCTTATTGAAATCAAAGTTCAAAATTTCACCTCTTTCATTGGTAGTAGGTAGACTTAACATATCAATTAAGAATGAATCCCCTAGAACTGCTGCTGTTTTCCTATCTGTATCTAATTGTAAATCTGTCTTTATCTTTTTAAGTTCCTTCATTCCAAGTTTGTAATTGAGGATGAATTGTTCATTGATTTCGCTACTGCTACCACTGATGGTCGAAGCAGTAACAAACATTTCCCAACTTTGATATATATGATTGAAATTATCTCTGAATTTTAATAATCGATTTGAATTCCGAATCAATTTATCAATATCAATGATATCAATGATCATATTAAGCTTATTTATTTTCCCCGTTATAGTGAAAGCATGAATGAAATTAAGAGTTGTATAATGCTTGACATTGGTAGCATCAAACTCTAACTCAGTGTTTGGTCTAATAAACTCATAATAATAATCAATGCAACGTTTGAAATCAGCGGTGAAACAACTTGGTATTTTTAAGTAATCATATAACTCGATTAATTGGTGGAGATAAAAATCTTGTTCCTCTTCACCAAGAATGATAGAGTAAGCTTCTAGTATTTCCTCTTCAGCTTGAGCTGAAACTTCTAAATAGGCTTCAGATCTTATCGACTTCTTTTTCCTTGGTGGCATTGATAATTATTCATCAAATCAGATATTTACTATATAAAATCCTCAATTCGCATACTGATCAATTTTCAATTTTGACGTTTTGACTTTATTTTTGGGTTACTTTTACGATCTTGAAGAAAGTTTAAATCAACTAGACAATAATATGACTAACAGTGAACAACCATCGATCAAGACTTCTCTTATAGAGTTGAAGAATAGAACTTCAGGACCAAGAATTCTTTTCAAATGTGAATATGAACAACCATCTGGAAGTTTCAAACTTCGAGGTATGGGACATTTAGTTCATACTGCGATTGAAGAAGCCAAGAAATTAGGTAAAGATAAGGTAGAAGTGTTTTCATCATCTGGAGGAAATGCCGGATTGGCAGCTGCCTATGCAGCCAAGTACTATGGAGTCAATTGTACTGTTGTTTTACCTGTCATTTCGAAACCAGTGGTTATTGAAAAATTAAAAGGGTTAGGTGCCACCGTTATTGTGGAAGGTAAACATTGGGGAGAAGCTGATAATCATATAAGAAATGATATTATTGCTAATTTAGATAATTCAATTTATCCAGTTTATGCTCATCCATTTGATGATCCTTTAATTTGGGAAGGTCATGCTAATTTCATTGATGAATTAATCATTGAAAAACAATTATCATCAGAAGATTTAAACCATGTTAAAGGAATAGTTTGTAGTGTTGGAGGTGGTGGTTTATATAATGGGGTCATTGAAGGTTTAAAAAGAAACAAAGAGTTAAATGATGTCCCAGTATTAACGGTTGAGACTCATCAAGCTCCAACTTTCAAGGTTTCACTTGATGCTAATGAAGTGGTTCATTTAAAGGAAATCAAGACTTTATCAACTTCATTGGCTTCGCCATACATTTCTGGGAAATCTCTTGAAAACTATAAACTGCACAAGACTCATCATGTTGTGATTGATGATTTGGATGCTGCACAAGGTTGTATTGATTTCTATGATGAATTTGGTGTTCTCGTAGAACCTGCTTGTGGTGCATCAGTAGCCTTAGCCTTTAAGAAATCTGATTTATTAGAAAACTTTGGTGCTTTGACCAAAGATGATATTGTTATCATTGTTGCATGTGGAGGATCTGGTACCAATGTAGATACTTTAAATGAATATAGAAAACTTGTCGTAGCAAATTAATAGACCATTTATATAGAACAATAGACACCCATAGTTAACAAATTGTCACATTCAATTTTTGTTATGGTTGTGCGATTGAATTACCCAATATGGTAACCCAAAACAGTAATTTGCCATTAATAGAAAAATGATGATACTTAAACTAAAAAACTCAATCTGAAGTAATTATAACTAGTGATTAATGCTTTAGATACGAATTGATTATATTTGATAAGTTAGCTGAACCATTAACGATTCAAGTGATCGATTTATATTCTATAATTATCTTTGCATCTCATGTCTGGTCCTACGAATGTTAACTCAGGAGGAGGAGGTAGTTGGATGCCCATGTGGAAAGCAAATTCAAGTGCAACAGCAATCATCAATGAACCTGAGAATGGGAATGCTGCAAAGGCACCTTCCGTACTGAATACGACTACTAATGAAATAGATAAGAAGAAAGAAAGCACAGCTAAGAGAAGAAAACCTTCTGCTAAAGGATTGAAAGAGAAACCTTCTACATCTTCTTTGAATTGGCTAAGTTGGCCAACCACAAAACTTAAAGATGATGCTTCATTACCGATCGTAAACAATGAAGGAGATCAAGAAGAATATGGTGAAGATGAAGATGATTATGTCCCAGACGATAATGGTGATGAAATAGATGATCATGTCAGTCAAGGTAAAAAGAAAGCAGCAACTTCTTGGACCTTTTGGAATGCCACCCGAAGTCAAGGTGGTGATAATAATAATAATAATAATAATAATAACAATAATGGAAATAATAAAGATAATGATTCTAAAGCTAAAGAAAAAGAAAAGGAAAAGGAAGATTTTCCTGATTTTACAAACACTATAGTGAATTCAAATCCAGCCATACCTACTAAACAAGATCTTCTTCAGAAGGATCCAAAACCTGAAGACAGAGATGCTAATCCACAACTACCACCAACAAATAATGGAGATGATGCAGTATTATATAAACCCCATGATAATGCTAGTCAATTCAATCAAATCAATACTCATAAAAATGAAAATTTAAAAGAAAATGTCATAGTACCGAGTTGGGATTCTTGTCTTCCCCATCATTCATCAGTACTACCAAGTTCAGGTGGTATAGCCCTGTTATTAGGTGGTTCGTCTACAGCCAATCAAACAAGCATACAATCATCAAGAGTTGATTTAAGGAGTTGGCGACAGTTTTTAAGTCAGTTATCTTCCAAATTAGGATTTAGTTCAGAATCCTTAACTAGTGTTGTTGAAGATGGAAACAACGTAAATGAAGAGGCTAATAATGAAGATATAGTGGAAAAAGAGTTTAATTTATTATATGAAAGAACATATAAACTATACGGACGATCATTGGCCCGATTACCCAAACATAAACGAGCATGCTTACCAAATTACAATAAATACTATACCAGATCTTCAAATGAAGATGATGAAGTTTACAGATATGAACAACAAACACAATTAGAGGAAGATGCAACTGATCCTAATTCTATTTCAATCACGAATGATCCTATGGGGAATCTTTTAATCAATCATAGTAATAAACATCAAATCGATCATTCTGAAATCATTAGTCATAAATCAGGTCCATTAAAGAAAATTCAAAAAATCTTAATCATTGGAGTTCATGGATTTTTCCCAACAAAAATGATTAGACCATTAATTGGAGCTCCAAAGGGTACATCATTAAAATTTGCTAATGAAGCTGAAAAATCCATCATTCGTTATTGTGTGGAAAATAATCTCATAACTGAAACTGAATCAAATATTAGTATTCAAAAAATTGCTTTGGAAAAGGAAGGTAAAATATTCGATAGAGTTAATTTTTTTACGGAAATTTTAGAGAAATGGCATAATGAATTAAACAATGCTGATTTTATATTTGTGGCATCTCATTCTCAAGGTTGTGTGGTTTCAATTATATTATTAGCTCGATTAATTAGTTTAGGAATCTTGAAGGATCCTATAAGAAAGAGAATTTCAATTTTGGGTATGGCAGGGATTAATAATGGGCCATTTTATGGGGTTGATAAATCATTTTTTATGAAGGCATATTCTGCCATTGAACATGAATCACTTAATGAATTATTTGAATTAACTAAATTTACCACAGATCAATCATTGGCATATAAGAATGCCATGCAAATCATTATCAACAATAATGTTAAGTTATGTTTCATTGGTTCTATAAATGATCAATTGGTACCATTATATTCCGCATTAGCATCTCATGTCTATCATCCTAATATTTATCGAGCATGTTATATTGATCATTCAGCCCAAACCCCGTTATTCATTCAAAAATTGGTTTCACTTTGTTGTCAATTACAGAATCTTGGATTCTTTGATAATAACGTGATAAAAGAATTAAGCACGTTATTGGCAGGACCATTAACAGGAGGGGGACATTCTAAAATCTACAATGATGGGAAAGTATATGATCTTGGAGTTCAATTTGCATTAGATACCGATGATATTGTCATTCCACCTACTGGTCATATTCCCTTACTAACACGTGGAATCTCATTACCTGATCATGGCATATCTAATGGAACATATCAACCATTTGGACCTGATGCAGAAGTAGTAAATTGTCCTGTTTATAATAGAGTGTATGTGAAGGAGTATAACGTGGGTAAAATAGGTTCCAACCCATTCATATTACCATGGTGTCTTCGAGGATTATTATTCAATGTGGAGAAGAATTGGCCCAACAATAATAAATTAATCACCGTTGATAGTGGTCGTGAATTGGGGAAAAATGGCTATGATGAAATCAATGAATTGTATGAACTGTTTGAGAGTTGGAAGCCAGACACTAAGCCATTAAAGGATCTTAAGTTTAGATTGAATGGACTTCGAGTGAGTAAATTATAGCAATGAGCCATCCATCCCCCATTTTTATATATATATATATTTTAGATTAATTTATATTAAAATAATAACGCGAATTGTTTTTTTGGTTAACTAAATTTTTTGGTCTTGTGTTGCAATTACGAAAATTAAATATAATGTAAAAAATCAAATCAAAACAAATCAAGATTTTTCACTGTTATCATCATTTTACAACACCGCCTGTTGAACCCGTGTTGTTTATAAGGGGTTTCACTAGTATATCTATATCAGTCTATCAGTCATTGAAAGGGTTTGAAGTTTTCAAGTCGTCATCATTATTTAAGCGTGAGATCTTTGATATCTTACTAATGTTTATCAATTGATAGTAGAAAAATCTAAATTTAAAATACTATGTTTTCACCATATCAACAGGAGGTACAGACGCCAGATACTTCTGATCATTCTTCAGATGACTTCAACTTTAACAAGAAGTCAGAAGTAGAGATTAAGAAGGAAGAAGTAGAAGAGGAAGTACATCATGAACAACAAGAAGAAGAACTTCAACCGACTGAAACCGGGGAACCAGTATACGATGTGGAAATGACATTTGGAGACTTACTAAAGTCACAAAGACTGATTGAAAGAGCAGTGAAGTACTTGAAGAATAATTGTTCTCATAAAGAGTTAAATATCTGGAGATATAAATGTGCTTTATATGCTATTCTTTATCGAAGAGTATTAGGTGATGCCAAAATTAAAACCTTATTAAGTTTTCCAAGTATCAATGATTATGTATGTCAAAACTTCATTGATGGTCTACAACTTATGTATAAACATAATTATACTAGAGCTGAAGCTCAATCATTATTCCTTATCTTACTTCATGATGCCACTAAGAAAGGTATAGAAAAGTGGCTTCCTTCCAGAGATATAAATCAAATCATTGAATTTTCAAGATGTTTCTTTCCAAAATTCTACTTCACAGATGAAGAACGTAATCTCATACAGAAATTTGTAGATCATAAATTAACTTCAGAAGAACTTGTACTGTCATTACCATTAAGAACTAGAAAAGATATTCAAGTAAAGATAAATAGTTTAGGTGGTCCAAGATTATTTCCTAATGAGGTTAAGCCAGAAGGTGAAATAGTAAAGAAAGTCAAACCAAAGCCAAAAGTCAAAATTGAAGAACCGGTTAATACTATAGTTCCTTTGGATCACAATATAGAACAGTGTATTGCTAACGATTTAACTATTGATGGATTAAAAACATTTTTCTCCGATTCTGAAATTAAACAAGTAGTAAGTCAAATCAAACAAAATAGAGATATGGAAACTTTACCATTTACTGCTGGTGAGAAACGTCTCTTAAAGTTTCTTGTCAATTCTGATATTGGAGATAGGAAGTTATTTGAACAATTTCCTTGCAGGTCAAAAAATTATATGGATAACAAAATTACTCAAGTCAAATTCGTTTCTACAAGACAAACAAAATTTAAAAATGAAGGTGAAAGATTATTATATGAAGCTAAATGGGTTAGCTATTCTCAAGGTGAAACTTTTGGAAATGATCGAAGTAGAAGAAGAGATAGAAGAGCACTTGAACAATCATTTGAAGATATTGAGAAAGATATATCACAAGCTAAAAAGAAAGTAAAGAAATCATTGACTCCAGAAGAAGAAAAAGAACGTGAAGAAATGAAAATTTTGAGAATGCAAAAGTTGAAATTAGCCATGGAAAGAAAAGAATTAGAAAGGCAAAGAATTAAAGAAGAAAATCTTCGTAAAAAAGAAATTCAACTTAAGAATGCAGAAGCTAAGAAATTAAATGATGAAACTCAAAAACAAAAGGTAAGTAATGAACTTAAACATATATTGGCTGGAGCTGAACATTTTCAATCCGTAGTAGGAGATAAGAAAAAGGTTGAAGAAGGTCAGAAAAGAAATAGAATCAAAGCTGAAAGATATGATCCTACACCAGAACCAACTATGAGAGCTACTTCAAGACACCTTCAAAAGAAAAAGTTGAAGGAAAAGTTGAAACAAAAGCTCTTAGCACAACATAAAACTGCCAATGTGAGAGAAAGTGGAGAAAAGGGTAAAGCAGTAAGATCTAAACGCAATGCCAAGTCAAACTCAAAGAAATTCTCCATTAAGAAGGAAATCATTGAAGGTGAACCAGAAGATGAAGAAGTTGAAGAAGATACTGAAGAAGAAGAGGAGGAAGATGAGGAGGATGATGAAGAAGTAGAGGAAGAGGAAGAGGAAGAGGAAGAGGAGGAGGAAGCGGAAGTAAGTCCTTACGACCCTATCGACATAAATTCTGATTCTTTGGTACCTCTTAATGGGCGTCAATTCTTTGTTGCCGATATATATAACGAAAATCCATCTATCCCAGATCTTCACTTTGTCAAAAATGATGAACTCGTTGAAAGTGAAGTTCATGATGATTTATCTGCTGTTAAAAAGTGTATGACTGATATAAATGATAAAATTTTACTTGATGATAATTTAGCAACTGACTTAATAAAATCTCACAAGAGAAATTACAAAGACTTACCAATATCATTTCCAACCCTTCTTGATAATTCAAATGGTGAAGTAAAAGTTAATGAATCAAATAAAGTACGCGTTAGATTTTTACTTTATCCTCAACATTCAGAACAATTTTTATTGGCATCACCAAAGAGTAATGAATTAGATCCTGTTTATGAGATAATGAAATTATTCATGATTAATTATAGTTTATACTTTTCTCATTCAGAAGAAATCAAGCGAATCGTTACCGAAGAATATTGTCAAGGATTAGAGACTGCTATAGAGAATAATGATTTCGCCGAATTTATGTTTGTTATTGATAAGTGGAATGAATTAATGTTGAACTTATCACCAAACACTGCTGCTGTTGATAGCATTAGAGAATCAAAGGAAGATATCAATCATGAAGTTCGTCAATATCTTTCCAAAGAAGAGATCAAAGAACCAACACCTGAAAACATCAAATTATCAACTTTTTACTCTGAATTTATGCTGGAACAAGTCAGTCCTCAGTATCAAATTGTTAAAGAAGAAGGTGATACTCCAATTGAAAGAAAAGAATTCGTACCTAGTCATCCTGGTGAAGTCGAGGCACCAACCAATGTTTTAGATATTGAAACTGAATTAAAACCAGATAATTATAATGCATTCTTTTACAAGCGTTTACAAGAAAAGACTGATATCTCAAGATATGCTATTCAACAAATTTTATTAAGAGTATATTCAAGAGTTGTTTCCACTGATTCAAGAAAGCTTAGAAGTTATAAAGCATTTACTGCAGAGGTTTACGGTGAGCTTTTACCATCATTCACCAGTGAAGTATTAGAAAAGGTTAATTTACTTCCAAATCAAAAATTTTATGATTTAGGTTCAGGAGTTGGTAATACGACTTTTCAAGCTGCTTTGGAATATGGTGCTGCTATAAGTGGTGGATGTGAATTGATGAATCATGCCTCAAAATTAACCACCTTACAAGAAGGTTTAATTCAAAAGCATCTTGCTGTATTTGGTATAAAACCTTTAACTTTGGATTTTGCTTTACTGCAAAGTTTTGTTGATAATGAAAGAGTCAGAGACGTTGTATTAGATTGCGATGTTTTAATCATTAATAACTATTTATTCGATGGTCAATTAAATTCCGATGTAGGAAAATTGTTATATGGTATAAGACCAGGAACTAAAATAGTTAGTCTTAGGAATTTCATAAGTCCTAGATATAGAGCATCTGGAGATACTGCATTTGATTATTTCAAAGTTGAAAAACATGAAATGAGTGATTTTTTATCAGTTAGTTGGACTGCTAATAAAGTTCCATATTATATTTCAACTGTTCAAGAAAAGATACTTCCTGAATACCTTGGTAGAGATGAAACTCCAGAAGATAGTAATCCATCAACTCCATTTTCAAGAGCTCCAAGTGATGATGGTCTTTCAAGTGGGGAATTAACTCCATTGTTAACTACTACTGACTCTGATATTGCTATCAAGGATTTTCTTGCTGCTACTGATGAATTACTGTTAATCTAATCAAACCCAAAAATTATTCAAAAAAATAAAAAAATTGTATACAGTTAAAAAAGTTACACCTCTCTATTTCTATATTATTATTATTACTATGTTATTAATTAATGTTTATTGTACAATTATATATATAATACACACAAAGTATGAAAAGATTTGACTTAGACCTTTACCCTCTTCTCAATAATATCCTTATCACCATTGCTTCTCTTAACACCATTTGAAACTTGTGGTTCAACAGAAGCATGTCTAGAACTAGTATTTGAACTATCCAAGACTCTACCTCTCTTCTTAGGACCATCTAATTCTCTGGTGACGGCAAGTAATAATGTATTAATTCTTCTTCCTATTTCTTGAGGAGTTCTTGATAAAATGTACCAATCAAATCTAAACACATCACTTTGATTTATTTCTTCTCGGATCTTTTCTAATAAGTTTTCAGCAAATAAACCATATTTATGAACACAATTTAATAAGAATCGATCTTCAGCTTTAGAATAAACTCTTTTGGAGTTATTAGGAGGATATTGAATCTTTAAATCTTCTAATGGATCTTCCAAATTTTCCATTTTATATGCCAATAATTTTTCTTGATTTACCATCTTTTCTAATTTCTTTTCACTACTTTCAATTTGGGTAACATACTTGTCATATGAGTCAATCTTGGTATAATTCTCCCAAAATGCTTTGATATATCTTTCCACATCTTCAAGGGTCTTGTTACCCAAAGCTTTGGCAATCTTAGTTGAATTGTTTCTACCATACTTGGCAGATGCATGAATAAAATTAGTGAAATCTCTTCTAGTCCATCCATGGAAACTCTCAGCCAATAATTTATCTTTCAATTCTCGTTCTTCTGCAGATAATGGTACAACCTTATCAATCTTCTTTTGTTCTCTGTTTTTCTTTTGCTCTCTGGTTAAATCATCTTTAAATTCTTCAGCAAGGAATTCTTCATCACTATCACCAAAATCAGCTACTGTATATTTAAATCCAATTTCTTTTTTATATCCTAACTGCTCACGTTCGAGTAACTCGGCTAATCCTTCTGGGAAAAACTGATGATCTTGAATGTTATAAATTTTAGGAGCTTTTGGTTTAGCTTGATTGGCTTTTGTGTTTGCAACAGGTTGAGCCTTTAACACATCTTTATAATAGTTATCAACGGAGTAGGTCTGTTCTTTCCTTTCACGTTTTGATGGATTAATCCAAGTAAATCCTAATCCACCATTATTTTCCTTCTTGGCGAAATTTTGCCCATTCCATTCATAGGCTGATTGATCAGAAGTGAAATTCTGAAGATCATCTAAACCAAGCTTGTTGAATTTAGCATTTAATGTCACTGTCTTTTCAGCTCCTCTCTTTAAAATTTCTTCAATATCATCATCAAGATTCTTTGTATCTGCTTTTTGAGATTCAAAGACTTTTTTAGCACCATGTTGAATCATACCAATCAAATCATCCTTTGAACCACCTATATTGTTATTATTATTCATTTGTCTACCCTGTTGAATAACCAATTGATCTAATCTTAACTTTTGAGCAGCACGGTCTAAAACCTTTTCTTCAATGGCATTTTCAGTCACAAATCTGAAAACTTTAACTTGTTTCTTTTGACCAATTCTATGAGCTCTATCCATGGCTTGTAAATCAGCTTGTGGATTCCAATCTGAATCGAATAAAATAACTATATCAGCTGAAGTTAAATTAATACCTAAACCACCAGCTCTTGTGGTCAATAAGAATAAGAACTTATCTGAACCCGGTTCATTATATTGATCAATAGCATCAATTCTATCCTGATGCGATGTTGAACCATCAATTCTACTGTATTTATAATCACGGAAATAACAATAATCTTCAAGAATATCTAATACTCTCGACATTTGCGAAAATATTAAAACTCTAGATCCTTCCTGTGAAAATTTTTTAAGCATTTTATCAAGAATAATCATTTTACCAGCGTTGAAAATTAAATGTTCATCGGTTGTATAAGGTGGACCAGGTTCTGCTCCATCAAACAAATAAGGATGATTACAACATTTTCTTAATTGCATAACGATATTTAATAATCTTGTTTTTCCTTCTCTTTTACCAACCACCCCATTCACGGCATCTATATCCTTTTCCAATAATTTTTTATACCATTGGATTTGCATATCAGTCATTCCAATATATACATTAGTTTCAATCTTTGGTAATAAAGAAGTTTCGACATCTGATTTAACTCTTCTTAATAAGAATGGACTTAAAAGTTGATGTAATTGTTGAATGACTTTATCCTGGTTCTTGGATTTATCTTCTTCATCATCATTTCCATTACTTGCTCCTTGGTTTTCAAACCATTCATCAAACACTTCCGAATCTCCAAATACATCAGGTAATAAGAAATTTAATAAAGCCCAAAGTTCATGTAAATTGTTTTGAAGTGGAGTACCCGTAATCAATAATCTATTTTTGGAGTAGAAAACTCTAATAATTTGAGATAATGAACTATCTTCATTTTTAATTCTATGAGCTTCATCAACCACAATATATTCCCATCTGAATTTTTTCAATTGGGATTTTTCTCTTATAACCATTTCAAATGAAGTGACTAAAACATCGAAATCAGCTGTTAATAAACGATCTTGGATAAGTTTATTTCTATCTTCTTTATTACCTTGTAAAACCACAACATTTACATCAGGAGTCCATTTGGCAAATTCACGTCTCCAATTATCTAAGGTTGATTTTGGAACAATAACAATAAAAGGACCATCGATTTTCTTAACATATCTTAAATATCCCAAGAATGAAATTGTTTGTAGAGTTTTACCTAAACCCATTTCATCTGCCAATATACCACTTAATCTATTTTCATATAATGATATTAACCAGTTTAAACCTTGAACTTGATATTCTCTTAACACACCTTGTTGAACAAAGCTTGGAGATTCCGTTAATATTGTTGTCTGATGATCTTCATCATCTTGGTGTTCTTCATCTTCTAATAACTCTGCATCTTCTTCCTTTTCAGTCTTTCTTCTTCTATTTGATTTCTTTGGTTGTTGAACAAAGGAAAGTTTATTATCGATTTCTCTAATTCTTTTTTTGAATTGTTGATCTTTAGATGCATTCAAGTCGATGAAGTATCTGAATAAAGGAGTCAATCCCAAAAGGTATTTGAAACGTTTAGTTGAATCATCGACATCATTTGCTTTCGCTACTTTAGGATCACAATTCAATAAGAAACGATTTCTTCTTTCCTTTGATGTTTCTTTTATTGGAGGTTCTACAGTTTTCTTTGTTTTAGTTTCGTTGTTATCATCTGCTTCTATGGCCTTCTCCTCTTCTTCCTCTTCTTCTATTTCCACGGCTTCTTCCTCTTCGTCTTCTTGTTCTTCTTCATCTTTTACTTCTTCCTCTTGTTCTTCTTCTTCATCATCATCATCTTCAACTTCTGCTTCTTTTTGTTCTTCTAATTCCTGTACTTCTTGTTCTTCTTCTTCCTCCTCTATTTCATCTTCATCCTTATATTCATCTTCAACTTCTTCTGCTTCTTCTTCATCTTCTTCTACTTCTTCTTCCTCTTCTTCATCATCGTCATCATCTACTATGTCAATTACTTGTTTTGCAGATGAGCTTCTTGAACTTCGCGTCTTAGTAACAGGAGGTACCACGACGGGCTTTGATGGAGTCGATCTGGTTGATCTTGATCTTGAAGATCTTGTTGGAGTAGGGGGTACTGATGGTAAGGACGAAGACCGGGTTGATCTTGTGGTGGTGGTTGGTTTTGTTGTGGAAGCTGATGCTGCCTTCCGACGCAGTTGGGTCAGTCTTGCAACCATTTAATAACAATCACCTTAAAAATATGCCAAATTGAATCAATCAATCAAACAATTGCGGTAAGATATGATCTAAACTTGAGTACTGGTGGTACGAGATGGTATCACTGTTGTATATGATTGATGGGGGTCACTTACACGAAGAAAGTATGATTATAAACAAGAATAATATAAAAAAATTGGAAAACGAAAAAATGAATTGAAAAGGGGGCCAGTTTTTAACAGAAAAATAAAAATCCATGAAAAAAAAAAAATAAGACACACACTATCAACACTCTTTAGTGAGGATTTACTGAATGAGTCGCTAACTTTGATTAGTGTGTCTCAGTAAAAATTAGCGACTAGCGACTCATCCAGTCATTACTCAGAACGAAATGTCGCGCTAAAAAACGAACTTTGTCAAAAAAAAAAAGATGCCGTAAAATAAAAAATCAAAACAACGCAAAAAAAAAAAAAAAAAAAAAAAAAATAAAAAAAGAAATTTAAAATCGATAAAACTGCAATAACGAAAATATCGGAACACTGTCAGAAAAAATATGGATTTGACATTAATTTTTATGGTTAATTTCATTCTACAATTATAGTATATGGGGTGCAAATAATATATAGGTGTTTATACTCGTTATAAAACTACATTTCCGTCTAATAACCCCCAATCGATCTTATTCTGTTTCGTCAGATGTAGCCAATCATTACATTGTTTGAAAACCTTCAGAGTAAAGAATCCTCGTGATGCTGATAATGGAGATGGATGGACAGTTTCAAGGATTAAAAATTTATCACAATTGATTTCTAATTGTAATCTTGGTTTGAAATTGGCAATTCTCTTTTGGGCAGGGTTACCCCATGCCATAATAACAAATCCTTTACTACCATTATTACTGGTAATTATGGTTGAATCTACTTGCTTTGATTCATAGAAATCAATGGCAACTTTAATGATCTCTTCGGTAAATATCTCCCATCCCTTTTTAGCATGACTATTAGCCTTATGACATTCGACTGTTAAAACTGCATTTAACATCAATACTCCTCGATCGGCCCATTTATTTAAATTACCTCCTCCTGGTTTAGATCGACTTAAATTAGGTATTTCAAATTGAGGATAATCAACTTTTAAGGTTTTATAGATATTGATCAATGAAGGCGGAGGAGGTGTGGTATCTAATACTGAAAATGCCAATCCATGAGCTTGATTATGATTATGATATGGATCTTGTCCTAATATTATACATTTAATTTTATTAAGGGGTGTCAAACTTGACCATGAATAGATTTGATTAGTAGGAGGAAATATCGTTTTACTTTTATCTTTGAATTGCGATTGTAAGAACTTCTTTAAGTTTATAAAGTATGGTTTAGTCAATTCTTTATGAAGAGCTGCTAACCAACTTATATGTAAATATCGAATCTCTAACTGAAGCAAGTCTTGTTGTTCTAATGTTAATGACGCTATCCATTTCTCTTTATTGAAGTTATACAACTGACAAATTGACGAATAATCTTCTTCCTGTTGTTCTTCGTTTTCAGATTGTTCTGTATTAGTATTGTCAGTCTCATTCTCATTCTTTCCATGTTTGGCATCTTCTATTTCAACTTCCTTAATAGTTACTTCTCCTTTCAATTTTGTCTTTTTAATGCCATCTCCATTACTTTTAAAGTAGTCTGTTATGCTAACCGATCTTACAACTTCCTCTTTTGACTTCCTTTTCACTACCATTGCTTGTACTTCAGATAATCATTCAATTCTTTCCATACTAAATTTCTCATATTTAATTTTTCAGTCTATTTACATTATAACGACGCGTCATAATTTTTCAGTAAATTGATTTATTTCATCAATACTAATTAGATCTATATATATATTTGACTGTATGAATATCAGGGTTATTGAATTGATTTAGAACAATTTTGTAAATGCATAAGGATACTCATGATCTTTCCTTAACACAATACTGGTTAAACTACTATATAAGACATATAAGCCCACATTTAAAAATAAAATTAACCCGAATTTTAATTGTTCATTATCAATAACACTTTCTGATGTAATATTATATTGACCCAAATAAATTAACACCAATAAACTGGATGCTAAGGCAACATAATTTAATCCAACAAGGACAACCTCAATACCAAATTGATAATGTCTACCTCCACTAATGATAATAATCTCTTCTGATTTCCCCTTCGCTATGAATGGTACTCCCAGTTGTACAGTAAATTGATAACCACAAATGAAAATTATTAATAAAAAGATGAGAATAAACAAGATAACCTTACTCTTAGGAATGGTTCTAACTCCATTAGGTCCCTTTCGTTTAATGATAAGGATCACTAACAAAGTAACAGCAAATGTCTTTGCAAATGTCGCCACTGGACTATCTTGTCTAATTAAGATATTCTTTTGTAATCCTTCTGAAACAAATCGAGCAAATTGCATAACTTGTTCATCAAAACTAGCGGTTGGAATCTTGAATATAAAATGGGAATCATCTAATATTTGAAATGGATTAACTTCATTACCTTCAACAATGTTTAAATTGGGAGGAATCAACCAAATATGAGGTATGGTTTGAATAGCAAGATGTTCGAATATTGGTACATTTGCAGCATCGACTAAATCAATCTTAACAAAAAATAAAAGATTGGTATGTAAATAATCAGTATACCATGATTGAGCTACTCTACTGACAATTTTATCAAGATCCAGACAGACATCACAACCATGTCTACTATCACTTGAAGTCAACACGGCAATAGTATAATAATCTCTAGGACCAGTGAATAAGGAAAGATCTCCATTTTGAATTGGGATTATATAATCGCCTTGTTCATATTTAATACATTCTTCTGTTAGTCTTACTGATTGGACATGTGAGGATGTTACCAACGCTATTATACTAATTAAAGTAATTAATAATTGCACTAAACGTCGATGCATCATGATACATATGTGAATATGCAATTGAAGGAATGGATATGGCCTTTATTCAAAAACCAATTGCTTTCTTTTAAGCATATATTTTCAACTTTTTTTGTTTTCATTTTTGTTGATGGATACTCGCTATTGACATTTTTTGTTTGGCCTCGTTCTCGTTAAAATTATTCACCACAAAGACAGACAGTATATCATGCTTGCTTATGATAGTGGCAAGTAAGAAGACTTTACAAGGAAATTACAACTTAAAGTTAAATAAAATTAAATTAGTGTATGGCTGAACATGACATATATACAATCTATAATAAATGAATGGATATCTAATCTCTTACAAAATCTTCTTCTTCATCTTTGTTTATAATTAAGAAACCAACGGTAACTACAGCAGCTCCAAAGATATACCACCAATTAAGCACAAATTCCTTTAGCACCCAATCACCAATCATTGCTAATGGGATTGTCATTGATAACCCAACTGTAACAGTTAAGGGACTAGTCAATAAGACGGCACGACACCAACAGAAATCACTAACAAAAGTAATGAATGCATTAATTAATAAAAGATAAGTAACTTGTGAAGTATGCGGTATTTCAAATACTTCAACTTTAGTAAAATGTAATATAATTATGATAGGCCATAAAAATATTAAACAGAATATCCCTACAAATCCAAAAAACAAATGAGTATTTAAGTTTCTTTCTTTGTAAGAATTCTTAATGGTAATTTTATGTTTCAATAATATAGTATAAATACCATAAATCAATGCTCCTGATAAAGCTAATAAATTACCCCATAATGCTGTTAAGTTATTATTACCATTATCGACATTATTATCTTGATCTTCCGAAATATCAATCTTAGTCACGATTAACACACCAGTAAAACTTAATAAGATCCCTACTAATTTATTTTGATTAATCTTTTCCACCGCATACAAATAACCAATTATCATGGTGAAAAAAGATGATGTTGATGATAAAATAGTTTGTGATGCAACGGAAGTATATGATAATGATGCATTAGTAACTAGATTGGCTGAAAACCATAGTATGATGAATTGAATTGATAATTTCATCGTTTCATATATGCCAATTTCTTCATCATTTAGGTAGACATTTGAATCCACAATGTGTAATTCATTAGTAGTATTGGTACTATTTGTAGAATCACTATTTTCAATACTCTGTTGAAGACCTGAAAGATTATCATTAGATCCATACTCTGAAACTAACCCTTCTTCATCTTCTTGTTTATGATATTTTATGCAACTATTATCATAATCTTGTTTAAACTTTTCAATGAATTGAGAAATAGATAAATTCTCAAACTTTAAATAACTGATAAGATAAAAACTAAAGCATCCCGTATTAATATAAGTAATGAAAAATGGTTTCCTATAAGTATCATCTTCAACCAAACTATTAACAAGAAAACTGGACATCACCCAAAAGATGACTACAGCAGCTAAGTTAATCAAACCTAGAATCCATTTTTGTCGAGAGTATAACCCATTGTCCGGTATGAAGAATGCCCGTAAGTATATCTGTATTGAAGACGCTAGGTTAGTTACCTCTGCCATAACTGTCTATGTATCTTGAAGTATCAAGTGAGGGTAAGTGAAAGGTTTAAATATATAGTGGATAGATATGACAAACTATGGCTCATTAATATTTTTTTTATCTCGTACGGCCCCCCTCTCTGTAATGTCTCACTCTCTCCCTACGACAGAGATAAAAATTTCAATGAGATTGTGACAATACGCGTGAAAATTAACAGTATAACTATAGATCTGTTAAGGTTCTGGTATCATATAGCTACAATTTATCAGTTAAGCAATGCCTCCATCAGCGTATGTATCGTTGTGTGTTTTTAATGTCATTTTAATATGTGATAACTAACGTTTGAAATCATTAGCAAGTCCGTTTCCAAGACAGTCACTGAAACTGTCAAAGCTGTTAAGAAAGCTTCTACTAAAGCAGTGAGTAAGAAATCAGCCAAAAAGGCAGTTGGATTCAAATACACTAGAGATACCGAATGTAAGTTCAAATTTGGTGCTCATGTAGGAATGTCGGGGGGTATTTCAAATGCAGTGACGAATGCCATGGATATTGGTGCTAATAGTTTTGCCTTATTCTTGAAATCTCCTAGAAAATGGGTATCTCCTGATATTAAGGATGAAGAAGCAGAGAAATTCATTCAATTATGTGAAGAACATAATTATAATCCAAGAACTGACATTCTTCCTCATGGATCTTATTTTATCAACTTGGCTAACCCAGATAAAGAAAAGGAAGATAAGGCATATGGATCATTTCTTGATGATTTAAAAAGATGTGAAAAATTAAATATCGGGTTATATAATTTCCATCCTGGTTCAAGTCTTGATTCAGATCATAAAGAAGCTTTACAAAGATTAGCTAAAAATATAAATAAAGCCATCAAAGAAACCTCATTTGTTAAAATTGTAATTGAAAATATGGCAGGTCATGGTAATTTGATTGGATCAAATCTTGAAGATATTAAGGAAGTGATTGATTTAATTGATGATAAATCAAGAGTTGGTGTTTGTCTTGATACTTGTCATTCTTTCGCTGCTGGATATGATATAACCACTGGTGAAAAATTTGAAAAGTTCTTAAATGATTTCGATGAAATAATAGGTCCAGATTATCTTAGTGCTATACATTTAAATGATTCAAAAGCTCCATTAGGTGCAAATCGTGATTTACATCAAAAATTAGGATATGGTTTCTTAGGATTAGAAGTGTTCAGAGTAATTGCAAATTATCCAAGACTTCAAAGTATTCCAATCATTTTAGAAACTCCAGTTGGTGATAATGATTCTATTTATGGTGAAGAAATCAAACTCTTAGAATGGTTGCAAGATAAGAAAGAAACTGATTCAGAATTCGTCCAAAAGAGAGATGAACTTTCTAAATTAGGAGCTACTGAAAGAGCAGAACATTTAAAGAAATTTGAAGTCAAACAAACCAAAACTAAAGCCACAAAGAGAAAAGGTGAAGCTAGCATAACAGACTTGGTCACTAAAAAGAAAGTTAAAAAGGAATAGTTAACTATATAAATACTTAAATAACTTATAAATACTTTATTACACTTATGATTTGTCAACGGCACGACCCCTATTTTATTTTTGGTGATACTCTCTCTCTTTTTTTTTTCGTAGGTAAAATTTAGAAGGTATTGAAAACATCATTAAAATTTCAAATTAAATCAATAAACAAACAAACAACAATTGATCTATCGATGTTTGGTGGTCAATCATCTGGTTTTGGAGGGTTTGGAAGCTCTGGTGCGAATACCGGATCGCCATTCTCATCTACAGCTAATAACAATACAACCTCACCTTTTGGTGCTTCCAACAACACCAATACTGCAGGAGGTATCTTTGGTGCATCAAACAATACTGCCAATGCCAATGCCAATGCACCTGGTTTTGGATCTACTGGTGCCTTTGGTGCTACGGCAAATAACTCCACATCTGCTTTCGGTGCAAATAATAATGCAACTGGTGGTGGATTGTTTGGATCAACAAATACAGCAGCATCTCCTTTTGGTGCCTCTAATAATGCTGGATCATCAGCATTTGGAAGTGGTCCTACTGCCAACACTGCTAATGCATTTGGAAGTACTAATGCCACTGGAGGTGGATTATTTGGTTCTGCTAATAAAACAGGATTTGGAACTACTGGTGGTGGTTTTGGATCAACTGCCAACACAAATACTTCACCATTTGGTGCAACAAACACTGGTTTCGGTGGTGGTGCAGGAAATGTAGTTGCTGATCCTAATGTTAATAATGGTACTGCTGTTAAGCCATTTACTCCATTTAGTGAAAAAGATATTACAGGAACTTTGAATGTGTTTGAAAATATTAGTTCTATGCCAGAATATAAAAACTTTTCATTTGAAGAATTAAGATTAAAGGATTATGAACAAAATAGAAGATTCGGTAATTCGGCTGGTGCACCAGCAACAAGTTTTGGTGCTACTGGAGCAACTCCTGGAGCCGCTGGTTTTGGTTTTGGTGCTAACAACACAGCTTCCACTTTTGGTGCAGGAACTTCAACTTCTCCATTTGGAGCTGCCAATAACAATACAACTGCATTTGGCGCCACTAATAATGCCTTTGGTGCCCCAAACAATGCCACCTCTCCATTCGGTGCAAGTACTACTCAAGGATTTGGAGCTCAACCTCAAGCCAATACTTCACCATTTGGTTCAAATACCGCCAATCAAACTGGTTTTGGTGCTGCATCAGGTACTAACGCATTTGGTGCTAATAAGCCTGCTGGTTTTGGTGCTGCTGGTAACACAGCTTTTGGTTCTAGTACCGGTGCTGCTGGTGGTCTCTTTGGTTCTAACACAAATACCTCACCATTTGGTGCTAATAACAATACTAACGCTTTCGGAACTACCAATACCAATCAATCTCCATTTGGTGCTAATAATACCAATGCTACAAATGCATTTGGTGGTGCTACTGCTAATACTGGTGCTTCACCATTTGGTCAAAATAATGCTAATACTGGTGGTGGTTTATTCGGAGCTAGCAATACTACTGGTTTTGGTGCCAATAATAACAATGCTAACCCAGGTTTTGGTGCTAGTGGTGGTTTATTTGGTGGTGCTAATAACAATGCAGCTACTGGTTTTGGAGCTAATAAACCTGCTACAGGTGGTTTGTTTGGACAATCCAATAATACTGCAGGTGCTACAGGAGGTTTATTCGGTCAACAACAACAACAACAACAACAGAATAATGCTGCTGGTGGTTTATTTGGTCAACAACAACAAAATAATAATGCTGCTGGGGGTGGTTTATTCGGAAGTAAACCCGCTGCTCCAACTGGTGGATTATTTGGAGGAGCTCAAAATAATACGAATACTGCTGGTGGTGGTCTCTTTGGTGGTGCTGGTAACAATAATACCAGTGGTGGTCTTTTCGGAGGTCCAAAACCAGCTGCTCCAGGTGGTGGATTGTTTGGTGGTGCTCAAGGTACCACTAATTCTGGATTCGGTCAAACTGCCAATAATACTGCTCAAGCAGGTGGATTATTTGGTAATAAGCCAGCAGGAACTACTGGTGGACTCTTTGGAGGATCCAATACAGGTACTCCTAGTAATACTCTTGGAGGTGGGTTATTTGGGGGGTAACAATAATGCTTCAGGTGGTGGTTTATTTGGAGGTAATAATAATGCTGGTAATACTGGTTTAGGTGGTACAACAGGAGGAGGATTGTTTGGAAATAAACCAGCTACTGGTACTACAGGTGGATTATTTGGAGGATCTAATACTTCAAGTAATCTTGGAGGTGGATTATTTGGTGGATCTAATTTACAAAATTCTCAACAACAACAGCAACAACAACAACAAATTGGTCAACAACAATTAGGACAACCACAACAATTATTAAATATCAATAGTCAGAATCCATATGGAAATAATCCATTGTTCCAAAGTATTACAGGTGGAAATGAAAAAGCTCCATCACAACCATTAGCCATTCCAGTTAAGGTTACTGCTAGTGTTAAGAAACCAGTTACTTTAGGAGGATCAAATAAAGTGGCACCATTGTTTAGAGTTAGTGCTTTACCAAGTAAGAAACCTGAATCATTCCAAGTCAAACAAGTTGTGGTTAACAAAAGTGATAGTGTATTTAATACAAATACTGATGCAGCTATTATTACGTCTGATATTTTTGCCCCTAAGGCTAGTTTCAAGAAATTAGTGTTAGAAAAATCGAAAGATCCAAAGACATCATTATTACCAGGTGATCAATTAGAAAATGGAACTATTCCAAAACAAGTTACATTTGTTACCAAGCATAATAAAGATAAAGCCATTGAATCATCATCTGATTCAACTGTTGTTAAAGAAGATTTCAAAAAAGTCACTCAAAGTGGAGAAGGACATATAATATCCGAACCAAGAAAACCTGTACAAGAAGTTGAAGAAGTGGAAGAAGTCGATGAAGATGGATATTGGACCTCACCATCTATTTCTCAATTAAAGAGAAAATCATTAACTGAATTAAGATCAATTAAGAATTTCAAAATTGGTCGTAAGCATTATGGTACGGTTGAATTTTTAGAACCAGTTGATTTATCAAGTTTTGTTAATATTGAAGATATTCCAGGCAATTTAATTGTATTTGGACCTAAATGTTGTATAGCTTATCCTGATGATGATAAACCAAAAGTTGGAGAAGGATTAAACTTACCAGCTAAGATCACGCTTGAAGGATGTTTCCCTATTAATAAAGCGGATAAATTACCTATAGTTGATCCAAAGAGTGAAATTGTTAAGGTTCACATTGAAAATTTAAAGAAATTACCTGATATGGATTTCATTTCTTATGAAGCTAATAGTGGTAATTGGACATTTTCCGTAGCATGCATGGATTAAAGAGTCTTAAAGTCTGATACATACATATTTTATATAGTCATCCTCTTTATATAGATAATTTTGCAAGACGTCTAATATATAAAACTTAATATACTTATTGATTTTATGTCATATCTTGCCATATTTTGTTCGCTGCATCAATGGGGTATTTTAACCATTTTTTGCGTGCTTCTCCGAGCATCGCCGACCGTATACTTTAATGAAATCAGTATATTTTTTGAAAAAGTTAAATTATAATTATAATTAATTACCAAGATATTTTACTGACATTCCAAAAATCAACATCATCATCATGCCAAAGAGGGTTACTTTGGCATGTTCCAATTGTCGAAAAAGAAAAGTTAAATGTGATAGAGGTCGACCTATGTGTTTGGTATGTTCTAAGAATAAAATTCCGCATCATTTATGTATTTATGAAGATTCCCCACATATTCTAAAGGCAGCCAAATTCAAATTATTAAAGGATAAGCAAGAAAAGAAAGATCGAGAACTAGAGAAATCTCGATATTATATATCTCCCAATGGTCAAGAACAATTGGTGGAATCTACCACTGATAGTGATGAAGAATTAACTAATTTACAAAACTTTGTCTATTATAAACATAAAATTGAAAGTTATTCATATTTTGGTACTACCAGTTGGAGAACAATTTTTAAAGAATCCCTTCAATACTTCCCTCCTGTTCATCATATAGCTATAAAGACTCATCAAGATGTTAAAACAGCAGCTAAGAAATACTTTAACTTAACTAGTGTTGAAGACCTCGTGTTTAGAAGGAAAAACATTCAATTTAATGAAATTCAAGGTAGTCCCCGAGATGATGATGATCAACAAATTGCTGGTGATAATGATGAACAAACTCATGCTAAGGCCATAAAGGGTCAACAAATCCCCATTGATTATAAACAGGTATCGACTATCCTTGGAATCTTTGTTCAAGATAATCAAATTATTAATAAATGTTTCAATAGTACGATGTTATTTGATTATTTGAATAGTGTGATGGATCCTGAAACATCAGAAATCATTCCTAATTCATCATTAATCAAATTAAGTATCATTATATCGATTATTGTTTTAGTTACAGCTCGAGAAAAATATAATGGGAATGAAGATGTCCTTGAAAAGGATAAAGAGAATGAATTACCTCGATTAGTGCATTGGTCAGAGAAATTAATCACCTTATCAGGAGGTTTAAATCGAAGATCAATACCTACTTTACAAAGTATGATCTTACTTTATGAGATTAAACGATATGATTTAAATCTTAATTTTGATTCTGCTTTTACAATGGATTATAATTTATTGGTTACGATTGTTAATTTAACTGCTTCATTAGGATTAAATCGAGATTTAGAAATCCTTCATGCTGGAGAAAATCAAGAATTTGTAGGATGTTTAAGAAATATTTGGAAATATGTTATATTTGAAGATACTACTCGAAGTTTCCAATATGGGTTACAACCTTTAATTAATGATGACTATGTTCAACATGAATTACTTGAAGATGATTCTTATAATTATAAAACGAGAATCAATATTATAAAAGGATTAAATAAAAGAGTCAATCTGTATAAACATTCTAATAAAGTTAATTTAAATCAGGAAATCAAATTAATTGAAGATTTATTAAATCAAGATTTACAAAATCCTATTGATAAGAACAATCGTTATTTTTATTTATTAGATCTTTTAATTCTTCAAGCACTAAATCTTATAAGATTTATTAAAAGGCCTTCAAATGATAAATATCGATTTGAAGCTTTAAAATATTCATTATTATTATATCTGTTTAATAAAGAGATTTTATTAAGTGAATTAAAATTAATGCAACAGAATAAACCCAATAATGTTCGAATTAATTATTCCTATTGTACTCATTTTCTAGATGCTACTGAAGCAGTTTTCCGATCAATTACATTACCAGTATCAGTATTATTACAATCATCAATTCAAAATCAAATTAATCTTGATAATCCAATTGCTAGTATTGATTTATCATTTGAATCATTATTAAGAATTGATGATAAATTATTATCAGTCTTAGTTAATGATTGTCATTGGTTATATGATTTTTTATTTCAAGAAACTCGAACATTATTAGAAGAGATTAAACCAATAAGTTTTGCATCATTAACTACTTTAATCTTTATAAGCAATACTTATGATTATATTAAAAGTAACCTTACTAATGGAGTTTCAAAAGATGCAGAGATTTTAAATCCTGTACCAACTGCCAATGCATTAAGAGTTTTATCTGATCGATTATCAGATGGGAATGGTGAACCACTTCGAAGAAGTATTTTAGGAGATAGAAGTGCACATAGTTTAAGAAGTAGTAGTAGTGCTACTAGTTCAGTTTACGATTTTAATACTACCATAAGTGAAAGTGATAGTACGACTGTTACTGATATAAATACTGATGATGATGATAATAAATCAGTTAGAGTTGGAGCCTTAGGTGATCATCTTCAACGTAATATTATTTTCCCTCAGAATGGTATTGGTATTAATAATATTCCCAATACAACTACTACTAATAATAATGGAGGTGGGCAAGAGCAAGATGATTTACTTCAATATAGTTGGGATACTCAAGGTACAGGAGAATTACAATTACCTGTGTACATCAACTTTTCACAACTTGAGAATGAAGATTTATGGGATTATTTTTAGATAATGAAGGAACTTTGTATATTATATATATATGTTATTAATATAAACTATTTATTTTATGGAGATGATTCAAGTTGTTTCTTTAAAGCTTCATTTAATTTTGTAAAACCTGCTTTAGTATTCTCTCCCATAAAATAAAGCACAACAGAAACCAATAAACCTGAAAAATCTTCACTTTGATTCAAGATAGTTTTATTATTATCAATCGACTTAAATTCAAATTTATGAATTCCTGAAAAGATATATTCTGATAAAAGATATCCCTTCCAAGAAAGTAAAGTTGATGTAGATTCAATTATAGTAGCATTAAATTGATATGTTTCACCTTCTTTTGGAATAACAATTACATCTAAGATATCACCTGGTTGATTTGTAGTTCTTGAATCTTGTTCAGCGGTAATGTTTTTAATGTGTTTCATAAATGGATCCCAATTTTCATGATTAGTAAAATCATAAAAGTAGTCAGACACTTCTTGAATTGGTTTGTTAATTTCAATTGATGTGTTAATAGATGACATATTGAATGAATACCCTTTATATTAATAACTTATTCAATTCATCTGATTAATGGATGTCTTTATATATCTATTTACAGAGTGCCAAACCGTAATTGACAAGCACACATGTCAGCTTAGCTTACTTAGTTACAATAGTCATTATGTATATGCAAAATAGACAATGGTTATTAACAGATCTAAGCCGCGATATATGGAAGATCTGGAAGATGTGGAAGTATTCTAAAAGAGAGTAATTTTGAAGATGGAAGTGGTAGTTTACGGCTTACTAATAGTATTTTATTATTATGACGTATATATTTAGTTTATTAAAGTTATTTATTTTTCATGGAGATTTTTCAAGTTGTTCCTTTAAAGCTTCATTTAAAGTTATAAATCCTGCTTTGGTATTTTCACCTACAAAATAAAGTAATGGAGTAGCTAATAACCCTGAGAAATCTTCACTTTGATATACGATAGTTTTATTATCATCAATTGCTTTAAATTCAAATTTATGACGTCCCACGAAAACATAGTCTGATAAAAGCGTTCCCTTCCATAAGAATATAGTGGGTGAAGTTTCAAGTATAATAGGAACAAATTCTTGTTTTTGACCTTGGGGAGGTACAATGGTTACATTTAAAGTATCACCTGGTTTATTTGTAGTTCTTGATTCTTGTTCAGCAGTTATATTTTTAATATGTTGAACAAATGGATCCCAAGTTGCATGATTAGCAAAATCATAAAAGAAATCTGACACTTGTTGAAGTGGTTTATTAATTTCAATTGAGGTAGTAATAGTTGGCATATTGAATGAAATGGAATAGTTACTGTTATGATATTAACTTTTGCAATTGATGAGATTAATAGAGATCTTTTATATATAATTTGGGAGTGGCAAAGTACACCACGTATGGTTAGTTTAACTATCGGTTATTTATTAAAGGTGGAGGCAAATTGATAACTGATTATATTCATCCATGCCGCGATATCCAGAGGTATGGATGTGTCTGAAAAGGGAAGAAGTATATAGTTTACTTACTTATTATATAAATACAACCAAATCACTTATAAAGTTTAATTTAAGAATAATTATAATTAGTCAGTTTCAAGTTATGTTTGAAATAATTGTGGTGAATATGATAATTTCAAATGAGTGTGTTATTAGTTAGTAGTAACTAAAGTGAAGTTAATAACATTAGATAGTGTTGGGTTATTTTACATTGAAATTTCTCTACCAACAAAATGTTTAAGGAGTCAGTGAGACAGACAGAGATAACAAAATTTCAGCCTCCCTTCCTTCTCCCTCACTAAAAAAATGGATTGTTCTTTTTTTTTTTTTTTTCCCTTAAATTTCCGCCCCTCACTCCTCCCTGACTCCCTCCCTTTGTTTCTCCTTATAACTTTAAATTTGTTTAGGGGAAAGTAATTAATTAATCAATTAATCGATATAACCAGTAAGATATATATATCTTACTATATCTTACTTATATATATATATCTATCTATAATCTACAGATCATAATAGATTGTATCATCGTATATTCTAACCCATCGTATATTGTCTCTTCTTTCAATATATCCCCACCATCCATCCATCCATCCACACTATCACACTATCACACTAAAGTCTCATAATCGTTAATTACTCCTAATTAAGCGATTAGGGGCACACAATACACAGTAAAATTAAAAGAAAAAAAAAGAACAACAAACAAAAACAAATCAAAAAATAAACAATTCCACAAAAGTTACATCACAAGATTTTTATCCCTTACCAGTTTTTAATTTTATTTTAATTTAATTTAATTTAACATAATTTCAACTTATCCACCACAATTGGTCTTATCCATCCATCTTTATCCTTCACTGACAAAGTAATACATCGTCATAATCATCATAATCATCATCATTCACAATGGCCGCCACTAAAGATTCAGCTTATGTGACTCTTTTAACCAATGAATCCTATTTACCAGGGGCTTTAACGTTAGGTAAAAAATTAAAAACTGATTTGAAAACAACCTACAAATTAATCATCTTATTAGATCAATCAGCTTTATCTGATCATTCCTTAGATTTAATTAAAGATGTTTATGATGAAATCATCCCTATTGATGATAAATTAATTAATGCCCCCTTGGAAAAAGTTTTACAAAAATTAGGTCGGGAAGAATTATCCATTACATTTTCAAAACTTTTATTATGGAATCAACATAAATATGAAACTTTGATTTATCTTGATAGTGATACTTTACCTTTAAAACCTTTGGATTCATTATTTGATACTTTTCAACATTTAAAATCGGATCAAATTGTCGCCAGTCCTGATTCAGGTTGGCCTGATATCTTTAATTCAGGGGTATTAATTTTAAAACCTGATCCAACCATTTTTAATAAATTAATTGAATTTTCTTCAACTGAAAATAGTACTTTTGATGGAGCTGATCAAGGTTTATTAAATGAATTCTTTAATATTTCTTCTTCAGGTTTAAATTGGTTAAAATTACCTTATTTATTTAATGTAACTCCAAATTATACAAATGCTTATCAATATTATCCTGCTTTATTAAGATTCTTTGATAATATTCATTTATTACATTATATTGGTGCTTCAAAACCATGGCATGCTCCTGATATCTTAAGTTCTGATTTAAATAATTTTCATAATTTTTGGTGGGCTGATTTTAATAAATTTTATACCACTGATATTAAAACAAAATTATTAAGTTTACCAAAAGGTGAAGCTTATAATTTAAAATTTGGAAAATATTCAAATGTTTGGGATACTGGTATCGATCCAAACTTTATTACTAACTTACCTTCAATTGCTCCAACTTCAATTCCTACTTCAAATCCTCCAATTTTCCCTTGGGAACATAAAGAAGAAAGACAACCAACTAGAACTTTTTCTGAATCAAATGATCCTCCTGCTTATTTAGAATCAACTTCAACTCCTTCAGAAATTGAAACTTTATCATCATCATTATCAAGTTCAAAAATTTCCAAAGATAATATTAAATCTCCACCATTATCTCAAAGTTATGGCTTTGATAAATCAAGTCAAAATAAATCATTTAATCCAGAAAAATCTTTAGATGAAGTTTCAAAACTTCCTCTTAAATTCTTAAGTAAACATAAACAACAAAAAGATGAAAAATAGGTAAAGTTTGTTTGTCATTAATTAAATTCTGTAATTGTTTTATTAGAAGTTATCAATTGTTTGTTTTGTTTTATTCTTTTTTATATATCCTTCCTTTGTCTTATTTTTGTTTATTTATTAGTTGTTTAATGACATATACTCCTTAATATTATTACCTGTTTTGTTTAATTAATTTATATACCTACCTATTTAGATATTTTGTTTTAATAAATACACATATATATACATAGATCATCCCTAAAAGAGAAAGTAAAAAACTATCAAATTGGGATATAAAAATTGCAAAAATAAGAGGTGTGAAAGTCACTGCCGGTCCCAGGAATCGAACCTGGGTCTCAACGGCCACAACGATGCGTACTTACCACTATACTAGACCGGCGATTTTCATGTCGGAAAATATTTCCACTTTCTCATAATCTGTTGAGTGGTATCACGTGATTGAAAAAATTAAAAAAAATAAATAAAAAATATTTATTACTAATTTTATAGAATATTAAATAAATGTATATTTCGAAATTAGAATTTCCAGTTTTCACTTTCTTGACCATATCAATGTCAATAACTTTAAGAAAATGATTCGACTGTTGAATGCGATGCATCATAAAAGATTGGAACGTTATTCCAATTGTTCTATTGAAGCAATTTACCATCCATTTGATGCTAGTCTTCAAAATTCAGTCGATCCATGTTTTGTATATTCATTTACTTTGATTGTTAATTCGCTTTTGGGTGCTTTTGCTGCTTATCAACTAGTTAAATCATTATTTTATAATAGCCATGGTCCCTTCAGAATTCATTATGCATTGGGTTCATCGCTCAAGATTAAAAGTGTTGGTGGTTATCAAATGTTAAAATTAATTTTATTATTTTTACATTCAATTGCACTCATGCTTTTAACGTTTTTTAATTTTACTTCATTGACTTCTATGTTGTTCTTTGCAACTGCATCATCTTTTGCGATTTTCACTTTGATAATCTTACCCTTTCACATCATTGAACCAACAAGAAATGTTACTGCAAATTCTTCATTATTATTATATTGGATAATAATTTTGCTTTTAAATTTGTCTGTTTTAATTCAAGATGTTTTCTCTGGATTTAAATTATATATTCCTATAAGTGGTAATTCTTCGAAATCTCTTGCCTATGTTCTTGAAACCTTTTTGTTCATTAACTCTATGATTGTCTTATTTCTTGAAAATTCTCTTTTTAAACCAAGTGTGGAATTACGTGATTATTATGCATTAAATGGTTGGGAAATATCATCAGTTAGAAACATGTTTTCTCAACTAAGTTTCAGTTGGCTTGAAGGCATTATTAAGAAAATTTATGAAACTGATGAATTGGATATCAAAGATATCCCACCGCTACCAATTGAATTGAAAAATGACAATTCCTACAACAAATTAGCCAAACAATTTAGAGATAAAAAGTTGAAATATAAACAGACAGATAAACCATCATTATTTTTTATGTTGATACTGATTCATAGTTGGGAATTATTAGCGGCTGGTATTTTAAATTTTGCTGAATCGTGTTTTGGCTTTATTCAAGCATTTTTATTTCAAAGATTTATTGAATTCTTCAGTGAGAATCAAACTGAACTTAATAATCAACCTGTTATAGTTAGTTTTGCATTTGGATCTGGTATTTTTATTTGTGCTGTGTTGAGGTTTGTTAGTACTAATCAGTACTTTTCTATGTATTACAATGTTAGATGTGAAATTCAAGGTTCATTAAGTAATATGATTTTCAGAAAGGCTTTGAATTTATCTCCCGAATCTAAAAAGACCAAAACAACAGGTGAAATTGTTAATAACTTATCTGTTGATGTCAATGCTATTTGTGAAATGGCAAAATTGGTAGAATTGATTACATCTCCTTTGAAATTAATCTTTACTATGTTGTCATTATATAAGATTATTGGTATCTCTTCTTTGTCGGGATTTGTTACAACCTTAGTTTTGGTACCTATTACAGGAAAAGTTAGTGCATTTGTTATGTACTATGTCAAAGAAAATATGAAATATAAAGATAAAAGAACTAAGTTAACTTCGGAAATCTTGTCGTCCATTAAAAGTATCAAATTATATTCTTGGGAAAACCCAATGTTAGAAAGATTATTCAGAATTAGAAATGATCAAGAATTAGTTCTTACCAAGAAAATTGGATTCCTTAATTCTTGTGCTATGATGCTTTGGACTATTATTCCAATACTTGTTCCACTCTCGTGTCTAGTGACTTATGTATTCGTTTCAAAAATTCCCTTGGTTCCTGCTATCTGTTTTCCTGCCTTAACATTGTTTGAAATATTATCGAAACCAATTGTCACGTTTCCTGAAATTCTCAATAACTACTTTAACATGAGGGTATCATTGAAAAGAGTGAGTGACTTGTTCGAATTAAGTGAATTAGAGTCGGCAATCACTGATCGTTCCTTTAAAGAACTTAAAAAGAATGATGTTTCTATTAAGATTAACAATGCTACGTTTTTGTGGAGTGGAGAATCAGAGAAAAATTATTCCGATGAAGATCATATTGAATCGGATGGTGAAAATAATGTAGCTCTAAATGAAATTAATTTTGAAGCTAGAAAAGGTCAGTTAACTTGCATTGTGGGAAAAGTGGGTTCTGGTAAAACTACTCTCTTGAAGAGTATTCTTGGAGAATTAATCTTAGTTAAAAAGAATAACACAAAGCTAGAAGTAAATGGAACAATTGCTTATTGTTCTCAATCTCCATGGATCCTCAATAGTTCTGTCAAGGAAAACATCTTATTTGGTTGCAAATATGATAAAGCATTTTATGCAAAGACTGTAGCAGCTTGTCAATTATTACCTGATTTTGACGCTCTTCCAGATGGTGATAAGACTATTGTAGGTGAAAAGGGAATCTCCTTAAGTGGTGGTCAAAAAGCACGTATTTCTTTTGCTAGGGCGGTCTATGCAAGAGCTGATATGTATATTTTGGATGACATTTTATCCGCTGTAGATGCTCATGTTGGGAAGAATCTAGTTGATCAAGTTTTAGGTAAAAATGGTATAATTGCCTCCAAGACCATTGTTTTAGCAACTAATGCAGTTAAGGTTTTACATGAAGCTGACAACATTGTTCTTTTGAAGAAGGGTGAAATCACAGAAGGTGGAAATTATGAGGAAGTCGTAGCTGGAAATGATGAATTGGCCGATTTGATTCGAGAATTTGGACAAAAAGAGGCTGAAGATGATTTGGAAGAATTGGAAGATGAACTTGAGAAAGAAGTGATTGATGTTAAGTCTATTGGTTCCACCCTTCAAGATGATAACATCACTGAATTAAATGCTTCGAATGTAAAGGATCACATTGATGTCGATATTCCTTTGGAAGTTGTGGATTCAACAACTTCTTTTCGGCGTGCAAGTATGACCTCCTTAGAACATGAATATCAGGAGGAAGATGTAGATGAAACTGTTATTAAAAGAACTGAGCATGTGGCTGAAAAAGGAGCAAAAGGAAGAGTGAAGTTGGAAGTCTATTTGGAATACTTCAAAGCTTCGGGGGTTGTAGACATATTTATTATCATTTTTTTGACGTCACTGTCAACAATTGCTCAAATTATGTCAGGTTATGCTTTAAAAGCTTGGTCGCAAGATAATTTAGATGCGGGACAAAATGTTTCATCCAAGTTCTATTTAATCATGTATTCGCTTTTACGGGCAATTAATGCTTTTGCAACGTTTGGTGCATCATTATTATCTCAACAAAAATCTAGTATTAAAGCTTCCAAACATTTTCATGACAGTATGGCTAGAAATGTCTTAAGATCTCCAATGTCATTCTTTGATACTACTCCTGTTGGAAGAATATTAAACAGATTCTCGGAAGATATAAATGTGATAGATGATCAGCTTTCATATCTTTTATTGGGAGTGTTAAAGTTTGCTAGTAATACTTTTGGTATCTTGGCTGTTGTTGTTATTAATTTTCCAGTCATGATATTAGTTATTGCGGTACTCTTTTATTTCTACAACAAACTCAGAGAATACTATATTCCTTCTGCCAGAGAACTTAAGAGATTGGCAAGTGCTAACAGAAGTCCAGTCTATTCTCATCTTCAAGAATCAGTGACCGGTGCTGAGACTATTCGTGCTTATGATCAAATCAATAGATTTGTTAATGGGAACAAGATAAAAATAGATAAATTAATTTCCACAAACTTTGCAGCCCTTTCTTGTGGTAGATGGTTGAGTATGAGATTGCAAGCAATTTCAGCCATAATTGTTTATGCTACGACTTTAGTGATATTATCCACTTTGGGAACCTCTCATGAATTAGATTCAGGACTAGTTGGGTTTGTTATGATGAACGTCTTAGGTATTACTGGTACGTTGAATGCTATGATTAGGCTTTGGGCAGAAGTTGAAGCTAGATCGGTTGCCTTGGAAAGAATTGTTGAATACTGTAAATTGAAAGCAGAAGCTCCATTGGTTATTTCTGAGAATAGACCTCGAGAAACATGGCCAGAGTCAGGATCAATTTCATTTAAGAATTATTCTACCAAATACAGAGATAATTTAGATCCAGTATTGAAAGATTTAAATATTGATATCAAGCCTCGTGAAAAAGTTGGTATTGTTGGAAGAACAGGGGCAGGAAAATCGACTGTTGCTATTTCCATGTTTAGAATTATTGAACCATCGCAAGGACATATTAAAATCGATGGAGTTGATACTAGTAAAATAGGTTTATTTGATTTACGTCATAAGTTAAATATTATTCCACAAGATGCTCAAACCGTTGAAGGAAGTGTCAGACAAAATTTAGATCCTTTCGAACAATATACAGATGAAGAATTATGGAATGTTTTGGAATTAGCACATTTACAGCCACATATTGAACAAATGAAGACCAAGAAGAGTGCTACTAAAGAAGAAGAAAACAAAGAATCAGAAGATTCAGAAGAAAATAAAGTGGTTGAGTATGATACTGGATTATCCGCGACCATATTTGAAGGAGGATCCAATTTATCAGCCGGTCAAAGACAATTATTATCATTAGCTAGAGCATTATTGAACAAATCCAAGATTTTAATTTTGGATGAAGCAACTGCTGCAGTAGATGTACAAACAGATAAAATTATTCAAGAGACTATTAGAGCTAAATTCAAAGATAAGACAATTTTAACAATTGCCCACAGATTAGAAACCATTCTTGATAGTGATAGAATCATTGTCCTCGATAAAGGACAAGTCAAGGAGTTTGATACTCCTAAGAATCTTTTGAAAGATGAAAGTACTGAATTCTATTCGTTATGTAAACAAGGTGGATATCTTAAGAATTTAGATATTGATAAGCTTTAGTTTATTCGGTTTTAGTGAGTATTGTTCCTTGGAGCGAGTCTCACACTATTAAGCCTGATTGGCATAAGCAGGTTTTTTGTATAAATAGTATTTCTCTTCGGGTATAGATAATATCCAAAAAAATTCTAATTATTCTGCAACACTTTAAATATAATTGTATTATTAGATTTTAGTGGATTGGGAAGTAATGGTATATTGGGTATGGAGAGTTTAAGATAGAGTTGTAATAATACATTGTGTATATTTTCGACAATTTCATTCGGACGAATTTTTGATAGAATTTATCCCAAATTTGTTTTTTACAATCGAGTAATATTTATATTAATTTTTCGCAACCAATTTTGAAAATAAGTTTTAGTTTTATTAAGTTGTTAAAATTTCTGTTTTTAAATGTATTAATGTAAAAATGTTATAAAAATAGTCTATGGCAAATATATATGTATAAATAGATAAATAATGTTCTTTTTTGTTGAATGGAAGGATGGGTGTATTAATTAGTCTCATTTATTCAAGTCCAACCCAAATATCACCATAATATTGATATAATAATCTTTGAGTTTCACTAAATTCCACTAATTCACCTTGAATATTCAAATCTTTCCCTCCTGCTGAAGTAAATGCACAATATTGATATCCATGACAAATCTCTTGATGTTTAACCCATGCTTTTACAGGTTCTTCTTCTTCATTGGGGAATTCCATTTCTTTCAGATTGGTAAATGGGGGTAAAATAGCATATTCAATTTGAACGGGATTATAATAAAATGTTCTCATTTCTTCCACTGATTTAATATAATTTAATGTTTGTTTACGATTTCTGAAATCTTGAGGATAATTAACGGCAGTATATCTTCCACAAAAATGGAAACCCGAATTAAACCAATCTAATGAATTATCATATCCATTAACATGACCGGGATGAGGAGAACAAATTTCAATCGATTCAAAATCATCACCATTCTTCTTTTTACGAGCTGGATCAATAATACCAATGGCAGCGGCATTGTGTTTATTGAAATGATAATTTTCATCCCCATTAATTGAAAATGCTAACCAAAATAATTCTTTATCACCATGAGATCTATCTTTAGCAGGATCCATAAAATGTAATTGAGGCATTAATAATAATGATGCCATATGCATAGAACGATTTATAACTACTAATCCTGATTCCATTTGATGTTTCAAACCAGATAAAATATGATTATTAGTAGTTTTAGTAGTGATTAATGGAATATTAAAGATTAATGAATCTAATACTGATGGACTTATCTTTTTGAAAAATACTGAATCTGATACTGGTCTATATTCTGCAGTAGTTCTATCTTTATAAAAATAAGTCCCAGTTTCTTTATACCCTTCTAATTCAAAGAAAATTTCAGGATTTTTAACGATAGCAGCATCAGAATCTAATAATATAAATTCTTCATATGAATTAAATAAAGTAGCTAAGAATTTATTACCCCAATGTCTAAATTTTTCTCGATATTGTCCATGAACAACATGATAAGTATTTACAAACCAAATATCTTGTTTTGGTAAACCTTGATCTTCACTTTGTAAATAATCATCTCCAAATAAATGACGAACTTTTTCAAATGATTTTGGTAAATCATTAAATCTTTCTCTGGCAGCTTCAATAATTTTCCGTTTGGTATTGGCTGAAATATGATCATAATATACAATTTGAATAGGTAATTTATTTTTTAGAGCTCTTAATAATCGAATAAGATTAACGGTATCTTCAAGATGACCATCATTAATAGTCATGACTAACCCTTTACCATTAGCTAAATTTTTAAATTTATTAAGGAAACAAGATTTTGAATTAGTTAATTTTGATTTTATAGGTGGTGGAGTGGATTTCTTTTTTGTAACAGTTTGAGGAGGAGACATTAACACTTCACCTGACCAATGTTCATAAGCCGGGAAATTAAATGATAACCAAGGATATAATCTTTGTTCTAAATCATTACAATCATGAAAAGAATTTGGATTGATTGAATTTTCAAGCTTAGAATTTGTGAATGGTTTTAATTGAGTATTTCCAACTTCAAAAACTTCTCTTACTAATAATTTTTGATTTAAGATAAAATCATTTTGTTCTTTAATATGATTTGCATTATCATTAGCAATATAACATTTATTAAAGATTCTTAAATGGGATAAATAATCCAGAACTTTTTGTTCAGTATTTTTGGTGGCTGACCAAAATTGTTTATAAAGAGATAACATAAAATCTTCAAATTCTTGATCATGTTTAACATCATCTTTATTCATTTTATGTTCTTTAGCATATTTTTCTTTCATATCATTCATATGAGTTTGTTTCCAATCTTCAAAGTCAAATGAAAGACGATCAACCAAGGGTAAATTTTCATCAGGATTTATAAACCAATTATGATTTACAGCATATAAATTTTGAAAATATAAATCACAACGATCTTGAAAATTCAAATTTCCAAGGATTGAAAATGGATCATAATCATGATTCTTTAAGATATTATCATAATTAGTTGAAAATATTGGTTCAATATCTCTGATATCATTTATTTGTAATTGTTTTTGTAAAGTTTGTAAATATAAGTTATTTAAAACTGTAGTATTAACAGGGTTATATTCTTTTTTATTATCGTTATTAACATCTTCAAATGACCAATTATTTTGAGATTCATATTCATCAAATTCTGATGAAAATGATGGAGAAGTTAAAGAAGCATATCGATCATAATAATAATAATAAATAAAGAAACCAATATTTAAAATCAAGATCCACGTTATTAAACATGAATAGATGAATAATTTTCGATTCACTTTAGTAGGTTGTAATACTTTTAAATTCATGATGATAATGATAATGAATGAATAAGATTAAAATGCAGTTGGATGATGATGGAGGATGATGACTACGTCGATGGGGGGTGGTATGCAAGGCGGGGGGAGGAGGAAGTTAGATATTGATGCTTTACTTGTGGATGAGTAAGGAGTTGGAATTAAAGAAAGCGATGGATGGATGGAGAGGGAGGGAGAGAGGAGCGTGGATTGTATATGATTTGTGGGTAGTGGATGGTGGATGGTGGTGGGTGGTGATGGTAAACAAGCTTCTAAAAGAAACTCTAAATCTAATCTAAATCTTAACTTAAATCAAACAAAAAAAAATGCGAGTTAAAGTCAAAGCTTAAGAGGTATAGTTTAGATAAGCTTAGGGGGATTGACTCAACCGACTGATTAAGATAGTAGATAAGGGGATGATATGATAAGGGAGGGGATGATTGGTTAAAAAGGGTGAATTAGATGTAAGAAGAAGCAATCAAGTGTTGGTTTTGACAAACAACAAATTTTTGAAATTCAGCTTTCTTAAGATATAAAAAAATAACACACACAAATAAAATCTGACAAAAAAATAAAAATAAAAATAAAAAGAAAGAAAATCTGACAAAAACTCCTGAAAAGGGCAGATACACAAAATAAAACAATGAAAAAATCCGACATTTTTTCTGTTTCTGTTTAGAGTTTGTTATTGTCTGTCTGATGGTATGGCTTATTGTTTAGGATTGATAATGATAGAGTACGGTCCCAGACATATATAATTAATTTATAGATAGGTAAACATAGGACTGGAGAATGGTCGTTATTAATTGAAATTATATAACGGTAGATGATTATTAAGAGGTGTATGATAGGTTACCAAGCTTTTAATGGTGTAACATTTAGATCAGATCTCATCGCCGTCGCCCACCAAATATCGTTTCTTTCTTTCCTTCCTTCTGGCATGATGATTCCTTACTGCAGCTTATTTTTGTTAAGAAATTCAGATATTGTCTGTCTGTCTGTCTGTCTGTCTGTCTGTCTGTCTGTCTGTCTGTCTGATTGTGAGGTATTATTATTTTTCTTGTCGTGTGATCTCAATTTCAGACACAAAATTAATGGTCGAAGTCAGTCCTCATCGATTTATGCTTTCCCACAGAACCAGAACAGAACAGAACAGAACAGAACATATGTCAAATCATAATCCTTCCTTGCCTTGATATTATTAAAAGGTCTTAATTAAATTTCTTAGCTCTCAATTTTACTTACTTATGTTCCATTATACTTCTATACTATAAAAAGGTTAACTATTTATAAAATCCTTTTTTTTAAAAATAAAAAATAAAAATTAAAAAAATAGACAATCCTGAAATCTGAGGTTTCATCACCCTCGCCTCTTACATCCTTGCCACCCCCCTCTCTCTCTCTTTCCCCTTTTAAATAAAGATCTGACTAAAATTAGTTTTGTTCAAAAGCACACGACTCAAAATAGATGCAAAAAATATTAATTAAATAGTTTATCATATGGCAATTATAGCCCCTAACCCCCCCATTCACTACTATACAATAAGTAAATCAATCTTCTATTATTATTATTTGTCTATTTTTCTTATATTAATTCATAAATAAACTTATTACTATATACTAGAATCATTCATTCATTCATTCATTCATTTCCTACCCAAATATCCCCATAATATTCATATAATCGTTGATTATCTTCATCAAATTCAATAATCGTCCCTTCTTGTCGATTGTCTTCCCCTCCAATACTACTATAAGCACACCAAAGATAACTATTACATAAATTTCTTTCCATTGTCCATGCTTTACTTGGCTCTTCTTCTTCATTGGGACAATAGGTCTTAAGTTTATCCAAAAATGGAGGAACAATAGCATGTTTAATATTTAATGGATTATAATAATATGATTTCACTTCATCTGTTGATTTTAAAAATTGAAATTTATCAACCGTACTAATTAATTCATTAACATAATCAATTGCCTTATGTTGTCCACAAAAATGAAATCCTGAATTAAACCATACTAATGAATTATCATTACCATCAATATGAGCAGGATGGGCGGCACATAATTCTTGAGATTTAAATGATTCCCCATTGGATTTAACTCTATTTTGATTAATTTCTCCTATAGATGCAGCATGATATTTATTAAAATGGAAATTTTCATCTCCATTTATAACAAATGATAACCAAAATAATTCTTTATCACCATAACTTCTTAATCTAACTGGTTCCATAAAATATAATTGAGGTAATAATAAAATTGAATTCATATGTTTAACTTTATTAATCACAACAACACCTGATTCCATATAATGAACCATACCATCAAAAAAATTAATATTTAACAGTTTTTCAGTTATAACTGGAATATCAAACATAAAATTATCAATTAATGAAGGAGCTAATTTTTTAAAAAAATATGAATCTGATGAAGGTCTAAATTCTGCTGCTGAACGATCTTTATAAAAATATGCTCCCATATCTTTAAATTCGGGTAAATTAAAAAAATAATCGGGATTTTTAACTAATACGGCATCAGCATCTAATAAAATAAATTCTTCAAATGAATTAAATAATGTAGCTAAAAATTTATTCCCCCATACACTAAATTTATCAAGATAATTTTGATGAATCACATTACGAACATTAACAAACCAAATATCTTGTTTAGGTAATCCCTTATCTTTAATATTTAAATAATCTTCCGGGAATAAATGACTTACATTATTAAATGATTTTGGTAAGGAACTAATTTGTTCTCGAGCTGCCATAACTATTTGACGTTTGGTATAAGGGGAGATTTTTTCATAATAAACAATTTCAATGGGATATTTATTATTAAGAGCTCGTAATAAATGAATTAAATGAATGGTATCTTCAAGATGACTATCATTAATGGTTAAGACTATCCCTTTCCCATTCAGATTATGTTTGAATTTATTTAAAAAACATGATTTTGAATTAGTTAATTTTGATTTGATAGGTGGAGTATGAAGATTATCTTTTAAATTTTGAGATTTAGCATCGATAATTGGGGGTGACATGATTATTTCTCCCGTCCAATGTTCATAAACTGGATAATGGAATGATAACCATGGATATAATCGTTGTTCCAAATCAGCACAATCATGAAATGTCTCAGTTGATAATGAATTTTCTCTTTTAGTAGAGATGAATTGTGTACCAAAATCATTTCGTTTTGATTTGGAAGATGTATCATCAAGTTTTAAAGATTTTATCTTTTTTGAAAAATCTTGTTGATGCGATATAAATTTTGAATTTTGATTAAATTGATCTCCATCATTTGAAATATAACATTTATTAAAGATTCTTAAATGACTTAAATTATCCATGATTTTTTGTTCAAGTTTTAAATTATTTCTCCAAAATCGAGTATATTGAAGCCAAATAAAATCATCCAACAGATCATTATTAACATCTTTCTCTCTACCAATATTATTTTCTTTCATAAATTGATATTTTAATTGGGTACGTTTTTTAACTTTCCAAGATTCAAAGTCAAATTCAAATCTATCAATCATAGGTAAATGTTCATTAGGATTAACCATCCAATTATGATCATTAATATATAAATTTTCAAAATATAAATCACATCGTTGATTGAAATTTAAATTCCCAATGATTGATTCTGGTTTATGATTATCAAAGATAAATTCATAATTACTAGAAAAAATATCTCGAATCTTTCTTTTATCCAGTAAATTTTCTTGCTTCATATATAATTCCACCACCAAATTTTGTAAGATTGATTTATTTAATGGTTTATATTGATCATTATTGATATCATGTTGGACTTGACTTTCAAATGAATAATTGTTGTCTATATTTAGTTCATCAAATTCACTATGGGATTGAGATTTTATCGATAACGTGGGCAATTTATAATTGATTTGATTATAAAATGTATAAATTAAAAACCATAGATTGATACATAGTATTAAACCTATATACATTGATAATTTTTTTTGTTTTTTAGACTTTGTCATTGTTAGATGGGAATATATATATATGTACAAGAATGATATTAATGGGTTTGAAAATTAGTGAATAAATTAGTAATTTTATATGAAATTAAGGATTTGGTGGAAAATGAAAAAAAAATATAAAAACTGCCACTAGTAGACAGTGATTGAGATATGGATAGTGTGACTTCCGCTACGTATAGTTTAAATAATAAAAGGTATACTGAACGAACTTTTTTAATGTAGAAAATAAAAAGAGATGAGTAAATTGGTCATATAAAGATATATATATATATATATATATATAAGGGTCAAAAACTATGGAGACGATATAGTAGCAAACTAAACGTTTCAAGGCTTTGCAACAGGTACAATGTTTAACTGTGCCTGGCACTACCGGCAAAATAATTTTAGTTAATTACCTGAACAATTTCAGCAGGGCTTAAGCAACAACTACAAAAAAGAGAGAGCCCCTCCACAAACCTGTTACATTTTGTCCCTCCCATCCCCCTTACATTGTGAAAGAAGACAAAGGCTAATTGTATTTAAGTTTGTCACAAATCCAAACTTAGATAGAGATGTATCAACCAGATATAATAATCATACGTCAACTTAAAGATCTCTTAGCTTTATTTAATGATCTTACCGTTCTTTGAAAACGTGCATGTTTAATAACTCTAATTTAAAATGTTAACTACTCCACATCTAGCGAATCAGTGTTTCTATCATATGCTATCTTCCTTCTATGCAAATTATTACAACATAACACAGGTTCTACGAATAAAAAAAAAATCCATCATAGCAACTAAACTGTCAGGTACCTTACTTAACAATGTTGTATCACTTCTCAATGATAAACTTAACAATAGAGGCTATGACGTTATTTTTTTTCAACCTGTTTTCCTATTGCGGTATATCACCAAAATATGATATCCAATATCGGTTAAAATAATAAGTCTACAATATATTTATGTAGAATTAAACTACATCGTATATGTTTGATTACTCTATGGAAATAGGGTTACTTGCTAGGGTTAATTTGATAATATATATATATATATATACAACCAGTATCATAAGTATATGCAGGAAATCAGTATTACAAATAGGAATTTTGCCGTCGTGGGTTATATTAACTTATATTCGCTTAGTAAGTGACTAAATAGTAACCTAAATGAAGTTTAATCATCTTAAGACATTATAAGATCTGACACATTTCTATTTTGTAAAATTTGTTACTCTGGTCTTGCACAACCTAAAATTAGAATGTCTAAACACGTCGTGTACTTTTAACAAAACAATAATTTCCAGTACGCGCTATATAAAGTAAATATGATTTGATTTTTTAATACTTATAAGTTAACTTAAGGACCTTTCAGAACAGAGCTGAATCAATATGTCATCAATAAAGGAAGAAAGTCTTGTTAACAATCCTCATCACAACTATGTTCCTCTTGATTCAAATTTACTAAGAGATTTAGATACTACTGGTGGTATTCACAGTTCTATACTATCAAGCATTGAAGATTTAATAAAACAAATTGTTAAAGATACTCAGAAGTATATTACTAGTTTTACAAATGGGGATATTTCAAAGTTGGATGAATCATATATTTTAACTCAGGCAGAGAACTTAAAAAATGCTATAGTTACCCAATTTGAATTACAAAATTATGATAGATCAATAAAGATATCAAAAACCAAAATAAAAGATAATATGAGACGTGATGCCCAACTTGATGAAGAACAGTTGGAGGAATTAGCAGATGACAATATATCAGATATGATTGAGAAAGATTACTATTCGTTCAACAGTACTCAACAAGGATTGCTCTCTACGGTTATTAAATCAAATGCGGATTATCAATTACTTAAAAATGTGGTTTTTATTGTAAATAATCCTGAAGATCCAATTCCTGATGAAGAAGACGATGAAGAATTAAATGTGGCAGGTGGTAAGGTTTCATTAAAAGATCCAATTTCCTTACAATACTTTCAAGATCCAGTTTGTTCTAAGAGATGTAAACATACTTTTGAAAAAAGTTCTATTCAATCTCATTTTTCAAAAGGTGGTTCGAATTGTCCTATTGATGGATGTTCCCAAACTATAACACGAGCAGATCTTTATCCTGATCAATTAATGAGAATAAGAGTATCGATTTATAAAAAGTTGGAGGAGAAAGAACGTGAAGAAGATGACGACTTAGAAAGAGTTATATAGTTAGCTTCGGTAAAGGAATGATTCATAAGTTAAGTTAACCACTCAATGTAATTGTAGAACATTTTAGTTAATGATTTAATGAAATAAGCAATTTCATAATAGCTTCTAAAATGATAATCATATGATATGCTTCTTTTTCTTGAACCCAAGGCCCCTAATTTATTAGAGATTTTCGTTATTGTCATATTTTTAAATTGTACATATATACAGACACTCTGTTCAATAATAAGTTTAAACTAAATCTTCAACAGTTATACTTGTAGTTGCTTCCCCACATTACTTCTATTACAGACCCTGTCATTGGTAGAACTTATATGACTACTTTAAATACAAATGGAGGTCCATGGTCAAGAATTTTATCTTAATAATAAATTAACCATATTAGATTGAGAATTAAGTGGAGGAACTGCTGGAATTATTTCAGAAGCAAATAAAAAACAATGTCTTAAAGTAAGTGGGAAAGTGTTAGTATTAGGAGATGGTTGATCCTTGGTATTATAATCTTATTATGGGTTAAGAAGGAGACCAATTATTATTTACAATGTTTACCAAATTGTGCATGGAGCGTTAATAAAAAATAAGAAAATAAACAAACAAAACAGGCTATATATATATAGAATAAACCAATATTCAATGTAGAATAAGCTTATATATCTTGAAAGTTCTGGTTTTCTTCCAAAATAAGCCGTGCCGCTTTCATCGCAAAAATTTCATTTATAATAGCCTCATTCTAATTAACGGGAATGCTGGCGAATAGTTGCAGACAAAACACGCAAATTAGGGTCCAACGAAAGGAATGTTAAGTTTTTTTATATGATATCATTAGAGAAGTTCAAGATTTATGGGGAGTTATGTAAAATAGGGTTAGATCCGACATATCGAATTCAACTTAGAGAATGTGTTTAAATCATGCATTAAACATTCTCATAATTTGGAACTTCTTTCGTATATTTTGTTTATTGTTAGAAAGATTAACGCTTTCATTTCAGGAGATGTATAATGGTGGATTAATGAATTAACCAAGATGGAGACTTTTATAATTACATACAGATGTTAAAGAAAGCTATTCTGCATTTCAAACCATGTCCCAACTACAAATCAATATTCTTGGTGCGGCCACAATCAAAAATTTAGCCGCTATTGAACCCTTTTCCTTCTGTGACAAATGCACAAGACAAAAATAGAAGATTACCAAAGAAATACATCTTCACATTCCTGTGTAGCATAAAGTTTAGGCGATTCAGTGCTGGTGTTGCTTGAAAGTAATTCAATACTGCTATAAGAATAGCTTCGTAAATCATTTTTGATACTTCTGCATGCGAGCTCACAGCTTTATTCTACAAGAATGTTCAGCAATTTTCAGAATCTATAGATAAGCTTACAGACCTTAACTCAAAGAAACCAAAATTTTCCTTTTTGGGAGGTCATAGTGTTTAAGGCAATTCAGTACCTATGATGCTATCCGTTTGTGTTTACAAGAATAACATCCGAAGCTTGCAATATGATCAGATCTTGGAACTTCAATATTTCATCGTGGAAAGAATGTCAAGTTAATTTCAGCTTATTTTAAAAAGCTCTTAATAGCTAAGTTCATGCAAGCTCATAATTTCATCGAATGCTTCACATGAGGAATGTTGTACAAATTTCAGGTTGCTTTAGAGATATCGAAGCGAGTTGCCAACTACTTAAAGAGTCAAGTTTCCCAAAAATATGAAGACTGTGTTACTCTGAAAGCCGGAAGCCAATCAATACAAAATGATGAAAATGACGAAAGCACTCTCACTCATAGTTCTTTGCTTCTTTTACGGGTTAGTATTCTCTGCCCCTCCAGAATCGTGTGAACCAAACGTTTCTGGATTATCCCCTGGTTTTACGGCAACATTCTATCCTTATGAAAATTATTATATTGATTCAGGTTACGTATGGGGATTAAACTATTTTAATACTTCAGATATTGATTATTTAATTTCTGGTTATAAGAATACCAAAGTATTGGGTACAGAAGAAGGTATTACTGATCCTTCATTCTCAGTAGGGTATTTTCCAAATGGTAGTCTTTCTGTAGATGGTGGTAAAGTAGTCTATTCGGACATTTATGGGTTTTATATTTCGTTTACAAATTTTACTGTTGAATTAACAGGTTATTTCCTTGCTCCTGAAACTGGATACTACAACTTTTATCTTGAAGCAGATAATGCTGCACTTCTTACGGTTGGTGCTGGTGTGGCATTTGAATGTTGTAACACAGAAGAAATATCAAATGATGGAAATTTCACAGTTTTTGTTGCAGAAGTAGTCGGGCAATATTTACCTCTTCTGACATCGGAGACAGAATATTTAACAGCAGGATTCTACTACCCTATGAGAGTTGTGATGACAAATTGTGCTGGAGCAGGATATCTAGATTTTGTTATTAACACTCCCAGTGGTCAAAACATTACTGACTTTTACAGTTCAATATATACTGCTCCAAATGAAGATGATTCCTGTCCACAGCATAATATAACCACAATTACCACAGAATGGACTGGAAGTTTCACATCGACCTATACAACTGAGATCAATTCTGCTATCAGTGGGACGGATACAGTCATTGTTGAAATACCTCACGACACCACTACAATTACTACAGGGTGGACCGGTAGTTATACATCAACCTATACCACTGAAATTAATTCCGACCCTAGTGGTACCGATACAGTCATTGTTGAGGTTCCTCATGAAACCACTACTATTACTACTGAATGGACAGGTTCTTACACTTCAACATATACCACTGAAATCGATTCTGCACCTGGTGGAACTGATACAGTCATTGTTGAAGTTCCTCATGAAACCACTACTATTACTACTGAATGGACAGGTTCATACACTTCAACAGATACCACTGAAATCGATTCTGCACCTGGTGGAACTGATACAGTCATTGTTGAGGTTCCTCAAGGTACCACTACTATTACTACTGAATGGACAGGTTCTTACACTTCAACTTACACCACTGAAATCGATTCTGCACCTGGTGGAACTGATACTGTTATTGTTGAGGTTCCTCATGAAACCACCACCATTACGACAGATTGGACTGGAAGTTATACATCGACGTATACCACTGAAATTGATTCTGCACCTGGTGGAACTGATACTGTTATCGTTGAGGTTCCTCATGAAACCACTACTATTACTACTGAATGGACTGGAAGTTATACATCGACGTATACCACTGAAATTGATTCTGCACCTGGTGGAACTGATACTGTTATCGTTGAGGTTCCTCATGAAACCACTACTATTACTACTGAATGGACAGGTTCTTACACTTCAACATATACCACTGAAATTGATTCTGCACCTGGTGGAACTGATACTGTTATTGTTGAAGTTCCTCATGGTACCACCACCATTACTACTGAATGGGCAGGTTCCTACACTTCAACATATACCACTGAAATCGATTCTGCACCTGGTGGAACTGATACAGTCATTGTTGAGGTTCCTCAAGGTACCACTACTATTACTACTGAATGGGCAGGTTCCTACACTTCAACATATACCACTGAAATCGATTCTGCACCTGGTGGCACTGATACTGTTATTGTTGAGGTTCCTCATGAAACCACTACTATTACTACTGAATGGACTGGAAGTTATACATCGACGTATACCACTGAAATCGATTCTGCACCTGGTGGAACTGATACTGTTATCGTTGAAGTTCCTCATGAAACCACTACTATTACTACTGAATGGACTGGAAGTTATACATCGACGTATACCACTGAAATTGATTCTGCACCTGGTGGAACTGATACTGTTATTGTTGAGGTTCCTCATGAAACCACTACTATTACTACTGAATGGACAGGTTCTTACACTTCAACTTACACCACTGAAATTGATTCTGCACCTGGTGGAACTGATACTGTTATTGTTGAAGTTCCTCATGGTACTACTACTGTTACTACCGAAATTGATTCTGCACCTGGTGGTACCGATACAGTCATTGTTGAGGTTCCTCATGGTACCACCACCATTACGACAGATTGGACGGGTTCTTACACTTCAACTTACACCACTGAAATCGATTCTGCACCTGGTGGAACTGATACTGTTATTGTTGAGGTTCCTCATGGTACTACTACTGTTACTACCGAATGGACTGGAAGTTATACATCGACGTATACTACCGAAATTGATTCTGCACCTGGTGGCACCGATACAGTCATTGTTGAGGTTCCTCATGGTACCACCACGATTACGACAGATTGGACGGGTTCTTACACTTCAACTTACACCACTGAAATCGATTCTGCACCTGGTGGAACTGATACTGTTATTGTTGAAGTTCCTCATGGTACCACCACCATTACTACTGAATGGGCAGGTTCTTACACTTCAACATATACCACTGAAATCGATTCTGCACCTGGTGGCACTGATACTGTTATTGTTGAGGTTCCTCATGAAACCACTACTATTACTACTGAATGGACTGGAAGTTATACATCGACGTATACCACTGAAATCGATTCTGCACCTGGTGGAACTGATACTGTTATCGTTGAGGTTCCTCATGAAACCACTACTATTACTACTGAATGGACTGGAAGTTATACATCGACGTATACCACTGAAATTGATTCTGCACCTGGTGGAACTGATACTGTTATTGTTGAAGTTCCTCATGGTACCACCACCATTACTACTGAATGGGCGGGTTCTTACACTTCAACATATACCACTGAAATCGATTCTGCACCTGGTGGAACTGATACTGTTATTGTTGAGGTTCCTCATGAAACCACTACTATTACTACTGAATGGACAGGTTCCTACACTTCAACATATACTGCTGAAATCGATTCTGCACCTGGTGGAACTGATACTGTTATTGTTGAAGTTCCTCATGGTACCACCACCATTACTACTGAATGGGCAGGTTCCTACACTTCAACATATACCACTGAAATCGATTCTGCACCTGGTGGCACTGATACTGTTATTGTTGAGGTTCCTCATGAAACCACTACTATTACTACTGAATGGACTGGAAGTTATACATCGACGTATACCACTGAAATCGATTCTGCACCTGGTGGAACTGATACTGTTATCGTTGAGGTTCCTCATGAAACCACTACTATTACTACTGAATGGACTGGAAGTTATACATCGACGTATACCACTGAAATCGATTCTGCACCTGGTGGAACTGATACTGTTATCGTTGAAGTTCCTCATGGTACCACCACCATGACGACAGATTGGACGGGTTCTTACACTTCAACTTACACCACTGAAATCGATTCTGCACCTGGTGGCACTGATACTGTTATTGTTGAAGTCCCTGGTGAACCTATTATCACTATCACCAGTCCATGGACAGGATCATTCACCAGTACTATTACCGAAAGTACGAGTGGTACTGTTATAGTCATTGTCGAAACGGCAGAAAGTAGTGTGATATTTACTCTGTTTGATGGGTATTTTAACACTTCTTCTACTAGTGACAATTCTGAATTTAGTGGCACCGTAGCTCCTAGTACGATAATAATTGAATCGAGTTCGACAACGACTAGTGAACTTGAAAATGGAGCTTATACTTTAACTTCTGGTGAAGGTGTAACAATAACAATAACTGAAAGCTGGACAGGCTCATATACGACCTCATACTTAACAAGGACAACAGTACCAAGTTCAGGAGTTGTTACTAATAGTGCTGGTGACGTTGTGTCAACTGTTACTGACGTAGAATTAGCAACTGTGATAGTCCAAGTACCAGGTGCTTCTGGAGAAACAGGAACCAATACATCTGATACCGAATATTATGGATCAAGTGCAGCTGAATATCCGAATATATCGCAAGAGACCGGCTATCCTGCATCCTCAACAGAATATCCAAGTGTCAATCCATACGAGGCTTCAGGTTCTATTAAAGTAGTGTCACCAGTCTTACTCATTGTAATTGGTTTATTGTCTATTTTATTCTGATTCTTCGAGCATTTTTCAATTAACTTTTTTTCTTCCTTATCCTCCTTATCGAGTCTTAATTTTCGTTTCCTTTAGTTTTATATAGAGAAATTTTTCAAGTTCAGTTTCTGTGTATGTTTCAACCCATCAGTTGATTATATTAATATTTTTCAGTCACTTTTAAAGACAACGGGCTTTGATGTTTGTTGATCTCCCCTTACATATGTGTGTTTTCTGTAAGTTACATCTCCTTTTGGTGATTCTTAGTTGCTAGTGATATAAAATTACTTGTTTTAAAATCTATGATAGCTTCTTTGTAGTGCCGATTTTTTCTTTCTATTATGTTGTATCTAAGCTGTGAATTGCTTCAATTAAGCTTTGATTATTTCAATCTTGGTTTCTAAAATTTCAGGATTATTTTTTGCAGTCTTTAACATAAAGCAGCATGAAATGGAAATTTAAAAAAATATCAGCAAACTGTGAAAGTGTCAAACAGCAGATCTATATGCGAAGAGCTGCGATCGAGCTGCGAATATATTTTCTTAACTTTTAGAATTATTATTCAAATTTCATTTAGAGGGGAGGGATAAATCTTACAAGACAATTCCATTGTAGAGCAAGTCCAACAATAAAGCATTACTATGTCCTTAAATAAACGCCAGGAAAATATTTAGGAATCGATAGTGTGAGTGGAGTATTTATGTTCTGCAACAAATATAATGTAATTAATTGGGATTAAGTCAAAAAAATGAGGCGGGTTAAGAGTTGGTATGCAAGAATAAAACGGTTTAACCGATTTCTAAAATCAACTAAACTCCGCGCAACCTTAAAATTTATAAACAGTCAAGAAAAATAATTAATGCGTAATAATAATCCGATTCGCTTATTCTACCAAATTATAACAGGTAAAATTCCAGGAATCTTAGGAATCTAATTCAGAGATGAGTTTCAAAGAACTGAGCAAAAGGTTATTTAACAAAGAATGTATGACTGGAATTAGAAACATTGACAGGCATCAATGATCATCGTAACTAAGAAATTAACCATGCCGTTAAAGGATATGCAGGGTATCATCATACTTTTGAGGGAGCATTAATCAAGAGGAATACCCGACACCAATTATCGATCAAATGAAATTTGTACGAATTTGTGAAAAACTCACAAAACCATTATAGAAGGGGACTCAAATATAAGAAAGTAAGACCTTAACGAAAGTTTGGAGAGTTTACGGCAAATCTTTTATGCACACAATAATAAGTCCCAAGTAATTTCACCTTTTTATGTGTTATGATATCCCGAATATAGGGTATATCTTTTTCTAAGCATTACACAACGGAAGGGATGACAGAATGAAATTTTATGAAGTTTTAAAGAATCTTATAATGCTTTATTCGACTTCATTTCTACAACGTAGGTTTTCATTGAAATAAGATTGAGTCTTCGGTTAATAGAATTTAGATTACTTACCTTTTAGGAAATTGGGAGCGAAGGAGCATTAGAAAATATGTAAAATGATTACCAAAGAGTTAAATAAGCCTCATGAAGATGGTGATCGCAGCAAGGCAACGAAATGGAATTAATGAGTATCATTTAGATTTCTATACATGTATCATTACCAATAGAATACGTTACAATCGATTGAAGTATGACAAATGAAATTCTTTCTTCTTACTTCAAGTTCACCTCTATTTAATTGCTCAAAAATTCAAACATACTAACATGCATTAGAAATCGAAATTGAATTCGTCTAATATTAACGCATTTCGATAGGAGAAGACTAATTATGGTTCCTATTCTGGCGATCACATGCAGATAAAAAGGCTCAAACTAGAGTCTAAGTAAGACTAACACATAATAATTTTAACTTTTACTCATATTATAGTATTATTATTTTTATTCTAATATAATTAGGATGAATCATACATACTGAATTTAGTAGTTAGAGAATGTAGCCTTATGCATTATGTTCCCTGTAAATCAAAAAAATTTCTTAGGCGTTTATTTAGGTTGCTTAAGAAAAAATAAAACAAAAAGATTTTCAAATTTTAATTTTAATTTTTGTAGACAGGGACTTCGCTTGAGTTAGGCGAATGCTAATTAATTAATTAATTCATTCATTGTATTATTAATTGAAATTCGTATTTGATGATGAATTTGACTTAAGCTTTGTGGTTTCAACAATTGATTCGTAATACTGTATTGAAATTAATTGATGATTACATAACATTTAGCATTAATTAATCAATTTAATTTGTAATACTATAAATCATTGATGTAACTTACCACATATTGCGCTCATTAATCTGTTACCAAGGTTTTCTTGTATAATTTAGGAATGAATGTGTATATTTGTAATATTTTCATTTATAACCGCCCGCCCCATAATTAAACTTTTTTTTTCGTTTTTGGGGCAACACCTCAAATTTTGGTTTCCATGAAAATATAGAACAATAGAAAGAAGTATGTAAGAAGAAGATTAGAAGTTGCTTTTGCAGGATTCTTAGACTGGCTACAAACAATCTTGTTTAATTTCTCCCATTTCTTAGGAAGGTTGCAAACTAGAAAAGAAAAAAAAATAGAACTAACACAATTTTAAAGGGGCGGAGGGGGAGAAGAGAGAGCCTTGATCCAAAGATTTTATTATACTTTTTATCAGCTTATCAAATTAACACAATTGAATTGAATTAATAAATAAATAAATAAGTCAAACAATGGATTTGTTTACTTTTCTTTTGTTCTATTCCATTATAATAATTCGTAACCTAATCTATACTATATATAGCAGTGTCCCAATTTTAGCCAAATGTGTAATTAACTAAAGGCATAATGATACTTGAAAAAAAGTTTTTACGATGAAGAACAAAAAAAAAACCCTGCGCATTAGCAACACAAAACAATACCAATTTCCTGCATAATAGTACAAGCAAAAAATTAAAAAATAAATTTTTTTTAGTTTTGATGAATTGGGTGTAAAAACGAACAAAATTTAACAAAATAACATATGAAAGCATCCATATGGGAGTTATTGACAATACGAGAAATCATTTCAGGCTAATTTTTACACTTTAATCAAATAAAGACGGGAAATAGATTAATATTACTTAATCAAGTTTCCAACAAAGGATGTTTGTTATAGCAATGTATATCAATACGAGTTTGAAAAAAAAATGGAAAAGCAATTACATTGATATACACACATTTAACTAATCCTATCGTGGGGCGATTTGGTACACAATATTTCAGGAGAACTATCAAGATTTGTCCGGAACCTAAGAATTTGTTTCTTTTTGAAGAGTTACACAATCATCTTTTAACTAACCCTTTTCGATAGGTCCCTTATGCATTATTAAATCTAGAATGCTTCCTAAAACTTTTACTGAATTCTTTTGAGACTAGAACTGCCTTAATTTATTTTTGAATTAAGTTCAATGCAATAATTCTAATTATTTGATTGATAGACGAACAAAATTAAGAAATTTTTTTAACTTTAATGAAAAATTGCAAAAAGATATATAAGTACCAATATCCTTTATGTTTACTAGAGTGAATACGTTTCCAGTCATTGTTTTTTGAAACTATTGATTTGAAACTATAAAATAATAATTATGATTTTATTTAATCTAGTTTACTTGATATTTTTGTCAACTTTAGTTGTTGGTCAACAGGTTTCTGGAATATTCACAGCATTAAATTCACTTGTGTTTCAAAATGGTGCCAGTTATCCTTTTAATGCCCCATTTGACCCAAGTTGGATAGCTACTGTATCATGGATCATTGATGGTACCCAGGTTCAATCAGGAGATACATTTACTTTAAACTTACCTTGTGTTTTTAAATTCACTACCACTGCTACAACAATTAATCTTCAAGTTAACAGTCAAATATTTGCCACATGTACAATGAGAGGAGGTGATATAGTTACAGCATATTCAGAATTAGACTGTACTTTAGCCAACACTGTTACTGGATCTACTTATGCTAGTGGTACTATTACTTTTCCAGTAGCTTTTAGTGTTGGTGGATCTGCTTACTCATCTGATTTATCAGATTCAACTTGCTTTACTTCTGGAACCAATACAGTGTCCTTCTATGATGGTACTAATCAACTTTCTACTTCTGCCAATTTCCAAGCAGGTGCCCCTTCTTCTGCATACAATACCAATAATATTGTTTTTATGAATAGACTTATTCCTTCACTAAATGAATTATTACATTTAGTTGAAGCTGGTGTATGTACTAATGGTTATACATCAGGTACTTTAGGAATACAAGTAACAAACGGGGTCTTGGATTGTTCATCATATCATACACAAATAACTAACACTTTAAATGCATGGTATTTACCCGAGAACGCTCTGCCTATGCCTGGAGTTAGTGTGACATGTTCTAGTTCTCAGATAACAGTGAACTATAATAATGTTCCAGCTGGTTACAGACCCTTCATAGATGCTTTAATATCACCAACAGGAGGAACATTGATTACAAATTATGCCAATACTTATGTTTGTGCTGGTAGTCGTATATCTACAAATAACGGTCAAAATATTCAATGGACAGATTATAGTAATTCTGGTATAGGTGGAAACGGGAATATTGTTATAATTACAACTTCTACTTGGACTGGTACTACAACTGAAGTTACTACGCTACCATATAACACTGCGCCTGGACATACTGAAACTATTTTAGTAAAAGTACCAGTCCCAACTGTTACAACTACTACTACATGGCTAGGGTCAGGTACAACTACATCAATCATAACAGGTACCGATGGTACTGATACTGTTGTGGTAGATTTACCTATTCCAACGGTTACTACTACAACTTCGTGGGATAACACTTTCAGCTCCACTACAACAATCCCGGCTACACCCGGAGAAACCGCAACCGTAATTGTTGAAGTTCCAAAACCTGCGACTACAATTACTACGTTATGGACCGGATCATACACTACCACTGTCACCGAAAGTGGATCTGACACCATTACAGTTCTCGTTGAAACTCCAGCTGAACCAACCACTACCATCACTACAGTATGGAGTGGGTCATACACTACCACTGTCACCGAAAGTGGATCTGATATTGTCACCGTTATTGTTGAAACTCCAGCTGAACCAACCACTACCATCACTACAGTATGGAGTGGTTCATACACTACTACAATCACCGAAAGTGGATCTGATATTGTCACCGTTATTGTTGAAACTCCAACTGAACCAACCACTACCATCACTACAGTATGGAGTGGTTCATACACTACCACTGTCACCGAAAGTGGATCTGACACCATTACAGTTCTCGTTGAAACTCCAGCTGAACCAACCACTACCATCACTACGTTATGGACCGGATCATACACTACCACTGTCACCGAAAGTGGATCTGACACCATTACAGTTCTCGTTGAAACTCCAGCTGAACCAACCACTACCATCACTACAGTATGGACCGGATCATACACTACCACTGTCACCGAAAGTGGATCTGACACCATTACAGTTCTCGTTGAAACTCCAGCTGAACCAACCACTACCATCACTACAGTATGGACCGGATCATACACTACCACTGTCACCGAAAGTGGATCTGACACCATTACAGTTCTCGTTGAAACTCCAGCTGAACCAACCACTACCATCACTACAGTATGGACCGGATCATACACTACCACTGTCACCGAAAGTGGATCTGACACCATTACAGTTCTCGTTGAAACTCCAGCTGAACCAACCACTACCATCACTACAGTATGGAGTGGGTCATACACTACCACTGTCACCGAAAGTGGATCTGACACCATTACAGTTCTCGTTGAAACTCCAGCTGAACCAACCACTACCATCACTACAGTATGGACCGGATCATACACTACCACTGTCACCGAAAGTGGATCTGACACCATTACAGTTCTCGTTGAAACTCCAGCTGAACCAACCACTACCATCACTACAGTATGGACCGGATCATACACTACCACTGTCACCGAAAGTGGATCTGACACCATTACAGTTCTCGTTGAAACTCCAGCTGAACCAACCACTACCATCACTACGTTATGGACCGGATCATACACTACCACTGTCACCGAAAGTGGATCTGACACCATTACAGTTCTCGTTGAAACTCCAGCTGAACCAACCACTACCATCACTACAGTATGGAGTGGATCATACACTACCACTGTCACCGAAAGTGGATCTGATATTGTCACCGTTATTGTTGAAACTCCAGCTGAACCAACCACTACCATCACTACAGTATGGAGTGGTTCATACACTACTACAATCACCGAAAGTGGATCTGATATTGTCACCGTTATTGTTGAAACTCCAACTGAACCAACCACTACCATCACTACAGTATGGAGTGGTTCATACACTACTACAATCACCGAAAGTGGATCTGATATTGTCACCGTTATTGTTGAAACTCCAGCTGAACCAACCACTACCATCACTACGTTATGGACCGGATCATACACTACCACTGTCACCGAAAGTGGATCTGACACCATTACAGTTCTCGTTGAAACTCCAGCTGAACCAACCACTACCATCACTACAGTATGGACCGGATCATACACTACCACTGTCACCGAAAGTGGATCTGACACCATTACAGTTCTCGTTGAAACTCCAGCTGAACCAACCACTACCATCACTACAGTATGGACCGGATCATACACTACCACTGTCACCGAAAGTGGATCTGACACCATTACAGTTCTCGTTGAAACTCCAGCTGAACCAACCACTACCATCACTACGTTATGGACCGGATCATACACTACCACTGTCACCGAAAGTGGATCTGACACCATTACAGTTCTCGTTGAAACTCCAGCTGAACCAACCACTACCATCACTACAGCATGGACCGGATCATACACTACCACTGTCACCGAAAGTGGATCTGACACCATTACAGTTCTCGTTGAAACTCCAGCTGAACCAACCACTACCATCACTACAGTATGGAGTGGATCATACACTACCACTGTCACCGAAAGTGGATCTGACACCATTACAGGTTCTCGTTGAAACTCCAGCTGAACCAACCACTACCATCACTACAGTATGGACCGGATCATACACTACCACTGTCACCGAAAGTGGATCTGACACCATTACAGTTCTCGTTGAAACTCCAGCTGAACCAACCACCACCATCACTACGTTATGGACCGGATCATACACTACCACTGTCACCGAAAGTGGATCTGACACCATTACAGTTCTCGTTGAAACTCCAGCTGAACCAACCACTACCATCACTACAGTATGGACCGGATCATACACTACCACTGTCACCGAAAGTGGATCTGATATTGTCACCGTTATTGTTGAAACGCCGATTAGTGTTGTATCTCTGTTCAGTGGATTTTTCAATGTTTCTTCTAGTTCGTCGTCCACGGAGAAGAAATCAACTTCTTTAAATGCAGTTTATTCTAGTTTTATAAATAGTGCTTCTTCAACTACGAGTCCTACACCCGAAATATCGTCTTCTTCTAATGTGGTTTATTCAAGTCTGAGAAGTGCGGTTTCTTATTATACTAGATTTTCTACATCGTTATCTTCTTCCAACATTGTTTATTCAAGTCAGACACTTACCGAGTCCAGTGAAACTAGTAGTGGTTCAAAACATCTTTCTAGCCGAGAACAAAGTTCAACCTCAGCTTTGAGTATTGTGAAGAATTATTCCAGTACATCGAACTATTTGGACACAGAAACTAATACGGCCACCGTTACCGAGTATCATTCAACAAATATCGTTATAAATAGATCGTCAAATGAAGCAAGTACACCAATAACAGGCTTGCATTCTTCTAGGGTTTCAGGAGGAGGTGAAGTAGTTCAGAGTGTCACTTCAGGTATAAGTGTGCCTCTAAAAGAGTCAGCAAGTGGGTCTGGTTCTCATGCTACTTCGTATATAACAAACAACCCAATCACGTCTGTTTCGCCTTTGTCCAATCCCAAAATCCATACTCTGACTGTTAACAGCAATGGAATTGTAACCATTCAAACCAATGGGGATTCTAATAATCAAGGAACTACAACCGTACCATCTCCATTGATTTCACAACATACTGCAATTGCTTCCGAGGAAGCAAGTGGATCCATATCGCAACTTGGTACGAAATCTACTTCATTAGCTGCATCTGAATCCAGCTTTTCAGCAGAGTCCCCCTCTATTAATACATATGAAGGTTCTGCTTCCTCTATATTTGTTTCACCACTCATATCTGCTATACTTGTTTTGTTAGCTATTTTGTTGTGATTCTTCTGCTATATCTAATTAACTTTGTCACTTATTTTCTTCATTTTATGGTTCTGTTTTGTATTTTTGCGGCTTTATTTTCTTACTAAACTCATTGTTTCTGTTTCGATACTATTATTCGTTCATTTGTTCATATTTCGGTCAATTTTAAAAGCCTTTAGCTTTGGTATTTTAGAAAACTTTATATCTTTCTATTCTTCTTCATATATATCGCTCTATAATAATTTTTCGTTCATACTAATACAACTTTGCTTTAATTTTATACGTTTAAAATTTTGATGTAGCCATTGAAATTTTGTAGATTTACTAATTTGTTTTTCATCAATGGAACCAGGGACTTTGATAATCACGATCTTTCAACAAGAGAAGTGGACAAATAGCATTCCCTTTCAACCAAAAATCTCTTTACTGATATTCTTATAAGCCTTTTAACAATATTTGATGTATAAAAGGGTGCGAAGTATTTAGTAGGACTAGATAGTAGTAAACAATGAGCATGATTGAGTAACATAAAACAGAAATTAGTATATGTAAGTTAAACGACACTAAAGCTAATATTGACAAACTGGTAAATAAGTCCAATAGAAAAGGTAAGCAGGCGTTAACAAGCCACATTGCTCGCCTTTGCCGAGGACCTTTTTAACGTTTACTATCCGACCAACCTTAAATTAAAACCTTAAATTTCTCAAGAAAAGTGACGAACAGAAACAATACGCATCAAGTAATTTGAAAAGGGAAGAAGTCTGCTGCGACGAAGTACATATATGGCCTGATAGTAACGAGATAAGTCGGGGGGTATTTCAATTAGTGTTGTCAGCGCTCAGTTGCGTTGATATTAAAATTTTATTCCACATACATTTGATAAAATTCTGATGTATCTAATAGTTATAGGAGCGCTTATGTGACATTCAAATGTTGTGCATTTACCTTACTCACTTCATTGAAAGACATATTATAAGTTGTATTTTGTGTGGCTAGTACGATAATATATTTTAAGCATAACTCATAGAATTGGTCAAGCTTTAGATAATTATGTGGTTAACACAGTATAAATTGTGAAATATTATAACCAAAGGTTCAAGGGTTAAATAATAACACTAAATATTTCGAAATCAATGGTTTTAATATGTGTTGTAAAATTTTCTTAATATATCAGAGAAAGCGTCAAAGTAAAGTATAATATGAACCATATTCATATCCACAGTCCTTTTGTTCAAGTAAAATAAATTTGGTTTGACGCTTCAGTCATATTTAATTTTTGTCAAAGGCTAGATTAAACCTAATAAAAATAACATTATAAAATGGTTGTTTTTTAAATTATAAGTTTATTTTGTGATACCCATTTCATTCCGTAATTAAAAAAATAATTCCGTGCATGCTTAAATTTTCTAGAATTTTTCAATATTGCGCTTTATTGATTTTCGGTAAAAGATTTTCGGTAATGAGTTATCGTTCCTTATAATTAGATAATATGGGATACTGAATCAAGGCGACAACTCCACATTATTTCTTACAGTGGTTACGACATTGGTAAGTGGTTGATGATAGGATTCTTATATCCAGAATTACGCATTATAACTCGAGAGAAGAGGACAAAACCTAAACCCTTCATGTATTTAATAATTTTTCTTGTCAAATTGGAAGTTAAACTAACGGTTATTCTAAAATGTTTATTGTGTTAACACATTCTGCAAAGATGCATTAGTTTTCCTTTTATACGGCAGCTAAAAATTTTCCAGCATAATTTTCCTTAATAACTATGAAATTTAAGGTTAATAAAGTGCCAAATTGCACTTAAATAATACACTCAAAACGTATATCGCACTTCTTCTGCTTTTAAAGCTAATTACTTGTACGTCATTTAGTGGATTTAATAAAACCACCAAATTGATTATTATAAACACATAGTTTAATGCCTGTTTCATTAGATAATGTTCAAAATTCCAAGTTTCAAGTGTGAAAAATGGTTTCTAAAGTCCTACTTTTTCTGCTTCTGTTTTCAGTTTAAGTTATCACACACTTTACTATTAACTCTGAACATTCATTTACAAGGTAACATATTGATCATATTAAACAGCTGGCTCAATATATTATGATCTGATCCAATGATCGACGAACAGCTGATTAACACAAGGTTCCATCTTACGGATAGAGTCGGGGATCAGGGATCAGAACTAAGCCCAAAAGCTAAAAACCTGAGAAAATACGAATTTTATGGCCCAGCTCAGTTGCGGTTATGAGGTTGGAACTGCCAATAAAATTTCTCTACAAATATAATATATGCTCATAGTTATGTCAGTTTTAAGATAAATCACACTCTTGTCATTAAAATTGTATTATTATGTGAATTACTATACCAATGGTAGAACTAATGACTTAAACATTTGTGCTATAAATAAAAAATAGTAAATAAATCTTATTGACTGTTTTTTGGTACTCTTTTAACTATATTCAAACAACAACACAGGTGACTGTTCACCTAATTCATCGTGGAGAATCATATGTTGTGAAAAATATAGTTTTAAATGTCTGAATTCTTTAAAACAATGAGATACAATGTGAAAAACGTAACTTAATTTTACTATTATGGAAATCATAAACGAAAACTTCCCTATAAAACAATTAATCCATAGCATAATGGGACATGAAAAACTTTAACAAGAATGGAAAAACCCTGCATATGATGATCACAAAATTATTAAAGAAGAGAACAAAACTTTAAATTATAAAAAGTTTAAAGCGGCAAAAATTAAATAAATGGTTGAAAAAAAGTGCAAACAAACAAATTTTGCAAAAAAACTCAAACACTGAGACAATGGTTGGGATGACTTTTGAGCCCTTGTTTCATACGTAATGAATTTAAGATAATTGGACGGGATGATGAAATGTAAATGGCTTTCATTTCAATTGCCAAGTAAGTCTTTAAATCTTAAGCTGACGAACCCTGGGCTTAACTATGAGAATCTACCACATTTAGGTCATTTCAAATGGACTCCGCGTGTCAACAAATTGCCTGACTGGAAACCAGATAGATTGCAAATGGAAACTATTAGAGTTTCATTGTTGATTGTATCTCACTAATTTTCGAGAAACAAAGTTTTGCATCCAGTAAAATAGAAGAATTAACGGGTTCAATGGGATTTTATTTAAAAATTATATAGTCAAATTTAAAAATTGGTAATTCGTCGTATGTATTTGTTTAGATTATATCAATCTACACAACAAGTGCCGTGAATAAATGTATTATGAAATCTTTAGAAATTTTGAATTATATAAGTTTGTTGATGTCCTACAACCCTGATGAAATACTGATACAATTCTATCTGTATAATTGAAACTAATTTGAGATTTGTTTAATAAAAATGATTTTATTAAGGCTTATTTTCGCATTACTTTTCTCAACATTTGCTGCTTGTCAGCAAGTGTCAGGTATATTCACATCATTTAATTCCCTTCACTATCAAAATGGAGGTGGCTATCAATATGTTATGCCTTTTAATCCAAGTTGGATAGCAAATGTAGGCTGGACTATAGATGGAACTCAGGATCAACCAGGTGATACTTTTAGTTTAGTTTTACCATGTGTATTTAAATTCACAACTACTGCTACTACTATTAATCTTCAAGCTAACAATGTTGTATTTGCAACATGCAATTTTAGACCAGGTGATATAGTTACTCCCTATTCAGAATTAGATTGTACATTTACGAATAATGTTACTCCAGATACCTCAGCAACTGGTACAATTGAATTTCCATTTACATTTAATGCGGGTGGATCTGGATATACTTCTGATTTGACAGATGCACAATGTTTTGATGCTGGTACCAATACTGTTACGTTTTACGATGGAAATAACGCTCTTACTACTTCAGCAGATTTTCAAGCTGGTACCCCTGCTACCGGATATGATCCAAATCAAATTATTTTTATGAACAGAATCATCCCTTCCATCAGCAGACAATTGCATTTCCTTGAAGCAGGTGTTTGTCCTAATGGTTATTCTTCAGGAACTTTGGGTATTACAGCTCAAAATGGTGCCATAGATTGTTCATCCTATCATGCAGAAATTAGCAACAATTTAAATGATTGGTATTTGCCAGAAAGTGGACAGCCTATGCCTGGAATACAAGTTACTTGCTCTAGTACTCAATTAACAGTGATGTATAGTGGTGTTCCTGCAGGTTACAGACCTTTTATAGACGCGCTATTATTACCCACTGGAGGAACCTTAGGAACTATTTATACAAATACTTATACTTGTGCTGATTCAAATACAGTTACTGATAATAGTAAGAGTATCACTTGGGGTGTTTATAATAATGCTGGTACAGGAGGAACAGGAAATGTTGTCGTAATTACAACTTCCACTTGGACTGGATCTACTACCCAAGTTACAACTCCATCATATACAGGAGATACCGAAACCATCGTGGTTAATGTACCAATTCCCACTGTAACTATTACAACTACTTGGACTGGCACTTATAACACTACCTCAACTATCAGTGCAACTCCAGGAGAAACTGCCACAGTTGTAATCGATATTCCAAAGTCAGCCACTACAACAACTGCTAGCTGGACTGGGACTTACACTACTACAACAACTAACAGTGATGGTGAAACCAATATAGTGATTATTGAAACGCCAATTCCGACTGTTACTACTACTATTCCATGGACCGGTGATTATACTACTACAATTACTGGAAGTGGTACTGATACTGTTACGATTTTAGTAGAGACACCAATACCTACTATTACTACTACTATTCCATGGACCGGTGATTACACCACTACAATTACTGGAACCGGTACTGATACTGTTACAATTGAAATTGAAACACCAATACCTACTGTTACTACTACTATTCCATGGACCGGTGATTATACCACTACAATTACTGGAAGTGGTACTGATACTGTTACGATTTTAGTAGAGACACCAATACCTACTGTTACTACTACTATTCCATGGACTGGTGATTATACCACTACAATTACTGGAACCGGTACCGACACTGTTACAATTGAAATTGAAACACCAATCCCAACTATTACTACTACTATCCCATGGACCGGTGATTATACCACTACAATTACTGGAAGTGGTACTGATACTGTTACAATTGAAATTGAAACACCAATACCTACTGTTACTACTACTATTCCATGGACCGGTGATTATACTACTACAATTACTGGAACCGGTACTGATACTGTTACGATTTTAGTAGAGACACCAATACCTACTATTACTACTACTATTCCATGGACCGGTGATTACACCACTACAATTACTGGAACCGGTACTGATACTGGTACAATTGAAATTGAAACACCAATACCTACTGTTACTACTACTATTCCATGGACCGGTGATTATACCACTACAATTACTGGAAGTGGTACTGATACTGTTACGATTTTAGTAGAGACACCAATACCTACTGTTACTACTACTATTCCATGGACCGGTGATTATACTACTACAATTACTGGAAGTGGTACTGATACTGTTACGATTTTAGTAGAGACACCAATACCTACTATTACTACTACTATTCCATGGACCGGTGATTACACCACTACAATTACTGGAACCGGTACTGATACTGTTACAATTGAAATTGAAACACCAATACCTACTGTTACTACTACTATTCCATGGACCGGTGATTATACCACTACAATTACTGGAAGTGGTACTGATACTGTTACGATTTTAGTAGAGACACCAATCCCAACTATTACTACTACTATTCCATGGACCGGTTCGTATACTACTACAATTACTGGAAGTGGTACTGATACTGTGACCGTTATTGTTGAGGTTCCATCCAATGATCCACCAGTTTTACCAACTGTTACTACTACTACGCCATGGACCGGTTCGTATACTACTACAATTACTGGAAGTGGTACTGATACTGTGACCGTTATTGTTGAGGTTCCATCCAATGATCCACCAGTTTTACCAACGGTTACTACTACTATTCCATGGACCGGTGATTATACCACTACAATTACTGGAACCGGTACTGATACTGTTACAATTGAAATTGAAACACCAATCCCAACTATTACTACTACTATCCCATGGACCGGTGATTATACTACTACAATTACTGGAAGTGGTACTGATACTGTGACCGTTATTGTTGAGGTTCCATCCAATGATCCACCAGTTTTACCGACGGTTACTACTACTACTCCATGGACCGGTTCGTATACTACTACAATTACTGGAAGTGGTACTGATACTGTGACCGTTATTGTTGAGGTTCCATCCAATGATCCACCAGTTTTACCAACGGTTACTACTACTACTCCATGGACTGGATCATACACCACGACTATAACAGGCAGTGGTGCTGATACTGTGACTGTAATAGTAGAGACACCAGATGGCGTTATTATAGTCAGTCTGTTTGGTGGATTTTTCAATAGTTCGTCAAGTACATCAACAACACCCAGTATAGGATCGATTACTACTCATGCTGCTGTTTCTCCAAGTTCTAATCCATATGGCTCATTAAGTATTCCAAGTAGGTCAAAGGTTAGTGGAGATGTAACAACCGAAAAAACTACTACTCCAAATGCTAACAGTCCAAATCCAACTAGCTATATCGATCATGGTTCTAACACCGTCACTTCACCAAGTATATCTCAAAATTCTGGAACTCCCTCAGCCGCATATTCTGGCCCTGGTCCTGAATCACCATCTATTAGCTCGTATCAAGGCTCTGCTTCTACTAAGATAATGTCTCCATTATTATCTATTATTGTTGGTTTATTTATGATATTATTTTAATTTATATAAACCAACTTTTATTTATTTTATCTAAATTGACTTATATTTAGAGTTTGCTTTTATGTCTTTATTATTTCTACTCCCAATCAAATCAATATATTGTTTTTTTTCTGTATTTCATCATTTAGATTCGAATTATTAAGACTTTTTTCCAAATCCAAGTCTATGTCAAAGTTAATAATCACTGATTTGACTATTCCCATGTTTTAATCTAACAAGCCAGAAATACGTTCGATGCTTAATTGGTGAATCATATATAGATATTGTTTTCTTCTTTTCGCCAAGTTTAAGTTTATTGCTACATTGGTGTTTTTCTTCTTTTTTTGTAATTTGTATATTTCCATATAAATCTTTCTGTTATATTATCAAAAGCGTTGTATGTAAAGTGGACTTTTGCGCTTTTTATTTCAGACAATTTTTTTGCAATTGGTTTAATGTCTGAATTTTAAAAATTACGAAAATGAAAGAAAACAAACTTGACAACAAAAAAAAAGAAAAGCGACCAGACACTCGAAAAAGTTGAAAATTCCAAAAAATAAAAAGCAACAGCTTTACCCTTACCTTTTTCTATTCAATTCAAGTCAATTCATATTAAGGTCTTAGTGTTATTTGAAGAATACAATTGAGTCAAATAGAGATTACCAAATACAGATCACATAATGAAGTTTATTGCTAGTTTTAGTTTAATCGTATCGATTGTTTTATTTGTGTTAGGTCAACATGTTCTTGCTGATAGTCCCCCAATCACTCATAAAGTGTATTTTGATATAACTGAAGATGATGTTCCAATTGGTAGAATCACCTTTGGTTTATACGGTAGCATTGTTCCTAAGACTGTTGAAAACTTTAGACAATTGACTATTTCTACTGATCCTGAATTTGGATATACTGGATCTATTTTCCATAGAATCATTCCAAAATTCATGATCCAAGGTGGTGATTATGAAACTGGTCAAGGTTATGGTGGTAAATCTATTTATGGAGGTAAATTTGATGATGAAAACTTTGATTTAAAACATGATAAACCATATAAATTATCAATGGCAAATGCTGGTAGAAATACCAATGGATCTCAATTCTTCATTACTACTGTGGTTACTAGTTGGTTAAACGGAGCTCATGTTGTGTTTGGTGAAGTTCTTGATGGTTTCGATGTGGTTGACCATATGGAAAATGCTAAAACTAGTTATGGTGATCGTCCAGTTAAAACTCTTAAGATTGCTTCTACTGGTGAAATTGAAGTTGAACCAGTTGCTGCTGCACCTGAAGCTGAAGTTGAAGCTGAAGATGTTGCTAAAGATGAACTTTGAGGATATTAGAACTACATAGTTACAGTTTAGATATATTTATATATATCGTATTACATCGGTAATCATAAGAAAAGAGTGAATCAAATATTTACATTAATTCAAGTGATTCGTAGTAAGACGCGATTAGATATTTGACCATACATAATTCACATTTCAGATCAATGTTTCTCCAGTTACTTGTTTTATCACATTCGTAGATTGATTTAGACAAATACACCCAATATATAATCAATGGCAATCCCATACCCAATTGATAAGAGATTTCTAGTCAATTAAGCCATTTAACTAAGTGGATGTTGGGGGAGAGGAGAAAAATCTTACATCACCACCACACACACAAAAACTAAATTGATAAACACGACACAAATAAAAATATGTTCACCATAATATTCTAACAATTATTAGATACATTTCATTATCAATCCTAAGATTTTTCATACCATATGAGTACAACTTCATCATCCCATATGAAATTAGGTAAATTCAGAATGTCCCAGGTATTAACAATTATCGCGGTTTTAGCTACTGTCATTATATTTTATTTCCAATTAAGTAGTAATGGAGTATTTGATCCTGCAACTCCGGTAACTTCGAATGCTAATGGTAAAGATTTAGTAAATCCAAAGATTACTCATAAAGTGTTCTTTGAAATCACTGAAGAAGGTAAACCAATTGGTAAGATTACTATTGGATTATTTGGTGAAATTGTCCCAAAGACGGTTGAAAATTTCCGTCAATTAACCGTTTCTAAAGATGTTAAATTTGGTTATAAGGATTCTATTTTCCATAGAATCATTCCAAAATTCATGCTTCAAGGTGGTGATTTCGAAACCGGTAAAGGTTATGGTGGTAAATCTATTTACGGTGGTAAGTTTGATGATGAAAACTTTGATTTAAAACATGATAAACCATTTAGATTATCCATGGCCAATTCAGGTAGAAATACCAATGGATCTCAGTTCTTCATTACTACTGTCGTTACTAGTTGGTTAGACGGTAAACATGTTGTGTTTGGTGAAGTTATTGATGGTTTCGATGTGGTTAAATATATGGAAGGTGTTAAAACCAAACAAGATCGTCCACTTGCAACTCTTGCTATTTCTAATACTGGAGAAATCCCAGTTAAGCGTGAAGTTGAAGAATCAGAACCTGTTGAAGAAGAAGTTATTCTTGAAAAGAAGGATTAAACATATACTTTATATATATATATATTACTGTTACTTTTTTAATTGTTGTATTAATAAATATACATAGTTCTATATTATTAGTGTTTTAATCATCATTTTCATTATTAACATTAAGTTTTAAACCTAACATCTCTACTGTACTTCCTCTACCATATAAGGGAATATCATCAAGATAAATACTTTTTGATTCATTATCTGCAACAGGTATAGTTGCACCTGAACTTGAAGAAGTTGCCATTCCTACTGAACCACCATTTGTATTAGAACCTCCATTTTGATCCAAATCGGAATTTTCAGAATCTCCACTGGCAGTTATGATTATATTATTTGAGGTATTATTGGTTAAAGAATCAGAATTAGCAATGATATTATTTAATAAACTATCAAATGCTCCACTTGTGATTTCAATATTATTAAACAGTCCACCATTATTATTTGGATTATTAGGATTATTGGTTACTGCTGCCATTGAAGTCGGTATATTTGTAGCAGCAGCAATTGGTAACCCTAAATTAGTTTGAGGAGTAGTAGTATTAGGAGTTAATACAGAAGGATTATTGGTACTATTGGGCAAGGCTAAGGAAGTTGACTTTGATAATAAAGATGAAGTAGATGGAGCTAAATTAGGGATATTTGTGGAAGAACCAGTCATAAGATTATGACTTGAAGATAAATGAATAGCATTATTATAAGAATGACCACCATCAGAAATATGATATTGAGTCATGGTATTTAATAAATCAAACGAATTCTTAAGGGATAAGATTGATGATAATAATCTTGAACTTAAAATATCATAAATTTTAGGAGCTTGATAAACATTAGCCCCAATAATATAATAATCTTGAATTGGTAAGATATTATTATTTAAATCGATTCTTTTTTGTTTTCGAATAATCCAAAAATCAGGTTCACGATTAAAAGCAATAATGAATTCTGTACCTGTCATTTCTGATAATTTAGATTGGAAATATTGTTGAAAAGTTAAATTGACAGGAATTTGAATTTGTTGAAATTGAAATTGCATCATTAGAACTTGATTATTTGATGTTCGATCATAAAAGGGGGATAAGGAGAAATATTCAAGGACATTACCAGTATGTAGTCCTCGTTCTTGAATGAATTCAGGTGATTTCCATTGTATTTCATCCAATGCTTCTCCTGACATTGTGAATGGTGGGTGATTGTTGGGGTAAATTGAAGTTGAAGGTTGTTGATATTATAATTTTTATTTTTCGCTTTTTGAATTTTGTTTGTGTTGCCAAAACGAATTGGCAGTCAATTATTCTACAATTGAACTTTAACGATATAACCCAATTTTTATCTATTCACATTATATATATATATCTAATCCAATCATTGATCAATGACAATGTCATTCTGTTTGATAAAGTTATTTAATTTCTCTCTTAAACCATCTGCTTCAACTTTCATAACCTCATCAGTTCTCAGAATACGATCATTATCATGAGGAACTTTCAAAAGTAATCCTTTTTCCTTTGCCGTTAAGAAACTCTGTTTGCGTTGTTCAAATTGTTTAATTAAATCCATCAGTTCAATCTGATTATGTATTCCATCATCTATTCCATCTAATTTATACCGGGGGATTATATGAGTATGTAAATGAGGTATACTTTGACCTGATTCAGGTCCATCTTGAATGGCGATATTTAATGAATCAGCCTTATAATGATCGATAATAAACCGATGAATCAATTGAAGAGTATTCATATAATCAATTGATTCAATGGGAGTAAGATCTGATAATCTTATTACATTGGTTCTTAACGGTACAATGAGGACATGACCTGGTACAATTGGTTTTAAATTGACTAATGCATAAGTATATTTCGATTTAAAGAATACTTGATGATTGACAATGAATTTATAGAAGTAGATTGATACTGATTCAGTAGTTGGTATAAGTGTCATTATAGTTTCGTTATACTTCAATTGGTTAAGAATGATAATGTTGATAGTAGAGAGATTATTTAACGCATACGCTTTACCTTTTTTCGGAAAAAAGATCCCGAAATTTTCATGGTTGCCTTAATTTAATTAAAACTAAAATTAACTATGGCTTTAATGATAACTAAAATTAACTAACTACAATTGATGATTAATTATGATTAATTTTTTCTAAATTCTATTAAATTAAATATTATTAAATTATACTAATCTATATGATTAAATATATTATAAGTAAAACAGGGTTGATCAACTAGAAAAGAAACGAACGCGTCTTTTTAAATTTAGTTAACTTTACCGAAATATTCTTTAGAAGAATCAACTTCTGGTTTAATAGTTTCAGCACCTGGAGTCCAGTTAGCAGGACAAACTTCACCATATTTTTCAGTGAATTGGAAAGCTTCTAATAATCTAAGAGATTCTTCAACTGATCTACCAACTGGTAAATCATTAATAGTAATTTGTCTTAAAGTACCCTTTGGATCAATTAAAAAGATACCTCTTAAAGCAATACCTTCTTCTTCAATTAAAACACCATAATCTTTAGATAAAGAATGGTTGGTATCAGCTAATAAAGGAATATTAATTGGACCTAAACCACCATCTTTTCTGGCAACGTTAGTCCAAGCTAATAAAGAATATTCAGAATCAGTTGAAGCAAATAAGATTTCAGCATCTTTATCAGTAAACTTCTTAATAGCTTCAGAATAAGCAATGATTTCAGTTGGACAAACAAAAGTAAAAGCTAATGGGATGAAAGCTAATAAAACCCATTTACCTTTATATTGTTCTAATGAAATTTCTTCAAAGACACCATCGACGACAGCGGTTTTTTTAAAACTTGGAGCTGGTTTTTGAATTTGAGCGACCATTGTATGTGAGATATATCAATTAATTGATTAGATAAAGAAGTAAAAGAAAGAAGAAAAAGAGAAAAGAGAAAAGAGAAATAAAAGAAATAGGAGTTTGAAAAATATTAATCAACGGAATAGGGATTGTATAACCCTTTATATATATAATTAATTTGTAACTTGGTGGTTGTTAAAATGGTTTATCGAAATATTTTTCAATTCCGATCATTTAGTGTGTATATAAAATTATTATGGTGAGACTTTTTTCTTTTTCTTCCAACCACCACAGTTAAAATTAACTAGTAGGGATTTGAATCCACGGTTTAAACTAAGTGAGTGAGAAAAATGTCGTGTACCTGGTTATGACAGGTGTCGCCATAGTTAACCTTTTATTTAACTACTGAAAAAAGAAATTCTAGAAGGTCCGATCTATTACTAAGTTGGGATTTAATTGAACTGAATAAATAATCCGGGTAATAGTCATAATAATCATAATATTTTTTTTTTTTTTTTCCAAATTTAACAATTGAAATAACGGATTAATTATAACAATTGAATATTAACTACTTATAATTGAATACCTATTAATTGAAGTAAATTGTTATAATTACGATGAATTGATTTACTATATATGTATTCTTAATTCAGTAGTTAGCTGACATTATCAGAATTATCATATGAATATAAAATAGTAACGATCTTTTTTTCTTTGCTAGCCCTTTGAACTGTACTGTAGTGTGGCGTCCGAGTTAAGATCCGACTATAGAAAGAAGAAATTTAAACGATAAAAAACGACATTTCAATGAATAGCCACAAAATCAAATCATTACCTACGGTAATTGAATAATTCATTATCGGAATCGGAATCGAATGTCGTTTATTTGTAACTAATATTGTCGTGCTTTGAAATATGACATAAACATTTAAAGAGGGCTAGACTTCAAATATATATAGTTAACTAAAAATCTTAGATTAATAATGTATATCATTTATAATTAAAAATATTGTTCATATTCCTATCTAATTTCAAGTAAACCTTCGCTATTTGCTAATTATTTCTTGGTGGTCTCCTACATCGGAATATCTCTTATTAACTCTATTGTAATTATAAATCATACATATTGTTAAAAACGTTTGTAATTGTAATTATTAATGGCTTTCAGGTACTTCTTTTACAATTGGCTTAATCTCAATTCTCAACTTGCTTATTTGTTATTTCCTTCGTTTCTTTTTATTTATTTATTTTCAATCTCCGTTTCTAATCAATTCCATCTTCCCCTCTATCTATCTCTTTACTTATGACTCTTTACATCTTATCAAATCCCGTTCATAATTTTAAACTAGATTATTCAAAATTTACCTTAGATTAAATCACATGACTTGACATGTGACTTTTAGATTCTTAATAAAGATGAAATTAGATGGATACATGACATACTTGGCAATCCATGATATTATCTCTTTATCAATTGAAATGAAACCAATCAATCCCATTGAAACAATACAGTGTATGTGAGAACAATTACAACTTCGGAGACTACTTCTATTCACCATTTCATTGGATAAATATTACTTTTATTATACTATGTTCTAAAATATTTACAAATTTCTCTTCTTAGCTCTATCCCAGGCACTGGCAGCTTTTCTCTTTCTACTAGTACCAGATTTAACATCATTATCATCATTATCATTACCATTAAACATTGACCAATCTTCACCTCCAAAAGTATTAGCACTATCTCTCTGTTTTTGTTTAAATGATTTCTTAGTTTGATTATTTGGTAATCTAATAAAATTTGATTCTTCATAATTTTGAATTTCAGCTTCTTTCTTCTTTTCAAATTGAGTTTTAACCCCTCCTCTACCATGATCGATAATAGTTGATCCAATTGATGATTCCATACTTGGTAAATCACTTTGTTCATTTAAATATTCTTCCATACTTTGTAATTTCTTATTCTTACCTCCTGATTTACCTCCTTTATCTATATCATTCTTATTGGTACTTGGTGCAACCACAGCTGATATCTTTGGTGGCCTATATTTTTCTTTAGATTCTTTAGTATCATCACCATTGGAACTTTTCTTGTTCTTAATATCTTTCTTATTTAATTTGGCTAAAGCAGCAGCATCTGGTCTATATGATAAAGCATCATCTTCTTCCTCTGATGAATCTTCATCATCTTCATCATCATCTTCATCCCCATCATTATTATTTTCACGTTTATTTAATTTGGATTCTAATTTTTGTTCATCATTTTCCATTCTAGTATATGCTCTAACCATCTTATCTAATTGATAATTCAATTTCTTCTCTAATGGTTTAATCCCCTTCTCCAAAGTAACTCTCTGTACTATACTTCTTTCAATAATTTGATTCCTTACCACTTCAACTTCTTCATTATTATTTTCGCCTGATTCTTCCAATTTCTCTAATTGTCCTAATACAACAAGAACTAAATTATTCACATATGACAATAATGATTCATTCTTTAATGATAATAATGAAACACCTTCTATACTCTTAGTATTAATCTTTGATAATAACGTTTGAATCATGGCAGGTAAATGTTGTATATCATCTTCTGATTTTAATAATTGATTTAATTCAACTATACTTTCCTTAGTGGATTTGAAGGAGCTAGTTATCCCTTTTAATAATTCATCAACATTGACACTCGACAGCACTGCTTTCTCAGAAGTCATTATGTATGCCCCTTTGGTATATATATGTTGTTGATGATGATGTTCTATATAGTAGTAGTTGTAACAGTTTAAGGTTAAATTTTTTTAACTTCACTTTGGAGATGTGATTACATAATTTATTATAAATCATTTTTTTATTTTTTCTTTTTTAACAAGAAGAGGCATCCTAAAAAAAATTCACTTTAAATTATAAATAGTAAATTTGATAGTACTTAATTGATACTACTTCAAAACCAACTTACTTATTCATTCACAATGCCTCAAAACGAGTATATTGAACAACATATCAAACAACATGGTAGAAGATTAGATCATGAAGAAAGAAAGAGAAAGAAGGAAGCCAGAGAAGGTCATAGAGTTGCTAAGGATGCTCAAACTTTGAAGGGATGGAGAGGTAAACAATTTGCAAAGAAGAGATATAGTGAAAAAGTGGCTATGAAGAAGAAGATTAAGGCTCATCAAGAATCTAAAATCAAAGGTCCTTCTACTCCTAATGATGAAAATGGTGAAGCTTTACCTACTTATCTTTTAGATCGTCAAACTAATAATACTGCAAAGGCTATATCATCATCTATTAAACAAAAAAGATTAGAAAAAGCTGATAAATTCTCTGTGCCATTACCTAAAGTTAGGGGTATTTCTGAAGAAGAAATGTTTAAAGTTATTAAAACCGGTACTAAGAAATCTAAATCTTGGAAGAGAATGATTACAAAACATACCTTTGTTGGTGAAGGTTTCACTCGTAGACCAGTTAAAATGGAAAGAATCATTAGACCTTCAGCATTAAGACAAAAGAAAGCTAATGTAACCCATCCAGAATTAAAAGTTACTGTCTTCTTACCTATCTTGGGTGTTAAGAAGAATCCTCAATCTCCAATGTATACTCAATTAGGTGTATTAACCAAAGGTACTATTATTGAAGTAAATGTTTCTGAATTAGGTTTGGTTACTGCTGGTGGTAAGGTTGTTTGGGGTAAATACGCTCAAATCACTAATGAACCTGATAGAGATGGATGTGTCAATGCCGTCTTATTAGTATGAGTTTTATGAATTTCACCTCCTCAGTTCTCTTTTATTATTGCATCTAGAAATAACATTTGTACATTAGTCATTATTACTTTTCTTCTCCTTTATCTACATTTTACAGCATAGGTTTTAAAATTAAATTAAAATTAAATTATTAAAAGTATTTATAAAATCTTTCTATATACTTGTAGTAGTAATCAATCAATCTATTCGGAAAATTCATTATCGAATAAATCTAAACATAAAATATTCTTCTTCCCAATGGATCTATAACCACAATTCAATATCAATTTAGCATTTTCTCGAATCACCTGCCATTGACTACATAATAATCTCGTACCTACCAAAAAACATAATCCACTAATGTTTTGTTTATTGGCAATTAATGGTAAAATATCACCATATTTATTCAATATTTCATGAGGAGTATATTTGGATTTCAATTCTTCATTCTTATCCGGATTCTTTTGAATGAATCTTATAGGATGGATGGTGAATTCCTTTAATAAGAAATCTTTATCACGTTTAAGATGAGTAATATAATCTTCTCGAATACGACTTAAATATTCATACCCACCTTCGGCACTTAAATGAACTATGTCTTCATAATTCTTCAGATGTAAGATTTTTTCATCATCAGTTTGTAATTGATTAAATTTAGAACTTTCTAATCCAAGCGTTGAAAATACATAACTCCATAATACCAAGGTTGCAATACTAACCGCATACATACTATCAAAATAATCAGGACATGCTTTCCAATCAATGAATTCAGCCTTCATATTACAACAATCATCATCATCATCTTCCAATGGTTTCAACATTAAATGCCATAACAATAAATAACAATGAATCACTCCTCTGATATTTATAATCTCATTAATTGATTTCTTAGTCACAATAGTAGGAGAAGTTGCATTGGCATTAAGACTATTATTAACATTATTCACCACACTTTTACCCCAGATATTATTTAATTTCCGTTGTACAATATAATGATCTTTCATAGTTGCATTAACACTCATATTAGCAGGTGATCCCCCAAATATAGCAATATCATAATGATTTATATCGGAAAATCCAATGATTTGAGAAAGATGTAACATTGGACTTGGAATTAAATTCGAATCAACATCTTTAAATACTTTATCAGTCACTGATAATGGTGTGTTTGTGAATGAAGCTAATAATTCAAAATGCCAATTATCAAATGCCTTTAATATGATTTCTTTCCATATTTTACTACGATGAGCATTAGTTTGAATTATTCCATTCGAAGTTAATAAGGATGATGAAGATTGTAAATCAATTTGTTGCATTTGATACATGATAGCAACTAAACCTGCTAATAAGATCTTTTTGGAGAATCGTGAAAGATTCATTTTTAATAATGTTTCACGAGGCTTATATGGTTTTAATAATTTCTTTAATACATTTAAGAAACTTTCACCATTTCTAATTTTAACAATGTTTTTATTAGTATTATTATCATCATCATGTTTTTGTTGTTGTTGTAATTTTCGTTGTTTCTTAACGACTTTCTTAAATGATTCATTCACATCATTTGATTCCCAAAGACAATCATCATCACAAGGTAAATTTAATAATTGTAATTGATAAAACATAATTTGAGGGGGATGACGGAATTTAACATAATCGATCGTATCCAAATAAAATGTTAAAAATGTAACTCTCTTCATTGATTCAGATTCAACCCATCTTAAAAATAATTCCGAATCAGTGGAATCAAACGCTTTATCAGCACTAGAAGCAACTGGTTTGGAAGATGGACTACTGGAAGCACCATTGACAGCCGCAGCAGCACCACCATTCAATTCATTTACAACGGCTTCTTCAGACTCATCTTCTCCTGCACTTGAATTAGAACCACTAGTTGAACTAGCTGATTTTTTCATATTTACCGTTGGATTACCTCCTAATAATGGAGATCTTCTTAATAATTGTACAGTTGTACCATGATGTAAATGAGCCCTTTCATGCATTCTCCGAGATAAGAAATTCTTCTCCACCCATTCAATCATATTTAAACTTTGTAATATCCATAATTTCACCGGAGATTTGAAATCTTCATGTTGGAAAATCATATATCTTAAAGGAGTAGTAATCAAGGTACTGAATTTATATTCGGGAGATTGCATTAATTTCTTGGCCATTAATTCATCTAATTCCGGTGAACTATAATGACAACCAATAACAATCATCAGGATTAATAATAATGGTTGTGTGACTTTCGTATTGAATGATGGTTTATGAATGATTGAAAATTGAGGATGGAACACTAACCAATACATATGTAAATAATAACTTAATCTATCTTCAATAGTAACTTTGTCATGATCATAATTCTTAAATATTTCTTCAATAGATTCACGATCAACTGTTTTTAAACATCGTAAAATTGATTCTAAAATAAGCGTATCGATGAAAATATGTTTATTCTTTTCCATATTTGATTTTTCAGCATGATTTAAAAGCTTTAATTCATAAGTGTCCAATTTCGTAGCGAAATGGAAATCACTCAAGGTCTTAGGAGAAGTATTGGATTCATTAGTATTAGTAGGTGATGACGATGAAGCAGTAGATGTCATATTTAAATTCATATAGGTAGCTGTCACATTAGCGATATTAGCTCCAATATTAAATACACCAGTTCCAGCCATACCACCACCTCCACCACCTAAATTAACTCCATTCATAATGGGTGAATTAGCAATATTGGCAGTGATGGGACTAACTCCTTTTGGTAATAACCCACCACCAGCTCTATTTAATGAAACATCAGCTGCAGTGAAAGTTGATGGATCATTTATATTGGTGTTACTATCTGGGATAGCAAAATTATTAACATTAGCCAATCCTCCTGCTCCACCATTAAGAGTATTTAACAGTTGATAGTTTCTTATAAACACTTCATCTAATGGATTATCATCATTTTGGAAAAGATTATCTTGGATACCACTATAATTTTGGAGTGAATTGCTACGACTGTTAGGTTGAATTTGTGTTGGTTGTTGTTGTTGCTGTTGTTGTGGTTGTGGGGGAATGGATTGGGCAAGCATAGCTTGTTGTTGTTGCTGCTGTTGTTGTAAAGGAGTAAAACTATTAATCAAAGCAGTTGGAGTAGGACCATTAGCCAAATTTTGTAATTGTTGATCATTCAAAGGAGAAAATTGAACATTAGGATTTGGAGGAAATGGTGATATACCGGTATTAGGAATATTCCCATTATCATTATTATTTAATTCCCCCATTGGATTTTGAAGGGCATTTTGAGGAGATTGGAATTGATTTTGAGGAGGTAAAATCATATTTTGCATGGCAGCAGTGGCAGCATTAATCATTGGATTACTATTATTATTAGCAATACCATCATTTGCACGAGAACTACTTGCTCCTGATATTAATGAAGAAGTTGAAGAACCAGCTGCATTCTCATTAAACAACCAAGATAAAATATCATTTTGAGTTTGAGGTAAATTCTTGGTGAAATTAATTAAAGGTTGATTATAAAAATCACTAAGATTAGTTTGAGATTGTTGTTGAGAAATAGATGGTTGTGGTGGATTATTAATTTGTTGTTGGGTCATACTTAATTGAGAAGAAGTTTGTGGTAGTACTGGAGGTGAATTTTGTAAAGGAGGAGGAATGGTTGAAGTTGGAGTTTGCATAGTTAAACCCATGGATGTCATATTAGGAGTCGGTATATTTGTATTATATAAAGGATAAGAAGTCGGTATATTTGTAGTAGTGGTTGAGAAATCTTGAATAGGTAATAAATTGAAGGGAGATGATGAAGATTGATTAGTTGTTTTATTAGTCATAGGAGATGTTGTGGTTATTGATTTTTTAGTAAGGGATGAATCGATATTTTTATTATCTTCATTTTCATGAATTAAATTTGAAATTTGTAATAAATGACCATTAGTTTGACTTGGAGAATTGATTGAAGAGGTAGGTAAATAACCATTTGATTGATTAATTGATTTAGACACTGATTTTCTCTTTTTGGTAGTTGCTGTAATTGGATGATCTTTTTCCTCATTTTCAATATCATCATCATTTTCATCAAGTTCATCATCATGTTCATGTTTCAATTGAAGGTTTTTTTCATATTCTTTAATTAAAGCAGGATCTAAAGGTTTAGCATCCAAGATTTCTAAATGACGTCTTATATGTCTTTCTTTTAAATCTCTTCTTACAAACGTTTTACCACATAATTTTTTATTTCCTGAATAATCTTCAATTAAAAAATCACATTTAAATACTTCTTTTGGTTCATGATTTAAATTATGTCTAGCCAAATGATCAGATCGTGAGAAGATCTTATTACAATGTAAACAAGGAAAGGTACCTAATGTTCTTCTCTTTTTCCGTGATGGAGGCTTTGTATGAGTTGTATCCTTTGAATCTGTATTGGTGGAGACGGTATGATTTGATATAGTAGGAGAAGTGGTTGAAGAAGTTGATGAATCGGTTGACGATAGATTGTTGTTACTCTTACCTTTAGTGGTAGTGGTGATGGATGGATCAGATGATTTAGACATCAATGAATATGGATTGAGTTATATAATTGGCAACAACAGGGGCATGAAAAAGAAAAGAAAAGCGTAAACGATATGTCAAAAAGCTAAAAAGGATAAGGATAATATATGAGGAGCAGATCTATGAGGTGGGGGATGGATCACACTATTTGGAATAAGATAAGATAAGATGAGATGAAGTAACAAATAGACGCTGTTCAGATCGAATGATCAATCAATTTAATTAAGGATTTTTAAAATTGTTGTTGTTGTTGTGGTGGTTGTGGGAGTAAAACTTCAAAGCCAATTTCCAGAACAAGTCTCATGTTTAAAATTTTCTCTCTCTCTCTCTCTCCGCTTCACAAAAAAACAGTCGGACTAAAATTGGATAAATCGATCCGGAGTTTCACCATACATTTGCGAATCACGTGTGAAACACTATAGATTTTTAATTATGCATTTTTGTTACGATAAATTAATGATATTTACTACTAATATAAAAAGAAGAAATGAATTATTGAGGCTCTACCCTTATTGCCCTATGTTAATATATGTATGTCTTGTCCTGTCCTGTCCTTGGGTTCTTACCTATTATCCTGTTAACTATCACCCTAATGTTAATTACTGCTACCACTACCTTATATTCTAATACAATTTAAATAATAAACTGGTTCATGTCTATTAATACTCAACACATCAATATGATCATTGAACCTTAATGACTTCTCAACTGTCTTTGGCTTAGGTATGGTGGTTGCTACGTTTGTATTGGTTGTGGTTGTTAATGCCTTCTTATTCATGATTAATGATTTTGATGAAAAACTACTGCCAGTGGAAACTTCTGATACTCTTCTATCACTAAACATTGAATTACCACTTGTTGATGAACTTGATGAACTAGTTGAACTAGTAGATGATCGATGATAATTACTACTATTACTATTAATCATCCCAATTGATGAACTTGAATAATCATAATAATCATAATTCTCATCACTACTAGTATTTCCAAACCTTTCATCGATATCATCTCCTTCATCATTATCATTATCATCATCATCATCCAACCCATCATCATCATAAATTCTACCTGCTTTTAAATCTCGATTATAATATATAAAAAATTTATCAAAATTCATCAGGAATTGATGTTTATTTAATAATAATTCCCATTCATCATGTTTATGATAAGTATATTTATAATTATAATTCAAATTATTAAAATAATCATCAATGAAATAAGATTTATCATAATATTTATAATTCAAATGATCCAATTTCCAAATGATTTTATATCGATCATAAAATTTAGGATTATGTAATAATCTTCCCATAATGAAATAATTCCCCATCTTATCATCATCATTGGGTTTATTGTGAGAGGATGATTTACTGTTGAAATCAAGGAAATAATCTAATAATGAATCAATTTTGATTGATTCATATTTCTCAATTAAGATTTCAAAGATCTTTTCAATAAGATTTAATTTGAATTGTTTTTGAATGAATAAATTAAGAATTCGACTGTTTATATTATCATTTGATGTGTTATTATTGCTGTCCGATCCTGATTTAGTTAATTCTGTTTTGGTAAGGAAGATAATTAAATAATTTATAACATAATTTTTAATATCAATGAAATCTTCATCATTAATAAGAGTAGGGAAATATTCTTCAATGATAGAATTGATTTTCGATGTTATGATGGATAATTCTAAACTTGAACTTGATGTAGTTGAAGTTGATGATGTTATAGATGATGATCTTTTATTGGTAGATGATTGGGATTTTAATATACTTACTAATGGTTGAGGTTGATTTGAACTTATATGTAAATGATTTATAGGTAATATAACTTCTTCATCATAATCTTCATCATAATCCGATTCTTCATCATAATCATCATAATCAATCATAGACTCATCGTATTCACTACTACTAATACTATCATCATCATCATCATCATCATCACTTTCTTTATCATTATTATCTTGATATTTAAAAGTAGAAGTATAAGCATCAACTGAACTTATCAATCCTAATTTTAAACTCTTGGCTGTATCTTTCAAATGATCAAATGAACATTGATTTAATGGGAATTTGAAATTGTAATTAAATCTTGTATTAGTAGATTTTGATGGTGTAGTATTTGTGTTATTATTATTATTTTGCATACTTGAACTACCAAATTCAAGTTCAAAATCTTCTTCTTCTTCTTGTTGATGATAGTCTTTAGGTTGATCTACTAAGGAATCCATATAATTGACGGTATCATTGACTTTCGGTATGAGGAAATGGTAGTTATTATCATGTAAATTCAACTCTTCATCATTATCATTATCATTATTGATATGATTATTATTGTTATTGACTGCAACGTGTGATGGCAGCATGTTTTTTTTTTGTTTGGCTGTTATTTACTATGGGGAAATATGCACTTAATGAAATGAAGGGAATAATTGAAATGATATGATATGATATGATATGATATGATATATATATTATAATATACTGTAATGCTAATGAGATGCTGATATAAAAGAAGTAACTAAATAATAATGATGATGATACTTGTAAGTTTACAAAATTTCATCATCATCATCATATATATAATTACAACTAGTTAGTATACTATATAGTTAATAGTTAGTAAAATTTGGTCTATTTTTCCGCAGCCAAAAAGAAAAAAGTGGAACTCGTGGGGTCTTCAACTTCTTCAATGTCATTTCTTTTAATTTGTCATAAACCTCATTTGTCAATTTTAATAACACTCTTCCTTTCTATCATAGTTAGTTTACTATATGACCTCATATTTATATGTTAATTCTTCTAAAATATTAACAACTTATGTCAGATCTGTTCACCCATAGAAACATAGAACTAATTAATACTTATTAATTATTAGAATGCAAAATGATGAAATCAATACTGTTAATGGATCAATACTATAACTTTCTATTTAAATTGGATGTAACCAACTAAACACATTTAGTCATATTTTTAGTTTAATCTTGTTAGTTTTAACCGATGTATACCCTACCCTATCCAACTCAAACACTAAACACACACACTGCTCTTCCTTAATTACTATGAGGAAATTCAAAACGGTTGCTACTTCTTGTTTTGGACAAGTAGTATGCAGGATAGTAAACCACCACCACGACATTTATCCTTTTCTCTTGTTCGCTGCGACATGATGTCGTCTTGTACCAAAGTATACAATCAAAGGGCCCTTTATAAACATACATCATTTAATCTCTCATAGATGTATCTTACTTCAATTTCATATGAATTGCATTTATATTACATATTAATTGATAAACTTAAGTAACGTGATAATTGAATACATATATCTAATTACTTATCTTTTTAACATTCCACTCTAATTTTATTGTTGCGAAATTAATTTTCGTGTTTTGTTAGTTCCTTTAATTAAATAAGACGTGTAATCCATAGACCTAATCGTAGTTAAACATATCCACGTATGTCTTATATAACTATCTACGTAGAATACTACAACACCAAACCATAATTCCAACACCACCAGACCAATTTTCCTCCAATGATATGCTTCAATTTCATGTTATATATTTGCTGATCTTAACTAAACATAGTAAAAGAAAAAGGGCGTGTGATTGAAGACAAAATTTCTTTTTTTTCTTCTTTTTATTTTTATCGTGTCTTTTTTTTTTTACATGGTGTTGATTTCACGATTCTATCAATTACATCATTTACATAGATATATAGATATAGTTCATAGAAAGATACTCAACTATCTTTAATATCCCTATCCACAACTCACAACCCCACCCCTACCCCCAGGACATTCAATCCATCCATACCCCTTGCAAGGTCCCTCGTTAATCATACTTTTTCCGGGCATGTCAATGTTATCTACCCGTAATTTAAGGGTGTTAATTTCAGCCTTAGCTATATTTGGGATAGTTATATTCTTTGCTACTTCTCAAAATAGTCTTACTTCTTCCATTCAAAAGGTTAAACCCGCATCTACTGGTGATGATACTATTCCATTCAATAATGATCATCTTGAAGAAGTTGGTAATACTTTACAAGGATCTCCAATCCAAGGTAAAGAACCTCCTTATTCTCAATCTGAAAATGATGATATCCCAGTCATTGGTAGTAATGGTAAACCAAAGATCGTGGCTGATAAGTCCGCTAATAACGAAAAGGCTCCTGCTGTTGGTGCTGATTCCAACATTGGAACTGATTCAAAACCAAAAGTTCCAATCCCAGCTAATGCTGCCCCAGCTGTTGATGATGAAGTTTTAGAAAAAGCACCAGTACCAGCCGCTCCAGTCACTCCAGGTAAAGCTGCTGTTGGAGGTGCCAAGTGTGATGAAAAGAATTACGTTGTTATGATTGATGCTGGTTCAACTGGTTCAAGAGTTCATGTTTATGAATTTGATACTTGTGTTTCACCACCAAAATTATTAAAGGAAGAATTCAAAATGTTAAAACCAGGATTATCATCCTTTGATACCGATACTAAAGGTGCTGCTGCTTCGTTAGATCCATTATTAGAAGTTGCCTTAGCCACAGTTCCAAAAGCTAAACAAGGTTGTACTCCAGTTGCAGTTAAAGCTACTGCTGGTTTAAGATTATTAGGTAAAGAAAAATCCACCAATATCTTAAATGAAGTTAGAAATCATCTTGAACAAGATTATCCATTTGCTGTTGTTGATGGTGATGGTATTTCTATTATGGAAGGTAAAGATGAAGGTGTTTATGCTTGGATTACTACTAATTATTTATTAGGTAATATTGGTAATAGTGAAAAGAATCCAACTGCTGCTGTATTTGATTTAGGTGGTGGTTCTACTCAAATTGTATTTGAACCTGAATTTAAGGATCAATCTGAACAAATGATTGATGGTGAACATAAATATCAATTTACTTTTGGTAATAGAGAATTTGTATTATATCAATTTAGTCATTTAGGTTATGGTTTAATGGAAGGTAGAAATAAAATCAATTCACTTGTGATTGAATCTGCTTTAAAGACCAATGAAGAATTACAAAATTCAAAGATTGCCACCAAAAAGGAAGCTAAAGATACTAAATCAACTACTATTACTTTAAATAATCCATGTATTCCACCTGGTGCCACTGCATCAAATGTTATGGTTGAATATGGTAAAGATGAATTTTATGTGGTTAATTTCCAAGGTCCATCTTCAGATTCAGGGTTAACTGGTGGTTCACAATGTAGATTCCTTGCTGAAAAGATTTTAAATAAAGAAGCTGAATGTGCTGAAAAACCATGTTCATTCAATGGTGTTCATCAACCATCTTTAACTAAAGCATTTAGAAAATCAAATGATATGTTTGTATTTTCTTATTTCTATGATAGAACTAATCCATTAGGTTTCCCATCATCATTTACAGTTGAAGAATTAAAAGAATTAGCTAAGACTGTTTGTAATGGATCACAATTCTGGAAAGATGTATTATTAGATGATCCAATTAAAGAATTGAATGAAGAACCTCAATGGTGTACTGATTTAAGTTTTATAACTGCTATGTTACATACTGGATATGATATTCCATTAGGACGTGAATTAAGAACTGCTAATAAGATTGATAATAATGAAATTGGATGGTGTCTTGGTGCATCATTACCATTATTGGATGGAGCAAGTTCCGGTTGGAAATGTAAAGTTCAAGATATAACTGCTTAAATCTAATATAATCAGTTATGATGATTATTTATTCTTATATAAACATATATACATTCCTTTTACAGATTATAATAGAAAAAAAAATCACAGTTGATAAATAAATAAATATAAATATAAACAAAACATATATTATACTATACTATAAAACCCGACAATAACTCGGCCGTATTAAAAGTTAATGTTGATTCTATTTTTTTAGCCTTTAATAGACAGTGGCTGTGAATTAGAAAATTTTATGTAACTACTCCGATGAATTTAAACGGTTATTGAAAAACAGAAGAAGGATCAAGGATAATAAAATTTAATTGATCCGAAAAAAACCACAAACAGAATAAAGGTAAAAGCGGTTATCAATTATTAGATGTTATGAAGTTGAAAACAGGGTTAAGGTAGGGGGGTTTATAAAGGATAGGAAACGATAAGTTAAATCAGTTTACGAATGAATATCCGTTATTAATGACTTTAATTCAACTAGCTCTCTCCACTCCACTAAAGTTTGAACTCCACCTACCGAGTCATAAAAATAATTTTCCACACTCACTGTAAAAATAAGGGAAAGGAAATGTAAGGAACCAGTGGTGGTCCGAGCGACGGTCTTAATTAAATTACTGTTTTCTTACTGATTACACATAATACATTGTATACTATGATTGGTGTGTCACAGTTGAAAGTACCCACGCACACACAGAAACACATAGATATACACTATATATATAGACAATTAAATGACGATGGAAGTTAGTTAGTGAGCATTAATCACTAATTCACTCCCCCACTTTCTCACTACAACTTCTTCTCAGTAAAATTGTCCCTCTCTCTGTCTCCCTCCAAACTAAATTTTTATAACACAATAATTTATTTTAAATCTGGTTTCATTAATCATAAATAAATAAATTTGTCATAATCCTGATTGTTATCACCATTATCAACAATATCATCCTTATTGTTCAACCATATCATTTAAAGGTATACCATATCATTTTGATTACTTAAACCAACGTTATATACTCTCCACAGTGACTCATCACTCCAATTTAAGCTAATTATATCTTAATCAGACATGAGTACTTTGAATCAAAGGATTGGGTCTCCTGCTTCAGCAACAACCATCACATCAGATATAACCACCCCCAGTATACCAAATCCATCAACAAAAACAACAGCCACCACTTCTACCACCACCACCATCACCACTAATACATCCACAAAATCAACTACTAAACCTATCAACGTCAAAAAACAATCATCATCCAAATATAACCGAACATCGTTTAATAATTATCATGCTTCAACTCCCGTTACTTCATCATTATCAACATCTCCATCTCAAGTCTATATCAGTCGCGAACAACCTATGATTCATAATAAACTTTATTGTGATCAAGTACCTAAAAAACTCTTAAATAATGGTCCTGTCTTACCATCTCATCATATTAATAATAATCATAATCATAATAATAACTTTTCTCAAAATAGTAATAATAGTGCATCATCAGTAGTATTATCGAAATTAAATAATCATGATGATTTAAGATCAGTTAAATCTCATACTGAATTAGCTGAAACTGCAAATGGAGTAAGAATGTTAGCTAAGAATTTAGCTAAAGCTACTATTCAATTAGATGTAAGAGTTATTATGATTGTCACTAAAGCCAGAGATAATTCATTGATTTATCTTACCAGAGAAATTGTGGAATGGCTTTTAACTAGAGAACGTGATATTGTGGTCTATGTTGATAATAAATTACAAATTTCCAAACGATTTGATTCAAATTCTATATTGGAAAATTATCCCAAATCAAATCAATTATTAAAATATTGGGATAAAAAATTTGCATCTAAGAATCCTGAAATTTTCGATTTGGTTATAACTTTAGGAGGTGATGGTACTGTTCTTTATGTATCTAATTTATTTCAAAGAGTTGTCCCCCCAGTTATATCATTTGCATTAGGTTCACTTGGATTTTTAACCAATTTTAATTTTCATCAATTTAGAGAAAAAATGATAACAGTAGTTGAACTGGGAGTTAGAGCTTATTTAAGAATGAGATTTACATGTCGAGTTCATCGTGCTGATGGGAAATTGGTTTGTGAACAACAAGTTTTAAATGAATTAGTGGTGGATAGAGGTCCTTCACCTTATGTTACTCAATTAGAATTATATGGAGATGGATCATTATTAACCGTGGCCCAAGCTGATGGATTAATCATTGCAACTCCAACTGGGTCAACAGCTTATTCATTAAGTGCAGGGGGATCATTGGTTCATCCTGGAGTTAGTGCTATAAGTGTTACCCCAATTTGTCCTCATACTTTATCATTCCGACCAATATTATTACCTGATGGAATGTTTTTAAAAGTAAAAGTTCCATTACAAAGTAGATCAACAGCATGGGCATCATTTGATGGGAAAGTTCGAACTGAATTAAGAAAAGGTGATTATGTTACAATTCAAGCTAGTCCATTCCCATTCCCCACTGTTATAAGTTCTAAAACTGAATATATTGATAGTGTTAGTAGGAATTTGAATTGGAATGTTAGAGAACAACAAAAACCTTTTAGTCATATTATGTCACGAGGTCATGGAGCAACTGGACCTGCTGCTGTTAGTAGTGTTAATTCGATAAATAGTGGTAGTGGAAGTAAAGTGAAACATAATTCCAATTTGAAACCCAGTAATAGAGATAATAGTCTTTCATCGGTTGATTTAGAGAATTTACATATTGGAGGTACACCAGATGATATTGAAGATTTTGATATTAATTATAGTGAGAATGAAAAGGATGAAGATGACGAAAACGAAAATCAAGATACATCGTTGACACCATCAGATGATGAATTAGAAGAAGAAGAAGAAGAAGATATTGATATTGATGATGAAGATGAAGATGATAGCCCATATTTACCTCCACCAGGTCAGGGTATAAATACTCCACCTCATTATGAAGCAGAAGATGATCATCGTGAATGTTTTGCCCATCCTCATGCAAAGATCACGTTAGCTGGGATTAGTTCTGGAAGTACCAGTAGTAGTAGTGCTGGAGGGATAAGAAATCATACCCTTCATAATAATTCCAATCATCATCATCAACATAGTAGTAATAATAATAATACTAGTGGGAATGGAAGAGTTATAAGTTCTACATCGAGTACGCGATATTCATCATCGAATGCATCGATTGCATCGTCTGATGATAACTAGGAGGATTAGTTTGTGTTTAGTTTGTAAATAAGTTAAATCAATATATTCAATCAATCAATCTATTTATATATATATATAGTTGCTATAGATATAAACGCGTGACTCACCAAGTAAAGTCGTGTACTTTTCCTCAATTAAAAGTTTATTTTTAGTTATCAGAACACGCTTCTCACTCTTTGTTTAAAATTAGCTTAACAAAACCAAAAAAAGAAATTGAATGAAAAAAAAAGAAAAAAGAAATAAATAAAAAAAAAAAAAAAAAAAAAAAAAATTTTTTTTGCCCTCTGATTATCAAATTAAAAAATCCTTTTTTGAAATGCTTAAATTTCACACATTCCTCCTTTCTTCTTCTTCTTCTCTTCTTTAAGATACCCTTATATTTATACATATACTTTATCTATCTTATATATATTCTCATATATTAAGACAAAACACTTATCAAGTAGATACGAAAAAATATGACTTCCGATTTGAATCAACAATTAGGTAATCTTAGTGTCCAAGATGGTCCATCATCCCAGGGTGGGAATGGAAGATCTCAGTACGTTCCTCCTCACTTACGCAACGGTGGTTCTGAAGATGCTGGTGCCGATACTGGTTACGGTGGAGGTTATCGTCGTTCCAACAATGGATTTGGTGGTAACAATAATAATTACAATAATAATAATAGAAGAGGTCCATCCAATGGCTTTGGTGGTAGTTACAATAATGGTGGCTACTCTGGTCGTGGTGGTTCTTCAAGAGGTGGAGCCCGTGGTGGTTCCTTCTCCAGAGGTGGTGGTTTTGGTGGTTCAAGATACCAAAGACCAGGTATTGGTAGATGGGTTGATGGTAAACATGAACCTGCTGCTAAAAGTGAAAGTTTAGAATTAGAATTATTCGGTACTCCTGAAGATGTTGGTGCTCAATCTTCTGGGATTAATTTCGATAATTATGATGAAATTCCAGTTGAAGCTAGTGGTGAAGGAGTTCCAGAACCAATTTCTGCTTTTACTGCTCCTCCTTTAGATGCTTTATTAGTGGAAAATATTACTTTATCAAGATTCACTAAACCAACTCCAGTTCAAAAATATTCCGTTCCAATCGTGGCTGGTGGTAGAGATTTAATGGCTTGTGCTCAAACTGGTTCCGGTAAAACTGGTGGGTTCTTATTCCCAGTCTTATCTGAATCTTATATGAATGGTCCTGCTCCAATTCCAGAATCTTCAGGTGCTTTCTCATCAAATAAAGCTTATCCAACTATTTTAGTTATGGCTCCAACTAGAGAATTAGTTTCTCAAATTTATGATGAAGCAAGAAAATTCAGTTATAGATCTTGGGTTAAACCATGTGTTTGTTATGGTGGGGCTGATATTGGTCAACAAATTAGAAACTTGGATAAAGGTTGTGATTTATTAGTTGCAACTCCAGGTCGTCTTAAGGATTTATTAGAAAGAGGTAGAGTTTCATTAGCCAATATTAAATATCTTGTTTTGGATGAAGCCGATAGAATGTTAGATATGGGTTTTGAACCTCAAATCAGACAAATTGTTCAAGATTGTGATATGCCAGGTGTTAATGATAGACAAACTTTAATGTTTTCTGCTACTTTCCCAAGAGATATTCAAATGTTAGCAAGAGATTTCCTTAAAGATTATATTTTCTTATCAGTTGGTAGAGTTGGTTCTACTTCCGAAAATATTACTCAAAAAATCTTATATGTTGAAGATGAAGAAAAAAAATCAGTATTATTAGATTTATTAACTGCTGGTGATCATGGTTTAACCATTATTTTCACTGAAACTAAAAGAATGGCTGATAATTTAGCTGATTTCTTATATGATCAAGGTTTCCCTGCCACTGCCATTCATGGTGATAGATCTCAATATGAAAGAGAAAAAGCTTTAGCTGCTTTTAAAAGTGGTACTGCTCCAATCTTAGTCGCTACTGCTGTCGCTGCTAGAGGGTTAGATATTCCAAATGTCGCCCATGTTATTAATTTCGATTTACCAAGTGATATCGATGATTATGTTCATAGAATTGGTCGTACTGGTCGTGCTGGTAATGTTGGTATTGCCACTGCTTTCTTTAACAGAAACAATAAAAATATCGTTAAAGGTTTAGTTGATTTATTATCTGAAGCTAATCAAGAAGTTCCAGATTTCTTAACTAAAATCGCCAGAGAAGGTTCATTTGGTAAAATGGGTCCATCATCTCGTGGTCGTGGTGGATCTTCAAGAGGTCCATCTAGAGATTTCAGAAGACAAGGTTCTTCCTCATCATCTGGTGGTTGGGGATCATCTCAAGGTGGTTCTTCTGCTGCTGGTGGTTGGGGTTCATCCACTCAAGGTGGTTACTCTGCTGGTGGAAGCACTGGTGGTTATAACAGTGGTGCTCCAGCTCAACGTGGTAACTATAGTTCATATGATAGTTCTTCATATGGTAATCCTACCAGTAACAACTCTTGGTGGTAAGCACCAGAGATTGTTTATTTAGTTGATGGGATGACACACACTTGAAAATTGCATTATATTTTTATATTACTATTATTATTTTTTTATTATTATTATTATCATTTTTTTATTTATTTTTGTTGCTACTACTATTTTTATTTAAAACTCCATGTCTGGGTCTTATAAAACATCAATCAAAGAAAAGGGAAAAAGAGAAAGAAAAGAAAAAGGGAAAAGAAAGGAACGGAAAAGAATAGAACAAGAAAGAAGAGACGATAAATACATCAGAAGAAGAGAAATACGAAAGGAAAAAGAAAAGAAAAGGCAACGAATTTTCAAGATGATCAATCATATACATACGCTTTCTTCATTTTAATCATCATTATTATTATTTATTATTATATTCAATTCAACTTCTTCATTGAAATTTGAATGATACTAGAAGGGAAGATCACGTTCTTCTCTTTTTGAAAAAGGGAAAGAAATATTATTACTACTACAACCACAATCATAGAATAAAGCGTATCATCCATCCAACCATCATTATCATCATCATATTTATTATTATTTATTTGCATTAATTGCTTTTAGTTTGCTTTTTTACATGTTTTTCACCATTTTGCTTCTTCATTTATTTATTTATCAAATTTAAATCATTTTACAGGGTTCTTTTTTTTGGCATTTCATTCATTCATTCATTACAATCAAATCCATATTTATACGTGTTTATACACTACAACAAGTTATTATAGAAAAGTTATTCATGGGTTACTTTATACATCTTTTTTTTTTTACCATACAATACAATTTATTATTGATTTTTCATTTTCTTTGGGGTTAAAAGTTTGATTTTTTACAATTTGTTTTTAATTGCTAATTTGTTATTTATTTACTTACTTACTTACGGGATTTAGACATTGGGTTACCTTTTTATACAGATTTTTTTATCATTATATCTATCTCTTTTTAATGCTGTTCATATTTGCAAGTGTAAATATTATTTATATATTCATCATCATCATCATCATATATCTTATATACTAATTTAAATATATTATTAAATTCTTTGCTTAACTAGTTACAGCTTGTTTATGTAGTTGATCTATTGGGAATAACTCTAACTGTCAAACAAACATTCCATGTCAATATTTATCCTTGGATGGCATAATGTAAAAATGGAAATGGATTGACACGCGTGCGGCATATAATTTATACAAACTTTTTTAAAAATGACATTCCAGACCGATTCAGATCAGAAAACTATTTTTGACACTACCAATTTAAAGTTGAAACTTGTTATCTGTAAACTGTCATCATTTATCATCATCTCACGAGTTATAACTAAGTCATCTAACGTCCCAACATGGCACTGAGAAGTCGTAGGGTGAAGATAGGGATCATTCTCGTCGTAGTGTTGTATACTATCTACTTATTTGTGGTATCATTTTCATTACCAAGAGCAAATCATCGAACTGAATTTAATTCAAGTAAATTACAATTACAACGTGAATTAGAACAGAATTCCGATTGGTCCAAGTTAGGATTGAACTTCCAACCTAGTAAAATATCTCAATTGCCCACTGATTCAACTGTAAGACAACAATTATCATATCAATTCCCATATCAACCTGAAAAACCATTCCCCAAAAATATTTGGCAAACCTGGAAAATACCTTTAGAAGATCCTAAATTCCCTCATGATTATCGACTGTATCAAGGTACTTGGGATACCGATAATCCTGACTATAAACATTATATCATCGCTGATAATGTTTGTGAAGAATTAATTCAACAATTATATTCAACCATCCCTGATGTTGCAAAAGCGTATCGTATCATGCCTAAAAGTATCTTAAAAGCTGATTTCTTTAGATATTTGATCTTATACGCTAGAGGTGGGGTTTATAGTGATATCGATACCGTTAGTCTTAAACCAATCGATACTTGGGCATCTTTACAAGATACATATAATGAAAAGCCATTGAATGCAGGTTTGGTGGTGGGAATTGAAGCAGATCCTGATAGACCTGATTGGGCAGATTGGTATGCTCGTAGAATTCAATTCTGTCAATGGACTATTCAAGCTAAACGAGGCCATCCTATGTTAAGAGAATTAATTGCAAAGATTACTGATATAACTTTGACTAGAGATCGTAAAGGACAATTGAAAAAAATATTAGGTAAAGATCAAGGAGGGGATATTATGAATTGGACTGGACCTGCTATATTCACTGATTCTATATTTGAATATCTTAATAATATCTTGGGCTCGGCTTATGATAATACCAATAATGCTAAAAATAAAAATAGTAAAAGTCAAATTGTGGATTGGAAATTATTTACTGGAATGCAACTGCCAATTGCTATAGATGATGTATTAATATTGCCTATTACTTCATTCAGTCCTGATGTCGATCAAATGGGAGCCCAATCTCATGAACATCCAATGGCGTATGCTAAACATATGTTCTCTGGAAGTTGGAAAAAAGATTCTGCAAATAAGCCAGAAAAGTAAGTAAATAAATAAATTTGAAATGTGTATATATTATATATTGTAATCTGTCTTTATATAAATTAATTTAATTATGTTACCAATTATTAAATTCTTCCATAATATTCTCATTTCTCTTGGATAATTGTAAATTAATATTCTTAACTTTAAACTTATCATAATATACTTTACAACTACTATTACAACATTGATTTGATAATTGATTAAGTTTATCAATTCCTAATGCCAGTCCATTATTAATGAAATTATTCTTAACACAAAGTTGACAAAGTTTATTCAAATTAAATAAACTTATCTCATTAAACTTTAATTCCATAGTAAGATTCGTAATTAAGGTTAATTCATGTTGTCGACATGGGATACAAAAATATTTCGAATTAGATTGATTATTACTATTCAATTCTTTCCCACAATTTAAACAATTATTAACATTAATGAAATTTGTCATTTTAAATAAATTATTCGTACTTCCTAAATTATTAAATTTTAATTTAGGTAATTCTCGATACCAACTCTTAATATCAACTCCAATCAAATTAAATATTCGTTCTAATGGTGGAATTAAAACTCGAGTAATGTAATATTCATAATCAAGAACATATGGATTTAAATTAGAATAGGATTCAATAAACTCTTGTGGCAGCATACATCGATCTTTAATTCTTGGTTTGGTGGAATCTTGAATCACCACATATGGTACCCGCTCACGATATTGAGGTTCTTGTCTCGCATCTTGTTCAACTTTTTTTGCAGCCACTATAGCTCCAGGTGGTAAATACATCTCATTCTTATAAGTACCATATCTTACTTCTTTAGCAAAACAGAAATCATTAATCGATATTTTATTCATCAGTATCTTATAAAATTGTTTGGTGACATATTGCTTAACTCTTGATAAGTTTTTAGTCTCAAATAAAATCCGTAACGATTTTTCAACTATTTTCAGTTGAGCAGGTATACCATCACGTCTAATAGTTTCAATCCCTTTGGCATCAAATTTAGGAACGACTTGATCCTCGTATTCGTACATATAACCAACATACCTCTTCTTTGTCAATAATACACATGGATGATAAACCTTCTCGAACTTCAATTTAATAGGATTAGGGAATTGATTAGTGATAAACTCAGCAATTTCTCGGCCTAGTTTGAATGCTTCTGCTTTAGATTTACCTGGAAAATATACAAATAAAGAATCAGTATCACCATAAACAACTTTTCCACCAAAATCATTATTCTCAATTAATTCAATTGATTTAGTTAAGATTTCTCGACCTGTAGAAACAATCGCATCTGATACATCAGAATTAGGCATTCTACCACTGAAGGTTGCAGATGTATAACCATAGGTAACATTGGCAATCAATTTCAAAGCCAATTGTCTTGAGTTATATAACTTAACCAATTCAGAATCATCTTTAAATTCTTTCATAATTAACTTAACTAATATTCTGGTATCTAAAATCTCCTCCAACATTTTTGCTAAGATTGATTTCCGAATATTACTCTTGACAAACATAAATCCATTGGGGGAAATATTAATCCCATCTTGCTTGATGAGAAAATCAACTAATCCAGGATTTAAATTTAAATTCTTCAAGTATCCAATGTTATTCTTATTCAGTTTGAAATTATGTAATTTGCCTAATAAAGTTGAAAAACAATAATTATAAGCAATCATAATAGAAGGATATAAAGATTGGAAATCAAGTACAACTAATGGAGATTTATAAAAATTCGAATCTGGTTCCATTATTAAAGGTATGCATTCAATAGGTCTCATTTCATGAACTTGTTGTTTTGATGGAGAATTCAAGATTATATTTTCAAACTTAGTGATTCTTAATAGAATCGATTCAATTTTAAATTGTGATCCTCTATAGAAATTAGAATTAAAATCAATCCCAATTAACCTTGAATATTCGACATTTTTAGTAATCAATTCTTGAACTTCAATAAGTTTAATTATCAACGAGAGTCTTTTACTATAATATTTCAAAACAGCTAGTTTATTCAGCGTCGTATCATTTAACCAAGTGGACAACTGTAAATTCAGATATCTTGGTAATGACTGATGCAATAAATGATAAGATATATTCTCAAGCGAATAATTGGTTAGACTCAACTCACTTCTCATAAGTCTCCATACATTAACCATATGTCGACCATTGATTTTGATATTGGACGTATGAGTATATCCCCATCGATCACCTAATTTTCCATTACTTTTATAATCACCCCTACTAAAACTTGCCAATAGATTTATATCATGAACAACTCTAAACCTTTCTATTAAATACCCCCAGGACAATGCATTGATTTCATAACCTGATAAAATATCGGGATCAAATATTTCAATGATTTGAACTAAACGATTAACTAGATCCACTTCTTGGTTGAACACTTCAATATGCGAATGAGTATTAAGTAACTTTGAAAGTTTGTCATATACCCGAGATTCAGACTCCAGATCATCCGATAGCAATAAAATTCCCGATTTAAAAGCATGTCCTTCAAACATACCATTACTATCATCAAACATATAGATCACAAACGTAACTTTATCATTCAAAGGATTAGGCAATTTTTCATCAATAGTATTAACATGGATCTCTAAGCAGAAATTAGTCAAACTATTGAACCCATCATCATTGTTTCTTTTTATCTTTTCACTATTATAAGAGAATTTGAAATCATTATCTTCCGATTTTAATTCAAATTGTGATTTAAGAATCTTTCGAGATTTCTTGACCGACTTCATCTTTTGTTCAACTATCCAAGCATTCATGGATTCTTTTGATGGTGGCTGAATAATACATTCCCATCGGCTTGTATCATTGATGCTGTCAGGCTCTATACTTTTACTTTCTTCTTGTCTTTCAATGGAACCTAAAATCATCGAAGACATCGGCAATGCAGGAATGGTGCTATCATTGACGAGAGGAATGACAATTTTCTTATTCGCAAATATCAATGGTCTATTAGGCATATCTGACTCTTTATCATAATATGGATCTTGGTAATTGATTTTTAAAATTCCTAGATCATCAAATTCTTTATCAATGTTAGATTTACTTAGTCCTAAAGGCAATTGAATTTCATAATAGTTATTATCGGGATCTAATATCATATCCAAATCGGTTGATACCATCAAACGATTATCATCGTTAGAATCTTTCACTTCCAAAACTGAATTATTGATTACACCAGGACTCAAGTCAAATGATTGTGCTTGAGATTGAGATTGTGATTGAGAAACTTTACGCAAATTCCGCTTTTGAGTGACTTCGATTATAATATCTTCATCAACTTCATTCAATTGTGTTTGATTCATCTCTGAATCGTCCAACTCATCTTCATCTTCATTGTCATCATCCTTCCCAACGACTTCAATGTCATTATCATCATCTTCTTCATGGTCATGCTCAATTTCGTTTTCGCCTATTTCATTTTCCAGAGGATAATCATCAAGTAAGTCTTCCTCATCTTGAAAATTCTCCTTCTCTTCGATAGGCTGTTCTAGATTCTTATTCGCTAATGCAGATACATTATCACCATCACTAGCAACTGTGAAAGAACTAATCAGACTATCTTCAATTTCAAATAACTTTAGAAAATCGTTCCATTGCAATATGTCCTTCTCAAATTGTAAAGTAAGGTTATTGCTACCTATCAGTCCATTAATTTCAAAGTCAATTTGTTCATAGGCAGTTTTGAAATTCCTTAATTTAATATTATTAATCTCAAAATGGGTCTTACCGTAATTAATAACAGAAAGATTGGAATCAATACTATTATTCAATTTCTTCACATAGGCCAACAAATCATTCAATTCCAATTGATTTGACCACTCAGTTGCACCCATCCCAAAATAAGCATTAGCAATCGTATTGGAATCATAATTGGAATTAGAAGCCGAAATCGATTCTGATGAAAGTGAATCGTTGAAGATGGATGCAGCTGATGCTGTTATATCGTTTCGAGAAAGGTATTGATACTTAAGATCTTCATAGATATGTTTCAAAGAAGATAAATAAATACGTTTATTTCCTGTTTCATCATATTTATAGGTGTTTGCCTTGAATGAATGTAAATTATTCAAATTATTATTAAATAGTAACAATTCATTAAAATTAGCGTGTAACCGATTGCTTATATTCTTGCTAGAACTACTTTGAACTTCAGTTCTATTCCGAATGATACTTAATTGAGAAATATCAATTTCCAATATTGATTTCCCAATTCGTTCTGGAGTGATTAATAAGTTTCTAGAAGTAATAAAATGTCTGAGATATTCTTTTAAACGATCAATCGACAAAGGAGGATAAACGTTCTTAAAAGATGAAGATGATGAAAATATTGGATTTCGAAAGTATAAACCAAAAGAATTGTTAGCATATAACCAACCACAACCGAATAAATTGAAATCAGTAAGAAATTGTAATAAATACGGTATATGACCTTCATATATTAAGTGTACTTTATTTGATGTTTTTGATCTCTTGGCATTAGTGGAAGAATAAAACTTATTGAAATCTATTGACTTTTCATAGATTAATTTATTCAAACGAGTTTTATACTTTGGAGATAATAAACTAATTTTAAATACTAGTTTATAACCCAATTGAAAACCGTAAATAGGAGTAGCTTTGACTACCAGTAGGTGAGCAATAAATCGTCTTCTTTTATCTTGAAATAGAGTATTTTCATCAATGTCTTCAACTGCATCCTCTTCGTCATCATCATCATCATCGTCATCCTTATTCTTCTTTCTCCTCTTAAATGATTGGGATAGATTCGTTTCTAAATGATCGATGATTTGATTCAAGTAATTTGGATCTTTCAAGAGATCATAGTTAGTTTCAAAACAATCAACGTATATATATGGATAGTAATTATGGATGTGTATCAATACATTAAAACAATCATGACGATTAGATACAGTGTCAGTCTTAGTATTATCAGATGAAACCTTTTGTCTCTTATTGGTATTATTTACATTTTTGGTGGCAAATGGTATATTTACAGATCCATAGATTCTAATGATGGGGACTTGGGTTACTTTATTGTACAAGTGATCTAGCCTGGAAGGGAAAGTTTGATAAGTGTCATAATCGTTGATTTGGATTTTAAGATGATCTGGGGTTAGGGTATTGGCTTCATCATTATCATCATTCATAAGATTCGATTGATTGATGGATGGTTGTATGTTGTAAATAGAATGTATTGGTGTTGTAAATAAGATTTGGCTGTAAATAAGTTTTGTTTGTACGCGTTTGTTAAAAAAATGCTTATGTATGGAGATTTAGGGGATCACCATATCTACTTGAATGATGAGTTGAGTGCAACCATTCAACGATATCAAAAGGAAGTGGAAGCTACTTAGAAGGTGTATTCATGTACTTGGAATCTGAATTGATTGAATTGGTTGTATTGTGAAGAAATCAACCGTTATTTCTTATATGTTAGACACGCCTATTCCAGTTGTTATTGTGACCAACAGATGTAAGAAAAGAAGAGTTTACGATAGGATTGAATTGTCGCTCATAACATTTGAAACAAATGGCTTACCATGTACGCAACCAAAGGTTCCTGTTGTTATAAAGATTCTAATTGAATTATACTTGGTATTATTCAGATTTTTGTGATCAATCAGTCCACTCAGAGTAATAGTAACCAACAGCAATAGAATGTTCCATGAATTCTTGAACGTTTTTGGAAATAAATACAACAAGGAATAGTATCTGTACTACGTTGCCATTCTATTGCTTGATATATGAATGATTCATTTAATTATAAGTGATTTAAAGTTGCGAAAACGATAACATAGTTGCGCCTCGTATTATTATCTACGAATGAATAAGGTTATCAAATCTCATCAATGAATCAACCACTGAAATTAAGATAGTAATCCACCAGTTATCACCATAGCCCCTAGAGATGATCATTAAAATGGATTGTTGGATTATTTTTTTGTTAACTATATAATTACCAATTACAGATGGGTTAAATAAGCGCAATCTTACTTTTTTTTTCGTTTGGTAAAGCCCAAACAATTGCTAATGTAAGTAACCTCCTCAATATTAGGAGAATGGGAGAGATGTAAACAACCTTGCACATGATAGAAATTAAATGATACATAGACTAATTAGATAGATAGATTTCAACCAACTAATTGACTTAATTAAGTATCGTAAATTCTTTTTACGGGAGCTGCTATCCAATATAAAATAATTAGTCAAAGGGTTGAAAAAGGCGGGACGACAATCAGACAGACAGACAGACAGACAGACAGACAGACAGACAATTTATTTTTTTAAAATTTGTTGCCAGACAAAAAATAAAAATAAATAAAAAGAACGCTGACAAAAAATTTAAAATCAAGACACAAAAAAAATAAAAAAATATCGGCTCTCCCACACACAGAAGACAATTTTTACACACACTCAATTCATTCACTTCCAATTGTTAACATAATTCCCATTGTTTCATTTGTTCACCCATTATTTACAGCTGTCTTTATAACTAGAATCATTCATTCTACACATCGCTAACATCTGTTTAGTATAGGACGTACGACCATTACTATTAGAGTTCCATCATCCATTCATCCCAATTTCAGTGAGGATTTACGTTTAGTAGTAAAGTCTATATATATATTTACCCTTTTATTTCCATCGTTCGATTTGGTAATTTCTTATCATATATCATCATCGTTCACCCCACAACCTGTCAATCAGTCCATACTATATCTATTACCCATCTCATTGATCCAGTTTTTCAACTGTGAAATTTTGTTTTCGTTTTCGTTTTCGTTCACATTCCAATTCACGTTCACGTTCAAATATAAATACACATTCTAATTCAAACCCATACATACCATCATATTACATTAATCATATAATATAGGAGACCATGACTGAAGACGATGAATTCAATCAAACTTTAATTAACAAACTATCTCTATCCAATAATAATACCAATATTTCAACTTCCTCCTCAACCTCATCATCTTCAATTACAACTACAACCACCACCAAAATGTCATCTAATTTGCCAGGTATACCACCACAAGTACCATTACCACCATTGCCTCAACTGCATTATGCCCAACATCTCCCTCATCCACAACCACCTCAATCTCCTCCAATCTTATCTTCAACATCTTCATCTTCCCAAATCCAATTTGGAAGTGACATCCATGCTAGATTAGTAGCTTTTCAACAAAAAAGAAGTAGGCCATTAGTGGACAACAACAACAACAACAACAACAATAATAATCATAATAATCACAATTCTACCTCAAATGATCAAAGTGTGAGTAACAATAGCAAAAACAATAGCAATTCCAACATAAATGTCATAAATCAACTTTCAAACAATAGTAGCACTAATAGTATCAACAAAATTTGTAACAATAATAATAATAATAATCATAACAATAACAATAATAATAACAATTACAGTCAGGTACCACCATTATCAACATCAATAAGTATGATCAATCCACCTGTAAATACAGAGTTTGGTGATAAACCATTACCTCCAATCCCTATGGACATTAATGCTAGACGTTCCTTCTCAACAAACGATAAAGATATCCTTCAACATCAATCACACCCTGCATTATCATCATCTCCCGGTTTATTACCTTCAAATATACCGTTGGCAACAACATTATCTAAGAAACCATCATTATCTCAAAGAAGAGGTATGAAATTAAATATGAATGATTTAACTAAAAATATCTCCCCATTAGCATCTCCTAAGAATAATCCTTCAAGCTTTGACTTTCCTCAATATTCATCCACTGTATCCAACAATAGTAGTAATAATAACTTTAATAGTGGCAATATCTCATCGACTTCTTCTTCGAATGATGAGGATGTTTCAAGAAAATCTTCACGAAGAAGACCTAATTTCAAACTTGATCTTGAAAGTGACGGATCTCTTTCTCGTGGTAATTCAGTCAATCGTAACATAGATACCAATACACCACCAGCAACAATCTATGATAGTGATACCAGTAATAATCCAAATCATTCCGCCACTGAAAGTGAATATGATTCTGATATGGAACCTCAAAGACCCAATGGATTGTTTGAAAATTATAAAAAATATATCGATATCAAATCAGGAAGACTTAATTTCTCGGGAAAGGCATCATTACATTCTAAGGGGATTGATTTCCTGTCAGGATCTTCATTCAGAATCTCATTGGATGAATTGGAATATATTGATGAATTAGGTCGTGGTAATTATGGATCTGTTCTGAAAGTTTTACATAAACCAACTGGAGTATTAATGGCCATGAAAGAAGTCCGATTAGAATTGGATGAGAATAAATTCACTCAAATCTTAATGGAATTGGATATTCTACATAAATGTGATTCTCCATATATTGTTGATTTCTATGGAGCATTCTTTGTTGAAGGTGCTGTGTATATGTGTATTGAATATATGGATGGAGGATCTTTGGATAAAGTTTATGGTAAGGATCATGGTATTAAAGATGAAACTTCCCTTGCATATATTACTGAATGTGTTATCAGGGGTTTAAAAGAATTGAAGGATAAACATAATATCATTCATCGTGATGTTAAACCAACTAATATCTTATGTAATACTCAAGGTAAGATTAAATTATGTGATTTTGGAGTTTCAGGTAATTTAGTTAGTTCATTAGCTAAAACCAATATTGGTTGTCAATCATATATGGCACCAGAAAGAATCAAGACTTTAAATCCAAATGATGCTACCTATTCTGTTCAATCTGATATTTGGTCATTAGGTTTAACCATATTAGAAATCGCTGAGGGTCAATATCCATATCCATCCGAAACTTACGATAATATCTTTTCTCAATTAAGTGCTATTGTCGATGGTGAGCCACCTAAATTAAATCCCACGATATTTTCCAAAGAAGCTCAAATCTTTGTCAAATCATGTTTGAATAAAAACCCTGATTTAAGACCATCATATTCTGCTTTATTAAACAATAATTGGCTTGTTAAATATAGAGGTGTTGATCCTCACTTAGATATTTCATTATCTAAGAGAGTTGAGGAATTAAATGAAGAAAAATTAATTAAGAAAAACCTTATCAATAAAAAAGCATCAGCCACCGCTGCTGCCATTCAAAATCCAAGTAATATTGAGACGGTTCAATCATTATTAAGATCAAAGGTTAAAGCTCCAGCTTTACATAGAGGTGGATTACCAAGTAATAAAAGCTTTCTTAACCATCGTTAAGGTATGGGATTCAAATTTAAAATAATATATATATAAAATATCGGTTTTTATGCATGTATATAAATAATCTTTTACATTTTCACATTTTTTATTCATTATGGGTATTACATTCGGTTTTCTTTTTAATATAATAATAAATATATTTAACTTACTATACAATAATATATACACCAGTAGTAGATGATGAAGACATTTATTCATCATCTTTATTAAGCCATTTGGACATGAATGGACCATCCAATTCATAACCTAATTTGGCATAATAATTTCTAACCCCAACACCAGAAATAACACTAATCTTTTCAGATCCATGTTCTTCTTTAGCAATTCTAGCAGCTTCTTCCATTAATAAAGTTCCAAACCCTTGATGTTGGAATTTACGTGGATCACGAGAATGTAAAGGAACAACGGAACCATAAACATGTAATTCACGAACAATTGATGTAGGTTGATTTTTGAATTCTTTTCTGAATGTATATTTCTTAGTGGCTTTTCTTAATCTTAATAAACCAATTAAGATATCTTGTTTTGGATCTTCATAAGATAAGAAAGTTTCCCAACCTCCATTAGCGTAATAATCACGTCTAATCAATTCAATATTGTCAGGCACAACCTTATTATGAACTTCTTGAATACCAACTTCTCTAGTTCTAACATCTCTACAAGATGTACCAAAATCTTTCATTCTGGCTAATGCTAATTCTCTTAAATTACCATTTTCAACTCCTGAAGTAACTAAAGGCATAGGGATATCTCTTTGAACACGATAGATTCTAGTCCAAGGTGGAACTAATGCCAATATTCTAGCTACTAAATCTATCAAAGCATTAGCATTATATGATTTGTATAATCCCTTTTTCCATAATTCATATAAACCTGTACCTCTAATGACCAAAGTAGGATATAATTTCAAACCATCAGTTCTGAATTCTGGATTTTCGAAATATTCTTTAAATTGTTCTAAATCTCTTTCCATTCCGACATTAGGTAAATCAGGCATCATATGACTAACCACTTTATAACCTGCATCTTTAGCAATAGCAAATGTCTCACATACAGCTTTGACAGTATGACCTCTATTAGTATCTCTGGCCACATCTTCATATACTGATTGAACCCCGATTTCCAATCTAGTACAACCATATTTTAACATATCACTTAAATGAGTTTCTGTACAATAATCAGGTCTAGTTTCAATAGTTATCCCAACACATTTAGTTTGTGATTGTTGAGAAAATTTAATTGCTTCATCGATATCTTTACCATTAAAACCAGTTAATGCATTATGTAATTGAGTAATGAATCCTTCTCTATAATCAATAGGTAATGACATGAATGTACCACCCATAATAATATATTCAACTTTATCAATCGAATGACCTAATTGTCTTAATTGTTCAACTCTACCTCTTGCTTGTTCATAAGGATCATATCTTGCTCTAATGGCTCTCATTGAAGTTGGTTCATACCCAGTATATGATTGAGTTGAATATTCAAAATCAGAATCAGGACCTCCCGGACAATAAACACAAATATTACCAGTATATGCTATATGAGGACATCTATGAGGTTTACACATCACGGCTACCACAGCAATACCTGAAGCAGTACGGACTGGCTTAGCTTTTAATTTTGGAATTAAGTATTTCTTATATTGATCTGGAATGGATGAGATGATATCAGTCAATCTAGGTTGTTGCTTTAACTTATACTTTTTGGCATATCGAATAATTAATCCATTTAAGTTTATATCTTTAGAATTCTTTAATGATGCAACCAATTCAAGAGAGATATCTCCACAACATTGAAGAAACCTTTCCTTTTCAGGGGCAAGCTTTTGCTTCCCCGACTTCTGTTTCGTTACTGAAGGCATGATCTTCAACCTTTAACAAATCAGTATGTATAGATATGAATCTCTTCTTCGGATCATATATTACTTATTGAAATCTCATCTCTTTTTGATAATTACAATTTTTTTTACGGTTGTCAAAAAATGGTCATGTGCCTAATCATGTGACTGAATTTTTGATTTATTTCTTTGACCATTTTAAAATTTTTCAGAACTAATCAAAAGAGTGTCAATGCAAATCAAAGTGATTTATTACTTGAATAGAGGATAAACAATGATTGTGGGTCTCAGTAGAACTGTGGGTTCAAGAAATCTTCTTGCAAATTCATCCAGAATATTGTCAACACCTAGCATCATATATAGAGGATATGCCAATACCAATACACCAGCCACCCCACCAAGAAAGAAGAGAAGTGCAACACCTCAAGTTGATATTGCTAAGATTCCAATTAATGAATTGACAGTGTTATCGAATTATTATATACCTCCACCATTTACGAAATGTCCTATAAGTTCATGGCCCAAATTAGCTATCAGAAGAATGGGAGCTATTGCCGGTATAACTTATAGTGTGTTTAAATTCAGAACTGAGTTAAAGAAAAAGATTCAATTCAATCTTTGGAAAGATATTGCTATTGAACAATATGTTAAAACCAATAAGGTATTCACTGCTGCCTGTAATAAACGTGCAGTCGAACGTGATTTGTATTTAATGAATCAATTAAAGAATGTAGCTGTTAAAGAGGTCATTAATGGTTTAATGGAAAGAGCTGAAACCTTTCCTATGAATGCAAAGATTTCTTGGGAATTGGTTTCTATTGTGGGTAATCCTAAAATCGTGGCATTTATCGCTATACCAGATATCAATGAAATCACAACTTATGTTCAATTCGTGATGAAATTAACTACCAACCAAAAATATGAAGTTACTGTCGATGGTAAAGTCACCAATGATGAAAAAGTAGTTACTGATTATCTTGCATTCACTTTAAATCCATTCACTGAAGAATTATTATTAACTGGTAAATTATTTGAATCCGATCATATTAGAGGTGTTATGGATGATACTGTTTTAGCTGGTAATATATCACTTTTCAAAGCTTTCTCCAAGAGTGTGTCTGATATTTATAGATCTGATCCAAATCTTAAAAAGTAAATGAGTTAAGTACTCTCATCCCATGTATATATAAATTAGTTTAATGACTTTTTGTAAATAATATTGTTAATATAATAATAATAATAAATTTTAAAGTAAAAAAGAGACATCTAAAACATAAGATACATAAAGAATATCTATTTAAATAAATGGGGTACTATCCAGCAGTATAAAGAAACCAAAACAGTTAAACCAAAAACCAAAACAGTGATTTTAAACCTAACAAAGAATTAAACAGAGAGTAAACAAACATAGATAGGAAAGAAAAACAACAGCATAATAAACGACCAATTTGATAAAAAACAGTAATATAACGAAACCAACAACACAAGATAAATAAATAATAATAATAATAATAATGAATTACCCAAAAGTATAAACACCTGAAATAATATAAAGCTTTTTTTTTTAGTTTTTGTTTGCAAGATTTAACGTACACTTTCAATCCACAACATAACATCATAACACATAATGCCACCAGCATCAATATCAATATAATAACAATAATAGCAACTCTAAGCCCAAGCACACTTTTCTTAACTTTTAAGAATCAATGATGATGATAGTTTTTATATAGTTTTGTCCAGTTTTTTGCAGTTAATAATTTTGTAAGTCTTTTTTTTTTTTGAATTTTGAATATAATTTTTTTTTGTACAGCTCTCTAACAATTCGAACTTTTTGTAATTTTATGAAGAACATCAAATAATTTTTTCTAATCTACCAACTAACTCGATACAGTAAAGTAAAACGAACCAACGAAACCACTCCACTCGACCGTAGCTCTGAATCATATTTTCTTTTAACTTCATTTCCAAGTTATTTTCTTTCGATCTTTTTCTTTTTTTTTTTGTATTTTCTTTTATTTTTTTGCAACTTCCCTTTGACAAATTTTGACATTAAACACATTTTATCTAAGTACCGTTTTCATTAAAACTCCACTAATCCATTAAAAACACATCATCATGATTTGAAGACGACGTCTTACTACCACTATCTCTTCTAAAGGCATCATTTGCATAACTATGAGAATGAGGGTTTTGTAAAATAATCAACGATTCAGAATCATCCTTATGAGACACAACCTGTTGAGGTGAAGATAATGGTTGATTGATGGTTGGAGTAATAGGATTATTACTATTGATTGAATTTGAACTCAAGATTGAATTCAAATTAGGACGAACTAATAATGTTCCACTTTGAGATCTTGAATCACGTCTTTGTAATTCTTGAGGTGTTAAAATAATATCACTTAAAGAAGCAGGGACGTAATCTTCCGCGAATATTTCACCATTGACTTTAGAAGTTGGAGTGTTGTATTCATCATCATCTAAAATAGCAGAACCTTCATGATTGGTACTACCATGGTAATAATAAGTTGGAGAAGAACTTTGAACTTGTGAAGGTTGAGATTGAGATTGTAATTGAATTTTTGAAGAAAATGATGCAGCTTTCCCAAATGAGGTATATTGAGGAGATTGACCAAATGAAGTATTACTTGAAGCACCACTTCCAGAACCACTACCACCAACCGTACTAAAGAAACTTGAATTTTGAGATGGAGAAATATTCGATAATGAAATTGGGGTATTAGATGTATGAGATCTAAATATAGTGGAATTTCCTCCTACAATACTAGATTGTCCATATTGAGTATTAGTATTACCAATATTGATATAACCATTGTTATTATTATAAGTAGCATTGGGATTACTATAAGTCGACGTATCATGAGATCCGAATGAATTAGAATGAGGTATAAACTGCTGTGGTTGATAAGTTTGTGATTGTGGTTGCTGAGGTTGTTGTTGAGGGAATTGTTGCTGCGATTGTTGATACAGTTGAGAATCAGAATGGTGATGTTGATGATGATGTTGAGCTTGGTTTTGTTGAAGAGATTGTGATTGAGTCTGATAGTTGTATGACACTTGCAGTTGCAGTTGCAGTTGTGTTTGACTATTATACAGATTCAAAGATTGGTTACTTGAACCATTGTAGCTAACGAAATTGGCCACATTATTATTGTTACTGGTATTATTATTCGATTGACTAAATTGTTGTTGACCATAAGAATGATAAGTTGGAGAAATATTAATACTTGAAGAAGTACTACTATGTTTCAAACCGCCAATATCAATAGGTTCTGCCGTTGAAGGAGGAGTAATAGCATTTGAAGAATTATAAAGACCATTATTGTTGTTATTACTATTATTGTTATTGTTATTGTTATTATTGTTATTATTGTTAGAATAGTTAAATGAAAGGCGATGACCATTACTATTAGTATTACTACCATTAGTAGTATAACCTGAATTTGCTAATAAACTTCTTGTAACTTTTTGACCATCAGGCATGAAATGAGCCAAAGCACATTTTAATCCAAATCGACAATTACCCTTTTGAAAATATTTACAAGGTAATTTATCAGCGGCCAATGAACCATCTAAATTATGACTAAAAGGACAAGAATTCCCAGCTTGGCAAATGCCTTGTTTAAAGAATTTACATGGCACATGACTTAAATTCTTATTTGATGTAGCACCATTACCATTTCCATTTGTAACTTGAACAGTTCCAGCTGGACCAGTATTGGGAGGTAATTGAGCACTTAAAGCTGAGAAATCAAAATTACTAAGATCATTATCAGTATTGGTAGTTCTTGGTCTTTGATTGTTGTGGATCATTTTATTATCTGATTGATTGAAAGCCATATGTTTGGCAGAGATTAAGTTTGATGAGGGAGATGAATTGGAATGGTTATCGGTAAGGAAAGTATTGCCATTACTATTGAAGGTAAGGGTATTATTGGTGGTAGAATTATTGGTATGGTTAGTAGATGTGGATGAGGGGATGGTATTTGATTTGGAATAAAACGATTGTTGATCAAGTAATGAGATATCTGAAGTTTGAATCCCTAAACTCATATTTGTACACTTATATCTTTCTTAGATTAATATTGTTTGTTCTAGTACTGAGCTAAGGGGTTGGTTGGGAGTGAGAGCAACAAAATGGATTTTGATTTAGTAAGATGTCATATAAGGGGTGAGGGAGATAAGGAGGATTACGATAAGAAGTAATTAGTGTAGTATGGAGTAGTTTGTTGATTTGATGATTTATATATTGAACTGGTGTGGAGGAGGAGGAGGATGATGATAATGAAAGAAGGAGAAAGAAAGAAAGATAAAGAAAGATAGAAGGAGGAGAACAGACAGACACTGAATAAAGGCAGACAAACAGACAAACAGACAGACAGTAATTGAAGACGACGACGACGACAAATTTCCACACTAAAAAAAAAAATAAAAAAAGAAAAGAAAAGAAATTTTGCACTAAAAGGGAAATCATATAATAACGGCTTTTTATGACTATTATTTATAACTTTGATTTACAGTTACGGTATTACGTATTTGTGATTACGGGTGTTGTAGTTGTCTACCAATCAGAGATGTGAGTTGGTTAAAGAATAGGAATATAAACTTATTCTTTCCAATGATTAATGTCAAGTGAGAGATAAGATTGTCATAATCAGACAGTTTTTGGACAGACAGACAGAGCAGACAGTTTAAACAGTGAGAGAGCAGTGCAGACAGAACAGACAGAAAGAGATAACGAAACAAAAGATAAGAAGTCGTCCTGCACACAAATACAGTTTTATTATGACACAAAATATATCACCACCAATAACTATGAGTCAAACGATTATAAAATTGAACTGAAACTGAAATTGATTAATTGATAGATATCAAATGATAAGTTATGATTTACTTATTTGGATGTGACCGATATCTGGAGAAGAACATAATCATTTGTTGTCGTATATATATTTATAAATAAATAAGTAAATAATGATATGTTTATTAACAAGTGGTGGCTGATAGGTGAGAAGCCACTTATCTGGAATCAAGTTATTCTCTCTAATACAATGAATATAGTTCTAAATCTGTACTTTAACTAATCTATTAGACATACATACATAACACGTTAACCAACATCGATCTTATTAACATTCAACTATGTGGTGGTGGTGGTGGTGGACTTTCCTATACCTAATCTCTTATCAAATTTATCTCATTTTTTGACCACACTTTTTTTCCCCACTATTTTGTGTAACATTTGATTCAGTTTTTAAATTCATATGAACTGTTTCCTATTTGGGATTTAATTTGTCTTTCATCCCTTATTATGTGCAGTACGATTCCACCATCCCCCTCCTCCATGTCTTGCAGAGTTCCTTCCTCCACTCCCTCGTCCTCTGCATAGTTCCTTCATCCACTCCTTCCTGTAAAACCGTTACTGGTGCCTTCCGTGCTTTATCTTTCTATCTTAATTATTTTTTTAAATCATAAAACTATTAAAATTAGCATCATTGTTGACCGTGAATTAATTCAAAGATAATTAATATGACATGTTATACCTTCAAATTGATTTTTCATGTACTTAACTATCATTAAACCTTATTATAACGGTTTTGTTAGAATACGCATCCTGTATATAAAAATTAGCGGGTGAATTTTTAGAAAATCAAAATAGTTGTCCGAAATAGACACCACCATCCTAAATATTCAATATCATTTTAAGTTGTATAAAAGTGGATAAATATATGTAAAAAGAGATTTCAAGTATAACTAATATGACATATAGTATCATAAAGTCAATTATTTATATCTTTGTTCTTCTATTTATGTCCCCAAAATTAACTATAGCGGTGATTTATAAATGTCCTAAAATCCTATGGTTATATGCAGTATGAGAGGTGTGGATTTTATTTACAGTACTAGATCAGCGTCATGGATGTTCTGGTCTCTGCTCTTATTTTTATTTTATTTATAATCATTTTGAAATATCCAAAAAATTTACAGCCAAAAATCTTAACAACAGATCTTTCATTTAAGTCAGGATCAATGACATCTCAACAGGATGCATCAGGTCCAAATGACTTCATCAGTGAATTCATCATCAACTACATGTCATATCTACCTGATGATTTAATCCTCAATATCTTAGATCAACTTGATGAAGAGTATATCAATGAAGTTTTCTTATTTTTACAACCGTTAAATCAAGCCATTATCTCCCATTATCATGGTAAAAGACTTAACTTTGTCTTAGCCCCAAGTTCAAGAAATCAAACTCCACTATCACAAACTAGAAAAATGAATCTTATCACTTATTACCCCTTATCTTCTATTGAAGAATTCTTACAAAATCATCCTCATATAAATACTCACACATTAACATTATCAGCAGCATCTGAATTCTATTCATTAAGAGATTTAATGATCAAGTATAGACATCGATTTAGTAATGAGATCCAGAATATTGAAATTTATATTGAGAAATTCGAATTATCAATCGAAGATTTTTCATTCTTATTATCATTCCCAAATATATCCCGCTTATATTTCGCTCGAGTTTCATGTCTTGATTATCTTACTTATGAACCGATTTTCAATCATTTACCAATCGATTATACTTCATTAAAGGAGATAATATTATTAGGGAGTTCAGTTAATGATTGGTCTCAAGTTGAATTCCCTTCTTCAGTAAAACATCTTGATATTTCTTGGAATGATGTGTTAAATCCAATCACTATCAATATACCGTCATCAGTTGAAGAATTATATTTAAATTCAATCAATATAACTAATGAAGTGATTCATCGACTTATATTTCCTCAAACCTTAAAGAACTTAACCCTAACGAATAATGATTTTTCTCAATTCTTAATATCAAAATTACCTCGAAAATTGAATAAACTTGATATTTCGACAAATAATATAGATACATTCAACGTTATCAATGGAATAGGATGGCCTACTACTTTATCGGCATTATTAATGGCCAATTGTCATATCAACGATACCAAATTAAAACAATTGAGTATGATTGATTGGCCTCAAGATTTGAATGATTTAGTATTGAATAATAACTCCATTGAAAGTTTTGAATATTTACAAACTCTACCTGATACATTAATTCAATTGAATTTACAATTCACCAATTTAACAACGTTTAAAGTCAATCACGATCTGGAATTTTTCCAATTCCCCATGAATTTAAAAGTATTAAAATTAGCTGGGACAAAATTCTGGTATCAGAATTTAAAAGCGGATACTTATGCTCAACATCATCGAATTGTGTTCCCGCCAAATTTAGTCGAGTTGGATTTAAGTGAATGTAAGATTGATGCTTTACAATATTTCGAATTCCCAGAATCTTTGACAACGTTATATTTGGCTCATAATAAAATCGATGATATATGTACTTATAATTCAGTTGATGGTAGTATAAACTGGAAGCAATTGAGTAGTTTAAAGTCAGTTGATTTTATGAATAATTTAATTAACGATAAATCTTTACAACAATGGATACCACCCGCTAATTTACAATCGGTTGATTTTCAAGGTAATTCAAGACTTCATTTCTTAAGTAATGAATTACCTATATTTAATGAGAAATATTCAGCAAACACATCTAATCTTAAATCGATCAATTTCATGTCTTCGTCAATTAGGAAATTTAATCCTAATATCATCTTACCTATAAATTTAGTCAAATTATCATTATCATCAGGTCAATTGAATAAATTCCACGTCAGTGAAAATCTCGCCTCTCATCCTAATTTAAAGGAATTGGATTTAAGTTATTGTGATTTAACCAGTATCACATTCGAAAAAGAAATGGGTCATTCAAACTTATCGTCGATTGATTTAAGTCATAATTTGTTATTAAGCGAATATGAAAGAGCTGAAAAAGTTAAACAAGTTGCTCAATTTTATGAGCGGTTACAAAATGGGTTTGGTAAAAGAGTTAAAACTCGTAGACATAATATAAATAGTAAACTTGAATTTATAGATTAATAAAAGGTAATATTACAAGTTTGGTATTATTTTCGAAAATATTATAATGTATATTTGTAAATTAAATTAAAAACTATTGCACAAAAAAACTTGATATGACATATATAAATAATAAATGCATGAATCCCACTTTTTACCCTAACGACGATCGGTTGATCCAATACCTCTCTTACCAGAGAATAAATGCTTAGGCAACATAGCAGTTGAATGACGATCACCTTCACCTTGTCTTGCTTGTCTATTTCTTTCTCTTCTTTGGATCTTGGCCAATCTTTCAGCTTGAGATCTCATAGCACCATCGGAAACCCCATCATTAAGACGATCGGTTTGATTGGCTTGGGCTGTACGTTTAGCAATCTTGGAGGATTGTATACCTTGATTCTTCTTTAATATATCAACACCAGATAATTCTTTCTTGAATTTAGCTTGACCTGATTTTTCTCTCAAGGTTTCAGTTTCATGGCCAATATTATACATATGTTCTTCCATTTGATTAAATGATTTCTTAATTTTATCTCTTGGCATTATAGATTTATTCTTTAATGATTTTCTATTTCTACCTTCAAGAATCATAGTCTTTTGTTTATCTCTAATCCATTTAGCTTTTTCTTTAATATCTTGAATTTCTTCATCATCACCTTCGAGATCAGAATCAGAATCATAGAAACCTTCAGCATCTAATCTTTCTTCTTCATCTTCTAAAGCTTGTAATTTAGCAGCAATATCTGGATCTAAGAAATCATAAACATTCTTACCATCTAAGATTTCAGGCATAATATCATTCTTCCAATCATCATCTTCTAATAAGTATTTATCTTTCAAGTTAATATTGAATACACCGGCACCACCATTTTCAGATTCAATATCTCTAGCTAATTTTCTTCTATTTGGATCATTAATATCGAATTTTTCTAAATCTTTAACAGCATCAGGAATAAATGCTGATCTATCAACATCATCTCTAGCTTGAGGTCTGGCAACATGAATCTTGTTTAATACATTATTAACACGAGCAGTTCCCTTTAATTTTTGTTCAATTCTAGCAGTTAATAATTTTTCACAAGCATGATTACGAACTTGCATAACATTATCTTCTTCATGACATGAAGTATGCATAACTTCAACACCAGGTAAAGTAGTTAAAGATTTTAATAATTCTTGACTATTAGTATCTAAATCTTCAACTTTAATAATATCACTTTTATTCATAATAACCATAACGGATTTATTAGCAAATAAAGGTTTAATAGAATGAAATAATTTAACTTGAGCTTCAATTGAAAAACCACATTGTTCGGATAAATCCATGAAATATAATACACATGATCTTAAATGAGCAATAGCATAAATAGATTGCATTTCAATATTATTCATTTCTTCAGTTGGTCTATCCAAGATACCTGGAGTATCAATAGCTTGAAATCTTAAATATTTATAATCAAAATGACCAACATATAAAGATTTAGTAGTAAATGCATATGGTTGAACTTCAACATCAGCTTTAGTGATACATCTTAAGAAAGAAGACTTACCCACATTTGGATAACCACAAATAACTAAAGTTCTAGTATTTGGATCAATACTTGGTAAACGACCTAAATGTTGTCTAACTTGTTCTAAATAAACTAAAGGATCTTTTAATTTCTTAGTAATGGTGGCCATTCTACCTAAAGCAGCTCTTTTCAATTGTTTACATTGATATAATGATTGACCAAACTTCAATAATCTATTATAATCTCTGGAAACTTGTTCAATTAAAGTTTTGGCTTTGGATACAGCAGCAAGAGAAACTTTATAATGATTCTTTTCATAAAGAGTATCCATTAAATCTCTATGGAATGGATGAACATCATTAATGTTAGGGAATCCACCAATGATATCAGTGAACTTCTCACCAAACCCTTCAGCGGTGAACTTAACTTTTCTCATATAGAAAGCCCTAATACGACTAATTTTGAAACCAGGTCTTATAACAGTTGGAGTCTTTCTTTGAGTTCTATTAAGAACAATGTCCAACATATCGTTCGAAGTTGGAACTGTTGGTATATCCTTCCATGAAAGTTGCATCTTGTAGTAGTCTGACTATGTCTGGATAGGGGTATAGGATAGACAAGGTTCTGATAATAGGTTTGACTATAAAGACTTCTTCCTTTTAACATCCTCTTCTCATAATTTTTTATAATTTTTTTTTAATCTCTTCTCAAACAGAAAAGAAAAAAAAAAGAAAATTTTTGATTCTCCAATGCGGCTCAATTTTAATTGCCTGATTTGGAAAGACAGTATAAAAGATGATTTATATATGTATTTATAAGGGTAAAGAGGATTATAATATGAAGAGAGAGGGAGAGAGGGGGTAAACAAATATAAAAATAAAGATTATTATAATATACAGAAAAAGATATATATATATAATAAACACAAATAAAAAAACAACAGAGAGACATATAAATTTATAAAAAAAGAATGAATGAAATGCTTTTTAATGAAGGTGAAGGTGAAGGTGATTACTCGTTATAATGGTAAACCAAATAGTTAGGTAATCCAAACACTTCATAACCTAATCTCTTAGCCATTTTAGCAAACCCTTCAGTTTCAATCAAATGATAGAATGGGAATGAAGGAAACATAGCACCATCTCTATGAACATCAGCCTTGACTAAAACTGATCCACCTCCTACACCATCTAAAGCCATTTCAGTGTTCTTATCACCATTAGCATCATAGAAATGTGCCATTAATGGTCTATAAGTGGCCATTTCAGCATAACCTTCAACAATGATTTCATCTTCTTGTAAGCCAGCAGCAATCTTCAACCCTTCTTCTGATTCAACCCAATTGTTGAAATCATAAGGACGGATTGAATTAGAACCTGAACTTTCATCAACATATCTTTGATAAACATTACAAGAAAGAACTGGTTTATTATGAAGAGTTAAATCTTGAAGTAATGTAGCTGGAGTTTCAATAATATCAGCATCTAACCATAATACCCAAGAGGTAGTTGGAGATATGGTGGTGAATACTAATGAGTTTCTGGCTAGAGCCATCATTGATCTTCTTTCCTTTTGGACTTTTAATGCATGTCTATCTTTTTCTAATTGACTATCTAAAGAACTTGAATCTTGTCTTAAAATAGTGACTTTCTTAAATTTGGATTTATTATCAAGGGATTGAGTCTTTTTAACAGCAGCTTCTAAATTCTTAAGAGCAATATCACCATCTTCATTTCTTGGAACTATAAATCCTAAAGATATTAATGAATGATCATAAGTTAATTTACTTAAATTTTCCCAATATTGAGGTAAAAATTTAGACATTGGAGTTAAGATTAAGATTTCTTCTTTCTTGGCTAAAGCATCGGATGAAGTACTTAAAATATTTAAATCATAATGACTAATATGATTCTTTGGTAAATTCTTTAATACAACTGAATCTCTATTTTTGGCAAACCAACCTCTAGATTTCTTACTATAGTTATATTTTGAACCTGAAGAACTGGATGATGATGATGAAGATGAGGAGAAGAAAAAGAAGTATAACACTAGTAGCACAGATATAGGAGCTATGACTGATAAAGGTTTTCTTCGTATGTAACGTACATACGGATTCTTACTGTACAAGATTTGCATAATTTATGGTTTGGTTTGATTTGATTTGGTATGATATGAGTTGATGAAAGTGAATCCTCTTGGAGCAATTGATCCTTTATTAATGATATCTAGATTAGATGTATATTAATAATAAAGGGGCAATGTGGTATGAAATCAAATCAATTCAACAAGCTGTATGGTTTGAAAGAGGGAATAAATATTGTCTGTGTCCTAATACAGCGGGAATATGAATCAACCTTTCTGTTTATCTATCAATAAGGTACTGTCAACCTATGCAAACGATATGACGATATCTAAAAATGTCTGATTTGGATTGTAAAATAAGATCAAATGGTCTAAGTTCCAATATCGTTTTCAGCTTCGTGTTTTTTGGTTTATTATGGTTTAAAAATTATTTTGGACAAAGAAAAATGAAATGTCTGCGACATTTTCTTATACTACATCAGACAGACACTTATTTCAAAAACAGCAAACGCAAATCAAACATATATATATATATGACGCGACATTTTTGTTATATGTGCGTGTGGAATTACCAGATCGAACCCATGTCTACAGCTTTAACAATTCTAGTTAATAACAAAATACATTTAAATCATTGTATAACATATAAAAGAGTACTAACAAATAAAGAGGATATAAAGTAAACAATAAAAGATAAGACTAGCTTATTTAAAGACTTTACCATCAGCAATTTCTCTCTTTTCACCGTTAACTTCAACTGGTTCATCCCAAGCTAACATATTGTTAATGAATTTCTTAGTTTCTGGATCAGTACCATCTAATTTGGTGTAAGAGTATGATTCCCAATCTGGAGCAACATCAAAGGCTGGAGCATAATCTTGACCTCTAACTAAGAAGAAACCGGTAATACCATTGTTATTGTTTTCACCATAGACAACTAAAGTACCGAATAAATATTTGGTAGAAGCAGATAATCTGTTGAAGAAACCACCAATTAAATTGTTAGACATAAAGGTTAAGGTTAATTCATCATTATATTTAAAATCAACTTTCCATAAAGAGTATTCTTCTGGTTTGAATTGATTTTCCCAGAACCATGGAATAGCCTTAGATCTAGTATCTTCATTAGAGTAAACTTTTTTCCATTCATCTAAAGAAATTCTTGGTAAAGCTTCTAATGGATGTTTTAATTTTTCTTCAGCAGGAGCAGATGGTTCTTCTTCTTCTTCGTCAACTTCCTTTTTAGCCTTTGGCTTTGGTTCTTTCTTGGCAGCTGGAGCAGCGGCTTTCTTTTCCTTCTTTGGTGGAACGAATTCAACTGGCTTTTCTCTGTAAGTGTAATCACCGAAAACATCGTGTAAGATCTTTTGGTTGATAACAGTGTTAAACCATCTGAAAGTGTTTGGGTGAGCAGCTCTCCATTCAGATCCGAATAAGTGATCGAAACCTCTAACTAAAAGAGCAGCAGAGAAGATATCAGCAAAAGTTAATCTTTCACCAACTAAGTAAGTGTAGTTAGCTAATCTAGTTTCGAAAACTTGGATAAGTTTTTCGGAAGTAGCAGCAGCTTCATCAACTGCCTTCTTGTTGTATGGAAGAGCACCAATCAATGGTTTGAAGGTAGCAACAAGACTTGGGAGAACTTCAGAGTTAGTTAATGATAACCATTTTAAAACTTCAGCGTATTCTTTGGCGTTCTTACCTAATAATTTAGATTGAGGATCAGCTAAGTTGATTACTAAATTGAAAAAGAACTTGTTAGTATAAACATTCCATAATGACTTCATATTTCCAATTAGTCAATTGAATCTTATAGAGTATATTTCAGATTAAAAGATCTCGACATAATTTATTAAGACAGGGATAACTGTAATATATTTGAAAAATTTTTCTCATCATTTAAACAAAACAAAAACGTTGTTGTCTGCTACATCAACCTCCCACGATGATTGACTCCACTCTTTTCGATTCAATGATCCAATTGTAAGAAAGAAAGATATTAATAGTTAATACATACAGTAAATAGAAACAGCAATGACTTCAGATAATTTGAAACCTTTTGGACCAAGGAAAGCTGGAACTTTACCTAATGGGAAGTTCTTGATGTAAGCTGGGTCTTCTTGGTTAGAAAGAGCAACATCTAAGTTGAAGTGCTTGATAAGAGCCTTAACTGGGAAGGTTCTAATATGTTGGGTGACGAAAGCGGTACCGAGAGACATTGTGAAAAATGAATTGATTCTAGGATAGTGAATTAACTAGAAAACTCTATGACAAGATCAAAGTTAAACCATCATAAAATTTTTTTCTCGTTGTTCATTGTGATCGTTGAAAAAAAAATTGGATGGGCTTTTAGTTTCGGGTAACCCCATTGGATTTATTAGGGTATTTGGTAGTATGCAGGACCATTGAATTAATATTGTAACATCATGACAGGAACATGTCAATTTGCAACTAAAACAGTTTGTAGATGAAGTTAAAATTAAATATAATTTGTGCTAGAAGATTAAAAAGACAGGGAATAAAGTTATTAATATTCGGAGTACTGAGAACTTTAAGAGAGCGGTATATTTTCTTTGATCAACCATTATTATATCGAATTTAAGGGTTAACGAATGTATGACGGAAGTATAAAGATGAGTACTCCTGGTGGGGTAATGCAACCCTTTTAATGTACTATTTTGCGTTAAAACATCCGAATCAGTTACGTCGAATCTCATAACGAATGATAGTAGAAACATTTATATATGATTGTGTGTTTAGCAATTGTGGAGGAGTAAACAAATTGAAAAAAAGGTAGAAAAACCGCCAAGGTCAAATGATATTGAAAAGTTGCCGAAGCAAGTCAGGCGTTCCGATCTCAAACTATAATCAGATGAACGATGGAGTTCTTGAATTTATTTATTTTACCAAGGATTCAAAAGTAGAATGAAATACAAGAATTCAATATAAAACGGTAATCTTTTAGCATAAAGCTTGTATAAAATACTCAAGTACGATTCAGCCTCAAACCTTATCAAATCTAATTATATAATTATATCCCTGTCCCCTCATTCTCAATTAAAATGGACCTTATTGTTATAATTATAATTACAGAAGATGTGAAGATGGCTAAAATTTCCTTCTTTAACTAACCTATTTATATTTTTTAACCAATTTAACTTTTTCATTTTGATTGTTATAAATTTTAATTTTGTTATTATTAGGTCTTTTATTTTTTTAGGGTAATTATTTCTTCTTTTACCATTTTTGTAAATATGTAAAAAGTGGCCAAATAATCTTTTTATTCCATGGTGGGCATGGTACATGAATCAGGATATACGATTAGTCTTCATTTAGATCGTTCCTGACTGGGTAACAGTTATAGATAGCCAGGTGAAAATAATATGAATCGTGTTCATTTAGTAAGTAGCAATGTAATTACAAAGTTGAAGTTATTTATAATTATATTTAATTGTAATTCAAAACGAAAAAAAAAAAAAAAAAAAACAGGAGAACAACAAAGTCAATAGCAATCCACCTTTTCAAGAAACGAAAGTTAAACTGAAAACCCAAGAACATGAAATAACTTGAAATACGAAAAAGTGTAAAAAAATAATATAAAACTTGTAAATAACTATGGCAGTTATCGTAGTTCAAACTTTATTGCAAATTGAAATCGGATGTATAGAACAATTAAAAAAAGACAAAAAGACAAAAGGTAAAATAATTTGAAATATGAAAGATTAATCTAGGTTTTTTTTAAAAAAAATTTCATTTTTAAATTGTAATGATAATTAGGATAAAACTTGCCATGAATCAATTCATGTCTTGGTACGTCTAGATCTGCAATAAATAGTTAATTTTAGTAAATAAGAGGGGTTTAGGTGTTACTCCAATAAATTTGTTTACAGATATATGTACGTTCCTTGAAGTTAGGGCATACGTTTACTTAGAGTAGCAAAATAAGAAAACTAGAGGCATATGCCAGCACATACGGATTTGAAATTAACAAAGAGAACAATATATGAAGTAAACCATCTAACTTCAATAGAAGCCACAAAGCAAGGTACAAAGCCATAAATTACGTGTTAATTTTAGCATTTATTAAATAAAATTGGGGGGTTATATTGATCAATATCCTAAAACCGGTAAAAATAACATTAGCTCATACTTTCATACAAATACTCAAAAAAAAAAACTCGTAACCAAATGGTCTTGGTTAATCAACTCATTTTTAGTAAACTTTAAATGATAATAATGATTTAACAAGAATATAGAGAGAGTCTAAAATCGGACATGTATGTAGCCCCATATTAAACCTAGCCCAGAACAACTGCAGTAAAGAGACTACATTATTAAATCGAAAATAATTAAAATCACTCTCTAAATGTGTAAGTTGCTTAAACGGAGGAAAATGTTCTCTAACCGTACCGTATTTTATATTCAGGGCCAATAGTGATAATTGGCTGTTGTGCTTTGGCGAAATCTTCAACTGGGAGGTTAGAATTGCTTGTAAAATAAGAATATCGTAATATAGAAAAACTATCGAAAACCTAGTAACCTGTGTAATTCATTTGAGCCAAAACGTAAACGCACCGTCGGAATCGGGATAATTTTTCCCGCCTTTTTTTTTCAAACGCCAATTGAAAATGGAAAAGCCAAAATAAAGAAAAAAACAAAATCGAGCAAAAAAAAAGTCTGAATTTGAATTTTTTTTTTTATTTTTTTTTTTTCAGGTTTGAGAGGTGAAAACATTAATGCAAAACGTAAAAAATAAAATGCGAGATGAAAAAAAAATTGTATGAATCTCACCAGAGTCAAAATAAGACTTCCGTTAAAAATGTAACGTTATTTTTTTTCACTGTGCTGGCGGAAGGAACTTACCGCAATGTGCAGAATACTGTTTTTTTTTTCTTTTCTTTTTTTTGATTTTAATTTAATTTGGGGTTATAATTATATTAATCACACACAAAGATAGATGTATAAATAGATATATATACTTATAGGTGTGGATGCAGTTGCTATATAGAAGCTATTTATATATCGATGCGTATGTATTATATATTTATCTGTATAGTAGATCAATCGTTATTATATATAGTACATGTGAAAATGATTTTGAAAAAATTAGTAGAAATACACGGAAAGCTGAAGAAGTAAGTATAACAATAATACTATGCAAAATGGAGTAAAAATGCAATCTAGACCGAATTATATAAAATTCAACTTTTTTTTTTTTTTGATATTTAGTAATTTTTGTTTTCATGGGTGAAGTCATAAATAAATTAAAAATTTAGGGTGAGGTGAGGTGAGTGGGTGCACTTCAATCATTATCAGTTATGAAATTTAATACCCATTCAAAGTTATACTTCCATCGCGATTTTTCATCTTCAAGTTTAAAAGATTGGTCTAATAACTTAAAGATTGAAAGGATTTTTTGATTAGATTGTTGAATGACAAACTTATTCTCGACATTTATAAGTTTATTAATGAACTCTTGTAAAAAATTAATCATCACCCCTCGATCGTTTGGAAATACCATATTGGGTAGCGACGTGGCAGATGAAGATGGTAACATAATATTATTTTGATTTAAATTAAAAATGAAATTATAATCAATTTCTATCGATTTTATATGAGGATTAAGAATAATATAATTCAATTTTATTAGATACCACATGTAATCTCGTAATTTTGAAGAGTCACTCTTGGTGAAAGATGATGATGAATTAGTGGATGATGTGGAAGATGATTGGGCAATTCCTGATAATGATGTGGATGATGATGATAACGATGTAGATGATTGATATCGATAATTTAATTGTATATAATCTAATTTTTTAAATGACTGATTTAAATTTATAATTTCAAATTGACTAAGTTGAAATAAATTATTTAATGATACATTTCCAATAGATGGAAGTTGTTGACTTGAAGTTGTCAAATACGTGATGTCTTCCATTATATCAATGGGAGGGAAAATATCTATATTCGATGATGATACTTGATCAGGATTAAGTTGTTGTTGCTGTTGTTGATGATTAGAAACAGCTGATGTTAGGACTTTACTATAATTATAATCTTGAATGATTTCGAATTGAAACTTTTTGATGATGAAATATTTTAATATTAAGATTGAATGAATTGAACTTATTAATAATAATGATTTTTGTTCTCTTTTACTTGAATTCAAATATGAATTGATTTTAAATATGACTTTATTATATAATTTACATTGATTATCAATAATCAATGAAATGTAATTAATGGTAGTAGGATTTGATTGATATTTTAAATAAATACTCAATAAAATTAATACAATGCTAATTAATAAATTCTCAAATTTATTAATTTCTAAGGAGTTGATGACTGAATTAGATCTAATATTATACCAATAACCCAACTGTTGATCAAGAAGGTTGGACAATATATCAAGATTAAATTGATTAGAACAATTGATTAAAGAATTAATTAATAATGGTAATTGATATTGTTGTTGTAAGCAATGCATTGGAATCATTGATTTCCATATATTTTGTTCATTAAATTGATCTAAAAACCAATAATATTTTTCTCGTTCTATAATACTTATGAATAATTGAATATCAAAATTACTTTGGGGATAATCGATAGTGGATGTTGGTGAAGTGTCTCCGGATGCAGTGAGATTATTAGGATGATTCCATTGACTCGAAATAGTATGTAAATTATTTGGTAAAAATTGAAATTTGGGTGTATTGCTCGATGCCATTAGCGGTAGATTTGTTGATGATGTTGACGGTGTATTGAAACTTTGATTTATAAAATAACTGTCTGTAAGTAATAGATTTGTGATATTGTAATTCTCTATTACGGTGTTTGTATCTAGTTGTGAAGGCATTTGTACTTCATTTATAGTTGATATGGATGACCCTGTTATGGTTGTACTTGAGCCTGTCTTTAGGGATGTAGATAATGAAGTTGAGGTTGACGATACAGTTGCCGGAGTAATGGTAGCATATAAATCTTGTTGATATTGTAAATCTGATTCTGTTAAATCTTGATTACTATGTAAATGAATATAAGGTCTATATGATTCTTTCCCATTTTTATATAATGATGCAATTGTAATTGATTGGTCTAATAATCGATATGATGATGGTTGTGGAATGAAGTCATTTATTGGTGTTTGATCCAGTGGATTATACATGGTATATTGGGTAAAGTTCAACCGTATTCCTCGATAACATTTCCTTTTGGATTTGATACAATTCCTACAAATTGGCTGCTGTTCGTCACATTTCATGTGTCTGTCACGACACGTAAGACATCCTGATCTTGTTCTACTTCGTTTTATGCTTGGATCTCTTTTCGCCATTTGTTTTCTAGAATGAATTAGATCATATGTACCCTTAACAGGATTAAATTCAAACTTTGTTTAACGATCTTCAAATGTGATTCTGGTTCAGTCTTTTTTTTGTAGTTTATCTTTCTTTTAAATTGGAAGTATTAAATCAAAATTTGATTATGTATGTTGAGTTATTCATGGATTTTTTAATTGAGATATATTTTTCGTATAATTACACTTTCCCCGATCTGCCAGATCTCTTCTTCCAATTCAATTAAACTTCTTGAATGCTATGAAAAATGAATTGAATGAGCTTCAATTCAAGAATAACAAGAAAAGAAGTGTTTTAGAAGAAAAAAAAAGGTCTGTAGTAATTTTTGGGGTTGATATTTAAAAATGTACAAGAACAACAAAAGAGTATTAAATAAAAAAAGAAAATAAAAAAAAAAACTAAATTAAAAATTAAATTAAAATAAAATAAAAAAAAATAAAAATAAAAATAAAAAAATAAAAAATAAAAATTCAAAAACATAAAAAATATAAAATAAAAAAAATAATACAAAAAAAATAACAATGTCGAAAATTACCGCAAGCTTTTACCTGATTCATATAGTTTTAGTGAGTATAATGAAATCCCTAAAGTGACACAAGCACAACAAATTATCGAGGCAGAATTTTACTACCGGCTGCTTTACCTCTTTTTTTGGGGTTTTAGAAAGTTATTATATGGTCCGCTGTCAGTCGTTCCCAAAACACTATTATAAGTTTTCTATTGTATTTCTTTGTTTTCCTTCTGACATTCTTTTAATTGATCGAACCATCACAGAAACCCAGGGAAAAAAATGAAAAGAAAAAGAAAAATAAAAGAAAAGAAAATAATCAGAAAAAATCATTATTTTTCAAATAAACGAAACAATCAACCCATCAAACCACCTAACTGGAAAGGACAAAAAGAAGAACCAAATTAATTAACATCAACCGTTATTATAGTTCCATACTTCGTATTTAGATACAAAAAGATATATCCTAGTGGTTTTTAAATTAAAAGAAAAACTTATGTATCAGTCGGCTTCGGTCAGTACACATACGTCAATTTCAAAACTACCAGTATTTTAGAGTTAAGACTGAGCTTTCAGTACCCAGTTATGTAACGTAAGATCTACTTATTTTTTTTCCCCTAATAAAATTTTCTCACTAATGTTTGTAAATTTGGTAGAGATGGAAAATATAATTTCGGTAACAAAGGAAAAAGAAATTTTATTATTATTTGTACTAGAAGTCTTTGTATTATTTTTTAATGTTAAAAATTATTTTTAATTACGTTAAATCAACAAAAAAAAAAAAAGAGTTTTGGCTCTGTTTGCTGAACGCAGTAAAATAATAGTTAAGGACAAAAAGTAAGAGAAATAAATTCAGCAGGCAAAGAACAATAGACAGTGGGACCGGCAAAATATTTACGTCCATAAAAAGTATATGATGTTTGGGTAATAGATTCAAAGCTTGTGATTTTGTGTTATTAATTTAGTGATAAGAATAAGAGAAAACCTAAAAGGTAAAAGTTGACCACTTAACATATATTTGACCCAATTTTCTAATACAAAAAATCTCAATAAAACGTAACAAAAGCAAACACAATTCAAATTAGGAAATGAGACACATTTACAAAACTGGGCCAATTGAAGTTATAAATATACCAGAAATATTGCTGTTCTAAGTGAAAAACTGTGATAATGCTATATGGTATGTACTAAGAAAAACAGCTGTAATGCAAGGTTTGGTAACAACGCAGGTATATTGACTTGAAAGACTGTGATTATTACAACCTATCCAAGGTGTGTGGCAACAGCAGCAGCAGTTTCAGAAAATTCAAACCAAGATAGTAATGATTAAGATTTTAGTCATTAAAGTTTCGCCTTTAAGGACAGGTATATATAAGAAATCTGCCTAAAACTTTATTTTCTTAATATGGCTACTTAACCCCTAGCTAGTATTGAGGTGGGAAATGTAACAACTGACTATAGTTATCAAGAGCATTCATATGATCCTGGCTTTCTTAATAATTATAATTTTACGTATAATTGAAGACTTTTATTTTATAATCAAAATAAACGGGGAGTATTATGACGTGTAAGGTAGCACTGTACTGCGAATTAAGCTTTGGTGGTTTAAATACCAGATTTTTTTTCGATTCGATTACCGAACAAAAAGAGAGGCTATAATAGGTTACAAATTCAGATTATCGCTGACGTCCTAACCATTAATAAGTTGCAATCCGTGGTTTGTGAACTAGGTCTATCTCTCGCTTTAACTCTAATTCTTATTCTTTGTTAGGAGCACAACCTCCCATGATGGGATTTTTCATGGTTCTGCCACCCCCTACTCAAAATTCACGAAAAGACATTTCCGCCCTCCACCAAGGCAGGGAGCGGAATTGTTTTTTTTTGTCTTTTCCATAACTCAATTTAATTTTAAATTTTGATTGTCAGTGTTTTTTTTTCACACTATTTAGGTTGTGTTTTATTTTCCGTACCTGCTTCGGTTTCACTTGACTTAACCACAAAAGATTGAACATGCGTTGAGACTGACAACCAAGTAATGTGGTTATAATAGAGATTTTCGCAATGGCATCAACCCAGCAATATGTAGAAGTGAAGACTTTCATACCTAATAATGTACGCCAAGTTGATACCTTTTTTTTTGACTTTTATTTATTTATTTATTTTATTTATTTATTTTTTCAAAATTTGTTCCGTTTTCCTGGGTCAAAACTAAACTTTTGCATAATGTTATTGTTCGATTAATAAAGCGGGTAAGGAAAAAAAAACTTTATTCACATACTTAAAATCATGTACGGAGATTATGTATAGGTCAAAACTTCGTACGTTTAAAATTCTAACTTTTAAGTTTTTTTAAGTCATATGTAACCAAAAATATAAAACAAAGAGAAAAGTTAGAAGGCTAAATTTAGTAATGTACTAAAATCAGGAGTAGAAAACAAACAGTAAAAAAAATTAGTGAAAGAAAGAAAGAAAAAAAAAAAAAAGAAAACGAAAAAGCAATGGAAAAGTACAAGCAAATCATAAACATAAAACGTTATAATCTGCATGATAACACCAACAAAAGGAATTATCCATGACGATACAGAATCTGCCTGCGCTCACGACCTGAATTTTGACCTATAGCAACTAATTTACATTATTCTACCTTCAATTCTATCACCCCCTTTTGATAGGATAACCATTTATGGCTAGGCCAGGGCACCGAGACCAAAAAAAAAGCTCTCTGAACAGGAAAAGTCGAAAAAAATAATACAAATTAATTAAAAAATAATTCCAATTATTAAGCAGAAAATATTGTACAGATAAAAAAATAAAAAAAAAATAAAAAAAAAAGAGACTGAGTGATAAATGAATTTTTTTTTTTTTTTAACTTCTTTCTTGCCAATTGGGGATCAGAAAAATAATATACAATAAAAAAGTTGTTTTTACCCACTAAAATGGGAAACAATTCGGCATTTCTCAGGGATGTAGAAATCTCGTAATAAATCAAATCAGGAATTAAAAAGAAAATCACACTGATCTGGAATGCTTGTATCTGGTGATAGTATCATCATTGGTTATGATGAATGATATAATCACTAATTTTTAATGAGGAATTCGGAATCTACTCAGCGAAGTCGCCGACTTGCATCAAATATAAAGCTTAAAATGAAATGTAAAAACAGATAAAAGTTGATTGTATAATTTCATGATCATTTTCAAAGTCAAAAGCTTTTTCTGATTTTGTTTAAACTTTTGCTAAAAAACAAAGAAAAAATTATGATTGAGAAAAATCAACCTCTATTTCCCTGTTTCCCCCCAATAAAACTATAAAAAAAAGCGTTTAAGTACAATATAGAAAATAAAATTGTCAAAGCTTACTTTGAAGTGGTGACAATGAAACTATATCATAGAGTTTAGTTTAAGCATAAATCTAATCTACAAAATTATGATTGAATGAATGAATAAATGAAAAGAAAGAAAGAAAATAAGAAAAACAAAGAAATAATGTATATTAATAGAATCAATCAATTTTTACTTAAGTAAGATATTTCTGGGTATAAATATGATAATGAATACTGTCATTGTTATTAAACCAACTACAAAAACCCAACCATAATTGAATTGAATGAGTTGAATCATTGATGGTGTAACCATGGTTATAATCCAATTGATTAACCAATTCATACCAATACTTAAAGAAAGTATCTTTGAATTATTATTGGCAATGATATTAACTAATATACCAGTACTTGGACCCCAACTAATAGCAAAACAAAAAATGAATAAAATACTTAAAATTATAAGAGGCAAGATTTCAGAAGTAAACTGACCAATTAAACTATAACAAATCATAATTATAATCATCAAAACTGAATTTAGAATTAAATTTGATTTTATATTCCACATTTGAATAATTGGTCCACTTAATAATGATCCAACAAGATTTGCTAAACTCATTAAAATAAATGCAATTTTAATGTTTTTAAAGATTACTGGTCCATAATAAAAATAATAATTTATACCTGTTAATTGTTGAAATGCCATGATCAAACAACATTTTAAGACTTTATAAGGATAATTCTTAAATAATTCACCATATCCTATATTTGGTTTATTACTCATATCATTTTCATTAAAAAGTTGATTATTATGATAAAGAGTAATGGTATTAATTTGCTTTGGATGTTTAACTTTAAAGATTTTATAATAAATTAATTTTAAACTATTCATGTTACCTTTTATTTGAAATAAATTTGGAGAATGGGGTATTAAAAACATTAATCCATTAAGAGTTAAGAAAAATATCATTTTAATTATTTGATGAATAAAAATTAAATTCAATGAATAAGAGTTTAGATAATAATTAAGAATATTTCCCAACAAGATGATTAAACAAACAAATGTTTGCCATAAGCTTAAATAAAAGCCCCTCATTTTAAATCCAACAATCAAGATTTCATTCATATACAATGGTCCTAAAACACCTAAAGAACCACAACTAATTCCACAAATCAATCTTCCAATAATATAACCCCAAAAATTGGTAATCAATTGTAAAAAGAACCATTCAATTAAAGTTCCTGATAAATAAATAATGGATGAAATTTGAATTAAGAATTTTAGAGTGAATTTATTATTAAGAGGAGGTAATATGAAACACCCAATCAAACTTCCTAATATAAAGCTGGATACAACAATTCCAAGTCTAAAACCTGATAGATATTGAAATGTGAAACTCAGATGATTAATTAAGTTTGTAATAGTTCCAACATCCCAACCAAGAGGGAAAGAGGTTACCGATAAGCTTAAACAATACCAGAATAAGTTCATATTATTAAAATCAGGTAGATCCTTACTTTGTTCTGGAATGTCATCAGGTATTTTCATACGAATCTCTTCATGCTCAGATTCTTCATCTTCCTGTTCATTTGGTAGAGATGATCTAAGAGGTCTTTCACTAACATCACGATTTAAGAGAACAATTGGTAGAGGAGTTATTTGTGATTGTGATTGTGATTGATTTTGAAGTGGAAATTGTTGATTTCTATTGATTACTTGATTCCATCTAGTTGCAATAGATAAACTGCCCCTTTTTTCAGTTTGTAATGCCAATATATCATTATTTGAAGTCATGACTTTTTCATTAAATGTTACCCGCTTTGACATCAAACTAGAGAACGCTATGCCTGGATCTCTATTTGTGATAGAACAACAGACTTTTCACAACAATAAAATAATAATAATGCAGATGAGTAAAAATTTAAAGAACATATCAAAGTTATTGACAAAAGGTTAACTATAGTTTGAAGATTGTAGAATAATAATAATAATAATAATAATAATAATAATAATAATAATAATAATAAAAAATGATTATCACTTAGACTTTGTTGTAAATGGAAAAAAGAAAAGTGGTATATAACAAATTTAAAATTTAGCCGCCAAATGGGTATTTTTTCTACCAATAGACCATTTTTCCCACTTGACTGGTATCTTTTTTCCGCTCTGTTTGGAATTTATTTTTTGTATGTTGTTCGCTCAGTTGCAAAAATGTTTTTTTCTGCTATACAAAATTTAAAAAAAAAAAAGCCAAAATAAAATCAAAAAAATAAAAAAAAACAATTATTATTTTTTTGGTGGTTAAGTAGCCCTTCTTCCTTACCAAAAGAAAACTGTTTATCCATCATTTTTAGACCTGCATACAAATCGCTCCCTCCACCACCACCACCCGAAAATTATTTTGTGATTGATTTTGTTTTTACTATTTTTATAAACTTCAAATACGAACGAAAGGATTGTAAACAATTTTCTTTTTCTTTGTTCTCAAAGACTAAGTTGAGTTTTGTACCATAAATTTCTAAACAATGAAACTTATTTATAAATGATTTGAAATTTTCAATATTGATTTCTTGCTGTCATTTTCTTATGATTATAAGGGTTCAGACTAATCAAAGGTTTTGATTGCGGCTTTAGGCACGCCGTGAAGATGATTTTAGAACCTTGTAGGGATTTAAGGTTGATTCCGAAATGAATTATGCTTTGTATTTCCATCAAAACTTTATTCTTATGCATAGGACATATCTATATATATCTAATTGTTTATCTACATATATAAGAGTCAATAATAGAAATAATATTATAGAATGTAAATCACTCTTAAATATGAAATTACAAGCTTTTGTGACCTCTCTCAATAAAAATTTATTATTATTGCCCCTCGATTTCACTCCACATTTAGAAATTAGTTATAAACAAATAAATAATTAAATGTAACAGAGATGGGGAGAGAGGGAGAGAGGTGACATATATTCAGTAACCTAGCCAATGTGATCTAAGGGACGTGGTTCATATGTAAAACGGGTTCACCTGAAGTTAAAATGAAATTCATCTTTAATGACAAGGAACAAAGAATTGAATTTAGGCTAAGTCTAGAAACGTCAGAAAATCAAAAATACGGAGGCACACAGAGAGACTTGGAGAGAAAGCGAGAGAGAGGCAGTACGGATAATGAATTGACGTATTACACACAAACTGATAAAACAAACAAACGAATTAGTGAATGTCAAGAACTGTTTACTTTCGTCTAATGCAATTAAAAATAAAAATTTGTTAAAAAATAATAATAAACTCACATTTACTAACTCCCAAGCACAGTGCAACGACTTAGGCCTAATCGAGTTAACTAATTACTAAAAATTTTTTTTTTGTCTTTTTTGCATAATAATATTTCTTAATTTTGATTTAGTGATATGTACAAACTTATTAAAAAAAAAGTAGAGATATTTGTTATCAAGCTAAGTTCAGTGTTTTGGTATAATATCAAGAGATAATAGAAGTGCTCAAAATTAGAGTTAATGCTTTAGAAAATAAAAAAAAAAAAACTATAAAATAGATCCCACGAATTATTCTTCTCGACAACGTAAATGAAGGTAGAAAGAAAGAAAGAAAGAAAACAGAAAATAAGAAAATAACCCCAAGTGGGGCTAATTATATAATATTTTACTTTATAATTTAAATTTGCACAAAATAAGTGTTGTAGTCAAAAATAATAGTGGAGGCTGATTTACGTACGTATACTAGTTTCAGTTGATTTATTTCTATACATGAGTTAAGAAAAATTTGCATGCAGTGTCAATTTATATGACTGCTAATCACTATTGTTTTTGAGGTCTTAATGTAATCCAACTTGGTTTAGACAGCATGAATCAGCCTAGTTTTTATTTACGTTCAAGACAACAGAAATGATATAGTAAGATTATAACTATATTCTTGTCATTTAGCGGAATGTCTTTCCCATTCAGTGCTGAGGGGTGAGTTGGAATTGGAAGTTCGGGCGTTACAGCGTTTCATTAGGGGATAGAGTCAAAAAAAACTTTAACACAAAATGTCACAAAATCCTGGCAACGGTGTGAACTTTTGTTTTTTTACGTTACCATTATTTTTTTTTTTTCAGCCTCTCCCTAGAAAATTCCGCTACAACCAAAAATTTTATCGTTTAGTAGTGGCTGTCTAATTATGTACTCAAAACTATAATTCAGTGATAAACTTCCACCCCCGAATAGCGGATATGCTTAACAGACATATTTATATGTTTAAACATCCGAAAGGTTTGTAGTTTAAATTGAAAAATCATTGAAAATAAAGAAATAAGGAAAATCAAAATTTAACGAGGTCACATTGTTAAGGTTGAGTTGTTTGTTTGTTTGTTTGTGTGATTTTGTTTAAAAAATTTAAGAATTACTGATAAAATATCCTCCTTTTTCTTTTGCTTCTCCATTCTAAGTTTTCAAAACTATTACCAAGATCCATCTAGGTTGAGTCATTCATTCGCTTTAACCAATTGATTTCTAAAGGTTGGTATCAACAACATATTTCCACAGTGAAGAACAAAGGCATAAAAGTTCCCCGTTTTTGATTTACCGCCCCCCCTTTTTTTTCATTTCATTCTTCTCTGTACGGTACAAATCTCTCTCTAATTTTTTTTTTTTAGCTTGAAATCTTTATTTTTATTTTTATTTATTATTTTTTTTTTTTCAAAGAAACTAATTTATAAAGGAAAGAAAAAAAAAACGGTTCTGCCTTTTAAAAAGAGTTGGTGTGCTGCTACTGTGAGTGAATGTGGTAACACAAAATGTCAACTAATGATAGTGATACTGGTCAATTAGCATCTGATGGAGATAAAATTGAAGTCAATGCCAATCCTAGTAGGTCAAATCAATTGAAACTGACCTTGAATCCATCCCAATATCAAAATCATCACCACCCTGTGTTTAATAAAAATGCTAATCCTTTTTTTCCTGCTGGAATCTATCAATACCAAGGAATTCCTACTAATAATAGTACCAATGCTAATATAAAAAATCGTCCATCTATAGCGACGTATAGTATATACTTTTCCAATCTACCCAATTCCATAACGAGTGATAATTTAAAGGAATTGATTGATTCAATCATTGAAACTAATTTTGATTCCGATAGTTTTTCAGCCAGTTTTGACATTGTGAGTTTTACTCAGAATTCAATAGGAGATGGTGCCACAAAGCAAGATGGTAGTACTGATGATGAGGCTGAAGATGATGATGATGAATCAAAGAAACTTATCACTTCAGCCGTGGTTGAAGTTAATGATTGGACTTTTTGTAATCGATTAATTGGAATTTTAAATGGCTATGAATGGTTAAATAAAATCATGGATGTTAGTTTTGCTAGTAGTCCCTCATTTGAATTACGAAGTTCGTCATCATCAAATTTATCATCTCGAAACAATTCAAGTAATTCATTGGGTCCAACTACTCCATCCATCCCTTATTATAATGCATATTATGCGAATCAATCACAAAATACACCCTATATTGCACCCCTTATACCACCACCACAATACGACTATAATTATGCAAATCAAATGCAAAGTCATATATATCAAGGTACGACTATACCTAATTATCAAAGTCAAACTCCTCCTCGTCAATATTTATCTCGTCGTTCTTCATCGGCAAAATCATTTGATTCTACGAGAAGAAATTCAAGAAATAATAGTTTTACAAGTGCTCGTAATTCATCATCATTTTCATCAATCTCTTCAAATTTAAGTAATAATCAAAATACTAATATCAAACAACCAGTCCCACCATTTATAATGAATATGGTTGCAAATAATCGATTGAAAACAACAAGTTTTGATTCATCTTCATCAAATTCTCCTACATCAGAATCTCCTATTGATTCCCTAACTCCGTTTAAAACTATCACCCATGATAATGAAACCGAAACTACTGATGAATTCGATCCTAAATTCGATATACCAGAAAAGGTAGATGAAGATGAAGGTGAAGAAATTGGGAAACCATATGCGTTTGATGAATTGGCACCACAAAATGAAGAAGATACCCCATCATCATTATCAAAACCAGACTCAGACGTGATACTTCCTGATCAATCCAATGATGATGAATTTATGATCATTCGAAATGAAGAGAATACAGAATATATCAAGGTGAACCCTAGAAGATTGTTTGTTGGTAATGTACCATATACATCAACGTGGGCTTCATTACGAAAGTTTTTCATCACGAAATCAAAGGAATTAGATCCTGAATCAAATATATTTATCTTGAGAGTTGAAATACCGATGCAATCAATTCATAATTCTTCAAATGAAGATTCAAATTATGATGTTATACTGCAGGGGATGGTTACTAAAAGTAGAGGTTTCGCAATTGTTACTACCGGGAATAAAGAATCCGCTAATAAATTAATTGAACTTTTTGATAACATAGAATTTGAAGGTAGATCATTAACAGTAAGGTATGATAAATTCCCTGAATTTAATAATTATTTAATTCAACAACTATTTAATCATCCATCATCTTATATACCTCCTGCTATATTACCTCAGATAGTGATTCCTTCTAATGTTCAACAAGGTGGGAATTATAATTATAACCCTAAATCATATGGAAATACATCTCGAAAGAATAGTTATAATAATCATGGATCATCAATCATAAGTAATCTTGCATTTGAAAGAAATCTGTTTCAACAAAAGTATTATTATGGAAATAGTAATTTACCAAATCCATCAATTGGAAGCGCCAACAGTAATATGCCTCCTCCAAATATAGTAATATCAGGTCAAAGTTCATCACCTTTACCACCAACACTTGCACCACAACAATTACATCAAGCACCACCACCGCCAATGATGTCTTCTCCTGCAACTGGAGCTTACTTTATCTATCCATATTATTACAATCCACAACCGAATCCTCAACCTCCTGGTATACCGACAACCGCACAATTACCTCAAGTTCCTCATTTTCAACATTATAATCAACCTCCTCCTATGAATCGAACACCTTCCTCAAGTTCTATATCTCAATATAATAATTATTCACCGTATAGATCCGGTAGTACAAGTAGAAAATATTCATCGGCCACAGCCACCTCAATATCTACTCCTATAAAGAGAGAAGAACAAATATTGAATCCGAGCTCAGAACCACAAGAAAATGTTGATTATAAATTATTCAAACAACAACAGTTGGAATTAAATGATGAAGAAAAGGCTAGAGATTTAGTTAATTCATTTGGTAAATTTGAATTAGAAGAATAATTTCACCATTCCCAAAAAATAATCATATATATATAAATCCACAATAATAAAAAAGATGATACTAACCATAGAATCATAAATAATATTTTTATTAAAAATACGAATTGATTGTTATTTTTAAAAATCAATTTAGAAAATAATATATATCTTCAATCAGGTTTTTTTCCCTAGTTCGATGGGGTTGTTTGTAGCGTTGTAGAGGGTATTTGCATTCCCATGTAAATTACTGCAAAATCATGCAGCGCGTATTATCAAACCTACTTTTTTTTTGGTTTTGTGAACCATTTGGTGTGTTTTTGAGTTAAAACCTTGTTTCAGTTTTGTTTACAAGTTTATTTTTTAGGTTAATTATATATTAAAATTCATTGCATTGCGTGATGGATCAAGTTTAAATCTAGTGATTCGATTAAGATTAACCCTAGTTTTCTAATTTGTGTTGAGAAATAGAAAGATTTGTGGTGATATTTGCAATAAATTTTATTTTTTACGGAAAATAAAATGAGAGAAAATGAGACAGACTAAAAATGTCGGACACGACAATTTTTTTGATGTTTGGATGTTCTCCTGCAGGGTTCTTTCTTCGTTATCTGTCCTTCCTTGGGAACACAGTTGACAACAAAGGAGAAGGGGAGGGGGGGAGATGGGTGAAAGAAGATTTGGGATATTAATTTGTCAAAGTTGCCCCACCATCAACCATTATTTCAGCTTTCTATGCTTCCCCCAACGAATATTCATCTTTTTACTTTTACTTTTGTGGTCTGCTGCTAAATATTTATGATGTCATAGTAGTTTAAACGATATACAAATATATTCAACTAACCAATATTAATATTATGGTCTATATAGACCTACAGACGATGGTAAAAGTTTCTGTTACATTGCATTTCATGAAGTTGTCACCTAAAACTTTAAAACTCATGATCTTAAAGCAATATAACGCCATCCAAATTTGTCTCTCTTTACTTTCTCTTCTCTTCTCTTCTCTTTTTGGTGAAATTCAAATCACGTGATGGATTTTTGTGGTAAATATTAAAGTTACTGAGAGCGAGAGAGACAACCAAAAAAAAAAAAAAAAAATATCTCAAAGGGAAAATTTTGAACTTGTGATTTGAAATAGATATCCAACTAATCAAAATATCATAAGTAGAGGCTTATCAATTGCCAACTAAATAGTCAAGTCAAGTAAAGAGTGCCTGAAGGTATCTTAGTTCGAAAGTTTCGTGTTTAGTGCGAATCATTCTCGCCTAATTCGTGTTGTTGTTGTGTCTCCTTTAAAAAAAAGAAAAATTATTCACTAAGTAATCATGCCATCGGATAAATCTAATAATACAGAATCCCATACCGATCAAAAGTCTTCAGATCAAGTAATAGAATCTAAAGAGATTGCTTTATCAAATCTAAGATGTCCATCCCCTCCTCCAATTTTGAATAATGGTCCTCATTCATTCAATGTTCCCACATCTCTACCTTTACATCAAACTTCTGTCATTAATAATCAACCAGGAAGAGAAACAATAATAGCTGGAGGAGCATTGTTGAAAGATAAAGAAAAATCATCCGTTACTCAAGCTTCTCCAGACGTTGTACCTACAAATAACCTCCCTAAAATAAGTCCATTAGGTTCTCCTCTGATTGGAGATGTTATGAGTGATCATAATGAATCAGTAACTTCCTTAGATTATACTTTAAATCCTCCAAAGGGTAATTCTCATCATAAATCTCCCTCAGTGCATGCACATTTTTATGTCGATGAAGCAGTAAAACCAGGTAAGACGTTAAGTAGATCAAGAAGTGGGTCAGTGATTGGTAGTTCAACTGATGTGGCCAGTGCTACTGGTACAGTCACAAGTTCTACCAACGGAAATATATCACAACCTGATAAACAGTCAACAACTTCACTTACCGTGCCTTCAAATACAACCAATAAGGATACTTCCACTCCATCATCAAATACATCTGCTCCAACCTTACCTACAGGTGAACAGAATGCTAATATTGATCCAAGATTACCGCAAGATGATGGTAAAATTCATATTTTATTAGGGGTATGTGGAGCATTATCTTCAGGTAAGATTAAACTTATCATAGCGAAGTTATTTGAAATATATACTCCTCAAAAGATCTCCATTCAATTAATCTTGACCAAATCAAGTGAAAATTTCATGTCTCAAGAGACTATAAATCATTTGGAAAACATCAAGAAAGTTAGAATTTGGAGAGATTCAGATGAATGGAATACATGGAAAGGCAGGCTGGATCCCGTCTTACATATTGAATTACGTCGTTGGGCAGATATGTTAATCGTTTGTCCTTTAACTGCTAATACATTATCAAAAATTGCTTTAGGTATATGTGACAATTTATTAACCAATGTAATAAGAGCTTGGAATACCTCATTTCCAATCTTATTAGCCCCAGCTATGATTAGTTATTCATATAATGCTGTAACCACCAAACGTCAATTAAGATTAATAGCCGAAGAAATGCCATGGATAGAGGTTTTAAAACCAGTTGAAAAAGTGGTTGGAAGTTATGGTGATATTGGTATGGGTGGTATGATGGATTGGAATGAAATTGTCAACAAAATCGTTTTGAAAACAGGAGGATATCCTGAAGATGAAGATGACGAAGAAGAAGATGACAATAAGAATAATGAAGAAGAAGCTGCGGATGATGACGATGATGATGAAGATGACGACGAAGATGAAGATGACGACGAAGATGAAGATGAGGATGAAGATGAGGATGATGAAAACGAAGAAGAGGAAGAGGATGTCACTCCTGCCGCCAAACCAGAAGACAAAGCCAATGGTAAAATTGAAGCTGCTGTTGAAAAGTTAACTATTGATAATGGTGAAGCTAAGAAAATATAATCAAATGATCGCTAGCTGGTTTGGCGTATAATGTAACATAAAGCATATAATTTTTTTAACTACATACATATTTAAATCTTCTATAGTAAGGGTATTAATAATACAATACATATACAAATATATAAAGAATTAAAAGTCATTAATCTAACGTATTTATTTGTTTTATCTTTTCATCTCTCCATGTTTGATAATCATCACCTATGAAAGTCGAAGTATCGCAAGTAGCAATACTTATCCTCCTATTGTTGGGATGAAGGGTTGAAGTACTATTAGTTTCAGTATTGCCGCCACTGAAAAATCGGGTTTTATTTTGAATACTTACTGGTGAGAAATCATATGGCGATGAATCATTTTCTTTCATTTCTGGTATGACACGATTGAGTGGTGAAAAGTTGGCCTTATATGGGAGAATATTAGATGAATTGGCAACTCCCATGCTAGTTTTCAAAGGTGAACCTTTAGAGATATTGGATAAATTGATACTGTGGGTTGAATCAGCCAAAGCATCTTCATAAATGTCAGGACGTCTTGGAGATGTGGCTACTAATGGTACACTTAATGGTTGAAGATGAGTATTTTGGAATCCAGATGCTTTGGGGTGGTAATTATGATTACTATAGTTTCTGAGTGGACTGTCTGCACTTGAGATTGATGAATTAATACTGGTATTGATGGCATTAGTTAATTTCACGGTAGTAGGATTGTTGAAGGTTCTCTCAGATCTATTTCTGTTAGGTAACGCAGCTTTTCTAATAGGATGCTGATGATCTAAACCAGATGATAACGGTGACTTTCTACTACCTGGTGCAGTGAATTCTCTAGGCATACTACTGTATTTAGCAGACATAGTTGTTGGTGATCGGGTTGATTTCAATGGTGAAGTTCTAGCCGATTGAACCGTTTTCTTAGGTGGAGATCTGACCGATCTTGTCACACCTCCTCCTACTCGTGAGTTTCTAGCTGATTGACTTTGTTCTGATTCAATAAGTAATAACTTTTCAAAAAAGTCTTCTCCATTGAATTGAAGAGGTCTCTTACCTTCAGCTAATGCCACATTATTAAACAGAATGACTTCATCCTTTAAGCTCTTAATAAGTCTAGGCATGTTCTTATTGATCTTTTTCCTTATCTTTTCTTCATTTAACAAAATCTTACACGAGTTCTTACTTAACAATCTTGATGAATCCATTGAGGATTCTTTTAAGAAAGTTTTATCTTGAATGAGTTCGTTTAATTCATCAAAATACGATAAAATTGGTTCCATCGATTTATAAGTAGATTTCAATTTCTGAAGTTCTTCTTCATGTTCATTTAACACCATTTCTTTATCATATGTATCATCGTTGGAATCATAATTGTAGAATCTGAATTCTACTCTTTGGGTCTTTGAATAGAACATCTTATCCCAAAGCATTTCAATTTCAATTCTAGCATCAGAAATAAAACTATCAATGAACTCTGATCTTTTTAGGAATAATTTATTTAACTCCATCTTGAAATTTAATAATGATATATCAGTCAATACACTATTAGCTCTTAAGAATGCTTCAACATAGTCAGCACTTTCACCTAATTTATTCCATAAGACTTGACATGATTCAACATAGTTGTCGAATTTCTTTTGTTTGGCAATTTTAACCTTTTCCAATGCTTTTACAAAGTTTTCAAAGTATAAAATATGGGCATCATTCAATCCGAATTGACATGGGTCTGATTGAATCAATCTTAATGTCTCTAGGTCAAAATATCCTTCGTTTGATTTGGTTTCAGGGACTTTTTCGTGATTCTTTTGAATTTGAATTAATTGATCGTCGGTAAGATGAAGTATTTGAATATATTGGAAGCATTTATTAGTGAGTTCAACAATCTGTTGAGATCGGGTAGCAACTTCCTTATTACCAGCTTCAATTTCTTGTTGGATTATAGATAGAATCTCTGGTGTTATCTTTGTGAATTTCAAGCTTCTGATAGCTCGCACCATCTGATAGTTAATATCTCTTAAGGCATTCATATTTCCATTTTCACTGTCATCCATGGGCACTTCCTTAGTTTCCGTACTTGCTTCTAGTTTCGCCTTTCTTGGACTTGATATTATGAAAGCTTCTTGGTCATCATTTCTGTTAGGTATTTTAGGGTTGGGAGTACTTTTAAGAAGATTTAACCGTTTTAGTATTAATTCGAAATTCTCTATAAGTTCACAGTGTTGGAATGCATTTTCTTTTGATGGTAATGATTGAAGTAATGGTAAGTGATTTGGAGAGGTACTAAATTCACCTATGGATTCTTTATTTGCAATATATTTAATATTCAATTCATTTAATTTCTTAAATAGATTAACAAATGCTTTCAATATATCAAGGAATATTAAATTTAATTTACTTTTTAATTGTAATAATGATAAAGGAGGAATATTCTTCAACATGTATTCACATTGTTGTTCATATGACAAAGTATCATCCTCGTCGTCGTCATTGAGTCCTGAAACGTTAAATGGTGAAGTCACATAGAAACTGGTCTTTTTATTTTGTAATTGACCTAATTTCTTTAGTATCTCTTCTTTATATCCTTCTTCATATTGTCCCGGATTATTGAAAACTAATCCTCTTTGTATCAATGCTAATCTCTTTTCTCCTTTACTATCATTTATCATGGCTAAGATGATTCGAATCTGTTGTCTTAACCACTCACATTCATTTTCTATGTTTGATTTCTCTCGTTGAAGACTAGATGTGAAATTCAATATACTATCTTCAATAACAGTAAATATTTCTGCTTTCTTAGATGAGATATCAGTCATGGAATATCCAATAACATCGTATATCGTATCTAATTCTTGAATAGTTCGATTGATATTGTTAGCTATATGATTGAATTCTTTATCAATTCCTTGTCTGTATTCTTGTGAGTTAATTATAGTTGATTCTAGTATCAGTGAGTTGATGGATGTATCATGATTAAAAGTCTTTCCAGGTTGTGTTTCTTGATTTAAAGTAATATCTTGATCGTCTCTATGCCAGTTGTCTGGATTGGGGGTACTCCTCCGTATGGAACTCAGTGTATCATCCATTGTGTTCACAATCACTATGTTTGTTCCAACTATCAAAAGATGATCTACTCAGTTTTATCCGTAAGATGTAAAGTTTGTGATTTCTATCAAGTTTTACATGTTTCTTGTTTCTATGTTTTGTGAAAGTATCAAGAGTTAAAAACAAACATCACCAATAATCGTAATGGGTTGTGAAAAATATTTACCTAATTAGGAACGAAAATAAACAAAAAAGATAATTGCGCCCAAAAAAAAAAATCGATAAAAATAAAATTCATAAATTCATTAAATTAAATAATTAAGGTTAAAATACAAACAATCTATGTACATGATGTTATCTATAATATGTGTGTGGTAGTGTGGTCTATTATTGCTTGATTTGATATAACAATGAAGCCAATTCAGCATTGAAATTACCATCATCAACTTGCATGTGATGATTCTCATGAGGGTTGAAGTCTCCATTAATTAATTCTTCAGTAACCCTTTCTTCTGTCTCTTGTTCTCCAAATAATATTAATGGATCAGTTCTGATCCTAGCCAATTCTTCTCTCGCTTTATGGTTTTTCTTAATAATCCATTTTCTATAGGTGAAACCTGTAGTTTCCCAGCCTACTTCACGGGCAATTCTCCAAAGTTCTTTAGATTCCATGGTGTTAGATCTAATCCCTGAATGAATGATTTGATCATACCAAATCTTAGCTCGATCAAACTCTTGTCGTCTATAATGGAAGTTAATGAAGGGGAAGATTTGATTAAATGTGAACGGTACGCGATTTGTCCTTGAGAAGCGAACTACTTCAGCTGCAAATTTATAATCATCATGAATCATTAATGATGAATAAACTAACATTTCAATGAGTCTCGTACTCATTTTATTTCCTGATACTTCACTATGTTCAGAAAATGTTTGAAAAATGTGCTTGGCAGTAGTAAAATTATGATTTGATTTAATTAAATTAGACGGAGATTTCTCATGAGGAATGTTACGAAGTAGATATGATATGAGGTGGTATATAACTTGATCATCATTGTTTTCAATATGAACCTTGTTCGAATTCAGCTCTTCGCTTGAGTCCGGAATCTCTTTAATGGCTGCCATATAACTCTGAAACAACTCAACAATAAGCTGTGGAGTTATCTTTTCACGTCTCAAGGAACTTAAAATACAATCATAAATATGAGCCAAAGATTTTGCAGAGATTTGGAAGCCTTTTAATCTATCATCAACGCTTGCCTTTTGGATACTATCAAAGTTGATAAGTCTGCCTAGTTCTCCGTCCCCGTAGACGAAATTCAATAATTTCAAATCATTTAAGAAATGTAATACATTGTCTTTATCTGTAGTTGTTCTACCTTCACAAAAGGAAGCGACATAACCAAGGAAGACTTTAGGAGATTGTGGAAATCTCCCTTTAATCAATAATAACAGTTCATCGACCAATTCAGACGTTTGTGCAGTAGTAAGTGTATCTAATTCAATATTATTCATGATTAATATTGCATCTTCAAAACGGCCATGTAATCTTAAATTCTTCATAATAGCCACTAAGGTAGGCAATTCAACCTTTAAATCGTTCTTGATCAAATACTTCAATACTATTAGACATGTTTTGACATCTTTGAATGTCATTAAGTAATCTAAGGTGACTTTCAAAACAACTTGAATATCATCGGATACATTAGAATCACCTGTTCTGTAATAAGAAGATTTGGTATAATCATTGCATTTCGTTTCAAACTTGGATACCAATAAATTTAAATACAAAGTGGCATTGACAACATCATTCCTCATAATTGCACTGGAAGCGAAGACATGTAGATCTTTGATTGTGAAAAACTGGATCATTTTTTGTTTGTAATCTTCTTCGAATTCATATGTTGATATATTATGAAACTTAGGATTCATCCAACCTGATCTCGCTACAAACTTTTCAATTTCAGTTCCAGACACTAATGTTCTTTTTAAACGTTCTATCACAGTGAGATCTTCCGATTGTATATTAACATGGAAAAAATACAGATACAATTCCATGAATTTTGATGGTGAAACACATCGTATAATTTGAGCATATCGCTTGGTAGATATCAAGATTGGACTGTTGTTAATGACTCCAGTGGATGCAAGGCATTTTAAATAGTTCAATAAAACAATTCCTCTATCTTTTGAAGTTGTTTTCTGTAGACTTATAATGGAAGCTATATTTGCTTTAATTGAAGCAACTGTTGCAGATTTTGTTGGATCAAGTATATATTCAAAAATTGAAGATTGTAGTTTGTTGTCAGCTAATCTTGATCTAGCATTTTCAAGTATCATATCCTGAAGTAATGTCACATCGTTAACTGGAATCTCACTTTGAATTAGATTCAAACTAACAGCTAAGTTTCGGATCATTCTAGGCTTTTCTAAGATATTCTCTTCAATGATTTCGATGATATTTAAACAGAACTGATCAACTTCACCAATTACTCTATACTTAATCTTTGATAAATGGGCGAAGTCTTCGTCTGCAAGACCTACAATCTCATCTTTACTCATTTTGAATAATGGATTTGGATAAGTATCTAGTGGATATGCGGTATAATCAACGTCCTTCATAACATCCAGACGATTACTGATATTATTTAATCTTGAAAATGGCAGAGTCCGTATCCTAACATTATATCCATCGTTACTTTCCTCTGTTAAATCATTCAAGATATGGTTTGGTTGAGGAGCTGCAGTTGCCAAAAGTCTGATATGGGGATTGAAAATGATAGATTGGAATGGATGATGTCGTACCATACCACGTCGCCCTATTCCTAAGGTATGTCGTATGTAGAGCATCATATATTGTATCCCCTTGCTGGAAATATATAGTCGGTTTAGCTAATTGTTTCTGAAGTATGGTTCCAAATGTCTACTGAAAATATTTGAAAAATAAAAATTTTTTGTAGCGCAAAAGAAATATTTAGCGATCATATTTAACGATTCAATAATCAGACAAATTACAACAGCTCAGCTCAGCTCAACCCTTCTACATAATCCTACTAAATAATTTTGCCGAACTTCATTCAACTGATTATAATGTAAAACTCAAGCTTTTATTATACTTCTATATATGCTACAGTAACAAAAATCAAACGATAACTGAGTTCTAATCAATGCAAAAATGAAAACCTGTTCTTTTTAACTATGCTTTTTATATCTTTTTCCTTATTTTATTTAATTCCAGTCATCCATGACCATTAATGAAGTGTTTCTACCACTATTTCTATATAAATACTTTTGGTAAAAGTATCCAATATCAAATATGATGGTACCTGAACTACCTAATATATATGGTAATTCTTTCATAACAAAATTGGATTTATCATCTCCATAAATGAATTCACAACTAGTCAAAATTGAAAGTGTATAAGTTAAATTTCCTAATAATGCAGCTCCAAACAATAATGGAGAAATACCTTCTACTGATTTTCTCAAATAGTTTTTATATAATTGAGGACATCTTGAAGAAATGTAAACACATGTACAACCCCAAGCTAATATTAATCCTAAGGTCTCTTTCAGAGTATATGATGATGAAGAAGAATCTGATGTTTTTGCAGTTGCCATAAGCAAGTTTGTTGTGATTGGTAATGCAGAACCTACCGATGAATTAAGTATTGCTCCCATGATAGTTGACCGTATAGCATTACCACCTCCACTATTATTACTATTGATATTGCGACCACCACTTTTAATGTTGCTATTATCTTCATCCATGGAATTATAACTACTTGGAGTGGAACCCATAGAACTTACCGGCAGTTCTTCATCTTCTTGTGTTTTGTTTGTGGCACCATGCCTTATATGAAGTGCACTATTGTCAGCATGTACCGATATATCGGCATTACTAGCATCTTCATCAAATACCATGGGTTCTTCGCCCAGTTTTGAAACTTGTTGTTCTTGTGGTGCTTGTCTATAACCGAACTTTCTAGGATATACACTGTTGTAATAATAATATTGAAAGAATAAAGTTATATCATTGCAAAGGAAAAACACACTTAAATATATTTGGAAACTTAAAACAGCATCATTCAATAAACAACTAGTGAAACTTAAGAAATCACCCATAAACCATAAGAAAAGAAAGGTTGGCGATATACCTTCTGCTGATTTGTTCTTATAATTCTCAAAGATCTGTGGTAATTGAGCACAAATCCAACTTATACATGATAGCCCACTAAAGAAACTTGACAAGTAAGATGCTTCTGTACACCCCATTATGATCTTGATGTGTACTATGTATCGTTTCTATCAAACTACTCTTGAATCTAGGAATATTAATAATGTTGTTGCTTCTTATAATAGATAAGAGATTTTTGTTATCTTTCGCATGATGATGATGATGATGTTTGAGGTAACAGACACCGCGCTAAAAAAAAACTTATTTGTTGCACACTACAATTTCCTAAAACAGCAATTTGTGATGTCAACACTTTGATGAAACAAAGTACACTTTGTTAAATTGCAACAAGGTAGTTAAGAATGTTTAAGAAAGTATTGTATATCAATGACTATAATAAATAAACTATATCTTATATAAGGCATCTATGAATGCTACTATCAATCTATCTGCTACCCCACTAGTGGCAACACTACCAGCAACGCCATATAGTGCGGCCACATCTCCACGAGGCTTGTTATTATCATTAACATTAGTTTCAACATATTCTAGTACTGTATCAGATAAATCTGATATCAACTCATCTATAACTGGAACAGTTAACCTTGTGAATGCAAAATGTAACGCTGCCGGATGTTGTAACGTAGAGAAATGCCAACCCTTTTTGGATAAGCTATCACCTAAATCATAAATGTTTATTCTTTTTGCCCATTTTTCATTAGCCTTGAAAGATACTACTGATGCAATTGGATCTCCAACAACTTCAAAATATTCCAGTAAAATTTTATGATCCTTTAATTCCCGCTTAAACTTCATTGATGTAGAAACTATATCTCGACATGACTTTTCGTAACCTGATTTACCTATACTAATAAGCGTACTCCAACAACCAACCATTAATGCTCCTGGCCTTGATCCAGCAAGTGTTGGTGAACCATACATACCACCTGTCCAGTCACTCAGAATATAATATTGACATTCTCTTAATTTCGCATTTCTATACATTATGATAGAAGACCCCTTAGGAGCAAACCCATATTTATGAGTATCACATGAGATAGAAGTAACTCCCGGAACTCTAAAATCAAATTTAGGAATTGGAAGATCACCATGAATTTTAGATCTGTCTAAAAACGACACTATAAATGACCCTAAACATGCGTCAACATGGAGTGGAATTTTATATTTGACAGCTAATTTTGAAAGTCCTTCAATATCATCGATTATACCATGAGGAAAATTTGGTGCCGAACCTACCAATAATACTGTATTACCATTAATTAATCGTTTCACTTTCTTAAGGTCAACTTTAAAGGTAACTGGATCAACGTCTACTTTATGAAGCGTCATACCAAAGTAATAACAAGCTTTTTCAATACCAGCGTGTATTGTCACTGGAGCAATTACTTCCGGAGATGTAATACCTTTATAACGTTTACCATATTCTCTGGCAGCTAAACCAGTTAACAATAAAGATTCAGTACCACCCAGTGTAGTAGACCCACATGCATCTTTAGGAGCATTGAAAATATCAAGAACCATTGCAACGACTTCTGATTCCATCTTACGGACACCTGGAAATACATCTGGATGTAATTGATTGGCGACTGAATATTTATGATATGCAGTTGATTGTAATTCGATTAAATCATCTCCCCCATGATAAACAGCTCCACTTACTCTTCCATTACTCCAATCAGTATGTTTCAAAGTCTGTAATTTATCCAATTCTTCCATAACAATCTTATTTGATAATCCTTCTTCTGGTATAATGGAAAGTTGAAGTAGCTCATCATCATTCTTAACGATTTCTTTCTCCATCTTAACGATCACCAGTTGTAATTCTTTATCAACTCTATTCTTGATTGGTGGTAAAGACATGAAAATATCAATTGCAATTTTACTAACTTTATGGAACTCTATCGTTACTGCCCTAATTATTCCAATACCTCCGATATAAGTAACTAATTGAGAAAGCTTAGAGCTGATTAGATATAAAATGAATACATCTCTGGCTATGATAAGATAATTAAGGAAACTATTGTCATAAGTATGTAAATAGGTATTTTCAAACCAAATCTGTGACTTGTGGAGAACTAACGATAATTGAAGCTTGATATAGAACATCAACTCAGGAAAGCTGTTGGGCAACAATGGGGCGCCATATTGCTTACTCGCCAAGAAGATTTTAGTCCTATCGAAGTAATCCATACTTGTATATAACTATCGCTTTAGTGGAGATGTAAATAAAGGAGCCAATAGTCATTGAAAGTTTGTATGGTGTGGTTTTTAGAAGTTTGATTTGCTGCTCCCCCGGTGTCTGCGGTGGACCAGATTTGCACGCGCAATGAATTTTTGGTAGCGAATTTCTATATTTGGAAATATTCCATTAAAGTATTTAATTACATTGTTTGGTAATATATAATAATACACATTATACAGAGAGAATAGGAAGAATGTTTGATTTAGTTCAATGGAGTAGAAGCTCTACTGATACGGTTGCTTGGCCTACTACTAGAGCCTGAAGTTGATGCTTCAAGCACAGATTGTCTTTCTCGACTAACTTTATCTATTTTCTCTTGGATGAATTGAACAAGGAAGTCATTTTCTTTCTTTAATTTGTTTAATTGATATTCATAGTTTATCAATGTATCCTTCTTGATGAGTGATGGTAAACTCTTCATACCTGGACCATCGATTTTGGTAATTACTTTATTGTTTTGAGCTTTAAATTTATTGACTTTATTAGCAATCTGGGCGGCTGATGCTGAACTTGTTTGATATTTACTCCGTATTTCTTCACCTTCATCTTTTAATTTATCAAACTCTTTTGATAAAGTAATTAGTTCTTCATTTAATTTATCGATTGATTCTTGTTGCTTTGATATCTCTTCTTCAGATACGTCCTTTGAAAGGTGATCTTGCAAATAATGCAATTTTCTTTCAAATTCTTCTTTACTTTCGTGTACTTTAGTTAAATCACTATCTATTCTAGTGAATTTCTTTTCTGCAAATCCAGCATCTTCATTTAATCTTCTTAATTTTCGATAACTATTCGCTATGGTAGTTTCATCTTCATCCAATTGAACTTGTCTTAATGTTTCCTTAGCTCTGAACTCTGGAACTGAAGTTTCATAAATATTCGACACGAAATCTTCAATTTGTGTAACTCTTGAATTCAACGATTCTGCTAATGCAGATTTATAACTTTTATAAGAAAAGTTGGTGAGTTCAACTTTGGTTGTTTTTGGAATGTCAAGGTTGGAATAATTGTTATTAATTTTTTTAATTAATTTATCGTCGGTAAAATTAATGGCTAATTGTTCATCAAATGATTTTAATAAATTATGAGGAATATTCAATTTTGACCATGATTTAAACCATTCATTCATTTGTTTCATACCTCCTCCATATTGCTCTAAGAAAAAGTCTGGCTCCTTGGTTTCGAATAAATTGAATCGATTAACAATAAATGTTTTAATCATTCTAAGATTCCATTTATATATGGCACTATTAGTGTCCTTTGTAAAACTAAAATTTGTAGTAGGTTGAGGGATTTGTAATCCAATATGTTGAAGTGAGAATACTGGAATGGGTATAAGAATAGGAGTTTCCACTGTTTCTGATCTTATCAATTCAATACTTGGACTACTGGCATCTAATTTTGCATCAAGAGAAAATATTAAATTGAATTTTGAATTCACGGTACCTAAAGACAGCATGTATTTATTGTATAACTGTTGTGAAGTGGCAAGATACAAACAAACCTTTGACTCCCCTTTACTACTCTTTTCATTGAAATTTGGTATGGATTTACCATCATCATATAATTTTGCACTGCTTAAATTTCGATAATTTAATTCTTTACCAATGATCACCCCTTCAACTAATTCTAATTCTTTGACACTTTGAGCTACTACCAATACATGAAATCCAGTTTCATGATTACATTTCTCAACCATCAAGTTTAACATCTTATCAAATAGTTGTAATTTACCTGACATACTAAGAAGTCTTTCATTTGTTTCCAGAAGTAACAATTTCTTAGGCATGAAATGATCAACCAATAATGATGGATGACTTTCAACTATCAGTAATTGATCCATGATTAATGATATTTTATCAAACGTATCACTTTCATGTTCAGCATTAGAACTACTATCAAGCAAACTATCAATACTAGTTCTACTTTTCTTGGCCCTTAACTCTTGTAAGATATCGGAACTGAAAGTTTGCAAGACCAATTCCATCAACTCCTTCTGGAGTCTAGTCAATGTGGTGGGCACGTAATATATCCCATTATTAGGATGTTCAACTCCTTCGCTTAAGTCAGCTGCCAAATTCAAATTCGTTACCTCATGATGATTAACTTGAGAACCATTACTATCTGCAAGATCCATGATAGTATCTGCTTCAATCTCCTTAGTGGAATAAATGGATGATGGAGGATCCCCCGAAAGTAGATCCATAAGATTCATCTTGCTATTATGGTTGATAATTGGTTGTCCAAATGGTTTCAATCTATATCTAATTATTCAAAACTAATCAAAGATGTAAAAATGTAAATATTTAAATTTGTACCTTTTTTTCGTTTCTTTTCTGTTTGACCAAAATTACGACGCAAAATTTATTTTTCTTTGGCTCATAGTTCGTTTCTTCTTTTCAAATTGCGTTTAACTGTATAATTACAAATGTATATATTAATTATTATTAATTCTACCCTATTATTTATCGCTTACCTTTTCTTTTAATTACTACATTAATACCGATATTACCCAAACTTTCCCATACGAGATCTTCGACTCTTTTAGGAAGCTTTCTACCATATAAACACTGATCAACTAACCACATACCAACTAAAAATTCTGGCTTGTTTAATGTACCATCTTTTCTAAAATCAACTAAATCCCATATTTCCTTTAAGGTTTCATCAGGTAATCTAGATCGACTCCAAATTCTCTTTACTACTAATCCATGGATAAGTTGATTTGGATCAGATACTTCTAATCCATGTAAATCTTCCGTAGTACTCAAGGAATCCAGCTTCGATGAAAGTCTAGCCGCAGTTAATGAAATTGCACCACTTGCAATAATTGAATCATCTTTAGATTCAGATGATTTAATATCAGTGGGATTTATTCCAACCATAGGTGTAACAACAGCATTCATATAACTCCCTCTATTACTAGCCCATAAACCTTCATATCGCTTTCTTTCTTGATCTGTGATTATGGTTAAAGCCTGATGATTCTTCCATGGCTTGTTTTCATTAAAAATAAGCTTTCTATCCTTTCTCTTATCTCTTTTTCTCATGGTTGATTTCATTCTCACAGGTTGATTTTGATGTGACAACTTTCCATAATCATAATCAGATTCAGCCCCCAGATCTCCAATAGTAACTCTACTATCATTGGCCACCATTTTGTATACCGTATTTGTAGATGGCCTTGGTTGTTCTATAGGCGTACGAGCACTAGTATTTGAATAAATACCTTCTCGACCTGGTGTTTCAACATGATAGCTTTCTCCATCAGTCCAATCTGAAGAACTAACGTTATACATAACATTATACAGTGTTGTAGATGAAGGATTTGAGTAAACATTTTCCGATTCATTATCATTATATGAACTTGTTGGAGCTAAATCATCAACTGAGATTCCTGGTGGTGGTTTTCTTTTTAATTTAGGTTTATTTACTTCTTCAACTGACCCTATATCTGTATTTTGAGAATTGACCGCAATCAATCTTGGTGAGGGCAATGAATTGCTCAAACTGTCCACACTACCTACAGCCAAAGTTCTTGCAAAAGCACTTGGTGACGGCGGTATCATAATAGGAGGTTGTTGTGGTTGTTGTAGAGTTTCTTCTTTATGAATGGTCTCGTTCTCAAGTGTACTATCTGCGTTGTCAGACTCTACTATAGGAGTAGAGTCTTGAATTTCCAAGTCCAGAACTGAAGTCGATACTGAAGCGGAAGAATTATTCCAATCTTCCTGATAAATAGGAGATCCATAAGTAGTTCTTGCAGCATCCATTGAGTCATCCTTTAAAACCGGAGTTGATATCCGTTTCAGTTCTATTCTTTCTCTAACTTCATGAATGGCAGAATTGTGTTTGTAAACACTATCAGATGAAGGTGAACTAATAAGAGGGTTCTTTGTAGATTTGGCACTAATGGCATCTTTAACATTCTTTATCATTGCTTTAGGTTCATATATGGCTGAAATTCTTCTTTGACTAGCATCCTTTGCTGTTGATCTTTCCTCTATTGACCTTTTAACATTATTTATCATATCTTGAGGTTTGACATTGTTGACCTTTTCTTTACGACTGCTACTACTCTTGGGTAATGAAAAATAATCAAATGAGGAGTTTAATGACTCTATATCTGATGAACTTTGAGTATCCACTGACCCCATTCGTGACTTTTGTACATATTCTGGAGTTCTTGGCAGTGTCAATGGAGACCTCAAAACCTTTTGAGGATTTATATCTGGAATAGTTAATTTGGGTATCGAACCTCTTGCATTTCGAGATGTGGTTCGTAGGACACTTGGTTGTTGTGGTTGTGAATGTCCCAACATTGACGTTGCTGCTGACAATGATGCCATTGTATTTGGTTTCTTGGGTGGGTCTTTATTGCTACTTGCTTTAAAAGCCGCCAATGCAGCAGCATGACTTGCTGCTGTAGTCCCTGACATATTTCAAATGGTTCTTAGACTCTTCAATCTATATATCTCTATATGCCATCTATCACTTTAATAGCAAGTAATTTGTTGAATTCTCTGTTGTTATGCTTAATCTTAATACTGGGCTGTACCTATTGCGATTTTAGAGTTACAGATTAAAAAAAATTGACTTCTCGCGTTAAACTGTCCCACCATAACCAAAAAAAAAGTTGATTGTCTATTCTATCTATACGAAAAAGGCTATACAAAATTTATAATTACTTTCTTTTACCTTTAGATGAGTTTACAAATCTACCTTTTCCAACCTTAACACCAGAAGCTTTAACAGAGGATGTGAAGGGAGACATGTAATTATCTGCACTTCCACCGCCAACCCATTCTTGTAAGACTTTTTCTTGTTGTCTTCTTTCCCATTCATCATTTTTAACTGCTTGAGCATATTCTTTTTGATCTTCTCTTAAAATCAATGGGTTTTGTAAAGATTTATGACGACTTTCTTTGTTATGTTGGAATCCACCATTTCCTTGTCTCCTTATTTGATTCTTGCTTAGTGGAGATGGGATACTGAATTTCTCACCTCTCTTTAACCATTGGAAATTAGCCTTTAAATGAGGAGTTATTCTACCAGTGACATTATCAATAGATACAGCACATCTTAATAAGGTGTTACCACCACATTTTGGACAGAAATGTTTTGGAGTACCATCTTTAGGAATAGGAGTTAATCTGAAACAAGCATGACATCTATACATATAATTACGAACTCTCTTGATTTGCTTACCAGACAATGGATTCATTAAATTAAGACCAATTTGCATAGCTACATTTTGACATGCAAAATCACCAGTAGCTAATGCCAACTTAATATATGGACCTGATTTTACTTTAGTACTTGATTCCAGAAGTTGTTCATGGGTATCTTTAAGCATTTCTTCGTATAAGTTTTCAGCTGAAATCCACTCACCGTCATCATCTTCATCATCATAATCTTCTTTTAATTCTGTATCGTTTATAGATTCTGAAGCTGATTCGTTTACTTGTTCCTTTGGTACATCTTCTGTTTCATTTTCTATCTTGTCTGAAATATTGTTATCTTCTGCTTCTTCTTGACTAGCTTCTTGTTGAGATTCTTCATCTAATGCTTTTTGTAATTCAGCTTCTCTCTTTTCTCTTTGTCTTTTACCACCTCTTCTACGTGGCTTCTTTGCTTTGGTTGTTTCTTCTGTAGGTATAGTTTCTGATCCGTCTTTTGATTCTTTTACTTCCTCTGTTTCAGTCTTTGAAACTTCCTTAACTTCTTCAGGTTTAACTTTAGGAACATTAGGATTTATAAAACTTATCTTTTCACCTGGAAATTTACGCAATCTCCAATCACCATTATTAAGTTCACATTCTAATTCGAATGCTAATGCAATAATATGTATATCATTTAATGATAATACTGAATAATCCCCAGTAAGTTTAGCAAAGGCATTAACTCTTTGAATAGATTCTGGTTTAGGATGTCTTACTTTTAAATTATCAGCCCATAACACTAATTGTTGTCTAGCATGTTCATCCTTTAATTCAGCATATACCCCTGGGGTAGTATAGAAAGTTTGAGCAAAATGTTGTAATGCAGATGCAGATTGAGTGATAAGTGGAGCAGCATCCAATACTAAAGTCCTTATCTTTGGACCAACTGGAGCCGTTGTAGTTGGTGTGACTTCTGCCATATTGTTTGGTTATTCTGATCTATATACAATAGCTTTGGATTGCAAATTTTTCAAATCTATGTCTGTTTAAATCAATATACATAAATTTTTTTCTACATAACTGAGATGGTTATTACACAAAAATTTTAATATGATGCGATCACGTGTATCATCACATGATTTTTCGAATATAATTAAACTGTGTATGATGATACACTTGAATACCTAGCAATGACAACTAAATAGTGATATTCTTATCCCATTAATAAGCGCTAGTAGAAAAGTAAAATATCTTTAGAAATTATTGAAATATTAAAAGTCTGAGCCTCTTGTATTTTAATTTCCGCATTGGGAAAGGTTATTATACGATAAATTCCGCTAACCATAACGCCTATAGGAATTTAGCAACTTTAAATAGAACAATTGAACTCCAACTTAAATTTTTAACCTTCAAAGTATATATATATATAGGTATTGATTCACCTTCAGTTTTATTTGCCTTGTAGATTTTGCATCAATATCATTTGAAAAAAATGACGCAACCCAAATTCATTTTACATTGGTATGTATAGCTTCAACAGTTGACAAAATGCTAACAAATACTAACATTGAAAAGGTTGTCTCAATCAAGAGCACATAGAATCGTATGGTTATTTGAAGAATTGGATTTGCCATACGAGTTAAAGATTTATAAGAGAACAAAGGAATATCGTTCTCCTCCAGAATTAATCAAATTACACCCATTAGGTAGATCACCCGTTCTTGAAATTATCGAGGATAACAAAAGCAAATATATTATTGAAAGTGGTCATATCATTCAATATTTAATTGAAAAATACGATAGAGACGGTAAGCTCGTACCAATCACAGATGATGAAAAAGAACAAGTTGGATTTTATTTGCACTTTGGAGAAGGTACTTTGCAACCTGATTTGGTTTCCCTTTTAGTTAATAATACAGCTAAACATAAGGCACCATGGGGATTTAAATTTTTAGCTAGCCAAATTACAAATGGGATCAATAAGGGATTTTACGAACCTCATTTGTTGACTAATTTAGATTTCTTAGAATCTAAAATTAAAGCTCAACATGAATTAGGAAGTAAATATTTCGTCGGGCATAAGCTTTCAGGAGCTGATTTAATATTGTTATTCCCGATATATGCTAATATCTTTAGTGATCCCAAAAGAGTACTGGAAATGTTCAAGGCTTCTAAACCAATTGAGAAGATATATCCTCATTTGTATCAATGGTCACAGGATATTATTAAAGAACCAAAATTGATTAAGGCAAATGAACTGATAAGCACGTACGACAAAGAGGCAAAGCTATAATTGAATAGGAGTCTATTTATATTTATATTTACGTATATATTGAACAATGAAATGATGAATCACCAAATGCTAGATGTAACTTTAAAGTTAAAGATTATCGGTGGCACATATCCGCGGTTTCTACACATAAATTCTATGCTTCGATCTAAGTAGGCTTTGTGGCGGATAACTTAATTCTATCGTAAATGTACAGATATACCTTGTGTTCACCAGTATATTTTTAATATATAAAGAAGATTCCCCACTTTATTAAGATACAGAATTAATTACTCTACAATTGACTTCAATACTACAATTGACATCACAATGGCGAATTCAAAACTTATTTTACACTGGTATGTATGTTTTAAAGCGCGAATACCAACAGACTTACTAACTTCTGAAATAGGTTAGCTCAATCAAGAGCACAAAGAATTGTTTGGTTATTGGAAGAATTGGAAGTTGAATATGATGTGAAAATATATCATAGAACTGCAGCTTATCGTGCTCCTCCCGAGTTGCTCAAGTTACATCCATTAGGTAGATCTCCTGTTCTTGAAGTCATTACTAATGGTAAAAGTAGATTTCTTGCTGAAAGTGGTCATATAATGCAATATTTGCTTGATAAATACGATACCCCTGGAAAGCTTACACCTGCTAATGAAGATGATAAAGAAGAAGTTGACTTCTACTTACATTACGCTGAGGGTAGTTTACAACCTGATTTAGTTGCACTTTTCGTTAACAATGTTTCAAAAAGAAGAGCTCCATGGGGATTTCAATATCTTACGGCTATGGTAGTTGGTGCACTCAACAAAGGTTATTACGAACCACATGCGTTAGCTAATTTGGACTTTTTAGAAACTAAACTTAAAGCTCAACATGAAGCGGGAAGTAAATATTTAGTGGGTCATAAACTCTCAGGAGCAGATATTATTTTATATTTCCCAATATATAGTGGTATTTTCAGCGACCCAGTAAGAGCAAAATCACAATTCAGTACAGTTGAATCAATTGCTGATCGTTTCCCTCACTTGTCTGAATGGTCGGAAGAAGTTGTTAACGAAGCAAAGCTTATTAAAGCCAATGAAGTGATAGCTGCCCATGACAAAGACGCAAAATTGTAAACAATAATATATTCTAATTCTTTATTAATATTAAAACTATTTGCTTATTATACATAGGTTCTGAAACACCGTTCTTCCAACTGTAGTTCGATAGATGATCTCTTGTTGAAGAGTGACGTTCGATTAGGTTTAGTAAATTTCATGAACAGATTAGTAAATATTACAAAACTCTTTCATAACTACTGAAACGAATCTGAAAGCGATTAATATACATATACATTGTACCTCTCGGTGTTATATATATTTCATTAGTGACCAAAACAACTATCAATATACTGGTAATTATAAAAATGTGATTCACCCAAAAAATTTTATGACCGAGAGTGACCCATATTGAATATTTTCGGTCATAATAAAATACTACTAGAACCATAAGGCCCTTAAAATTTGCATCCAATGTAAAGTTATTGTCTCTTTAAATAGTATATATATGAGTGGCAATTTCCATATTTGATGAGAAAGTTGTTAGTAATTAGACATCAATTCAATTCAATTGAGTAGAATAGAAATTAAAATCAAAATCGAATCCCAATGACAGCTTCAAAGCTTATTTTACATTGGTAAGTTTACGTCAAAATATAACCTTAATTAAATTATTAATACTAACGAATCTAATTAGGTTATCCCAATCAAGATCCCAAAGACTAGTATGGTTATTAGAAGAATTAGAAGTTGATTACGAGGTAAAAATTTACAACAGAATTGATGGAGTTTATTCACCACCAGAATTGGTTGCGTTGCATCCTTTAGGTAGATCACCAGTTCTTGAAATCATCACCAATGGTAAAACTAGATACCTTGCTGAAAGTGGTCATATCTTTCAATATTTGCTTGAAAACTTTGATCCAAAAAGAAAGCTTGCACCACTCAATGATGACGATAAGGAAGAACTTGGCTTCTATTTACATTTCGCTGAAGGTACATTGCAACCAGATTTAGTTTCACTTGTCATCCATTATATCACTACGACTAAAGTACCATGGGGATTTAGATTTCTTGTTAGTATGGTTTTAGGCGCCATTAATAAAGGATATTATGAACCCCATTTATTAGCTAGTTTGGATTTCTTAGAAGGTAAAATCAAAACGCAACATGAAGCAGGCAGTAAATACTTTTTAGGAGAAAAGGTTTCAGGAGCTGACATGATCTTATATTTTCCAATTTACTCTAATATCTTTAGCGATGCTGAGAGATCTAAATCGATATTTGCTACCATTCCTTCAGTATTTGATCGTTTCCCACACTTATTTCAATGGGCTCAAGAAATTGTTAAGGAACCAAAGCTCATTAGAGCCAATAAAAAGATTGCTGAACTTGACCCAACCACAAAGATTTGATTTATATATCTAGATAGATATTAACATAAAAAAATGCACGAACCTAATTTACTAAATAGTCTAAACCCCACGTATAGGTAGGAACCGATTTTGCCTAATTGGGCTTCTGTTAAATCCTTACGATTTAGTTCAACTTCCTCATTAAGCTCTGATTTTTCGCCTCCTATGTAGCCCCGCAAAAATTTTATATTTCCTAATTAGGCAATTCGCTTTTAGTAATTTTATAACTTTAGTATGTCTACTTAAGTCAAATTGTCATGAATTAAATTGATAAGGGGGTAGCAGATGGAAACATATAAATGGATAATGGAATCTGGATCTTGAACAAAGGAAGTGAACGAGTGTGTTTCAACTAAAGAAAGCAAAATTCTCGTTAAGAAAAGGCCATTATATAATATCCAGACAATACAACAATGTCACCAGCCGTTAACGAAGACAAGTTCATATTACATTGGTATGTATGCACCCCATGTTTTGAAATGAAACGATAGTGACTTGAAATTACTAACTCATTTCATTAGGCTTGATGAGTCCAGATCTCATAGAATATTATGGTTATTTGATCTTTTGGAATTAGACTATGAAGTTAAAGTATACCTTAGACATCCTGGAACTTGGAGAGGACCCAAAGAGTTATTCAATGCCCATCCAACAGGAAAAGCTCCTGTGGTTGATATTATTTTTGCTGATGGTAGAGAACCATTAACATTGGCTGAAACTGGGTTTATAATTCAATACATTTTAAAGAATTATGATCATAAGAAATTATTAACTCCAAAGGATGATAGAGATCAATTGAAAGTGGATTATTTCTTGCATTTTGCTGAAGGTTCATTGCAAGGACTTTGGATAACTCTACTTATAAATTCTATTGCTAAAGAAATAGCACCATTTGGATTAAAGAAAGTTACCAATTTAGTTTCAAAAGGATTAAATAATGGTTATTATATTCATGAATGGTATTTATTTATGGAATTTTTAGATAGAGAACTAGAAAAGGAAGGAACTGGATTCTTTGTGGGTGATAAATTAAGTGGAGCTGATGTTATAATGACATTTCCAATTTATGAAAATATATTTGATAATTTAGAAGGTGTGAAAGAAATTACTAGAGATAAAAGAGACTTGGTTAAAGCTTACCCTCATTTAGCAGCTTGGAGTAAAATGATTGGTCATAACGCTTCGTATCAGAAAGTGACTCGATATATGGAAGATAAAGTTGAAGAATTGATTGAATCAAACCCTCAATTCACTTATCAAGACAGACATTAGATATGTTCTTGCTGTAATTTTTAAATTTTCAAATTGTGTATTTTATGTATAGGTTTATACGTGTGATGAATGAATGTATACTATTTTTCGTTGCATTTCAACTTTATATAGAGATATCAAAAGGGAAGTTTTAGCCCGTCCTATTCAATTCACTTAATATATATTAGCTGTATTTCTCAAAACACTTGTAACAACAACTTGCTGAGAAATATATCAGAATGATATTGTGATTCGGATGTAAACATCTAAGCCATTAAACCCATTAAGACTCAGTCAAACTTTATTAAATTAGAATTCACCAAAAGCTCATACCCATTATTACTGTTGTGGTGGATTAATGAAGTTATTTATAAATTCAATTAGATCATAGATAAAAAAAAGTGTGTATGTACAGCGGGAGCGCAAATCAAAACTTGCGATAAACGGGGCAATCAGAAAAATGTTGCAGCCACACCTTTTTAAAATGAATTCACCCCTCCATATTGATTGACAAAGTAATAATAATCCGCTTTAAGCAATAATGTTCATAAGGAGGTTTGATCTGGATTAGTAATCTGTTAATGTATAAGTATAAGTGAGATTGTCATTTATTTTTCAAGTATTCAATTGATTTGATAATCTTTTTATTTTAATTATATTATTACCCATACCAAGACAGAAAATAACGAAATCCACAATGGCTCCAACTGTCGCAACTCCACAATCACAATCACAAGAAGAAATCGAACAAGTTGTTAGAAAATTAGCATCTTTAAAGCCAATCAGTAGAGGTAACTATACTGAGAAACATATTAAAGGTAATGGAATTGATGCTTTAGATCAATTACCTGAATCTGCTCGTAAGAGATTTGAAAGACATAATGTCGATTTATCAAAGGGATATCCTACTAAACCTCCATTTGATCAAATTCCAAAATTTGTCGATGAAGCTTTTCAAATTAGAGAGGAAGAATATCCATATATTGAAAGAGGTAAGAATGCTGATCCAGAAAAGAAAGCTTTATTCGGAGCTGCTAAGGATGTTATTCATTTAACTAAACATCTTGGTACTGAAATTGTTGGATTACAATTATCTGATTTAAATGATAAACAAAAGGATGAATTAGCTTTATTAATTGCTGAAAGAGTTGTTGTATTTTTCAGAGATCAAGATTTAAGTCCTCAAAAACAATTGGAATTAGGTCATTATTGGGGACAAGTTGAAGTTCATGCTCAAGCTCCAAGATTAGTTGATGGAATTTCAGTTATTTGGTCTGATTATAATAGAAATAATGGTTTACCATTATCTTTTAAAAATTCCAGAATTGGCAATTCTCAATGGCATACTGATTTAGTTCATGAGAAACAACCTGCTGGAATCACTCATTTACATAATGATACTATTCCAAAAGTTGGTGGTGATACTTTATGGGCATCTGGTTATGCCGCTTATGATAAATTATCTCCATCATTCCAAAAGTTTTTAGATGGTAAGACTGCTATTTACAGAAGTGCTCATCAATATATTGATCGTGAAAATCCATTAAAAGGTCCAAAATTTATTGAAAGAGAACATCCTATTATTAGAACTCACCCAGCTACTGGATGGAAATCACTTTATGTTAACAGATCCATGACAGTTAGAATTGTTGGATTAGAACCAGATGAATCAAAAGTTATCTTAGATTACTTATTTTCAATCTTTGAAAGGAATTTAGATATTCAAGTTAGATTCAATTGGGCTCCAACTAAAGAAGGATTTGGAACTTCAGCAATTTGGGATAATAGAATTTCTCAACATAATGCTGTCTGGGATCATGAAGGCTTAGAAGCAAGACATGGTACGAGAGTTACATCCTTAGCTGAAATTCCATACTTTGATCCTGAATCCAAATCTCAAAGAGAATCATTAGGATTATCTTTGAATTAGTTAGAAATGGTGTAGATATAAGACGTACAAGCATGTTTTATCGCATATTATTTTTAAAAGATATAAAAAGAATTACATTATTATTTAAAATTAAAACCAAAAAAATATATCAAGTGCTTTTTAATCATCTTGAGTAGTGATCAATGTAACTTCAATTATAATTGTAATTAGATATATATATCGATTCGTAACTGATTCTGTGTACGTGAAAACAGCCCATGACACAAAGAAATGCGCTTCTTTAAATTTGCATCAAAAAATTTCGAAATACAACTGCGATAACGTCAATTTTGATAAAGCCACAGAAATCAAGTAAAATCAATCAAAATCAAACTGGGCCCCCTGCAAGCTATAACAATGATTTCTAAGACCTGAGTTGTCATGACCTTTACCGCTCGCTCCTGATATCCTGCCGAGTATCCTTCTTATCCATTACACTAAATTATTATGAATAAATTGTACAAGCATTATCAGGAATTTGTATGGATTATCCCGACAAATTATTATATGTGGCTTTCTCTCATGCTCTCCCCCTCTCCACATTTTATATATATAACAATTTTTAATTATTATTCAATTGATATAATTAATAAGCAAGGGTTATATTAGGTAAGTTCCGATAAGTTTGATTTTTCAATTGTCGGTATTATTTTGAAATATTATAAATAGGTTTTAATAATTCTTTCATTCTTCTGTTGTTTCTTTTCAATTTACTAGATATATACTAGATATATCATTACCACAATAATGTCACCATCTGCAGCAACTACCAAAGCTACTCCTACAACGGAGCAAGAATTAGAAAATACTATTCAAAAATTAGCCTCTTTAAAACCAATTGGCCATTCATCATTCAAAGGTGATGTTAAAGTTGGATATTCTGGATCTTGGATTGAAGGATTGCCAGAAGCTACTAAGGCTAGATATGCTAGACATGGAGTTGATATAAGTAAAGGATATCCTTATATTCCTGAAAATGACAAGATTCCAAAATTTGTCGATGAAGCATATAAAATTAGAGAACAAGATTATCCATATATTGAAAGAGGTAAGAATGCTGATCCAGAAAAGAAAGCTTTATTCGGAGCTGCTAAGGATGTTATTCATTTAACTAAACATATTGGTACTGAAATTGTTGGATTACAATTATCTGATTTAAATGATAAACAAAAGGATGAATTAGCTTTATTAATTGCTGAAAGAGTTGTTGTATTTTTCAGAGATCAAGATTTAAGTCCTCAAAAACAATTGGAATTAGGTCATTATTGGGGACAAGTTGAAGTTCATCCTCAAGTTCCAAGAATTAATGAAGAATTAGATGGAATTTCTGTTATTTGGCAAGATTATTTCCGTGAAAAATATGGTTTAGGGTTAACTTTTAAGAAAGCTATTGGAGGTAATTCTCAATGGCATACTGATTTAGTTCATGAACATCAACCAGCAGGTATCACTCATTTACATAATGATACTATTCCAAAAGTTGGTGGTGATACTTTATGGGCATCTGGTTATGCCGCTTATGATAAATTATCTCCATCATTCCAAAAGTTTTTAGATGGTAAGACCGCTATTTACAGAAGTGCTCATCAATATATTGATCGTGAAAATCCATTAAAAGGTCCAAAATATATTGAAAGAGAACATCCTATCGTTAGAACTCATCCTGCTACTGGTTGGAAATCACTCTATGTTAATCGTTCAATGACACTTAGAATTGTTGGACTAGAACCAGATGAATCAAAAGTTATCTTAGATTATTTATACTCTGTCTATGAAAAGAATTTAGATATTCAAGTTAGATTCAATTGGAAACCATCCAAGGAAGGATTAGGTACATCTGCATTATGGGATAATAGAATTTCTCAACATTTTGCAGTTTGGGATCATGAGGGTTTAGATGCAAGACATGGAACTAGAGTTACATCCTTAGCTGAAATTCCAAATTTTGATCCTGAATCTAAATCTCAAAGAGAATCATTAGGATTATCTTTGAATTAGGAATAGATATTTTATTTAGTTAAAAAGAATATAAGAAAAAAATTTGATATTTTTAAATTGTTATTGTTTTTAAATTGATTTTGGAACATATTGTAAGAAAAATATAAAAATCTCAGCGGGTAATTTTAGGAGAATTAAGAAACAGGTGTAAAAAATGCTTATAATGTAGTTGTCAAGTAGGATTGGTGAGTAATGGGGATGATACATTCTATGTAGCATGCTAAACTCCATCTGTACTATCAAAATTGTTCTATAAGGTACACTCTTGAGTCAAGTGAAATTTAGGTTTCAAATGGATACCCCACTTGAATATGGTAAAAAAGGACACCCACACCGCAATATTTATAGAGAAAATTCAGTGACCCCCACCCACCCATATATATATATATAATATACGAATAATAATGAATAATATATCTTTAATAGGTAACTATTGAGATATGGTACATATTAGTCATATACTAATAGATATAATTTCAGGTTATTATTAGGTTAACTAAAAATAGTAAATAAAAACACAACAACAAAAAGATTAAGAAAAAGAAGAGACGACAGTTAAACTGAATTTGACTATGAGAATGAGGCAGGTAGGAGAGGAGATCAGATAAAATTAATTATTGATTATATATATAGATACCGAATATTAGTTTATATCGTCATTTATATGTATTTTTAGGTATTACATAGAAGTAGACGAAGACATGGATGTATTATCAATGCTTTTAAAACATAATAAATAACCAAAAAGGAGGGATGAATCAGTGGGTTGTCAATTAAGTCAAGTTGATTATAAAGTTGGATTTGATTTGATTTGATTTGTGTAATTAATTTTATATAGATATATTGCCGTATGCTATAGTAAATTAACGAGTCGGATGTAGATTATAGTGAGAATAGCGATAATGATAGTAGTGCATATAAGAGGATAACTACCATATAACGCTTCCTTTTATGAATACTCCATGTTTTGCTTCATCAAGATCATTGTGTCTAAACCAAATAGGTATAGTGTTCGACCATGTACTTTCTATTAGTGTCGGCAATGCCTCTATGTTCAAATTTATACTTCCTAAAAGTCTCTGTTCAAAATATGAATTGCCTGATAATTCATAACTGAATGTTCCTTTAACTTCAATATAACAATCTGATACAATAGCATCAATACCATTCTCATCCAAAGTCCTATTTGTTTCTGGTTGTAACAATAATGACTCGCTGAATGTTATAAACAGCTCAGCTTGAGTTATATTTACTACTGAGGCTTGAGCAAATATAGCTATGATTAAAAATATTATTATCTCTTATAAACGTTAGATAGAAAAAAAAGTTGAATGGGTTCAATGATTGGATAGAAAGTGACTTGTATTCTGATAAAGTACAGTAAAACATACAAGAGAGGATTTCAGAGTTAATATGTAGTGAATTAGTGAAAGGGATAACTATCTAGATGTGACAAGTCGGATGTAGATTATAGTGGTGCATATAATACGACTGACAATACCGTCTACACATATATATATAACTGCTTTAATCATTATATGTAGATCAACAAAAGATCACTAGTGTGATCTTAATAGTCATAATTAATGTGACAATCTACAACTCTGACGTCTTAGTCAATCCATGTCTGTTTGTCCCGCCTTCCCTCGTACTACTCCTTTATAGTCTAGATCTACACTTTAAAATTAAAAATTCCTCTTTCAGTTTTGTTTTGTGGTTTGGACAAAAAAAAAAAGTGATCTGTCTCTTAAATGTGTGAGTGTGAGAGAGTGTCTATTTTTGTTCAGTTAGTCTCACTCACTCAGCTTTTTTTTTTTTTTTTTCTTTCTTTCAGACGACAACATTTTCATCCAATCAGTTTTACAACACTTTTACTTTTTAAACATTTAATCCATCAATCCATCCCATCACTTTAGTTAATCCATCCAATCAATCCATCAGATTCAATCATCACACCATCTGACCACAGCCTTATTGATTGATTTATCCTACTCTTAACTCATTCCCCCCTCCCATTCCATTCCCATCAATTAATCAATTCATTCATCCAATTGATATCAAGTGCAGCTTTTAATTTCAATCGCTACTTTTTAATCAACCATAATACATTAACCACATCATTCATCTTCCCATTCATCAACTCATACCATCTCATCTCATCTCATCCCATATTGAATCCACGCCTCCTGTCCTCTTATTCCATCTTTTTCATAACTATTAAATCATTCCCTCCATTTCCCTTTCATCCTTTGTCATTATCAGCATTTCATTTTTAACCGTTTAATTTGTTCATTCCTATTTCCAAATATTCAAATCACCCCTAATTCAATAGTAATATCAAATCTAATTTCAATATGAGTAGAGCCCAAATATCATCAAATCCTGCCGCTTTGGCTGCTGCCGTTGCTTCTCATCAACCTTCAACTTCAAATAATAATATAGCTTCAACTACCAGTAATAATAATACCGCCACCAATATCAATAATAATCAAAATTCAAATTCAAATTCAAATTCAAATAATAATTCAGTAGTTGGTTTACATTATAAAATTGGTAAAAAAATTGGTGAAGGTTCATTTGGGGTTATATTTGAAGGTACAAATATAATAAATAGTGTTCCAGTTGCTATTAAATTTGAACCAAGAAAAACTGAAGCTCCTCAATTAAGAGATGAATATAGAACTTATAAACATTTACAAGGTTGTGAAGGTATACCAAATGCTTATTATTTTGGTCAAGAAGGTTTACATAATATTTTAGTTATTGATTTATTAGGTCCATCATTAGAAGATTTATTTGATTGGTGTGGTCGTCGATTTTCAGTTAAAACAGTGGTACAAATTGCCATTCAAATGTTAACTCTTGTTGAAGATGTTCATCGTCATGATTTAATTTATCGTGATATTAAACCCGATAATTTTTTAATTGGTAGACAAGGTTTACCTGATGAAAATCATGTTCATTTAATTGATTTTGGTATGGCAAAACAATATAGAGATCCAAGAACTAAACAACATATTCCTTATCGTGAAAAAAAATCTTTAAGTGGTACTGCAAGATATATGTCAATTAATACTCATTTAGGTAGAGAACAACTGAGAAGAGATGATTTAGAAGCTTTAGGTCATGTTTTCTTTTATTTTTTAAGAGGTCAATTACCATGGCAAGGTTTAAAAGCTCCAACTAATAAACAAAAATATGAAAAAATTGGGGATAAAAAGAGAACAACTCCAGCAATTGCATTATGTGATGGATTACCAAGACAATTTGCTGAATATTTAGATTCAGTTAGAAGTTTACCATTTGATGCTGAACCTGCTTATGAAGAATATAGAATGTTATTAGTTTCTGTATTAGATGATTTAGGTCAATCATGTGATGATGATTATGATTGGTTACATCTTAATGGTGGAAAAGGTTGGGATGCATCAATAAATAAAAAACCAAATTTACATGGTTATGGTCATCCAAATCCTCCTAATGAAAGAGAAAGAAGACATAGAGATCAAAGAAGATCAAGACAACATCAAACTCAACAACAAGCTCAACAACAACAATTACAACAACAACAACAAGCTCAACAACAACAAGTTCAACAACAAAATGGTGGACTTAATTCTCAACAACAATTACAACAACAATTACCTGGTCAACAACAATTATCAGCCGCTCAATTACATCAACAAAAATTACAACATTTGGTTAATAGACCTTTACCACCTATTAAACAAGAAAGTCAAAATAATGGAGGATTAGGTAATAATGTATATAATTCTCATGATGGAGAAATTTTTAATTCAAATCAAGCTATTAAAAATCAACCAAATTATGATAATTCACCAATTCAAGATCCTTATGAACAACGTAGAATGAATGGATATGAAGAAAATAAAGGATTTTGGGCAAAATTATGTTGTCAATAGGAAAAAAAAACCTTTTATGTCAATGTTCAAAACCTTTTAAATTCAATTCTACTAGAGTGATTGAATGAACGTTATATTCACTCATCTTTCATTCCCTTTCATGAGTTAAAATATCTCCGTTTTTAATTCCACTATTTTTAAATTTTATTTGTATACATTTTTTATATTTTATATTTACATTATCTTATACTTTTATCATTATACTTTTTTTTATATATATTACTATTATTAATATTTTCTGCTAATAACATTGGTTATTATCATTATATAGTCATTGCCGTCTCCCAAAAATATATACAATTTTATTTATAATTATTAATAACAATTTTATATTTGAAGTATAGACACACATACATACATATAGGAAAGAAGAGAAACTCATTTCAACCAGTGAAATGATCAATCATAGAAAGAAAGAAAGAAATAGAGTAGGAGGAGTTTATTTGAAAGAATCAAATCTTTGATGTTTTTTAAGAGCTTTAGCCCATTCTTCAGGTGAAACTTCCATCTCCTTATAAGTCTTTGTCACATACGCTTCAATTTCTTTCAATTGATTCATAACGTCATCCTTTTGGAATTTCCCATTATCATCACGACTGGTATTATTTAAAATATCTAATTTTTGTTTAATTAATTCCACACGATAATCAATCCATTGATTATAAAAATCATGAAATCTGGAACCGAAATTTAATTCTGGCTTGACGGTGGATAATACAGAGGTATCCTTTTTAACCGGATCCTTAGCACGATAAGATGTAACCATCGTGATACGTTCTGTCATTCCAATTGGGGATTTAGCAATATGTTCAATCATACGACCTTGTAAAATAGCAGCGGAACCTAATTTTGGACCTGGAACAACAGCAATTTCACCAGTACCGGTTTTTAAACCAGTTTCACCTCCAATCATATTAGTGGTATCAGATAACATCAATACACATACAAAAGGATAAGAATCACGATGCCATCCTACAACAGCTGGCATATCTTCAGTGTTTTTGGTTACTTTATTATTAGCGTTATAAATAGCCAATTCTTTTTCAACCATAGCATCATTTTTAATAGCGATATTAACATGAGCAATTTCATAATCCATAATGATTTCTAAGTCAACTCCAGCTTTCTTATTGATTAATTCCATAGTCTTTGGATGAGACCAAGCTTTATAAATGAAAGGGGTAGAGATTTTATCATCATTTTTAACATACCCTCTTAAAACACAATCCATTCCTGACGTTGAACTATAACTATATCTTGCAAAATTCATAAAGATTTCTTTATTTAAAATCTCTTGTCTCATGATTTCAACAGCTTCTTCCGTAAATAATGGGAATGGATCACTAACTCCAGTTTCGGAAATTTGATCAGGTTGAGATAATCCCAATTGTTCCATTGAGATGGTCTTTGTAGCATCATAATCTGATTTAGCATTAGGATAAGCTTGAGTATTGTAATAACTTAAATGTTTGTATGGATCAAATTCAATAGCATCAGTGGAAGTCAAGTTTGTTTTGGAAAGAATTGAAGCATAAGTTTTTGAAATATTATCATCATAGACTGATTCAGGTAATCTGAAAGCAGTGTTATTATCATGAATTGATTCAAGTAATTTAGCAGTAGCCATAGTGAGAAATATATAAAAGTGTTTATACGAAGAGTGTATTTGATTTAAGATCGTCGATGACAGAGTAAAGGTATATGATTAAGATTTAAAAATAACATTACAATTCTACCTATATATAATAATTAATCGATTACTGATGACAACGTGAATGTAGACTGTAAATATGTTATCTATGAATTTTTAAAATGTTAATATAGGTGCCGCCGCCTTTTATGACCTAAAATGAGAATTTATTCCATAATTCTGCGTATTCCGCCTGGCTTTAAATTTGACATATATTTACAGTTCATATAATAGAATGGGAACATGGTATGGCACCTTTCGGAATAATTACGCTTTTAATGAGTAAAAGCGGAGGGACTGATCTTATATGATCAGACAATAATTGCATTGAGTAAGGATAGATGAAACAGTTAATTAGTAACTAATTAAGGCATATTAACTCAAAGGTTTATATGGAAGAGAAGAGCACACATATGGCGGAATTGTCCACTTTAGTTCCTATTTGTGTATGTTTGTTTATGTGTCTGCCCCCATTCCATTCCATTCGATGTAGTATGATTTGGTGGAGGACACACTCAGATTAAATGGATACTTTTCCTATATAAAGTTATACGATAACCGTTATAATCTTATCATAATAGTGTAAGACCTCCTGAACTGTTTGTCTGTTCCTGTTGCTTCTAGACTTCAATTCTCTTATCTATAAAACAACATTCACTCATTCTAAAGCCTCATTGTTACTCCTTTTTTTTTGTTGCGAAAGATTTGTTTATACTTAATTAGTATATAAAATACACTAACTATTAGTGGTAGTTGTAGCAGATGATATCTATAAACTGATGTATTGTGACAACTATAACCAACCTGTATCGGTTTCTAAGATCTATCCAACCAATCAAGCTGATCCACTTCATCAATTATATGTTTAATTATATAATTACAAGTAAAGTACTATATAATTGTCTTAATCTCTTTTTGTATTTATTTTGTCTTAAAACGGTAAACGGAAACTTAACATCCACACCGCAGTACTTAACCTCGTTACGGGTCGGATCTTACTTTATTAGGAGAATTTAACGAAAACTGAAATTGAAAAATTGTAATTGTTGATTAGATTAGGTACTATAGATGTATGCATTCATTCATTTAGGGTTGTAATTACGATGTCCGAAACTAATAATAATCATAATAGTCATCAAGAAGCTATAATTGCTAATCTTAAACAATTTGATTCTGAATTTGCTTCAAAATATGATTTACAAGAAACAACCACTGTTTTATCATTATTATTTTCGAAAACATTATTAGAATTTAATCCTTTAAATTTAACTAGAAAGACTATAGATGAATCTGAACCAGTATTAGGTGATCCTACCCTACCAAATAATGGTTTCACATTGGACAATACTTTACCTCCCATTAATACATTTTCAACCAAATTTCCTCATTCGATATTTAAACCAGGAATGAAATTATTAGATTTTGCTTGTGGTACTGGAATAGTTACAACTAAATTAATTCCTTATTTAATTGATGAAAAACATACCACCCTAATTACTGAAGTAGTTGGAATTGATGTTAATGAAGCATTTTTAAATAAATTTAATGAAAAATTTATTCATTTGAACCAAGAACAAATCACCATTAATTCATATATTTATGATATTCTTAATCCTAAATTTGAATCTGAATTGAGGAAGTTTAATCATAAATTTGATGCTATTATTTGTACGATTTCTTATCATCATCTTGATAATTATCGAGATGTTACTAAGAAATTAGTTGAATTCCTAACTCCAGGAGGTTGGATCTTCATTATTGATTTTTATAATGAAGATGTAGACCATATAAATACAAAATCATCAACTGCAAATCAAGCAGTAAGACATATGGGAGGATTGAAATTATCATCATTAAATGAAACCTTAGGAGATTATTGTCAATTACATAATGTTTCAAGTGCAAGAGAATTTAAAAGTTATATTTGGCAACCTAGTAGATTCATTCATGATCATTGTCCTCAATCTATCATTGATAAATATCATAAAGGGGAATTACCATCTAAATTGAATGAATCTAATGACGAATTATTTTGTATTGAAAGTAGTATAGTCATGGCGGTTGGTCAAAAGGGGAAGTAGTCATCATCATTATTTTTAGTATTGATATTTTAAAAAGTTATTTACATTCATGTTATTTTAAGTAAATTAATGTAGATTGTAGTAATTAGTGTATAATCTGGGGTATATTAATCTGGAGATATTTGTTTGTCGTGTGCAAAATCATTATCAAGTCGTGTACTTTATGCCAAAAAAGAAGTTTCTTTTTAATTCGAATTCAAAACCTCAAAAGTTTTGGGAAATTAATAAATATTTATTACCCTTGAAATACATATCTAATAGCAGTTTGCTTACAACTATCAAATATACATATCAAATATCATATCATAGCATAGAATACGCATACCATAGTATCTACTTATCAAATCTATTTTAATCCATATTGCATCGTTTGAGATTTTCTATTTATCTTTCTTCCCCCTTTATTACTGCTCCTCCTCACTTTTCTGTTTTTGGGTTGGTTTCGTCTAATACATCACACATCATCATTATCTATCTACAATCATAATGGCATCAAGACAATCACAAAAGAGATTAACTAAAGAATATAAATCGATACAAGTCAATCCACCTCCTTATATCATTGCTAAACCTAATGAAGAAAATATCTTAGAATGGCATTATGTAATAACTGGTCCTCCAAATACTCCCTTTGAATTAGGTCAATATCATGGTATATTAAGATTCCCTACTGAATATCCATTTAAACCTCCATCGATTTCAATCATTACTCCTAATGGTAGATTTGCTTGTAATACCAGATTATGTCTTTCGATGAGTGATTATCATCCTGATACTTGGAATCCTGCTTGGAGTGTGGCAACCATTTTAACCGGATTATTAAGTTTTATGACGGGTGATGAATCTACTACTGGATCCATCGTTACAAGTGTTGGTGTAAAGAAGAAGTTGGCTAGAGATAGTAAGAAATGGAATCTTAATGAAAATCCCAGATTTAAAAAGTTATTTCCTGATTTAGTGATTGAAAATAATCAATTCATAAAACAACAAGAACAATTACAAAAACAAAATGAACATAATCATGATACTTCTAAAAGCTCAATTGCTGATGATGAAAAACCAATCAATATTCTTGATAATATTGATCGTTTGGATCCAGAAGATAGAGCAAGATTATTAGTGGAAGCAAATAATATTAATGCTGCTAATGTAGCTGTTAATGGAGTTGCTCCAGGAGTAGGTGTTCAAAATAGTTTTGGTATCACCATTGTTGGAGTGGTAGTTGCTGCATTCTTAGCTGCCTATTTCAGTCTTATTAAAAGAGGTTGATCCAACTCATTTTATGTGTTTTTATTGTTTATTAGTTTGATATTTCCTTTGGAGGGTAATTCTTATTCATCTACCTGTCTATCTTGTTCAATTCTGGTCTTGTTATGATATTATACGTTTATTATAGTTCTTTTTCAACTCTACATTTTTCTTTTCTTTTTTTTGGTTATGGTTATAGGATTTGCAAATAAATGCTTCAGTTTTTTCCGTTCCTTAAAATAATTTGTAGTAAAGTTTAGTGTCTTCTTTAATCTAAGAAAATTCTATAGTATTCTTGACATCATCGCGTCGAAGTTATTATCACTACTTTGATCATTTTATATTATAACCAGCTGAATTCAACCATACTTTCATATCAGATTTGGGGTCTACTAAGATAACACATAAACTTGCAATCTATTGAACATTAGACTCTTACTTGAGCTATATTGTCTTGTCCATTAAATCACTCAAATTTTCCGCGTATAAATTTTTGAAGTGCAATAATACTCAACGAAACATGCTACCAGTTTAGAGAAAGCTTTTATCATTTAGATATACGGTTGCAAACCAATCACTTATCATGATTAGTAATATCTTGATTAGGTAGATACTTGGAACTCGGTTTTATTATTTTAACTCATGCATCCTAATTTAGATGCTACCAATTTGTCATATTATCTTATGTTTAGATCCAATTCTGAAATATGAATTATTATTATTAGTAATCTCTATGTTGTTTAATTTAGATTCATTTGTAAAATGGGGCTGAATTTTTGATCTTTGTATTGTCAGATTGGTAATAATTGTCATCAATCATAAAAATTTATTGCAAAACGAAAAAATCGATGAGTCAAAATCCAAATCAATTTCTCGCTCGGATTTAGTAAGGAAATTGCGGAGAATACGGTAGCGCACACAAGGTAGCGCAGACAAGGTAGCGTACTTAAGGTAGCGCAGACAAGGTAGCGCTCTCAAGGTAGCGCACCAATGTATGTTTTAAAAATATTTTGTGTATAAATGACATGCTATATCCATTGGAACGATATTATTCTTTTGATAAAACACAACAACAACATAACAACAAAACAACATAAATATACAATATAAACATTAAACAATGTCATTAGTATACGATAAATTCATTTTATTTGGGGATTCATTAACTGAATTCGGTACTGGAAAGGGTACGGACTTTTCATTTCAAGGTGAACTTCAAGATAATTATATGAGAAAGCTCGATGTTGAAAACAGATCTTTTGCAGGGTATAATACCAGACATGCACGTCTTTTACTTCCTGAAATATTGAATGCTGATATTGGAGCTTCAAAGATAAAACTTATGACGATGTATTTTGGATGTAATGACGCGTCTAAAATGTACTATGTTCCCGTTGAAGAGTATGAAGAAAACATTGAATATTTAGCTAATGAAATACTTAAAAGAGATATCAAATTAATTATCATTGGTACTGGATTTCACGATCAGGAATTATTTAGAAATATCCCTGATATTCCATATCATGGTCCCGTGAACTCGAATAAACAAACGAAAGTTTATTCTGAAGCTGCAAAAAGAGTGGCATCCAAGCTCCAAGTTCCATTTGTTGATTTATGGGAAGCATTTAGACAATTTGGTAATTGGACGGAAAAACAATTACTTGCTGATGAAGTTGATTTAAGTGAGTTGTTGATCGATGGAATTCATTTTAAAGCTCAAGCTTATAGAATTTTTTATAAAGAAGTTAAAAATGCTATTGATACTGGACTTCCTGAAGTTGCACCGGCTGCTTTACCTAAAAAGCTTCCAGAATGGAATGACAATGATATAGAAAAAGTGAGACAAGCTCTTGCTGATCTTGCAAAGTAAGTCATTATCATTGCTAAACTTTTTTTTGAGTACTTTCTGGCTATGTTTTAACAGCTATTCCCAATTTTAGTAATTTCTCTCAAGTATCTGATCATATTGTTCCCTTGAGGTGATTAAGATATATAATTTTCCTTATTTACTATATAATGACTCTGAAATACAATGTCTGTTAGTTATTATAATACAAGAATTTATTAGTTTACAATAATTTATTTGTAGTGTATAATTTATCCTAAAACTATAATAAATATCCATTGCCTTCGCTTTGTGATTATAATGCCGGGCTGCCGATATTGCGAAATGACCCAAATCATTACTTGTCAATAGTTATCATTATCAAAATTCTAACATTGGCCCATTAATCTGTTTTGTACTTTTAGTATTTTACGAATTTATCATTTTTGTGGTGTTTCTAAAAATAGCAGTTTTCATTTTTTTTAACAATCAAGAGCTTTCAAAGCCCAATATCTTTTTATTATATGAATCATTGATTAGAGTGAGGCTTACCTCGCAATATCAGGCTTGATTGACACGAAAGGAGGTGTTTCACGAAGTGTTGGGAAGTAGAGTTCATTGATAATGATATGAGTGTTTGACAACGTGTAGTAAGTAAAATAGAGTTGTAATTGTAATTAATAGAGTAGAGAACGAAAGGAACTCTACACGAATAGATAGTGGATGTGATACAGAACAATAAGGGACTGGTAGTAATGGTTTAGAGGGTAATGTTACTAACTAATCTCCTGATATAGTTATTGCATCAAGATTTATTTTATAGAAGTAATCATAGTAAGATAGTAGAATTTAGGGTCATGCTGCAAGCTGTTGCCTTGTTGCTAAATATCGGTATTTAGTTGCAAGTTAGAATTATTTACCATTCTTTATGATTAATAGGCTTTTCATAGAATTTATAAAGATGATTATATGAAGTTTATCAAACTAGTTGTGGTTAAAGTAGTATACCATACGCGTGTCTGATGGGCTGGATTCATTGTTATAAGTTGACAGAATCAACCAAGTAAAAACCATATACAACAGCGCTTACTTCCTTAAACCAATCAAACGTTCTCCCATCCCACCACTCCTGTCAACGTCATCATACGCCATCAAGCAACGGTGGTGTCAGTAATTACATCTATATTAACTAAGATATTAAAGCCACTGTTGTTGTAGAATGAGACACGACTTTTTCTCTTTTATATTTATTTACATTTTAAGTCAAAGAGAGAGGGTCTGTTTCTGCAGTTTCTTTTTTTTTCTGTTGACCTCCAAAAAATTTCTTTTGTTTTTAAATTTTTTTTACAGCACTGGAAGGAGAAAGAAAGATCGTGTTGACTTGAAATTATAAACCTTTCATCCCTTCATTTATCATCTACTCCAATCTCTATCTCTTACCATAATCATCACCTCCACCATCATCATCACTACCACCTCCACCCTCACTTGTCATCCATCTTAGAAGCCAGTGTTTATAGAACAAAAATAGTGAAAAAAAGCAACGACAACGTCCACCTACCCAACCCACACATTCTCAAAATTGCAGATCTCTCGTTATACATACTTAATCCACCAAATTCATCAGTGATCTCATAACTTGGTTCACATCCCATTAGTCATATTCATCCTCCCTTCCCCTTGCATCTTATTCATCATGAGTAATCCAAATCATCCATATCGTCAAAGAGTTGTCTCACCTCCCAATTCAGCGCCATATCCAATTAATGAAATTGATTATAATAACAATAATAACAATGGAAGTAATTCTGCTGTAAATTCAAATTCAACTTTACCAAGACATAACGGTTCATCTGCTTCATTAGGTAAAGGTGTCGGAAGTCATAATGGATCTCAGGTTTCAATTAATAAAAATCGTTCACCTGTAGCTCCAGAATCAGGTTCAACTTTATATCAAACTCCAATTGGAAGTCAACAAAATTCTCCTCAACATCAACAATTCAATCATAATATTTTACAAGCTCCTCCATTGAATAATATTGCTCCAAATGGTCCAATTTTGAAATCTCCTACTATAAATGCCATAAATAATCCTCCTTATCCTTATGAAGCTCAAACTCCACCTCCTGTTTTTGCCCCTACCAGAGATAGTAATCCACATATGGTTACTTCTCCTCAATCAATTCCACTTTCTGCTACTTCTTCAGTAACAAATTTGAATTTAAGTCATCAAGGTAATCAATCTGTTGATCAACAGTTACATCTCCAACATCTCCAACAACCACAACAACAACAACCATTAGCATCTGCATCTACAACTACTTCAACTCAACAACAACAACAAGCCATTTATTCAAAATCTGAGAATAACTTACTTACTCCTCCATCAAAATATATTCATTCAAGATCAATTTCATCTAGTTCATCATTCTTTTATGATCGTAATGATAATGCTAGTATGATTGATTTTAGTCAAAATATAATTCAACAACATTTAGGAAGTAATTCAACTCAATTATTACCTAGAATTAAAACTATTGAATTATATCGTAAAAATGCTAAAAAATCAAATGATCCAACTGTCTTATTTCAATATGCCCAATATATGCTTCAAACTGCTTTATTATTAGATTCAGAAAGTTTAAATCCTCAAGCTACTGCCACCAATGCTAATAATAGTAGTAGTAATGCATCATCATTTAATACTCCAACTCAATCGATTGAAAATTCCCCCAAGAAAAATCTGCCATTTGGAAAAGATCATAATGGATCTCTTTTATCATTACCAGGTCAACATAAGAAATCAAGATCAGCCAATTCAATTGATGCTCTTGGTAATGAAGGTAATGGTGAAAAAATGGATGATAAAAAATTAAAAAGATCATTATTAAAAGAAGCTGTGTTTTATTTAAGAAAATTATCGGATAAAGGTTATGTTGAAGCTCAATATCTTTTAGCAGATGCTTATAGTTCAGGTGCATTAGGTAGGATTGAAAATAGAGAAGCATTTGTATTATTTCAAGCTGCTGCCAAACATAGTCATATTGAATCTGCATATAGAACTTCATATTGTTATGAAGAAGGATTAGGAACTGGTAGAGATGCTAGAAAAGCCGTTGATTATCTTAAAATGGCTGCTTCTAAAAATCATGCTGCTGCCATGTATAAATTAGGGATTTATTCATTTTATGGTAGAATGGGTTTACCTCATGATATTGCCACCAAAAAGCTTGGTATTAAATGGTTAGAAAGAGCATCAAATGTAGCTAATGAATTAACGGCAGCTGCACCATTTGAATTAGGAAAGATTTTTTATAATGGTTTTCAAGATATTGTTATTCCTGATCAAAAATATGCATTAGAATTATATTCTCAAGCTGCTGCCTTAGGTCATGTTGAAGCCGCTGCGATTTTAGGTCAATGTTATGAACACGGAGAAATTGTTAATCAAGATAATGATTTATCGATTCATTATTATACACAAGCTGCTTTAGGAGGAGATCCTGAATCAATGTTAGCTATGTGTGCGTGGTATCTTGTTGGTAGTGAACCATTTTTACCTAAAGATGATAATGAAGCCTTTGAATGGGCTAGAAGAGCTGCCTTATGTAATTTACCCAAAGCTCAATTTGCATTAGCTAATTTTTATGATAAAGGAATTGGATGTATTAAAAATTCTCAAGAAGCACAAATTTGGTATAAAAAGGCGGCCGAAAATGGTGAAGAGAAATCGATATCAAGAATTTCTGATAAAGATACTGCAAATAAATTACAGAAACAAATTTTAAAGAAGAAATCAAGTGGTAAATTATTTAATGGATCAGGTAATAATCCAAATCATAGTAGTAGTAATAGTAAAAATGCTGCTCAAGATAAAGATTGTGTAATCATGTAATCCAATCGTTCCACCATCCATCCATCAATCCAACCTCATCATCATCATTCATTAGCATTAATCATATAGACCCCTGATTCATGATGGGGGATTAGATAAATATAACTTATTATAGTTATACTTCGCATTATAAAGGGTTCAAAAGTTTTCCCATCTCGTTTAAAGTTTTTTATTTTAGTTTTTTATTAATTAGTTTTATTTTTGTTTATTTATTTATTGATTTATTTAGTTCATTTCTATTATTATTCCCATTTATTCAATTGAATATGATTTTTGCAATCGCTTATATAAGGTTAAACATGTAGAGTAGAGTAAAATATAATTTTTAAATCAAGACAGATTCAGTCAATGTTTTTTCTTGGTTTTCAGGTGGAAAGAATAGAATGGATAAACCTTAAATTTGAAATGATGTCCACAGTAAACATTAACTTCACTTTCTACAAATCAATTGTGGAAGATTGTTCATTTACGGATGGAATGATCAATTTGGGCTATAGATATATACGCCGCTCAATTGATTTAATAATTAACATGATCTCATCTGTGGGCTGAGGATGTCCCAATATATATATAAGCCACTTTTCTGTACTAGAAAATAAATTTAAAATCGAATCCGCTTACATAAGCGTACTGATAAATAAATTGATATCAGTTATATTATTCATGAATATGATTAGTACTATGTGGATATGTAAGAAAATCATTATACCTGACTTATATCCAAATGATGAAGATTTATACAAAGAAGCATGTTTGGGTTACGAGTCAAAATTAGAGCCGCTACACCGTTTTTATTTTATGTATTGTGAATAATAACTTTTACTCGTTAATTATAATTTTTATATAAATATAAAAACATTCGTCCTTATTATTTTATTTCATTTGGTAAAGTAATGTTTCATATTATCATATATCAACTAAGTACAATCATGTCTCCTAACGAATTCAACAACTCAGCCCAACAAGACCAATATAACTCTCAACAAGGTCAAGGTCAAAGCCAGCAAAGACAAAGATTACTTCAATTTGCAGGTAGACATGGTAAAAGAGGAGGTTTAATATCATCTGTTATCGGTGCTGCTGCAAATGGTGGTGGATTATCTGGTAATCAAACTAGTGGTCAAAAAAATTCAAGATTAGGGTCTCTTATTGGAGCTGTGGCTGGGGCTATTGGTGGTAATATGGCTGGGAATTCTATGGAATCTGAATCCAGTCAAAATCGTCAACAACAAGGTTACAGTAATAACAACAGTGGTTATGGTAACAAAAATTATGGTAATAATAATAGTGGTTATGATAGTCCTCCATATGATAGTCCTCCATACGCTAGACCACAACAAGGTGGTAATTTTGGTAGTAATGGTGATAATTATCAAAGTGGAAATTTCGCTGGGAATGGTGGTAATTATCAAGCAGGAAACTATGGAGATAATTTCGATGGAGAAAGTAGACGTAATGAAGGAGGATTTAGTGGAGATGGTAGACAACAGGAAGGATTTGTAGGTCTGGATTATGGTAGACAAGAAGGTCGTCATGATGGTGATAATAAATATTAATCAATTGTCCTCATCCATACCGTGTTTCGTTTTTTATATAGATAGTGTTTAAATAGTTAATATTATAGTTTTTATTTTAGAGTCCCTTTAATTTTGGCAGCATGTAAAATTTCAAATTGGACGCAAAAACAAAAAAAGGTGATCTTGAAAGTAAACAACTTAATCAGATACATCATAAGTGATAACAACCACCAGTATGCCAGAGGGAGATAACACCACCCATGAGTCAATCGCACCATGAAAACTAAACCATTTATTCAGTCATACTCTCAAACTATATAAATCAAACCGATCCATACCAGAGTTAATCATCATCATCATTCATTAGCATTAATCATATAGGCTCCTTCGCATTATAAACGATATAAAAGTTATTCCAATAAAAAGTTTTATTTTAGTTTTTTATTAGTTATTGATTTATTTAGTTCATTTCTATTATTATTCCCGTTTATTCAATTGAATATGATTTTTTCAATCGCTTATATAAGGTTAAACATGTAGAGTAGAGTAAAATATGATGCTCATAGTTTTAGTAAGAGAAATACGTCATATGAGCAATTTAAACGGTGAGTTTTTAAATCAAGACAATTCATTCATTTTTTTTCTTGGTTTTCAGGGGTGGGGGGAAAGAAAGAATTAACCTGAAATTTCAAATCATGTCCATGGTAAACATTGACTTCTCTAACGAATCAATTGTGGATGTTCATTTACAGAAAGAGCTAAATGATTGAATGATGAGTTTGGGCGCTTAATTGATTTAATAATTAACATGAGCGGAGGAAGGGACTAACTAAATAATATAAGCCACTTTTCTGTCACTCGGTTAGTAATAATAGAAAATAAATTTACCGTAAGGAAAAATCGCAACCGCTTATATAACACACTGCCATGTTAAGTTGAGATAAATGATATATGATAAATTGATATGAGTTATAGTATAGTTTAACCCTGAATATGATTTGTAGTATGTGGAAATGTAAGATGATAAACCTTAGACGTGACTAAGTATATCCAAGTGAAATCGATTTATATATTCCTTGATTCACAAAGAAACGTGATTGGGGTACGAGTCAAAATTAGGGCCACAACACAACACCGTTTTAATTTTATTTTATGCATTATAACTTTTCAGCCCTAATTCTGAAATTTTGATAATTTTTATATATAAATGTAAAACGTTCTTCTTTTTTTTCTTTTAGTCAATTGATCTTTACTATTATCTTATATCAATTAAGTACAATCATGTCTGCTAACGAATTCTATAACTCAGCCCAACAAGGCCAATATAACCCTCAACAAGGCCAAGGTCAACAAAGACAAGGCCAACAACAACAAGGTCAACAACTTGCAGGTGAAAGTGGCGAAAAAGGTTTATTATCAACTGTTATCGGTGGAGCTGCTGGTGGGTTTGCTGGCAATAAAATTGGTGGTCAACAACATTCAACTTTAGGATCTGTTCTTGGAGTTGTGGCTGGGGCCATTGGTGGTAATAAAGTTGAAAATTTTATTGAATCTGAATTCAGTCATAGTGGCCAACAACAAGGTTATAATAATAATAACAGTGGCTATGGTAACAACAATTATAGTAATAATAACAATTACGGTAATAATAATAGTGGTTATGATAGACCTCAATATGATAGACCTCCACAAGGGGGTAATTTCGGTGGAAATGGTGGTAATTATCAAGGAGGAAACTTTGGAGGTAATTTCGGTGGAGAAGGTAGACGTCATGAAGATGGATTTGGTGGTCAAGGTAGACAACAAGAAGGATTTGGAGGTCTTGATTATGGTAGACAAGAAGGTCGTCATCATGAAGGTGGCCATCATGAAGGAGGTCGTCACGAAGGCGGTCATCATGAAGGTGGACGTCACGAAGGAGGACGTAATGAAGGTGGCAATAGATGGTAATCAATTGAGCTCATCTCTCCCTTACTCTTTTATATCTAGATAGTGTTAAAATAGTTAATGTTAAGTTTTGATAGTTTTCATTTTAAAGGCCCTTTAATTTTGGCAGCATGTAAAAATTCCAATTGTACGCAAAACCAAAAAAAAGGTAAACAAAACTTTGATCTTGAAAGTAAACAACTTAATCAGAAACATCATAAGTCATTGCAACACGCATCATGTCAGACGGAGATGCCATCACTGACGAGTCAGTCGCACCTTCAATTCTAAATCATCTATTCAGTCATACTCTCAAACTATATAAGTCAAACCGATCCATACCAGAGTTAACGAGAGATGATATCAAATATATAAAGTCAAATATAAGTAAATATCTATTCAGTGTTTATCAACGTCAATCACGAGATATGATCATAAGGACGTATACATCTGCAAGAGAAGTATATTCCGATTTGAAATTATCGATTCGAGATGAGATTGAAGGTCAGTATCGTTTAAAGGTGCTATCATTAAAGAGTCGGAATAAAATATTGATATCGACTCAATCGATAGTATTCATATCAAAGACCGATAATGAGCGAGATGGCGATGATGATGATGAAGTGGCGAAGAAGTTCAATACGTTGATACTTGCTAGATTATCTCCCTTACATCAGATCATCATTAAAAGTTTGAATAATCTAACTTGTGATCCACCATTGATTATCTCAAATCATGAATTATCAAATGTATCGATATATAATTTCATAAATCATTTATTCGAGACTGGTTTGATGATAACTGATGTGCAATTGACATATACCCTTCCTGGTTCCAGTGTTATAAATGATAATCTTCGAAATATCGTGGTGAATATTCCTCAATCGAATATCCTGACCTTCAAAATACGACAACGACAACAAGAAGACCAAGAAGAAGAAATGCGATCAATCATGTCTATCATTAATGAATTCTTATTTGACCATTCTAAATTGAAATTTGAACAATTACTGATTCATAAATTCATAAGTAACATTATTAATATTTCCATAGATGGTAAAATCAAAATCAAACCTTTACAATCATCATACCCAGAATACCAATCAAACGACAACAATAACTCCTCACAATGGCTATTGATTAAGAACTTTTACGAATTACTTCATTAACTCAAAATGCAGTGGTTGTATATATATATATGTAATGAAATCTATAAATAAATAAATAAATACACGTCATAATACTCATTAATCTACTTTATCAGAGCCTTGACTATTAACACCTATACGCGATTCAATCACAGGAAAATGGTTTATAACGTTTGTAGGAGTCCCTGATATGATTAATTTCTTAGGTGATGTAGGTAAGGAATTTGAGATTAATGATGGTGGATGTAAGTCATCTAGTATATTATTTGTATCTTGTAATTTTATACTTGCACCTTTATTAAGTAAGGGTAATTTACTTGAGCTGGATGGTTGATGATCATTTAAATTTATCGATAATCTTCGATTACTAAATATCCGAGCTCGAGGTTTAATATCATTAAGACTACCATTTGGATTAATCTTTGAACTTGATAATAAAGGTGGTGATTCCATAGTAGTATTATTTCCTTCATCATCATCAAGATCATCATTTAACAAACTACTATTAAGAATGGTATTCGTTAATGGAGAATCATCTTCAAAATCACTTTTTAAAGTAGATGTATTATTAACCTGTTCATCTTCCTCTTCATCATCCATGGTTACTTCACCTGGTTCTTGATCTTGAGTTAATATACTAGTATCACTCCGAGGTATATCCCATCGAACTTTCTTACTCGCTTTTGATCTATGAGGGGAGAATTTAGGAGTTATAGGTTTTTTACTAATTGACCTTTTGAAATTCCTAGGTGGTGATGCTCTTAATGGTGATAATGGAGCTCGTTTACCTTCTCTTGGTTTAGATAAATTAGGGACATTATGGATAAGTTTTTCATTATTATTGTTGTGGTTGTCATGATAATCATTAGGGAGTGGTGTATTTTGTAAATCATCATCTTGTTGATCTTTTAATTTTTGTTGCATGAATTCAGTAGTATATTTTTCAATAGCAGAATCAAATTCTCCATTAACTAAATCTTCTAATGATGATAAGATATGGGTTTCGATTGAATTTGAATCTTCATTATTTATAGCACGGGTCAACTCTTTCGGGATGAATGAATAGTCTTTTAATTTATATATCAAATGATCGAAAAGAATCGAAGAATTAAATAAAATCTCTCTATCAAATGATTCATGTAATGAATCAAGAAATTTTTGAAAAATTAAAGAATAATAATCAGACCAACCTTCATACTCTTTTAATCGATTTAAAATTTGATTACTAGTTTCATTAAAGATATAATCAATATCATCCGATTTACCATATTGAGATTCTAATTCGGGAATTTGTTGATCAATCTTAACTAATACTTGTTCACATAAATTAGCTAGACTTAAATTGATATTATTGAATCCTGATAATAAAATTTCAATTTGAATTCTTTGTGAAATTAATAATTTCCGTTTGGCTAATATGAAATATTTCTTCCATTTTTCATTTTGATGTTTATTTAATGATGTTTTTATAATTTCAATATTTTCTAATAATACATGTAAACATTTTTCATTTATAAGTTTTTGTTTTTGAATGATTGATGATTCAATTTTCGATTCTCTTAATCTTAATTCTATAATTTCTTGTTTTTGTTCCGTAATCATTTTTAAATATGATCCCACATGACGATCTAAATTATGTAAATTTCGAATTAATTTAGTTTTAATTTCTTTAGCTCTATTAGCATATTTTAAAGTATTTAAAGTTTCATCATAATGTTGTGACAGTGGTGATACACAAACAATCATAACCGTTTTACAATTACCTCCTAATGAAAACTTTAATAATCGGGTTAATTTTGAATCTCGATATGGAACATGATTTCTTCTTCTGGGATCACAAAGAGCATTAATACAATTCCCTAAAGCTAATAATGATTTATTTATATTGGCACCTTCATTTAATCGAATTCCTCTATTTTTAGTAGCTGCTGCTCTTTCACTACCAGCTAAATCTATAATTGATAATGTTGCAAATGTATGTTCTTCATTTAAATCTGCGGTTCTATTCTTTTGGATCACATTGATTTGTAATACAGCATGAGATCGAGATGAAGTAGCATTAGCTTCCGTTGGTGATATGGTTCTATTTTCATTTCCTCTAAGAATCATTTCCATAACTTCTTCGACATTATGAGGTTTATGAATCAGTAAATTTGATACTGATATTCGTTTTTGAGAATCTTCTCTTAAAATCAATTTTTTATGATCAATTTGAGGATTTAATAAATCTCGAATAGTTTCATTATAAATTTCAAGATATGATAAACTAATATCAATAATTTTAGAATCATTTAAATCATCAATTCTTTGATATAATTCCTTCATAGTTAAGAAGATAACTCCTGGATCATCTAATTTCCCCAGTATAGTATGAGTTTTCCCACATCCAGTAGCACCATAGGCAAAAACGGTAGCATTGAATCCATCTAATATACTATCTAATAAAGGACGAGTGGTATGATGATAAACATCAGTTTGAGATGCCAGCATATCAAACAATCGATCAAATACAAACCTATGTTCTTTGATACGAGATGATGATCCATTGACTCCATTCGGAAATGCATTTCTTTGCATGGTATTTAAAGGATTAGTTTCAGGAGGATCAAAAATTAACATTTTATCATCTGCTACATCAAGAATATTTCGGATTCCTCTGGGGGAAAATAATGATTTTTTAGAGGGGGTATCTGATACGTTGGAACTTAAGGATCCATCTCCAAGGAAGAAAGTATCGTTATCATGTTTGATGAGATTTATTTCTTCTGATTCTGTGAATGGTCTTACACGTACGGCAACAGTAATAGATGATTCTCTGGTGGTTGGAGTTATGGATGAATGAGCAGGAGGTACGGATGAAGGTAGTGACGTAGATATGGATGTAGGTATTGAAGATGGTATAGATGAAGATGGAGGTCCAATTGATTCAATACCGCTACTCATTTGATTGATGGACACAGACAGGAGAGGAGTTGGAGTAGTGGTATACCTATATCACAAACATATATCAATGAGTAATTTGTATTGATGTGAAACTCAATGTGGTAGTGATGATACCTCTCGTTCAGGTGATCTCGTCTTGATATATATGATTGGTTTGAAGTGATGGTGATGGTGGATACCCTCTATACATATATTTGGCTGCCTTTTGACCTGTTTTGATGATGGCTGTTTAAAATTCCATTTGGTGCGCGTTCTTTCTAAATGGTAAACATTGGTACTATATACAGCATACCAGTTTATATACAGGTCAAAAATTCAACTCTCCTGTATATAAATGTTCTTTTTATATGCAGTACGAATGTTGATAATTTTTTTTTTTTAACACAGCCTTGTGTGGGTTTGTGTTTGAGGGAGGGTAAAATTGTCTAGTGCTACAAATCCTATTATGAACTGAAATTGAATAAGATGAATTATTATAATATTAAGGAAGGAAGGAAGGATGACATGAGAGGGGATAGATAAAAGAGGAGAAAACAAAAGAAAAGAAAAAGGGGAAATAATATTAAATTAATTAATTAATTAAATCTAACTTTACTAAGAATACATAATAAATAACTTTACAACTAATTAATCATAAAAATGGAATATATTTATTAAATTATGATTTTATGATTTGATTTGATTTGATTTGATTTGAAATTGCTTGGAATTCCAATTCCAATTCCAACAAGTATGTTTTGTACATTTTTCATTTTTGAATTTTTTACAATTTGTTTGTGTCAAATTTTTTATCAATAGTATCAACTTGGTATTTATTTTTCAAAAACTTTAATTGGATCTTTCGTTTATATCTATTAAATGGATCAAGTTCTTGGTGGTTTAGTTTATGATAGTGACTGCTTTTCTAGCTTTTTTAACCTTGGATTTTTAGATACTAGTATATCTCTATGGTATATATATACATATTATTCTTTTGAGCTTTATTATTATTATTATTATTGTATAAATTAAATAGTTGATGAGTGAGAGTAAGACTGATAGATATGATATGACTAGTACTTTTCATCAAGAGTTCCATCTGATGATGATTCCTTTTCAATAGGAGTGGTTTCTTCATTATCTTCATTATCTTTTTCTTTAACATCTTCTTCATCATCTTCATCAGTAGAAACAACAATATCTTCTTTAACTAATGGAACCTCTTCTTCTTCTTCTTCTTCTTCATCTTCATCGTCACTTCTAACATCTTCAGCTCCTGTACCAGTTATAACTTTATAAGCAACTTTAATAATTAAATACATCCAAACACAAGTTATAATTTGTAACCCTCCTAATAGACCAAAAAATACATTAAATATATTTTCAGTCCAACATCTTCTTAAACTTATAACTCCTTCAATACATTGACTTTCTTGCATTAAAATTTTATGTCTGCTTATAACATGATATAATAAATAATTATAAACACCATGTCTTAACACAATCCAACTGGTTAAAAATATAAAAAACATTACATCACAAAGGAAATTGAATCCAGCATATTTTAATAATTTAGCAAATGAAAATATAGTATCAACCGAATCCATAATCATTAAGATTAAATGACCAATTCTAGTAAAATAATAATAATATGATCCAATAATTAAACAACAAGTTATAATATGATGACTAAACATTTGAAAATGATCTTTTCTTTTTTGTTCAATATTTAATACAAAGATTTGTTGTAACCAGAATGAAGTTGCCATAAGGTAATAAAGTTTAAATTCAGATTTTAATTGATAATGAGGCCAACCAATATAAACATTATCTAAATTGAAATAATATGGCGATTTTATAAAGAGATATAAACCAAATAAAAATGAATAACCATAATAAGTAAATTGCCAACTTTGTTCAGCAAATCTAATTTTTGCTTTTCTTGAATAAATATGACAAAATTTTGATGCAAATGGTTCAAAGACATTGATCATAAGGAATGATCTTAAAAAGGTTAATAAGATGATTCCATGAATGATGATATAACTATCATCCCATCCAATATCATATATGGATGAAGGATGTTTGATGGTTAAATTAACATCATGTTGATATTGTAAATTCATAAATTTATGAGTATATTTTGATCCTGAAGGGATAAGGAAATGAGTGATATATAACAGTAAAAGGATGAATCGAGATATGGAGACTTGATTTCTTTCGATAGATGCTAAGTAAGTTTTTTGATATAACATGTAAGATTCATTTGAATCAGCGGGAGCCATTTTAGTATCACCATCGTTCGATGTTGATTTTGGAGATGTCATGGCGATGGATGATTGTTATAGATATGATATGATGAGTTGAATGAAGTGGGGATAATGAAGTATAGTTATATAGGAGTGATGATATTTGAAGGGTGACTTAAATTATAATTTAAAGGTGGTGACGTATGAGATGATTGTGATTGGAAAAATTATAGATGTTGAGGTGAGGATATGCTGTAAAGGGATGGGTTAAACGAATGATGTGATGAATTGAATGGGATGAACGAACGATCGGCCTGTAGTAGGAAGAGTACAGAGTATGGTGACGATGATAGTTATACGAAGAAGACCAATCAATCGATGTAACCTGTTCTCTGGTCAACTTCAATTTGGTGTTGTAAAAATAAAAACAAATTTTTAATTATCATACCACAGCACAGCACCCACTCACTCAGTACTTAACTGAAGTTGAACGTGTATTAAATAGTGAACAGAGTGTAAAAAAATTAAAATTTTTATTCTCTGTTATATACAGGATAAGATCTCTCAGTACTAAGAAATATTTTAAGGTTATCATATCATATCATAATGTCATATCATATCATCATATCATCGTATAATTTATTTCATATATCGTATAAACTGAAGCTATTTATCTATTTAATAACATAAACTGTAAGGCCTTCTTCACACTCTGTTCATTATATCGATTCCATAATACATAAATATTAATCATATCTTGCATAGCTTCCACTACTTCATCTAAATTTATATGAGAATGATTTAAAAAATTCATAAATTTATTAATCTTGATTGTTTCTTCGTCTAATTTTTGATCTTGGAAATCAGGATTATCAATCCCTTGGCTTGTATTATTGTTATTAGTATTAGTATTATCGGTATTATTAGTAGTACTACTATTTTCATTATTATTACCATTGGTTGTGGTTGTAGTTATAGTAGTAGTATTACTAGGATTAATATTATTACTGGTAATACTACTAGACACATTGGAATCTCCATCAGTTCCATCCTTAGGATTAGCCAATATCATTAAATCATCTATATGCATTGAATCTCCATTATCAGTAGTATTATTATTATTATTATTATTATTATTATTCCTCCCATCGGTATTAATAGAAGTTGTATCATTAGATCGAACATCCTGAGTAATGGTATTACTCCCACTTGACCCATTCCCACTACTACTCCCTCCCCCTCTTAATGTCGATAAATTCTTCTTTAATACGATCGTTATATATATTGCTGCAACGGCTATAATATGAGGGGGCACCAATAAATGTAAATCAGTTAAATAACTATCATTAATCAATGACCACGCATTTTGTAATTCATTATCGGATAATGTGAAACCATAAATCATATTATTCTCCCATAAGAATTCCTTTAATTGAATTAATGATTTATAAGGATGATGTAAGAATAAATACAGATCCATTTCTTCAATAAGATAAAATTCAAATTCGGCTAATTTGGTAATATCATGAGGAATATATTCCGGCCATAACGTTCGTGACTCCAGCAAGATCAATCGAATATGTTGAGGACATTCTTCAATCTTACATGCCACATATAAACAAGCAGTAATCAATAAATAAACGTTAATTTCTTTCAAACTAACTCGAGTTAAAAATCGATTTAAATAGATTTCAGCAGTGGATAACGCCACTTGACGAATATTTAATCGTCTTCCAAGTTTAATTAATAAATTATGTAAATAAATCCTCATATTATAATCATAATTGATATTAGGATATTCTTTAATTAAACCATTTTGAATCATTTTCCGTTCTAATAATAACACTTTCCTCCTTGCTTCAAGAAGGGATTGTCGAGTGAATTGCCATTTCAATCGTTGAGTTGAATTCCAATAATCAGCGGACATCCTAATTGTATGTGTATCTTGATTGAATCTGTGTAATTGTGATGATATAAATGATATGGTTTCACTTAATCAATTCCTTCTAATTATCATTAATTGAAAATTGAATCAGTGAATAAATTTGACCATTGACACACGACCTCAATCCAAAACTTACTATTAATAGGCATAACATCGCAACCGCAATACTTAACCACTGATTAAAAAATAAAATACCGTAAATCAAATTCAGCTCAGTTAGAAGTGGTGAAGTGGTAAGAAGGGCTGACACTTACACTTTACAAATTTCAATTTGATTGATTTTACTAATTTCATCTGTATTATGTTATGGGTTTTATTTGATGTTTTCTGATTATACTTAATTATAATTTGATTATAACCATTGTATAATTGGTTATAATTGAATATAATTTAACCTGTTTCTTATATAATTGTTGTATAATTAGGATATAATTGTGTTCAGATCATTCTAACTATATCAGTTTTAAGTATGATTCATTCATGTGATATTGAGTATATTGAATGCCGATGCATACCCCGGGTTTCATTTATATGTTTGATCTAAAACTGTAACCTTTTTCTAATAATAGTAACTAAAAACTATATATCTATCATCTTCGTATATATCGTTTCCTTTTCGTAATTCTCTAAGTACTACCACTTGTATATCACATCTCTCCACATTCACTTATAATTATAGTCGATTTTGGTTTATCATTTTGATCAACTTTCACTTTATCTAATTTATCAATCGTTTCAAATCCAGCTATAACTTTCCCAAATACAACATGTTTCCCATCTAAATGTGGAGCATCATCAGTAACTATGAAAAATTGACATCCATTTGAATTAGGACCTGAATTAGCCATAGATAGACTATATTTCTTATCTAAAAAACATTGTTAGTAAAAAACATTATAATGTATGTGAAATGGGATTTATACATACGATCATAGGGGAATCCTTCATCGGGAAACGTATCCGATCCAAATATACATTTCGATCCTAATCCATTCCCTCGAATGAAATCTCCACCTTGAATCATGAATCCTGATATGATTCGATGAATGGGACTATTCTTATATCCTATTGGTTTACCATGGTCTTGATATTCACCAGTACAGAATTGTCTGAAATTCTCCGTCGTCCTGTCACAGTAAGTTAGTATTTGAATCAACATTTGATTATTGGAAGATGTCTACTTACTTGGGAAGATCTTTGGTGAATAATTCAATCTTTATACGAGGTTGAATCTCATCTATGAAGGTTAGTTATTTTGGTCCTAAGTGAAATATTACTAATTTTCGATACATACCATCAATTTTAATCTAAATTATTAGTTAGTATCAACATGGTGATCTATCAACGGACTCATAAAATATGATACATACATCTAAGAATACAATTGTCGTCATCATATCCATATCCACCATATAAACTCAATCTCAGATGTTGTCTGTCCCCACACAAAAAAAAAATCTGTCAGTCACCAAAAAAGAAAATTTACCCAACCAATTTATTGAAGCGGACTTTGATCATATAATCGTATAGATACAACCAGACTACCACAAATTGAGTATAAACTATCGTCAATTAACTCGACTCGTGTGATATAAATATAGTTAGGGTTTTCCATTATCATTCCAAACATGACTCCTGCTCCACCACCTCCAGAACCCTCCTCCCCATTAGATCATGCCATAAATGTTACAAGTAATACCCCAATTGTATCTTCCATTATGAAGAATTTTCATACTGCAAATCCAGAAATGGAAACAGCCATAGATAGAAGCATCCCTGATTTCCCTGCTGCTCAATTAAGTGATGAAGATAAATATTTCAAACATCATAAACCTCCATCGTATTTACCGGAGATTGAACTGGAAGTTAAAGATTTCATTGAATATCATAAATCCACCTCCCATAAGAATATCGTATTGGTTACTAGTGGAGGTACTACTGTTCCATTGGAGAATAATACTGTTAGATTCATTGATAATTTCAGTGCTGGGACAAGAGGTGCTACTTCTGCTGAATACTTTCTTGAAAATGGGTATGCTGTTATATTTTTACATCGAGAATTTTCTTTATTACCTTATTCAAGACATTATAGTCACACTACGAATTGTTTCTTGGATTATATGACGGAAGTTAATGATAAAGTTGAAATCAATCCCACATTCGCTGATGAAATGTTAATTGTTTTGCGTAAATATAAACAAGCTAAAGAATCAAATTCATTATTATTGATTCCATTCACTACCGTTAATCAATATTTATACACTTTAAGAGTGATAAGTGAATTATTACAATTGGTAGGGAAGAAAGCATTATTTTATTTAGCAGCTGCTGTTCTGGATTTCTTCTTACCTCAATCAAGAATGCCAACTCATAAAATTCAATCTCAAGAATCAGGAGGAAAATTAGAAGTTAATTTAGATCAAGTTCCAAAATTCTTAAGTCGGTTGGTGGATAATTGGGCTCCCTCTGCATTGATTGTGTCATTCAAATTAGAAACTGATAGATCGATCTTGATTAAAAAGGCTAAAACTGCATTGGAAAGATATCAACATCAATTGGTGATTGGGAATTTATTACAAACTAGAAAAAAGGAAGTGGTATTTGTCAGACCTCAAAAAGATGACGATGAACAATGGATAAGATTAAATGATGATCAAATCTCATCCAATGTTGAAATTGAAAGTTTAATCATTCCTCAAGTTATCAAAGTTCATGAAGATTGGATAAATGGTGATAATTAGTACATACCTATATCATATATATATTATTATTATTATTAAAAATTTCTATTATTATTATTACACTATTTACAAGAATGTAACTCCTATACCATATTGAATTCCCTTTCTTATAGAATCAGTTCTGTTAGCAGTAACAGGTAAGACGAAATTCAATTCAAATCTCGCCATAGGATGATTATATAAAATCCCAAATCCAATACTGATCGAATATTGATTAGTTAATTTTTTAAAACTAGTAGTTAAATCATTTTTATTCATTGATACTAATTTCCCATAATTTATGAAATTATGCAATTTAAAATTCAGATCAGAAGATACTCCTGGGATGTTCGATATTAATGATACACCTCCATTTAAGAATATATCTCCCCCAAGGGACAGATTATAATCCTTAGGTCCTAATCCATTCAACGTGAATGAACGTACATCATTAGGACCACCGATATAAAATCGATCCAATACCGATGTTTGACTTTTATCGCCCAATGGATATATTATCCCTGCTTTATTGGTAACGATTAATGATGATGATAATGCAGGGAGTTTATATGTGAATTGAGATTCAACAATTGATTTTATAAACGGGTATTTGTTAAATTTGAATAAACCACTATATTCCATTCCAAATCGAAAGTATCGACCCATGTTAGGTAAATGGACATTATTTCTCGAATCATAGATTAAATTATATATAATGGATGATTTTAATTGTGATCCGGATTGATTTAAGATCGTTAATGATTTTGATCCTTTATTCTGTAAGATTTTCCAAAAATTTTCCACGATGAATTCATGATTCAATTTCGAATGATCATATTGAGTATAGATCTTATTACTAAACCCTTGAGTTGTAACTTCACTTTGTAAATGATCTAATTTTCTCGTATTTATATAAAATAAATTCTCATTAATATAATCGGCATTATTTAAAATTGGTGTATTATAATTTAATAAATATGATGATTTGGTCTTAGTACCTGTCGTAGCATCAAATGTAAGATTCTCTCCTCCTCCTAATAAATTCCGTAATTGAAATTGGATATATCCATCTCCTTCACCATTCCCAATATTGGTTCCTGTCTTGGCACTGAATTTCTTTATCGGTATGATATTGAAAATAGGTACGAGGTTTATAGATGATCCATTATCTCGACTGAAAAGTGATGGTTGAATAGGATTTATCGTCACTAATAAATTCTCCACCAAATTAAGTTTTATGAATGATGTTGATACACTCTCTACTGAATCTAACATTTGGGTTAGAGTGATGGGTTTATTTGTAGTTAATAATGATTTGAATTGAGCTTGTAAGAAACTATCTCGGAAATCCTGACTATTAGTGATTTGAACATTCTTAATCTTGATAGGTTGAGTGGCATTATCTTTAAATAAATCTTCTAAATATTGTTTATTTTGTTGAATAATTAATTGTTCCTTTTCTAATTGTAAATCTCGTAAGGCTTGTTCTTCCTTGGACGGTTTGTTCTGATCTAGTGAAGATTTCGATCGTGACAATCGATCCAACATGTCCTCTTCATGATCCAATGACATGATTGTAGTGATCTTACTTCCTATTTGCTGATTGCTGTTTGACGTGTTTTTAGCTTTTATTTACCATTTACAATTTGGGTTCAGGCTTTTTCCATTTTCGCTCGCTATTTTTTTTTTCCTCACTGACCGCCGCTGCTCTCTTTACTTTTATGATCCCACACAAAATTTAAAGTTATATAAATCTATGATAATACAATAAGAATAATAATAACAAACCTAGAACATAACAAGTATATATACACATACAAAACTAGAATTGAATGCAATAACTTAAGATTATTTTATGTTAATCTTTTAATCCTGGGGCGGCGATATAGCCACCAGAGGTAAGAACGAAGGTGGTGGTTGATTATCAAAATCATCCAGTTGAGAAGTAGTTATATCAGTAGACATCAGTATTCCTTTATTTTCCATCAAACTATCACCATAAGTTTGGAAATAATCAGTAATGACATTAGCTTCATTGACACTTTGTGTATTTACAATACCTTGTGCTTCCTTTTCTCGAGCTTCTTCTTCAATTAATAATTTAATACATATTTTACCAGCTTCAGTTTGGAAATGACGCCTTAAAGCATCAGCTCTAGCAAATTTACGACCACATCCAAAGGGTTGACCATTCTTTAATGTACCCCAACATTGGAATTTCTTTTCTCCACTATGTAAATCTTCATGTCTCTTTTTATCATGTTGTCTAGCAAACGCTTTACCACATATCGTACATACAAATGGTCTATCATCAGTATGAGTACGTAAATGAGATTTCAAATTATACGGTCTAGTGAATCTCTTTTCACATAAATGACATGCATAAACACTAGGATGTTTTTGAGTACGTTTCGATGATTGATTTGGACTTGCCAATTCCAACATTTTTTGTCTAGCAGTAGTAGCATCAACTTTAGTATTACTACTATTGGAGTTAACTGAATTAATACTATCTTGTGAGGGTTGTAAATACTGCATTTGAGATCCATCATTATTAGTAGTGGACCAACTTTCTTGATTATTATAATCTAATTCATCATCATCATCATCATCATCATATACACCTTCCTCATCGTATGAATCGCCACCTTGATCCAAACCTTCTCTTTTCAAAGGTAAAGGTGAACGAGAAGTTGATCGAGATATCTTACGAGCATGAGACTTTTGACGACCTCGTTTAATATCTTGATAAGTAGCATCATTATTATTTTCCAGATTATTTGATCCAACAGGACTAACGGTGAATCCATTAGGGGCCAATGTATCCTTCTTTGATTTTCTTGGTTTAGTAGGTTCAGGAGTCGTTGATCTTACACTTGATGTATTACTAAACAATGATGGAGTTTTAGCTAATACAATATCATTACTGGGGGATAAATTAATATCACCATCACCATTACTATTAATAAGATCAGGACTATAACTCGATTGTTGTTGGTTATAATTGGATAAATTCGATTCCGTCAATCTTGAAGCACTTAATGGTTGAGGTGGTGGATAAACCGTTGTCAAATCAGTGGTATTGAAACTATCATTGGTTAAATAATTATCCGTTATCATTTGATCATTGGATTGTGGAGGAGGAGTTATAACAAATGGATGAGATTCAAGTTCGAATTTTATATTTGGTGGTGGACCACCTGGTGCCGCCACAGATGCAGCAGCTGCTAATGATGAGAAATTTGGTTGTTGATTATCGATAGTCGAATAATTATATGTCATGTTATTATTATCTAAAGTGGATAAATTTGTGTTTGAGATAGATCCACCAAGAGCAATTTCGGCATCGAAGGCATTAGAATTGTACTGTGGTTGTAATGTATTTGATTGTTGATGTTGTTGTTGTTGTTGTTGTTGTTGTTGAATATTATTATTTCCATAATCTGAATAGGCAGCAGATACATTACTTGGAATTGGAGGTATGATACTATTTGAATTACTGAAATGAGACGTGGCGTCTAAGAAAGGACTTGCAGGTTGTGACGATAATAATGAATGAGATGAATAAACACTTGGAGAATGAGGAACATTTGGGTTTAAAAAGTTTGATGATGGATCAAGTTGACCTTGACTTGATTGTTGTTGTTGATTATAATTATCTGATATTGACACATAACTACCACTTCTTTGATGGAAAGAAGTTGGAGCTAATAAATCTGATTGTTGAGGTTGAGACTGTTGTAGTATATCCTGATTCAATTGAATTTGAGGCGGTATTTGATTTGGATTCAGGGAGTATTGATTAAGTGATATATCTGAGCTATTATCAATATTTGAATTATAGAAAGAATTGGTACTCTGATCATTGGTATTATCCAAATATTGATTACCTTGTTGTTGTTGATTATTTAAGAAGATTTCTATAGATGGGAAATCTTGACTTTGGTCTGGTAATTTGGTTTGTGATTGTGAAAGTGTTTGAGATTGTTGTGGTTGAAATTGGTTTTGATTTTGATCAAGTCTGAATTGATGTTCAAGATTAGGATCATTTCCAGATTGATTGGTGAATTCGAATAATGAAGGAGTGGAAGGGTTATTTGAATCGGTGGTATCAGTGGTTGAAGCAGGTTCATAGATGGTAGTGGTGTTATCAATCTGAATGGTTGGTGGTGATAGATTCAACACTTCATAGAACTGCTGATCATCTGTTAGATTCCTAGACTGTTGTGATTGTTGTGATTGTTGTTGATGTTGTTGGTCATCGTTAGATAGATTGAGTGACATCATAAAAAAGATATGATATGATATATAAAAGGATTGTCTACTTAGTGATAAGGGAAGTAACAAAGGATGGATAGAAGGAGGGGCAAGGATACAATCAAGTAACTGGTAAGTGCTCCTTGATGAATCCAAGTTATGTCTAGAATAATAAAACAGGAATAAATAGAAATTAACTACCAAATATATCAAATTGATATATAAAAAAACTGTAAAAGATATTTGAATTATTTATATAAAAAAAAAAAGTCATAAAATAAAAATTCGGGGACAACCAAAAAAAAGGTGCAGATGTCGCATTGTGCATGTAGACAGAGAAGACATTATTCCATACTGTGCGACATAATATAATAATCTGCTCATACTGTATAGAATTGAATACAATTAATGATATCTAAAGAAATGCAAAAGAAACGACTATGATGATTATCACCAAATGAGTCAAATTGGTATGTAACACTGTGATAAAAAAGGAATTAAATCCTAATTAAGGTATGATATCAGAAAAGAAAGAGGTCATAGAAAAATAATCCAACTTATTGATCATCACTTTGTTGCCAGATATGATAGTTGAAAGAAGAAGAGGAAGAATCAAAACCACCACAAAATAATTTCCCACCACTACTACACACTTAATACTATGTTTACTTAAGTTTGAAAAATATCCGCTTAATAATCGTAATCAGGCTACCAATAATTGTAAAATTAATAATCCCACGACCAATCAGATATAAAGTACGAGAAGTTTCATCATTAACCAATAAACAATGATAAAGCCATATAAGGCTAAATAAATTATTCATGAGCATAATATCTCAAAAATCAGTCATTGATTTTTTGAATAATTATCAATTTCATTAGGAGTAACTTAGATATAATTTATTTGGTTGGTTGGTTGGTTGGTTGATTGGGTTATAGTTTAAATTTCAATTAGTCTTCCCTCTTTACAAGGGCGCAGTTTTATAATCTGTAAATTTATTTCCTAATTAGGACGCAACTAATGAATAATTATGCTGCAAAGTGAAGTTTAAGAAAGAACCACTACCAACTCATTTTTAACTGATCTACTTGCTTGTTCCTGAATTAATTCCCTTTATAGAGATCGGATATACATCTAAAAACAATTGAACCATGGAACGGTTATTTCGTATTTGTAATAAGTCAACCCCCATTCCAAAAAATTGCTTGGAAGTGTTAAAACGTTAAACTAAATTTAGAAGTTATTATAGTGCGATCGTCCTCCTAAAAAATATTTTTAAAAAAAGAGGCAAAGTCAAAATTGCTTCATCAAATAATAATGTCAAATTAATTTAATCTTTAATACTATAACTTTATATCATTTATTAATAGAAGTGATCATTGTGTATGTATTCATCCCAAGCCTAATTGGTTATAACTTTCCTTTAACTTTCTTACCGTGTTTGTGGGATTATTATTTTAAGAGAAAGTTTCCTCCATTGTTGATCCGTATATATATTTTATTCTACCGTAGTTCGACACCAAAATATCTTCTGTAACTCGATTATTCTCCTACTTAATAATTATAGCAGGCGGTGATGGACGGGTTATCCGTTTATAACTGCAGTTATTATCCTCCCATAATCATTCCATCTGAAATTGAAAATAAGCTTTATTGTTGAATCATTCTTCTTTTCAACGGGTCACCTTCCCCTTTACTTGTAATTATTGTCCCAGTTATGTTCTCTGCCACATTTACTTTATCGGCTTGTCGTTGGTAAATCTAGTTCTCTCGAATCTAACTTACGGTTAAGCCTCATCAAGTCTCCTATATCTCCCCCTCCACATACCCCTATTCTTTTATGTCATGTCACTTATTTTAAAGTTTACCCGCTTATAGTTTAATTCCAAATAATCCTTCTTTCGTTTTGAATCATTCATTTTTAGAAACTCTTCAAAAAGAAATAATCAGCCTTGCTTCACCCCCTGGAAAATCTGAAAAATAAATTTACAAAGTCACACATTCCTTAAATTTTAATATCAACTACCACATGCCAAATATCGGGAGCATAAGATTTGATTTTATTTATCCCTAAAATTTGATCATCGTTATCTTTATCTGATATGGAAAACTCCGATTTAATGAATTGAATAAGGTTGGGTAATTCTTTAATATGATAATTCTCATGTATGTGTATCAAGGTGTTTTTCTTATTATTTACGGCATTATATTTTTCGGTGATTGATTTCGTAATAGTCCAAGATTGATATGAAGTTGGTAATAATCCTAAATTAACATGTTTGATATCTAAACTATTCGATGGGAAACTTTCTAATCGGGTTAAACTCATCTCATTTGATTCTAAGAATACAAATGCTCGGATTCCATCCGATAGACATTGTTGATATATCTCATAATTGAAATCATCATCAGGATGAAAGATCTTATGAGGGAATTTATTCTTTATTAATGCTCTTCTAAATCCTTCAATTGACCAGGGATTTAAATCCCAACAAAATACCACCGCATCATTCCTTAAATAACTTAATGAAAAATATCCAATCCCACAATATAAATCAAACACAACAGATCGATGCAATGATTTATAAGTTTGTAAAATACGAGCTTTCTCTTTGATATTCCCTCTCGAGAACATAGTATATTTAGGACACCAAGTTTGATATATTCCATTTTGAATCACTGAACACCAAAATGATTGTTTGAAATCATCTTCAGTGGGGTTCATCGTTTCATGCACTTCCGATCCGAAATCTCCATACAATGGAATCAAATTTATTGGTTTTCTCATCTCATTATTGGTCTTTATGATCGGTTGATTTATGGCGAAATGTGTTATATCAGGAAATACATTCTTTGAAATGATATATTCGAATAAATTATTAAAGTCAATATCATGCCAGATAGTATTATCAAATGAATTATAATTGAACAAGATCATAGGAGGGTAAACTGACCATTTCTTGGGTATGTTCTCTATCAAGATTTTTAATTCCAGATCTGATATCGATAGTATTTGAGTTAGATATTCTTGAATCACAATGGCTAATTTATTCGAATTTTGATCTTCTTCATTATTTTCATCTTCATATTCGACTATACTACTTATAGTAGCATGTAAATCACTCGGTACACCTTCTATGGATGTTAATGTAGTGAAAATATGAAATCTAGTATCATCAAGTTTAATGATCTTTTTATGTTTATGTATAGCATTGATGGATTCTAAATATGATTTCAAAGGTTTAATGAATTGGGAACTATTGATTTCTAATATTATTGGCATATCGTATCCTATCTATCTGGTTGTTTATTATATTATCGTGGTTAATCCCATAGTACTCTTTGTATATTATGACTTTTCACAACCAAAACTTACATTCCTTTAAACCTCTTCTGGCAAACTTTTTTAAAATATGTCTCTCGGTATTAGGAAATGTCGCGTGATTCTTTAAAAATGTCTATTTACAGCCAAATCCCAGACAGGTTTAGATAATTGGTATATACCATTTCTTTTAAACCAAATTTATAATCTATCTCATTATACGTTTAATATCTTATCATATGACATTTCATCTTATCTGAAATGATAAAAGACGGTAATTACTCTTTTTAACGATGAAGATTTGATTATAATGTATGGATCCACCTCAGTATGACATGGATAAAAGGACAAGGGCAAAATATCAATCTTCTGAGATTAACAAAGATTCTAGGCTTTCTTACTGATTATTCATTTTGATTATCTTATCAGTTCATGTCACAAATAGCTAGTTTGATTGATGTTATGTTCAGTATGACGATGAAATGATATTGTGCTGCTAAAATGTGGTATGAGATTATCATACGTTGCAATTGCACCAACCTCTCTAACTCACATCTAACTACCAGCACATTAACTATTTAACTACAATACTATTAACTATCTACTATTTATATATTGTATTGATTCAATTCAGTCATTACTATTACCCTTCCTTATAACTTCCCTAACTGGAATCAAACTGGTCGTGTCCGACACTCATATTTTTACACGAACAAAACTAAATTGATTCACACACGTACTAGTAATATTTAATAGTGTGTGTGTGGGTGGGTGAGTGGGACGAGCGAGGAGGAGGGAGCGACCGACCATACAATTTTAAATTTAATTTGAAACCAACAAAATATGTTGAATTAATTAAATTTACACTTCAACTTTCTTCAATCATTTAAGGAATAATTCAATCCCAATCAAATCAAATCACAATTGATCCCCATCCCTATCCATCATCTCACCCCATCTCCCACAACCCTTTACCCATCCATCCCCTTTTTATATTTTTAGTCTGATTTTTTTACTTTCTTTCTTTTTATATTTTATTTTTCAAATCAAAGCAACAATCCTTGTCTGGTCTTATCCACATATCACGTCCTCCATACTTCGTCGACTCCGATCAAAATTTAACTACTACTTTTTATAACTGTTTATCGTTTAATATCAAGTCGTCTTCCTTTATATCAATCATATATCCTTGTTAAAAGTCTTTCACACCCCGTTTGTCAAAATAAAATCTTTAACTCACTTTTTAACGTGTCGTTATTTTTCACTTGTGAACGAAATTTTCAAAATTAACAACTCACTCCACTATCGATAGATTATCCTGATTTTTATTAAGTCTTTTCCTTATCAATAGTTTTAATAGATTAATTTTCATTATTTTATTCTATTTTATTCCTTGTTTACTTACTTTTATTCATTCATTCCTTTTCATATTAATTATTATCATTAATTTTTCAATTCCTAAAAATGTCTGATCAAGAACAACAACAACAACAATCAACTCCAGTTGAACCATCTCCAGTCTCTGACTCTGTTCCAGCTGTCGTTGATCAATCAGTCGTTATCGATGCTGAGCAACAACAACAACAACAACAACAAGCTCCACTTGAAGGTGGTGTTGAAGGTGACGATCAACAACAACTTGATCAACAACAACTTGATCAACAACAACACGCTGCCAACCCAGCTTCTGCTATCGAAGGTGGTCGTGAAGTATCTAATAAAATCTTATATGTGGGTAATTTACATAGTGCATTAACTGAAGATAATTTACGTGAATTATTCTTAGTGGCTGGTCCAATTCAAACCATTAAAATTTTAAATGATAAAAATAAACCCGGTTTTAATTATGCATTTGTTGAATTTGAAAATACACAAATTGCTGATGTTGCTTTAAGATCTTTCAATGGTCATATTTTAAATAATGTTGAACTTAAGATTAATTGGGCTTATCAATCATCAAATGTGGTTAATAATAATCTTTCTGAAAATGATGAACCTGTATTTAATATTTTCGTGGGTGATTTATCTCCTGAAGTTGATGATGAAGCTTTAAAGAATGCTTTTGTTAAATTTAATTCATTAAAGCAAGCTCATGTTATGTGGGATATGCAAACTTCAAGATCAAGAGGTTATGGTTTTGTTACTTTTTCAATTGAATCAGATGCTGAATTAGCTTTACAAACTATGAATGGTGAATGGTTAAATGGTAGAGCTATTAGATGTAATTGGGCTTCTCATAAACAACTTCATAATAATCAAAATCAATCTCAAAATTTTAGACATAATAATAATCATAATAATTTAAATAATCGTCATAATAATAATTTACATCAACATCATAATAATCATCATAATAATAACAATAACAATAGATTACCGAATAATCAACAATTTAGACCCTTTAATGGAAACGTTAATAACAACAACAATAATAATAATGGTATTTTACCTCCTCAACTTATTGGTGGTATTCCTCAACAACAACAGCAACAACAACAATTGAATAATTCATTAGCTCCAAATGGGGGTAATGCTGGTGGAATCCCACCTCCTCCTCAATTCCAACAAAATAATAATGGTTTACCTCCTCCACCTCAACAACAACAGCAACAACAACAACAAGTTCAAGCTGGAAATTTAAATCCAAGTCTTTCCGCCAATGGTGAACTTAACAATGGTAATGCTGGTAATAATAATGGTAATAATAATGTTCCAGTTATGTCTCCTCAATCTTATGATATAGTTTTAAGACAAACTCCATCATGGCAAACCACTGTTTATTTGGGAAATATTGCTCATTTTACTCAACAAAATGATATTATTCCATTAGTGCAAAATTTCGGATATATTGTTGATTTCAAATTCCATCCTGAAAGAGGATGTGCTTTTGTTAAATATGATAGTCATGAACGTGCTGCCTTAGCCATTGTTCAATTGGCTGGATTCAACGTTAATGGTCGTCCATTGAAATGTGGTTGGGGTAAAGATAGACCTCCAATGGGTCATGGTCAATTCCAAAACTTTGTTAGAGGTGTTCCACCACCAAATATGTATGGTCAAGGTAGACCATAAATAAAGATTTTGAATTCACTGATTATCTTTGTTTTTGTTTTATAACCCTTAAAAGTTGGTGTTTGCCGTTGTTTATATCTTATCTTTTTTTGATAATGCCAATTTGTTAGTTGTCGTTGCTTATTTTTGTCCATTTTTTTATTACTAGTACTATCTACTACTATTTTACTAGAGCTATCTTGCTTGATTATATTTTTTTATCTCCCCATTTATATTAAATTTATTTACAATTATTAGAAGTTGGATAAGTTGATTTTATTCTGCAAAAGTTTACTCGATTCTATCTTTCCCTCCTCTTTGTCTTTTTATCTCCCTTTGTTTACCCTTTTTATCATATTAAAAAACACTTGAAAAATCATAATTCATGATTGTTATAGCTCTCTCTCTACATACATAGATTGATTTATAATACATATCAAATTATCTGTTCCATATTAGTCGTAGTTGTTCTTGTAGTTATAAGTTGATGACACAAAATTTGATTTTTCACAATCAGATTTTTTTTTTTTTTTTTAATTTTTGTTATGCTGAGCAAAGCAAAAAAAATTTAATTTAAAAATTTATTTAAGAACCCTTTACGATCAAAATAGTTTACTGCTTAAAGGATAGACAGTGTTATAATACGATACCAGTGATACAAGAAGTGATATATCACCTTCAAATACACTACATCTGATCTACTTTGTTGAATCCATCGCAAAGGATCCACTCCAATTGAGATCTCGTTCATCCCGTTACAGTCTCATCATCCCAAATCCAACATATCTACCAGTAAGGGAAAGGAACATCACCATCTTTTCTTTATGTCATCATTACCAGAAGCAGACTTGTTTATATCTTCATCCTCATCTTCATCATCTTCCGCTTCTGAGAATAATAACAATTACTACAACTTCAATAAGAAACAAGTGGTATTATCCCTATTAGCATTTATCCCTATTGTTTTAACCTTGATTGATTTATTAACTGACGAAAACGATTCATTCAAAGTGACATTAACTAACTTCTTCACCGATTTATTTACACTTGGTAGTGGTCAGCATCGTCATTCTTCTTTTTATTCTTCTTCTTCGTCTCTCTTTACTTCGTCATCATCATCATCATCAATCCTTGATTTAAATTCAAAATTATCCAAAAAATTCACTGTTACTGGGACTATCATCTTAATTATCGTTAGTTTATATTACTTCAGTGGTCAGTACAAACAACAACCTTCATTTAATCTCGTTCAATTATTTCATAAACTTGGTGATATCATGTATAACAATAGATTCACTAATCGTGGAGGTTCAGGAAATAGATTCTTACCTTATAAAAAATCAAAATTACAACGTTTCGCCATTAAGAATGGTGGAGTGGTTGGAGGTATAAGTAATGATGGTAATACATGTTTCATGAATTCTGTAATACAATCCCTTGCATCTTCTCGTCAATTTATGCAATTTATTGATTCTTATTTATATACCAATTTCAATAATGTCGATGGCAAATCTCAACCAAGATCTGATTTAATCTTTACTAATGCTTTAAAGACTCTTTTGGATAATGTGAATGGGAAATATGGTACCAGAGGGAAAGAATTCAGTACCAAACCATTATTAAATAAAATGCCTAATGGTCCTAAACAAAATTTCTTTTCAGGTTATAATCAAGAAGATGCTCAAGAATTTTATCAATTAGTAATGAATATCTTAGAACGTGAGTATAAGAAAATGACATCATCAAGATTCTCTACCCCAGAACCAGAATCAGAAGTTTCTTCCTTAAAACAAGCCGAAAAATTCATTGAAATATCAAACTTGTATAAAGTAATATCTGGTATTGAAGAATTAGGTAAATTAGGTAAAGTTTATGTGCCTGCCAATCAAGTTGATCCTAATTTAACTGATTCTGATCATAAAGTATATCCTTTGGAATTAATTACACCTGTTGATGGTATCTCAGCAGAAAGAATTGGGTGTTTAACTTGTGGTGAAGTTGGTGGTATAAGGTATTCCGTCATCAGTGGATTAAGTCTTAATTTACCTCAAAATTCTTTAACTTCATCCTATTATTCTTCATCAAGTTTCGAATTACCTACATTATTAAATGAATGGATTACTCCTGAAATAATTGAAGATGTTAATTGTAATAGATGCGGATTAAATCAAACTAAAGAGTTCTTATTAGAAACTTTACAAGAATTAAAAGAAAAGGAATCAAATCCAATGAATGAAAGATTAATTGAACAATTCAGTAATAGATTGAATCTTATCGATCAAGAATTATTACAACCTCATATTACGGATGAAATATTTGAAAAATTAACTATCAAAAAACAAATTAAAAAATCAAGAAAATCAAAACAAATCTACTTATCAAGACCTCCACCATTATTATCTATTCATATCAATAGATCAGTTTTTGATCCAAGATCTTATGCCATTGTGAAAAATCCAAGTAATGTGACATTCCCTGATAAGTTAAATTTAACTGATTATGTCGTTGAACCAAAGGATATTAATATGGATGCTAGATTACCGTTCAGAAAGCAAGATGAAAGAACAATCATTGCCGATCAACCAACTTCTTCTAAACCAGATCAACCAACATTATCTACTTCAAATACCACTCCACCATCTGATTCTTCTATATCTTCTGAAGATGACGTTCCAACTGTGGAGTCAGGTTCAACTGGTATAAGTACAGCTGATGATGAAAACATTGAAGTTCCAAATCAAGTTGATCCAAGATTATTGTATAATTTAACTGCCGTTATAATCCATTACGGTACTCATAATTATGGTCATTATATATGTTACCGTAAATTAAGAGGTACATGGTGGAGAATAAGTGATGAATCAGTTTATGTGGTTGATGAAAGTGAAGTATTGAATGGTGGTCAAGGGACATTTATGTTATTTTATGAATTTGATGATGGATTTAAAGAAACATTAGAAGATTTATCTGATAGTGAACCAGAAACTGAATCAATAATAACTTCATCTCAAGAAGTTGAAAATGATGATGAAGATGATGAAATTGAAAATGACGCTAATGGTATTGAAAATGGCAGTGTTTCATCTTCTTACCGTACTAAATTGAATGCAGAAGCTAATAACAATTCATCAGAAAATGTCACTCAACCTTCAAGTAATGATGATTATGAACTTAGTAGCAGTAGCGATGAAGAAGAATTAATGAATGTAAAGAATACTACTACCTCGGCTACAACTACTGGATATCAATATACGGAAGAAGATAGTTCCATTATCGACTTACATATAGCTGAAGCTCAAGTACATTTATAGTTTTTCTACTTTTACGTATAGAAGAATAATTACGGTATATGATAATTTTATAAAAATTATAAAATCTGTAGCGCTTAATTAGAAAAAAAGTATCGCGAAGATCATCAAATGAAAAATTTAGAGTACCATCTCTAATTGATACTAGTATAGAAGCAACCAATACACCATGGGAAGGAAATTACAGGGGATGCTTGGAAACAAGAAAGGGTTAAAAGGAGCATTGGCAAGACATTCAAGTTATGAAGCCAAGAAAAAGCAATTAGCCAAATCACTTGAAATTCAGAATGATCAAAAGCTTCAAAAAGAGAAACAAATCAAAAGAGGAGGTAACAATAATAAACAGAAGCAGCAGCAACAACAACAACAACAACAAGCTAATCAGAAGGGATTGATTCCATTTACTAAGGATAATAAAGTCTTACTTGTTGGAGAAGGTGATTTTTCATTTGCAGTGTCTATAATAGAAGAGAATTTGATTCTTCCTCAGAATTTACTTGCAACTTCATTTGATTCATTAGAAGAATTAAACCAGAAATATCCCAATATTGAAGAAAACCTCGCCGTATTAAAGGAAAATGGAGTCAAAGTCTTACATAGTATCGATGCTACAGATCTTGTCGGTTCACTTAAATTAATCCCTAATAGTAAACAAAAGAAATCAGGAACAAATCATCATAATCAATTATTTACCGAACGAGGTAATTTGAATTATATAATGTTTAATTTCCCTCATACTGGTCGTGGGATGAAAGATATGGATAGAAATATACGAGACCATCAAAAGTTGGTTCTTGAATATATCAAAAGTTCCATAGAGGTGTTCAAACTTGTTAACAGTGGTATCACCAATGATTTCGGAGGGTATGGTGAAAGTAGTGATAGTAATAATCAAGAAGGAAAGATCGTCTTGAGTTTATTCGAAGGTGAACCATATAATTCGTGGAATATAAAGATCTTGGCCAGAAGTCATGATTATAAAGTGGAGAGATCTGGAAAATTTGATTGGACTATGTTTCCACAATATCATCATAGAAGAACTAATAGTACAAGGGATACCACGAAACCTGCTCCTGAAAGAGATGCTAGAATATATGTATTTGAAAAATTCAAACCCAAAACTAAATCTAAAAAGGGAGAAGATGAAGATGATTCAGACTAATTAAATAAGAAGAACTTGTATATTATTAGTTTACCAACCATTTTATAGAGGTAAATGAAAAAAGAAATTTATTAAAAGAGAACAAAACAAGATAGAGCAGAACATAAACATTAGAGACGTAACATGTAGAGAAGAGTAATAATAGCCTGAACACCATAAAAGAGAACCGATACCTAAAAATATAACCATAACCAGGAACCAAAGGTCAATAAGTGACCTGCAAAAGCAAACAAAGGTATATAAAAAGAAGAGAGATGACAAATGGGGGAATAGAAGAAATAGAACTTATGCTGGATAAACTCTCACACAATTATCAATTAAGAAGATTTCTCTAGTTAATGGATCTTTGATCTTATTCATTCTAAGGAGGGTATTCTTTTCTGATAAGAATTTTTCTGAAGGATTCAATAACTTATCAAATGGATAAATGTTCCCATTAGGTAATTTGAATGGATTATCAAAGATATTCGTGATTAATTCAGCATATGGTAAGTTTCTACTTAATTTGAATAATTCTGGCGAACACACAGGACAATTATTAATCTTGTTTAATAATTTATAATATTGATTTGGACCTCTATATTTCTTGTTAGTCAATACTGCAAGATCTTTCTTGTAAACATTTTCATCATTCGCCGTCTCCTTGGTGGACTCTGTTTCATTGGTTGCAGGTACATTTCTAAATATGGTATTTTCAGTATTATGATAACAAGATTTTGTCTTTAAACTTGATAACCCAGCTGATAAATAAACGAAAATTGGATAATTTTTAGAAATTCCATAAAGCTTGGTGAAGTTTTCAATAAAACATTTTGACAAACTTTCCCATCTTTCATCAGATAAGAGCTTTTCATATTCATGGAATCTTGGTGAATTGATTAACATATTACTTGAAAATTCATTTTGAGCAGTACCAATAATGACACTATTGTTATTATTACCGTTAGCACTACTTCTCAACCTTGATGACATAAGTCTATTGGCAGTATTGGCAAATATACTTGCAGCTGGTGTGTTGTTGCTGTTATTCTTTGTATTCAATGATAAGTAAACTAATAATCCTCCAATTTGTTTCATCCTTGAGAAGTTATTTGTGTGATTTATTAGATCATTTTGTTGGTAGTTATCCTTATTACCATATGGAGAAAGATAAATATTGGAGAATTTAATAGCTTCATTAACATCACCCTTTTCAATCAATGATAGGAATTTACAATAATTAATCTCAAATTCTAAATTCGAATTCAACTTTTTTAATAAATTCTTGTTCTCGCTAAACCATTCGATAATTAATGATAAATCATGATGTTCCATAATTGATACATAAACCTTATTAAAATTTTCAAATAAATCATAATCAATTAACTTTTTATACTTAGGATTGGATTCGGATAAACTGTTCAACAACACTAATCCGATATTTTCTCCTGTACCAGTGTTGGACTTGATCAAATAATCAATGATTAAAAGATTGGTTTGATCACGATACCAATTTATTAAATTTGGATCACGGAGGTTGAGGTATTTATCATTGTCGTCCTTTGGAGGTGCTGCAGTAGATTCTTCCTTCTCATCATCATGATCATGGTGATCATCTTCATCGTCGCCATCTTCTTCGCCATCTTTTCCTCCTTTACTTTTAGTAATTGGAGTCTGGTCTTGAGCTAAGCAATAATCATTCAATAATGATAAATGATCAATTCTAGCTATGATTCTTGATTGTAATTCTTGATCTCTTTCTATAGCCACTTTCAATTTCTTTTGGAATCCTTCGAAATTACGAATGATCTTTTGAATCATCCCTAATTTCATCTCCTTTGACAATTTGGGATTCTTTCTAATCTTAGATACATCATCAGTTAACTGTTTCTTTTCCTTTTCTATCAATTTTTGGATCGTCTTAAAGTTCTTCTTAATCAATTCATTGGGGATTTTGAATTGACTGATATTGGTCTGAACATGGAAGTTCAACGTAGGTTCATTCATGACTTGACCCCCTTTGTTGTTCCCTTCCTTCATAACTATTGAAGTTCTATCATCAATTGTGATATAAATAGATTTGTCCCCTCTCTCTTTTTTAATGTGGAGCAGGGATATGTATGACACCCCCAATCAATTAAAACATCCGCACCGCGCTGCTACCATATTTTTTTTACACAATTACAGAAAGAATAAATCATATCAAATCATTCATTACAAATACAAGAAGGAAAGTCTAATACGAGAATCATTAAATCTAAACGGGGTCTAAGATTGTAAGAGAGTTTTACTTTTGGGGATGGTACCGTCTTTCAAGCCGTAGAATAATCTTTCAATGGATTGTATACCAGTTTCAACATCACTAAGGTAAGGTTCATCAAATTCTAATGGATTGTATCTTCCTTCAGGAGCATATTGGAATAAAGGATCAATGATACCAGCTTTAGCTTGTCTATGAGTATAATAATGGAAAGAAATATTATTTTTGGTATCATGAAGGTGATCTTCTTCCCACTTTTGTTGCTCTTGTTTGGAAGGTAGAGTCTTACTACCAGACCACACACCAGCAATAGAAGCAGCACTTGATTCAATGGTGTGGAAATTCAATGTCGATAATGTTACACCAACTGTAGCTAGGGTAGGATCATCAATGGAAAATGTGTTGTAGTAGAGACCACTTACTCTTGAAGAATTCGAAGGGTTTATAACTTTGACACCTTCATGATTTTGGTCTAAAAATGGATAATTGAAATGATATCCAGTTGTGAAAAGTACTTCATCGAATCCCTTTTCGGAAGCACCTTCCTTAAAGAAGAATTCACCTGTGACAGGATCAATTCTTTCAATAGTACCCCTGGAATCAATACCTTTAGAAACTAATGCATCATTGATCCATGGAAATACAAGATGTTTACCTCTTTTAGAATTAACCACATGTTTGGCAACAGGTACAATATATTGTAACAGATTAATGGTACTTATACTACCTCCTACTATCAAAACCTTCTTATCTTTATAATCATGTTGATTTCTATAATTCTTAACGTGATTCAAAACACCAGGAAAGTTTTTGTTAAATTGAGATAATCCTTCAATACGAGGGATATTTGGAAGGGTATAATGACCGTTAGAAATCACAACACCATCGAATTGTTCATTATACCAATATTCTTTATTGTGAATAGGATCTTTTTGTCTCACGGTCACAATCCATTTTCCATTTGGTGTTTTGGTAACTCGTTCAACCGTAGAATTAACTCTGATATTATCATATAATTTTTCATCTTTGATGAATTTCTCAAATCTACCAGTTTGTTCTTGGTGATGTATGAAAGGGTAGATGGTTCTACTTCGATCAAGATATTCTGGTTCATTTTTGATATATGAAAATCTCATGTATCTCGAAGGAATATTAGAAAATAAATCAGGGAAAATACCAGAAGCCTTCCATTCTAAATCACTGGATAACTTATTCTCTTTCAATTCCAAAGGCTTTTCAAAACTTGTTCCTTCTAACCCTTCTGGTACTTTAGCAGGAGGATGAATCACACTTGCATCATTATATTTTTCAGTATCCAAGATTTCTTGAGGTGGAATAGCTAAATCGGTTTTATCAAATGAAGGAGGAGCTGACCATATCCCTCCAGCAGTATCCTTTTGTTCAAAAGCAACGACCTTGGTAAACTTTGGATTAGTCGAAACAGCTTGTCCAACTGTTGATGTTCCATCTTTATTAGTATGAAGAAATTCATATAATGATGCAATTCCACCTGGACCTGCACCAATAATAGCAATTGACTCGATATCTAATTTGGTCATTACTATAATGTTCTATACCAAAATATCTAACTTGTATAAATGAATGATTTTCTAAATTATTTATATTAAATTGACGAAAGAGAATTTAACTTCAACACTATTTGATTATGAAAATTTTGAAAGTGGTTCCAAAATTGTACGATCCAAATATTAAACTGTGGCTGCGGAGAAAAATCAGGCTTTAAAATTTGATTTTTGAGATAATCTTAATTCTCAATGGTTTGTTACTGAGATATAACTTGATTTTGATGGTAAAGTAACCATTCTAACCGTATCAGATATTTATTACGCTATAGATCGTTGAAAATCCCGAAAGGTAGACTCGATATCGATATATATTGATTAATCTAGCACTTCAGGAGATTGAGATAAGGAAATATTCCCTAATTAGGTTACATTGTTGCTACCACCTTACAATACTTTTATCAAACATATTTATTACTAGTACATCGCTATATATCTAAAACAGAATTAAACATCTAAGATTGTAAAACAGTCTTACTCTTGGGTAAAGTTCCATCTTTCAAGCCGTAGTATAACTTTTCAAGATTATTTACTCCAAGTTCAATTTCAACAAGATGAGGTTCATCCTTCTCTAATGGGTTATATCTACCAATTGCAGCATATTGATATAATGGATCAAATCAGGTTTAGCACTTTTATGAGTATAATAATGGAAGAATAAATTATCGGCCGTCTTCTTAATTTGAACTTGTTCCCATTGTAATTGTTCTTGCTTGGTAGGTAAAGTTTTCTTACCTGACCAAACACCAGCAACAGCAGCGGCACTTGCTTCGATGGTATGGAAATTCAATGGAGAGACAGCAACACCAACGGTAGCTAAAGTTGGATCTTCAACTGAAAAAGTATCATAATAAAGACCACCAACTCTGGAAAGATTAGATGGATTAATAACTTTCACACCACCATCTTCATGATTTAAAAATGGATAATGGTAATGATAACCAGTAGTTAAAATAATTTTATCAAATCCCTGTTCTGAACTACCATCTTCAAAGAAGAATTCTCCAGAAACTGGATCAATTTTTTTAATAGTACCCTTAGGCTCAATACCTTTCGAAACTAAACCGTCATTAATCCATTCAAACACATAATGAGGACCTCTCTTTGAATTAATCACTTGTTTAGCAACTGGAACCACATACTGTAAGATATTAACAGTACTGATACTACCTCCTACAATTAAAACCTTCTTATCTTTATATTCATCTTGATTTCTGTAATTTTTGGTATGATTTAAGACTCCAGGAAAGTTTTTATTGAATTGGGCCAATCCATCAATATGGGGGATGTTAGGAACAGTATAATGACCATTGGAGATCACAATAGCATCAAATTTCTCAGTATACCAATGTTCTTTATGGTTAGTGGTATCCTTTTGTCTAACAGTTAATAACCATTTCCCATCTGAAGTCTTGGTAGCTTGTTCAACGGTAGAATTGACTCTAATATGATCATATAATTTCTCATTCTTGATAAATTTTTCTAATCTACCAGTTTGTTCTTGATGGTGTAAAAATGGATAGATGATTCTTTTTTCATCAAGATATTCTGGTTCATTGTCAAGATAAGAAAATCTTGTGAATCTTGAAGGAATATTAGTGAATAAATCAGGGAAAATACCAGAAGCTTTCCATTCTAACTCGTTAGATAATTTATCTTCCTTGACTTCCACTGGTTTTTCAAACGTTGCATGTTCCAATCCAGTTGGAATCTTAGGTAAAGGATGAATAACACTTGGATCATTATACTTTTCAGTATCTAATAAATCTTGAGGTGGAATAGCTAAATCTGGTTCAAAAGTAGGTTGAGCAGACCAAATCCCACCTGCTTTATCCTTTTGTTCAAAGGCGACAATCTTTTTGAATTTGGGATTGGTGGATTGATGTTCACCAACAGTTGATGTACCATCCTGATTGGTATGAAGAAATTCATACAAGGATGCAAGTCCTCCTGGTCCTGCTCCGATTATAGCAATTGATTCGATATCTAACTTAGTCATGATCTAATATTTATCTAATTTCAGTCACAACACTCTAAATCATTTCCAAACAGGTAGCAGGGATATTATTCACGTTTATATATATAAATTTTTCATAAACCATTCCAATCCACCACAATCCCCATTCATTAAACGAAATCAATCAAACTGTGGCTGCGAAATAAAACATTAAGCGCTAAAAAAACTTTAAAATTCACTTATCATCATCCCCTACTCACCAGCCGTAAGAACTTACTGTCACTTGCAGTTTTCTCTTTTTAGTCTTGATGTTTCATATCCACAGTGAATGGTTAGTTATCCACAGTGTTGAAACCTCATGTTTGAAATTAATCAATTTGCATTATACTGGTGTGAATTATGATGATAGTCATTGGTGCGACCCGACCCGATTGAATCAATATAACGCTTATTCTAACTTACATTCGGATAACAACTTTCAATTATGAGCCACTCTTCGACATATTACGAATTATATAATTTTGATTGATAAAGAGTTATTAAATGTATGAATGTATTTTATTATATAATTTTATAGAAAATCTATGATATAAAACAATAAAAGAAATACAAAATATGTTAAACCTTAAAAACTAAAACAAAAATCAAACCTAATAATAATAATAATAATAATAAATAGAAAGTATAATATGTTGGGGGAGAATTGTTTGATATATGACTAACATCCTGTTAATTTATTGGTTGGGAATGTATAACCACCATCTTCGAATGATGTTAAATTCACATTTTCATAAATATTCAAATGTTGAGCGATATATTCAGCAGTTGGATAATCAGCAGGATCACAACCGACATTGGTTTCATTAGCAGGTTGATATACTCTAACGTAATCAATCGACATAGTGACAGGGAAATTTATAGATGGCCAATTTATATAAGCCCAATTATTTGAAATACCAAGATTCATAATAATTGACATTGGTTCTTTGGAAATTCTTCTCCAATTAATATTACCATTTGGATGTAAAGCAGTAGCATGAACAGTAAGAGTAGGATCATTTCCTACAAACCATTGAATATAACCAGTGTCATCATCATTAAGAAATTCATAACCATAATGTTGATAATTAGTAACTCCATCAACACTTCTTTCATACCAAGTTTCATTTAAAGTTGTAGTGGCTGATAAAGCTTGTTGAAATGGACCACCAGCATAAGTATTCATAGTAGTAATTGATAAATTATAAATTTCAACAAAATCATAATCTGGAATATACCAAATATCCATAGGAGCCAATTGTAATGATTGAGATGCAACTCCTAATGATTCACCATTTGGTAAAGTACCAACTTCAGCTTCAATGGCATCAATTTCAGGAGCACCTCTACCAACCCCAGGATTTGGATGGGATTGACCAGGACATGTACAACTATTTAATCTTTGACCTGGTAAATATGAAATACCATCGGGAGATGATTGATTGGCAGTTATACCAGCATCACAAGCTTCATAAGAATAAGGCCAAACCCCTTCGGTAGTAGCTAAATAACCTGGTCTACCTAAATTACCCATAGTCCATAAACCAGGCCATAACCCTGAAATAGTACCATAATTTGGTAAACGAGCAGAAAATTGAATCATACCTTGAGTAAAACAAAATTGATTCCAACTTTGTAACATACCTGATCTATAAAATAAATTATGATTTTGATAAGCATCCATTCTTAAAGTGGCAGTACCATTTGCCGTAGTTACCGCATCAGGACTATACCATTCTAAATCTTTAGTAGCATCATAATGTAAATCTGGAGCAGTAAAGAATTGATCATCACCTGGATAAAAAGTACGACCTTCAATATTAAATTCATCACTAAATACTAAATTCCAAGTATCACCATTTCTACTTATATGAGTTAAAGCATCTTGAGGAGTATCAGGATCGACTAAATCGGTACGAATAGCACTTAATAAAGGATATTGATAATGAGTTAAAATTTCATAAGCTTGAGGTTTATAACCTGAAGTTATACCTGAATAAGTTAAAGCAGGTAAAATGACAAATATAGCTGATGCACCTAAAAATAATACAATAAATCCAATTAAACCACCGATAGAACGTTTATCCATATGTTTAAAATCATGAGCAAATCTATTTTTATCATATTCTGCATCAGCAATTGGATCAGGATTATGTAAATAATCATCAGGTTCCTTTTCATCAATATGTAATGGGAATGAAGTGGCAGGATATCCACCAAATGGAGAAAAATCCCCTCCACTATTTAAAAATGGATTTGATGCTGATTTATTTGAAGTTGATGAAGATTGATCATCATCACCATATTGGGATGTAGCTTGGGATTGACTATTTTGAAGCTGTTGAGCTTGAGGAGGATATAAATGAGATGATAAACTTGTGGTTGATACAACTCTTGAACCTGCCATAGAAGGATATCTATCGAATTCTGGAGGAACATGAATATTATTATTATTTAAGGATGAAGAATTTTGAATATTAAGATAAGATTGATGTTTTGGAGATGTGATTTGATCTTCAGATGAACTATTTTCATGAGATAATAAATGAGATGAAGTACCATTTTTTGAATAATAACCACTATAAGCATTAAATTTTCCATATTGATTATCAATATTTGAAGATGAAGGAGGTTGAACACCAGAGTTAGTGGAATATCTTGAAGAAGAATTAATGGAGTTTTGATCGATTAATAAAGACCTATTTTGATTTGGATCATTTGATACTTCATTTTGAGAAAGGAAAGGGTTTGAAGATTGATTATGGGATGCTTCAAAGTTTAAATCTGAGTTATTATCATCAGATGACAGTATATTAGGATGATTTGGATTATTGGATGTTAAATCTCTAGCCATGATGATAAAGTTGTGATGGATATTATTAACGATAGACTAAGTGAGGGAAGGAGGGTATATATGTGTTAAATGTGAAATAATGATGATTTGGTATGAGTATAAGATGATTCTATAAATAATGGATGAAGTTGAGTGGCTTGATCTAATGCAAGAGGGGTGATAAATATTAGAAAGGGGAAAGATCAAGAACTTATCCAAAGGGATATAAGAAAAGGATGAATGATGAAAAATGGTATCTTTAATGAACTCAACCACAAACAAACGATGATGGGTTTAAAATGAATAAGAAAAAGAAAAAGAAAAAGAAAAAAAAATAATGGTGTAATGTGATCGGTAATTGAACTATAATTAGTGAAAGTTAAGAGTGAAGATCAGACCAGACTTGGGGATGGTTGGTTGATTGGATTGGATTGGAATGAGTTGGGTTGGGTTGATTAAAAGAAGTTGATATACAAAGGAGTAAGAAGAAGAAGAAGAAGAAGTTATAAGTAAGTATAAAGTTGTTATTATTATTATTACCAGGACCACAAGCCCATCCATTTCATTGAGGTCAAAGTCAGTCAGTACAACTACAATTTCACGCCCATTAAGAAAAAAAATATCTACGTACATCTGAGCACATTTGCAAGGCTAAAAATAAAAATTTAATGATTTTGTACTATATAAACTGTCTGTCTGTCTGTCTGTGTCTGTATGATTCTTATTGCTAAATTGAAAAAAAAAAAAAAAAAGAATGAGAAAATTTTTTATTCATCGAGACTAAAACAGACAGACACAAAAAAATTTCTTTTTAATTTGTCCCACTCGCTCTTTACAATGACTGTCAGTCTCATTCAGACAGACAAAAAAGGATCTATTTTGATTCTGATTCTGATTCAGGATCACAAACAAAAAAAAGAAATTAAATTAAAAAAAAGGTAAACAAAACAAAAAAAAAAAATAATTAATTAATTAAATTAAATTTAAATTTAAAAATAAAAAAGACAAAAAAAGATTTCGCGTCGTTGCTCTTGGTGGTGGTGGTACCTGTCGTAATAGAATTTATACAGATTAGATATCCTGATATAGGGGGATATCTAATAACATAACAAACACGATGTAATCAACGTCATAGTATGTGTAACCAATCATCATTCAATTGATTCAACCCATCACCACATTACCTTTTGATCCCCTTAATTAACAATATAAAAATAATCCAGTTGTCAATTACTACTTACTTCCTAGACTTACTCGCTACAGTGGAAAAAGGGGTTCAACTTTTTTTCTAATCAGTTTTACTTATAAATATAAATAATCTTTTTTGATCTAATTTGAATTGTCTTAATTTGTCTTGTCGTTTACCGAATTAAGATAATCTTTATGTCTCTTTTTTAGGTTTGAGGAGGAGTCTTGTCGTCGTGTGGGATAAATCATGTATTATGTCATAACCATTTTCATCCTTCCCATAACTTCCTTAAAATACCTCTATTCAATTCAACTCAACTCAGCCATCAATTGCATAATATATATTCTAACTTACAGTACCACAGTTTTAGCTAATTAATTCCAAGCCATTTTATTCATTTTATTTACTTATTTACTTATTTACTTATTAACTATTAATAGTAATATTGTAACCTCAATTGGCGTGTACAATGCAATTAAACTTAAGCATTCCTTTATAAAAACTTTAACAATAACTAAATGAAACAGCAGTTAGTCGGTCGGTGTATGACGCTTTTGTTTTTTTTGTTTTTTTTGTATTGCATTATTTTTGTGTCATAATTTATAACGAACCGAATCAACTATGATAGTTCATAGCATCAATTGACAGAAGTCTTACTTAAAGTGACTTCAGCATACATAATATCGATTAGTATATCAAGTAATTAAGTTGAACATTACTGTATAGTTTATCTTCAATTGACCCTTGTTTGTAGTTATCATACCCGTATGATTTTATTTCATCCATTTTTAATTATTTTTGGCTAAAATTTAGTTTAAGTTGTTTGAATTACATTTAGTTGAGTTAAACTGATTTGCATTTAGTTAGGTATTTAGGTACTTCAGATTATTAAAAAGTGATTAATATCGAATTAATCGCCTTCTATAAAATATCCCCACATAATACAATTATCTTATCAGCAAAGATGTACGTTAAAATTAGAACCAAAAAAAAAGCTTCTAATTCTATTTTTAGCGATTTTGATCTAAAAGGATTTTTGATTTTGCAGTCAGTAAAACAATATAATTTCAATAATTCTAATCTAAGCAACTTCTCTTCATCACACACCATCAACCATGGATAACAACGCTCAATTTCTTTCTGATTATTTTCATTTGCTACCTAATGATATCATAATTCATATCATTAATTTACTCCCTCCTCAGTTAGTTGAATGCTTGATGACTACAAATGGGTTTGATCATCAAGTTTATCACGAATTTTTAAAGAATATTATTGTATCTACAGCATTAAGGAATAATAAAGTGACATTAAATTCTGTTTTTGGGAGTAATGATACAATAATTAGTTTGGAAAGTTGGCCAACACATTGCATTCCCCATAGTGTTCATATTATTGGAAAAGTTGATGAGATTGAAAATTATATAACTCAAAATTTCAATTATTTAAAGCCCATAAAAGATATTCGAATTTGTATATATATCCAATTAGGCGGTACTTTGAATATTAACAGTTTTTGCAAATTAATTCGTTTTCCAAATTTGTCATTATTAACGATTAAATTTTCTTTACAAAATCGGCAAGATATAAAGATATCAGAACTTGAAGTTATGTTTAAAATTGAATCAAATAAAGACTATTTAAAGCCCTTTTTAAGGTTTGCTCAAAATATAAGCAAATGCAAATCCTTTCTTACGATAACTCAACATTAACCAACAACATGCAATTCTATTTCTTGTAGCTATGTTAATCAATTTACTTTAGTTCATGGTTATGATTTGCATGAGTTGTCAATTAAATGGGTAGGGTTCAGTTCCACTTTTTCGGATTTTAATACATTAGAAAGTATTACCTTGAATGGAAGCCATTTAGTAGAGTTTCCGGATTTATCATTTAATTGGCCAACTAATATAAAGTCAATTGTTATAGTAAACACTTCTATAACTGATGATACAATAGCTAAATTTTCCAATTGGCCTGCTGGATTAGAATCATTAACTTTAAAAAACAATCAAATCTCTAAATTTAGCAGTATTGGTGAATTACCTGAAAATTTGAAGTATTTGGAAATAGGCTCTGAACCTACATCGTTTAGGGCTATTCCAATTCAAGTTGAAAATATTGGCCAGTACGAATGTTATTATAATTTTCCAAAATCCCTAACAACCTTGAAATTAGAAGGTATAGAATTTTATAAATATCCTAATTGTTATATCGAATTTCCACCAAATCTAAAACGATTAGAAATGACACGATGTTTAAAATCAATAAATCACTGTAATTTCCCGCCATCATTAATATATTTAGAATTAAGCCATAATGAAATCGATGAACTAATCAGTTTTAAAAACTGGCAGCAACTTATTAATCTTAAAACTTTAAAACTTTCTAATACTTATTTAACTCGAAATTCAGTTCTTGATTGGTTACCACCCAAGAATATAAATTATCTCGATTTAAGTTCAACTAAAATCAATAGTTTAAATATTGCCATTTTCAAGGAAGAGAATAAAACATTTACTCACAGTTTACTTGTCGTAAATTTTGCATATTGTTTTATTCCTTATGTTCCTCATGACTTTTATTTACCTGAAAATGTTTATCAGTTTAAATACAGTAAAGGATACTTTATACTGATAAATGCACATGTAATTATAAGTAATAAGAGAATGCATACAAAACTTTCTGCGACATAAAACACCAAATCACTATATACTTTATTTATCTCAATTATAATATATTGTAAAAAATCACGAGTATACTTTAAGTTTAGCAGATTAAAATTAGAAAAAAGATTTTCAAATTTTGCAGTCAAAACTTAGCATAATAAAAATGTGTATATAAAAACAAACCTTGAATCTCAAAAACTCAAATTCAAATACAACTCTTTATCAAATATACTTTCAATGATAGTCAACAGCATTAAATTTCTTAAATATTATTTTAGATTACTTCCCAATGATATCCTAATTACTATCATTCATTTCCTCCCTCGTGAATCAGTGGAACATTTGATGAACTTAGATATTTTTGAATCTCAAGTCTATCATGAATTCCTAGATCATATTGTGATTTGTCCCCCTCATAAGAATACGACTATATTAGCGGTAGGTTCAACCTTTGATAGTTACCATGAACCATTTACTCATGATACGAAAATCACTTTGGATAGTTGGCCATCCTATTATAAGCCCAGCTGTGTTTATCTTGATGGGACCTTTGAGAAAGTCTCCATATATATAGCTAATAATTTCCAAGTTTTAAAATCCATACAAGATGTTCGTATTTCAGTAGCTATCAATTTGGAAGATGTTATTGATGTCAAAAAGCTCTGCAAGCTAATTGTTTTCCCAAACTTGACAGTATTCACTGTTAAGCTCACTTTAGAAGAATCAGAATTTGTCAGTACAATTAAAATTGAACCCAAGAAAGATGATTTATATTTATTACGGTTTTTAACTTTTGCAGAGAATTTAAACAACTTCAAACCCTTACCCAAGCTAGTGCAAAACTTACCAAAAATATTTACTTCTATTTCTTATAAATGTCTTAGTAATATCAATGTTGATCATTTAACAAATTTAAGAGATTTATCAATCACGTACCCAAAGACTGATTTCACGTTAGGCCGTTTACCGGAATCCTTAGAACATATCACTATCAATGGAAGGTACGGTTTAAAGTTTTCTTCATTACACTATAATTGGCCAAGTAAGTTAAAATCGATTGTTTTGGTGAGTACTCGTATCGACGACAATATGCTAGTTAAATTTTCCCATTGGCCTACTGGATTAGAATCATTAACATTGAGAAATAATAAGTTCACTAAATTTAGAAGTATTGGTGAATTACCTGATAGTTTGACATATTTGGAAATAGGTATTGAACGTCATTTAGAAGATAGTATAAGAATTTACCCTAATCTTGTGCATAATCATGAATTTTATGTGCATAATCGTGAATTTTATTACACATTTCCAAGCTCATTAATAACCATGAAATTATCAAACGTAAAATTTTATCATGATCCCAAATGTTTCATTGAATTCCCATCGAATCTAAAACGATTAGAAATGATAAAATGTTTAAGCTCGATAAACAATTGTATATTTCCAGCTTCATTAACCTATTTAGATTTAAGTTATAATGACCTTGATGATTTAACCTTCCATGAAGATTGGCAACTGCTAGATAATCTTCGAACTTTGAAACTTGTTGATAATCATTTAAAATTAGCAATTTCAGATTGGTTACCACCTACGAATTTAAATTATCTTGATTTAAAATCAACTAAAATCGATAATTTTGATATTGCCATCTTCAAAGAAGAGAATAAACCATACACTGATAATTTACGTGTCTTAGATATCTCTTATTGCATGATTAAGAAAGTTCCTGATGATTTTTATTTTCCAAAGAATATCTACAATTTTGATACAAGCACAACATACTTTGTACTCCCCCGTCCACTAATCATACGTAATCAGAGAATAAATATAGAAGTTGGTCCACAAAGGAAACCTGATGACTTTTAATTTTACAAAATATATATACACATCTATTTATCCCCATTATATACAATACCATGAATATCAGATTTTTCTTTATGTAATTGAGTCAATTCATCAATCACGGATTCAGACGTTAAGGAAAACTCATTCTCAATAAGATTGATTAAATTTATAATCCCATTGTTTATAACTCCAATAACCACATTTCGATTAGATTGTTTACTAGTCTTTCCATATTTTAATAAATTATCTCTCTTTTTCAAATATTCGATATTATTCAATTGAGCCGTATTTAATTTTGATTGATTTGATTTTTGTCGTTGATCATATTTCAATTGTCGTTTTGAAATCATCTTATCGTTCTTCTTGATAACAGGTGGTGTGGGGATTTGGGATGGTTGTTCAAAGGGGAATCGATATTCTATGGTATTTACTAATCGTTGTATAACCTTTAAAGTAGGGAATTTAACTTTATCAGTATTGACTACTACAATTTGATAATCGGGTAATTGACTTGGATTCAGTTTTGAAAATTGGCTGCCTGGCTTCCAAACGTTAAATGATATCTTATAGTCGTCCAAAGTAGTAGAAGTAGTAGTTGTTGTCGTGTTGATGGTTTTCCTTAAACTATCATATATTTGATATGTAGGAATTAATCTTAATGATTTGAAAATATCAATAACTTTGAAATAATGAGTAGTTAAATAATGTAAGGAATGAGTAGGTGGAAAAGGTCTCCAAAATGATTGTATCCATTTCTTCCAATCCCATCCCCATGATATGATGCTTCTTGATTGACCTTTACTTGATTCGTACTGTTCTAATCTTTTCCATTGTGGTGGTTGTTGTTTCTTGGGATCAACTTCAAGTATTAAATATCCATGTCTTTTTAAATATGAATAAACCTGATATTTATCAATCGTATATCTCTCGTTTATAAATGCTAAGGAATATAATAATTCCAAATCAACAGGGACCAATTCCTCTTCAATGTTAAACTCTCCTTCTTCCTCATCTTTTAAGTAGTTTGTAAATTTCTCGTCACCAAGATATATAATCATTGATCCTCTTTCCACTAAATAAACCGTCTCTATAGGATTCAACCGTATACAATTCTTATATCGACGATTAGGATATGCTTTACCAATATCACGGAAATAATTCCCCTTCATGAACGGTATAATTGAATATCCTCCATCTTCTTCATCTTCAATCCATATTGATAATAATTTCTGCTTGAGATGATGACCACGAACTCCACTAATAGCATCATACATGGCTTCTCTACTTTCTTGTAAAGTAGAAGTCTGGATATCTGTATTATCAGGTTCAAAATCTTTATCCCCTCTCTTCGGTATACCTGATGTTCCATTGGTATTATTACTATTGTTGGCACTTCCTAATGATCTGGTTAATATTTTCCAATCGGGGGTTTCATCTTCTATATCATAGTTATTTTCAATGTCATTCTTATTGATGTTTGATTCATCGTCGTCTATCTCATCCTGTAGATGTAGCTCTTTCTTGGTCATTATCAGTTGATATTCATTGGCATTTCCATTTACTGTCTAGGATATTGCAAAATTTATTCACTACAAATTTGATGGATGTGATCTTTTGCTATTTTTGTGTGTCATGAAAAAAAATGAAGTCGTACAGAAAATTTTTGATCTCAGTTTACAACAGCCTTATTAATACAGCCAAACAGTCAATCAAGTCAGTCAATCCAGACTTAACACATATACATAAAAAGATACATACCATCACACGATGACTGAACAAAGTATAACGTTCGATGTCGTAGTAAGTACTTCCATTCATATCTTATTTGAGAGACATCTAATATTAACCCATAAATAGGCGGAATCATTATTTGAAGATATGATAAGTATAATCATTCGACAACAGACCTTACAAGCCTTAACCAATCATATCTCCCGAACACAACAAACATCATCGATACCTACAGCTCAAACCTACACCAAGGAATTCAATCAAAGAGATCCTAATAAAGATATTTTTGGTCAAGATAAAATCAAATTAAAAACTAGTGAAACATCACGATATTTCCCTTGTGAAAATTGTGGAAGGAAAATTGCTGGTAGTAGATATGCTCAACATATAAATAAGTGTCTTGATAGGAAACGGAAATGGTAATTGAACCACTACTATAATAAATTCAGTTATGGTATAGCCTTAGCCTAAATGGGGGGTCTATTTGTGGTGAAAAATGGATAAGCGCGGAAATGTAAATGTAAATCTAAATTTAAAGCTAAATCTACCCAGTACAAATTAATGATTCTCCTCATAAAAGATTAGTTACAACCACAGATCAAATAAGATATACAATACCAGTGGATAAGAAGTAACAAAGACAAAGATAGAAGACCAAACCGGGTTTATAAAGGTATACCCATTTCCAGAACTTAGAATAAGCCCGGAATTATAAAGATGTTTCCATGGCTAAACGAACCTCAATTCGGACTTTAACCAAAAATTTAAGGTTCTATTTCTATACATGAATTATTTTAAGGTAGTGGAATGGGATAGTGGGGAACAGTTCAATTTTAATTTAACGAATTGATTTTCAAATTCAGGATGGATAAAGGATAAAATGATTATCGATTTGAAAAATTTATGGTCTATTATCGTCTCATTTTGTGGGCTTTAATTGGGTTGGAGGGGTTGTAACTTATCTAGTATATGTTTATTAAGTATGATTAAATAGGTCAAAATCAATAGTATTTTCAGGTTAGTTCAGGTCAAGTCAATTCAATTGTAGTTATATGGAGGCGATAGATATGCATTAAACAAAACAATGAATCAATATGAAATTGATGGGATAATTTAAGTTACCCATACCAAATTTATTTAGTGAGAGATTGAAGGTGCGAGGGAGTGAAAAAAATAATGTGGGGTAAAATTTTGAAGTGCGGAAGGAAATCAAAGCTTAGGGAAAGGGATATCAAAACAACAGTATAAATATGGTGTAACATACCTTTATTTCATCTTTATAGATTATGATTTCATAGTAATTAACGAACTAACTAATTATGACTAACTTCAAATCATACCCACTTTACGATAGTCTGCTTTCCAAACATCAAGCTATCAACAATTTACCCTTTGATGATGATATTTATGATAGTATTATTTCAAAACCATCAAATAATGAGAAATATTCCCCTATCTTCAGGAACAAAACTTCAACTTCAAGATTGATTGAATCAATTCATCCTGATTTAGACACATATCCTAAACTATTCAATAATGCCGTCGAATTATATGGTTCAAAACCATGTCTTGGAGCCAGACCATATAATTATATCACTCATTCCAGTGAAAACCATTTTAAATCTTATACTTATGCTGAAATCAATGAACGCAAAAAGAATTTAGGATCAGGGATTATTCATAGTTTAGCAGCCAATCGATATATCGATGCTAATTTACATCTGCATCGATTGATTTTGAATCATTTGCGGGATTGGTCAAGATATGGCAGTAAAGGTTTTAGTGGAGTTTTAAATACTCATCAACAAATTGAACAAAATACTTCATTTATCTTATCCATTTTTTCTGCCAATCGTTTAGAATGGATCTTGACTGATTTATCATGTTCAGCATATTCAATCACTAATACTGCCTTATATGATACCTTAGGTCCTGAAGTTACGAAATATATTTTAGAATTGACGGCATCACCGATTGTGGTTTGTTCAATTGATAAAATTGAAACGATTTTGAAATTGAAAGCTGAATTTGGTAAGGAATTAGAAAACATTATTCAAATTGTTTCTATGGATCCGATTGAATACCTTCCTACTAATCTTATTACTCAAGCTAAACAATTAAATATTGAAATTCATGATATTTTCCAACTTGAACAATTAGGTTCATCCAAACGTATTCAGGAATTACCTCCTAATAAAGATACGTTATACACTATTTCATTCACATCCGGTACTACTGGATCCAAACCTAAGGGGGCCATGTTATCTCAAACTAATGCTGTAACAGGATTATCATTATTAGCTAGTACTGAACCTCATGCTAGAGGAGATGGATCGAAAGCGTTTATTTTCTTACCTTTGACGCATATTTATGAACGAGAAACAAGTGGATTTGCTCTTTCTACCGGATATTATCTTGGATTTCCTCAATTAACCATCTATAAGAAACAGATTGATGTGTTTAATAATTTACTTGAAGATTTACGAGTTTTCCAACCTCATTATTTTTCAATTGTTCCTCGTATCTTAACCAAATTCGAAGCATTGATAAAGACTTTAATTAAAGATATGAATGATGATGAACAAAGTAAAGTGGGGGAAATTATTGATTGGAAATTATCTCAACAAGCCAAATCAGATGGGTCAACTGGGTTTAATTCCAAATTTGATCATTATGCCCCATATCGATCCATTAAGGAATTCTTAGGATTACAAAATGTTAAATGGTTACAAACTGCATCAGCTCCAGTAGCTCCCTCGACGTTAATTTATTTAAAGGCAAGTTTAAGTATTGGAATGAGACAATTATATGGATTAACTGAAACATTTGGTGCTATTACCAATTCAAATGCTTATGAATGTAACCCTGGTTCATGTGGTGGTATTTCTCCTACGGGTGAATTCAAATTACGTAATGTTCTGGATATGGGATATAATATTAATGAATTAAAAGGGGAATTATTAATTAGAGGTCCCCAAGTATTTCAAGGATATTATCATAATTTAGAAGAAACGAAGAATGTATTTGATGATGAAGAATGGTTTCATACAGGTGATATTGCTCGTATTGATCCTCAAACCGGTAGAGTCTATATTATTGATCGAGTAAAGAATTTCTTTAAATTACAACAGGGAGAATATATCTCACCTGAAAAGATTGAAAATAGGTATTTATCGCTGAATCCATTGATTGCCCAATTATATGTCCATGGAGATTCATTAAAGAATTATGTAGTGGGGATTGTGGGGGTTGAATTTGATAAAGGATTGAAATTCCTTAATGATCAATGTGGATATAATAAATTAGACATTACTCATGATGAATTATTATTTGAATTGAATAAAGTTGATATTAAGAAGAAGTTCCTCAGACATATTAATGAATCAGTTAAGGATAAATTGAATGGATATGAAAAATTACATAATATTCATATTGAAATTAATCCATTAACGGTAGAGAGAGAAGTAGTTACACCTACCTTTAAGATTAGACGTGGTGTAGCATCAAAGTTCTTCTCCACTGTATTCCATCGATTATATGAATTAGAGCAGTCATTATTGGATGATATGAAGTATTTAAAATCGAAATTATAACCGTTTATAAGTGAATAATAATTATATAATATATACAATTGTTGCAAAATAGTTAACCTAATCGCGCTATCAATTACTCGTTTGAGCTCAAATTGCCGTAGATGACTCAAGTCCTGCACATAGCAAATATGGAGAAGAAAAAAAAAAGAAATGAAAAATTTTTGATGAGACATGACAAGAAACTGAAAGCGTCATAGAGATAGAAAGATAACTCTAACTAAAGAAATCTCTTCTGTTGTCATTATTTTTACATCATCATCAACTTTTCATTTCATTTATTCCTTTCGTTTCATATAAGACACTACGTTGAAGATACGATGATGGCACCTCCTCCTCCAATAGTCATCGATGCTCAGGCTGTCAGTGGTATAACTGGTTCTATTTCCATAGCATGTTGGATTATTGTGTTTGCTCCACAGATTTATGAGAATTTTAAACGGAAATCAAGTGAAGGTTTATCATTAAGTTTTATTATATTATGGTTAGCTGGTGATGTTTTCAATGTATTGGGATCAGTATTACAAGGTGTCTTACCTACCATGATCATTTTAGCTATTTATTATACTTTAGCTGATATTGTATTATTATGGCAATGTTTAGTATATGGTAATGGGGATAATAAAGCAGATTTAATTCATTTATCTCCTGCTAATCCTATTAGTGAAGATGTATTGGAAACAGTATTATCAAGAGATAAACATCATCAATCTCATCATATAGTTCAACCATCATCAGAATCATCATATTCTCAAACTGAAATTGAAGAAAATAATGGGGATATTAATAGTACTAGTAATAACAGTACTAGTAACCAAAGTAATTCTAATAATGCCGACTTGGAACAAGGGTCATTAAGTCTTTCATCATCAAGTTCATCATCACAATCATCCACTTCATCTTTATCTACTGTCCAATCCATTTTAGTTAAACTTTTAATGGTATCATTAGTTATCTTAGCTGGTATACTAGGTTGGTATATAACATATTCCAGAGATAATGGTAAACAACATACTAAACCAAAACATCCAAAAGATTTACAATTTGATCCATTAGCTCAATTCTTTGGTTGGTTATGTGCTATCTTATACTTGGGATCTCGTATTCCTCAAATTATATTAAATTTTGAAAGAAAATCATGTGAAGGTATTTCATTTATGTTTTTCTTATTTGCATGTTTAGGAAATTTAACTTATGTGGTATCTATTTTAGCCATTGATATGAGTTGGCATTATTTATGGGTTAATTCAAGTTGGTTAGCTGGTTCATTAGGTACATTTGGATTAGATTTTACAATCTTTGTCCAATTTTTCCTTTATAATGAAAATGGTAATGGTTCATATAGTGAGCTTGAAGAAAGTGAAGAATCTTCCTTATTATCCGAACAACAACAACAACAACAACAAACATATGGTGCTTCATCATCTTAAGACATTTAGATAGACAATCAGAATCAGATCATATCTAATCTAATCAAATCAAATCAAATCAAATCAAATGCCGCTATACCCTATCCTACACTATTAACGAAGAAAAGGTCATGTCATGTACAATTATTTTTATTTTTATTTATATTTATAATGCTTATTTATAATCTAGGTAGATATATAAAAGTTCAATAGAAAAGAACATAGATTAGATATGATAAATTGTAGTTATAATAATAATTATCATATGGTACAAGAAATGAAAAGAAAAAAGAAAGAAATATTCTCGCTTTTAACGTCAAACCCCTCAAAGATGTCACAAACCCAGATGACAAATAATTGGGCTCTAATTTCCGATGGGTCTTTTCTTGTAATTCCAATAATTAATTTGTGTTACGATAAATTTGTTTGGGGTTCAATTCAATCAATCATCAAATTTTAACCCAACCTTAATATTGATGGGACTTTTATAAGTAATTTTGCATCATTTACTTATTGAAGTTATATATATATAATTCATTTATTCTGTTAACCCTTTGTTACAGTGTTTTTGTTAGTGGGGGTTTGTGGTGCGAAACGATTTAGCAACAACAACAACAGCAGCAACCTCTAAGGCAACATGGAGTTTAACAGCCAATCATCATCCATCAATGACGGTGGCAAAAAGAAACGGAATAGACCGAGCTTAGTATGTGTGGTATGTAAGAAGAGAAAGATTAAATGTGATAAGGGTAAACCTTGTTCATCATGTGTTCGAAAGAAGATTGAAAGTTCATGTATTTATGAAGACATCCCTATACCAACCAGAAGTAGAAAACGTTCTAAACTTAATAAAAAGGAAAAAACTCATCCTAGTCCTTCTTCAAGTGATCTGAATCAACATGATGAATATGATGATCATGATCATGATCATGATCGTGATGAAGATGTTGGTGATCATTTAGATGAAAATGAAGAATATACTGGTGTAAGAACATCATCAATATCATCATCTGACAAATCAAGAGTAATCAGTCGGACTAACATGTTTGATCATCTTGACTCCAGTATTAGCCCTGTAAATAATAATAATAATACCAATGCTGATAGTGCCAAAGCTTCTAAAACAGATTCATCGTTAGTGTTAGTATCAAAAGCGGAATTAGACGAATTAAGAGCCAAAGTTCAACGTTATTCCTTAGGTTTGATATCTCCTGCTCGTTCCGAAACATCATTAAATGAATCATCCTACAATAATCAACCTCCATCCGGCCAATCAACTGCACCCACTTCCATCGTATCAAGTCCTGGTTCAGGCCATTATTTGAATAAATTCATGAGTCAAGATCGATTAATGTTATTACAATGTCATGATGTAACTTTACCTGGTCTTGTCCCTGATAAAGAATTACAATGTCGTAATGAGTTCTATTTCAAAAATAAATTTCAAACTGATGTAGTACGTAAGATTGCCCTTAAAGATATTCCAATGCCTGATAATTCACCTCAATCTATAGCTGCATATGCCGTGGGTATAAATCCTTATGATAGTGAAAGTGATACCATTAATTTTTATGAAGATTATGATCCTATTCATATAAAAAGTCAAGATAAAAGAGTTAGTTATGGTCCATTAGCATGGGCTTCAATACAAAGAAAAGATCATACTTTAAGTTTATTAAAACGATATACTTCATCTCCTAAATTCAAAGAGATGTTCGCCATAAAACATCAACTGAAACAACCATCGGTAGCTCCAAGCATATCAAAAGAACCAACCGTAGCAGCTACTTCGACCTTAAATACCACATCAGAAACAAATCAAAATTATGATACTAAATGTGTATTAGTTCAAAACCCAGCTAAAGAACATCAACGAGCATTAAATTTAGATGGAAGTCAATTACCTCATTTTTCAAAAAAAATACTAGAAGAAGATGATGAAATGGTTCCATATGAAATTAAAAAGGATCATCAACCTGAACTGAAGGAACAATCAGAATCAGAATATTTAGGCGTTTACGATAAGAAACCAGCGGTATTGGCTAAAAAGACCTTAAATCTTAATAATAAATTCATTGAAGATCGTGTTTTAACTTTAGGTTTGACTATTCTTGATGGCGATAGACTTGATGGAGAATTGAAATTGATTGAACAAATCCAAAGATTGATACCTAAACGTAAAGTAATCTGGATCTTGGTTAAGCGATTCTTTAGATTGGTTTATCCTTATTTCCCATATATTGATGAAAGTGATTTCCGTAATAAACTTCAAGAAATCATAGGGAAAGAATCGGTGTTTGATGACGCCAAACCAACCGTTAAAGTTCAGAAAAAGACCGATTTTGCTCATCTTGGTATATTGTTTGTGGTTTTAAGACTTGCATATTTATCATTATTCTTTAATAAGAGTTCAATTAATGAAACTATCTTAAGTAAAACTGAACTGTTAACTCCTGAAGAAGATGAACGGAAATATTTATTATTAAATCCAATCAATTTATGTTCTATTGAAGTTGCTCAAACTTGTTTACATCAATTTCAATTATTACGTAAATTAAGTTTACCCATTCTACAAATTGCATTATACTTAAGAATATATCATCGATTAGCCCCTGAGGATGGGGATGGATTAGATGGAGGTGATAGTCAAGTCTACAATGGAATGTTAATTCAAATGGCTTATTCAATGGGTCTTAATCGTGAACCCACAAAATATATGACTGACGAAAAAACTAATAATTTATGTCGAAAGATTTGGTATTTCTTATGTATCAATGATTTCACTCAAGCTTTTACATTTGGATATCCCTTAACTACTAATAAAATGTATTATGATACAAAGGCTCCTCGTTATGGTACAGATAATTTTAATTTAAATGATCAAGAATTAGAAAAGGCCACCATAACATTATTCAAGTATGGTGAAGCATTAATCAAAGGTCCAATGAGTAATTTATTGGAAAGTATTTTAAATATCGATAAACAAATTAAAATGTCGGAATTAACTGAACTTTTAAATCATTTTGAAGCAGGTGTAAGAGGTATATTTGGTACTGTTCATGATTATGTGAATCGATTAGAATCAACTGATGTTACTTATAGATCTACGAAGATTATGAAAACCACGGCTATAATAAGTTTGAATGCATTCTTTGTGTCGATATATTTCCAATTGGGTGCTTATTATGATAAAAAGAAAAACCATGAATTAAGTTTCTTTTATTTAAAGAAATTAACTTCAGTAACGATTGGAGAAATGATTCCAAGTTTCTTATCACTTATTATTAGAAGTCAAGAAAATTTCGGAGAAGGAGCTGATTTAGTTATAAATCCCGGTATCATTCAAGCTATTCAAAGAACTTGTGAAGTTATTGTTATAAGTTTGGTTAAATATAATTTATGGATTTATAAATCATGTACTTCTCCAGATCATAAATCAAAGTATAGTTCCGATGCCAAGTATAGAACTTATTTTGATTCCATGTGTTTATATGTTAATGTCTTGGAAAAATGTTGTAAAATATGCTTAGCCGCTGCTATGGTTATGAGTGGAAGATATTATTATGCATGGGCCATAACTAAGATTCATGGATTCTTTTTAAAGATTGTTAATGGAGCTGAATTTTATGAAACTCATAAGGATGCTGAATTATATTTCAATCCTCCTACATTGGATCAATTAGATGAATTATATAAAATTGGACAAATTTCAATTACTACCTTAGGTACAAGAGCCAGAAGAGGTCCAAAACGTTGTGATAATCCTGAATTTCAGGAATTATATACTATTGATCCAAAGCAAAAGCCAAGTATACTTAAGGATTTCGATGATTCTTATTTCTATGTACCTGAAACTGTGAATCCTAATTATAATGCTATGCCTTATGGTACTGATATGCCCACCGCTGGATCTAACTTTAATGATGCTGGAGGTGATATGCCATTTGCTAGCACAACACCATTATCTGACTTTTCGAATGGGGTACCGTTTGATGAGCTTGATTTAGACGATTGTCCTGAAATTGATAGTGTATGGTTACAAATGCTTACACAGAAGGTAAATCCAAATTTAAGTTCAATACCTTCTGAGTTTAATGATATTAATATGAATAATGGAAATTCAAACTATGCATCCAATGGACTTAACAATAGCAATAGTTTTAATAATAATACTAACATAAACTTCAATGCCAATGGCAATAACAATGCTAACGTCAATCCAACTCCAGCAGCTAATAATACTACTGCACCTGCATATCCTTCATTATCTAAATCTGAACAATCTGCTACACCAGCAGCAGCAGCTAATGGTAACACTGCAACGTTCGACTTCAATTCATCGAGTTTCCCTAACTATCAACTATTTGAAACTGCATTTACTGATATAGCTGATGGTAGTTTTGATTTTTTCACTGATACAGTTGACAAACTCTTGAATTAAACCTCTTCTTTCTTTCTTTCTTTTTGTTGTTTATTATTTATTATTTATTATCTATTTGTGTATTTATGACGTAACTCTGATCATGGTAAAAATATATGATTGTGTTTCTGGTAAAACTAGGCTTTAATCTCTAGGTATTGTTCATTATGTATATCCGGAGAGGCTTGTCGCAGACCTCGGAGTTAGTCCTGCCGGAATTTCCCAGTTGGGATTTGTAATCTTCCTATTTTTTTCCACTGTAAATCTGACTTTAAATTTTGAGTGATACGACCAAAACATCATTTACAGCCATATCGATCAAGCACATATCATCATAGTTAGTGTTGGTGATACATCTTATATCGTATTGGCGTGTGTCTAGATAAAGGTATATCCAAATCGTTGATTGTTGTTCGTTGTTCAAGCTTTGTTACGAGTTAAACAGAAGTATTATTTCTAAAGCTTGCCACTGATCAAAAATGACTACCATAGAAGATAATAAAGCTATCAAGAAGAGAAAAAGACCAAGTTTGGTATGTGAGAGCTGTAAGAAGAAGAAAATCAAGTGTGATAAAGGCCAGCCTTGTAATCAATGTATCAAGTCCAATATCACTGCAACTTGTCGTTATGATTCTGAAGGTATAGCTATTAATAATGCTGCTGAACAAAAATCAAAAGCTTTACCATATGTTGCAAGTGCTAAGAATCCTATACCATTATTCCTGAGATCAAATAATGCATATAAACCAATTCCAAGGGTCGAACCACTTACGCTGGCACAAAATAGAGCAAGTGAACGTAATCATCTTAATACTCTTGCTGATGCTGTCAATCAAGCTGCAAGTTTAGAAGTTAATAATCAAACAAAATCCAACGCTTATAATATTGGTGAAAAGTTAAATTCAGAGTCTATTAATGTATCCATTAGTGAGTTTAATTTCTTGAAACAAAGATTACAACAAATTGAAGCAAATATGTTAAATAAAGAAAAATCTATTTCACCTCCTCAACCAAATCAAACTAATGAAATGGAATTTCCTCAACCTACAAATTCATTCAATATGCTTCCACCTACTCCTACTCCAGTGGTTAGTCATTTAAACTCTCTTGGTCCTCAATATAGCAACCCGCCACCTCCTCCACAAACTTCGACATTTAGGAGTTCAATTCAACTTCCACCATTGCAATTTAATCGTAGTTTATCTCCACAATCATCCACTGTTAGTCAACAACTGTCGAACTCAGCTGCACCTCCACCACCTATTTCAGCTCCAACTTCACTATCTAGTAAGTATACTGATGATGGTACTGTAAGCATGGCTAGTAGTAAATCGAGTCCTTTTGAAACAGGTATTAAGTCAAGTATTGTGTCCCCTGGATCAGCTCTTTCTATCAAATTGAATAATGCTACTGATTCAAGTTCATTAATAGGTATTCATCCATATGCCAATGGTACAGATTATATTAATTTCTTTGATGATTATACCTCGATTCATATTAAAGAACCATCTCGAAGAATTAATTTTGGTCCTTTCGCATGGTCATCAGCCATGAAGAAAGATGCTGGGTTAAGTATACTTTGGGATTATGTGAGTGATAAAAACGATGATAAAACTATGACAGCTACAGTTTTTACTCAAAATGAACATGAAATTACGGCTGAGAATACCAATGTCATTACTACTGCTTCGTCAGATGGTAGTGAGTTAGAACTGACATTTAAAAAACGTGCTTTGGAAACTGATGGTTATGGTGATATCCTTCCTTATAATGCTATTTTAAAAGCTAGAGTAGATAAGAATCGTCAAAGATCAAAATTAAATGAAAATGCTTTACCATTAGGATTAACGTTTTATGATGGACAAATTGATCGTGAATTACAATTGATTGAAAAGATTAAAATCATCTTACCAGAAAAGAAGGTTATTTGGAAATTAATTAAGAGATATTTCACTTGGTTATATCCATTCATGCCATTCATGGATGAAGAATGTTTCACGATGAAGATGAATAATATCATTGGTCCTGAATCAGATGAACATGTTAAAGTTGCTGATGTTAAGATTGAGAAAAGATTGGATTTAGCATATGTGGGTATTTTATTAGTAATTTTAAGATTATCATATTTAACTTTATTTTTCAATGATAATATGAAGAATGAATCAAATTTAACTACTGATGATCCATCCCCCAAAGCTCAAGAATTAAAATATCTTTTATCAAACCCGATCAATATCAATACTATTGATGTAGCTGAATTATGTCTTGATCAATTCCAATTATTAAGAAAGACTTCATTCCCTATTTTCCAATTAGCATTTTATTTAAGATTATATCATTTATATGCTCCTGAAGATGGTGATGGTGCCGATGGTGGAGATTCTCAAGTATTAAATGCTATATTAATTCAAATGGCTTATTCATTGGGTCTTAATCGTGATCCCGATAATTTCAGCGATGTATTAAATGATAAGAAAATCAATCAAACCGGGAGAAAAATGTGGCATTTCTTAGTTTTAAGTGATTTATATCAAGGTTATACTTTTGGTAATCCGATTAATATTAATCCTATGAGTTATGATACCAAAGTTCCTGTTTATGAAAAGGGAGCAGAAAACATTAGTGATGTTGTATTGGATAAATTTGTCACTGAATCCTATTTTCATTGTAGTAAGATGAATTTCCATGTTCGAAATATATTAGAAATGGTATTGAATGTGAATCAAGGAGCAAATATGGCTGAATTATGTAAATCATTGGATGCATTTGAACTTATGATTGATGATCAATATGGTACTTTGGATGATTGTTTAAAACCATTAGGACAACAAGGTCTTGATCATGCTAATGTATTCACAAGAAATTTCAGAACTAAATACTATCTTTCATTAAAAACATTTTGTATCACCATTTATTACAACTTTTATCTTTATTATGAAAGAAAGAATGTTGAATTGGCTTATTTTTATTTAAAGAAGATTTTATTAATATCTGCTACTGATATCATGCCGCATTATTTTGATTTATTAGGAAATTCAGAAATCATTTGTGATTTTATTATTAATCCTGTCTTGGAACATATCATTCATAAGAGTAATCAATTCAATTTAGCTTTGATTATCAGAGTTAATTTCATCATATATCATTTAAAGAATCAACCCGAACATATGGCTAAAATGTCGTATGATTCGAAATATTCTCTTTATTATAAGGATTTATGTCGATATTCTTCATGTTTAACTAGATCAGCTGAAATTTCAATTGCAGCTGTTTCTAAGATAAGTAATCGTTATTATTATGCATGGAGAATAACCAAAGGTCATACTTATTTATTAAAGACGGTTACTAGTATGCAATTTTATGATGATAATTATGCAAAAGCAGGTAATTTATGTGTACCACTTTTCACTTTAGAACAAATGGAAGAAATGATTGATATTTGTGAAAGAATGTTATTGAAATTAGGTAAAGTAAAATCAAATGCTCATAAATTCTGTGATACCTTTAATCCAAGTCCTGGAGATAGTTCTGTCAAATCAGATTCACCATCTACTAGATATAATAGTACATCAATTTCAACTAATGGTACTAATTATAAAGAGAAACAAAATAATATTTCAATGGAAAATGTTGATAATGCTGAAATTGATAAATTATGGTTTCAAATGTTAGCTATGAAATATGATGTTAATAAGAATTATGATGAGAATATGACACTTCAAAATACAGATGGTAGAAGACAAAGTCATAATTTTCCTGGTTTACTTCCTGGAAGTCCAAGTGCAGGATTAAATTATGGTAATGTAATGAATTTGCCCAGTACCGGTATTGGTAGTAATGGGGTTAATAAGGCATCTGTTAGTAATGTCAATTCGCCATTTGGTCCAGGTGGACCTGAATTCCCACTGTTTGGAGCTGATTTAGATCGACTTGGATTTGATGCAGAACAAGCCAATCAATTTGATATTTTCAGTGAATTACCATTTGAAAGAGTATTTAATAGATCAGAAAATTAAGAGGGATTCCGTAGTTCTTGTAAATTCGTATTTAATCAAGTATATGTTAAATATGTAATATAATAATATTGTGGTATAAACCAGTTATATTTTAGTCATAGTTAGTAATTCTATTCTGTCAAAAAAAAAAATATCAGTGATAATTCCAGTTTTTGCACCTAAATTAAAGTAAGCTAAATTAAGTTACTCCGGGAGGAAGAGGCTAGACCAAGAGGATAGACCTTAGATATAAATAAGGTCAAACCTAACCTTAACTTACATTGGAACGTTTATTATAGTTGGAGATGGGTTGAGCCCCCTCTTTCAATGACCTTTAAAAATGATATTGTCTCCTCCACATTTTATCCTTTATTAGTAAGTCCTCCCGGTGTTTCTAACTTTACAAAAGTGCTTGGTTTGCTGCTGTCTATCTTGGAATGATATTTCGATGATTTAAAATATCATTCAATGGTTACAACTTCCATATCCTTGTGATAATTTGCGGAGTATATACTTTTTCTTTTAACGTTAGGAATAACTGATTTACCCCTATCTCTCACCTATGACCTGATAGTCTCTATTATTGAAATAGCATGTCATCGCCGTGGAACTATGGTATTATCACCATCACTTTAAAGCATGATCGATGGAGGAAGGGCTCCGAGCCGTTTCCGTTAAATCCATGAAATTGATTTTCGCCCTTTACTTCCTAATTGGTGAAGTCCGCGCCAATCCCAATTTGGAACATCTTCCGTCTTACACTAAAAAAAAGAAAAGAGGTCATGATTAGTCAAAGTATGGTGGATTCAATTCAATTCATATATATAACTAATATAATTCCAAATCAGTAAAGTTTAAGAGGTAAACTTACTGGAAGGGAACGGCTAGATTCGATATCAACCAGTCGTGTCAACCAGCCAATCAGAAGTCAAGGTTGTGTGTGTGTCCATACCTGATCCCATATCATTTCTCCATAGTTAACTGCTTTTTTGGGGGATTTCTATAAGCCATTGAGGAGAAAACAAAAATATTCAATTTGAATATACAGCAGCAGCAGCAGCAGCATCATTTCATCATCATTTATCTATTTATTATATATCGAACCTTATTGGATTCAAACTATCATATCATATCAACTTCCATCATCATCATCATCAATCATCATAGATCATGTCTTCAGAAGGTGGAATCATTAAAAAACGTAATAAGGCAACATTGGTGTGTACCAATTGTAAGAAGAAGAAGATCAAATGTAATCGTCGTCAACCTTGTTCGTCATGTGTACGGCTGAATACAGGCTATTCCTGTACTTATGAAACCAAATGGAGACCAGTATCATTTGATCCCAATCATCCTAATCAATCATCCATCGCAGAGTCTCTGACGGTTGATGCTGATATGAATGATTCTTCTCCAAATGTTGCAAATTCAATTAATGGTGACAATAATAATCCTTTACAAGATGAATTATACCTATTACGAAAGAAATTGAATGATTTAGAGGCTTCTTTCCTAAACAATAAGACAAGTCGGGATATAGGTCCTATCTTTGATTCAAATATCAGTACTATTCCTTCACCTCAAATTATAAATCAATATGCTTCCATCATATCCACATCAAATTCCCATAATAATAATATAAGTGCAGATAGTACACCATCTTCAAATAATGATAATCAAATACCAAAAGCTCCTGTTAGTACTAGATTCGCCGTTAGTTCTGTCCCCATCTCCAATGCCACTGCCACTCGTCCATCAAATATAATAAATCCCGTGGTGGATGATGATGAAACCATTAACTTTTATGAAGGGTATACCTCAATTCAAATAAAAGGCAATGTAAGGCGAGTTAATTTCGGTCCCTTATCATGGGCTTCATTAATGAGAAAAGATACTTGGTTAAATCTTATTTGGAAATATAATGAATCTCAAACCTTAAGTGAATGTTTATTTACTCAACAAATCCCACAATTAAATCAAGAAAATATCAATGCTTATACGGCTGATACTGATGGTAGTGAGGGCGGAGCAGGAGGATCTGTCAATATCTTCAAAAAGAAATCATTAGAACATGATGGTTATAATGAAATGGTTCCTTATAAGACCTTAGTTAAAAATGGTGGAAAAGCAGGAAGTATAAATGTTAGTACCGTAACATTAGCCAAAACATTATTTGAAGGAAGACTTAATCCTGAATTACAATTGATTGAAAAGATTAAAATGATCTTACCTAAAAAGAAAGTATTATGGAGTTTAATTGATCGATTCTTTATTGTTTTATATCCCCATTTACCATTCATTGATGAGATTGATTTTAGAAAAGAATTATCGAAAATCATTGGTCCTATAAGTTATGAAGATGAACCATTTGGCAAAGTTAAAATTGCTAAAAAGATGGATTTAGCTTATATTTCCGTATGTTTGATTTTATTAAGATTAACTTATTTATCATTGTTTAATAATCGAAATTGTGCCAATGCTCATATTATAAATTCTCCTGAAGATACCATTGAGAAATATTTATTTAAAAATCCTATAAATCTTGTCGTGATTGAAGTGGCTAATTCATGTATTGATTGTTTCCAATTCGCCCGTAAATCAAACTTGACAGTTTTCCAAGCCGTATTTTACATGAGATTATATCGTATGCTTGCCCCTGAAGAAGGTGATGGAGCAGATGGTGGTGATTCTCAAGTGGTTACCGCTATGTTAGTACAAATGGCATTTTCATTGGGTTTGAATCGTGAACCTGATAAATTTGATATTTGTAATGATGAAAAAACCAATCATATTGGTAGAAAAATATGGCATTTCTTATTAAGATCAGATTTAATTCATTGTTATAGTGTGGGGAATCCAACAACTATCGATATGAAACATTTCGATGTCAGAAGTCCATTTTTAAATGATAAAAATAGTAATTTACAAGATCTTGATTTGGAAACTGCTGTCGTGGAGACATTTTCATATTTAAAGAATAAATTATTCCCTTTGAAGACCGTTTTGGATATGGTTTTGGATATTAATTACGGATCATCCATTAATAAATTGACTTCTTCATTAAATGAAGTGGAAAGAATTGCTACTGAAACATTTTATGTCTTGGAGGAAGATACATCATCAAGTGATACCAATCCTAAAGTAGCTCATTTCATTGATCTGGTTAAGAGTAAGATTTACTTATCGGTGAAAAGTTCAGTCACAACCTTATATTATCATCTTTATTTACATTATGAAAAGATTTATAATAGTGAATTATCATTTTTTTATTTAAAAAAGATGTATTTGATTATTCTTTATGATATTGCACCATATATTTTTGAAATTTTATATGGGAAATTCAGTACAGATGGATTAATCTTAAATCCTGTTCTTGAAATGGCATTACATAAATTCAATCAAATAAATTTATCAAGTATGGCCCGAGTTAATTATTTAAAATATACTATGGAACAAAAACCGGATCATTTAAGTCGATTAAATTCTGATGCTCAATATCGTGCTAATTATAATCGATTTACAAATTTATCTACTAATTTTAGAAGAACAGGAGAATTAATCACTTATATATTTGAAAAATTATCAACTCGTTATTATTATGCTTGGAGACTTTATAAAGCTCATACACAATTATTTAAATTCCTTAGTAATTCAACTATTTATGACACTCATTTACCAGGGATGAAAAAGATTCGTGCTTTCCAATTTTCAGCTAATCAATTAGATGAAATTGATTCTATAATTCATCTATTAGGTAAAACTATTGCTAAGAGTGTTTATTATGAAGATAGATATGAAAATCAACCATCATCATCAACCACGATTGGGAAAATCCCTCATAATATCCCCACTTATAAATCTAAAAAACAACAACAAAGACCTCCTCTCAATGTTAATGTTAATAATACCAATGGTACTCCAAATATGTCATCATCATCAGCTCCAGGATCAACGGTTGGTAAATCTCCATCAGGTAGTGTTGTATCTGATATAACGGTGACACCTCATTCATCGATTGAATCACCTCCTCAAAAGGCTAATTCAAGTATGAATCATGAATATGTGGATCAAATGTGGATGCAAGTTATGGCCATGAAATTTGATACGTTAGATCTGTATGGAAATTATTTACCAATGACAGATGATGAATTCAATAGTGGTATCATTGTACAAGAACCATCTGGCATCGTCAATTCTAACAATGCAAATGTTAATGCTCCAAATAATAATAACAATGTAAATAATAATAATAATAATAATAATACTAATACTAATAATGGCTATAATGGAAATGGGATGGGGAATAATATAAATATGGTGAATAATCTCAATGTGAATATCAGTGGATATACGAATGGATATAATACTCCTACTACGGGAGGTCAAATAAGTCTGGGACTTACTCCATTTCAATTACCATATGCTAATGAATTTGATTTAGTTAATTCATATACTCTTGATCAAGTATTGTAAGGGGAGTGTGTGTGTTTGTATATATATAAGTAAAATAATATGATATATTTTTGGTTTTTAAATTACTTTTTAGCGAATGTTAATAGGGTGGTGGATCCAAATGTAGTTGATAAAGATTGAGGATTTTGTTTGGTTAAAGTATCTAAACATTTGGTTGAATCGTTGGTAGTTTCGAATTCAATGAATGATAAATTCCTTACTTTGACAAATCTACTATTAATAAACCCATCAAATTTAGAAAAGAATGTAATGATATCATCATTAGTGATATCTTTTTGATCAATTTTTTGAAGAATGAGGATTTTATTAGGTGGTAAATCTTTAAATGATTTAGTTATTTTCTTAACACTTGATTTATTAACAACCAATTCGATCTTTCGTTTAAACTCTTCATCTCTGTTTGATTGGATCAGTACTTTATGGGCTTTTCTCTTATTCACAGACTCATCATCTTTTAAAACTTTACTATAAAACTCATCACTATTAGATCGAGCAAATTTAATATGGATTGGTTTCTTAAACAATTCATAATTTTGTAATCCATCAACAGCAGATTTGGATGATTCGATATTATCAAAAGTGATGAATGCTTGACCTTTCATTTTAATATTGTTATGAGCTGTGATTTGAAGGATAGTTCCATACTTATTAAATAATGATTCCAATGAAGATTTTAATTTCAGTATAGATACTTTATCATTGAGATTGTTGATGTAGATAGTTTCTTTAGGTTCATCATCGAAATCTTGAGTAGTACTTGATTGAGTGGTATCGTCTATGATGATATCTGACATGATGTATGAATGATATAATGATTTATGATGTATCATATAGTATAAACCATTTTAGTTGTAAATATATTTGTAAAGTGATCGAAAAAATTATGAAAATGAAAGTCACCTGATCCATCATGTGACTTTCATTTCGTCCCATGATATTTCATCACATGATTCATTTTTCGTGCGGCGCAAAATATCATTAAAGTAAGCAAAATATTTTAAGCCAATCAAATCAAACTTGAATGTAAGCACTACCATTTGATGTCTGAAAAATTTAAACCGAAATGACATCCTGTATATAAACGGATGATGACATTGACAGATTTTTGTACTAGAACATTTCTTATATATATATATATATTATATATAACTAGCTAGTTTAACTGATGATTTTTTTAATTTCAAGTCATTTTCTGATTCATTTTCATATTTTCAATCAACTTTTCATTTACTGTGTGTATCTTAACTTCAATTGAATAGTGTTAATACTTCATTCTACCACATACACTTACAAGGTCCAACCCCGCTAACAATTACTTTTTCAATTACCACAAAAAAAGAGCAACGGGATTCCAATTTTTAAAGTTTTAAAAATATCAAAACAACCATCAAGTTCATATTCTCCTTCATCTCCTTCTTCTTTTTCCTTATCACGTTAAGTAGAAGTCGTTCTCACTCACTGCTGCCGCTACAACATACCAATCTTATCCATATAAACTATAACCATCTACAATGTCAGTGGTTGCCATTAAAAATGTGGTGGCATCATTATTAACTAAATCCAATGCCAATGAACCATCAAATCAATTATTATCCAATAACAACAATAGTCAAAATCCTTATGGTTCTACTTCAGATACCCTTAGTCCAAACGATAGAGGTGATCAAATAGGTCATGATGAAGCTTTTATTCAAAATGCTGTATCATCAGCCGCATCCTCTATATTAGATAATGAAAATAAAGAAACTGAAGAAGAAGGTTTCTTTAATAAATTCGATCCAAGAGTAATGTCGGATATTATAATTGGTTTATCTGATGGTTTGACTGTTCCATTTGCTTTAACAGCTGGTTTATCTTCATTAGGTGATTCTAAATTGGTTATTACTGGTGGTATGGCTGAATTAGTTTCAGGAGCTATTTCAATGGGATTAGGTGGTTATTTAGCTGCTAGATCTGAATCTGAATATTATAAATCTCAAGTTAAAAAAGAAAAATTGGAATTTTTTAAAAAACCAGAACAAGTTAATCAAGATGCTGCTGAAATTATGTTTGAATTAGGTGCAAGTGAGACTACTATTGCATCATTCTTAAGAGATTTAGATCTGCAACCTAAGAATTTAATTGATTTCGTTATTAGATTTGGTAAAGGTTTAGAAGAACCTGCTGAAGGTAGAGAATTTACTTCTGCTTTAACGATTGGAATATCATATTTCTTAGGAGGATTTGTACCATTAGTACCATATTTCTTTACCGATGTCGTTCGTACCGGATTATTAATTTCAGTTATAGTTATGTTGATTACATTATTTGCGTTTGGTTATATTAAAACTGCTATATCATTAGGTGATGATTGTGGATATCATAAAAAAGTATTTGAAGGGGTACAAATGGTTGCTATTGGTTCAGTAGCTGCTGGTGCAGCATGGACTTTAGTCTATTTAATTGAATAGATCCAAACATTATATATAAAACCATTGCATTTATCTTCTTTCATTTACTAGTGTTAATAGTATTATAATCATTTTGCATTCATTAGCTCATTCTTATATATATATATAAATTATTATTATTAGTTATTATTTCAATTATTATTATTATTACATGCTTAGCTTTTAAGATTATTTAATGTAGAAGTGATAAGAGTAAGAGTTACAGACACCCTAATTAAGGTTTAACGTTTATAAACGGTTAATATATTACAAACCATTCCAGATATAATCAACTAGGTTAGTTAACCTATTAACCATACGTTTTGTTGGTGTAAGAGTGAGAGGTCTCAAGATGTTCACTATCTAAGTTGTAATTAGTCTTAGTCTTACTCTTACTCTTACTTTGCCACCTCCATATTGAAATGATCTAAGGATCATCAACTAAATCGTGATGTCAATTGCCGATCATCGGACCTTCTTTCTTGGTATTAGCTTATAAAGTCATACAATTTTAAATTTCTTTTTTTTTTTTTTGTCTTCGCTTCTATTTGGGCTTTGTGTTAAAGTGTTATCTGATTAGATTTACGATCAGTTATGGAGTGCATATAATATCATCACCTTAAATTATTACAAGTCATAAGAGTATTAATCTTAGTTAATTGATTTGAATTAATAGTTAGATATACTAACTAACTGTATAAGGTTAAGTTAGTTTAAGTAGGCAAAAGGAATACCATGCTGAAGTTAATCCTACTCTTTATAGTCTATATGAAATATTAACCACTTATTTACTGGTAATGTACACCCATTCATTAAACATAGTCATTATATATAAACTAAACATTATGATATTAGACTTAAAAGAGGTAGACTTACTATATATATATATACATATATGTCTTCCATTTGATTGGTCTTACTTTATATTCTCCTATTATGATCAATTATGGAAATGTGAACTTTATTTTTTTGGCGTTTATGTCGCAAATGATTTCAGTTTTGTCGAAAACATTTCCAAACTCAAAAATGACAAAACTGAAGTCATTTTACGACAAATCTCAATTTCGTATGATTTTACAAAAATTATGTTTAAAACCACATCCATAAATAAATTCATATCATCTACGAATATAGATATATCTCCTTTCCAACTAGATATATAATATAGGTAGTACTACTGGTTGGTACTGTTCCGTCGTATCCCTTTTCATTTCATCTTCATATTCACCCTCATCATCATTATTATCAATACCATTTTAATCTGGTCCGAGATTTATTTCCAAAATCAGTGTGTAACCACCTATATATCATGGCTTTACTTATACCTCGAGATCATGACATACTACCTCATCAAGATGAGGTAGCTGCTACTACTGAAAATCGACCTACTGATTTAACTCAGATTTCATCTCAACAATTACATCATGAATTTGAATTAAGTCAATCTGAATCATTAAATTTTTTATATAATTTATTATATGATGATCAATCATATCTTTCTAAAAGTGATATTTTAAGAATCTTAAACTCGATCAAAACAAGAGAAAATCATTTACCATTCTCTATCGATGCTTCCGATTATGATCATCCTCAATCATCCCATAATTCTACATCCACCTATTTCAAAACTGATTTACAAGGTATTCATTGGCCAAAAGATCTTAGACGACGATTCTTCATGGATAGATCTCGAGTAGGAAAAGATAATTGGTTTTATAATATCCCTGATTCCAAATCAAAAGCCATAAATCAAATCTCAATTGATTCATTCGATATTAATACTGAATTTTTTAAATTTTATAAATTCTTTGGAAAATTAAAATTACATTTAAATCATCTACAATTACGAAATTTAGTATGTTGTGGTCCAAACATTTCCAATGGGATTTATTATCCTTCCAATTATTATCATGATTATAATCTTGATATCGTCCATACTGAGTTCAATCATCCTCGTTCCGAAGAAATCGATGATAATTATCATAATTTCTTTAAGATAAATCGTTTAATGCCTGATAATGCCACCGATATAAGTCGAACATCAAGTACCAAAAACACCATGAAGATTAATTGTTTGATTGATTCTCGAAGTTTATTACATAATTCAAATAGTAGAATCTCAACTTTATCCGCGTCTGATAAATTCCTCGTATGTGGGACATTTGAAGGGGGGTATATTCTTGGGGATGTATCTGATGCTAATAGTTTTAAAATGGTGGGAGAATATCATTTAACTAATAATTCAGATGGAATTACAAATCATATATTAATCAATGAATCAGATAATGAATTAATCATATCTTCCAATGATAAAAAATTACGTATCATTGATTTATCCACAAATAAATCAAATCAGAATATCGATTTTGATTTCCCTGTCAATGGATCAGCGATAAATCATTTCAATACCAATGAAATATTCATTTCGGGTGATTCTAAACATTCATATATAATAGATAAGAGATTATCAGCCACCACTAATCAAAACTTTCAAAAATTCATTGGTCATGAAGATTTTGGATTTTGTTGTGATTGGTCAAGTCAGGATGAAAATTTATTATTAACCGGTAATCAAGATACTTGTGTCAAATTATGGGATAGAAGAAATTCTTCAAAAAGTTTATATACATGGAGTGGATCTTTAGGTTCAAATTGTTCAACTAGTGGTGGACCGGTTAGAAATTGTAAATTCAGTCATAATGGTGAATTCATCTCTTGGGCTGAAGGTTTGGATCATGTAGGAATCTTACAATTGAATGATTTAATGACATTAAACAGTGATGAAAAGGATGAACAGCCTGAGTTATCAAGAATTCAATCAATTGATTTCATTGGGAAATGTACTGCTTTAAGTTTCTCCCCTATTGAAAATGGTTATGGTGAACAATTAATCATCGGGGTTGATGATTGTCCATTAGGTGGAATCTTAAGTTATAAATTAGAAAGCAAACAAAAACCATTAGACTTTGATTTCTATTTTTAATAAATATATACATTGAACTTTACCACATTTCTTCAATATTTTCACTAACTTGTAATTCCCCACCTAACTCTTTAACCACTTCATCTAATTTATCAATCTTCCATGATTCCTTAACTATCGTTATAATGACTCTTAATTTATTCCGAGCTTTATTTAATTTAACTTCAAATTCTGCAACATTCTCATCTTCATTTGTAAGCGGTATATCAACAATAAGCTTCTCCAATTGATCTAAATGATTTCGTATGTTTCCATATTGATCGATGTGAAGTTTCCAATCCTCAACTAAACCCTGGATGTATCCTACGATTATAAATCGTTGAAATCCAGTTTGATAACCATATTCTTTACCTTCAAGATATTGTTGTTTAGTGGAATGATTCTGACCTTCTTCGAATCCCTTTTGATAATATTGATGTTCGAGATTTAAAACTTCATCAGTATCAATGTTGATGGTTGGCTCGTGATCCATATCTATTACTTTCCTCCTCTTATACGTATCAGACATCAAGATGGATTGAAATGTATATGATCTGATAATAAATGGTATAGTCTGAAATTTCAGAGATGTGAAAAATTAAAAAAAAATATATATATTTTTGTGAGTGCAACTTTGCAATCATTTAAAGAGGATAGTATCAACAAAGCATTGATCATGAGCAATAACAATGCTTCAGATGATGAAGTTGAACAGGACGTGTTGGGGAATGATAAGAAACTAAAACAGAAACATAGACATGATCTACGATTGAATTATGAATCGGATTCTTCAGTTGAAGATTATGAGAAAGAGGACGATGAAGATGAAGAAGAGACTAAAGCTAATGATAATGATAAAAATGACGACGATGACGATGATGACATGTTTGCCAGTGATAAAGAAGAAGTAGAACCTGAACCTATTAAGAAGTCTAAAAAGTTGGAAGTGAAGTTTCTTGATATAGAGGAGTTTGAGAAGAATGAAGGTATAGGAGCATTTGATGAAGAGAAAGATGCATTCGTGACTGATGAAGATATGAATCAGTCAGATATCGATGATGATGAGGAAGATGATGATGAACAGACTAATAATGTTAATTCGTACTATACCAATATTGAAGACTTTGATGAAGGAGATAGAGGACAATTGAAAAAGAAAGATCCTAAAATTGAAGCATTTGATCTTAATGATGAAGCCAATGAAGGGAAATTTGATATTGATGGCAACTTCATACCGAATGAGAAACATGATGATGAAAATAATGAAGAAGAATGGATTAATGATTATAAGAAATCGGATATTTATAAAGCCAAGAAGGCTCAAGAAGCAAGATCAAAAATTGAACAAGAGAATATATTAAAGAATTTATCAAACCAACGAATACCAATTGAAGAATTATTAGAGCAATTGATAGGTTTATTGGAACCAAGTGAAACTCCAATGGAAGCACTCGGGAGATTGAATCCAAAAAGGAAAAGAAATAAATCGAAAAAGACGAAAGAAGATTCAGATGCAGATCAAAACCGAAAGCAGAACATAGTTACTATAACTGATTTATGTGATAAATTACTATATGATAAACTACTTAGAGATGTGTATGATTTAAGTAAAGAGGAATTGATGAGAAAGTATCAACAAGAGACAGGTGTGAGTTATAATGATTTAAAAAGAGGGATAAAACGACCTCATGAAGATGAAGATGAAGATGAAGATGAAGAGAAGGTTGTCGATTATGGTGAGAAGATTTGGGAATTCAGATGGATTGGTGATGATGCTATCATGGGTCCTTATTCCAATTACGAGATGAATGATTGGAAACTGAATTACTTTGAAAATAAAGTTATAGTTAGAAAAGTTGGAGATATAGAGTTCACTCCGGTTGATCAAGTCAACTTTGAAGATTTGTAAATAAAAACAACTACGGCAAACGTTAATATATATTTATAGTACAGTAAAATTACAATTCTAAACACCACCCATCATAAACCATCTCCTAAGTAATCAACTATAGAGAAATCAACTTCCTTAGCTAATGTCTCAACTGTAAGCCAATTAATATTACATTTCCATCTCACTCTAGCTCCTAAAATATCAGATGCGGCCGATTTACTGATTAAACCTAAGGAAAATAAGGTAGCGACTTGACTGTATAAATCAGTATTTCTACTTAAAGTAAATTTAGCTCTTTCTGTATCTTTCTTTTCTTCAATTTGAGCCACATCATTAGCTAGATTGATTTCAGTATGTTGATTTAATGATGGAGCTGTATTTCTATAAATCACTGATAATATTGCAAACATTCTTTCAAGATCAAAAAATCCTGGATTTAAAAGTCTAGTATCTATATCATTCTTAGTGACTTTATTACTGAATACACGTTTTTTATATTTAACTGCTTTAACTTTTGAAAATTTATGTAAATCATCTTTTTGATCCACAAATGATGCTAGGTATGATGCAATTAAGATGAATTTTGAATGAGTTGGAAGATCTTCCACATTTTCATTGGAGACGGGTTTTTCTTCTTCAAGAGTGGCATACTCTCGTATGGATGAATTATTTATAACGTTTTCATTAGTGAATATATCAGCATTTTCACGATATACTTTGACGAATTCATGGACTTGATATTTACCCAGTACTACTGGTTCGATGAATTTAGTCCATAGTTTAACACAAATATCAATTAATAAACTTAGATCAGATCCAGTATATGAAAAGAATAAATCCACTACGATCTTAGAATATTGTTTCCAGAATTCATACCCTGCTTGAGTATTATCTAATTCTTCAATACCAAAGAGACATAATTGATTAATTTGTAAGATATCAGTCACTTGTTCTTCAGTATATGATTTGAAGTATATAGTTGGAGTGACAGCTGTAATAACTTCTTTAGGAATATCAGTGGAAACTATAAAGATAATAGTAAGATTCTTTACTTGACAAATTTCTCTTAATTTCAAGAACCCAGCAAATAACTCATTGGTGGATTCCATACATTGATCGAATCTATCAAGCACTAATATATGATTCTTGGTATATGATGTACTTTCAAAGTAATTCTCTAAAGCATTGGCAAAGTTATAGAAACTTTCAATCAGTTTACCAAACTTTAATTTATCATGTATACCATCTTCTTTCTTATACCCATCCTGTCTATCTGCTTTGATTCTATTGAAACACCTCTGTAACAACACTCTATTGGTTATACACTCGTCACAACGAATCACAGATGTGCTAACGTCCAATGTTTGTAAATACTTCTGAACAGTATACGTCTTTCCCACTGCTTTATACCCATGAACGATCAACGATGGGGTCAGTATCAACGCATCTTCTGATATGAATGCACTCAATAAGTCTATCTCGTTGGACCTATACTTGACTTCCTCCTTCAATTGATCGATCACACTATCTCTTGCCATTGAAACTTTGTCTGACTCTACCAGTTTAATTAATGGTTGTAAATATCAGTTATATCGAAAATTTAAAGTTTAGATTTGTTTACGCTCCTCAACCAACTGGTGCAAAAAAAAATTATTTCTCTATTTAACAGTATCCAACTGTCAATATTCAACTATAACTTCATTATCCTACAATTATAATGTAATTTGGAAAAAACCATAATAAATCGTAATAATATATAGCAAAACAAACAAACATATACATTAATCATATATAAAAGACTAATAAAGAAAGATAGAAAGATAGACATTTAGCTTATTCTAACATCTGGAGCATGGCTAAAGTACTATACAGCTAATAATGGCTTTACAAATCTATCCCTATCATTGATCAATTTATCTTTTGGAGTTAAGACATTTGAATTTTGAGGAATCATGAATTTATCAAAATACTGATCAATTTGGTGTAACCCGTTCAGATCAAAGTTGGTAATCTTTGCAACATATCCATCAGGTCTAACCACAATAATAGCCCCATTCTTTGTATCAATTCCATAGTACTCATAAGCATTTATATCGCCTTCATGGTATGTCGAATCAATACCTGTGTAGAGTCTCCAATAGTCACGACGATGCTTGTGATCAGTAGGTCTGGTAAACTCTGGGAAATCAAAGATTTCTACATCATGACGCTTGGATCCATGGATAGTAATAATATCAATCACTGAATTGTCTAAAGCATTCACTGGGGTATACTTTTTCAGAAAATGCTTATCTGATTTTAAGAAAGTATCGAACTCCTCTAATATTTTCAAATTCTGCGGATAACTATTTACATCACCAGCAAACACTAAGACTCTGAAACGGCCATCAGAAAGTATTCTATCAGCGATATGGATTGGTCTACCATCAGCTTGACATTCAATAAGGGTAGAATTTAATCTTCTACCTACGGCAACCTTCTTAGCAATAGATGAAAAAGAATTTCCATCTTCATCAACTGGATGTGTTAATGATTTGTCTATTAATAAAGAATCGGCATAGTCAACAATAGTTCCTGAAGCAAATTCTCCTCCCTTTTGAAAAACTTTATGAAATTCATCCATATCTACCCCATCTTGAAATGCTTGCGAATTTGGAATCATAGGTTTTCCACTAAACAACCTAGAAAGTTTATGATCAAATGCAATTAATTCTTTTGCAACTTCAATACGCTCACTTTCGTAAGTCTCTAATATATCCAACTTAGCAAGACCCTTGCATACTAACGCTAACTTAAATCCCAAATTAAAAGTATCCATCATCGAAACATTCATTCCTTGACCTGCTTTGGGTGAATGAGTATGACAAGCATCACCTGAAATGAATACACGATTGAACTTGCTAAATTTAGGACTAACTCTTTGACCAATCTGATAACCTGTAAACCAGTCAATATCTTCAATTTCAAATTTAAATGGTTTGAAGATATCTTGAGCATTTTTTAGAATCAATTCAGGAGTGATCTTGGATCTATCAATTCTTCCTTTAGCATGTTCCTTGGAATCATTGTCAGATACATCTGTGGTCGTTAATGGATCTCTTGGAACCTCTTTCAACTGAATATATAACCTAACCAAATCATTTTCTCTTGGAATAACCATAACAGAACCAGATTCTAATGAATGAATAGCACAACGATGCCTGATATCTGGGAAATCGGTAATTGGGACAGCGTCTAATACTCCCCATACAAAATCGGTACTCTCACCCTCCATATCAATTCCCAATTGCTTTCTGACCCAACTATGAGCACCGTCTGCTCCTAATACATATTTGCAGTTAATAATTTCGTAGTCATCAACATTCACATTAGGATCATGCTCGATATCAATACTATTTGAGTAAAATCTTTCTTGATCACCCTCAAATTGTCTGTAGAGCCCGTTAGCAACCTTTGCATTGAATTGTTCAGGATTACTAACATCTTCCAGAGCTAAATTTTTAACCAATACTTTAACAGCATAAGCATCCTTATCTTCCACTTTACTTTCATCAATGGAAAGACTAATTGGCAAATATGGTCTTTCCACTTTTGATTGTCCTTCAGAAAAATTCTTAATCGTTTCGTCAAACCATCTTTCAATGTAACCTTGATGGATTACAATTTGTTGAAATCTAGAGATACCAGGTATACTATCTGGAATTCTAGAGCTTCTCACTAGATTACCATTTTCATCTGGGTTCCAGAAGCATAATTCAATCATATGGTTGGCCATTTTCCAAGCCGAATCCAAACCAGTCATATCAAACGAACTTCCAGAGAACGATTGAAAGACTTCAAGTGTTCTACTTTGCAAACCATCAGCCTGGCCTGAAAATATCTTGTCCGATCTCTTATCAATGATTCTGAAAGGAACTCCAGCCCTTGCTAACCAAGTAGCAGCCATCAACCCCGAAGGACCAGCTCCAATTATTAACACGTCCGTGTTTGAATTCTTAATTTGTGATTCAACTTTAGTCATATTTGTCTACAACTGTTTGCTACTATTCAAAAACAAGAATCACAGATGTTTAATTAATAGGATTTTGCAGCTTTATATACTTGGTTTTAACTGTAAGTGAGTGTTAAGCTATGGTAAAAAAACTGGGGTATTCTGCGGGGTATGAATGAATGAATGTAAATCTCAACTTCAATTATAACTCAAAAACAAGGTACAATATGGTAAGGTTGTCAACGGAAGTGTAATTGGAATAGCTGAACTGATTTCCAGAGCACAAGTAAAAGGTATCAAACTTAATATAAAACGGAAATAGATAGACGTTGCAAACAGAAATTTACTCCACAAATTCGACGGAACTATCAAAAAAAACGGAATTATGCATTCTATACCGGTCAATTACTAAATATTACAATCCTGACACCTCCTAAATATAAATAATATAAAACTTTAAGTTTATTTTATTGGTTTTCGTATATATACATTTATAAATACTATGCAAATTCATCCTTAATACCCTTTAAGAGTTGGAGATTGTAGGCTTTCGCGACATTATCAAAAACATGAAGTTTCTTTTCTACTTCAATATGACCTATATCCTCTTCCCATTTACCTGAACATTTACAGAATAAACTCATATTAGTAGCTTTGATTTGATGACATTTCGAACATTTTAAATCTTGTTGAAAAAATTTAGTGAGTGTTCTATGGTATTGAGCAATTAATTCTTCTTCTATAACCATTTTATTATATGCTTTATGACAATTGGTACAACTCCATAATGAAGACTCTGATTCACAACAGATGTCAATATCTCTAATGTAATTACAATAATCACAAATAACATGATTGATCTTTAAGGAAGTACTTGGGTTTTTGAATGTAGCTTCATTACTGAACTCCTTTACATCGAAAATTGATAAAAGTTCCTTTCTTAATAACCGTACTTCAATATTTCTTTTACTGGATAATCCTAATACAGCACATAAGAATTTAGTTAATTCTAATGCGGGGTTTTTCATCAGTAAATGAGAACCCGGGAGCTTGGGGAATTCATATTCCTTTTCAAACTCAGGATTGATAATGGAATCAATTTGTTTACGATACAATTTCTCGATTCTCTTCTGTAAGTGTTTTCTAAAGATTTCAATTACACCATTAAAGATATCTTCTTCTGCTTCTTTTGATTCTAATTTCTTTTGTCCTTTAAGTATATGAACAATTTGAGTTACTCTTGGAGTTCCAGCTTGAGTATCACCAGTTAATGTATCACTCTTAAATTTAGATAATGCATCTAAGAAAATAACAAGCCAATCCTCAAATTCTTCTCTAAAAATAACAGGTAAGAATTTCTTTATATGCCATTGATTTTCAGGTACTAAATCTTGAATTTCATCATTGGTAATATGTGTACAACATCTACCCCCGAAATTATATTCATCCATCCAAATTAATAAATCCCAATACTTTTCAATCTTTAGTTCTAAGAAATTAAATAATGGTTTGGATCTAGCTGCTTTAACTATATATTGACCAAAAGCGTATGAGTTTTCAACTGAAACTTTACTAGTTTGGACAATCAACTTATTTCTATTGGCAAATACCACTTGAGCATTCATTCTTTTGAATTCACCAATCAATTGTAAAAGAACTTTGGTTGATAAATTATGAACATGATAATGTAAGGCATAATCATAAAGGTGTGATTCCTTCCTTTGCACCCAAGTCACCAAATTATTCATCATGGAATCAGCATTGACGTTATTTCTCAATGCATCATCCCACCAATCCTTTACCATATTTCTTAATACTGATAATGCAGATGGTGAGAATGAATCTTCAGCTATAGTTGAAGTACCATTATTCTTATCAAATGCAACATTATCATCAGCTAAATCTGTACCTTCGGCATCATTGATTAATGTACTAGTAAGAATTGAATTGATAGTTAAATTACTTACATTCATTTCCAAACATGCTGTTTCATAAATTTCTGGATTATTAACAGTTGGGAATTCAATATTCTCATAATCAATAGCTTTATCCATCTCAAATCCACCATGATCAGGTAATGGATTTCCTGTCCACCACAAAACGATATTGTTTTGGGTTAATCTTCTAGCATATTCAATATCTATCAAATAACCGAGATTGTCAATTTGTATATTACATAATGGAACATTACCATAACGAGATAATGCTATTAAATTCTTGATCCAACTAGCTAACACAAAGTAATGATTGATTGATCTTCTTGAAATTAATTGTTGCCAACCAACAGCTGGTAAAGAAAGTTCACTGATATTCATCTTAATAGTAGGGAATTCAGATGCTGCAGTAAGAATATTGAGAACCCTTGCAGGGTATGGAGATTGAAGGGCAAATAATGATTTATTACTTCTACTTTCTTGGATTTTACTTATGGTTTGATTCAACTTCTTGAATAATTTTGAGTTGTCGTGATAATAGTGAGTTTCAAAAGTCATGGAATCTGGATATTCAATGATATTGTATAACTTACCTAATTTATCTTTCTTTGCTTCATAAATTTCACGATAGATTCTATCCATGTTTCCAGGAAGTTCTTGAGCATTGGCGGATGGTTTTAACACAAATACAGTTGTTGTATTCTCCCACGATTTAAATAAAGTAAAGAATTCATAACTGTTAGTAACAATATGTAACAAGTAAACAATATCCATATTGAAATTTTTCAAGTAATCAGTGCCTCCTATTCTATTCAACTCCTTCAAATTAAAACCACTCTTCAAACCTTTTCCTAAAGAACCTACTCTTGTATCATCGAATTTAACCACATTACCTAAGTCGATAATAGCTCTTTCAACTGCACCAATTTGAGTTTCATATAACCCCAAAATATTGGAATCTTGTAACAAACTATCAACATTAGTATGAGCTTCATGGAAAGTAGTCTCGGGCATAGTTAACTTATATAAATGAGAACCATCATGACCATTAGGTAAGGCAGCATTAGATTTTTCAATTTCGCAGCCAGGAATATTTTTCCGGTTAGAAATATCTGTTTTAAAAGATGCGAAAACTTTTTTAGGAACATGAAATGTAAATGAATGAACTTTAGTACCAGCCAGAACGTAAACCTTAACATCACCAGGAGTGGCGACGTCTAATTTATATTGTAAAATTTCCCAATTGGATCCTGCCACGTTTTCGGCTTGTTTTCTTAAAATACCTCCAACTGTTGATCTATGTGATGTTTCAGAATTACTACCAAATATTCTCTTTCTTCTATCTCTATTAAGTTGTTGAAGGGTCCATTTGGCTTTTTGATAGTGTAAGAAACCTTCATAATCTTCAGTCATACTTGGACAAGGACCATTTAAGACAGCGTTTATTCTTTCTTCTTCTTCAGAGTCTAACACCATATTAGCTTTGGCGTTTCTTCTCTTCTTGGATGTGACTTTGACAACTTTTGGTCTTGGAGCATCTATTTCACCAAAATCTTCCATATCCTTAACTTGTTTTTCCAAGGCGTCTTTCTTAGTTGACTTAGAGAAGAATGTAGAAAGTGATGATTGTTGTTTTGAATCATCTCTGACACTGATTTTTCTTTGCAACCATTCCGGATGAGGAACTCTTGGTACGGGATTTTTAACATTTTGTAATGCAGCTGGAATGGAAATAATCTTTTGAACTACCGATGCTAAACGTTCTCTATAATAATCCCAATCAATGATTTCTCTTGGACCAATTGATCCTACTAAAGTTGGATCTTTAAGCCATTTTCTAAGGAAAAATTCCTTCTTTTCAGATGAGAAGATTGACACTGGTACAGCTCTTTCTGTAATTGAAGCTCCAATCGGTTTTGCACTAATAATATATTTAGTGGCTAAACCAGCATCTCTAACCATTTCTTCACCCAAAAATTCCCCTAATCTTCTGGCAGTAGTAATTGAAGTAGATTTTTGTGTGCCATATTCAGCTAAACTCTTAGACATACTTCTATTTTCACAAATAAGTTCAATCAAATCTTCATCTTCTAACATACCACCTTTCGTATCTAATACATCTAACCAATTGTTAGCGACTGTTGCCACAGCTTGATAACAACCTTCCAACGTATCACCATCCAAGAATAATTTGAAAATATCAGATTGGAAATTCTTAATTAATTGTAATTCCCCTCTTCTCTTCAATTCGAAACCTTTTAATTCTGCTAACGAACCATCATCATTGAAAACAGCATATCTTTTCTTTAAACCTTTACCTTCTTCTTTGGAAGTAGGAAGAATCATCGCTTTATATGGACCATCAACTTCGAAGAAAATAGAATTATCTGATCTTGTTTTATATTTGAAATTATCTGGATCAACTAAATCTTGGTATTGATCATTGGTAAATCTTTCATGAACTAAATAATTCAACATAGAACAAGGATATTCTAATAAGATTTTTTTACCATCTTTACATTTTAAAGTGAAATTTTCAGGAAATGATTTTGGTAAAATACACCAAATACCATCAGTATCCAATTCCAATGGTCTACCTATACGCTCCACCAATGCACGAGCCATTTGAATGATAGTGGCCCCAGTAAGACAGGTAATACCGGCCATTTCCATCGAATACCAACGAGAACCTTTTCTCATCACATAACCATAAAAAGAATTAAGAATAACTTTATGGGCCAATTGTAAGGAATCATATAAAACTACCATTTTCTTAGCTTCGTCTCTTTTGATGGTATCATGTTTATCTAATTTGGATATTTTCCCTTTCCAAACTTTGGCTAACCCTTTGAATTCATAACGACGATCTCTGAATGATCTGACTGTATCGACATAGAATGGATTTTCTCTTTGACAAATGATGGATTCACGAGTGACAACTTCAGTTTGTTTGACTCTGTGATAGACTTTTCTGGAATAATCACTGATTCTCTTTTTAATTAATGAAGCTTGTTCGGTATACGATAATTCATCAAATGTTCGAAGGGGTAACCATGGTTTTGCGGCAGGGAAAGTTTCATTTTGTAAAGTTCTTTTTAACATATTATATTCATTCATTTCAGCAGGATAAAATTCCCCTCTCCAAGACCATGGAAGTCTTCTATCACAATTCTTACCTGGTCTATTGAAATCACAAGCAGCACAATCTTCTTCTGTTTTCATGGAATCGGGTTGTAATCTATTGGATGTCATGATATTAGGATACATTGACGCCACATCGACATGATAAATCAATGGAACTTCTTTCCGTACTGGATTAGCTTTTAATTCAAGTAATTGATCCCGTACTTGATTATAAATTTCATCAAAGTTTTCCACATCTTCGAATTTTTTATTATTTTCAACTTCGATACAAAATTTAATTGAATTATGTAAATCATTTAATAATTCATCAATTGCAGTAGGATCCACTTTGAAATCATTTTCTAAATCACTTCTGAAAACACCTGCTTCTAATGATTCAACATGTCCCCCGACATAAGTCTCCGATTCTAATAAATGACCATCGTAAAATCTTTCAATTGGTTCACTATGTTTATTGGGTAATAAAATATTATTTTCATATGCTTGAACCAGTAATAACATTTCACATAAGGTACCTGTACCTTTACGTAACACTTCATCTGGATTTAATGGAATAATAGTACATAATGAGAAAATAAATGGATGAACATACTTATAATATAGGTAATAAGTTGCTACTGCATCCGACACCGAATATTCAGATAATAATTGAGGTTTTTCATATGCATAAGGAGTCATTAATTCAGGATCTAATTCAGTTGGATTGTACCCTAATTTAACAGTCGTAACCGCTTTTAAACCTTGAGAACCTTGAGGTAAATAAGAATCTCTTTTAACCCATCTATAACAATCCATATGAACACAGTATTTGGATTTATATTCACCATCATTATCCTTAGCAAATCCAATTTCATCAAACATATCCATATCATGGAAAGTAGTTCTTGTTTCTACAAATGGCCAATCGAAAAAATCACCATTAAAAGTCGCTATAACGGTTGGTTTTGCATCTCTTATATGTTCGAAGAACCTCATTAATACATGTTTTTCATCTGGCTCATTGAAAATGGTGAATAAACCAGGGTATTCTGGTTTAGGAGTATATTCGAAATCATTAATATCTTCAGAAATGATTTCACGATTGGTAATTAAAAACCCTTCACCATCTATCATATACGATATCATCATGATTTGATCAATTTTAGCATCAGGGAACTTTAATGGAGCCTTAGTAGTTTCTATATCATATGCCAATATCACGGGATCAGCGAAAGCAATCATTTCTTTATCTTCCACAAGTGATACTTCTTGATGTTTGACATATACATCATACCATTTACCAACTCTGATATTTTTATCAATTGATACACGAACATGATATGGAACATCATATTCCTTCATATCATCAATATAAGTAGAAGGGCTAGCAGCTTCATTGGTGGTGGTATGAACCACTGCATAAACATCTCTTGATTCTCTTTTGGTTTGATTATCTTTAATTATAGGTGCTATTAATCTTCTAGCAGTTAAAAGATCTTGAACATTATGAAAGGTTAATTTGATTAAATTTTTTTGAAGACCAACTAAATGATTTGGTAAAGCTAAATCTTCTTTTAATTCTCGATTTATAGATTTTATACTGGTTGATTCTAAGAATTTTCTTAACCATTCTTCAACTTCTGCTTCATTACCAGGTATCACATCAAGAAAGAAGTAAGGATCGAATTGTAAAGTGACTTTGAATGAACCACCTTCCTCATCTAAGAAATAATAATCCACTCCTGAATAACCAGTTAAATAGTCCTCTGAAGGTATAGTGGTAGAATGCATATTTATTAACCACCCTTTCTTTGGTTTCAATCCATCATGTTCACCATTTTCGATCCTGGCGAATCCCATTAAGGCATCCAATTCATCGATCTTACTCACCAATTCCTTCTTCTGAATCGAATCATTAAGCATGGGATTATTGGCTATCCTAGGATCAATTGGTATGTTTTGTCTATCATGATTTCTAGGTTTGAATTCTGTATTTACTTTATTCTTAACGAATCTAGCGGATGTAGATCCTTTGAATCTGGGACGACTTGACATTTATGAATAGTCCCTATATATATATATATATATATGATGATGTTAGATGATATGCTATTTGAAATGCTAAAGTTGTGTTTGGTCGTTTTCAAGATGGATGTTGCCAAACTAGAGATTATATGGCAAATGAATCTTTTTGGTGTGTATTTACAAAATCCATCAAAACGCGTCTAAATTTTTTTCTTTTATTTTTAGGGAGTTTTTGTGTAAGATTTGACGGATCACGTGAATGCTGATATAATATACAAAACATCATTTATTAATTAATTAGGGTATTACTTTACTACTATTATCTCTATATATATTCTAGTAACTAGTAACTCATGAATAAGACAATTAAACCTTGGACTACTACAGCATAGACAAATAAGAATTGGATTCTGATTCTTCTTTGTTTAGATGTGATAGTTGTAGTTCCTACTGATAAACTTGGTAATACAGAAAATCTTAATGATCTTAAAAGGAAAAGAGCCAAACTAACAATAAATCCAAAAAGAACAGGATAATAATAAAGCCAATAATCACTGACAAGATTCTTCCAACATAATAACACAATGATAGTTACATATTTATAACTTGAGAATCCCACTAAATCCCATAATGAGATTTGACTTGAACAATTTAATAAATATAATCCTACTTTAAAGATAGTAATATCAAGGACAGTGAATGCAAGGGTTTGAGATGATAAATAACCAAATAATTGAGGATGGAAATCTCCTTTCAATCCTTGGAAGGCGGCCCATAATAAGATATAAGTTACAAATGACATGGTGGGAATATATAAATCAGGGGCATTAACATCTAAATTTGGAGGTGCAAATTGTTGAGAATTAGATGGTGATGAAGATGATGATTCTCCCGTAACATCTTGTAAACTTAAACGATTCCAATTCTTATTTCGATAAGGAAATAATATTAAAAAGATTTTCTTTAATACATATGAATTACTAACTTGGAAATAATATTTTAAATCAGTGGTACCAGTAGGGATAAATGAACCGAAATTTTGTTGAATATATTGATTTGACTGTTCGAATCCATTTCTAGCAAATTGACCTGCTAAGGCAGCTGCTGGATCATTCAAGAATGAAGTATATGAAGTAGAAGCACCTCCACCTGGAACTTGTTGTTGTGATTGTGGATGTTGTTGTTGATGAGCTTGTGGTGGCACATTAAATTGTTGTTGTTGGAAGGATGGATGCTGAGGTTGAGGATGTTGTAAGTTTTGTTGACCACCTATGAATTGATTGGGCTGGCCTTGAGCAGCAACATTACCGTATGGAGTATACATTATGATGATGGATTAATCAATCGATATTATCTTGAACCAAAGTAAAGATACGTCATGACCAGTACATTTTTATTCGTTTTGAACAGTTGGACTGAAAAATGAGAAATAATTTTGATCACATGTTATGCTTCCTTTGACTTCCTAATTGGGAAGTCTTACACAATAGAGTTCTTCAAGAGCATAAATTGATGATTTATATACAGGAACTATGTCATCAGTTTCTAGAACCATCACAATTGTTCCTGAACGTAATCTGAATCCCTTATTCAAACTTGATTTACCACATTTAATCAATTGATTTCGTTTTTTTCCTTTTTCTTTCATCTTTTTCAAGTATCTGTCTGGTTTTAGTTAGGGTAATCATTTCAATCATGGCAGTTAGTGGTAAAGTGTTGGTGGTATCCAATCGTTTACCTGTTACAATCAAGCGTTCAGATGATAAGTCTTATACTTATACCATGTCATCAGGTGGTTTAGTTACTGCTTTACAAGGATTAAAAAAATCAACTGAATTTCAATGGTTAGGATGGCCAGGTTTAGAAGTTCCTGATGATGAACAGGATCGGGTTAATAATGATTTAGCTGAACAATTCAATTGTACTGCTATCTTTTTAAGTGATATGATTGCTGATTTACATTATAATGGATTTTCAAATAGTATTTTATGGCCTTTATTTCATTATCATCCTGGTGAAATGAATTTCGATGAAAATGCTTGGAGAGCTTATATTGAAGCTAATCGTCAATTTGCTATATCAATTGCTTCTCAAGTTAATGATAATGATATGGTTTGGGTTCATGATTATCATTTAATGTTATTACCGCAAATGTTAAGAGAAGAAATCGGTACATCAAAGAAAAATATTAGAATTGGATTCTTCTTACATACTCCATTCCCATCATCGGAAATTTATCGTATTTTACCCGTTAGAAAAGAAATCTTGGAAGGAGTTTTAAGTTGTGATTTAATTGGATTCCATACTTATGATTATGCTAGACATTTCTTAAGTTCAGTCAATCGAATCATTCAAGATGATGTAAAAACATTACCTAATGGTATTGAATATAAAGGTAGATCAATCAGTGTTACAGCATTCCCCATTGGTATTGATGTGGATAAATTCACTGAAGGATTAAATAAAGATAGTGTAATTAATAGAATAAAACAATTAAAACGGAAATTTGAAGATGTCAAAATCATAGTTGGTGTTGATAGATTGGATTATATTAAAGGGGTTCCCCAAAAATTACATGCTTTTGAAGTCTTCTTATCTGAAAATCCCGAATGGATTGGGAAAGTGGTATTAGTTCAAGTTGCTGTTCCATCTCGTGGTGATGTCGAAGAATATCAAAGTCTTCGGGCTACAGTTAATGAATTAGTAGGTAGAATCAATGGTAGATTTGGTACGGTTGAATTTGTTCCTATTCATTATTTACATAAATCAGTATCATTTGATGAATTAATCAGTTTATATCATGTATCTGATGTTTGTTGTGTAAGTTCGACCAGAGATGGAATGAATTTAGTAAGTTATGAATACATTGCTTGTCAACAAGAAAATCAAGGGGTATTAATCTTATCTGAATTTGCTGGAGCTGCTCAATCATTAAATGGAGCTATTATTGTAAATCCATGGAATACAGAAGAATTAAGTGTAGCCTTGAAGGAAGCATTGGCATTACCAGTTGAAAAAAGAAAAATTAATTTCGATAAATTATTCAGTTATATTTCAAAATATACTTCTGGATTTTGGGGTGAAAGTTTTGTTAAGGAATTATATAAATGTACTGATAAATCAAAGTAGTAGTATTATCTTTCTGTCTCTTCTGTTTATTATCTTTTTTTTTTTGAAATGTTTATCTTATAAATATACATATTACTATCTTGAATACTTTCATAATCGCCAGTTTCCGTTTATTATCCCTATAAAAAAATGTAAGAATCACAATAAATAAATAAATTAAATAAAAATGAAAATGAATAAATGTGTAAAATAAATAAATGCCTAATCTCAATCAACATCTTCATCAATCGTCGTATCAGGTGAGCTTAATCGTAATATAGTATGAGTTGCTAAATTCGCCTTAGTGAGAGGAGTTATATTTCTCCTATTCTCTTTATCCTTTTCATCTCCATCCACTTCCTTGTCTCCATTAGAGATTATTAACAGTGGTACGCTAGGTGTGGTGTTACCCTTAGTTGAATTAGATAATTCTCTGGCCGTTAAATTGGTCTTGATAACTTGAGGCTTTATACCTAATTTTGATAAAAGTGATGCATTAGAATATATGTATGATGCAGGTGACATTCCTGAAGTTTGAACTTGGGGTAAAACTGTACTTTCAGAATATAATGATGAATCAGGTAAGTTTGTCTTATGAGAGAAGAATGGTTTTGATTTTGTGGTAGATGTGGTTTCTTTCGGTTCTTCTTTTTTCTTCTTGGGTTCTTCTGGAGCTTGAGCTTTGAAATGACTTACATCTTCCTCTATGGTCTTTGCTGAATTGAATGCTGACATTAAGTATGGTAATTCTTCAGATATGGTAGTCTTATGAAGGATAGTAGATGATGACATGGATGACATGGATCCCCGTCTATGTTTAGGTGAACTTATAGTTCCTACTGTAGAATCCGTATCACGAGTCTTGGTGATGGAATGAACCATTGGTGGTTGAGATACGGTAGATGAATACATTGAATTCATACCAAATTCGGAATAAGTATCATCATACTCATATTCATCATCATCAGATTGAACATTACTATGATGATGGTGAGAATGGTTGACAGGTAATTCAAGTTGTTTTTGTCTTAGTTCTTGTTGTTGTTTAATGATTGAATCTTTCATTTTTTCAAGTTTATAAGCTTCAAACATTTGTTCTAAATCATTAATAACCGCCAAACATTCAAACTTTGATTCACTATCATTAGTATCTATAGCTTCGTTCAATTGTCGGAGTAAACTAACGATGAATGATTTATATGACTCTATAGTAGTAGTATCTTTCGAATCAGAATCACTTTGAAGTAACATTAATTCTAATTCTTTACCGATACATATTAATCTAGCTTTCAGATAAGATGTAGTGACATTGGATCCAATATCATTCTTTAATTTAATACATCTTAATATTAAAGATGTTAATAAAGTTCCACTATCAGAAATATATTCAATAGGAGATAAAGTTCTTGAAGTCTTGGTAATATGATCGATATCAATTGATATTTTCATGGACTTGATATTAAGTTCTTGACATTTATTAATCACTTTATCAGCAATATTATAATTGAATTCTTTAGTTTTATAATCGTTATCATCATTGAAATGATCACCACTACTGAAATCTAATGATAGAAACTCCCAACTCTTGAAGATGAGATTCATTTTTTCAAGGGTCTGTAAAATTGAAAAAGTAGTCAGACATAATCTACTAATCTTTCTTTCTGTCAAGGGGAAGTCATTGATTAATGATACCAATTGGTTTGACTTTTCTTTATCTCGATTCAAATTGGGATCATGAATTAATTTTAAAATAGGATCTTCATAAGGTTGCTCTATATCAGTCATGAATACGGGGTGTGAAAATAAGTGATGATGATGAGTAGGTTATGCAATAATGATGGGCTCTATAACAATAGAATCGATGAATGAAGTGAAATGCAAATGTAGTTTATCAAAATAAAGCTAGTTGAGTAGCAATGAAATGAAAATAGTAATCTAATCTGGTGGGATCAATCAATGTTTAAGATGACCTAAATCGTTCTTATATAGTGAAGGGTATGGGGAGAGTATGCACAATGAAAAACTGGCTGGATACAAGTAATCCTGGTGATGAATAAATATATGATATGCTAAATACCAATTGAATGGATTATTAATGCTAAAGGAATCAAATTAATGATAATGCTAAGGATATGAAAGTGAATAGTTGTTGTTTACCGTTAAAATGATTATCAGCCAATAATTTTCAATCGAATGTTTTTTTTTTGTTGCTGTGTGGTTTTTATTTTTAGGGGTGCACTGCGCTGGGCTCTTCTCTGGGCGCGCTCTAGGCTCTCCTGATAGCGAGCGAGTGAGTGACTAAAGGTTAGATGCCGGTAAGTCATCAGGGGTTTATCATTTTCAAATTTTATCATTTGATTCCCCATTTAGGAAATGGTTTAAACTTTTGGTTGCAAGATGTGTTACTTAATTAAGTTCTATTGTTGTATATGATATTACATAATGTGTCAAATTGGTTTGATTTGTTTGGGTTATGGTTTGCTACAATAGGGGAAAATTGTTTAAGGGTGCAATCAGCTAACGGCTCAAGCCGTGTGTGAATATGAAGGTATAGCTCCTACACCCCATAAGAATTTGCAACTATATTATAACAGCAGTTACACATTTCATTACTAGATTGCTTCACTATTGTATTGCTCTAATTAAGCTATGCTATATGCATATTAAGATATTTATATATATATATATAAGTGTTTTATAAGTATGTACGGTGCAAGTGCAGTTATTAAATATGTATAGCCAAAACCGGTGAACCGAAGGAACGAACTAGGGCGACCAGTCAGCCGAATAAACAAACCACGAAACTCAGGCGGAACTTTATCCACCTTATGCTAATCCTTTCTCTTTAAGTACTTTATCCTTCATAGTTTCATACCATTGATCCATACTCATTCCATCATGTAATGCAACTATTATTATCGTCATATTATCAAATCCTATTCCTGTATAATTATTGGCCATGGTTAAACAATCATGTAAGATGAATTCAATAATCTTATTCAATTTCCAACCGGTGGATAATTTATGCCTTATAATATTAACAATTTCTTTATTTTTATAACAATCCCAAATCCCATCACATGCTATAACTAAAAATTCTGGAGTTGTATCTCGACGTTTTGATGCATTTTTTAAATCAAATATCATTAATTCTGGTTCAACTGTAACTTGAAATAATTCAGGTGGTAAATGAACTAAATCATTCTTAAAATATTTCTTATTCTTATTTATATATTCATTTCTAGGATTATCAATATATGGTAATTTAAATTTAAAATCTCCAAATGCTCTTGATAATGCTAATATTTCATTAATTCGATTGTTTTTAATATATCCATTACTATTCTCAATTCTAACTCTTTCATTCATTATAATAGGTTTATGATCATATGATAATGTCTTGGCTTGACCATTTAATGATAATATACATCTTGAATCCCCTGTATTAGCCACAATTAAATATCGTTTATTGATTATCATAGATACAATAGCAGTGGATCCACAATTGTTTAAAGCAGTATTGGATGATAAATCAGCATCAACTTTAAAGAATGCTTGCTTGGTTATATCCAAATATTGATGGGTTGATATCGATTTATGTTTATCTAATTTATTTAATTTTTTGAATATTATATCCACAAGATGTTCACTCAAATATTCAGAACATATTCTACCCCCATGACCATCAAACACTCCAAACACTGCCAATGACTCATCCTCATTCACCTTAACATCTTGAGCATCTTCCATGGTAGTCCTATATCCTTGCATTGATCCAATGCAATAGGATATGGATTCATGAGATTGATAGGTGATCTCCTTATCTTCAATGGGATGAGATAACAATTGACCCATCGCAATTCAAGTTCTGTATATTAGATTGTGTCCTCCTATTCACTGAGCTGTGACTCTCAGGTTAAATTCTTTTAAATAGATGATATTTAACCAAGTATCTATAAGTATCAAACATCAAAATATCTGTCTTATCTCTTTTTCTTTCCTATACGATTCAATTTTTCTGTTTGGTCTCTGTCTGCCTGTGAGAAACTTAAGTCAATGTCGCATGATGTGTCATTAAATGTCTCTTGTCGTTGAATGTCGCGACTTACCCCATAATTGACAAAAACCATCACCTCCTTGCTTTCATCCCCACTAAAAGTTGAAACAGCAGCAGTAACTAGAAGTTTATATTATCCAAATGACACATTTCACCATTGCATTAGATTGATTTAATAGATATAGATATATGTATAGGCAACATGGCAGTGTTTCCTAAAATAGACAAGAACTCAATTAGTGGGGATAAACATTATGTTGCTCCTAAGGCATTCCCTATTGGTCCATTTACTAAATATAGTAAGAATCCAATTTTAAGACCTGACCCTAATGTTGAATTTGAAAGTGCTTATTTATACAATGCTACTGCTATAGTCATTGATGAATTGGTATTCATGTTATATCGTGCTCAGAATCCAGCTAAATTATCTTCAGTGGGGTTAGCTTTTTCTTCAGATGGATATAACTTCACTAAATATAATAAACCTATCATTAGTGCTACTGAACCATGGGAAGCAGGTGGAGGTATTGAAGATCCAAGAATCGTAAGAGATCCTAAAACGAAATTATTCATTGTGACATATACGGCTTATGATTTATTCAGAGCTCGATTATGTGTGGCTACATCTGAAGATTTATTCCATTGGACAAAATATAGATCGTTTGTACCTCCATGGTGGAATGATATTGCTAATGATGCTAATGGGAAACAATTGATTAGAAATGAATGGCTGAAATCAGGGGCAGTGTTCACGGAAAAGAATAAAGATGGGAAATACTATATGATTTGGGGTGATAGTTCATTATATCTTGCTGAACTGGAAGATTTAGTGCAATGGAAATTAACTAATGATAGTTATTATGGAAATATTTTTGCAACTGCCGTATTCAATGCTGAAAATAAATTAATTGAAGCAGGTCCAGCTCCTATCAAATTAGATAATGGTAAAAATGAATGGATCTTAGTATACAATGCTGCAACTATTGGTGGTAAAGATCTTGCAAAAGATACCTATACTATAAGTCAAATGTTAATTGATTATGATCATATTAGAGATGGTCCGTTGGCAAGATTAGAAAAACCAATTTTAAGACCAGAGCAAAGAAATGAAGTTGAGGGTCAAGTTAATAAAGTGGTGTTTTGTGAAGGTATAGTTCAATTCAAGGGACAATGGTTTTTGTATTATGGACAAGGTGATTCTGAATTAGGGGTCGCTACCGCTCCTGTTAATTAAAAGTAACTCTAAAAAAGAACATGTATTTTTATAGTTTGTCCTTATTGTTTTATGTTTTTTTTGTTATTTCGTTCTTTTGTAAAGTACATTTATTAAATACTATAAAAGAATAGTTTATTTTATTTACTCTAATTTTTACCTTTTCTTACCCTTTTGTAACTTTTTCCGTTCCATAATTTCCCTAATTATTAAAGCTAAAGCTTCATCAATATTGTCATTAGTATTATCAATGCCTACAAATCCACATTTCCAAAATTTAGCAATCTTTTGACCATTTTCAATCAATTTAGGTGATGCAAATGGACTATTTATATGAGTACAGATTATCCAAATTGGAGGAGGACATTCTGGATCAGATGGATCTTTGGAATTATCAATCAATTTAATATCTTTTCTTAATTCCTTTCTCATAGTTTCCATTTCGGTAAGATTTTTGTCTTGCCATAAATTCTTTAAAGCAGTCTTTATAGAAAATATATCTTGTTCTTTACCTTGATTCCATCTTCTTTTAAAAGTATAATATTCTCTCCATGCTTCATCTAAGGCACCTTTCATAATCGATAATAGATTAAATGTCTTATCCCCTGGTAACTCTTCTAAAACAGGAATTTCAGAGTCATGATGACTTGGTACACTTCTAATACTATTACCACTACCACCACTTGAATTAGAATTAGTGCTGGTGATTTCTTCATAAGATGGTGGATCGTGAGATGGTACTGCACTATAAACAAAGTAATAACCATCGATATTCCCATTCAATTCACTAGCTCCACTGGCTACTAATAATGGATTGGTTGAAACTGGTTTTCTTGGTTCATTGGCTAAATTATGAAGGATTTCTTTATCTAATTTGATATAAAGGGAAGCTTCTAAAAAGGGAACCACTAATTGAGGATCAAAAGGAGGTGTATCTATTAATTCCACCAAGATTGGAGTGATATTAGGTGGGATATAAGTTGTTGATTTATTTGTATTGTATGATAAATAATAAGGATTTTTTGAATTTATAATGACTTTTGAACTTGAGCTGAGATTATCTTTAGGTTTCCTATTAGGATTGGTACTGACAGTTTTAATATGTTTGTTTTGAATAGTTTTATGATATGCATCGTAAATGACAGGACCTATGGATATATTATTTCTATGTGTTGTGATCTCTTGTAACGTATATTCAGCTTCATTTTCGTCTAAAATCGATTTTGCTAAATCTGTAGAAGGGGTGAATTGGAATAAGATGGGTTGGATCTGATGAGTTGGATAATAAGTGTCTCTAAAGTTATTTAACGATAATTTTGATATAATTGATGTTTTACCTGATTTCGGCCCTCCGAGTAGAGCAATCCTAATAGGATTATCGTCATTATAAGGTCTATTTAGATCCAGTTGCAGAAAGCTACTGGAACGATTGAGGAGAGTAGATGACATACGATTTATGGTAATAACTTTTCCATTGACTTTATACTAATAACTGTTACCTTGAAAGAAACAAAGATACGGCTGGTACAGATTAATTAAAATAGCAACCAAAATTTCATTTTTCTTCCTTAGGAAGATTCAGACGGGCTTTTAAATTTGTAAACACTCTTCTCTGTTGTATATAGGATGTCGGGATTTGAGGTCGTGTGAAAGTGACATATTTGAAATTGATATTTAAAGGGTTTCTTAACTACTTAATTATACATTACAGTATTATCTCTTATTAATTAATAATAAATCTTGATTTTATTAGCAAATCTCATTGAAATCTGAAAAGAATAGTTAAGAAGTTAACTATATTGTTACCAACTATAATATGGTCCATGTGAAAGTTGTGTCTTGCTTCTTCCTTCCTATTGCGCTTAATTTTTGACACAATTTTAAATTTCACTCCGCAATTTATGTCAAATCTATACACGTAAATGAAAACAAACGAATATACACATTCATTCCTTGTACATTGATATATTATATGTATATAAATTCATTCATAGCACACGTCTAATATGAGGTTGATCTTACTTTTACTCGGATTATGGTTTATAACGGTCAGTGCCTCGGATTCCGATTCTGATAACAAGACAATTGATATATACGCCCTTAATGCAGAATATCTCAATAGTTATAGGCAAGGAAAAGTGAATAAAGAAGGTAAAGCAGAATATGAATCGTTACTTAGGAAGTATCATGCTGATTTAGCAAAGTTTGGTGATAAATACATGATTGAGGCAGAGGGCCGTATGGTTGTGGGAACAGCCAATTCTGTTGATGAACTTAATCAACCACATAATCCTGATCAACCACTTCTTCCTAGTTATGGTGAACAAGCAGAGAAATCTGCTCACCCCAATGAACCACTTCAACTTAAAGAACCAGAAGCGACAGTGTGACAGGTACATACTACTCTTGGTGCCATTCTGAGTGGTCTGAAACAACCCTAATAGCTTTGTTTTGATTCATGTATAATAGAATAATTAATAAATGTAACAAAAAGAAAATTTAATGAGACAATAACTACTTAGTAGACATAAAAAGCTATCATGTAGGCTTGTATTTGATTTAGAGTCACGGCATGGAACACCGGTCCGTATCTGAATTTAAAATTTCTAATAATAAATAGTGATAGGGATCTTATTTAAAGAACATAATTAAAGATCCAAGATTTGTAAAACAATTGGAAAATGGTTTAGCCCAGGATTTGTAAATTCCTTACTTATTATTCCCCTCCAACTACTCCAGGTAACATTCCACTATTGGTACTGTTTCACATTATTGTCGTGCGCAAAAGTACCAACCAAAAGAAATGTGTTAACAGCCGAATCTACAAATAAACCCCTAATGACAAATCATCATTGGCTCGACCTTTATTTGGACCAAAAATTGAAATTGATCCCTTTCCATATTTCACAACAAAATAAGCCAAGAAGAAAAGCCCCCGCATTTATAATTGGAAAGTTCTAAATGTACCTGAAAAAGAAAAATTTTGCGCAGTTCGGAAATTGATGCGGAATCACCTAATATTTTAATGGTTAAAGTTAGGGGCATATGCGTTCATTTTTAGTGAGTTTAAACCTTAGAAGGTTGAAGCAGACCGAGAAATTAAACTATTCTAAACTATGTTTGTGTTAACTCCACTGATCAGAAGGTAAAAGAGGTTGACAGCCTGATAACTTGCATATTTTGGTATTGTTTAATTATAAGTAATTGCTGCACTACCCCATATCGAAACAATAGAAACAAAGCATTACACTGGATTCGCAATTGTCAACTCTATTTGGACCTTCACCTAAATTTATTATTCGGGTGTTTCTTATTTATTAGGAAATTCTAATTCCACAAATTGTATGAGGTCGCAATCTGTTATGGGTGTTACAAACCTTCCCACCTAGTCATACTATAAATACCAAACCAACTTCCCAGTAAATACCAAGAATAACATGTTTACATATTATGCAATAGTCAACAGTCAATGAACAATGATGTCTTTGTTTCTGAAGCTTCTCGCTATGATGGCAGTGGTTACCACTGTCACGGCTTTAGGAGGGTTGCAAAATATTTTTTTCAATAGCAGTGAAAAAGACTTATTATCATTATACTCAAATCATCAACCAGCTACTTTATTCTTAGATCAACTGGATTGGCCCGGTGTTATCAAAGCTGGATTAGATTTAAGTGATGATTTCAAGAAAGTTACCGGTGATGCATTGCCTGTGTTTAATTATACCAGTAATATTTGTACTTCGGTTCATGGAAATGTGAATACTGCTATCATTGTCGGTACCTTAGGTAACTCATCATTCATTGATAGTCTTGTTTCAAGTAATAAGCTTAATGTCACCGAAATTGAAGGTAAGTGGGAATCATATATTTCCCAAGTCATTGAAAATCCAGCTCCTTGTATTCAAAATGCGTTAGTGATCGTAGGCAGTGATAAGAGAGGTTCGATTTATGGTCTTTATGATGTATCTGAACAAATTGGGGTTTCACCATGGTACTGGTTTGCTGATGTTGTACCAGCTAATCATAATGAAATTTATGTTTCTAAATCAATTGTTAAAGTTCAAGGCGAACCAAGTGTTAAATACAGAGGTCTTTTCCTCAATGATGAACAACCAAGTTTAGGAGGTTGGGTACAAGCAAAGTATCCTGAAGGATTATACAATTCATATTTCGTTCATGAATTCTATGTCAACCTATTTGAATTATTACTTAGATTAAGAGCAAATCTCTTGTGGCCTGCTATGTGGGCAAGTATGTTTGGAGTTGATGATCCTGAAAATCAATATTGGGCTAACTATTATGGTATTGTAATGTCCACTTCTCATACTGAACCTTTAATGAGAGCTACTAATGAATGGACCACATTTGGTAATGGTTCTTGGGATTATAGTACTAATAAAGACAATATTGTTGAGTTCTGGAGACAAGGTATTATCAGAAGTAAACCATATGATAATATGTGGATAACTGGTATGAGAGGATTTGGTGATACACCAATCACTGGTGGTGTTGAAGTTGGATTATTAGAAAATGTTATTACAACCCAAAGAGAATTATTAAGTGAATATTTCAATGGTACTGATATTACCGATATTCCTCAAGCTTGGTGTTTATATAAGGAAGTCCAAGCTTATTATCAAGAAGGTATGCAAGTTCCTGATGATATTACTTTATTATGGGTGGATGATAACTACGGTAATGTTAGAAGATTACCCGTTGCTAATGAGACCTATAGAGCTGGTGGTGCTGGTATGTATTATCATTTCGATTATGTTGGAGATCCAAGAGATTATAAATGGATTAACACTATCTCGTTAGAGAAGACTTGGGAACAAATGCATTTAACTTATGAAAGAGAAGCTAAGAATTATTGGATTTTAAATGTTGGTGATTTGAAACCATTAGAAGTGCCTATTGAGTATTTCTTTTCAATGGCTTACGATATGGATAGTTGGGGTCAAATCAATACAGTTATGAATTGGACTGTTGCATGGGCAGGCAGAGAATTCGGTGCTTATTATGATGATGTTGAAGAAATTGCTGATATTATGGATCTTTATGGATTCTATGCTAGTAGAAAGAAATATGAATTATTAAACACAACTACTTATTCCATATATAATTATAATGAAGCAGCCACTGTCCTTGAACAATGGCTGAACTTAACTGATAGAGCATGGGCTGTCTATAATAAATTACCTAAAGATGTCCAACCATCATTCTTTGAATTCATTCTTCATCCTGTCGTTGCTGGTTATACCGTTTATGATATTCAACTTTCTGCAGGTAAGAATAATTTGTATGCTGGACAAAGAAGAAATCAAGCTAACTATTTAGCACAATACGTTCAACAAAGATTCCAAGACGATGCTAATTGGAAGAATGAATATGATACTTTACTTGATGGTAAATGGGTACATATGATGGATCAAACTCATTTAGGTTATGATTATTGGCAACAACCAATGAGAGATACTTTGCCGCCCCTTGCTTATCTTCAGATCGGGGAAGATAATTTAGCTGGTTCTATGGGTTTAACCGTCGAACAATCTGAAGGTTCTGTTCCAGGTGATGATCAATATAATGCTGTGGCATATAGTAACAATACATTAGTGTTACCTGTATTGGATCCATATACCAAAAGTAGATATATTGAAGTATTTAACAGAGGTATTTTCGATGTCTTTTTTAATGCAACTCCTGAAAATGACTATGTTACAGTTACACCATCAGAAGGAGTCATTTTAGCTACTAACACCAGTATTTGGAATTCAATCTTTCTTGAAGTAACTGTTGATTGGGATAATGCTCCAGATGGATATAATATCGATTATATTGATATCTCTTCTAATTCAAGTTATGGATTCTTTGGAGAACCACAAGTTCATTTACCAATCAATAAAACTAGTGCTCCAACCAATTATACTGGATTTATTGAATCAGCCCAAGAGATTTCAATTGAAGCAGGTCATTTCTCTAATAATGTTTCAAATAATGATACTTATTATGTTGAGATTGATAGATATGGTAGAACTTTATCGGGTGTTACTTTATTCCCAGTTACTGCTGATTCTCAAGAAGCAACTGATGATGCCTCCTACTTGGAATATAACTTTTATAGTTTCACAGTTCCTCAATATGGAACAAATATTACAGTTTATACTTCTCCATCATTGAATGCTAATCCATATCGTCCATTGAGGTATGCAATTGCCGTTGATGATGAAGAACCGCAAGAAATTCAAATTGTAATTGATCCAACTGATCCAACAGCTATGCCCGCTGGATGGGAAACTGCTGCTGATGATGGAGTTTGGATTCATAATACCACCCATACTTTTGATGGTGGAGAACATGTGTTGAAATTATGGGCATTGGAACCTGCTGTGGTTTTCCAGAAGGTTATTGTTGATTTTGGTGGTGTTGTACCATCATTCTTAGGACCACCTGAAACTTATTATCAGGGTTAGATATGGTCTCTAATGATTATTCGTTTTCTGTTTCGTTACAATTTTTCAAAAGTAAATAAAGTTTCCTTTAGTCTTATATAGATTAATATTATTTTTGCCACTAATTAGTTAATGATATTACAATGATTGTATGTTTTTTACATAAATTTATTTATTAAAATAATATATATACCTATGTAAAAGAGTTTTTTTTTTTTTATTTTATTTTAGAGAACCATCAGATGCTTTAATACATCATAATATTGTTGATCCAGCAACTTCATAAAAAGATTAGAATGTATAAGTTTTTCAAAAATTTATTCATCAGTAATAAGCAACTATCAAGTTCATCAGATATTTTTTTATACCAAATTCTATAACACCATCAAAAAAATACCAGATTAGCAAGCATCATCAAATACCTTTAGACAACATTATTGATTTCGATAAGAGTCTATACTATGGATTTAGACAATAGTACATCTGTTTGGAGTAGCACCCCATCCAGTACTGTTGTTTTGATCTTTGTTAGCAGTTTGAGTTTTAGTTTGAGTTTGTTGTTGAGCAGCCATTGTGAAAGTTGTTTGTTTTGTAATGTTTTAAAATAGATTAAGATTGGAGTTTAGAAGTAGGATTTGATCTTTATTTATAGTTGGATTTTGATAAACTAGATTGATAAATGACATACCTATAGATGATCAATATTAGATCATAATTTTAAAACAAAACGGAGTTGATTTTGCATCTTCTTGTGACAGAAAAATTTCCCGATTGGGACGTGACAATGTAATTAATTAACCACAAAAATGAATGCCATGAATTAATCGTTTCTGATTTAAGCAATGACATGGAATAATTATTAGACGATATGATTCAAGTCTAAGATGATCTTATATTTGAAACACTTCAAGGCGTTACGTTATAGGAAACAGAAATTTTAATGGCTTGGGATATTCGTCTGTGCATTAGATTGCAAAATTAACGTATGCGTAACTCAACACCATAGGGCTACACCACGTTTAAAGTTAAATTACACATGCAAGATTGTTTCAAAAAGCATTGATGATACTATATGATTATTGTACATTACATTATATGAAACAGTCAAGTGTTTTCATTCTATTTTAGTCGCCTTTGCTCTAAATTAAGAAAATGAAATATGACAAATTTAGAGTATGCAAGATCGCAAAACCTTTAAATACGATAAACTGAAACATTGACATCGTATCCACTCATCTATCTTAATCTCAAGAACTACTAAATCTTATGATTATGGATGGTAACTAGCTTCATCTATATAGCATTGCGAACAGGACTTATCAGAAACATCTAAAGGAGGTCGTGCGACACTACAAAACATTGTTTTTTAGCATGATAACGATAGTCATTGATTGAGTGCGGAGGATTAAACAGACAAATTTACAACAAATATTGAATTCTAAGCTGACTATCGGAGCAATTCTGAAGTAACAATTTTTAATGTTAAGGAAATGGCGTATACTGCTACTCAAGAAAGGTATGACGCCAGAAAAGAGCCTGGTCGAATAAAAAATCCCATAGTAGCTCATATCCCCAGACATCCTGGTACTAATCATAACAATACCAAACTATCACCTTTAAGTCAACATAAAGAACTTTTCAAGAACAGTCTTAGTGGAGGCAATACAGTTAATAAGCAAGTTCAAAATGATAGGCAGAAGGAGATTAATGCTTGGAAACACGATGTAGATAAGATCGATAGAGTTCATAAACAAACTCAAGGATTAATTAATCATATATTTTATTTAGTGGGGAAATTACATGAAGGCAAGACACTTAAGCATATCATTAAACTACATAAGAAGTTGTTTGATAATGATTATCCTAACATACCCACGATCACCATTAAAGGGATAATATTACTCAGCATCCAATTAAATAAGTTAAGAACCGTTCACTTAAAGATGAAAATACAAGCTTTAACTAGATCTATTGAAGTTTTGAATCTAATCATTGGTAATACCGCTAAAGATATAGATCAAGGTAAGCTGAAAATAATTGAGTTTAATAATAAACTTTCAGGGGTTGCTGATACGTTACAAGAACAATTTTCTAAGCAGTTAGATCGTATAAATTCAACTATAGAAGAATATGAATCTCAAAAAATACGGGATGTTAAACGACAAATGCTTAAATTCCAATGTCGGAACTTTATGGTATTGAAAGAGGTACTGTTTTCTAGTGATGGGTCAAGTTCACTTAATTTTATGGGTCAAAGGATTTTAAAAATCGATCATATTTTGGGTTATAATATAATGAATATTAATCAATTTTTTGAAAGTTTAATTGTTTTACAACGACATTTATCAATAATATTTGAAATTGAATTTCCTTATCTTGAAGATTTACTTGAAAGTTTACCTGATGCTGATTTTTTTAATTCAATTAAAGTGAAGGAAAATGAAATCAGAGGAACTCCTGAAGTAGATGATGAAGTGGATAATGATAATAATGTGGACGGTGATGATAAAGACATTGAATCAGATAATAAACCTAGAGAGTTAACTGATACAAATGATAAGATTGTTAGTACAAACAATACCATTAGACTACCTTTATCATCAAAATCATATAATAATCAAAGAAGAGAACTGATGAAACGATCTCCCAGTAGAGAGATTGAGTCTATATTAGAAAGGAACAACAAAAGTAAATCATCACTGCCGATGCCAGAACGATCTAATTCAAGATCATCAACCTTAACTACCTCATCATCTATACATCAAGTATCTAAGAAAAAAGCTATTGCCATTGTCCCTCATAGAATATTAAAGAAACCATTCAGTAAATTAACTATGAGAGAATTTCTGCAATTATTATATATCATTCTGAAGATTTTATTCAATTTCCAAGTATTCTTCATTACTATTGGTATTGAATGTACGGAAATCATCCGATCATGTGATTTCAATAAGATACTTCAATTATTAACGACGTTAAAAGTTGATAATGCATTTATGGATTTGAATTATAATAATATAAGTTCATTACCTGTCATTGAACTTAAAACTATTATTGAACTAGTATATAAATCAATGATGTTAGGAGTCAATAGAGCAGAGAAATCGACAAAACGGAAAATATCATCTATTCCACCATCTTATCTTAAAGATATCACCTTAAGTGAAGTGTTTCATAATCATGATGTCAATCTGAGCCAACATCCTTATGATGATTGGTCTCTTGTTAGTAAGATCTTAGGTCTGCATAATCTTTAAATTTAATATATAATTGGTTTATACGTGTAATTCTCATACTTCATGTAGGGTAATTTGAATCACTAATCATAAATTAAGTAGGGGCGTGTCCGCAGGGTCAAAAAAATCTTAATATCGAAAAAACTGGATTAATTTAAAGGACGACCCCCATCATCAATCTTATCGCTCAATTTAACTCTAAATCATATTGAACAAGGAGACAACAATCAATTGCCATTCTCTATAGTCAATTACCATATAACATATACATATCGTCATGGTTCTCTCCGATAAGGAATTATTTGAATTAAATAAAAAGGCCGTTACTCAAGGGTTTAAAATTAAACCAAGAATCAATTATAATACTGTTGGAGGTGTTAATGGTCCATTGGTCATTTTAGATAACGTGAAATTCCCTCGTTATAATGAAATTGTCAATTTAACCTTACCAGATGGAACTGTTAGACAAGGTCAAGTCTTGGAAGTTAGAGGTACCAAGGCAATTGTTCAAGTTTTTGAAGGTACTTCAGGTATCGATGTTAAAAAGACTAGAGTTGAATTTACAGGTGAAAATTTAAAAATCCCAGTATCTGAAGATATGTTAGGTAGAATCTTTGATGGTTCTGGTAGACCAATTGATAAAGGTCCAAAGATTTTTGCTGAAGATTATTTAGATATTAATGGTTCTCCAATTAATCCATATGCTCGTATTTATCCTGAAGAAATGATTTCAACTGGTATTTCTGCTATTGATACTATGAATTCAATTGCTAGAGGTCAAAAGATTCCTATCTTCTCTGCATCTGGTTTACCTCATAATGAAATTGCTGCTCAAATTTGTAGACAAGCTGGTTTAGTTAGACCAACTAAAGATGTTCATGATGGTCATGAAGAAAATTTCTCCATTGTTTTCGCTGCTATGGGGGTTAATTTAGAAACTTCAAGATTTTTCAAACAAGATTTCGAAGAAAATGGTTCTTTAGAAAGAACTACTTTATTCTTAAATTTAGCTAATGATCCAACCATTGAAAGAATTATTACTCCTCGTTTAGCTTTAACTACCGCTGAATATTTAGCTTATCAAACTGAAAGACATGTCTTAACTATCTTAACTGATATGTCCTCTTATGCTGATGCTTTAAGAGAAGTTTCTGCTGCTAGAGAAGAAGTTCCAGGTAGAAGAGGTTATCCAGGTTATATGTATACCGATTTATCAACTATTTATGAAAGAGCTGGTAGAGTTGAAGGTAGAAATGGTTCAATTACTCAAATTCCAATTTTAACTATGCCTAATGATGATATTACCCATCCAATTCCTGATTTAACTGGTTATATTACCGAAGGTCAAATTTCAATTGATAGACAATTGCATAATAGAGGTATTTATCCTCCAATCAATGTTTTACCATCCTTATCTCGTTTAATGAAATCTGCTATTGGTGAAGGTATGACTAGAAAAGATCATGGTGATGTTTCCAATCAATTATATGCTAAATATGCTATTGGTAGAGATGCTGCTGCTATGAAAGCTGTGGTTGGTGAAGAAGCTTTATCTACTGAAGATAAATTATCATTAGAATTTTTAGAAAAATTCGAAAAGAATTTTATTGCTCAAGGTGCTTATGAAAATAGAAGTATTTTTGAATCTTTAGATCAAGCTTGGTCATTATTAAGAATTTATCCAAAGGAATTATTAAATAGAATTAGTCCAAAGATTTTAGCTGAATTCTATGAAAGAGAAAGAGAACAAGATGATGATGAAGAAGAAGATGCTGATAAAAACCATGATTTAATTGATGCTTAGATGTTATAAAGAAGATATCTTTATAACTTTTTGCTTATTGCATAGACTTTCTTTTTCTTCTAATTTCCATCCTTTATTACGAAAAGTAACTTTCACCTCACCTTTCCCTTTTTTAAATTTCATTTCATCATCTTAATTTTGAGAGAGAAGAAGATACCATTTTATCATTTTCTGTTATCATCATTTTAGCTATTATTTTTCCATTCCTTTGTTTTTAACCTATCTGGATAAATTTATCAAACATTATTATTCTTATTATTATCATCCATCCATATTTTTTATTAGTACTCTTTTTATATTAATATACACGTCAAAAATATTTTTACATTTCGAAAGTATACTTTCTATTGTAAAGGTTTGTTTATATATTGAATGGATTAATATTTACAGAATCTAATTGTACAATGATAATTATAAAATGCTATTAAGAGAATTAAAATATTCTGTGATTGAATGACTTATTGTTGTTGTTGTTGTTTTTTAAGATTACCAATATAATTAATGGCAGAACCAGCTTTAAAAAATTCAACTTGATCTTTAGACATGGTATGTTTAGTAATGATTTCAAATGATGAACCATCTTTCTTAGTGACTTGAACTCTTAATTCACCACCATTATTACCATCTTTAGCAATCATATCTTTTAAATCAATGGTAGTTATAACATCACCCGATGAAATTTTATCATAATCAGCTTCATCAGCAAAAGTTAATGGTAACATACCTTGTTTCTTTAAATTTGTTTCATGGATTCTAGCAAATGATTTAACTAAAAGTATAGATCCTCCAAGGAATTTTGGTGATAATGCAGCATGTTCTCTGGCGGAACCTTCACCATAATTATGTTCAGCCACCACAATCCATGGTCTACCTTCTTCTTTCCATTTAATCATTAATTCAGGGATACCATATTGATCACCATTTAAATCGTAAGCTTTATTAACTTCCCCAGTTTCTTTATTGACAGCTCCAATTAAAGTATTATTGGAAATGTTTTCTAAATGACCTTTATATTTCAACCATGCACCAGCAGCAGAAATATGATCAGTAGTACATTTACCTTCAACTTTTAATAACACATTAGTGGATAATTCTTCACCTGACCAAGGAAGGAAAGGATCTAATAATTGTAATCTATCAGATTCAGGGGAAACATTAACCTCAACTTCTGGTTTTGGTTGAGGATTTAATTCAGGATAGAATTCTTCTCTACCTTTGATAAATCCAGCATTTGGTAATTCATCACCTTGAGGAGCAACGAATCTGAAATCTTCACCATTATCTAATTTAATAGAATCAGTTATTGGATTATAATTGGCATCACCAGAATAAATCATAGCAGTAACCATATCTGGGGAAGTTAAGAAATTCATGGTATTTCTATTACCATCATTTCTAGCTCTGAAATTTCTATTAAATGAGGTGAAAATACTATTGGTTTCACTTGAAGTTTTGGAAACATCAGTTCTATCCCATTGACCAATACATGGACCACAAGCATTGGCTAATACGATAGCACCATTCTTTTCAAAAGTATCGATTAACCCATCTCTTTCAATAGTAGCTCTGATTTGTTCAGAACCTGGAGTAACAAAGAATGGAATCTTTGGTTTTAAACCGACAGCTTCAGCTTGTTTGATAATGGATACAGCACGAGACATATCTTGATATGAAGAGTTGGTACATGAACCAATTAAACCAGCTGAAATGGTTTGAGGCCAACCTTCTTGTTGAGCCTTTTCACCAAATTTAGAAATTGGAGTTGATAAATCAGGAGTGAATGGACCATTTACATGAGGTTCTAATTCAGAAAGATTGATTTCAACAACTTTATCATATTCAGCACCTTCATCGGCAGCAAGGAAATTGGTATCTTTATGAATTTGATCAACTACTTGAGCAATTGGTTCTCTACCAGTTTGAATTAAATATCTTCTATGAGCATCTTGATATGGGAAAGTAGAAGTAGTAGCCCCGATTTCAGCTCCCATATTACAAATAGTAGCCATACCAGTACAAGATAAAGTTTTAACCCCTTCACCGAAATATTCCACAATATAACCAGTACCACCTCTAACGGTTAAAATACCAGCTAATTTAGTAATAACATCTTTAGGAGAAGTCCAACCAGATAAATGACCGGTTAATTTAACCCCTAAGACTTTTGGAGCTTTTAATTCCCATGGAGTACCAGTTAAAGCATCAACGGCATCAGCACCACCAACCCCAATGGCAATAGCACCTAATCCACCAGCATTTGGAGTATGAGAATCAGTACCTAACATCATTAAACCTGGAACCGAAAAGTTTTCTAAAACGATTTGATGAATAATACCTGAACCTGGACCCCAGAATTGAATACCATATTTATCACCACAACTTTGTAAGAAATCAAATACTTCTTTATTGGTTGCAATTGATTTAATTAAATCTTCTTCAGCACCATCTTTACCGACAATCAAATGATCACAATGGATTGAAGCTGGTACAGCAGTGGAAGCCATTCCACAAGTCATGAATTGTAAAAGAGCCATTTGAGCAGAAGCATCTTGCATGGCTACTCTATCAGGATTTAATTTTAAATATTGTAACCCTCTAATATTAGCGACATTACCTTGACTTGATGCAAAACCTTCTTCAGGATCTACTAAATGAGAATATAAGATCTTTTCAGCTAAAGTTAATGGTTGATTATTAACGATTTTCTTAACGGTAGCTAAATTGTTAAGTAATTTAGCATAAGGAGGAGTTCTTGATTCGAATAGTTGGGGTACTTCATAATGATTGATAGTACTAGAAGTAGCTAAACTTCTAAGATGATAACATAAATTACCTCTAACCTGGGTAATGGACTGTCTAGCCGATAACATAATTGAATGAATGGACTATAGCAAAGAAACAACTAGTTAAAGAAGTGAAAAATTTTTATATATGAATTTGGGTTTATTATCAGTTTTATGGAGATCTGAAAAATTATTTCATTTTTATTTACATCCTTACCGCTGACCAATAAATTCTTAAACAGATTTGATGACTCAACTGTAAAAATGACTTATCTCAAATTTCGCCGCATTTTTTTTTGACATTACTTATCGGCACGGGGTTTGGGTCATGTGATGGTGTTGGTACTGTATATAGTAATGTTCTGTATATAATACCAGTATAAGCAGACTACTAACTACAGGTAAAGCCTAACAATCAATTAATTATGGTTTATATTTAACTTTTATAGATATATTATACAAAATACCTCTATTTATATGATACATGACATCTTTTCTTAACCTTTCATTTCTCTCGTGGGTACAATATGACCTAAGTTAGCTTCACTTCACTTCACTTCATACAAGACCTCTATAAGCTCTTGATACCCATCCACAATCTCTTACATTATCATCTTTAGCATCAACTTTGAAATTGGTAGTTGGGTCATCATATTTCCCACTATCATCAGCAGGCTTTGAAATACAAAGATATTTCCCATCGGGTAAGAAACATCTTAATTGGGAGGATGGATATGGACATGGACAAAATTTAGGTTCTTTAACACAAATACCAGTATCTTCACATAAATAATTCCTACATCTAGTATTCAATTTGGCATTCTCATAATCTTGAGGATTGACATATTGACCTTCATGAAATTGTTGTTGATGTCCTCCTTGTTGACCTCCAAAATTTTGTAAGAAATCAAATAAATTACCATTCACAAATGAACTTATGAAGATGATACAAGTTAATATTATAGATATCATGATGATCTATACTTCTACTATATGATGATTTTATATATTCTTTAAAAACAATAATGACACTTATGTTTGTCAAACTTCTATATATATACTAATTTATTTAATTACAGTACACGTCAATAATTAATTTTTTTGGTGATTGATTGGGGAAATTTTTCAAAATCCGGGTAAATGAAATAATAATAATAATAATAGCTGCTAAAATAATTAATATTATGGACTATCCCATTCAACCATGTTTAATGACTATGTTTAATAGTATGATAAGATTCTTTATCCAAGTTTTCAACAAGAATGAAATCTTCAAACTCAGCTAAAGTTTTGAAATCTCTATGTAAACAATAAATTGATTCATCTGATGATCTATCAAACAGAATGTTAGTATATCCAATTTAAACCTTTATAATTAAAAATTGGTAAAAGACTTACTTATCATAGATTGGTTCAGCTTCATAACAATTTTTGACCAAAACCACAGTTAAAAGAATAGCCATAAAGAAAGCCAAAATGAAATTAATTCCATCTTCTTTATCATCATCAGCGTCACTATTATAAATTTGAACCTTATCTTCTGAATCATCTGATTCAAGTAATTTTAACCACATAGGAGTTTCTTTAATATCAAGATTCAACTTCAATTGAACAGGATGACATTGATATTCAACTTTTTCATCATAATCATTAACAACACCATCATTTCTTGGTTGATATTTTGGTAATTCTTCATCTTTAACCACTTTTTGAGCGGCGGCTAAAGTATTATCATCTAATGAAATTTCATCTACCATAATCTCAACAACTGTAATTGATGATTTAGAGAATTTATCTAATGAAGTCATGGTTTCAAGTTATTCTCTTTGATTGATGATTGATAATTGATCTTTTCAAAGGAACAAGGAGAAAGAAATAAAAACAAATTATAACATTTTTAAAAAAATATAAAATTGAATTCCACTTTTTAAATTCTGATTGCTGCGAAATTTAAGTCAAATGTAAAAATAAATTCAATTTCGAAAAACAACTGAGAATTTTTTCAAAATTTACACTAAAAGAGGTTGATGCAACAACTTCAACACTTCAATTATCCACACCCAACCATTATAAAGTTTCATTTTTTAAGTCAATTAGAAAGATAATTGATTAAATAATCAATATCAATCAAAAAAATTTAAACCTTTCATATTGAAAGATTCAAAAATGTAAAAAAAGAGGGGAGAGCAGGGAATTGAACCCTGGGCCTCTCGCATACTTGCTGAATGATCGAAATCATCTCCCAAAGCGAGAATCATACCACTAGACCACACTCCCTTATTTGTGATGCTGAAAAATTTTCAATTTGTGATGTTTGTATGATGCGCGATGGTAGCGTGGCGCTACCAAAAATGGAGGAAAATTTTCTTTGAGGCCTGTCAATCAGTTAAATCTAATATGACTAATTGATGATTTGATTAAATATTGATACAGAGAGAGCAATTTCTATGCTATTAATGGGATATTATTAAACTATTAAGGGTATATAGGTATATTAACTATTAAAATTTCTAATAAATACGAATATTATATTTTTGGGGGTTTCCCTTTCTATTCCAAAACACACCAAACCAGAGAGCAATGTATTAAAGGTGGTGGTCAGGGTAGGGATCTAATGCAAGAGAGAGAAAACAACACAACAATAATAGACCAATGTCTAATCTAAGTGGATGGATGTGACATCTCTGTTTTTAATGAGAAATAAGCATCTTCAACTTCTAATTCAACTTCTTGTAAGGCTCTTGATTCGGATCTTACACCGAAAAACCAAATCATTCCATTAAGGATTCCTGTAACTAAGATGAAATGACTCAAGAATAAGAATAAAACAGCAAATCTCGATTGAAATCCTGAAAACAAATAAAACAGGAGAGTAATTAATATCGAAGAAAAGAAATATATCTTTCTCCAATTGGATTGGAATGGAATGGTATGTTTTCTATATTCGGCAATCTCAATTAACAATTGTTGATATATTTCAATTTTCTCAGATGGATCCAGGATAAACCTATCGTCATGAGTTTTATGCTCATCTTTGGATTGAACAGCAAATTCAATACTATATCCAAAATGATCAGAATATGAACAATTCAAGGGAGCAGGTAATTTTTCAGTAAACTTAACTGCTGCTTTCAATGGCGTGATAGTATTTATATCAATTAAGGCATAATCTAATCGACAAGCATCTTCAATTTTAGAATGAGTTCGATATGTATTTAATTGAGAATTACAAGTTACCCCTGCTGTTATGATTTGATCTTCAGGAGTTAACCCGGCAATACTAACTTCATTAGGGTTTAAAAATCTCCAAGAATCAATCAATTGACTCTCAACTGTGAATAAATTATATGGTAATGAATTTGGTCTTGAATTTAAATCACCAACTTGAATCACGGCAAATCCACTCCTTTTCAACATATTAACAATCTTAGTGAAATCCCATGCTTGACAAGCACGATGAGTTGAATAGCTAGCATCACCAACTTTGGAATATGGAGCATGCATATGACTATTCAAAATTGCAATTGGTAATGCATTTTTCTTATGTGGTTTCAAAGTAGTGATGGAAATCCCCTTACCCACATACCAATCACCTCTAAAGAAAGCTGATGGTCTACCATTGATAGGAAATCGATATAAGAATGATTGATCAATCGGTATCTTAGATAAGATAGCTAAACCGGGACCAGCAATGATACCTGATTTAAAAGCACGACGATATGGATATATAGTTTGACACGTTTGATTAAAGTATTTCCAATCATCTTCACTCCAAATTTCTTGTAATGCAACTATATCATACTGTTCTTCACATAATTTCTGAGCTATGGCTTCAATTCTTTGTCTTCTATGTTTGGAAATGAATTTCAATCCCCATGTGTTAAAAGTTAATAATTTAATACTATCATTTTCAGAGGCAATGGTGGTGGTTGATTCTGTACCTATTGTCGCTACTGGAGTAGCATCTATATCTTCCACAATGGATGCTGATTCTTTTAATGGCATTTGGTTGAACTTCTTGATCTATAGAAAGTAAAACAGATCGGATCACATCGGTTTAGAGATTTTTCAAAACGGTCATCTTTTAGTACGCCAAAACATAAACTGTACACAAAAACGGTTATTTTGAAAACTGAGAAAAATATCAAAACTTCAGAAATCAAAACAACACTATGAAGTAGAAATTAATATCATACATCAACACATTACAATGGCCTATCAATCATCATTTGAAGAGTACGACGCGTTACAACTACGTATGAATGAGTTCGTCAATATAGTGGAATCAAAATTAACAGAAAAGAGAGGTAATCTACTAAATGATAAACAGAATCATTATATCAAATTAAATGATTTAAAATCACAAGAAATCAAATTACAACTGGATATTAATAATCTCATTACAAAACAGGATAAGACTAAGAATCAGTTGAATGAATCGATAGATAATTTACAATCACAACGGGTGAAAATCGATGAATTAATCAAACAACAAGAACTTCTACTTAATACTAAACAACAACTCACTAATGACATAAATCATATAAATCATAATCTAACCCAAATCAATAATGAATTAAATAAATCACAACGAACCCTTTCTGATCAATTAAATCAAAACTTACAAGAATTATTGAAATATGAGATTTATCTCGGTATAAAGATTCAAGTGTTAAATATTGATTTAATCAATTTCATCTTCACAAATATCGATCCTAATAATTATAATCGAGAATTCTCTATTGAATTGATTATAAATGATGATAATTATAAGATTGGTAATGTTAAACCGGTTTTATCCCTTGATAAAGTGAAATTATTAGAATCAGAATTCAATGATCATAAAGAATTAGTCAAATTTTTAAAGACAACTCGGAATTTATTCAAAGATTTAGTATGAATGATGGTTCTTTATACTTGTAGATTAGTTAAATATGTATTAATATAAACCAAAGGTAGATTTAAATCAGGTATTAATTATAAAATTGTAGTCACGAGGTAGAAACACATACCCGGAATTCATTTACGATTCCAGAATCGAATTTTTTAACTATGAGATGCACGTGATATATTTGAACAGTTTCGCAGCAACATTCATCCGAAACGAAACATATCAAAAGGTTTTGTGGTCTAGTTGGTTATGGCATCTGCTTAACACGCAGAACGTCCCCAGTTCGATCCTGGGCAAAATCATTTGATCTTTTTTTTACATTTTTTTAATTAGTATATTATTTATATTGTACTACATATGAAGTTCTCCATTTTCTTCTTATAAGTCAATGAAATATTGATTGATATTTGCTTCATCCCTCTTTTTGGAATTGTTGAAGCTTTTTTTGTTCGTACAAATATTTGGGAATTGAGTTTGCAACTTAGAAAATTTACAACATCCAAAGTCAATGAAATAAACCTTTAGATTATCTTTGTATTTATCCAGATTCTTAATTAAGAAATTTTCATGCGTTATACCGCCATGACTGATTCCATAATCATGAATACTTTTCAAAGCTTTCTTAGCTTGAATATTTAAGCATTCATTTTGCAGGATCCAACATTTAGTGAGACTTATAGTATCTATATATTCCATTATGATATAAAATCCCTTTAAATTTATATTTTCACCAGCAAATACCTTTGTCGCCCTTTGGTTCGTATCGCTTGTCAATGTTCCAACTTGATGTATTTTTGGTATGAATTCTTGACCTTGTAATATAGCATATGCACAACATTCCTTAATGAATGAATTAATACAATCCCTCATGGTTTCAAGATAATAAGCTTTCTGGCGTACAATTGATTTTGAGTATATCGGATCAAATATCTTTATTACATATGTTTTTCTAAAAGATTTAACTTTTAATACAACTGCATTATTTCGAAGTCTCCTATGTCCTCGTAAGACAATTTCTAGTTTATATTTATTCAAAAGAACATCCAATGTCACTGCCAACCATTTACGTCCATAGAAAGAATGAATTTGATTAAGTATATCAAAATACTTTTTATTTATTACTGAATTAGATTCCATCTTATAGGATTTCTTGTGTTCTAGTCTATGTTCAAGATTCTCTAATGTGATCTGAAAATCACTATAATATTTTTCACAAATCCGACGGTATGGAGATTTAACTTCACTATAATATTTTGTAACGACTTCTTTAACAGGTTTGGGATTTAGAGTTTGAGCTGAATCTTGAATGCAATTGATGAATTCCATGATCAGATTGACTTCATAAATCTGACAAGGTAAATTCCAATATAAATATCTACCAACATTATCCCACTTCACTTCTTCATCTTCATTAACAATATATTTAATATAAAGAATCATCATTCCGTCCGAAAGGAATCCCGAATAACTATTACTGGAAACACACCCTCTAAATAATTGAGAATAAAGGTTTAAGAAATGCAATCTTGATTCCCATGAACTTCCATTCTTAAAATTCTCATACAGTTGCTGCAAGATTGGACTAACTTGAATAGGAATAGATTTGGTTGAATTAAAGAAAATTTCTGCATCAGATCTAATGTAAAATTGGGTTTTGCCTAACGTAAAGTATTTTGAATTTCTTTCCCATACTTCATATCCAAAAGCATGCATACTACCTTCGATTACCTTCAAGATATTGTTATTAAAGATGTGCATATATGCCCAATGTTCATTTTTATCTATTATTGTTGTTAATTTATAAACTGAGTTGAATAAATAATCATATTTATTCTTATGAAATTTAAATTGGATAATATTTAATTCAGAAATTGGTCGAATCATATCATTGATATTTATTTCAGGTGGTGGTCGGAAAAATCCTATGAAATTACTTAATTGATTTAAGTTTAAATATTCCTCCTTCTCTTTATCATATTTTCTTTCATCAGATCTAAATGGTCTGTGAATTGTTTTATTTGGTAATTCGAACCCTGACAAACCATCAAGACTATTATAACTACTATTATCTAATTCATAAGATGGGTCTTCAAAATCTTCAAATGGATATATGATTGGATCTAATGGTTGTAATAATTTCTGAGGCATTAGGCAAAGATAAATCATTTGTTTAAAATTCTTTCTCGTATCCGCTTTTAAGACTGTGGATCTTATATGTCCAAAAGTTTCGAAGTTAAATTCTTCATAATAATCTGAAAAGTTTTTAATGGTGATATTTAATTCAAGAGCATTATATTCAACAGGTTCAAATACATCAAATCGCATGAATCGATTCCACATAATTATAACTTTTTCACAATCATTGATGATATGATCTGGATCCAAGATTTGATTAATCTTATCGACAATAATGACATCTTCTTCGTTAGGTTGGTGTAGTAAATTCAATAAAATTGGAAGAGATGCGTGATAATTCCTAATGGGATTCTGATCTAACGTACTAATGATTCTACCATTCAATAATGATTGATGAAATTCAATCACATACTCAAGGTCTAATAGACTTCGAAGTTTCAGCATTGTTTGAATGATAAAGAAAAAGATTATTTATTTAACAAAATTTAAAGAAAAGTTGTTATTTTCTAGGACCTTTTGACTGTTGCAAACTGCGAAATTAAGCAGAAAAAAAATTATGTAATCTACAAATTTACTTCTTTTTTCATAAGCCATATTAGTCATATATAATAATTAAATTAGTAGATATCGGTAATTACATACTGGCTTCAATTTATTTCACATACAAAATTAATAAATTGAAATATTGATTCTGAGAAATTATTTGAATCCATAATTAATTCACCTTGTTTACCTTATCTAGATCTTAGTCGTCCGAAGAATCAATATCTCTGTAAACTTCATCTAGTAATTTGCCGACTTTTACTTTATCATTTGTCTTAGAATCATCGAAATCTTTATCCTCCGAAGAAATACTCGGGAATAGAGTTTGTAGCTTTGAAAATTTGCAAAATCCTAAAGCAATGAAATAAACCTTTGGATTAGTTTTATATTCACCACCAGCTTTAATTAAGATATCTTCGCCAGATATGTCACCAAGACTAACTCCACAAGCATGAATTCTTTTCAACACTTTCTCAACTGGATCATCCAACTGTACTTGATCAAGGATCCAAAATCTTGAGAGCTGTTTTCCATCTACATACTCCATCATTATATAGAACCCCCTTGCATTTATTTTTTCAAGATTTCTTGTGTAAATCTTTTCTATCTTAGTATTATCATTTGTTAAAGTTCCAACCTGATATATTCTGGGCACGAAATCTTGTCCCTGTAAAACCGCAAATGCGCAACATTCCTTAATGAATGATGCTATACAATCCCTTACGGTTTCAACATAATGAAATTTCAGACGCTTCATTGATCTTGAATATATCGGATCAAAAATCTTTATCATATATGTTTGTTCATTAACTCTAACTTTTAATAAGACCCCGTTACATCGAAATATATTGACGCCACCTAAAATCTTCTCTGCTTTATATTCCTCCAGGAGATTATATGATGTCAATGGGACCCATCTTGTTCCATAGAAACAACGGATTTGTTTAAGCATATCAAAATACTTAGCACTTATTCCTGACCTAGATTCTTCCCTAACTGAAAATGTTCCATACTCTAGACTATGTTCAAGACTCTCCAAATTGATTTTTAATTCCTTATAATACTTTTCGCAAATATTATTAATCGGTGCTTCATCTTCATTATAAAATTTGGTAACCGCATCTTTAATAGGTTTATGATTTATGGTATGAGCTGAATCTTGAATGCAATTTATGAATTCCAATATCAGTTTGACCTCATAAATCTGACATGGAAGATTCCAATATAAGTATTTACCATAGTGGTCCCATTTAACTTCAGTATCCTCGGTAATATCATATTTAATATAAAGAATCATCATGCCATCAGACAAAAAGCCAGAATAACTATTTAAAGCAACACATTGTCTAAATAATTGAGAATAAAGATTTACGAATAGCAATCTTGATTCCCACGAACTACCATTTTTAAAATTATCATAAATTTTCTGCAAGATCGGATTAACCTGAATAGGGATAGATCTCTCTGTATCAAGCTTAATTTGTGTACCGGGTTTAATACTATACTTAGTCTTATTTAGAATGTGAATGTAAGACTTGATATTCAGGCTCTTTTAAGAAACTATTAATGATGTCTAAAATATTCTTTTTAAATATTTTCAAATATATTGAATAGGTATTTTTATCGACCTTAGTTGTTAGGTTAAAACATGAGTCAAATTCATGATCACTGTTATTCTTGTGGAATTTCAATTCGATCATATTCAATTTAGAGACAGGATGAATCATATCATTAATGTTCAATTCAGGGGGAGGTTGGAAAAATCCTAAATGATCACTTAAATAATTTAATTTTGAATACATCCTATTTACCTTACCAACATTCTCATCAGATATGAAAGGTCTATTGACCATTTTGTTTTGTAATTTAAATCCTGAAGTGCCTTCAATACTATCAAAACTACTATCTAATTCACGTGGTTCATATTCAGATTCTTTAAACGGATAATTGTTTGAATCCAACGGTTGTAATAGTTTTTGAGGCAGTAAACAGAGACATATCATGTGTAGAAAAGCCAGACTAAAAGAAATCTCTATATAAGTATATCTATCTGGAAAAATTTTGAGATACAATTTTCTAAAACAATCTAAAAAACGACTGACAGTATCCTGTAATTCAAGAACGTTATATTCAAGTGGTTCAAATACATCAAATCTCATTAATCGATTCCACATAAGAACCTTTTTACGATCATTGATACTATGATCAGGATCCAAGATTTGATTAATCTTATCGATTACAATGATATCATCTTCATTAGGTTGGTGTAGTAAATTCAATAAGAATGGAATGGAAGAGTGATAATTCTTAATGGGATTCTGATCTAAAGTACTGATAATTCTCCCATTCTCTAAGGATTGATGGAATTCAACCACATAATCAAGCTCCAATAGACTTTGTAATTGATTCATTCTCTTAATGATGATAATGATGTAGATGATCTAAAGAGTATGTGTTAAAGATTCTAGTTTTTTGACTGTTGCAAATCGAGAATTTACACAGAAAAAAAGTATGGATTCTACAAATTTTGATTTTCAATGTAAAACACTAAATTCAATCAATTTGTTTAACTATATACGTAATCAGATCATTCTTTGTTTTGGTATGTAAGATCTTGTTCGTCGTCTGAATCACATAGAGGTTGTGGTTCATCAAGAAATTTTGTTTTATGCTTTAAATAATCGTCTTTCGAAGCATTGTTTGGGAATAAAAGCAGCTTACAACATCCACAATCAATGAAGTCAACCTTAGAATCATCTTTATTATTAATCAAGATATTTGATCCAAATATATCACCATGACTGATTCCACTTTGATGGATAGTTTTCAAAACTTTCCACAAGTACATAATTTCATCCCAGTGGAGTTTAAGCTTAAGCAATTCTTGTCGTTGTAGCAATCAATTTCAAAGCAGACAAAACCAATATTATTTTTTTGAACAGTGGTTTATTATATGATTTCCGCTAATCAAAATCGGATTTGAATTCATTCCACTATTGCAAGCTAGTTCATGGTCGAGTTTACCTTCACTCGGGGAAACCTCCAACCTTTTTAGTGTCCATCGTCTTTTTTGCATAAATCGGCCACTTTGGCATCATCCATTTCTATTGCATCCTTGAATCGATCATCCTTGGTACAAATATTTGGGAATAAAGTTTGAATATTTGAAAATTTGCAACATCCAAAATCAATGAAATAAACCCTCTTATATTGACACCTATAGTTAACTAAGATATTTTTACCAGTTATATCACCATGACTAATTCCATAATCATGAACCCTTTTCAATACTTTCCCCACTTGAGCTAGTGCATCTTCCGGACGCCAAATTCCAGAGAGCTGTCTTGCATCTATATATTCCATAATTATATAAAATCCCTTTAGATTTATTCTAGGATCTTCAGGCAGTATCTTTCTGGACATTGAATTTTTATCACTTGTCAAAGTTCCAACTTGAAGTATTTTGGGTGTGAAATCCAGATTTTCTAATATGGCATATGCACAACATTCCTTAATGAATGATGTTGTACAATCCCTCATAGTTTCAGTGAAATGAAAATGTTGACGCTTGATTGATTTTGAATATATTGGATCAAATATCTTTATCGCATATGTTTTTCCAAAAGATTTAACTTTTAATACAACTGCATTATACTGAAATTTCTTACATCCTCCTAAAACACATTCTATTTGAACTATTTTCAAAAGATGTTCCAATGCCATTGGCTTCCATCTAGGTCCATAGAAACAATGAATTTGATTAAGTATATCAAAATATTTTGAACTTATTCCTGAATTAGACCCCATCTCAAAAGATGTACCATCTTGTAGGCTATGTTCAAGATTCTCCAATGTGATCTGTAAATCACTATAATATTTTTCACAAATCCGATGAAGTGGATATCTGACTTCACTATAAAATTTGGTAACCACTTCCCTAATAGGTTTAGTATTCATAGTATGGGCTGAATCTTGAATGCAATCGATGAATTCCATGATCAGATTGACTTCATAAATCTGACAAGGTAAATTCCAATATAAATATCTTCCAACATTATCCCACTTCACTTCTTCATCTTCATTAACAACATATTTAATATAAAGAATCATCATTCCATCTGAAAGGAATCCTGAGTAGTTATCATGGGATATACATCCTCTAAATAATTGAGAATAAAGGTTTATGAAAGGCAACCTTGATTCCCAAGAATTACCATTTTTAAAATTCTCATACATTAGCTGTAAGATTGGACTAATTTGAATAGGAATAGATCTAGTTGGATTAATTCTAATATGACTGTCTGAGTAAATACGAAATTGTTTCTTGCCTAATGTAAAGTTTTCTGGATATTCTTCAATGGTTTTATATCCAAAAGTGTTCATACTACCCTCAATAGAATTTAAGATATTGTAATAAAATATACTATTATGGGCCCAGTGGTCATTTTTAGGTTCTTGTGTTTCTAATTGATAAAATCCGTTGACTATATGATCATATTGATTCTTATCGAATTTGAATTCAATCATATTCAATTCAGAAGTTGAATGAATCATATCATTGATATTTAAATCAGGAGGTGGTTGGAAAAATCCTATAAAATTACTTAATTTATTTAATTTTCGAGGTTCCTCCTCATCTTCAGGGTCATAATCTCTTTCATCATATCTAAGTGGTCTGTGGATTGTTTTATTTGGTAATTTGATGCCTGATAAACCCTCAATACTATTGTAACTACTATTATCCAATTCACCATTTGGGTCTTCGGAATCTACAAATGGATATTTGATTGGATCTGATGGTTGTAATAATTTCTGAGGCATTAAACAAAGAAAAATCATTTGTTTGAAAGCTTTACTAGTATTATTAGCAGCCATATTAATGTTTCCTGTATCTCCAAAATTAAATTTATCACAATAATCTGAAAAGGTTTTGATAGAAAGTTTTAATTCGATGGCATTATATTCAACAGGTTCAAATACATCAAATCTCATGAATCGATTCCACATAAGCACAACCTTTTTACGATCATTGATGATCTTATCAGGATCCAAGATTTGATTAATCTTATCAATTGCAATGACTTCTTCTTCATTAGGTTGGTGTAGTAAATTTTTTAAGAAAGGAAGTGAAGCGAGATAATTCTTAATGGGATTCCGATCTAAAGTACTGATGATGCGGCCGTTCTCTAAGGATTGGTAAAATTCAATCAAATATTCAAGGTCTAATAGACTTTGAAGTTTCAGCATTTTTTGATTGATGTTGAAGAAGAGTATTTAATAAAATTTAAAAGAAAAGTTGTTATTTTCTAGGACCTTTAGACTGTTGCAAACTGCGAAATTAAGCAGAAAAAAAATTATGTAATCTACAAATTTATATAAAAAAAATTCTAAGTAGATTATATTTCACTATCATTGTCTATAAATAACATTTTCATTCTCTAGAATTCATTTAGTCTAGAAAATCTACGTCCTTTTTTATCATCCCCTTGATCTAAATTGAATATGTTTGCTACTCTTGCATCATCCCTATCTGTTGAATCTTTGAAACTATCATCCTTCGTACAAATATTTGGGAAGAGAGTTTGCAACTTTGAAAATTTACAAAATCCAAAATCTATGAAACAAACTTTTGAATCATTATATTTACCCAGGTTCTTAATTAATATATTTTGATTGAATATATCACCATGACTGATACCACAATCATGAACCCTCTTCAAGCCTGTATTAATTGCTTGTAAACACAATTTCTTTTCCCTGTAATCACAAATATCGGATAGATATTTGGATTCTATATACTCCATAATAATATAGAATCCGTTTAAATTTATATTTTCAGGTTCTTCAGCAAGAATATCATTCGTTCTTTCAATTTTATCACTTATCAAGGTTCCAATTTGCATTACGTTCGGTACAAAGTCCTGATGTTGTAATACGGCATATGCACAGCATTCCTTAATGAATGATGTTGTACAATCCCTTATCGTTTCAGCATATTGAAAGTTCTGTCGTATAATTGATAATGTATAAATGGGATCATAAATCTTCACCACATAAGTTTTATCCATAAGTCTAACTTTTAAGACAACTCCATTATTTTTAAATATTTGATTCCCTCCCAAAACACATTCAATTGAATATTTATTTAAAAAATGATTTAATGACATTGGCACCCATCTCTCCCCAAAGAAGGAATGAATTTGTTTAAGTACATTAAAATACTTTTCACTTATTCCTGTAGTAGTCGCTTCCATTGTTGAAGGTGTATCACTGTTTAATTTACATTCAAGATGCTCCAATGTGGTTTGTAATTTAGTATAATAAGTTTCACAAATTCGAAAATATGGAGGTTTGATTTCACTATAAAACTTGGCGACCACTTCTCTGATAGGCTTTTCATTCATACTATGAGCAGAATCATGAATGCAATTCATAAATTCCAATATCAGTTTAACTTCATAAATTTTACAAGGAAGGTTCCAATATAAGAATCTTCCATAATGATTCCACTTCATTGGAGCCTCATCATTAAGTTCATATTTAATATAAAGTATCATCAAACCATCAGTCAAAAATCCAGAATAACTATTAAAGGCAATACACGCCCTAAACAATCTAGAATAAGCGTTTAAGAATGGCAATTTTGAGTCCCATGAACTTCCATTCTTGAAATTCTCAAACATATAGTCTAAGCAAGAATGAACTTGAATAGGAATAGATCGGGTCCAGTCAATAACAATTTCTGCATCGGCTTTAATATAAAATTTGAAAGTGCCTAGTTTAAATTTGCTTGAATTTCTCTGCCAGATTTTATATCCAAAGTTTTCCATACTTCGATTAATGATCTGTAAGATATTGTGGTATAATGTATTTCTATTCATGCAATGCTTGTTTGAATTGAGTTCGAATTGTAAACAAAAAGAATAGTGCCATATGTGATCATATTTATTCTTATGGAATTTCAATTCAATCATATTCAATTCAGAAGTTGAATGAATCATATCATTAATATTTGATTCAGGTGGAGGTTGGAAAAATCCTATAAAATCACTTAATTGTTTTGAAGTTAGATAATCACCTGTTTGGAAATCTCTTTCGTCGGATCGAACAGGTCTAATAATGGTCTTATTAGGAAAATAGAACCCAGATGAACCTTCAATGCTGTTATAACTGCCATTATCCAATTCTTCAGGTGCATCTTCATACTCTTCAACTGGATATATGATTGGATCTAATGGTTGAACTAATTTCTGAGGCATTAAACAAAAATAAATCAGGTGGGAAAATCCTTGTCTAATATCAAATTCAGGAGAGATAAATGCATCAAAAGGAAATATTTTGTAAAACAATTTATTAAAATAATTTAAAAAATTTGTAATGGTAAGATTTAATTCAACAGCATTATATTCAATAAGTTCAAATACATCAAATCTCATGAATCGATTCCACATAAGCACAACCTTTTTACGATCATTGATGATCTTATCAGGATCCAAGATTTGATTAATCTTATCGATTGCAATGACTTCTTCTTCATTAGGTTGGTGTAGTAAATTTATTAAGAATGGAAGTGAAGCGTGATAATTCCTAATGGGATTCTGATCTAAAATGCTGATAATTCTCCCATTTATTAACGATTGATGGAATTCAAGCACATATTCAAGGTCTAATAGACTTTGAAGTTTCAGCATTGGTTTTAGTGATGTTGAAGAAGATGATTTAAAAAAGGTATTTTTACAATCGCTTTTCACTGTTGCAAAATTGTGAAATTAGCAGAAAAAAAATTATTGTTTCCTTTTCTCAATCTATATCAATAAAAAATATATTCTGTTTTACAATAAGTAAGAAATGCAAATCTTTCAATAAAAAATCATAAGATTCATATCCACTAAATCATGATTTAGGGTTACCTAAAAGTTGTGGACTATAGGTTGAAATATTTAAGATTTAGTTTACTATGTAAAGTATGTATCTACCGATATTATCAAAATTACGATGGGAGAAGATAAATTAAACTTATATTTAGTTAAATTATCTATAAATAGTTACATAATGATATATGGAAATGATGTGGTAATAATGCATGTTGATAGAATATATGGTCGTAGATATCGTGATTAGTATTGTAGATTGAATTTTGTCGTTATAGCTTTAGATGCTGATGATTTGGTTGTAGTTGTACTTGATATGGCTGTAGTTAAAGTAGTTACTCAATCAACTTCGTTGATCTCGTTAAAGTCTCCTTCTCATTTTCAACTTATTCGAATAAACCGTTAATATCTTTCTAATATATATTGGATCCTTATTAATCTTTTCCCAATTCAATTGAATTTGTAATAATAATTCTCCATTATTACTAACTTTATTAATTGAATTCATAATCCATTGAATTTTCAATTGATGATTTGGAGATTCTCTAAAGATGAAATAATAAATCTTACATAGATCATCAAGATCAATTAAGAATTGTAAAGTATTAGTTAGATTCAATGTTAATGAATTTTCTAAATTTAATAAATAAAATCCAGTGATTTTAGTTTCGAAATATTGTTTTAAATTTTCAAAATTCTTACAGATTAAAAGGGATGAAGATAGTATGGAATGATATTTAGGATGAATTGATTGAAGTAATTTTTGATTTAAGAATTGACTAGTTTGAGGATTAGCTACACAGAGGGATTCAATTTGATTATAATGAATGAGATAATCTTCATTATTCATATCGTTATTTCGAGGAAGTAATTCAAGATTGAAATAAGGGAGGAATTGAGGAAATTCTTGGAGAAGACATTGAATGTTGTTATACCAATGTAAGTAACTGATTTCATCATTTAACATTACGGTTATGTCAAATGATTTATTATGTTTTACATGATCATTTTCTGATATATTAGTAGTTGAAGTTCGAGGTATATATTTTTTATGATGAGTTGAACAAGTATCAGAGTCAAGTTGAGAATCTAGTTGGGAGCTAAATTGAGGTGAGAACATGATATGAGTGTGTTATGAATAAACAGGAATAGTTTGTTGTTGTTGAATAAATGAATAAATGAATAATTGGGTGGATGAGTTAAACTTTTGAGGATAAAGTGAAAGATTAACTCTATATATATATATAGTGTGTACTATGTACTATATGATAATAGAGAAAGGGTAATGTTACTATAAAATGGGATAGAAGATATTTTCTAGTGGATAAATAATAACATCAGATTTAGCTAATAGTAATGGTAAATCTTATGATTATGTCAATCCTTAATTATTTAATCATCTTGTGTGTTAATCATCTCCTTTAACATCATCATCCATCATTATCCCCATATGGAAATGGAGTGCAGAACTCATAGTTAATTCTTAACTATTGAGCCCAGCTCACTTTAAACTTTAGACCTCATGGCTTAAAAGGGAAATGATCATTAAAAAAAAAAAGAAATTTAAAATAAAAAAACAATCACCTGACAACAACATCCACACATCTACATCCATACATCCAGTACTGTATATAACTCATCATCAAATTAACCGTAAAGCAATTCACAGCAAGACCCACACAGTTTTAACCAACTAATTAATTAATTAATTAATTAGGCTAAGAAAAATATCAATTAAATTGATCTAATTATGTAACCATTCAATTTATGAATTGGACGAACGAAGTTATATATACCAATTTCATCTTGACTATTCATCCTTACATCAATAGTTTATATTAATTATAACTACTCAGATCTGATAATACGGCTTAAGTTCGTTTATAAAATTCCAATTCCCGTCCGATCTCCGCCCTTTTGCCGTTTCTTTCACGTGCAACCTTTTTAAACGATTCAATTAACTCTAATTGCCCCAACATATTATATCAATTCCCATATCCATCCCATATTCATCAATTGATATCTATCTATACCTACCATCACCAATACAACTAACTACCACCTACCACCTACCACCTACCATGTCTGATCCAAGTCAACGTATCATCTCTCATATGAATGCTGATCATCAATTAGCTTTAATTGATTATATTGTCGTCTATGGTGGAGCTGAAATTGGTTTATTCCAAGAATCATCAGTTAAATTAGTTAAACTTGATGAAAAATCATTCACTATTGAATATAGTTTAAACACGGGAGAAATCGTTCAATATTCTCTTGATTGGAATGATGCTTCTGAACTGCAACATTTAAAAGTTGAAAGTTTTAAAGATATTAAAGATAAATTAATCTCTATGGCAAAATATGCTGCTGCTAAACAAGGTTATTCTGCTCATAGAATTACAAAAATCTTATTACCTGATAATATCTTTGGTTATGGAATGTATGTTACTGTGATTACTTTATTCCTTAATACTGTTGATCCAAATTTAATTCCAAAATATTTAGGTAATGATTTCATTTATGGACAAATTGTGAAATATATTCCAACCTTTGTAAAGAAGAATATCCCATTTATATTTTATTTAGTTACTTTGATTCACGTGTTTGAAGTTATGTTTGTCTTGGTACCAAAATTGAAAAAATATAGAGTTTCAACCGTTCAATCCTTTGGTTGGATCGTGATGAATATGTTTGAAGGGTTTAATGTGTATTTTAGATTTAATACTTTAACCAAGGATTAAATATACCTATAGTCTACTTTATATATATATATGTGACTTTTTATTAATGTACATTTCTATCTAATGTTTATGCTTTTTACTTTGACCATTATCATCAATATGATTTCGTTTGTTGGAAGTTTCCTCCTCCTCCTCCTCCTCCTCATCATCCTCCTCCCCATCCTCCTCTTCATCCTCCCCACTCAAGTCCAACTCTTCACCTTCAGAACTATCCTCTTCATCTTCTTCATCCTCATCATCATCATCATCATCACCATTAGGTAACGCCAATATATAATATTTCAATGCATTCAAATAAAGATCATCAACAATCAATCTCGTCAAATCTTCTCCATTCTTAAACTCTTTCCCTGGTTTCTCCCCTGTCCATCCAAACCATGCAAAAAATGATTTCATTCCTAATCTATAATTCTTCTTATCCCCACTACTCCAATTTTTATTCCCTTTATTAGATGATTTAATTAATTTAGGATTTATCTTATTCAATTCTTTAGGCCATTCCACATCCACTGACTTTGATATTAATCTCTCCTCTCCATCTTGGATTATGGTTTGGAAATGTTTCGTCACCTTCTGTTGAGGTATAAGATCATCATCATCCCCACCATTGAAAGTTATAGTAATAGAGAAATCTTTATAGGTATCAGTTGAAATCAAAGGATATTCAATATAAATATCCTCAATGAATTCCAAATATTTCAAATCATCAATACTGATATAATCGGCAAAATCATCATTTTCAGCCAATACGATATACCAAAATTTAGGAATGGAAGATAAGATGATTTGACGTTTAGCATATATAGTTTGAGTTTGTTTGATTCGATATATTTCAATATCCTTTTCAATGGAACTCATTTCTTTCTCCCATGTTGCTAATTGATCCAAACTTTGTTGAAGTGATTGCGATTGTGATTGGTCTTCCTGTGACATCCTTGTACTACTTGAATCACCCTTAATTGTCCCTATGGTATGCTGATTTTACACCATTCAAATTATGAAATTTTGGTGATGGTCTGTCTAGTCTGTCACATTTTTTTTCTTGATGTCTGTTTGTTTTGGTTCTGGGCAGGTGAGTGAATGCGGGTCAAATCTATACGCTGATAATAATTCTCTTCTCTTTTAACAGTTCCTTTCAACACCAATATACCTTATGAATAGTTAAGAGGATCTATGTCCCATCATCATCCCAATATGCTTAAGGAAAATGATATCATTTCAAAAGCATTACTCACCATTGAAAAATTTAAAGGAAATATCACCAATTTTAAAGCCTCGATACTTGATAATGAATATACTTCCTTGAATTATCCAAAATACTTTTCAAGAACTTTGATTTGGAAATGTTGTTTGATAACTGATAGTCTATCCATTCATCAATGGTTAACGAAATTACATGATTCCAGGATTATTTATCATCAATTAGTTAAAAGACCTGATATGACTATTCCTTGGTGGGCTTTGGATCCAGAATCTTCATTCTATCAAGATAAAGAAAGTATTCATCTATCAAGAAAGGCAAGTTTAAATAAAGACAGTAGAAATCCTCGTTCATCCTCCACCACAACTAGTATCAATAAGATATCCCTCACAAGAATAACCAATATTGATGATCCATTACGAAGTCCAACACTTTCACCCATAACATCAGCATCGATAAGGACAAGGTCTCCCACTCCATCTACTCCTCATGAAACTACAGAAGAAGATATTGAATTGTTGGAAATCATCGTATTGGATATCGATCGATTATTCCCCGGTGAATCCTTCTATCAATCCTCAACTTCAATCATTCATAAAAAACATTTGATTGAAGTATTGTATGTATGGTCGAAATGTAATCCTCAAGTTGGGTATAAACAAGGGATTCATGAAATTTTGGGATTGTTTTATATGAATTTATATCATGAATCCATCGATATACCGAAAACCAATACTATTTCCAGTGATGATTTAAAAATATTAAATCTTTATGATAAACATTATTTAAATCATGATTTATTTACTATTTTTAATAAATATATCTTAGCCACCGGGATCATATCGAAATTTTATGAAAGTGAAGAAACATTATGGAAATCAATCGAATCATTCAATATCAATCTTATGAAAGTTGATCAATTCATTCATTACAGTTTATTAAATAAATTAAAATTAGAATCTCAATTATGGATCATTCGATATTTTCGATTAATCTTATTACGAGAATTAGGCAATGATTTAGAAACCACATCTTTACTTTGGGATAAATTAATCGCAACTCCCCAAATTCATGTTTATGGAGGTATACCTGATTTAATATCATTTATGATAATTCAATTACTTATTCAATTAAAATCAAATTTAATCACTTGCGATTTTAGTGAAAGTCTTTCTTTATTATTACATTATCCCATTCAATCTCAATTAATGAATGAATCCACTCGTCATGATTTTATCGGGAATTTAATCAAAGATGCTTTGAAATTATATGAAAAGAGAGGTAATGATTTGAAATTATATGAATATGGTTTAAAATTAAATACCACTTATAATCCAAATTTAAGAATCACCATGAGTTATACCGGTAGCGCTCGAAATAGTGGAGAAATCTCATCGCCTTCATCCAGTAGAAATCCTTCACGAAGTCCTACACCCCAATTACCTCCATCCACCACTAATAGTACTGATTCTAGTAATGGCACTAATTCTGATCCAAAACTTGAACATTTGAAATTCGACAAGCTTAGATTGGAAATGAGATTGAAGAAGAAAGCTCAACTGATGTTAAGACCATAGATATGGACTCTGGAGACTTATATAGTAGTATATACACCAACCCTTTTGCATTCTATATAATATACTTATTTATTGCTAAAATTATTTTGTTCCACTGCGATTTTGTAAACACTTTTTTTTTTCACTGAAAAACCATCAACATCAACCATCAACCATCAACCATCAATCTATACACTAGAATTAAAGAACACACAACAATATGGGTAAGAGAAAGTCATCGGCCAAGCCACAGAAGAAGATCAAACAAGTGTTGGACACCACCTTCACCTGTCTCTTTTGTAATCATGAAAAATCAGTCATTTGTACCTTGGATAAAAAGAATTCATTAGGGGAATTACATTGTAAAGTATGTGGACAATCCTTTCAAACCACGATAAATTCCTTATCTCAACCAGTTGATATTTATTCAGATTGGATTGATGCTTGTGAGGATTTAGCTGAAGAAGCTGGAGGTGATGATGATGGTCAAGAGTATAGTGATGATGATGATGATGATGTGAATGATTCTCATAGACCTCAAACTGGTGGAGATGGAAGTGATGAAGAAGAAGAAGATGAAGATTTTGAATAGATGGTTCTTATGTTTCAAATCTACTGGTTGGGTTGGGTTAAGTTAAGTTAGGTTCTTCTTCTTCTTGTATTCTTTCTTTTTTAAAAAAATGCCATGGCATAGCATAGCAGCATAATATAGCACGTTATAAACATAAATCTTCTTGTAATATACAAAAACCTTCACTACGCTACGCTGCACTACACTTGCAAAAAGGACAATTGTCATAAAAAATGTATTAAATGTGAATAGAAATTAATAAAATCTAAATTAAATGTAATATAAATGAATTGAAACAAAATGGGGATGGGGGGCATAAGAGAATAGATTTATTTTATTCCATTTTATAAGTTGAGATATTACTCAATACTTTATCATAAGCTTCATTAAGATTCTCACCTCTACCAACTTGATCTTCTAAGGGGTGAGGGGATTCTAAAGTAGAACTGTCAGGTACAAGTTTAGTTGATTCATTATCATCAGAAAGTACTTTAGAAAGATCTTCTTCACCATCATCATCTCCATCACCATTTGAATTGGTAACACTGGCTAATTTTGATAATCGTTCTTTAATCTCTTCAATACTGAAGATTTCTTCCTTTTGAAATTGTTTATTGAAATCTTTTCCTTGATTATTAAACACTTTCTCTAATGAGATTCCTTGTTCTTTTAATCTACCTAAATATCCAATAATCTTATCAAGATCAGTAAATTCAATCGATTTCAATTTCTTTCTCATATCTTCTCCCGACATATCATCCAATGAATTACTATGAATATGATGGAAATCATGTAATTTACTTAATTTCAATACTGATCCTTCTTGACGATCTAAATTATTAAGATTTGTTCTTGAAGTTGATCTCGACATCGATAATGGTGATGCACTAGGTCTAATATCTTGAGATTGAGGTACAGCAAGAGTATTTTGATCATCATTGAACTCAGATGTGATCTTAGTTAATTTCTTTTCATCTTCAGCCCCTGATATAAACAGAGCAGGTGTATTCTTATCGGTTTCAATTAATGATGGATCAATCAATTGTAATCCTTTTTCAATCGATGAATCAATGAATATAAATCTGATTAATGTTTCTTTACCATCTAAATCTAATTCATTTTTCAATTGAAGTTTTAATAATTCATCAATGGTATTTCTTAATTCCCGACGAATATTTTGAGCTCGAAGAATGAATTTCGATATTTCAGGTGATTTTAAATCAATTTGGGATTTGGCTTTGGCTAATAAAATATGATTCAATTGTTCAGCTAATGATTCTGATTTAACTTCATCTGAAATAGTAGTAGTGTCACTTAATGAAAGTTCACTCTTCTTATTAGCATATAACAACCTTTCCATATTTCTCATTGTATATAACCCAATTCTTTCTTTAAATAAATCAGGGAAATTCTCAAGATCACAATCTAATGTAATTAAAGTTTTAGAATTCTTTAACCCATTAATTAAAGCAGATGCAGATGAAACATCAATATGGTTTCCTAATAAGGAAAGATATCCTAAATTCTTACAAAAGGGAATAACTTTAGCAATTGACATTAATGAAGAATTACTAAAATTATTATTTTCAAGATGTAATCGAATTAATTTTGGCATGAGAGGAAATTTCGACGTGAAATATAATGCAATGGCTGATTCACTTAATCCTAAATCACGAGTTGCTGAATTCTCACTTGAACTTGATGAATCAGTAGTAGTAGCATCAGAATCAATTGAATCTGATTTTTCCACACTAATATCAGGGTTAATAATAGTAAAACTGGTATTATTAGTATTAGGTTTGGAGAATGTTCCAAATAATCGTTGATTATTGGAAAAATCAAGATATTTCAAATTTGGTAATCTCATAAAGATAGTTTCAAATACTTCTTTAAATTGTTCACTGAATGTAATATTAGTAGAATTCAAACTAACAAACCCAATTGATGATTTAGAAATCACATCATCAAAATTCTTGGTTAATCGTTTATAATCTAATAAAATCTTGGTGAATTGGGATGACAGGAAATCATTATACCCTAAATCAATACCTCTAGCAAAATCTTGAAATAACCAAGTATCAACAATGATTTTAAAATGTTTAGGAGTTAATTGATTATAAGCTAATCCTAATCTATTAGTATTTTTCAGTACTGCCAATTTCATTAATTTATCAAATACTTCTAAATCAGTAATACAACATCCTGTTAAAATTAATTCTTCAATTCCACCTCTTGCCACTAAAGTTGCCACAAATAAAGACCAATCCATATCAGATCGATTCTCACGATTACATGACATGCGTTTGACTTCTTCTTCATATTTCTTATTATCAAGTTTCTTCTTTCTTTTCTTTAATACATTGACGGATAATGCTGGACATTGAGTGATATCTAATCTATTCAAAACTGTATTTCTGGATAAGAACCAACATAATAAGGCCCAACCTTCACGATCAATAGGAGTATTTCTTAAACTAATTTTTTCTAATTGTTTCTTAGCACTCATGGCTGATAATAAAATCTTCAATTGATCAATTGATAAACTTACTCCATCTAGAGATACACAAATAATAGGAGCAATTCTAATAAAATCAGCAAAGGTTTGAATTTCAACCATGGTAGGAGTTGGGTTTCTTAATTGTAATACTGGTAATGGAGCCATGGACCCCTTAGGGATTTGTTTCACTATAGCTGGAATCGGTAAGATTTCACGTAAATGACAACATCTGGTATACATCAAGTCTAAAGCCATCTTTTTAACGGGAACATCATAAGAATGTCTTTGATGAGTAATCATTGGTTTTTCAACTCCCAATGATCTAGCATGTTTATCAATTGCAGTATCTTCTTCACCATTACTATCTCTAACCGAAGTAGTAGTTGCTAAATCAACACTTGACATTGAATCTTCTGGTTTTTTGATTAATCCTAATGCACCAGTACCACCTACAACTATACCACCACCTTGACCTAATTGAGATTTTTCCATGGCGATACGATCTTCATCTGATAATTGATGGATTTTAATAGTCCCATTCCCTAATACTTCTACATTTCCCTTTCTTGGATTTCGAGATGGGATTTGTTGAGGTGGATCGATAAGAAATGTAGATGAATGGAAAGCAACTCTTTTAAGTGGTTTTAAATCTTTGAAATTTGGATCTAATTCAAGACTTGAAGAAGGTGGAGGTGATGAAACGGTACTTACTAAAGAAATAGTTGATTCTGAATTTCTTCTCTGAGTACTAGATGCATTAAGACTTGGAGATGAAGTTATACTTTTTCTTCTAAATAATGATGATAACTTAGCTGAAGTTGATTCTACTGGGGCTTCTGGTTTAGATGAATTTGGACAATAATTACTTTGAACATCATCATAATTTATTAATACACTTGGTAAGGTAGATGCAGAAGGTTGATTTAATATGTTATTATTATGAGATTGTCCTGAGTTAGTTGAAACCGCAGATGAACGTCTTGAAGAAACTGAACTTCTTCGTATATCCTTTTGTTGATAAAATTTAATGTATTCGTCTAATCTTGGATCACTATCACTAGCTGGACTTGAAGTAGTTCTTGTTAATTTATAATGATCAATGTTATTATCATGATTATTTTCAGTATGAGTAGGTGTTGGAGCATAGGTGGTAGTGGTGGTAGCAGTAGAGTTTGATAATGAAACAGGTGCAGATTGAGGGGCGGGTTTTTTAACATCATTATTATTCATAGCATAATTTGATTTAAAAACGGGAGGAATGGTATTTACAGATGCTAATTTGGGAGAAGAAGGAGGACTTAAAGCTCGAGATGATGATGATGATGAATGACCTAATCTTCCTTTTAACTTTGAAAATAAACCACTTGAAGGTGGTGAATTTGATGGAGCACCAGTTAAACTTGAAACACTTAATCTACTTTTTCTGATCATTTGAGGTGGAGAACTAGTAGGTGAAGAAGCTGATTCGATGTTTTCTTCTTGAATAGGAGCAATGGAAGGTTTTGTTTTACTTGAGTTATGATCATTTGTATTGGAGATACCCGCAGTTAGATGAGAACTAACAGGAGATATAGATGAATTTGAAATTTGTTTTCTAACAGGAGATCCCTCATTGTTATTGATATTATTATTTTTACTATGATTGCCAGTGTCATTAAGTTTTAATTTACTATCATCATTATCAATCACATCTGCAGGTGATAATTTAGGACTTGAAGTTGATATGGAAGAATCTCTTAGAAACCAATCCACATCTGTATTGGCAACACCTTTTAAATAGGCAGTCTTTTTAGTCTCTATAATATCTCTTATTTTCTCTAGATTAAATCTAGACCCGGGATTGGTACTACTTCCACCACTACTTCCATTTTCAGAAGCAGGTTCAATGTTTTCAGAAGTTGACATTGATTAGAAGGGGGATGGTACTTGATGGGGTTGATAAAAAAGTTATTGATTAGTTTTATAAGGGGGAGGGGTGGGGGATGAGAATGAGAATGAGATTATATGGGGAAAGAAAATGAGGTGAGATTGATAACACTGATGATTCAAAGTCTCAACAGTCAATCAACACACTAACAGTCCTAACGGTGTGGATGGGATAGGTGGATGAAGTATGCTAAACGAGATCAACTGATGATACGATACAATCAATTAGATGAATCGTGTTCAGATGGGTTAAGTGCTGTCTGTTGCCAAAATCAAAATACTGAAAATAAAAAAAAATTAAAGTGTAGAGATTTAAAGGTTTATTTCGTCTTTTCTTTTTTTGTCTGTCTGTCTGTTTTTTTATAAAAATGTCTGACTGAATTTTTGACTGACTTAAAAAAAGTTGACTTCAATCAGACAGACAGACAGACAGACAGACACAAAAACAATTTAAAACCCATAGTTAATTTTGTCGTAAGGGAATAAATATAAAAAAGGTTAATCATAAACAGAGAAATTTTTCAATCTTATATCGGCCATTAACGGTTACTATGATGTAGCCGGCCTTATATAGTAGTAATAAGTGAAAATCTATTGGCAATCCAACCATTCTATTATGTGAACACTACAAATAGAAATTGGATGATTTGTCTGATTGACTGATTTAATGACACTGCATTTTTTTTTGCTTGGGGGGAGGTACTACCATGTAAAGTATGCAGGAAATCATTATCAGCTGACCCCGTCACCACCACCATCCTCCACCCGATCTCCTTTTTAATACTTTGGTAGTTAATTCAAGATGTTTCACAATATTTAAAACTAGATTCATTTATTAGAAACGCTGGTTATATCTATGTCATCATAGTTGAGTAATGACATTTGCATCTAGACTTTACCTTCATTTAAGCCTCTTTTATCGTATATTTAATTGGTGCTTATTTTTTAATTTTTTTATGGTTTTTTACGATCACCACTGGGGGTGGAACTATTATTCATATGGAATATTGAGATGATATACAGTCTATCAACTTATCATAGATGGCTATAACCTCAACCTTAGTAATGGTTGTTGTCTTGTTGATATTAAATTTCAGATCGCTGATCCCAATTTAACCGACCTCCCAGTTGCGAAAAATGTATAGTAACCGAAACCTAACCTGAACTAACCCAATGTTATCTTGATTTATTCGGGAAAACATTATATGAGTAGATTAGACTTTTCCAAAGCTCAAAAAGGTCTTAAAAATAGTAACTTCAACTCCATGGCTATTACTATATATTAGAACTGTTCGACAAACTAGTAGACTCTCGGATATGCATTTCGCATCCTTAAAAAATTGAGCTCCACATATCTCTGTCATCATTCTAATCAACGCTAATTACATCAATTTTGATCGTACAACTTCAAAAATAACTTCATTCGAATAGTTAACCAAATAAATATATCTAAGATATCAAAAAAATTAAAAAATGCGCAAACCAGGAATCGAACCAGGGGCCCAACGATGGCAACGTTGGATTTTACCACTAAACCATTTGCGCATTAGAAAATGCTCCGCGACGGGGAATTGAACCCCGGTCTACCATGCGACAAACGGTAATTCTAGCCACTAAACTATCACGGATTTTTAACTGAAATTATTTTCGCTAGGTAAATGATAATAAGTATATATCACGTGATCAAAAATCACGATTTTCAAAATTTTAACTGTAAGAAAGTCTTCATTTTATAATTCAAACGAAGTTAATGTTATATTTAGACACTGTATATAGATATACGAATATCTAAGGTAATAGAATATTTATTATTAATTACAGTGAGAATAATAATAAAACTTTAATTTAGGCCGAAATTAGATTTTATGTCTCTTAAATATCCATTCATGAAGAAATCAATTAATGCTTCCTTTTTGCAACCAGAATCTGTAACTTTCCTAATCGAGTTCTTTCCATTATCCCACTATCTGACCTTACTTAACCTCAATACCGGGATCAGTATAATATACCTTTCCCATATATTGATAGTTGGGTGTGTAGTTCTCATCTTCTAAAATCAATTGCTCTACTAAATTATGTAAATCTTTCGATAACTTTTTTTTACCTTCATCACTGTTTAATCTATCATCAAAAATCTTTTGAAGCAGATCTAAGTCAGCGGTCTTTAATAAATAATACCACGCATAACATTGATCTTCCGTGTCTAAAAGTTGGAACTTGGCAATTAACTGAAAGTATGACTCTTGGATGACACTAAGCCCTAAAGTAGACCAATCAGTATTCTTAAATAGTTCACTATCACATATCAAGTCGGAAGGTTTCGAGATTGATTTAGGATTACTTGCATCATCTTGTACTATCCCAACATTAACTTTTTCCCCCTTGTTATGTAAATCACCAGCATATATAAAGTTTTCTTTTACATCGCCATGAGAATAGTAAGCTTTTGTCTCTAATGCAGCTTCATCCTTGTAGAAGAAATCCAACCAACCACATTCTACAAGTAATAACATGTGCAAAATTAAAATTACCATACATGGCATTTTCTGTTGATTCCTCATATTTAATTAGTCAATAATCTGGTTCTAAGAATGGATTCAATAATGTAGTGATAATATTATCCAAATTCTTTAATTATAAAAATTTCCTTACTAGTCTTCCAGACGCTAGGGGATATTCAACTTTATTTATATTACTCGCCACGCCAAGGTAAAAAAAATGATACCGCAGAGCTAAGGAAAAAATCCCCCCTAAACGAAATTAAACTCCCCACGCTTCTTGTCAGAAACCCTAAATCTAAAAGAGCTGAATTAGCGTTTGAGGGCAATAAATAAATGAAAGTTAAAGAATATAGATGACCCAATTTGTGGATAGGAATGTTTTATGCAACTTTGAAGAAGAGTAATATTCAGGTGAATGTGGTAAATTGGTAGGTTACGCAGTAGAATTAGACGTAGGGATTCCTGGACTGTCTACATGAAGATTATGAATATGATGGGTAATATTGGTATGACATTTCAAAGGAAATAGTATAAAGTATCAATAAAAGATAAAGTAAAAATATTGTGTGGGGCAATTTTGATAGCCTTCTACTATTTTTACTGTCAAGGTCAACTTGCAAAAAAACTTTAAAGTTGCGAATCGAAAATGCAAATCTAAATTCACTTGGCGGCTAATTAATTATAATTAAAAAATCATAATTTTCTTCCTAGTCATAGTACAGAATAATAGCTTTAAATGCTGACAATCATCCCTAATGGTTCAGTTAACTATACCGAACTAACTAAGAATTATATGGGTGTATTATATTCATCAAAATTCGCTGAATTTTTGAATACAACTCAAACAGGATATGCTCATTCATCATCAGGTATTGAATTCAATCTATTATTAAAGACATTATTCACATCATTATGTTTCTGTACAGTTCAATTGACTTTCTTTTGCTTCTTCCGATCCATTTTCAAATATCTTTATCAACCTCGATGTTATTGTGTACCGACTAATGAAAGAATGGACCCCTTACCAAGAGGATTTTTAACATGGATTATACCAACTATAAAATGTAGTAATGCATTTTATTTATCAATGGGGTTGGATACTTATTTCTTTGTCAGATTTATCAGTATACTCCTTTTATTCTTTATTGTCATTGGGGTTCTAAATATGGTGGTGTTAATTCCAGTCAATTGGACAGGTGGAGCGCCAAATAATTCATCAGTTACCGGATTAGATAAGTTAAGTTTATCAAATATATCGATATCAAATGTGGATAGATTAAATGCTCATTTTATAATGAGTCTTCTTACAATTGGAATATTCCATTGGTTAATTCTTTATGAATTGAAAAGTTTTGTCATTATCAGACTTTCATATTTATCATCTACCAAACATGAAAATTCAATCACAGCCAGAACTTTATTAATAACAAATGTTCCAAGTTATTTAAAAGATAAACAAACTTTAACCCAAATGTTTGAAGTGGTTCCTGATGGTATTAAAAATGTATGGTATATTTATGATTTCTCTATTATTGAAGAAGACGTAAGAAGAATTAAGATAGCTTTATCAACGTTAGAAAAAGCTCATACTATTTATTTTCATAATTTCTTAAATTCAAAATTTAAACATACTATATGTGGAAAGGATTCTTATAATTTAGAAGAAACTCTGATACAACATCAAATGAATGATGAATTATCTAAATTCGATCCAAATCTAAGTCCCAAATTTTATCCACCTATATTTATTGGTCCTTATGATATACCTAAATTAAATCGAGAGATAAGATTTAAATTACCAGGATTATTTCGAATATTATTATTTCAGAAGAAAGTTTATATGTTTGATTGGGCTATACAGATATTAAATGAAAAATTAGAATCCTTAGATGAACAAAAGTTATTATTAAGAGATGATTCCCTTTTAAAACATGATAAAGTTATAATTGAATTTAATTCACAACGAGGATCGAATATGGCTCATCAATGTTTATTATCCCAAACTCAAGGAACTTTAGATACGAGTTTTTCAGAAATTAGACCTGAAGATATCTTATGGCATAATTTAGATCGAAGTAATAGTTTTATTTGTTTAGTGGAAAAGTATTTTGTTACTATAGTGTTCATTGCTATAATTATACTTTATATAGTTCCAGTTTCATTTATTGGATTAGTATCCCAAATGCCATTATTAACTCAATTAATGCCATTTTTACTGTGGTTATATAAATTACCTGAAGAAGTTAGAGAAACCATTTCAAGTTTTTTACCATCATTATTATTATCAATATTAACTGAAATTGTTATGATTCTGTTTCGATTTTTAACTTATTTTAAGGGGAAATTAACAGGAGCTGAATTAGAATTAGATTTACAAACTTGGTATTTTTCATTTTTATTTGTTCAACAATTCTTAGTTGTAACTATTCTGTCAAGTGTAACCGTTATATTTAAACAAATTCTTGATCAACCAACTTCTATACCAATTCTTTTAGCCACTAATTTACCTAAAGCTGCCACATTTTTCTTTCAATATATTGCTTTAAAAGCATTTGCATTTTGTGGTACTAATTTCTTAAGAATCGATCAATTGATTTTATATCATACTTTATATAAATTTAAAGATATAACTCCAAGACTGAAATTTAATCGATTAACTAATTTACCAATTATAAAATGGGGAACTACATTTCCTATTTATTCAGTTTATGGATCGATTGGCATAGCTTATTCCATTATTTCTCCAATTATAGCGGTATTTATTATCTTTATTCTTTCATTAACATTATTATATTACAAGTATGCCTTAAAATATATATACAGTCATATAAATCAATCTGAAACTCAAGGGAAACTTTATCCAATAGCATTACTTCATTTATATACTGGAATTTATTGTTTAGAAGGTTGTTTAATTGGAATATTCTTTTTACTGAAAAATAATGCTGGTAATTGTCCTATGAAAATCCAAGGTTGGATTATGATAATTATATTATTAGCCACTATATTTGGTCATAATACTATTTATAATCGATATGTCCAACATTTTTCATATTTACCCATATTATCAGATAAACAATATAAGGATGGGAATGGGAATGGGAATGTCAATAATAATCTTAATAATAATATTACCGCTACTATGACTTCACAAAGTAATCAGATAAATTTACCATCTCCTCAACATAATCAAGATATGTTATATCTTCATCCTTCATTTAGATTTGAATATCCAAGATTATGGTTACCTTCAGATTCATTTGGAATAGCGGAAAAGAACATTGAATATATTCAAAGTAGAATACCTAAATTACTGGACGGTGATACAAGTGGAGCAAATATTGTATTTAAAAATCATACTAGTAAGAAATTCAGTATAAAAATTTCTGAAGCTCCTCCTGATTATAAATGATTTATCCCATATCTCTTATTAAGTTTCTCCTTTATACGTACTCTTCTTATAAATAATTCCCACATAGCTTCTGTTTCTTTCTTTTTAGATTCTAATTCAAGATGATTTAATCTCATTTTACCTTGTAACCAGATTTTTTTAATTAACAATTCATCTTGTTTTAATATTATTACCCCGTTTTTGACAGGTATACATTGACCTGGTTTTGAAGTGAAATTAAATCCCACCACCACATTAACATATTGGATTTTTAAATCGTTTGTTTTCCGATAATCATTTAAAATAGTCTCTATATCAGAAAGTTTCAACCACATACAATTTTCCGGAACCATATTTTCTCGATAAATTTCCATGTTACCATATTTATTTCGAGGTAGAACTAAATTCCCATTTATATCTAATGTAGTTTCCAATGTAATATACGGACAAGTTTGATCAAAACTGTATAATTTTGTTTCATTTAATTCGGGTTCATTATTATAAATATTAAGATTATACAATCTTTTCCCTTCGATGGTTCTTGGGGTTAATGCCTTAGTTGATTTCAAAGGATGGTCTAATTCAGTCGGTTTTACTGATCTACCTAAGAACTTCCATTGTTTGATTGATTTCCCTACCACGATGGAATTTTTAAAATAGACTAATTCTAACTTTGAATCAAGTTTAATCTTTGAAATAGGTGTGGTTGTCGAAGTGGGGATCGATTCATTATATCTTAACGTTGATAAAGTCACCACATTCGGATTCCTTTTCATAGCGGTGAAATTAGTAGGGATTTTATAATTTATCATCGCCACTTTTCGTAATGTATCTAGTTCTAAATTAGTTAAATGATCATAATGTTTCCCATGATTGAATATTCTAATCAATGATTGGAATAATAATGCTGACCGGCCATGATCGGTACGTAAATCCAATTTATCAAACCATCGATACGAAATATCAGTCATGTATCGTGAACTTATCGGTAATATCAAATTATCATTAGTTAAGCTAATAACATAATGCATTGACATTTGATTGAATTGACTAGGTACAGGATAAAATAAGTCAGTATAATATTGATTTAAATTATCCTGATTTATGATATCGGAGGTGTTATTGTTGGCTACTCTCGTTAATCGAATCAATCGATTTTCTTCATTATGAAAGCATTCCGTCTCCAATACAATCACCTCTTCAGGATTCAATGGATTGATTAATTCTGTCCAATAATAAGGATACAACAAATCGTTATCTTTATTAACCAGGAGTTTCTTTTCATCTACTTTTGGTTGTTTTAATGGAGTTATACCATTTCTCACTGCTAATAAAGGTAATGAGAATACCAAACGACTTTCAAATCCTAATGATCTTAATAAAGCAGTGAATATTTGAGCCCCTGTATCTCTATTATGTTTGAATTTTTTAATGATATATTGAAACTCTTTAATATTCAGGATTGGACTAGCTGTATTGGGATAATATTGATCAGCAGATTTATGTTTTGGAAGGTATCCTAATACTCTTAACCCGTTTGAATTAAATTTATAATTCAATCTGAACCATTTTATAAGGTATTTCAAGATATACACCAACTGTTTATCAAGTTGTAATTTCATATCTTTATCATTATTATCGATCCCTTCTTTCAAAGCCTTTTGAAGTTTCCGGACGTGATTTTTAATTAAATCTTTCGGTATAAGATTCTTTAACAGCTTTAAGATTTTTTTATTGGATAGCCATTTATTTCTATGTCTGGCATGAAGGATATAACTCACCATAGTTAGATAATTCAAACTCAAACGTTTTTGCTTTTCTTGAAGTAATTGTTTCAAGCGTATACGTTTGAGTTCTGCCTCTTTATCGAGGGGTGAACCACCTATAGGGATAGCGAATGAATCAGGAGGAGGAGGAGGAGGAGATGGAGATGGTGGAGGCGTATCAAGGAGAATATCTTCAAAATCACTATCATTATCAGTTTCATTAAGGATTTCATATTTAGGTTCTATCTTATCATTTATGATATCCACTTTTCTTCTCTTTAACAATGGCAACTGTTCATATTCTTCATCATTATGATCTTCACCAGTGTCATATTCTGAATCAGATACAAACAACCCACTAATACCACCAGACATCCTTCATCTGTTGATATTCAAATCAGTGGGATGGATATTTGGTAGGAATAGGAATTTCACGTCTATTTTATATAGAGATGGCGGGGGGTCCTAGATATCGCACCAGAAATTTTTCAAATTTACGTCATAGTAGAAACAGATTGGTATAACATCAGATGGTACTTTAAGATATATATTCTTTCTATATGAACAACTAATATACATAGAGGGTAACTAATCCATCTCCTCAACTTATTAAAGCAGGTGAAAAGATTTTAGTGATCGTTCCACTCTTGAACTCGACAACGGTAATATCTATGAATGGATAATATCACTGATTTCATTCCATTCTTTTAATAACAGCCATTGATTGTTTTCAGCTATTCGGGTATCATGACCATAAACGTTAATACTATTGAATTTAGCAATAGGAATATAAGTACTAACTGATTTGACATTGTCACCATTATAATCATTTTCATTATCTTCAACTCGTACTAATGATTCCGATTTATTCATAATATATGCGGTATATTTATCATTGAAATCAACTTTATCACCTATGAATTTACAACCTCTGAAGTAAGCTATATCTTGGGAGTTTTCTGATGTCTTTGAAGGAGTGAAATATTCTTTAGTAGCTGCTGGACCTGAGTATTCGATATGAACAGGTACCAAGTTCGCTATTACAGTGGGGACCTCATTATTGATTTGAATTGTATCTGACATGATGATGAGTATATAGACTGTACTTGTGTATACTAGATGATCTTTCCTTCTGTTTACTTCATAGGGTCGTATGAGTCGTTTGTTAGCAGATCTGACAAAATTGGAAAAAGGGACGCGTATCCACACAAATAATATAAACGCTACCAATAAAGCTACTTACCACAAAACTGATATAAGTCAAAAACCATCAGTTACCATAGATTTATATCAACCTATTGAAACATACTTGTACAAGAAGTCAAAACTAGATATGAAACTGACTCTACCAGTATGAGGCATTTTAAAGATTTACTTAACCGTATTGATTTGACTCTTATAGCCGATCACAACAAATTTAAAGTAATCGGCCTATGATATAAAGTTATCAATAGATAATCATATATATATGCTTAGCCCCGTCAATTAACTTTTTATAAAATTCCACTTCCTTATATTCCTTGCAAGCCAATTATAATTATAGTTTTATCGGAATTTATGATAAAGAATTCCGCTCACATGACCAAACAGAGGCGGAAATCGAAAAGGAAAAATGCCCTATACCGGACAAATCGACTAAATAGGCTTAAAATCCTTTTATCTATTATCATTTGATAAATTTGAAAAAGATTAACCCTTTTCTTCATAATTACTATAATATACCGATTGACCCATTGACTCCTTGACAATTGTTAAGTTCACTATATATATATATATATATCTATATTGACTCGGTAAAGTGTTACCAGGATTTGTTTAAAACATTGTCAATAGCCACAGTTTCGTTGATCGAAATATTTTTCATTAATTAGTAACTCACTATAGATAACAAGATTATTTACTCCTTCAGACAACATGACTACAGGGACGACTGATAATTCATCGAAGGACCAACATCACCATCTTCCTCATTTACATCCAAACATCATCAAAGATAGTTCGGCTGGTGGAGCAGGAATTATTGCTGGTGAATTGGCTGCTGAAGATGAAGGTCTTATCAGTAATGCTCAATTAAAATCTCATTCATATGGTGCCATTCAAGCTTCATCCAGTGAAGATACTATCAGTTCAGCCGATGATAATGGTGGTTATGCCTTACCCAAACGTCAATTATTCACTGTCATCTCATCTTTATTCATGGCTGCTTATTTGGCTGCTTTGGATATGACAGTGGTTACTACTTTATTAACTTTAATTGCATCTGATTTAAAAAGTATTTCAAATATATCTTGGATTGCAACTGCTTATTTATTATCTTGTTCAGCCTTCCAACCTTTATTTGGTAAATTATCCGATATCTTTGGTAGAAAGAATTTATTAATGTTATGTTGTGCCTTCTTTGCCGTGGGTTGTATGATTTGTGTTACTGATTCATTATTCTGGTTAGTAATTGGAAGATTTGTTACTGGTATTGGTGGTTCAGGATTAACTTCATTAGGTACCATTACTATGTCTGATTTAATCCCCTTAAGAGATAGAGGATTTTATCAAGGCTTAGCTAATGTATTCTTTGGCTTAGGTTCAGCCTCAGGTGGTATGGTTGGTGGTTTAATTGCCGATTATTTCGGTTGGAAATATGTATTTATTTTACAAGTCCCATTAGCTGTCGTTCTTGGTGTTTCACTTTATTTGAATCTTAATTTACCTGAAGGTTCACCTGGTTTAGGAGCTCATGGAGTTGATATCAGACAAAAATTAAAAAGAGTAGATTTCTTAGGTTCATTCTGTTTAGTAAGTTCTTTAATGTTAATCTTAACTGCCGCTTCATTAGGGGGTAAAGATATTCCATATTCTTCAAACACATTCATTGCCCTTGTTTCCACCTCATTCTTCCTTTTAGGTGCCTTTGGTTATGTTGAAGCATATGTTTCAGAAGAACCAATCATTCCAATCCACTTATTAGCCAATAGAACCATTTTGGCATCATCATTAACTAATTGGTTTTATACTATGGGAATTTTCACTTATTTATTCTATATCCCTGTCTACTATACTTCTGTCATGCAATTCACCGCTACTCAAAATGGATTAAGATTAGTTCCAAATTTCTTTGGAGTATCCATTGGATCCATCGGAGCTGGTATTTACATGCGTAGTACCGGTAAATATTATAATTTCACCATCGCAGTAGGGATATTATCAGTAATTGGAGTGATTAGAATCTTATGTATTAGTCCAGAGATTCCAACTTGGGAACAATTTGTATTGTTATTACCTTCAGGTTTAGGTTATTCAAGTATGTTGACTGTAACATTATTATCATTAATTGCGGCAGTCCCAGCTAAATACCAAGCTTGTACAACTTCAATCCAATATACTTTTAGATCGACTGGTTCGACTTTAGGTGTTGCTATTGCCTCTGCCATTTTCCAAAATTTATTAAGATCAAATTTATATACTAAGATTTATGCATTAGTTCCTGATAAAGATGAAGCCGCTGAGATTATCGCTCAAGCTTTGGCCAATACAAATTATTCAAACCATGCTCCTACAGCCTTAATCAAACAAGCTATTATTGATTCGTATGCAAATGGTTGTAGAGGGGCATTCTGGTTTAGTGTTATTACTGTTATTGTGGGTTTTGCCACTTCATTGTTCATGAGAGAACATAAATTACATACCAGTATCAATAGAGATTAGAGTTATAGAGACCTTTTTTTTTATATACTTTTTTATTTATAAATATTATTAATGGTGAAATATAAATACATATACAATTTACTTATCTCTATCTATTTAATCTTTCATCGATATCTGTTGATGTTGAGGAAGAGGGTTCTATATTCTTGACATGATATTGATGATTACCTCCTGATATAACCACTAAATTAGCTTGATTATGAGATTCAACCGTATATAATTTATTCGAATGATTAAGATTTAACGGTGAATTATTATGATTATGAATATTATTTTGATTAAGATTAAAACCCGATAATTGACGAATTAATGGAGGTTGTTTACCGAATTTCCCATCTAATTTTGGTGAAAATTTTCCTAGGATATTAGAACTATTAACTCCAACTTGAATAGGGAAATGAGGTGAATTAACTTCAATTGGATTATTAGCGCGAGGTGATAATAATGGTGATAATATAGGCGATAAGACTTCATCTTCTCTAATGGCTCCTTCTAATGCTTCTTCAATTACTTCTCCAATTAATTCATTTTCAGAGGTAATATTAATATTAACCAAAATCACAGCTAATAAAATACTTATAATCCCTAAAAAGTACAGGAATCCCTTTGATGATTTTGAATTTCCTTCCGATGTAGATGTCATAATAATCCAATCTATAAATATGGTGATGGGAATAGAAGAGGTTAACGATAATGAAGTTACCAAGGGACTAGTTAATAACATTGCCAAGACCGTGGTATAATCTGATATGACTGAAAAAGTCCCATTAATAAGTATCAGAATTAAAATCGTATTAGATGGAGGTGGGAAATCAAATTTTTCAATATTAAATTTATCAACTATATATAAGATTGGAATACCAATCATAAAAGTTGTAATTCCAATATATCCAAATAATTTTCTTTCATTAGTGGTCTTTTCACCAGTTCCAATATTAACTTTCATAACAATTAAATAAATAGCATACATTAAAGCTCCACATAAGGCAAGAGAATTACCTAATTTTGGATTCTTGGGGATGAATTTATTACCATCTTTAGGTTCTTTACTTGATTCACTGAAATTAACCAAGAAAACTCCAAAACAACTGATAACCACACATACTACTTTCTTAAGGGTGAATCTATCGATTTTAAGATAACTACAGATTAATAATGTGAATATGGAAGTGGTTGAACCAAGGACCGTTTGATTGGAGGCAGATGTGAATTGTAAACTTGACATGGCAAATAAGTTATATAAGTAGTAAATGATAGCCATTTGTAAAGCTAGTATGAAGATTTCCTTTGATGATAATTCTCGTGGACCTTGAGTATATTCATCAGCAATTAATTTTTCAATTGATTTATGATGGGATGAAGATGATCCAAGGAGAGGTTGATCAGATGAACCTTCTGTGACTTCGTCGTCGTCATCAATTCTCTGTTTCAGGGGTTTGAATAGACTCTTTATGAATGATATCAATTCAGGAATCAAATTTAAAGTGAAGCATGATCCAGTAACAACAGAAAACATCCATGGTTTATGATAATCATCACCTTTCAATATGACATTAACCAATTCCAATCCCACCATCCAAGTACTAACTGCCACCACCAATAGTATAACCCCAAGTCGGTAATTCTTTAATTCTTGTTCATTAATGATTTCAATAACTTCAAGAGGATCACTAGCTAATTGAACATCTTGCTCTTGGATTGAGTTTGGTGATTTGATGCCATGATAAGGTTCATATCCTTGAGGAGATGATAATTGGGACATTTAATATTGATTTGGCATAGAGATACCACACTAAATTGGAACACCAAGAAGAAGAAGAAGTAGAAATGATCTAAACAATATCTATCACCAAGTCATCTTTGCCTTGAAAGTATAATTTGACCTTATTTGGAGTGTTACCGCGCGCTTATCTGAAGAACGCAATCGTATACCCAATTAGGAAGTTCATTTTGTGCAAAAAGCCGACCCCAAATGCAACGAACATTTAATACTGAATCTCCCCATAGTATATATTGAACGAACATGGGGTATATATGATCTCATATGTGGAGATGGAGAGATGATGATCTAAGTCCAACCACATCAAAATAAACCATTACAGTGAAAGAGGTTGTCTTGTAATAAATAATTCTTATATTGATTCACACTATATAAAGGACAAAAGCGCATCTTGTCTCCATAATTACATTTACTTAGTCCAACCATAAGTAGCAGCCAATCTATTATCTAGATGTTGTTTTGCAGTAATATGAGTTACTGCATTATTGGCACCTCTATTTTGAATTGATTTAACTGCCGCACTTGGAACAGGTTCTAATAAAGCTTCATCATTTGGTTGACTGAAAAATACAATCGAATAACGATCTTGACCTGTGATTTGAACTTTAGCAGGGAATTTAACTCTATGAATAGTTGATTTTAATACACCAGCTGTCCAATAACTTAATATATCACCAATATTTACAACTAATGGTGGACCTGCAGTGGTGGATTTCGATTTATCAGCTCCAACAAAGGGAACTGGTTCCCATTGTTTACTAATAGGAGAATAAATTTCTAATCCTTCTTGATTTTCTTGTTGGAATAATAATGTAACTGACCCATAATCAGTATGAGCACCAGCTCTAATCACTGTTTCGGGATTTAAACTCTTTTGACCAGGATAATGTAAGAATCTTAAAGTCGATCCTGATACTTTAGAAGGACTATGACGAGATTGAAACCAATCTTCACCTTTAACTTCATCTGAATCATCAATTTTAAGTCCAATGGCTAATAATTTAAGGATTTTAATGGATAATTCATAAAATCTTCCCACAATATCTGATATTATTCTTTCTCTTTCTGGGTCTTCATAAAACCAATCAGGGATTTCCTTAGAAGACTTACCAGTTAAGAAATTCAAATCTGTAATATTAAGAGCTTCCTTTGGTTCACCTTTCTTTTGACCTTTAGGATCTAAATTCTCCCCTCCAAAATCAGCATACCCATGATTTGAAGAATCAATGGCATATTTAGTCTTGTATGAACTATCCAATTCAAAGAATTGTTTAGAAAGTTTAAAAACAGTATCGATTTCATCTTGACTGAAACCATGTCCTTCCACAAATAAGAAACCTTGACTTGTGGCTGCATCATATAATTCCTCAGCTGTTGATTGGTTGATTTCAGAGATATCAACAATCTTTAATGGATTTTCAGTAGTCATGATCCTGGTAGTTGTTGTAGTATGGACTATATCAAACCCATTCAATCAAGATATTGGACCCTTTTTATACAATATCAAACTGTTATACATATATGGTCTTATCTTTTTTGATTCCGCCTTTCAAAGCTGATTCCGCCTTTTCACCAAAAGTAAGTTCCACCGGAAAAAAAAATTATTATGAGAAACCGGTCCTCCGATTTTAATTGATTTTGCGCTTTTTGAAAGATTTACAATTATAGCTTATATTAAATTAGCTAGCTATATACAAATATGATATGATATTATATTATATGATCGGATCCAATGAGCCGTTAATTTAACTTACGCTCACGTTCTCTTCTTAAATGCCACTTGTTCAGGTAATTCAAATGAAACGCAAAACATTGGCTTAGTAGGAGCTACTTTTCTAACTAAATGAAATTCAAATTTTTCAAATGGTAAATCATAATCAATCAATTTAATGATTTTTTGATGAACTCTTTTATGTAATTCTTCTAAGGAAGGTTCCGGTTGTTCTTGAGCATTGAACTTTTCAAAGCAATGAACGTTTATAATGGGTAATTTAAAATTTGGATCTTGTTTGACTTGAGTTTCAACTCCAGCATAAAGTCCAATGAATTCATCTAAGAATGTTAAGGCTGAATCCGGTAAATTCATGACGAATTGACTTATATATTTTGGTATTATAATCGATTTAGTTTGAGTTTCTCTTACTACTTGAGTTTGATTATTTTCAACTATTTTACGTCTCTTAACAATCGTCTTTTCAATACTTGATGATGGAGTATCAGATATCCAATCTAATAATAATTGAGGTGATTTCCTTATAATTTCTCTTCCATCTAAATTATAAGGTTTTATGAATAAATCAACATGATTTGATGTGATATTTTCTTTTAAATATTTGTAAGAAGCAGGATTTAAATCATTAGCTAAGACAATGACTTCCTTTTTAGCAGCAGGAACTGCAAATGGTCCAACCCCAGCAAATACATCAACCACAACTTCATGAGATTTAAATTTAGTAATTAATCTATCATGTTCAGTACTTAATCTTGAATTCCAATAAACTTCCGAAAAATCAAATTTAAATTTACATCCACTTTCATTTTGTTCAACTAAAAGATTATCTTCACCTGCTAAAACATTCATTTTAAATGTTCTAAATTTAGTATCGATGGTATCAACTTTATCAACCACAGTTCTCACTTTGGGGTTTTTATCAAGAATAACTTGGCCAATAAGTGAACCATAAGGTTTGAATTCATCTCGTAAGTTTAAATGAGCAATATGACCAGCTTGAGCGAATCCAGATGGTATTTCATCTAATAATTCTTCTGGTAAAATAGCTCTTAAAATATCATCAGGTTTCCAGTAATCATAAGTTAAATTCAAAGTATAAGGTTTGATTTCGATATTATATTCATCAATTTTGACTTTAGTAGCATCTGACACTGATTCTTGATAATTGTCCATGGTTAAATCTTGTCTTAAAAGCACCCCTTTGGAATCTTCCACATTAACAATATGTTTTATAGATGGTAAATATAAGATATCATTCTTACAGATTTTAACGAATTCCGCTAAATGAGTAGGTTTAGGAAAATACGCTACGATCAATGCAATATCTTTCTTAAAGAAGGAACGATCCAATTGTTTCATTGATCGATTTGTAGGTGGTCCAAATTGAGTCATCATGAAATCTCTTCTATCTGATTTATTTTGTTTATGGAATGTCCTAATGAGGGGTGATTGTATGTATGGTGAATATCTTGCTTGTACTGCTAGTCGCCGGAAGAAGAGGAGACTACCTATCATAAACGAATTGAAATGCTATCAACACACTAACAACACTGTGGTGAATCAATCGATCATGATGAGATTTTTGAACTGTCCGCAAAATTGTGAAAAAAAAACTGTGAGCAGCCAAAATCAAAAAAAAAAATTCATTTGATGAGTATCAACTGTTAAGCAATAGTGTTCAAGGGAAAGAACTATCACCACAATGGACGTTACAGAAGTGATAAACATAACCAAACCAAGCAGGTCCAGAGGGTACGAAGACGAAGATGATGACTCAGACATAGAAATGTTAGGAAACAACCATAACGATGGAGAATTCACTAATAATAATTCATCGATTGTTACACCTGGAGAATTAATCACTGAAGATCCAATATGGATGAAAGGTCATGGGACATATTTCATAGAAGACAAGACATATTCCAGTGTGGCAGGGAATGTATCTCGTGTTAATCGATTATTGAGTGTGATACCGATTCGAGGAAGGTATCAACCTGAAACTGGGGATCATATTGTGGGTAGGATTACTGAGGTTGGAAATAAACGATGGAAAGTTGATATTGGAGCTAAACAAGATGCTGTATTGATGTTAGGATCAGTTAATTTACCAGGAGGGATCTTAAGAAGGAAGAGTGAGACTGATGAATTACAAATGAGGAATTTTTTAAAGGAAGGTGATCTTTTAAATGCTGAAGTTCAAACTATTTTTAATAATGGTATTGCTTCATTACATACTAGATCATTAAAATATGGGAAATTAAGAAATGGAATGTTTTTAAAAGTGCCCTCATCATTAATTATCAAATCAAAGAATCATGCCTTTGATTTACCCGGTAATATAAGTTGTGTCCTTGGAGTTAATGGATATATTTGGTTATATAAAACCAACCTCAATAATCAAAACAATAATACTACTAACATTAATATTCATAATAATGGTGCATCACCTGCTATAACAAGATTAGAAGAAGAAAGTTCATGGGAAATCTATAGTGATAAGAATGATAGTAATATAACCAATGCTATTCGATCTAATATAACTCGATATTATAATATCATTAAAGCATTAAGTTTTTGTGAATTAGGTATTACAGAACCAAGAATCATTATGGGGTATGAATCAAGTTTATCATATATGAATGTTGGTAGTTTGATTGATAAAGATTCGATGGAGACTATATGTCAAGAGATCATTAATAATGAAAAGATGAGAGGTTAATAGAGAATACATACGTACATAGATACATAAATACTTCTTTTCAATAAATAATATTATATTAAACATGATGATATATATATATAGATATATGAATCCATACTTACGAATGGTAGGTTGGTTGGTTGGTTTTAGAATGTGAAGAGAAAAGAAAATAATGCTAAAAAATTCAAGTAATAGAAGGGAAAACAACAACAATAACAGGAATTAGGTGATATATGGAATGAATTACAAATTTTCAAATTAATTTTTAATTTTGATTTTTTTTTTAAAAATAATAATAATCAACACTAGAGGATTAGGATTAAATTTGCTTTTTTTCATTGATGATGATGACAAGAAAGGTAATGATGAGATGTATTGAATTGAAATGACTGATTATGATTATGACAAGTGAAAATATTAAAGATAAGACAAATAAATGACCTATGATATGTATTAATGAATTAGAAGTAAACAATGAAAATGAAATTGGGAATGTGAACAGGGATGGGGATTATGCATGCATGATTCTTTTTTTTATATATATTTTATGATATGAGGAAGGAAGATAAGTGGGGATCAATAAAGGATCTTTCTTCTTCTTAAATAAACTTTGAAATAAATTATTTGAGCTAAACCAAATACAACAATACAAATGATTAAAATAACTGAATTTTTAGTATAATCTTCAAAGATTTCTTCATTAACATCTCTTAATTTAAATTCTTGTTCCATTAAACTTTGTAATATTATACCTGAATTTTCTAAATTCCCAATTACATTTTGTAATTCAGTTTTTAAAAATTGAATTTCATTTTCAAAATCTTGTTTTGTAAATTCTTTATTATTTAAAGCGGCTGAAACTGATGATGATGGATCAGTTGATGATTGTTCACGTTTGGATTCTTGAGATGTGAAACGTTGGAAATATTGGGCAAAATTATTATAATTAGTTTCTTTAATAGTACTCATATTTTTAATATCAACAAATAATTCAATATCACGAGGTTGAGCTGCAAATGACCATGATTTATCAGCATAAAGATTATCAAAACAAATATAAATTAACGATTTTCCTTGATCACTATTGATTAATTCATCTGCTTTAGCTTTATCGACATCAGCCATATTATTATTATTATTATTGTTACCATTTCCAAATAAATTATTGGATGAACGCTTTATTTGATCAATCACATTATTAGATTTTAAAGTTGAATCATCTTCATTAACATAAATAGGATTGTTTAAATTGGTAAACATGAAATTTATATCATTTGAAATATCAATTTGAGATCTTAAACTATTATTATCATCATCAAAGATATTTAAATTTAAAGTTTGACTTGGTAATTTATCACCTGATTTGATACGAACCAAAACAATATCATCTTTAACAGTAGGATAACTTACACAGTTAAACAAATGATTCTTGGATGAATATTTCGATGAATCGCCCGCTTTGATGGCAGGAACAGAGAATCCAAGGCCATTTATATAACCAGGAAATAGAAAAAAGAATGATAATAGCGATAGTATTATAGATTTCGATGAAAAGGGGGGATAAGATAGGAATGAGGAGGATGAGGATGATGATGATGATGATGATATTCTCGGCATGATGATAGATGAGTGATATATGTATAATGAGACGAAGCAAGTCGATGATGTTTTAAAGTTATAAAAAAGTATAACGATGCTTAATGATTAATGACAAGTAAAAAAGTTTTTTGATGGAAAAGATAAAAAACCAAAGGGTGATTTGAAGGATGATCAGTAGTTGGATTAAAGGATGATGAAAGTATTAAGATGGATCTAGATAGTAGTAAGATAGATGAGGAGATCAGATGGGGAGGTAAAATGGGATCTCTTGATGGGTTAAAAACTAAGAAAAAAAACAAAGACTCGACTGGAATGGAGTGGAAAGGAAAAAGGAAACAACGGGTTTGTGTATGTCTTTTTTGAAGTAGATAAAGCGAATGTCGTGAAGTTATCGTGATGATGACTGTAAGGGGGGAGGGGGGTATCAACAGTTGATGGATGGATGGATGGATGGTTGATGGATGGTGGTTGTAAACTAAATGAATTGATCGAGAGGAAAGAACAAGGAAGAAGAAGAAGAAGAAAGATGTTTTGATGATTTCTCTGTCTTTGGTGGTCCTTTCTCTCTTTCTGGCTGCCTTACTTTTTGGCTGTTTGTGTCTGTCTGTCTGTTATGATTATTTATTTTTTTGTGCTCTTATTTTTGTCTGTCTGTTTTTGTCTGTCTGTGATGTGAGTGTCTATTTTGTACTCCTATTAAAGTTGAATATTATATGAACTCAATAGGGAATGCTTATTCTGTCTTCGTTAACGATAGAGATGAACAACTACTTATAACTTACAACTCTTATCATATCATTTAATTTAATTATTTGCCAAGGTGATGGCTATACTCTATATACTATGTCATTCAAAGTGAAAATTTTCACTGTCTGTTAAATTAAAAATTAAAAATTAAAAATTAAAAATAATAAGATTGTCTAAAACGGGAAATTAAAATTTCTTTTTTTGTATTTTATTTTTGTCCAAAATCCATCACGTGATATTTTCTATAAAGTTTAAAGAGGGTTCAAAATGGCTGGTTGAATTGAATTTAGTTGTACCTTAAATCAATTTAACTTTTTCAATTTCATAACAATATAGGTTAATATAGTTCTTCTAACTTGTTCATTAATAATCCTAATTAGTTATATATATATATTGATATTAACAATACAACTATCAGTAATAGAAATAAGCTTAACTATGCATCAACCAATTGTCTGTCTGTCTGTTTGGTACTGTCTGTGTCTGTCTGTGAGTGTCTGGACTTCAAATTCTCTCTCACACAAAAAAAAAACATTTCACAAAAACACCAAAAATTAAAAATTTCCATTTTTGTCCTTATTTGATCTTAACTAAACAATTAATCAGACAGACAGACAAAACACGGTTAAAGTTATATTGATCTTCATACACTGTCACTGATCTATCATTCAATATCTATAGTGATCAACGTTAACGAATCTTCTAAAAGATCACATCACTACATAAACTCTCTCTCTCTTACTATTAAATATTAATCTCATTTGAGAATGGGGTGAGGCGTGGCTAGGCTTAATAATTATAACCCTACCAAGACAAAATAGTTTGTAATTCGACCTAAAACTATCGATTTCTTGTTAATCCTTATCGATCGATAATATAATCAAACCTTATCAATTGATCGACAAATTTTATTCCAGTCATTATCAAAACATCATTTTATCATGAAGTTAAACCTATATAATATAAACTAACTCTACTAATTAATGGTTATAATTCCCCCTAATTATTCAATCCCCACCTTCTTAAAAGATGTGTAAAATGGCAAAAAAGGTCTATATACAGGAATATAATATATAGATGTTATAAGCATAAGATTTTAGGCTTAATTATACTTACCTTTGCTAGTCCAGGTTAACTGACAATTAATATAAATAAGAGTGAAATGTTAAAAGTGATAATGAATTATTCAAAGAATATCAATCCGTGATTGAATCCTGCTATTAGATTGAGATTATTAACCAATGAAATACGAAAAAAACTGCCTATGTTACCATATATGGTACTCTATTCTTGATTGCTGGTGTTATCAATCGCAGAGATTATAAGGCTAGGTATCCAAAAGAATTACGTGACCATAGTAAACTCAAACATTATATAATCTGGCTGTGGTGAACGATACCATTACTTATGCTAGTGATTTAAGTAATAAGTCATCAAAGGTTGGATAGGAGAGACAAGATCCTGATGATTTGTGATAATGATCTGTGTTTGTTCAAGCTATAGTCAAATTGTATATTATTAAGCATTCGCTGCTATCAAATCAAAAAAAAGTAAACTTTGAAGAAAGTATAAAGACATTCATATTACATTTCTTTTGAAGCGTAATATTCTTTTATCTTAACTACGCCGCAATTCATATAAATAGTAAAAGATATAATATATAACTTATTAAATATTCAAATAATCTCAAACCAATCGAAGTCATTATTAGAATCAGATTATTAAACAGTAAAATATGAATTATACAAAGTTTGCTGAGATTACCAAGCGTGCTACTCTATTTTTTTTTATTCCATTGGTCGTCACTTCCAGAATATTGACGATAGCTTTTCCACCAACAGGATATGAACACCTTAAAGACAAACGTTTATCACTATCGGGTCAATCTAAACCATAACAGTTGCACAAGTAGGTACTTTATATTGGTCTATATTAAACTTTGATATCTTTAAAGACGCAAATAATGAAAGGAAATGTTTAAGGTGAAAGTTGTCTCCACCTTTGATCTGACAAAAACATTGGCTTAATATGAGCCACTTCCTATTTGGGAACAAAAGGTTTAAAAAATGATGATTTCCGGCATATAACTACAACGTATAACCTCTCTACTAAAAGATTTCTATAATTGTTATAGTATCTATTTACAGTAATAAATAATCTATTTACAAATGCTACTCACCTATTTACTATTGATTAAATCTTGTAATCTTGATTCAAATTCATGTTCTTCTAATCTATCTATTAATTCACCTAATTTAGTTCCATTCATACATCCTTGTAAATCATGTAATGAAAACCCACATCGATGATCAGTAACTCTATTTTGAGGATAATTATAAGTACGTATCTTATCTGATCTATCAGTGGTAGTAACTTGATCAGTCCTTAATTTTCTTTGATCATTATATTCTTTTTCTTTTTCTAATTGAGCTAATCTTGATCTTAATATTGAAAATGCTTTAGCTTTATTCTTAGGTTGGGATCTTTCATCTTGTTGCATGACGATTATCCCAGTAGGTATATGAACTAATCTAACGGCTGAATCAGTAGTATTAACATGTTGACCACCTTTACCTCCTGCTCTCATGGTATCAATTCTAACTTCACCCAGTTTAAATTGTCTTTCATCATCTTTTAAGGAATTCTCATTCCCTTCGGACATTTTAGGTAAGATAACTACGGCTGATGTAGAAGTATGAATTCTACCTTTACTTTCAGTACTTGGGATTCTTTGAACTCGATGAACTCCACTTTCAAATCTTAATGAATTATATGATCCTGGTTCATTAATATTTAAAATCACTTCATTAACAAATCCATTACTGCCTTCACTTTTGCTAACCATCTCCCATTTCCATTTCTGTTGGTTAGCGAAATTAATATACATCTGCATTAAATCTTCGGTGAATAAACTAGCTTCATTACCTCCAATCCCAGGTCTTAATTCAATAATCGTTGGTTTATCATTAAATTTCAATGGTGGTAATAATCGATTTTGTAAAGTTCGAATCGTCTTAGTTAAACTCGGTAATAAATCATCGATTTCTTCAAGTGCTTCAGTTAAGATTTCATCATCTTGATTTGGTTCATCTATTATTTCCAATAAATCTCCCAAACTACTCAAGTTCAACTTATATTGATTGAAAATATCAATGATAATCCCTAAGTTGGAGAACTTAGTACTTAACTCTTGATTGAACTCATTCCCAGTTGATAATTGATGACTGATTGTATCATGTTCACTTTGGATTGATTCTGCTCTTTCAAGTAATAGAGGATGAATTCGAGGTATATTTTGAAGTTTTTCAAAGATTTCTTCTTTATTAATAGGAGATGTGACAGTCGAATAAAATGATAACCTATTCCGTATGGTAGGTAGTAGTATCCCTACACTACTCCTTCGTATAATCCCGAACATTGTCTTGTTAAATATGATTTGGTCTTGAATTGATTTGGTTGCAGATTCTATAAAAATTTTCAATTTTGAGATTGCACCCGGTAAACCAAACCAGAAAAAAAAAGAGCAGCTTCTTCAAAACCACGATTTAGATCAGACGATATTCAATTTGCCATTATCAAATTAACCTACCCCATATCGATACACACATCATATCATGTCATCTGAGCCAATAAAACTAGACCAATTCATATTGGCCATTAAGGATTTACAACAAAGTAATCTTGAATCACTTAAAAAACAACTCATAAACTCATTAACCAAATTAATCCAGACCAATAACGAATTATATCAAGAAACCACTAGTATGAAACATCAATTAAGTTTGAATGATACCAATGAATTGGAATTAAAGGATTTATCCACTTTATATACTGAAACCATTGATGATAATAAAATCGTTATCAAGGAACAAAAATCTCGAATTAAAGCTATTCATGATGAATTGGTTAATAGAGGTACCATCAGTTATGAAGACAAAATTAAATCAGAAGCTCAAATCTTCAATGATTTAAATAGTCTCGATAATAGCATCCCAGTTGATATCAAGAAAGATGATGAAATACAAAACGATGATGATCCTAATACTGATCAAGAAGGTGTATACTTATGATGATCCATATAAAAAAAACTATTTACATATATTCTGTCTGTCTATTTACAAAGGTTATTTTTCTATTGGTTTAGAAACATCTTTACCAAAAAGCTTATTAATGAATGGTTTTTCATTTTGATTCATTGGATCTTCCGGTTTCTTACAGATCAACATATAAGTGGTTCCCAAATGAACTCTCTTTTCATAAGTGATATCCAAACCTGCATCATCAATTAATTCAGGAATATCTAAATTCCAACGACATCCCCAAGTTTTCATTCTTCTTTCACTTCTAAAATCTAAATGATTATTAATGAATCCCCATGTACTTCTACCATGTTCCAATAAGATGATTCTACCTCCTGGTTTTAATAATTCTTTCATGTTTTTAAGAGCTTGAACAGGATCTTCATGGGCACATAATCCAAAAGTTTCAATAATTGTATCGTATTTTATAGCTTGATTTTCTTTAACTAAATTAATTAAATCTTCTGCTTTACCAACTGTAAATCCCACTTTTTTAAAACTAGGAAAATATGATTGAAATTTCTTACTAGCAAGTTCAACCATCCTTGATGATGAATCAAGAAAAGTAATCGAATTGATTAATTCAGGATATAAATATGGAATATTTCTTCCTGTACCACAAGCCACTTCTAACACATCACCATGAACCTGTTTCATGAGCCATTGTCTTCTTCTCCCCATTAAAACACCTCTTTCTTCCCATTTAATAGCATCATCATAAGTAGCAGCTTTCTGTTCGAAAAATTCAGTAGTATCTTCAGCAGGGACGATACTGACATTATCATTACCTTTAACTTCTGGTTCTATCACTTCATCTTTCTTATCAATTGGTTCATCTAAAATAGGAGCTTTCTTAATTGATCTACGAGGTTGCTTTTGATACCATTCTTCTAATTCTTCTGGTGTAGGTTCAAAGATAGCATCCTTATTCAAAAGATTCTTACGTCTGAATTCCTTTCTCATCATTTGATAAATCTTAAACTTTTTATCTTCCTTAGGTCTTAATTTTTCATTATTTAATCGTTTCATCATTAAGAATTCATATTCCAATAATGATTTTGGATCTTGTTCATACTTAGCTTTAACATGTTTGATTTGAATATCTTCATAATATCTATCTCTCATATAATAATAAAATGCAATAATCACACAAATCCCAGCTCCAACATAATAATAAGTCAATCCTCCACGTTTAAATTCTTCACTTTCGAAATATTTGGCCCATTTTTGAATAGTGGATAATTTCTCTTCTTGTTTTTGTCGTTGGATATGTTTAGGATCTATAGGGAATGGATTTGATGATGATGATGATGAAGGTTTTGAATGGGATGGATCAGTTGGTTTGGTTGATAATCGATGTATTGATCCAATTGAGATTATTCCTGGATAACGACATGTTGTAGATAGGATTGTCGATCGTTTAATGATCCCAGAAGGTATCCTCATACCTAAACCTCTGATCATCTTCGTCGTTATAGCTATTTCTTAAGGTCTTACGTAAACTATACAGAAATCATAAGTGAGCTGAAAAATTTATAGCGTATACCTTTTAAAAATTGTGGTCGTGTCCAAATGTTCAAAATTTTGATTGTTGTCGCCAGATTTGAAAATTGATGGCAAATGGGTACAAGAAGCTATATCTACATCTGATACGAATCAACAAGTTTATCAATTATCAACACACACCAATGTCACAACCATCTGCATTGTTAGAGGAAGCCAGAGATGCAGCTTCACTCAAGAACTATTCTTTAGCAGAATCAAAGTATAAGGAATTGATCTCCAATTATCCTCAAGATCAATCTATTAGTCAAACTAAGAAATTACAAGAACAAGAAACTTCAATTTTAGAATTAGGTAAGATATATCAAGATAGTCAAGATGCAGAAAAGTTAAATGGTTTAATTTCTGATTCTAGACTGGTTTTAGGTGGATTTGCTAAATCTAAAACTGCTAAAATTGTCAAGACTTTGATTGAAAATTTTGATTCGATTCCAAATTCATTAGATTTACAAATTGAATCAACTAGAGAAAGTATACAATGGGCCATTGATAGTAAATTATCATTCTTAAGACAATCTTTACAATTGAAATTATCTGATTTATTATATACCAAGGGTTTATTCCAAGAAGCCTTGAAATTTATAACTGATTTATTAAGAGAATATAAGAAATTAGATGATAAATCATCCTTAGTGGAAGTTCAATTATTAGAATCTAAAATCTATCATTCATTAAGAAACATTCCTAAATCAAGAGCTGCTTTAACTAGTGCCAGAACTTCAGCCAATTCAATCTATTGTCCAACTATTTTACAAGCCGAATTAGATTGTCAAAGTGGGATATTAAATGCTGAAGATAAAGATTATAAAACTGCATTTTCATATTTTATTGAATCATTTGAAGGATTCAATTCTCAAGATGATAGTCGTGCCATTTTAATATTGAAATATATGTTATTAACTAAAATCATGTTAAATTTAGTTGATGATGTTAATAACATTTTAAATAATAAAAATGTGATTAAATATCAATCAAAAGATATTGACGCTATGAAATCAATTGCCACTGCTTATTCAAATAGATCATTAAAAGAATTTGAAAATGCTCTTTTAACTTATTCAACTGAATTAAAATCAGATCCAATTATAAAGAATCATTTCAATGCTTTATATGATAATTTATTAGAACAAAATTTATTAAAAATCATAGAATCATACAGTTGTGTTGAATTATCTCATATTTCTAAAACTATCGGTTTAAACTTACAACAAGTTGAAGGGAAATTATCTCAAATGATTTTAGATAAAGTGTTTTATGGTGTTTTAGATCAAGGTAATGGTTGGTTAATCATTTATGATGAACCAAGAAAAGATGCTGCTTATGATGCTTCTATAGATTTAATTAAGAACTTGTCTAATGTGGTTGATTTATTATATGAAAAGGCATCTTCTTTAAATTAAAAGAGTCTATGAATTAAACAATGTGTGTCTCTATGTATAGTATATTTACAGAAAAGAAATATATAGACAAAATAAAGTTTACCGTAATATTAACTAGTAGAATACCCCTTTTATACCTTTTTCTGATGCAATAACTGATAATTCACCTGCTTTAACTAAAAATTCATCCAATCTACCACTGTTTTGAAAGCAGATTAAGAAATCATTTTCATTTTCATTAGCAACTTCATTAATTAATTTAAATACAAGTCTCATATATTGCCAATCATTCAATCTACCATTTTGACAAATCTCCAATAATTCAATGATAAGATAAGGGACATAAATGTTTCTATATTCTTCGAAAATAGCTTTATCTTGGACATTTACGGTGGATTGACTTAAATCCTTAAACCAATTAAAAATCAATTTATTTAAAGTCTTGCTTGTCTTTTCAATTGAATTTGAAACGGCGGATGATGCCCATTTCCCAGTTCCATTCGTAATATTAACGAATTTTTTCCAATCATCAATCAAATTCAATCCTTCCAATAATGAAGAATATTCTAATAATTCTAATTTATTATCTTCAGTGATATTTCCTACTTCATCATTAGTATCCTTGGCAAGTTTTCTGGTTTGTAATTGAAGATCATAATCATTAACTAATGCTTTAAAGCTCTTCCCCTCGGCAAACTTCTTCAACGTGGATAATTTCCCACATAATAAGAATCTCCGTATGATGATTATAGAAGCAGTGATGGCATCTTCATGCATGTTATTCTCATAAAAGTACTCCACCGAACGATATAATTTGAAATCAGTTTCATCAACTTGATCAGAAGATTCTTGAACTTCAATCGTATTGGATGATTTCAAATCGGTATAATATTGTTCAGTTTCAGCCATCACTCTTTCAACTGTCCTCTTCAATACATTGACTAACTTATCTTCAGAGTTGATATTTGTTCCATCGCCATTGTCAATATTTTCAATAAGCATTAAATCACTTGAACTTTCTTCTATTGGGAATTGTTGAGAGTTGATTTTTTTCGAGATTTCCATTTGTTTGGAACGTTCATCATAATCAGTAATGGTGGATAAGAATAATGAATAAGTTTCTCTTGCATCCTTTTCATCAGGTATAAAAGATAAATAAATAGGAATCAATTCAGTTAATTTCAAATCAGCAAGTTGAGATACATATAATGTTATTATAGTGGTGATGTCTTGAGTAATTATAGGATCATTACCACCAATTATTGAATGGAATATAGATAAATGGGTTATAACACGCGTTAAGTATGGTTGTCTTAATGCGATTTCATTCTGGGCATGGGAATTGATTAAATTATGAAGTAAGGATGAAACTTGATTAATCATTATACTTCCCGCAATCACTCTTAATGGGTGTCGGCTTTGTTCGGAGACTGTGTTGCTTGATTTCAGTAATGCATTTAAGATTTCGTCTATGGATGATAATTGTGGTTTTGGAATATTGATGGCTAAGGATTCATTATCTGATTTTAAAGCTGATTCGACAAATTTTTCGACATTATATGAGAAAAGTTGGGACAAGTATAATAATAAGGATTCTTCCCAACTATCATCTGATTGTTTTAAGTTATGCGAGATATCTCCTCCACTTAAGTAATTATAAATCAACTTTTCATATTTGTTTAAATGACTATATTGAGATAATTTATAAACTGTCTTTTTCCATAATAATTTATGTTTTATACCAGAAGCCTTAGGAGCTACTTCTTCGGTATCATCTTGTTTATCTATTATAGGATCATAATAATCTTGAATTGCACCTAATAAGATCAAGGATAATGCATAATTACCAGTTTTATTGGCCACTTCTATAGCTTCTTCGATATTATTTGAGATTAGAAGTTTATATATGATTAAGAAATTTTTGGAATCAGTGGAATCGTCAGTTGGATGGATTGATTTATTTGATCTTAAAGGAGCATCAACATCTAAACTGTCCACGAATTGATCAGCATTTAAATTCTTGCTATTAACTAATATATCATAATCTTTATTAACCACCGCTAATCTGGTATTTTTCCATTTTAATTGATATTCTTCTATATCACTTGAATCAGTAGCACGTGAATTGATTTGTAACCAATCTATTATGATTGATAATTCTCTTATTTTGGGATTCTTTCTTAAGAAGTTTTCTTGTTTAGTTCCTAATGATGAGAATTCATATTCTTTAACTGGTTCAAATTGATCATCTAATCGAAAGGAATATAATAATTCGACTAAATTCCATAATTTAGTTTCCAAATCCCAATTGGCAAAAGTCTCCGAAATGGTATCACCTTCTAAATTAGCTCCTATATCCAAAGCTCTTTCAGCACAAGCTATTTTGAATCCAGTTATGATATCAAATGGATTCTTTTCGGTACTCAATTGAAACCCTTTGAGAGCATTGGCGAACACCACTTCAATTCCAGCACTCTCTGTCTGATATTGTGAAACTGCAGATGTAGCCATAATGAAATGCTATCTCTATATAATAGTCCAAACTAAGTTATCTATAATTGTAACTATAACTGCTATATTGGATCTTGTTTGTTTATATGAATTTTTTCATTTCTGTTCATAGAAAATCTGCGACATCCATTATGTCTCTCTATTTTCTTGTGAGACATTATTATATACAGTACCAGTCTTAAAGGGTGGTGACCCCCTTTGCCAGGCAGACAGAAAGCGATTTAAGCATACAGGTAACAGTTGCCCTTCATTAACCGAATTCTTAAGTTTGATTTAGAAACAACCATTAAATTCAAAATCATGGGTGTTGAGAATGACAATGACAACCCCACCATAAGCGATCCCGATCAATTGAATCAACCTAGTTTTGGTGATGATGAAGATAATAATCCCTTTTCTCATCAAGGTGGGATAACTAGTTTTATGGGGCTGCATCATCAGAATAATAATGGTGATGGTGATAATGATAATGATGGTGATGATCTTGATGATGAATCACTCTTATTATATAATTCCCATCCCAATGCCAATGCTAATGGTGAATCATCCAATGCGGTTAAGGAATCATTCAATGAAGTTCAGATTAATCATGAAAGTAGAGTATCTAAATTATTAAAACCTAATAATAATGATAAAGTGGAGATCACTGAAGCTGGGAATTCAAATGAAGGTATGGTCAACGCTCTGAAGAAGTATGTGGTGTATACCATTAAATTAATCAATTTGGATGTCCCCAAGGAAGAAGTTTTAACTAGAAGGAGGTATAGTGATTTTGAAAGCTTACGTGATATACTAACAAAGATATTCCCCTTAATAATCATACCTCCAATTCCTCCTAAGAATTATTTCAATTTAACTGTGTTAAATGGCTTAGTTGGACAAGCATCATCTCAGAATGGTAACTCCTCCACTAATGGCACATCATCAAGTTCCGATAATCATCCTGCTTATTCATATATAAATTCAACTCATCTTACTAAGAACAAATTAATCGAACATCGAAAACGATTATTAGCAAATTTCTTAAATAATTGTTTGAAATTAAATAGAATACGGACTTTACAATTCTTTGCTAAATTTTTAGATCCAAATGCAAATTGGACCGATGAAATCACATTAATCACAAGTCAATTACCTAAATCCATCTATATGCTGAATCCAGAAAATGGATTAAAAACTGATCCCATATATATTAATCTACCCAATCCATCTAATGGGAATACCATATCATTCTTCAAAGACAATAGGAAAAAACTAACAAAGAAAACCACGAAGTTATTAAATGGTAGCAGTAGTAGTAATAATAATAATAATAATACTGATTCACCTTCAACTACTAGTAATGGTACTGATAATCTGCCAGAACATCTGCAAACTACTAATGGTAGTACTTCCACATCTATTGAAAAACATACCAATGCTCATTATATCATGAATACGTCTGATTTGGATTTAATTAATAAGAAGATCATGGCCAATTATATGGGTTTATCCAATGATTATGCTGAGTTGGGAACGATATTTAATTCATTTTCATTAATCTTATCCGAATCTTCAAGAGAAGGTAAAAATAAAGATGAATCAAAAGCTAATGTTATATTTGATAAAATTGGTCAAGCATTCGATAGATCATATATCACGATAAATGTCTTGATAGGAGATTTAGAAACTAAATTCTCAGAACCATTAGGTGAAGCAGTACAGTATACAGGTATATTACAATTCATTACTAAATTTCAAAATCGAAAGATCAAACAAAAGGAGTTATTAGACTCTGAATTAAAGGCCAAACGAAAAGAACTTGAAGAATTACTTCATGTCGAAGATGAATCATCTAGAATCGATCAAGCGGTTACTTCTGATGTGGTTGCAAAAAACTCCAAATATAATTTAGAAGATGCAACTTCAAAGAGTAAATCTCCATCACCTACAAAATCAACTTCAACCTCAACCTCATCATCATCATACACGAAATTCAAACTTTTCCCTAGTATGAATTCAATTAAAAAGATCACACAATACGTTAGTGAGATAATTGATCAAAATCCAGAACAAACAAGGAAACAACGAATCTTGGTGTTACAAGAAAAGATCAAAACGTTTGAAAAATGTCAAACTATAATGCTTGAAGATATATCTTATATCAGTGATGAAGTGAATAAAGATTTTGAAGCGTTTCATAAAGAACAATTAAAAATGATTTATGAAATCTTATTATGTTATAATAGATTTCTTATAGGGTGGGCTAAAAAGAATATTGAAATTTGGGAAGAAATCAAAGAAGAAGTTAGCAAGTTATAATAATGTCTATAATGTGTTTTTATTTTTTAATTTTTAATTTTTAATTCTTGTCCACGTATTATTTATGATAAATATATACAAATATATATAATACATTTTCTCTAATCATCTCGTTGTAAATATTCAAGTACGGCTGGACCCCATTCTACCGCATTCTTATACTTTGCAATATCTTCCGGTAATCCCTTTATAGCCCCGATTAACCGTTCACGAACTTCTGTACTTTCATGTTTTACTTGGGATAATGGTAAAAGATATGTTCTAATAGTAAAGATGATAGCTCCAGATTCAGGTAATTTAGTTAAGCATTGTCTTTCACTACGATAATGAACTTGATTATCAAAATCCAAATCATCAACTTTTAATGGAGTGGGAACAAAATCAACAGGTCTATTATGACCTTTATTCCGATCATCAACATAAAATAAATCATGACTTTGGATAGAGAAGTTGTTTCTGGTAATGAATTGACCAGGAGCTAATCTGTTAAACCCTCTATTCATAGAAAGCTTTAATTTTTCTTCGTAGCCTGGGATAGGATGATGGACATATGAAAGTGGTTTATTGAACCTATCAGCAGGATCAAACCCTGCGGCAAATGCAAATATCCCTGCTTTGAAGAAATATTCACTACCATCCTTTTCATGTTCTCTGGTTGGATCCTTTAATAGAATGATAACATCTTCTTCAATATTTTTAACTAAATATTCAAGACATTTCTCAGGATCAACACCTTCAGAAGTTTGAGGAAGAAACTTATCTGTGATTAAATTATGAATTTGATGATTATCCACTTTTTTAAAATACATAGGATATTTATCAACCATATAATTGATGATAAGATTATAAAGTTCTCTTGTAGCAGGAACTGCTTCTTCAGTCATAAACAAAGTACTTGCCCGAATATCTTTGTCTTTGGGATAACTTTCATGGCTATTATGTATTAGCTTTGTCTTGGTATTAACTCTATCCAAGTAAGTTGGTTCGATCAATAACCAATCCTGAGGGTCTAAGGTCTTGATCCCCATAGTTAATTTATATTCTGCATTCTTGAAAGGATATGATTTGAGGGGTGGATCTTTATCCCATTGGAAAGTGCTGGACACTGGTTTGATTTCAAGTGGTTTATAAGGTTCCGTGGGATAGAATCCTCCTTTCTTTTCAATTGGACTTGAAGTTGGAGTTGGTTTCTTGACTTTGTTGAATTGGAAATAGATAGTTACTGAGATCAAAATCAAAGCTGAAGCAATTACTCGAACATAATCTTCACTATTTGAACCCAGTTTCAGAGTGACGAATTCATAAATATAATCAACCACCAGGGGAGAACTCATGCTTATCCTAATAAGATCTATAGTAAATCATTGCAAAAAGAAAGTCCCGTTTTGATTCAGTATATATATAGTGTTTTCAAACTTAACTACGATAAGGCGGGATTTCCTCACTTAATTTCCCGCTTACCCTAATTGGGTAATATTTGCGATTCTCATTTGAAGTTAAATATGGCAAACAACTGCGAGCTAATAGTAACTAGTTCATATTGGATTGTAACCCAATTATTAATAAAGTATATATGTGATGGAACCAACCAATTAGTGGTATCTGTATTTGGAATATGAGCCCATTTGTCTAGGATATTTTATGAAACTTGATAAGATTAGAAAAGATAGATTATAACAACTGTTTCTGTGGTTGACTCCCTTCTATCACTGTTTCTGAAGATAATTAACCGCCAGATATAATCATGCTATAGTTCAATTATCACAAACTATCGATTTAAGATATCTTTTTTGCAATCATTAACTCATTGTATCTTCATCTCTAACCAATATGGTTTAACTTGAAAAATGGATCACGTGATTCTGATGATGCAAAAATTTTTTTGCAAAACAAAGTTTTAAACTATTTACAGATCATCTTATGGTTCCAATCATTTACGGTACAATCACAAGATGTCATCATCGTTATCATCTATTTCGACGATAGTCAAGTACTTAGATAACGATAAAAAGAAAGAATTAGCCCTTAATCTTTCTTTGGAGTTGAAAAAAAGTCCTGAAAACACAAAGGCTATCTGTGGTCTCTTGGAGGATATAGAAGTTGATCCAACTAGTGAGTTATACCAAAACTTATCAAATTATTCAAATGCCGTCTTATTCGATGATGAATCAGTTGATGGTTCACAGTTTTCAGATGTGCTTGAGTTAATCAATGTCTTTCCTTTATTACGTGATGATTTATTATCAAAAATAGAACAACATCTCACATCTTATATCACCAAATTCAAATATAACTTCCAACCAGAAATCTTCAATATTATTAAATTACAATTAACCAAAGCTTCAGATGAGAACTTATCAACCGAATTCATCTTGAAATTATTTCAATTCTTGGATTCATTATTTATTCATGTCAATACATCATTACCTAAATCCATCGATGCTATATTACTTACTTTTATTGCCAATAATGATGATGACATATCTTCTATTGTATCAAAGTTGTTAAGATGGAGAATACAAGCCATATCAGATTCATTCAGAGGTAGTTCTACTATCTGGGATTTAATCTTCATGTTAATCAATACCGGAATCAAAACTCATAAGACACATGCATATATCTTTTGGTTAAGATATTTAAGTCATGAAGATTTACTTTCAAATGATGAGTTTAAGGCCATTACAAAAACATCCAATTACTGGAAAGATATCCAAACTGCATTAGTGAGTGATTCTCATGAACATAGAAAGTACTGTTTATCAATTTTACAGCTCACTGTAAAAGCAGTTCATCATGATATTGAAAATGAATATATCACCTGGAAGAATTCTCAACGTGAAAAACATTTACACGAATGGTCTCGATTCGTTACTTTATTTGAAATCTTGGGTATTGATACCTCATTACATCAAGCTGAAGGTGGTGAAACCGATATCACTTCATTAATCTCATCAAATTCATTAATAAATCCATCATGGGGATTCTGTTTACTTTCAACTGGGTTCAAAGCTAGTATGGATTCAGTTAGAAAATTCGCCCTTAAGTTACTTTTCTCTATCCCTGAATCAGAATTATATTTATTAAAGTATGGTTTGGAATATTTAGAAGATATTTTCTTACCCTATTCCATGTTAGCTGCTCATTTCAGTGTTAGAAGTATAGATCAAGTAGAAGATTGTTATTACGGAAAGAAATTAGCTAGTTTCATATCAAATATCATCATCTCATTAGATGATAATGATACCAGCACTGTGGTATACGCCTTATTTAAAGCATTAGGTCATCTCAAAGATGCTTTTGATCCATCAAGAATCTACGTTACCTTGGGGATTTATAGAGGATTAACTGGTAAGAAAGCTTTAAAATTTGGAAAGCATGATGAATCACTTGTGAAATTATTTGAAACTAATGCTGAAGGTGAATTATTTGAAACCACCATACAAACTCTTAATTTAAGAATATTACTTCATTTTGATATCTCCAATTCGATTTCCACATTTTTTGACTGTCTTCAAAAATTCATCAAATTTAATGGTTATGCCGTATATCAAGACAATATTAGTTTGTTCCAAGAATACTTCGCTGATAAGAAACAATCATTAGAAGAATATCTCAAGTCGAGCCACGACGATGAAATTAATATTTTAATTTTATCAATTTTACAAAATGAAGCATTAATAAATGACAATGCATCAGATTTATTATTAGCTAAAGTATCTGAATCAGGTTTAAAGGTTGATTTTGACATTAATAAACTCTTCTCCAAAGTTACCGCTAGTGATGATTTAAAATTCGTTCAATCATTATCCAACTCAAAGACATTCATTGCTGCTGATGATTCAACGCTTGTAAATTTATGGAATACCATCAAAACAGGATTCTTATCAGACGATTATCATGTTTTAGAACTCACATATTATAAATACAAAGTATTCAATGGTCAATTCAAGGTTTCAGATTATGAAATCTCATTACAAGATTTGATTGAATTCAATAACAATTTACTTATCAATTCTAAAGAAATTCCAAAGATCATAAAAAGCTTTTATAAGCTTAAAGATGAAATTTATGGAGAATATTATGCATCATTGAATATTGCCATGAAAAAATCATCATCATCTCTGACTGTTGATGCCGATCAATTGTTAGATTTATTGGATTCGACATCTTCAAGTTTCCATGCAAACTTATCTACCGTACAATTACTTCAAAATTACATCATAAATGATACATTATCGATTCCACATGCTACCATCGAAAGAATTGTTCATATCTTATGTGATATATGGAGAAGTTTAGATGCTACAAGATTACAATTGAATCAAAAGGATTTACAACTTTTATTAATTGAAACCATCTTCAGTCCTATTATATTACATCAATCCATCAGTAATGAAGATATTTCTGATGAACTTTGTGAATTTGCTATGTCAGTTATCAAAAACTCTCAAGGTAGAAAGAGTTTATTACCAAAGTTAACTAAATGTATATCTAACTACCAAACCTTGCATACATCCAACTTTGAGAAACTCGAGTGGATCGCTCATGTTTTAATTGAAGCATTCATCGTATATCAATTAACCAACAGTAGTTTCAGATTAGAACTTGTGATCGGGAAATTATTTGATCAAGATATCTCGTTGCATAAAGATTCTCAAATCTATGGTAAAGTCTATGGACCAGAAGAAATAAGCGCTAAGATTAATTTAATGGCAATTTTCAACTCCATCAAATCAGAAACTTTCGCCCTTGGTGTATTTAAATATATTTACGATAATCAAAGTGATTATTATTTATTCCAAGTGTATAAGAGTACAGATGGATTCGAAGAATGGAGACGTATCCAATTATTCACCATTGTTTTATCTATCATCGATAAGTTTGATTTCAGTCCTTATTTATCCCGATTCATTGAATTAATTGCTACTGATCCTAGTCCTTTAGCTAGAGCTTATATTGAATGGATCATTTCTTATCAATTATTAAATAATGAAAGCAAGAGAGATGAAGTCATGGAATCTTTGGCTTCGGGTACTTTAAAACCAGCTGTCATTAACTCCTATTCCAGAATCTTATTCCTTCTGATTCAACAAGTTTCAGATAAGGTAATCAAATCAAAATTGATTTCTAAATTGATAACACTTCTTATAACTAGTGCTACTTCAAATAAAGTCATCATCAGACACTTTTCCTTATCATTACTTATCTCAGTATATGCCGAAATCCATACTGAAGAATTGAAAGTTGAAGAAGGATTATTAGACACCATCGACAAGTTATATGCTGCTGCGTCTCAATCTGAATCATTCGGTCAATATAGAAGTGGTGATGCTTTATTGTGGAATATTAAAAAGGATTTGAATCTTGTCAGTATGTCAGGAGGTATATTATTAAGAATATCAGATAGAGATACTATTGATTTCATTTCTTATCAAGATTATGAAAAATATTTAAGTGATGATCAAAAGACAATTTTAGATCGTGATATTGGAAATAATTTCGAAAACTTATGGGTTAGAGAAAGAAATGCTAAACAAAGAGGATTAGGAAAAGCAGATGCCTCAACCCAGTCACCATTACAGACTAAAAGTGGACAATGGGGTGCTCTTATGGATGTTGATGAAGAAACCATTAGAGGTAAAGAAGTTGTCCGTAGTGATCTTATAGTTGTATCATCCTTAGTTGATAAACCACCTAATTTAGGAGGTATTTGTCGTTTAAGTGATGTATTGGGTGCAGGCTTATTAACTTTAAATGATATCCATGTTAAGAACCATCCTCAATTTAAGACTGTGGCAGTTACAGCTGATCATTGGATGCCAATGGAAGAAGTTAAAGAAAAAGATATTAGAGATTTCTTACAATTAAAAAAGAAAGAAGGATATACGTTAATTGGTTTAGAACAAACAGATAAATCTATTGAATTAAATAGTGATTTAAAATTCCCTGCTAAATCATTAATATTGTTAGGTAAGGAAAAGGAAGGTATTCCTGGTGAATTATTAGCTGAACTTGATTTCTGTGTGGAGATAAAACAAGTTGGTGTCATTAGATCGATGAATATTCAAACTGCTGCTGCTATTATAGTACATGCTTATTCTGTCCAACATAATTAAAAAATTTAAAAGATATGATCATCATCACCTTCATCGTCTTGTTCTGTTAAGGTATTCAATGCCTTTATGATGGCAGGACAGTATTTGTTACATAAATTTATACTTTCTATTATAAGCTTTTGATTTAAACCTTTGAAGTTTGAATTATTTGAATTTGTAGCTAAATTGATATTTGAAATGGGAGTAATAACATTATCTTTGTAGAAACTAACAATTAATCCATTTTCCAATACTTGTTCTTCTTCAATTGATGGATCAAAGAGTAAATTTGTACCTATTACTCCGAGTGTTATGAAAATAGGAGGTTCGAAAGCTTCATCTAAGTATTTGGCATTATCCCAATCATCAGAAAAGGTTGGTTGTTCTTCAATTTCTTCATCATTAACTTCACTAACCAATAATGGAAGTCTAGTAGTTTTTAAAGCTAAATAAGTAGCTAACGATATTAAACTTAATGGATATGAGGAGTGACTTATCACTATGCAATCTATGAACAACTTGAAAGAATATTTTGAAGTTAATTTTAAATATTGAGATGGGAAGTTTGTTATTAATAAACTAGTTAAATTATATTTAAGGTTAGAAACAAAGTTAGAATCATCTCTGAACCCAGCCACATCAATATCAACATCAATTAGATTAGTTACTGATTTGGTCACCACCACTTTGGACTTGACACTGATCATACATTCACTTCCATCATTCAATCTTATTCTAGCTGATCCATTTGAATTTGGTAAAAATGAAGTCTTTGCTTCCAATGGTCTGAATTGATGGTCTGATCTGGCACCTGGTCTAATAGGTGGTTTCTGTGACAACGAGTCATACAAGTATGATCTTTCAGCAGGTGATAGTATCATTTTTCTCTTATTAATATACCGTCAAACTTGATATCTCTATATCATACTGTAACCATGTTTTGGAACATCACAGATGCCATTTCTGAAAAATTTATTGATGGTGTTTGTATGCAGTCCTCGATTTTTTTAAAGTGATAGTTTTTTTTTTTTGATCAATGGACATATTGAAGATAGAGTAAACAATCAAGTTGAATTGATTATATACTAGAGTCAAATGTCATCTTTATTTGGACAGACTGCTGGAAGTGGCACTTCTGGTGATAGTGTGGCGAAGAATGGTACCCTAAGTGTGTTTCAGACTACACAACAACAGCAACAACAACAACAGCCAATATGGTTTCAAAATCAAAAGAAAAGAATCATTCCTAATCATTTAGTACCTAAGAAGAAGCCAAGCTTCCAGATTACTTCATCTAATAAGAAGGATGGTGTGAGAGACTCATCGTCTTCATCTGATAAGAAATCAAGTTCGTTATTATCTTCTACCAATGAATTCAACTTATTATCGTTTGGAGGTCAACAACTGCAACAACGTAAATTATTAGATAAAGCAGGTGATACATCGATTGATTTAACTAAATATGATGAAACTATAAATGAAACATTTGTAAGTAATGATGATTTCTTTAACAGTTATGATGAAGATTTACCTCCTACCCGATCAATTCATGATTTCAATAATGAAATATTGAATTCATTAGCTAATAAACCAGTAGAAAAGATTGATTCTTTCATAAATAGAGATCCTAAAAGTTTTAATAACATATTCAATGCATCTAATCTTTCCGATTCTAAACAGGATGATGCCAAATTAAATGAAAAGAAAGAAAAAGAAGCCATCAATCCATTAGTCAATAATGAAAGTGCCATCATAGTATTTGGATATCCTGAATCATTAACAAATCAAATCATTCAACATTTTAAAGAATTTGGAGATATCTTAGAAGATTTCGAAACCAATCAAAAGCTTCCATATTCATTACTTAATTCAAAACATAATCAATCATCAAAGAAAGTTGTTCCTCTCTTTGTGGGAAAGAATTGGATAAAATTGACATTTGATAATCCTGCGTCTGCTATAGATGCTTTACAAGAAAATGGATCTGTGTTTAATGGAATCTTATTAGGGGTTATACCATATACCAAAAATGCTATTGAAAAATTACAAAAGAGATCAATCACTTCCCAGGAGGATATAGGTGGAAAGAATCTTCTTGATTTATCAATTGTAAGATCAGAAAAATTAGATACTAATACCAATGATAATGTAACTGGAGGAAGTAATTCAAACCCAGTCAGTAACAATAAATTCGAAATGAAAGATGGTACTCAATTATTCTTAAAACCTGATGGTGAACAACAAAAAGATAAGAATGTTAAACAAGAGAAATTGGGCATTATCGGTAATTTATCTAGATACATTTTTGGATTTCATGAATTATAGAGCAATTGTATAATATTATGTATAATAATAATAATAAAAAAAATAATAATAAGAGGAACCGTCATATTGTACTATTTAAAAACCATGTAAACTAAACCAACTATCTAATTCCATCTTGATTGATGTGGAGACTGAGGAGGTGGTATACTTCTTACAGGTGAATAATGAACACTACTATTTCTTATTGGTGATGATGAACCTGGACCATAGATTTGTCTGTCTCGGATTGGAGATGTTGATCTGACAGGTGAGAGTCTGGATGGTGATCTTGATGGAGATCTGAATGATGGTGGTTCTCTTACTGGTGGTCTTGCCGGGGATCTAAAGCTTAAAGGTTCTTTGGTGGGAGAAAGCTTGGTAGGAGATCTTATATATGATGAATTTGGAGGTCTGTTTTCTTTATTACCAACAACAGATCTTACTGGACTAGGAGATCTATTATAAATTGGGGTATTAACACTTTTAAGTCTGTTATTTTGATATGGAGTGGAAGAAGTATACCATCTAACGGATGAATCTTCAGATTCATCTTCATCTTCATCATTAAAAAATTGATATTGTCTTCTAGTAAGAAAATCTCCAATTGGATTATTGGTACGTCTTCTTGAATATTGTGGATCACCATAATGACCATTATTATCAATATCATTTCCACTATTTGTGTGTCTTATTTCTTTACCTTTTACATCATGAGTTATAAACACCTTCAGTTTAGTGTCGGTATACTTAGTTAACACTTCGTCACCATAGAATGGACCTCTTGTAGCATCTATAACGACATCCTTTTTGACTTTATTCAAGTTTGGATTAATAAATTTGACATTATACTCTTTAAACATTGATTGATAAAGAATTTGTTTATCTTGTACTAACAATAAGAATTTATGAATGAAAAAATAAAAACTGGTTGAAATTAATATCAATAATGAAATGAAATATAATAAGTTACTAGTATAATTACTGAAATTGTAGATCACAAATAGATTGATAGGATTTAATGGGATTGCCATATGTAATTGGAAATGAGATGGATCCCAAACATTCAATTGCCAAACTTCTTCATCTTCATCGACAGTATCATCAATGATATGGGAATCATCTTCATCTTCATCAATTTCATGTTTACCAAAAATAAACGAAAGTAAATAGTTTATACCTTTAATAATAAATGAATTGGATTCATTTAAAGAACCTTTAAATGATGATGGAGTAGATGGTTGGGAAGTAGCATATAATAATTTATAATTCTTATAAGAAGTGAACACTTGAAAGGCATTAAACAAACTGAAAGCAACAATCAAAGTAGATAATCCATTTATCAACCACAATACCGATGGAATAATTGCCCCTTGAAGTTGTTGTTGTTGCTGTTGTAATTGTTCATTATATGACAAAGATCGTTTTATTCTTTCATAATTATAATAATCAGTATCGAACAAGGCATTGTTTGACTTCACATTGATGGAATTGTAATAATTATTCAACACCTGAGCCATGATTGTTGTCATAGTCAAAAGAGTTCCAATTGGTAAAGCAACTGACAAGGTCAAGTCATCCCATTCAATTGACGAATGTATCTCATTAAAGTAGAGGTATAAATCAAAGGGTAAAGTCGACACCTTAGTGAGTAGAGGCGTGTGCCTTATCATCTTCTTTGACATTGTTGGTGGTTGGATGGTTGTATGGTATAGACTTCGTGGATGGGATAGTCTCTTGTGATGGTTAGTATCTGATAATGATGATGATTTGTTGTTGTTTTGATTTTGTTTACAAAAACGCGTTACCAGTTTTGAATATTTTTTTTTTGATGTTTGAAGTTGTCATAATTAAGCTGTTAAATCATTTCTTGGAAGCACCACTGGTTGGTATATGAAGGTTGAGTTAAGATGTCAGATAGTACCATACGAGATATGAAACAGAAGAACAATGTGTTGAAAGATAAGTTGAATCAATTGTTCAAACAAAAGGGCTCGTCTAGTATTGATGGAGATGAAACAATTCATGATATAAAGTTAGTTCAACAAACCATAGCGACAACCAATGATGATGTCGATGATGAAGATAAGGAGAATATAAAGCATTCAAAGCGTTATAATGAACTAAAGTATAATATTGATGAGATTAAGAATACAAAATATGATCTACCAAAGTCAAACATAAACCCATATCTTAACCAAGTTAAACATGAAGAAAAGAAACATATTACAAAAGTGAAACAAGAACAAGTTATACATCTGAATGGCAATGGGAAAGCATACGATGATGAGTTAAATTCGAATATCTCTTCATTTACTACTACCAAAGATAGACCAAGTCTTTTACGAGAAGAATCATTGATTAAAAAGATTCAAAATCAAGAACATATAATACTGTCATTACAACATGAATTATCATTGAAAGCATTAGAAAAGGAAGATCTTATAGAAGAGTTTCAACTCAAAATCATTAATGAAACTAAATCCATTGAACGAAGGCTATATAGAGAATCCGTCAATAGAGAAAAGGAATTGAAATTGAAATATGATTCTGTGATAGAAGATATGAATAGGACCCATGCTACAGAGATGGAATCACTTAAAAAGGAATTACTTACTAAACTAATAAAGCTGAAATATGATTATAACGTTCTAAAGGAGAAAAATGCATCGTTGATTAGCATAAATGACTATTTATCTCATTCACAACATATGGCGGAGAATCATAATAATTTCAACAATAATCAAATTATCCCACTTTCTCCTCTTTATTCAGGAGACGAAAATACCGACGTGTTGATTGCCAAGTATGCCACAGAACGAAATGAAACTCAGTTCGACCTAGAAACTCCCATAGATAGTACCACGGATCATCTCATAAAGGACTATGATCTTCATCACACCAATAATACTTCTAAACCTAAGTCTTTAAAATCATATATTTGGATGGTCATTTTTATAAATCGACTCAAGTCGTTAATGAATCAGAGAAAAGTCATCAACCAGAGGATTGTTGATTTTCTGCTGTCGGATGACTTTTCCTTCTAGGAGATTTTATATATTAGATTAATTAATATAAGTATATTGCATTACGAAGAGCATTTACCATGATGATAAATCATTCATTTGAGTCTACGGGCTTTCTAATATATAATAGTATCAATATATTTCTCTAAAATTATATAAAAGATACAGAAATTAGAGCAGAGAAGTGAAATTTTAAAAAATAATAAACTATACATCAGATAAACAGAAATAAAACATTTAGTTTGAAACATTCATCAAACTCAAAACGAAAAGAAAAGAAACCTCAAAAGAGGTAGAACCATAGGATATTAATAATAAAATCTTTATAAATAAAACAATAACAATTGAAATCAAAAAGCATTGTCTGGGTATGTTTATGAAACAATTAAACCCGATAAACTAAATTTAAAAAGTTATCTTCAAATGAAAATCAAAGTCATCAAGACACTTAAGATTGGAGCAATCAACATGGCTCTACTTATCAGTTTACTTGAAGCAGAATTGAAGGATGGTGGTGTGGTTGGAACAGATGGAATAGTTGAAGAACTGGTGGATGCAGCTTGTTGAACAGCGGTAACAGTTCCAGCAGGAGCAGTAGTAGTAGTTCCAGCAGGTCCAGCAGGCGCAACGGTATTAGTACCAACTGGTCCAGCTGGAGTAGCAGTGGTTTGACCAACTGGAGCACCTCCAGTAGTGGTAGTTACCACAGTAGTTTGAGCAGCAGCAGCAGTTGTTGGAGCAGCAGCAGTAGTTGGAGCTGTAGTTTCACCTGCACCAGTGGCACCACCCCCAATAACGGAGGTAGTAGTGTATATTGAACCATTAGAACTTGAAATAATCACAGCAGCAGTTTGAGTACATGGAACTCCCACTGTATCAGTGGTTATAACAGTTGTAGTGTAAACAGTTGGTGTACCATATAAGGCAGTACTAGTGTAAAGACTTCCTTCATTATTAGTAGTAACAATAACTTCTCCTGATTCAGTAGTAGATTGTCCATTTGGAAGTGTTGTGACATATGTGGTTCCATATTGACTACATGGTTCAGTAACAGTAACAGTAACATCAGAAGTAACAATAACAACTGCTGTACCAGTAACAGTTTCACCAGCTGAATTGGTACTGACAAAAGTACTAGAACTTCCACCTGATATAGCAGGACCACAACTATGAACATCACTATAGGTAGCACCGAGATTATATCCATCAGGTTGTCCAAGAATATCTAAGAATACTCTATAACCAGCTGGAACATTGGCATAGTTAACAACAATTTGATTACCACTGCAACTTTCTAAACTTAATGATCCAAAGTTTTGGGAGGATTGAGGGAGATACCAATCATTAAGTTGGTTTGTAATACGAGCTTCCCATGTTGCACAGTCAAGAGTACCTTCACCGATTGTTAAAGTAAGTTTACCAAAACCATACTCGGTTGGACAGCTTCCACCAAGAAGATAATAGGCATTCTCGTCATCCCATTCTAAAGCTCTAACAGCAAATACGATGTCTTGAGGATCATCTGGAGATGGTGATCCTGCATCAAAGTTGACATCATACAGAAGAACTCTATTGTCACCAGTAGTAAATGAAATGGTTTGTGTTCCAGCGCTTAAAATATTTGCAGCAGCAATATCAACAGCACTTGAAGAACCACCAACATTAAATATAAGTGGAATTTCAATACTACCAGTAGTAAAAGACGTGGCAACTTCTAAGATTGTACATTGTAATGAAGAATTGATATCATATAATGAACCAGAGATACTGGTACATTCGGCATACTTGACACCATCAGCTTCAAGATATATAGCAGCAACGGCATCACGCTTGGTATTACCATAGTTGGTGTTATAAACTCCAAACACATCTGGTAATGTTAATGAAAAGTTGAAACCTTCAGTGTGACCAGTAGTCATTTGCCATGCAACAGTAGCAGTCCATAATGGTGCTAAAGGAAGGGCAGATACAATGGATGCAGTTTGATCAAAATCAATAGAATCAATAGCAGTAAAAATGAAGCTTGGTACAGAAGAAGACACAGATGATGAAGTTGAAGAACCAGAACTTGATACAGTTGAAGAACCTAAAGTGGATTCAGTTGAAGGACCAGAGCTAGATTCAGTTGAAGGACTTGAAGTTACTGATGTAGGATACAAAGAAGTTGTGGTATATATATTACCATCAGAATTAGAAGTCACAATAACCACACCAGAATCGGTATCAACTGAACCATCGGATTCGGTGGTAGTAAACGTGGTGGTATATTCAGTGAAGGTACCAGCAATTGAACTAGAACTATTGAAATAAATCACCGATGAGAATGAAGAAGAACCTCCAGATGATGAAATTCTTAAATCAATAGTTGAAGTACTACTAGATTCTGGAGCAGAAGTTGGATATAAGGAGGTGCTGGTAGTTAAATCTCCATCGCTATCAGTGGTAACGACAACAACACCAGAATCAGTTTCAACAGATCCGTCAGACTCGGTAGTGGTAAATGTAGTAGTGTAGTCAGTGAATGGATCACTTTCAGTAGGAAATAATGAAGTACTAGTAGTCAAATCTCCATCAGAATCAGTGGTGACAACTACGACACCAGAATCAGTAGCAACGAAACCATCAGATTCAGTAGTAGTGAAGGTCGTAGTGTATTCAGTGAATGGATCGCTGGAAGTAGGGAATAATGAAGTACTAGTAGTCAATGAACCATCAGAATTGGTGGTAACAACGACGACACCAGAGTCAGTTGCGACAAAACCATCTGATTCGGTTGTAGTAAATGTTGTAGAATATGTGGTCAAGTAATCTGAAGAAACTGCAGCAACGGAAGTTGAGAAGCTTGATGCCGTCACTAACGAAGTCGTAGTAGTCAATGAACCTGCGCTGTCAGTAGTAACAATAACAACTCCGGAATCGGTATCAATCGAGCCATCAGATTCGGTTGTAGTGAAAGTAGTACTATATTCAGTGAATGGATCACTTTCAGTAGGGAATAATGAGGTACTAGTAGTCAAGTCTCCATCAGAATCAGTGGTGACAACGACGACACCAGAGTCAGTAGCAACGAAACCATCGGATTCAGTTGTAGTGAAAGTGGTGGTGTATTCAGTGAATGGATCGCTTTCGGTTGGGAATAATGAGGTACTAGTAGTCAAGTCACCATCAGAATCAGTGGTGACAACGACGACACCAGAGTCAGTAGCAACGAAACCATCGGATTCAGTTGTAGTGAAAGTGGTGGTGTACTCGGTGTATGGATCAGAGGATGTTGGAAATAATGAGGTACTAGTACTAACAGAGCCGGAACTATCAGTAGTAACAACCACAACACCAGAGTCAGTAGCAACGAAACCATCAGATTCAGTGGTGGTGAAAGTGGTGGTGTATTCAGTGATTGGATCACTTTCGGTTGGGAATAATGAAGTACTAGTAGTCAAGTCTCCATCAGAATCAGTAGTGACAACAACAATTCCAGAATCAGTAGCAACGAAACCATCAGATTCAGTGGTGGTGAAAGTGGTGGTGTATTCAGTGAATGGATCACTTTCAGTAGGGAATAATGAGGTACTAGTAGTCAAGTCTCCATCAGAATCAGTAGTGACAACAACAATTCCAGAGTCAGTAGCAACAAAACCATCGGATTCAGTGGTGGTGAAAGTGGTGGTGTATTCAGTGAATGGATCACTTTCGGTTGGGAATAATGAGGTACTAGTAGTCAAGTCTCCATCAGAATCAGTAGTGACAACAACAATTCCAGAGTCAGTAGCAACAAAACCATCAGATTCAGTGGTGGTGAAAGTGGTGGTGTATTCAGTGAATGGATCACTTTCGGTTGGGAATAATGAGGTACTAGTGGTTAATGAACCATCAGAATCAGTAGTGACAACAACAATTCCAGAGTCAGTAGCAACAAAACCATCAGATTCAGTGGTGGTGAAAGTGGTGGTGTATTCAGTGAATGGATCACTTTCGGTTGGGAATAATGAGGTACTAGTGGTTAATGAACCATCAGAATCAGTAGTGACAACAACAATTCCAGAATCAGTAGCAACAAAACCATCAGATTCAGTGGTGGTGAAAGTGGTGGTGTATTCAGTGATTGGATCACTTTCAGTAGGGAATAATGAGGTACTAGTGGTTAATGAACCATCAGAATCAGTAGTGACAACGACGACACCAGAGTCAGTAGCAACGAAACCATCAGATTCAGTAGTAGTGAAAGTGGTGGTGTATTCAGTGAATGGATCACTTTCAGTAGGGAATAATGAGGTACTAGTAGTCAAGTCACCATCAGAATCAGTGGTTACAACGACGACACCAGAGTCAGTAGCAACGAAACCATCGGATTCAGTTGTAGTGAAAGTGGTGGTGTATTCAGTGATTGGATCACTTTCAGTAGGGAATAATGAAGTACTAGTAGTCAAGTCTCCATCAGAATCAGTGGTGACAACAACAATTCCAGAATCAGTAGCAACAAAACCATCGGATTCAGTGGTGGTGAAAGTGGTGGTGTACTCGGTGAATGGATCAGAGGATGTTGGAAATAATGAGGTACTAGTACTCACAGATCCGGAACTATCAGTAGTAACAACCACAACACCAGAATCAGTAGCGATGTATCCATCAGATTCAGTAGTGGTATAAGTGGTTGTATAAGTGGTGTATGGACATATTTGAGTAATAGTTGAAGTGGTAGAATAGAAACTTCCACTTGTGTCAGTTGTAATAAGAACATCTTCAACAGCAGTACATACAGCACCAACGGAATTGGTAACTGGAACACTTGTAGTATATTCCGATGCAGAAGTACCAGGAGCAGAAGGTAATTGACTATAACATGGTTGACAAGCTGCAGGTAAACCAGGATTAGGAACTGTACCGGAATAAGAGACAGCACCAAAGAGAGCACCAGAAAGACCGGCGGATGAATCAGTAACAACTGAAAATTGTGACAGTATGTATCCAGTACCAATAATGAAATTTTGTTCAAGAGGACCTGCATAAAGAGTTAAAGTATTTCCACTATAAGTATATTTTGTACCTAAACCAAGATAACCCAAAGGTGTAGTTAAACCAATCATATTACCATTACCAAAACCATAAACAGTAAATGTTTGAGGGGTATTAAGACCAGCAACTTGAATAGTAGATTGTGTATCAGCTAAATAAAATGTTTGTGTAGAACTAACACCTAATAACGGATTGATAAGATAAATAGAAGAATCCTGAGCAGCTGTAATACAACCAGTACCAGCGATGGCTGTAGTTTGTTGATAAATTTCATTATATAAACAAATTTGACCATTATTAGTTATAGTACCAGCTTGCAAAAGAGCAGTAGCACCTAAATTAACATAACCACTTCCTCTTTGAGTTTGATAGAAAGTCATTAACCCTGAATTAGTAAATATTGGAGCAATAATGGCCATAGTTGGGATTCCAAGAGCACCATTTGAACCGAAATATAATTGACCGTTATTTGTAAATGAAAGGGCCGTAAGATCATAATCGGAAATAGTAAGGGATTGAATTGAATTAAATGAAATAATACCATTATTAGTTATTCCACCAGACACAAGTGTAACAGTTAAACCAATAAGATTAGAAACACTACTCACATAAAATCCTGAACCAGTACCAACGTTAAGACTACCAACAATAGCAGTGATGGCATTATTAACAATGGACCAGTAAACATCATTATCGATATCAACGTCACCGACACCGAGTGTAATAACACCTCTGTTAATGGTATTTTGAGTGACTTCTTGTGCAAAGACCGAAGTCAATTGCGTTATATATATAAGCAGGGTTATTATAAATCTTCGAAACAACATTTTTTCACAAAGTTGAATTCAAATTATATTATCAAGTATTTTAAGATGGTTGCAACTTGAATAAAAAGAGGTTTCGTGAAGGGTATAATTATGATTGTCCAAGGATATATGATTAAAGTTTGATTTTGATCATCTTGACAGGAAATATTAGATATTTTATATATTTGAAATACTTTATTAATGCAAAAATGGGCAACGAAATATCATACAAAAAGGGCAAAATGTGAAAAGCATTACCTTCCTAATTTGTTAGTACTTACATCATCCACTTATCACCTCATACTTGTAACAATGAAAGGATAGTAATAGTATATTTAGCCAATATTATTATTATTAATGGGACATTTATTATTTTTTTAGTTTAATAACCTTTAGTTAAAGTTAAAAATTATACTGAAGCCAGAATTGAAGGCTGCTAAAATTGACCAAAAAAAAACTTTCTAAGAAAAAATATATTGCATTATTTTTTAATGCAAGTCATAGCCTGCATAAAATGTTTTTTTATATCTCCAAAACACTAAATCCTTCCATTGAGAACGAAATAATCAAAGCAAGCGAAGGAAAGCAATAAACAATGAATATATGCGAGTAGAGGGGGTGGAAGGTATTATCTACTACATTACTCTCTTATCTTTTTTTTTTGTTGGTCCTATTGTACTTCTTCATTGCAAATCTTTGCAACGCCAATAAAAATCAATAATTTCATATGGTAGCTGCCGCCTTAGGTAGTAGAACAAATTTAATCTTGGGTTTAGGATTTGGATAGGTCCGGATAGCATTGTTGAAAATATTAGGTTGGGCCGAATTAGAGTAACATTACGAATCAAAACATATATCAGATGATAGATACATCAACGAATTTCAAGTCTTGAAGTTTAAATATATAAAATAAGTAACGTAAAAGCAAATGGTTCGAAGCAATTATTCACGGGTGCTAATAGAAACAGAGAAAGAAAAGAAACGTTACTAAAGTAGTAATTAGAATGTACTAACTACGACATTCAGTCTAGAACTAACCTAAAGTAGTAATAGAGTCAGTATACAAGGTTAGCAGATACATGTGAAGCTTTACTATAAAATTGACCAATAGGTCAGGGTCCCATATAAAAAGAATTTCCAAAATTAAGCTTTTTTTATTGCATATATTGTTCATGCAAGATGGGTGTGTAAAATAAAAAACTTTTCTTTGAAGGGAAATAGAAGGGACAGGACTTTAGAATTTTGATTACGAATTAACTTTAATAATATGAAATTTAAGCCTACCTGGAGTATGGTCCAAATTGTAAGGTAAGCATGATTTCTGTTAGATTATCATATATTTGAGTTTTAGTCCATGTAACTGGTAGCCGAAAATTGCATACAGTCTGTTCGAGAAGATTCCTAATTGAGATAGAAAAATTAGACGATTACAATATTTTATACCTTCATTCGTCCAATTAATTTATAATTAAATATGCTGAATGTGATTGTTATTAAGATTGATTGATTGCTTTATCTATACTATCTACTCCGCTTTTAAGCAATCAAATATCAAAGGGGGTTGATTTTGATTTAATGCTTTTTTCTTGTAAAGTTCGTAATAGACAACAAATATTACGATGACATGAAATTTAAAGTCAAGAAAAATCAACGAAGTTTTACGGAAGGATCATCCACTGTCCACCTTGATTTTTTTTGACGCTTATTAATAATTGAAATTCCCATTGGATCTAAGCTTTTTATGAAAACTCTAAACATGCATTATAAAAGTCAAGAAAATAAAAGAAAATAAAAATACTCATTTACGCGCCAAACTTCACCTCTTTATTTCTCCCCCCAAAATATAAAGGGTACGAAGAATCGATAGAGGGTAGTCTGCGAAAAAACTGAAAAATAAAAGCCATAATTAAATCTAACCCTTACTTTAAAAATAAGCTTTTATGATTGCCCCATTAGGTAGTAACATGGTTATAACAATTAGATTTATTTATTATGTAGGGATTTCTGCTTTACCAAGTTGGGGTATTTTGGAGGACTAGTACCAGGGTTCAGTTAGAAAATATTATTATTTATTTATTGTTTTAACATAGGAAACAATTCATCATATGGATTGACGGTGAAATTTTTTTTTTCCTTCATTATTATTCTACGTCCGTTTCGTATTGTATTAAATTATCATTTGATTTTCTATACGTTAGCGAACTCTTTAAGAACATATCTTAAATGGAACCTGAACCCAATTCAAAATATTTCGTAGGTTGGAGGTAGTATGAACACTATTTCCCGCCCAAGTTCCCAGAACTATTCGATATTGTCCAATTAAGGAAACAGCAACATTTGACACCCTCCACTAATGTGTTTAACCACCAAGTTTAAATTAAAACCTTGTAGTTAATTCGTAGTTCGTTAACCAATTCACCCTTGTTGTTACATTATGAGAAAATAAAAGGACTCATAACCTTAATTCGAATTTAATAGGAAAGAATTAAAGAAATTTAAAATGAAATCCTCCAAAATAAGATTAAAAAATAACCCTTTTTTAAATTATTAAAACTATATTTGATACTCTAATTTTTAGATTAAAATAGCTTATGATTTTTTGTTAAAATTTTCCAGGCGAGGTCTAAACATTTTTTCGCCAAATTTTTTAAAGATCATTTACGCATTTATTACGGGATTAGGGAGGGGGGGCGGACGAGGAGGGAGGTGAAAAGGAGAAAAGGGGAGCAAGGCGGTGGAAAAAAAAAAGAGTTAACGAGAAAAAGAGTCTGTGATTGTGACAAAAATAGAAATTTTGTAGCGGGAAAAGGTTTACCACTATTACTACTGGACTGACTGCTATGAGGCAAAAATAGAGGTGAAAGTAGAGGTTAAAGGTTTCAGAAATAGGGCTCCTCTAGGGGTCCTCGGCTTAACATTCTTTATCTACATCAAGTAATATTGACAGAGAACAAAGACGACAGAAGAGGTGAAGGAAAAGAAGTAGGTAAGTAAGCAAGCTCCCCATATCCAATGGTACCTAATTTTTGCTGTCGTGCCTCATTAATATAATGAAAATGAGGAAGTTATAGCCAATAAATACTACCTCTTAAATTCAAATTTAATCAATGAATAAAATTTTAAGGTGATAATGTCAAACCTAATAATAATGATGATCTTAATCTGTGATGAGCATGATTAATAATAATAATATTATAATAATATTATTATTATATTATTATTATATTATTATTAATGAAACTAAGTGTCTTAATATAAACCCGTTCAAAAATATGAGAGATATCAGACATGGAAAAGCATCATCACGTACATATGTGTGGATATATGTATATTTGTATCGAAAATAATTGATCTTCATCTTTTTGATAGGGGTTCCGGTTGCAATGAGCATCAGCTGCTAAAAGATTTGTAAGAGGATATATATCACCACCATCATTCACTATGGGGGAATGGAAGAAGGAGGGAAAAAAAAGAAATTTAAATGTTGATTATTTTTCCCAATTAAGTAATTCGAACAGTCACATGACTTTTTTTTTTGCGGTTAAAAAATTAAAGCCATGACGTAATTTATATTTAGAAGCTGTAGGAGGAGAGATGGTCATAGTTAATTAAAAAGGTAAATATAAATCCCATTTGTTTATTTTTGCTATGCTACTGATAATGCAGTCTGATTCGTGAGAGAGATGGGAAGAGAATGAATGATCTTAAAATTAAAAATTAATTAAAATTAAAATTTTAAGATCATCGTTTCTATAATGATCTAGAACCCTTTTTAGTCTGTCTGTCTGTCAATCTATTTACATACATGAATATATATGATTTAAATATATATAATTACGAATCTCTCGAGATCTAAATTCAGTTCTATAAATTTTATTTTATAGCTTAATTACAGGTAGTTTTTATTAAGAAGAATATGTCTGATGGTTGGACTTCACCAAGTTTAACTGTAACTACAACTACAACTACTAATAATGATATATCATCTACTAGTTCCCCAAGCATAATGTTTCAAATTCCTTCCTTTCAACCTCCACCAAAGCAACAACCACAACAGAATACTAAAACTATATCATCTCAGCAATTACCAACAACGATTCAACCTATCTCAAATCATTTACCTTCTATTGATCAATTTGATTATATGTTTGATATAAGATCTTACAGTTCATATTTAAAAAATCATTTAATAAATTCAATTAATATTAAATTACCCACTACTTTATTAAAGAGGAAATCATTAAACTTATCCAACATCCTTGAATTAATTAATTTACCCACGGCATGCAAACAAAGATTATTACAATCTGATGATGATGATAATAATAAACCTATTTCAATCTTATTCTATGATGATGATTCCAATGATCATGATTTGAATATTAATTTATATCAAATCTTATTAAAGTTTTACCTTTTCAATAATGATCGATTTAACCTTTATTATATGGGATTCAAACATACTACCATCCCATCTCAATTAATGGAATCATCTGAATTGAAATGTTCAACCGATAAAGATACGTTAGGACCCGCCAGTACTCAAACTAGTTCGAAATCAGGTTATTCATCAACAGGAAGTAGTGCCGCTGGGTTTTCGATTGACGATCGGTTTTTAAATTCAATTAAAAAGAATTCCATCGATGATAATCATAAACATTCATATAATTTAAACAGTTTTGATTTACACACTTTCCCCACTTGGCTAAAATTCATTTCTGAATCATCAAAGGAAGCTGTTATCGATCAATTAATGGGTAAATTCAAAAAATTAGAACAAAGTGAAAGACTTCGAATTAAATCATTATTAGTTAATTCACCTTCCATCATTAATAACAATCATGATAATGAAATATGTACTCCAAATACTTTATGTCCTAATTGTGATGAGATTAATTATAAATTACCCTTTGGCAGTATTGAAAATGGGTTAAAGAATCGATATAATAATATTTGGCCTTATGAACATTCTCGAGTTAAGATAAATAAGACGGTATCACTTGAAGAAGAACCAGTCGAAGATGATCATGATGATTATTTCAATGCTAATTTCATTAATTGTAATCATATCTTAAACACTGAGAATAATAATTATATCGCAACTCAAAACCCTTTGCATAATACCATTAAAGATTTTTGGAAGATTATTCATGATTCAAAAATTAAAATCATTATAAGTTTAGATTCAGGATCAACTAATAAATATTTATCTTCATCTCAACAATCTGATACTATCATTCATTCATCTGCTGATTATATCGTTAGAAAATTAGAAGGAGATATTTATCATTTTCAAATTTTAAATTGGCCCGATTTCAACGTCCCCATCGATTTAAATAGTGTTATTTCCTTAATCGAATTCAAAAATAATATCCTTGCAAATTCATCATCTGATTCAGCACCAATTTTAGTTCATTGTTCAGCAGGGTGTGGAAGAACAGGAGTATTCATCGCTATCGATACCCTCATTAATAAATATTTACAATCCCCCACATCATTCTTTACTGGGTTTGAAGAAAATCAAGATTTGATATATAAATTGATTAATTATGAACGAACTCAACGAATCTCCATGGTTCAAAATTTTCAACAATATTTAGTATGTTATGAATTAATCTTGAAATACTTGAAAAATCATGAACAATCAAACTAACAACCACTGCTAACTCCACAATACTAATACTAACTGCTTTTTTTTTTTAATATCTGCATTCTTTACAACGGCCATTCGCTTCATTTACATACATAGCATAGATCATTCGTTAACCGTCATCGTCATCATGTATATTTATTTAATTTATTTAATGTTTTTTTTTATAGTTTATTTTTTTATATAATTACATAGGGATAATTATATAGGTTTTGGAAAATTTTTAAAATATTGTCTTATTTCATTAACATCAGTTATAGGAATTCCAAATATGGGATGTATAGCATTCGTAAACTTTTCATTATCATCATCGTTGTCGTTGTCATCGTTATTGGCCACTTTAAATTTAAATGCCAATAATTCATCATCATCATCATCATTGGTATCATCACTTTCTAAATCATAGGTATATTCACATACACTTAATCCTGATAATGAATAATTGGTATGATAGAAATCAGTTGATTTCCCTGGCTTATCTCTAAATCCCCCTTTATCGAAATTTTGACCTGCTTTTAAGAGATACGTTTTTAATCCATCTCTATTGAAAATAGGTTGATCGATTAATACTTCAATCATAGGATAAATGGCTCCAATCCAATATGCATAACATGAATCAACCAATTTATTAGTCCGACCATTTAATCCTCCTTCAATGGCGAATTGTCTCATCACTAACCATCTTATTAAATTATCAAGATTGATCTTGGAATCAGTTTTGAACTGAGATTTATGGGTAAAGAGAAGATAATAAATCGACATGGAACAGAATGAATAACCTCCATGACACTCATTATGAGCATTATTACTATATCCACCTTCATACGATTGATTTTTATTAATCCAATTTAAGATATGATTAGTTAATTCATCAGTATGTAAGTTTAATAAGGCGGAGATGGCCAATACACAATATACTGATCTTGAATCACTTTCACCATTGATATGCATTAAGAATGAACCATCTGATTGTTTAAGTGATATGAACCAATGATATAAATGAGATCTAATTTCCAATAATCTGGGGTAATTCTTGGTTAATACTAAGGTTAATATTCCCGAGAATGTCGATGCGATATGACCGATTTGATTAGACCCACCTGAAATACCATATTTCCCATCTTTAATAATACAACTTTCAACTTTATCATTAATCAAATCAATGGTGTCGGTATCGATTTCAACGGTGGATTGATTTATAAGTTTATGAGCATTGATTAACCAATACATCATCCAAGTATGATTAGCATCAAGAGCATTGAAATAGGCCGGTAATTTCGAATGTAAGGATAAATCAAGATATTTCAAGTGTTTCCCGGTTAAGAATTGTAATTGAGGATGATCTTTAAACGTTTCAAGGATTAATAATTCCACTTGTTGTTGTTGTAAAATCGTAGATGATTTCTCATTCTTATCATTGTTATTGATATTTAATTGATCTTGATCTTGATTGAAATCATGAGGAGATAAGGATGGATTGAATTTGGCGTGAGAGGAATATAATGATTGGATTAATTGTTGTTTGGTATCAAACGTATAAATATCTTGTTCTTCATCAGTCATGATATCTTCGTAATCTGAATCGTTTTCAGTAACAGGAGGTGGTGGAGCAGATGATGATTGATTAGGAAGTTTCTTACCTAATAGATTCAAAAGGTAGGTTATCTTGTCTGAAGGATCAGAAGTGGTTGTTTGTTTCAGTTCATGTTGAACATTATTTGACATATTTATAGTTCAATTGAATGAATGATGTAATTGAAATAATAAACTTGAATCATTTAAGATGTTTTAGAAAAAATTACTACTTTAAGATTTAACAATGTGAGTCATGTGATTCGTCGCGTGATTGAATATTCTGTAATAAGTTAATCATGAAGAAAGATATAATCCTAACTATAGAAAGTTAGACATAATAGGACAGGGTGAAATAGAGACTATGAGAGACTAGACATAAGAAATGAAGTGAAGTTGATTATCTGTGGTATAATATCATTAAAAAAGAGTCACATGTACAAAAAATGGTGTTTTATAAGTACTTTCAGTATTTGAGGTGAAGGATGGCAGATATTTCTATGGGATGGACAAAGTATCATGAATAACAACTTTTTGTTTTTATACAATAAGTTTGAATAGTATAAAAGGTCAATCATATCACTTGTACTTTATTAGATTAAAGCTATAGACGTTATAAATCGGTGTTCTTCAATATACTGCCAGCTATAATTTGAGTTTTCTTTCTCCATTATATGAACTTTGAATAATATATATAAAATGTCAATTAATTCCGACTCTGAATCTGAATCTGAAAGCAAAACACCTTTATTATCCAAAACAAATCAACGAGATGCTGAAAAATTGAATGAAACCAAATTAGAGGAACAAGAACGTATTAGACAACAAATTTTAGCATCTAGGATATTAATTTATGGAAGTTGTGGTTGTTTCATTGCTTTAATTTACATTGTTTTGGATGCTTTTGTGTATCGTGAATCGAAATAATTATAGGGAAAGTCAATTGACATTTATAGACTTGATTACTGAACATAATGGTTAGAGTCTATATAATAGATAATTTGGTATAAATATGACTTTTTAGATTTTATAATAATTTCAGTCATGTGACATTACGCGTGATGCGAATTCTCGTGACTTTCCAAACCCCGCCTTGATTTAAATGTTTTGTGTGGTTTTTTTAATGGAAATGGTTTGATAGTTTAAAAATAGTAACAAATATTGACGAAGGATGAATTTAAATATCGCAAAAATAGCATTAGAATGTATCTAAGCCTGTTATAATTAGTCATATACTAATAATAATGACGAAAAGGCGTAGTATAAAGTGCTAAATATAGAAAGATTAAGTAAAGAGATGAAATGAAATAATGAAATAAGTTTGGGAATGTAAAAGTATTATGACAGTTAAAATTTCTTTCGTTTAAAAATAACAATGGAAGATGATGATGAATGAACAAGAAGAAAAGTAAAGATAGATAGATATATTATTAGAACAAAGCGAAAGATAATTGATAAAGAGAAATGGTTACTTGGTTTAAATAAATAATAACTGTATAATTGCTATGAAATAGGAGTGGTGGAGGAGGAGATGTGTGGATGTAATTAAACCATAACTTTTTGACAATGACACAAAATCACAAATTTTTATTTTGTACTGCAAAAACTTTTTAGACAAATCACACGTGTGTTGTACCAATAACGATTTAATTCATCGCCTCACTTCACTTCACTTCACTTTAGCTCACTTTAGTTGGCCAAACCATACCACAGTTGAGGTCCAAGCAAAGGTCAAAGGTGAAGTAAAAGTCAATTAATGCTATTATCACTATTTCAGTTCTTCTTCTCCTTCCCTATCTTATCGTATAATGTCGTATCATAACGTACCAAAAAGTAAGGTAACACTAACCGAATCACACACTCTAAGCGGTATCCCATTTTCTTTTCTTTTCTTTTCTTTTCTTTTCTTAGCCTCTAACCGTTACTGATCTCCTCCTCTAACCCTAAACTACACCATACAACTGCATTTGGTACTATTTCAAATTTATATTCGTAAACTTAATCTGTCACACGCTATGATGATTTGCATTACTTTTATATTTAATTTAATTTAATTTTATTTTATTTTATTTTATTGCTGTTTCACTATGTCCCTTAAAATTAAATGTGGATAATTGAGCAAGTAAGACAAGAGATCGACTGATATTATATATAGTTTAGTGGATTAGACAATCTTATCTGTATCCCATTTGACATATTTTAGCCTGTTTAAGTTAGCCCTTGTTTCTAATTTCAATTAATTTATAATTTATAATTTTTCACTTTTTCAAAATTTTTTATTTTTATTCTTTTTTGTTTTTAATTTCAAAATAATCTTTTTCCATTTTAACTATTACAAACTACTCTCCTCTCCTCTTCTTTTAAAGGTGATCCAATTTATATTTATTTATTAAGTCATCTTTATTCTTTCTTCTTTTACTATTTCCATATTATATCACTGAAAATTAAAATCTGGTCCTCCCCCCTAAGAAAAAAAAAATAGAGAGAGACAGACAAAGTTTAAATCTGTTGCTGTACCACCGTTTAATTCATTTTTAAAGTTCGAGTTCTTTTTTTTTTCATATTTCATTGTTTCATTCTTTGGTACGGGGTGTACTAGTTTTTTTCATAAAATAGCAACAGTTATCTTCATATCAAGTATATTTATTCATCCTATCACATCATATCATATCATATCCTTCTTGTATTCATATATCATCATAGTCAGTCTCATAGCCCATAACATAACTCACACACACACACCACAAAATCATTTTTGCAATATCAAAATCCATTTCATAATCATATACCTCTGCCAGATGCCATGTTTTCTCCACCTTATATACCTACCAAGAGAATCTCATTTATCATCGTCATCTTTGGGGCCATTTGTCTCTTTATAACATTTCATCTATCCCATTATACTCGAATAGCCACATCGAATAATATTTATCATATTCTGCATATCCCTCATCATAATCAACAATCACATTCAGGTGTAACAAATTATCAAGATCTGATTGTCAATTATAAACCTATATCATCCTATAATACCATCCATACTGGAAGTACCAAACGAAATGTGATATTTCCTCGAAGTTTTGAAATCGATGCCAATTCAAATGATTATCTTATTAATTTCTATAAAGCATTAACAAGTAAAGCCAATCCAAAACATCATCAATTAGATGATGAGGATGATGAAAAGAAAGATAATGGAATTAATGCTTTCAATTATTTCACTAAGGATAATAAAATCAATCTTGATAAATTTAATATCTTCAAATATCAATTCAATAAAGATTTAAAATCAGAACCTTTGAATGAAGATATTAAAACTTTGAATTTCCATCCTTTCACCATTTCTATTTTTAATAATTTAAAGAAGAATCTTCGAGGTTATGTCAAGAATTGTCATCAGATTTTATCCAATTATGATATTGAAATAAGTGATCCCATCTCTAAAGAAACCTCTCTTGAAAAAATTGTTCGGAATTTCGAATTGGAAAATTCAAATTATTATCAAGAATTAAAATCATTCTTTACCGATAATCCCATTAAGAATCAATTACGAGATCATACTATTGAAAAACATTGGTATAGATTAGCTGGTACATCAGTATGGTTAGAACAATATGGAGTTCATTTCATGATTTCAAGAATCATCTATACTCCCTCTGGAATCAAAAATAAACCAGTAATATCCCTCATGTATGCTCAATTATTTGATGAAAAATGGCAAGAAATTAATAATGTGGAATTAATCATTCCTACTAATAATCCCGATTTGGAAAATATCAATAGTTCAGGGATAAATTTTAAGAATTTGAAATTCCCACAGATCTTACCTACCCCATTTTATCATGATTCTGAAGTTATTCATGAGAAATATTATGGACCAGAAGATCCTCGAATCTTATTGGCAAAGAATAAATTAGGTTATGAAGAACCCGTCATTATTTATAATAGTTGGCATCGGAAAATCGCTCATACTCAACAACAAGATAAATCAAATGATCGTACCTACAATGTTGATTTCAATTATTATCGATCCATGTATATTTGTTGGCCATGGCAATTCCAAAGAGGGAAAATCAATGTGGAAGAATTACCTAATCATCAATATAAATTAAATCTTTATAATCGTATTTCAGAACTTAAGAAAATCGAAGTGGATAGAGCTTATTTACAAAAGAATTGGACACCATTCACATCATATTATGATCGAGTCAAATATGGATATGATAAATATATCTATTTCATTTATAAATGGGAAGATATTCAAGTTTTGAAATGTAAATTATCCAACATAAATGATATTTATACTAGTGATTGTAAATTGGATTATTCCTTGAATAAAAAAGATAATGGAGATCTGATTGGATCCTTACGTGGGGGGTCACAATTAATCAATCTAAATCAATTATTAGATGATTATAAATATCAATCATCCAACATGAATTTAAAGGTCATTTTAGATAATATTCCTCAAGGTAGAGAAATTTGGGTTGGATTCGCTAGAGCTCATTTAAGAGATTGTGGATGTGGTCATGATTTCTATCGTCCAAATCTCGTCACCATTATAAAAGATGATAATAATAAGTATAAGATCAGTCATATGAGTCCCTTTATATCATTGGATGTTCCCGTAGGAGCATTTGATGATGTCAGTAACACTGATTGTAAACTGGGTGAACCAAATGTATTCATCCCCAATGGAATTGGAAGTTGGTCATTAAATTCTTATGATACTAATAATAAACATAATAAGAATATTGGATTTGATGATTATTTAACCATGATATATTCAATTGCAGATAATTCCGTCGATATAATCCACATCAAAGGGTTATTGAAGGCGATTTTAACTAATCAAGATGCTAAATTAACATTTGAATCTTCATCTTCCAAACGACTGGGATTTAATAATGATAATATTAAATGTGCCTTGGAAGATTCTCATAAATTTTGTGCCGCTTATGGTTTAGACCATGCTCCAAAGGATGGAGAATAGAATAGACAGAGAAAAAGTGTAAGTGTATAGCTAAAGTATTAATACATACATTAACATAACAAAATAATATTGTAGACAGATAATAGGATCATCGGTATAGTGATTTTTGCAATCATAAAGTTTAAATTGTATCTATTCGCCCTGAAAAACCAGTTGCTGTTGCTCCATTTTATTATGAAGCAAAAAAAAAAAAAAAGGTCGTGTACAAAAGCTATGAGATCATTGTTTGGAATCTCCCAGGTACACACCATAAAGTTTGAAAGCCAAGACTATCAACCCGTTGGTCATACTTGTTCATATCAACTGTACAATATCATCATCATAGTTCATATCGGTTAATGAGCCTACTCCTATCACCATGGTACGATTGTTTCGAAGGTTTACTGTGTTCTACGCAACCTTAATCTTGGTGATCTTATTCATATCAACCATTATAGGGATAAGTACTTATAAATTAGAACAACATCAAATTCATAAAAATGATTATCATAATATCATAAAGGATCTTTATGATAAGACCAAAGTTCAAAGTTTATCTACTTCAAATTATTGGAAATCAATCACTAAGGAGTTTGTCACTACATCTCAATTGATTTTCCCTAATGGTATCAATTTAAAAGATCCAAAACAATATATCCTTGATAATCCATCGTTATTTAAGGATTCTTCTATCGTTAATACTGACCCAGAACGAGGGAAAGTCAAATTACCTCAATCTATATTGGTTAATAATATTCAAGATGTTGGTTTATTTCCAAGTCAATCAACTTATAAACCATTTAATCTTACGTTATTCAAAAGTGATTCTGATATAGAAATGGATTTGAATAAATGTAAGGATTTAAAAGTGATAAATCCCATCGAATTGGATAATCCTGTTCATGTCGATTTAAATATGAGACAGATCTTACACCATTTCTTAGATCACTTACCTCATAATAAATATTATCAAGAAGTAGCTCCATTTTTCATTACTGAATTAAAATTACAATTCAAACATAATATAATCGAACATTATTGGTATCGATTAGCTGGTTCATCGGTATGGTTAGAACAATATGGTGTTCATCTTATGATATCTCGTGTTTTATATGCTCCAAGAGGTGTCAGAAATCAACCTATTGTATCATTAATGTATGCTCAAATCTTTAATGAAAATTGGCAAGAATTAACTAATACAGAATTAGTTATTCCATCTGATGATCAAAAATTTAGAATTATGAAATTCCCGCAATTCTTACCTATTCCATTTTATCATGATTATGATAATACGATTGGGAAATATTATGGACCTGAAGATCCTAGAATTCTTTTGGTAAAGAATACTTTTGGATATGAAGAACCTATGATTATTTTCAATTCATATCATCGGAAATTAATTGGATTCGATGATGATAGTGATGAATATGTCCTTCAAAAACCTCAATTTTATAGATCAATGTTTGTATGTTGGCCATGGCAATTTCAAACTGGGAAGAAAAATATGGATGTAATGGATAAAGATTATACCAATCGAGAATATAATCGAGTTTTGGAATTAAAAATCAAAAATTTACCTCGTCAACGTACTCAAAAGAATTGGACTCCTTTCAAATCATTCCAATCTTCAAAAACTCAACATACATTTGATAATTATCTTTATTTCGTCTATAGATGGGCTAATTTTGAAACTTTGAAATGTAGTTTACAAGATGGGATTTGTGGATTTAATTATCGATTAAATAAAGATTTACATCCTATGGCAAGAATTGGTCCATTAAGAGGTGGAACACAATTAGTTAATCTAAATGAATTAATGTCCACTCAAACTCCTTTCCATCTTAATGATTTCTTACCTCCCGATAGAGAAATTTGGTTAGGTTTTGCTAGAGCACATATTGATAGATGTGGATGTGGATCAAATATGTATAGACCAAATTTAGTTATAGTGGTTAAGGATACCATTAAAGTTAAACAACCTTCATTATTCGGATCCAATGAGAATGATGATGCATATACTTATGAAGATGTTTATAGAGTAAGTCATGTGTCATCATCAATATCATTTAATATCCCCTTGATTGGATGGGATTTATTTAATCCTCAATTCCAATGTGCAGGAAGTAGTATTTTAATTCCTAATGGGATTTCTTCATGGTCAATTAGAACTACAAATGAAGGTAATGATCATGATTATAAATCATGGAAATTCGATGATTATTTAACGTTATCTATGTCAATTAGTGATTTCACTATTCATACGATTAATATTAAAGGATTATTAAATCAAGTTTTAAGTTTAAATTCTTTATTCTTATCTCAATCAGATCAAAGTGATGATTCATATTTACAAATTCCTCAAAGTGTAGCAGGAGCAAATTCAAAATTAGGGTTCAATAATGATAATATACTTTGTGCATTACAAAGTTCAGCTGATTTCTGTCAAGCATATGCTAATGAACAAGATCGATTATTATCAAAGAGTTTATTTAATTATCATAAAAATGATGATTATAGAAATAAATATTATGATATTTTCTTGGATAATGATGATACGGCATCAAATAATGAAATTCAAGCTTATCAAAATGAATTATATTATGCTAAACCTGCTATTAGTCCATTACGAGCTCAAAATAAACCTGCTTCATCTCCACCAAAGAAAAATACAAGACCAAATCCAGGTAAGTCTATACCTGGAAATACTAGACCAACATCGCCACTTTCTGGAAATAGTGATTTACCAACTATAAATAGATACCCTCCATCATCTTCGTCTAGTTCTAATAAACTTAATCAAGCTCAAGGTCAAAGTCAAAGTCAAAAACAAGCTCAAAAGGGTAGACCAAATCCAGTCTTGTCATCAGAATCATCCACAGTACCAAAATCTAATAAGGCCAAACCTTTACCTAAGCTGAAACCTTTAACTTCAGACCCACCATTAAGTCCAAAGGGAAATGCAAATGTAAAACCATTACCTAAATTGAACGCATTAGCTTCAGATCCACCATTAAGTCCAAAGGGAAAACCATTACCATTACCAAAATTGAAACCTTTAGCTTCAAATCCATCTGATTCAGATTCACCAAATTTAAAATCAGTACCTAAGCCTAAATTAAAAGCTACATCTCCTGACTCATCAAATTCAGTACCTAAATTAAAAGCTGAACCTATAGTTCCTCCATCTTCAAATCCAAAATTTGATAAATATAAAAAACCTAAACCTCCTCCACAACCATCAATTGAACAACCAGCTGCTCCAGTCGATCCACCATTATCACCCAATTCAAACCCTGGTAAAGTCAAACCTGTACCAAAGAAAGGAAATTCCAACATGAATCCAATCACATAAACAAACATTCACAATACATAAAATAAATAAACAAAAACAATAATATTTGGGGACATTCTGGTATAATGTCATATATTACAGCATAATTAAATATCCATCCATTCATTCGCTTATATATAGGTGGTTGTTTATATATTCATCTATACATATTTTATATAACACTTTCACCAATCCTTTCTGTTGATAGATTTAATAGATTCCTTTTGAAACTGTATTGATAAAGTGTAGTTTGCAGCTAATTTAAAAAAAAAACAATTCGGATTGTCTTCTTCTCTCATATAGTCGCATTAAAAATTAAATGATATTTATTTTTGTTTCGAAAACTCCGATACCGGGAATCGAACCCGGATCACAGCATGGAGAGTGCCGTGTGATAGCCATTACACTATATCGGATAAATTTCTGCAATTTTTTTAAAACTAGTTGTTTTGAAGTGTTGATACCACTCAAATTTTATTTTCCAAATTTCGACTTTTACAGACCTTTTTGGTGGGGTTTGTGGATATTAGATATCTTGAAATGAGAGAAGGTATAGAACAAGGCTCTTTTTGAAAGATTTGGCTTAGTTTTGATGAAGTTATAGTGAAATCATTATTTTTTTGCATAAATTTTATCCAAACTAGCTTAATGGTTGTAGAATTAAATAAATTGTTAAGATATAATTAGAGTAAAATAGAATAATTGATTGTTTCTAGACCATATTACAGGAATTCAGTTTGATTTAGCGAAAAATAAAAAGTGGGGATGATAAAAATTATGATTTAAAATAGTTAGCGTCTAAATTTTAAAAAAAGTATAAAAAAAAATGAATTCTCTTTTTTATAAAATTTTATATCTTTCTATCTCTTTCTTCTTCCTTCCATATAGACTTCTTATAGTTAAAATTATCACCCACCCAGTCTATTGTCTTTTGCTTTAAGTTATTTAACATATACCACATTTTACAAAAGAATAATTCATTCAATTAAATCATGCCAATTGAATTAATTCTTACTCCATTAATGAGACCAGTGGTCTTAGCTAAGGCGGTAGTTTTTTCACCTCATAGAGCTGGTTCAAGATATGTTCCAAATATTATTGAAATGAATGAAGATTCAATTTCCCAATATGCTATCTTAAGAAGATTTGGTTCAGGTTCTAAAATTTTTGATGTTTATGATACTGAAAAAGGTCAAGTACCAATGGGACAAAATGATCCTGGTAAGAAAATATTTTGGTTCCTAAGATCACGGGCGGTTAAAGGTGCTTATAGAATGTATTCAAGTTCAATTACTGGTACTGGTCCTGATGGTGAAGATGAACCTGTTGCTGATGTTAGAGCTGGTTTAAGATCAAATGTTTTATTAATTAGAGCTCCTGATGTTCCAGCTTCTGAATTAGGTTGGCATATTATTGGTCATAGAGTTGATGCAAATGATACTTATAGAATGTTTACATTAGCTGATGGATTTACATATCAATGGACTTCAAGAGGTAAATGGCTTGAAAAAGTTTATAACTTGGGTGAAAAAGAATCAGAAATTAGAGAACGGATTGGTCAAGTAATTCCAAATGGGGATAATGGTTTTACATTAAAAATTGATGAATCTAAAATGCCGAGAGAAATTGCTCTTGGTAGTGCTTTATGTTCTTATATTGATCAATGGAATACAAACATTGAAGTTGGTGGAATTTATTATGCAAGACAACCAAATCAAGTCCGTTGGAAACGTGATTAGGTTTATGTCATTATTATTTTGAAGAAGATTATTACTATTTATTATTTCAAATTATCATTTAACTGTTTTTTCTTCTTTTTCTTTTTATTTTTTGTTCTATTTCATTTAAATTCTACTGTAAGGGAGTATGAATTTATTTGAATAAAATGGTTAATTGAAATATTTTGATTTTATATAGTTTATATTTATTAAGAAAATTTTATATTTGGTAAAATTGATTAAACTTGTAAGTATTTGCAATTGATTAATATTTTTTGCAATTTTATGGTTACTGGTGTGCATATAAAACAAGGCTAATCATAAAATATTTTACGATAAGCTAATTTTTGACATGCCGCTAAGAAACCTTTTTTTAGTGAGAGTTAACCTTATAACTATATTTGTATTTCAACGGGACTTATAATCCTATAAACTGTTTAGTTCTACAGGATGAGATGTGTCATAGACATTATTGGGATAATCTTGGGTTCATTTATTGGGTAAAAACATATTATACCAAGTCAGCCCATTGAAAATCTTAGCCTGTAAGGCAATTATCCGCCAACGTTGTTTGTTTGCGGGAATCGACATCCTAAAAAAGAAAAAATGTGGAGCACATACACTCGAGTCAATCAAAGTCGAAGTTAATACCATAAATAGATCATAATTTTTCACTTGAAATTTGTTTTTTAGAATAAGTGTTTCTTTCTTTCTTTCTTTCTTTCTTTCTTTCTCTATCGATATCTATATCTTCAATGCTTAGAGCTAGTGTTCAAAAAAGTCTTCGTCAGACTTATAAATTATCCACGAGGTTCTCATCCTCTGTGGCAGCTCAATATTTCCCTGAAGAACCAATTTCACCTCAATTAGTTACCAGTTCTATCCCAGGTCCAAAATCTCAAGCTTATAATGATGAATTAGGGAATGTGTTTGATAATAGAGCTACTTATTTCGTAGTTGATTATGTCAAATCATTAGGGAATTATATTAGTGATGCTGATGGAAATAAATTATTAGATGTTTATTGTCAAATTGCTTCTATTCCATTAGGATATAATAATCCTGCTTTAATTGAAGCTGCTAAATCGGATGATATGTTATATGCTTTAATCGATCGTCCTGCTTTAGCTTGTTTCCCATCTACTAATTATGCCCAAATTTTACAAGAAGGTATCTTGGCAGCTGCACCACCAAGTATGACTAAAGTTTGGACCGCATTAAGTGGTTCCGATGCGAATGAAACTGCGTATAAGGCGGCCTTCATGTATCAACATGCTCATAAACGTGGTTCATTAGATTTCACAAGTGAAGAATTATCAAGTGTAATGAATAACGAAGCTCCTGGTGCTTCAGATATGGTTATTTTATCATTTGATAGAGGTTTCCATGGAAGATTATTTGGATCCTTATCAACTACAAGATCTAAAGCTATTCATAAATTAGATATTCCTGCTTTCCCATGGCCAAAAGCTCCATTCCCAAGTTTGAAATATCCTTTACAAGATTTCATAAAGGAAAACCATGATGAAGAAATTGGATGTTTACAAGAATTTGAACGAATTATTGTCGAAGATTATGAACCTCATAAAATCGCGGCTATAATTGTTGAACCCGTTCAATCTGAAGGAGGGGATAATCATGCTTCCTCATTCTTTTTCCAAGGATTAAGAGATATTACATTGAAACATGATATTTTAATGATTGTTGATGAAGTTCAAACTGGGGTTGCAGCCAGTGGGAAATTTTGGGCTCATGAACATTGGAATTTAACTACTCCACCAGATATGGTTACATTTTCGAAAAAATTCCAAGCAGCTGGGTTTTATTTTAGTAATCCTGAATTACAACCAAATCAACCTTATAGACAATTTAATACTTGGTGTGGAGATCCATCTAAAGCTATTATTGCTAGATCAATTTATCAAGAAATTACCAAACATAATTTAGTAGAAAAGACAGCTCAAGTGGGTGATTATTTATATGATGGATTGAAACAAATCATTAATAAGTATCCTGGTAAAGTATTAAACTTAAGAGGGGAAAAATATGGTACTTTTATTGCCTGGGATTGTTATGATGCTGAAGTTAGAAATAATATTTTATTAGAATGTCGTAAGAGAGGAGTTAATATTGGAGCTTGTGGAGATGTTGCAATTAGATTAAGACCAACATTGACATTTGAAGCTAAACATGCTGATATCTTATTACAAGTATTAGAAGATTCTTTTAAAGCTGTTTAAGAAAAAGACTATTAATATATATATATATATATATACATATTAAATATATGGTGTTGCACGATCACTTACCCAATTAGGCATTTCTCCTAAACCGGAAATTGAATGCGCTTCTTGATTCCTGTTTACTGACTAAAAATTGTGTCATACAGACCAGTCATCTCTTAAGCCGTTAGAAGCACAAAGTCATTAGTAATAACCAAATACTCATCTCATCTGGTGCTGTTTCATATATATATCATTCCTAGTGTATAGTTATGAACATATGGTAACTAATTAAACAACAGTAGGTAAATAAAATTATGGTATGTAACAAATATATCTGTTTGTGACAGGTTGGTGAAAGATTTAAAATCACAAAAATAACCTAATAGCAAACAGAGGCGGGTTTGTTTGGTTAATGTATATATATGTAACTAGTCCTTGTGAAAAAAAGCCTATATCGGTTTACGTGTTATAGTTGTTGTGATCTGTCAATGGTAGAAATATCATTGACACGTTTAAACAGGTGAAGTTTATAAGTAAACAAATTTAAAATGGATATAAGTAGCGATGAATGACTTAATTAACCAGTAATATATGTATAAGTCACTCTCTATTCATAGTTACTGTTTCTAGCCACAAATTGTCACTAATTAGTTTACTACGTTAACGGTTAGAGATTCGTAGTTTTAATTTCTTTTTCTAAGTATATAAATAAAGTGTAATTATTATTAGTAACTATTGTCATCCCTTTCGATTGTATCAACAAACATATTCTGTCGTACCCAAGTCATCTGATAATTCATTATATAAACTTATTCACTGTCAATCTATTCGTATACCATAGTACCATAACATATCCGTCTGATCTTCACATTAAATAATTTTTGTGCCTGTACCAAAACAGACAGACAGAGCGTAAAATAAAAATAATAAGGCAATTTAAAACCAGAAAGAATTGCATTTACAGCCAACACCCATTTATTCACTTCCCTTTCGTTTACTTTACTTTACTTTATCATATCATATCATATCATTTACCCATTACTTACGCCATGTGTTGCAATAATAATCAATAATCTAGTCCGACGCAAGTGTACGAGTGTGTTTCTTCCTTCTTTCTGCTTCCCTTTTAAGTGGAACTAACATAACAATATAAACATAATTAATAATAATAACAATCATCATCAACCATGTTGGGTCGTTTGTTCAAACAGACTCCAACCAATAGCTTAAACAATCATCATCATGGCTTGTCTTCCAATAATCCTTCCCCTTCTCCATCAGTACCGAACCCAACCAATCCTAGTTTAAATAATCCTTCATTTGATGATTCATATGCAAGAGAAATCTTATATGGAACTCATAATCCAAATCAATTAAAACCATATCAATTCAATAATAAATTCTTTAGAGTCATCGTATCTCAAGATGGTGGAAGTTTAAGATCAAAACAAGTTCTTTATGATTCTTCTTTATCTGAAGCTTCTTTAACTCCTTCCCCTTCATCTTCCATAAATACTATTACTGGTGGTAGTTATCATAAAGTCACAAGTCCTGTATCCCCCATCCCTCCACCATCACCATATTCATCTTCATCATCATCATATTCCAAGCATAATCATAAAACTATCATCCCTTCAAAGATCTATCATAATTCAAATGAATTAAATGATTATATGTTTGGATGTGGTGTACCCAGTAATGAGATTAATTGTTCAACTAAACTTCATGTCTTACCCTCCATAAACAATCTTATCGGTGGACCTTATAATGCAGTATTAATAACGAGATTATTTTCCATCTGTGATGTGGAAAACACAGATCCCCATACTGATATATCTTCAATAAATTCAAATATAAATTGGCATCCCACTTCTGCTTTACCGATTGGTGCAACTAATATCAAAAAATTCCCCTTCTTTAGAAATCTATCCTCATCATCCAATCCAATAATACCGACCACCACCAACTCTAAATCATCAAGTAATATCAATAGTAGATTTTCTATTGGGATAGTTATTCCGTTAGATTCTTTAAATGATATCAATGATGTCATAGTCAATAATTGGGATGAAATTTCTCATTTCTTAATCCTTCTCCAAAAATCAATCTATAAGAAATTATTATCAATTTTAAATAATAATTGCTTATATGATAATGAAAATAATCTTTGTTCATGTTCATATCTTATTAATAAAAGAATTCAATTCCCTAATTATATCTTACAAAATGATTTGGATTTAAATAATCAAATGTTAAAATTAATTAAATTAATCCATTATGATTCAAATATTCCTAAATTAATCAATACAAATAGTTTAATGAAATCTTGTTTAATCGATGATAATACCCAATATAATTCAGTATTTTTAAATTGGGTATTGGAAACTTTAAATTGGTTAGAATTTAAAGATGGTAAATCATTCTTACAAAATGCCACTAATAATTCATTAACTAATTATAATTCAAATTCTTCATTTCATACCACTAATACTGGAAGTACAGATTTGACATCATATGCTAATAATAATACATTCTTAGCAAGTTTATTAGCATTATTGATTCCCATGAGACAACTGTTAAGTGTTAAACCTTATCATAACGTGACAGATTCAAAAGTTAGAGAAGTTACGAGAGTAGTGCTTATGACGGGAAATCCAGTAGTGGCTAAAAAATTAATATTCATTATAAATGGTATAGTGCCTGATTCAAATACTCCTGATGTCGACGATTATGAAGTTAATCATTTAGAACAAAAACAACAACAACAACAACAGCAAAGACAACAACCCGATCTTCGTCATCAAGAAGATAGCCAGCAACATATTCCACAAAATAAGACTAAATCATTCGAATATGATGAAAATGATTGTTCAACCTCACCAAAGAGTAAAAGACCATATCCACCACCAAGATTACCATCAACTTTTTCAAATACAAGTTCAGGTAGTAATAATAATGTCACTACACCTTCATCACCAGCCAAATCCATCAATCCTATACCCATCAAACGATCAACTCAATTCTCCACCTCAGTAAGTTCTTCCGATAATTCATTTGGTAGATCATCACCAACCGCCAAGGGATGGGAAATTCCTGGAAAATCAGTTGCTAGTACATCAACTTCAACTCCAAATAGAGAAAATATCGAAGTTTCTGTTCATAATGGTAGTATTACAAAGGGAATACCTATAGTCTTACCGGTGAATGCAACTTCTAAAGCACAAATATCATCATCATTATCTAAATCATCTTCATTGGCTTATCTTTCATCCTCATTAAGCTCATCTTATTCATCATCATATTCACTTCCTAAGATTGGTAGTAGTTTTATGGATAAATGGAAGAATTCCATCAGTTCAGTATATGCTGGTAGTTCAAGTGGTGTACCTCATCATGGAAATGGTAGTATATCTTCAAATTATGGATATGATGGTGATTATTTCCCTCCACCCCCAACTACTTTTGGAAGTATACCTAAACGGAATTCAATTCAATCCTTAAGAAGTCCATCTCCAGCCATTGAACAAGAAGAATTTACGTGGACTACTCATTCAGCCAATATCCCTATTGCTCATAGTAATGGTAATTCAAGTCAAAATGGGATGGGTAATGTCATGTCTAATATTTATGGTCTGACTCCAAATAAATTATCCCGAACTCAATCAATGTATGATCTTTATAATATGAATAATGAAATCTTGGAAGAAAGTTATAATGAAAGTAATAATCTTAGTGATGAGAATTTTTCAAGTTCAAATACAATCAAGGTGAATAGTAGTTCAAATTCTAATCCTAATAATTCCAATAATGGAAATCATAATTCTACTTTGAATAAGAATCTTGCCATTAAAAGATCAAAGACAAGTGTTTATTCACCATTAATTGATGATAATCTTATTAAAAATGTCAATGAACATAATAAGACTATTATTCAACTGAAATGTGAAGAGATTATGAAAATGAAATTTCAAGATCCAACTGCTGCATCCAAAAAGGAAACTCACATATTAGAAATTTCACCCATCATTCATAATGAAAAGAGTTTTGTTGATATTGATGAAGCTGAAAGTCTTATTAATGATCAAAGTACTATTTCATCCGGGTTTGATAATTTGGATTTAGGTAATGATGATGGAGGAGAAGGGTTATCATCTCATCCAATTTTTAAACATTTGGCATTATCCCCCAATGTGGCATTTTCAGATGAATTTAGATCTGAATTTAATATTCAATCATGTCCAGTTAATCCTAAATTAGAAACTCAAGTCATGAGTGCTATGAGAAATGATTTACTATTTTATCAAAATAATTTCGATTATAGTAAAATCGTATCCAGAACTGTGTTTATTAGTTTAAGAGCTCGTGAAATTAAATTAATTGAAATGACAATTGATAATGATGCTTATCATCGCGCTTCATTTAGTACTGCTAATCCACCAAAGCCCGAAACTCCAAGTAATGGTTCAAATCCTCAAATCTCAAGTTCATTATCATCACCATTAGGATCATATTTCCCCGATACGTCTTTATTCCATATGAAAAAAAATTCAGAGAAGCCTAATAATAATTATAAAACGAAAACATTGAAAGTGTTTACTCCGGCTAAGAATTTAGGAAATCTTGAATTAATCAATAAAGTGGATAATACATTTGAAGAAATCAATCAATTGTTTAATTTACAACAACAGTATCGAACAAAACAACAGCAACGACAACAACAACAGCAGCTGTCACAACAGGAGAAGGCTGATAAAACTGAAGGATTCCATGACTTTAATAAAAAGTTATCGAAGCTTGTATTAAGTTTGGTCTAATGATCCATATTTATTAGAAAAGAGAAAAGTTTATCTTTACTTGAGAATATACGAATTATGAATAATTATAACCAACCAAACTGTAAATTAAGTTCTCTATAACCATTGTCTATTCTATAAAAAACATGACACTTGTATATATTTCTTGGCGATCGTAGGATGACTATAATGGCATGCGATCTCTATACCATCAGATTGATCAGAAAGATCAACTAAATTATCGATATAATAACCCTTCACATCACATTCAATTTTAAATCTTGTAATATTTGTTCCATCTTCTACTCTCAGAAGATTTATAGCCACGAGATCAATGGTTGATTCATTAAATATTAAGTGATTTTTGACAACTAAAAAATCTTGATTACAATTATCATTGGCATAATTTTTGACTAAGGTAAGTGACTTAGACTTAGCAATACCCCTTGAATCAACATCATTAATATTAAAATGAAGCATGCAAATTGAAGTTGCTTTTACAACAAGTATAGTATTATCTCCTATCACAAACCATTTCTTAATGTCACTTCCTCGTTTAATCATCTGTCTTGTTTGATTCTTTCTCAAGTTTTCTTTTTCTAAAACCACAACTTCATCTTTATCTATTGGTAAGTAAAATCTACCGTTGTGATATTTAAATACGGATTCTTCATTTCGTCTAGCGGTAAATACTGATCCTTCAATTTTTCCATAAAATCCCAAATTCAAATCATGAGCTTTGCAGCTAGTAAAATTTATCTTGTCATTAAGCATTTCGAACTTAACAATCAAGAGAATATTTTCAAGCGATTGAAATACGATTTCATTCTTAGAAGTAAAAGACACTATGGTCCGGTCCAGCTTATCATCTTTCATTTGTTCTTTGAAATCAAAATACTTCTTTGTATTGAAAGCCTTAAAGAAGTCTTCCACAGCTTCTCGATGTCCTGCATCGTCCGACTTAAGAATAGAGTTAATATACCCTATGTCTTCAATAGCATGACTTTCGTCGAATACCCTAGTGTCAAACACATTAAATGAAAACATTTTCCGTACTTTCAGTATTTTTCCACATTCTTGATAAATGACCCTGAAGAGATCATACGTATGATCGATTTCTTTTTGACCAATGTGCACAGTTGTAAATTTAAAAACATTAACTGAATTTGACTTATATGGAATATAACTAATGCTTAAATATTGAAATTTAACGCCCGATAGAAACTTAGCATTATCACATACAAAATTATCTATATATGAATCATCTTCAACAAAATAAGGATCTTCTATTGGATTATCAATTTTGTATTCCAAAGTTTTCCTACTATTAAGAATGTTGCGAGTAGCTGTAGTAAATTGGATTTCCAATTTATCTGCCAGGAAGTAAAAACAAATAAAATAGTAATTACCCAATCTGGAAACTTTAGTCCCCCATTTCATTGCTTGTTCTTCGCGTGTTACTATTTCCTTTGGTTTCCCTTGCTTTAACCAAGATATTCTATCACGAGAAAGAGAGTCATGGGAAAGGTTTATTTGTCCTGTTTTAATCTTGAATATGTCTCTTATGTCATCGTTTAATACTTGTGAGCTGTAATATTCTCTAGCATTCAAAAATCGGTCTGAATCAACTTCATCTAAGTTGAGTCTATGCAAATCAGTCACATTCTTATCATACTTGTCTCTTTCAGAATAGTATCGTTTCTGTCTCTTCACCTTTTGTACTTCATTATTGTGATATTTATCAATTTTAGAATCATTTCTTAAGCTTCCATTTGTGATCTTGAAGTACTTCCCTCTTTCTTCATCATAAAACATGCCAGGTATTTCTCTAATTTGTGGCATTTAAGATAGCAATATAGCAAACATCTGATGCCTGATATTTCTATAATATAGATCTGATTTCTTTACTTAGAGATAGTGCCACAACTTGGTGCGCACACGACTTGAAAAAATTACTATAGTTAAAAGCAATTATTAACTTTTCACTAATACTGTTTAAAAGATTTCTTAATAGTTAAACTATAGAAATAGGATCAAGTAGCTTTAGTTGACTTGAATTGTAGTTCTCAAACAAAGTTATACTTTTAGACTAGACAAGATTTGGTTTATGAGTCGGCTTTTTGTTCTAAAAAAGTTTCTATTTATTGCTACCAATTTACTAGCCATAGTTACTTTACGTCTCTCATATTTTTCGAAAGTGCCAATAACCATTAAAAGCTTAATTTAGTTAAATCAGGGAGAGAGAATTTATAAGAGTCATTTATTAATTTGAGATAAGAAACAAGCTATTGGCAAATATTTGCATAAAATGAAATAAGGTAGGTCTCTTAGTGTTGCCAATTCGTATCCTTTATAATTCTAAAAGAGGGGACTTGTACTTTTACCGATCTAAATTAATAGAAACACTTCGCTTGTTGGTAACGAAGTATTACATGAACCTTTCATCGAATAAAAGAGTTATATCCTCATTCCATATGATATATAGATCAATATTAAAAAAAATAACAGTTTTTAAAAGTTGAATTCTCCACCCTAAAATTCGTGCAATGCAAGAAGATCCGAGGATCATGACATTAAAAAATGTGGAATTAATTTTGAAAGCTAGTACTAATGACCCTTTAGTTTGCCCACTATTCTAAAATAAATTCCTTTTCACTTAGTCCAAGGTTATGCAATGTTCGGTAGGTTACGTATTAGAAGATGTAATGGTTATGAAATTTTTTGAAGTGAAAGTCTACCAACCTTCCTCTCCAAAATAGAATCCTGATTCCATTTACTTCTTCATGCAGTATTCACATATTCGAAGTTTAGTTTTAGCTGAACATTTAAATCTGAGTTTAAAATGAAAAGACTTACCTTTTGTGTTTATTACAACGACAAGGAATTAAATATCATGTCAGACCATGTTTACATGGATTTCCGTTTTGTTAAACCTAAATTAAACTATGGACGCAAAATGTATTATGTACAATGCATAAATTAACTGAGCGCAATAATTGGCGGCTAAAAAAAATTCAAAAACATTATGGCTAAAACTGGAATTGGATACGATTTCATAGCCTTCCGTGACAAAAGTTGTTTATATTTTCCTGTTTAACTTCTTCAATTAAAGTTAAGATTTACAAGAGATGGTAAAACAGTACTGCAATACTACTATTTATAGAACTACCTACTACAACTATCGAACGATAACCATTACAAAAATTAAAGAAAAGAAATGAATAAATAAATTATAAATAAATTAAATGAATGACTAACTAATAAATAATAAACATAATAAATATATAGATATAAACAGCGTTTAATACTATAGTAGAATATCAACACACTAGTATAAACGCTGCACCACTCTTGTAATACTATACTTTGAAAAACTGAAAGCCCGCAAACAAAACAAACCATACCTCTATAAAAAAACCTAACGCTTATTTGTGTTTGTTAATAATACAACAGCTATACCAAAATGAAACCTTGACCCATAGTTAGAAACATCCTTCTAAGGACTCCAACTTGTATTATTCACACCAAAAGAACCAGCACCATATCCACTATCAGTTATTGAAATTCCTTCGAAATTAGGAGTGAATGTATTTGGTGCAAAGCCATTAGTTAAATGACTATCATCAAATGTAATACCATTAAGAAAATTTCCGAAACTATTGTCATTAGGTATAGAAAAGGCATAGTTGTTGATTTGTGAATCGTTAATATAATTCATATTTGGATTAAAAAAATCAGTTTCAGTTGTGTTTACACTCTGCGTTTGATTGGATAAAGGTATGGTTTTCATATTGTCCACTTGGTTAAATGTATTCATTGATGGATTGTTGAGTACTTTAGCTTCTTCTGAAAACTCATTGAAATCAAAAGTGGAACTGTTCATATCGATGTTAGCTTTGTTATTATAACCATTTTGAGGAAACAAAGAAGTTGAAGGAGGTTTAGCTAAATCTGGAACCGACGAATAGGAGTTAGCGTTGCTTATAGAATCATTAGAATTCTGCATAGGCATAGAGAATTGATTTATCTCTTCCATCTTTATTTTAGGTTCTTCTCTATTCGATGTTGCAACAATCATTGGACTTGAGATACTGCCAACCATATTTGTATTGGTTGGGAATCCTAATAATCCATTTTGAGGATTCGATACATTATTTGGTAACATAAATCCATCAACCGAATAAATATTACTATTAATATTATCATTGATATTATTGTTATTGTAGCTATAAGGTTCAGATTGAAGTTTGACCCTTTTATTTGATGGTTGATATTGACCACCATTTGTAGATTCAGGAGAAACCGGAATTGATCTTCTTTTTAAAGATTGAGAACCTATTCTTGGAGTTTGATCACCTCCGACAATGCTTGGAGTTTTAGATGGAGAAGAATTTAATGGACTTTCTGAAAAGCCAATTAATTCTGGGTGTGACTCTTTATATTTCTTAACGAATTCCCAACATTTATCACCATAAGTTTTTGGAGTTAATCCAGTGACAGATTTGAAAACTCTATGGAAATGCCAAGCAGAAAGCTTTGACTTAGCAGCTAATTCTTTAAATCCTAGTACACCACCCCTTCTTCTTCTCTTTTTAGGTCCAGATGAAGATTCAGTTTCATCATTAGGACTAGTGACTTCTTCTGGAGAACTTGGTCTTGGCTTTTGAGATTGAGGATGAAGTAAGGAAACAGCAGCAGCCAATGCTAAATGTCTGCAAGCCAAATCAACTAATCTATAATGATCAGAATCATTTTTTGATAAGGAGGCGTTTTCAAAATCCTTAGTAAATTTGCCATCAAAATTTATAACTGGAGTACTTGATTTTCTAAAACTACCTGAAATACCACCAGCATTATTAATTGTTTTTAAAATATTGACTTCATTGACCTTTTTAGATTCTAAAATATTAGCTTTAATTCTTAAATTATTATTTTCTTCATTTTCATCTAATAAAGGGTGTAAGAATCCAATTTGGGCATTGATACTTGCAACACATTCAACTAAAAGCTTAACATCGATAACAGGAATGACTAATGGATCACAGTATTCACAAGGCATATATCCATAATTCATACAATCAGAAGGGTGTAACATGAATTTAATTTCTGACTTTAAATTAGTGACTGGTCTAGCATCACAATCAGGGCGACAGAAAACTTTGTCGATCTTATTGCAAACGTAGAAGGAACCAGCAGCAAAAGGATCGCTAAATTGATAGGCTTTCCATTTAGAAGCTTCGGTAGAGTAAACCATTTTAAAGATTGAAATCTAAAGGAGATAAATAAAAGAGTGATAACTATTTTAGTAACACTCTAGCAATTGAATTATCTTTTAATTATTTATCTTGATCCATGAAAATATAAGAACTTTGATCTAATTTGAAAATATATAAAATAGAAAAATAAAATGGAAAAAGAAAAAGAATCAATTGAGGAGAATTACATATGTATATATATATCACCTTTGATCTAAGAAATTCCTGCATTTATGAAAATACAGTTTGATAATTATGCTTTCACAATTACATACCTTAGCCCAAACTATGCATTTTTTCCTTTTTTCTTTTTCTTCCTCCTGCGTATGCACTGTACACCAAATTGAAATTAAAAAATAAAAAATAAAAAAAAAAAAAGAAAAAAAGAAAAAAGTTAAAAAATAAAATTTGTCTTTGCACATCCACAAAACTCAAGAGCACTGGTATCAGAGTTAAAAAATAATTGTATATTTGAAACCCAACAACAATCATCTCTTTATACAGGTCAGTATAGCCACCTGCTCCACATATATCATTAGTTAGAGTAACGCTAGTTTAAAAGATTTTAGCAACGGTATTCCGTGATAGTAATACCTGTTTTAGGCAACAATTTTCGCTTTATTTTGTGTTTTGACCTCTCTTTGTCTTGCCATTAGCCATCTACGCCTCTTTATTCATGTTTATTTTTTACTTGAATCAAATCACAAGTCAAGTTAATACCATGAACATTTTCACCCTTGCTGATAACTGAATCTGCGGAATGATTGGCAATATTCGTCAAGCATGGAAGCCTTAGTTGATGATGGTTATGTCAACTGGGATTTCCCCCCATCTTCTGTACGGTTCCAACACAAACCTCTGATTTTTTTAAGGCATTACGAAATAATTTTGCATCACCTTGAAGGGATTTTAATTTCCCTGTCGAAGATGGTGACTAAAATAAAAAATCTTTTTACCCCTCGTTAAAAAAGTATAGTTTCTAACATCTATCGAAAACCTCAAAACTTTGCAAAACTATAACTTAAATCTTTTTTAGTTCAGATACAGGCTTAAACCTCCCCAAATTATAGCTAACGACGGGTCGGAAATATGCATATAGAAGTCAAAAATGTAAAAATTGTCTAAACATTAAACTAAAGAAGGTTAACCAACTACACAAGTATATAGAAATATTGAAAATTTCACTTTGAGTATTTTCTTAAGTTGTTAAAAAATAAATCATCGAAAGTAATATGAGATAGTATAAGTACAAATCATCTTTAATTAGCCTCTACCTCAGTGAGCAATTCATCTCCTCCACCTAATCTTATTTTACCACATTAACACAATTTCCATAATTAGAAATATTTTCATTTTTTTTTTATATTATTTTACTTTGTAATTATACATTCTAAAATATAAAGCTGTAGCGGCTAAAGATGTAAAAATTAAAGAAGAAAAAAGCTTTGATTAAAATTTTCACTTTTTAAAATATAATGACATAACCTTAAAACGGACTTTGAATTATGTTGCGTAATCCTTCATACATATAAGAGTTTTCTCTTTACGTCCAAGGCATCAATCATTCATTTTCTTGATTTAATGTGTTTGGCCTCAAGGATTCAATTCGTTGCTCCGCTTTAAGTATTGTTTGAAGCAATGATTCTTGAGTACAAAAAATCAAAGTGATTGAGGCGGAAAGAAAAGAAAATGTTCGAACACAACGATGTATTGGTTATATTCAAATTTGAAAATCAATACTTCAGAGGCTTAAATCGCCTAGCAATAATGATTAAGTCCAAATATGTGAGCAAAAACCTATCCACAATAACCCTAAAAAATACGAAATTTGGTAATAAATCCACTATTCTATTTTCCAAGGGTTTGCAGAAAGATGAATTTCAGCAGCTATTGAGAAATAAATCCGAATCATTCTAAAATTTCAGGCGGTCGGATATAGAATTAACCGCTAAAAATGTATCTAGATGGAACAAGTTATGTGTGTTGGTATTGCATCTTACATCGGTTGAATCTCTTCTACCACGTTCTGAACCAATAAACGTTCTGTTTTAGTTATGAAGTTATTAAAGTTAGGTTTGAAGTTGACGTCAATGTTGATGATAATCTATCAATGAAATAAATGATAAAGAAAGTCGGAAAAATTGTGTTCATAAAATCTTAAATAAAATCGATATTTTGCTACTTTAACTAGTAAAAGAGATTGAAATTGGGGGAGTAAACCTTCATACTAAAAAATATCAGTGAAGTCACCAGGCAAATTGCGCACATGATTTTATGCTTTCGAAATAAGCGGGTTATGAGGTGCATATTCGCGCATAAAAAATAGTACATTTCTTAAAAAATAATTTTCTAAAAATTCAAAATAAATGCAGGATAAGGAGTTTGTGGCAAATCAAATGTGTTGAAAAGTTTGAGATTTATCCACGGTAAGAAGTTGGCAATCAAACAATCAAACATTATAGTCAATATCAATTAAAGTTATATGAGCTGATACAACTGATTTATTTTAATTGTTTCGTTTCTATTTTAGTTGTTGAATAATGCTCTGGAATAAAGTTTATGACTCAACAACGTATTTGTGGAAAATGAATGGCTAATTAGTTCAATTCTATGGTTGTATTTCAAACCTTATTTATTTCTTCGATATTATTTAACAAATATCTTTATTTAAAAGTATATATCCTCCAAATTACTTTCTACTAGCCACGACATTGGAAACAATAGATAATAAAAAATAAACCCATGACGCAACTTAATAATAAAATCGAATCCAAAAAATAAAGACAAGACAAAATAGGATAAGTTATTGACTTAAAAATGGCTAGGATTGGTCTTGAGTCAGCATTTGAAGCTACTGTTGCTACATGGTGACATCATCTTTTAGGTTTTAGGCCTCATTTATAACATTTAAATGTAGTTCTTTTATAGTTTTCATAACTTGTAGTTAAATTTAATGTTACCGTGTTAGAGACTACTAGCCAATTGTAGACATTAGAGAATTATGTGAATTAGTCTTTGTAAATAGATATTCATTGAACTAAGACGTGTATTTTTAAGCTGTACATCTTTTTAAGCTTTACATCTATTCTTTGTCCGATTAGCTGTAACATAGCGTTTATTATTTTGTTAACATAGCTTGTATTGCAGATGAATACTCTTTATTTTTATTCAAAAATAAACTTGATATTGGGGCAAGACTTTCCTTTAAAGGTAATTTAGTATTCAAATGACGTAAAACAATCTATAGTAAGGGGACAAAAAAAATAAACTGATCTTGTGGTGCCTGTAGAATTACCATTATAGTCATTAATCCTTATATCTTAAATAGACCATCGATGTGGATTTACAAATCATGCATGTTGTCAATCCACTTTGTTAATTATTTTTATTAATTCATCTTTTTTACCCCTTTTTTTATTTTTATCAATAATAAATTTTGAACAATCGGATCTGCATACAACGGTCTTTTATTGTAAATCATTTATCAATTATATGACGTAATTATGATTTGATAGTGAATAATATTAACAAAGCCTATAGAGACTACGCCTTTTACCAGTCTATGTTTTAGTAGAACACCCCATCCAACAAAATTATCGTCAATTTTCAACTAGTTTGATGACACTTGATCACAACTTACTATTTGACAATTAATTAATTTACCTAAAAATAAAGGGGCATAGGGAGTATATGGTCTTTTACTTCCAGTTATTTTTTAGGTAATCTATGTTCATGGAAAATAATGTGTAAATCATTGATGTGTAAGTCATGACGATATACCTTCTTGCTTATGATAATGACGTTGTAACTGTCATATAGCGTTAATGTGGGAGTTTTTGGTCCCCCACAGCAGCAGCAGAAAATGTCTCGATTTATGATGTCGCAATATCCCTTGACCCAACTGCTGCGACATTGGAGGCTGACTAAAAATCAAATATGATTTGATTGTAAAGATAAAAATGACAGTTGGTGTTTAACTAACTAACTATCTATACAGTATTCATCAATTAACACAATATCATTGCTCAATTTCATTAATGAGTTCGATTTCTGAAGATTTGCTAATAAATATTGATCCAAGACATGCTGAAGGTCAACATTATATCAACATCAAATATGGTTATTTCATTTTATTTCTTTCAGGTTTACATATAATCTGGTCACAATCAATAAAGTATATCTATCTTAGGAAATGGTCTCAATCAGGTAGTAATATAAACATCTGGAAGAAAATTTCTTCTATTCCTATATGGGTAACAGTGATTATTTGGTCATTGATTTATTTCATCCTTTTCCCATTTCATATAACAGAATGGTCAGAGAATTATACCACAGCCATTAAAAGATCAGGTAGAATAGCTTATGCTTTAATTCCACTCGATATATTCTTAGTTTTGAGACCTTCAAATGTAATTGGGTTCAAAATTGGTTATTACTTGGAATCTTTAAATCTTCATAAATGGATTTCAAGATTAATTGTCTTAGCTGCGGTAGTTCACGGATGTGGATTTACTTATAAATGGATTATTGATGGTACAATTTTAGAAAAGCCATTTGTTATATTGAACTTTTTAGGTGTGGTGGTATTCTTATTTGCTGTTACATTGGTAATTATATCCATAAGACCAATCAGACAAAGAATCTATCAAGTGTTTTATATTCTTCATGATTTCACTGCATGGATATTCGTCATTCTTATCGCTTTCCATGCTAGACCCGGTGTTTTATGGATTGCTGTATTAAACTCTCTCTTATTTGCTGTTCAAATTTATCAAAGATTCTTTAGAGCTCATTACGTGCATAATATTCAAGTTCTCGGCAAGAGCCACTCATTACAAATTATAAGGATTGAAAGACCACCTGATTTCCCTTCAACATTCTTACCTGGTTCCCATATAAGATTGACTTATTCCAACTTGAATTATAAGTCTTGGTTCTTACCAACTCATCCATTTACAGTGGTTTCAAATTCAGATTCAAATTTGATAGAGTTAATTGTGAGTCCAACCGTTAATTTCCAACTCAATTCATCATTGATTTATTCTTTAACTGGTCCATTCCCATCATTACCAAAACCATTCTTTGAAACTGTTCAAAACTTAAATATAATTTGTGGAGGTTCAGGTATTTCTTTTGGATTACCTGTATTTAAATATTTAGCTAATTCACCCAATATTAAATCATTGAATTTAATTTGGTGTATTAGGAATAAGAAAGACTTACAAATCTTAGAGAACTTTTTTGAACACCTTCCAGAATCATTGCATATTTATATTACAGGGGATACAGGAAGTAAAGAAGAAACTTTATTTGATGAAGAATCAGAAGAATTACTTTTTGGAAGTAATTCTCATCAAGAAGAAAACATTGAATTAGACCAATTAGATAAGCCAACAAAGGAAAAAACTAGTAATATCCATTATAATAGACCCGACTTCAATGAAGTCTTTTCTAGTTTCCATTCAACTGGTGATAGTGACAAGCAATGGTTGGTAGCTTGTGGCCCAAGTGACCTAGTCAATGACGCTCATGCCTGGAGTAGGAAAAATAACGTTCAATTTTTCTCAGAAGTATATGAAATGTAATTCAACGTATAATTAATATCTTCTTCATATATCGTTATAACTGTAGATATCATTATAGTAATATAGATATAAATTAATTGACAATACGTAAAAAAGAATGATTACTTTGATTGCAAAAAAAAAGCTTCGTTGTATAATAGCTCGCACTCAGGATCGAACCAAGGACCAACAGATTTGCAATCTGCTGCGCTACCACTGCGCCATACGAGCTATTAACAAATCCGTAAATTTTTAGAAAAATGATAAAACCATTTAATCACGTGACCAAAATTAAGTTTCAAAATTTTTGATTTATGGATTGTTATATTGTCAATGATTTGCTAAGTTTATATGTAAATGATAGTAAGAAATAATTTTATACTTGACTTTGGATCAATTTAATGTAAATATTAAAACATTCAGAAAATATGGTGAATGAATAAAGCCTTAAAATAGTCCAAATTTTTCATATTCGTAGATGACTTTTCAGATTATCAACATGAGATCAGGAAGACAATATTTGTCCATGATAACTTTACAAACTAATAGTAATTACTAAGTGACCATTCTCCCTAGTGAAATATATGACTTGAAATATTGGATTTAGAAATATATAAAGTTAATCGAAATCAATTATTGAAGTCATCAATTTTTGCAACTTTACTTTTTCAACTGAGATAAAAATTTAAGATGAAAATCGCGTAACCAAAGCTATCTATAATTTAAAGTTGCAATCTTCTTTTAATCAGACTGTTATAGGTTAGAGTGACGAGTCAGATAATGTTACATATATAAGATCAAGATCAATAACAGCTTAAAGTCATGTCTACTTGTCGAGATTTGCTGGAAGAGCCTACTTTAGTGACTCGAATAAAGGGATCTGAATCGCGTTTCAAAGTACGCGACTTACTTGCATTGAATGATCCATCAAAAGCATACTTGCTGCCTTTGGCAGTAGTAGGTTTAATCGATCTTAATGCTTTCTTTGCTCAAGTTGAACAAATCAGATTAGGCTTATCCGTCGACGATCCTATAGTTTGTGTTCAGTGGCAATCATTAATTGCTGTATCATACGCGGCCAGGAAATATGGAATTCATAGAATGGATTCAGTCAAGACTGCAAAGGAGAAGTGTCCTAATGTCATTTTAGCTCATGCTGCCGTGTTCAAGCATGGTGAATCACACTGGAAATATATTCCAAAAGTACCTTATCAAGCCTTCTATAAAGTGTCATTAGATCCATATAGACGTGAAAGTAGGAAAATCATTCAATTAATCCAACAACATTGTGATATAGTTGAAAAGGCTAGTGTGGATGAAGCCTATATGGATTTTGGTAGATTAGTATTCAAAGAAGTAATGCTGCTTTTCCCGGACATACTAAATTCTAACGATCCAAATGCTACTTTGCCTCCAATTCCAAAGGAGTTGCCTTCAAAGCTTTCATATATTGGCGAAGTAATACTAACAAATGAAGAAGAAAAGAAAATCAGAGACGAAGGAGCACTACCTCAATCTCCTGAACCTCCAGCATTAGAAGTAGAAGTAAATGATTGGGATGATATTTTAATGATGATAGGCTCTCGTTTATTGCATGATGTGAGAATGTCAATCTATAAAGAAATGGGGTATACTACTTCAGCTGGTTTAGGTAGAAACAAATTAATAGCTAAAGTTGCAGCGGGATTTAAAAAACCAGATAATCAAACTATTATTCGAAATTCACTGATTAATAATTTCTTCAGGAATTTTCAATTGGTTGACTTTACAGGAATGGGAGGTAAAATTGGTGAATCTATGGTTCAAAGACTTGGGGTACCTCCTGATAAGAATTCCACAAGTTACATACGTGAGAATTTTACGTTAGAAGCCATAGAAGATGAAATTCGAGAAGATTTACCATTAGCCAAAAAGGTATATGAAATAGTCAGAGGAAATCACCAACAGGAATTAACCAACAAACTTGAAACTAAATCAATGATGTCTAGAAAGAACTTTTTGGTAAACCATCCAGTGACTACATTAGGGGCTGCATATGGATGGTTGAGAGTTTATGCTGGTGATTTGTATAATAGAATGATAGAGTTAGATGACCAAAATTTAAATTTATCAATGCTGCAAGTATCAGAAAGAGATAAAGGAATAGTTAGCAGACCTCGAACATTAATGATGCATATTGAGACCACTTCAAGAAGCAAGTTTACTAAAAGATGTGGAATCTCTGTATTCAGATCATTGGAGAAATGTAAAGAACAACTCGAAACTATAAGTATCAAGCTTCTCAAGGAATTACTAGAAGCCAATACCAATATAGCCGCTCTAAACAATGACAAATCTTTGAAGACTTTAGAAGCAGCTTCTGTGAATCCAGAGAACATAAATATCATTTCCATTTCTGCTATGTCGATAACGATATCAAATTTTATGAAAACAACAGATGCCAGCTTAATAGATACGTATGGTGGTCTGAAAATAGATCATCTGGAAGATCTCAAAAGAGAATTTCGAGAAATCAGTGAAGAATTGGAATTTAAGAAACGAATGGAAGAACAAGAGGTAAAACTGACTACAAGGGAAGTATCAGAGGTTGACAAGTTGTATATAAAGCAGCTTTTTAAAGATTTTAATAGTAACGAGATCAATCAAGTTGAAAAACATATCGCTAATAGTATAAATGATTCAAAACGAGAATCAGAATCTAAGAAGACTGAGACCAAGAAAGCAGATCCCGACTATATAAAGAAGCTCTTTCAAGATTTCAATGCCGAGAGACATGCCTTTGGTACCAGAGATCTAGATACAACTGAATCCTTGTCGAAGGAATGTTCACCATTTCCTAAGATAGATACTAGTACATCCCGAAAGACAAAAAGACCAACAAATGATATATTCCTGTCTTTGAAAAAGAAGAAAACAGAAAAGGGCAACGATCAAGAAGACTTGTTAAAGGAACTTATAGAGACGATGTATTGCAAATCATGTAACACTGAAATAGTGGATGCCATGGAGCATAATGATTTTCATGTCGCCATGAAATTATCAAGCAAGATCAATGCACCATAATTAGCCCCTGCAATAAATATATTTCTATATATGTATATATATAATGAAAAATTTAATTTTCCATATCTAAGGCTAACTTCATGATTCTTTCTTTATCTCTTTGTCTATTTTCTCTTTCTCTTATTATAGAAGTTGCAAATTTGGCATCGGAAGGTAATTCAATCTTCTTTGCGACATTTCCATTTTTAGTAAGAAGTCTGAACGCCAACTTCCCGTTTGTTATTTTACTTTCATCTTTGGTTTGAGGAATTGAAACTGGATTCCCAATTGAATGTCTTGTATTTAAAGTGACATTCTTTAAATTTGTTTCATAAGATTCAGTTAAAATCTTTTGAAATTCCTTTCCGAGATCATCAGCAAATTTATTAGTATCTCGTTTCCTTGAATCAATATCACCACGCGTAACAGAAGCATCAAGGTTTACATCATCATCATCATCATCACCAGTTTCAGAATTGGTAGATTTATATGAAAGTACTTTGGCGACAGCTTCATCACCCAACAATTCCTCTTCATCTTCTTCATCTTCGTCTTCCAGATCATCATCAGAATCATCATCTTCCTCCTCTATTTCTTCATCTTCCAGATCATCATCATCATCTTCATCTTCATCACTGAAATGGTCTTGAGCTCCAAGTCCTTTCTTCTCCACAATTTCTTTCAACTTTTGTAAAGTTTCACCTAAACTTTCATATCTTTCAATACCATCAATTTCACCATACTTCTCAAACAAATCATGTAATTTAAATTCCAAATCAACGGGTACAGGTTGTTGTTTACAGAACACATAATATTGGAAAAATGCAAAAAATGTCCTCAATAATTCCTTATTTATACGAGAACCTCTCAGACGTCCACGTTTGGAACGAGTTCTTTTAATAGTATTAGCACTTGTATCAATTGAAATCAACAATAAGCAACAAAGTTGAATTCTGAAATAATTATCTGCTGAATCCATTTTAACGGAATAATTATTTGGAAGGGGTTGATTATTGGGATGTCCATAACAAAGGATTTTATTTAATACAGCATTGATGAATTTGAAATTAACCAATTTAAAATTAAATAATTCAGCTAAATATTTCATATGGGACATTCTTATTCTATTACGTCTATAATCATTCTCTTCAAGACCTCTTATAATGTTTTCAATTAAGAAATCAACGGTTCTAATCACGATATTTTTACGTACCAGTTTAAGTACAAATGCTAAAGCATGAATATTATCATAATTGATTAAATCAGGATGAGAGAAACATTGAACCACAAATGTTTCATTACTTCTAAGATCTACTTTGTTTATCTCAGATGAAATGATATTTGCTGTTCTCTCATTTAATTCAACTTTCAATAATCTTTGAATATATTTCTCCACATCAGTCAATTTAACGGATCTATCAGCAGTCTTGATTGTATTAATTGTAGGAGGATTGATACTTAATAATAAATTATTGATAGCAAGTTTTTCATTAATGGTCATGCTTTGACTTCTTTTCTTTTCTCTTAAAAGATTAATCATTTCAAGCGTGAATTCTTTATATTCGGGTTCTTGAAGTAAGAATCTACCCACATGTTCATAAAACACCGATAAGACATCTATATTGTTTGATGCTGCGATATTTAAAGTTAAGGTTCTGATTTTATGAAATATAACATAACTTGGAACCAATTTAAATTTGATTAATTCCACAAAGAAAAATATATTCTTGAAGTTTAACTTATTATGATAAATTTGGGATCGGAACCCTTTATCCAAATAATCTCTTAATGTGGTTATGACATCTTGTAAGGGATCTTCAAGAATCTTAAGAAATCGAGTATAATACTTTAAATTATTAACATCTGAATCTTCAATTAAAAACTTTAATAATCTATTTGAGGTAGCTTTATTCAAAAGATTGGAACGATAAAATTCAATGGCCATAAAATCTATATCATTATCATTGGCAACTTGTAATCTTTGTAAGAGATTGGCAACTATTTCACCATCGGATAATTCTTCACTTGGTCTTTCTTCATATTCTTCTTGTAATTCTTGTAAAGTAGGGATCTTGGTATAAAAGTTCTTTTCTTTGATATCACCCCAATAACCTACTGATTCTTCATCCTCAGTCTTTTGTTTGACAACTTCAACCAGATTCGTCATATCATCAAGAGAAATTGAATCACGTCTATCATTGATGGTTTCTAATTGAATATCAAAAATAGATGCAATTAATTCATTCCCTGTTTTGAATTTTTCAAATAATTCTTCAGTTTTAACCAATTCAGATTCATTTTCTTCTAATATTCTCCCAGTTCTGATGGAAGCTTTAATATTTCGTTTCTTTAATCCATAAACTTTATCATTTAACATAACTGTTATATTTGAAATCTCAGCTGAATAAAGTTGAAATATATTTTTAATCATTTGTCTTACTTTAGGAGGTAATAAATCATTATTATCATCTTTGAAAATATGTTGAAATCTTTTTAAATATGATGAAACTATAAATAATGAATTCCCCAGTTTAATTTCAAAATTAAGAATATTTTTAAGCATGACTGTTATAATTGATTCTGAAGATGCCTTTCCAAATCTCTTCATGATTTCATCAGGCACTAATTCTGGAGTTGTATCTCTTAAATTTCGGAATATGCCCACGATATTGAATTCTCCCAATAAGCGTAATATATTCTTTTGTCTTGAAAGTCGGGATATTTCCTCTCTATCTCTCTCTTGATCAGAGAGTTGTTGTAATTGTTGTCTATCTGGATTAGATAGAATATATAAAAAGTTACTTAATAAAGGAGAAGTAAACTTTGATGCAAATCTTTGATGTAATAATGATACCACCTCAACAGCTGCAATTATATCATCATGTTTGGATATTTTAATCAATCCTTCCACTAAGGACGCTATAATCTCAGAGAGATACTTCTCAAGCGATGTGGTTAGAATATCAGTGATCACCCCTTTATATTGATCATGGTTGATATAAGTTCGTACTTTCTTTATAAAAGTGGTGTTCTTCTTTAAGGATGAATCTAGTTTCCCTTTAACTTCATATTGATAATCAGGAGTCCAAGCTTCTGTATTCAACTCATACAATTCTTTTCGTCTTGAATCATACTCTTCCGACATCTCACCATATATCAATCAATGGAGTCAGTGCCTTCTTGAATGTATGATATCTATCATAAAAGTTGTTTGACCGTCAATTTCTGATGTATCACCAAAGGAGAGGGAGGGCAGAAAAAAAAGAGGCCAGAGCAGAACAAAAAAAATTTTGACTGTGAAACAATTCTGATACAATTTACAATGATCGTTATGCAGTTTCAAGTTCATTAATGCTTTATATTTGTTATCTATGTACATAAAAGAGCGAGAAGAACTATATATACAGGGAGGGAGGGGGAAGGAAGGAGGGATGGAATGTATGTAACTTGTTTATTCAATAATTGGATCAGTACCTCTAACTCTATGGAATACTCTACCCTTTGGTAAACCATATTTTTGTCTAATTTCAGGAACACTTCTATCAAACACTTGTCTCCAAACATGAGCTCCAATTGGATTTAAATTATTTGAAGCGACAAATTGTCTAATATCAAACTTTTCACTTGATATGGTTGATGATGATAATTGTAATGGTTCAGATTGTCTGAATACCCATAAACATGCTCTTTGATATTTACCAGCATTCTTTTCGGGTAATAATGGTACATATGATTTAAAAGTGAATTTATCTTCAACATCATTCAATAAGGTTTGACAATCTATTATATTATTGACATTATTAAGAGGAATATTTTGTAACCCATAATGTAAAGTTGTTGAAAATGAATTGGTTGATAAATCAGGTGAATCAGGATTAACTACTATAACAGTATATAATTGATTTGGATTAACTGTTTCAAATTCTTGAATTTGAACAGTTGGAGGTTGTTCAACTGCAAAGGCTGGTAATACTTCACCTGGAACTATCCAATTACTAAATTGAGATTCGGAATTATGAGGAAATTTAACTTTAACATCAGCTTTTGGATTTAATGTGGGTAAAGTATCTGGAATAACTCCTAATTGTTCTAATCTTTGCATAGTAATCATTAAATCATATTTTTCCCATTTTTGTTTAAGATAATGTCTATAAACAGGATGAGATTTATCTAATGATTCAGGTTTATTGAATTCAACATTATATAATACTTCCGGATTATATAATTCAGCTTCAGTTAATAATTGATCTATTCTATTTTGAATTGATATAGTGGATTCAGTACTATTAGATTCTGATAATTTCTTTTCCATCCCTTTAACATGAGTATATTTTATATTTGCTTCATGTTGTAAGATTTCATAAGCTTGTTTAAAAGTTTCATCAATTTCATTTGGAGAATGATAAGATAACTTTTGAGTATAATTCTCTATGGAATGAGGACCTTGTTGTTCATTAATCTTATCAAATACCCCCTTTTTAATATCATCATTATCAATCTTTAATGATGTTGGTCTAAAATTGAAATCAGTCCATGCATCTTTTATCTGAGTTTTAGAGCTACTACTTTCCAATCTTTTGAAATTCTTTAAAAGAGAAGTGACTCTCGTGCTTCTTAATGATTGACTCATCCTTATAACAGGTATAATTATGAAGGTAGAATGGTAGATAAGTAACCCCTTTAAAAGCTTTCTTATAGTTTTTCAACTTAACTCGAAATGAAAAAAAAATTTATTTGGCACAAACCAAAAATGGACAGACTAGAATTTACGCACACGACTATATTTAAACTATGATATAATTTACACGCCTTTTTTTAATGCTACACGATACAGTAAAGATAGATACCATAAATATATTTGTAGTAAATGAAATAAAAGTAGTAGGATGAATTAATCATCCATTGCCCATAAATACCACCAGAATAAAATAAAACAAAGCAAAAGAAAATAATACCAATTAAGAACCAGTCTAAAGTAAAAAAGAAAGAACTAAAACAAAAACATAGCCAAGCCAGAAATAAAAAGAAGGGCTATAAAAACTAATTTAATCTATTTTGAAACAAATGAAGGGGTTAATGGTAATTTATCAAATTTCATAAATGTATCATCATCATTAATTTCCATTTTTGGGAATAAACCAGGCATGATTGGATTAAATTCATCATCGATATTTTCATAATCTTCATAACCATCATCGAAATCTTCTTCATTTTCATCAGAGAAATATCCATCATCATCTTCAAAATCCTTATGAGGGTGAAGGAATCCTGATCCATTCATTATAGGTGATAATATGAATTCTTTATCCACTTTAAACGGGGATGAAGATCTTTGAAGGGGAGGTGGTGGAGTTGAAGATGATATTCCAGAGGGGAAGAAATTATGATATTCATCCGGTAAGAAAGTAAATGACAGTCTATTACTTGCGATACTATCTTTATTTGGAGGATGTATTTGACTATCATGATTACCATGATTAAAAGGAATTCGATAAATTAACCCAGTTAAATCATCATAATAAGAATTTATATCGCGATGTAGATTTAAATTAAGCAATTGTTGTTGATGAGAATCCGATTGAGTTGGAGATGAATGTTTTAATTTTGACCATTTTAATAAATCTTCTTTAGGAGGAGAATTGCCATCAACTATTATATTTCTTAAATTGGTTAAACTTGAAGGACGAGATTGTAATACCGGTGAAGGAGATTGATAGGAGTCATGATTTGAACTGGAAGGTTCTAAAGTGATTTGATTATCATTGAAACCACATGATTCCATTTGATTAAGAAACTCATTGTATGATGATACAACGTTGTAATCCATGATTGCTATTTAATATAATTTATGAAAGACTAAAGGGATGATTGATCATTGATTGACCTTTTACAATTAGGGATTAATGATAATTTTGTTTGGTGCGTACGAGTACTCCTTAATCACTAATGATAAGGTGAATGATTGAAGGGAAGGGATATGATATGATATGATATGATATGATATGATATGATGTATTGGAAGGAGTAAAGTGTTGATTGAATGGAGTCACTTTTAAAGGGTAAGACGGTAATCTAAGCCTGTAAACTTGTATTGTTAGTGACAGCGATAAGGGTAAACACCAGTTACCACCAATTTAAAACAATCCCAAACAACAATAGTGTTAGATTTGGTTATTATAAGATAACCAACTAACCAAAAGTATGAGATATATAAAAAAAACCGTATCAAACAGTTGTTTTAATTCGATTTTGAGAATGAAACGGCTGTTCAATATATATTTATAACAAGAAGAAGAAGAAGAAGAAGGAATATGCTTTTATTTTTGTCCTCCTTATGATAAAGCAGTTAGAGCCACGACGATCAAATTTAAATTGCCGTAATCTTAAATTTTATATACAGGTGGGAACCATATCATCATATCCGTTACCGCACCTCATTATAATGAAAAACGGCGATTCAATCCATTTTACTCCTCCTTTTATCAAAGATATTTTAATAACTAATAGCGCAATTTTTGATTTATTAATCGATGAAGTTTATTGTGTCATAACCAATCAATTCCGCCTTCTCGATTTGGAATTAAATGGAGATACTTTGAGTCAAGTCGAGTCATAATGCTTGGTTAAAATAAAAATGCCTTAAAAAAAGCGCTTAAATTTCTTATTTGAGTTTAAGCATCAACCTACCAGTAATCTCTAACGGCTAAATTGTGCTAATATCAAATGTTAGGGCACTTTTTTTATTTACAGAATGACGATTATCGTGTTTATAAAAACCATAATAATATTTATTAACCTGATATTTAATAATAATAAATAATAATAATTTACACTACTTCTACATTACTTAGAAAAGTATTTTAATCTACTTTTAGTCTTCCTTACTTCTCATTATGATATCCCTTTGGATAAACTCCAGCAGGTAAAGTTGGAATTTGGGAATGAGATCCATCATTGGTACTTGATATCAGTTGTCTACCAGTTCCAGAATTATGAGATCCCGATCCTAAAGCTTGACCAGTTTCAATTAATCTACTTTGTAAAGCTAATGTATAATCTCGAAGTTGTAAATTTTCTGATCTTAATTCATCAATAGTTTGTCTTAATTGATCAATTTCAGCTGCTTTACTTTCTAAATCTTTAATATATTTATCTTTTCTTTGTCTAAATGCTCTTTGAGCTGATCTATTCTGAGCAGCTCTCTTGGTAGTTGACACAACTCTAGTATACTTTTCCGCAAGTTGTTGTTGTTGTTGACTTTGTTGACTTTGTTGGGATTGACCTTGTTGAATTTGAAGTTGTTGAGAGGATTTCTTTCCATTATCATGAGGTAAATTATATGCTGATTCTAATCGAGCAGCAGCAACAGCAGCAGCAGCTTCATGAGCAGCTCTAACTTGTTCATCCTGACTAGACCCATCATTATGATGAACATTGGCCACAGCAGCCGCAGCAACTTCATCCACAACAGAATGGAAACCATCTTCATTATTTTCATCATGATGTCTCGTAAATGAGGGATCAAATTTAGAAGAATCTTCCACTCCCTTTTCAGTATTATCACTAGCCCAAGTTGTGAAATTTGTATTCATAGTAGATCCTTTCTTATATTGATTGATTGATGATTAATAATATGAGATGCAAAAAAGATAGTGATTGTTTATAATTTTTATATGAATAATCAATTATGTAATTATTTTTTGGTTTGCTTTGTCATTGATGACAAAGAAATTACTTCGCCATTGTTTGTTACCCGGACTACAAGGACTCGTGCCCAATCCCGTGATCTCGTAAATTTTATGAGGCGTGGATGTTATTGATGTAAATTTTAACTACATCTGTAAAATTGTGATGAGTCTTTTAACATACCCTGACCTGCATATATTGAGCATGCATATAATTATAACCATCATAAGGAGTGAAATCATAAATCTACAATCGGTAACGAGAAAATGGTTTCATCGAATAATTAAAAATTAAACATACTGTGGAGATTGATTTGATTATCTTAAACAGAATTTACCATTACAGGCTTATTTCACCATACATACTATATATAAATCCAAACCTTTTGATATATTGTTATCTCTACCCTTCATCACAGTGGGATATGGTAGTTTTGAAGACCTAATTAAGAAAATTACAGTGTAAGAGAGATATCGGAATTGATAAGGCGAAGAGGGAAATGTCAGATATTGAATATTTAGGTCCACCCGGATTTGGGGATCCTTCTTCTTCTAATACACCTACATCTTCATCATCACCATCAGTTTCATTAAGTCAAAGACGAACATCTAATTTCTTTCCAACCAATAATAAAACCTCGGATGAGTATTCGGAAATGTTATTTACGAAACATCAACTTAATTCTCCAATCATTAACGTCCTTCCAAATAATAATAATCATAATAATCATCATCATAGACGTTCAACTGCTTCTTCTACTACTTCTGTACATACCAATAATAATAATAGTGGTAATGGAAATGGAAATGGTTCATCTAAATTCTTTAGTGGTCCATCAACATCATCATCGTCAATCAGTATTGATCCCATGACTCCATTCACATCATTAAATGCTTCGTTGAATACCACTCCAACCATTGATAATAACATGCCCTTGAATCATAGTAATACTAGACTCACCCAATCGTCAATTGCTGTATTTGGTGGTATTGATTTTGTATCATCGCCACCTCCCGTCAATTTTAATCAATCACAATCACAGTTTTATTATCAACAGACACCAACAACCACTACGACTACTACACGTCCTAGTTTTTCTAATTCTATATCTTCACCTCAACAACAACAACCACCACCACCAAAAGCATCAAGTACGTCGGCGTTAGGTGCGGCGTTACCATCAAGTAATAATTCAGGAACTGCCACTACTACTACCACCACTACTAGAAGTACCAATAGTACACCAATTGCTAATCCGTGGTCTATATGGAATGAATCCCCTATAGGTGTTTCTGGAAATGGCAATGGATCTAAACAAAGTCCAAGTAATGGAAATACACCGGTCTTATTTGATCATTCTTCATCTACTACGCCTAAACTTTCAAGTCTTCGTGATTTTATTAATAGTGATCTTATGTTCCAAGATGTGATTGAAGATGATGATGATATGGATGATATTGGACCTGGACTGAAGTATCGTAATGATTTATTATTCTCACCATTTTTAAGTGGTGGGGGTGATCAATCTCAACAATTTAATCCAATTCATCATCCTCTACAGCCACCACCTCAACCACAGTATGTTGATTTTCAATATCAAAGTAATACCAGTCATAGTAATAATAATAATAATAGTAATAATTATCAAGGTTCAAATAGGACTAATTCAATGTCATCATCAGGAACAATCAAACCCAAACGAGAAAATATCTATGTGAATAAAACCAATATTCCTCAATTCATCCCCTCATCATTCTCACCTCCAGTACCGATAGCGACGATGCCAACCCATGCTATTCCGATTGAAATAACTCAATCAGAACGGAATTTAGAAGATATGAGACAATTAATAAGTAAACCTCGAAGTAACTTCGGTGGAATGGATGAAGAAGTGTTAAGTGATTCATATTTGGAAAGTAATGATGAGAATCAATTACAACTTAAATTGGAAAATCTTATTAAACGTGAAGAAGATATGTTTAGAAACAGTAATAATAATAGTACCAATAATAATAGTAGTAATATTTATCAAAGGAAAAGTATTAATGATGGTCGGATACCAATCAATGATAATCAAGCTAGTCACTCCACCACCGCTAATAATAATAATCCAGGAAGTATTAATCGAAACACAGTGACATTGAATTTACCAAGACATTATCAATCGACTGAATATGATAATGAGGAAGAGTATGATAATTCTTCATTTGATGATAAATTATTCATTAATGATATTTTAATGTCTAAAGTATCTAATAAATATGCCGAGGATTATGCATCAACATTTTATAAACGGAATTCTCATGGATATATGTTTATTAAAGAACCTACCACCACATTAAAAGTGAATTCAACAGGGAATAAATCATGGGTTCAATTAAAGATCAAATTACCTCCTTTAACCACGAATGAGAATTTAATTCAACCCTTGGATACTTCATTGGTGGCTAAGAAATTAAAAGTTGATATCAAGCAATTACCGTTATGGAGACCTATAAATCTTAATTCATCTTCAGCATCATCATCATCATCTAATTATGATGGTGGGTCAGGATCTTCTTCATCGTCGTATAGTTATCATCAAGGAGGAAATAAACGTATGGATAATGGCAATGGCAATGGGAATGGGAATGGAGGAGGTGGTAGTTATGTTTCAAGTAAGAAACATGACTTTAGAAAACCCAAGAACTTGAATGTTTCGAAAAGGTTTGGGAAGAGAAATTCAGAATAGTATAGTATAGAGACACTTATATATATATAGTTACAGAGACAACATATAATGATACCCCTAATTATTTAATTAATTAATTAAATAAATAATATAACATTTTATGGTTAATTTTTGCAACTTTAAAAAAGTACTGCCGCTATTATATGCAGTCCCCAGACATATATGGTAATGCTTCAATTTTATTGGTGGAGACAGAATATGAAGTTGCAAACCATAATTACATTTAGTATAACAAGAAAAACAGACTAATAATATGATTACCGGTATACCTATAATTATAAGAAATCTTAATATGAGGTAATTTACATATAGTCTAATATATTATTGACGACATATACCCAGTACTTCATGGTTTTAACCATTCAATGGCATTATAATTCAAATCGTATGATTATTAAAAGTGGTGCGAAAATCGACCTTGACTATTGCAGTGTGGATGTTTGGTCCATTTACCAATCAATTTAACAGAAAACTTGAAAATCTGAACAGAAAAAAAAAAATTACAAAAATAAAAAACCAAAAAAAAAAAACACAGACCATTTCAACTTTCAACTTTTGGTTCAATTATATATCAAAGGTTTCTTTTAATTTCCATCATCCATATATCATCTTTCTCTCTTTCAAGTGAAGTTCTTAATCTACCTCAATTGAAGTGTTTTGAAATCAAAGATTACTAAGTGGCATCTCCATCCATTCATCCATCAATCAATTCAATCAATCCCCGATAGTAAACGTCCATCGCATCAGCTAACACTTTATATATATTCAAATATAGTATAGTATCAATCACATTCAACAACAACAACAACAACACTCATACATACATTACAATGTTTTCTTCATCCATCCGTACTGCCTTAAGATCAAGAGCTGTTATGCAAGCTCCAAGATTCTCAACTGTTATGACTAAATCTGTTACCCCAGTTAGAATGTCATTAATCTCACAACAACAAATTAGAGGTTATGCTGATCATCATGAAGAAACTTTTGAAGAATTCACTGCCAGGTATGTATTAGATTAACTTTATCCATGTCAATGACAAAGTCATTGACCATTGAATGTTTTTACTTTATCCACATTATACTAACATTTATTCTAGATATGAACAAGAATTTGAAAATGCTTACGATTTATTCGAAGTTCAAAGAATCTTAAACAATTGTTTTTCTTATGATTTAGTTCCAGCTCCAGTTGTCATTGAAAAAGCTTTACAAGCTTGTAGAAGAGTTAATGATTATCCAACTGCCGTTAGAACTTTTGAAGCTTTAAAACATAAAGTTGAAAATAAAGAACAATATCAAGCTTACTTGGATGAATTAAAAGATATCAGACAAGAATTAGGTATTGATTTAAAAGAAGAATTATATGCTGATGAATCTTAAATTGGTTTTAAAACTATGAAACAAACAAAGAAACGAAACGATTTATTCCCGTTAAAAAATTACATTAAATTTAAAAAATTCCAAAAAAAAAACAATTTTATCAATAAAAGAGATAGTTTATACTTTTTACTTCTTCTTTTAAAACAATTTCCCATTTTTGCATATTAATATATTTCAATACTTTGAAAGAAATCAATCTTTCACTTTTATATTAAGTTTTCCAACTCCTTATTTTTTGATTAGTTAAGTTACAAATACATTTTTATTTTTTTTATTTAAAGATAAAATTGAAAGTTATTCATCATTATGTTATCATCACGCTCATACATCGGATAAGTGTATCCTCTAGTTAGGTTATACCACCCTCTTGTGTATTTTTATGAAGTTGAATGAATAGTTTATTTTGTTTTTATAAGATTATGTTAGATCTGTAGTTTATTAATCAACTGTTGTTGATTGGGTAATTTCATAAACTGACACAATTATAAATCAATCAACCCCCATGACCCCATTTCAAACCACATCGATCAATCAGAGACTATGAAATACACGTCATAACCATCTCTAACCATAATACCTGATCAAATTACTCCTATACTATACCATGACATTGTTGGGTGGTTTTTGTTGATACTTTATTAGTCACATGACTGATACTGGTACAACAAAATTTAATTTTTTTGGCCACACCCAAATTGACCAGGGCATGATCTATATTTAGAAAGGGCAATTCATTAACTCATCTTCAATAAACTTAACATCATTAGAAGATATATCCTTGCCATCAGAACTCTTCCTTAATCCCATTCGAGAGTTTCATACTCCTCACTGCTTTCATACTTTAGGATAATCCTATCACAATCATGGGTGTATATATACCACCGCCTAATGAAAGTGATGATTCGAAAGATTCAAAAAATAAGAACAAGAACAATACCAAGAACAATAACGATAATAACAACATAACAAAACCTACATCTTCTTCGTCATCACCTCCTGGTTCAACCACCATAGTCATTCCTAATCCAGCAGGATTAATTCCTCATAATCCAAGTATAGGATTATTCTGGGGTCCATTAACCCCAGCCGCAGATAATTTACCAGCCTTTTATGGAGCAATTGGTTTACAATTCCTATTAGGATTAGGATGTTTAAGATATACTCGACAAATACTATTCAGACCTTCCCAGCGAATACTATCTTCTCCATCATCATCGAATTCTCGATTTGTAAGAGGATCAATCTTGAAAGCTTTGGCTCCTGCTTTAGGTGGAATTATAACTATATTTGGAAGTGGATTAGAATTGGCTCGATTAACTTTACCTTATGATCCATGGTATGAAGAAGCCAAATATTATAGAAGATTGGCTACCAAAAATGGTGATGTTCCAAGTAGTTGGTTTGGAGCTTATAAATACTATAAACCAATGGATTTAAATACATGGATAGATAGAACTGGATCATGGATTAAAAATATCGATGGACAATTGGATGATGATGATAAAGAACTGAATGATATTTTTCATAATGGAGGAGGTATGAGTCCTGCCAATGAAAGTCAAAGAAAAGCTCAACTGGCTTCATCTCGATTAATTGCTAAATTAAATAAAGATGATCGATATTTGGAAATTTATCAAAAATTAATAAATACCAATAATAAACGTTTCGTTTCATTATTAGATCATGAATTAAAATCAATCAATGAATTGAATAAAGCTGAAAGACTCGATTTAATCTTAGAAGGTAAATCCCCTCTTGTTAATCCTAATTATACTAAAGCTCATATTCAATTAGGTAAATTCTCCATTGAATCAGATGATGATTTTGATAGAGCTTGGATAAATTTTGAACCATGGGATGAATTAAAATTAGAAACCGAATATGAAATAAGATTGATTCCTCATTGGGATAAATATAATGGTAGTTCAACTGTTGTTGAATCCCAAACTTTAAATGATAATGACGATAATGTCGGTAATGATAATCAATCAAATACCGAAGTTGATAATTCTATATTAACGTGATATTAAGAGAAAGAGAAACAAACAATACAAACAACAACAATAATAATAATTTAGTTATTTTATTTATTCTAATTTTTATGTACATGTTTATTTATATATATACGAAACGTTTCATATGTGCAGAAAAGTATTCTTATTTCAGATCAATTAAATCATCAGCCCATTTCAAACTTCTATCATTATTAGTATTATTATCACTATCAATGGTTGGATTAGTATATTGGGATAAATGGTCTTTCCAAATGATTTCAGCTGGATCTTGATCAGGTTCAACCCATTCAAATCCATCACCTCCACTCATCCAATAAGCTTGCATTCTAATATCTTCTAAATTATCTTTAGCTTCTAATAATCTAATTTTTTGTCCATCTCTAGTATACCCTGGTTGAAGAGTATGTTGTAAAGTTATAGTATCATCATTTTCTCGACATAATTCATGAATTAAAGCTGGATTATTTTCACCACCATTTAATTCTCGATCAGCTTCAACGATTTTTGAACAAAATAACATTTCATCAGCATGTTTAAACCAATGAGTATAGAAAGTCCCCTTTTGCCAGGTTAAATAATCACCTCCGGAACTAATTAATTGTCTTCCAACTCTAACAATAGTGATGAAAAAACTTGAATTAAGGAAATACGTTAAAATCATCGAATTTAATGATCCTAAATGTCTCCAACCTGATGATAATTCTCCAACTTCAATAAGAAAATTAGCTCCGAATTTAGACATTATAGTGATGGCTAATGACGTACCGATTAATCTAATCAATCCCAGTTTTAAAATTTGATTATTATGTTCGATATAATTCGGATGTCCAACTGTGATATCAGAGACTTTAATTGCTCTTTCAAATTCCGCATTATTAATGGCATTTCGAAGAGCGATTAAAGCAGTTGATTTATCGATGATAGTGGATTTAGATGGATTCTTGTCATAATAAAGATTTATAAGTTTTAAATTCGATATGGTTGGTAAATTCAATAATAATATTTGTTTTAATAATGATTGGGAAAATGGGATATTATTATTATCATGATTGAAAATAGTATCGATGATTTCATTAGTTCCTCGTATAAGTTTTGAATTTGGTTCTAATTTCTGTTGGATTGGATATTGAGTATATATGGTCTTACAAGATTTCAATGCATCTATAATATTGGTTTCATTAATGGTATCATGGATATCAGATATCTTTGTCTGTAATTGTTGGAAATTATTGATATATAAAAAGTTATTATCAGTTGATTGTTGTTGTAAATACCTCACTGATGGAAACGACGGCCTTAATAAAATGGATCTAGCAGTATATGACGACGCTAATAGTCTTGTCCTGGAAAGACCAATGATCATTCTATGCTGTCTTTATCCTTTGAAGTAGTTGATGAAGTATCTATCCCGGGATCTATTTCATTTTTTGGGTCTTGTTAAAACTTTTTGCTGTCTCATTTTTCAGTTTTGTCAAGTCGCGTTTTTTTACAGCTTTAAAAAATGACAAAACTTTTCGACAAACCATTTTTCACAGCTAAAAAATAACATAAAATCAATCTATTAAAACTAAACAATTTAATATAAATAAGAACGAAATAAAGAAAATAATAAGCTAATTAAGGATTTTTGTTTGCTTTTGTTTTTTTTTTCAAATGTAAAACGATAAATAATAGAAAAAGTCTTTTAAAATGAAATTTAAAGTCCAATATAGAATCCTAATCCTATAAATGCAAATGCCAAACTAATTAATAAGGACGATGAATTTTGAGATGATTTGAATGATGCCGCCATATTCTTTTGAGCTGGAGATGAACTTGATGCTGATCCAGCGGGAGTAGATGTAGTTGAAGGTTGGACCATAGTGGTAATTAATGATACGGTTGATGGTGGTGGTGGATTATTTTGAGGAGCATTATTAACATATGGAAGAGTGCCGGTGGTAGTAGTGGTTAAAGGAGTAGTTGGAACTGGACTAATACTACTACTACTTGTAATATGAGTTAAGAGCCATTGTTGAATTTGAGCTGCATCCATAGTGGCTGTATTATCAGCTGCATCTATGGTGGTTGGAGTAGTGACAGCACCTGGAACTGCTGGAGTGGTCGTTCCAGTACCAGTTCCCGTAGTGGTTCCAGTTCCTAAGGAAGTAGTTGTTGGTATAACAGTACCAGTAGTTGGTGTTGTTGTTGCTGCACCTGGAACAGCTGCTGTAGTTGGAGTTGTAACCGCACCTGCTGCAGGTGTGGTGGTTGGGGTTGTAGCGGCACCTGCAACTGCTGGTGTAGTTGTTGGAGTGGTAGCAGCTGCTGGAACTGCTGCTGCAGCTGGAGTTGTAGTTGGAGTTGTAGCAGCTGCTGGAACACCAGCAGCAGCTGGAGTAGTCGTGGCAGCAGTGGTTGCAGCTGCTGGAGCTACGGCAGCTGCTGGAGTAGTCGTGGCAGCAGTGGTTGTTGGTGGTACAGCTGCAGCAGGAGCAGCAGCCGCAGCAGCTGGGGTAGTAGTAGTTGTATCAGCTGGATCAGCAGCCAATACTGTTAAAATCAACAAACTAAATAATGAAAAAACTCCTAATTTCATGTTGGAAAAAAATGATGGATCTATTAAGCGAATGAAGGGGTCTTTTTTTTTTCTATATATGGTAGCAATGGAAGACCTAATTACGTTGATTAAAAGATGAAATGAGATGAAATGAACTGAAACCTATACCAGCCTGGTAGTATCTATAAGATCTATATATATAAAAGTAGAAATAATTATAAATAACTAATTCATAAACAAAAAAATTTCGTGTACCTTAAAGCCCCCTCTACACACATTTTCATCACAAGTTGAAACTGTAGTTAACTAATGAGGGATAATGAGAAGAGTTAGGAAGAATAAGGGAGGGATCAGAAATTTAAAATTTGTTGACACAAAAGTCGCCATGAGATTTAAAGACGCGAAATATATCCTTAATAGAGATAGATGGATGCTATATCACTATGATCTGATGGTGTTTCTTGGTCGATTAGATGGAGATTGTATTATATAAATACTGTATAATACTATCAATCCATGTCAATAAGTTTAATTTATAGTTGACATTCACGATAAACTTTTAATAATACACGCTCCCCTTCCTCCCTTCCGCTACATTATTATTAAAATTTTTGTGTAATCATATTGTCATTATTGCTGTTTGAGCTAATAATAGAATTAACTATATATTATATTATATTTCTGTTCCTTTACTATATAGCAATTATCGTAAACCTTTTATCGTAACCTAATATCGTAATTATACAATACATTATTATACCTTTCTCTTCTTCTTTCTCTTCTCCATTTTAGGAGCACAATCAGGACAATACCAAATCTCATCATCTTTAGGTGGAGATGTAATACCAACACAACTCCAATGAAACCATTCATATTTACAATCATCATTATCACATCCAATCATCTCTCCAAATGAAACTCGTTGACAGAAGCAATATAAATTATTATCAGCATCTTCTCCATTATTCAGAGGTCCATTTTCTCCTCCATTTCCTCCCATCAAATTAAGACTTGATCCATGACTTAATCCTGAACCTAACGAACTTCCATTATCAGGTCCTGATGTAAGTTTTATCCTTATATTATTATTATTATTATTATTACTATTATTATTATTATCTTCCACTTCTTCTGATTTAACTCTCTTTAATGGTCTTGAAGTTGATATAGTACCCTTGATAGTAATCGTTTGTTTTCTCTTTTGTTGTTGTTTCTTTATACTTTCAACAGCAGGGGTACCTTGAGCCGTACCAGTTCTTGATGTGGGTGTTGCTGATAAACTTTCTGATATACCATTTAAAGCATTATTAATTTCATTTTTAAATCCAGAATCTCCATCTTCAAATGATGTTTCCACAAGGGGTAACAATTCATCTCTTTCCAACTTTGCAATATCAGTTTCAAAATGAAATAAATGTTTCGATACTAAAAACAATGCTGTATTCGATAATAAAATCTTCTCTTTTTGTAATTTTTGGACTAATTTCATATCTTCTTCAATCTTACTATATAATTGTGATTCCTTAGGATGTTTAGTAAGAGTCCCGTTCGCTCTAATGAACTTATGCAATTGATTATCTTTAGCTTGATAACGTTTTCGTGCTTCTAAAACTTGAACATCTTTATTCCGTATTTCTTCCAATAAATGTCGAATTTCCAAAGGTAAGTTGGATAAATCTTGAGTATATTTCTCTAAAACACTTGAAGTATCCATCTTATCCTGTTATATATATCCTCTATAATAATGTTTTCTTATGTAAAGTGTTGATATGATTTGGTTACCCTTTGATTGATGGCAACCTTTTTAATAAGCAGTGTTGACAAATTATCATCGTTTGAGTTTGGACACGACCACCTTTTTTTTTTTCCTTATTATTCACTGACAGCCATTTTTTTGCAGATCAATGGTTGTTAAGATCAAATTGTGTACTTTACGATATAATCAATGGTATGGATGTACAAAGTATAGAGAATGGCATTAGGAATGCTTCGATAGATGATAATGATGAGGATGATTTCCTTCAAGTGTTGAAAAAAGGTACGAAAGCTGCTACGTCTAATATAACTAAAGATCAATTAGAAAGACTAATTACATATTCCGAAAAATCACTGACTGCAAAGAATCTCCTTGAATTATTAATCAATGATACTGATCTGTTTCTTATGGGGTTATACGTCTTGGGTGATGTTAAAGGAGTTGTCCTTTTCAATGCTCTTTTAATTAATAAATCAGGTAAAGAATTGATGTTAAATTTGCTTTCAACTATCAGAATACGATTGAAAAATGATTTCATCGATAAGTCAAAACTAGATTATCAACTTGAAAAGTACTTAATATCAATCTATCTCAATGTGATCTCAAGATTCAGTATATCAAACCCTCAACATCTTCAAGTATTTCTCGCCTTGATTAACCCTATACATTTCGCTGATCATGACACAACTATTTATAAGGAAATATCAAGAATAGTATTACTTATAGTGATAAAGTATTTAACGATAGATAAAGACACATCGACTGAGATTATTCAAGATTTCTTGGAAATCATATATGAAGAAACGACATTGACAACTTCTCAATTTATAAATTTAATCGATGTATTGGAATTATTATTCCCGGTGATTCCTGAAGTTATAAGTTCAATCTACGTTCATGATCAAATTAAAACTCATATTATGGTTGAAATCCTGAAATTATTCAACAAGGGAGATGAATATGCTTTATCTTTGCCTATTAATCGATTAAAGATTATCCATCTTTTGAAATTAATCAATAGTTCATGTATTACAGAGGGATGTCGGACTTTCAATGCATCACATTATGTGTCATTATTAAAACTTGGGATGGAGTTTGGACTGGATAAAGAAATTCAAATCCTTTCTGTATTGGATCTTATTAAACTTTGGAATTTCATTCAATTAGAAAATCAAAAGGTTGATGATTCAAAATTAAATATCAAAACTGAAGATTTAACCTTTATCTTAACATCATATTTAAGAACTGAATACAAGGGGGATAGGAATTCCATTATAGAACATTGTATTGAAGGGCTTGCATATTTGACTCTTAATGTATCAGTTAAAGAAAATTTCCGATCAGATGAAACTATCATTGAAAATTTAATATCATTACTTGAATTAAATACTCAATCTAAACCCTCAGAGACGTTTCAAAATGAAGGATTCAATTCAAGTCTTGCTTATGGATTATTATTAATATTCACCAATCTTACCAAATTAACCGATCCAAATATGAAAAATAATGATAAATCAACCCTTAAATTCCTCAAGGAATATTCCAATGCAGGAACTCGACAATCAAACGTTTCAGAAGATCAAGCCAGTATAAAATTATTTAATAAAGCATTATTATTCGATCATAAGATTGTGTCTAATATCTCCAAGTTGAAAATCGCCAATATTGAATCTGAATCAGGAGCGAAATCAAAAATGAATAATCTCATCCCATTAACTATCAATATCATCTTAATGATAGCAACCACATCGGAAAAGAAAGTTAAAGAAGAATTAGTAAAACAAGGTGCTCTTAATCTAATTTTAAATTGTTTGGTTAAATATAGTACGGTCATAAAGGGTACAGTTAATGAAACTAGACCAGTTAATGAATCACCTGAAATTATAGAAACAAGAGTTGAAGCCATACGGGCTTTGGCAAAGATCCTTATTTCAGTTAATCCAATGTTAGCATTTGATAAATATGATGTCAAGACTTGTGTTCCATTTTTAGTTGAACTTTTAGGACCTGACATATCTAAATATTCTGAATCATCCACACTTTCACCTTCAGTAGGTCAATACCCTTATCTTTTGGAAATGTCATTAATTGATAAATATGAAGGATTACTTGCATTGACAAATGTATCATCTATCACTACTAATTCAGATATTAGAAATCATATCATTGCCAGTACTTTTGATCAACATTTGAATAATTTATTATTAGATGGAGATAATCCTCATGTTCAAAGAGGTACGTGGGAATTATTATCGAATTTAATTCTTGAACCAAGATTATTAGCTAAATTCTTTAATATCGATGATGGAGGAGAAACCAGTAATGAAAATCTTAATCGATTAAAAATCTTGATCAAACTTTTAAATTCAGAAGATCTTTCCTTACAAGTTACTATCGGAGGATTATTAGCTAATTCTACTGAACATGAAGTTATATCGAATATCTTGGTAGCTAATGAAACTATCCGAAGTGATTTATTTAGAACTATCTGTATTATAAGTGAAGAACAACCTCAAGATGATGAATTAATTCTTCGAATCGGGTTTGTCCTCTTAAATTTGGTTTATGCTGCAAGAGAAAATCCAACTTTTCATAATTGGATTATGCAACTGGATTATGTAAAGAGATCTGTTACGCTGATAATTCGTGAAAATAAAAGTCAAGAAATTTTAGATGTTTTTATTGAAATAGCTAGAGTGGGAGGAGGAGCAAAGTAAATAGTTATAATACTAATACATATACATACAATTAATTAAATAATTTTAAGGATTGGATTCAAAAATGAATCAATCGTTGGGCTAAGGTATCATGATGCGATTGAGTTGTATTAACTGATTGTTTAACTTTATCATTTTCAGCTTGAACCATTATAGTCTTATGTAACGTGGTTAAATAATCAGCTAAACTTGGACCACTGGATGTAGCGAGAGTACCATTTAAACTATCATCAACCAAAGCTTCTTTAAACTCTATTTCGGAACCATCAATACCAGGACGAACTATTTGAATACCAGCACTACCTAAAGATCCAGTACAAATCAAATGCTTATTAAAATATTCACAAATGTTTCTAGCTTGTTGTGAAATGGGAGTTGAAAGTTCAGGTAATTCATCTATTAATGGATTTATTTCAGTGGTTGATTCAATATGATCACCAAATAAATCTTTAATTAAAAGAATATTAGCATTTGGATCAACCCACACAAATATTTTTGTACTGTTACATAATAAATAAACCCCTGGTTCCATACTTCTGAGAGATGGATTTTTGAATTTAGGTAATCTAAGAATTGATGTAGCTTCATCTATGAACCCTTCTTCATCACTTAATGAATGTAATTCAACAAATGCAGGATATAAATGGTATAATAAATTTTCAATTGGCATGGTAGACATTTGATATAAATCGAATAATCTAGCATCAGATGAAAGCAGACCTGATTGTCTAATGGCTTTGGTTTTGATGAAAGCTAACGTATAACTTGGTAAATTGGTTAATGAACTAGGGAATAATAAATTCAAAGTTCTGGCTCTACTATTACCATATTCTTCAAGAGCTCTATATTGAGTGAAAATTTCAACCAATTTTTCATTCACCGATTCACGAAGTTCAGTAAGTGGTTGTTTACCTAAAAATGAAAGGGTATCACGAACAATAGTGGTAGCAATCGCATTTTCATCAGCAAAATTGAAAACTTCATCAAGAGATTCACCAACAGCAAGTATTAAATTAATTACTCTGACTTTTCTTACCCCATTAATATCAGTATATAATAAGGCGGCTTGGAAATGACAATCGTAACTCTTGGATACTTTTCCATCATATTCAAATAAAACTGTTAAAGTTTGATCTTCGGAAAGAATAGGTATGACTGGATCTTGAACACCTCCAGCAACTGAGGCTTCTGCCACTGATGATGATGTACCATAATATTGAGCAACTTGTAAACCATTAGAACAACGGACTTTCAATTGACCTTGATAACCAGTTGCTTTTGAGACAGAATCAATAATTCTAGAGGTTAAAGCTCTACCATCTCTTTCCAAATTGAAGTTTGGCCATCTTGATAATCTTCCACCTGAAACAGATGCTAACCATCCAACATTAGATAAATCAACTGAATTAGGAGATACAACATGAACATCTAAACCGACCCCCTTTTCAATGAATTCTTTTTGTAAGGCTTTATAATAATCATTATCCGGAAGGAATATAGATTTTTCAATTTCAGCAGTCGCAGCACGACCAACTGCCTTATTATCTTTATATTTTAAAGCACCTGGACCCCATGAAGGTAAACTTGATAAAATGGATGTAATCTTACCCCCGCCAACTTCTTCAAGACAAAGCATGGCAGTTTTACAAGCAGCTGAGAAACATGGTTCGGGGTCTATGACTGCATCATGTGAATTCAATTGTTCAATATGACTTAAGGCATCTTCTATGACGTTTCTACTTTCTTGAGCATCAACGAATAAACCATCACTGAATGGGACAAATGGATCTTCTAAATCGGATGAAACCACGATTTGAGTAGTTTCAAGGGATGATGATAAATTATAGAAATGTAATCTTTTATCAAATGCGATGATAGCGATTTTCAAAGATGGAGAAGCTGGAGGAGCTGGAGATTCAGGATCATCATTGAAATCTTCTTGTCCTTGATCGAGATTATTAAGAATAGCTCTAATTGAATCAGCAACCACCACATTTAAATTTTGTTTAATACTTTGTTCACTAATATCTATTAAAAACAAATGATGTAAAGGGGATGGATCTTTTTCTATATCACCAAAATTATATTCCTTAGGAACCAATAAATCATACATACCTTTACATAATTCTGGTTTAGTTAATCTATCAACTCTTCGACCATAATTATCTAAGTAAGACACATAATCATCAGGGACAACATTATTGGCAAATTGACAGATATTACAGACGAATCTATTATTATTAGTGAATTGAAAGGCTGGATTTATATAAGTACGACAACGACGACAACGGATAGGACCCATACTTAAAGGATCCTCTTTATTCACCACGTCTGCTCTTCTCATATCAACAACCGAAACAGGATCCTCTGAATCTAATAAAGGAGCAAATGGTCTGATAGTAATTGCCACTGGTAACTTTGTCGTATTTCTTAGTTGCTCTGTTTCAGGGACATAATACATTGTTGATCTAATGTATTTTGGCAGAGCTGAACCTTGATCAATACATATATAATTAGTACCAGCATCTGGAGGAGTTATATTTTCAAACGTTGAGAATGTCTTATATGATCCGTCTTCTAGAGGAGTGGAGTATTCCAATTGATTATTATATCTTGCTTCTTGTAAGGAAACATCTTTAATGGGGAGTCTATCTGTATTATCTGGAGGTGGTTGATCATGTCTACCGAAAACAGGTTGAGGATGAAATGAAGTGGATTGTTGTAAAGGAACAGGGCTTGAAAAGTTACTATTGATATTGACACCCATAGCAGGTAAGGCAGGAGATGAATTGTATGATGTAGTAGAATCTGATGTTCCAAAATCAGTATGAAAAGCTCTTACTGGTCTTTTCCTCTTTTTCTTAGTATCAACAGCTAAGTTTTCGAAATTAGCATTCAATTCTTCTTCTTGCTGTTGTTGCTGGGAGCCATAATTGGAACCATTGGGACCACTGACAGGTGGTATGCCTGGTAATGACGACATTGTCTATGTTCTACCTTATCCTAGCTTTGCAACAGATGGTTGATGCTGTTGAGTTTAGAACCTTGTGGTGGTGGTGGAGAATATTTGACATTTTCCATATTCGATCTAAATGTCGTATTTGAGAATGTCTCATGTCGTACGAAAAATGCTAAGAAAAATCATCATGAGTTACAATAACCACGAAACAAGAAAGAGGAGGAGGAGGAGGGAAGGACAAGAAATATCACTTTGATACTGGTTACATTCCTTATTTGACTTTATCTGGTATATAAATATATAACATCCCCCATTCAAGTTTTATGAAATAAAATGGAAATATGACCCAATACTTTAATATGGCAAATAATCTGTTGCTATATTTACAAGAAAATGATATTCCTATCAACTGTTCAATATATTCATTACCATATGGTTTCATATCATTCATGGATTCAGACAATAATAACACATGGTCTAATCTAACTACTGGTTTCTTGCCCGCCTACTATATAACTAACTGTTCCATACCGTTGTTGGTCGATCTTGTTACTAATCTGAATATTACTTATACTAATTCTACCAGCTTAGATAATTCATCTCCTTATAATCAAAAGGATAATGGTGATACGTTTGTAGCATTGTTATTTACCTTGAGTGGATCTTGTGTATCATCATGGATGTTAACTTTATTATTTTATTTATCTCCTAAACATAAACGAAAACCAATCTTGACTCAATTAGCCACTCTTTTTTATTCCATTGTTACTACCATATTATTAAGTAAAGTAACTGGAGTGGCATCTGATGAATATTATAGTGATACTTTGGATGTTATTCGACTTCATGATATCATCTATTTGGATGATGTTTATAGAGGAACTATGATTGTATCTCAAGTATTGATCTTATTAGGTTGGTTTCAAATCGTATTAAAGATATCTCGACAAAAATATCAATGGAGAATCGGTATAGTGGGAGTTGGTTTAATTATTGCTTATACAGTGGTTAATATCGTATATGAAACCAAATATTATGTATTTGATTCCGTATTTGAAAATTCATCTATAAACTTTGAAGCTTGGACGGTTGCAAAAGTGGTCCTTAAACTTTTACTTATTGCTTGGTTTTCAGCAACTTTATTATATTATACTATCTATATTAAAAATCCTCGGAATATTTGTTATTCAAAACGGTTAATGCCAATAGCAATCTTTAATTGGTGTATTATTATCCTTCATGTTATATTAAGTATATTAGGTTTAACTTTATTTAAAGGAAAATGGTTAGTAAAGACTTGGTTAACATTTTTACCTTTTCTTTTAGAAATCATTCTTTTATCAACCATTTGGGAATGGGTATATAATATTCGATTATTAGAAAAGAGAATGGAATTAATGGGTGTATTAGGAAGAAGAATTAGTTTTGATGATGTATTAAGTTTACATCTGGATAAACAACATGGTCCTAAAGTTTTATCAAATTCAGGTGGATTTAGTTTTTTTAATAATTTATTCCGAAGGAATCAAAAAATCGTTACTCAAGATGATACTGATAATTCCGTAGAACTTAAAGAAATACCAACTACTTCAAATGAATCATCTAGAAATGATAGTAATAATAACAATAATACTGAAACAACCTTAACTGTAAATATAGCAGATTCAAATATTCATTCAAATACCCCTCAAGGACTAACTGTGAATAACAATAATAATAATAATAATAATGACATTCATCCTACATCTAGTGCAGGTAGCTATGATGATGAATATATAGATAATTACAATATTTGGGATGATGACGAAGAAGATGAAAATGAGACAGGAGCTCAACATCATCATGATAATGATGCTTCACACCAACCAGTTGAAGGCTCATCATCAAATGCACCTCCTCCACCTTTCGAAGTACATCCTGGTTTCAATTCGGGCGATTATTGGAATGATCGTAAAAATTAATTAGGCATTTATAGACTTTTAAATATAAAACAAAATGGGTATATATTTTGATTTTTCCTGTATGTAATCGATATGGGTTCCAGAAAATTCTCGAATGTTTAAATTTGCGCTTAAATGATCTCGTTATATATATATAAACCATATATCATCAAATGATTTCAATTGTTATCTATATGATTTCTTTTAAGTCTACAAGTTGAAGATGTTACGTGCAAATGTACAAAAGAATGTTATAAGGTCAATGCCTTCCAGATTGGTTAAACCTCTGGTGGCAACTTATAATAATATCTCTCAAATGATACCTCGAAATATTGCCAACATCAGTCCGATTACTACTCCACTTCCATCTATGAAGGTAATGGGTTTCAATACATTTCAAACAAGATCATTCCATTCATCCTTCCCCAAACATATGCAAATGAGTATGAACAAGGAAGAACAAGATAATAGACCTGCTTTGGAAAAATTTGGAAGTGATCTCACTCAATTAGCTAAAGATGGGAAATTAGATCCTGTAATTGGGAGAGATGAAGAGATTCGTCGTACGATTCAAATCTTATCAAGAAGAACGAAGAATAATCCCGTATTGATTGGTAATGCCGGGACAGGGAAAACCGCTATTATGGAAGGATTGGCCCAGCGAATTCTAAAAGGTGAAGTACCAGATTCAATGAAAGATAAGCAAATCATAACGTTAGATCTTGCTGGTATTATTTCAGGATCAAAATATAGGGGTGATTTCGAAAGTAAATTAAAATCAATCTTGAAAGAAGTTGAAGAAAAACAAGGGAAAGTGATTCTTTTCATTGATGAATTACATTTACTTATGGGATTAGGTAAAGCTGAAGGATCAATTGATGCATCAAATCTTTTAAAACCAGCATTAGCAAGAGGGAAATTATCCCTTTGTGGAGCCACAACTATCGAAGAATATAGAAAATATGTTGAAAAGGATGCAGCCCTTGCAAGAAGATTTTCTCCCGTTCAAGTTAATGAACCTACTGTTGAAGATACTATTTCCATCTTACGTGGTTTGAAAGAAAAATATGAAGTTCATCATGGTGTACGTATAACAGATGGAGCTTTAGTTACCGCTGCTTTGTATTCTAGTAGATATATTACTGATAGATTCCTTCCTGATAAAGCTATTGATTTAGTTGATGAAGCAAGTTCAACCTTAAGATTACAACATGAATCAAAACCAGATGCCATTGCTCAATTGGATCGTCAAATCATGACCATTGAGATTGAATTAGAATCTTTGAGAAAGGAAGAAGATCAATTATCGAAAGATCGTAGAAATAAATTGGAAGAAGAACTTAAAGTTAAAAGATCAGAATTACAAGAATTCATGGAACAATGGATGGCTGAAAAGAAATTAATCGATGAAGTAAAAACTGCCAAATCAGAATTAGAACAATCAAGATTTGATTTAGAACAATATCAAAGAGAAGGGAAATATGCCAAAGCTTCTGAATTACAATATGCTACTATTCCAGAACTTGAAAAGAAATTAAAGGAATTAACCGAAAGAGAATCTCAAAATAATGCCAACCTTCTACATGATTCTGTTACTTCAGATGATATTGCAAATGTCATATCTAAAATGACAGGTATCCCAGTTAATAATCTTTTAAAGGGTGAAAAGGATAAATTATTAGATATGGAAGTGATTTTGAAACAACTGGTAATTGGACAAGATTCTGCTATTCATGCTGTATCCGATGCAGTTAGATTACAAAGAGCAGGTTTAACTAGTGAAAAGAGACCTATTGCTTCGTTCATATTCTTAGGTCCAAGTGGGGTGGGTAAGACTGAGTTGACTAAATCACTTGCAGAATTTCTTTTCAATGATTCAAACTCAGTGATAAGATTTGATATGTCTGAATTTCAAGAAAAACATTCTTTCTCAAGATTGATTGGATCTCCACCAGGTTATGTTGGTTATGAAGAAAGTGGTGAATTGACAGAAGCAGTAAGGAGAAAGCCATATTCAGTCATTCTTTTTGATGAATTCGAAAAGGCTCATAAAGATATTTCCAAACTTTTATTACAAGTATTAGATGAAGGATCGTTAACTGATTCCCATGGAAAACATATTGATTTCAGAAACACAATCATAGTGATGACATCCAATATTGGACAAGAATTCTTATTAGCTGATAAAGAAGCAACTGATGATGGACATATCAATCCTGTGGTTAAGAATGAAATCATGGAGTTATTGAGACATAATTATCCACCAGAATTTTTAAATCGTCTAGATGATGTACTTATATTCAATAGACTCTCTAAGGAATCATTAAAGAATATTTTGGAAATACGGTTAAGAGAAATTTCAGATAGGTTAAGTGATAAGAGAATTACATTGTCATTATCAGATGAAGTAAAGGAAAAATTATGTAGTCTTGGATATGATCCTATATACGGGGCCAGACCATTAAATAGGGTCCTTCAAAAACAATTATTAAATCCTTTGGCAATGATGATGATCAAGGGCCAAGTTAAGGAGAATGAAAAAGTTCATGTTGAATTAGCAAACGATGCTGTTGTGGTAAAAGCAAATCATGAATGAAAAAATGAGTTTTTAAAAAAAACATTATATATTTATTAGTTACTTGTAAATAGTTTATTCAATTATATGAGAAAGTTATCTATTTTATTTTATTATATTATACAACTCTACCACTAAGACCTTCAACAATTCTTTGCTCACTTGGGTCCACTCTCTTTAATGATTTACCACCTGTTATTTGTCCAAGAAGAGCTGAAATGTTAGGAGCTCCTCCAGTTGGAGCAGCAGTTAATGCGGGAGGTGGTGGTGGCGGTGGCGGTGGAGGTGGAGCACCATTAGGAATTGGAGGAGCAAATCCAGATGGTGGTGGAGGTGGAGGTGGAGGTGGTGCTCCACCTGGAACTGGTGGTGCTTCGGTTGGTGGTGGCGGCGGTGGTGCAAAACCAGCTGGAGGAGGTGGTGGTGGTGGTGGTGGTGGGAAACCTTGTGGTGGCGGCGGTGGTGCAAAATCAGTTGGAGGAGGTGGTGGTGGTGGAGGTGGTGGTGCAAATCCTGATGGAGGAGGAGGTGGTACATCGGTTGGTAAAGTAGGAGCTTCTTGAGATAAAACTGGAACTTCTGGAACCGGTGGTATAACCGCAGCTGAAGTACTCTCACCATTAGTTGAAGGTTGCTTTGGAGCTTCAGTGGTAGGTGGTATGTCAAAACTAGAAACTTCTTCCCTAGGAGTACTTGTACTTGACTTTGTTACAGGTTGAGACATTCCACCAAACAAAAGACTAGCTAATTGAGCTGCACCAGCTCTATTTGGTGCTTCATCTTCACTATCAGAATCATCTTCATCACTCCAATCATTTGCAGACAAGCCTCTTTGTGAAGCTCTTTGCTTTTCTGCTTCCTTTGCATCTAATGGATCAACTTTAGCAGCAGGCTTAAAGAACGGATTAGAATTTGAAGCAGGAGTATTCATCTTAGCAAAAGGATTACTATCGTGTGATTTCGTTGTTGAACTGGCTGGGGCAGCTTCGACCTTAGCTGGTGCAACCGGTTCCTCTACCTTATTAACTGCCTTCAGTTGATATCCTGGACCATAAGTTGGGACTGATACAACTGGCTCTTCGTCTGAATCTTTATCATCATCCTTGCTTTCAAAAGCGGCCATCTCCTTTTTTATTTTGGCAAGACGTTCTTCTTTTAATTGTTTCTTTTTAAGTTTACGTTCTTTTTCACGAGCTTCCATCTCTTGTTTTTGTTTTAACAAAGCTGCATATTCAGAATCATCTTCATCATCAGATGAGTCTTCTGCTTGAACATTATTGGATACTGGAGGTTCGACAGCTTTAGCTTGAACTTCTGGTGCTTTTGGAATAGCTTTAACTTCCGGGACATTGTTGACAGGCTTAGGAGCAACTTCTGGAGTTGAATTAACTTGTGGCAATACAGTTGTACCTTTCAGTCTAGAAATTCCAAGTTTAGCTAATCTTTCATTCATTCTCTTTTCAGCTTGAGCTTTGATATAGGCAGTTCTTTCTTCAGCTGAAGAATATTTTCCTGGAGCAGAACCAGCAGAAGATGTTGGAACGCTTTCACTCTTAGGAGCAGTGGCTGCTTGCTTTGCATATGCTGATGATCCACCATTGGTATTATTATTGTTGTTAGTAGCTCCAACACTGGCTAAATCTCTTATAAAGCTTGCAACTTGTGATGAAACTCCGGCTCCCTTTTCCCATTTATCTGACCCAATGTCTTCCTTGCTAGTTGTTTGAAGATGCACTGCACACTCTTGTTCTAATTCTTTGATACTTCCTTCAATATCCTTGATCATAGAAGTTTGATTCTCACTTTCAAGCTTTGCTTTATCATTTTCTTGTTTTAATTGGATGTCTAAATCAGAATTAGATCCTGAATTGGAAGACTTACCTGTCAATGCAGCAATACGTTGTTGTAAGAGTTGCTTAGAGTGGAACTTCTTTCTATCTAAATCAGTAACTTCACCGTTTGGACCTGATCCAACTATAGATGATTCATCATTACCAGGACGCCATCCTGGATTTGATTTTGACAATTTCAATTTGAACAATTCAATCTTAGAGTTAGCAATATCTTGATTTACTTTATGAATATTAGTAATGAGAACAGGAACTTTATCACGAGTCAAATTGTTAAGCTTGTCTAATAAACTTTTTTGAGAATCATGTGAATCATTGGCAATACCTCGGCTAACTAACTTTTCTTGAGATTCCTTAATTTGATATTTCAAATTTTCAATAGCTTGTAAATTACTTGAATCTTCTCTCTGTCTAGAAATGTTCAGATCTTGATCTTCTGCATCAACTGCAGCTAATAATATCTTCTTTTCACGAATAAGTTTTTTCAACTCTTGAATGGACAAGTCTGAATCTGATGATGATTTTACACTGCTTTTTGGCTCTTCATCTTCATAAGTATTCCTTCTTCTATGACGAGAATTTGAAACATATCCAAAATCGCTATCATCATTTTTATATCTCGAAGCATCAGATTTAACTTGTTTAGATTGTGTTGAAGTACTGGCTTTGGATGCAGTTCCACCTCTTAAAGAATTCTTAAGAGTATCCATGGAGTCTTGTAATAATTTATTTGAAGGAGGAACTAATTCAGGTGGGAGTCTTAAAGGAAGATCAAATCCATTCAAACGTCTATAAACTAAATGCATTGCAACTGCGAATTCATCTTTATTTAATTTCCCTCTATCACTAGTATCAGATAAATTCCAGATACTTTCAAGATCAGATCTACTTAATCCTGATTTACTGAAAATATCTAATGCAACACCACCTTCAACATAACCTTTTCTAGATTGATCCCAAGCTTGGAAAATTCCATCATAAATCAGCTTTTCTTGCTTGGTGATAGCCCATGTAACATTTGACTTCAATGTACCACCCATAACATTCTGTAAATTATTGGATGACAACAGAGCGTCAGGTAAGAAATGTTGCTCCATGGCATTCAAACCTGGAATACCACCCGTAGGCATAGACACAAATCCCCATTCACCCGGTTTACCAGTAGGTTGAGCAACCAAAGGACCTGTTGGTTGATATTGAAAACCAGTGGCAGGAGGTTGAGATTGGTAACCAGTACTTTGTGATTGTAACGGACCTGTTCTTTGTGAATTTAAAGGATTACTTTGAAAGCCTGTGACTTGAGCTTGTAAACTAGGAGGTTGCTGAAATTGATTTTGAAAACCGGTTGATTGCAAATTAGATCCTTGAAAACTAGTTGATTGACCCATCAATGATCCTGTCTTTTGTGTTGGAATAAGTCCTGTGGTTTGTTGAGGTTGTAATGGAATCAAAGTACCACCACCAGTTCTTTGTGATACCAAAGGTGAAACCCCAAATGAAGTTGATGGAAGTGAACCAGTTCTTTGAGCTGTCAAGCCACCAGCGCCAAAACCAGTAGCTTGTGGTTGAAATGAAGTGGTTGGAGGTGCAACTGAACTCATCCAATCATTGGGACCTGGTGGAGCATAACCGGCGAACGGAGTATTTGCTAAAATCTTTGAAGGATCTTCAGGAACGGTAAAATTAATGGCATCAACGAAACTCTTTACTTCATTGGACCATTTTTCAGGAAGAAATGAAGGTAAATTATCACCTCTTTTAGCCATATTACATAAATGTAAACTTAAAGCAAATTCAGGGAAAAGTAAAGAACCTGTCTTATTAGTATCTGAAAGAGACCATATTTCCGCTAATGTTACTGGAGGTAAGCCTGATCTCAATAAAATACTACTTGCATCTCCACCTGAAATGGCTTGTTCACCTTTTGGAACAGCAGCTCTGAAGAGATGTTCAAACTTCTTTTGATCATCAGCTGTAATAAATGACAATCTTATACTTGGAATCTTCAATTCACTATTTTCAAGAACAGTAGGAGCAGAACTTCCAAATCCGGTAGGCTGGGTTGCAATGAAACCAGTTTGTTGAGGTTGTAATTGAGGTGCAGCACCATAACTTATTGGTGGTTGTTGAAATGAATTGTATTGGGTAGCCTGGGGATAGAAACCCGTCGATTGAGTTTGTAAAGGAGGCTGGTAAAACCCTGTTTGTTGAAACTGTTGTTGTTGAGGCTGTTGACCAAATCCACCAGCATACCCCGTTTGTTGAGGATTGAACCCCATTGGTTGCTGCTGAGATTGATATTGATTATTCATCGATCAATGCCTTTGTTTAAGTTACTTTAACAAACAAGAAATAGGAGGTGGATGATTACTGCTTAGTTGTATCAATCGCTTTTCTTCCAATTCTTTCCCCAACGCCCACAGGTGTGCGTAGTAAAATATTTGTATATAAAAAAGTTCCATGCCTCAATTTATGGAGGAAGGGGTAGAGATCGATTTAGTCAAAAGTAACGTTGCAATTATATCATATCTATCTATCTATTTTAATACTTCATCCCAAAATGATACTTCCAATTTGGTTACAGTATTGAAAATATCTACTAGTTCATCTATTCTTTCTTCATCAATATGTTGATCTTCAAATAAGATATTCAATGCTTTTTGACCCTCTGAGTGAGCGTTTAAATACCAATCAGAAGAATAATCATTCAACCAAGATTCATAAACTTTGGAAGTTTCACTATCCGTAGTATCGTGTTGTTTGATCAGTTTTCCATATATACCAGCTTCGGCATAACCATGTAAGCATGGCGCCAAGGCAACTTTAATGCCTAGGAAGTTTTCTGACTTTCCTATTTTCAAAAGATAATCACAATAATCAAGACATGCCTTTCCAGGTTGAAGTTCAATATCAAGATCTCTATCTCTTTCATAATCTATATTGTATTCTTTACATAATTTTTCCTTGTGTCTTTCAATTTCGTTTATCACTTCACCAATAATCACTGCTTCAGAGTGAGTCTGACCATAAGTTGGAGCAACTGATGCTGCCAATGCATGGATTTGGGCATAATTAATCAAGTAATAATAATCTTGCTTTAAGAAATAAAGAAATCTATTAAATGGAAGCTTATTATTTGCAACTTGATTCACAAAGTCATGCTCAATGTAAGCTTTCCAATTATCACGAACTTTGGGATGTTCCTTAAAGAAATCTAATACGTTTGTATGTTTTAAGGGTACTGAATCAGCAACTATAACAGAGTGAACATTGGTTTCTGGAGTGGACATATGATTTAATGGACCATTCCCATATCCTAATTTTCTTCCCATACTGGTAATACCTTTATGAATATAATCTATAGATAATGTTATGGCATTATTAAGGCGTTCTCCCTTGGCAAGATTGGCCGATATTGATGATGCCAAAGTGCAACCAGTTCCATGAGTGTCGCTAGTATTAATAAATGCAGATTCAAACACAGTTAATGAGTCTGATTTTGATTCATAAAGAACATCTCTTATTACAACGTCTTCTTCCTCTCCCTTGATTACTTGTTTAAGTGGTAAGTTCGATTTAGTGCTCCATGGCAAGTGTCCACCTTTAACAAGTAAATTTTCACATCCCAAAACATTTTGTAATTTCTTCACAAATTCGAATAAATCTTCTAAAGATTCGATTTCTTTAATTTCAGCTCCATCTAAAACCTTTAATAAAGTTGTAGCTTCCACAAAATTTGGTGTAATTAAATAAGCATCTTTAAATAAGTTGGATGCACAGAATTCTAGATCTTCAACTTTGAATAAAGATGAACCAGAAGTACTTACCATAACAGGATCCAACACTAACCTCACATTGTATTTCTTAAATTCACCTAAATATCCTGCCAATACCCTAACTGTCTCTGTGGTTAACATTCCAGTTTTCACGACTTTCAAAGGTTGATCATCCTTCTCGTATCCATATAAGAAATCTTGAAAATTCAATTCCAAGATACTTTCTATTAATGATTGTGGAGTTTTTTCAAAAGTCTTGACCAATTGAGTATTCTGAGCAGTTAAGGCAGTAATACAAGTTAAACCATAAACATTATGAGCTGTAAAAGTCTTCAAATCAGCCTCAATACCGGCACCACCAGAACTATCCGACCCAGCAATTGTTAAAACTGCTGGAAGCTCTGCCTTTAATAAAACTTTTGAAGATTTGATTTTAATGTTTTTTACTGACAGCATTGACTCTTTCTTGATCTTCAAATGACTAACTACATAAGAGAAAGGGTTTGAAAATTTTTGATTAAAAGTTACTTGGCCAAACAGTTCTTCTATATATATAAAAAACATCCATATATTTTTCGCAATTTAAATCCTTGTAAACGCATGCGAATTTGTATGCGTTTAACCAGAATTATAAAATGCCGTAATAATCTATATACTTAAAATTTTTACTTCTTTTGCTTTTTTGAATAAAAGTCTACCAATCCAAGCTCTGCATTACGTGTATCTTCTCTATAACTGACTCTACTGTCAGGAACATTGGTCTTTTCAATGTTGTTCCCTTGAAGACCACCAAGCAAAAACTTCTTACCTAACCAATGCTTCTTAATAGAAGCTTCCCAACCTGATTGTCTGACAGAATTAGCAGCCAATTCACACATATCAACACTCGTAAGTTTGTAAATTTGTGCAGCCACGGAATATTCTTCAATCAAAGGCTCTTTTGTATATGAGAATTGTAATGGGTCATCGGTGGATAAAGACACGTTCAAACCCTTTTTGAAAAAGTTATAGAAAGGATTCTTATCATAAGTTAAGAATAAAGCATTATTTGATAATGGAGACATTGCTAAACCAATTTGATCTAAATAGTACAAGTATTGAATGAAAGGAAGCTTTCTCAAAAGAATACCATGAGAAATAGATTGGGAAGTTAAGAAAGCACTGATTAAATGTTCTGGATCTCCAGCTTCACCACAATGAGGACGTAAAACAAATGTATTCATTTTTTGCTTTTGTCTTAATTTATTTAATGAACACAAATTTGCAAAAAGATAATAAAGATAATAGGAGTATGGTGGGTTAAAAGATGCATCCCATTCAGTAGCAATGGGGAACCTTCTTTGATGGATACCCTTTTCACTCTTTGATTCATCATCAACAGAATCGAATCCAATAACCCTTTGTAAGAATACATGTAATTTAGGATGTGATTTTGGATTCACTGTTACTTCATATAATGGGTCAAATAAATTATGTAAAATTTGATGGAAACTGGTAACGTTACCATTCTTTTTATAAACATCATAAAGTCTTGGAACTTGAATTAACCAACGGGTGTTGTGACTAAATAATTTATTATCAACAATCCAAGCAGCTAATTTATCCCATTCATCAATACTTCTACCATAAATAGAGATTCTTAATTCAGTCATTTGATATTTTGAACTTTCAAGGTCTTCAAAAACTTGCTTAGTTAATTCTGCAAGATATTTACCTTGAATGAAATTATCTGTTTTTAAGAAAATTTCTCTTAATCTAGATTCTCCAATAGGATTATATTTCAAGTTGAATTTATCAAATCTATGGAAACTATCAGTATGAGCATGCATATCTAAAGTATCAATAGAAAGATCGTAAGCTGATAATTTTAATGATTCAAATACTTGTGACAAAGTTAAGATTTTACCATCTCTAAAAATAACTTGTTCATCTGGTTGTGTTTTCAACTTGTACTTGATAAATCTTAACAAATGCTTTTGATTCATACAAGCTGAATGATGAATATGGGTATCAACCTTACGTACGTTATAGAAATCTCTATGTGGGTTACGCTTTGATTGAGTATTTTCTTCAAACTCATTAAGAAGACTATACATGTTCCATTTAGCTTCCAAATATTGTAATCTTCTAAAAGCAAAAGATTTTGCAGGTCCATCGGAAGATAATTTAGTGATTTTATTCAGATCCGAATAATAATCATGTAAACTTGGAACTTCGACAAGAGGTTCATCGGTTTCTTTATCGTAGACTTGATAAACTGATTCCAGGTTCAATTTGTAATAATGCTTATTTTGAGGCTCTGGAATATCACATTTACTGAAATCAAATTCTTCTTCTTCTTCGTTTTCGGTACCAGGTAATTGATTGAATCTATTCTTAGATTTATAAGTTGGTTTTGGTGGAGGAGGATAAACAACCCAGTCATCTCTATTTTTTGGATTTTCCATTTCATCATCTTGTAAAGACAATTTTAAATATTTATGTCTAATATCAAGACAAACTTTAACATTTTCAAAAAATTCAATCAATTCTTCAGATGCATATTCTTCTGAAATCCCAGCAGATGCTGCAAGATCAGCTGGTGATTCCTTTTGGGTGGGTAAAGGATTGTGAGTAAACTTGTTTTGAATAGGAAGGTCAATAATTGATTGTCTTCTTCTAATAGAATGGGGACTTCCAACATGAAAACCTTCAACCGCGTTGTTACTATGAATAGCTTCAAAGGTTCGGATTTTCAAATCTTGATCCTTCATGAACTTATCTTCTGAAGTTGAGTAATGAGCTGAATTGACTGATTTCGACAAAATTTCATCATCACTATCATTATAATGATGGTGTTCTAACTCATCATCGGCATCGTCATGAGAGTAAAGATCGTGGTTTTCGTCAATTGGTGGACGTTCCTTGCTGATATCAATGTTGAATGGACCCATTGTTATTTAATCCAGTGAATAATCGTAGGTGAATGACCCATGTTTCATTCAAAACGTTTAGAATTTCTGAGAGGTAATTCGGAACATCGCGCAACGCTCCTAATTTCTGATTACACATACAAATTAAAAAAGCGAAACTTTATTGCATAACTAAATAGATGTAGAAAATTGCAAACGAAATATTTTAAAAGGTTTATTAAAGTGTTAAACTTAATAAGGGGTAACGAGGAGAAATGAAAAAATGGGGATATCTAAAACTAAGAAGAATTTTATATTAAAATCATGAAACCTGCAGCCAAAATATGTAATAATCCTGAACCTAAAGGTGTGACATTAGGGGATCCATTAGATGATCCACTTGAAGTGGTGGCTGATGAAGAAGGTATCAGCACTGATTTTTGAACTGTAGAATGACTGAAGCTACTAGTTGGTTCTGCTGTGTTACTAGCAACATCAGTTGTAAATGATGCCATTGTTTCAAGTGCATTTGTAATATCAGCTTCTATGGAACTGATGAAAACTGATTCACCAGCTGAAACAAGAGCTGAGAAAATGTCTTGTTTTGCTACTCCTGGGATCACTACTTCCTTTGAGCTTGAGCTTCCGGAGCTGAATAAGCTTTTAATATCATTTTCGATGGCAGCCTTTAAAGTTGGATCTTTTATAGCCTTTTCAAAAATATGTTCAACTATACCTGAGGCAAGTAAACTCTTTACTGTTGGAATTAATGGAGCAATTTGAATGTGAACATCTCCATGAAGTAAGTTTTCGAAAAAGTCAGAAAGTAAAATAACAGTAGCGTCTTGGAAATTTTCATTAATAAGTAAGGCATTAATAGTTTCATTAAGTAAACCAGATCTATCGACTGATGCAAAAATAGTTTGTAATAAGGCTTCGATATTGTCTCTTTTTGCGATTTGGATTGCTAATTCTTCTTCTCTTGTATTAAGAGAAGCCAAGTATGAGTTATCTGTAACAACTCCTTGAAGATTTCCTGCAAGAGACGAAGTTGCAATTCCATTAGCAGAAATAGCGGAATCTAATTCTCCAAGATTTATTGAATTAGCTCCTGAAGTAGCAATTGGAGCAGCTGTTGTAGTAGTGGCAGCTCCATCAGTCAAGAAAGCGAATAATCCTGCCTTTGTGGTAGTAGTACTAGCTGCTGTTGTTGCTGAAGTAGTGGCAGCTCCATCAGTCAAGAAAGCGAATAATCCTGCCTTTGTGGTAGTACTAGTAGCAGCTGTGGTGGTAGTTGCTGATTTATCACCATCAGTTAAGAAAGCAAATAATCCAGCCTTTGTGGTAGTAGTAGTATTACTTAATGCAGTAGTTTTAGCTCCATCAGTCAAGAATCCAAACAAACCTTCCTTTGTAGTAGTGGTAGCGGCCTTAGTGGTTGTATTACTTCCAATACCACCACCATAGAGACCTTCGATAATATTACCTGCATCTCCGATAATGCCTCCAAGTGAAAGATCTCCAGTAGCAATGAATTTTTTAATAATAGTTAAAATAGATGGGAAAGTATTAGGGTCTTCAATAATTCCTGCGATAAGATCATAAGCTAAACCAGAATCATCTAATGCTATCCATAAACTAGTAAGATTAAGAGTTTCACCAACTTTAAGAGCATCAACAATAACATGACCAGCTATGGTTCTAGTATAATTATTGGAAATGATAAATTCGGCAGCAACAGGTACTAAACCAATATCTTTTAACCCAATTAAAAGATCATCCAAATATTTGACATGATCATTTTCAGTTAAGATATTGTTTACCCAACCTGCAATTCCTTCAAAATTGATATCTTTAAGTAAACTTTCACCAATATCCAATACATCAGTTAATAAACCTCTTTGAACTAAATCAAGTTCGAATTCATCAGATGCTGGTTCAGCTACTGCTGTTGACTTGGCTATTGTGGCAATTGACAAACATGCTGTCAAGATGGCAGCAATTCTCATGGTTAAAGGATAGTATATGTATGAATTGACAATTAGACTGACAAGATGGATGAATAAATAAATAGATGGTTAACGAGTGAAAAGTGTCCAAGAGTTTGTAAATTTCATTAAAAACATTATTCTCGGAAGAGGTTTTAATTTCAGGGGCAAGGTATGTAATTTATAAAGATTGACATGGGGACATTAACCAATTCGTTGTTATTATTGATTGAATTGGGATATGTAATTAAAAGATTTGACTTAATCAAGAAATTTTTGCAGAATTAACATTTCCCAAAACGGAAACTTTTGGTCTTTAAAGTGAGATTCACCTAAACCCAAATAGGAAGTTCGCAATCTCGGCTTAAAAACAATTTATCATGTGATCTACACTATAGCAAAAAAAATAGCGCTAATATTATCAGATTAAGGAGTTATTCGGTCTTATTGTATGAAAAATTACTATACACGGTTATATTTAAGGTAATAGAATAAGTGGGAGTCTAAATCTTAATTCTGAGCCCATGGTGTCAACTCTATATCGTTCAACTGTTTCAAAGATATTGTCTATGGAAGGTGGGGAAATATCTTCATCACCATTGTTTAATAAATGCTCTTGTCTTTCATGTTCAACTCCATTGGATGGTGGTATCTGCAGTTCGTCTCCTTCATATTCTAATGTTTGCTCTGGTTGTTCTTCTAATTCAACTTGAGGTGGTTCATCACTACTATTACCAAATTCAGCTAAATTGAATTTGAATACAATATAATATTTTAAATCCATTAATGTTGAACTTTGGAATTGTTGTGATAAATATCTTGGAACATTAATTGAACCATTTATAGGAGCTGATTTTTGATCTCCATTAGGAATTATCGTATTAAACAATGAAGTTGAAAGGGTATTGAATTTTAAACTTCCAGTTACTCTATATGCATTGACAACATCTTTTAGTTTTTCAGTATCTTCTTCTCTAGCACTATTTGCTTCTCTGCAATGGAAAACCTCATGCGCTTCTAAATAAACCACAAGTCCTGCTACTTTTGTAGTTCGACTATTTTCAATTGGATTTACATTCAAGACGAAATTAATATCATCTCCAATATGATAATAAGGTCTTGAAAGACTGATTAAACATAATTGATAATTATTGACTCGTAATTGAAATTGAGTCTTTAAATGCAGGGGTAATTGAGGTATTAAACCTGAATCAGTATCATTTTCATATATAGTTGGAATACTTTTCTTTCTTTCATTGGTTGAAATCTTTGGCATATTATATAAATCTGATTCAATTAATTTTGATAAATCTTCTAAGAAAACTTCTCTTGTTTCAATTGATTTATGATCACCATTTTTATAATCTTTTGAATCATTAGATTCAATGATATTAATCTTCCAACTTTTATCAACCGTTATATTTTGAAAGAAATTATGTTGATTCCACCTTTCATTATTACCTATTCTTTCACCTTTAACTTCCATGGGGAAATAAATTGATTTTGGGATTAATTGTTGTTGTTCCAGTAATGTAACTACCAAAGAATACTTTATACTTAACCAACCTTGATCACAAGTTGGACCTGTCAGTCTTGTATTATAAGAAGGTGGTAAAGTATTATTTTGAGGGAATTTTATATGAAAAGTTCTTGTACTTGAAGGATGGATTGTTAAATCAGTAAATAATAATGCTTGCGATGTGGAATAGAATGGAACAATTGGATCGGATAATTCTTTAGCAGGTATTTTATATATATCTTTATTTTCAGAATCATTAAATTTCGGTGGTAAATGAGTATTAAAATTATATAATAAATCGTGAACAAGATATTTATTATTTTCATCAATAAAAAGATCATTATTCTTTACTACTAAATCATTAATACCACCTATTTTCCCACCAAGGATTAATTTCTTTTTTAAATTCTGTCGAATAAAAGGAATTGAATCTAATTTATATTCTCTTTCATCTTCATTTTCAAATGCATCATCAATTTCAGTTTGATAAATATCAACATATTCTTTATTATTCCACCAATTAGCGGTTTTAGGACCACCTCCAAGATCAATGGTAACTGCCCCAGGGGTTCCAACTGATAGTTTATAGTTCAATACAAGATATCCCACCAATTGGATGTTTCCTAAGAAGATTTTAATATCATCAGTTGGGGTATTATTTAATAAAGTGGTAGTATTTGACACGGTTGATTCAAGACTTTGTCTGAAAAAACCACCAAACCAAGAAGGATTTCCATTAGTGGAGGTAGCGGGAGTAAGTCTCTCAGTATCTACTGTACTTTCTTCAGTAGCAGTAGGGTTGATCACTAAATTACTGGTCAGAATATTATGGAAACTAATTAAACATTCCTGAATATTTTGATCAGTGGTTTGATTTGGTTTTTGATCAACGTAAGATAACGACACTAAGAGTTTATCGTTCAATTGCTTGACATAGACTGGTTTTGCATGATCTGAGAACACATCTGAATTGTGATAAAGATCCTTTCTGGTTGGCATTGTACACAATCGATATATCGCAATAGATAATAATAACCACTGATACAAATAATTGTTGATAACGTTTTTGTTTTCCCCCTAAACAATAAATTCAAAATAAATTTGTGCGAAATACGAAAAAAAGTGTCACCATTCATTCACTCACTAATTTATTTTTCACTGTAATTATCATATAGCATACGGTGTCATGTTCTTATCTAATTCTTACTAAAAGTCAAAATGAGTATTAGATATCATTGGAAATCAAGAGTAACATTGCCAAGAAACAAGGACAGAGAAGGAAGACTTAGATTCAATGGTAATTCCATTGGCTGGCATGATGTTTTGATTTCATAACGATTTACAAAGTTTATTACATAACTGAATATGGCTAAAACAACTATAATAGTCGGATTAAAGCGAAATATATAGTTCCATTAAATGTAGAATTTTAAGCCAGTCAATTGCAAGGCAAAGCAAAGCAAAGCAAAATCTGTAAATAGGGAATACTTAATCATATCTCCTTCTTCTTCTTCTTCTTCTATACATATATGGAATTAGGCTAAACTTTTAAGGTTTTTAGTCTTTGCGCCGCCGCAATTTTGGTAATTGGACTGTCCCCCTTATAGCTAAGAATTATCAATTGATGCCTTACCTTATACGAATTTAATCTTATACATGTTCTACATTTGCCACCCATCCAATAGGGGTATAAATATACATCATAAAGTTTCATAAGTAGTTGATTTTGATACCATACAGTACACTTTAACAATGTCATTGTCATTATCACAGCTAGTTGATCTAGTTGATATCACTAATGGTATAGCATCCAATCAATTGTCAAATCAATCATCTTGTACTTTCAGTAATAGTATCACACACCCATTATATGATAAGTATGGAAGTTCTTTAAATCCATGCTTTGTTGGTTCCATACTGTTTGTGTTTAACGCCATTTTTGGAATATTTGCCTTCATTCAATTGTTAACATTTTTGTTTAATAATAAAGTGGGACCATATAACCTCAAATATGGATTCGGTTATCCATTCAGTTTAAGAAGTGTTGGGATTTATCAATTAATCAAATTGAATTCAATTGCTTTACAAATCATATTAAATATCATCCTATTCGCTTTCCTTTCTACCAACAAACAGATCATAACCTTAAGTGTGGCCCTTACCATTATCCTCAATTTAATTATCATATTCCCCTTACATGTCATAGAACCTACTAGATCACCTAATGCAAGTGCTTCCCTTCTTTTATATTGGACTTTAAATATAGTCTTCTATATCATGGTTTTAATTTCCGATTCCTTTTCATCCCATAAGATTTACTTACCAATTGATGGTGATGTTAGCAGTGTTTATGCCATTGAAATTGTACTATTAATAAACTCAGCTTTAATCTTATGGTTTGAACTTGTATTATATAAACCATCTAAAGAATTAAAAGAATACTTTGAATTGAATGATTGGAAAATCAATTCAATCAGAAACATTTATAATGAATTATCATTCTACTGGTTAAACGGTCTCATTAAAAAAGTATATGATACCAATGATTTGGAATCTAAAGATTTACCTCCATTACCTCTTGAATTAGATAGTGAATCGAATTATCAAGTTCTTCAATCAAGGTGGAATATAGCTGAATCAAAAGCAAAAAGTGAGCTTAAGCTTAAACTTTCCAAAATCACAGATCCAACTGATGCTGATAAAATCCCTAAAGTTTCATTATTATTAATCATTATTGGTATATTTTGGAAACAATTCATTATTATATTTCTCTTTGATGTGATTGCCATGATTTTTGGATTTTCCCAAGCTTTCTTATTACAAGCATTCATCTTATTTTTCACTGACACAGCTACCTCAGATAATGATGATCATAGACAACCAGCAATCGTTGGATTTAGTATTGCATTCACTATGTTTGTCTTTTCATTAGCTAATTCAGTTTGTGTTAATCGATACTTTTTAATCAATACTAGTGTTGCCAATCAAATAAAAGGAGCATTGACAACTATGATATATAAAAAGACCTTAAGATTATCACCAGAATCAAGAAAAGTAAAGAATACAGGTGAAATAGTAAACAATTTAACCTTAGATGCTTCCATGGTTTCTAGCGTTCCTCATTTAATTGATATTTTATCCGCTCCAATAAGATTAGTACTTACATTGGCATCATTAGTAAAGATTATTGGTGTATCTACCTTTGCTGGTTTACTAGGTGCATTCATCTTAGTACCTTTTAGTTTAATTGTCAATAGTAAAGTTTATCCATTAATTCTTGAAAGAATGAAAGTCAAAGACGAAAGAACTAAATTAACTAATGAAATATTAAGTTCTATAAAAAGTATAAAATTATATTCATGGGAAAGTCCAATGTTAAAGAGATTATTCTATATAAGAAATGAAAAGGAATTACAACTTGGTAAAAGTATTGGTATTTTAATTTCATTTTTAGTCTTCTTATGGTCAACGGTTCCATTTTTCATCACTTGTACAACATTAATTACATTTTCTTATATCTCCAAAGTAGCATTGGTTCCTGCTATTGTGTTTCCGGCTTTAAACTTATTCTCAATGTTGGCAGAACCAATCATGATGCTTCCAAATGTATTAAACATGTATTTCACAATCAGTGTTTCATTAGGAAGATTGACAGAATTATTTTTGCTTGATGAAAAGGAACTTGAAACTGGATTTGTTGAACATTCTTTCAAACCGGCTAAAAAGAATGAAGACTCTGTAATTATAACAGATGCTACATTTGTGTGGGATAAATCTAAATATGAGACTGAATTATTGGAAGAAACTGAGGGACAAAGTGAAGACAATGTTGCGTTATCTGGTATAAACTTTTCTGCAAAAAAGGGTCAATTAACATGTATAGTTGGTAAAGTCGGTAGTGGAAAGACAACACTGCTTAGAGGTATATTGGAAGAAGTTTCTTTAGCAAAGAAAGATACCACAAGTATAAAAATAAACGGTTCAATAGCTTATTGTCCCCAATCACCATGGATAATGAATTCTACCATTAAGGAAAACATCTTGTTTGGATTTAAATTTGATAAGAGATTTTATGAAGAAACTGTTTCTGTTTGTCAATTGTTAGCTGATTTTGATATCTTGCCAGATGGTGATAGAACTGTGGTTGGTGAAAAGGGTATTTCATTGAGTGGTGGACAAAAGGCAAGAATTGCACTTGCTAGAAGTGTTTATTCAAGAGCTGATATTTATTTATTAGATGATGTTTTATCAGCAGTTGATGCTCATGTTGGGAAAAAGATTACTGATTTAGTTTTAGGACCTCAAGGAATATTGGCTTCCAAGACCATTATATTGGCTACTAATTCTGTTCCAACTTTACGTTTTGCTCATGAAATTGTTCTTTTGAGAGATAAAACTATATCTGAAAGAGGAAGCTTTAAAGAATCTATGGATAATAATGGAGATTTAGCTGCTTTAATATTAGAGTTTGGAAAACATGTGGAAGAAGATAATGTTGAAGCTGAAGAGCCTATTGAAGATCCTGCCAAGGTAATCACTTCAGAAGATACAGAAGTCACTGAATATCAACCAGAGTCTAACGCTGACGTTGTTCAAGAGAACCTTTTGGAGCGAATTGAAACAAGAAGTACACTTGGAAGAGCAAGTCTTGTGTCTTTCGAACATGAATACGATGAAGAAGAAGATGGAGTGGTGAGAAGAACTGGTCATACAGTTGAAGAAGGAGCCAAAGGACAAGTCAAATTATCTGTCTATTTGGAATATCTCAAAAACTGTAATTTCCCTTTCTTATTATTGTATTTGGTACTTTCCATGGTTGAAGTTGGTTTGGGTATTTGGGGTTGGTGGGTTCTTCAAATATGGACCGATAAGAATTTAGAAGCTGGTAAAAGTGTTGACACTGTATTTTATTTACTGTTATATGCCATTTCCGGTGTGTTATCATGCATAGCTATTCTTGTGGCATTTATTGTTGTATGGACAGTCTGTGTATTTACAGCTTCTAAATATTTCCATGATAGTATGGCCAAATCTGTATTAAGATCACCTATGTCATTCTTTGAAACAACGCCAGTTGGTAGAATATTGAATAGATTTAGTGATGATTTGGGAACTATCGATCAAGAATTGATTTGGACTTTTATATCATTCTTCATGGTGGTTCTTGGTGCAATTGGAAAATTGGTTGTCATTGTGTTAGTCTTACCTGGAATGTGGGTTCTTCTTTTAATTCTTTTTGTCTTTTATAATAACATTCGTCAACAATTCATTCCAGCTCAAAGAGAACTAAAAAGATTAAGTAGTGCCAATAAGAGTCCAGTTATTGCTCATCTTCAAGAATCATTGAATGGAATTGAAACCATCAAAGCGTTCGGACAAGTTGATAGATTCAGTTATAAAAACGAGTTAAATGTTAATACTCTTGCAAATTCTAACTTCACCAATTCAGTTTGTGGTAAATGGTTATCTACCAGGTTACAAATTATTTCTAATGCTATTATTTTTGGATCATCATTAACAATTTTGTCCACTTTAGGTACATCTTACCAATTCAGTCCAGGGTTGGTAGGTTTTGCTATGGCTAATGGTTTAGGTCTTACTTCGATGTTGCTGAGTATTATTTCAATGTGGGCAAGTATTGAAACTATGACTGTTTCCTTAGAAAGAATCATTGAATATTGTTATTTGAAGTCAGAAGCTGCTGAAGTGATTGAAGATAATAGACCACCTCTCTCATGGCCTGCTGAAGGTTCAATATCATTCAAAAGTTATTCCACTAAATACAGAGAGAATTTAGATCCTGTTTTAAAGAATTTAAGTCTTGATATAAAACCAGGAGAGAAAGTTGGTATTGTTGGTAGAACTGGAGCAGGTAAAACTACTGTTGCCATGTCTGTATTCAGAATTATTGAACCAACTGAAGGATATATTGAAATTGATGGAATAAATACGTCTTCGATAGGGTTAAGTGATTTACGTCAACATCTTAACATTATTCCACAAGATCCTCAAATAGTGGAAGGAACAGTCAGACAAAATCTTGATCCTCTTGATCGTCATACTGATGATGAATTATGGACTGTGTTGGAACATTCACATTTGAAAGAACATGTGGAAACTATGAAAACCAAGAAGAATCAGAAAAAGGAAGATGAAAAGGAAAAAGATGCCAATCCAGATGAAGAAGATGATTCTCAGTATGATTTTGGATTATCTGCAAAAGTATTTGAAGGAGGTTCTAACTTATCATCAGGTCAAAAACAGTTATTATCTCTTGCTAGAGCATTATTGATCAAATCAAAAATATTAATCTTGGATGAAGCAACAGCTGCGGTTGATGTTCAAACTGATAAGATTATTCAAGAAACCATTAGAACAGAATTCAATGACAGAACGATTTTAACTATTGCTCATCGTATTAATACTATCCTTGAAAGTGATCGGATTCTTGTATTAGATCATGGAAAGGTTAAAGAATTTGATACACCAGAAAATTTATTAAATGATGAAACATCAGAGTTTTATTCACTTTGTAAAGAAAGTGGAAATCTTAAAAAAGATAGTACTTAATCTTGTAATATATAAAATTTTTGAGGCAGAACTTCTGCCTTACATTATATTAGATAATATACATAACATTTAGAATGGGAAATAAGAGAGGAAGTAATGAAAGATTGCTAATTAAAGAAAGACAAACGGATGCTAGTCTTGTAGAAAAGAGTCAGAAAGACATGAGCGAAAAGTAAAGAAAATAGGATAAAGATAGAAAGAGGGGAGAGAGAGAAAGATCATCACGAGTGGCATTAATGTTGTTCAACTGGTTGTTCTTGTGGTTGCTGTTGTTGTTGAACAGGGAGATCAGCAGGAACAGTTTGACCTTGAATACCATCAATACCATCTTGGCCATCACCAACAAATTGATGGAAATCTAAGATTTCACTATACATCATGACTCTCCAAGTATCAACTGGTAAATCAGCATCATTAAAACTCCAATCGAATTTACTTTCACAAATTGGTTCATCAGTTGGATCATGATAAGGTTCCATATATGGGTGAGTTAAAGCTTGTACGGCACTTATTCTCTTTTTTGGATCGAATATAAGCATTTTTTCTAATAAATCAATAGCATTAGGTTCGATATGAGTATAATGACCGAATCTTTCTGAAAATGGAATTGGTTCTCTACGAGGTAAAGATTGAACGAAACGTAAAGTATTTTCTGAACAAATAGTATCAATAACATCAGGAGGGGGGGAACCTAATAATTCTGTTATTATAGAGAATTGATGAACATGATCTTTACCGGGGAATAAAGGTTTACCTTCCATCATTTCAGCAAGGATACAACCAACTGACCATAAATCAACTTCTGTATCATATTTTTGCCAAGTTAACATAATTTCTGGAGCTCTATAATATCTTGTTGAAACATAACCAGTCATTTGAGGATCTTGAATTCTAGCTAAACCGAAATCACAAATCTTTAAATCACAATTTTCATTGATTAAAATATTAGAAGGTTTTAAATCTCTATGGATTACGCCCGCTGAATGGATATATTTTAAACCTCTTAAGATTTGATAAGTAAAATATTGAATGAATTGTTTTTCTAAAGGTCTTGAAGTTAATAAACGATGTAAATCAGTACCTTGTAATTCATTAACGAAATAGATATCTTCTAAAGGTGATAAGAAAATATCATCCAATGAAATTAAATTTTCATGTCTTAAATGTTTTAATAATTTTAATTCTCTATAAGTTCTTTTAGCTAATACAGGAGTCAGAAATGGTTTCATAATTTTCTTGACAGCAACATTTTGACCAGTAAGTTTATCAACGGCAGAACAAACAAGACCAAATGCACCCATACCCACTGGGTTTAAGTCGGTATACCGTTTGGTTATTTCAAATACAGTACCAAAGATCTGTGTTCTGGTGAATTCTCCATCGGATGACATAGTTGAAACTAATATAACAAGTTGATTTAAATAATGGGGACAATATGAGGTGGATTGATTGAAATTAAGTTGAACTGAAGTAACAATGTATATATATATAGATGTCTAAATGGATTCAACTATGATATGCTTAAGTCTATAAACGGCAATGACAGATGATTGATATGATATGATATGATATGATATGATTGATATAATGGCGATTAAGGTTGAAATTCAAATTGCTGAACATATTTGAACCAAAACAGAAAAAAAATCACATAAAAAAAAAAAAATGCGGGAGAACACACACTAAAATAAAAAGAAGGAAAGAAGGGGTTTAATCTTAAGTAATTGATGAATTAGACTACCATTAGACCTAAAATTAGACAAAAAAGATTAGTATAGATTGAAGTTAAGGGTTGGTTGGTATAGATAGTCATGTCAATTGATCTATAACTAACGTTTGAACAATGAAAATGAATGGAAGAGTTATGAACGACGACATTTTTTTTTTCGAATAGATGACATTTTTCTTAAAGGGATAATCATGTCGCACCCTTACTATCCGATCATCATATACTCAATCGGAACTACTTCATTTCTTGCAGCCACTTTGTTCTTTTAAACTAATCATAAATCAACTGTAATAATCTATTAAATATACAGAATGAATTATCACATTAGATGCTTTGATAATGCAATTACTTCTTCTTTGAATATATCTATGCATTGGGAATCACTAAATTGCGAAATCGATACTAAAGTTTCTTTACATCTAAAACAATCCATTGTAATGGGAGATTTATAAATTTAATTTAAATAGGTTTAATCATAATATCTATCTAACATCTATGAAGTTGAATTAATATTATATTTAATTATGAAAGTATGTATAGTGTACTACAGCTGTTCCAATACAAGTCTGTGGTAAGGATGTTCACTTTCTATTATATTCTATGCATGGATGTTGTGTTTATATGCAGTCAAGTTCAATAATTTTGTAGCAGCCACACAGAAAGTTAGTATTCAATGGTATCATCATCAACACAACCATAATTTCTTGATTATTCAATTCAATTTAATTCTCTATCCATCCATCATCCACAATGCCAACTATCGATGCTGGGGCTTCCGGGGCTTCAACTGTATCATCAGGAATTAGTTTAATTAAAACTATTATTGGTGCAGGTTTGCTTTCTATGCCATTAGCCTTTTCAACTGATGGAATAGCAATTGGAATTGTAATCATATTATTAGCAGCCTTAACGTCAGGATATGGATTGTTTCTCCAAGCATATACTTCAAAATATGTTCCTTTAGGTCATGCTACCTTTTTCAACTTATGTTCAGTGTCATATCCTACTTTATCGGTTGTTTTTGATATAGCCATTGCAATTCAATGTTTTGGTTGTGCCTTATCATACTTGGTTTTAATTGGTGATATTTCTCCAACTTTTGTCACTTATGTTCCATATGTAGATCCAGTCAATTATAGAACGTTTTGGATCTTAGTATCAACTTTAATTTGTGTTCCCCTTTCATTTTTAAAAAATTTAGATAATTTAAAATATACTTCAATTTTAGGATTAGTTGCTATCCTTTATATGTCATTATTAGTAATTGGTCACTTTTTAACTAATGATATTCCTAATGAATATAAAGGTGATATAACTTATTTCCCTCCAACTATAAGTGGAATATTTAGTACTTTTTCCATTATTGTGTTTGCATTTACTGGTCATCAAAATATGTTTTCAATTATTAATGAAGCTAAAGATAAATCATTATCAAATATTTCAAAATTAATCAATTTTGCCATTATTTTATCTTCGATATTTTTCATTATTGTTGGTTTAGCTGGTTATTTAACCTTTGGTGATAAAGTTACTGGTAATGTTATTTTATCTTATCCCCAAGCTTGGTATAATAATTTAGGTAGATTTTCAATTGTATTCATGGTTATTTTTTCATTCCCATTAATGATACATCCAGCAAGAATTTCAGTTAATAATATTTATTATTTCATTTCTGTGAATGTATTCGATCATCAAATTGTTGATGATGATGATGACATTATCATTGCAACCATCAGTAATGAGAATACAAGCTTATTACCAAATGTTGATTCTCAAGAATCTCAAATTGCTTCCAAGAAATCAAATGTAGTACCATTACCTCATAAGACATTTTTAGTAATAACTACAGCTTTATTACTTTTAGGATATGGGTTAGCCATATCAATTACATCATTTGCATTTGTATTAGCCATAGTGGGTGCTACTGGGTCCACCGCTATTTCTTTTATTTTACCAGGTTTGTTTGGATTCAAGTTGATTGGTTCTGAATCTCAAAATCCAACTTTAAAGGAAATTATCTTGAAACAACTTTCTTTAGCTTTGACTATTTGGGGTATTGCTGTAATGCTTTTATGCTTATATACCACTATCTTTTTATCCCAAGTTTAAGTACTACATTTATTTATAACTGTCGAAGTAACAATAAGAGCTAGCTGTTAGTTAATGTCCGTAGATTCAGAATATAATATATAGAATCGTATAGTTTAAATGAAGATTATTTAAAAATCTCAGTACTATTTTGACGCGCACCAAGAAGCTTTAAATTATCAAAACATTTTTGAAAAATCTCAAATCAATTTGTGAAGAAACTATCTTTTGAAACCATCATTGACATCCATATCAACCTATAACTAAGGTGAAATATCATATTGGAGTACGTTTTAAATTAATGAAATACCCCCCAAATTAATTAAAATTAAACGCTTCAAATTCACTACTTGCATTAATTTCACGCTCAGAATTCAGAATAGTTAGTTATATGGCATATCTTAGATGAATGAATCAAAATATCACTCAACTACCAACGGGTTGTCTTCATTCACAGAGTCCTCGAAGACAACTTCATCTTCTACCTCAGACCATCCATTTGCCCAATTAAAACAAAGAAAACCACTAAAACAAAGTTCTGATCTTTCACTGTCTATTAACGATGAATTGGATGAAATAATATCAAAAACTTCAGAATTATCCATAAACAATCCTTCTAAATGGTCATCCTCATCATCATTATTTATAAATTATTTGAATCCATTATTTTTAACCATATTGTCTGCAATTGTAAGGCTTTACGACATAAACAAGTCTAAAGCCGTAACTTGGGACGAAGCCCATTTTGGTAAATTTGGAGCTTATTATTTAAACCATGAGTTTTATTTTGATGTTCATCCTCCTTTAGGAAAGTTATTAATTGGATTATCAGAATACTTGTCCAATTTTAATGGTGAATTTGCTTTTGATAGTGGTGCAGTTTATCCAGAAGAATGTGACTTTGTCTTTATGAGAGTCTTTAATTGTATATTCAGTATATTATGCACCCCATTATCTTACTACTTAGGTATAAACCTTGGATTTAGTCAATGGACAACTTGGTTTTTAACATTACTGGTAACATTTGAAATGATCTCCTTAACTTTATCAAAGTTTATTTTATTGGATTCAATTTTAATATTCTTCACTGTTTTAAGTTATTTCTGTCTCATCAAATTACATAACTTGATAATTCAAAATAATTCATTATCATTGAAAGGATTCATATGGTTAATAGTAACAGGATTTTCGATTGGATGTGTTTGTTCAGTTAAATGGGTTGGTTTATTTGTTACTGTGCTTGTTGGACTTTACATAATTTATGATTTATTAATCAAATCTTATCAATTAACATCAAAATCAACATCTGGAGCTCCTAAGATTTCTATAATGACATACATTTTGCATTGGATTTCAAGGATTATTACATTAATCCTTATTCCATTTTTCATTTACTTATTTTGCTTTAAAATTCATTTCACAGTGCTAAATCGTTCAGGAACTGGTGATGGATCAATTTCAACCTTATTGCAAACTTCATTAGAAGGTAATTCAATCAGGCTGGGTCCTAGATCTATTAGTTATGGTTCTTTAATAACTTTGAGATCACAAGGATTATCACCTAATTTAATTCATTCTCATGAACATATTTATCCAGAAGGATCACATCAACAACAAGTTACAACATATGGATTCAAGGATGAAAATAATGATTTCTTGATAGAGTTTCCACTCTCAAGAGGACTATTTGCAACCTTAAATAACGATAATAGTACTAATACTACCAGTACTGAACAAGAAATTAATTCAAGCAACGATGATGAGCAATATAGAACTCTTGTTAAGGATGGAGATGTTATTAGGTTAACTCACGAAGTAACTGGTTGTTTAATTAGGACCCATACCTTTCATGCACCAGTTTCCAATAATCATTTTGAAGTATCATGTTTTGGAGACGTTGAAAATGAAAATGAATTCAAAGACGAATGGATAATTGAAATACAAAATCATGAAGTTTCTCCATCGCCAAGTTTCCAGAATGAAAATGCTGATGAAATTCATCCTATTTCAACCAATTTCAGATTGAAAAATAAGCAACTTGGATGTTATTTAGCTACTACAGGATACTCCTATCCCTCTTGGGGATTTCAACAAGGTGAAGTGGTCTGTAAATATACATTTTTATCAAAAGATAAGAGTACTTGGTGGAATATTGAAGATCATGTCAACAATAAGTTAGAAATGCCAGCTGAAGCATATGTACCTCCAAAACCAAAGTTTTGGAAAGAATTTATTTTATTAAATTATGGTATGATGGCATCTAATAATGCTTTAGTTCCTGATCCGGATAAGTTTGATAGATTAAGTTCTGAATGGTGGGAATGGCCAATCTTGCATACGGGTTTAAGAATGTGTTCTTGGTTAACTGATGATGTGAAATTCTTTTTAATCGGTAATCCATTTATAACCTGGTTTTCAACATTATCTTTGGGTTTGTTTTTAATTTATGCATTGGTTAAAGCCTTTAGATATCAAAGACAATTGGATAATTTTGATTTATTCGATTCAAATTGGAACTTATTTTTGATTCAAGGTATTGTACCATTCATTGGTTGGTTTTTCCATTATTTTCCATTTATTGTAATGGGAAGGGTCAAATACTTGCATCATTATTTACCAGCACAATATTTTGCTATCTTAATAAGTTCCTTTATAATGGAGTCTTTAATTCAAAAGAAAATCAAATATAAATATTTGAGATACTTTGTTTATGCTTCAAGCTATATTTTAATTATTGGTTCGTTCTGGTATTTAAAAGATTTAGCCTTTGGTATGGAAGGTCCTTCAAATCAATTTAGCCACTTAAAGTTATTACCAACTTGGTACATTTAGAGTAACTGTGTATAGAATAATATGACGCGCTAAAAAATTGTTGCAAAGAAATTTTTTTTTTCCAAATTTGCTATATATTCTCACTCCTAAACACTATAAATCTATAGAATTTATATAAAGAGAAAGTATATAACTAGTTGAGGGAGAGAAAGGTTTTTTTTTTTTTTTTCCAAATTTGTTATATATTCTTACTCTTGTTAAGGTTAAAAATAAGAATTATTTTAAACTTAAAACTCTCTTGATTAGATGATAAAGTAGCTATTTACAATAAATTGTATTTCAAATCAATGCTACCAAACAAAATGTACTTATAAGTTCTAAAAATTAAATCCTTAAAATTACAAAAATTGCTTATGAAAATATAACAAATTTGGAAAAAAAAAAGCTTATAAAAATTTCTTAAATTTGACCAATTCAGACTTCAACAGCTACATTTTTAGCTTCTATCAACTCAGAACTACAAAGCTTAAAACGAGAACTCTGAAACAGTTATGTATCGTGAAATTAATGACGAGAAATGAATATATATGACAAAGTTCGAAAAACTAAATATGTTTTTAGTCGAACTGCCTCCAATATTCAACTACCACTAAAATTATTATTGTTCTGATTATGATTTTTTTTTCCAAATTTGTTATATATTAATCTAAATCAACTTTGATTCATATCGAAAAACAGCAAAATCAAAGTCAAATACTGATGTTCACTGGTATTTACATTTGAAAAACAAACATATCCAAATACACCAGTAAAAAGCAAGAAATCAACAGAGATTGGAAGGCGTTTAGATTTCTTTTTTCCATATTTGTTATATATTATTTCTCGTAAACGCTATAAAAATAAGTAATATTAGCTCAAATTTGGAAAAATCAAACTCTCCTTGAGAAGATTGTTATTTTGTAACACCAAACATGTGATAAGAAACCCATTGACCGCAATAAGCACAATATAAAGCTTTTTTTTTTTTCCAAATTTGTTATAGCAGCAATGGATCACGACCTAAAATCTTTTTTTTTTTTTCCAAATTTGTTATATATTCTTACTCTAAAATACTATAAAACTATAGAATTTATATAAAGAGAAAGTATATAACTAGTTGAGGGAGAGAAAGGTTAAAAATAAGAATTATTTTAAACTTAAAACTCTCTTGATTTGATGATAAAGTAGCTATTTTGTAAGATTTGATTGAAAATTGAAGATCAATCTAGTGATTTATTTAAAGATTATGAATGTAGAACGATACCCATGATGAAATAAAAGAAGAGTTGAGCGGTAAAGCTGAACCTTCTTTTTGTAGGATGTATCGTCGACGTCCTCGTAATTTAATCCAAAATATATTACTTCAGCTTTACCGCTCAACTCTTCTTTTATTTCATCATGGGTATCGTTCTACATTCATAATCTTTAAATAAACCATTAGATTGATCTTCAATTTTCAATCAAATCTTACAAAATAGCTACTTTATCATCAAATCAAGAGAGTTTTAAGTTTAAAATAATTCTTATTTTTAACCTTTCTCTCCCTCAACTAGTTATATACTTTCTCTTTATATAAATTCTATAGTTTTATAGTATTTTAGAGTAAGAATATATAACAAATTTGGAAAAAAAAATTAAAGAAGACCACATGGATGACATGAAGGATATACTCAATTTTCCACTACACGATGTTAATCCGTCTTGGGCAACCAGGGTGGGTATGGGCTTCAAGATATAGGAGTTCAACTTTCTGGTAGAAGAGCAAAATCCATCTATCTAATGCTAACGGATTCTCATCATTTAATGAATGTGGTCTTTGTAAAAGATAGTGAGACTTGGACTTACATCTACTAACGAGATCCTCAAGATCCGTTTTATTAACATATAATGTAGTCATAATGATTAAACTATATACTTGTTATTTTCTAAAAAAACAAATTATAATATATAAAGTAGGATATTTGGCACTATATATACTAATATAAATAGTATATATCAGCCCCTATTCTCCTATTAACAACCCCTATTATTCTTATTATCAACTCCTTATTACTCCTATTATAAACACCCCCTTTCATTCTTCTAATTTCATGTTGTTTTGTTTATCAAATATGATATTCTCATTAATGTTGAATTGACAACCTTTTGTTCCAAGAGAGTTTTAAGTTTAAAATAATTCTTATTTTTTTAACCTTTCTCTCCCTCAACTAGTTATATACTTTCTCTTTATATAAATTCTATAGTTTTATAGTATTTTAGAGTAAGAATATATAACAAATTTGGAAAAAAAAAAAATTGTTCCTTATATCAATATTTAAGCAATATTCAACAGTCTTAAGAGATAAACTGTTGAGATTTAGCCTTAAACCTGATAGCATAGTCATCAATGTCAACCTTTGAAATGAATATAGAATATATAACAAATTTGGAAAAAAAAAATAGAAGACATATTCGTATGTATTATACTTGTTATTCTATATATCTATACACTTAAAACAAAGGAAGGGAATATTTATACTAATTCCATATGGGATAAATAGCCCCTATTACCGTTATTACTAATTCAGTTTAGTACATAATTAATTTCTTTTTATAATAGTTATTTGGTTTATCAGTGACCATTTTCAATGAATCACTCCATTCATGATTTATGAGTGACCTCTTTGTATAAATCACTCCATTTATTTCTTTTGCAATGGCATGATAATTCGCAACTATTTGCTCCTTATATCCATTTACAACAGCCTCCGATAAGGTAAAATATGTTGAAGCCCGAATGAATATAATTGCCTCCCTTAATGTGCCAATAACTGCAACGTAGAAAGGTTACCAATACCAGAGATATAGCAAAGATGACGATGAGTATCAATAGGTAACGATTTGGTAAGCATATCAGCAGGCATATCTTGAGTGTTTAAATAATGAATACTAAAATTTTGCCCAATATGGCTTCGAATGAAATGAAAGCACCGCTTGATATGCTTTGTGCGATTATGAAATACTGGATTAGTAGCAATTTTCATAGCACTTTGACTATCGCAATGAAGTTGAATTGAATCTAAATCTAATTGTAATTCCTCGAACATCTCTTTTAACCATAAAAGTTCTTTACCAACAAGACCCAAACTGTAATATTCAGATTCAGCAGTGGACATTGCAACAACTTGTTGCTTCTTGGATTTCCAAATGACAGGAGATTGGGCTATTTTGATAATATGTCCTGAAGTAGAACGACTATTTGTAACGTCACCGCACCAATCAACATCACAATATCCAAGGATATCAAATTTGGGTGTTCTAAGATATAATAGGCCAAATTCGAGTGATCCACTAAGATATCTAACAAGTTTTTTTCCCAGCTTTGAGATGGTAGCTCGTAGGATTGTTGAGGAACTGCGACAAATTGGAAACAGCAAAACTAATGTCAACGCGAACAGTATTTGCGAGAAAAAGCAATTTGCCAATGAGGCTACGATATTCTCGATTATCAGCTGGTGTAGCACCATCAGGAATATCTTCAAGATGTTGGTTAGGAAGTAATGGGGTTTGCACTGGATTAAGATCTTCAGGCACAAGATATGAAGCAAAAATAGACTTGGTGTAATCAGTAGCAGCAAGAGCCTTTGAACCATCTGGAAATTGAGTAATATTGAGACCTAAAAATTTGGAACAAGCACCTAAGTCCTTCATTTGGTAATGTCTCAGCAACACAGCTTTGACTTGTTCAATTTCATCGATACTGGTTCCACTGATGAGAAGATCATCTATATATAATGCAATTATGATAATACCAGCAACAGAATGGCGAATATAGAGACCATACTCAGATTCTAATTGTTTGAATCGAAGCAGTTGTTCGATTAAAAGTTTGATTCCATTGATAAGCAGATTGTTTAAGGCCATAAATGGACTTATTTAGCTTAAGCACCTGTTTGGAATCATTTTCATATCCAGGAGGTTGCATGAGATAAAGCTCTTTCTCTCCAAATCAGCATTTTTTTTTTTTTTTTTCCAAATTTGTTATATATTCTTACTCTAAAATACTATAAAACTATAGAATTTATATAAAGAGAAAGTATATAACTAGTTGAGGGAGGGAAAGGTTAAAAATAAGAATTATTTTAAACTTAAAACTCTCTTGATTTGATGATAAAGTAGCTATTTTGTAAGATTTGATTGAAAATTGAAGATCAATCTAGTGATTTATTTAAAGATTATGAATGTAGAACGATACCCATGATGAAATAAAAGAAGAGTTGAGCGGTAAAGCTGAACCTTCTTTTTGTAGGATGTATCGTCGACGTCCTCGTAATTTATGAACAGCAAAGAGGTATCGATTGAGAGCGATTAATTGGTTTTTATCCAATTCTGGATCGATGGTTTATATAACTATGATTTGAAGAATACTGATTGATAAGGAAAATGCTCTTTTTGTCTGATAATTTGAATATTCCTAAAGTTTCAGTATTCTTCGTAACAATGCCCTTCGAGATATTAAAAATCAAACATTGTTAAGGAAAATAGTGAACCAAACATGGAAAATAACCTTCGTAAAAACTTGGGGATCATATTCAAGCATTTCGTCTGTCAAGTTAGCTGAATACTAGGTCTCCCCCAAAATATCGGGAAAATTTTTAATAATAAAAGGGTATCTTTCTCAAAATGGAATACCTACCTTAATGTCAAAATTTTGAAAGGTACCCTTATTGAATCCAACGGGTTAATTTTTAAAAATTCTAACCCCACCTTTTTTAGCTAGGGGTAAAACTTTGCAACATATAAAAAAATACTAGAACGCAATGTTGTGTCAAGCTTAAACTGTAAAAATTTCTCCGTCAACACCGATTCATCATTTCTATACTTTAGTTTGCATTTGTTGTCAAGTAAGACCTCTCAAGACTGAATTGGATAGATTACTATTTATGGCAGATCTAACAAACAGAAACAGATTTGAAACATCTTTCTTCAAGTTTCCAAATCAAGTAAACGTCCCGTTATCAAAAGCCACTATTATCGATTCAACCTGTATTAACGACTAATATTTTATGGGTAGGAGATGGTTTATTTTCTGAAGTTATAGTGCAACACAAAGCTCTGCCGTACTAAATTGACAGAGTAACTGATTCTTCGTGATAACGCCACAAGGTTACTTCTCAATTAATTAGGTTGAAGAGTCAAGTCGTATCGACAAAAGAATACTCTATTCATGATTCAACATGAACCCACTTGAAATGTTATTGATATGCGCCTTGCTACATTCATCTATGTACAGTAGAAAATATTTCTCAAACATAACCTTATTATTAAGACCCAATTTGAAAATCAAATGGGGGTTAACAATAGATTAAATTTGGGGGCTGACAAATTGCAACGAATGACCAACTAGATTGGCACGAGTAAGATTTCATTATTTAGTTTCAAGAATAGGTTAGAATGGATTTATATCAACCCCAATGGTTTTGATATTACAGTTAATCTGGTGGTGGTGGTGGTGGCGGTGGTGATATTGTAAATTTATAATGAAATGATGATACTAATCATAAGGGATTGGAGTCATATAAAATCTGTTGCCTGATTACATGTGTCTATTTCAAACGGACAGAAATACTGTTTTAGGTAACGGAATTATGATAATTAAAAAGAATAAATGAACACCAAAGAAGCGAATGAAGATAAACCTAACCACTTAACAATTTTATAAAAAAGTGGGGAAAATTCTATAGTCGGTAATGGACCGATAATACCTTAGTGCGGGACGACACATGAAGGAACAATAAAGTAAAATGTGGGATACGCGCAATATATGGGGTAAATAATAAAAATTCGATTCAATGCGGCGCACTGATACTTAATCTTACTTCTTTACATTGAACGATAGTATACGAAACAGAAGAAGAATACTGATCTAATGTCAAACCATACCAACAAAGTAGCATTAGTCTAAACAAGCTTTACATTGTAAAACACTAATGAAAAGTGGTTTGCTCAAACATATAGAAATACAAACTAATCGGAAAATCGATATATAATTCCGAGGAAGTAGATTTCAAATTCAGTACACTATCAAATATGGTAAGATATCCTTTACTTCTTTGAGGAATTGATATAAAACAGTATCAAGGATTGAATTCCTATTTAGCCTTTTATCAAGTTGAGATATATCAGGAAATTTATCAGAAATTTATCATAACATTATTCAATATTGTGATATTACCGATCATGCAATATCTGGAATAGTTTCCTAGTTGGCCTTTATTAATCTGGGTAGGGAAGTTTTCCCGAGTATGATCAGCATCAGGAACAATTTTAGCATCGAGACTTGTAAGAAATACTATTACAATTAAGGAAAGCCACTTTATTTTGTGGGGTATTTTTAAAATTCTTTGGGGTAACGAATAATCCATCAAACCTGTAAAATCTTATACGCTTTAAATTGTAACATACCAGCTTCGCGTCTCACTTGGTTTTTAAAGTCATGTATCTGGTAATTCCTTTAATTTCTGTTTGATTGAAAATATTTGTAAGATAGGTTGATGTCAATATTGTTTGCGGGGAATTCAACTGATCCTCCACTTTTTTTACACAATCTTAGTAAATGTTGCAAATAATAAAACATGTGTAAAATAATAAATCCTTTGGTCTTATTGAATGCAAATTTATTATTTACTATTCAGGTTAGGCATAATATCTAAAAATAAAAATAAAATCAAGTGTTTCGATTAATTTTTAGTATATAAAGACTTAAATAATCCTTGAAGTATTATCAACATCTGAACATTATATTTTTAGTATCATATTATATTTTTAGTAAGTTTGGCTTCTATTTCATTTGAAAATATCTCTCACTGGTTGTTGTACAGATAAGCAAAACTAAATTCAACAGCTACAAAACTTGCAACTATGTCGGACTCCAAGATTGGTTATACCAAGGAGCAAAATGATTCAATTTCAATAACTGATAAGATTCAATTACAACAGGAGTTGTTGAACACTGAATCTGTTGATAACTATCTTTATCTTGAGAAGTCTTGGTGGAATTACTCTCACTTTCGTTGGTTACATTTCTACGTTTTTTTGATTACCTTAACTTCTACTAGTAATGGTTATGATGGTTCTATGTTGAATGGTTTTCAATCGTTAGAAACTTGGAACAAACATATGGGTTACCCAGAGGGTTCTATCTTAGGTGCCCTTTCTAATGGTACGACTTTTGGTTCTATTATCGCCTTTGCTACTGCTTCCTATCTTTCTGATAAATTTGGTAGAAAATATTGTATTCTTGGTGGATTAGTTGTGTGTGTAATTGGTGCAATTTTACAAGGTGCATCTTACAACTATGCTTTCTTTTTGATTTCAAGAATTATCATTGGTATTGGGTTTTCAACAGCTATGTGTTCATCACCTTCATTGATTGCAGAATTATCTTACCCTCCATACAGAGCTACTTGTACTGCTTGTTATAATACTTTGTGGTATTTCGGAGCTATTATTGCTGCTTGGGTTACTTATGGAACAAGAAACATCGACGGTAATGCAGCCTGGAGAGTTCCATCTTATTTACAAGGTTTCTTACCTCTTGTTCAACTTTCTTTTGTGTGGATGGTTCCCGAATCTCCAAGATTTTTAATCTCCAAAGGTAGAAACGAACAAGCAAGAAAAATCTTACATAAGTATCATACTGGTTCTTCTGACGACGAGAGAGCTCATAGACTTGTTGACTTTGAAATGAGAGAAATCGAAGCAGCTCTTGAATTAGAAAAGATTTATTCTACATCTAGATTCGTTGATTTCATTAAAATTAAAACTTTTAGAAAAAGATTATTCTATATTTTATTTACTGCTTGGATTATGCAACTTTCTGGAAATGGTTTAGTCTCATATTATTTGAATAAGGTTTTAGATTCCATTGGAATCACTAGTCCTACTAAGCAATTACAAATTAATGGTTGTTTAATGATCTATAATTTTTTCATTTCGATCTTTGCTGCTTGTGTTGTTTACAAATTCAAAAGAAGAACCGTATTTTTGAGTTGTATCTCTGGTATGTTGCTTACTTATATCATTTGGACAGCTCTATCTGCAGTTAATCAAAAAACTAATTTTGAACATAAAGGTTTGGCAAATGGTGTCCTTGCTATGATTTTCCTTTACTATCTTGCTTATAATTTTGGTGCAAATGGTTTACCATATTTATATATCACTGAAATTTTACCATATTCCCATAGAGCAAAGGGTATTAATCTTTTCCTGGTAGCTCAAAATATTATTCTTGTCTATAATGGTTTTGTTAATGCAGTTGCTATGGAAGCTATTGAATGGAAGTATTATATTGTCTACTGTTGTATTCTTGCTTGTGAATTAGTTATTGTTTACTTCACTTATGTTGAAACCTATGGTCACACGTTAGAAGAGGTTGCAAGAGTATTTGGAGACGAACCTACTACCCATTTTCCTCAGGCTTCTTCCCAAGTTGAGAAATTGGAAGTTGAACATGCTGAGAACACTAGTGATGGTTCTTCTAAACGTGTTCTTAACGTTTAAGTATGAAGTTTTCAGTTAATTGATTTTGCTCTTCTTATTCCTATTCATATTGATATGAATCTATTATTTCACAAGTATGAGTTTATTAAAGACTTGATATTCAGTCTGTTAGTTAGTTTTAGTTTTATTAATGTTATTGATTAATATTTTATAATTCCTTTAATGTATCTAACGTAGAAATACAATACTATAGTAATATTAATCTATTAAGATTGCTATGATTGCAAAACATTTAATGCGGTCGTGCGAAGGCGATGATTTCTGCTAACAAAAGATCATCAAAAAAAAAGAAATTTTAGAAGAGCTCTTTTTTATTTTTATTTTTTTTTGGCTACAGATATCTGATGTCTTAATAATTATAATTCAATTTAAGTTAATGCTAGCTAGTTTTGTTAGTGGTAGCAGGAGTCGACTATTCAACTTTCCTATTAGATTATTATCATACAGTACTACTACTACTACTTTCAATAACACCATGACTGTTACTGAAAAATTAAATGGTCGTGAAGTATATGATGCTATAGGCCAACCTAAAACCATTGTTGCTCCAATGGTAGATCAATCAGAATTAGCATGGAGAGTATTATCCAGAAGATATGGAGCTGACTTATGTTATACTCCTATGTTTCATGCTAGATTATTTGCTAATGAAGAGAAATATCGTAATAGTATGTGGAGTTCTATGGATGGAGATAAAGAAAAAGATAGACCATTGGTTGTACAATTTTGTGCTAATGATCCTGAGATGTTACTTAAAGCTGCCAAATTAGTTGAAGATAGATGTGATGCTATTGATTTAAATTTAGGTTGTCCTCAAGGTATAGCGAAAAAGGGGAAATATGGAGCATTTTTAATGGAAGATTGGGATTTGATTTATAAATTAATCAATATTTTACATGAAAATTTAAAGATTCCTGTTACAGCCAAGATACGAATTTATGAAGATAAAGAAAAATCATTAGAATATGCAAAGATGGTTTTAAAAGCAGGAGCTCAATTTTTAACTGTTCATGGTAGAACAAGAGACATGAAGGGTCAAGCAACTGGATTAGCAAATTGGAAAGTGATAAAATATTTGAGAGATGAATTACCAAAAGATCAAGTTTTCTTTGCTAATGGTAATATTTTATATCCTGAAGATCTTGAAAGATGTACTGCGGAAACCACATGTGATGCTGTGATGTCAGCCGAAGGGAACTTATATAATCCAGGAGTTTTCTGGACTAAAGATAATGATAAAGATAAACAATTTGCCAGAGTTGATAAAATGTTAAGAGAGTACTTTGAAATTGTGAAAAGTTGTGATGGTGTTGCATCTAGACATGCTATGAAAGCCCATTTTTTTAAATTATTGCATGCATTTTTGAATGTTCATAAAGAATTAAGACCAGTCATTGGTAAGACCAGTGTTAATTCTGATTTCAGTGAATGGGAAAAAATTGTGGTTGAAGTAGAAGGTATAGTTGAAAAGATTTATCAACAAGATAATATTGAAGAAATAGATGTTATTGAAGTAGGAGGAGTTGAAAAATGGGGTGGTTCATATAAAACAGTTCCATATTGGAGATGTCAACCATATTTCAGAACTGTTGATGGTGAGAAACAAAATACCAGATCTTTAAAGGTTGCTGGAGAAAGTGAATTAATAGAAGCTTCATCATCAGTATCCACTTCTGAGAAACATAAGATTTCAGAGCCATTAGAAGAAATAGAAACCAATAAAAGGGTTAAAGCATAGAAAGATAGTAAAAAAGTTATATATTTCCTTTGTAAATAGAAAAATAGAAAAACTTACTTGTTGTAACTGTAAGTCTATGGAATTAAGTATTGAAATAATTGATATCATAAAAATGCATATTTGCGCCTGATAAATAAGACCTCAGCAAGCCTACGCGACGAATATATGGCTCCAAATTATATCAGATAAGACGTACGGCTATATCATAAATTTAAAGTCAGAGCTTACAAATATTATATAAGTAACTAGAATAGTCAGTATAAAGTTCTCCTCAATTGAAAGGTGTTTTTATGATTAAACGTCAAATCCACTTTCTTTGTGTTTCAAACATGCTATTTTTCAAAGTTGTACTTTTGACAATCATTGTTTCAGGATGTGTCGCCTACTCTCCAGCAACTTGGGTTGTTTCTCACTTAGCTATTAGTTATCTACTTACGACGGTTTCCTTCGAACATATATTTTACCAAAGAATGATAATTGTATTAGTTGGTCTAAGCCATATTCAGGAGGCCACAATTAACATATACAAGAGTTGTCGTGTTTCAGATAATCCGAAAGATGATGATTCTACTTGCCATAAAGCTGTTTCAGATACCGTTATTGGGGTTGGATTAGGTACAGGTATATCAATCTACCTGCTTTTGGAATGAATGAAGTAAAATGGATCATTGAGTGTTACACCTTTCAATTTGGTCGGAAGTTGCTAAAGCATACATAATAAAACATACCAACATATATTTCCCTTGTATATATAAAATAGAAACTAAACTAGTTTAATGTTATTGAGGGGTTATAATAGAACAATATATATAATTTAATCAAATACTTTACTAAGAGTATCACCAGTCCACCATTTAAATCCAATTCCATAACCCCATTCATCAGTAATATATCTTTTTGGATTTTGAGCACCAATTTGATAAAGTTCATCTAATTCTTCTTTAGTTAATTGAGGTAAACCTATAATACTTTTAATTCTTTGTAAATTTGATGATCTAGGTAATACAATTCTACCTTGTAAAATATGATAAGCATCGGCAATTTCATTAGTTGATACACCATATTTTTCAGCTAATTTTTGAATTAAAGGAAGTTTTACCACAGGTGCTCCATCACTTCCGACTGGAGAATAAGCTGCAATTAGAATACCTTGATTTTGGAAATATTCCACTAATTCTTGTTGAGGTAATTGAGGATGATATTCAATTTGGTTAACTACTGGTTTATGTTTTTTAATATGAGGTAATAGAGTTCTATATTTTGGAATAGAATAATTTGAAATTCCAATGGATTTAACTTTAGTAGTATGTTCCACAAGATCTTCAAGTTTATTATAAGTTTCAATGAATTTAGTTCCTGTAGCTGGATCATCATCATAAATTAAATTTCCATCTTTATCCTTTGGAGCCGGTGGTTGACCATTTTCATCACCATGTAAAGCCACTGGCCAATGTTGTAATACTAAATCAACATAATCCAATCCTAAATCTTGTAAGGATTGATCAACTGATTTTTCAGGACTATGCCAAAATGATGGCCATACTTTAGTAGTAATGAATAATTCTTCTCTTTTAACAATCCCTTCATCAAATAATTCTTTCAAGGCTTCACCAATATATTTTTCAGTACCATAATACCAAGCAGTATCAATATGACGATAACCTGCTTTAACGGCAGTAATAACTTGATCTTTAACATCTCTTGGGTCAGTGGCAGACACAGTACCAAGACCTAATGCTGGAATGGTCTTTCCATTGTTTAATTTGAAAACAACGTCAGTAGCTAATGAAGGCATAATTAAGCAATGGATTGGAATTGAATTGAATAAAGGTAAACTGAAAAATGATAAGAAATCAGATAACCAATGAAATTGATGGTAGGGAGATTTTCTAACTACTATTTATATAATTGACGATGGAAGGTCTAGAGAGGAGGAGGAGAATTGTGGTTATTTGTTGCTTATTGTCGGAATAAGGTGGGGTGCAGAGTGGGGGAGCAATATCGGAAAAAAAAGTAAAAATAAAAACTGTAAATCTTTTTTAAAGTGTTTGCTTTACTTTTGCAATCAAATAGTTTGATTTTGCAATTAATTGGTTTGATTGTATATATCTAACTCTTATTCTACACTATTCATCAATATATTCAAATTCTGATTAGGATTTTATCATGTTAAATAAAGTATAAATAATGCATTATATATCAAATAATTGTGAAGAAGTATAATAATATAGATATCAAAAAAGAGCAACTATATAAGTTAAAATAAAAAAGGTATAATAAATTATTAATAGCAATTAGCAAACGTACAATAAATAGTCAACAGCTAAACAACAACAATAATTAGAATAATCACAGTTTAGTCCAAGCAAATAAAGTACGTACTTGAACATTTGTTATTTTTTTGTTTTTTTTGGGGTATGGTTTTCTCTAGTTTCTTATGTGTTTTTTTATGGATTAAGTTAGTATTTTCCTAGTTTTTTTTTAATTAATTCAAATTTCTATATCCCCTATCACATCATTATCTTCTTCATCATCATCAAGGATGGCATCTTCATCGAGGTATCTTGAATCATCATCATCATCATACACCACATCGATATCATCATCATCATCTTCATGACGAATTATCTCTTTATCACTATTTCTATTTCCATTATGAATTCCATTTCCATTACTACTATTTATAGTAGAATAATGAATTTGATTAATGGCAGTTAAATAAACAAAGGCAACTCTCTTTTTCTTTTTATTATAAATAAACCAATAATAAGACCACATGGTTTGATAAGGATAATTTAAATCTTCTAATATAGATTCATCACTGGGTTGAAATTGATAAATTTGACATAATTCAGGATTGAAAGCGATAGGAGGGGAATTATTACCATTATTTGAAGTAGTTGATCCACTCCTTGAATAAGGATGTGAACTACCGTTATTATTGTTGTTATTATTATTATTAAAACTATTCTTTCTTGAATTTGATAGTATAGGACCTCCTGATTGAGCTGATAAAGATGGAGAATTCTTAATGGGAGACAGAACATCCATATAAACATTTATAGTATCCCATATCCAATTTAAAATATCTTCCTTTTTACCTAATGATATCATTATATTATTAAATCGATTAATTAAATCTTCTGGATTATGAATTCTATGAAAATTTTCTGTAGTTGGTTGTAAATTTGAAAAATCATGATCAGGAAATGTAGTATTTAAAATAGCAATTAAATAAGCAAAGGTCTTTCTAGTGGTAACATTCTTTAATGGTCCAAAAGGGGATTCATCAATAGGACCTTCTAATTCAAATGAAGTTTCACCTTTCAATGAATTAGTTAATAATGAAGTAGCAGTTCCATTTCCATTATCATTGGTATTATTTATATTCGTATCATTAGAAGGAGCCGTAGTGATTATACTTATATTACCTGATTTTGAAAAATTGGTGGTACTACTACTACTAGTACTACTTTGTCTTCTATCTCTTTCAGTAATGGTTGAATAACTATCTCTTCTATTGATAAAACTAGCCGGTGGAGAAGCACTACTACCAAATAATGAATGGATTGAATTCTTTCTTTCCCATTCAATCGAACGAGATAATTGATTATCCTCTATGATTTGATCTAAATGTTTATCAATCGTTTTAAATAATTTACGATCAGACCCAATCGGTTTAGTAGTAAATAAATCACATCCACCTTTGATAACTAAACTATTATCTTGAGAATTAAAGTTTAATTCTTGATTCACTAACTCAATATCTATCTCATCAATGAACTAAAAATTAGAAGTTAGTATACAAATGTAAATAATGTAAAGTGACGTGATCGCGTTTTACCAACAACATGGTGGGTGACCATCCCACCAGAAATGTTGCTAAAAGAACTGCAACCGCGTCGATTTCATTCGATTTAAATGGATGCAAACCCATCTGTCATACACATACCTTCATATTAAGTTGTTTGGTTGGGGTATAATTGAAGATTAAACTAGTAGAAAGTGAATTTCAGTTAAAGTTTAAATTAACCCATGCTTTTCTTTTATTGTTCTGCTCGTTGTTTGGGTGATTATCTTTTTTTTTTCTTTTCTGGTTGTTGATATCGGATGCATAATTGGGACAATGGACACGACCACTCACAAAATGGCAACTCCACTTTTTATGTAAAGAAAGTATAACATTAATTAAGTAATTAATATGTCAATAAGTAATGGAATGAATGATAGTGTAAATCAATTGAATATATTGCTTTTTATTATGGTATTTACATTAACTTCTATCTAAATTTTTTCTATCAATTTGACCGTCATTAGTGCATGCGCTACCAATAAAATCTAATATCATACCCAATTTTGATTACTCTCAACCAATACTCATTCAATTAAACTTCAAATAATCCATTATCAGTGATGGTAAATTCAATTTTATCATTATCATTATCGTTATCATTATATTTGGAGTATACTACTTTAGCATATCTTTCAACTTTCCACCCTTTAATTAAGGCTTCAATGGATGTAGTTGAATTCAATTGATTAAATGATCTTTTTTTCGTAGTAGTAGTAGTAGTAGTAGAATCTTCTCCCTCATTATTAACATTGAATCCTTCCATCAATTGTTCATAAGTTAAACCCGTCTCAGGATCAACCACACTATTATGATTCGTAACTTCTAACCAATCCTTTTTATCCTTCATCAATGGTTTATATGTTTTCATTAACATAATTCGAATCGGAATTCGAATTGACCAGGGATAACCTAAAGTTGGAACCACTCTTTTGGTATTAAGATTACCTAATTTATGTAATTTTAATAATAAATCTCGTTGATTATTATAATCTTCATCATGATTAGTTAAATTCTGTCTAGCATATCTTGGATCGAAAGTTTCTCCATCAGTATTCACTCTTTGATGTTTGTTTTGAGGTTGATTTAATGATTTTTCTAAATGATAAGTAGTTAATTCTAAATCTTTCGAATTTAATTGAAATTTAGCCTTTGGTAAGGATTGTTGTTGATCATGTAAAATAATATTTGTATCCCAACCACTGGTTAATCCAATTTGAAAATTCACATTTAAGGGATTTAAAATATCTTCCACTAAAAAATCATCATCATTATCAATGGTTGAATTTATAAAATCACTAACTTGATTTATAATAACTATAGCCACATTATATCTTATGGCTAATCGATATAGATGACGATTTAATAAATATAAATAATGATTCTTTAAAAATCGATTATAATATTTCGATGATTTATTTTGAAATTTTTTAATTTGAATTTGATGAAGTTTATAAAGCGGTTGAAAATCAGGTAAATCCTTTAATTGATCATATAATTTCGATATCTTATGTTTAAGATAATTACAATTATTCAATGAACCTTCTCGTCTTAAATGTTGAGCAATACTATCAATAATAATAAGATTGACTTTCCCATCTAATTGTTGTAATTTGATTGGTAATTGAGTATAGATAATATGATCCTGACTTTCAAGATCTTGACAATAGATATAGGTTATGTTATCCAACAGAACACGAGGATCATCATTATATTGATTTTTCATATCATTTAATCGTTTAGTTTCAAGAAATGATTCCGTAGCTATGAATATCGATTGATTCTTTTCCGTGGATAATAATTGACTTCTTAATGCTAATTGACTTAATAAATGAGATTTCCCACATCCACTTGATCCAAATACTTCAGTTAATTCTCCTAATGGGATTCCTTTCCCACCTAATTGTTTATCAATAGTTGGTAATCCAGTTGAAATAAATGATGGTTCATCGTTACTTAATTCATGTTTTATATCTATTTTGGGGATATGATTCGATAAGTCTTGTTTCAAACCATCTAGATAATCATCCACCTCACGAATCGATCGACTTGAAAGTTTTGATAATTGACTTGATTGTTTATTATAATCATATAAGATTAGATCACTAATGGTTTTACCATTATTTTTAAAAATTGAAATTAAAGATGGGAAATCTTGAGATGAATGGATTTCACTGCTATTTAATTGTTTGAAATCATCCATCCAATGTCGTGAATCCTGTATTTGATATTGTTCTGGGGTGACTTATAGTTATCTATTTATAGTGGTATATTTGACGATAGTTTCAATTATACGCGTTGCAATTTTTACTAAGCACAAAAAGTTACTATATCAAAAATTAAATATTATGTATTAAACGACAAACAACAAGCTCCAGGCTGAAACATTAAATAAGATAAACAGTATAGAGAAACGTGTATCTAAGAAAGAGGGAGAGGGGGGGGTGTTAATAAACAAATAAATAAGTAAATAAAACTAAACATAGATTTAAGATAAGTTTTCACCTCCTTTTGGAATCATATAATCATTACTCTTTAAGAATTTGACTAAGAAACTTGGGAAAGTCAATCCAAAGGCAGTACCAACTCCACCAGTTTTACCAATTGGAACCACTAAGACAGTACCTGGTTTCTTGTAAGCTTGTAAAGTTACAGAATGATTATCATAAACTTCATAATCAAAGGTAGAACCCACATTTTTAACTTGACCATAAATGATATCAACAAGAGATTTAACCCCTTGAGCCACAACATCACCAAAGGCAATAACTTCATGATGATTATTTAATCTAAGGTAATCATCAGTTTTAATGAAACCATCATTATCTAAATATTGACTATATTTCTTTAAGAATTGAGAATTTGGAATCAATTTAAAAGCAGGAATAACTAAATCAAATGATGTAGTTGAACCATCATTAAATTGAATTGAAGTAGGAGTAAAAGATTTAGCCTTTTTATTATTAATAACTGTAACATTTAAATCTTTTAATTTTTGACTAGCTTTATCACCTTGACTTTTATTTAAAGTTGGTAAAGGTTGAGATGAACCAGTAAATAAAGTAATTGATTTTGAATCTTTATATTCAGTTCCAATTTCACCAGCAAGTTCAACCCCAGTAGCTCCACCTCCAATAATAGCAATCTTATTAGCATTTTTAATATCTCTATTTAATGATTTAATTGATTCTCTAGTATAAGTTGAATCTCTTTCATTATCCAATTTAAAGGCAGGATGTTGAGTAGTAGTACCAGAAGCAATGATTAAATTATCATACCCAATAGTTTCATTATTACTGATAGTAACAGATCTATCATCTAAATTAACATCAGTAACATAACCTTTAATTAATTTAATGGAATGAGGAGTATTTTGAATATATTTATTAAGAGCTTTCTTTAAATCAAAGAAGATTTTATCGATCTTATCGGTTTCAATAGCAACTCTTGGAGTACCAATATTAAATAATGAAAATTCAGATGGTGAAATCACCGTAATTGATAAAACAATATTTTTAGAATTATTTTTTGATTTAACTAACGTTTTTAAAGCAGCAATGGCGCCAAAGGAACCACCAATGATAACAACTTCTTTGGATGACATGTCTATAGTAATCTATATCTAAGCTTAGTCTATCTTATTGTATACTTATTGTAAACTGTATAAAGTGGAAATCAGATGATATATTTATATACTGCAAAATTTATTTGTTGATACTCTAAATTTTGTTTGTGCCACCGGATTTTAACGGTGGTTTCAATTTTATGACAAATTCAAAATAAAATTTGCAGTACTTTTTTTTTTTTTACTGCGGAAAATAATATGAGCTTTAATTGCTAAATTCAGCCTTACCAGGATGGAATTATACTTATTTAAAGTTATATCAACTCTACTATGGTAACGTTTTATGTAATTCAGTCCTTATTATTACTAAAGTCTCAAATTAGTAATTAATTTATATATTTATTTTTTATTTCTCCCCTTTTATCACCGAGTCTACATCCATAGTTAACATAAGTTAAATATCAATCTACATCTTCTCTCCTCTCCCTATGTTGTTTTTGTAAACTTACGTATGTTTATTACTACTGTTGTTATATAGTTTACGAAAGTTGTATCCTTTGTTCAAGTTAATAATGATAATGATGATGTTAGTAATAAAACCTAACCCCGATTCACATATCAAAATAAATATTTACCATTTGTGTACTTGTTTAACTATTAAAATATAATTTGAGCCACAGTATCATCAACCCTAATTAGATCAAAATCAACTTTATGTTTCAAAAAAATAAAAAAACTACCAACACATATACTAATTAGCTTAATGAGCACCACCAGAAATGAAAAACCATTTATCAATGGATTTATCAATTGGAGCAGCTGGTAATGGATTAGCAGCTGGAATTTCACTAATAGCAACATCAGAATAATATGGACTTGAAGTTAAAGTAGTATTGGTTAAATCAATACCCTTGGAATCAACTGATTTACCAGCAATTAATTCTTTCCAAGCTTCAGAACATTCATTAATAACTTCTTCAGCATATTTCTTATTTTTACATTCACCACTAAAAGCAAATTGATTTTCTGGTTTACCATCTGGAATCTTATAAATTCTAAACCATTCATTGGTGGCTCTTAATAATCCTGGTAAATGAGTTTCAACATCTTCAATATCATTTAATTTAGCTGCAAATGGATCTTTAACATCAATAGCAATGATTTTCCAATCAGTTTCTCCTTCATCTAATAAAGCCATAACTCCTAAAACTTTAACTTGTTTAACTTCACCAACAGTGGCAACTCTTTCACCAATTTCACAAACATCTAATGGATCATTATCACCCTTAGCTTTGGTTTCTGGATGAACATGATTTGGATCTTCCCAAGTTTGAGGGAAAGCACCATAATTATGAATATAACCATGATGAGGAAATGAATTACGAACAAATCTTAAATTACCCTTTTTAGTATCTTGAATAATTGGATTTAATTTAAGATCTTTGGAAATTTCTAATTTAGCATTAGTCCATCTTGGAACTTCAACAATCATATTTAAAATAGTTTTTTCTTCATTAGCATATAATGGAATATCATGAAATGGTGAAACTGGTTTACCATCTTTTTCAATATAAGCCTTGTATTCTAAGGTGTGAGCAGCACCAACTTGACGAGTAGTGTAAGTCATATTCAATTGATGTTTTGAATAGAATTGAATCGAATCGAAATTGAATTGAAATCAGAAAAGGAGAGTTCCTTTTAAAAAATTGGAGAATTTGGACAAAAAGACGTCTGATTGACCAAAAAAATTTGAATTTGAGCCCAACACACGCCGGAGTATAATATAAAATCATCATTTTTGTCTATACATGGGAGAAGAAAGTCGTGTAAAATGGGTTGAAAATGGATCACGTGTTATTAAATAATAATTTTTTTTCTTATACCGGGGTGGGTCGTGTAACTTTGATCAAATTGCAAATTTGTTATTTCCTATCCATCTTGATCTTATTGATATAATAATAATCAATCTTATTCAAGATATAGCCATTGATTACATCATTGTTTAATAAGTTCATTTCACATTTCTTAAACATTAACATTCCTCTAGTTAATTCTCTATGACAATCACTATAAGGATTTTTAATTAGAAAATTCTGAATTAATTTAAAGTCTCGTATAGAGATATTTAACCATCCTTGATCATAATCTAATAAATAAACACCAGCATGATATAATGAATTTGGATTATTATCATATTGTTTCATTATATTTATACCATAGATATCAGAATCAACAAATGCCAATTTTAAACAAGTACATTTTAGACAACTATTCAGCAAATAATTATAAAATGTTTTAGTTAAATTATCAGGAAATCCTTTACCAGTTATAACAATTAATTTAATTCCCATATTTTCATAATAATCCTGATATTTTTCATTTAATTTCATATAATTACAAAATGATTTGAAAATAGCTTCCTTTTCAATGACTATGATGACAACTATACTATTCTGATTATCATATTTGTTCATAAAATCAATATCATTATAAGCTATAGGGATCAAAATAGGATCTAACTTATAACTCAACTCAATATTTTGATTGATTATAATCCCATTACCATATACTAAACCTTTCTGACTAGGGAATATCAATAAATCATTAGTTAAACTCCAATTTAATGAAGTTTCAACCATTTGAACCAATATAGCTTTACAATTCAATTGATTCTTATTATATAGTTCAACATCTTTATAATAAATATCTCTAATGGTTGTCTTATTAGTTTTCAAATGTAATTGTAAGATTAATAATTTTAAAGTTTTGATATAACTAAGGAATTTATTTGGATTATTAAATTGATTAGAAAATTGATTTATATAAATGAATTTTGATCTATTCTTATCATATAGTTGAAGACATAATACAGAATTACTCATAAATAAGTTAACTTTGATGGATTGCCAAATTTGAAGTAATATATCTAATCTATTTTTGGGTTAGTTAACCTGTTGCAAATATGAGAGCAAAGTATGGTAAGAAGATACTTACTTTTCATCAGAATTAGTGGAATCAATCATAAATTTGATATAACATATATCATCATGTCCCTTACACGATGTATTTAGACTTGTTAGATTCAAATGATGTTTCATTATGGTTTATTTCATGGTTTACTGTAGGAATCATATTGAATTTACAGCCAAGATTAAGATTTTTAAGTATATGCTGAGATGTCCGGGTAAATAACAATAAAATACATAAATAATAATTTTAAACTATTTGCTGCAATAATTTACAATTACAAAGTAGCTAATTACAATCTTAACTCTTTAATAAATCATGATAACTCTACAATAATATTGAATACTTAATTACTTACTATTTAATAGGGTGCAAATGATGGTATAAATCCTTTTTTGCAAAATTGATTCCTATTCAGGAAAGTGGTCGTGTACTCCAAAGAAATAAATTTTCGCCATTTGTGGAGGAAAAGGGGACGGTCATTACGTAACTCCTAATCCAGACTTAATTCCATTGTCATGATAACTATTTTTAGATGTCAAATTAAAACGGACGGCTTAGTTGTATAGACCTGGGTGATAAGTTCCGCAGTCGGTATTGAAATAACTAATATACTACAAACCTTTTGTAGGAGATACATGGTTATAGTCGGGGTTCTATAAAGTTAATAAATAAGCAGATTCACAGCCCAGCCCCAACCTTGTCATAATTAAGAGTTGAAAGTTGCAAAGTCACCTATTTCGGTCTTATGAAGACTAGTTATACCCTATCTAACAAACTATAATTTTTGTGGGATCAACCGATTTTTTTTAATTTCAATTAAACAAGGCTCAAACCAGAATCAAAGGCAAAATAAATCATCATTACTTTTCTCTTTTGTAATTTCTTAAATTATTTATTCAACTCTTTCTTCACTTGTCTTGGAAGATATCATCATCTACGGTACTATCAACTTAAGCTATTCATTTTGAGTTACATCTCTCCTAAAAAGTATATCTTGTCTTTTAATTTCTTGTTAATTAGTATTTCTCGGCTTAGGAGTCCACACCCATTTTCATTTTTTTTCTTTAAGGCTGCCGTTTCTCCCTGATCACAAATACGATTACGGTAACTTTTTTTTAAATATATAAACTTTCTTCTTCAGATCGTTCAATCATCACTTTCAATTCAGAAGGAAAGAATCATATCGTTAAAGTTAGCTTGTTACTTAGCTGATTCATTTATACCTTACCTTGTTTTTTCAGCATTATCGTTGTTTTATATACTATTTCAGTTCTCCATTTTAGATCTTAGATCATATTTTGAAAAATCATTATTTTATAAAAAAGGGAAAAAGCATTACTTTGCATCATCACATCATCAAATCAAATTAAGTTAACAATTTGAACAAAATGGCTATATTAAAATATACTGATCTCGTCATTAAAAGAGAAGATGGTTGGAGTTCTGGAGGTAGTGGAGCAAGATGGGCCTTTTTTGGGATTTTCCTTGTTCTTGTATTGTTTGTGGTATTAGGTACTTTAAGAGCTAATAAAAAGAGAGCTCAACAAGGTGCTCAACCAATATATGGTACCAGATGGTTAACTCCTCCAAACTATAGACAATCTCAAAATCAATATAATCAACCTGATCATGTAAGAGATCCTGAATTACCCAGTGCTTATGTTCCAACTTATACTGAAACTGCTAATGAATATGATATGGGATTTTATGATAATCAGGGTGAATTCCATGCTAATCCAAATGCCAAAGCAGTAGATTTAGCTCCTCCAAATCAAGCTCATGCTAGAGATTCAAGTCCAACTGATCGTGGTCCAGCTACTGATTTAGATCATGATATTAATGATGATAATGATCATGATGATTTATTCAGACGTCCATCTCAATTTCCTCCAAGAAGATCAACCCAAACAAGTACTTCAATAAATGCTAATATAGATCCAAATACAATAGGAGCACCATCAGGACCTCCTCCAACTTCAACATCATCCATACCGGGAGCTTTCCCAAGTCCATCACCTGCTACTACTTCACCAATTCCAAATGTTCAACAAATATCATATTCACAAAATGTAAATTTTGCTACTCGTCGTTTCTAATGGTTTTTTTAAAAAACGCCTTCCCATTATTTGCTAGAGATAAATTTCCATTGGATCTTTTTATCAAAGTATTTTTTTATTTAATTATTATTATTATTATTATTCATAAACCAACTTCATTTTGCTTTTGCTCCTTATCACGAGACCTCGCTACTACGTTATCTTCTTTACGACATTTTATATATGTATTTATTAATTAATGGAATATATTTTTAATTCTTCATGTAATTATTTTAAGAAAATGAAGTCTTTTTTTTTAATACTTTAATTTTTATTTTATTGTAAGATTGTTCTTATTTTTGTAAGATTAATTTATCAATTTTATAACTAAAATGAGAACTTGAAGGTAATAATTTATTATTATCAAATGTTCTGGAAATATTTAATTGATTAAATCTAATATCAAGATCTGATTTTCGTATAAAATGACCTGATTTTAATTTTTCTTCTTTAGTCATTTTACGATGTTTTTTAACTAAGGGTGATTTAGTATGGTTAGTTGCTTTAGTTAATTTTGGAGTGAAATAATTAAGTTGTTCAACAGTTTTAGGTCTAACCATTGGTTTGGTTCTTAAATAACGAATTAATGAAGTTGACCTATTATTAGCAAGACCAAAATCAATCTCAGATAATAAATATTCAAATAATTGACCAAATGGTTCATCATCATCATCATCATACAGTTCATAACTTGATTCATCTTCATTTTTGTATAATATCATTGATGCATTTTCAATAAATGAAAAATCATCTTCATCATCATCTTCAAAATGTCTATCATCAACAAAGTCTTGTAATTGTCCATCTAAAGTCCCATCATTACTACGGTCATTTAAAGTCGATTCATCATCACTATAAGATTCACCATCTTCAGTTTGTTCTGAAGATGCATCATATTCTTCATCTCTAGTTGGTTGAGGTTGGGGTAAATCATTAGATGCTATATCAGAACCGATAGCATGAAACGTTCTAAACTTTAACATAGACGCTTTAAACATTGGGTACAAGATTTTATAATAAGAAGAAGATTCATAAAAAGATTATATAATTTAAGATTTATAAAAATGCTATTAAATAAATAAGCATCAAATATAGATGATAGCTATAATAAAAAAAAATACTTACGTTGTTATGCTGCAAAAATTAATGACCCAAACGAAAAAAAAAATAAATTAAATAGAAATTTTTGCCATCCATAACAAATATACATTTTGATTAAAGTAAGAATAAGTAATAGAAATATATTAAAGGAAACAAAATTAAGCATATAAAAAGATGAATAAAAACACACAAAAAACATTAATCGAAACTGGTAACAACAAATTCAGATTCTTCACCAGCAGAACTTAAATCTCCTACATAACCAACTCCTTCTGGATCATTAAAATTTGGAACTCCAAGTTTACTATTACATAATAATTTAACCACATCATCAGTAGCACAAAACACTTCACTTACCCCATTATCAACCACAATCATAATTCGATCAAACAGTTTGAATTCATCCAAAGCCATCATTTCCGTAGCTTGTTGAGACCATCTTACTCTTCTTGATCTTGGTTCAACTGATGCATATGTTGGTCTCATTAAAATTTGACCCATTTGACCTTGTTTTAAATTACAAGTAGTGGTACCAGTATTTGATCTTGATAAAGAAAGTTTAAGTGAAGCAGTAAGCGATGCCTTTGCGGAATGTTTAATAAATAAAGGATTAATACCAAATTTAAATTCCAAATTAATATCATGATTAGAAGCAAAATAAAATGATTGACCAAATCCAAATGAAATTGAACCAGTTTTACCATATTTTTGAGATTGACATGCACTAACAGGAATTAAACCACTATAATTATAATCTTGTCTATCATGCATACTAAATTCAATCCAATCTGAATCAACTAAAGAAGCTTCAGGTTGAGTGTTTTTATTCTTCTTCTTCTTTTCCTTTTCCTTTTGCTTTTCCTTTTCCTTTTTAGATGGAGGGAATGGCCAACCTCTTTTATCAAATTCAAGATCATCTAAGTTTTCATATTTTGGTCTTTCTTGTTTACCTTTTTCAATTTGTTTAATATCTTCAGCCGTCTTTGGAAATCCTCGAACTAAAAGAGTTTCTGAATCTTCAAGATAAAAATAAAAATTTTCATTTTGTGAATTATCACCTAAAATATGATAATATCGTTGTGAAACATCATCAAGATTTTTAGCGATATAACGTTTGATAGGAGGTAATCTTTTTGAAGGTGGAGTTGTATCAAATTCATCATGATCTTCATCATATAAAGCAGTCACTGTAGTTGAATTAGTTACATCTTTAGTATCGCTTAAAATAGGTGAAGCAAATGTAACACCTAAAAAGATAAAATATACAATATTTTTAAGTAACATTGTAGTGAAGTTGTAAGTCTGGTTTTGATAAAAAGAAAAAAGTTGATAGATCATTTGAAAATTGGATGAAGAGATGGTTCAATTTAAATAGTCTTTGAAGAGAACGATTAACGTAAAAAGCTCATCGTGTTGCTTTAGAGAAAGTAGAATAGGTTTATTCAAAAAGCGGTAGTTGCAAAAAATTAAGGTGATAATTTTTCTCTACTATCACTCGTTAAGTGAACTTTGTTAAAGCAAGTTTAAATAGTACATAAATTTGGAAAGAGAAACAGGGTGTTTTCAAAAACATAGCAAGTAAGAGAAGTTAGAGAATTAGAATATGAAATGGTGATATTAGATAATTCAAAAGTTTCAATAACAGATAGGCAGGAGATATGATAAATAGGTAAGTGTAAAATGGACTTAGTTTAGATTTTTGTAGGTGTGATCCAAAAACGGAAAAAGATAAAAAAAAAAAAGAGTGGCAATTTTAAGTAAGGTACCAAATGATTAAAATTTCACGTAAAAAAAAAAAAGATTACCGAGCGTTAAAAGGAACAAATATTTAAGATGATGAATTAAATTAATGAATTAAAAGGAATGAATGAAATTTAAGAGTCACTTGAATTAACTCTACCTTACTTGTACATAAATAAATTTAAAATTAATATAAGTTTCATTCAGGGATGAGTTTCAGGGATGAGATAGGTGGATGTGGATGTGTAGTGAAGTATCAGTGAGAGAGAGGGGGGGGGGGGGGGGGTGCTGGTATTTTTATTCCTGGCATAAATAAGTAAATAGATATTGGCATTGTTTATGAGTTCCGAGGGGAAACCCGATCTATTTTATTTGACACATTGCTTTTTTTTTATTAAATTAAATTAAATTAAATTAAAATTGTCTTTGTGGGCATGTTTTTATAATTTTGATTGGTGAAAATTTGCGTACTGTACCAATTTAACGAAACCGCGATTGAAATTCAATATTGATATCAATCAAAACAATCAATTTAATCAAGTATTCTTTCGTCTTTTCAATGGTTGTACACGTTAAGTTGAAAACAGACGAAATGAAAGACAATGTAGTCAAATTTTGACAAAGAATTTCCTATTTAAAATGTTTACAAATTTAAAACTATAAAAATCTATCACGTGACTGATTGGATAAAAATTTATTAGTTACTGTAATGTAACGTCTTAATTTTGAGAAGAGAGGGTTTTTCAATTTCATGGGCTCAAGACCTTTCAAATCAAAACAGTAAAAAAAATCAACAACAACAACAACATTATCACAACAAATAACAAGAGAGCAACTACAACAACAACAATAATAATAATAACAATACAAGTAATAATCCAAAGGACGAAAGGCTGAAATTTGAATGATTAAAATTTTAAACTTTAAGAAGCAATTTAAAGTCTCTTGTGAAATTTTCAATTACTTAATTAACAGAGTTTCGTTAACTATGTAGCTAACACTAACAAAATCTATCTCTATAGTTAATAAAATAATAATTTGTCGGTGGGTAAGTTTAAGAATATAAAGAAAGATTTCAATTTGTCGATGCTCTATGCGGTATGATGTACAATACAACCCAATGGTTCATAACTTTAATTATATTAGTTAGTTAGTATATGTGTAACTATTATGTATTGATTTGATATTTAACAAGAACGAACGAACGAATGAATGTGGATAATTTTGGATTTGGTCGTCTTTACAATTTAGATAATTTGCATTAAATAATATTACTCGAAACCTTTTAATTAAGTTAAGCTATCTCCTTCCCTAACATGGGTCGCCCCTCTCCCCAATTCTATTTCTACTCCTCTTCCTCTTCTACAATTCATATTATATACTATAAGTTTCATGAGATTAATTTGTTCTATAAGTCATTGAGGATACTCATCACAGGCATCATCAACGAACGACCCTTGTAATCTTAAATATAAACTATGTGTACTACACGCTTTTTAAAAAATTATTTTTGCTCCCCCAAATCAGACACAAAATTAAAAAAAGAAAAAAGAAGTCATCAAAATAAAGAAATGTCTTAAAAAATAATAATAAAATTAAACCAAAAAAAAAAAAGAAAATAAAATCTCATCGTTTTTTACTTATATTTTTCCAGTTCCGGTGGTCGGACCATGATTTTTAGTCTAGCAGCTAGCAGCTACAGCTAGCAGCAGCAGCGGAAGCAGCAGCAGTTGCTGCCTAATTCACACTATTATAGCTAGACTTAGCGGTATCTCTCTCACTAAAATTCTAATTTAAAAATAATAAACAAAAAAAAATAGTTAGAGAGAGAGAGCTGCGCAGGGAAGAAGAAGAAACAAGATGGAAGAAGGGAACAAACAAGGATTATAAACAGCGAAAGCAAAGCAAGTTAATGCTGTAAAATTTCATGTTTGATTTTTTTTGATTTTTATATTTAAAATCATCATTTTCCTAATTTTGATTTAAATTGTTTCTATCTTCTCTTTAGTGAATCAACTATCACCATTTCAATCTATCTATCCATCAATCTATTCGTTTGATCTTTAATCAAATCAATCCATCCCTCATCCCCCACCCCCACTATATTACGTCAGTGCGGTTTCTAGATTTATCTTTTGATTTGTTTCCCTGTGTTTACAACCCATCGATCCATTAAATTAATCAATTAAATCCTTCTATCAATCACACACCCTTTTTTTAAAAAAGGTAAACAAACCAATTCATCTATCAAAAGCGCAGCCGTGTTCATCAAAACCAAACTGCTGGCTATTATCCTTTTTTTATCATCATGAGTTCTCCTCAATCTTCTTCAGCTGATACTTCTGTATCACAATTGATTGTCACCATTATTCCAACTTTAATCATTGGTGCAGTCTATTTTATTGCGTTTATCGCATTCCGTAAAGTTCAAAAGAGAGTTTATGAACCTCGTTATACTGTTGAAACAGTTCCCAAAGATTTAAAACCTCATGAATCTCCAAAAGGTCCTTTTGCTTGGATCACAAATATCTTTAAAAAACCAACTTCTTATGTTGTTCAAGAAGCTGGTGCCGATGGTTATTTCTTTCTTCGTTTCTTATTAGAATTATTTGCCGTTCTTATTCTTGGTTGTCTTATTACTTGGCCTATCTTGTTTGCTATTAATGCCACTGGTGGTAATGGTGCTACTGGTTTAAATTCCATTTCTTATTCCAATGTTAGTGATAAATGGAGATTCTTGGCTCATATCTTTGTATCTTGGTTATTTTTCGGTTCCATTATCTTTTTAATTTATCGTGAAATTGTTTATTATACTACTTTTAGACATGCTTTACAAACTACTCCATTATATAATTCATTATTATCTTCAAGAACTTTATTATTAACTGAAATTCCAAAGAATTTGTATGATGAAGAAGAATTAAGATTACGTTTCCCTCCTGCTACTAATATTTGGTATGCTAGAGATTATAAACAATTACAAAAGGATGTTAAAGAACGTAAGAAATTGGCTGGTAAATATGAAGGTGCTTTAAATAAAGTTTTAACAAAAGCTACTAAAATTACAAATAAAGCCATTAAAAAGAATGAACCAGCTCCAGAACCTGCTAATGAATTGAATACTTATTTAAAAAATGGTAAAAAGAGACCAACTCATCGTTTAAAATTCTTAATTGGTAAAAAAGTTGATACTTTAGATTATGGTGTGGAAAGATTAGGTGAATTAAATAAATCAATTGCCAAAGATCAAGAAAATCGTGATTCAAATGATCAAATGCCAGCTGTCTTCATTGAATTCCCAACTCAATTAGAATTACAAAAGGCTTATCAAGCTATTCCTTATAATAAAGATTTTAAAGGAGTTCAACGTTTTACCGGTGTAAGTCCTGATGATGTGGTTTGGGAAAATTTATCGTTAACCGCTACTAAAAGAAGAATTAAAAAAATCATTGCTTCAACTATTTTAACTTTAATGATTATCTTTTGGTGTATTCCTGTTGCTGTCGTTGGTGCTATTTCAAATATTAATTTATTAATTGATAAAGTTCACTTTTTGAAATTTATTGATAAATTACCTTCATTTTTAATGGGTCTTATTACTGGTTTACTTCCAGTTGTGGCTTTAGCGGTATTAATGATGTTAGTACCTCCATTTATTAAATGGATGGGTAGTATTAGTGGTTGTATTACCGTTCAACAAGTTGAAGGTTATTGTCAATCATGGTATTATGCTTTTATTGTGGTTAATTCTTTCCTTATTATTACTTTAACTTCAGCTGCTGCTTCATCAGTAACTTCAATTATTCAAGATCCAACTTCGGCTTTACATTTATTAGCTAATAAATTACCAAAAGCTGCTAATTTTTATCTATCATATTTCTGTTTACAAGGTTTAGTTGGTCCTGTAGCTATGTTATTTCAACTTGTGGCTTTAATTTTAGCTCAATTCTTGGGTAAAATTTTAGATTCAACTCCAAGAGCTAAATGGAATAGATGGAATACTTTAGGTCAACCAGGTTGGTCAACTACTTATCCTGGTTATGAACTTTATATGGTTATTACTTTATCTTATTCAATCATTGCTCCATTAATCATTGCCTTTGCTGCCATTACTTTCTTATTATTTTATATTGCTTATTCATATAATTTGATTTATGTCTTGCAACCAAATAAAAATGATGCAAGAGGTAGAAATTATCCAAGAGCTTTATTAGAATTATTCACTGGTTTATATTTGGCTGAAGTTTGTCTTATTGCTATGTTTGTGTTTGGTAAGAATTGGGTTGCAGTAGCTTTAGAAGCTGTTATTGGGGTTGTTACTCTTGCTTCCCATCTTTATATCAAATATACTTATTTACCATTATTTGATATTGTTCCAATTTCGGCTCTTAAATATGCTTCAGGTGATGAAACTTATGCTTATCCAATGCATGATCAAGGTCGTAAAGAAATTAAAACTGAAGGTATTAATTATTGGGATGGTGGAAATGAATTGGGTGAAGATTCAACCACTCAAGAAGTTCTTAAAACTGAACGCCAAGGTTCTGATACAACTGCCACTGCCACTGCTGCTGGTGTGGCTGGTGATTCTGATCTTTCCATTAAACGTAATAGTGATGAAGATGTCGAAGGTAAACTTCCAAATGTTGCCGGTGCTGCTATTGCTGCTCCAACTAAAGGAGTTTCATGGTTAACTAAATTCTTTAATCCAAAGAAAGAAACATTTGATGTTGTTCGTAATAATATGCCAGCCGCTTATGATAATTATATTGAATATAATCCTGAATTCACTAGGACTGCTTATAATGATCCAGCTGTTACAGATGAAGAACCTCATATTTGGATTGCTAAAGATAATTTAGGATTATCTGAAATTGAAAAGAATAAAGCTTTAGAAAACGGTGTTGATGTATCTGATGAAAATGCCGATTTCAATGAAAAGGGTTCTATTGAATATACTGGTCCACCACCATCATATGAAGAAGCCTTAAGGGTTTAAAAATAAAAATCCATAATAAAAAAGCCTTAATCAGTTAGTCAACACTTAGAATCAAAAAAAAAAATAAATTTGAATTAGAACAATGTCCTTTTTTTGTATATTAATATTCAACGCTGGTTGTTAAATTGTTTTTTTTTTTATTATTATTATTGCTTCTTACGTACTTTCTGGTACCTTTTTCTTGTATTATTTTTCAACTGGTTAACTTCTACTATTTATTAAATTGTTATTTATATGTTTATCTTATTCTTTGTTTGTATTCTTTTTTAAGCTTTTTTTTATGATTATTCATTGATCATGTCCTCCACTCTTTAGTTTAGTTTTAGTATAGTTTAACTTTTCTTATCGTTAATAGTTTGCCTTAATATTTAATAATTTTTCTGTTTTATTTTTAAAATTCAAATCAAATGACTGTAATGATTAGTGTAATGACTGGGTTCCGGACAATTTAGGGACATTGAAAGGAGTTTGAATAATTCGGATAGTTGCAAATTCAATTTGATGATCAAAAATTTGTCAATTACAAAAGAAAAAAATAACGGGGTTTGATTTTTGAACTGAGAGTTATATAGGAACAAAAATGATTGCAAAAAATATATGGGCTTTGTCCATTTAAATCTATTGATATATAAAGAACAAGTTTTTCGGTAGTTTGTTGAATAAGGTGTATGTAGTTCAACCATACAAACTACTACATTAACTACTTTCAATATGTTTTCTAAATCAATTTTAAGAATAAAACCATTTCAATTATTGTCAAGAAGACTCTTGACAACTGCTGAACATCAACCTTCAGCCATTAGTAAATTAATCACATATGCTCCAAATCAAACTTTAACCAATGGTACTAAAGGACAGAATGTCTTGTTTCAATATGGATTATTATTACAAACTTATAGAAGACAATTACCAAAAGCTGGTGGAGCTCTTTTAAGTGTGACTTTTACAATGATGCTTTGGTGTTTCGCTATTATGATGGGAAATGATTTTATTAATGATGTTCCATTTGGATTTGAGAGAACTGCTGCTTTAAGAGTTGTTAAATATGGTGACAATCCCGTGGTTGAATTTAATTAAGCCATAGATTATCTATTTAAAGATTATAGAGTAAAAACCAGATATAATTTATATATTGATTTAATAAATAAAAGATAAATATTCACTGATTTAATATGATAACATATATAAAATAATGAATTAAAGATAGATAAATAGCAAATTGTTTCATCTCACATTTTTCCGATCACTATAAATTAAACTTATAATTCAACACCAGATGAAATACCTTCAGCGGCTTCATCAAGCTTCTTAGCAATACCAGCACCTTCAGCTAAGATATATTGTTCAGCGAATGGTTTAATAATATTAAGATAGACAGTAGTAGCACCTCCAAAAGCTGGGATACCAATATAAAGTAAAAAGATAGTTTTGAATAAAAAGTAGAATGGAATCCAGTATAAGATAGCCTTTGACCAGAATTCAATAACATTTAAAAAGGCAAATACAACCCAATAAGTTAATAATTGAGTATCATCATTTTTAGAAACAGTACTTAAAGCAAGTAAAGAATAATAACCTGGAACGACAAATCCAGCAATGTTAGATAAAAGTTGACCAACACCACCAACGTTTAAAAATATTAATACGAAATAAACAGCAACGAATCCTAACACAGCATATGATCTTGGTAAACCAGTTTGAGCTTCAAATTGATGTAAAACTGTATTTCCACTGGTTCTCTAAATTGAAAAAGCAACCGTTAGTAAAAGAACTTATGATCTATCGTTTAACTACCTATACTTACGTGGTCAATGTCAGCTAAGAAATTCTTAGCTTGCTCTGGGATTGGGAATGACATGATTTGATTCGATTTGGTTTGATTAATTGATTGACTTCAATTGATTGGTTTCTAATTGGATGAATACGTTGACCAAATTGTTTAAAACTGCATTGTTAAAATCAAAGGGGCAGCCATTTTTTAAATTTCATCAAAAACTATAAAAATGCAATATGCAGGAAGTAAACATAGTCCTAATTAGGAAAAATGCAAAAAAAAAACTTTTCTATATTTGCTACTTTTTAATGTATCTATATATAGTATATATAAATGTCTATGTAATTAAAGGGATTCACTTTAATTCTTCTTCTTTGATTTGGCACTTCCTTCAAAACCAGCTCTCTTTTTAGCGGCTTTATTTACTATACCAGTGAATTTCTTTAATCTTGGTTGATTCTTACTCTTTTTACCTTTATTATCTCTTCTAGATTTCAAGTTTTCTTCTCTTCTCTTAGATCTAGCATCAACAGTATCTTTAACTACTTGTTTTCTTTCTCTCCATTCGATTTCACTCTTTAATTTTTGCTTTTCTTTTCTCTTAAGAGCTTTCTTTAATAATTTTTCATCATCTTTAACTTTAATCCCTTCTGCTTGATTCATAACTCTTTGCCATTTCTCCTTTTGTTGTTGTTTGGCTTGATCTTCTTCTGATAAAGTAGCCAATTTACGTTTCTTATGTTCTAATTTTTGTAAATGACCTTTAATATCTTTATTAGCTGGACCCTTTTGTTTTTTCTTATCAGCAGTATTACGAAGTTTAGTTAAATCTGATGTTACTCTTGATCCATCATTAAATACTATATTTCCAAATAATACACTTTTATCTTGATCATCATCTTCATCTCTTTCATCATCAGAATTTTCTTCACCATCATCATCTTCATCTTCTTCTTCTTGTTCTCGTCTTTTTCTTTTTAATTCTTTCTTTAATTCTTCTTTTCTTTTACGTTCTTCTAAGATTTGTTCTCTTGATTTAACTACTCCATTACCTTTAGTACCTGGAGCTTTCCTTTTTTCTTTTAATGTACTTATCTTATTTGCTAATTTTTCTCGTAAATTCTTTAAATTTTCTTCTCTTTTTAATTGTTCTTCTGGTGAAAGTGATTTCCCATTCTTTTTAGTTGAAATATTTTGAACTTTTTGTTTTTTAAACTCTTGTTCATCATTAACATCACTAGTATTACTATCATCATCATTTATTTCAATTTCATTTCCATCATCATCAAATACTAATTGTGCAGCTGATTCTTCATGTATGAAATCATCGGAATCATCTGAATTAGATTCATCATCAACTTCTTTTGATTCTTCCTCTTCTTCTTCTTCTTCATCATCTTCTTGTACTGGTTCTTGTGCTGGTTTCACTTTAGAGCCTGGTAATACTACTCGTTTGGCTTTACTAGCTTTATTATCCATGACATCTTTTGCAGTAGCATTACCATTTACATAATCATCTGCATTTTTCTTAGAATCAGGATCCAATTTAGATCGTTTATTATCAGCTAATTCTTGAGATGATTTCTTCTTTTGTTTCCATTGGTCTTGAGTAGCATCATCATAATAATATTTGGCTGGTATTAATGATAATAATCCATCAAAGGCAGATGAATGAGTCTTGAGTCGTTCCTATAAATAAATATCAGTTAGTATAAATTATACAATCAATTTATATTGAGATTACCTGAAGATAACCCGCTTTTAAATGAACATACTTCTAATGAATTACTCATGATATTGATATGACTTATACACTATTTACAACAACAAGAACAAAGTGTAATATATGCTAAACACTTTCTCTTTAACTCTAAATCACTTCTATTTCCTATATTAACAAACAGCTTTTGATATTTAACTAAATTTTTTTTCTCTCTTCTTTTTTTTTCTCAATGAGATGCACGTGATTTACGTGTGAAACTCAATTTATTTAGCATTGGAAGTGTATTGATTTAATATATTACCCGATTAGGAAGTCTAGAATTGTTTTGCCTAATTTTAATTTTTTCTGAAGTCAACGAGGAGGAGGATTAAAGATAAAACTAATTTGACCAAAGGTCATCTTAAACTATTTATAATATTGTTGAATTTTTGATCAATTGATTAAATAACAAAGCAATTCGTCAATATATGGTGGGATAAATTGATCTAACATGACATCAATTGCTAAATATTTGATTCTTTCATTACCACAATCAACCAATGCTCAATCTTGGTTAGAAAATGATTTATCAGGAGGAAAGAATTTATTATATAAATTAAAATTACAAGATTTTCAAAGTGGTACATTAGATTCATTAGTTCAAGAAAGTGAAGAATTAAGTAAAATAGATTCTCAATTGAGTTCATCAGTTTATAAAGTGATTGATATTTTAAATAATGTTACTGAATTAAAAAATAGTAAATCAAGAATCATCAATAATCAATCAATTTTTGATTATATTGAACATTTCAATTGGAATTCATCAAAATATAGATTAGATAAACCAATCAATCAATTAGTTCAAATAATTTCTAATGAAGCTATTACTTTAGATAATGATGTTAGACAATCATATCAAAATTATCAAAGTGCTAAATCTAATTTTTTAGCAGCTGATAGAAAGAAAAATGGAGATTTATCAATTAAATCATTACATGAAATTGTTAAACCTGATCAATTTGTATTAAATTCTGAACATTTAACTACTATTTTAATTGCTGTACCAAAGAATCTTGTTGATGATTGGAATTCTCATTATGAAACTTTAACTGAATTTGTTATACCAAGATCATCAGAATTAATTGCTAGTGATGCTGAATATTCATTATTTTCAGTAACTTTATTTAAAAAATATCAAAATGATTTTATTACTGCTTCAAGAGAAAGAAAATGGCATCCAAGAAATGATTTTCAATATAATGAAGATGTTTTAAATAGTTTAAGAAAAGAATTTGATTTAACTAAACAAACTGAAATTAAATTAAAGAATGATTTAATTAGATTATCAAAAACTGCATATTCCGATATTTTTCAAGCTTGGTTACATATTAAAATTATAAGAGTTTATGTTGAATCAGTTTTAAGATATGGTTTACCACCTCAATTTAATTATTATTTAATTAAATTTGATCAAGCAAATCTTAAGAATTTATCTAAATCTAAAAAGGAATTAATTGATAAATTTGGTTATTTAGGTGGTAGTGGTTCTGATGATAAGAAAAATAGTAGTAATTTACATGAATATGCTTCATTAGTTGATACAGAATATGAACCATTCGTATTATATGAATTAGATATTGTCTAGAATCAAATCCCTCGTCATTCATTCATTCATTCATTCATTACTCATCATCAACATCATTATCATTTATTTAATCATATCATTTCAATTTCTTCCTTCCTTATTTCCTTTCTAACTTACTTACTTTCTTATTTCCATCCTTTTCACTTCCAACTTCAGCCTCGAAATAACGGTTTTTAAATAACGGTTATACTATTTTATACATAAATAAATATATACCACCATAAATTTAACTATTTCTTTTTCTTTTAAATCATACATTTTTCATATTATTTTTTAATTCATATATAATCTTTTCTTTTTAAATCAAATAAATAAATCTATCATTATTATTATTAATTAAATGTGGTTTAAAACCGTTATTATCTATCGGCGTTTGCTGGCCCATCTGGTCCAGACTTGGTCAGAAAAATTACCGCTCTTCTTTTTTCTAATCATTAATTTTCTGCCGCAGCCTAAGCCAAAATCAAAATTTCGTGTAATATAAATACGAATGACTTTGTATTTGCAATCAATAAATTTTTCATAATCTAATAATTAGTATCACTAGTAATTACCCAAAGCAACACCAGCAACAATGGTTTATCCAGTCCCATTAATCACTACCAGTAGAAAGATCACAGATAATGTCGTTATCACTTCGCTGCCATTCTTAAGAGGTGGCTACTTTAATTTTGGTGCTAGAATGGCTTTAATTAATCATAATGGTTCAATTGTGGTTTGGTCTGCTATGCCTTATGGTCCAGAAGTTATTAAAGGATTACAATTATTAACTGGAGATCTTAAAGCTGATAAATTCAATGTTACTCATTTAATTATTCCTGATAATGAACATACTATGGCTATTAAATCATTTAAAGAAGTTTATCCTGAAGCTAAAATCATTGGTCTGGATTCCGTTACATTTGATAAATTTGAAATTGATTATAAGATTCCTGAAACTTTAGGTAATCAATTACTTTCAAAGAAAGAATTATCTACTGATGTTGGAATTAAAGAAGATACTATTTTAAATAATTTTGAATTTGTATTTTTACCATTCCATGCTAATAAAGAATTGGTGGTTTATGAATCAAATTCAAAGATTTTATTTGAAGCTGATTTGATTTTCAATTTAGGTGCAGAAGGTACTACCACTGGTAAAGTTGTATCCGAACAATATTCTCCTCAAACTGGTTATCCAAAGGGATTTAATCCTCATAGTGGTTGGTCATTTCTTACTAGATTTTTACAACCTCATAGTTCCCTTGGAACCTTTTTCTTTAATCTTTTAGCTTCAAAGAAGAGTGGTCCAGGTTTAAAAGCTATCTATGGTTGGAATTTCGAAAAGATTGTTTTATGTCATGGTAATATCATTGAAAAGGATGCAAAATCAACCTTTAAACACGTATTCAAATCCTATGTATAATAGCTGTTTTTTTTTTTTTAATTACTTCAGTTTCATCTCAATCGTTTAATATCTCTTTTTGTTTATTCTTTTATTCTATCTATTTATCTATTTATCTATTTATCTATCTTCTTGCTGTGTTTAGTTTAGCAATATCATCTATTATTTAATATAAAGTTATTTATCTATAGCATCCACACCGCAGTACATTTCTCTTTTGGTAAGCCCCACAGTTCGGTATAAAGAAGGATTTTCCTCGGATAACAATATCCATGGACACAAATACGATCCCTTTCAATTCATGATACGATTTATAGTTATTTCTTGATAAGTTTTAAATAATCCCAACAAACTCCGAAGTAAAGTGAAGTATAAATAGATTGTCAGGGTTAGACTCAAAACCAAATCGATTTTATTTGTTTCGGGAGATTTTATAGACAAGACAAGGATAATGGCACAGATAGATATTGATGATGTTCCAACCTTAGTTAATTCAACTAGTGAATTAACCAAAGGTTTAGATGGTGGTGACGACGACGATGTGGTGGTTGTGGATGAATATGACTTAACCTTAAAGCTGAATCCAACTTATCAACAATATATCCACAAATATGATCAATTTAATCTTAAGAATCATTTAAATTTACATTTAATCAAAGAGAATATTTGGCCTAATTTAACAGGATACACTTTAAAAGGTCAAGATAAGATCAATTATCGATCTGATTCATTATATTTCATCGATGAGAAATATTGGAATTATCAAGATATAAACCCAGATCAAGGTGATTCAATCACAAATAATTTTTCGATAACATTTTTCCATTTAGGATCAAAATTATCAGGTCATGAAGGGATAATCCACGGAGGGTTATTAGCTACTTTATTGGATGAATTAACATGTAGACTAGCCTTTCAAAATTTTGAAAGTAAAAAGGGTGTCACTGCTAATTTAAATATAAATTATAAAAAGCCAACTTATGTTGATCAATTTGTGATTATTAAATGTTCATTGATTAAGAAGATTGGTAGAAAATGTTGGATCAAAGGTCAAGTTTACAAGTTTCCTGAACATGATTCTGATGTTGATAATGAATCAGCGGATAATTTACTTACTGAATGTGAAGTATTAGTTATTGAACCAAAATGGGTCCATGAATTACAAAACAAACAAAACCATTAATAGAATATCATCATGTATCTATAACTATTTTACTTATCTATTATATTGTCTATAAACCTATATACACTTATTTATTTTATTTATTTATTTATTTATAATATATCCGTACCTTTAATTTTATTTTGTCCAATTTCTAATTTAGCAGATTTTGCACCAAATTGAATAGCTCTCTTTAATTCATCTTTAACCCATGATAATTGTAATTTATCATTAGCTAATTGTCTTAATAAATATTTTCTAATTAATTTCTTATCATTCATGATGTTTAATTTTAAATTTGGTTCAATTTCATTTATAACTAATGTTATAAATTCTTCATCTAAATAAGGATACCTTAATTCTTTACCCCAACAACAAATAACTCGATCATCTCTTCCTAGATTTCGTTTATAAATGATTTCAATATCATTGATTAATTCAGAGGATAATTTATCATATAATTGATTAACATCATCTTGTTCAGTTATATTTTGAAAGATTGATTCATGTCTACTATATCCTGCAAATAATTCATCCGCTCCCAATCCACTGAATAAAACTTTAGCCTTTGACATGTACTTTGATTCAACATCAATATATACCGTTTCATCTTTGATAAAATCATCATACGTAACTTCCAGTGTAATAACACTCTTGAATTGAGATTTGGTAGTTAAATCATCATTGCAACCACTAGCGAAATAAAATGCAATACCAATCGATAAATCCATTTCAGTGTTACTAGGATAAATCAAATCCAATACTCGTTGTTTATGAATTAACCAATGTTTATAACTTACGTTAATTTCAATCAATCGAATATTAATAGTAGGATATTTCTTTTGTAAATAAAACCAAGATTTCTTTGCTAAGATTCGATCGGGACTATTATTTGCTAATTGATTAATTCTAGGATTATCAAATCCAACTGTTAATAAATCAATTGTTTTATTGGGGAGATTATAGTCAATGATATTTTCACAAATTAAACTGGCTATAATCGTACAATCCAATCCACCGCTGAATAAAATAGCTAATGATGGTCTTGAACCTTCAATTTCTTCATGATGTAAAGGATTGATGGATAATTGTCGTTTATAAGTTGATGATTTTAAAGCTTGATAAACTTTTGATATTTGTTGTTGTTCATTAGGTATATCGTCATTAAATTTCAATGGAGTATAACATTGATCATGATTAATATAATCAAATATTTGTAATTGTTTTGAATGTAAATCAAATTCATAGATTTTATTCTCACATTCAATGAATTGTCCTTCATGATGATTAACTTCTGGTATAGAACTGATTAATAATTGTTGATCATCTTGATCAGTCTTTTTCCATAAATAGACTAATGATCTCTTTCCAATTTTATCTCTTCCAAAATAAACCACAGAATGTAATAAATCATACAAGATAAAAGCAAATTCTCCTTTTAATTCATTTAAAATATTGAAAATATTCTCTCTTCTTGAACCTGGGGATTGAGATAATTTATCCATGATGAATTGAGTATCATTCTCCAATAAACATTCATCATTATATAATTCCCCATTAAATTGTAAGATAAATTGATGATTTGAAGTTATGATAGGTTGAGTTGTGAACGGTTGTCTTAATGATAAGATTGAAGAAAACAATTGAAATGAAATGAGATCATTAGCATGTTGTTGAAATTGGGTATAATTTAAATAATCAGGTCCACGATTAGATACTTTATAGATTAATGATTCAAAGGTTTCCTGGGATATGGTTTGTGATTCGGTAATGGGTGATGATTCATTTTGATCTGATTCTGATTCATCTTGACCCATGATCTCATTGATTTGAAGTTTAACTAATCGTATCTTCTTATCAATATCAATAGGATCTGATTTATCTTGTACCTGTTCTACTTCCTCATCATCTTTCTTCTTATTCTTCTTAGTCTTGATTTTAGTTTTCTTCTGTTTATTAATTCTATTATTCAATTTATTCAATTCAAGAGTTAATGAACGTAATTTATCTAAATTATTCAATTTCTTAATATCTTGATTGGATAATTCCTTTATATTTCTAATTAAATCTTGATGTAAGAAAGTATTCGTTTGTAAAGTTTCCCAAATTTGAAACGGTTGATCATCAATAGATTTGGTAATTAACTCATTTTGAGGAATACAACACGGTATATCAACATCCTTCTCATCTTGATTGATCGTTATCAAGCTTAATATACCACACATATTAGCCCCCTTCCCTTCTATATCATGATTGTCTTGAATCAAACCAAAGTGTTGTAAAAAATTTTTACAGCACAAATATACATTTTTTTTACAGCACAATTTGCGATTTTTAATGATACTTTTTTTATATATTTAGGATAGTTTAACTATATATATATATATAAGGTATAAAAGACGATAACGATAACGTCAATAACGATGACGCATAGTTTGGATAGGATATCACCATAACATAAAAGCAATCAAAAACAGGGTACGGTACTAATTAACCAATTAACAAGGGAAGGGGGTATCATATAAACTTTTCAAAAGTAAAATGGTCGTAAAATAAATAAATAGATGAAATATGATGGGACATTAACATGAAACAAACAATAAAAACAATCAAAACAAACAAGACATGAATTGATTAGATTAGATTAACCAATGGTGATTTTCCCTTTCCCATTTTCTCTTAAATAAGATTGTAATTGATTTTTTTCAAACAAGTCTAAAATCTTATAATAATTTCCATGAGGGACTCCACCAATGAATAATCGAGGGATATTATCCCCTTTATTAAGTTGATGTAAAGATTCTTTATCATCTTCATCTAATTCTTTATAATCAACATTGTCATCATCATTTAAATCTTCAAATGTTGATTCAAGATAGGATAAGATTGATTTATAATTTGGATGTTTGATTAAATTAACAATTTTTGGTTCAGGATGAATATTGATATTCATTAAGATTGTTTCAAATTTATGTTGAAATTGATTATTATTGGAAATAAGGATGATGGGATTTACAGCAAAGATTTCTTTTAAATCAGATTGAGCTTTAGTTAAAGTTGAAGATTGATCAAGTTCAGATTCATTTTCAACATGAACAATCATATGTGGTTGTGGTGGTACTTGTTGATCATATAATTTTGATGTGGACGATATGGTTGAGGCCCCTGGAACATTTATCATTGATGGTGGATCAGATGAAGTTGAAGAAGAAGAATCATCTTTATAAGGAAAGAAATTATTATGAGGTAAAACAGGTTGATCTTGATATTGTTTATATTGTTGTTGATATTCTTCAGGAGTCATAGTGAATGAAGTTAAGATTGGTTTTGAAGGTTTTTCCTTTTTAGGAATTGACTTAGTTGATGTTATAAGTTCATTTGATATTTTAGCTATATTAATAGATGGAGGAGGAATAATAATATCTTCATCATCAAGATTAATATTATTTAATTTATTTGATTGAGCTTTATGATTCATAATGACAAAACATAAGAAATTAATTAAAGTTAAAATGATTAATAATGAAAAGATGAAAGTAAAGATTTTAATCCATAAATTTGATTTCTTTGATGATGATGAATGGGAAGAATCATCTTTTAATAATTGTTTAATTTCGTTTTCAATATGAGAATTTTCTATATTGATATGATGAGGATTATCGATATTGATACTATTAATGGATGATTCATTATTTTGGCCTGATGATAATGAATCTTGATTAATAGTATTATTATCGGAAGCAGACTTTTCTATATCAATATAGAAAGAAGCTTTACTTAGTTTTCTTTGATGAGTTGACATATTTCAATCAATAAATATCCTATATAATGATAATAACAGCAAGAATTGAGTGTATGGCTATGAGTATGTGTAAGTATATGCCAAGTTATGCTTGAAGGACCATGCACTGAATATATATATATATATATATAGGATTAATTTGTTTATAGTAGGATGATTTGTTTATATTATGATATTTGTTTGTTATTTGTTGATATTTATATTTATATGTAAAAATTTTAAATTATGAGGTTAAAATCGGCTATTGTATTTCTCAGAAGACAGTTCACTCATTCGCGCTAACAATCTCCCCCACACATAAAAAATAAAAAAAAGTTTCAACCGGCGCACGACATCTCACTTACTAAGGCGGAGTGTCACCAAATATCAAACAATCAAAATAAGCAAACAATCACCCAATTCAATTCAAGTTCAATTCAATTCAAACAATTAACTCTATAGTTAAAGCTACAATTATAAGTTAAGATTCAAAAACTGAGAATGGAAAGACCCTTGCCTAATGCTTACCTTTTAATTTATAATTCTTATTTAAAATTCGTACTTTATTTTCTATGTTGATATTATATTTTCTATTCCTTTCCGTTAAACTCCTATCAATCAATACAGTTAAGAAATAATTTATTAATATGATCCTTCTCTCCTTCTTTCCATAGTTAAACTCAATGCGAACAATTCGTAAATCACGCAAATTGGAAATTGGCAGTAAACAGAACATACACATTACACAATAAATTTTATAAGGAGACTTTCACAATAAAATATATATAAAAAAAAAATAAAGTTGGTAATTAGAAGAAGCCCAACGCGGGGGTCGAACCCGCAACCTTTTGATGTCTAACTTAAGAGTCAAACGCTCTACCGATTGAGCTAGCCAGGCGACTAATTATTTCTTAAATTTCGCCAGTTTAACATGAAAATCTGATTTATCATAGTCAATTTTTAGCACGTGACCAACGCTACCAAAAATATCTTATATCATGCTTAATTAATATCCATCATTAATAATTACAAATAGTTCCCTTAAAAAGATAATAATATATTAAGGATTATAATTTACATATACATAATTTTATATAGTACAGAGAGGAGGAAATATTAAACATCATTAGATTGATGTTTAGCCATCATTTCATTAAATTCAACTTCATTTTTATATTTATCATCGTGAATCATATCATCATTTGAAAAAAAATCAGTATTTGGAGTAGATCCTACATCTCCATTACCACTTTGATTGTTATTACTGGTGTTACTATTATTGGTATTATTGGTCCATGATAACATCAGATTAGTAGTATTGACTCTTGATGCTGTCTTGGGAGATGAATTCTCTTTGAAAAATTGATTATTCTTCGATACTAAATCTTGAATTTCATCATCAAGTTCACCATAAGTTACTGATTTCCCAATATCAGATAATAAAAGATCTAAATCATCGGAATTCTGATGAGAAGTTAATAATGGTGATGATGGCATATTCACTACTCTAGCCTTTTTATTATTAAGACCATGATTATGATTAGTATGAATTACGGGTGGAGATGATGATTTTTTATGACTGGTAGTAAAAGTTTTTAAATGGGGCATATTAGGATGTAATTTTTCTGGTTGTTTTAATCCATCAGTTGGAGTTTTGGAATCAGCAGGGGTAACTTGATCCTTAGGAGTTGGTTCAGCAAATAAACTATTCATCCATTCATTTTGGCCATGAGGACTACTTGATTTTTGAGGTGAAACTTGAGTAAATGATTTAACTATCATGGCATCAAATGAATTCATCGAATCTTTATCTTCAAGTAATTGCGGCACTGGTGGTGGACAATTCTCTTTATCTTCCCCATCATCATAAATATTAATCACTCTTGTATTAGATTTAGTAGCCATCATTGGTGGTGTATACCCTTGATCTTGAGGTAAGGGATCAATATCAGTTAACGGACCTCCAAATGAATTTATTTGATTCATTAAATCATTAAGATCATAATTTTGAGATTGAGATTGAGATTGTTTGGTAGAATTATTTGAATCATTTAAACTACGATTGATTTTTGAACTTTGATATTCATTATTATTATTTTGAATCACTTGATTTATAGCTGATGGAGTATGAGATGGTGTTGGGAATTTATTAGATTGAGGTATACCTGGAGATGAAGCAAATTGAGAAGATTTCCTTATAGCAATAGCACTTAAACTATTTGATCTTTCCTTTGAATTATTATTATTACTATTTCCAGAATGAGATATTTCAGGAACTCCACTATTACTAATTAATTCATTAATTTCTTCTCTATTTTTTAATTCTCTTTTATAACGTTGTTGTTGTAAATATTTCTTAACCACATTTTCCGGTCTCATAAATCCTTTATTTCTTAAAAATAAATAACAGGCATTACATAATGGTCCAAACATACCTTCATAATGTTTTTTATCAAACTCTTTTGCTCTATGAATAGCAAAATAATTAGGTCTGAATTCAGTTTCAAAATATCTCCATGCAATGGATGATATAGTAGCACAATTACTATTAACACAAATTAATCCATGATTCTTAGGTAATTTTGTATGAGGAATAGTATGAGTTCTTTTACTATCTAAATCTTCTAAATCAGGTAAAGATTGGAAAGTATCATTATGGTTAGATTTTGATGTGGTGGTATTATTAGATGAAACATTCTCTTGAGGTCTATAAGGTGGTTGTTGAGGAGTATATGGAGAAAGTTCATCATAATCACCATCACCATCACCATCGACATCTTCTTCCTCATCCTCCTCTTCTTCTTCATCTTCTTCTCGAAGTTCATTATGTTCTCGATATTCTGTATCATCAGTACTATCCGACATGGGTTCTTCATTTATAGGAGATGAAATAGCAATAGGATGATTAACCATTGATCTTGTTCTCATAGCTCTTTGAGGTTGATCCATCATATGTTTTCTATGTTTTCTAACTGGTTTATCAATAATCTTTTCCAGTAAAAATGGAGCCAGTTTAAATCTATCTTGAACACTTTTACTATCATATCTTGAACTGTTATTCATTTTATCCGAATTCATAATATTGAACATCGTTTGATTTGGAATGTTATTGAAAATAGGTAATGATTTTGTTCTAGTGGCTTTTATAGCAGAATTCATTGCTGATTGTACAATTGGAGTTGGACGTTTTTGAGGATAACTCATGGATGAATCATTAGGTCTTTTCTTAGGATGAGGCATTTGTTGATGTGATTGTTGATGTTGGTGATGTGAATGAGACTGTTGTTGTTGCCTTACTGGTTGATCAATGTGTTGCTGTTGTTGTTGAGGTTGGGAAGGTTTTGGAATATTTTGTTGAGGTTGTAACTCAATAGTATGTAATTTTAATCTTATTTCAAGAGTTAAAGGTGAAACATTTGATTTATCACCAAATAAGAAACTAGCTGATAAATTTTGACAAACTCTACCTGGAATTAAATCTGATTTTGACATATTAAGATAACCTGATAATATACCATTCGCTACGAATGGTTCATCTGGTTGTTCAGTAACATCTTTATAATAAACAGCATAATCTTCTGATTGTAATTTAAAATTTTCAGGGGAACTCTTTATGATTTGTTGAATACAACTTTTTAAATCAAAGGCTCCTAAAGTTATGATTTCTGGTTCTTGATGATCATTTGAAACTATTGACATGGGTATTTGAGCTGTTTTAACTGAATATTGATTCTTTGATCTTGATAAGAATACGGTGGTATTATTATTGAATGAGTATAATACTTTGATTTGCATTCGTTTATAGTTTTGATCTTCTGAATTCATTATGATTATGATTAGTTGATATTGATTTATAGTATTAGTAGTACAACGAAAGGGTATAACGGAAAGAAACGACGACAACAAACGATTGTCAAAACGATAAACAAACTAAATTTAGAATATAAGGAGGAAAAAAAAAGACAGGCAACGACGACGACGAGGGTAACGAACAAAAGGTAACGATGATGACGATAACTATGTGATGATGATGCTAATGCAGATGTATGTGTATATATATATAAAGGGGGAGGGATAAATCAAACGAATACAGACAAACAACAACGATGACTTCAATCTGGTAAGTGGATGAGATGATGGATGACCAATTAATGTGATTGATTGATTGATTGATTGATTGAAGTAAGTATAACTACCTGGATGATATGATTGTTATGCTATGGGATGGGATAAGAAAAAGATGACTGTAAATGATAAATTTTTGTAAATGTTGTTGTTTGTTATGATTGTTGTTTAAGTTGAACTGAAATGAACTGAAATGAACTGAAAGAAAATGAACTCACGCACGTAATAATCTCACACAGTTAAGTCTTTCTTTCTGTCTATCAATCCTTACACTTACTCAAATGAACATCAACATACAGTGTAAATCAAACAACCCTAACTAACGTTAACTATGGATGAAATACCACAAACTCCAAACTTCAAAATTGGCTGCCTTTTCTTGTTGTTTTTTGAACTACGCATAAATTTCATTTTTTTGGCGTTAATGAAAACAAACGCGACGCGAGAACATTCCTTTTTTGTATGTACTTTGTATAGTATAGTGTGGATGGATCAATTATTTTGCAGTATTTCAATTAGGGTTATAATTACTTTGATTTCACAACAATAACTAGTCTTAGAAAGACAAGACGCGGTATAGTACATACATACATACATACTTCTCCTTAAATAGTCTGTTACTGCAGTTTGTTGTATACTTAATAGTTAGGGGTAGTAAAAGGAGCCAATGAGTTTTAATCCGGCTAAACTAGGCGTTATCATCATCATCAATATGTATATCCCACACTAGATCTATTCACTTCAGACGCCTTTACTTTCAATTGATATAATATAATTGAATCTATTTATAAGTGCATGCACTATCTATATACACGATATCTAAATATCCTCTTTCTATTTACAAGTTTAATTATCCTAATTTATCCGATATCTTAACAATCAATCTAATCCAATAATACCTCTTATTTGTTTAATATTATCACTAGCTATTTCTCGTGCTTTATCTCTTCCTTGTTGACATATCTTATCAAGATACGCCACATCATTCAATAATTGATCATACATATGTCTCTTTTCTTTAAATTCTTCCACAATCAACTCTGTAACATGATCTTTCAATTGTTTATGATCATTAATCCATTGTAAATCAACCACGGTTTCATCAATTGACTTTTTCGTTAACCCTGAAATAATATTAATCAAATTTGATACTCCAGGTCTGCCCACTGGATCATAATATATCTTCCCTTGAATTGAATCAGTAGTGGCTTTTCTAATCTTTTTCGATATTTCTTCGGATGATTCCGTAACATAAATACATGAACTTTGATCAACATCTGATTTTGACATCTTTTTCAATGGATTTCTTAATGATAAAATCTTTTTAGCAGGTGTTAATAATGTTTTGGGCATGGGGAAGAATTTTGTCTTATATATATGATTAAATGATTGAGCCAAATTTCTGGTTAATTCAAGATGTTGAGATTGATCATCTCCCACTGGAACATGAGTTGATTTATAAATCAAAATATCAGCTGCTTGTAATACTGGATAACATAATAATCCTGCTTTAGTTTGTTCCAATACTTTTTCTTCAAAGATTGAACTGGTTTGATCTTGATGAGCTTTCAGTTTCCATTGCGTCATTCTATTCAACATCCCCATACTAGTTATACAAGTCAAATACCAATTCAATTCACTATGTTCTGGAACAGCCGATTGATGAAATAAAATACATTTCTCCGGATTCAATCCACTTGAAATCAAACTAGCAATAGCTTCCATTCGATATTGTTTTAATATTTTAGCATCAATAGTTTGAGTTATAGCATGAAGATCAGCAGTCCCAAATAAATATTTCGTTCCTTCTGATTCTACTTCACTTAATTCTTTCCAACTATTAATCGCTCCTAAATAATTCCCAATATGAATCTTCCCCGTTGGTTGAATTAATGAAAATATAGTCGAATTATTAGGAAATTTCTCAATCCCTTGAATGGTTTGAACGGAATTAGTAGTTATGGTTGATCCAGAATTAGTAGAATAAAATCTACCTTTGATTCTTAAGGATCGTACAGCAGTAGTTCTTAACCCACTCTTCATATTTGTTCAGTTCATTCAAACCCTTTGAATGGCTCTGTATAAGTAAAGGTTCCAATATTTCATTTTTTTTATCATACAATTTTTCTTTTCCTATTTGGTGCAGTTTTGTGTAACCTTCATACCATCAAAGATTAAATATGGAAGAAGTCTAGAAACCTTAACACTGACGGTCTACTACAACTACTCGATACAAGAGACTACCTACATATAACATTGATAAATATCATAAGTTTAATCAAATCTATTATTTCCAAACAATTTATTTACATAAAAAAAAAAGATGCTAAATTAATATAAAGTATTATACAAATTGGAATGAATTAAACTCATTTAAGGAAGTTGTTGAGATGAAGATTCTTCTAGATCTTGACTTTGATCTTCATTATTCTCTACTATGAACCCCCCAGCAACATTAGTTATTTCAATACCATGATTAGTTAATCTCTTTTCCAATTTAATTCTTTGTAATTCTCTCCATCTATTTAATTTTGAATATTCATGTAATTTAAATCCAAATACTTTTGGTACATAAGTTTCCTTAGGATGAACCGGTATTACTTGAGGAAAATATTGAAAAAACATAGCCGGAAATGATGTACCAAAATAAGCGCCATCAATAATGGAATGTCTACCTGATTTTGGATTAAATAAATCTTCACATTTGGCACAATATAATTTAACTGATGCTAATCTTGGTTGATCATTAAGACCAATCGGTAATAAAGGATGTAATTGACAATGAACTCTGGGACAATACCCAAAATCTCCATTTCTAAATTTTTCAAACATTTTATTTAATCCTCTTGAAGTTAAAATATATCTAGCATGAATCAATCCATATAAGATTCTAGCATTATGTTCCAAAGCATCTCTATGTTCTTCAGGTTGCAGCTCTATATCAAGAAGATCCGTTATTATATCGATTAAAGTAGGTAATTTATTCACTTCTTGATTTAAACCGGTTAAATTGAATCGATCACGAATATATTCATCATCAACATCACAGAAATATTCATTACCTTTAATCCCTAAGAATAAATCGATCCAATATTCAGTAAAGTCAGAACTTGAATCGGAAATATATTCTTCACTGGCCATCGTTATATATGATTATTATTATGAGTTATCGTCGTCGTCACCTATTGTAGTAGTAAAATATATGCTAAACCTTCTCCCAATCAATTGAATACAGTACTTTATCTTCAACAGTCAATCACCAATATGTGATATATATACAAAATACAGAATTGAAACCCTTTAAATGATGAGATGTATGTGTTTAAATATGAATGATTACGATGGTTAACCATATTATCAATTTTAAATCTCATTTGGTGATAATTTTTAAAACTTTTTTTTTGTCTAATTTGAAGTCACATGACCAGTTTTTTTGGTGAGAATTCAGAGTTTAAAACAACGACTCCAAAAAAGGCAGCACAATTCAAATCCCAACTCTAAACCATATAATCAAAACATCTATCATAGATAGGATAATAACTACATCAATTGAAGTTGAGGATATAATCATTCAATCTGTATATCAAGGATCGATTCATCGTGAGGAAAAAAAGTGTAACTAAGTTAACGTCAAAACCATTGTTGCAGTATGAAATATCTAAAATTTCCTACTATACAACATGGTGGAGAAATTCATTCAATTCAAATAAATAATGACGATACAAAGATTCTAACGTCTGGAAAAGATCATTTGGTGAATGTATGGAACTATGATGACTATGTAGGAGCTTTAAAAGCTACTGATGATAAACAACTTGGTGAGATTAAACCAATTGAATCATTTGATTATCATTCATCATTAGTTTCAATTGCAAAATGGTCTCCTCTTGATCCTAATATATTCATATCATCCGATATAGATGGTCACTTGTATTTAAATGATCTTGCCACTCAATCATTCAAATTAATCTATCCCTTTGAAGAAAATTCATCGTTAACTGCTATCGTGGATTTATCTTGGAATCCTGATTCTCAATTAATAGCATTTAGTACTGGAGATGGGAAAGTTCATATTCTTGATTTAGTCAAACAAACTTATCAAGAATTATCAAGTTTGGTTCATCTTGATAAACTAACCATTCAAAGAAGTATAGCATTTGACCCCTTAAATGATTATTTAATCACTTTAGGTGATGATACGTTAATTTATATGTATCAATATAAAATTGATCCAACTTCTAAAAATTATCAATTCAGATTACTTAATAAAATATCAAGATTAATCAATAAAAATCCTATAAATGTTAATTATAAACGAATCTCATGGTCACCTGAAGGTGAATTAGTTTCAGTTCCAACTGCCAGTAAGAATCAAGTATCTTTGATTTCATTAATTTCAAGATCAAAAAGTTGGCAAAATAAAGTAAGTTTAGTAGGTCATGGTTTAACTTGTGAAGTAGTTAAATTCAATCCTAAAATATTCCAAACAGAAAATAATGTATATTATATAATGGCAACTGCTGGAGCTGATAAAATTTTAAGTGTATGGAATTCCACTAAAGATACTCCTATTTTCATATTACAAGATGCGGTGGATCAACCAATACTTGATTTATGTTGGAATCTGAAAGGTGATACATTATTTTTAAGTTCTCAAGATGGAACTATTGGTCTTGTTAAATTTGATCAAAATGAATTAGGTGATTATGTTAAACCAGAAATTAATGATGAATTAATTAAATTATCAAAAGATCATATAAAACCTTTGAATCATAAATATGAACTGGATCAACCTACTAATAGTAGAAGATCAAATAATCCAACCATAGAATTATTAGATCTGAAAGATGCTATAAGTATCAAACAAGAAGATCTTAAGAATGGATCATATTTATCTAAAAATGGTTCATCGAATGGTAATAACAATACCGATTCCAAAGATGTTAATGGGAGTGATCCATTAAATTCTAATAATAATGTGAAGGCAGCTATCAAACCCGAAGTTATACCGAAACCGGAAATGAAAGAACCAGAAGCTACTTCCAGTGATATATTACATTCTGCCATGAATGAAAGACAATCGGGCGCTAGTAAAAACTCCACTTCTGGAAAACCAATTACCATAACAGCATCTTCTAAATCATCAAAGACAGCAACTATAGCTACTACAGATAAACAAAAAATAACTACTAAAAATGGGAAAAGAAGAATTCAACCGTTGTTAATATCTAATAATGGTACCTCTGAATCTAATGGACATGCTAAAGCCTCCACACCATCCATCCAAACCCCCATCATTTCATCAAGTTCAAAATCATTAATGGATTTTGATAAAGCATCATATGTAGTATCTAATGATTTCTACAAGGATAATAAACGATTGAAATCACAAGATGAAGCTACTGCAACCACTAATAAAAAAGTCAAACGAGAATTAGAACCGGTGAAATTCATTGGAACTCCTATTCTTAATCCTAATACTATTTTTTCAAAATTAAGATTGGCTATACCTAAAGTACGATTTAATTTCCAATTACAAAGTAAAATTGAAAATGAAACTTATGTACTTGATATTAAGAATGGTACCGGCAATGAAACTAAACCATCACGTATAACTTATTTTAAAAAGGATAAAGAAATATGGTGTGATTTCATACCAAGATATATTCAACTTGCAAGTGAAGGAGGATCAATATTTTGGGCTTTAAGTACGGCTGATGGTCAAGTTTTAATATATTCTCATACATCCGGTAAAAGAATTTTCCCTCCTATAGTACTAGGATCTCCTATATCATTTCTTGAAAGTCATGGGAAATATTTAATGGCAGTTACTGCTTTGGGTGAATTATATGTATGGGATATTGAGAAAAAGAAAGCAGAATTAAATACTCTGATAACCCCATTATTAGAATTAAATACCAAATATATTGAAGATGGTTTATCAAAATCAGATAATATTACTTTATGTGCAGTGACTTCTGCCGGTATACCATTAGTGACTTTATCGAATGGGTCCGGATATCTTTATAATAAAGATTTAGGAATTTGGCAAACTGTTAGTGAATCTTGGTGGTCATTTGGATCACATTATTGGGATAGTAATGATGAAAATATTAAGAAACCTCAATCATCTAACTTTTTTGATAATGAAGCTTCAATTATTGATTTACTTGAACATAAAACCAATGAAGAAGTTATTAGAAAAACTCGGCTTGGAAGAGGTAAATATTTCAATAAGATTTCTAAAAATATGTTAATGAAAGAAGGGTTTGAAAGTTTAGAGAATGCCATTTCTGTGAGTCATTTAGAAAATAGAATCTTATGTTGTGAATTATTAGGTGAATTCAAAGATTTCCATAAATATTTCTTAACTTACGTTCAAAGAATTTGTGAATTAGGTTTCAAGACGAAATTATTTGAAGTTTGTAATGAATTATTAGGTCCTGAAAGTGATGATGATATCGATATTGATCACGAAAATGGTGGAGAAAAAGATAGTAAAGAAAACCAAGATAAAATAGATTGGCAACCAGTTATTTGTGGTTTACAGAAACATGATTTATTAAAGGAAGTAATACTAACTTGTTCAAAACATAGAGATGCTCAACGTATCTTAGTACACTTTGGTGAAAAGATTGGTGTTATACAAGAAGAAATATAAAATTTGTATCATTAATATTTATATTTATATGTACATATGTGTCTATTTTTAAAATAAAAGACTCTAAAATACTTTATTTATTTACAATTTGAATACATTCTTAGAATCCCACTTTTTATTTCCAAGTAAACCTTTAACTTCTCCTTGTTCATTTTGAGCTAAATCTTTAGGACCAGCAACATAATCTATATAACCCTCTGGTCCACATACTATAGATAAACTTGCACCTTTTTTTGGTTGATTACTTGTTATTAAAGCTTGTTGAATGGCATTTTCATAACGAGGAGCTCTTTCAGTAATGATATTCGATTTTTGATCTTGTTTCTCTTGTCCTTGAAGAATATCTAATCTTAATTTTAAATTATCACTTTCACTATTTGGAGTTTCATCTTCAATACGCATTGGACTTATATAATTTGGTTCTGTTGGTGGAGAGATATCTTTCTTAGATAATATAGATTTCTTATCAGAATCATAATGATAATGAATCTTTACACGATCTAATTTTTCTAAGAAAAACATGAATCTTTCAAGGGGTTTTAATTCACCTGGTTTTTGAGCTGAATAATGAATATTAACAAATCCACGATATGGATTTCTTGATAATAAAACTTGTAAGATTGGGGCAATACCAGTACCTGCTGCAAAGAAATTAATATTATCAAAATCAGGTAAATCATTTATAGTTTTAATATGATCTAATAAATTCTCTGATTCAATTTTAGAAGGTAAATCTCTAAACATTGGTCGAGTATGAAATTTTTTTAATGGATGATAAGGGAATTTATATTCAATTCTTGGACCTCTAAGTTCAAGTTCTTCACCGACTTCTTTATTAGTGATATATTTTGATACTTCACCATCATTATATCTTTTCACATAAAGACACATCACTCCATTTCTATCATAATCACCGGAATCATTTTCCACTACTTTTAATAATGGTTTCTTTTCCCCAGTTCTAGTATATTCTGATTTCATAAATAATAAAGGTAATGGAGTATACGATCTTACCACCATAATATCAGGTTGTTTAACATCTACCGACCAAATTCGATCACCATTCCAAAGAGATTTTTCTTCATAATTAGTATGGAAACTATACTTCCAATGATCAAATTTGGGAACTAATTCAATTAAATAATGATCATTATCAATTTGTTCTTTATGAGTGACAATAAATTTATGAAATTCAGCAGGATCTAATAATTCTTTACTTTCAGCTCCCTTTTCAGGTGCATACATCCATACTTTTATAGCATAAACCCCCCATCCAGCCGCTATAACCGTAAGAATCTTAGGAATATATCTTGACCATCTTGTAGTTAATTTTGGTTTTTGAGATTTTGTAAAGTCATCTTCATTTGGTAAACCAGGATATTCATAAGCTACTCTTTGATGTTGTAATTTAGGGATATAAGGTTTATTATTCTTTTTGATAAGTCTATCTAGTCCCAGGTTGGTTGCATCAATCGGAGCAGGAGCTGATTTTGAAGTAGCTGGTTTAATATTGAATTCACTAACGTCATTATTGGAATCAGATTTTGATGCTAAGTCTTTATTGTCTTTGTTGTTCTTTTTTGAATCATCAGATTTGAATCTGAATTGAAGTGAACTTCTCAATGGTATCAATCGAGGCACCCTTAGTATCCCCACATGTCTTATCGTGATCATTGTTTAGACCTTCCTTTGATATGCTTCCTTCACTATCAAATGGTGAAAGTTTGAAATATCTGAAGAAGAAAAAAAATGCAGCCAAAAAAAAAAAATAATCAGCAATCTCAATTTTTCAACATCCATTAGTTATCAATTTAAACTTCATATCAGATAATAGATACCAACAGCATTAGAGATATAGAACTAAGTATGGTGGAATTGTTAAAGTCCATAAAGGCCCATACCGATAAAGCATGGAGTGTGAGTGCTCATCCCACATTACCATTATTAGCCACTGCCTCAACTGATAAAACCTCCAAGATCTATAAATTATCCAAAGTTCAGAATTTCCCATTAATTTCAAAATTAGAAGATACTCATAAACGATCAATACGAGCTGTTTCATTCAAACCTCCCTTAGGTGGGGTAGATGCTCCGGTGGAGAATTATTTGGATTTACCTGCTTTGGCTAGTGGATCATTTGATTCTACGATATCAATCTGGGGGATTGATGAACCTGAAAATGAAGTTGATGATGATGAAATATTAGCTAATCAAAGTGAAATATTAACTAATCCAAATAATGAATGGAATTTAATGGCTATAATAGAAGGTCATGAGAATGAAATCAAATCAATTGATTGGAATTGGTCAGGAAATCTTTTAGCATCATGTTCAAGAGATAAAACAGTTTGGATTTGGGAAACTGATCCAGAAACTTTAGAAGAATTTGAATGTATATCAGTTTTAAATGATCATCAACATGATATTAAGAATGTGACATGGCATCCAAATCAAAATTTATTAGCCAGTTCTTCATATGATGATACTATCAGAATTTATAAACAAGATATTGATGATGATGATTGGTCATGTGTTGGAGTTTTAAATGGTCATAATGGAACAGTTTGGTGTTCAAAATTTGAAAATAAACATAATCCAAATGCTGATCCTAAGAAAATAAGACTTGTATCAGTTAGTGATGATTTAACAGTACGATTATGGTCTAGTATAACTGAAGTGGTTGATAAACATATTGATGATGATTATATTCCAAGTTCAATTAAACATAATAGTGAAATGATTTGGGAACAAGAAACTATTTTACCTGAAGCTCATAAATATCCTATCTATGCCGTTGATTGGTCAGCTAAAACGGGGAAGATTGTTTCAGTAGGGTCTGATAGTAAAATAGTGGTCTACAAGGAAGTTGAAGGAAAATGGATTATTGAATCAGTTAAAGATCAAGGTCATGGAGTTCATGAAATAAATTCTGTAATTTGGGCTACATTAGATGATAAAACTGAAGTTATAGTTACTGCTGGTGATGATGGGAATATAAATATATGGTCTACTGATTAATAATAATTTTATAGAAAGATGTTTCATTATAGACTATAAAAAAATAAAATAAAAAAAAATAAAATTAACTAATTAATTAATAGAAATGAATAGAACCTTTTTATATGAACGTTACAATTACAATTAAACCTAATACCGTACCCAAGATAGCCAAACAACAACACATTCTCCCAGTTGAAGAACGCTGTCTTCTTTCAGCTCGTTGTAAATGTTGACTTGCTGTTCTAACATCTTCACTATAACTAAAGATATTATTTTCGATATTATCAATTTGAAATTGTTGTTCATTTACTATCCCAGCTAAATTTTGAAATATATCATTTATATTTTGAGTATCTTGATGAATTCTATGAAGTTCTCTTTCTCTTTCTTCTATTAATAACGTTTGTTGTTCTAATTCTTCTGCATTGATAGGTTCATAAGTGACTTGGATTTGATCTTGAATTTGACCTTCACTATTTTCACCACTTTGAGGTGGAGTGGATTTAACTAAATCATCAGGAGGGATATTCCTTACATGATAAGATTCAAATCTTTTTTGATAAGTTTTGAAATTAGTTAAACTATCTCTAATCAATTTAATTTGAATATTTTCCTTTTGTTTTAAATAATTTAAAATTTCAATATCTTCATGACTTGATTCAATAGTTTGAATAATTCGATTTAAAGATTTAATATGATCATTTATGCCTTGGTATTTCTTAGTGATCTCATCTATAGAAGTAGTGATCTTCTCTGATAAACTTGGATTCGATGAATCTTTGCTAAATTCATAAATTTGGGATTTTAAAGTAGGTAATAAAGTTGAATTTATTTGATATAATTGATTCTCTATAGCATGAGATGTGGTTTCATATTCAGGATAATCTTTATAATGCAGAGATCGATTAGTCGCCGTTCTTTCTAGATCGTTGTTGTTATTATTAGACGATGTATTAAATGACATGGTGGTTATTCGATGTTCTTGATGTTTGTGCCACTGATCATAACTGTGTTGTAAAGAAGGACTGTGCCTATTTCTAAAAGATACGATTGATCATGTCGTACAAATGATCATGTGACAATAGAGCGACATTAAGTTCAACACCCTGCGACATTCTACGTGTCTGACGAGACGAGCCACAATTTAAATTTTTTCAATTTAAATTTACAGCCGTTTATTTACATTACAGACGTGTAATTTAAAACTACATTTAATAATGATATAAATAAGTAATTAAGAATAATTTATTAATAATGAACAAAATCTATAATATGACAAATAATAAGCTATATAAGGAGAAAGGAAAAAAAAGATAAAAATCTAGTTATGTATATATGTATGTATGTATGTATGTAAAATTAACTTAAAATTTATTCTTGATCAGATAAGAATTTTTCACAATCTAAAGCAGCCATACAACCTGACCCAGCTGAAGTAATAGCTTGTCTATATTTCTTATCTTGGACATCACCAGCAGCATAAACCCCTTCGATTGAAGTATTGGCAGTACCTGGAGTAGTAATAATATAACCATCTTCATCAGTTTCTAATTGATTACCAAAAACTTTAGTAGCTGGAGTATGACCAATAGCATAGAATAAACCATTAACAGGTAAATCAGTAGTTTCTTTAGTTTTATTATTATAAACTGATAATGATTCTAATAATTTACCATTACCTTTAGCTTCTTTAGCTTCAGAATTCCAAAGGATTTCTAATTTTTCATTATTTTGAACTCTTCTTTGCATAATGGTTGAAGCTCTTAATTGATCTCTTCTAACTAAAAGATAAACTTTAGAACCATATTTAGTTAAGAATAAAGCTTCTTCACAAGCAGAATCACCTCCACCTACCACAGCTAATGGTTTATTTCTAAAGATTGGAACAGCACCATCACAAACAGCACAAGCAGAAATACCTTGTTGCCAATAAGTTTCTTCACCTGGAATATGCATTCTTTTGGCAGAAGCACCAGTAGCGACAATGATAGCATCAGTAGTGTTTGGTTCTGAATCTTCATTCCATTCAGTCCAAAATTTAAATGGTCTTGAAGAAAAATCAACTTTAGCCACAGTTTCAGTAATGATATCAGTACCGAATCTAATTGATTGTTCTCTCATTTGATCCATTAAAGTAGAACCATTAATACCGAGGGGGAAACCTGGGAAATTTTCAATTTCAGTAGTAGTGGTTAATTGACCACCGGCAGCAATACCATTGGCTAAAAGACCTTCATATAAGGTTGGTTTAATTTCAGCTCTAGCTAAATAGATGGCAGCGGTATGAGCAGCAGGACCAGAACCAATGATAGTAACTCTGTGATGAACCATTTTATTATTATTATTATTGTTATTATTAAGATATGAGGATAAATCTATAGATGATTGAATGCTAGGATAAAAAGTTCGATAAGAATGAAAATTTATGAACTGATTTGAAGTAAAAGGAAGTCTAATGTGTCTAAAAGATGTTGTTGTTGTTGTTGTTGTTGTTGTAGATGTAACAAGTCTTGATATCATATAATTATACAATTTCAAAAATAGAAATAGGATAATTATAAATACTTATATATAGAAATTTCTCGATAGTTTTGGTTTTGGCCGTTTATTTAAATTTCTGCTTATTGATCTCAGAACAGAACAGAATTTCTTTTTAATTTTCAAAGTCCTAACTTCGGAATACAGGACTGTATACAGTACAGTACTGATAGTATAATTATTAATTAAAATTAATTATTAATTTTGAATGGTCTAGGCCGAGGCATACTAATAAAAAGTCAATCACATGACTGGACATGTGATTCAATTTGTCAACTTTAAATAAGATCCAGACCCCAATTTATCTAGGAGTTACATCCATACTACAATACATAGTACCAAATAATTAGTAATGTTACACAAAAGTAGTCATCTCATTTATTTGACATAAGCGGTTAAGTCTAGTCCTCCTTAATTTTGGTGCCAGTTCATCACTCTCCTATCCTATTTGGACCTTATATATTCATTGTTTGAGTTATATAATTCGTAATCGTATTATAATGACAGATTAACCGTCCGGAGTTGGAATTGGTTGACTTGATTTCTTTTTAATTTGTTTACCTTTAACCGTTCTTATTTATGATGATGATTCAAATTAAACTTTTTCTGAGTATTTTAATTAACCGACATGATATCTAATCAATGATGATGATCATCTTATCTCTAAATCTATAACCTTGTTTTCTTTCTTTGCAATGACTTATCATATTTATAATGTAAAACTTCTAGAAGATACTTCAAGTAGTTGTACACTGCCCCTATCCCTACCCCTACCCCTACCCCTAACTCTTATCCAACTGATGATCTGCCATTTTTGCAACCTTCATACATAATCAACCTACCTTATTTTTAATAATACTTCTTGGATTTATTTACTTGATCATTTCTTTTACTTACAATTCTACATTATCTCTATATATTAACTTTTAATATTATATCATATTATTACAAATTCATTATTTATAGTGATTTCATCACACTATTTATTATATATATCATACTATATTTCCACTTCTTCCATGTATCGAATCTTCTATTATTCCTCACCTCCCGACCTCTTCATACCTCCACACCTCCTCATCTCTAACCTAATATAAACTTTTTAATAACTTCACAATCTTGAAGTTTAGGATTTAATAATACATTACTCATAAACCATTGTAACCCTTTTCTTCTTTCTTCTAACCAATTATTAGATAATAATAATCTTTCAATCAGAAAATTATCTTTAGGAGGTAAATTTGGAATTAATGTACTCTTAGTATTTTGATAATGATGTAATAAATCTTGATGAAATTGTTCAATTTCACTATATCGTTTATATACTATTATCGAGGAATAATCAGAATCATCTAATACAATCTTAATAGCCCATGATATATATGGTTTTCCATATTCTCCTTCAATCAAATGATGTTCTCCAACCATAACATTCGTTATATGAGATAATTTTTGTTTCTTAGGACTTTGATGAGTGTTATTTCTACTATCACCACTACCATTTACACGATTAATATTATCAACTGATTCTATATCTTCTTCATCATTATGTAATTCAATAGGAACAGGTAATATTCTATTAAGTCTTGAAACTGAATCTGAGTGGGGTCGACTCATATGTATTTTGATAATGATGATTTATGATGATGATGATGTCTTTTTATATCTTATTTTCTATATTTAACTCTGGTAGGTTATATATCAAACTTCATATCAACCACACCACTAAAGTAATTATTTATCCTTAATAATGGAATTGAATTGGTATGTTCTTGAATTCTTCTTTCTTAACTTGAAAGTAACTAATCCCTTCTAACTTCACAAATAGATAGTCTAAATCCTTCTAAATTGCTTTAAAGATCTAATATCTAAATGACCCTCTTTGTAAACTTTAACTTATTTTTCTTCTTCATCCTTCCCCTTTTGTCACACAAGTTAACTACCCTACATGCAGGATTTAGATAAAAATTGTTTGCTAAATACTTTTTGCAATTACTTTTATATAATGAATGTAGCTTATATTACCCCTACATACATCTACTTGAATAATCGATTCATGAAATAACAACATATATTGAATAATTAAATGGATTAAATTAATGTACTATTCTACATGTATAGAATCGTTGTGAAAACACTAGTAAAAATGCCAGTGCTATAACCATAACAGCAACTGGAACCAAAACATATTGATCCTTATAACAAATCAATAAACAAAGTGAAAATGAACAGATAGTATAACACATCACAAAATTATTGGTTGTGTTTGCGGTTATAACTCCTATGCCATAGTTTGCATCTTGTAGTTCAGTATAAACGATGTGAAGTACACTATTAACAATTCTAAACACAATCAAGGAGGTGATTATTACCATAACTACTATCATACCGAAAGGTCCTTCGATAGGTTGATTCATATTTGATTGGGTTGTTAATGTTAACATTGTTGGAGCGTATAATTAAACGATATCAAAGAAAGAAAATAAAACTTGAAAAGATTAAAATTGAGTGATAATCAATGCTTTTTATAGGAAAATTTGTCAGTATGGCTATAACAGCTACATACATTCATTTACATATGAACCATTATACCAACTTTTTTAAACATAACACAAACAAATATATATTGAAAAATATAAATCACAAATTTCTGAATATCAAGCTAAATATTTAGATTCTAACTGGTGCTTTTATAGAAACTATGGACTGAAATTCTGCTAAGTAACATTAAAATAAATGACAGAGCAACAGATACAATAGCAAAAGGTACAAGCATATGATTACCACTATAACAAATAACTATGGCAATTAAGTGAGATCCAATAATATAACCTAAAAGTGAATGATCTTCAAATCCAGTTGCTGATATTACCCAAATTGAATTAATTTTTCCTTCTGTATAAACGGTTCTAGCAAATGATAACCCAAAAGATGATACACCAAAAACTGTTACCAACAATGGCACTATGATATAAGTAAAATATTGATCCATTTGAGTTAAAGAAATGTGGTGAGATATTTGTTGTAATATTTATGATTGAACTATAAAATTGGATTAATCTAAATGAAAATGTTGACTCTTTTATACTCTTTTCGCAGTCTAAAATTAGATTCATTCTAAAATTAGTATACTCATACATGGTAGGAAATAAAAATATCACTAATCAAGACTATAAAAATATATATTCAGATAAGAATTTATGGAAATTATATAAATAAGCTTTAGATGTTAATGGAAACATTAATTAACAAATGTGGTGTTAGAGAATATATTATAAGGATATTTAATCTTAACAAATATGGTGGTGGCTAAACTATTTGATCAATCTAATGAACAATTCAACAATCATAAAACTAAAGTTAACCATAGGTTAAACATCACATGATAAAGGTTTATAAACCTTCCTTGCTATATTCATCATGTTAATTCTAATCAATAAGTATAACACTATAGCGGTAGACGCTACCATGTAAGTAAATTATTCCATTGATATAATATTATAAACACTTTGATAAGTTAACATTGATAGTAACAAAACTTTTTAAGAAAGAAGTATACTTACTGAGAAAACATTTGATAAGACATTTGACGATGTAGTTTTGTTTTAAATAGTCTTAAATATAAAAAGCCAGATGAAAAGTTTTTCCAGGTATAATACATTTCAATACCGATAAATGCATACACAAACAAAAACTAATATTTACAAAACCAACAATGGAGCAATAACACCACCCTTTCATAAATATGTCATTACAACCTAAGGATAAAGGAATATCCCCTTCTGAATCAAGTCGAATTGAATATGGTTGCGAATTTAAGGACTCTCCCTATGTATCATCACTCTATCAAAAAAGTAATTGGTATCACCACGACCCACGATTTTTTATTTTAAAAAGATTGATTTACCACAAACAAGTAAAAGACCATTCAAATACCTTATACCAACTTTTAACAGGACATACTTATACAAGATGAGTGACCCTATGAGGTCGAAGTATCCCCAATGGAAACTTTTCTTACATAAATTCCAAGCAAGAAGAGATATTCCATTTAGAAGGAGATTTTTTATTGGATATGATTTATTTGGAAATACATATTGGGAATTCACAATTGATGGGAATTTACAACGATTAAGAAGAAAAATGGAACCTTATAAAGAACAATTATTCAAAGTTGATTATTTCGCTACTGTTCCACCTCCTTGGTTACAATGGTTAAGAAGAACAAGATATGATCCTCCAACTTTACAAGAATTAATTAATGAACAAATTAGACAAGAAAGAATAAAAGTATTAGCTCAACAAGCTGATCAGAGATGGGTCCAAGAAAAATATCGACTAGAAGAAGAACAAAGATTGAAACTAGCTACTGAATTAGATAGATCGCAAAGAGAAGCTGAAGAATTTGAAAAAAGGACTAATCCAGTTACTACTGAATCTCCAGTAAATGTTGAAGAATCTACCACACCAGATCCTTGGAAACAAGCTGAAGCTACAAAGGAAGAGAATCCAATTGAATCTACTTCTATAAAACCATCATCGAGATAAACTCAATCATTATGTACATATAATATAAATCAAAACTATTTATTTATTTATTTGAATTTTATTTTCTTTTACCTTTGCCAATTGATTGTGGCATTTTGTTTGTATATAGATCTTTTAATCAACGTCATTTTCATCAAAGGAATTTTCATTACTAGGAGTTGAAGTTGAAGATATATTATCTGATTTTGTAGCATTAATCTTTTGTTCAAATATATTAAGTAATTTATTACTATACTTTTCAAGTAATTCTTCTTCATTGAATTGATCATTTCTGGATTTATCTTTGTTTAATGTAAGTACAGATTCTTCACCATCATTTAATAAAGCTAAAATAATTTTCAATTTAGATATGAGAGGAGCTTTATTTTCCTCACTAAGACGATCTTGTTTGATTCTGGATTCAATTAAATTCAAATGTGAAAGTGCTTTATCAACAAATATTTTAGGATCTGAAATTGTTGCTGGGGATGCTTTAGTAGGGGAAGTGTAGTTATACGCTGGTTTAAGTGATCTAACTGGCGATGAAGAATCAATCAGATGTCTTTGTGATCTGACTGGCATAGTTTTCGGAGAAGCGGTTCCTATTTGAGTGGATGGTTTTGGTATTGGTTTAACTGGTGAAGAATACTTTACCGCTTCAGCGCGTAATGAATTACCAAGTTCACTTTTGGCTGAGTCTTTGGCACTTATTCTCTTTAATGTTGCTGCCGTTAACCTTGGTGTGGGTGAAGATTCAGCAGAACTTATGTCCCTAGTTCCAAGATCTAATTTAGTTGGGATAGTTCTTACTGGGGAAGTAGGTATAATCTTTCTAATCACTTTAGCAGGTAATGTTTCAACCTCTGTTTTACTTTCAATATCATCGGCCGATGAAGTAGGATATCTATCACTATCATCAAATACACTAGTTTCATTCAAAGTCCATATAAACAAACAACCATCATTACCAATTGATATTAATTCATTGTTGTTAGTTAATTCCAAACTTAATATAGTATCCAGATGTCCCCATGCTACACTAATAGGCTTACCTGTAGCGTAGTTAAATACTCGAAGTGATTTATCTGAAGATGATACAATGATAGAATTCTTATAATTAATAAAATTTTCAACTAATAAGCTTTCATTACTCTTACCATTAGTGAACTTGAGATTTCCCTTTAAGTCATAAGAATCTGAAATATCAAATATTTGTAAAGTACGATCATTAAGTGATACGATTAAATCATTTTCAAATAATTTCATATTGGTTGGACTTGCCTTGAGAGTCATAATCTTTTCTTGAACAAGTTGTAAGTTTGGTGAAGTTTCGAACCTATGAATAGAAACAGAACGATCAGATGAACATACATATACTCTATTGTTCAGATATTGGAGCTTGATCAAATTACCATTATGAATAGGTATAGTTTGTAAAAGATCCCATTCATTATCTTCATCATTTTGCTTATAAAAAAATTGAATCATTCTATCTCTTGAAATTGATGCTATTATTTGATTATTCTCTACTTCAAAGTAGATTACTTCATTTATAGTTGATGAGTGTGCTTTTGTTTTATATATAATTGTGTGAGAACCATCTTTCACTTCCGCAATGTTCAAGTTCCCGTATTTATCTCCTAAAACAATATAATTATTAAATGACTCAACCGCCGTTAAACAATTTGAAATTATTCCATTAGATGGTAATTTGAATATCAATACAGTTTCAAGTTCATTATGATCAATTAATTTCTTAATCTCTCCATCCTTGGAAAATATCATTAATTCTTTCAGATAACCATTTTTGATACCACCCAAATTCTTAACCAATGAATTTACTAATACCACTTCTTTATTCGTAGATTTGTCAAATAAGACTATTTCTTCTGAATCGGATAAATAAATAAGATGATCATGTAAGAAGTTAGCCAACTTTAATATTGGTTTATAAACAGCTCTCTCCTTAGTCGGACTACCGAACCTACTGTTAGATTTTGCTGTTGGTGATGAAATATTTGATAGACTACTCATGGTTAATTCATTGATTGACAAAGTTTCAAATGATCTTTCATCAATGCCAAACCAAACCTTTTCACCGGTATAGTCTATTTGAATTGAACTGAATTCAAATGGTGGTGTTTTTTTTTTTCCAAAGTTAACAAGCTTCAAGTTGAAATTTAAACTTTGATCTTCTCCTAATTTTAAAAGAAGAATTTGATTATCAGCTGTAATTATTAATAACTCATCATCATTTGAAATACTGCAATCTATGAAATTGCTATTAATATATGGACCTAATATAACATTTTTACCCTTTAACGCGTTTGGTTTGGAAACTATATTATCAATATCTTCTTCTTGAAATCTCCAAACTTTAATAAACCTTAATCCTATAGTTACAATAGAATCACCATGCCATACCACTTGATTTATGACAGTACTGCACCTGTTACTTGATTGAAGAAGTATTGAATTGAGTTGTAATTTCCAAATATGAATAAATCCATCATTGATGGTTCCTAATGAACAAATATATTTTGAATCAGGAGAAAATATAAGACTACGAACCCCAAATGAATGTTCATAGATTAATGCAAAGGGTTTATTTGACAGATTAGGTGCTAATGAAAATAATAATATTCGTGGTTGATAACCTGTTTCACCAACTGCTAATACTTTCTTATTGGGAGATATAGCAACACAACTTATAGATCTAACTCTCTCTTTTAATTTAGAAGGTGAAGATAAATCAATATCATCAGACCCTACTTTTCCTGAATCATTCCCTGTATAACTCCCACTACTTCCATTATATACCATTGGATCGTTACCTATAGTGTAACCATATTTATCTCTGATAATTGTTTCCTTTGGAGAACCAATATTTAGATCAGCAAACGCCATATTCAAATATGCATTAGCAGAACTAGCATGAGATGATTTATAATCAGTCAATATATTTGCATTGGCACAAAAGAATCGTTGTGAAATGGTACTTCCATTATCATCAGGACTAATATGACTAACCACTACTCCACCACTTGCTGTATATGCAATAAGATTATCACATACTGCAAATTGATTTGATGATTTCGCTGATGTTCCAATAACTTGAGAAATCTTCAACAGAGGAGGAGGCAAATTAGAGATCAGATGTCTATTTCTTTCAATTTCCACCATTTTAACTTATTGATAATCCATAAGTATTGTTAAATTGACTGTAAATGATAGCCTTCAAAGAGTGTTACACGAAATCCATTGGCTGTTAAGTTGTTAAAAATTAAATGTAAACAAACGATTATATGCAGGATAAACACATACTGCATATAAAAATTATAATCAGTAAAGAGAAGACCTTTAACTTAGAATTATACCATTATAATACTTCTTTAACTCAGATCAGCTCATGAAGATAAGGTATGGTGGAGGAAATATCATTATCCATAAGTGAAACCAATAAGCTTAGGGCTCAAATTGGATTGGCTCCAATACCGATAGAAGAAGAGACACCCAAGAAAGATCAACCTATAGCGGCCACAAATGAAATATCACTTGAAGAAACTAATCGACTACGAGTATCGATTGGATTAGCTCCTATACCATTGTCTGATAGTAATAAATCAGTTCTGAGAGAGGATGATGAGATACATAATTTTAAAGAACATCAACAGAGGATAGAGAAGAGTAAACGAGAAGATGAACTTAAACAGAGGATTGAAGATGCAAAGTCAAAATCACGAAAAAGGAAAGCATTGATAGGAAAGACATTATTAGATGATGAAGAGGAAGATACCGATGATTGGCTTAATAGTTTAGGAAACAATGATTCTAAAAAGTCAAAGATTACTAAATCGTCTCTACTGAAATCAGAAACTGATAATGTAGCCGATGTTAGAATAGCGCATAGTTTGAAAGAGATACAAAACTTGAATAATAATGATATACTTACATTAGATGATGGTGATATATTAGAAGATGATGATGAAGTAGGGGGTGTCTTAACTAATGAGAGATTAAATAAAAGCTCAAAATTGAAGAAAGAACTTGACGACAAGGCTGAAGCTGAGAGTATAAAATTCAATGGAAGACATTATAAGGCATCGAATTTATTTGGAGAAGAGAATGAAGAAGATGAGGATGAGGATATTCGGTCAGGAGTTATTCTTAAGGCAGGATCAAGTCTTTCACTTAATCAAAAGAAAGATATTCAACCGGTAAAGACTAGTAATAAAGTTCAATTGGGTCAATTGTTTGATGATATCGATGACGATAATGATAACACTTCTATAAACACTGTCAATGATTATGCAAAGGAGAAACCCATAAGTATGAAAAAGATGAAAAAGAAATTCAAATCGAAATCTAAGGTTGTTAAACAAGTTTTAGACGAAGAGGGAATACCAACAGTTGAGTTTAAAAAGTTTAATAATGATGATTTTGAAGATGAAGAGATTGAATTACAAAGAACTTTAGAAGATGCCAGAAGGAATAAACAAAAGAAACAGCGAAGTTTATTAACTCCTGAAGAAATTGCGGCTGAAATCGTGAGAGTGAAAAGACAAGAGCTTCAAGATGGAATACATGATGATTTTAAACAAGGAGTCGTATTTGATGATACTAGTGATTTCTTAGCTTCGTTATCAAATAATATATTAGATTCAAATAATGGTAAAGTGAAAGAAGAAGCAGACGATAGCATATTTGATGAGGTTAAAGTTAAGATGGAAGAATCTTCTATTGAACCAGTAATCAAACAAGAGGATAATACAGACATTAATATTAAACAAGAAGTTAAGAAGGAAGAAGACGAGGAAGATCAAATTGAAGATGAAGAAACTACCCCTCAATTTGGAGGAGGAGGACTTGCATCTACATTAAAATTTTTGCAATCACGTAATATTCTTCATCAAAGTAGTGAACAAGAAAAGGAAGAAGAAAAACATCGTCAAGAAGCCATTAAAGAATCGGATATATTAAAAATTAAGATTTCAATTGAAGAAAGAATCTTAAAACAAGAATTAGAATCTGATAAAAGTTATATGAATCTACCAAAACTGGAGAGAAATGAATTATTTGAAAAGTTATTAGATGAAAAATTAAATCAAAAGGGTATAGTTAAAGAAATGGCGCAACCCCTGAAAATTGCTCACCGTAGTACAAACCACAGAAATAATAATCATAATAACAGTACTGGTGGTGGAACCACCAGTACTACTATTAACGATCATCTTAAGTCTTATAATCCTCAAGTCAAGTTATCGTATCATGATGATACTGGTAACGAATTGAATACCAAAGAAGCTTATAAATATTTATCTCATCAATTCCATGGTGTTGGACCAAGTAAGAATAAACAAGAAAAACGGAAACAAAGAATCAAGCAAGAAGCACCTACATCTTCATTAAATGGTAAGATTGTATAAAAAGAAGTATATAAATATATATATATATAATATGTGTAATAATAATAATTTAACGGTGAATAATAACATCGAATCATTATGTCCTAATTTAATTTAATCTTAATTAATTAATTAACTGCTTTTGAAACTAGTGCCGAGCTCGGTTTAGAGATGGAAAAGATAAAAAAAAAAAGTGATTAAAAATAAATTCGCTATCCGCAAATTTCCATAAAAAATTTAATTTATTACTAAAACGAAAAAGGCAGCCAAGACCTTTGAACAATCATTTGACAGTTACTCCTTTCTTGTTCTTCTTCTTCTTGATAGGTAGATCGTTTGATCATCATATATTCATATATTCATCTGGTCAAGTTCATATAGAGACTAACTAATCATGAGTGCGACAGTGCTATTCCATATAAGGGGAATGACATGTGCTGCTTGTACTTCATCTATTCAAGAATCATTATCCCATTTATCAGGAGTTGCTAAGATTTCGATATCATTATTGACTGAAGAAGGGAAAATACTATTTGATCCTTCTCAAGTTAATCTTGATCAAATTAAATCTGCCATAGAGGATTGTGGCTTTGATGCAACTATGATTAAATCTAATATACCTTTGATTGCCACTTCAGTACGGATCGATGGAATGACTTGTGGATCTTGTTCAGCATCAATAACAGAGGCGTTGGAAAAGATTAATGGCATTGATTCAGCTTCAGTATCGTTAGTCACTGAATCTGGATTGATCAAACATACTAATTCAGTTTCCGTTAATGTCATAAAACAAGCTATTGAAAATTGTGGATTTGATGTTACAATTGAATCTTCAAAATCAATTAATCATAACAGTGACACTGAAGTTGATACTTCCTTTAATGAAAGTAAATTCGAAATTCAAGGTATGACATGTGGAGCTTGCTCTGCATCCATTACTGAAGCATTAGAAAATACTTCTCATATAGAAAAAGTATCAGTTTCATTACTTACAGGTGAAGCACTTGTTCAACATTCCAATGATGTGACAATAGATCAAATTATAGAAATCATTGAAAATTGTGGATTTGATGCTAAACATCTTCATACAAATATTCTATCATCATCATCAAATTCAAACTCCGCCACTCAAACTAATAGACAATCAGAAGAAGATGAAATCAGTTTACAAATCTATGGTATCAATAATGAAACTGATTTAACCCATCTACAATATAATATCGAAGCCTATTTAAATAGCCTGCCTGGAATTCATAATTTTCATATTGCATTTAAAGAATTACTTGATAGATCAAATGCTCCATTAGTTACCGATGCAAATTCTCAAAGTATTGCAGCTATAAGATCAGAAGATGAAATCAATAATGATGGTGATAATCTTATTGATGAATTATCAATCTCGTTCAATCCAAATTTAGTAGGTGTAAGAGATCTTGTGGATGGTTTGGATGGTATAGCTGAACAGATCCAATTTGTGATTGTCAATTCCATTGATCAATCTTCAGCCACTCAATTAAAATTATTATCTCGTATAAAGGAAATTAATTATTGGAGAAATAATTTCTTACAATGTTTAGGATTTGGGTTTCCAATCCTTTTAATGTCATATACTCAAAATAATCAATTTTGGAAAGATTTATTAATATTTCCAGGTTTATATTGGGTATCATTATTACAATTCATTTTAGCTGTTCATGTTCAATTTAGAAATGGGGCTACATTCAATAAGAAATTCATTTCATTCGTTAAAAATGGAGGTAGAAATGCAACTATGGATGTATTAGTTTGTATTTCATCTCTGGTATCATTTTTATTTTCAATTATATCGATTATTTTAAGTGTTTGGTATGGACAAGAAAATTCTCCTCCAACATTATTATTCGATACTTCAAGTATGTTAATTTTATTCATTTCATTTGGGAAATGGTTAGAAAATAAAGCTAAGGGAGCAACTTCAACCGCATTATCAAAATTATTATCATTAACTCCAACTAATTGTACTATTATTAATGATACTGATAATTATGAAAAATTCCTTGAAATGCAAAGATTCTCATCAAAACAAGAAAAAATCATTAATGATAAAGATGATGGATCTATTGTTAATAGTATGGAAAATTTCAGTACTAGAAATATTAGTATTGATCTTGTTCAAACTAATGATATTGCGGTGGTATTACCAGGGGGGAAAATCCCAGCTGATGGAGTGATTGTATTTGGAGAATCTGAAATTAATGAATCATTCATTACGGGTGAAACTTTACCAGTTCATAAAAAGAGAGGTAATAAAGTTATTGGAGGATCTATTAATGGACTTAATTTAATTCATATTCGAGTTTTAAAAACAGGAAAAAAATCTCAATTACAACAAATTATTTCGTTAGTAAAAGAATCTCAAATTAATAAAGCTCCAATTCAAAGATTCTCCGATTATATTGCGGCAAGATTTGTTCCTTGTGTATTAGTCTTAGCCATCACTACATTTATATTCTGGTTAATCATATGTTATATAAATCATATTGATACTCTTCCACAAGCATTCACCAAAGAAAAGAATGGGAAATATTTCGTTTGTTTAAAGATAGCTATTTCCGTTATTGTGGTTGCTTGTCCATGTGCCTTAGGGTTAGCTGCTCCAACTGCTGTTATGGTAGGTACTGGAGTTGGTGCTCAAAATGGGGTATTAATTAAAGGAGCTGATATTCTTGAAAAAGCTAGTGGTATTAATATTATTTTATTTGATAAAACAGGTACATTAACTACTGGAGATATGAAATTAGCCAATTATAAAATGATTTTAAACAATAGTCAAATCAATGAACAAGATTGGTGGACTATAGTTGGTTCAGTTGAAAATAATTCTGAACATCCAGTTGGAAGAGCCATTACTAAAGCTGCTAAATCCCATTTAAATCTTAATTTTGAAGAAGATGTATTTAATTCATCGATTAGTGATTTTAAAGTATTGACAGGATTAGGTATAAGTGCCAATATTCAAGTAAATCATATTAAATATCAAGTATTGGTGGGAAATATTAAAGTTGTTGAACAAATGTTTCCTCAATTAATTAGTCAACTTGAAACTAGTAATGTCAATAAATTAAACACAGTATCATATGTTGTTATTAATGGAGAATATTTTGGATATTTAGAATTATCAGATCATATTAAAGAAAATTCATTTGAAATTATTCAATATTTATCTCAATTTGAAAATTATCAAATTGGAATGGTTACTGGTGATAGTAAAGAAGTTGCCGAAAGGATTGGTCAAGAATTAGGTATCGCATCATTTAATATATTCAGTCAAGTATCTCCTATTCATAAAGATAAAGTGATTGTTGATCTTAAACAAAGATTAGGTGGAGAAGGAAATGTTGGTATTGCCTTTGTAGGAGATGGTATTAATGATGCACCAGCTTTAGCTCAAGCTGATATTGGTATGGCTATTAGTTCTGGTACTGATATTGCTATTGAATCTGCCGATGTGGTATTAATTGGAAGTGAAGATGATAGTAATAATAATGATTTAATTGGAGTTTTAAATGCTTTACATATATCAAATGCTACATTTAGAAGAATTAAAATTAATTTTGCATGGGCGGCAATTTATAATATGATAATGTTACCATTTGCTATGGGATGTTTTTTACCATTTAATGTTATATTACCTCCTATAGCGGCTGCATGTGCTATGATGTTAAGTTCTGTTAGTGTGGTTATAAGTTCATTAGCTTTAAAGAATTGGAAATCACCAAAAGTTGAAGATGAATATAGATCATTTAAAATTGATATGGAATCAATTTCACATGATGTATTTAATTTGAAAGATGGTACTATTGAAGAATTCAATATGGTTAAAAGAAATAATCTGAGAAGTGTTAGAAATAGAAGAAGATATAATGTTTTTAATTATATTAAATCTGCTTTTAATTTTGGGTCGTCATCAAGTTCAAATTCAAGACAATATGTTTCAATTCCTTCGTCATAGAAAAAGTTTAATTTAGGTATATAGTTTCTATTTAGACATATATTTTTAATGAGATAAACGTTATATTTTAATATAAATGATTAATTAATTTACATTATACTCTTAGTAGGTAGTTGACTGACCGTTATTAGTGGTTGTCATGGTTATTGACCAATCCAATTTAGGTAACATCTCGCACCACTTCGTTATGAGTACCTTTTCACACAAAACCATTCAAACGAAAAATAAAATTATTTTGCGGCCTGTTGGATTGTTACAAAACAAAATTGAAACAAATTATAGTATCAATACAATTCTAGAATTTGATTATTGGTGATATTAGTCAGGGGGGCCGAATTAATTAAACTTAAACGCTTATTTTGATTGGTTAGTCTTAACTTACGAGAAGTAATATGGTACCACCCTCATTTATGATTAGACTTATAGTTTGGCATATTGTTGACAAGAAAAAAAAAAGGCAAAGCTTATTTCGAGGCGTCAGAATGATAACGAATGGACAAATTAATGAACAAATATTCCATCCTTGAAACAAGTTTAATAAAAAATGGTGGGTTGATTTATGAGCCATTTCTTTCATGTGAAGGTGAGTAATAAGTTGTACGTCATACCGTAAATCTGTCGTTCAATGTGTAGGTCTGATAATTTAGCCATTGCCATAAGACTGTTTAGTTCAACAACTGTATTCAACAGTTAAATTAATCATCGCAAGTTATACAAATTCTACAAGATTGATTACAAGATAAGTTAATTAAAACAAAAAGGTATATATTAGGATAACGAATACTCTAAGAAAAAATTAAATATTAGGAATTAAAAGAATTTTATGGTATTAAAAACAACAAATGAATTAATAGTTTAAAAAACTTATAAAGCTAATAAAGCACCAGCAGCTAAAGCAGCGGCACCAGCAGCGAATTGGACCTTGACACCGGCACCTTCGTAAGTGGTAACGTTAGCTGGTGGGGTGACGTTAGCTGGGGCAACAGAAGTAGAAACTCTGTATGGACATTCAGTGACGGATTCTGGACATTCAGTTAAAGTAACTAAAGTGGTAGATAAGTCAGTTTCAGTGACATCAGCAGCAACAAAGGCAGCGATGGTGGCGAATAAAGCGACGGTGGAGAATTGCATTGTAGATATGAGCGAAAGACTGTAAGTTAGATTAATGAATTTAATGAAGAATTAAAAAGAAGAAAAAGAAGAAGAAGAAAACTAATACAATTTTTATAAAAAAGTGGGAAGAAGGCTGTTCTATATATAATGCAAAGAAAAGCTGATTAGCAAAAAAAGAAAATTTTTGTCAATTCAAATTGGGAATTGCAATTTCTGAATGGAATAAAAAAAATTTTCTGCTTTAATTTACAGTTTAAAATTATTTTTTAGTTAATGCAAATTTTGACCGTCAATCAAACAGAGAAGAAAATCTATTTCAGGACAAAAAAAGAAATTTTTGACATTGGTCGTGCAAGGATATTTCCTATTCCAGTAGGCCTCCTTCCTGATTGGGAATTCCGGCCACAAAAACACAACACACCGCACACAAAAGTTTTAAAATAACGAACGGCAACCGGGTCCGCCTCATTGGTCCCGAGGTCAGAAGGGAAGTTATGATTCATAAATCGAGCTATACAATGTCTGTTTTCGATTATGGTTTTAAGCGTGACATGCAGGAAGGATGGAAGAGGGAAATAAAAAAAAGGGAAAATTTTTTCCTGTTTCTAATTTAAGAAATGGGGAGGGGTCATATGTAATAATCTAATTTACCAAGAATATGAGAGGGCCACAGTATCAGTAAGTAGTGGTAGTACTATTAGTAGGATATTGTTACACCATGTACAAGAATGATGAAGTAAACTAATCTAGAGGAGATTACAGTAGTCTAGATCAATCGTCTTCGTCTGTCTGTCTGTGTACTGTATTACAGTATTACATAAATTTGTTATGATTATCATCAATTTTATTTTTTATGAACTCATTGCCGCCGCTGCTGATTTGTTTTCATTTTTCGTTGTTTGAAAATTATTTTAAACAAATTTTTTTTCGTCTCTTTTACTTTAGCGTATTGTTCTCAAGATTACGCATGCCTCGCTGCCTATTTCAGAAACAATCTACCCCTATTCGGAGAGAGTCTGAATTCAGTGGCATATTATTACTATAAGCGGTAGTATTACCTACAAAATTAATAATTTCCTAACCAATTATAATACTAAACCTTATATATATATGAGGTAAATTGTCCTGTAAAACATTTACTCTTGTAACGTGGGTTCTTCCGAGCTACCTACTAATTAAGCTCATTCATCATCATCACTATCATCATTAATCTATGATAATCAAAATCAAGTTGGGGTATCAGTTTTTATGATATCATATGGTAACACTAATCCTAATAATGACACTTAAAAGTTTAACTTTAATATTATTATTATTATTATTGATACTGTTAATAATAATAACAATAAAGGCGAATATTATTTATAATTATAACAATTCACCACGATTCTAAGCACAATAGTAACCATAAACATACACATTAACGCAAAATCACCAATACTTTCACCTGTTTTTTTACACTTTCAACACATACACGGCCAATCAGGTCCATTTATACGAAATAATTTTATTATTTTACTCAACTAATAATAATAATATTATTATTATCATAATAAAATGTGTTGATTATTAGATATAAATAAACTCACAAAATCGCGCTTCTTTCAAGATTGGTTTGGTTTGGTCTCTTATATTATTCTAATTTGTTTATTTATTTATATATCTATCTATTGTAAGAACCAACCAGCAAACAATTGTCAATAGCAACAAGTAACAAAAACTGGATAGGACGATTGCAACCTACCAACATATAAATGTATCAATTTCACAATTATCCAACCTTACGATTTCTTATTGTTTGTTTTGTTTTTATTTATTGTCTCCTCCTCCTCGCAACATGTGCGTGAAGATCAATAAAAACATTTTAGTTCACGGTTGCTAGGGCCCTTTTTTTTCACACTCTTTATTTTTGTTTTCTGCTCGTATTTTATTCACAAAATTAAACAAGAAAGCTATTCTATCTAAATCAACTGAGATAAAATGTCACCAAAAACATAACCCAATACATGATTATTTCTTGTAAATGATAAGTGAATCACCTAATAACCAAGCAAAGAAAATTAGATCCATCAAATGCCTCGCAGAATCTGACATCAATAATAATATTTTTAGTCCAGTCCTCATAACACGTAAATCTATCATATACATTATTTTTTTTGGTGCCGAGCTTCCCCAACACTTGGCATCGTGATCAAATTTTTGTTTGAGGATCTCTTGACCTTCAGTGTTATAAGGCATCAATTGATAACTTCTTTGATTTCACAAGAGCCGTGCTTTCGCCTGTGTTGGCATCACTATCAATTTTTCTAGGCTCATCACTTTACGACCATGGATAGTCCGTGATAGCCTTAAAGAAATAATGATATACAAGCTTCTTCTTCAACCTGGGCAGTGTTTTGTAGCCCTTGGCATCATTAGCTATCATTTGAGGACCATTCTATTTTCTTCAAGATCCACTGATAGCATTTTCTTCTGGAATCATGCTATCGCAAGACTTTACATCGATATCAATTTTTATCAGGCATTTCCTATAATGCCTATAATTTTTTTAAATCTAAGTTAGCCTTACTGAAATTGTATCGATAAAAGTCTGCTTGTCTTGTCGGAAATTTTGTTTTATATATCTTTATTGATTGATAGACGTCTTAAATCTGCATATTTTGGCTTGATTCATCAAATATAATGCTTCTGTTACACCTAGCATCAAAGTTGTTATTTAAAATTTGCATCCAATTATTTTTTGAACTGTTTAGCAGCAAATTTCTACCTTCTTAAATGCTTCAAATAACCCATCATGGTATACTGCTTACCATGCTTCTACGATACTCTGCAACAGTATCAATATGCTACTCATTGGAAAAAAAATCAATTTTTCTGGCCTTTCTCCTAGAAATCCTATATTAATTTAAAACTTTAGTAGTGACCTTAGAAGAATCACAATTTTAAACCATATTTCTTCCCGAAGCATAGCTTTGGGAATTAGTATTGCTATAGATTCTTTCAGGCCATTTCCTAGAAATCCTAGAAATCTTAAAATTTTCAGTATCGCCTTAGAATCATAACCTTTTTGATTTTGAAAAAGAAATGCACTGGCTTTTCTTGTCTTTTTTTGAGTACTTTGAGTACTGATAACCAAAGACTTCTATGCACCCGTCAATGAGAATTTGGTTCACAAGGAACTGGTTTCTTCTCATCAATCTTTTAATACTCATTTTTGTAGATGTCCTTCAAAACATTCGCATCAACCAACAAAACACAAATTTTTGCAACCAAAAATCATGATGAAAAAAGATTTATCTAATTATTTGTAGCAAACGATTTGTTAATGAAAATACCAAAGCAATTGAGAGAATTCTTTGTCTCTACTGCTTCTTGTATGTTTCCAAAAACAGTCTCCCAAATTTCGATTCATTTGGATATTTACTAGGAAAAAAACACCAGCGTTATCGCTTCTTATCTTTGAACCAATATTTCAGCAATTACACCATGATGGCAGTTTAACACCTTAATTAACTAAAAATTATTACCAACAATTCTTACAGAAATACAATCAAACTTCTGTAAAGTACTTCATCTCATCTAATTCAAGAAAATTCAACAGCAGGATAATTATAAAATCTTGACACAGATTCCTTATATAAATGAATAATTCAAACCTTTAAAATCCAGCCAGAAATTTTCAGCAGTTTTATAAAGCTCACAAACCAGAACAAATTCAAAAATAACTTTACCAACTGAGATTAATTATCTCTGACCATAAGCTCTTTTAAAACATTCGTCTACCACTTTTTCTTAACAAATTTTTAACAACCCAACAGATACAAAAAAACACTCTTAATGCATCAGAGACCTTCATTTGTTCAATGTTGAATTCAATTTCTAGAACCAAAGTAGACATCACCACATAAATAATATTATATGATGTAAAAAATTAGGAATTAAGGACTTTTTTTGATTTTATACCTTAATTTGATTATAACTTGATATAATGATAACTCAACCTGGAACAAATATAAAATAGCAACAATAAGAAAAAGAAGAAAAGAAAAGCAAAGTAGAAAAGAGAAGCAAAGAAGAAAAGAGAAGCAAAGAAGAATAAAATAGAATATTAGAAAATTAGAGAAAGGAGAAAGAGTAAATAAATAACCTGGTCTACTCATGACAATGTCATATAAGTATCAACACTCCGGAATTGAACCACTGTATAGATCACTAGAGTCTGGCTAACATGAACTGGGAATTGGTAATGGCCTCCCAACTCAAACTCCCCCATAGTGTCAGAGGTTACTAATCAGCTATAAAGCCTGACTGTAAATATCACAAAGGAGTATCCGCCAACAACACAACTCACCGCGAAGCAAGAAGTCCAACACCTGCAACCCAATCCAGTTCTCAACATGGAAGGATATATCAAATACAACGGGACGGCCTTATTAATTGACCATCCGGCGTTGTATTGATCGGTAGGTTGGTACTTGCTAGAGTGGAAGTGGACGTGGCCCCTGACTGGTTCGGATTGGCGGTTAGCAGAAAACCACCCTTTCAAAGCAGATCTCTTGACTATTACTAGCAGTAATCCATTATCATGTCTCTTGCCTATAAATGTTAGTTTCAACCTGATTGCTTACTATATTATTCAGCTCGAGCTCAATGAAATAGAACCAAAAAGAAATGTAAGTAGATATTTACAACCAAATTTTTTTAAAATTTTTAAATTTTACAGTGCGGTTTTTGGCTGTAAATAAATTAATTCTGAATTATTTTAATATTATTCATTAATTATGTCTATTATATTTATAATAAACTCTACATGAAGCTAACTAGCAACTAATTTAACTAACTAACTAATTAACGTTAGAATTCTGATCTTGGTTTCACATTTTTACGAGAATACCAATTAACAAAATCTTTTAAAGAAGATCTAACTCTTCTATTATCTTTATTAACCAATGCAACACCTAAAGTATTGATTAATTTTTCAATTTCTTTATTATTAACATTGGGTAAAGATTGAACTACTTGATGTAACCAATTGATCGATATATTTGAATCAGGTATCACCACCAATATTTTTAATATTAAATCATTTATATCTTGATGAGTATCGATATTAAATTTAAATATTAATCCATTTATAATAGCTTGTAATAATGCACCACCATTGTTATCTAAGATTAAGAAATCTTGAACTGATTTCTTTATAAATTCAGGATTTTCATCATTAAATAATGAAATTGGTGGATTTGATGATCCCCAACTAACTAAATCAATGAGGAAATGAACACATGAGATGGTTGGTTCATATTCATTAATCAATTGGAAATTAATTAAACTTAACTTTAATATTGATTTCAAAAAGTCCAAGTTTGGAATCACTTTGAATGGATAATACATTAATAAATCATCAATCATTCTAAAGAAATCATCAATGACATCCGGCATATTTTTAATACTTTCATCATTACTTTCATTAAAGATTAATTCAAAAAATGTAAAGCTTTGAGATATTCCAAATTGATAAACTGATTCTTTAATTTCTTCACTGGTATATTCATCACCATATTCACGAATTAAAATCCCTGATACCCAAAGGTAACATCCAAATTTAGTGGTTTTGAATCCTTCATGTAAGATCATGGCTATTTCAGGTAATAACTTGTTTAAGTAAGTACTATATGATTGAATACTTGCCTTTAAAAGTTTTAAACATCTTTCACTAACTATGACTGATTTCAATCCATATTTATTTAAAATTTGAGGGACGATAGGCCAAATCTTGGCAATGAATAAGTCACAAACTGGGAAACCTGAACCAGTAAAATCTTTCGTACGTAAGACTTTAATGAATATAGTTAAGATTTCTATTTGATCAGCTAATTGAATATTGAAATCTTCTGATGTGGATTGTCCTGTACTAGTCAATTGTTGGATCTTATTCAAAGTTGGTTCAATGAACATTTCGGTAGTCTTATATAAATTTGCTGGTGGAACTTGTTGAATAACATGAGCTAAACCATCAACTAACTCATAATTGGATTCGATATCCAATTGATCATTAATTTGACCATATAACATGTATAATTGTTCAAGATATTCCACTAATAAACTAGAACAATCCTTACAGAAATACATCAATGCTCTTGAGGCTGATATTATAATATCTTGATTATTTTTAGTATCAGTTGGATTTAATTTAATGATTTCAAAACCTTTGACAATATATGTGATTTGAGGAGCTAAGAATTGAGGATTTTTGGCAGTCCATTCACTATATCTTCCTAATACTAAAGTGGCAGCATATCTGATTTTAGGATGTTCAGGTAATTTAATTAAAAATGACATTATACTAGGTAAGATAGTATTTTCTTTGGTTGATACTACTTTTGCCATAGTTCTCATAGAGAATAATGGAGCTTCTAAATATTGCCAATAGAAAGCATTAGTATCATTTGATGATAAAATTCGTTGAATTTGTTTAAATGGAATATTTAAAGCAGTGGTGGTACCTACTACTGAACAACAATCTTTTAAAACATCACCCATTTCATACCTAAATTCTTTAAATTTATCTTCTTGTTCTTTATCCCCATCGAATAAATCATCATCATTATTACTTTGTTTACTATCTTTTTCAATGGTTGGAGTTGGATAAGTTAAATGTTTTAAAATAATGGAAATTAATTCTTCATAAACACTTGAAAATACTAATCTTGATTCTTCAAATTTTGGTAAAGTAATGATTTGTTTTAATAAATACCAAAAATAAAACGTATACTTTACAATATCCAAATCTTCATCATATTTACAAGCTTCTAATAAGATTTCCACTAAAGGTTTAAAATGTTTTGGATTTTTAGCAATTAATGCATGCCAAGATTCACAAGCTTCGACATAAAGTCTAGTTAATCCACTTACTTTATCTGAATCTTGTAAGAAATCTGGGTTGGAAATGACATAGTTATTCAATTGTAAGATTTGTTGATATAATGCATCAATGATTTCAAAATTATCAAAATCTTTTGTTTCACTAATGATAGTAATAAGACATTCAATCGATTTATCAAACGTTAAATCATCTAATAAACTTTGAAATATTAAATTAGTTAATGAATTGATTTGTAAGATTTTATCAATAGGGAATTCTTTAATCCAACTATTAAGACAATCTAAGATTAATGAATTTAATTTTGAATCTTTATTATTAGTAGATGATGATGAATCAACTAAATCTTTTAAGATCAGTAAGATTTGTTCTACATTATTAGTGATTAAGATTTTTATTCTTGAATCGAATTCTTCATCTGTTAAAGTTGATTTTTTAATATCAGTTAATTCTTCGGGTAAAATTTTTAAAAAGTCTAATAATGATGATAATTGTTGAGGATTTGAAGATAATTGAGAGATTATTTCAGGAATAGGGTTCAACCATGATAAGTATTGTAAACATAATTGAGATAATGCAATGGATAATTGAATTCTAATCAATTTTTGTTGATTTTCAGTGGAATATTTCTTTAATAATTCAATGATTGAATTCTTTAAATTTTCATAGTTTGATTCAGGCAAATGAGATAAATCATAGGTAACTTTTGATCTTAAAGTTTGAGCCGCGAATAGTTTGAATTGAATATCAGTAATAGAATCATCATTCAAGACAGTATGAACTATTTCCCATGCTTCTTGAGATCTTTGGAATGATTCTAGGAAATGAGTTGCTGTCATTTTACTAGTTTGATCAGCATTGGTGTACATGGTATCCAAAGCCAGCTTTAGCTGCTGGATTGCATCTGGATTGGACATGATTAAGGTATCAATAGAATTGTCTATAGGATTGATGTCTATTGTAGTTATGATTATTGATCGTCAGCCTTATGATCCAATTGGTGCTGTAAAATTTATTATTAGCGTTTCGAAAAATTTTTGTTACTAAAATTGACTGCGACATTTAATTCGATTGTGATGCGACATGACGAAGGACTGCGACATGATTCGTTAGAGGCAACGATCTCATGATGTTAAAAGATATTTATAGCTGCAAAAAGAGGTAGGTTATTAGATATCTAGAGTTATATGTGTTATTAATGAGAGAAGTAATTGAACTAAGGGGGTGAGTACCAATCAATGTCATTGTTATGACGCATAGTTGTTTAACCAGTGTACGTGTATAATTCTTTTAGATTAACTTATTCAATTCTTTTCTACTGTTATCAATCAACTTTATACATGCACTATGTACAGATTAACACATTCCTATTACCAAACCACAATAATAATAATAATAATAATAACAATTTCAATCCCAGCTACGAAGAAGCCACTCATCTAAACGTTGTTGTTTCACTTTAAATTGATCTCACAGTTTAAGGAACGCGTAACACAAATTTAAAATTTGAGCCTCACCACACCGAAAAATAAAAATAAAAATAAAAATAAAATTTTTTGTTTGTTGTGTCAACTTCAAAAACGATCTTTAATTTCATAAATTGTTTTACCTCTTCTACTCTTTCTTCTCTTTCTTCCTTTTAGCTTGGCTACGTGTATCCATAGTTCATATTGAATCAAAGTAAAAGTTGTTCATTCATCTTCTCATTCCTATTTCTTTCATCAAATTAGTGTAAAAATTGACGTCTTCAATATTTACCTTTTTTTTAGCATAACACATCATCACTAAACAAGATCACTTCGTTCATCACTCATAGATTCATTCATATCATGTCAAGACCAATTGTTATTTCTGGACCATCAGGTACTGGTAAATCCACCTTATTAAAAAGACTATTTGCTGAATATCCTGATAAATTCGGATTCTCAGTGTCTAATACCACTAGAAAACCAAGAGCTGGTGAAGTCGATGGTAAAGATTATCATTTCTCAACCATTGAAGAATTCAAACAAGCTATTGAAGATAAAAAATTCATCGAATGGGCTCAATTCTCCGGTAATTATTACGGTACCACCATTAAAGCTGTCAAAGATGTCAGTGAACAAGGTAAAGTTTGTCTTTTAGATATTGATATGCAAGGTGTTAAATCTGTTAAAGGTACTGATTTAAATGCTAGATACTTATTCTTAAGTCCTCCATCCATCGAAACCTTAAGACAAAGATTAGAAGGTAGAGGTACTGAAACTCAAGATTCTATTGAAAAGAGAATCTCTGCTGCTTCAGCTGAATTAGATTATGCTAAAACTGGTGCTCATGATAAAATAATTGTTAATGATGATTTAGAAAAAGCTTATGTTGAATTCAAAGATTTCATCTTAAATGAATAATTAATCATACCCATACCCCCTTACTCACAATCTTTCCCTTCTCTTATATAGTTTGTTGTTATAATAATAGACATTTATCAATTTTTATTTATAGTGTCACACACGTGATCATTTTTTCTAAGTCTCAAAAGACAATTAAAAACTCGGAACTTTTCAAATCCCTTAAACCAAAATGATCCTATCATGATATTACTTTAGACATAGATATAATTATAACATATATCTATACCTTTTGATCTTGATTTTTGATATATTTTCATATACCATCATACTACCCATATCATATATCATTTTTAATTACCACAATGGCCACGAAATTACCCTCATCATTCGATCCAAATGACGAGTATGTATAACTGTTACCCCCTTTTTATCATTAAACCTTATTTACTAACAAATCTATTTTAGTCAACTTAATCTTGTCCAAAGGATTCTTGTCAAGTGTAAACAACAACCATTGGTCCCACTTGGTACTTTAGCCACAACTGGTGCCATCATATTAGCAGCAAGATCAATGAGACGAGGTGAAAAAATGAAAACTCAAATATATTTCAGATATAGAATTGGATTTCAGTTATTAACCCTTGTAGCATTGGTTGCAGGTGGATTAATGTTTCAACAAGAATCAGAAGAACAAAAGAAAACCAAAGAAGATTTATTAAGAGAAAAAGCCAAACAAAGAGAAAAATTATGGATTGAAGAATTAGAAAGAAGAGATGCATTAATTCAAATTCGTAAACAACGATTAGAAGAATCAAAAGCTGAATTAAGGAAAATCGCCGAAGAAGGGTTCAATAGAGAATCTTCTGATTCAACTAAAAAAGAATCAAATCAAAAGAAGTAAATTTAAGTTTCATTCCCTCCTTTTATTGTATATAGTCCTATTACTTATTTCTACAGATCTATGCTATCTGATTTATATATGTATATTCATCTGTATGTGTATATAACTTTATCCCCTATTTTTATAACGATAATAAATACCTTATGACTTTTTCAGACACTTGGTAATTGTTCCATCAACTGCTGTAAATCCTCAATTGAAAGTTGATCTTCATTATCTGTGTTATCTTCTTGTTCTTCTTTCTGATGTTTTGAAACAAGTATACTTACCCCATCGATACTGGTGAACATATACTCAACTTCCAATTCTTGAATATCAGTCTCATCTAGGAAATCAATCACATTCAACCATATTTTAGTATCAGGAATACTCTTTGTTATAAAATCAGTTATTTCCACTGCATCCGACCTCGCACTATCTACTATGATTATATCAAAGTTTAACTCATCAGAATCGTCTAAGATGGTCTTGTACTCAGAAACAGGCACAGTCTTGATTATTGTAGGTTTATGAAAGATTTGATTTAATTCATTATGATTATCAACTTGTTCATCATCACCACTAAAATATAGAATTCTGATTTCTTCTATATCTTTATCCAAAATCGATTTTAAACTTTCCCATTTCGACTTCTTATTGATCGCTATTGATGCATGTTCCGCGAGTGAATCTTCTTCTCCATTATCAAGGTTGTATAGTTGTCTAAGTCTGTCTATGCATGAATTATATAGCTCTATCTGTGATTGTGGTTGACTTTCCACTTTATTTTGTTTTATATGCTTCCAATGCTCTATGAAACCACCTGCAAACGAATTGAACTTCTGAATACTATCTTCTCCTCTCACGTCTTCTGACTTATGTATACTATTCCTCACCTTCTCTATTATCCTTAACGTACCGCTCATCTTGGAATGAAACTTACCATCATAAAGTCTTCTTTCATGTCTCAATAACATGGGAAACTCAGGTAATAATTCACTCTCATCTAGTTCTTGAAGATGTGAACTTATCATTAGTAATCTATTTCGAGCATTCATTATACGAATTTGAATATATATGATCTGTGAAAGAAATTAGCAGCCAATTTTTACCGAACTTTCCAACTTAGATTTAGATTCAATGATTTCGTCAATGATAACAACAAAACTTTATATACTTTGATAAATAAGAATTAACAGATCTTAATATGCCAAGGATCAATTATATAACGAGGATTTCGTATTTTCGTAATTATCCCTTAATTCAATTAAGATCAAATCTGTGTATTTTGCTATTTGTGGAACCCCAAAAAAATTTTACCACTGTGCATCATGACACGTGATGTGGGTTGTTAGAATTGAAGTATATTGATTTTAACATCTATAACTTGTATGTTACCATCTTCTGGTATGGACTGGACAAATGAGAGGGATGGACTTAGTAGTTAACTATGGTCCACTTATCCTAATTTTAATTGTTGGGATGTTGTGTGGTGAAGAATGATGGCTATAGGTACTCCGAGATAATGTTGCAAAATGAGAATTTGCAATTCATAATTAAATTGAACATAAATAACTACACTACAATGATTTCAATCTACACTTGAAATATAAGTCACTGTTAATATACAAAAGGCAAATATAATTTATTTAAAAAAAATACAAAGAAATATAACAAGGATAGTGGAAACATATATATTATTATTACTATCTCGTGTGAGTTTTAAGTTTTAGAAACTATTTTTAATGATTCTAATTATCAGTACCATTTATATTATATGCCTTTAAAAATAAATAAAGGTCATCCATCATATCTGTTATACCATGATTGCCTGAAACTTCAGCATTACTAGATGTTGAATTAATATTATTAGAATAAACAGCTTGAACTAAGGATTGAATTTTAATTAATCCTTCTTTAGCCACTAAATCACTTAAAGCATTAATTAATAATGGAGAAAAATCATTATACCATCTATGATTCCATACTAATAATTTAATGACACTTTCCAATATCCTTTCATTCAATTGATTAACAATTTTGATATAATTGTGAGTATATTGTTGACTTGAATTTGATGAAATAGTAGAATTCTTAGCTAAAATTTTAGTTCTTTCTAATTGATAAAATTTTAACATTTCCCTTTGAGATTTAGCAGAAAATCTACCACTTAAAGCATTACCAAATGCAACTGATCCTTCTTTAAAATGATTTAACCTATAAGCAATTGAACCTAAGATTTCCCATTCTAATGTAGTCTTTTTATATTCCATTTGTTGAGCTTGGAAATGAACAGATTCAGCTTGCCACATGGTATATGCTCTTAAATCTTCATATAATAACATGAAAAGGTTATCCAACCATCTTTCACAAAGTCGTTTCTTTTTAAATTCTTCTTCATATGAATCATCTTCTTCAACTTCTGGTTCATCATCCTTTTTGGGAGATTTGATAGCAACGGTCGATGAAGCATCATTTTCACTAATAACAATTGATGTATCTGTATTTAAAGCTGTAGAAGTTACTGGTGTGGTTGATGTGGTAGTGGCAGTAGCAGCTTCACCAGTAACACTGGTGGTGGCATTACCATTTCCATTTCCATTTCCATTATTCAAGGTTGATACTGTTGATGTTTTCCTGGCATGACCATTACTTACAGTACTATTATTTCTATCTTTACGATATTCTTCTTCCATTACGAAAACTTTGGCTCTATATTTTAATAAAGTTTCCCAACCCGTCTTTGCAACAATATCAGTTAATAATTCATAAGCTTTAGCGAATGTAGATTTTAAATTGGCAGCGGGTAAATTTGATAATTGAGGATCTAAACTCTTTTGTTCTTGAGCAACTTCAATACTTTGTAAATTTGAAACTTCATCTAAAGTAACATCAACTGGGAATGGTAAATGTAAATCTTCATTTCCACCTCTTAAATTTACAACTCTTCTTAAAACATATTTTTCTTTATGAGAATTCATTGGACATGAATTTAAAGTTAATAAAGCATTTTCAAAATCTCCGAGTTTAGTATAAACTTTGACTAATATTGACCAAGTTTTAAAATCAGATGGAGATGATTTAACAGCTTGTTTAGCCAATTCCAATGCTAAATCATATCTCTTTTTATTAATACAAAATTGGGTTTGTAAAACTAACAAATCAGCATCTCTTTTGTTTCTAGATACACCTTCATTTATTAATTTAACCGCATCTATTTCTTCATCATTTAATAATAATACTTGAGAAATTAATGATATAACACTTGGTTCATCTTTTTCTAATCTTCTTAAGATTTCTAATGCTTTATCATATGATTGAGTGAATTGAACACATTTAATAAAACCATCTACTAAATAATTATTAATTAAAGTGGGTTGAGGGATTTCAATACCACAACCTAATTTTGGACCTTCATAAAATAATTTTTCAAATCCATCTAAAAATGAATTTAAAATTGATTTTGATGCTTTCCCATTATTAAATGGATTTAATTTACGAACTTCAACCAATCCTCCAACTTTATTAGATTCTTCATCATCAGAGTCAAGTAAACTTCTAATAATTGAACTGACGAATGTTTCTAACCATAATTTATCTAAATCATCATTACTTATTTTATCATGAATGAATTTACCATCACTACTAACAACTGAACTTTCGAATTTTCCCGGAATATGAACTGTTACTCTCATATCAACTTTTGAAAAGGCGTTATAAGTACAATAAGTTAATTCAGGAACTTTCCAATGTTTCTTTTCTCCAAACCAATATTGAGATTTAGATCCCATTAAAGTAGCCAATCCTTGTAATTGAGCAGCGATCGAAGCTGAATTTGAGGTATCAATCCCAGTGAAATATAAGAATGTTCCAACTTCAGTTCCCTTCTTTGAATTGACTGAACTCTTATGGATATTACATAAATCTGCTGGTCCTAAATCAGTAAATGCGTGTATTCTACTGGTTCTTTCAGCGATTGAAGAACCAGGATATTCTTCCCTCACTTCAGGAATTGAAGCCATCGTGGTTTGTATCATCCTTGATTGACTCGTATGGATGGCAACAGATATGATTAAAGCTCGTGAACAACGCTAGATCTATTAATAAACCAAAATGTGATATTATGATTATAACTGTCAATTCTATTTTGTTGTTCTCAAATTGACAACGACAAAAAATTAAACAAGGACTCAAAATTACACAAAACTGATTTTTTTATTGAAGTCCTTCTAATTATAGTGGTTAAAAAGAGTAAGTTAATTACAGTTGATAGTGTTGGCAAGTGTATATAAATATATATTAATACAGTTCTAGTATACATTAGTTTCATAATTGTGTCAATTCATATGAATTGATGGGTTTAGGGGTTGATAATTGATGTGGAATATAACTAAATAAGTCAATCAACGAGGCTTATACTTTGATTTTCAAGTGTTATATGGGACCACTTGAGATATCTTAGTTCTTTGTTTTCTTAGATGAAGGTTCATCTAATTCATCTAATTCATCATCAATATTATCAAAATCTCTGGCTGTAAGACAATACTTTTCAGGGGGTAAGTTTAAACCCCATTTTGGTATAACAGGAGGTAATGATTTTGAATTCCTTTCTTCTGCTAATTCTAACAATAATTCCTTTGGTGGAGTAGGTTTGAATTGGAAATTTGTTCTAGCAGCAATGGCTAATCTTATATCATCAGTATTGATGGTGGTGTTTGTATTTGAATTCAAATTGGTGTTTGAATTTAAAGGTTTTGAATGGTCATTATACACTAATGCATCCTTCAAAACAGATTTAGTATATCCTAAAACACTCCTTGTTAGTATAAACCATTCTTAGTATGTAGACTGTTGATTAAATAAATACTTACTATGAGCAAAATCCATTAATTGTAACGGCACATGATCTTGATAATTTTGAATACCTTGAGTGGCAAATATCAAATGCAATAATCTAACATCTCTAGGTATGACATTAGCTTGTGATTGATTCAGACTGCTGGAATCAGAACCAGAGTTTGCTGTGCTTGGAGCAGAACCATTTTGATTGTTACTGCTCATGATGATGTCTGTTTATTTGTTAATACAACTATTATCAAAGTCGTATGAATTACTCACTTCACCAAGTAAGGTATATCAATAGATAACAATAACAAATACTTGACAATCCTTCTATCTGTCGTTGAACTGTAATGCTATTTACTTCTAATACATAAACTTTTTCAAGTTGGTTTCCAAAAAAATACAACTCAAATATTTGTGCAAGCACACGACCGTGACAAAGCTATCAGTATATCCAATTGATACCATCAACTTATATCACTTCAAAGGATTATTCACTTGAACAAGAGATATATGGAAGATGCTGAAAGCTAGAAAGTTACAGACTGAAGTAGTGGAAAGACCAGATGACTTTACAATCCCAGCACCAAACCCAAATGAAATACTGACCATTATCCAACCTTTTGAGTATTGGAATGAAGCAAGCAACAATGAAAGAAATGTATTAGTTCTATTAAATCAATCAATTGAGGGAATTAATTTACAGAGGTTATGGGATAACACTGAATTACACATCTGTGCTGATGGTGGAGCCAATCGATTATATGATTATTTCGCAAATGAATACACTAGAGAAGATTATATACCTCAATTTATTGTAGGTGATTTTGATTCAATTCGTAAGGAAGTTAGATTATACTATGCAAAAAGAGGAGCTAAAGTAATTCCTCAATTAACTCAATATTCAACTGACTTCACTAAAGCTATGAACACTATACAAGCGTACTATTTTTCACCTCAACTGAGACAAGATTTACAAGTGATAGAAGATACCAATAATGGAATTGCTGAATTATTAGAATCACATAATGTTTCTAATCAAATCAATCATAGAAATATAAGAGTATATATTCTTAGTGGGATTGGAGGTAGATTTGACCAAACCATTCATTCAATAAGTCAATTATATATCTTAAATCAATCAGTACCCTATTTGCAACTATTTTTCATAACTACATCTGATATAATTTTCTTAATTCAGAAGGGTAAAAGTCTTATTAAATATCCTTCCAAAGAAATCATTCACATTAATACCAATGTTCCATCATGTGGATTATTACCATTAGGTAATACAGAAGTTATTATCAGTAGTCTTGGATTGAAGTATGATGTTACAGATTGGCCTAGTTCAATGTTAGGAAATGTTAGCTCAAGTAATGGAATCTCTGGGACTGATGGAGTGATATTAGATGTTTCTGACGCCATAGTGATGAATATAGAGACGTGTCATAGTTCATAGATACCGCCGTATAAAGATAGATACAAGTTAGTTAGTTAGTAATAATAGATATTTCCTGCATATACCTATACCTGCACATAGTTTATTTTGGTTAAACCAAACCAGTGAAAAAAAAATCGACAAAATTTTTAGCTAACGATAGTGTTATATAGATATCTTCAATCAAGATCTGATATCGATCATATATATAATAAAGCTAAGTCATAATATGCTTAGGACATCCATAACAAGAGGAATTAATTTTCTCGCGGCCTCTAGATCAAGTATATTGTCAAACCAATGTGCTGTAAGATCCATGTCTATCATTTCCAGACCATCTAATATCAATCAATTATCATATAATACCGGTTTAAACTCGAGTATATTCAATCAAATGTCAATCAATAGTAATAATAGTAAGAGTGATATACTTTCACAAGTGATGAATTCCGATAAAACCATAAATAATAATGTCAAATATGAAATTACAGATTTTAATCAACAAGGTCAACTTGAAGTTGATTCCGAGGATAAAACAATGTATATGGATTCAGTATTAAGAAAGAGAAGATTAAAAATGAAAAAGCATAAGTTAAGAAAAAGAAGAAGAGAACAAAGATCATTGAAGAAGAGATTAGGTAAATTATGATTGAACGTATCAACCAGTTTCATATTTCCGTTATAGTCATTCATATTCGTTCATTACAATGGTACTGTTAAAGTATAGTTTAGTCTTGTTTAAAGTGTTTGAATGTTTCTCAATTAATCCTTAGGGTTTAGTTATCCCAATCTGTATATATATGTCATTGAATCATTCTTAAACCTAGCAAGACAATTAATATTATCATAGTTTTCGCATTACATCTTATATATTTAATAAACAATAGAATATATACTTTCTAAAACATTGTAACTTTTAAACTGTACCATTAGTAATACTGAATAATTGAATCATTGGTCATATTCTGACTCAGAGTTAACAATTGACTACATATTTTTTTCACTGCGAGAAATTATCTACAAAGTTGATGTAAGATCTCTTTATATACTTAAAAGAACAATTAGACCAAACATGAGTGAAATAACATTTGTAACAGGGAATGCCAACAAGTTAAAGGAGGTAATTGCCATCCTTGCTAGTGAAAATGGTAAGGTTGGAAAATATACCATCACTAATAAATCATTAGATTTAGATGAAGTTCAAGGATCCATTGAAGAAATTTCGATTCATAAAGCTAAAGAAGCTGCCAAAATTATTGGTGGACCCGTATTAGTGGAAGATACTTGTTTAGGATATGATGCATTTAATAATTTACCAGGTCCATATATTAAATGGTTTGTTAAAGCAGTGGGATTAACTGGATTGGTTGATATGTTATATAAATTTGAAGATAAAGGTGCAAAGGCCATCTGTACTTTTGGATATTGTGAAGGTCCAGGTCATGAAGTTAAATTATTCCAAGGTATAACTCAAGGAAATATTGTTGATAGTCGTGGACCAACCCACTTTGGATGGGATTCAATCTTTGAACCAGTTGGATTTAACCAAACTTATGCTGAATTAGATAAAGATATTAAGAATACTATATCTCATCGATTCAAAGCTTTAGATAAAGTTAGAGATTATTTATTAAACAATTAGATAAACAAAAAGGGAACAATAATTTTTGATTGATGCATAATATAATAAATAAAGAGAAGTAAAAAATACTATATATATAGAAAAGTAACATAGAATATATGTATCTAATTAATGTATATAAAATGAAGAAAAGTAGTCGTAAACATTAAACAAGTAAAATCAAAATGCAATGTGAAGTAATAAACAATTAGTATATGAAAGTGTAATAGAAAGTCTAAGATTCAAAGAATTCTTTGATTTTACCTAAGAATCCCTTTTTATCTTTGATAGCAACATTTTTCTTGTCACCATATGAAGTAACAGCATATAAATTTGGTTGTTCACTCAGATTTTGACTACTTCTTGACTTTGTGGAAACAACATTACCGAAACCACCTCTACCAACAGAGAATGATTTATTGGAAGCAATAGCATATAAATCAGTTTCTGTAGAGGTCTTTGGTGATCTCTTTGCCGAGGGGGGGTCAACATCTTGTAATTTACGAGTTAATTCTGGATCATCATTATTGATCATATTACCATAACCACCTCTACCAGTAGAAACCTTTGAAGTTTGCAATGCTGGAGTGCTAGAACCTTGTGGTATTAACTTCGGAGATGGAATGGTATCGGATAATTTGATATTACCGGCACCACCTCTACCAGTGGAATAATATACTTTTTTATTTGATGTTGTAGGAGATAATTCTTTAGGTGGTGAATTTGATTTAGTTGACGTAAGTGGTGGAGATGAAGTTGAAGTTGAAGCATCCACTGCTTCGGCGGCTTGTATATTTCCAAGACCACCTCTACCTGACATAGTGAATATTGGGGTCTATTAGTATAATAAGGTTGATTAGATAAAGAAAGAACTAGAGTCTTGCTATTGTTATTGAATAATTTGGAAATTTAGTTTCGATGCTTTCTGGATTGGGTTGCAGAATGCTACAACAAATCAAAATGGGCTGAAGCAAAAAAAAAGAAATGTGGAGTGGGTGGTGGTGAAAAAAGCTGATGCACACTAAATAAACTGTTGGTAGTGGAAGGAAGAAGCGCAAATTAAAAATCTTCAGGGGAACCACTTAATAATGATTAACACTAGACTATACTATACAAAAAAGAAGAATAATAGATACAATAAAATATAAGTAGATATACACACATATATATATATAAATTGGACAGATACAGACTATTTTGCCCAGACTCAATCCATTCAACGTAAACAAATTTATAATAATAATAATATAATATAATATAAAAAGACCTCAGTAAAACTGTGATGGATGAATGATAGTTTAAGAAAAATTCACGGCAAAACTTCAAAATTAGCGTCTCCAATTCTTCTTAGTCACAGTTATTTTAGTGAGAAAATTCCTCCCCTCCTCCTCCTTACGTCCCAGAAAATGAATAATAATTTCTTTTTTCTTATAAGGCAATTTATTCAGTTTTTTCTTGGGGAAATTTATGACGACGAGTCACGTTCTAGAAATCACATGATTGGATTTTTTTTGATTGACAAAACCAAAAGCCTATTTATTGAAACAGCTTACCATCATCATGATGCAATTGAACTTCAACTCTAACATCTGATTCATTGTCATCATCTTCGTCTTCTTCATAGATGGTATTGACATCAACAAACATATCGTGTTGATGATTTGAACTAGGACTTATACTCATGACTTCTATCTTATTGGCTTCGGCAACTATCACTTCTTCATCAATATAACTAGCCAAATCTGAATCATTATCCTTTTCATCATCATCACCACCATCATCATCAACAACAGCATCATCTTTAATTCTAACAAATGGACTTCTTAATACTTTTTCAGTACTACTAGTTGGACTCAAACGTGATGATTTATCCTTTAATTCAGTATGTAAGAAATATAATAATGCCCCAGTAAGATTATCATTACTATGATCCATATAATCAACTGTAACATCAAATTGTCCATTATTATTATTGTTATTATTAAGGGATGGACTATTCAAAAAATGATCTTCAGGGTATAACTGTTTATCTAATTGAAGTAATAATAGTTCATTGGAAGTCATTACCACCAAATTATTATCTTGATCTTCATCAGTAATGACATTATCATTGTTTAATATGGTTTCATTAGAATCAATACTAACAAGTTCACCATTGTCATACGAGTTTTGTAAATCAATTTTCCGTTTCCAAAATTGAAGTTTGGCTAATCCATTAGTTAATCTTCTCTTTAATTTGGATGGATTTCTAGTGATAGGTAATGAAGATGTAGAAGGATAGTTTATTGGTTGATCAGGAGTTTGAAAAGAAGGATGCTTGACGAATGTAGGAGTTGAAGGACTCTTTGGAACTTCAAGTTTCATTAGTTGATCTAAGACTGGAGATCTTTCATTAGGTGGTAAAGGAGGTTTTTGAACTGGTATGAAGCTTGATCTATTATTGGAAAAATTTGATCTCGAAGAAATTTGAATTGGATTTGAATTGATTTTAATACTACCGCCTGATCTGGTAAACATGAAAACTTCCTCTTCCTCTACTTCTTCATCTTCATCATGTTCTCCTTCTAATTGAACTGTTCTTGAAAATATTGATTCCACACTTTCTTCATGATCTGCTTGATTTCTTACATCCATACTTGTTAAAAAGTAGTTTTGTCTATCATCATAATGAAAATGGGATGAATTATTATCTTCATCAGATTCACGATATCCATGACTTTCAACAAAACTTCTATTTCTTTTCATAGTAAAATTTGGAGGTAAACTTCTTGGAATACTACTAAACCCTGAATAAGTAGAAGTGGGTGTAGTATTGGCAGAAGCCTTCTCTCCCAATGAGAGATTTGAAGTACTATATAAAGCAGGGATTGAGTACATCATGTTTCGAATATCAACCAAAGTGATACAGATATTAACTTCAAAATATCAAAATTTTAGGTTTGTTTCATAGTAGTTATATATCAGTATCAAACAAAGTTTTTACTTTTTTTGTAAACGTATCATGAATTACTCCTCAAATCAATCAATTAACTTTTCATAATTAGATACGTATCATATTAATAAATTTTATTTAGTTAAATAATTCGTATCTTATATGTATGATTTGTTTGAAATGTGTAAGAAAGTTATTTATTTTTTTAACACATTCGTGCATGTAATTTACGAATAAAAAAAGATCAGTTTGCAACAAACAGCATTCTTTTTTTTTGGTTTGTGTGTCTTCCTCTCTACAACCCCCCAAACATTTAGACGATAAAAATAATAACGATAATTATTTGGATTAATAGAATATTTATAAAACAATGATTAAAGTTTAATTGTATATTATGTTGCCACCATGCACACATTTATAGATTAGGAAAGAAAACATATCATTTAGGGTGAAAAGGGGGTGAATTAGAACATTTCATATATAGCATAAAAAGTTACATTTAGGGAAGGGATTCAAGTTGAGTCTTTAACGCCTCGTTTAAAGTTTCAAATCCAATTTTGGTACTTTCAACAAGAAAACACACAAATGGGAACGCAAAGTCCTTCAAAATCTTCTCCATGGTACAAAGTGGTGTTATCCTTGTCAATTGATTTAAATTCAAAGTAATGACTGGTAGCAAAATTGGATTCTGAAAAGAGATAAGCTTTCCTCTCTAATTCTTTATCTGAAGCTTCAACCACAAAAGGAGTAAAATAAAATTTAATAGCTTGATTAGGAACCAAAGTTACGTATAATTCATCATTAACTTCTTTAGTAGTTCTTGAATCTTTTTCAGCACACAAATTTTTAAGCTTTTGAACAAATGGATCCCAATTCTCAAGATTAGCAAAATCAGAGTAAAAAGATCAGTAACTTGATTAATAGGTTTATTGATTTCAATTGATGTTTTATAGTTTGTGATAATTATAAGGTGTTCCTTTATATAAAATTTTATTATTTTACCACTCTAAAAAATATCCCAGTAGATAATAATATTGAAATCTTTATAATTTGCCAATTGTCATTATTTGTAGACTTTTATATACAATATAAAGTGACAAAACAAACATTAACTACAACCATTACATTAAAGATTATCATTAAATAACTTACATGAATCTGAGATAGAGCCGTGTATTCACTGTTGTTCTTTATGAACTGCCATAGCGGCATGGAAGTTTCTAATTAATCAGTCGTGTCTGGATACAAAAAAAAGGTCTAAGGGGGCGTGTGGGAACAAGAAAAATTTCGCCTTCACACATTTTTTATCACATGGTAGACCTGCATACACCATATGATTCTGATTTTAACTCTTCTTGGTCAAAATAAACTTCTACGATAACAATATATTTAATTAATTACACTTTTTACAATCCAGTAGGAATCTGACGGCTTATGTAAGTAGAATTACATTGAGGCAAACTTGTGTTTATCAGCCACCATTGTGAACGAGCAAAGGCAATTTCTGATTAAGGCTCACGAACAAAGGCATCATAACCATGATGAACTGGAATGGGTTAAAGAATGGAAGAAAGGGGAAAAGGAGAAACAATCAGTAACAGAGATGAAATATTTTAAGCTTTTGGTAATAAAAGAAAAGTAAACTCATATATTTGTTGTTGTTGGGAATAAGTACTAATTTGAGTTATTATTTATATTTTTTATAAGAATTTCAAACTTAATTTGCATTGCCTTGAAAAATTTTGCTGTAAATAGAATGCCTTATAATTCCAATTTGCTATCTACCAAATACAAAAGTCGAAATCATCAATGCATGAACAATTCAAATTGATCTATTGTATGAAATTCTACCGAGTCAGTCGGTCATTTTATTTTAATGTGAGAGACGTTTTGGTTGCTGCAACTTTTACAGGGGGTCTAAAAAAAGAATATGCCACAAAATTGAAACGCCAGATAGAATAGCAAAATTAATCTTAAAGTTGCTAAATATAAATTAAACTATTGGAAATGATAGCCCTCAAGCAATCTATTATGATTCCAATTGTTATTAGATTGTCTATATATATATATATTGATTGTTCTGCGGTGTTTTTTTTTCTTCTTCACTGATGTTGTGTAATCTTTTTCATTCGATCTATTCAACAACCCTTAGTTTGTGAGATATTACTAGCCTCAAATTTGAAACATCATTAATCATTTCAGTCATCAGCGCTCCCATTTGAATCATAAAAGTTCATAACTGTAACAATACTTCTAATCCAATCGTAAAAAGAAAAAGAAACGAACCAATCAAATTCAAAATGCAATTTTCAAAATTAATTACTGCTGCTATTTTAGCTTTATCAGTTCAAGCTGCCAATAATTCAAGTTCCACTTCAGAAGCTAATGCCCAAGTTGGTAGAACTGTTTCTGGTGCTGTTGTTGGTGGTATTGTAGCTGGTGCTGTTGCTTTATTTATCTAAACTGAAAGTCAGCTTAAAAATGTCCTACCTATTATTACTTTCGTTTGCTTACAAAAATAAAATTAATTTTGTTCCTTAATAATGTTTTTTAAAATACAAGTTTAGTGTCATTTATTTATTTATTTATATATTATTATTTTTATCTATATATATATATGTATAGCCTTATTTGAAAATTATATATTTTTTAATTGCTGTTTAACTTTCATTCATTTTAATTAATTCAAAAATTAAAATCAAACTTTCAAACTTTTTCTGTTTCCTCTAATTCAATATCTTCGAATAAATCACCAAATACAAGTTGTTCAAATAAATTAATTTTAGTGTTTGGAACTATGGTCTCGTCAGTCTTGGAAGGTGGAGAGAATACAAAATGCTTAATATGGTAAATCATAGAGAGATGGGTTTCTTTGAACTTCAGAACAGTATCTTGAGCATGAACTATTTGATCCTTTAAATCTTCATATTTAGCAAGTAACTGAAAGTATTTTTCTTCAATATTACTTTCATCATAACTAGTATCAATTGGTTTAATTTGAAGTTCAGATAAATTTAAATCATCAGTCAATGAAATTAACTCAGTTAACTTCTTATCAATTTTAACTTTATGATTCAATTCAGTATATTTCAATAATGCCTTTTGAAAATCTGCTTTACCTGCATTTCTATCACTAATTGCTTGAAAGATATTATCAACAAATGATTCGCCATCATCTTCATCAAAAATGGTATCTCTATTAATAGTTGAATGAGGTGGATCAATATCTTCAAATATTCTTCCTAATTTGTTATTGATTGATTCACCTTTGATTATTGTTGGTTGAGAGATATCATCTTGTTCAGCATCAAACTCATCATCTTCTAATTCATCTAAATTCTTGTCAACCTTATCTTGAACACTTGATTTTGAAATAAATTCATCGCCAGTCTTAAATCTTTCAATTAATGGTTTTCTCTTGATAGGAGATTCACAATTATTAACATTCTCTTTATTACCACTAGGTGGACTATTGATTGTAAATGCACTCAGTTCAGGAATTTTAAAATTCATAACCAGCGGGTATTTCTTAGGGGATAAAGATTGGAATTTAACTGGTGATTTTGCATTTCTAATTGGTCTCATTGTACGAGGACTCATCTTAATATGATATAAACGAAGTCGTTTTAGATATATTAGAAGAATACTATGATGTATTGATAAGATTTGTAACCGGTGTTGTCAAATACTAATGTGTAAGAGAGAAAAACAAAATTGGCTGCAAGGGTTCTCGTTATAAAGGGCTGGACCAAAAAAAGATACCATAATAATTGAAATAACTTATTCGATAAAAGCCTACTTTGTTGAGAGCACAGATCTGATCTGATCATATCAATTTGAATATTTTACACATGTTTTTATTACAATCTTCTATATTTGCCAACTGTGTATCTGCGTACAATCGTAGACAAGTATATAAATATGACCTATGTAAAAGTAAATGAAAAGTTAATATGCAGAAGATAATGGTGGGTATGATATATACAACATATTTGTAGTAAATATATATCTCTAATATACAAACACGTAATATGAGTGGAACCTGTAAGGTTAGAATACATCTGGTAATCTTTCAATGACATATGCATGACCACCTACACTAATCAAAGGAACACCAGGTACTTTTCTAATTCTTCTTTTCAAATCAGCATCATTGGTTGCCACAATATAACATTTATGTTGAATAACTCTGTTAACCAAACAATCATCAGCATATATCCCTTGATGACTACACTTTAATCTTTGGATTCTATGATCTTTAGCTAACTTCAATGCAATACGATATTTTGGACCTAATTTTTCTAATTCTGCCATTACGCAATCAGTTATAATGGGTATAGCTTTTGCCATTAAACAATCCATTAAACCTTTCACTATATCCACTTTTTTCTGAATAGAAAAGTTAATGAAATTTGTATCGATAAGAACTTGATATGGTGGTTTAATAGCTTGATTGAATTTGAAGAATAAAGCCGATGATACTTGTGGGATGGATTTGGTTAATTCAGGATCATCTTTGGAATTATTATTGTTATTATTATTATTGTTATTCTTGTTTTTTGTTATACGTGGATCCTTAGCACTTAAGGTACGTTTCACCAAGGCGAACTTTCTAGTCTTCTTAGCCTTACCCATTGTTTAAGTCGGTTTTGTTATAGATATGTCTGTTACAAATACACCTTCTCAGATATTGAGAGATGAGACCAAAATAATTTTTTTTAGCATTTTATTTTTTTAATGTTTTTTTTGGGATTAGTACACGCATATTTTCTCATGCCCTGCATATAACCGACTGATTGATAACAAAAATATCTATTGTAGTGGAGAGAGGATAATAAACTGACACATTTAAAGAAAACAACAGATGCAAATAATAGCCAAATAAGTTGCAGTAATAATATGATATACAGTTAAAAATATTCTTAATTTAGAGCCCTAAATGTGATCATTATCGTGGATGAAACGGATTTTTTAGCCCACACATTGAAGTAGACAATAAAGATTGGCAGAAATCCCCTACCACATCTATTTAAATATTATATAGTATAATTCATGCAACTGTAGATCCAATTTTCTCAATTGAACAATGAGTTGAAAATACGATTAACGGTATATGGTATATATTTATACAATGATTTATAATTTAATAAAAGCAGTATAGGTAAAAACTACCTTGAAAGGCATTTCATTTTATCAGGAACAAGGGGGTAACACATCTTATATTTACAAGCCTTGGAACTTTTTTGGCTTACAAAATTTGTTGAATGCTTTCACATTTTATTGACTTTATGAGGGGATCAATTACTAATGCTATTAAATATTATTGCAATAATATAGGTAGGAATTAAGAAAGGGAGAAACTATTAGCTCACTTTTACTGTAAATATTATTGAACAAATTTTGAAAATAAGTATCAAGGACTTGTTAAATAACAATGAAGAGAAAATAATTCATTCGATATTATTTATTATTATTAATAAATCTTACCATTAATAACTTATTTTATTATTGTTATCCTTTTATTATTATATTTTATACTAGTTTTATTATTGGACTTAACATTAACATTTTGTTGTTGCTTATTATATGGCATTCTTAAAATTTAGGTAACACACAATCGTAATAAGAACCCCACAACAAATCTCTCTATAATTTAAAATAGTGAAGTCTTTTCCGCGCAATTGTATTTACGAGCACTGTTCTGGTTCTGGACCGCCTTGACACACTGCGAATTCAAACAACATGCCAAATAAATCTAGATACGCTATACGGAGGAATAGGAGTCCATTTATTCATATCTTATATCAAAAGGGTATGTATTAATTAGGTAATATACTATTTTTAATTCTCACAAAATGGTAACATTTAACAAAAAATAAAATAAACACTGTTCAGATTAAAAAAGGATCGTCTCCTGTGTCCTAATTGGGAAGAGAAATATGGTTATCCCCCAATAAGTTCTTTATTCTAGTAATAATTATTACCCTTTATGGCTGCTCTATCTAGAATATGTAAATATATATTCACTGCTATGTATGTTCATGTATTACGCTGAAGGGGGCTGTCCTTTGTTAAAAGATAAAATATAAGCAATATTTGTCGATTTCTCCCTGATAATAAATAGATTGTTTTATTACAAATTTGAAAGACTCTAACATAGTATGTGTGTAAATACGATTTAGGTTTAGATGTTACATTCAATATCTTGTTAGGCTAGAGATCGTCGACGTTTGACCATCGAGTTATCTCCATTTTAAGCATCTCAGACTATTATTTTTTTGTTTCTCTCCCCGTTGGATTAGACACCCGTGCTCCACACCACAGATTGAAAATCTGAATGTCGATATTATATTGGTTTAAAAGTATATGATATTAGTGATGTCTTTTTGCATTTATCCACTCTCCTTAAATATACTTGTTTTACATTGTAATCATCCTCGTTCCTTGAAGAGAAGAGCTCTGTCATTGTTCAATCAATTTGTTGAGGAGTTAAGCCCATTATTGTGGCCCCAAGTGATAAAATAAAAAGGAGACAAAAAAAAAAGGAAAGAAAGAAAAAACAGATAGGCATAATTAGTAAAAGTCAACTTTAGGCTAAATTGTTAACTAAATAATAACTTCGAAATTTATTTTATGAAGAGATGTATCTTTATTGTCTTTTGTTAAAAATATTGGTTTTACTAAAAATAAATTGGTTATAAAAATAAATTTCCTGGCCTATAAAAAATAAAATATTTCAATGTCTTTTTAAGCTCTATCTATACCATGATTAGTATATCTAGATATAGTTGGATTACGGCAAAAAAGAAGAAAGAAACAACGAAACTGGATGGATAGGTTTATAGATAGATTTCCCTAATTAAAATTCACATGCTGCAGGATATATGCCAAACTTTAGAGGACTAGCTTTTGATGAATTTGTTTAGTGTTTTAACCTATTCTCTCTATATTTTGATTTGGTTCCTTCGTCGTGTCGACAATATTAGCTTAATTCATCTCCTTATGACCAACGAAAATCATAAGGATTGTAAAGCCTTTCTTGATAAATAATATGGATATTATTATATATCATTAGAAAAAAAAAGAAGTTAAAGAACCCTATTAGATAGGGATATTATTATCTACTTTGAATATGTCTAGACTGCACTACCGAAATAGGTAAATTAGACTATGTTGGATTATTTTTATTTTTACTTCGGTATTGCAGAATTCACAGTCCCCGTTTATGAGCAAATAAAATTTAATGTGCAACCAACTTATTATTCAACAAACCATTATAGATATTTGAACGGAATTAGTATTAAAAATAGCTGTAGTTAAAAATATTAAATTTATGATACACCAGCTGTAATTTGTATGCTAAGAAAATTAATTTTATATTTACGAACTATCGAAATCTAAATTACGATACAAATTATGCTAGTTGAAATAAATTCTATTATTGAAATTAGAAAACTCATTTATTGCTGCAATAGGGGTTAGAAATTTGGTTGGAAATGAATGATATATCTCGTACTTGTTAGAAATGTACCACGTCAGACTCACAGTTTGTTGCATTTTATCACAGGATTTCGTCGTGGCCACTGGTTGTACCCCTCTGTTAGCTGCGACTCAAAAAAAAAATGTAATATTGAGATAAAGTTATTTTAGCATAACTCTAATATTGGTTAAGCTCAATTAAACGTGCTGATACGAAATTGTTTATTTCGAGAATTGAGGCAGCGAGTTGAATAAGATTGGATTATAATCTTACATTTTGATCTTTCGAGTTTTTACATGGCAATTTCCTCCATAGTTACCGAATAGATGGTTTGCAAAAAGTCAGCGGCTTTTGTTACATCGAATTACACAAAATTTAAATAAAACATATGCTTTCATTTATGGACTAACTGGTTACTGTCAATCTGTAGGGTTAAATTAATAACATATTTTGAAGAAAAAAAAAAGAGAACTAAAGACCCCACTTTAACTGCAGAAATTGAAAATCATTCACTAAACAATTTATTTTTTAGTGGATCTTAAAGAATAAAAATAAACTTTTGTATTTTTTACAGCATCTTGAAATAAGTTAAAAATAATTTATTTTTTAGATTGACTTCCATTTTAAGAATATGCGTCTTAAACCCAAAAAATAATGGGTTTTAACCTCCTGTAGAGCTAGGGCAATCCAAAGAAAGCGCGTTAATATTTCCTAAATAGGTTATTATGCATCAGCATTATTCGGATCTAAGTCCTCGAGAACAATTTGATCTTCATCGAAGCTTAAAAGTTGTTCTTATTCTATTGCCCTCTTCTTTACATTAAACAAAACTATAATCATAGATTGCGTAAACGCAGAAGACAATCTGAAGAATTAGGCAATCAAATTGGTCTTTGAGATATAACTTTTCAAAAAAGATTTTTTTTTCAGAAGCCAACGTAGAAATAAGTGATTAACAGAAGGGGAAAAATAGATCGATATACGGAAAAATCTAGATTGAAAAACTTTTCAAGGTTATGATACTAAACCACATACATAGTATTACACGGTTAGGTTAGGTTAGTTCTAGGTATTAATATGTTAGCATGCTTTAGATGAGCTAAGATTTCATAAGCAAGACTAAAACTGACAGACACTAAATCTTTATGTATTAAAAGCCAAAGATCTCTTTGCATTAGAGTTCGGTCTACATGGTTAAACCTTATTCAATTTAAGCTTTTCGTATCGCTTGCTAAATCTAGATGAAACATTATTTAATGCTTTGATGTCGTCATCATTCATAAGCAGGAAAAGTTATTGAATATTAAAACACTCTAGGCCCATAAGAAAGACCAAAGACCATGATACGATTTTTTTTTTCAATATAAAGAAAAATAACATTACGTAACAGTGAATGGCACCAATTTAAACTGGAATGTTTATAGATAAAGTAATAAGCAATGCGTTTGAGAATTATCACAGAGTAACAATTGGTTCTAATCGCCAGAGTGAACGTGAAGTTTATTGTATTAGGCTTTTTTGTTGAATATTTTGTTGAAGGAAACTTGCATACATAAGAATGATCATAATATGTTCGATATACATATGAAGGAAATGTGCATACAAAATAACTTACAGCATGCCCGGAAACAATACATAAATTTATTCTTGCTTTATGGTGATCAAGTAGCATATATTATTTTTAGCTCATCGACGTACATAGTTATTTTTTTTTTTTCCTTTTGGAAATGTGACCAGCGTCTTTTTTTAGGCTCTTTTTATGGCGTTCAGCATTATGACGATAACAGTTATTTTTTGGCGTAATGGATATCTCGAGCCTTCGATGATTTGCCATTTTAGTTCATATCTATTGAAAAATTAATCTTCTGCATAGAATATTACTTTGATTAGAAAAATGACGATTAATATCCACGGCATTTTTTTTTCAACCCTTCAATATAGCTTAACAACTAATAGATATTTTTTAGTTAAGTTATTAAATTAAGATATGGAAACTTTGAATCAAAAGTAGAGAAGAGTATTACTATGATATTACACAAAGTAGTCCAGACAAATTTTTGAAATAAAAATTTGATTGATGCAGAAGATCGGGTCACACCACCATTTTAGCTAACGCTAAAGGGACAAATACTTGAGCTTTTAATAAGACTAACCTCAGATTGTTTGAGAGATGCAAGTACTAACATACCAATACTAAAAATCTAATAGTTTAAATCGGCATGTATAGTTTAGATGTTTCATATTTACAGTTTATTCGGGTTTATTCTATTATCGTTAGATTCTAATGGTTGTTGGAATAAACAACATATACCACAAGCAAAATCTAAACCAAAAATACTTTTAAATTAACTTATGACATCAAATAGGAGATGTCTCAAAAGTGATGCAAAAGGGTGAGTTCCATAGATCGGAAATGCTTTTCCTCACTGTTTAAAAAAGAAATTAAAAGCTCGATTTTGACTTTTTTATTATACAAGTAATATATATGTAAGACACGAGGTGGTTCGAACTAATCATAGATGAATACATAAATTATTTATATTAATGCATTCAATGGTCCAACTTCAATGTATGATGTGCATGGTATATAATGAAGATTATGAAAAGCTTAACATAATACACAAACAAGGTACTCCGTCGATACAAAATCAAACAACGAAATAAAAAAGAAAGAAAGAAAGAGGGGCATAAATGAGGGGGAATTTTGATTCCTGCACACAATCCCAAATCAAAACAAAAAGAAAAAAAATAGAAAGAAAAAAAAAAGTAAAAAAGAAATAAATAAAAGTTTGTTCTATAAAGAAGGAAAAAAACTGGTCTTTAAATTTTCAATTAGGGGGAGAAAACATAAGGATAAATTGGAGCCGTACCATCAAACTGCATAAAAGACAGTGTCTAGAATTTGTTATGTATTATTTACAAGGTCCACGAGAAGTGATGTCAAATTTGAATTTAATTGTGAAAAATCTTTTTCAATTGAAATTTTGAATTGATGTGATTTTGAAGCTTACAATTATTTCGTTAATAGACCCTAGCGAATGTTTCTGTAATGAAGAATATCGAGACAAAGAGAGTTTAACTTCATTGTATTCATTTCTTAAGTTTTGAAATCATATTTGTTTTAATCCATTGTCTCACTCATCCAACTAAGTTTTTTAATGTTGTTATTATGGTAGAGATATGACTTAAATTAGGTTATTATATTCTAAATTATGTTAAAGTTGCTATGAGAATTGGAATTATAATTACACTGAAAATGAGGGCTATTTCAGAGTCTAAAAAAATATTATTTTTTTAAGGTTAAGGACCACTAACCCTTATTTTTTTTGCACCAGTAAGGATGAAACCAGAGATTAAAACCGTGAACGATCTGTGATATTATTGTTGTGGCATTGTTGTGGTAAAGATACTCTTTTTGGTTCCTACTTTTCTACCACTTTCAATTTGATGGAATAGAAAATCACATAATATGGTTAGAATCTCTCTTCTTTGTAATAATATGACATTGGGGTAGTATTATTATTGCTTTAACTTTATTTTGTACATTTCTCGTTACAATTCCGAATCAATTCAACAAATTAAGGAAAATTATTCAAAGTTATATTTATGATAAATCACTATATGCACCAGTGATGTATTGATTCAATCATTACTTTATCCAAAAGGAAAAATTCTAATATTGTATATCCTCGATTTAACCTTTTTCCATTTAAAAACCTAATATTTTAATTCAGATTCCAAAGCTTTTTAGTTTAATGCAACGTGGAAATAGTTCAATTAGACAGTGAATAAAAGGGGTTTAGTAACAATTACTGGGAAAGTTCAGCAGCACATCTTGGAAGCAAGATATACAATAAACTAAAAATGAGTAGATGTGACTTTTCTTCCTAACCCTTGCTGTTTAAAAATATCTAATATTCCGCAATGTATATAAACTCAAACCTATTATCTCCAATTGTATAGTATGATTGGAGATCCTTTTTAATATGACGTTGACTGATCAACAATAGAAGGCTGAACCTTTTAGTTAATCGTTTGTAACATATTCTCTGAAGCACAGTCTATTTGCATAATGGAACTAAAAATCTCTAAGAAGTATCAATTAACGATAGTTTAAAAATATTTTTCTATAGTTTAAATTATTTTGAACTCTAAATTATATTCTTTAACCCCCAACAATAAAGGTTATTCAGGTATAATTACGGTTTAAAAATACGACTGTAACAACAAATTCTAGTTAGTTTGTTCTGTGATTTTTATAAACCTTTTTAAAATATTTTTTAAGAATCCCAGTATTATTTCTTAGTTAGTTAGTTAGCTAAACACAAATTCTCAATTGGTAACAGAGAATAGTCTCGGGGAATAAGGTTAATGAATTGAAATCGGAAATAGCATGTGGATGTGTTAATTTTATGTAATAACTTACTTTTTGTTGATCAATACTGCAATGCATGCTTTCAAGTTATTACCAAATTAAAATAATCTTCATTGACGATTGAATATTGCAAATAGAGATTAATAATATGTAATAGCTCCTTCCTATACAAGCACATAATAATATTTAATCATATTAATAAAGAAGATCGGCAAAATAATTCAATCCCGTTAAACCTTACTTGAGTAATAATGTGTGAAATTTCTAAGTGGTATCAAAAAAATTTTGTGGTAAAAAGGTACTCGAACCCTTCAATAGAAAAAATGCTACATGCGGGGCAATTCTTTTTTTTTGTTGCTGTCGTTATATGTGTCGATCGTTAATTAATAACCATTAATGATCTTCAAGACATCTCAGCCATCATTGTAGTAGATTACAAGTGATCTAGAAATGACGATTTGCAACTAATTTAATCCATAGTGCGAATACATTGAATAAAAAGAAACCAAATTAAGTAATTAATTGTAATAATATATTAAGTATATACCCAAAAATGAGGTGTTAATTATAACCAGTATGCAAAGGAATGGAAGTAAGTAAATAAGTAATAAAAACTAATAGAAAATAATAAATAATGATTGATAATAAATAACAAGTAAACGAAATGTAAAATGGTTAACTTTCAAGAACTAAAAATAAAATAGAAAAATAATGCTATGTATAAGGAGTAAAATTAATGATCAACGGATTGAATGAATGAATGAATGAATGCTAAATGGTTTAATTGAATTCAAGATGAGCGTCACTTTGTGGGATCTCAGTATAATAACTTTGTAAAGCTCTCTTTAAGGCAGGCACTAATTTATCCCATCTTAAGATACGAACTTCTTTGTCAAAACCTCTTGGCTTTCTTATCTCATATCCCATAATTCTCTTGGCTAATTCGATACGATAATCTTGATTAGTTGGTTGAGGCGGATATTGTTGGTGACCAAAGGTTGGAGTATTGTTAGCTGAATTGTTAGCAGACAGATCATTCATACGTGATGAAATTGGTTTCTTAGACCAAAATGGAACTAAGTTAGATCTCACTCTACCTCTTTCACGTCTCTTTTCAGCAGAATCTTTAGCTTCAGTTCCAATCAATAATTCCACAATTTCAACAACTTCAACTGATGTAATATAGTATTGATAGGTTTCACCATCTTCTTCACATCGTATATAACTCTTTGGAGATGATGTATTTCTTGAACCTTCTTCATCACTACTTTGTGAATCATAATATTCATCATTTAATTTAACTTTACATTTTAAGCATGAAACTTCAACAACGTCAACATTCTTAGGAGCTGGTAAAGTAGTTGGGTTTTCATTAGCACTACCAACAATGGAAAAGTTGGCCATTAATTTAGGACCCTTTTGAATTCTTTCAATTCTAATGATACGACGACCATCATCCTTTTCCAGTTTACCCCATTGTGGATAACAGATATCTTCAATAGTAGCACCATTCAAACTTAATTCAACAGGTAAGAAAATAGAATCACTTTCAACTGATTGCTTTGGTGGTCTAGTAGTACTACCTCCAGCAGAAACTCCTCTTATAACTCTATATCTTCTATCACCACCAGCTTGGTTTTGATATTTATATGATTGGTATTGGTATTGTTGTTGTTGATGTTGATGTTGTTGAACTAATTGATAGTTAGCAAATTCATCAACATCTTCTTCGCCATCTTCTTCATTCTTTATTCTTGGAACTTCCATACCAGTTAATAATGCAGGTGATGATGAGGTATGATTGATATGAGGATTCATATAATAATCTTGTGCAGTGGTATTAGTAGTGGTGGTAGTACCAATAGTAGATGGTGGAGTATATGATAAATGATTGTGCTCAATGATACTTGGTTGTTGTACTGGTAATTGAACATGACCAGCATCAAATGATACTGAATTCACAGACACTAAAGATGTTGAAACAGTATTATTCATTGGTTGTGGTGAGTAATATTTATTGTTGTTACCACCATAGTTCACATGGGTTGAGTTATCAAAGAATGTAGAATCCAAGAAGGAATTGTCTGAAATAGAACTAGCATTGTAGTTAAGACTTGGAGTATGAGATGAGTTTAACAATTCATAGTCCATATTAGTAGCAGCAAACATTCTTGAATTATAGATCTCATTGTTATTGTTATGAGCAGGGTTGAAAGAGTATATGTGTTGTTGATTGTTAACCATTGGTTGCATTGGATGGTTAAGAGATTGAGATTCTTGGTTATGAGATGGTGGTTGGTTGTGATTGAGTTGTTGTTGTGGAGGTACATTATAATTGATGTAGGAATGGCCGGCATTCACTCCCATGTTATAAGGGGAAGCAACATTATAAGTATTAGTACCTACATAAGTATTGTTAGCACCAGCAGCACCAGTAGTACCAACTTGATTAAGAGTTGTATTTGGTGATTCATTGCCATAATTGGAGTTTGAGAATGATTCATCAAAGGAAGTTGATTCATCAAGATAGTAACCTCTGTTAGCGATCAATGGAAACTCATTCAATTGGTTGGAATCAGAAGTTGGGTCGAGCATATCAAAGCGAGCGGTATGGACTAGGCTTGGTGAAGTTGATGAAAACATATGTCTCTAAAAGTTAAAAATTAAAAAAGGAAAATATAATTGTAAAAGTTAAAAATAAAAGTTGAAAAATAGCTGTCAATATATATTTTTTGACAGTATGCAAACGAAGCTCAGAACGATGAGATTTGGGAATGAGCCTTCGATGCTAAACTTAACCAAAACAATGAACAACTTCTAATTATAACTAGATTGCCAATATAGTAATAGATAATTGAAAAAAAAATGATCAAAAAGGAGGTGAAGTAAATGGCAAAACGTCATTTATATAAATTGTGAATTTAAATTTAAATTCTAAAAAAAAAAAAATACAAAAAAAGGGAACGCTTAATAAAAAAAAAACCATCTAAAAAAATAATAAAGAGGGAATATTATTTTTTAGGAGAATAGACTTTTTCTATGTGGATGCAACTTTTATATTTGATTATGTACTCTAACTTGGAGTATGTTAATTAATAAATCAAAAATTGTACAAAATAAAATAGCATAAAAAATAAAATTATTTTGTGTAATTGATAATTTTAAAAAATAAAATAAAATAAAAAGAAATTTACTCAAGTACGAATCCAACATGGGAAAAAAATAAAAAGAAATTTGCACAACTACGAATCCCTACCAAAGAGAAATAAGGATAATTACCAATCATCAAAAAATAAAATTGCATTGCATAAAAAATAATTGTCTTAAAAAATTAAAAATTAAAAATATTAGTTTTGTATCATTTAGGAAAATAAAAAGAAATTTTCGTGAATATTGACTTTCTTCGATACATTCACCAACCTGCAGATCACAAAACCTACTGCCTCAATCTCCCATGCAAATATCGGAATATAGTTCAGATGCATGGCCGTGCGTCCCCTCTCTCACATTAAATATTACACAAACTATTAAATTGTAATATTTTTCCAATCTTTCTCAATTTGTATTTCTCTACACGTAAATGTGAGAGTGGAAATGTGAGATGAAAGAGGAAATATACACGCATCTTTTTGATTTATTTTGGACTTGTATACAGGACAATAAAATGATTTGGTTTCCCGCATTCCCAATGAGCATCTCTATAGACAATTCTTTTCACTGTTACCACCAGGTGTGTCGAAGCGTTTTGTGATAAAAAACCGTTATCTCTTTCACTTTCTGATACCAACTTGCAACCCATTTTGTATCTCTTTTTTTAAAAAAAATTAATTATTAATTTTGTTTATTTTTGATTGTTAGTGGGTTGTTTCCTAAGAGCCTTACCAAAATATTTTGGTTATAGTATCTTGCATATACTTGTAAACATTCTCGATGTAATGCTTGTTCATGCTATTGTTAATGACATTAAGGTCTTTGTTTGTACCTTAGGTACAGCCTACAAATGTTGACGATTAATGATCTACTTTCTCTTATAAGCATAAATTAGTTGTAATCTAATGATAGTGATTAGTCTATGTACGTGATTGATTGAACAAATTATCATGATGATATCATTAATTTAATATTTTCTGACGTATCAGCTTAATGCCGTGGCCATTCCATTTTCAGAAGCCATAATTCGCTTCATATGATATTTAGTCTACAGACTCATTATCTAGAAAATAAACAAACTTCTCATATAATATCATGATTTAGAATTCGTAAGATGAGGGGTCGATCTTAAAAAATGTCAAAAAAAAAAAAAAACTAGCCAAACAAAAAAAAAAGTAGATGAGAGAAATAAAAGAATTATTTTTTTTTTCTGTCGAGCGAAGGGAAAGAAGGAAAAATTGATAAAATACAAAAAAAAAAAATAACATTTACCAAAAAATACAGTCATCATGGAATGAAGGAAGAGACACGAAGAGGAAGATTATGGGAACAATACCTAAAGGAACAAAATAGTTCAATTTAACAAAGTAAAAATAAAATAACTGTATGATGGTTTGAAGCGCTTAGAAAGATATTATTTTATAATTTATTTTTAATTTAGGTCTAAATTAACATATGTTCCATTCTTTTTTCTGGAATTATGAACACTGAGAGGATACCGGTTTTATTCGCCAGTGAATCGTAATGCACTAAATTAAAATATGTGGTTCTTTGTTAAGCGGGATACATTTCCAAATCAAAAATCAAAAATTTTTTTTTCGAAAAGCCATAAAGAAACAATTTAGATTACATCATAATAGTTTAAAATTTTTTTTCGAAGCAAAGAACGATCTTCCTTTCCTCCTTAAGCTTCCAAAATTGGATTGTTCTAGAGTCAATTATCTTTGTGTTCTACAAGGTCTTGTCGATTCTTCGATTTGCTATGTCTATTATTAGGATCTATTGAAAGCTAAGTCGTCAAACACCTTGTTCCATTCATTTTTCCGTAAACTTTTTTTATTGATACAATTTCTAAATATAGTTTAAATTGTAATCTTTCTTCAAATCAAAAGTATTTTGCTCTCTTACTTTGAACAAATAACATATGATGGTAAATTACTAATATTATTTTATGATGATTATTATTATTTAACCATCATTCTAGAACATTGATAAAATTTCATAAGACAGACAAATCATTCTGAACAATAACTTGTTTAATAATAATATAAAATTCGAAGTTGATATTGCGCTTCAGTAGACATAAATCATATGGAATCTATAAAAAAAAACTTAATCACTATTCTATACATCTGCGGAGCAAGGGAAATTGTTCCATCAAAATTTGTTCGATCAACCTTCATACTAATTATAAAAAATTTTATAATCAAATTATAAGCCAGGTGCTAAAAATAAATTTATCAGTTAGAAATTAAATCTAAAGTCCTCTATTACATCATCGACAATTTGATTAATTCTTATTTCCATTCCCTTTAAAGAAGGATTAACTAGAAAATAATTGTTCTTTATTATAAATTACCTTCGAAAATGAGACTTTGATAGAAAAGAGAACAATTGAGAACTGAAAAATAATTTTATTATTTTAAAAATGAAGAAGGCCAATGCAATCCGGAAAAAATATTCCTCCTGTCGCTGTAGTTTAAATAAATAATTATTTTTGTATGTATGTGCAATGTGTATGTATGCTAAAGGGAAGAACAAACCGAGAACAAAAAAAGAAAATAAATAAAAATAAAAAATAAAAAAAAAAGCATGGACTACCTAAATAGGAAAATCACTACTTGAGCATAATTATGTGGCCTTTAAGGTTTTATTATTGCATTAAATGCGGAAAGTATGTTTGAGTGACCCAATCCACCCCACCCCCCGCTTCGACAACAAAATCAAATCTATATTTTTTTTTTGTTCTTAGTAACTTTGAATGCAAAAATTTATGATCCAAATTTCAACAAGGTTCAAGGGTTGAGATATCCTGATCATATCTTCTCCCACATACGAACTTAACTTATCCCCTATTGACAGCGATCTTGGTCCATGATGCTGATTTTGTTTATCTTAATTTTTCTCCCTCCCTAAAGTGAACACAAGTTCTCGATTACAATTTCACTAGTCATTCAATTTATATTGCGCTTTCATAATTTTATGCCCCTAAGCCTAATACTCCAATATGTCTTTTTCTACTACTATGCATTGCAATTTTGACCTTGAACAACTATGCGTTACCCATTTTAAGTAAGTTTTCTTTGACGATTGCTTATCATAAGCGTATTTGTCGTTATTGTTGATATACATTTCCACAGAAAATGTAATTCGAAATGTCAACTAATGACTATAATTTCAAATTATTTTAAAGCAAATCTAGTCTATCTCTATTGTTTTTGGTATTATAATTCCTCTTTCTCCTCTTTTTCTTCCTCGAGTGCTTTTACTTTTGATAAATCCAAAATTTTATGATTCGTAATTGGCAACTTGTATTGATAACATGTGTCCATTTAAGATTTTAGGTAAAAGGTTTAGAGACTAGGTAAATCTATCTGGGGATTTGGAAAGAGTAGTGGCTCAAAACGCCTCCCTAACTTTAAAAGTCATATACTAAGTTTTTTTCATCGCATTCAGGTTTCACAGTAAATTTCATGTAGTTTTGATCGGATAAATCTTTTTCCAGGCTGTTCTTATAGTGAGGAATCTAACCATTAGATTGCTAAATCTAGTTTGTTATTTGTTCACGTTGTTGGTGGTTTTCACAGTCAGATTTTAGGATGATTGAGTCCTCAACTTACTTCGCGGGAATGCCTTTATGCATAGGCGCAAAATCTAATTGTGTTAGCGTACTGGTTGTTTATTAAAAATAGATAGCAAGCTGTTGTTGGTTGGTTGGTTCATTCATTCATTCATTCTAATTAGATTTCCCGTTCTTGATTTGGGTATAGATTTACTAATAATATTTACATTTCAGTCGATACCTTTGTTTCCGTTTTAGGCTAAAGCAAAAAAAAGCTAAGAAAAGATAAGCTCAGGAACGAAATAATGGGAATGTACATAATTTTTGGTGAGGTAAGAAAAGCAAAAAAATTCAGTAATTGGTAAACAATTGCATGTGTAACGCACAAATCCAAATTTGCACTTTCCTAATAGGTTTAAATCAGTAATATGACAATCGTAATGGATTTAAATTACCAAATAGTAAGTGGAAGTGGATGGATTGATATCCTTTAAACCAGGCCAAACCATACCGTAGTTAGAGGATATCCCCTGAATAGATAAGACGATATATGATAAGGGGGCGATAGTATATTTTAAAGTTTTACGTAATGCGCAAAGCAAGTTGAATACTAATGAACTAGTTAACACAAAGCTCTTGTATTATGGAAGACAATCTTCTTTTTTTTCGACTTGCTACATGATATTTATTGTTATCGGATTCATTGCTGATAAAGGGAATAAACTTTATTCGACGTTTGTTTTGACAATAGTTTACGTGGGGTTAATTAAAGTTTATGGTCAATTATTTTAGCGGATATTATTAAATGTTGCTGAAAACAAAAATTCAATTGTGGAATAATTCGGTTATCCCACGTTAAAGTTAAAAGTATTTTACCTTAATCTATTGTCATTTGGTATACAACTAGACCAGGTCCCAAAAGTCTATGTATACTGTACCTCTTTTAGCGTTCAATTGTGATGGAATTAAGCTTTTTGGGTATTTATTAAGGTAAATCAGTTTAGTAAATATTTAATTCAATTGCGTATTTACAAAACACAGAACAAAAGTAGCAAAAACATCCCAAAGCGAAAGCTAAAAGCGAAAGCTAATATCAAAATAAAAGTAACATAAAACTAAAGAAAACCCCCCATTGCTTTCACAAAAGCAGTAAATCAATATCTTTCTTTAGATTGTTTGGAATGCACTCGACTTTTACTAAAGTGTGAGGCGATCATTCACAGTTACATAATGTATGTATAGTAAAACCATAAATTTTCCGAAATCTTTATAGAGTCCCGTAAGTATGAGTAAAAAGATGTACAGACCGTTTTCACCAGAGAAGTTTTGTGATTGTTCTGGATGTTTATTTTTTTTTCTTTTTGATATTAAATTGTATTCTAACTAATGGGCTATCACATGCTTTGAGGTGGGTTTCTTTTTTATTATTTTTAATTTTATGGACTTTCCTACCATTTATGGCAATTCGCTGCTTCTGGCTATTTCTCCCCGTCAGGTATTATATATCCACCTGAAGACGAAAATGATTTTAAAAAAGGGTTTGTCGGGGTGGGATTTTCGTACATAAAAAGTTGAGGTGTCGCTTGTTAACACCCACAATATTCGTGATTGAATGTTTTTAATAAGGTTACGACAAACATGAACTTTGGTCAAGCAATGACATACGTTAAGATATTAATTATAAAATTACATGTGGCTCCATTAATTAAGTTATGGTAATCTTCATTTAGGTTCACTTTCTACCATTAATTTATTCGAAAGTTTATTTACGACAGCGTAATTATTTCCCAAACGATTGAACGATTCTGATGTCAAATTAAATAAAATGAGCCATACTAAATCAAATATTAGAGATACTTTGTAGAATTTTGAAAGTTTGAAGTCATACCCCAATATCGACGATGGAAATTATTCGAGACCATTTAAATTTAATCTTATACTATTGGAATTAAAGGTTTATTATTATCAATTAAAAAAAAACAACGTTGGCTCGATTTAAAAGATTACCAGTACGAATTCTTTTTTTTTTGTTTTTGCACACATACGCGTTCATAAAAATGTAAAGTGAATCTTTCCATACTTAAAAATGTAAATCATGGGTACTTCTATACTTCTATACTTCAATACTTCCATACTTCTAATAGATGTAAAAATATTTTAAACTTTGAAAAATTGGATAGAAAAGCTAAAGTCTTACCGGGAGGGGGGAATAGATTCAGACTCAACTTTTCACAATTATAGTTTTTTCATGACCAAAGATTTCTAAAAATAAATCGAGAATAGTAAATCAAGACTTTCATTAAGAATAAAGAACAAACAGCAACAACCATTTAACAATAAGAATAGAAAATTAAGCATTATTCTTTTATGGCAAAAGTATGAGGGTACATACATACGTTTTGATATGTATATTCATCTTCATAACGCTTACAGTAACCAGAGTTGGAAATAATAGATATGATACGTAGATGTAGACGTAGAAGTATATGTTAAAGTATAAGAACAAACACATTGATTAGCATAAACGTAGATGTAGACGTAAAAATACGTAAGCATAAAACGTCAACCCCGTAAGCTAAAATTAATTTTGATTTGAATTGTTTTTTTTTTTTTGATATTTACGTATAGTCGCTTCTCATCAACGACTATTTTACATATAAAAATTGAAAATTTAGGGTTCTTTGACGCAGATTATGCAGAATGACGAAATTTCAGACATTATTTTTTAGAGAAATTGTTCTTTTTAATTTTTATTTTTTAAAAAAATAATTGTTTTTTTTGGATTTGAATTTGAGTTTTGTGTAATCTGCATGCCTTAACAGCATGAAGCTGCCCGAAACGGTAATAGTTAATGCGTCAAAGCGTATTCGAAAAATACAGAACAGAAAGCGTACAGCAACAGACATAGGATCATTTAAATGATCAATATTCGTGGCTAAGCGGTTTTCCAATAGGGAAATGCATTTCCGTCTAAGCTTTTTTCTTTTACTATAATTCTCATCTCTTATCTTTTAGTGTTAGTTTTTAGTTGAATTTAAGTTTAAATTAGGAAATTTAGAATTCGTTTATTTGTTCTTTTTGTATTTTTCATCTGATATGGAACACTTCCATACATGACAGCAATGTCTTTGAAATTAATTAATTAATTAATTAAATTTATTTAATTTTATTTTATTTAATTTAATTTTTAATCTATATGGAGGTAAAAAGAAAAAAAAAAGACTACATTGTTCTAAATATAGAACTTTCCCACTCTTTCGTTAATTGACAATTTCACTGTTATAAACCCGGCGTATACCTTCTTTTGAAAAATGTGAAAAATTTTTTAAGCATTTAAATCTTTCTTCGTAAATTATGTTCGTTAAACATTTTTTTTTTTTAATAGTTCTTCTTTCTAGATTTTTGATGGGCTTTAAAAAAAAGCTTTTGACGATGTAATTTTTGTCGATGACGTAGATGTTTTGTAATTGAAGTATTTAATCCTACTATATTTAATTTTATTTTCTAGGGTCATCCTTTGATTCACTTGTGGCTGAATAATAAGTTGGGGAGCCGTATATTTTGTGTTAAATTAAAGATTATGATGTCTATTACATAGATCAAATGCCTTTCTTTGATCTATTCATAATCTTCAAATCTATGAAATTATTACCGTACTGCTCAACCTTGCTAAAAACCGTAAATGCAATCTGCCAACGATGTTCTTATTGAATAAAAAGTTTTATGGTTAAGATATCCGATGATGATGTTGAATTAATTAATTAATTAAAACTTAAAAAGTTTAAAATTTTGTAATCTCTTTTTTTGGTATTTTCGAATTTTTCTTCATTTTTTTTTTTGACAGGGTTCCAAAAAAAAAAACGTTCTTCAAAGCTCATCGATCCCAGAAATTTCTTTTTTTTAATTTTAATTTCATTTTTTTTTAAAATTTACAATTTTTTTACGGAAATCAATTTCCATGTCGAAAATTGAGAATGGTTTGTCATTTTGTATTTTGCGACAAGATAATTCGACATGACGCGATTTTAAGGGATTTTAAAAAACTTACACGACCTTTGATTAAAATCAGGAGAAAGGTAAATGATAATATTAAAAGGATTTATATATGAACTTATATATATAAAAGTATGGGGATCTATACTAAATATATGAACAGTAAATTGAATACAGATATAGATAGATAGATAACATACATTTACTTAAATTTACTTTACTTACATTGTGAATTGTTTAGATCATAAATAGGATAGATAAATAAAAATTTGATTTTCAAATAATAGTAACAACGAACAACGAACAACAAACAACAAACACCAACAACAATAACAAATAAAAAGAAACCAACCTAACAACTAAGCATTTAAAATGAATAAGAATATACTATGGGACTATTTTTTTTGATTGTTTTATAGATTTTTTTTTAGGTTTTAACTTATATCTTATAACTTCTTTTTATCATATTTTGGATAGTATGTGGTGAATAAGTAACCATCAAGTAAAACTAAACCAGTTATAATTGATGCATGAATAGAAACAACCAATTTGTTATCAGTATTGATTCTATGTCTTTCTAAATAAGCAGCATAACCAGCAGCAATACCAGTGATACCAATTACAGTTTGAGCAATAACCACTGGGTTTTGGAATTCAACGGCAGTTTTACTTAAAGCAGTGGATGAAGTTTCGGTAGCTTTGGTTACAAATGAATATAAAGTATCTTTACTTTGAGTACCAAATCTTTTAAACGATTCAAACAATTTAGCAATGAAATCTTCACCTTCCTTTTCAAATTCTTTCAATTGTTTCTTTAATGATTCTCCATCTTTTTTTAATTCTTCAATGGTTTCATTAGCAACACCTTCAACATCTTTCTTTACATTTTCAAGCTCTTGTTTAAGTTTGGCTTCATCGTAACTTGGAGTAGTTGGAATATCTGAGGATGACATGATTTATATAGTTGATTCTATAAAGATGATGTTATAAATAATAAATAAATAGTAATAATAATACTGAATAGCAATAATAAAAATTTGTGGGATGGATGGATGGATGCGATCTAGATTGTCTAAATTATAAAATTTACCTGTGCGATATTTAACGGGGGAGGGAGGGGCAGGCGATACTAATTATTAGGTAGACACAAACACAAATTGCAACACTAAATTGATAGGGAGGAATATATATATAGACAGACAGACAACAATATTAAATTCAAAGAAGAAATATAATTGACTTTATATAAAGAAAAGAGAAGAAAAGAAGTAAATGAAATGATTTTTTTTAAAAACTAATGACAAGCAATTATTTAAAATTTTGAAATTGAATGTAATTAATTTGAGAGGGCAAGGCAATAAATATTTAAAGTTAGTGATTGTATTTATTTATTTTTAGGGGGTGAGTGCGTAGGTGGGATGGTGGGGAGGGCGAGGGCGATAGATAGGGAGAAATTATTTTGTTTGCCCCGGAGGGCAAACAAACAAACATACTGCAAAATCATATCTCTAAATATCCACTTGAATAGATGATGGTTATTGTTAATTCGATCAATGTTATGAAGTCACATGTTATACCAGGACGTATGACATGGAATATCATCCATATTTGATACAAGCTTGTCTATTACGCCATCAAGTTAAGTTCTAAGAATATCTCTGCTAAAGTCGATCGGTAATTCCCTCCTTCCCCCATGGTATTTTTATTTTTGTTCGTTCTGCTTTGTGGTATGAGCTTACGCCGCTCTCATACTCACTAACTTTACCCATTTCAGGTTTAAGATTGCTATCTACAACAACAACTTTTACTAACTGCAGGATCCCCCTAAAGTATCACTCAGTCAGTAATCAGTTAAAGAGCAAAAAAACGGTATTTAATGTAACTACGAATTTTACCTAATTAAGCAATGAAATTATATTCATTATTATTTAATATGGTAAGCCAATAAGATTGTATTTAATTAATTAATAGACACCCGTCGCCCTCTCTATAACTGAAAAAAAATTGCTTCTGTCTTTAGTAAGAATTATTTTCTTCGCTACAATTGACAGCAGGTTTTTTACTTCATAAAGATTGGAAAATGGGGTGATCGATGATATGATATGATAATCATCGATGGTACGATCATTAATTACATGGTTGTATGGGGGAACAATGACCTTGTCTTTTTTTGGTTACGTTTTTTTTAAGAATATTTAATCACGCGTTAACCATGTGACTTGGATCAGGGTTTGAACCCCAGTTAATTTTGTCCCTTCTTTTTTTTTTCCTGTTACAGTCGCAGTAAAACTACCAAACAGTATCTACAAAAGAATTTTTTTCAATTATCAAACTGTAAAGATTGATATATTCCTTTTAAGTCTTTAGCATTATTGTCGATTGAAAACCAACACCCCGGCTTTCCACGTTATATTCCGACGATTTTAAACTAGATACATACAATGTCTGCTGCTCCAGCTGAAGCCCCAAAGAGAGCCTTTGGTAGAAACAACAACAACAAGAAAGGTGGTCCAAGAAGAGGAAGAAGAGATGGTGAAGAAAAAGGATGGACCCCAGTCACCAAATTAGGTAGATTAGTCAAAGCTGGTAAGATTACCAGTATTGAAGAAATCTATTTACACTCCTTACCAGTCAAGGAATATCAAATCATTGATTTATTATTACCTGAATTAAAGGATGATGTTATGAAGATTAGATCTGTCCAAAAACAAACCAGAGCCGGTCAAAGAACTAGAATGAAGGCTGCTGTTGTTATTGGTGATTCTAACGGTCACGTTGGTATCGGTATCAAAACCGCTAAAGAAGTTGCTTCTGCCATCAAAGCCGCTATCATCATTGCTAAATTATCCATCATTCCAATCAGAAGAGGTTATTGGGGTTCTAATTTAGGTCAACCACATTCTTTACCAACCAAGGTTACCGGTAAATGTGGTTCCGTTTCTGTTAGATTAATCCCAGCCCCAAGAGGTAAAGGTATTGTCGCTTCCCCAGCCGTTAAGAGATTAATGCAATTAGCTGGTGTTGAAGATGTCTATACTTCTTCTTCCGGTTCTACCAGAACTATTGAAAACACCTTAAAAGCTGCTTTCGCTGCCATTGGTAACACTTACGGTTTCTTAACTCCAAACTTATGGAAAGAAAACAAATTAGCTCCATCTCCATTAGAAGTTTACCACGAAGAAGCTTCTTTCGGTAAAAAGAGATACTAAATGTAAAAATTAAGTTTTTTGTATAGTACTTTCTAATAAAAAAAATGTTGAAAAACTAATAAGTTATAAAGGCCTTATCGCTTGACTAATGTAAAATAATAATATTGTAAAATGCTATTGTATTAGTAGATCTCGAAAGATGCTAAATCTATAATTAGTAAAAATATGCTATTAAAAATGTTGTTAATAATACTACAGAAGAATAAAAAAATGCAAAAAATACTCTAAAAACAAAAAGAAAAGACATGCAGCCTTTTAATCAAAAGTCCAGCTTTTGACAATCCTAACATGCTTCAACTATATTACATTACCCATTAAATCGTTTGAGATTGTTTAATCTTTCATGATAGATTTATAATTATTAATTTCTTTTTTTTTTTTTTTTTATTATCTTATTTGTTTTCTTTCATGTTTTTTTTTGTTTTTTTTATTCTTTAAAATCTATAATTAATATAAAATATAATTCATTCAAAATATAAACTTCTCAAAGATAAGATTGAAATAGATCTATTCTATTCCGGGATAGAGAAAGGGAAAATATGTGATTCCAGCACCATTCATATGACTCAATGAAAATTTCTAAACTTGAAAAGTAGTAACTTGATCATCAGAAACAGCAAATGATCTTTGTGATGTAGTTGCATTTGACATTTCTGTATCACCACCACCACCTTGTTTAACCCATGTATTGGATTGAAGGGTTCTTTCTGCTGGATGTTTATATAAACAGTATTTATTCAGACATGCAGCACCGAAACGACAATCTTCATTAAGTGGATGCGAAAAAGTACAATCCAATCTTCTGCATGTAACACTTTCACGACATGGCATATTGGAAGTAGCATGTCTTCTTGGACATTTTGGCTTTTTACAGGTTGCCCCAAACTTACATTGTTCAAGGGCAAGTTCTAATGCTGATGGACCCGGTTTTGTTGCGGCTGTAGGAGGTGGAGGATGTGCTTTATTACAACCAGGATTGACACAATTCTTACCTTCGGAACACCATTCGAGAGTTGCGATTTTAGCGGCTGGATTAGCTGGAGTTGGATGTGCAAATGGACAACTTTCTTTGGCACATTGTAAACCATATTTACATGAACCTTGTTGTAACATGAAATCAATCTTCTTCTTTTCTTCAAATTCCTTTTTGGAAACTTCCAATTTCTTTATTAAATCTTCATCTTGATCTGGATGTAAGAAGTTACAAGTTCCTGGAGGGTTTGGACAGTTTGGATATGAAAAACAATTCTTGGTTGGATGGGATTTGGGACATTCTTTATTTTGACAATATGGAAAATCAGGACATCTACCCTTTGGAATATTCAGATTAAGATTTTGATTATTTGATGATAATGCTTTTTCAAACTTTCTTTGGGTTTGTTCAGCAAATGGTTTCTTTTGCTGTGATCTATCACGGACACCAGGTTTACTTATACCTCCTGGTTTACTTATACCCCCTGTTTTACCTATACCTCCAGCACCTCTAGTAACACCATTAGGAACTCTATTTGATCCAGTTGGACCTCTCATATCAGCTCTTGATATATTTGATGGTATAGCTATTCTTGATGCTCTGGCATCTGGACCTCTTGGAGGTGGTCTATGAGCAGCCGATGAAGGTCCACTTGGAACAACTGGAGCTGGAGCTTCAACAACAGGCAAGGGATCTAAAGTGGGTGGTAATCCATTTCTATTCAATTCAACCACATACCCTTTAAGTTCCATAAAAAATGAAGGATCAATACCTATTTCAGTGATTTCACCAACTTCTTTGACAATGGTTGACACATCAGTATCTGAAGCAATCAACACGGTAATATATTCAGCAAGATCACCTGCTTCAGTAGCACTTGAAGGATACCTCTTAACCAACTCCACTTCAGTACTCCTCGTCACTTCTTTCCCTATAGGACCATCTAATTCAAACAACATTGTTACTTTAAGAATTTGATTATAAATGTGATGTATATTCAATGGAGTTTTGTTACAGCACATTTTTTTCGATTAAATAAATTTGTAACAGATTTGGTTTCATATAATTTTGGTCATTTGCCACTACTTCTTACACGCACGTGATCAGATTGCCCTTTTTCATTCATTACATATTTTGGTTGCAATAAATAAATAACTATACAAGTTGAAACATATCCTCAGATATACCACCATCTGCAAGATGTAAATGTACTAGATGACTTATAATATTATCTAACTGTTCAGTGATCGATGACGCCACCAAGATATATGAATACATCAAAATAAAGTCATTATTTGTAAGTGATAACTCGGGCTCGTCACTTATTTTTCTTCTAACTTCACTTAATTTGTATAACATTCGATCTTTAGCATGTTCAATGGAAGCTGGCTTTGCTGGTAACGGGAATCCAAGTTTTAATGAACTGGCTAACATGTAAAATATGAGAAAGATTCTTTGTTCTACTTCATAACGTTCTTCTTGGACGTATTTAAGAAGAGATTCTTCATTTAAGGACAAAACTGGCTCTACTTTTATCATCAAATTCATATTTTGATATGCATCGATGATAGTCGATGTGCTCTGTAAAATATCAGAAAAGGTATTCACCGGGAAACTTCCTTTTAGTCTGAATTCTATTGGAGCTTGCTTCAAAAGGACTTCACATTCTGCCAACAAACTATTAATACCCGGCTCATCTTTAAGACCCATTAATTTTAAAGTTAACGGATCATAATCTAGTGGATCACTATTCCAAATCAATCCTAATCTTAACCATAAAATTACAAGTCCTTTCTTTAGCCTAGATCTTGCACTATTTGGTAAGAAACATGATGCCATCACCAAGGCCCAAGTTATACCTATTGATACAGCTATGAATCTATGGAAGGCAATCTCACCTATTATAGGATTATCACCACCTTCATTACCATCTTCAGTTTCTTTTTGAATCATACTATAAGAATACAAAGCTGTCAAATTATACGTCAAAAGAATAAATCGACCAAAAGGATTATTCCTTTTCCAAAATAAAATAATATAAAATGAAGGAATTGAAATTAAAAACCCTGTCGCTGCCAAAGCATATACGTTACCATCAGTTAAATTCCAAATTAAATAAGCAGAAAATGACCCTAGAAAAGTACCAAGTATTCTCCATTTGACAGTCATAGTTGTGCCTCCCAATGATTTATTCATCATAATACAATAAATAGCCAATGCCCATTCCCCTCTCCAATTATTGAAAACTTCCTTTGTTGCAGGGAAGTATGCAAAAAAAGATAGACAAAATGCCCCAAGACCAACTCTTAGACCAAACTGGAAATCGGTTCTTCTGAATATTTTTAACGTCTTCCAAGCTTTATAGCCATATACTTCAGCACCACTTCTTGTCATTTCTTCAATTCGAGGACCATAATGACTCTGTAAATCTGCAATTGCTGCTAACAAAGTATTACCTTGGTGAGGTAAAGTATGCTTTTTATAGGCTTCAGGAGACTTTTTATCCCATATTTTTAACCATGGCCAAGATAAAGGAGATGATCTAGCTTCTTCATAAGTTTCTGTAAGTTCTAGAAACTCTTTCAATTCATTGGCATATAATCCCAAAATAGATGCAAAATTACCACAACAAGCTGTTATTTCTTCTTGTTCTGTTATAAACAAAAAATCATCAGATGAGGATTTAAAAATGTCTTGCGAATACAATCTTTCAAACGATTCTGATTGTTTGGTTTCAAATAATTTGATAGCTTCATTAAGCGAGACATTTAATGTTGTTGTATCTGCAAATTTATTAGATTGATCGTCCTTGTATTTTTCGAACGGTACTTGACTTAAAATATCCTTCAAAGTGAAAATGAACGATTTGATGGAAGGGGATAAATAATACACAAATAATTGAAATAGTTGATCACTTGTTTCAGCATCAAGTTCACTATGTGCATCATTATGATTCAATAAAGTCATATTTTCGACTGAATGAGACAATCTCAAGCCTCTTTCACTGCTATAACTATCCAAACTATTGACAGAAGTAGCTTCTGAATTGACATTTGTTTGAGAATTGTGCAATAGAGTTTGTTGCATTTCTACTGAACTTCGCAAAGCTTGAATATGCTTGGACAATTCGATCGTAGACTCGACCAAATCATTAAACAAGATCCATTCCTTCTCTCTTCCATATACTCTTAGCTCATACTTCGCATCTTCCAAGTTTTCCAACAATGCCTTTACATTATCTTTCAACTTTTTAAAAACTTCAACATCTTTTGCAGTAAATTTTTCATCAGTCAAGAATCTTTTACCCAAAATAGATAAGGCCGAAGACATGATATTATAAGAATCATTTAAAGAACTTCGTAATCCCCTTATTGCACTTTTTGGCCAAAGTAGGTAACAAATAGCAACCGAAATTATACAACCAACAACCACAACTTGAAAGGTGGCTTGTAATCTTTGAATCGGTATGGTGGAAGAATTTAAACTTCCTTCTTTCACAATACATGTCACGATTGAGATTGATGCTAATGAGCATGCAGTATTAAATGTTTGTTTATTTAACTTTTGTTTCATGTATGCAATAGTACCTAATGCAATTGAACTAATTATCAAATCTATGGCATGACTGATTTCATCTTCTCCCAGATTATAGAATATAGCGGAGATTAATCGACAACCAAACGAAACTGAGAAACTAAAAAGCAAAGATATAACAACATAAATCAATGTTTGAGTCATTGATCCCTTTGATCTTGTAGGATGAAAATAGACAGCAACAGTTGCAACCACATGCTTAGAATCAGTTGATCCTAAAAATTCGTCAAATGGTGTCCAATAAACACCCATTGATGCAATCAAATACGCAATTGAACATTTCAACACACTTCGAGATACTTGATCATAATATATATAATGTAATGGATGTAGAATATATTGATTCCACAAAGTTGATATACTATATGAATTTGGATTGTTTAGTAAAGGATCATTCTCTGAACCATGGGATGAAACGATAGATAAACCATTCGAAATGGATGATAGAGATCGTCTAACTTTCTGACCCGTAGACGCTATTATGACGGTGCTTTTCCTTTTGAGTGATGTGTAGGGATATAATTTGGTCTTATCTTTTGATTGTTTGAATGATGTAAACTCCAATGGATTATCATCATTATCTATATCAATATCACCACCATTAATTGATATTTCTGGAACTGCATTCTTGGACAAACGTGACGAGCCTGTAGAATCATAATTGAATGAACTCATTCGACATGGAAGTATGTGAATAGTTGCGTTTGAAAGGCGGAAACAAGTGGCTTCAGATAATCTTGATAATCTCGGTAGGGTTTAGATCCATCTCCAGACTTTTATTAGTGCGCATTCTTTTTTATTTTGCTTATCTCTTTTTTTTATTTTTAAGGTTTTCTTAACTATGTACATTTATTAAATACTAAGTTTTATTCTATTTACAATTATTTATTCATAACCAATGATATCTCTAAACAACTCTTCACATGGAACAGTTGCTTTTAATCTTGCGCACAATAAGAAAACTCCACTTAATTTTCTATGCAAAGAGTAAGTTTCTTCTGGTGGTGGTGATAATCTTTCATTTAACATTAAACCAATATTACCTCTAACTCTATCAGTGATAGTTTGATTGTTGAAATCAAATGGCTTACCTGTATTGTCGACAGGAGAGAATGCTTCACCCAACACCATAACTGAATCAACATGAGCCTTGACCATTTGAGGAGATTCCATACCTGTAAGATAACCTAACTTTTTGGAATAATGTTCCACTTGTTCATGATCTTTTCTAACAGCAGCTCTTAATACTGAAACATAATTATCAATGAATTCATTATCGAATTGTCTAGCAGCACCAAAATCTAATAATTCTATTTTATTGGTTTTTTCGTTATAAAGAAAGTTTGCCCAATTTGGATCAGTTTGCATGTATTTAAATTTCTTAATTTCCAAGAGACATAATCTCATAATATTGGTGGCAATCCAATCATTTGTTTCTTGATTCCAATTACCTTTCACAATTTCAATTCCTTTCATTCTTTCCATGGTTAACACATGTTCACCACATAATTTATCAAATACTTGAGGAACTTCGAATACTTCATCATCTTTTAATAATTCCTTAAAGGCAATCAAATTTTGAGCTTCTCTAATATAATCACATTCCCATTTTAATTCAGTTCTAGCATTGGCAATAGTCTTATCAAGGAAAAGACCTGGAGGTAATAATGAACTAGCAGTTAATAACAATAAAAGGTTATTTAAATCAGAGTCAATTGAATCAGCAACACCTGGATATTGTACTTTTACAACAACCTGTTTTAAATCTTCAGTGACCGCAGTATGAACTTGACCAATTGAAGCAGCAGCCATAGGAATATCATCAAACGATGCAAATAAACGTTTTCTCCAATTATTACCTAATTCACTAACCATTACTCTTTCTAATTGACCTGGAGGCATATAATGAGCTGAATTCTGAACTCTTAATAAGATTTGTTGAATTTCCTTAGGTAAGACTGATGAATCTTGAAATGACATCATTTGACCAATCTTTAAAGCTGCTCCTCTCATTTTTGAGAATTTCTTTGCCATTCTTTCAATATTAGCAGGTGATAAGATTAATGATCCAACATTTAAATCAGAAGCTGACTTTCCAGAGGCTATATGTTTTATTCCTTGAGTTGCAACTCCTAATCCGACACCAGCTGCTAAAGAACCATAATGAAATATTCTTGCTAATCTTGAACTAGGAACTTGACTACTTGATAATTTGAATTCAGGTTCTTTGGCTGTTCCTATGAGAGTTGGGGTTTGAGACGATTTATTTCTAGGTCTTCTAATTTGAGTATCTTCTTCTATTATATCATGATTGGTTTGATCATCTTTATATGCTTTGGTTGAATATTGTCTTTTTTGATTGAGATTTGTTGAAGGATTCGAATTTGAAGCTGGATTGCTGACATTACCGTTTTCTCTTAACTTCTCAGACTGTATCTTTCTTGCACTTTCATACATGGAATATGATGTATCACAATCCCGCATGGGTTTAGTTATAATCGAATAGTTATAGAACTTACTGACATCATTCTTCACTGTATTGGCGGATTCACATAATATTTTCCCTAATGTGCCAGTTATAGCGATCACCTCATACAAATGCTTTGAAGTAGGCATGATCACTGCTAACAATAATTGAATTAGTTAGTTGAAGAATTATATACACTGGCAAACCCGTTGTGTCCAGTCCATCTATCCATAATATTTCAAATTTTTAGATTTCTCACCCGCACGTAAATTTTTTTTACTGAGGGAGTAAGGTTGCGCTTAATTATAAGTTAATTACTTGATTTGGTCTGCATGCATTTGTACTTTTTAAGACCATATCATATCATATCATATCATATTATGCCAGCCCTCTCTGGAATATGTATGTAGTTATCCTCGAATGTATAATCTAAAATGTATTATAATTGAATAAATTTTTCTTGTTCATACCATTCTTTCTTTTTTGTACATGTTTTTTGTTAAATTTTAATAAAATAAAGTTATTTATGCAGAATAGTAAAAGGCAACTTCCACATGGAGTATAATCCATTATGGTAAGCATATTACATGATGAACAAGGTATCAGCCAGTCCAAACTTGTGCATTAGACTTCAGGCGTCACCCCGGCCGCTCCCCAACTTATAAAACACAATCAAAATGATTAATTGGTCGAGTGTAGTTTGCAGGCTTACCAATTATCATTGGAGTTCTAGATGTTAATTTGAGACTATTGGAATATTTCCTAATTCAGAATACCAGCTTATTTTGATTTTCTTTTTTAATTTTGCATTTCATTTTATATGATCGTAAGTCATAACATAAGCAGTTTAATTGCATACAATCCTTTTTTATTGAACTACAACTCGATGCCTCGAAGTTTAATGCATTTAAGAAGTGAATAATTCATCAAGTAATGTATAAATTTAATACATATAATTATAGCTGTTTCTTAAAAAAAATAAGGCTGTGAAACAAGAAAAGAATAATACCCACATCCACATCCTTATCCTCTCCTTAGGGAAATAAGAAAAGAAAATTACCCCTTAAAGGGGAATAAAATCATTAACAGAAAAAAAATGGGCAGTTTCACACGACCTCACTTCTCTTGTGAGTGTTTACATTTTCAATGTTTGTTTTTGAGGCTCGCTATCTAAAAATAAACCATAAAGAGTAATCTTTAATTTTAGAATAAGCTTATTTCTTGAAAATTATAGTTCAGTTTGGAGTTCTTCACTGGTTCTTGGTGTTAATAGTGGTGATTATTTTGTGGAGAATTTAAACAAGAAAGAACTAGTTCTAATTCCCAATAAAAAAAAAGATTGCTTACAGTATAGATCATAATTGCATTTCCGATATGTCGAAGAGAAATTCATTTATTAGGAATTCCCCTAGGGAGGCCACTACTCCAACTTTCACAAATCCATATGATGCTTCCATGCACGATCAACAGATGGTTCAACAACAACAAGCACTGATTCAAGCTCAACTTTTCCCTAATAAGATTAGTAATAATGGAGGAAATTCCAACCTGAAAGTTGTAATTGATGATGATCCTGAAATACCACAATATAAATTACAAACTGTATTTCAAAAGAATTCTCAATATAATTGTAAAATCGTGGTAGTTGGAGATGGTGGTTGTGGGAAAACCAGTTTATTGATTTCATATTCACAACAACGATTTCCAGAAATTTATGTTCCAACTATTTTTGAAAATTATGTTACTAATGTCTTAGCTCCCAATGGTAAAAGTATCGAACTAGCATTATGGGATACAGCTGGTCAAGAAGAATATGATAGATTAAGACCATTAAGTTATCCTAATGCTGATTTAATTCTAATCTGTTTTGCATTGGATAGTTTAACTTCTTTACAAAATGTGAAAGATATTTGGTATCCTGAAGTAAATCATTTCTGTCCTGGAGTCCCCGTTTTATTAGTAGGTACAAAGAGTGATTTAACATCTGATTTTAATACTGATTTACCCATTCAATTGGCCACCGAAATAAATGCCATTGGATTTATTGAATGTAGTGCTAAAAAGATGTTTAATACATCTACCGTATTTAATTTTGCATTAAATTTTTTTCAAAAACAAAAGGAATTACAAGAACAGTATGAAAAGACAAATAGTCATAAGAAAAGATTATCCAAAGTATTCAATGGTCCAGGACATTCTCGTAATAATTCATCAATTTCTTCATTAAAAAAGGGCCATTTCAAGAACTTATCATATGATTCAACATTATACAATCCAGTACCAGAGGTTCATGCTGACGAGGATGTGAATAATTTTGTTAATCCATATGATAACCCTAATAAGTACAATGCTGAAGAATTTACATTCACAAGAGAAGAAAAGAAGAAGAGAAAATGTACTATATTATAAAGCATTTCCATTATATATTAATTCTTTTTTTATCACCTCCAGCATATTATAGACCATCAAAAGCATTATTTACTTCTTTAGTCCTCTCAATTTTCAATTTTAGGTTTGGTTTCCATCTGTTCATCTATAGATTATACAAATATACATCTTTGTTATAATTCAAAGTCATCGTATTAGGTCGTAAATTAGTGTTTGAAGATATTTGGTCCCCCACGAATTACGCTGAACTATTTTATTTTTAGTGAGTTTATTTTGTGTCCCCTTTTTTTTTATTTTTGTTTTTGTTTTCATTTTTGAGTTCGATAATTTCGTATGCTTAAATTATCAATCATCTTTCTCCATTGAACCATCAAAAGTTGATTCATATAAACACGGGTTGATAGAAGAGTTATAGAAAGTGTTAATTGAATAAGGTAATATCAAAAAATGTTGACTAAATCGGGCGGAACAGAGTCAATTTCACAATCACAATTAAGTAGCCGAAAGGAAAAGCATCATCTTCATCATCATCATAATGAAACTTCAAATCATATTGATAACAAAGAGAAAATAGAAGATGATGACGAGGAAGAAGAAGAGGAAGACCATTTAAGCGATGCTGGAAATCAATCCAATGATCATTATAAATCCCGACTTTCCCCATTTCGATATAAACTCAGGTCTATGTTACTACCATATATTCAAGCTGAAACTATCGTATTATATAAGTTACAAAAGGCATTGAGAAATCCAACTCTTGACTTTTATTTTGCATGGACAGCCAATTTAGCAAGTCATACCTTCTATATATTGATGTTACCTCCATCACTTTGGTTTGGAGCTTCACAATTGGCTCGAGATTTGATTCATGTTTTAGGATTTGGGATTTATTTTTCAGGATTCTTAAAAGATTTCTTTTGTTTACCAAGACCAAGATCACCTCCATTACATAGAATCACCATGTCATCATATACTACACAAGAATATGGTTTCCCATCATCACATGCTACTAATGCCACGGCAGTCACTTTAGTTTTATTAAGTAAATTATTTGAACTTAAAGATCAAATTCCTTCAGTTTACTTTATAATATTATTAAGTGTACTATTTATTTATTACTTTTCATTAATCTTTGGAAGATTATATTGTGGTATGCATGGATTCCTTGATATTATCGTAGGGTCAATCATTGGGATTGGATGTTTTTCATTTAGATATTTTGTGGGACGTGAATGGGATAATCTAATTTTTAATAATTTCCTTGATGATAAATTTTATATTACTCCAATTATACTAATTATTGGATATGTATCGTTAATTCATTTCCATTCAGAACCAATTGATGATTGTCCTTGTTTTGATGATTCTGTATCATTCATTGGAGTATTGATTGGTATTGATATGTCACATTATGTTTGTGTTAAAAATGGATATTTCTTAAAAGATTTTCCAGAAGGAAATGATCCAATTATGATTTATTATAGTTTTGCCAAATTGGGAATAATTCGGTCAATATTAAGATTTATATTAGGAGTATTATTAGTAGTAACTTGGAAAACAATTTCCAAACCAGTTATTTATACTATTTTACCTCCAGTTTATAAAATTATTGGAATTTATTTACCAAGAAGAAATTTCATTTCAACTGCTTTTACCCAAAATACAACTAGACAAATCAGATCAACATCGATTTCAAATGATAAGGGTCAAATGGGTGATTTGAATACTTTCATAAAGGGATTAACTGATCATGCTAAAGTTGATGAAATTGGACCTGAAACTGATATTGATTATTATGCTATGTTGGATTATAATCAAAAGAAACAACAACAAAAGAAGAATCTCAACAATGGTAATAATACGAATAACAGTAGTAGTAGTGGAGATGAAGGAGATATACTGACATATAAAAGTGGAGTATTTAAACCTAGATATGATGTTGAAATTGTAGGTAGATTAATTGTATATGCTGGAATTAGTACTATGTCAGTGTGGGGATTTGGACTTGCAACTGAATTAGTTGGATTAAGTTAGGTTAATTTATATCCTAAACCTTATTCAAAGTGTATAATAGTATATTTTGTTAGTTAGATATTTATTCAGTTCATTCGTTAAGTAGAGTAATTTTATACTAATATCTATTTATATGTCATACCACATGATACGACACACATGACTAAAGATCTACTAGATAATCAAGGAAGAGGGGAGAGAGAAGGTTTAATAATAAATATTTTATACTGAGGAAGCCTAAGGAATAGTAGATTGAGTTATTGACACACAAAAACTAAAACAACAACAACATGTTACCACATTACATCAATTCATCACATTACTAATAACAATGAAAACATCAAGTAATAATAATAATAATAATAATAATAATAATATGAATAATATGAATAAAAGAAATACGGTAGAATAATAAGCTATAGCCTCACATAACCTAACCTTTTAGTAACCATAACCACCTTTAAATTGTAAATAAGCTTATACCGTATAATTATATAGTTAGAGACAGACACTTTCCGTCCTACACCGATGGCTCTACCTCCCCCCGCGCGCCAGCTGAATTTTTCCTTTCCGTTACCGCGAAATTTAGCGTGTATTTCCCTTACCATTGCTGTAATTCTGTCTAGGGAGAGATTTAGGGGGAAGGACAAAAATTTCCCAAAACAATACAAAACAGAAAAAACGGACAAAAATATCAGTCAAAATTTCATATTTCTTTTTTAAGCAAAAAAAAGACAAAACAGCATACATTCCACAAAAGAATTATTACGGTCATAAATCAATCAATCAACCTTAAGCAACCAACTCAATCCTTTCATCAATCAATCAATCCATCCATCCATCCATCAAATAGATCGATCGATAGAAACCATAACTCAACCCAAACCCTCCCACCCATCCACCCACTGGCATTGTCAAAAGTATCGCCAGCAATTGTTACTGTTGTACAGTTTTTTTTTTTGATTTGTTGTAAAGTATCATCATAGCCCTTTTATTGGGATTCTGTTTTGTTTACTTTATAGTCATAGACTAATCATCATATCCATTAGTACCTGCACCAGACTTCAATCTCCCTTATTGTATCATATCAATCAATCATACTATGCAATATTGACCCATTCACGGTATTCCTCCTAATCAATTCATCTTAACACAACTAATCATACCGTTGTCATAATTATCAGATCTTATTCAACATCAAAAGGATCTTCTATCATTACTACCTTACCAATCATTTATAAAAACCAATCAATCGAATCAATCAATCTTAAATACGCATTCACTTCGAGTCAGGCCTGTTCTATTTAATTCAATTCAATTCTGCTCATTATCATCACCCCCTTGTTTTTGTATATCATTTTCAACCAACTGATATCAATCACTATAACAAAAATTCACTGCTTGTGTTAAATTATTATTTCTTGCTGTATTATTATTATTATTACTATTATATTATTGTTTCTATTATCACTGTTATTATTACTATTATTTTACAACTCTTCCTAAATGAACGACTCCTACAATACAAGTCAGACAAATCCATCTATATATTATAACCCAGCTTCATCAGCGCCGAATCAACAATCATCAACCACATCAGCCACCAATAACTCAAACAACAATCCTATCAATAACAGTAATACTACATCATCAGCCAATAATCTAGCTATCACCAGTTCGAACAACAATCAATCTTCATCTCAATCTGGTTCAAATAATGCAACGAATCCAACTATAATAAATGATCTTTACTCTCAAATTAATCAATTGAGTAATCATTTCAATAGTTATCAATCCAATAATAATGATAAAATTAATGAAATCAATTTGAAATTGAATTTTATAAATGATTCAATGGATTCTATAAAACATAATGTAAATGATTTAACTCAACAGGTTTTAGTTTTAATTCAAAATAATAATAATAATTCGATGAATTATTCAAATGCTAATCAAAATAAAGTAATTGAATTGTTTCATAAACATATTTATAAATTAGGTAAAGATATTGAAGAATTATCTCATAGTCATCAAGGATCGTCTTCTTTACAATTACATTCCCAACAACAACAGCAGCAGCAACAACATCAACAGCAGCAGCAACAACAACAGCAGCAACAGCAGCAACAACATCAGATTCATCATCAACATAGAAATCAATCTCATCCGTCAGCTACGTCAACTTCAGCAGTAAATAGTACTACCAATTCTGTAGCAGGTGGTCCGAATACGGGTAATTATACAGTATCAGGTGAAGAAGTTGTAGTGGATGATTTAACCCGACCATCATTTCCAAAATCTATAAATTTAAGATCACCAGCTCTTCCTCAAGCTAATAATTCAAATCCAAATTCTCCATATATACTGAATCGATTTAATTTTGATTTAAATTCATTTTCAACTACTAGAAATTCTAATAATAACCCAAATCAATCATCAAGTAATCAAACTACTAACAACAATCAATCACCATCAAATCAAAATAATAATGCATTGACGTCAAATAATGGACCAAATTCAAGTAGTTTTGCCACGTTCCATTCATTAGATAATGGTACAAATCCTCCCATAACTGTTACATCATCTGATAAATCCACTAATAAAAAGAAGAGAAGAAAGAGTTCTAAAAAAGATGATCAACAACATGCAAGCAATTCAACTGGTTCTACTAATGCAACCACAACTTCCAATGGTGCATCTTCTTTAGCCAATAGTTCATATATTTTACCATTACCTACATTATTAACTAGTGATGTAATTGGTGGTGGACAAAAGAGTAATAGTAATAATAATGCAGCTGCAGCGGCAGCTGCAGCTCAATTCATGTCAGTCATACCAAGAGCAAATGATAATGGATCACTTTTAAGACAAGCTACTAGTGGACGTCAAAGTTTTTTCGTTGATGATGATATTGATAATAATATTGATGATTTAACTAATGCAACTACCAATGTTCCTACATCTACCACCAATGCTGTTACAACCACTACCACCTCGAATAATGATAATAGTACCAATAGAAGTTCGGGGTCATCCAAATCCAAATCAAGTAAAAAGCGTAAGAAGGATGATGCTAATAATAACTCCAATAATAATAATAATAATAATGCTACTAATGATGTGGATGAAAATGGTAATTCAACTGATAGTATTAATGTAAGATTAAGTAAAAATTCGAATCCATTGAATTTACCTAAATATAGAATTGAAAGAAGTCTTAAATCTTTAACTGATATTTGGAAAGAATATGAGTATGGATTAAATGATAAACCAGCTTTAAAGATGTTAGAAATCAAATATGGAGCTAAATGGAGAAATGAAACAGAATCAAGAACCTTTCTTCGGAGAAGAAAAATCTATGAAGCTATTGAATCAGGTAAAGCTAAAGGATATACTGAAGAACAAGTGATTCAAGAATTAGAAGGGTTTAGAAGTTTTGAGATCAATGGAACAGTTAAAAAGAGGCCTTTACTGTGGTTATGCATCAATATTCCTGAGAAGTATATGACCTAGGAGTTATTACTGTTTTGCTGCATATGATGATGATGATGTGTGGTTGTATATTATTATTATGCTGTATGTTTTGCTATGATTTATGGTATTGGGATTTGTTGTATCCAATCAATTTACAGCTATCATAGATTACATATTTTTTTGGTTTGTGTCTGTGTCTGATTTTTTGTTTTTTTGTCTTATTTTTTATTTCTTTTCAAATTTTGTGTAATCTCATCTTTCTCTGTCTGTCTTTTTTTAAAGTCTGTTTTCATTCATCTCTAAATATCTTGTTTTGATAATTTTCATCATCTATTAATATTCAAGTTTGTATAAATATATAAGTGATTTCTCGTCCCCTTAAGTCGATTGTTTAGTAGGGATATATTGTTGTCTTCATTGCTTTTAAATCGTTTTTCCTCGACAATTTTTGCATTTCATTTACATTAGATAGCATCATGACTCCTACTACAGCTGATACCAAGAAGAGACCAATCTCACCTCCTATAAATGATAGTGATTCAAAGAAGGTAAATATAGAAAGTACTGAATCCAAAGTCAATCATCCAAAAGTCAGAACCAATCAACCCAAACAAATCAATAAAAGAAAATATAAATCAAAAGATGTAGATCCAACTTCACCATTAGGAGTATTACAATTTGAAATCAATGAACTCTTACAAAAGCATAATTTAACTAAAGAGGATGTATCCAATGATATGAAACTAATCCTTAATGATGAATCCATCATTCCTCAATATCATCGAATTGTCACTGATGTGGTGGTTGAAACTATTAGTTCTAATGGAGATGGATTAGGATTAATCAATCATCCTGATTCCCAAAAGAAATTACAAATTGTGATCATACCATTTGGATTACCCGGTGATAAAGTTGAAATCAGAGTATTTAAATCACATCCATTATATGTTGAATCTGATCTTTTAAATATCATTGAACCCAATCCTAATAGAGATGATTCATTAATTAAATGTCAATATTTTGGAAAATGTTCAGGATGTCAATTTCAAAATGTTGATTATAATCAACAATTAATTTTCAAACGTCAAACGATTGAAAATGCTTATAAATATTTCGCTCCTATTTTAACATCATTAAAATCATTACCTATCATTAATGATACTGAACCATCACCATTACAATATAGTTATAGAACCAAATTAACTCCTCATTTCAATATACCCTATAAGAGAACAGTTGAAGAAAGACCTAATTTAGGATTTGGATCGAAGGGAAGACCAACTTGGAGAAAAGATGTTGATATTAAAGATGGATCAATCTTAGATATTGAAGAATGTTTAATTGGTACCCCAATTATAAATCAAGGTATGAAAAATGAAAGATTAAGATTTGAAACTCTGTTTAAAAATTATAAAAAGGGAGCTACCATTTTATTAAGAGAAGATACTAATGTTATTGATAAAGATAGTAAGATTGATTTAATCGAAGAATCAGGATCTACTGATGATAAAGATGAGATTTCTTATTTGGAAGTTGAATTAAATGATGATAATAATGATAAGAAATTAGTTAAAACTTGTGTGACTAAAAGTAGACAAATTGTTAAAGAATATATTAATGGATATACATTTGAATTTTCAGCCGGTGAATTCTTTCAAAATAATAATTCAATTTTACCAAGAGTAATTGAATATGTTAGATCAAATTTATCAATTGATAATCAATCATCATCAGATGAAGAAGAAAAATATTTAGTTGATGCTTATTGTGGATCGGGATTATTTTCAATCACATGTTCAGACAATGTATCAAAAGTGATTGGAGTTGAAGTTTCTGCTGATTCAGTTAAATTTGCTGAACGTAATGCTACTAATAATAATATTAAAAATGCTCGATTTATAGTTGGTAAAGCAGAAGAATTATTTAAAAGTATTGATACACCATCAAGTCAAACATCAGTGATATTAGATCCTCCAAGAAAAGGATGTGATGATGTGTTTTTAAACCAATTATCCGATTATAATCCTGCTAAAATCGTTTATATCAGTTGTAATGTTCATTCTCAAGCTAGAGATATTGATTGGTTTATTAATAAAACTGAAAATGGTCATAAATATTATGTTGAAAGTGTTAAAGGATTTGATTTCTTTCCTCAAACTCATCATGTTGAAAGTGTGGCAGTGTTAGCATTGAAGAAAGATTAGAATATTGTCATTATTTATTTATAGATAAATAGACATTTAATTATACATTTTTGCATTATTTAATTAAGTTAATTCTGTATGGGTATATATATTTGTAGCATTAATTTTTGCAACAATTTCATAAAAACCCATCACGTGAATCGAGCAACTTCAGGGTCAAAGCCCTAAAGACGTGCGCGTACCAACAAATCCCAATTATCTGCACTCTCTTCTTTTCCTGTCATAGTTAACAATTTTTAGCTTACAATCCCGCACCAGACAAATTTTGAAAATTTTTGAGTATCATTCAAAAAACGAAATTGATTAAATAAATTTTTTTTAGTTTGTATTAGATCTAATATATTTAATAATACTTTAATAATCAACCGTCAAAATGGAAAACGATAAAGGTCAATTAGTAAGTACCATCAGTGAAAGAAACTGTTGAGTTGTTAATGTTTGATTGTCATTAAAAGTCCCATTCCCATTCATTTCATCAAAATATAAAAGTGATTCCAGTTTAAGAATAAATTCAATGAATCAAGTAAAAGAAGTCTGTTCAACAATATTTAAAGAATAACGAAGATAGTTCATGAATAATATATGTCCAGTATATATTTTCAATCATATTACAGATCGAGTTCCATCAAAAGATCATGAAGAAATACGAAAGTAAGTCATGTCAAAATGTATCAAATGAAATGAAGAAATGACACACCCAACCACCACATCAATCAATCAATCAATATCATAGTCATTTAAGCCAAGAATAAACAACGTACTTATTCCTTCAATATCATAAACTATCATATCAGCCATCCAAGTCCGTCACATTTACAAATAAATTAAACTATTCCAAAATAACAATATCAAAAGTGTCCCTAGTATCAAGATAGACCCATGAATAGAATGACAATTAACGTTAAAACATATCAACAAACAAATAATACCACCAACAATCAAATACTAACTATTACTCTTTTTTTAGGTTGAATTATACGTCCCAAGAAAATGTTCTGCTACCAACAGAATCATTAAAGCTAAAGATCACTCTTCAGTTCAAATTAACATTGCCAATGTTGATGAAGAAGGTAGAGCCATCACTGGTTCCAACACCACCTACGCTTTATCTGGTTACATCAGAGGTAGAGGTGAAGCTGATGATTCATTAAACAGATTAGCCCAACAAGATGGTTTATTAAAAAACGTCTGGTCTTACTCCCGTTAAGTTATGTTATCATTTTATTATCAATAAAAGTTTAAAACTGTTATTCAAAATATAATAATAATAATATCATAATGTCACAAATCATCTCATAAATCAAAAACTATTACCATCCACCACCATCACCAAAAAACCAACAAATAAATTAAGTGCATTAGTTGTATATTTATAAATCTTCTATCTTTAATATAAACGTTTATTACAGGATTTCTTAAGTGCGTATAAACTTTATCTATAACGTTGAGTTATTAGTATGGTTTTATAGAATGTAGTAACAGTAAAACACTATAACTATATAGTATTCTATGTATTCATTATCTAAGTCAAATCTCCTGCATACAACAACTGACCCTCCACTGATGAACCATCCCTCTCTTAACACTATAAAATGTCGAAAAAGTATTAAACCCTCCCTAAAACGGAAAGTCTGCTTTTTTTTGAGGCAAAAATTTTAAAATACCCCAATTCAATTTAGGGGAGGAGAAGAAGACCAAGGGAAAGAAAAATTGGTAGGGAACAATTTATTTATGACGTTATACAATGATGATGATCAAGATAAATTAACTTATTTTAAAATATGCCAATACCTTCCTTCACTCCCTAACCATTTGAAAAATGATAATGATAGTGACTAATTGAGAAAGGGTTACATTCAATGCAACACAAAGAATTATTTACACACAACCATACTGTCAATACCCACACGCATACACACACCAAATTTTGTAAACAAATAAGTAAATAAATATCCATCAAAGCTTATATTATATGATATTATTTTCATATTATACCACATTTCTTAGGCTAAATTAGTTCCATCCAAGATTTACAAATTAATAACTTTAAAAATAATAATAATAAATAATATCTTATCACCACAACTGTTGGGAGTATTTTTTAAATTTTCTGGGTGTTATTTAACATTCTCCTTTTCTGTTTTGGAAAAATGTATAGACATATTAATTAGGTATAATTTTTCAAACTTAACTCATTACTTATAGGATATCTTGTTAAGTGCAATTACTTTTCATTATTCAAACATATCAAATACTACCCTTCCTTCCTTCCTTCCCCATCCCTCCCCCCACACAAATTCTAGCCAGAAAAAAAAGGAAAAAATCTCGAGGAAATCGCACCACTTAGATCCATTTTTTACCCTGTCCTCCTGAGCTATTCTCCCTCCCTCCCCCTACTCCTACCGACCCACCAAAAATATACACACACCCAATTACCCCTTAAATTTTCCATTAACTTTATTTAATTCCTTTGAATATTAAAGTATCATAACATTAATCCTTCTTTTCTTTTGTTCATTTCTAAAATTGCATTCATTTCATTTTCCTTTACGGTAAAAGTCATCCCTCCCCTCCCCCAGTCATTACGTTAGTAAGTCATCATCAGACGTACCATTAGATCCATTTATAGACATATCTCAAAATACGGTATCTTACACAAATATTTGCATACACATCACATTTCATATCCTCATCGTGCATATCATCAACTTCTTTCATACTTCAGTTTAATTCAATCTAGTCCGAGTTCAAGTCATTGTCATTGACATTCGATAATATCAACAATATCACTCCTTAAATGACCAAAGCTGTATTCACTCTTTTATATACAGCCAGCTATCTTCCCGGAGCTTTAGTCCTTGGCTCAAGCTTAAAAAAATTAATCGATCAAAATGGTCAAGATATTGATATTGGGATCTTAATTGATAAACTGAAGTTCTCCAATCATCAACTTTCATTATTAAATCAATTTTATAATGTTTTAATCGATGTTAATCCTTTAAAATCAACCATTACTGATAAATTAATTCATGATTTGGGTAGACCGGAATTAGATAAAACTTTCACCAAAATTAATCTTTGGTCATTAATTGATTATGAAACAGTATTATATTTGGATTCAGATACGTTACCTGTCTTGCCAACTAGTTCAAATCAAGGTTCAGTTATTGATTTATTATCATTAGATTTTCCAAAATTTAAAATTTTAGCCGCTCCTGATAGTGGATTCCCGGATATTTTTAATTCAGGTGTATTTGTTTTAAAACCAAATTTAAATGATTATACAATCTTAGATAATTTAGTTAGAGAATCAATTACAAATCCCAATGTTTCATTTGATGGGGCTGATCAAGGGTTATTAAATCAATATTTTAATACTCAACCTGATTGGGTTAGAGCATTATTATCTCAAGATAATACTAATGTTAATGATGCTTTCAATACTACCAATTGGATTAAAATCCCTTTCTTATATAATGTTACTCCATCATCTCAATATGAATATTTACCAGCATTTAAACATTTCACCACTATAACTCCCAATTTCCCTCCTACTGGTCCTTCAGAATATCCTATTAATCTTCATGGTGGTGAGAATGATGAAGAAAATGATCAAATTCTTCAATCTACTTTGAAAACTTTATCAAGGTATCAATCATCTGCTTTTACTTATATTCAATCATCAGGTCCTTCTCAAGTTAAATTGATTCATTTCATTGGTCCTTTCAAACCTTGGAGACTGAGGTCAACTGCTACTGGTATTCATAGAGATTGGTGGAAAGTTTGGATCGATACATTTGGCCAAAAATCAATTGATGAAATTGTGAATCTTGATACTTTACCTTATATCTTTTCCAATGATGATGACGTTGAAATCGAACAGCAGGCTGTTCAACAATCAACTGATCAACAGAATTTCGAACAAGAATATCAAGAACATCATCATGAAGAACCAGCTCCTTTCACTCCAGCTACATTATTAGATCCATCCAATTATCAACAATATGAAGATAGTATTGTCCCCAGTGCAGATGCATTATGGGATCCATCAAAGGAACCACCCCCAACTTCAGAACCAATTAGTAATCCAGTTAATTTAGAACAAGGTTTAAGATCATTCACAAATCAATGGGATGAACCTCAACAATGGAACCCACCACCACCAGAACATCATTACGAACCAGAACCAGCTTATGAAGAACCTGTACCTGCATATGTCCCACCACCTCCAGCACCAGAACCAGAACATGTTCATCAACCTCCTGCTGCTACATTCCCATTCACTCATTATGTTGAACCCGAAAGAGTATTTGATTCAAGTTCTGATTATTTCCCTAGTCATAGATTACAACCGGTTGAAAAGATTGATATTTATCAAGAAGAAGCGATTAATTCTCAATCATCAGTACTTGGAGATAAAGTTACTGATTTCAATGATATCAATGAAAGATTAGCTCATATTGGTATTATTGAAGATAAGGCAGGATTTGATGATATTTATGATGAAAATGAAACCACGAGAGATGAACCGGATGATGGAAATGATACGGCCCGTCCTCATATTCATGTTTATGATAGAAGTGATGTTCCAAAATTATTCCCATGGGAATTTAAACAAAATGATCAAGGTACAGAAAGAGTCTTTGATTAGATACTTCTTTATATGTGTTCATTTGGAATCATTTATTATATAATTCCTTGCCTCCCACCCTCAGTTACTTATTTATATCCCTTTTTTTTTATCCCATATTATTTATCGTTATTTAATTATACTTCTTCTTCATCATACTTTGTTATAAATTGCATATCCATGGTCAAGTTAAAAACAACCTTTAAAAAAAATCCCCACGTAAGGCCAGGTCAAGGTCTACCATCTAATTAAATAAAAGTCTATAGATTTTTTAACCATTTTAGTTCAATACATCCCCCCCTTGTTCTTGTACTGATCTCTATTTTACTGCAAAAATTTCGTCCGTCAATGGCAACGGCACGTGAGCACTTCTCCAATTTACCCGGACGTGAAAATTTTTTTTTGTTACGCTAAAAATAATTTTTTTTTTGGCTATAGTTTGGTGGATGATGAATCAAATAAAAGGGATATTTGATCAAAGCATTTTATTCTTTTTAAGATTCTTATTATCCCAATCTTAAATTCTATTATTTATAATCCCCCCAAGATGTCAGAAGGTATTACTGAAATCGATTCCAACTTAATTGAAACCAATTACGATAACGTTGTCTACAAGTTTGATGATTTAAACTTAAAACCAGCCATCGTTAGAGGTGTTTTCGGTTACGGTTACGAAAATCCATCAGCTATTCAACAAAGAGCTATTTTACCAATTACTGAAGGTAGAGATGTTTTAGCTCAAGCTCAATCTGGTACTGGTAAAACTGCCACTTTTACTATTTCTGCTTTACAAAGAATTGATGAAAATGAAAAATCAACTCAAGCTTTAATCTTAGCTCCAACTAGAGAATTAGCTTTACAAATTAAAAATGTTGTTACTTCCATTGGTTTATACTTAAAAGTGACTGTCCATGCTTCCATTGGTGGTACTTCCATGAGTGATGATATTGAAGCTTTCAAATCTGGTGTTCAAATCGTTGTTGGTACTCCAGGTAGAGTTTTCGATATGATTGAAAGAAGATTCTTTAAAACTGATAAAATTAAAATGTTCATTTTAGATGAAGCCGATGAAATGTTATCAACTGGATTTAAAGAACAAATTTATAATATTTTCAGATTATTACCTGAAACTACTCAAGTTGTTTTATTATCTGCTACTATGCCACAAGAAGTTTTAGAAGTTACTACTAAATTTATGAATAATCCAGTTAGAATCTTAGTTAAAAAAGATGAATTAACTTTAGAAGGTATTAAACAATTCTTCATTAATGTTGAATTAGAAGATTATAAATTTGATTGTTTATGTGATTTATATGATTCTATTTCTGTTACTCAAGCTGTTATTTTCTGTAACACTAGATCTAAAGTTGAATTCTTAACTAATAAATTAAAGGCTCAAAATTTCACTGTTTCTGCCATTCATGCTGATTTACAACAATCAGAAAGAGATACCATTATGAAAGAATTCAGATCTGGTTCTTCAAGAATCTTAATCTCTACTGATTTATTAGCTAGAGGTATTGATGTTCAACAAGTTTCCTTAGTTATCAATTACGATTTACCATCCAACAAAGAAAACTATATCCATAGAATTGGTAGAGGTGGTCGTTTCGGTAGAAAGGGTGTAGCCATCAACTTTGTCACTGACAGAGATGTTGGTATGATGAGAGAAATTGAAAAGTTCTACTCTACTCAAATCGAAGAAATGCCAGCTGATATTGGTGCTTTATTCAATTAGAGTAATAATAAACTTTCTTTCTTATTATTTTATCTCTTATTATCCATTGTAATTTTAGTTCCATAAAGCTCTTTATGGGCTCAAATATTTTATCTATCATTCCATTCACTTTCTCATCATATTCTTTAATATAGATGGTAAGTATATATAACTAATATAGTTTCATTTTGTTGGTTTAAACCATGATAAATTTGTTAGCATAACAATAGTTTTGTAGTATCATCATCATGATTTGGCTGATCATTCGTAAATCCTCACCGCAAAAAAATTAATGTGTACAAATCTGATTATGATTCACAGCAAATCAGGAATTACACTATAATTAGATCAATTGATACCATCATAGACCATTCATCATAGATAGATAGATATCTACATCATAAGTAGGGTCAATAGAAGTAAGAGACTCTATTCAAGATCATCATATTGAGATACCATTAACGGAAGTAGGAAAGATCAGAGAAGGCAAATAAAGGACAAGGACACAAACACAGCCAAGAATAGCATAGAGCCAAAGGAGGAATAAACTTGGATATAATCTAATAGAATGAGTGGACGAAGTACAATGCCAGGATCATATCCTATACAGGCGACATCAACCAATTCATCAAGTCGATCGTATGTTAATCCAATAGCTAGCAATATCCTAGATCAAGAATTAGCTACTAGTTTTGAAGGTAAACATACCATAAATCTTAAGAATAAACATCAACAGCATATTGTCATTCAATTAGAAACATTAGTGTATATACTAGTTGGATATCAATTCATCAAATATTGTCATTCAGCATGTATTATGCCTATAATATTACATATCTCAGTACAACGGATTTTAGGATGTGAAGTTATAACATCAAACACCGCCAGTGGAAGATTAAGTGGAATACCAGGGATATTAATCTTACGAAATGATGATGATATTGAACCCACTTTAAGAGAACAAATTAAACAATTGGTATTAACCAAAGCTTGTTTCACCATATATTGGAAAACTATATTCACGATATTTTATCATACTATATTTATCACATCATGGGTAATGTCAATTAATAATCATGGACATTTGAAACTGTTAGAACATGGGACTTGGTGGGTTATATCGTTCATTGGAGAAGAAACTCCGACTGATATCTTACCATCTACAAATTATTGGTTAAAGTTATATAAATTAGGATTACCAGGTTTAATCATCACTGATTTATTAATCTTATTCATTCAATTAATACTATACCAATGTATTTATAAACAATCAACTTATTTAAATAATGATAGAAGTGTCAATGAACAAGAAGTTTACTTACTTCGAACTATTGGAGAATCATCATCTAAAATTGATGAAAGTATAGATACTTTACAAGCGGTACCATTAGTGTTAAAAGTAAAGCTTTATGAATGTTTTTCATCAGAAGCATATTTACCAGAGGTGGAAGATTAGCTAGAACTTAGTAATCATTTTTAATAAATAAAATTTAATAGGTGTAAAATGTGATTATAATAATTTGTAGTTTTATAGGTCTTTTTTGTAGCGTAAACCTCATTTTTCTAGTTATAAACTGAAAAAAATCATCACTATATTCATTATAAATATTCATCAATTGACAATGATATAACACAGGTTATGAATAAATTAAGAATTCAAAGCTTATATCCTCGGGCAGTATTCACTAAGAGAAATGCCAGTAGTTATTTAAGTAATCTTTGGTCTCCACAACCATTTCAAATCGGGTACCCTATACCAAATCCCAATATACAACAGGAAAGAGAGGAGTTAAATAAGTTATTATTTTCAGAACACAATTTACAAGATGAAGATATTAACCGAGTAGATCTCTCATTAGCTGAATTAAAGGAATTAGGAAAGCATAAAATCAGATATATCCATCCTAAACCAACCAGATTAATAGGAGAAAATTTATATAAAATCCAGTTCCCCCAACAAACTTCACATTATGCTAAAAAATTATGGAACAGATTACCTCAAGAATCCCAATTAAAACTTATAGAAAGTCCCAATCTTGATATTTTGCATGATGAACGATTAAGAATCTGGAAAGGATATGAAATTGTTGAACATCTTAAACGAAATAGGCCAGAATATCAATACAATCCATATCCCTTACTGGGATTATATCCTTGGGAGATCATAAAGGATAAAATAAGAAAAAGGAGTTTAAGAAATAAGAGGAAACGAACCATATTTGAATTTGAATGGGATTATTATGATCAATTGATTAAAGAAGCATTTGGATCCAATGTGAAAAGAACTGCTGTTCAAATATATTATACCCAATTACGATCCATATTCCCTGATCAAAAGTATACTTTTACTAATGTTTTCAAAGAATTCAATCAATTGTCGGATTCAGAGAAACAGATCTATTATGATACAGAAGCTCGATTCCATGAACAAGCCATTGTATCTCGTGATAGAGTATCTACTGTGAACAGTAGAACCTTCCGAACATTTTACAAACAATACATCGCCACCACAGAGTATGATCAACGACAATTGTTAAATGCCATTAGGATCTATAAACAAATGGATGCCACTCAGAGGAACTCATATAGTAGAGCAAGACAATGTACATTCCACAAATATAGAGAAGAGACGTTGGATTTGCAAACTGCCATGGTGATGGATTATGTCTATTACGTTGGAGGTGTCGAGGGACATCCTCCAGGGTCATTTGATTGGTATAATGATATGAAACGTCAAACTAAAGGGTTTACATATTTAGATAAATGTTATACTGAAATATTACAGACGCGGTAAATAAATTATCAAACCCCATACAAAACTAAAAAAAAAATTGTTTGTAGAGACGCGTAGGGGAATGATAAATTTTTGACATCAACTTCAACTTGTATCACCAATATTAACTAACTTTATTACATTACGATATACACATACAATGACCACTGCAGTTGAACCATCCGTTAAGAAACAAAAGATCGAAGAAACTTTACAAGTTTTCTTACGTTCTGAACATGGGAAATTACCTACCAAGGGTTCAGCCTTAGCAGCAGGATATGATTTATATTCATCTGAAGCAGCTGTTATTCCAGCTCAAGGTCAAGGATTAGTAGCTACTGATATTTCCATCATTGTCCCAGTGGGTACTTATGGTAGAGTTGCTCCTAGATCGGGATTGGCTGTCAAGCATGGTATTTCTACTGGTGCTGGTGTTATTGATGCTGACTATAGAGGTGAAGTTAAAGTTGTTTTATTTAATCATTCTCAAAAGGATTTTACCATTGAAAAGGGAGATAGAATTGCTCAATTAGTGTTAGAAAGAATCATTAATGCTGAGATTGAAGAAATAACTGCTGAACAATTAAGTAGTACTGAAAGAGGAGCTGGTGGATTTGGATCTACTGGTAAGAAATAAGACTGATAGAACAACAATCTTCAATTTAAAAAAGTTTAAAATTAGTCCATAAGGCTTAATGTTTGTGTATTATATACATGGGATATTTTAAAGATAGGTGTCTTTTTTTGTCTTTTTTGGAGGTTAGGAGTAGGGTGTTTCTTTCTCTTACCCAAAAATACATATTTAGGTTTAGTAAATATATATAATTTAATATAAATACAAATAAATAATAGATTTAATTGTAGAATGAATAAGTGTGTGTGTGTTTGTAAAGAATGGAAATGGAATCTATAATAATAACGAAATAGAAATCAAAAAGCAATCATAACATAACAAAGCAAAATACAATCATGATTGAGCTTCAGCTGAAGAACTCTTGTTCTTAACTGGTTCAACTAATTGAATAGGTTCGATCTTGTCATCGACTTTAACTTTAATAGGAGTTTCAATCACAGTTTCAGATTCAGATTCAGGTTTGGTTTCAGTTTGAGGTTCAACTTGAGATTCAGGTTGGGATTCAGATTCAGATTTGGCTTCAATAACTTCTGGTTCATTTTCATTATCATGTTCAATTTTCATACCTTCATTAGCAGTATCTTCATATTCATCTAATTTAATATTATCTTTAATTTGATTAACAGTATCCTTTTCTCTCAAATTTTCTTCTTGAATCATTTCTTCTTGTTCTTTCAACATATTCAATTTCAATTTAGAATCATCAGATAATTCTAATTTAGCGACATTATAAACTTCATCAGGAATTGATGATAAAACTGCTAATAATGCATCATAATAAGTTTCAATACTATGAGATTTATCACCATAAGTATAAGTTGAAGATAAAATCAATAATGAAGATGGGATTTTTTGTCTTAATCTTAAATCTAACCAAGTTGATAAATCATCTCTCATTCTAGCAGGAGAAACATCAATTGATTTAATTCCTCTTTGAGAACAAGCAATTTGTAATTCAGGAATAGTTAAAGTTTCAACCCCTTCATAATCAATGGCTTTATCATCTTTAATGATGGTTAATAAACGATGTCTGATTTGATAACGTAAGATTGAATCAGTTCCAAATGGTCTTAAAGACATATATTGAGTCATGGCAACTAATTGAGGACGAGATAAATTATCTAAAACTTGATCATTTTTAAATAATCTGGCTACTTTAATTAAATGAGAATGAGTTGGTTTAGTACCTAAAGCAATAATATCAAAAAATGATACGAAAGCTTCCTTTTCTTCTTCAGTAATTTTTTTGGATAATTTTAATCCTGATTCTTCCATAGTCTTTTTAATAAGTTCTGATGCTGAGACTCTAGTTTTTGATAACAGATTTCTCTTTTTAATTCGATCTTGTTTACTTTCATAAGTTGATGGTAAAAGATTTGGGAATAATTTTAAAGCAATAGGTAATAATAATTCTGCAAATGGAATTAATACAAAAGCAGAGAATGGAACTAAACGTATCACATCAACCAATGTTCTTTGTAATTGATTTGATTCTCTTCTGGATAAGGCATAACCTGACATATATTTGAATAATAATTTGGTTGAAACTTTCATTTCATAACCAAGTAATTTTGTTCCATTATAATAATGATTTACTTCATGTTTAACTTTTTCCCATAAAGTTTGTTTTGGTTTATCAGCTGGTGGTGCAGCTGTTGTGGTTACTGGAATGACATCAGTATTGACAGTTCCCTTTATAATCTCAGTCGTACCTTGTTCAGCATTCTTTTCTATTATAGTTTTAGCCTCGGCTTTTGGTGATGTCTTTGAAGATGATGATGATGTAGATTGATATCTTATTATGGAATTGATCAAGGGTACATTTATGGTACGATTGTTTATATTAGCGTGTAATGATGGTCCCAAGGGATATCTTACTGAAGTTCTATAACTCAATGATCTGGTTGTTACATATACATTACCATAACTTCTTTGTAATATCTTGGTATACACCATGATGGGGATGTATGAGATTGATTGATTTAGTTATAAAGGTGGATCAGATGAGATCGATAGTGTCTAATGATACGAATGAATGGATGATCTGGTACGCTTGAGATACTAATGCTATGGATCCGATAAGGGTAATTAAACTGTCTATATCCAGTAACTGATGATATTGGTAGTAATCGTGGATAGTGTGAAAAAATCATCATAGTTAAAATTTCCTACCAGCCTTTTTTCTTTTTTGGTTTGTTCGGGGGGTGGCACACACTCTTTACTGAGAGAATTAGAGTGGAGACGTTTTTGCCTCTCATTAATTATGATCCGGAGACTGGACAATTTAGAAACATCCACACCTCACTACATTATACAAGGTGATCACGTGGATAACACTATAAGAACAATATATGGTTATAATATGTGTATTTAACCTATCTATACTATACATTAGGTTACTTGTCACTGCTTTAACCTTTTACTTTTACTCTTACTCTTACTCTTCATCTTCCAACTTATTCACTGAACCTTGCTCTTTGGTCTCTCCACTAATACCAACAACCACAATCTTATCAATCAAGGTATGATAATCTTCTTCAGCTCCATCCAAGAATATAGTCAAGGTTTGAACAGATTGAAATCTAACAAATTTCAATTTGGCTTCATACCAATCACTACCTTCAACTTTTTCTATACTTTCACTATGAGGAGCTTGAGCTGATGATGCTTCATCAAAAGTTGGTATATTGAATTGATTAGCAAATACTTTTATAACATTTGGAATTTGAGTTTCTTCAAAATCATCTTTATCTAATTCTAACTTTTCTTCTTCTTCAGTCTTTAAACTATCTAAATCAGTCTTAAATTTAATTAATATCGAATAAACTTTAGAAATATTTAATAATGGAATGAAAAATAATAATTGAGAATCAGCATCTGATAAAACAGTATTCTTATCATTATCAGAACTAGTAGTCAATTTAAATACATTCTTAAGAGCTTCTGAATTGGTCTTATATAATGGTAATGCATTCAATGCTTGGAAACCTCCAAAATCAATTGATGAATTCAATGATTCAAATCCTTTTGGTATTAATGCATTAATCTGTTTAACAGTTTCATTCTCAGTAGCTGATGATACTGATGAGGTACCATTTCCAGCTCTTACTTTCACATCACTTTCATTCTTAGCCTTTTCATTCATTGAATCTAAACTCTTAATTAATTCAGGAATATTAGCTCCAGTAACTCTACTTGATTCTTTACCATTTTCAATAAATACAAAAGTTGGAACTGAAGTTATAGTATAATTAGTAGCCAATTCACGTTGCAGATCCAAATCAACCCTAACTACTTCAATATATTCATATCGAGCATTTGAATCACTATATAATTGATCAACCACTGGTTTTATAGCTTGACATGGTCCACACCACAGAGCAGTGAAATTTGCCACTAAATATTTATTATGGGAAACATATTTCTTAAAGTCATCGGTTGACTTGACAAATTGAATTGACATTCTCTATAAGTTTGATTGTTATCTGATAGTATACGATCTTAACCCAAATTGACCCAATTCAATATCTATGGATTTCACCTAAATTGAAATGTTTCATGAACCACAATTACTGTCTCCCCTCCAAAATCAATCAAGAAATTGCATTTCCTGCATATTAAGGGAGTCATACCAAGTGGGATTTTAAAAGTGTTTAATTACTAAGAAACTATAACAGTATTATAGGGTTATACATAACCATTTCAAATTCAAAGGTTTACCAATTGTATATCATTACATCAGATGGTAGAGAGGATAAATAACGACGTTATAATAGAAAATAATAAAACCAACAATGATGCTATAACCACAACTACAACTCCAAAATCTCCATTATCTCCCTTGAGATTATCAGTACCTAATTTTGAAATAAATTCAAGTAAGAAACCATCATCATCTTCACAAACCACAAAGAATGACAATGATAATACGAATGAAAATCAAAGTACAAGATCTCCCCGAACCCATCGTCTGTCGAATGCCCCGTTTATTCCCAGAAGACGACTGAAAGATGGATTTGATTTGGATTTCAATATACCTCAAATCGTTATTGATGATGATAACGACGAAGAAACAAAAAGAATACCCATCATAAAAGAAGAAGGCATAGTAGGAGGAGGAGAGAACAAAACAGTAAAACCAACTGACACCAAATCAACCAAACCAGTTCCAACTAAAGCTGATGTCAAAAAGATTGGTGAATTATCATCATTATTTTTAGATACCCGAAAACTGCTTCAATATGATTTTAATGTAGCAGATTCAATCAAGCATAAAGAAGGACCCGATCCAACTCATGAACATAAAATTAAAATCTCCAAAGTATCATTAGCTCGAGCTGAGAAAGTAAGATCCATGATGGGAGTTAAATATTTCCATATTCAAAGAATGTATGAAGCTTCTTTAGCTCATCCTGGTCATATGAATTTACATCCTGGTGTGGAAGGAGTTTATAATCCAATACAAATCATCAGAAATAGAGAATTAAGAATCAAATATCATGATTATCCCAAGGACTTATCCATGAAATCAATTCCCTTAGCATGTAATGTTTTCAGTAAGAATAATGGTGATTCCGATCATCCTTGGAAATTAATCTGGGCGATTGAATTAAAGGAATTCTTAGGGGATTTCACTTTCAGAGCTAATCATTGGCATGAATTAGTTAATGCAAAGGGTGAATTATGGTTCCCCCCTTCAAATTCTTCATCTACAGTAGGGAGTAATGATAGTAAAATTGGACTTGATTTAAAACAAAGATTACATGATAAGTTATTCAGTTCAGAAGAATCGGTAACTAAGAAAACATCAAATACATCATCATCGAAAAAACAAAGACGAACTTCAACAGCTACTACTGGTAGTGCTGATAGCGATAAATTAAAAATTACCAGAACGAAATCACCTGCAAGTAAACGTATCAAAGATAGAGTTAAAAGACATACGAGGAAGTTTTATAATGGAACTTCCTCTTCCGCCACTGATGAAGATGAAGCAAATATTATTAATTATACCTCTACCAATAATAGCTCTAAGGATCCTATAAAACAACAAATGTTTAAGAAAGTATCGATATCTCCTGAAGTTGAAAATGATGAAGATGCAAGTATGGAGAATAATAGTATTTCGATTCATGAAAGTAAGAGTGCCATTGCGACATCAGTCCCATCCTTCCGAGTCGACTCCACCGAAGATCAGAATGAATCGTTAGATATCAGTAATGTAATGTTCACTCCCATGGATAAGAAAGATATAACTGTGGAACATCGTGAAGATGGGAAATTAGTTGAACTTGAAAAATCTGAAACTGAACATGCCGAAAACGGTGGAGCCAGTCCCGCCCCCTTAGTTCAAGTCACATCACCACCCCTTGATGCTAAAGAATTAGAATTCCAAGTTATGTTAAATGATTTCACCTATTTCGAAAGAGTAATAAACTTAAAAACCAACTACTTATTAAAAATATATCCCAACTACACCCATATCATCGGGACAAAACTTTCCAACATCCTTCATCGAAAATTATACACCGTTTTCCATGCCACCACAAAGATAAGTGATGATTACTTACCTGAATATGAAGACTTATACCAAGGGTTCTCGAATGAAGTCAAATCAGTGGCGCACATGATTAATGATGATTATTCGGTCCGGATCGATAATCTCTTGAGTAATAGTGATAGATCCATTAGTGAGATTAATGCCTCTTTGACGCTTGATTTAAGAAAAATTAATGAAAAATTGGATAAGTTGGATAATTCATTATTTGGGAACTCCGTAACTAATAGATTAAAGGAAAGTCATTTAAAAATTAAAGATGGGGATAATTATACCATGTTATATTTTTGTTTAGAGAATTTTATTGTTATTTTATTAAGAATAGTTTGGATTATAGTTAATCTTTACAAGGGAGTTGAATTAACTGTTAAATTTGTTTGGAAAATAATTAGATTTATATTATATTAAAAACAATCTTCTATAAAATACACGTATGATGTTTAATAAATATTTTAACTTTTTGGGTTTTTTTTATCTATGATCTTCTTGATTTACTTAATTTATTTAATTCAGAAATAAATTTATCAGCATTAATAAGATTTTCATAACGATAATTATTATTATTATTAGTAATATTAGTAGACTCATTTGAAGTTACTTTTGGAGCTTTGAATAATTTGGCTTGAATTCCTTTACTAATTCTCTTTTTCATGAAATATTTATTTAATTGTAATAATTTTCGATGATTTTCTTCATTATCATGGAATATTTCAATTCCATTATCATGCTCATCTTCTTCATCATCATCATCTTCATCATGAACATTAATATCAAATCCATCAGGAATATAATTATCACCACTATCAATCATGACACCAACAATGGTATGTTTAGTTTCAATATCATTAAGTAATTGAGTTAAAATGGATAATTTTTCATTATATTGATCATTTGAGATCTTACCAACATCAATCATTATTCTTGGAGTCTTTCTAGTTAAATTACCATAACTATAAACTCGTTTAATAATAACTTTTAATTCATCAAAATTCAATTGTAAATTTAATTGTAAAATAATAAAAGTATCTTCATTACCAGTAGTACCAACCACAGCCACAGTACCAATCTTAGTAACTGATAAGAATTGATGAGGTTGAGATGTAGCATACATTGCATCTAAAGCAGCAGTAATTTTATGAACATACATTGATTTATCAAATGATAATTCTGAATCTTGAGTATTGAAACCAACAGGATATGAAACACCAGAAGCTAATTCACGATGTAATTGAGATTCAGTTAAAGTTGAACTGACTAAACCAAGACAATATAAATCATTAAGATATTGAGGAGTTATAGTATCACAAGTTTCACCTACAATAGGACAAACTTCAGCTAATTCACAAAGTAAAGCACGACAAATAGGAATACCATGTTCTATTTCAAAAGTCATTATTGAAGAAGAATTATGAGGATCATTATAAGGATGATTATATTTGGATAAATTAGTTCGTATTGAAATCAATAAATCATCATGAATATCATGCTTATTATTTAATAAACTAGTTGGTAATTGTTGTTGAAGTTGTTGTTGTTGTTTATTATTGAATTTCTTACCAATCATAGAACCAATCCATTGAGAACAAGCTTTTACTTGTGCCACATCTTTAATATAGGATGGACCAGTTATAATCAATAAAGGCTCTTTACAAGATTCAGAATTAGTAATATCTTGATTTAAAACTTGATTAACTTTTTCACGATAAATCATAATTTTTTGTTTTAAAGAATCTGAAGAAGGGAATAATAAGTTTTGAATTATTTCAGGATGAGGAACAGCAACTTGACCTCTTTCAGTCAAACATAATCCAGAAACAGCTGATGATATACTTGATGATCTTGGTAATGAATTAGTGGTACCATAAACCCAATTTGGAATCAGATGAATCGAAGAACCACTAGAAAGAGGATGACGAGGAGGAGCAACAACAGCAGTACGATTCAAAGGTAAATTATTCGATCCAATCGATAAATCATCATAATCCCCATCATCTTCTTCACTTAAATGGATCTCCTTAGTTAATTCTTCAGTTGATTTCAATGGTTTTATATCATGATGATTTTTTGAATTCAAAGGTGAGGAGGTTGCAACTTTAACCAACTTGGCGGCAACTTGACCAACAGCAGTTTGACCTAACTTTGAAGGAGGAGAAGTAGCGTGAGTCATGTCTAGATTGATGAATGATCCACTAATGACAGAATATAGTACAACACACTTACTTAACAATCTGAAATCAGGGGAGGGAATTTCTCTACATTTATATGAACCAGATGTTTCTTGTCTTGTCCCAGATGAGTCAAAGCAGAAAAAAAATGGCACCAAAAAAACACAAAATTAAAAAAAAAAAAAATAAAAAAAAAAAGCCGTTAAAAAAAAAAATGGTTACACTCTCATCCTAAATAGGCAATTAGGTTTCAGATTTGGTTGATGTCAATGATCAAAGCATAGATGGTGGTAATAGGATAGATAACGTGATTTATAATGATTTATCATTTGCATTGTCAATGCAAATTTGTAGCAACTGTTAGTTTTCATTTGGATTATGGTAGTGTTTATTTAGTAGTATAGGATAGATTGCAATTCGGTGAAACAACTCCGGATGAACTGGATCTCACTATGAACTATCAACGACCGAGTATACATACAAAACTATTGAATAAAGTAAGATGTCTAGTCTAGAATCCTTGAGTCTTGAAATGACATGTCATAACACCTGAAATACCATATGTTTAGACTCAACTGTCTGGTTTAACTTACAATACATGAGTTTACTATTGCTGCATGGATGTTTTAGTATCACCTCAAATACCAAAACAAGAAATATCAAACTCAAATATGAAAGTCGAACGGTGATCAATATAATATTACATACAACCCACCTAATTTCATATATAATCCCAGAATAAACTTATACAATGCAACCGCAATCTATAGCGTTATTACGTAAGTATCTTTTTAAGATTCAGAAAACAACTTGTACCACCATATATGCTAACGTTTAATCCTTTTAGAACGAATCGATTATGATGTTGAACAAATACTACAAAAGTTCCAACATATCTTTGAAGTATCACGAAATCAAGATAAACCCAAGGAATTACTCGCAGTAGAGTCCTTGACCATCGAATCTGATGCATTGACTATCATACGATATTGTGAAGATTTATTATCCATTTCTCGAGCTGTCAAAGAAACTTGGTGTTTAGGAACTTTAAAAGTAACGAATGAAGACGATAAATTCATTAACGAAAAGGAATTAGATAAGATATTCAATAAATTCAATACTTTAACTGATCAAATAGCTCAATTTCAAGAAAAATCACAATTATCTACAGTATAATACATATAAGATCGTTCACATTCATTCATTAAATTAAATAATATAATTTTACATAGTCATTTTGTTTTTGTTTTGGTTCACCATCACCATTATTATTCCAAACCTGGACTTACTTGCTTACTATTTGATCTAAAGATTGGTGGAGGAGGAGGTAATATAGGTGTAATATCAGTCTTTTTCTTTTCTTCAAATAGATCAACAAATTTTTGAACTTTTCCAACTTTAATGAATCGGAATTTTTTATCTTCTTTGATAAATGAAGGTACAGTAGGTGATCTATCCCGATAAGCATACTCCAATCCGGTGGTATCATCACTATTTATAAAGGATAAAGATGCAGTTGATGTCATTCTTGATACTGTTTTGTTGTTTGTGGTAGCTTTGGTTGGAGAAAGATAACTCAAGTATGACAGTTGTCTAGTCAATGTTTTGGCTGGTGTCATTGGTGGTGATATTATTTCAGTGGAATTTCCATTTCCATTAATATTTGTATTTTCATTTTGATTGATATTAAGTCTTAATTGTATTGGAGGTTGTAAGTGTTGTAAATCATCCAATATATATCTATTAATATCATCATGTTCACTATCATGTTCATCATCATCGATATCAACAAAATCAATATCATCATTTAAATCATTATGTCTTAAATTATTTAAGTTTTCAATAAATGAATCACTTTTCTTTTCTTCTTTAATTGTAGAAAGGATGGTTTTCGGTAATAATTTAGAAGCAGTCTTAACTGAAAATCCAATATCATCATAATCTTCATCATGTGAAATATATCGTATAGTATCATTTGAATTTAACAAGAGTAAATCTTGGAAATCATCTTCCACTTGTTTTCTATCAACTTCATCATCTTCTTCTTCGTCATCATCATACAAGAAGGTCTTTCCACCCACAACACTTTCATTTTCACTTCCTTCTAAAGTCGAATCATTAAATAAAGTATCAGTAGTATATTTACTAATCTCTTGTGGGGTAGGATAACCATCCTCATCTTCAACTATTGAAGTTTCAGGGAATGGTAAAGGTGTCACTAAGTTCTTATTCACTTCCTTAATGAATTTCAATGTGATATACTTTTCAATTTGACATAATAAGATTGATTTACATAATAATAAAATAGTATAATTTTCATCTTTGACAAAATCTATAATAATGGGTGAATCATGATTAAACACATTGAAAGTTAATAATTTCAATGTGATATTAATGATGAAGATTTCTTTTGATTTAAGAACATAAGGTTGGATCCCCTTATAATTTTCTGTATTACCATTTTTAAAAATCAATTGATCCGATTTCATGATTTCAAAATCAATATGTTCAGGTTTAGCTAAACATATATGATTTTCATGTATAAGGTCTGAAGGTTTGAAACTTGGATTGTATAATAAAAGGGTATTCAATTCTATATTAATGTTGAATTCGATATTCTCGGTTGTTAGACTAATTACATGTTCTTCTTCTTCATCATCATTGTTATGGTCTTTAACGTGTTGTTGTTTATCTCGAATTGATAAATATTCATGAGATAATTGATCCACTTTATCAGGAATATCGGAAGAAAAGATGAAATTAGGTCTATCTAGATCATGAGTATTATAATGATAATGTTTTCTTTGGTACGCCACCCCTCGACTCATCATTATTCACGGTATTATCTCGAGTAAGGTTGTACAAATGGTTTTGATAATAATATTGGGTTGTTATGGTGTACAAAGAACACAAAACAAGGTGATTTAATAATGCAAAAATTCAAATTAAATGACAAACTCGAACTCTAACTGCTCTAAGCAAAGGTATATGATAGTTTAAAGTCAATAACAATAGGTAAATGTAGACTTCTGATAGGAATTGAATGGTAATAATTTACGATATTAATTAATTATATTATTTGTTATGTTTTTTTTTTCCCTCTCTAAATTTGAGTTGATTCTAAACATAACAAAAACATTCTCAACCAGCAAAATTAAACTAAACTGTAAAAAGTTATATTTTTGCTGGTTTAATGCAACCTGTAAAAAAAAGAGCAGATTTCCAAAAATTGATTTTAACCAGTATCAAAATCATAAATCATAACTCGTATCAACTATACTGAATTTAACAGAACAGATTAATTTTTTAGGTACCATGTCGTCATATTACTTTACTATCATTGGAACTCGAGATAATCCATTATACGAGGTTGAGTTTTCATCTTTCAAACCATCATCTTCATCATCTTCATCTGCTATATCGTCATCTTCAGCCGGGTCAAATCAACCTCATATACCAGGTAAATCTCAATTCACCCCTAAAGTTCGAGAAATCTTACCCTTCATAGCGAATTCATCATTGGATATCATAGAGGATAGTCAATGGAGTACGAATCAATTCAATCTTGGTCGCATCGATTCATTCTATGGATTATTGGTTAATGCCTTTATAACGCAAGGAAACATAAAATTCATCTTATGTTATGATAATCCAAGTAATGCAAGTAGTTCCCAAAAGTATGATGAGAATTTAATAAGACAATTCTTTATAGATGTCAATGATTTATACGTCAAATGTTTATTAAATCCATTTTATTCAGTTAATGATGCTATAATATCATCTGATTTCGATTTAAAAGTTAAATTATTAGCTAGGAAATATTTATAAATTATGAATTTTTATAAATTAAATGTATATATACAAGGTTTCTATTAATTATAACTACTTTATTAACTATGGTTTTGGTTCATCAGCCAAGGCCTTTTCAGTTTCAATGGTATAATTACCAAATTCATCTTCAACAATGATTTCACTCTCTTTAAGAGTATTGAACATATCTTGAGGAATCCATCCTCCAGTAGCAGCAAATGGACTCGACACCACTTCTAATTGATACTCTTCTAATTCAGTTTGATGTTGATCTAAATATTCAGCACTATACTTTATAGGGAATTCATTTTCACTACTATTACATAATTCATTGGCAACATATGCTTCCCACATAGCCTGTAATTGAATAATACTTCCTTCCACATATAAATAATCCTTATCAGTCTTTAATTCTAAAGCTTGAACATAAGGACCCTTTAATGCTTTGATATGAGGAGATGCAATGGCAATTAAATCATGTCTCTTTGAATTTAATTCTAATTCCCATAATCTTTCATTTCTAGTTTTGTAATACATGAATTGATATTGTTGTTTTTCAACTTCATCCATTTCAGCATATCCTGGAATATCTTGTTCTAAATCATAAATCTTGGCTCCATTATAAGTAAGGAAATTTGGATAATTAGTAAAGATGAATGGTTTTATAGTGGAATATTCAAAATCAATGAAATAATATTCATCATCTTTTTCAATAACATTAAGAGGATCTAAATCAGGAGCGAATAATCTTGGTTTGAATAATTCATCCACATTCATGATTGATTTGGAATTTGAATTGAATAATTTTGAACTTATGGTTTTAAAATTCTCAAATGCTGTGATCTGTTTATGAATTAAATCTTCATTTTCAACTACCTTAGCTGAATCAGCTTGTGATAAAGAGAATCTTGTTTTCAAGTTTTCTAATTCAATAGCAGCAATCGATGTGATTAATTCCAGGGGTTTATCGGAATCCCAAGGACCATTTAATTCATTAATTTGTTTGGCAGATAATAAATTCTTATGCTTAGAGAATGATTTTTCAATACTTGAACCGATTCTCCATCTATCCTTTAAATCAGGATTGGTTTCTCCTTCATATGGTAAATCATTAGCTTGTAATGGAGTCACATCATTTTTGAAATATAATGAACCAAATTTATTAAACGTGATTGATAAGAGTTTATCTTGGAATTCTGAAATTGGAGTGATGACCGATTTTAAATCAGATTCTGATTGTTCCGAATCAGCAGCTAATGGATTCCATTTCTTCATTAATAAATCTCCTGGAATGAATTCCATTAAGATGAATGGAGAATTTAAATTATTTAATTTGGAATCACTATAAGCAATCACTTTTGGAACCTTTAAATTCAATTTCAAATCTAAGAAGTCTAAAGTAGCAACTTCACTCTTAATCTTTTGAGAGATTGAGAATTCAGATTCTAATTTATATGGAATTCTTAATACTAATTCTTTACCATTGGCTAAAGTAAGTTTATAAATTCTATGATGTTTACCTTCATGAATACTTGCGATTGATTTAATTGGCATCACAGCATTACTAACTTTTTCACCAATTAATTCCTCACTTAAATTATGATTTAAAATCACAGTTCCATCATTCAATTGTTTAGGTTTAGAGATTTCAGTTGATGAAATTGATGATCTAATACTATTGATATCTTGGAATAATTTACTAATCCCTTCAATGGAAAACTTGGTTTCTCTTCTTAATTTCTCCAACTTATCATTCTTTAACCATGAACCCCAACTATATTGGAAAAATTGATTACGATTTGGATCTTTTGAATCAGATAATTTGGTGAATATTTCTTGAGGTGGTTGATTATTATTACTTGATTGAAATCTTACTGATTGAACTTTAGGTGACGAAATTTTTGAAACTGAAGCTAAAACAGATCTAGATTGATGGGATTTGATACCATTGATCAATATTGATCCATTAACTCTACCTAATGATCTCAACATCGTTATTCTTATTGCTTAATCTTATGACTAAACTGATCTATTGACAAATTGTTGAAAAATTAGTCCAAAAAAAAAAATTATAGCGATCGATGTTTTCACGTGACTCAAATTTTTGTCTGCAAAAACCTATTACTTTCATACTGGAATGGATAAAGTTTTATATTAAATAGGCTAAATTAAAATAAATAAATAAAATGAACTAATAAATAATAAGAATGAGGGATACATTAACAAACAAAACCAATATACTAGACAAAAACAATCCCAAAGACAAAACAAGACAAGACGAGGTAAAGGCAAGGCAAGGCAAGACAAGACAATCCCTCAATGAAAGAGCATAATGACGGTAATAAAAAGCAAAACGATGGAATAAACCAATTCTAATTGATTCAGCATACTTTGCTTACTTCTTTCCAGTTATACTATCTGTATTAATCAAGTTAATTTTTTCATTTAATGTTACAGGTGGTGGCATTTTATAATCTTTAGGTAAATTATGTTCAAATATTCTTTGTGATCTTTCCCCTCCTAATCCAGGTTCACCATCTAATTCAGCTTGAGTGGTTAACATTGAATATTCACTTTGATCATTATCTTGTAATATTGAATCTGTAGTTGAAACCCTCATAGGAGTTTGACTTGGCGATGGTTCTGGAATTGAAGATTTAGGGTTTGAAGTTGATAAAGGTGATTTATATTGTTTTAAATTATTATTTAAGGCAGTTGAATCGGATCCAGTGGATATGGGTGCAGATGGTTGACTTCTTTGTTGTTGTTGTTGTTGTTGTTGCTGTTGTTGAGAGTGAATCATATTGGAAATAATATTACTAGAATAAGTAGTTGGGCCATGTCTATGTAATCTTTTCCCTTCAATACCATCTTTAGTAGCAGTAGTTGATAAACACGATGTAGTTGAATTTCTCGATAATGATCTTGCAAATGGATCTGGAGTTTGTAAATAATCAGATGGAGGAGGAGTAGAGAAATTAAGATCATCTTCTTTTGTCTTTAAGAAATTATTATTCCGATTATTATTTTCACTATTTGCATTACTGACATGAGTCATTAAATAATCTTCATTTTCATCAGTATATTCTCGTTGATAATCACTTCCGGTTGATGCTAAAGATATATTAGTAGATGAAATATTGGTATCACTATTTCTTGTAAAAGTCTTGGTAGTTGGTTTAACTTGAGGAAATGGTTTTATTAATCGTTGATGTCTCGGGTCTTTAGGAGATGATTTTTTACCTGTATCGATTTCTTCTTGTTCATCATAAACATCACCAGGAGCATAACTTTCTGATAAGGTTCTTAAATTCTTTGATGTGATACTATAGTTTGAGCCATCACGACTTGATCCATCATCATCAATCTCAACGTCTTCATCATCATAGTCTGGAGGATCTTGTTTAGTGAAATCAGAATCAAATTGATTATATTGATGTTGATGATGATGTTGAGTACGTGGATTGGCTTTATTACTAATGGTAGTCGAATTATGATCAGCATATATTATATTATTATCATTGTTGTTGTAATCGTTAGAATTACTTGAATTGAATAAAGGATCGTCATACTGACGTTGTTGCGGTTGTTGTTGGCGATCTCCAACATCGGTATCACCAACATTGATATCCTCACTATCATCATAAGTATCAAAACTAGTATTGTTACCTGAATTGGCGTATTCAAAAGGATCTAAATCATCAGGGGTGTCAAGATTAACCTTCCCACTAAAGATTGACTTGATACTGGCTGCAGGATGCGACATGGCTTATCAGGTACAAGGGGGGAGATGTGTCTAGGGAGGGATGAAGAAACACTTTATACTGAGTTAAACAAATAGTAAATAGGTTAAAAGAGAATATATGAATAGGAAATAATAATCTACATAAATTTTGTATATATAAAATCAAAATCTGATATCATCATCATTCATCAAGCAGCAGCAGTCAGTCAGCCTTGGTCAGTCAGTAACTGTCTGTTCCTTAACTATTTTCTGTTTTCCACCACTAAACCATTTTCCACTCACTCCACTTTTTATTTTCCCCTATGGTCATGAGAAATTAAGAAGACAAAAATAAAAAAGAGAAGACAAAAATTGAAAAAAAAGACAAAACAGACAAAAACTCAAAAAAACTCACTAAATTTACAAAAGAGGGGTGTAAGTAATAAAAATCTCGTTTTGAGGGGTGAGAACGGGAAAAAAAAAAGAAAAATGCTGCACTTTTTTTTTTTTTTTAATTTTGTTTTATTCTTTTTTTTTTGCCTTTTTTTGGTAACATAATTTCAAACATTTTCTCTATTGTTTATCTATTAACAGGAAAATTAAGGTCGAAATCCATATCTTCTAATAATAACAACAATGATAACGTTTAAATCACTAACGATTCAATCTAAGTTTAAATTTGTCTATTTGTATATTTACAGTTTTATTAATTATTAAAGGGGGTCTAACTAAAATGAGACTTTAAATCAAGACTAGAGTGTTGTCTTAACATATTGATGAATGAATTATATGATTCAACTAAGATCGTTTTATTGTTGCGGATATCAACTACCACCAATTTTCCTTGATAAAGATTGATTAAATTGTTAAATATGGTTGAAACTTGATTAACTATCACCCAACTATTGTTATTATTAAATTCTTGTAAGATCTTATAACAATTTATGAAGTTTTGTAAATTGATGGTGTTATAATTATCATTATTATTAATAGTATGATCACTTGTGATGAATTCCAGAGTTTCACATCCATCAATTAGATTTTCAAAATATATAGTACAGATATTAAACAATCGATATAATGACATCCATCCAATGATTAAATTCCCTCCATTTGCTAATTCAAGGGTTTGTTGGAAATAATCTTGACAATATTGCATAATCTTTCTTCGATTGGTATCATTGATAGAACTTGAATGTTGATTAGTGATACTATTATTATTGTTACCATTATTATTACTTGATGATGATGAGGTAGTTGAGGTATTACTTGAATAATAATAAAGATTAGCTAATAAATAATTATAATCTCTCTTGTTTCTAATAGGAAGAAATTCATCTTTAGAATCATCATCAAATCCACCTTTATACCAATAACTTAATTGAGATTCAATTGATTTTTTATCAGCATAACTTATGATTGAATTAGATCTTTTCTTTTTACTTTGCATAATTAACATTTCTAATTGACGAATTCTTAATTGTTTCAGATGTTCAATATTATCATCAATAAGATATGATTCATTAATAGTCATATTCTTATTTAACGTAGCAGTAATCAATCCTTCAATAATATAAATATTTGAACATAATAATTTTAATTGATAATCTTGTTTGAATTGATCAGGTTCAACTAAACTTATTAATCTACTTAATTTACCTGATATTTCCCATGAGATTAATTCAGAACTTTCTAACAAAGAATAAATCCCTAATAATAATAATCTCTTTAAATTATCAATATTCTTACCTCCACTTGTATGATGATGCAATTGATCGTTGGCTAATTCGCGATTTAATAATATAGCTTGTTTGAAGAATTGTTGTGAGATGGAAAACATAGTAGACCCATTTAAATTCTCAATGGCTTTACTTCCAATTGATATTATCATGAATAACTGAAACTTAAAATAATTATCAAGTTGATTTCTATTATATAAGAATTGATGTAAGTAAGTTAAAAATTCTCGTTTTGAAATTATTGGAAAATCAAATGAAAATAATTTAAAATACATATCTCCACAAGTTAATAAAGTTGACTTTTTAACATTAACCACTTCTAAGGATGATGGATTGAATTCAAAATTAAGCGAATCAATAACTACAGATGAAGCTTGATCAACTTCATTGGCTATTTGTGGTGGCCTATAAGAATTATTTTCATTAGTCATGTATGGGTTAGTATTTGAAACATTAACTTGAGATCGTCCATCAAAATATGATACAACAGTTCCATTCGAGCTACTACTCCCCGTCATTATTGTCATAGGAGTAGATGGAATCGATACCGGTCCTGGTGGATGGGGTACAGGCTGTATATTAGTTGGTGGATGTGACATATATGGTTGATATTGACAATTTCTATTCGATATTTCACAATTGTGACAAATTGGAAATTTCCTATCACATAATTGATTAAATTGTTGACAATGAATACAAGGAACTACAGTTATCATTGGTGAATTTGGAATTAAAGGGGGTGTGGGCATATGTTGAGTTGCCATCGCCATTGGTGAATGAACCAACATTTGAGGTAAAAGATGAAGTTGAAGCGGTTGTTGTTGTTGTTGTTGTTGATATTGTTGAGGTGGTGGTACGGGAGAATAGACCATATGTGGTAATTGTTGTTGTTGGAGGGTAGGTGTTTGTTCATATTGATGTGGTGGTTGAGGATATGGGAATAATGATTGTAATGGTTGCAATTGTTGAGGTGGAGGTGGAGATAATGGCTTTAACATTCTAAATTTAGAAAATAATACTGATTGATCATGATTATTATTATTCATAGTTATACTTGGATTAACAATATTGGCATTATTAGGGGGTACGACAGTAGATATTGGATTTAATTTTGTTGGTTTTGATTTTCCAATAACAATATCAGTTAATTGACCATATCTCTTCTTATGTCGTACTCTTCTTTTATGTGGTGGTTCTGAATCATGATGTTCATTGCTTGGTTGATCTTCATCCGACGTGGTTTCATTTTTAGGTGGTGTAGACATATTATTGTTATTATTGTTAATGTTTTCTTGATCACTATCAATCAAACGTGATATAGAAATCCGATTCTGATTTAAATCAGTATCATCCGGTTCTAATTCTTGTTCCTTTTTAATTTCCATAATATCGTGTTATATATACATTTTCTATAGATAAAGGGGTGGCGGTAGAACCTATTGATTATTTTTATATAAAAAAAAATTGAATATTCAACTAACTTTTCGTATTATAAATAAAAATAAATTAATTTTTAAATCGCCAAGATTTATATTAATAGAAGTCTCAGCTTGTTAGTAGGTAGCGGCTTATTTTTTTACCAATCGAGAGTTTTTATTATTTAGCTTCCACTAAAGAAAAATATGCTTGTGACAAGCTGTTAAGCCTATATGCAACAGTTGCATAAAATTTGACCCAGTTGATTGCTTAATTAGATTTAATTTGAAGTATAAGTTTGTCTTGATGTAAAAAATTACACCAATTTTTTTTTAGCTTGTTAGATTTGAACTCAATGCAGTAAAATATAAAAAAAAAAAAACCGAATTGATATTTTAAAAAATAATTTCTGCAATCATTTAAAAAATATTTTTTATATATGACAAAAAAGATAAAAGTTAAAAGTCAATTTATCCATTATGGGTGTATTTTAACATTTTGTGGACCTGTCTCAATTCTGCTGCGAATGGTTTAAATTTTACGAGTGGGGCATCAGTCAGCATAACTTTGAAGTATATTAAGATTTTCTGTAACAATAACAATATGACAAGGGACAAAAGTAAGTGGTATGGGTTTACTCGGCTCTACTCACTGTTATGAAATATGACAGTTTAGCTGGTGTTTAATTCGCTATTGTCTATTTCATCATTACTCACGTATATATATACGTAGAAAATGTTTCTTTTTCTTGATAACGTTTCTTGTCCAACCTATGTCAAAAGTGTAATTTTATCAATCTTCTATAATAGAAGCTTGTAACCCGCTCATAATCATCCACTTTGTAAATCTATTCCTTCTGTACTATAAAACCTCCAATTTCTTTTTTCTCCACTTTAAAGCTGCAGTTAAAAGTTTTGTAACTTGTTTCTTCTTATTCTTTAATTTTCTTTCCTTCGTTTGTTCTCTTTCTTTTTGAAAACAATGGCTCCTTTTAGCCACTCATAACGCTTTTATTACAGCGATATTCTCTTCGGATTCTATTTCTTGGTACAGCATCTATTACGTACCCTACGGCATCCCTGTTCGACGGTCCAAACCACCCCGCTTCTAGGTCAACCAACAATGCCATCCCCATCGCCTTCTGTATGTACTTTTAAACCAAGGATGAACATCATAAAGATCAATTTTTGACACGCGTATTTACCGCAAAAAGCTAACACAAAAGAAAAAAAATTGTCTGTCTGTCTGTCTGTCCTTTTTTCACTCACTCACTTAATGTCTTACACCCCCAATTACCGGTAGTAACCAAAAATAAAATAAAAAATAAAGCCAGCTTCTGAGAACATAATTAAAAGATTAACCAAATTAAAAACAACAAAAAAAAGAAATGTATGCAAATGATGCTTTAATGTACATGGTTTGCTTTACCAAGCGCATTTATAATTTAATACTTACATATTAGCCTCTATAAGATCATTAATGCATTTACGCTTAATCATTACTTTATTATAAATATATTATGTAGATTCAAACTCCTAATTGGCTCGCCAATGTTTATTCAATACTCGCCGATATTCCGGACATATTTAGCGTAAAAAATAGCTGGTGGGTACTTTTCATATCATATTAGGCTTTTTAAACCATGCCATTTTTTCACTAACACTTAAAAGTTAAAATAATTCATATCTATTAAAAGTTAATCTATGGTTTAGATATACTAATTGATGATAATTTTCCTTTTAAGTAGTTTTAACCTCTTTGCTTGCAACTGTTTGTGTAGTTCAAAAGAAGCTATTATTCGCATATCAAAGCCTCTTCGGCAGCAATTAGTTTGGTTTTCTTTTGTGTGTGTGTTAATATGATATATACAGGCACTTTTAAAATAATAAATAATAATTAAATCATATCGTCTAAAAGAAATGTTCTAGTTCCAATTAAGGAGTTGCTACGGCTAGTAACATAATAAGAAGAATCTTAGTAATTCGTTAGGATTATCACAATTTTTTCTGACCGATCAATCTAGAAAACTTATACCGGGTGATATGTACATTCCTAATTAGGCCGTAAGCTAACCTATCTTAGCCTAAACTATAACACATCGAACTTAAACTTTCGCTTCCATAGGAAACATAACCAATAGTTAAATATGCAATGGAATTCCTTGTTCCTTGTTTGTTAGTTTGATAGTTACTTATGAATTATTTATAATAATGATATTTGTCAAAAATTTTGTCAATTTTTAGACTCTTTTATTTTTTGTTTGTGGTCCTGTCAATGTTCTTTTTTTTTCTGGTTATCTATCAAAATTAAATTAACAAGCCACAGTTAGTATCAGCTAATTTTGTGATATAGAAAGGTTAAAGAGGGTTCACCGGTTCTTTTTTGATGTAGATTTTTTTTATATGAATTGACCTTATCATAATCATTCCTGGTGCTATAGATGACATATTCCAAAATTGCTGTAATAGGTGGCGGTCCATCGGGGTTGGCTGTCGCAAAAGCGCTTGCGCTAGAGCCGGTTGATTTTGAAACCATTGATCTATTCGAAAGAAGAGACGATGTAGGTGGTGTATGGTATTTTGGAGGTAATAAATCAAATTTAACCCCTCTTATTCCTTCATTGACTCCTAATTCTTTTGATTATGATGAAAATACAAATGTTAATGATACTTTTACATCACCCATGTATAAATATTTAGAAACTAATATTCCAGGAAAAATTATGGAATATGAAGACCTACATTTTAGTGATGATTTACCATCTTTCCCATCCAGAGATGATGTTTTTGATTATATCAAATACTATTCTAAATCAATTCCATCTGGAAAAGTCAATTGGCATTTTAATTCTAATATAGTATCCTTAACAAAGATAAATCCAACAACTTGGGAAATTGTTGGGAAATCAACCATTGCCCCTTATAATCAATTCATTAAAACCTATGATGCAGTAGTCATTGCCAATGGACACTTTGGAATTCCATTCATACCTGATGTCAAGGGATTATCTCATTGGAATCTACAAGAACCTGGATCAATCACGCATGCTAAATATTATAATGATCCTCAACCTTTTAAGGATAAAACGGTTCTTATCATTGGGAATTTCGCAAGTGGTCAAGATATATCAGTTCAATTATTAGTAAATGCCAAACAGATATATGTTTCGATCAAAGATGTGGAAGATTCTGCAAGTCAGTTAACTGATACCAATGACTTAATCAAATATATTGGATTAGTTGAGGAATATAACTATGATTCAAATCGATCCGTTAAAACCGTTGATAATCAAATAATTGAAAATATCGATGTGGTTATATTTTGTACTGGTTATTTATATAGTATACCATTTTTAAAATCATATCCCGATTTAATCACTGATGGTAATCAGATTCATCAAGTTTACAAGCAAACATTCTATATCCCAGATCCATCATTATCACTTCCTGGATTAAGTAAGAATGTTATTCCTATGCCAATAGCTGAATCCGAAGGTGCAATCATTGCTCGTTATTATTCTGGAAGATGGAAATTACCATCTCAAGAAGATATGCAAGTTGAGTATGAGGCAGAGATAAAGGAAAGAGGGACTGGAAAGGCCTTTCATAGTTTACCATATCCTGTAGATGTTGCATTTTATAAATCCTTACAAAAGATTATTGATGATAATAAGTTAGGTGATGAAGGATTAATTGCACCTATATGGCACGATTCAAGGACTCAATTGAGAGCTGAATGTTCTCCGCTCAAGAAGGAAAGAGTTAAAATAGCAGTGGAGCATGCTCTTAAATTGAGAGAACAAGGAGAGGCTACATTCAGTCTTCCTGATGCAACTCTATAGATTAATAATATAGATAGACATTTAGATAATTCTCTTATAACTAATTTTTTTGTGAGTGTGATTCCCAAATAGGAAATTGCTGCCAAATTTTAAAAAATGTTCATTAAAATTGATTGATTAACTTGTTTATACACCTTCTTCTTCCACATAATCAACACATTCATATCAATCAATCAATCAATCAAATGCAAAAGTCTCAGGATATGCTCTCCAAGATAACTGAGGGGCAATCAAAAGCTTTGATTCATAATTTAATCTCAATTTCCTTACACTGCATCTCATTTTTAAGATGTATATTTGATGATGACTTTTATGAAGACAGCAGTTTTATACCAAAGGATAAATCAATTGAAGGATTTAGGGTTAGTGCAGGTCGAACCAGAAGAGTGAAGACAAAGAGTTTGATCAAAGGTTCGTCTCCTGAAAGTGATGCATTTATTGATTGGATCGACCAAGGGATTTATCAAGCTTTAGATTTAAAATATTTGAAAACTGTTCAATTCTCAATATATTTAGATAAAGCTCACCCAGAACAGCTTATTGAATGCTATTTGCTTTCAATTGATTATGATGAAGAATCAATAATGATTGATTCAAAATTGGACGGATCTAAAATACAGTCATCATCAAGTAATCATTTAAATGCAAGGGAACAGGTAATGCAAGTGATTAAAAGTCTTATCGTTTTAACTCAAAGTTTAGAACCGTTACCTGATCAGAATTACATATCTATCAGATTATTATATAATGATTCTTGTCCTCCAGATTATCAACCTCCGTTGTTCAAAGATGATTCTAATTCGATGGCCAATGTTATATTTATTGATAAAGCAAGGAAAGCTGTTGATAATATTGGAACTGTTTCTACTGGATTCATCAACTCTAATATCAATGTAATATCTGCTTTTGGACAAGACTTAGAAGCTACCATTGAAGTAGATCCCCTAGATATGGATATTGATAATGATGTTTCAGATACTTCTATCTTTTCCTCAATTGAAATACCAGAGTCGGATCATACTGATGAAAGTGATACGTCCCTTCATTTACTGGATTTATTAATCCCCAAATCCAAGAATGTTGAACCCACACAATTGTTAACAGAAGTATCCAAACTGATTGAAGAACCTTTAGAAGAAGTACTGCTGCAAAACCCAGAAGTATTGTCTTGTGTGTCTAATTGCAGATCAAACAACACAATAAGTTGTATTTCGTGTAAAAGAGATATCATTCCCATTTGTTATGGAAATAACTATTATAACGACTTGAAATTAATAAAATGCTATGCCTGTTGCTTTGAAGGAGACATCATAGATTCCGATTTATTCCTTTTAATGAAATTAAGGTTTTTATGGGATCATATGCTTCAAAATGAATTTCCCACCTCCATGCAAATGTATAAGCTTTTGAGTTTGAAATTAGGTAATGCAAGTGATGACAAGATAATGGAAACAATTTTGAATTTATTCTTTCAACAAAATATTTTAATTGTGAACGATAAAATGATTTTGAAACCTAATTCAACTGAATTTGTGCTTGGCTTTGGAATATTCATCCCTCTTACTGCAAATATTGAATCTAGAAATGAATTCTTATCAATGAATGAGGAATATTTTGTATCATTTGTACCCAGAATGAAGTTCAAATTTCCATTTTTACATTATAAACAAGAGTTTGCCAAGATAATATTTCCTAATTTCGCAACTACAAGGAAGGAAGCTGTCATTAAAAATTTAAAAAAATTTAGATCATGCTTAAAACAACAACATTTATTGGTTGCAGATATTGATGATGATGACCCAATAGAATCAAGCAGTCAAAATTCACAGTATGCCACTCCTGAAAGGAGTATGAGGTCAAATTTAAGTAAACTAAGTCTCTCACCAAATAAGGTTTGTACAGATGAAATTGAAGACCTTAGCTTCGAGGATTCATTGTTGTTTCTATCACAACCACAAGAAGAAAAGGGGTTTCCTAAAAAGAGACCCTCTGAATTCCAGATACATGCACCTCAACCCAAAGCTAGGAAAATTAGCATTAATATTTAGCTATTATCAAAGTTTCTAAAAATACGACCACTTAAATCAATGGCGAATCTTTACGTCAATTCAAATCATCATGTATATCACCGTATTCCAAACGTGGTTCTGAGTCTAGATGTCAAATCTCGAATAACTCCATGGCATTTTATGTTGCTAAAGTTACGTCTCTAACTATAAAAATGTAACATAAACTTAAAAAGGCATAATTTAAGGTATCATTTTATCACGTGCTCGTATTTTCCTAAAAAGAAATTTCAATTTTGTTTATGTGGCGGATGACTTTCGTGTCGTATCTTACATTACTTTTTGTCTAGTCTCATTTTAACTCTAAATTTAATTTGTCATATAGACGTCGGTCGCATAATTTGTTATAATCAGAATTAGCTGGGACGTAATTAGGTATTTATTTGGAATTGCGTGTATGTCAGATTTTTCTTTCTTTATTTTTTTTTTTGGTTCTCTTCCTATTATTGTTAAAAGATCAAAATTCTATATATATTCAGCCTAAGCCTAATCAGAAAAAGTTCAAGAAGTCCTAGAATTTCCATCAGATATTAGTTTGATTTATACCTAGCATCAACGTTGTTTGAATTTTCGTTTAATTTTTTTCTTATTTTGTTTTCTAGAAGTTTGTTGATATTTGATACTGAAATTCATCTTTGAAATTTGATATATTAATCAAGTGTGATGTCTGTTCAGAAGAAAAATCCAGTAACAGCCACCAGAAGGAAGCATACAAATTCAAAGCTTGGTTGCTTGAACTGTAAAAGAAAGAAAATAAGATGCAATGAACAATTACCTGTTTGTGGAAACTGTTTAAAAGGTAAAAAGGAAACATGCTCATATCTAAGTTTAAGTGAACCAGAAATCGATAGAATCAAGTTAACCCATTCCTTAAGAAATAGTCAGAATAAACTATTAAATCAAGATTATAGATTACCTACCTCATCATCAAATCATAAACATCAAACCCAACTGCATGAAACATATGAAAACAAAACTGATAATTATGATCAAGAACATATATCAAATAAGAAAATATCATTAGAAATAAAATTTGAATTAAGTAAACTTCCATTAAGATTCCCATCCATATCATATCCTCCGGTTCAATTTGATAATTTGACTGTTAATGATTTTTCACAAGAGTTCCGTTTATTGCAAGATTCGTCATCAGACGAAGAAGCAAGAGGTCGTAAAATTAATCGGAACAAATTGCCAAATGGAGTTTTCCAACCTGCTACCTTTAAAAAACTTGAAATCAATAAAGTCTTTCGTAAGAGCTTTGCTAATAAGACCAAAGTTAATAATGGTAATGATTTAAATTTCCATATTTTCATTGGTAAAATTAATATATTAGATTTTTTTAATGATTATTTAATTGATATGTCATCCGCCCATTGGCCATATTCTGAAATAGTGTGTGATACATTCATTTGTTTAGGAGAAACTGTTATTTTAAATCAATTTCATCAATCATCCAAATATAATTGGAGATTTAAACGAGATAGAAGTTTGAATTTTGTTGAAGAATTTGAAAAGAAATGTTTTGAAAATCATGGTGCAATGTTAACTAAATTAAGACGAGGAATTATTCAATTTCAAGATATTGAAGGTTCAGCAAAGAATCTGCAAGAAATGGGATATGTTTCATCCTTATTGGGATATTCAAGTTTTTTCCTTATCTTTTCAATTATAATGTTAAAATTTAGTGCTGAAAGTTATCTTAATTCATCAAGGGGTATATTTGCTGTATTTGAAATTTATTCTAAAAGTATAGTAGAAAACAAATTAGTTCCTAGTCCCTTATATCAATTTTTGCTGAGAAATATGCAATATAATATCTCCAGTATAAATATTCCTTCATATGATCCACAATTCTTAGTTGAATTAGAGTCTAACTTAAACCAATTACATTTTATTTATAATCACGATTTAAGATTTAAAGATGATTGTAATAATTTGGCTCTTGAAAAGATACGATTCCAATATAATAATTTAGTGGAATTTTTTAAAGTTAAATTAATGCCGATAATTTTCAAAACAAGAAATGAAAAATATGTTACTACATATTCACCTACTACAATTTATGAAATATTAAATGCTTGGTTTTCTATATTCCCCACTGAATCTATATCATATAATCCTCAAGTTAGTCAATCAGCTTATTCTCAAGATGATTCAAAATTTGTCAATGATTTAACAACCACATTATACATGTATTATCAAGGTGTTTCAGCTTCTTTAAGTGCCGTTTTTCCTGCCTGTAAATATTTATATGGGATGAATTATATGTTACCATCTTCTACATCATTTTATCATGATAGAAAGGTTATGGAAACAAGTAAATCGAATCCATATTTACAACAATATTTCAATTTCCCTGTTGATGGATTATTACAACGTCATAATTATTATACCATGAGGGTATTTTCATTTTTTAATAGAAGAAATATCTTTTATCAAAATCATTTGGTTTGGTCATCTAATCCGTATAATGAATATTTAAGAGCTAATCGATTCAAATCTAGAATTTTAGTGGATTCTTATGAAGTTCCAATCAAGAGTTTTAATACTACTTTGATCCGTCCAGAACATTATCCTACTAAAGTTGATCACAACAATAATAGCAATAATAGTAATAATTTCAATCATAATAATCGTGCTATTAGTTTTAATGGTGGTAGTGATAAGGTTTCAGATCAAAGTTTCATTAAAAAGGCAGTACCAACTCCTATAAGAACTACGTTAGGTAATGGAAACACATCAAAGGAAATGGCTAATTTTGTATTCACAAGAAGAGATGAAACCATGATTCAAAAATTATATACTCGTAATATTGAAACATTAAATTTCTTTGATCTGAATTCAATTTTACAATTTGATTATCAATCCATGTTATTATTAAGAGATTATCGTCCTGGAGAAGAATTAGATGCCAATAGTCATAATGAATTAGGTATTGAAGATATTCAAGAATATTATGAAGATAAAACTATTATATTGAATAGTTTACATTAGGGAGTAGGTATATATGTATATATAAGATTATTTATAGATAAATGAATGTAATGATTAGAAGATCATTGTAGATGTTAAAATTTCGCAGTCAAAAGAAGTAGTGGTGAATGTCGCAAAAGGAAAAGGTGACATGTACGACATTACCAATCATATATGAAAAAAAAATAGTTGATGGATGGAAATACATCTATTACTGCTAGAGAAGATCATCATCAGAATGTCTGAAATAATACTACCAGGAGACAAACTACCGATCCATAGAGCTTTAGTTCAAGAAGATCCAGAAAATGAAGCTGGATCCAATATAACGATTGGACCAGGATTATATAAAAGCATCAACTCCAAACAAATCATACCTACTCAAGCTGGGATTTTTGAATCAAAAACAATCAAGAGACATGAACAATTATATTACATCGAGAGTAATAGTAGTCGATACATACCGCAAACCAATGATTATGTGATTGGAGTCATCACTGGTGTCATTGGAGGTGAGAGTTATAAAGTTTCCTTACAAGATTTTTCCAATCCAGTGATATTATCAATGATGGCATTTCCAAATGCTACTAAGAAGAATAGACCTAATTTACAAAATGGTCAGATTGTGTATGCCAGAGTTTCAAATGCAGGTAATGAGATAGAGACTGAATTGGAATGTATAGATCCTACTACTGGTAAAGATGGAGGGTTTGGATTATTGGACGAATCTGGATTTTTATTCAATGTGAAAAGTTTAAATTATACTCGAGAATTATTATTTAATCCTAATTCAACTATCTTAGAGAAATTAAGTTCAAGATGTAAATTTGAAATTGCTATTGGGATTAATGGTAAGATTTGGATTAAATGTGGTGATGGATTGAATTTAAATAAAATGGAAGTTGAAGATGATAATGGTTCAAGCACAGTAAGTAATGATTCTAGTAAGGATATTAAAGTTACATTAGCTGCTGTTAAGTATATTACTCAATGTCAACACTCTTCACCAGATCAATTTGATAATATCTTACAACAATCATTCAAGGATATATAGGTTTGTAAAAGTTGTTCTTTTGTATAGTATAATATTTTTTTAGCAACAACATCGCAAGCATCGCCAAACGAAAAAAAATATATAAATCAGTTACTGAAAAATATTGAAAAATAGTAGATCTAGAGAGTTAATTCGAAATCCAAAAGATGATACCGACGAAACCATTAACGGCGGAACAAATCGCCCGTCAACAACGTAAGATTGAAAAAGACCGTCGAAGAAAACAATATGAAGATTTACAAGTTCAGGGGACCAATAATTCATCTATTGTTTCGAAAAGAAGTGTTGAAAAAATATATGATACCAAATTACATCCTGAAGAGAAAGAATGGTTTGCCAGTTTTGTATTCAAGAAGGTTGTAAGACGTTCACCTGCTATTAATCGTGGATATTGGATTCGTATGGAAAGTATAAAGTCGCTAGTTAAACAAATTGTGAAATTAAATCCTGGCAAAGTTGTTAATGTGATTAATTTAGGGTGTGGATTTGATCCATTACCATTTCAATTATTTAATTATGATGAAAAGTTGAAATTCATTGATATTGATTATCCTGAATTAGTCGATAATAAATATAAAATGATCATTGATAGTGAAGATATCATGAAATTAATCGGTAGAGATAATAATACTATCAATCAAACCGATGATTCAGATGGTATTAAACTCGGATTAAAAATCAACCATGATAGATATAAACTTATCGGATGTGACTTGAAACAATCGGAACTTTATGGCAAACAATTATCTCATTTACTCACCAATAAAGATGAAATCAATGTATTCATCGCTGAAGTATCCCTTGCATATATGAAGAATCAATATTCAAATAAGATTATCGAAATCAGTAGTAACCTTCCTAATAGTCATTTCCTTATCCTTGAACAGATCTTACCTGATCTGGAATTGAATAGTTTTGCCCAAAAGATGATTGCTCATTTCGATAAATTACGAAGTTCATTATATTGTATCAAGAATTATCCTACAAAGACCGATCAAATAATTCGATTTAAACTGTATTTCCCTCATGTTGAGATTAATAATCTTTTTGAAAATTGGCAACAGTTGATTGAAACAGATGTCAAAGTTGCGATTAATAATATTGAACAGTTTGATGAATGGGAAGAATTCATTATATTTTGTCAACATTATGTGATCTTACATGGTTGTAATATTGAAGGCCAATCCTTGTATAAAGATAGTCATGCATCAAAGACTCCTACATATGAAACAAGTTCATCTATATCATTTTCGTTGGATGAAAACTTATGTCATGATGAAAGATTAGAATTAAAATTCCCAGGGATATGTGAATTAGGTGATAAGATATTAATTCAAGGTGGATTGAAACAATCAAGAACAAATGAGACATTAATTGTCAATCCTAAGGAATCCACCATTGAAATTGTTGAAAATAATGGTGATGAAGTTCCGGCTAGAATGTGTCATACAATCACTTCCATCAATAATGAAGAAACAATCTTAATCGGTGGTAGAACTCGACCTGGGGTTAATCTTAAAGATATTTATAAATTCAGGAATGAGAAATGGATTAAATTAACCGAAATGAAAGAAGGTAGAAGTAGACATTGTACAGTTAAGATTGATTCTGATCATATTTTAATCTTTGGTGGATTGGAATATGATAGTTCTGAAGATTTATTCATGATCTATCAAATTTCAACTAATGAGTTCTATCCATTGAAGATTACCGGTGATCAAATTACCAATCTTTTAGGTAGTGATGTTGATTATAATGGTCAATATGGGATTATATTAGGAGGAATGATAAATGTTGATGAACCTTGTGTGAATGATAAATTATATAAATTCACCATTGATTTAAATCATAAGTCCATTCATTTAACTATCATTGGAGAAGATTCCTACTTATTTAGTAGAATTGGAGGTCATGTCAAATTAATCAATGATCGAAAAATGATTATTATGGGAGGTATATCGCCTAAAGATATTTATACATATCAAAATAACGCCATAAGTTTAGAAATCAAAGAAGAAGGTTACAAAATAGAGTATATTCCGATTGCGGATAAGATTAGACAAGTTAAATCACCATTATTGATTGGATTCGGAGTGATTCATGATAAAAGTTCGAGACAACTTACTATTATTAGTGGAGGAGCTGTTTGTTATTCATTTGGTAGTGGATATAATGGAGTGTATACTATTAGATATTAAGTAAAGATAATGTAAATATTCGGAGTAATACAAATGTAGAGAGACATGAGTTTATGATAGGAATAGTCGGTAACTTAGTGGGAAGAGGCGTAATTGCAACATTTAGCGATAAGAAAATAAGTACGACTTGAAATTTAGATTATTTAGACGGTAAGAAGGGAGGGGGGACATAGTGGGGCAGGAAAGGAGGGAAGCCATAGTAAGAGTGAGTGGCGTACAATGCATCACAGTGCGTAAACAACAACAAACATTGAATAGATGAACAAAGTATATTGACATTTAATTATTATTTAACATATGATTGAGTTGAGTTTAATAGAGTTGACTCACGTCACAATACATTATATCAGACAATATTATATAATAGTTACTAACTAAATAGGTCATCTATCATATCAGCTTAAACAGAGATTTACTCGTTATAATAATACTGATAATATAATTGATCATTAGATTTATGCTTAACGACACCTCAAATACTTGAGGACGTAATTCAGTTTGTGATTGATTACACAAACACGTCTTGCAAAGATATTTTGAGTTTACCTCGATTCAGATAAAATATCGATTGAGGAGAGGAGATGATAAGTAATGGAAATACAAATAGAATTGAAGGTTTAAGTTTTAAGAGGGGTTAGAGTAGACAGTCGAAGTGAAAAATTATAATGGATAGATGGTTATAGATTGTAAGACCATATTGATTTAGTATGGGGGGGAGTAGTGTAGAAATATCAAAAAATGGCTACTAAGAAAAAAAATAAAATAAACAAAGTTTAAAAAGGGAAAACAGACAATCAAAATAACGGAACCCAACCAGATAAAACATCTGATTTAAGTTAAAGTAGAGAGGAAATAAGGTAAATATCAATGATTTAAGCCATGTTAAAGGTAAAGTAACCGATGATAAAAGTTTGAATGAAATATGTTGTAGTGGTTATAGTATGGAATTATATTACCGTATGGTCGGTAATATTTTAATTCCCGAATAAACCTAAAAATAATTAGTTAAGGAGAACAAGGAGGAGGTGGAGTAAATAGAAGAGAAGGGAAAGATTTAACCAGAGAAGGAGAAGATGTCAATAATAACCTGATTTAAACGAATATAATTATACATTATTATAATTATAAATATAATATGATGGTTATTGATTATCGTATACTATAGAGTAATTGTTTGATTAATTGGGTTGGTTGAAAAAATTAGGGGAAGATGAAGATGAAGGGGGAACTATAAGACAGGAGTCATGAGGAGTCACATAGAGTTAAATATGGGGAATTGAAGGAAGGAAAGTAAGTAATAACAAATAATAAACAATAAATAATAATAATTAAAAATCTCCCCATCATACAACTACCACACCCACCCAATTAGTGAGACTTCCTTTACTGGCTACACCCACCCAGTAAAAATAAAGTCATTCCTCCTCATTTTTATTTTTTAATGTCTCTCTCCCCTTAATTTTTGTGGTACATCTTTTTTTTTTATTTCTTTTTTATTACTTTTTTTAGTGACAAATTAATGAGCCATTATCATTAAAAAAGACAATGATTTAGTGATGTCTTCTCCCTAAATTAGGCGCATAAAATGAATCATACCCAAACAGGGCTTTAATTACCGATAAGTTTTGTTTTGTTTTCTCACTAAATTTAGTGGTGACTTAAACTATCAGTAATTACTGACCACTGATGAACAATCCAAAAATCATATCATATCGTATCATTATATTTAAATCATCATCATCATTAAGTTTCATCATCCATGATGCGTTATCTAAACCGATTACCTCCATACTTGCTTGGCTGATAGAGCATATAACAACGTTCCATAATATAATATATTATATTACAGTCTAACCTTTGTAATAACTAGTGTTATATAATATCTGTTAGTAACATCTCATTAACTGTCATAGGGAGACCCTTTCCCTTATCTCGTTTTATTACAACCACCAGCCAGAAAAAATAATTAAACATTAAAAATTAAAAATTATCCTCACAAAAAAAAAATAAAATAAAATAAAAATAAAAATTAACTTTTTTTATTTTATCTTCATCACCAAACCCCTCCTTTATTTTGGAGTTTTCTCTGTTTTTTAGTAAATGGAATTTTATGGAAAACTCTTTTTCTTTTTGAATTAACAATTACAGCAACAAGAACAAGTATCGATTATAATCAATCTAATCAATCTATTGAAAGATTACTCCCATCAAAGAATCATATCAGATTCATTCACTTACTCATCCCCCTCCCCCCCTATCTGGTTACCGCTTTTGTAATCAATTTTAGGCACTTCCTTTTTTTTTTTTGGCTGCTTTTGCAAATATTACAAACCCATTTCAAGGGGAATACACATCCATAGAGATATATTTATTTCCTATAGCTATATCGTTTATCTGCTATTACATACCACCATCAATCTATCTCATTGCTAGACTTACCTCTCCTATACCCCTAACCCCTTTCATTTTTCATTGTCATTTTTCAGTAATTTACTGTCAATTCTTTCTTGTCATTTCCCGCTGCCGCATTTCCCCTTAGTCATTATTTAATCACAGCAATTAATCTAATTTATCAATCAACCCATACCATTTAACTCAACAAAATGATGGATAATCCTCCTCATATATTACGATTATCTTCACCTCCATCAGCATCAAATCCCAATAATCCATCGTCATCATCATCATCAACCACCACCACCACCACGACAACAAATCCCTTACATCATCATCTTTCAAATAATTTAAATGCATCCACTCATCCAAACTTATTTATTGATACATCCATAGGTTCTACAGAAACATCTCTTCCCACTCCTCCATTACAAACTATCCAAGACCATTCTCAATCCACGGATATTCATCATAAAAGAAGACATTCCTTTACTTATGAACCTCATTTACAACATCATTCGCACGTTCCATCATCTTCAAATACAACATCAGATCCTTTCAATATGAATAATTCAATTCCTAATACTTCTCCAACTCCAAATACTTTATCAAATGTTTCATCAGTATCAAGTTCACCTCCTTTAATTCATTCATTTTCTGATGAATCATTTAATGATTTACCTTTATCAATGAAATTTATGCATAAACCAAGTAGATCTCAAGAATTATTAGAAAAAGCAAGTGATCCAACTAGAAGAAATAGTTTACTTAATAGTCATATCGATGATATCACCCTTAATAATAATAATAATAATAATAATAATCAAACTAATAATATTGATCAAAATTCAGATATAATTTCTTCATCTCCAGTATCTCAAACTATTGAATATTCTTCACCCATGGAAAATGTATCCATGAGTAATGGTACAGAACCAGGTTATACTTTGGTCCGTAAAAAATCTGGTGAAATTTTAAAACCTTCATTAAAATCAGATGATTCATCATATTTTGATTTAAAGAAAAGATCAAGATCTTTACCCACAACTCCAACTTATAAACAAGTTCATTTTGGTGGTGGTAATGATGTAAGATATTTTAAAAAGAAAGATAAACCAAATGCTATAAGTGCCACCAATTCTCCAACTTTAGATGAAGGTCAAGATGAAGCAAATCTTTTAGATATTCGAAAATTAAATTTATCTTCAAGTGAACGATATTATGGTGATGATGATGAATATGAATATGATGAAGAAGATGATGATTATGATGATCAAAGAAGAAGAAGATATGAATATGAAGAATATGAAGATAATGATGATGATGATTATGAAGATTCAGATGATGAATTTGTGGCTAATAATGCTCATGGTGAAACTAAATATCCTCGATATGCTGAAGTATTTGATGATGATGATGATGAAGACGATGAAGGTGATAAAGATAAAGAAGAACATCGATATAAATATCAATCACCTCCTAAAACCATTGATTGGCAATTGAAATTATTAAATTTCACTCCTTTATCATCTTATGATGTTAAAATCAAAGCTGAATCACCAGTATTTTTAGAACGATTATTTATAACAGTTGATAAAAAATATCTTTTAGGTCATATTGCCGTTAAGAATCTTGCATTTGAAAAATATTTAATTGTTCGATATTCACTTGATAATTGGTGTACTATTATTGAAATTCCAACTATTTATGTTCCTGATCGTCCTGAAATTTTAAAAGCTAATAATTATGATCGATTTATATTTCAAATTCCTTTGGAAAATCTTTTTCATAGTTTTAGAATTAATGCATCAGCTAATAGTAGCACTGATAGTATTAATAATGATAATAATCCAAAAACTGGTGATATTAAACAAGAAAAAGCTTATCAATTATGTATTAAATATTATTCTGATAGAAACGAATATTGGGATAATAATGGATTTAAAAATTATCATATTAAATTAATTAAAAGTACTAAGATTCATCCTCATGAAAAACAACAACAACAACAACATTATAAAAATCATCATGCTAAAGTTGGTTCACCTCCTCCTCCTCCTGATTTTAATCAATCTCATAAAGATCCTAAGATTCAAGCTCATAATAAAAAACCAAAATATTCAAATTCTTATCTAAAGAGAATTGTATCTGATTCTCAAATTGAATTGAATAAATCGGATAAAAAGAATTCATCTCCCACTCCTGAACTGATTAAACCAATTGAATCAGCACCAATTGTTTCTAAATCTAAGGACAATAATATGTTCCATACTGATGATAATTCATCAAGTGATGTAAATGATTTTGAAAAGAATAATTTTTATATGTCATCCCCTATGTTATCAACTTATAATAATAATAAATCAAAACCATCAACGGCAGCTTCTGGTATTAATGCTAATGGTTCAAATTCTATCACTAGTAATAATAATCATGAAAATAATAGTAAAGATGTTAATGAAAGTATTGAATCTTTACCTAAAAATACTAATATCCATACTATTACTAATCCATCTACCATTACATCAACAGATGATTCTAAACCATCATCAACGTCAACTAAATTACAATTAACTTCACCACCATTTGCTATTAGAGATGAAAATGATTCAAATATTTCTCCTGATAATGAAGATGAAGAAATTGTATCACCATCTCTTGGTCAAACTCAATTACCTCCTCAACAATATCTTGTTCCACCGCCATTAGATCCACAATCTTATAAGGAATTACTTGATAATTATTGTTTTTTTAATTCTTCCAATCCAAATGGTGAAATTTCATCCACTGATACTTTCCATTCTCCCTATTTTGGTGGTGGAGGTCATTATTCAAGAAGAGCAAATCATCAGCAAAATTCAAATAGTAGAAATACTTCAAGTGCTTCTTCTAATACCCTTGATTCGGATGATGGGACTATTAAAGGTAATATTACCCCACCATCAACTACAAATCAAGGACCAACTACTGATGGTGGAAAAACATTTACTGTTTCATCATTCTTAGGCGCTTAGTAGTGTCTATTCTTTCTTTTACACTTTATCTTTTTGTCATGTTTGCTTTCAAATCATACGTATATAATAAGAAGGATGAATTTCAATAATATCATTATCCTTTTTTAATAGAATGCCACCATCATTATAGTTTTAGCATCTTCAAAAAGTCAAACAAAAAAAAGTCAAAAAAGAAAACAGAGAATGAAAAGAAAGACAAATGCAACCTATCCCCCCCCAATTTCCATTCTTTTATTCTACTCCACTCCTTTTTAATATATTTTATTTTATTTATTACTCATATGATTTTTCAATTCTTTCTTTTATTTCAATATCAATTAATTCTGGGGTTATATAATTAATGTCCTTTACTTTTAGTTTTACTTTTTACCTTTTACTTTCATTCTATAAATTCAAATTTCAAATTCATGCCAATATCTTACTTTTGTTTAGTTTTTCCTTTTTATGTAAAACAGTTATTTAATATATGATGTTTCAATCAACGATTATTACAATTATTATTATTACTTTATAAATATATTAAACCCAAATTAAAATTTTTTTATATATAATATTACTTAAAACCCAAAAAAAATAAAATAAATAATTTCTTCATCTTGTTTCTTTTAAAAACAATACATTTTAACCACTCCATTATCTAATCCAGCGGCAAATTTTGAATCACTTAATCCTACACAACTTACACTTGAAGGATTACCAAATGTATGAAGACATTTACCATTTTGTAAATCCCATACTTTAATTAATCTATCATGAGCTCCACTTATGATTCTGAAAGTATCAGCAGCAATAGACCAAACCCCTTCAATATGACCGAATTGAGTTCTGATACATTTCCCTGTTTTAACATCCCATAATTTGATAGTATTATCAAGAGAGGACGTTAATAAATGAGTAGGGTAGGTTGGATCCCATAAGAGGTCATTAGAAGTTTCTTGAGGTTGTTGTTCTACTTCGACATTTTCTTCGATATTATTGAATTGTTGAAGATCTTGTTGACGATCTCTTTCTTGTTGTTGTTGAGCTTCATTACGAGCTTGACCAATTATAGTAGGATGGATACCTCCATTATGATGAGGTTTATGAGTTTCATTTTCACTTTCACTTTCATCTTCAATTAAATCCTCTTTATAAGTGAAGGCAATCACAGTTTGAACTTGACCTATATGACCATTATTCCCTGCTCCACCAAAGATTCTTAAACATTGATTATTTTGTAAATCCCACATTCGAATCGTGGTATCATCGGAAGCACTAAATATGGTATTGGAAGCAGGATGAATCTTAACACAATTAACCCAATCCGTATGACCTCTTAACGTATAACAAGTTCGAGAATCAACATGCCAAACTTTAACCGTATGATCAGCAGATCCACTTACAATCGACTTTCCTGAGAAATCAACTGAAACAACCGAATCTTCATGACCACGATAAGTAGCGATACATTGACCCGTATGATAATTCCATACTTTAATAGTAGAATCTAACCCTCCTGTGATTAATTTTTGATTATCAAATACTAATGATCGAACTCCCTTTGTATGACCTTCCAAAGTCTTAAGACATTCACCAGTATCGATTTTCCAAATTTTAATGGTGGTATCGTATGAACCTGTCATAAGATATTTTCGATTGAATTGAAGACAAGTAACTCCATCGGTATGACCTAAGAATCGTTTTATGGTGTAGGTACCATTTCTCCAATTTTTCTCAAGTTTATACCGTTCGGAATAAACTGATTTCCATGGTCTTTTCTTAAGGACTTTTGGAGGGGATACAGTGGTGGTATTACTTAATTCTTCAATCTTAGGACGTTTATTAGAACTGTCTTCAGCCGGTTGGGATGATTCCGGTTGAGATGATGATGAACCATTACCTTCGACAAGATCATCTGATATCTCTTCATGTCTTCTCTTTATAGGAGCGATTTCTTCTTCGGCATTTTCTCGTGCTCGTTTCATATGCATTAAGGGTAATCCCCAACCACAATTTGGACATTTTCTATCAATATGTTGTTCACACATATGATGCCAAACTCTATCATCATCAGCTAAAGATTTCCATTTCTTTGATACTTGAGCAGCATTGCATAAGGAACGACAATCTAAATAACATAAGATTCGTAATGATAATTCCACTGGTAATGTAGTTATGAAATCGATTCTGATTAGAGTTGAAACTTCTTGAGATATGAATGATAATTGAGGGAAACAACATTGACTTAACATTCCTTGAAGGATTAATTGACGATGTTGGGAAGGGGCAGCACTGAAGATCGACCATACGTGGGATATGGCTTCTTGATCTCTTGATGGTAATTTCTCTAATGCGGATTGAATTTTAATCATTTTATCTTCATCAGTACTTTTATTACAAGTTATATCAGGATTATGTCTGTAACAATATTTATGATAGTTATTATGAGGTATTAAAGATTGATCACTGATATGTTTGACTAAGAATGGAGTTACTACTGAATCTTGAGATGATTCATTAGTATTGGAGGATGATATTATTGGTGGAGGAGTAGATAATCGGGTGACTATGGAAGATTTTTTATCAGTAATGGTTATATTATGTTCAGTTTGATGTTGTCTGGTGATAGGGTTAGTTCCAAGGATGTAGGATGTGGTAGTAGTAGTTGAATTTGATGAAGAAGAAGGAGTTAAAGTTGAAATGGAATTGGATGATAAAATAGAATCAAATGCCAGATGTGATTTTGATATGGAAGAAGAAGTTGAAGGAGCAAATGGGGAACCATTAAGATCATGGTCGTTACTTTTAGGTAGGCAACTATCTTGTAAGTTCATCTTAGTATGAGTTGATGTTGTTGTTGTTGGTTGGTCAAGATACGGCTTGATCTTTATTGTCTGAACAGGTGTGGATAATTCTCTTTTTTTTTTAAGAGACAAAATATGGCACACAAAATTCGATTTAATTTTTTTTTGTTTCTTTTGCCAGTTGACCTCTTGTGATGTATATTTAGAAGGAGGAAGACTAAGTGTTTGATGATAGTACAAATAACTAGGAGTTCAAATGAAAGCAAAACAAAGCAAATATATAATTAAATAAATAATTAATTAAATAAATAAATCCTTCCTTTCTTTCTTTCCTTTAAATTTGTTTATCTTTATTAGCTACAAGTTGACTTCCCTTTATGAACTGGCTCTTTCTCTCTTGTTTAAATTTTTTCGGAATTTGTTCAAACACCACACTTTGGGTATATGCAGGAGAGGGTGTGGAGTAAGTAAGTAACAGCCGACTGGTTACAATAGAAGAAGTTATATAGATAGAATTAGTTTACCCACCACAGTCATCCAATTACACGATGTATACAACACTGGCTTATATACTATAAATGGACAATCACTCAAATAAGGATCGTCTAGTTACAATAGTATTGTTACAAGAACTACAAGGGTAAATAAATAAATAAATAAATAAATATTATTTTATTTTTAGCGGTGTTCTTTTTTTCTTTTTTAATTTACTGTGGTGGTGGTGGTGGAGCAGCAGCAGCAGCAGTAATTTTGCGCGTGTACGTAGGGGGAGAAGAGGAGAGTCAGTAAAATGCCACTTTTAGTGATAAAAAGAAATTTGATTACTAAAGCTAAGTAAGTAAATCTTATATATTAAGGATGACTTTTCTTAGTAAGATTTCTTGGTTACTACTACTCTGTGACAATCACTTAAGGGATTACGTAGTAGTAATTCTAATACTAAAACTTTAATCTTATCCTTTGTTCACTGTTTGTGTTAACTACTATGTATCATAACTATTCACTTATCATTACGGACTTACTTTATATATCTGCAATGAGATCTTACACTGCAGTATGCCGTGATCAATTATTTACCTACTTCTTCTATATACACAAAACTAGTAGAACCAAACAATGACATTGTAACATGTTTTCCCATCATCATAAGGCTCTGTTTAAAGGTTGTGGCTCTTTCTCATTTCTATTTGCATCTTTTCTTACAGCCAGTAATTGAAAAAAGAAAATTTTTTTCTGTTTCGGTGCGTAAAATATTTTAGTATCACAAAATTAATGGACTTTAACTTCCAGTCATTTAACGAGTAAGTAAAAAAAATAGCTTATTCCAATCTTGGCGAGTTACACTAGTGGTCTCTCTCTCTTTCCTTGGGGTACTTTTACGTTAAAAAGTTTAATCATACTAATAATGATGTTATAGAAACCTACTATCAATCTCGAACCCTTTATAGAATAATATTAACAACAATAGTCTATATACCACTAAAACGAACTCCCTCATCATCTTACTTTAAATAACGTCACTAAACAATTCTTCTCTCCCGAACCGACTAAAATGCAGGATCACCATCAGTCACGTGTGATTTTTAAATTGAAATTTTTTAAATTAAAATCAATCCTAATTTAAAGATAAGATAAGATATGATATGACAATAATTTCTTTTTCCATATGTTTTGGCAATCAAGATGTGATAAAAAGCATACTGATAGTTGATATCTAGTTAAACTCTATCTCTCATATAAACTCCTCATTGTCTATGATCTCCTTTTTATTGATTTTTGATCAAACTGTAAAAATACTGATATCTACTTGAACTTAGCCTTTGACGTCGATTTGGTAGAGTATGACTGATTCATTTAACCTAACTGTTTATATTCTTATTATATAATCCATAAACATTCAAATTGTCAATATCATTTTATGTAATAATTAATTATGTAAAATATTTTTGCTACGCTACCATTAACTTATAAAATATCTATTTATTCAAAAGCTAAAAACCTAAACCATTAAACACATCATGGGTTTATTCGATTTCCCCATAGAATTTATAATTCTAATACTAGATAGTCTTGATACTCGAGAATTATTAATAATAGCTACTTTTGCCCCTTATCTGACTAAATTACAACTGGTATTAAATAAAATTGATGCAAGATCAATCGTATTAAAAGTTGAAACAATACCTCGCAATCCAATTTACAATCCTTCATTAGAAACATTTGATGAGTTAACTTTGTTTCATAATTCGATCAACATCACTAACATACTTTATGAAAATTCTCTGGCTATTTACTTTGATACTTTGAAATGGTTCAATCATACAAATATACACACGATAACCTTACAATTTGAATTGAATATTGAAGATGATTTAAGTTGTATAAGTGAGTTGTTAATCCAATGTGAACCATGGTAATTATCTTATAATAATATTAAATTCCAACTATCGTTTTTCAGATATGCGAAATTCGTTAAAAGATCAATATTTATATTTCCGAGTTACCATTTAGAAAAATTCCATTGGTCAAGAGTTTACATCAATACCACTTACTTCCGGTCATCTTCGTATTATCGTAAACAACTTGCAGAGAATGCAGCTGATATTCCTTTGCATTGGCTTAAGAATAGTCCTGATTTGAATTCGATTCATATTGGTGAGAGATTCAAAATTGAACAAGAGATGGATGAATTACAATTTAATAATTTAACCAACATTACATTTGAAAGTTGTGATAGACAATCTAGTAAAATTTGGGCCAAGTTTCTCCTCAGACATAAACATCAAATTAAACAGTTGAAATTGAAACATCATTTATATCATTATGATTTGATTGCTATGGAGAATTTAACCAGATTGGAATTGGTAGCATTTAAATATAACACTTTCCCTGTCCTTGCAATTTTAATGAAAAGAAAATTAGATGTAATAGTCAAGGGAAGACCTTCAAGATATTTCGTTTCTCTTTGTTCAAGAGAAGATGAAAATAAATCATTCCCAAATGTTACTTTAGCTGAATTTGTCCCAAATCCACATATTATACATTTTCTTGAATCACGATATAACATAAAATTTATTAAAATCAATAGATGGGAAGACTTCCCTTACAAATTACCTAAGTAGTACAATCTCTCTCTAATTACATAAATGATTAAGGATATGGTTAGTTAACTTAGTATTTGAAAAATTAATACTAGTTATAAATCATGTGACAGCTCACATGACGTGGAATATACTAGAAAGTTCTAGTTGAAAAAAAAAATTATTTTATGTAGAGATATCTGATGCGATGATTTACAAATCAATTACATATATATATATTTATAAATATATAATTCACAACCCTTTTACAATAGTGACATGAGTCATAGTAGTGATCATATCAATACCATAGACGATACTCATATAGAAAAGAAACCTAAATTAAATTCAAGTATCACCACTATGTCAGCTGAAGAAGAACAACCTAAGACTTCAACTCCTGATTTATTCGCTACCATTGGTGATCAAGCTCAAGATGTTGATGATGAAGGACATGGTGAAAGTCATGATCCAAATGAAGTCAAACAGACCGGAGCTTACGATGCTGAAGGCCACCCTGTTCAAGAGATTGAATCTCTTTGTATGAATTGTCATGAAAATGGTACTACTCGTTTATTATTAACTAAAATTCCATATTTTAGAGAAATCATTATAATGTCCTTTGAATGCCCTCATTGTGGATTGAAAAACAGTGAAATTCAAGCTGCTGCTCAAATTGCTGAAAAAGGAGCTAGATATGTTTTAAAAATTGAAAATAAAGAAGATTTTAATCGTCAAGTTGTTAAATCTGAAACTGCCATGGTTAGATTTGCTGAATTAGATATTGAAATTCCACCACAAAGAGGTCAATTAACTAATGTAGAAGGGATTTTAGAAGATATGATTGAAGATTTAGAATCAGATCAAGATCTGAGAAAAACTATGCAACCGGAAATTTATCAAAAAATTAATGATATTATCATTAGAATAAGATCATTTATTGAATGTCAACCAAACACTATACCATTAACTTTCACTATTGATGATCCTGCTGGAAATTCTTGGATAGAATATAAACCAGGTGAACCTCAACATAAGTGGGCAACATACGAATACACAAGAACAGCAGAACAGAATGTCTTTCTTGGTTTGATATCGGCTGATGATGCATTTAAACTTCAACAAGATGAAGCTGAAGCTAAGAAACAAGCTACTTCTCATAATGTGTCATCATCATTGGCTAATACTCAAAAAGATGAATTATCATCAACTGATCATAATCCAATTTCAACTGGTTTCATTTCTGATTTAACTGATATTGAAAATTTCGAAAATGAAGTTCAAACTTTCTCAGCTACTTGTTCATCATGTTTCAAACCTTGTGAAACTCATATGAAAACAGTTAATATTCCTCATTTCAAAGATGTCATTATCATGTCTACTGTATGTGATTTCTGTGGTTATAAATCAAATGAAGTTAAAACTGGTGGTGCTATACCTCCAATGGGAAAGAAAATCTCATTAAAAGTTACTGATCCTGAAGATTTAGCTAGAGATATCTTAAAGAGTGAAACTTGTGGATTGAATATTCCTGAATTGAATTTAGATTTAACCCCAGGTACTTTAGGTGGTAGATTCACTACTATTGAAGGTTTATTAGCTCAAGTTGCTGAAGAATTACATTCAAGAGTATTCACTCAATCTTCTGATTCAATGGATTCAGAAACAAAAGGTAGATGGACTACATTCTTTGCTAAATTACATGATGCAAAAGATGGTAAAATTCCATTCACCATTTATATGATTGATCCTTTGGGTTCTTCATATATTCAAAATGTTTATGCTCCAGATAATGATCCAAATATGACTGTTGAAGAATTTGAAAGATCTTATGAACAAAATGAAGAATTAGGTTTAAATGATATGGATGCTTAAACTCCTTTATTCGTCATTACATTAAAACATTACGTGCCTGTATAATAGAAGTATAGATATAAAATCGATTTAATAAATAGATAAACATTAATTTTCCCGTTATATATATATATATGAATTATTTAATAATCACTTTCGCTTGGGACTATGACTATCTCTACTTCTAATTGTATTAAGAGCATCTCCCCATGATGAGTTTCCAATGATTTCTCCTACATCTGATAAAGGAATATATGACATACGTCTAGTAGGTGTATGAGCTCCTTCATCTTCAGCGCCAAAATTGGGGGTAAGATGTACTGGATCATGGAAAGGTGATCTTGATGCCGACCTAGACCGTGACCCTCTCCTCGATGGTGGTGAATCTATACCCAGCGTATGAGGAATTTCGATATAAATGGAGTTACGTTCATCTCTAAGCCTTGTGGCTTTATAAGCCGAAATAGGACTCTTAGGTATATAAGACCCATGCGACGTATCTCCTTCTTCATGACCTGCACCAAGAAATTCTTCATCTCCCGTCTTAAAACTTTCATCATCTGCATATTCTTCATCTTCATATTCATGTAATGAGCCTTCTGGGTCTTTATCAGGTTTATAATTCTCATTTGATAAATAACTATTTCGAATAAAATTAGAACCAACATCAATATTTGGATCTCTAATTCCCAATCTTTTATTTTTTTGATATTTCCAACGACATGCAAATGCCGCCATAGTTTCATAAACTTTCTTAATATGTAATTGCTTAGTAACTCTCTTTTCTAATAATGTTCGTTCCAAGAAATCAATTAAATTAAGACATTTACCTGCTTCAAATGATATATAAAATGGTAATTGTAATAAAATCCTACTGAAAGAAATACCAGGATCTTCGTTAAGTTCCATGGTGTATAATGCCTCTTCTATAAATCTTTCATATTGTTGACGTCTTTCTCTGATTTTAGGTATATCCATTCTATCTAAAGTTTTTTGAATAGCATCATATCGAGGAGTGACATCATATGGATCATTTATATCATTTCTTATAAACCAACGTTTACACAATACTGGGATTTCTAAACTTCCAGAATATAAATGAAATGATAATGCACCATCTAAGGTATGAAGTAATTTTGGTAAATCAATGGGTTTGATATAACCTGTACCTTGAGGATCAAATTTTTGCCAACTTCTTTTAAATTTTCTGATTTCATCTCTATCAATTAAATTCCCATAACCAGATTTATAATTGACATAACTGAAACTATCCAAAATTAATGACACGAACATATTCACAAAGATATACATCGATAAAATATTCCAAGAAATGAATAGGAAATATGCAAATTGTTTATTTCCACAATCACTTTCATCAATACTACCACTTGAAGTACAAAAGGGTGGTGAAAGACCATAATCATCCATAACATAATTCCAACCTTCTCCAAAACTACATTTGAATAACATAATCAATGCCTTTGGAACTGATCTTAAATTGATATTTCCTGTACCGTTTGGCCCAATTTTGGTTAAACCAAAGATTTGATTCAAAGCAATTGCAAATACCAAAAACACCACTATCCAAGTAAATGCTAAGGAAATGAAGGCTGGTAAAGCAGCTGAGGCAAATCTTAATAATTGATTTAATCGATCACTTCTTGGAATCACAAATGTTAGAATACCAACCAAGAACAATTTGTTGATGTTAACGAATACACTACCATCAGAAAGGAAGAATCCAATAAAAGTACTTATTACAGCTCCAATACAAACCACAGTACTGAACAAATTCCAATTATTCCCTAAGAAAATTCTTAGTCCTTGGGCAATACATAACATTATGAAATGAATAAAAAAGATCATTGATACAACCATATAAGCAACCGATCTCATATAATCTAGACCATTGGGGGTTGGATAGAATTCAAGCAATAAAGCAATCACATGAATGAATAAGATAAGATTTAGGAGTAACATCCAATATTTATTCTTTTCCACTGTCATTCTATAACAAAATCTTCGGAATGATGTCATTTTTTCAACAGGTTTTCTTTTCGATGGTTTAACTTGTAATAAGATTTTCTTTACTTGATACCAAAGCTTTTGATCACCAGTTAAATAAGCTCTTCCTGTTGTTCGACCATAATTATTTATGATGACTGAAATAAACAAAGTAAGGATGAAAATTGTACTGATTAAATTGAAAAACACAAGAAAAACACCATTGATTGGTGATGCAAAAGGTTCTGGAACCGTACCTACACCAGTACTATTCATCAAATTTGATAATAAATCAACCCAACCTTCTAAAGAAATAATTTCGAAAAGACTCACAAATGAAGTTCCAAAATCATCAAATTGTAATAGAGGATTGGTATAAACATTTGGACTCACAATGTCCCAATTGAGATATGTAGCATTATATTCATTATAACAATCCTTTAATTGTGAACTTCCATCTATACAATAGCCTAATCTACCTTCAAAAATATTCAATCCCCAAATAGAAAATGGAAATAATAAACAAAGGGAGATAACAGCTGCATTTATAATCTTACCAAACCCTGAAATAAGTGTATTGTGGAAAGTAGACTTTGCAGTATCACTGATAGTTAACAATCTTAATGCTCTTAGAGCCTTTAAACCTCTAATGAATCTGGCTAAATTACCATCATCTTTTAAAAATGCAATTAATTCGATCCATAATGAAACTAAAACCATTAAATCAATCAAATTCCAAGCCGTTCTCATATACGCATTGGGAGTAAATATTAATCCATCCGCAAAGATTTTAATGAGGAATTCCAGGGTAAATAAAACATTGAAAGCAACTTCTAACCAAAATGCCCAATTGTAATTACCGTATAATTCAACTTGTCTCTTTCTATAAAGTGGAGTCAAATAACAAGCTGTGATAACTAAAGCAATGGTGGCAAGAAACATGATAATGGAGAATATTTCTGAACTTCGTTTATATGGTTCTACCCCATCTATTCTATCCCCATAACTTGATGACACCATTCTTTGACAAAATCTTCTTAATCGATGTTGAGGTGTAATAACATAGAACACATTGTTATATCTAGGATTTTCCTCTAAGAATCTATTTTGTTTACTAAGTAATTCTCTTCTTTCTATCATTATAGCATTTGCAAAATCAGAAGGTTCGAAATTATGGAGAGAGACTTTCATATCATTCTTCAAGTAAAATGGATTACTAAACATAGTTTTATAACTATGATAATTTACTAAGAACCATCTCTTCAAAGATGATGAAGGTAATTCTCTAATACTTTCTTCACCACGGCTATCTTTAACATCAATCTGATTGTCAACTAAAAAATTATCGATTTCCCTACCTGACAACAAAAAATTCATTATAGCTCTTTCAAACACATCTCTCTTTGTTTTGGTCTTAAAGAACTTCTTTTTAAGTTTCGATAACAAACTTCCTTCTTCTTTCAGTGTTTGCAAATTGCTGACCATATTAAAAATAAACTGATGTAATTGTTTTTCTCTTTTAATTTCTTCAGAAACTTCTAAAGCATCGGCAATCACAGCAATGAAAATACTTAAAATAACCAGGTTGGATAATATAAACCAAGCGATCAAAAACATAGTTCCAAAAGCTCTTTCTATTGGCGAATATCCATACTCTTGTAAAGGGTATAAAATTTCAGTCCAATTTTCTGTTGAAGTAATAACATAAAGGGCAATAAAAGTGTTTGGTAATGTGTTTAATGCAAAGTCCACATTATCAATTTCATCAACAGGAATTACCCCTTCAAAATATCTAGCCATTAGAATACTTACCAAACTTAAAAAAATAAAGTAGAACAAAGTTAAATCATATATGGCTCTGAAATTCCGCATGATCTTAATCCAAAGATTTCTAGTAATCTTAGAGAATAACACAACTCTGTAAAATCTCATTAACTGGAATACCGTCAACCAGTAATATGCATGACCTAGTTTTTCTTTAACTGGGTTAAGTATAATAATACTAGTGATAGTTGCCAAAAACAAATCAAACACATTTCTTCTGGATGCAAAGAATAACCTGAAATTGGGCATATGGAATAAAAATCTAACCACAATCTCAGCCAAGAAAGTACACGTGAAAGCAGCTTCTATACGATAAAGTGCATGCTTTTCTAAATCCGTCATATTATAATTTCTTAAACATTGAACCAACAAGTCTGCAAAAATCAACAAGACAAAGATAAAATCAAAATTATAATAATATTTTAAGAATACATTTTGTTCTTTAGCTTTATCAATCCTTTCATTGAAAGTAGAGGCATCAGCAGGTGGGAATAAATACTTCCATATACCACCTGCTCTTTCTTCTGTTTGCTCTCTATTACGGTGGAAGGAAGTAACAATGGCCGCAATGAAAACATTCATTAACCAAACCGTCAAGATGAAAATGGCAGCAATAAAAAATAAACAAGAAGCCATAGTATCGGTATCCATTGTGTAATACATAATATCAGTAAATGTATTTGCACTCATAATGACAAATACCATTTCTAAGGATTGTAAGATATTATCGAAATTAACTGTACCACCATAAGGATTTTCTCCAGAGATACATTGCGAATACATTGGACACCTGTAACCTTTTATAGATAATGATGGCGTTCCATCACTATAAAGATAAGGTTGGGCAGTACCATCCAATCCAGTATAAGAACCACAGAATGACATGATATTCACATATGTATCAGTTGGATCATCAGGATTTGTCCAAACACAATGTCTACTTAAAGACTCTTTGAACGACTGAACACCAATTATACCAAATGCCAACCAGAAGAAACCAATGAAAAAAGAAATATCAATTAATTTTGGAATGGCAGCTTTACATGACAGTAAAATTGTAGAAGTTCCATTTGTTAAATTACAAAGTCTTAAGATACGAAGACAACTTAAGGTTCTGAATATCAATATACGATGTTCGGCATCATAATGGTTTATGGAAAGCACAAGGGAAATCCAGAAACAAACTGTTGATACAAAATCAATTCTGTGCCAACTATTACGAGCATAAGCTCTCTTTAAGATCAGTTGATCTATGCTCGAATAGCTTTCAGGTAAAAGTAAGGTATTCTTAGTTTTCAACCTTTGACTGATATTAACGGGAACATTCTTCAATTCTATATTCTCTCTGATTTGTTCTTCTCCAGTGGCATGCAGATAAATTCCATCGTGAAGGCTATTGTTGTAGTTAAGATGATGATTGCTGCGTTCTAATGTTGAATTTGGAATATCATTATCCAGTAAACTTATTTCGACATTTTCATCACCTCCTGAACTTTCTTGATCACTTGATGAAACATTAGCCTTATGGTAATAATCATAAAGGTTATTATTGAATTTTTTATTTCCTTGTCTATAAATTCCCCATACATGAAATAATTTTTGTATATTGAAGGGATTGTAATGGAATAGATTGAATTGACTTTCAGGGTATGGTAAATTAAGTGTTTCAAACATGATATGATCATTCACGAAACCATAAGCAATGATCTTGGCAATGACTTCTATGGTATATAAGATATTTATTAACATCAATGCATAATCGGCCCAATTATAACCTTCAGAAACGTAACCATGAAGTGCATCGGGATTCCATTGTCTATAAGCAAGCAATGCAGTTTGTAACAGTAATAAAACTAATAATATGAAATTAAGTGATGGATGGGATGCAACTCTAAAACATATTTGTCTTAGTTTTGATTGGGGGGAAAAGATGTTAAGTGAATTACCAAATAAATGTCTGGATGCTTTATTCCCTTGATATACGGTGCTATGAGAGCTAATTTTTGAACTTCTGCGTGATGGTCTGAAGGATGGTCTTCTTGAGTCAGTAGTGTAATGAGTTTCACCATCATCATCAACTTCACTGTTAGATGGTTGATCCCCTTGTGAATATAAACCTAATCCTTCGCTTGGAACACCTGCAGGAAACAGCAGTACTACTGATGCATTGGCAGGTCCCAGAACTGAGGAACTACCTGGATGAAGTAAATTTTCATTACTTATAGTTCTATTATCGTCAGGATATGGTCTGCTGATTGGTGTTAAGAAATTATCATTAGCCTCTGATTTATCTGATGATATTGTTGAGTGTCTTTTGGATGCTGCATCTGGGTTAGCTTCGGAACCAGTACCAGCAATACGATTTGAAATTTTAGTTAAGAAGTTCGGTGATAAAGTATCTTCTTGTTGACGGCTTGTCTTTACCAGTAGTCTTCCTGCTTCAAGAGAACTTGGATCAGCGAAAACATTTTCATCAACTTGGTGAGATGGGTAGGGGGTGGTAGAAGACAGAGGGAGGATGGTATGTAATGAATGTTCATCAAAGCTTCTTGTTGATGTATGGGTATGTACTCTTGGTATATCTCCTCCAAGATCATAAGGACTCCGGCTCGCACTTCTATCAGGTGGATCATTGGTGGATAAATGAGTATCAGATGGCTTGTCATGATTTACTGGGAACCATTTTGGAGCTTTATCAGATGAACCTAATGCAAATCCCAATCCTTCTTCGAAATCTTTAAAATCATCATCGTTTTTTACTGATTCTACAGCTGCGAGATTTGGTGTTCTTGCTTCATTTCGACTTATTCGACTAAATACCCACAGATTACTACCACGACGATTAGTTGGTTCACGAGCTTGACTTGAATGTGATGCACTGTAAGATACATTTGGATCATATTGTTGTGTAAAACTGGTTTCCACAAATGGTGATGCTTGTGAAGACGTTCGTGTTCGTGTTCGTGTTCTTGATCTAGATTCGACCCATGAATTTGTCGATACTTGTGAAGGTGATGGTGGTGGGGATTGTGAAGATTGGTCGTTTAGTACATCCTCTGTTGTAGCACGTATCACTATAGTTGGTGGAGGAAGATCATCTTGATCCTGATTCACCATCTCTAGTAGTTTGTATTACCCTATAATAGATGATGGTTGTATGAATATATGTTGTTAATGATTCCAGCGTAGAATCTTGTTAAGCCTGTCTATCAATATATAACGAAAGTAGTCTTAAACTAAGCAATGAATATTGAAGTAGGAGTGGATTAGATATGACTATGATTGGATGCTAAAGTTGTATGTTACCAACTGTACTTTAAGTCTTAAAATCCCTTTCCTGTATAAAAAAAAAATTCAAACCGTGATAAGCACACACAATTGCAACCCAATTTGAAATACTCTTATAAACTTATGCTAAGAAATTTAATCTTGGCTATATAATAAATGGATATAATTAAGAATGATTAGTTTCAGATGAATAATAATCACAAATTAACTATAGAAATTTCTCCTATTTGTTGTAAATAGCATTCCCTAAAGGACATACACAAAAAACGGCCTATTTGGAAAGTTTTATCGCCATGTACAGCCCCCCAAGTTAATATTGCCAATTTGTAAACAAAATTTTATAATTAACAGGTTTAACCTAACTGGTATTTATGATAACTATAATAAATAGCTCAGGGATATTTTATATAAAGAATTCGTATCATTATTAAGTCTGACTTATTTATAGTATCAAGCTTCTATAATTAGAAAATTATCTACACCACTCTTCTTTAACCGTTTTTTTTTAAGTCTGTCACCCCTTTTCCTTTATAGAATATTTTCTTGTCTTAACCTGGTAGTTGTGACTACAATTCCTTACAAGACATTTCTTATTGGTCTTGAGGTTTCTTCCAATTACATTGTAACTACTTCCTAATATTACACGTATAACATCCATAATTCTTTACTGTAAATAGATCACGTGATTGGTTTTTGGATCGAATTATATACAGGACCCGCCAAATTCAAATTTTGAAAACTACGAAATTTTTTTCGTCTTTTAACGAAACAACCAAAAGTTATGATAGACAGTTAATCAACTCTAATCACATTGATCCATCACCATGAGTTCTTTATTGAAGAAAATACCGAGTCAGGCTAGACTAAATCAAGCCAAGGAACTCAGTGCCGCTGTGTTTGGACACACTTGGAATCCAGCATGTAAAAGAAATGGATCAAAAATATTAAGACAAGAATTAAAAGGTCCTCAAATTTCGAAATATTATGGTGTTAATGAAGAATTACCAACGTTTAAAGATTTTAAGAAATGGTTCCCTGAATTGAAATTGGTTGATCCAAGAGAAGAATATAGATTAAAGATGGTTCAAGATAGAAAGAAGAGAAATAAGGGTGCTCCAAAGAAAAAGTCTGAATAGAGACCCCATCCATCCATCCATTCATTTAATCATTTCCATATAATACATTCAACATCATATATACTTGTACATACTACTTTCATTTCACTATGTATTTTAATGTTTGTCAATAAACGATATTTACGATTTATACTATACTATTCGTTTTAACCTTTTCTTTTGATTAAAGGTATCTGTAATCTCATCATTAGTAAAACTATTTGATGCTAATAATGATATTCGATTATTATTATTATTATTATCTGTTCTTGCTCTTTTAAATGGTTTAATAGTTTCGAATCGATTCTCTTGTTCGAGTAAGCTGGAATTTGTCTTTATAATTTCCCAATTTCTAACCAGTACTTCTTCTCCATTCACACTTTCATTCAATATAACTATTTCATCATTCACCAGATATGATCGTTTAAGTTTAAGATTTGTGTTTTGATATGGAATTGAAACTGAATTGGATTCAAAGTTAAAGTCAAGTATATGACTTTCAGTAGAAACTATCAAGGAGCCTTGTTTAATGAAGCTCAATTCTAACAAGTTTGAATGACATTGGATTGCAGATCTAAATGAAAGAGTTACCTGATTCTTCTTCACTTCTACGATATCAAATATAATTAAAGTGTTATGAAAGTTAAAGTAAATCTTAGAATCATTGATTTTTATCGCTTCCAATGGACTCCCTCGTAACAGTATGGATGAATTCTGTTTATAATTAACTTGACCTCTTTCTGCAACCTGCACCCAACCGTTTTTATCACTCTTTATAACTTCTTTATGGATAAGTCTTAACAAACTAATTGAGAATATTAAGATAGTTATATCATCATTTTCATTGACACTGGCAACTAATATATACTCACATCCACTTTCAGTTTGGAACCATGATTGTAAATAGTCTGTATTACCTAATTCCAACTTCCCATCTTTTTGAGATACTTCTTCATTAGAATATTGAATCGATAAAACTGGATCCAATTTTGTAGTTCTATTAGGTTCAAATCCGATCACGAATCCAAATGCATCTAAATCAACACCAAATAAGTTGGTATTAGCATCTAATAAACTAAACCAATTCCCTGATACAGACCATTTAATAGAAGGTGTAGATATTAAACTTGATGGAAGTTTATGAGTCTGTAATAAGGAACTAATAGAACCTTCATTATAAAAATGAAATAACAAAGTTGGAGCATTATATTCTACTGGTGTGGCAATTATGGACCAATACCGATTATGTTTATGTGGATGAACAGAAATTTCATTCAAGATTGGTTTCAATACCGTGAATAGTATATGAGTACAATCAACGGAATATAATTTCATATGTAATTTCATTTTCGTAAATACCACAAATTGCTTGGAGTTGACATATCCTCCTGAATCATTATCAACATCGTCTGTTGGTGGCGGTATCCATTGGAAGCTTTCGATTTCATCTGATTTTGATTGTTGTATGATTATTGGTGATGATTTATCATCGCTTGATCGTATATCAAATATAAGCAATATGGCATAATTGTCTATGACCACTCCGATCTTAGTCGAGTCAGATCCAGGTATTATCTCCTCCCAAGTTAGCTGAGAAAACTTCAATACCTGTACTTTAGGAAATGATTCGATTCCATTCCGTATAAGATGATTCTTCAAGTGGTTTGATATATCATAAGATCTATGAAGGTTCTGTGAATCTAATAAGTGAATCTGTAAAGTTTTCAGATTTTCCAGCACGGTAGCTATGTATTTATGGCATGGTGATAGCACACTTAAACTGTAATTGCTAGCCATTGATAATTGTAAATCCTACTATATATCTCTAATTGAAGTATCAATAATTATATTCAATCTATACTATAAACAACTGGACTGCATATACTCAATCTAACAAAATCAAAACAAAAAAAAATAAACACAACCACAAAAAAAAATCAAACACTGTTTTTAAAATACAGGAATATATATCAATTAGCAGTTTGGCATATCTCATTGATAGGTAATTGATAGTTTGTGATGCCACCTAAGAAGAGACTAGGGACTCTGGGTAGTAGGGTACAGACCAAGTCTAATCCTGTGAAGCCAAGTACCACCAATTCTAATGGAAGCAATAGAGTTAATAAATCAAATACTACAAGTTCCAAGTTATCATCCAGAGCTAAACTAATCGAAGCTGAAGATGATGATGTTTCAGATAGTGATGATATATCTAGTCAACCTAATAGTCAACAGATTCTAGGGAGAAAGAATCGATTGAATGATTTATTATCTCATTCTCAACAATCATCTATAGATTCAAAATCAAAATCAAAATCAAAACAACCTCCAAAATTAAATTCATCATCAAAATCAAAACCACCAGTGAAATCATTAAAGAAACCGGTACTATCCCGTCCTAATGGTAAATCAAACAAATCAATTTTTGAAGAAGATGAAGGGTTCATTTATAAACGAAGTCAATCAGTTGAAGGTGATTCGGATGTCAATAATAGTAAGAAAAAGAGAAAACAGATCAGTACTCCAATATCCATTCTACAAGAAGAAATGAATCATTTATCCCGAGATTTGGATAATGATGATGATTTACATTTATTGGATTTAGATAATTCAAAGAGAACTAAGAAATCAAGTAGTTCTAATACTCGGAAAAAACCAGAATCAAATTCAAGACGTCATAACTTCTTAGATGAGTCAAGTTTGCAATTATCATCGCCCATCAAGGATATCAAAGAAACCCATGACTATTCATCCGATGATTATGTTGAACAAGTATCTCATCATACCCTCACCCTCGATGAGCCTGTTAACACTGGTAGAAATAAAAATTCAACATTCAGCAATCATAATACTAATAATACCAACAACAATAGTAGTAATAAGAGAAGAAGTTCATATTATAATAGAGGTAAAAGAGTGCTGTCTATTGGTAATGGGTTTGTGGGAGAACCTCATCAAGATATTCCAGTATCTGATTATTATAAATTGTTAGATACATCTTTACCAGAACCTGATAGAGTTAGACAACTCTTAGTATGGTGTATTAAGAAGAAACTTGAACAAGAAGATAAAACTTCAAATAAGAAACCAACTAGTACCGAAGATCAAACTGTGGTCAATATAGCGAAGGTTATTAAAGAAGAAGTTCTTAAAGATTTAATAGAAAAACAAATTTCAACTAGTTGGTATAGTAATTTCAATACTGATGATTATGATATGCCAGATAAAGAAATAATCATACCTAATCCATTAAATGAAGTTAATTTACAAAATATAGATATTTATACCAAAAAATTAAAAACTTTAATCAAACAGAAACAACAATGGGAAGATGCTTATAATAAATCGATAAATCCCATCAAGAAAATGCCGGATGTGATCAATCGAGATATCAAGAAGGGTCAATTAGAAGATTATATTCAAACTAAGAATGAAGAAGATGGTGATTCATCTGTTGATGCTGCTGTTCTTGACAATTCATATTTAAATAATGTGACTGAAAATTTTGAACAAATCAAGCATAAAGTTAATGATAATTTAGAATCTTCAGTTGATAAACTTTATCATACCACATATCAATTGGTAAAAATATCAGAAGTAGTTGAAGCATTGGAAGCGACTAAACTAAAGGGTCAAGTATCATTATTATTACTGGATTATATGAAGAGGCCCGAAATGCGCACGACAAATATCGCGGATGCGAAAAGGTTTGATATATGGTCTAAACCAGTTAAATCAGTAGATACTAAAAGCTTATTGAGAAGTTTAACAAGATTAGGGAATTCAAACTCGGTTACAACTTCTACTACTATCCCCACCCATAATCCAAATTAGTCAAATTAAACAATACTAATCCATTACGTGATATGCCTCACCGGAAGAACTTCAAAGTTTTTGTGTAAACAAAAGTTTAAAACGAAGTAAATTCATCCGTTCATTTCATTTCACTTCACTTTCCTTTCTTTCATTTCATCAATTGTATTTTCCCACTTTTTCATCAGGACGTTCATCGTATTGTTACGTTTTTACAATTCAAATACCCCATATATTTTATTCATAATTGTATAATAGCAATCGCTGTGAAAATAGCATGTAATAATATTATTTAAGTTTAGCAACTCTGTAGAAGTCACACACCCTCCCTCCCTCTCTCCCTCTCTCTCTCTTCTTGCATTTCTCACATTTAGGTAACAATAACTACCATATGTTGGGGGCACTCTACTACCCCAATAGTTCCACCACAAACCCCAGATTAAACTTTCCAACAAAATTTGTGGGCATGGCATTTTTAATGGAGTATAGTTTCCATATAAATGCGCTTTTCTTATTTGTACCTGCATACAGCCAACAAAGCAATTTCTCCGCTTGTTAAAAATTGAATCATACGTCAGCGGTTCCAAATTGAATTTGAATTTGAAATTTCCTCTAACCTTTTAACCTGATCTTTGTTGCCCTTGCTCTTTCTAATAACGTTGTTTCATTTGCTTAGAGTATAGGAATTATCCGGTAATTACATTCCTTGACATTTAAATTTTGTGTTCTTAACTTATTATTGTGTTATTTTGTTTTTATTCCGACCCCCCAAAGTTTCTCCAGCTTTAGAACAAGTTATAGATACTATTAACGTACACTAAGTTCCATTGTTCTTTCCGAAAACCCTCCCCATCCCATCCCATCCCAACCTATCCTAACCCAATCCATTCCGTAATGTTCACCAGGGAGGTATCACAAAATTTTCATTCCATATAATTAGCCTCATTTTCGTGATATAAATATGATACTAAATTCCTTCAATTATGATATCCTCTATAAGACTTATTTAAGGTCAGTTATTGAAAAGCTTTCTACTAGAAAGTATTTAGTTAATATCATGTTAGTCAATATCTTTGTATTATTCTTGATTCATTTATATCTCACTAATTCTGCTAGAGGATATCCTCTTTCAGTCGAACATACCAAGTATGTTGGTAAAGAAGTTAATTTGAATGCTATTCAAAGCAATCAAGCTCAATTAATGGATTTTGTTAATAGTGCAAGCAATAAAGCTATATTCAGTCAGTTGAAATATTCCCAAAATGCCTATTATGATTTAGGTAATAATGTGGTTGGAAATGCTGAATTCCCCATTTTTAATCAATATCAACGTCAACCTTATGTTGCTAATGGTTACATTGGTAGTAGAATTCCTAATATTGGTCAAGGTTTTACCTATGATCAATCATCAGATTCAGATTCCGAAAGTTTATTAAATGGTTGGCCATTATTCAATAAGAGATATGCTGGTGCTTTTATTGCAGGTTTCTTTGATATTCAAAAGAATGTCACGGAAACGAATTATCCGGAATTATATGCTAATGGTTATGAAAGTGTGATTGCAGCTGTTCCACAATGGACTGCTTTATCTATATCTATTATGAAAGACGGACAACTTTATACACTTGATCCAAGTTTGGACTTGTCAGGACAAGTTACCAACTATCAACAAAACTTATCATTAAGTAATGGTATAGTCTCCACAGAATTTACATGGTTAGATTCAATTCAAGTTAAATACGATGTATTGGCTCATAGAGAGGAGGTCAGATTAGGTTTAATCAACTTGGAAATTTCCAATTTAAATAATGAAACAATTCAAATAAATGTTGAAGATAAACTTGACTTTTTATCTGCTCAAAGATCTCAATTAACAGGTGTCAATTCTGATAATCAAGGTATCTATATTACCTTCCAACCAAATGAACTTGAATATATTAATGGAGCTATATATTCCACATTAATTTCATCATCTAATGTTGTAAAAACTGTTAATGATACATCAGTTTCACAATCAACTCAATTTTCCTTAGATGGTTATCAATCTATTAGTGTTGCTAAGATTGTGGGAGTAGCTAGTTCAGATTATGATCCTCTGACTGCTACTTCTCAAAGTGATGTTTTAAAAATGGCAAAGAAAGTTGCCTTATCTAATAATAATGCTAATGATATCATTTCATCTCATAAAGTTGCTTGGGCTCAAACTTTAGAAGCAACTCCTGCTGTTACATTCCCTGATGATATGTTGCTCACGTTAACTACAAGAGCTTCAGTTTTCCATTTAACTGCAAATACAAGACCAAATGCCCAAGGTGTCAGTGCTGCGTTAGGTGTTGGTGGTTTAAGTTCTGATAGTTATGCTGGTATGGTTTTCTGGGATGCAGATATTTGGATGATGAATGGTTTATTACCATACATTCCATCTCATGCTAAGAGTATAGTAAATTATAGAGTGTATACTCATGAACAAGCTGTGAAAAACGTTCCTGAAGGATATGATGGTGCAGTTTATCCTTGGACCAGTGGTAGATTTGGAAATTGTACTTCAACAGGTCCTTGTTTCAATTACGAATATCATATTAATACAGCTGTTGCCTTGTCAGCTTGGGATATGTACCTTAGTGGTGCAGCTGATGATGATTTCTTACAAGATGTGGTCTATCCTTTGGTCACTGATGCAGCTTCATTCTTTTCAACTTATGTTACCCATTATAATGATACTTTAGGACAATATGTCACATACAATTTAACAGATCCAGATGAATACGCCAATCACGTTGATAATGGTGCTTATACTAATGCCGGTATTTCTTCTATCATGCGTAAAGCAATTGCAGTTTCAACTCATTTGAATAAACAATTCCCTTCAAATTATTCATCTATAGTTGGTAACATGTTTTTACCCAACTCTGGTGGTCCAGATAATATTACTTTGGAATATTCGGGAATGAATTCATCAGTCGGTATCAAGCAAGCTGACGTTATTATGATGACTTACCCATTAAATAATGAAGAAATTGATGATGCTCAAGCCTTAACCAATATGGAATTTTATTCACTTAAGCAAGTTAGTTATGGACCTGCCATGACATTCCCAATATTTTCAATTGTGTCATCTAAATTAGCTAAGAATGGCTGTGCAGCTCAATCTTATTTGCAAAAATCAGTTAGACCATTTTTAAGAGGACCATTTGCTCAATTTTCAGAACAGAATAATGATGACTTTACAACAAACGGTGGTACACATCCTGCATTCCCATTTTTAACAGCTCATGGTGGGTTCCTTCAAGCCATTCTACAAGGTATTGTTGGTTTAAGATATGATTATGAACTTGAAGATGGTAAAATATCAAGAGTACTTGAATTAGATCCAAGAGCCATGCCTTGTTTACCTAATGGTGTTATCTTTGAAGGAATAAAGTATAATAATCATTCATTATCATTTTCCATTACCCCGGATGAATTCACCGTAACTAATAATGGACCATTGAACCCATTTGCCAATGATAGTATCAAGATTAAGTTGGCATCCAGAAATGAGAAAGCTGGAACTTACTCGTTAGATACTGGTGATAAAATGTCATTCCCACTTTATGTACCTCAGACAGCTTTTCCAAATAGTATATCTGAATGTGGAGCTGCAAAATTTGTAAATATAACAGAGTCATCATTTGGAGATGCTCCATCACTGATGAATGATGGTGATAATACAACTCATTGGCAATCATTTTCAAATTCATCGACAGGAAAGGTTTTGATTGATTTGAAAGAATTTAAGACTATTTCCAGTGCCTTGATAAATTGGGGTGATAAACCTGCAAAGACAGTAACACTTTCTACTTACAATTCTTTGAACAATTACGGCAATGTGACTGATATTTTAAGTAATGTTGACTTTGGTAATGATCTTTACCAGAATTATCAATATGGAACTAACGAATACCATGTTGTAAGTCAACAAGATGTTTTCGATACAGTCTACTCGTCAGATGTTCAAGTTTCTGCTCCTTTTGATCCTCAAGAGTTCGCCACCATTGAAATCCCTAAACGGCAAAACACTACTACTATAGGTTTTGAAAACGAAATTTATTCCAGATTTGTTTTACTTGAATTTAACGGAATTCATGATGATGCGCCTGTTGGTGAAGATGAAGGAGGTGCTAAATTGTACGAAGTGGTTTTCTTTTAGAAATAGTCGTTTGGTTTCTTTTTACTTGTAATAATAGTTAAATAGTTTTGTACTTCAATATAGTATTACCATAAATAAGTATTACGAAATAGAAAAATTAAGAAAGCTTTATATAAATTTATTTACTTTTATAACTGAATTAATACAATTGTAATTTGATAATTTTATTAGTTTTAATTAGTATTAATACATTGCTTCGGACATAGTAATAAGTCTAGTGACACCTCTATGCCAATTACCAATTTCATCACTATGGTTGGTTGCAAGATGAATATTTAAAGTAGTAGCTGTTTCAAAATCTCTAGATTCTAAACTAGAACTGATCTTCTTTAATTGTTCAATTGCATCATCTGATAATAAATCATCATTATTCAAATGATCGAATAAGATATTAAGTCTCTTTTCCATATCTTGACCATGACCAGCATACTTCTCTGGAATAATAGGCTTGATAGCTGTGAGAACATTAGTCAACGAAGTATAAATAGCTAAAGACTTCTCAGGAATATGACTTCTATCACCTGGTGGGAATTCTGGCTTAGCTGGTTCAACATGTTCAACTGGTTCCGGGACAATTGCAGGTGGTTGGATGGCAATACCAGGTGGAGGTGGAACAGAATTGAAAGGTGGTTGGATTGGTGGTGCATGAGATCCAAATGGTTGTGGGGGTGCTAAACTTCCGACCTTAGCAGGTGGCGGTGGAGGTGGAACAATTCCACCACTAGAAATTCTTGGAGATTTTGCTTTGATATTAGGAGCATAAGGATTCTTTGGTGGTGCTGGTGGTGGAATCACTGCGGGAGCAAATGTACCTGCATTTCCTGCTGGAGGTTGAGCAAATGCAATTCTATTAGGAGAAGCTACTGGAGCTGGAGCGTATGGATTTCTCTTATTCGAAGCAGATGCTAATGGAGGTGGGACACCACCTACTGCCACAGTTGGTGGTGCAGACTCAGATGGTGGAGGTGCGTAACGATTGTTGACATGAACTGGAGCTGGACGTGGTGAAGAGTTAGCAGCATTTGACGATTTTGAACTATTACGAGTAAGACCTCCTTTTGGTGGTGGTGGAGCAATAGCGCTGGCACCTGAAACAGCTCTTTTAGCTGCAGGGGCCTCAACAGGTGAAAATCCTGTAGGTGAAGGAGTAGCTGTAGCTACTGGAGCAGCACGACGACCAGTCTTGGCCTTGAAAGTTTCCGGTAAATCATTCCACCCTTCAGTATCATTTTTATAAAGAGTTTTTGGTGGAGGTGGTGGTTGTATGGTTGGAACAATAGTCGCAGAACTTGCAAGTGGTGGAGCTGGTGGAGCTGGTGGACTATAAATATTAGCAGGTGCAGCGGTATTTTGTGGAGCATATGGGTTGGAAGATTTCATACCCCTAGCGTATGGATTACTTGGAATTGCATTGTTCACACTTGGGGCTGGAATTGGGGGTATCGAAGAAGCACCTAAGTATGGCTTAGGAACAGCACTATCATGACCATTGACATTGGCAGCACTATTCAATCTTGAATAAGGTTTTGGTCCAGGACTTCTGACTTTCTTTAAATTAGAAGTTATGCTTGCAGCAGCAGCAGCAGTACCAGTGGCTTTTGAAATTCTTTCCTTTTCTGTTCCAGAGAATTCTGTTGGCAAAATTTCCAAGAACTTTTCAGCTAAGTCAAATTGACCATAGCCAGAAGCTAAGTTAGAAAATTCTAAAATAGCCTTTGCAATCAATTCTGCTGATGGACCAGAAATTTCTCCACTTATTTTTGAAATAGATCTGTAAGCAGCAATCTTTTGAGCATAGTTGGTAAGAGATGCAAACCGAGCTTCAGATGGAGACGAGATATTCTTATTATCAGCTGATAAAATCTTGGTTTCATATTCTGGCAATTCTTTAAGCCAAATTGACGCAATCTTATCAACAGCATTACCAGCTAAGTAACATAATATAGCATTGTCTCTTTGTTCCTTTGATGTATTTTGTTCTAGTATACGATCACCCAATTCAGCGATCTTTGATTCATATTCATATGAATCACTTGTAAATGAGGCAATACTAGAAGCAATTTCTCTCCAGTTGGAAACATCAGCGTTGGACACAATATCTGTGACATTATTGGAAGTGACACTATAAAGAACTCTTGATACTTGATTCAGGCTGTTTGCTTTGAAGTAAGCATTCTTAACCTTTTGCTTCACACTATCGGAACCTTCTAAAGCCAATAACAATGCTTCAAGCAATTTGTCACCTTTTAAGCACTCATCTACTGCATCTTCAATTTTATTACCTAAAGCCAACTTAAGCAATTTCTTGTTATCTTCAGATTCATCGTCATTGAAAATCTTAAAGGAGCCTGTTGGAATGAAATTTTCTTCAGATTGAACAATAGACCCATTTCCTAATTTATCGAAGAATGAATCATCTGCAGCACCATCATCTTCTGCTGCTTCTTCAGCTTTGTCTACTTCAACAGGCTTTTCTTCTTCTTTTTCATTAACTTGTGCTTTGAAAAGGTTTTCCTTTCCAGTTTCCAATAACTTCTTCAATAATTCCCAATCAGATTTGTCAACTTCAGTAATAGAATCAGCACTACTCTTGGTATCTATTATATTTTTAAAATTATCAGTCTTTAATGCTTCTTCAAATTCGGTTGAATTTTCTTGACCTTTTGTAACAAATTTTTGGATCTTAATGATGCTCTTATTGTTCTCGTCTTTGTTGACGATAACTAATTTAGAACCAAATCCAAAGGAAACACTTGATGGTCTTTTTAACCAAATAGGAGCTTGTTGAATTGCAAAGACTGGTTGTTGAGTTTCAGTTGTAGACAATTGGTTCCAGAACACGTTGTCATCGTTGGATGAAACTTTGGTAGACACTGGTGGTGAAGTATCTTGAAGTGATTGAACAATAATCTTTCCATCAAAAGAGGCAGTTGCAAAGATATCTGGAGCTGATGGAGCAAATCTTGTTTGAAATGCCCAATTGGCAGTAGTTGGATATTCACCTAATTTTTGTCCGGTAATTGGATTCCATAATAAGGTAGTATTATCTTTACCACTTGAAATCAATAATGATGGATCTTGTTTACACCAATCCAATGATAAAACCCCTTTCTTATGACCTTCTAAAATCTGTTCTGGAGCATTTGAATTACGTAAATCCCAAGTTAAAATTAATGGAACTGCATCATTATCACTGGCGGTAATTAACTTAGTTGATTGGTTTGGGTGCCATGCAACATGTGAAAAATTAGCTCTACCAGAAGCACCAGTATAAGCTAAATGCAAAACTTCCTTTTTAGACTTTAAATCCCAGATTGAAGTGTAGCCGCTGTTACCAGTACTTGCAAGAATGTGGCTCACTGAGTTATTCCATGCGACTGAAGTGATTTCATCCATTGGAGTCATGGCTTGACCAGGAGCAAAGGGTTCACCAAAAGTCTTAGTATCCCAAATAAAGATTTGGCCATGAGATCCACCACTAACAAGAACATGATTTTGAATTGGATTAAATTGTAACGCTTTGACTGGACCAGTATGTTTATTTGATTTATGAACAGATGATTTTTCTAAATCTTTTGACTTAATTAAAGTTTCAACATCCCAAAATTCGATGGTACCATTTTCAAAAGCAGCAGCTAAAAGACCTTGACTTCTACCTTCAAATGGTTTTGACCAAGCTAAGGCATAGAATCTATTATCAACTGAGGCAGAGAATATTGGTTCATCCTTATTAGTAGCTGAAAAAATATTCCATATTTCCAAAGAAGAGGAGGAATTGAAATTTGCATCAACAGCACCAGCAACAGTACCAGTTGCGAGTAATGGTAAAGTATCCAGACTCCAAGCAAACGTTGAAGTACGGGAAATTTCACTAAGCTTTACCATGATTTAGATCGAACACTTGACAGCTTATTCCCTAATAACAAAACTTTGAGCTAAACAATCGCTTCTTATATCAATTAGACAGATTTTAATCCGATTTAACCAAGACAGTGATATTGAGCCTTCAAGTTTGATAACCTAGTTGTAATGAGCAATATAGCAATAAGGAATTAAAGGTGTTTGGAAATTAAATGTTGTTAGTTCGAATTTTCTGATTCGGCCAACGCAACAAAATTCTGAAAATTGGACATGGAAAAGTCACGTGTGACGTCATGTGACTATTTTTATGTGTGTATTGTATAGTATCGTATCATATCGTATCGATGGTAAAGATCTGATGATCTCTCTCCTATCCAAGGAAGAAGTGGAAATATGCTAACCTTGAATTCAATTTACTCATACTCAAGTCACATTCGTTTATATATTGTCCAATAGAATGCTGATTAGGGCCAATAAAAGAATTGTCAATTACAAAACTATTAAATTTATACTAAAGTATCTACATGAAGGTGTGCTTAAGCCTACTTCTAAGGCGTTTTTATTTGCATATATCTATGTTGTATTACCAAAGCTAATAGACCATTTAATAGTATCTATCAAAAAGAAAAGATGGAACGATATACTGCCTCGGTTTATGAAAGTGATCTTGAATGCATTCCATCCTAACAAGTTTCCTGTGTTTGCAGCAAGTTTGGTTGCAGGGATAAACATTCTTGAGCCAATTGTATATGCCATATTTAAGAAACATAGTTTATTCAAAATCCCAACTAGAAGTATATTCTTCGCAACTTTAATTTCTTCATTTATTTCTGCTGCTATCAGTTTCCCTCGTTTTCAAAATCATATATTAGGTTATGGTAGATATTATTCGTTGGATTTAACTTTATTAGTTGTAACTCGTGCCCTTGATACTGCTTTATCGTCATCCTTGTCCGTCATAATGCCTCATTATATATCCAGATTCGGAGATGTTGCCTTGTTTATTGCTTCTTGTACTCCAATTATGTTTGCCTGGTTTTATACTCCGGAGAAACTTCCACCTGCTTATAGAAATTGGATAACTTCAGCCGCTAATATGGATGACGAATTAATTGAGGCACTAAGAAGACTCAGAGATGGAAGCTTGGTTTACGGTGAACATGGGCCATATGAGACGATATTACTTCCAATATGTGAAAGACACAATCAAGATCCTAGTAGAGCCAGTTTGATTGTTCATCAACCAGTGGAATGTGAGTTGGTCCATGAATTCAAGACCAAAAATTGTGAAATCCATGCACTTTGGAGATTTGTCAGAGGCTTTTCTTTTGCAATTAAGTTATATGGACCTTTGAATGTTTTAGTTTTGTTATTTCCAGCAAAGGGGTCAAAGTTCTCGGCTCGGGTTATCAGAGCTATGAAAGCATCTGTTAGATCGTCAGTCTTTTTGGGGGCATATATTTCATTATATTGGTATGCTGTTTGTTTATCCCGTTCTAGATTGTTACCATATTTGTTCCCAAAGAAACCAAGAACTGATTTTGATATCACAATTGGTCCTTCAGCTGGTGCATTCTTATGTGGTTTTTCTTCACTTATAGAGACGGCTCAACGTCGTAAAGAATTGGCCTTATTTGTTGCCCCCAGAGCTTTAGGAACATTTGTTCCAACCGAAGCATCTAAAATCAATTTAAAAATTGAATCGCTTGTATTTTCTGTTAGTTTGGCTGTATTGGTAGCGTACTCCAGAAGTGATCCTTCGAAAGTCAGAGGAATCTTCGGGAAAGGTCTTAAACAAGTATTTAATATCGGTAGCTATAACTAAGCATTTATAGATTATAGATTCTTTAATAATAATTCCTTAAATATACCTAATAATTAACGATAAATGTATCCACCTGCTTACCAATGTATAGGCTTCCAAGATTGTCAGCGCGAAATAATTTTTTGTTTACTAAAAAAATACATCAAGGCTAATGAAATATGTCAACTGCAATTATTCTTTACAGCACTGAGATGATATGTCGGATAACGATATAGAAGATGACGCAACTAGCGTTGCTGAGTTTGATTTTCCACTTCCATTAGAGAAAATAAGTCATAATCTTGTGGAAAGACATTCAAAGATTTGTGAAATATTGGAGATACCCGAAGACAACCTTGAATTGAACTTTATATTTAATACCGTTTCTTCCCTCTGTGATCCATTCACCCAACCAGAAGAGAATGAAAAATACATTTTAAGTGTTGATTTTGTATCTGATATTCTAATTGGATTGTCATATTCCCATTACATCAATGAACATCAATCAGAATTACCCGCTGAAATAGAGTCAATCAAGTTTGATTTATCTACTCAATTCTTTTCACTTTTAAGATATATACATAAAGCATTAAATGCACAAGATGAATTGGAACTACGATATATAAATAATCAGGAAGATTCTTACAAGGAAAATATAAAACTATGGACTCCAAAATCTGATTTCCAAGAAGATGATTTCAATCTCAAAATTGTCTATTCAATGGCATGTGTATTGGTGTTTTCAATATATAAACTATTTAAACCTAAAGAAGGTGAATATAACTTGGCCTTAAATCCATATTTGCATTATTTCCTTAAACTCTGGAAGTGTCATACAAACATTATATTACTTGGTCTTGAAATTGATAGACGATTGGAGGATAATACCCAAGAAGATGAAGAGCCAGAACAAACTCCAGAAATTGTAAAGCAAGCTTTGAAAGGATCAAGTAGTATACGATATGTCCTTGCATGGGTCGTTAATCAAAATCCTTCACTGTTGTATGATGATCAGAGTGATGTAATGTTACATAGTGATGACAGAGATATTACGGATGAGACTTTACTTAACTTTGTCCATCCTCTTGGTAGACGAAAGGTGAATGGAGGATCATTGCTGATAGATATGAGACTCGTAGTAGTTGCTCTACTTATTATCAATGTGGGAATTTCATTCGCAGCTGGACTGTTTCAAGATTCTGACAGATCTTCAAGAAGTGAAGATGAGGCCACCAGACGACTTAACCAATCAACTAGGATTTTAGAAATAGGGGATATCTTAATAGATTTGGAATATGACGATAGATTTGATGAAGATATTAGGTATATTTTCGAGAACGAATACCCTGAAGATGATGCTGATGAAGACTGGCAAGATGAAGATGATGAAGGTGAGTCTAATAAAAATAATAAAAATGAAACTGAAGCAGTTGTGGAAGCCGGAGCAGAAAAAGGTAAATCTTTATCTAAAGCTATCAGATCAGGTGATGATACAATACAATTTGACGAAAATGGTAGAGATTGGAGAGATCTTCCTAGAGGTGAAAATATCAAATTCGCTAATTGGTATATTGAAAAGTTACAGGAGTTTGATTCGTTAAAAGTTAAAGATGAATCAGATGATTTCTTTTCTACTGCTAATGAATTAATCGATACATTGGAATTCTTAACCTTTAACAGTATTGAGGGGGATAATGAAAGTGAAAAACGAATTGGACAAGTTGTGTTAAATACTATTGCCAAAGCTGTGAAAGATGAACAAGATTCTAAGAGTAATTCAATAACTCCTGATTTGATTTATCAATTTTGGTCATGTCCAGCTAAAGACGAAGCGGTTGTTATGACTCAAGCAAATAACAAATTAATTGTCCCCATATTACTGATAACAAATTTCGAATTACTTCTTCAAAATAATAGTAAGGTTGCCCGATGTATGATGGATGAGATGTTAATGTGTAAAGGCTATAGAAGAGTTTTGATTTGGTTTTTAACAAATAATATCAATCTATCATCTCTCTTGATAGACTACGTATTTGAACTTCTGTCGGGGCTTAGAGGTAATAAAGTTAGACAAATCCCTTATATGTTTACTAGACAGGGAAGTCTGTTAGTAATCACTGAGATAGAGAGACTGATGTTGCTTCATGAATTTTTGACCAATTGCAGTAGTTATTTATCAGCTACTGATGGGATTGAAATAGATAATGATTTTAAGGTTGTGTTAGCGGAATCTATTGCAAAGAAGTATCTTTCATTGTTATGTTTGATGCTCACTAGATTGATTGATTTAGGTATTATAAATTTAGAATTTGAAGATAGTATTGATGATTATTCAAATGAAATTCGAATTTTATTAATCAATTGGGTTGGTAAGCTTCCTGAAGCTAGAGATCTCTTTTTCAGGATCCAGAAGAATTCATCAAGAACCATTGAAAAGAAAAAGAATGAATCGATTCATAGTATGGAAGAGGTTACTGCACTTTTCAAAAAGTATGAAAATTTATCAACTATTGAAATTACAGAAGATTTGGTCAATAATAGAGTTCATAAAGAAACAATAGAATTCTTTACCAATAAGATATATAGCCTGCTTAAAACTACAGTATCAGGAACTATAAGTTCTGAGTCAGGTAAGTTGATTTCGGAAGTGACTTCCGATTTCAAGTTTTTCTTTCAACATTTCAATTCAATTTGCAAAGTGGAATACATTGCTGATAGATTATTTAAAGATTTTGAGAGTGTGGTTACTAGTGGAATATTTGGTACCGTTGAAGAAGTTAAAGATACTGCAACTGACGTTGAATCAGAGTTCAGTACAAACTTTTTGAATGGAAGTGGTCATTTTGAAGAGTCAAAATCAAACGACAAGTCAAGCAAGAAAAAGGGGAAAAAGAAAAAGAAGTCTAAAAAGAAGTAATGGGTAGTAATGACTATATAAGCATTGTAATATTATGTATTGTGTATAATAACATTTTTAATAGAATGGTTTTTAAAAGCATATATCTCAAATCAGGAGTCAAATTAAAAGTGTGGGAAACCTTTGCGGCAAAAACTGGAAAAGTCAAAAAATTCCGCTGTGCGCTCTGACTGACTCAAAACTGGAGTCAAATATCTTGACAACGAGTTTATCTAAAGAAAACCCCCTTTCTAAATAAACATTAAAACTATCAGGTTATTACAAGTAATGTTCAGTAGACAATTACGTTCCAACTTAGTCAAATCAATTAAGATGTCAAGATCCAGTTCAACCATTACTCCAGTATGTGTATATGACTAGTATCAATTGATCTATGGTGGAATATATTACTAATATAGTTTCTAGGTTCAAACTGCAAATGCTCCACCACCAGCTGCTTCATATTCACAAGCAATTAAAGTCAATGGTAAGTATTGAATGATATCTACGTTTAAACATTTGTTGCAATTGAATGTATATACTAACTTATGGGTCAATTATTTTAGGTTTCATTTATGTATCTGGTCAAATTCCATATACTCCACAAAACAAACCATTACCAGGTAATCCAACTATTCAAGAACAAGCTGAACAAGTGATTCAAAATGTTTCTAATATTTTAGATGCTTCCAATTCTTCCTTAAAACATGTTGTTAAAGCCAATATCTTTTTAACTGATATGAAGAATCAATTTGCTGAATTCAATTCAGTTTATGGTAAATATTTCAATGAACATAAACCAGCTAGATCCTGTGTTGCTGTTAAAGAATTGCCATTAGGTGTTGCTTTAGAAATGGAAGTTGTTGCCATTGAAAAGGGTGAAACCAAATTATAAGTTAGACAATGACTCTTCTAAAGCTGATATGATAGATAGATAGAGGTAATTTATACTTTGATCTACTGGAATAACACTTCCAGGTGAATTCGATTCCAGTTTATAATTCGTTTGTTATCATCATCTATTCTCTCATAAATATATACATACACATTCTTAACCACATTAAGTCATATCATTGTAGATATATGTTATCCAACTGTTTATATAGTGTAACAGATTCAGATTCAGATTCAATCACGTGTATCACCGATTCAAAGTCATTAGGGCTTCGACCCTCGTGCACTATTCATTCACGTGATTAATATACAGTCCCTTCACGCATTAAATAAAAATTTTCTCACAGTTAACAGAAACAGTGAGAGTTCCCATACAAACTGGTTTAGTTACAGTGCGAGATAGTCTGAAGGAAAAATTTGAAAATTAAACACCATTAAAATTTCCATTATCAATTCTCTTCTTTTAGATTTTAAACCATTGCATTAATCATCTTCAAAAATGGCTCAAAGAATTACCTACAGAAGAAGAAATCCATGTATGTTTAAATATCAAATATGAATTCGGTACAAGAAATGAACTTGAAATGAGAAAGGAGTCGTTATAATCCATGTAATAATCCGTCAATGAAATCACATTGAAATTTAAATGAAATTAGTAATAAGTCCATCAATGAATGAAAAGACAGTAAATGTACATCATAGTCCACTAGATATTAAGAATCAATCAATAATAGAGATTAAAATCATTCCAAACTGATCTACCACATTAGATATAAACAAATATTCAAATTGTAAAGACTATCAACCATAACCAACTACATTGTAAAACTTTTCAATCCTTCATATTATTCCAAACCAGAGTACTATATCCTTCCAAGACTTTTAATCAATCTATCAACTATATTCATCTCCTTTAAATGTCAAAATGTTATATTCATCAATCATCGTACCCTCTAACATTCAAGTTCATCTAAAATAATTGTACTGATTTAAAAAATATGACTAAACAATTATACTAACAAAATTTTATTATAGACAACACCAGATCTAACAAGATCAAGGTCGTTAAGACCCCAGGTGGTAAATTAGTTGCTCAACATGTCAAGAAGATTGCTTCAAGGGTTAAATGTGGTGACTGTGGTTCCGCTTTAGCTGGTATTGCTACTTTAAGACCAAGACAATATGCTAACATTTCTAAAACTCACAAAACTGTCCAAAGAGCTTACGGTGGTTCAAGATGTGCTAACTGTGTCAAAGAAAGAATTGTCAGAGCCTTTTTAATTGAAGAACAAAAGATCGTTAAGAGAGTCTTAAAAGAACAAGAAGATAAAGAAAAGAAAGCTTCAACCAAGAAAACTTCTAAGAAATAAATTATTTAACAGAATTTTGTAATTTAGTCTTTATGGTAACTCATTTGTAAATTTCTTTTTAAAAACCAACCCTTTTAATAAAAATACATCCACGATATATAACTTTGTTAACTTGTAGTAGTATGTACAGCTTTGTAAGTTATTGCTGGTGTCACTACCAAAGAAAAATTGAGATCAAAATATTTTGAACTGGCTGACACAATTTTTTTTTAGTTGCAAATAACTTGATTAATCAGACAATGTCAGAACTTGAATCAAATATCTCTACTTCGATAGATGAATTCATCAGTAAGTTGTACCTAGAGTAAAAAGAATGTATCAAGAATTGATTCTAACCAATTTGTAGGAATTTCTAATGAGATTGCAAAGTCTATTGAGTCATCAAAAGATCTTTCAGAAAATCAAATACTTCCAATTCAATCAAAATTAGATGTGGTTTTATCTCTATCTGAATCATTATTGAAGTCGTCTAACTCAATCAATCAATATTTACCTCTTTCAAATGAAGTACGGGATATAGTAGAGGCAACAGCTTCAAATTTATGGAATATAAGTAGTATCACCTCTCGTGTAATTGACAGCCAAAAGATTCAATTATTTCTTTGTCAAGTTAAATTATTTGCTTTGGTTCTATTACAAATCTATGATCGATCTAACTTTGATCATTCTAAGTTATTTAGATCTACTAATTGTGCCATCAAACTCTTTTCATCTTGTATAGATTTTCAATTTAATGATGTGGCTAAAAAAGTTCAGACTTATGGTGAAGCTTCAATCGCAAGATTGATTGAATTAGATAAAGATGATAAACTTGGGAAAGAAGATAAAAGTAAGATATATGAAAATACTCTGAAAATGTTAATACTAAGTATGAATCATTCCTTAATTATAAAGGATTATGTGATGACAAAACTTTATGAAACAAAATTAGACAAGATAAATTTAGCAAAACATGCAAAAGTTGAATTCTTATCTGATTGCAGTCGTTATTTATTTAATGGCTCTTTGGAATTATATGAACATGAAAATTTTGAGAAAGCTCTGGAAATTGTTTCTTATTCTATAAAGTATTTACAAGTCAATGATTTGAATTACAAAGCAGTTATCAACGACTATGATGAACGATTATTTCAGAGTTATCTTTTGTATATTAAATGCTTACAGAAAGTACCTAACAGTTCCAATAAGGTTCAGGAGATCCTAAAGTATCTAATGGAAAACTTCAGCAATAGAGTTGAAGTTTATATTTTGAAATTAGAAGAATATCAGGATTTTGAAGAGTCGGAAATTAAGGATCTTGTTATGACACTAGTGGTGAAGGTTCCATTAGAAAATAATCTTGAAAAGATTCTTGGTCTATTAAGAAATATTTGTCAGAAAAGCATTTACGCAGTTAATAAGTGTATGGATTATATGCTTACGAAACTCGATCCCATTAAATCACACGACCAATTAGAGCTAATAGTATCAACGAAAGTATACTTCAATACCAATATAATTAATCTGGCAAAGACCATCGTTGAGTTAAATTCATTTTTAAAATTGGCTGAGAGAACTTTCACCAAACTGATCTCTCAATCCTCTAGGTCAAGTATAGTCACATTAATTTGGAATCAAGGTACAAAATCTCTTAAAGCTCAGAAATACTCTGTTGTCATTGAATGGTATAATCTTTGTCTTTCTCGTATATTGGTTGATGAAAGGGATGAAGGAGATGAAAATGGTAAAATTATAAGATCTCTTCAAAATAGTCATTTCTTACTTAATAATTATCAAAGTGCCATAGATTGTGTGGAACAAATGAATGAAAAGCATAAAAGCAGTATCTTAACACAATATAATCTCTTTCGGTGTTATATTAAACTAAATAATGTTGATCTTGCTATAGAAACTATAGAAAGAATGTCTTCAAGAGAGGATCCACTTAGTGTTGTAACATTAGCGGTATGTGTAATTGAATCCAAAGGTATTTTACCAACATCAATGTCATTGAATCTAATGTTCAAGTTATTGTCGTTGGTAATGAATGATGATAATTACAAGAATGAAAGTTCAACTGGTTCTGATTATGTCGTTATCCCAATCGCCATTCGTTGTACCATTGTGATGGTTTTAAAAGGGTGTGAAAATGAATCAGATACATCGATCATTTCCAAACATTTCGCGTCTTTGTTAGAAATCTTCACTAAAAGTTTACTGGTTGCGAAAAAAAATTCGAGTAATAAAGTCAAAAAATCACAGAAGTTCACAGTAGATGATTTAGAATGGCTTAGTAGTAAAGCTTACAATATTGCTTGTACCGCTGTAAAGCATAATCAATCTTCAACATGTTTATCATTTGCTCAATTTGCCAAAAGTTTTATAACTCTAATTCCTCATGATATAGGTGCTCAAAAGTTGATAGAATTACAAATTTGGGATATCAAATCTAATATCCTAATCATGTTAGCAACTATATTGAAAGGATCGGAAACTTCTTGGAATGAAATCAGAGAAGCAGCCACTAAAGATTTCGAATCTATTAACAGATTGTTAACATCTAATGAGATTGGCGAGAATCAACTTGAAGACTGCAAAAGCTGTCGAATCCAATTAATATTATTTCGATTTCAAGCAGAGTTGGAGCTGGGATTGTCAGATAATCTTCATGGTATATTAGAACAAGTTCCCACTGAAGATAAAGTATTAGACTTTACCATCTATAGTACGATAGTTGCCCTTGTATTGAAATCCAATAGAAACCAGGTGAAATATAAATTGTTAAGTGAAATCATTATTAAAAGTCTAGAATTGGGATCTAACTTCAGCCTTATTCTGATTTGGATTCGGAAATTGTTTGAAGATCATTCATTGACAGGGGAAAATCATGAACTAGTCATCTCTCATTTGATATCGATTTTGAAATGTTTAGATCAAGAAGAGACATTTCCTCCTTTTGAGATTGACTGGTTAGCTTCAACATGTTGGAATCTGGGAGTAACTAACATAATGTAAGTAAATTTATGATTAAAAATATCCATTTAAACCATTACTAACTGAAATTATAGTGATGAAAACAATCATCAGGATGTTATTAGGCTATGCAGTTATGCGATTATCTTAAGTAAATTTGTTAACGAGAGATTACAACAACAAGTAAGTAAATTCTATTCTAATAATTATCTATCATAATATACTAACTTAATTTAGTTTAATAATATTTGGTTGCAGCTTGTTACGGATCAAAATCTTGATGAGGCATTGTTGATGAATTATGTTCGCAAATATGACTAAAAGGCTATAAACGGAATCGAGAACCCGCACCCAAAATTAGCTTTTACTATCAAAAACACCCCTTAGAACTAATTTTAGCATAAAATCATATATAAATACTAAATTTAGAGAAATGGCGTTATTGTTAGTCACAGAATGGCTCTTATTTCAGGTCAATTTATGCTATTATATTGATGCTTCAGAAATGAGATCACTGTAAACTGAAAGTTCAAACAGTAATATGTCGTCACGATGAGATCAATCATGTTTCAAAATTTCTTTTTCAACGGTTAGTAAATGCAATAAGATATACGACATATACCAAATATTAACTTGAGGCCAAATTGGCTCTTTAATTAGAACAGACTCATAATGGTCATCAGAGTAATAATAAACTTCGAAAATAATAAACATGGAACTTGGCCATATATATAGAATAAAATCAAATCAAACAAAAAAAAAAGAAATTCCTATTCGAATTGCCTAAAATAGTCGCAAAAAAGATACACAGATCCAGAGATAAGGAATTTTGTGCCATGGCAAAACAAGAGGTCATACAGATGATCATTATAAATAAACTTGATTCTACTTTCAGTTGTAGTTTTTCCTTCGATGTGTTATTGTTATTGTTTCATTTACATTTCTTTAATTTAAACATTAAACCCTTCAAATCAACTTTTATATACTTCAATTAGTGGTCTTCTGACTCATTTGAGATAATAGAAATCAAACTTAGAATCATAAACAAATCATAAATCATAATGGAATCTTCTAGACTAACATATCATTTAAGTAACACTTATATACCACCAACTAAGGAATCCTCCAAGATGGGAGTACCTGATTATCATCCATGTTTAATAGTTCAAGATAAACAAACCGATACTAATAAATTAAAGCCTTGTGGTTGTGCTGATGCTTATTGTGTAAAGAATGCTCCTGATTGGATTCCAAGAGCGAAACGTTAGGTATGACTTAATGATTACCTTGATGGTAATAGCATGTTAGACAGGATGACAGAGGGCTTTACAAGACGAACGGATAGACGTGGATAGTAAAGGGGGTTGTTACTGTTTTTTGGTTTTTTTTATAGTTATTGGTGAATGTTGATGCAACATAATAGAGATGAGGGAGATTATTTACGAGGATGTAGATATAACTGTTTCAAATATAATTTAATTTAATTTAATTCTACAAAAATAAAATTTATTGTTTAAATACGTATACATATAATAATTTTAATATAAAACGGTATAAATCTTATAAATTATCATTAAAGTAAAAGGGTATAAAATACAGAGAAGAAAAGTGTATAAACTTCTAATGTTTACAATTATTCGAAAATAAAACTATCTCTATCACCTAAATCTTGTTGTTCTCTATGCGAAGGATTCATATCATTGGCAAAGGAATAATTATCACTAAGTACACTTTGTTGATATAACTGGCTGTTATTCTGGACTTTGTAGTTACCATGGTCATCCGTTTCATCAGTAACATATTTAAATGATCTAAAACCTTCTTGGTGATTGTTGTTAGTGTGAGCATTATAATAATTATGACTTGGGGAGTTTGATTGTGCTGATGAGACATAACTTTGTCTATTAATGTCATCAAATGGATTTGCACGAGGTGCTGTTCGATGTTCCAAAACTGGACCTCGTTGTTCTAAAGTATCTCTATACTCATCATGGTCATCAGCTTCTTTTAAATCATTGGCGGAGCCTATACTATAAGATCTAAAAGGATTTTGAATTTTGAATTGTCGATGATTAGAATTGTAATCATGTTTTTCATCCATTAATGGAGAACTATGAACTGAATATTGAGCTGGTTCGACATCTTCTTCTTTCTTAATGTAGGCGAAAGTTAAAATAGAATCTTTACCGAACATTGCTGAAGGATGGAAAACCAGTAATATAATACTTGTTAAAAGGATCATTAAAGCATCCAATGTCATCACATATTGTTCATGAGTAATAAGATAACCTTTCCAACCTTGGGATAACTCAACCACTCTATAGACACAACGAATGTATACGAATATGACTGAGATTAAAATCACAAATGGAATTAATCCAAAGAAATTCCGTTGTCTTATTTCTCGATGTTTTGGATTATAATAAGGATCTAATGCTTCTCTTATTTTGCTACCACCAGTGGTATTAAATAAACATTTCAAGTAATTTCCAACAGAGTACCTTATATTTGGATTTCCTGTTTTGAAAAGACTTCTGTGGATGAAATCAAATAAGAAAATTAAAAATAATGACATGGATAATACTTGGAATCCAATCCCACCAACCATGATATGAGTTCCAAAAGCTGTATTTCTAAAATCATTCAATGCAATACCAGCTACACAACCCCCAGCAGCTTGAATTATTAGACTTGCCAAATCACAAACTATAAATACATATGAAAACCACATTGGTTTTAAAATTGAATACTGTCGACCATGTAAAACAATCAATTGAGCTAATAAAAGGTAAATACCTGCCATTAGAAATGCTGGAGCTAAAGTTAAACAAATTATTTGACATAAGAATTTATCATAATTAACATAATCACCAACCGCTAAGAATCTAGCAAAATATCCAGCAAATTCTAACCCAGTACCACAAATAAAACAAAATCCAAAATAAAAATGTTTTGACCAAATACATAAACTGGCTTGCCAAATAAGTATAATAGCAAATATAACAGCCATCAATAAATTAGCAACTTTACTTAAATCACTTGAATATAAATTAGCTTCACGATCCAATGATATTAAATTTAAAGTGGCATTAAAGATTGCTTCTGTAATTTCAGGAAAATCTTGAGTTGCAGTTCCAGTTGCAATCATATTTTCATTATTGATAATGGTTAAAGAAGCTTGGGCCCCTCTATATAACCGATAAAGTGAATAAAGGGATAATCTATCAGTTTCAGTCACCACTGCATATTGAATTGATGTTATACTGGCAGATAAGGCAGGAGCATGAGTTGGAGCTATATAACTTAAAGTCTTTGTGGCAGGAATACTGGTGGCAGACCAAGAACTCAAGTAGGTATGATATTCTGAAGGTATAAGGGGTAAGAACTTTGAAAAGTTTACCTGATCAGACATGATTGATATGAAGTTGAATGACTAGATATAACTAAATGCAATAATGACTATATAATGAAAGTTTGATCAGGAAATGATAAACTTTGAATGACTAATGGATGAATGATGAAGATAACGTTGAATATGATGGTAACAAGTAAAAAGCAAATAAATAATAATAGTCAGAATAAATAGAGAGGTATATATATGAATAAGTGAATGAATGAAATGAATGATTCCAAGAAAAAGTTTAACAGTGCAACCTTAACCGTTCGTATATATAGAAATCAAAAGTAGAAATTATAAGAAGTTAAATATAAAAATAATTGAATTAAACCCGAATTCTACTACTATAAATGACTGAGATGAATGGCTTCAAGAAAAAAATTTGAAATGGTTTGTTTAAAATCTTAATTGTCATTATGGATTATATCATGTTAAAAATAGTATCAAAATTTAATAATCTTTCCCAATTAGGAAAGGCTTTTATGAAACGCAAAAAAAGGCAGAGGTAAAATTTATTTTTCAACCCCCTTCATTATTGAAGTTAGTACAATAAGATTGACTAAATAGATATGGCTCATTAACGTATGGGTCTTTTAAAACTTTAATATGGTTTGAGGCAACTTACAGACATAACTATCAAAAAAGCTTGTCTCGTTAATAAGCAGTTATTCATTTGAGTTGATGATCCCCGTGGACAACTTTTGTATGAATTAGTTGCTCTCTTTCTCTTATGTTCATTGTGGGATCTTTATAATTTCCTTGAATTGACTTACTATATTCATAGCCATTGTCCCCTTATTCTTTCCCTTTCCCCCTGATGAATCAAAAATTATCACAGCCAACCGCAAAACAGTATAAAAATAGGTAAGAAGAGTGAGTGAGACCATGAAGAAAGAAAATAAAAAAAAAAATTCCCCTCTGTTGCGACCCCACAATCTCTTCTATCCCAAATAGGAAATTAAATGGAGATGATCAATTTACTAAATTTTGCCTGGCATTTTCCTAATTAGGCCTGATTCAAGGGTTGGAGTACATCAACTGTATAACTCAATTACTTACTATTAATAGATAATTACTACATTAATTAATGAGTAAAGCTTATACTCCTGAGTTATTTTCGTTCTATCAAGTGGCTTCGAGGAGTAGAATTCCCTCAAAGCCTTACTGTATCGTCTAATCATTACAACATTTCAATTCTATTTTTTAACTTAAGCCATTGGATTGCTATTTATCTACTTTTGGTATATCCTCAGAGGACTTAATAATCAAGCCTTTTGGTTCTGCCCCACCATTCCATTATAAATCATATGAGAATTGGTACTTTTTTCGTTTTCGTTGTTTATTTTGGTTGCAATTATATGTCCATTTACCCAAATAGGATATGCATTCAAAATTGTGCTGTTGATTGCAATGCAATCCACCTCCTGTATCTCAAATACGAATTTAAATATATCGCTTAACTAATGGTTTGTAAGGGAAAGAATCTTTATGAATTAAAAAGGTAATAATAAAAACATATATACATAAATATATAAGGAGGGGGGGGAAAAAGAAATTTTAGATTATAGTAGTAGGTAGTTATATAATCATTAATGTGTTTATTTTATAGAACAACGGTTTTGGAACTGAATTGAACTGAATTGTCGGTAAAAATGAAAATGAAAATAAAGAAAAGAAACGTGAACTGATTTGGTCTGTAACGTAAGATTATGTCTCTTTTTTAACTTCTGAGTTATTGTTCGATGTGGTAGCAGCAGCGGCGGTTGATGAATTATTATTTACTAATTCATTAGCGATTTGTTCTCTTTTCCAGAATCTTAATAATAAATCACCATAATTTTGTAAATCTTCCACTGAAATCATCAATTTAAAATCCAATAATAATAAAAATTGTAATTCTAAATAATTTAATTCTTCTAATGGTAATCCACCAACTTTAGCATATCTTAAATTCTTATAAAAGATATCACTGAAAAATTTAGATGATACGGTTATACCTGATATAATCAATCTGTGAATATTATAAGAATCCATGACAAATAATTGTTCAATCTCTCCTGAACCATTCAGATCATTATTATTGTTATTACTGTTTTCGGAACTTGTGACTGAACTTGGATTCATTTCATTATTAATGGTTGATGAAGTATTACTCATACCATTTTTATTCTTTTGATGATTTAAATTATTTGCCTTTTTAGCAATTCTATCAAAATAAACTAATAATGAAAGAAATACATCATTAGTAACTGGACAATATTTCAAAACTCTCGCTAAATAAGCATGTAATGAGATTCCAGGAACATTTGTACCATGAAAGGCAAGAACATTGGCTAAATATTTATTCTTCATTTCATCTTCTTCATCATCATCGAGATCTTCATCACCATCAATATCGATATCTTCGTCATCATCATCATCTAAATCTTCATCATCGTCGAATTCTTCATTATCAACTTCAATAGGATCATCATTATCCACCTCAATAGTATTATGTTCTTGATGATGATGACCATGATGGTGATGATTATTATTATTGGTTCCATCTTGATCAACTTCGATATTATCTTCTTCATCTTCATCTTCAACCACAATAACATCGACATCAACTCGATTATGTAATCCATCATCATCATCTTCTTCTTCTAAATCACGTTTATGAGATTCTTGTTCCAATTGTTGACGTTGTAATCTTCTGGCTCTTTTACGTAGTTTTCTAAGTTCGATTTTTTGTAACTTCTTCAATTTCTTCTCTTCTTTTAATCGTTGTCTAATCGCAATCGTATTATTAAAATGATTAGGATGTAATTTATCATTAGCTTCAATGATCTTGGTTAATAAACATGATAACATCACAATTAAATCATTGACGGGATATTCCGATATATTCAAATGTTCTTCATAGAGGTTTGATGATGGAGATGAACTTGATTCACCAGCAGCAGCAGAATTTTCAGCATTACGGGTACTTTCTTGTAATAAAGTTGAATAAAATTCGGAATATGACATATAATGATCAGGTTCAGGTGGATTATATACATTATTTTGAACCTGTTGTGGTTGTTGTTGTTGTTGTTGTTGTTGACGAGTTTGTTTTGATGATGATGAACTTGAATAAATATCATTATTACCAGTTGGAGTATTACTTAAAGTAGAAGTATTACTACCCGACAATTGTTTATTAGTAACTTGAGGTCTATTAATAAATTGATTTTGTTGTTGTTGCTGCAGTTGTTGTTGTTGAAACGAATTTCCAAATCCACCATTGACAGGAAAAGAATTAGGTACTCTTTGTTGTTGATGTTGGAATTGATGAAACAGTTGTTGAAGAGGTTGAGATGGTTGTGATACTTGATGTTGAGATGGGATTGAAACTGAATGGGATGAATAACTATTACCTTGGTTTGGATCAAAACTTGGAGGATTGAATGATGAAGAAGCTGATACAAATGAATTATGATTTGAAACCGAATTAGCAGAATCCATTGAAATATTGGTGGTTGGGATTGAATGAGGAATGACTGTTCCCGGTTTATAACTTGAACCTTGCTTTGGTAATTGTTGTTCTTGTTGTTGTTGTTGTTGTTGAGGTATTTGACTTGGAGGTTGCAGTTGTTGCAGACCTGGTTGGAAACTATTTTGAGATATGAAATTATTGGTATTTGGGATTGAAGGAGTATAAGAATGATTTGAAGTATATGATGAACTTACCACAGTTGGAGTATTATGACTTGATGGGATATAATTCAATGAATTATTTTGAGGTGTATTATATGGTTGGAAATTATTATTACTTAAATTATTATGTTGGAAAGGTTGAAAATCACCAGTATTATTATTACCATCAGTCGGTATAAACTTATTGGAAGATGATGATGAAGGTTTGAATGAATTTGGAAATGATTGATCATATGCTTGATTGTTATTATTGTTATTGTTACTATTTGGTATACCGATCGATGTTGTTGAAGATGATGTTGTTGATGCAGCTGATAATAAATTCTTGGTTAAATTTGATATTTGTGGTTTAGCGTGAAATGATGATGCATTGGAAGTATTGGGAGAATTTGAAGTTGGAGATTGATAATGTTGATTTTGAGGATTGGAAGTAGTAGGATTAGATGGATTTGTATTGGTATGATTTGTATTATTATGATCTGATGGATTGATGGTGGTTGAAGTTGTGGTTGATTCAGGTAGGAGCAGTTGTGCTGTCGTTGTCTTATATTGAGAACTCATATTATGATTTCAATGATGATGGAGGGGAAGAACACTATTGTTAATACAGATGGTATGATTAGACAAAGTGATATGATATGAGATAATACTATATGATTGAATTGAACTGGTATGGGTTGAATAATGGAAGTGGTAGTAATTTGTTTGTGCAAGGGGAGGAGGAGTGGTGGTGGTTGAGAATTGGCAACGAAAATATTGAACACAATAGAATGGTTAAGGGAATGGGGGCAGGCAGACAGGGAGTGCACTATTCTCTAGGTAAGTAAGTAATGAATTGAAATTACAAGTTCAAGGTTGTGTATATAGATCACCAACTATGACAATTGCTAGAATGATATGGTACGGTAAACTTGACAACTTTTAGTGAGTTATAATTTTAAGAAATATGGTGATGGGTGTGACTTTAAACTTGTCTGTTTCTCTGTTTCTTTTCTTTCTGTTTGACATTCATCTTTTTTTTTTTTTTTTTTTATTTTTTTTTTTTTTGGTTTCCGCTTTTGATGTTTATTTTGTCTGATTTTTGGTATTTTTGTCAGAATTTTAAGAAAGGGACAAAAATGTCGTTTTTTTGGTTTACTTAACCTTCCTTCCTTAACTTTCCTTCCCTAGGAACTATACTGGGCTTTCACTAAATATTATTATTTCAATTATTATCAACTAGTTTTAATTGGCTCGCTAAATCTATACACTACACAGTTCTAAATCTCATTTCAAATTACAACTACAATTTCAATTTCAATGAAATCAGTATCAGTATCAGTGTCATCAAAGAACAGATTCATTTAAATTGTACTTTTACGAACACTGTCTCTCTTTTTTTATTTTTATTTATTTACCTATTTTACGGAAGTATGATCCATTTTGTGTCGGGGACATTTTATTTATATATGATGTTTTTCATGTATGAGATCTCCCTAATTATTTGGTGACAGATTTATAACCCATTATTATTATCATTAATGTCTTCGTTAAGTTTAGCGGGAAGCGGTTCTGTTAGTGGTTACAATACTTATTCTGTATAAGCTTCAATTACATTAACTTTTAATGGTTAAGCTTTTAAAGTGATACAGGACAAGGTTCAGGGAAAGAGTAGCGAAGAATAAAGCGAACGAACGAAGTCTAAATCAGACAGACAAGACAGACAGACATTTTTAAGTTTATTTTTGTCACGTGGGGGAGATATTGCCTAAAATGGACAAGTCTTTCATTAAATGAAACTAAGTTGTAACTTATTCTGATCATAAGGAATATGAATTATATAAAGTAAAGGTATAATTGCAAAATAGGATAGATCAATTATTTGATAAATAATATAAACATTGAGCCACTATTCAAATTAAATTAATTCCCCATTCATTTCCCACCCCTCTCTTCCCCCAAAGCAAAATAACCAATCCCACACAGACAGATTGACACTATTGATTTTAAAAATAATCATGACAGAACTCTTTCGCTTGTGTAAACATAATCCCCATAAGCCTTATTGACTAAATACATAACTTTACATTGGTTGTTATATAATAGTTTTTAACAAACCCCGTTCTGGTCCTGTATATAATGTTAGGTATAATCCCGTATTTAAATCAACCAAGTTTGAAAAATAATTGTATGATAAATATATATATATATATATATATAGATTACCACTCTAGAACTAACTAACCAACCAATGTCAACTGCATCTAAAATAACATTTGGTGCTAGTTTATTAGCAGCAGGAGGGGCTTTTTTATTCATTAATTATTCGCAAGGTTTAGAACGTCAAGCTTTAAGACAAGGTCCAATTAAAGATGCTGCTCGATTAGAAGCTAAACATCAACAACAAGAATTATCCAAAAAGCAATTGTTTAATGATGCTGAACATCGTGAACAACAGGAATTAAGAGAAAAATTGATCAAGATCCAACCATTATCCGATGAGATTATTAGAGGGGTTGATAAAAGTTAATAATGAGTTGATTGTTTTCATCATCATCATCCCCATCATCGTTCATACCATTCAGTATGCTTCAGTCAAAAAATTGTTAATAACGCTTCATGTATATATATAAGATCAACGATTCACGAACATTCGCAACCATGTAAATAAATAATAACTACAATTACAGGACTTATACAGAGGTCATAAATATAAATATATTCCTACAATTGTATTTCTTAAAAAAATGTGAGTGTTCTTGGAGACACCAGAATGTAGGATTAAAATTTTAATAAAGTCATTTCACAACAACTTTGTCCTCTGATGTACTATGATGCACTTCTTTGTCTTGTTCTACGAACTTTCATCATACGTTTATAACTTCCGAAAGGAAATTATAATATCAATTGAATATGGTTTAAATCTTGCTTCAAGAAACGCACCAAAACGGTTTGTTGATAGAGAAGATGTTAGATCGTGTCGAAGATTCTGTCCTCGATAAAGAGGTGGAATCTGATCAAGCCAAGATACTATAATTGACATTATGATAGATGTTCGATATTATAGAAAGAAGAAGAAGAAAAGGATGGATCTAATTGAAAAAAAAAATTTACTGTCCTTTTTTTTCATTCTTACGAGAAAAGGTCGTGCAATTAGGTTCAATATCATATAGATCTATATATCACCCATTCAACAATCTTGCTGGTTGCAAATCCACACATATCGTTCATGAGGGAAGTTACATCAATCAATTAATGACTTAAGTGAGAAAAAGAATGGAAACGGTTTTATTAAAAAAAGGGAGCTATAAATTGAAACTATGATATTTTTATGAATTTGTATATATATATATGTACCTGTTACGTTAAGTTATTTTATTTTTATTGTTGTTGTTGTTGTTGTTGTTGTTGTTGTTGCCATGGTATTGAACGTATCTCAAGGTGGATTTTAAATAGCAACGATTATGAATTTTCTGTCATCTATTCTATCAATAATAATAAAAAGTGAATATTAAATTAAATTAAATTAAATATTTTAATTGTTGTTTTTGATTTAAATTAAGCTATATGTTTTTTGAAAATTTTTTATTTTTATATCGGTGTAAGTGTGGATTTTTTGAATTTCTAGATCAACTAGACCAAAGTTTTGTTATATTATGTACGTATATGAAGTATGTTTTTTTATGTTAATTTTGTTGTTGTGGATTATGAATAATTAACCTTCTCTAAAATTATGAATTAATGAATGACTTAATCATCCATCTTACCTACAACCTCCTCCTCGTCGAACGATTGATTGACTTTACCTTCATCATCTTCAATGGCATTTTCATTATCTTCCTCTGCTTGTTCACGTTCAGTTTTAACTTCTCCATTCAATTTAGTGAAATTCACTAAAATTGGTGATTTGGAAATACTACCTGGTACAGCCTTATAAGAAGGAGAAGGAGATTTCAAATCATCCAAAGTATGAGTTACAGTAGTAGCTGTTGAACTTGCTGAAGGTGGAAGATGGTGTTGACCATTTGAATGATCAAGATATCCACCATTCAAAGAAGGAGAACTTGGATGGTTCTGATGATGATTATGATGATTATTATGAGCAGAGATTATAGGGGAATGGGTTGATGATGGAGGGTATTGACTGATAGAACCCATTCTATTAAAATTAGCTCTTAAATTAAAATCTTTATGAGAAGAAGAAGATGTATCTTCAATTTCAGAAGATTCATCAAACGCATTTTTAAAAGTTGGTGGTTTATTATCATCTGAAATTGGTGGAGTTGGAGTAGTATGATTAGTTAAATTTGTATCGGCTGAATTTGAAGGAGAAAATGGTGAATCATCACTATAATTTGGATTCCCATTTGTTGATTGTGATTGTGATTGAGGTTGATTTGGAGTTCCGGTTGGTTCATTCATTCCCACTAATATACTGGCAGCTTCTAATAATTGAACTTGTTGATGTTTTGAAATTGATAATCGTTTAGTTACATTCCATTCTGGAGTATGTTCCCAAAGATGTTTAGCTAATGAAGAAATATGTTTATAACCTTTCCCACATGCTTCACATCTTAATTCTTCTTTTAATCTTCCAGTTTCACCTTCACTTATTCTTCGTACCACGAATTCTCTTGATAATGTTGGAACTGATGAACTTGTAATGGGAGAAGATCCATTCATATGATGAGAATTTGTGGGTGATAAAGGATTATTATGATGATGGAGATGATGATTTGCATGTTGTTGTTGTTGAACTTTTATAGGGATGGTATATGGAGTGGTTGAAGAGTTACGTCTATTATAATTATATTGAGTTGCCGTCATGATATACTCTATATTGTGTTAATAGTTTAAGTTGGGAGGGGGTTGTATAGACGATGAACTATTCACAATATTAGAATTTTCTTGATGGGTTGTTGAAATATTTTTATATATGATAGATTTGAATTTTCATATATGAGTTAGGACTGAGTTGAAACTGATATAGGATAGTAGGATAGTATTCAATGGATCAGTGAACGGTATGACAAGCTTTAATATGGTAATAGATACTACTTTTCAAAGAAAAGTGTTGCTACTTTATGGTTGGTCGTGGTTAAGAATAAAACAAACAGCAGTAGTTATACCACAAACAGTAACCGTTGACTTTTTCAAAAACAAAAAAAAACTAGATAACTTCAAACTGTATGAGGTTCAAAGTAACTAAGTGACAGTAGTGAGTAATACCAGAAGTTGTAAAGGGTATAGTAATGATGAAAAGTGAAAGTTGGGTTGATTGGTGAATTTTTTTAAATATTATAGTAATTTTTTTATTTATGTAAATAAATTTTTTTTTATTTTATTTTTTATTTTATTTTATTTTATTTTATTTCAGCCATCCACAGCCAAAAAAAAAAAAAAAAAAAATTAATTTAATTCAACGTGAAGTGTTTTAAGCGTAAAAGATTCTTACAAGGCGTACTGACTAAACTAAACTTCTCACTAACACTAAAGTCCAGTAAACCATAGTACCACTAGCCACAGTGGATTATAGTAATAGTGGATAGCATAGAAATGATAGTATTAATCACTCAACACGTACGACATATGTTGTTGATATCATTAACAGTATTAGAATATTAACATTATTACAGTTGAATTATATGAATTATCCGCTAACAAACATTTCTATTCTCTACTGGGAAACTGGAACCTAACTCCCCGCTAGCCGGCTAAGGAAAAAAAAATAGTTTAAAAATTCCTCACTAAAAAAAAATAAACCCTGCCAAAAAAAAAAAATAAAAATAAAAAAAGATTTAAAAAATGCTGCTAAAAAAAAGAAGAAGACAAAAGAAATTTAAGGACCAAAAAAAAAAAAAAGTTTAAAATATTTTTGGATTTAACCAGCGCACGTGACTCGAGCAACCCAAAAAAAAAATATATATACTTAGTATACTATGTATTGTTAAGAGTTTATAAATGTTGCAGATTTCATTACTTTTGATTCGTAACTCTCTGTATGATTATGTACCTGTATTATGATGTATGGATGTATGTAAGTAATTAATTTATTTATATATATATAAAATTAACTTATGTTGGATTAGATTATGACAATTAGAATGATTCAGAATCAAGGATATCAATATCTTGCTCATTAACATGAGAATGTCTTTGATGATGATGGATTATAACGGAATTATTCATCCCATTTATATCATCATTCATAGCATCATCATTTGTAGTATGATTATGATTGATCGGAGTTTTATCATCGGCCATAGGATCAGTCACTTGAAATCCGGGTTCAGTAGAATATAATATCGATTGAATTTGTTGAGCTAAATTTGGCACCGTCAATGATTGATCATAATTTTCACCATCATCTAATATATTTTGAATTAAAATTTCAATTTCACGTAATTTATTAAAATAAAAATTTCGTTCTGTTTCTAAACTATCAGACAGAAGTTTATATTGTTTTAATTCATCATTAAGATAACTTATTTCTTGAATTGATTCTTGTAATTCTTTTTGTAATTGACTTGATTTAGTAGATGTGGTACTATGAGCTTGATTAGCTAAATTTGATGGTGTTAATGGAGTGATTGATCTTGAATGATGATTGTTATTATTAGTTGATGATAAATTCCCACTTGAAATTCGTCTAGATATGGATGCATTATTCTTAGGTATATTTAAACTTGAACTATTAGTAATTGATTTTCTAGTTGTACTGGTAGATGATGTATTAGATCCACTTGATGATGATGATGATGATGTAACTCTTCTTGGTTCATTATTATTACTATTACTATTACTACTATTTCCATCACTTATTCTTCTAGTTGATCTTATTGCTTTTGCATCATATTCAACATCATTAATCTTTTTATTATCTAACCAAAATTTCCTAAACCATTGTAATAAATCTAAATTATCTTGTAATCGACATTTTATTAATCGTTCCACATCAATATTTTTATTTATTTTATGTTTATTGAATCCAGCTTGTAAAATTTTCCAATTTTGGCGATAATTATATTCATTATTACCAACATCTTGGAATTTAACTTTTGAAATAGGGATCCCACCCACAATTGAATCTAATAATTGACAAAAGGCAGCTCCTGTACCACATTGTTCAACTTTGGTATAATTTAAATCTAAGGTATGATTTAACCATTGTAATAATTCTGATCTTGATTCACTAACCACCATCGTTGAGTTGTAGCCTGTTCTTCTTCAAATCTAATCCAATCAACTTGATTGATTGATTGATTGATTGATGATACTCTATATATATATATATATACACGTATAATGATTGATGTTTGATATTTGTTTACATTTTGTTTTACAGCCTAAACATTGAATACAGGACATTCCCAAATTTTAAGTTAAACATCCATGCCCAAATATTAAGATGTTTAGATCCATGCCGCAGTAGTTAATGACACAACGTGTGCATGTGAAATATTTGTCTCTTAACTATGAGTAACGTATAGTAAAGATGGGTACGATGGTAAGATGATAATTTGAGTTATTTATAGATATGATTGCTGGTTAAGATCATTCTCAGTACTTGACAGATCCATATCATATCATCTAATTGTATAGATCAATTGAGTCACATCAATTAGATCAATCAAATCAAACAGCAAACTGAACCAACCCAGAAAAAAAAAAGTGAACTGAGTCAGTCAGTCAGTCAGAAATTCTTAAATTTATTTTGGGTAAAGTAAATTTTAAATCATCCATCCATCAATTCATTTTAAGATCAAGATCAAGGCACAGTTTATACATACTAATCACTACTACTACTGATTAGTTACAATCATTTGAAGTCATTTGAACATTTATCAATTCATCTCAATTGATATCCCATTCATCAGTTTAAAGCTCTAGTTCGTTATTGTTGTTGTTAATCATTTCCTAACAAAGCCTATTCTCAAACTTAAACTCGCGTACACGCACCTCATCATATATATATATAAGTAGTTACTTTCAATCAATTCATTCATTCAAACACTGCCACCACCACCACTACTACTACTTCCACCACCAATCACCATGTCAGATCCAATTGCTAGTACTTCAGGGTTTAAAAAATTATCTGATTCTTCTGCTATTGCATCAGATTCAGAATTCGATACTGATGAAGTTATTAACTCCAGTAATAAACCTCATCCTCTTAGAAGATCATCATCATTATTCTCATTAGCTTCTAAAGATGAATTACCAAGACCGGATAAAAAGGAATATACTGCTTTTATTGAAGATAATAGACATTTCTCATTAATTCGAAATTTACATATGGCTGATTTCATTACTCTTTTAAATGGGTTTAGTGGGTTTTATTCTATTATAAGTTGTTTAAGATATACTTTAACTGGTAAATCTCATTATGTTCAAAGAGCTCATTTTTTCATTTGTTTAGGATTATTCTTTGATTTCTTTGATGGTAGAGTAGCAAGATTAAGAAATAAATCTTCTTTAATGGGTCAAGAATTAGATTCATTAGCTGATTTGATTTCATTTGGAGTAAGTCCTGCCACTATTGCCTTTGCTATTGGATTCCAATCAACTGTTGATGTATTATTATTAACCTTTTGGGTATTATGTGGATTAACAAGATTAGCTAGATTTAATATCACAGCTCAAATGATTCCAAAAGATGAACATGGTAAATCAAAATATTTTGAAGGATTCCCAATCCCAACTAATTTATTTTGGGTATTCTTTTTTGCATTTTTAGTTTATAAAGATTTAATTTTAGATAAATTACCTTTTGGTTTCTTCTTTAAAGGTTCCGCATTTGAATTTCATACTATTTCATTAGGATTTGTTTTACAAGGTTGTGCTGAAATTTCAAAATCTTTAAGAATCCCAAAACCTTAGTTGTTTTGAATTCTTTATCAATGTTCTTTTTTATATTATTTACAATGTCTTTCTTTTTCTATCTATCTATATACTATAAAATTATTGTAGTAGTTGTTTTATTTACATAGTACTCTTAATCCCTTATACATAAAATTGCTTTACCTCTAACCTTAAAAATGGCAAAAAAGCGTTGTCTTAAAATATATATTCATTCATTCATTCACGGGTTCAACAAATTTCAATTTATTAAATAACATGATTTCAACATTGCGGAAATCAACATCATTAAACCTCCCCGTTTTCAATTGATCCATGAACTCAACGGGGAAATGATTAGGATCCAATAATCCAATATCATCAATCTTATTAAAATTAACCCCATGTTTATGATTTGATATATTTAAAAGATGACATATTTCCCAAAATGAATCATTAATAGGTTTTAATTTAAACCAATACCAGAATTTAAATCGGAGATTGTTTTGTCTTGATTTTACCGGAATGATGGATTCATGAGCTATCCCTAATTTAAAACATTCCCGATGATATAACGTTAATAAATAAAGTAATTCTTTATTGTCTGATATTCTTTCGATTAATTGGGTGATTTTGGAATCTGTAGCAGCTTGTTCAAGTTGTTTTTGTTGTTCATCGACATCTTGAACATATTTTAAGGTCTTGAATACGAAATTATTGTTTTGAAGTCGTTCATTTAACGTTTGTTTCGGTTTATTCGGTGTGGTAGAATAGTTATATCTTGAATAAGTATGTCTTATGATTGATGCTGATCCTGTCTGTATCGTAAACTTCAAGCTTCTTCCATTAACTAATGATCTAGTATGATTCATAACATCATTACCGTATCCACTCCGTATTACCCTTTGAATCATCATTATCCTATATCCTTTCAATGGGGGTAAACCTTCTTTAAAGTATAATGATATTAAATTGTTGTAAAATACTTGTCAAATATTTCCTGTATATAATCCACCATTTTAATTAGTGAAAATTTTTTTGGAGTGAGTGGGTGGTGATATCATAAAATTAGATTTATAGAGTTATAATTGAAATTGTAATATTATAACTGTAACCGTTTTAGCTCAACCCAATTTTTATAGACAGTTCTTAAACACTACCAACCCATCACATCACATCCTTCATCGTCATCATACCATCATCATAATCATATCACTTAAAGGACAATGTTGACTCGTTATATGTTAAGAACCATTGGTTCTTCGCCATTGCGTTCTAGATTAATCACATCTACCTCATTATTAGCATTAAACAATTCCAGATCATTGATGAGATCGATTCCGGTCAGATCTTACTCTTCTAAAGAAACTGATAAGAAAAAAAATGATCAACCTCAAAGTATCTTAACTGAAGATATCTTAGCTAAAGCTGGATTTGAAGATATTGATCCCAAGAATCATCAAGCAAAGGAAGGTGAACAAGAAAACCCTACTGAAGAAGAATCCAATGATGGATCTCAAGGTGAAAAAACCACTAGAAGAAGTAGAAGAAGAGCTCAAACTTCTAAAGATATAAAACGTGAAAGAGCTGCTAATTTATTTTATTTATTTTCATTTGCTGGTGCTATAGTTGGTGTAGGATATTTAAGTAGAGATTGGGATAATGAAAAAGAACAAAAATCATTAGAAGCTGAAAACATTGATAATGGTTATACTCCTCAATTAATGTATGAAAGATTAACCAAAAGATTAAGTTCATTATTTACCTTTTTTTCAGAACCTGCTTTTGAACAATTATTACCTCCACCAGCTCCTGAAGCTTATAGAAGACCATTAACTTTAGTGTTAACCTTAGATGATTTATTAGTTCATTCTTCATGGGATACTAAACATGGATGGAGAACTGCTAAAAGACCAGGTTTAGATTATTTCCTTGGATATTTATCTCAATATTATGAAATTGTTATTTTTGGTTCCAATTATCAAGTTTATTCTGATAAAACTGTTAATAAATTAGATCCTTATCATGCTTTCATTTCATTTGCGTTGTTTAAAGAAGCTTGTCGTTATAAAGATGGTAAGAATATTAAAGATTTATCCTTATTAAATAGAGATTTGGGTAAAACCATTATGATTGAAGTTGATGAAACTTGTGCTTCATTACAACCTGAAAATTCGATTGTTTTAAAACCATGGGAAGGAAAATCTGATGATGATTTAATTAAATTAATTCCATTTTTAGAATATTTAGCTACTCAACCAGTTAAAGATGTTAGACCAATTTTAAGTTCATTTAAAGATAAATCTAATATTATTGAAGAATTTACTGAAAGAGAAAGATTATTAAGAGAAAGATGGGCTAAAGATAATCAACATTTATTAAATCAAACTGGAAAACCAAATGCTGGAAATTTCTTAGCTCAATTATTTGGGGTACCAAGTTTTAATAAAGAACCAAAAATGCCATTAGATATTATTAGAGAACATGGTCAATTTCAATATCAACAAATGTTAAAACATTTGAATGAAAACATTCAAAAATTTTTAGAAGATGATAAAAAATTCACTGAACAATTTGGTAAAACCAGTATTAATAAATTATTAACTGAAGAAAGACCAAGTCCAGAAAAGATTGCTGAAATGCAAGCTGAATTCAAGAAGAAACAAGAAGAAGAAGAAGCTGCTGCTGCCAGATCTGCTGCTACTAAAGCTTAAAGCTTTTAATTGTACGAAAGTACTGTGTTTTTAATGATTATAAATAAACCCTTTTCCCCCTATCACAACCCACCATTCTATGTATATATAAATTTTGAATTTTCTTCTCCCTCTCCCCTGTCCAATACTCTATATTTATCATGTAAGTAATTTATAATCCTTTTGTTTTATATCATACATAGTATATCTAATGTATATGTGTAATAATATAATTTAATCGTTAGTTAATTAGGTATTTAGTTACCTGGGTTAGGAATTATAAAATAGTTTTTGTACCATGATTCCGATATCGGCTTCGTCAAAGTCGTAACGCAATTATTGATATAAAAGAATAAATGAGTGAAAGAAAGAAGAAAGATGTACGGACGGCGTAAGACCAAAGGAGGAGGGGAGTGTCATTTATTACAACATCATTGGATAATATCAATCATAAAATAATGCAACCAGTCGCAATTGATTTTATTATTTAAAACTAAAACGAATTATAAGTGAAATGAAAATATCAAAAAAATTAGCCAATGATCGACATTCGGTTATAAAAGGGAGAAAGAGTGGAAACTTCCTTAACTACTAAGTTTCATGCTTTTAAACATACTTGATTACAAAATCTTTTACTAAGCCTTTCAATGACAAGAAATTATAGTTCTTTAAACTAGTTTTGTACAACTATAGTGGGTTGAGTATAGTATGTCTATTGAGTTAATTTTTAACTTCTTAAAACGGAATAATGACACAAAAAAATAAAATTTTTATCTTTTTCATCAATCGACATTTCTTTTTTCCTCTTCCTTCATCAAACCATAAAGTTTTGGATTCAATATTATATTTTCATATCCTAATTCACTTCTTCTTTTTCTAACTAGATTCAGATCTAATTACTAGTACTACTTCAAACGTCATATACCATTCTTATCAGACATCAGGTTATAGAACTGATAAATATACATTCACGTATACACAATCCATTGTACATCGCATTCTCAAATTTGATCACGTAATAATTTGTTTATACCCTTAATTTCATATTTTCAACAGATATATATACACCACCACAACACATACCCACGTTATATAATGAGTTCAAAGACCAGTATAGCTCCAAGAGTATATGGATCTCCTATTGCCATAGCTGGTGCATCACCTCCAGCTACTGTATCTACTCCATCTGGCGCAACACCAAGACCTATAGCCTCAAATCTTATAAAGCCTGGTGCTACTCCTCCTTCAACTGCCAGCAGTCCAGCTGAATCTATCGGTGCTCAAAGTCCACCCGTAATGAATTCTCCTGCTTTTTCACAAATTATAACTTCCAAAGAATGGGTTTTACCTCCAAGACCTAAACCAGGTAGAAAACCAAGTGTTGATACTCCTGCTAGTAAACGCAAGGCACAAAATAGAGCTGCTCAAAGAGCTTTTAGAGAAAGAAGAGCAACTAGAGTTCAAGAGTTAGAGGAAAAGTTAATGGAACAAGAGAAGGAAAAAGAAGTGAAAGAATTATCTTTAATTAATACGATAAATAAATTAAAACAAGAAAATCAATTCTTAATCAAAAGTTTAGAATCTATAAAAACTGAAATAACTTCCATCAAATCAAACCAATCTAAAAGTAATACCCCTCAACAACAAAGGACTCCATCTTCACAACAATTACAACCTCAACCTTCAGAACCTCAATCAACTACCACGACTACCAATAATCAAAGAACTTTTAAAGCTACATTCTCCTTAGGTGGTGGTGGTGCCAGTTCACATAATTCTCCTATAAACCAAGTGGTAAGTTCGCCTGCTGGTTCAATCTACTCCATTCAACAACAAATATCACCGGCTCCATCGGCTGATTCACCACCAGGCTCAAATTATTCTCAAACTTCATATGTGAGAAGAAAATCATCTACCAATAATATTCCAACCTCTAGAAGGATTGATACTAATAACTTTGATTGTGGAGTTTGTTTAAAGGATGAATGTCTTTGTGAGGCGATTGGAATAAAGGAATCAAAATCAGAAGAAACTAAACAACAAGAGATTGAAAGTCAAAAGATTCTTGATGAAAAATTAAAGAGTTTTAAACCTATGGCTGCAGTTTCTTTGGGTGGTAGTAAGAAAAGATCTATAAATTCGGTCAATCAAGAAACAGATTTTACCGACAAGTTCAAGTTTGTAAAGAAGGTTCCAGACTTGAAAAAATTAAAGAGTGTGAGGTCTCCTCATCATGGTCATAACCATAATCAAACTGCTCAAGCTACCCAAACCAATCAAAACTTTGATTTCAATGAAAATTCTCCAGTGGAGAACTGTGGTTTCTGTTCTGATGATACTCCTTGTGTGTGTAGAGAAGCTGCGAAAGAAGCTGCCATATTAAGTAATAACTTAAATCAACAGACTGTGGAAGTTGATAATGATAACATTGAGGTAGAAGAACATAAGGCATTACCACCACTTCAAAATATAAACATGAATAACGGATTCAGAAAATCTTCATTACCAGTAATGCATCCTGGTCCATCAGTTGAAATCAGTAATATCACAAATCTAACTCCTGGTGCGGTTCCAAATGTTGTCACTCCTACCACAAGAAGATCTGATTCAGTAGCTAATAGTGCATCATCAACAGATTTAATCACCTTATCTACCGCTGCTGCTGCATCTACATCTGATAATAATGATAATAGTGGGTGTACTGGGAATCCTGGTACTTGTAAACAATGTCAGACCGACCCATTACTGACATTGTTCTGTACCACTGTTGCTAATAAAGATAAAAATTTATCTAAAATCATAAATCAAAGCTCATTGTCAAGGTCCAATTCCAGAACTAATCTACCATCATTCAATGAATTGTCTACCAATCAATCAAGTACTGCTCCATCTACTCCAAATATGTTACCATCAACCCCAGGTCCATCATCATTATCATCATCAGTATCAGCATCAGGTACTTCCAATATATTCATCCCCTGTGCTGATGCGTACAAAACCCTTTCACGTCATAAGAATTTCAATTCAGCAGATTTCAGTACTATGGTGGGAAAATTAACCACAAGAGGTATGCAAGTGGAAGTACAATCCGTGGCTAATGTCCTTAGAGAGTTGGATCGTAGGTTATATAGTTAATATATTTAGTATTATATAGTATTATGATTTTGATTAGTTAACCAAAGTGGCATTTTACTTGAAATATATGTGATTGTCGGGTTTTTGTCAATCAATCTATTTGAAAAATATATAAGTTTTTTAATCAAGGTTAATGAATAATGGTTCAATATTAAACTAAAATAAGGAGAAATATCTCACACAACTAAAATTATGATGTCTACTGGTAAACTATGTTTTTTCATAAATCATATAATCATATAGCCATGTATATAATATAACATCTATGTCAGTGATCAATAAATCAGCTAAATTACCTTTTACTTTCTTTTATACTTTTATTCTATACACTACTATATATTACTATATCAATTTTTTCTTCATATTGAATTGATCTTTTCAATTCAGTCTTTTTAACAAACTAATTCTCTTTTCTTCTTTTTCTGCTAGACTTCCATTGTTTTGAACCATTCTTCGGAACTATGATCTTGCTGATTTGAATTGCATTTTGCTTAAGCTTAGAACGATTTAATTCGGCACTACTATTGATTAATCCAAGGAACTGATCTGAAAGTTCTTTTCCAGATCCAACGACTTCAGCAGCTAACGAACTTGCTGCAATATCATGAATCTTTCTTTTGACGCTGAATGTATCATTTGGTATGAAAGGTAATTTTTCTACTGCTTTGTTAATCGTGTCAAGGGATAATTTAAATTTTTTATTTTCTTCTCTAATCCATGTTTCAGCTGCTTTGATTTCATCTGTTGATAAAAACTTATTTCTAACCTGGACGTTATTTAATTACACATCTTTGTGACAATTCACACATTTTGAACTAATTGTAAAATTTAACTTGAAGCATTGACAGAATGTTGTCTTTCTAATTGGGTTCTGACCAATTTCTAAGGAATATTTTAAGCACTTTAACTCAGTACTTAAACATATTGGCTTTCTGCAAATACAAGACATTGTATAATTTCCTAATATAATTCTTAGTTTTGAATTGATTTTGGATTAATAACTAATTGATTTTTAGTTTCTATCAGTGATAACAAAACTGTTTATTGTACCTTCCAAACTTATTATCACCAAATAAAATAAAAGATTAAATCAGATGGGGTGGTTGTAGATAGATGATTTGAAACTTTGATTGAAGAATAGAAGATGATTGATTGATGATTGATTAAGTAGTATATATGTTGAATTAAGACCACAGTTTGATTGATTGATTGATTGATTGATTATGATTGATTTAATAGTTGGAATTATTATTGAATATAACCGCTGTTAAAATTTTGATTAATCAATCTATTGAACTATGTGAATAGATTTCTATACTGGAATTAGTTTATCTATTATATCTAATAAATAGATATTTTTAACTTATATCAGATAATGTTATAGTTAAATTGAAAAGATACAATTATGACGGTCAAAATAAAAGTTAGTTTAAAAATTATTTATTTTCAAAAAGTGATTTGGTTTTGCAACAAATTTTAAAAATATCTCTTAACAAAACTTTAACCTCACAAACTTTTGGTTACAACAAAATTAAAGGTCAAACCATAGTTGGGACCCTACTACAAATGCATTATATCAATACTTTTGATTGATTGATGATCGTATGGTTCTATTAACCATGATTGATCTATTCTTTAATGCTTACTATATCTAATTTTGGTACTTAAAACAGAACCGCAAAAATGAGCTTAATTTTTTGTCATGAAAAAGCAAAATGTCAAAAAAATGAAATATTTTGTCATTTATAAATACATTTCGTCCATGTGTTAATATAACTATATCATGAGGTGCTATAATCTGAAAATAATATAAATGCTAACTTTTATTTATAGGAATAGGACCTAACAAGTCATATACTAACTTATTAACTAATTTATTTAGGGTATTCCGTTACTAATTTCATTCATAAATCTTTGGAATGTAGCTGGCGCATTGCAGAAGCCCAAGGGCATTACGTTCCACTGGTACATTCAATCATTAAATTTATTAACTAATTATGATTCTATTTAGGTAGGAAAGTTATTTATTAACCCTGAATGCTGTTTTATAACTATCCTGTTTAATAAAAATATTTATAACTTTATTTAACTTGAAGATAATCAATCAATATTGATCTTCATTTGTAGTTTGTAGTACTATTATCATCCGTTATATTGTATATGTTATCAGTCACCTATGTAATTCCGGTATATAAAAATTCTCTGATTATCATAAGCCTTTACTTATCAAAATTCATTTCAATTAAATTAAACGATTTAATTCTTTATCCTTTTTATTAATGTTGATCTTATAGTGATATGATATGATTTCATATTAAGTGATAATCACACTATATGTGTCAGCTCAATCAATTTCATTATACCTTATTGAATTGATTGGTCTAGTACTAACTACCATTCTATATCTAGTATTTTCAATATCCATTAACTTGATATCAACTTGATATTATTTAGCACAACCCTTTTTATATTGAGTTATCTCAATCATAAATCGTTAGCGTAACTTAGACCTTCTAAGCCATTGTAAAGACAGTTATAGTCCATAGTCCATACTTATTATTACTAACCTTTTTTTTAAATTATCTATTTAGTAGAGAACATAATTAGTACTAACATCGCAATCCCTCTTGTCGACTTCGCATATTGCTAGAGCCGCAGATGAGTAAACCTGATAAAGATAGGTACGTATAGATTTTTTTTAAATATATATAAATACAATAATGTTATGATAAAAATTCAATTTGTAAGTTGTAAATTTGTAATTATCGCTTGAACTGATAAGCGATATTCATATCAAGTAGATAGGCATAACGTAGGAATACTGACTCTCTAATATTACTCATATTACAATTGGATCAGTCTGTATCATGGATTATTGCTAATGACAACATCAGTTTGATTTACTAGTGGAGACTAACTATTACAGATATTAATGTGGGGGAGATATCTTGTTATAATTGACCTCTAATTATACCGTGTAGTGTCGTTACCAAAAAACCAAACAAATCATCAAAAATTCGAAATATCAAAATCAAATTTTGATTTTATTTCTTCCTTTCTTTCTTTGTTCTTTATTATGGAATTAGTTATCCAAAGCTTATCTATTCGTGTAAGTTATTTTCAATAAGAAGAACCTTTCGAATGAAATATTGATTACATAAGTTAAAATGCATGAATTAAACGAGTTCAACGATATCATTTTGGTTTATTCAATCAATCCCACTTCATCATCGGTTTTATATAATGTAACAGCAAATACTAACCAAGTCAAAAGTGATTTTGTATGTGAGTGATTACATCCTTTGATGTGTTTCGTTCGATTGTGTGTTTAGCAAACTAACTTTTAAAATAATCTATTTAGAATTATAATTTTTATTAACTAGAAGAATCATTTTCTTATAATTTTATAATATCGTGTTGCGTTTAATCCTTGTTGATTACTCTGCAGCTCTGATATCTACTTATATTTAATTCTATCTAGGACAACATGTCTAACTAACATTATTTTATAGAACCATAGTTCACAATTAAAAATTGCCAAATTGGCAGGACATGGATAAATGTCAAAAACATGCAAGATCGGGAATTTCAGAGTTCAATACATTTTGTAAGGGTTTTATATATATAATCATCAAATGATTATATCTAAATTTGATATTCTATTTAGGTTATATTTACATACACTAACGATGTAAAATTATAGGTCGGAGCATTTTGCCATTCCAAAAGGGAGAACGTTCCATTGGTATAAACCAAAAGGTGTACGACATGTTGTGTCTTAATTTTTAAATATATATAATTAATTTTACAATTATGTTATAAAGTTATTTGTAGTTGGTTCATATTAGATTAAGTATTGTAGAGTAAATTTGAACCCTAATTGAAAAACTGTAGTGTGAGTGCAAAAATTCATACCAAAAGAAATTCAGATCAGATCACATCAAAACTGAAAAATATCAAAAATGATTTAATTTAATTTGATCTCTTTCTTTCTTTCTTTTGATACAGATTAATAATTCTGGTGTATCCTTGAAAGTCTACGTCTGACATCGTAAGTTAGTTTTTACCATTGTCAACTTTTATGAATGAAGTGAATGATTTAAAATGCATCATATCAACCGTTTATTTTATTAAGAGTGTTTATATAATATACCAATCAATACTAACTAATTCTAAAGGATCGTCGAAAGTTGAGTTCGTGTGAGTCCTCTGATACTTGTGTGTGAAATGAATTTGCTATCTTATATTAACTTTAAACAATCTATTTAGAATTATAATGTTTATTAACTAGGAGATTTTAAGTTTTCTCATGATTTTATATCATTTGATTACGATTATTAAAATGCATTTCGGTGATACTTTTCCATTTAATGAAATAAATAATCTATATTCATAAGCAGTTTCTATATTAACTTATATTTCTTTCTATTTAGGAAAACATATCTAACAAACATTTAGAACCGTCGGTGAAATAAGTTGCTCAATTGGGAGATCCTGAATATCTGTCAAAATCGTTCTTTTCGTCTTGCAAAAACATCTAAGAGTTTACATAGATGCATCCGTTTCTTCTATATAATCATTAATGTTCATGATGATTATATCTAACTTGATATTCTATTTAGGCCATGAATATGAACTAACGATGTAAATTTATAGGGTTGGGATGGGATGTTTCCAAATTGGGTGAGAGGATATAATATAAAGATTGTTTTTCAGATTGTAAGAAGATCGTAAGGTGTGAATCATGATCTTTATATTTATGGGTTTTATGGGAATTATGGATTTATGGGATTTATGGGATTATATAATCATTAATTCATTTTTTGGATGATGATTATATCTAATTTGATATTCTATTTAGGTTCTTTATACACTTTTTTAAAGTAAACTAACAATGTAAAACTATAGCCGTGGCTGTTTATTATTGTATTTTAATGCTATGATCCCCATGTTATTTATGTTCACTTAATGTCTTGTTTAATTTTTAAATATATATAATTAATTAATTTAGTTTATTTTATATCGTCATCTTTAGTTTTAATGGTAGTTTGAGAAGCATATACTCTGATATTTTGGTTATATAACAACAATTGGATTAAAATTTGATCTGAATCCATGCGTATTTTAATATATCACAAAATGTGGAGCAGATATCTCGTCTAACATGAAAAATAAATATGTTGTTTGTTTTACTTTATTTATGGGTTTCATATTGATTTTCGGTATTTGTGAAATATGACGTGTGATTCTTCAAATGTCGACTTGGTGATTAACTTAATTGTTTTGATGTAAGTTATCTTTTGTTCATCTATCAATCACCTTTTGAATGAAGAAAGAATTGATTTCATCTGATATTGTTTTTTATGGATAATTTGATTCAATCACTTACTTCATCGAAAGGAGGTTATATAAAGATAATTTCAATTACTAACTAATGTTAAAGCTTGCGCTCGATATTATCTAACTTTGTTTTACTGACTGAAGTAAACGTTAAGTTACTTGAAAGACTTGTACGCTTTGCTTTATAAGTTATTTGTAATAAGTTGCTTAAAGATGCAATAACTAATTTAAAAATCTATTTAGGATACAATTATAACTAACATTGATGTATAGGACCGCAGGTGCATTTGTGAATCCGAACGGTAGGACAATAAAACGATATTTCCTTCTGAAAGCCAGAAAACCAAAATTTTTAAATATATATATATATAATTTATTTTACATGTTATAAGATAAATCATTGTAAGAATTTACTCTCCTCCAGCCAATGAACAGATGATGTCCATAATAAAAAGTATGTTATGTCCAATATAATAATATTGGATCAAAATTTAAGCACATATTATCTTACATCAAAAATCAAAAATTTTTTAATTTTTTAAGATTAACTGTTTTTTACCTGATAACAAGACGATTACGAAGAAAACAGTTGTAAAGCCAGTTTTATCCCTTTTCTTATTTATAGTTAACTTTTGGGTGAAACTCAATATGGGTATGTTTATTAAAAAATGGTTTTCATTTTGAATTGATTTCAATTGGTACCTCCATAGATATAATCAACCGAAGAAAGATTAGTTCAATTATCATGGTTAAGAATAATAATATCAGATGGATGACAATTATATGTTGTCAATTACATCTAATGGGTTCATACTAACAAAAATCAATCTAGCCATATGTTGTGTCATTAATCATTTTACCAACAAATACATATCTATCTAGGAAATTTACTAACTTTAATGTTAGATTTTTAAGCTTAGAAACTGAGGGCATAGTCCTAGGTCTTTCATTTAATATGAATATCAACGTTGGGTCGTTAATATGATATTTTTTGGTAACCTTTAATTTGTTTCATTTAGGATATATGATTTAATAATTACTTTTTATTTTAGGAAATAACCGCCTGCTTGACATTCTAGTCATTTTTTTGCAGTAAATGGAAGGAAACATAAATAAAATGCTTCAAAAAAGTTTTAATATAAAATATTTATGAATATATATCTATATCAGATCAATTACTGTAGAATTACTCCATATAAAAAATTATGGTGTATTTTTTTTTTTTTTTTTTTCTGATTTGTATAATAAATGTTATACACGAAGAGAAATCCAATTTAGGGACACTAGAACCAATTAAGGTGCTAATAGTGTGAGACTCATCACTAATATTTATGATACTACTCACTAAAACTCTCCGATTCGCCAAAATATGCCTAACAACATTACCGACAGATGAATTTATTTTAAGGACTGGTGGTCCCTATTTATTTTTATTTGATTTGGAGTTAGCGACTTACCGCTTGGAAATTGAAATTTTTAAGGTAATTTCTACCTTTTTATTTAGAAGGGAATAAAACCCTGTTTGGAGATTTCTTAGGGAGGATTTAGCTCCCTAGGTTTGAATTAGTTTTGTTTTACCGACTAACACGGTGTTTTTTGGGTGAGAAAATTTTTTAACCTGAGCTCTCGACAGGAATTGAATGGAGGAGTACCCGCAATGGGTTATGGAAAATATGTGGATTAGACCACTAGACTAAAGGATGATAAATCCCAAATTTTTAAATTTTTTTTTGAATGCAATACTCGCATGTGACTATTCACGTGACGCGTACAAATTAAAATGAAATGCGAAATTTTAAAATTCGTACTATCTTTCGAGATAGTACATTTGTCAAATTTAACAATACAGAGAAGATTAGCATTGTCCTTGCATAAAGATGACACGCTTTACAAAGAGATTTAACATTTTTTTTTTTGGATATCATGATTGGGTAGAGTTCATCATGAGATGGATTAAGTAAGTTAATAATCAAGGAAAGAGCTTTTTACATACTGTTTATAGAGGGAGATTAAATGGTTAAACGGGGATCATCGTGGGTTCGATTTTCACAGGCTTCAAAAAACATTCTGAACTCTGAGTTTGGGACTCGCCTAAGAAATGACGGGAAGATTATTAAACTTTTGACAATGGGGTAATATCATAAACAATAAAATTTTCGATACAATGAGGCAAAATAAAATGTCATAATAAGTATATTTACTATTGGTTTGTATTCGTGGGCTTTTTACATTCTCGAATTTGACAAAGAAGAGAAGAGGAGAGAAGTCGATTCATTTGACGGTGGGATAATGTTTGATTGATCCTGTTCCACCAAGCAGGCGGATGAAGTTGAAGAGAATATAAAAAATAAGACTATCATATCATATGAAGAATTAATAATTCTAAGTTGTAACTGTGGATCGTTGATTAGAATGTTATATTATCAGAATTGTAAACACATCAAAGCTTTTAACTTTCTCTAAATAAAAAAAAAAGGCGCTTTTTGTTTTGGGTTCCTGAATTATTTTTTTTGAGTGGATAAAAATATTTTATCGTACCCCTGAAGACAAATGGCAATACTCGAGGCTTTCCCTTTGCTTATACATCTGATATGCCGGGGTTTATAATTCTCATTTACTACATATCTTGTTTGTTTACATTGAAAACATTATTAAATATATATATTAATTAACTTTAAACCATTATAGTTGAAGTAGTAGTAGTTGTAATTATTGTTGTTGTTCAAATGAGAACGCCATTATGAAACAAAACAAATAGGAGAAAAGAAAAGAAAAGAAATTTTTTTATCATAACACTGGAATGGAGAAATAAGGGTGAGAATCATTAAACCCTTAATATAAACCATAACCAAAAACCAGACATCATCACCACCCTCCTCTTATAAGGCTAATATACCGGTAGCAAATAAAAATACCATATAAAGACTTATGAATTTTAATGATTTATAATCAGTATTAGTTGAAGCCATGGAGTTTAATCTTGAAACTCCATTGGTACTGGTTGACATTACTGTATTTATATTGGAATAATAACTGGGAGTTATTAATGTTAAAGTTGGTATATCTGAAGCAATTTCAGAATTTCCTCCTGTAGTTTGAACTTCTAATGGTAAACTTGAATCTGATAATGCTTGTTGTTGATCTTGTAAATATTTAACCGCAGTTACAACTTGTAAATTTGATAGAGAACTTGATGTATAAACTTCTGTGAATTCAATACTGGCTGATGTATCAAGTAATAATGACATTTTTTGTATGTGTGTATTTGGTATGGGTATAAGTATGCAAATTAGGAATGAACTATCCAATGAAGTGAATGAATGACTGGATGTATAAATGAAAGAATAAATGAAAGACTAAGTCTATGACTAAGATTAATGAATGAATGATTAAATAAAGGAATGAAGAAATTTTTAAAAGTTGAAGAAATGTCTACTCTATATATATATATATAACTTACCAGTTTATAAACATACTTGAATTAAACAAAACTACTATTGTCTAAGTGTAACCAACCAATAAAAATAATAATTATCGTGTAATTAGAAAAAAATTTCTATTATATTCATATTTATTCATGAAAGCTCTTTGTTCATAATTTGTTTCATATTTAAATTACCTAAACATCTATTTTGTGGTTTAAAACACAAATTATTTTGTATAATGGTTATACCTTAAAAAACAATGTAAGGGGAACGGAATTGGTTTCGCAATAAATTTTATATGACGTAATAATTAACCATCAACAACATCAACAGACAATCAAACTATAAACAACTAACTATTTAATCCTAATTTAGTAAGTTGTCAACTTTCAAATAGGTTAAACCTTGTTTTAGCTCGTTACAGTATAATTACCCCAAAATATCATTGTAAATCTATATCTCTATCTTTTCGTTCATTGTCATATGTCAGGTACAGACAGATAGATACCGTGGGAACCATTCAAACAAACAAAGCTTGTTTTTTTGAATTGACTCCTTTAATTTGCTTGAAGTTTATCCTAAAAGTTTAATCCAAGACGCGTCTGTCTGAATGTCTGATTGTATGTGATCATCTTGTAGTTCAGTAACCTCTTCTTGTTTATCTTGTAGTTAAGACATCATATCTGTCTGATCGTTGTTTCAAGTAAATCTTTTGACCGTCATTTTTTTTGGTCTCTCATTTGTGTAGTGCCATCTTTTTTTTACAGCCAATGTAAAGAACAATCATATGAATGACTTGATGACTACCCAAATCAATCATCAACATGAACTCATTTATCGATATCATATCTCCTCACCTCAAACTATCACATTATGAATCATCATCTTTGATGGATCAGGCTGATGATGACGATTCATTGTTATTATCAACGATTAAATCAAAATATTTCCATAATAAATTAATCATAACTCATAAATCAACCATGAAACATTTGAATCGAATTCATCATTTAAAATCTCCCTTTCTAACATTCTTGAAACAACAATGTCATGTGAATCTTAACCGATCAAAATATCACATTACCGTTATGAATGATAATGACAATGATGACGATGGATTAATTGGAGAATGTATGATTCACACAAAACATCCTAACAATAGCCGTCAAATGTTCAATCTAAAAGATTCTATTCTTAAACTTTTACCAGTAAATTGTTTACAACTTGATCAATCGATATATGAGAAATTCAAACAATCCCATCTATTAAAGATTAAATTAATAATGGATCATCATACTAAAGGTTATTTAATCAATTTGACTCGTCTTAGATTGAATGTGGGGGAATCATCTAATAGGTTTAAAGTTCACCATAAGTCTCATCGTAATGAGGGATATTATATGGATAATGATTATGTGGAAGTAGGATATATTAGAGGATTGTATCATTTAAACCTACCGCGTTTGATTGAGATTAATGATGAGATTGATTTATTTCAATTTGAACAATGTAAATTATCAGACTATTCGCTTAAGGATGGGTGTATTACATTTGATAAGTTAGAATCAGTCAAATCATACAACGTTAATGATGATTTTATATTCCCTTGTTGGAATAATAACTCTGATATATTGATTAATTTTCAAAAATCAATTATATCATCCATAAAATGCCAGGATAATGATTCTACCTATTATAATACTGATTCATTTCATACTTATTTAATCGATATGGATAAAGTTACAGAATCAAGTAAGTATAAAGTCCACTCTCAAGTTAATTTTAATAAAGATATCAAATTGTACACTACATCTGATATTTTTCATAATGTCTATTTTAAGTATCAATTTATACGATATTTCAAAGTATGGAATTTATCTCCCTATCAATTGATTCATAAATTAGAATGGATGCCATTTACTTCTGATGTGAATGAAATTAAGCTCTTTAAATTATGTGGAGAAGATGTATTTGAGGATAGAGAAGTGAATTGTCGTATTGATCATGATGGGTTGATCATATTTAAAAGGGTCATGACTGATGAATTCTTACTTGGAGATTATGGTAAAATTCCTCCATGCGATGATGTAAAACCAATTAATATTTATCAAGAAATAACACTTTCTGATCCGGAAAAGTCTCTAACTATTGTTGATACTTCTACTGAAATCTCTACTAACGTTTTAACTAATGTCGCTACTTTCAACGATAATGATGATGATGATGAATTTGAAAATTTGATTAAAATAAAACGACAAAAATTATCCAACACTAATAATTCTAATACCCCATTTGAATTTCCTCAATATTTATCATTTTATCTGTTTATGAAAGAACCAAATGTCTCTCAATCTACTGAAATCTCTAATTCAAAACTAAATTCTTCCCAATTTAAATTCGATATGCCTTTACCAATAATAAATTCTCACCATTATATTCTTATAAACTCTACTATGTTAAAGAAACATTATCCTATTTTCAAACAATTACAATTGAAAATTAATATTCTTGAAGTTAAATTAATTGATGAGGTGGATTTTGTGATTAATTCCAGTACAGGCATTATCATTCTCGATTATATTCAAATCATTCAAAGAGATCTTAATGGTCAATTTCTTATCATTGATACGTTACTAAAATCATGTCGGAATTATAACCAACTATATGTTTTGATAGTGATGAATTCTAGTATCTTTAATAATAGTGAACCCTTAACTAACTTTCAATTAATGTGTCATTATCATCCTCTGTTAAAGTCAATTAGAATCTTAATTATTAATCGTGAGAATATTTTCCCCTGGATGATGAATATCATGAAGAAAGAACCACCTCAAGATTTATCCCACTTAAATCAAAATAAGTTCGATTTAAATCATGAGAGTGTAACCTTCCTAATTGAATGTGGATTAAATTATTTCCAAACTTTAATCATTTTAAATCGTTATTCATTATTTGATTTCATTCAATTATCAATTGATGAAAAGATCACTCTATTTGATAAGTTCATTCCCAAACCATCTTTAGTAAGTTTTACCCGTTCTTTCTCCATTGATCATTGTCTCCACCTCATTAACTAACCTACTTGTAGTATAAATTAGAACAGATCTTTACTGAATCTATAAATCCATATTAACCCAATTTAGACTGCAAATTTTCTATTTTAACCTTTATTTTCATAATTATGGTTTTCGCACGACGTTCTTCTTTTTTTTTTTTGTTCAATCGTGTCAACAAAAAAAAACCATAACAATTTCGAAATCTGAAAATTACAGTGGTGTGAAACGAACAGTTAACGATTTTTGAATTGTCATTGACATTGATATTGAATACCATACAAATCAATCGATTTATATCATCCATTGGCGTATAACTTGAAGAAGATCACGCGTTTCCATTGAATCATTCTTATTTTTGGATCAATCAATCAACATTTTATATTAAATCATGACAGTTATATCAGCAGCTATATGTACTCGTGGAGGGAAACCTTTATTGGCTCGTCAATTCAAAGATGTTGGGAATGATAGAATCACTGCTTTATTGGCCAATCTCCCTAGTTTAATTACTAATGCTGCCGGTCAACATACTACTGTTGAAGATGATAATGTTAGATTTGTTTATCAACCATTAGAAGAATTTTATATTGTATTAATCACCAATAAGAATTCTAATATTTTGCAAGATATTGATACTTTACATCTTTTTGCAAGTTCTGTTAGTAATTTATTAAGAAATGTTGATGAACGTGAAATATTTGATAATTCATTTGAAATTATAGCTGCTTTTGATGAAGTTATTAGTTTAGGTTATAAAGAAAATTTAACTTTAAGTCAAGTTCAAACCTTTTTAGAAATGGATTCTCATGAAGAAAAAATTCAAGAAATTATTGAAAGAAATAAAGAATTAGAAGCTGCTGAAGAAAGAAAGAAGAAAGCTAAAGAAATTCAAAGAAAAGAATTAGCTAGAAGAAATTTAGAACAACAAACTGCTTCTGCAACTTCATCATTTGGAAATTCATCTTATGGTAATGGAGGTGGTTCTGATTCTTATCAAAATCAATCTTATCAACCAACTTATCAACCTCCACCGGTTATAGAAATGGGTGATAATAATAATAATCATAATAATTCAAATCATATATCTTCACATAAACCAATTTCAGGTAGAGGTGGTTTACAACTAGGTAAAAAGACTACAAAACCAATTATTGAATCCCATCAACCTTTATTGGCTCAAAATCAACCAGTTTTCCATCATACTAAACCAATTTCTGCTTCTGCTGCTGCTTCTGTATCAGCTGCTGCATCCAATAGTAATTTACAAGTTAATACACCAATTTCTCAAAGTGCATCTCCAATTCCAAGTAATCCAAAAGTTCCAAATAATGGTATATTGATTACTATTCAAGAAAAAGTTATTGCTGAATTAAGTAGAGAAGGATCAGTTTTATCATCTGAAGTTAAAGGAGATTTACAATTAAGAATTAATAATTCTGAATTAGCTCATTCTAAAATTTTAGTTAAATCAGCTGCTTCTCAAAAATCAAGTGGTATTCAATATAAACCTCATCCAAATGTTGATCGTGATTTATTTGTATCTCAAAATATTATTGGATTAAAGGATAAAACTAAATCATTCCCTGCTAATGATCAAGCTATTGGTGTATTAAGATGGAGAGCAGTTGGTAAAAGAGATGATCAATCATATGTACCATTAATCATTACTAATTGGGTTACTATTAATGATGAAGGTATTGCTCAAGTTACGTTGGAATATGAATTAACCTCTGAATTTATAGAAAGTCATTCATCAGCATCATCATCAAATCTTATTGAAAATATTAAACTTTTAATTCCAATTGCAACTCATGATGTTAATTTAAATAATGAATCTAATGAATTAGTATCTTATGATATTAGTGAATTAGGTATTATATTTAATATTGAAAGTATTACCGTCGATGAACCTCAAGGATCGTTTGAATTTTCAATTCCATGTTCTGATGAAGAATCATTATATCCAATACAATTACAATTTGAAGTAACTCAAACTGAAGTTACTGAAAGTGAAGTTTCATTAGGTAAAATCCAAGTTATTGATGTGGTTACAAATAATGATGATGAAGAATCTTTACCATTTGATTTACATTATAATTTAGTAACTGAAAAGTATATTGTTAGTTAAAAGTAAAAAAAGGATGGTGGGTGGTGTATAATGTATTATCAATCATAATCATGACTTCTAGTTTTATATTTTTTTATTTCCCCTTGTTTATTTTAAATATTACAAAAAAAATATATACGTAATACAATTTATTATAAAAAGACTAATTAATCTTATCTAAAGAAAATGAACAAGATATATATATAGGAAGAAAGAAAGTAATGATAAGATAATATAATGGAAGATGAAGTTATATAATTACGGATACTCCACTTAACCCAATGGAAAATTGAACTCCTAAATCATTTAAATTATTTAATTCTTGTAATATCATTTGTCGAGGATCATGAACTGTATCTAAAGGTTCTTTGATATGATTGACAATGATGTTTAACCCTTGTAGTGGTTTTGAAATGGAGGAATTCAATGAAATACATTTTGATTCAAGATATTTCAATTCATGAATTAAATGATTCGGTATAAGATGACCATATAATTCATCTTCATTTGAATCATTTTGATTTGAACATTCTAAAATTATACCTGATAATTGATTAGAATTTATGATTGGAGCAATGAAATTCCACACTCTTTTATTCTTGGAAAGATTGGACATTAAATCACTTTCAAAATCTCCAAAGATTAATAATGATTTATGGAAACTTGGTGATTCAATTAAAAATGCCAGCGATAAATAACAAGTATCTTCATTTCGAACGATATTATTACAATCACGAGGTTGTTCAATGATATCCTCGTGTTTGACGAATCCATTAGAACAACTTACACCATGACTTAAATCAAACATGGTTATATTATAATTATCATTATTAATGGAGAATTGATGCCAGAATGGTTTGGAGATGAGATTTATAAGATTGAAATTATTTAATTTAGGCCATATGATTCCATTAAAAATATGAACTTTTAAAGCATCAATGGTATAATTTGATCCAAAGATTTGTTTAGGATTTAATTTTGAAAATGATGATGAATTTATAACTAAGGCATTTATATGATCTAGATGAGGATGGGTTATAAGATAAGTTTGAACGTTGTTGAATATAGATTGGGATGATTTAAAACATGTGTCTTTTAAAGATTTGAATGGAGTAGTGATTTTAATGTTGGTGCCTTTTGCTTTTGTGGACGATATATAATCTTTAGTAGGTAAGGAATCATTATATAGATGAAGTAATTTTGAATTCAGTTGTTGATGTAGTTGTTCATTATGAATGATTTCTGATAATTGTAATAAACCAGATCCAGCATCGATACAGATTACTTCATCTTTTAGATTTTGATTAATTATAGTTTCATAAGATAGATGAGATGGTTTAACTAATATAGAACAATTAGTCCCCTCGATAGGACCACCGCTTGCTCCTAAAAATGTGATTTCAAAACTCATGATGGATATATCGTATACTCATTTAGGTATAAAAATGCAATAAAAACAGACCTTTTATGTAGAAGATAGAAAGTATGAAAATGGTATTGATTAAATGGGATTCGAAAGGGGTGGGGAAATCGTACCAACCAAATTCACAAACTTTTAATTAAACCGGGGTAAACTAGGATAATACTGAGTAAATGACTAAGATGTATGGTAGACACTAACTCTATCTTTGAGAATGAATTGGGATTACTCTATGGATTTCAAGCTTATGTGAAACTCTGGGTAGAAACCTCAAGCGATGTCTAAAATCAAAATGTATGCAGAAAAGGCTGAGAACAATGGCGTGAAACCTGGAGATCTTATCTATTATTGAAGATGCAACTATAGTTTGATGGTGATATGATATAGATACTATTCCAATGATTCAACTATACTAATGATGACTATAGTTGTAGGTATGAAGAAAAGCTAAATTGATTATTTTGAAATGATTTTTAACAAGTTTTTGAAATTTCGTATTTAAAGATAAAAATGGAAAATGGAAATTTTATTTTATTTTGGTATGAGGGGGAGGAAAAGAACACAGCGAAATAAAAAATAAAAATTTAAAAAATAAAACACACCTCTTCTAATAAAATATACGTATAAATAAATAAATAAATAAATAAATAAATAAATAAATAATGTGTTTTGATGATGATAATTAATAAATCAGATCGTTAAAATGGGAAATATATCTAGATACTTATAAAGGAAAAGATATGATTTGATTTGAAAAAAAGGTTAAAAAAGGAAACCGCCTTTTTGTTTTGGGATTTGAACAGCAGATTTCGAAATAACGAGATGAAAACGGTGGGAATTTGATGTATGGAAGGATTAAACTATTAATAAACCTAAATTTGGTATTGTAATACTCAATCCCCTAATAATATAAAATAAATGAGGAGGGAGGAGAACAAGGGTTAGAAGACAGCACAGGGGAGGCAGACAATTGGAGGTTTGACTTAATATTTTTGAAGGAGATTCTATACCGATCTGCAAGTCACAGCCTGAAAGAACAAAACCCAAAAATGAAAGAAAAAGGGAATAAATAAGAGAAGTGATGATAACCAAGCTTTTAACAACTAGTGATAGTAGTAGTATTCAGGTATAATAGGTAATAATTATACCAAACTGTTGTCAGTTGAAATAAGTTAAAATCAAATAAGTCTAATATGAAAAGGGGGTATTTACTACATTATTTATACATTCCAATTCCAACATTTTTTAAACTTAGTCAGTATATAAGAAAAAAAAAATTTATAACGATCAGTGAAGAAGTAAATATTTTGAAAATAGAACAAACTCTAAAACTTTATTACAGATTTGAATTATTTCTAGAATAACTGTTAAGTTTCGGAACTGAAATAAATAATAATAATATTATTATTATTATTATTAATTTATCTAAATTAATATTTAATTTTAATTCATTAATTTAATTATTAATTACTTAGACATACCTGTTGTGATGTGGGATTATTATTCCCTATTCTATTATGGTATATATCGCTTTTATGCTTCAGTTCAAAGTTAAATCCACCGGTGGGTGGGTTTATTTTTTAATTAAACAAAAGACCGGAACAGGCATAGAACTATTACAATCCATATAATCCTTCCTTCGTTCATTCCTTCCTTCCTTCCTTCATTCATTCCTTTCCTTCTTTTTCATAATCTTCTTCATCTTCTATGAAAAATAATTATTTTTTTTTTATAAAATTCTAAATTTCGGGGGTGGTCGGTTTCCCTGATTAGGCAGTTTTCTAGAAGCTCGTAACATTATCGTGCCCAAAAAAAAAATGATGAGGTAACCCCAAACTATATCGATTATATTGTCTGATTTAAAAAATCATTTTCGCTTGATTTTATCATTTTTTTCTTAGTAGATTGACGTTACATCCGTCAAATCCCAACTTATATCTTGCTTGGTTGGGCTACAGCTTGGTATTAAGAAATAACTTATATATATATATATAAAAGCAACATAATATCAAAGACGAGCATCAAAATATTTTCATTTTATGAAAGACACCTTTCATATCAATACACACTTTTCTTCTCTTTAATAAAGTTGTACATAACACGTACTTTATACATTAAATAATAATTTGTAGTTCCCAATTAGGAAACCCCTCAATTTCTTCTCGTGTTAAAAATTAAATTAGTTTTTTATAATTATACAAGAGTGATGGACAGGAGAGATGAAGATTTGTAGGATACGAAATTATCAATTAAGGTTTTAGATGATCGTAATGTAAGTAATTCAGATTGTCTTATTCATTGGTAAAGTAAAAGATACCCTCAATAGACTATAATTTAATGTAGTCAATGTGTTCCGTTAATACTTTTTTTGTTTGTTTGATTTGATTCTTTTTGCTGTGTCGAATTTGTTTCACGGACGCTAGATACAAACTTTCCGATTAATGCATGAAGGTTTTAAAACAATAAATGGATATGTGCCATTAACAAGGGTTAAGATACTTTACGTAATTTAACTAAAGATCTTTCACAATATAATACCAGACCAATAAAACACAACTTGGCAACAATAAATCATCACAACCCTTTTATAATAGCAATATTCGTCGCATAATCTAATATTATTCTACATTTGATAATAATATATTATTATTATTAGTAGTAAATGCCAATGCTTACTTTTCTTCATTAGATCCGTCCGAATGGTAAATTATTATGCCGACAAGCAACATGGTTATGGTACTTTACTTCTTGGTTGTTATTATTAATGCCATGCCCTTGTTCTTTTTCTATTTCTTTTTGTGTTTACTTCTATTTTTATTTATTTTTACTTATCTTTACTTGCTTCGATCTAATTCATATTCTTTGTCTTTGTAATATTGCATTTTGGTTCCCTCTGTCGCTTCCTCCTTGTTACTAAATCTTGTTTTAAATCTTTCATCTCTATATGTCCCCCTTTTAATGCGTCACCGTAAATGTAAAAAGAATAAAAATTTGTTTGCTTTTTTATATTGAAAATCTTTTCGGTTCAAATATCATGTAATACAAAAATCAATTTATGGTTATTTATAATTGCTGATCGTTTATTTTTCATTCACTTGCTTTTAATGCCGTCTATAAACATCCAAACAAACTATCTATTTGTTATTTAGCGGACCCCGGAGAACACCAAGATTTCATTCACTTACATGAAGCATAAGCGGAGGTATAAGCAAGACGAAAGAAGAAGAAGAATCGATGTAGGTTGTGAAAGGTTGCGTTAATGGGCAAGAACTGATTTACCTAAGTCAATTGAGTCGATTTATATATCATCATTAGTAAGTTTAGTAATTGACTTAATTATAAGTGTAATCGCCGATGCCTGATTATCTCTAAGCACTGATTAAAAATGGCTACTTATCTGATTTTAAACATAATCGTTTAAACTCTTATCCTATACTTATACGTTATCGTTTATTTGCTTGTTTAATTAATTAATTTACATATACTTTGTATATAAGAAGAATATAATGCAAGTCAAGTCAAGTCAAAATGGGAGTCAAAAATCAATAATTAACTCTATCCACTTATAATTGCTTACTTCCATAACCACTAATATCTTTAGCAAATTTCCAACTTTGTCCTTCAACTTTTAATTCAGTTTCATGATTATATGATAATTTCTTTGGGGTGGATTCACCTTCATTAGATTCAGATTTAATAGTTACTAAAGAATATTTATCAGAAGCTCTTGCATCACGATAAAATAATACTCTCATACAATTTTCTAAAACTTTTCTAGCTTCATCTTCTTCAATGTTTTCATAATCTATATCATTTGGAATCAATTGTCTTAATAAAGGTACAGCCAAATGACTACCAAATCCAGTAGCTAAAGTTGATGAAGTATAAGTTACTCCTAATAAATCAATATATTTTAAAAATGGAGTACCATCATCATTAAATCCACCAACAATCACAGCATTCCATAAAGGATCCATTTTAGTTCTTCTATTATATAAAATCTTTGATAAATATTCATGAACATGAGGAGCTCTTAAATGATGACCACCATCACTATCATAAATTTCTTGTTCAATTTCTAATTCATGTAAAATTCGTTCAATTTGTTGTAAATCAGATATATCACCTGAAATCCCAACCACAGTTTGAGATCCAACTTTAATTAACCTTTCTAAATTATTAAATCTTAATAATGATCCATATGATCCTAAATTATCAGCAGCCATTATAATCCCATGTTTAAATTTTAATGAAACCACAGATGTACCAGTTATAATCGGTTGTTGAGAATGTACTTTAGGAAAATTATCCAACTGACTTTCTTGTTGATGGTTGGAAGCATTGGCAATGTTATAATTATAACCTCCATAAGTCTCTTGACTTGGTCTACCCCAATGGAATGGATCGTGATTCATGATTATATGTTTGTGGGTATATTATATATATAGTGTTGATGTTTGAAGTCTTGAATGTTTTCAATTGATCAATTAAGGTATGCTTTTTCTATCAGTTCGATTGGTCTAATATCTATTCACAATCGATTGATGTTTGATTATAAGAATGGTTGATTATTGTTGATAGTAATCTGTCTTCTTCATATATTCTGAGTGGCAACTTTTCTGTATTTGAGTTTTTTTCGATTTGGTCAAATTTTGTTGCTGAATAGGTATATGCAGGAAAGAGATACCTTACACAGTTAAGAAGTCTAACTAGCTAGCTACAAATTTACAATAACTACAATCAATGGCAATTTTGGACTAACAATGGTGTAATGATATCTTATATTATATAGATAGTATATGAGGTAAATCGAAAAAAAAAGCTTTTGGTCTGTAAATAGGAGGGATCTAGTACTCTATGGGTGACAACGTTGACTTATATTTGAACAGGATTTTGAAAGTGAAATAAGTTAACATGGAATGGATTGAATAATGAAAGTGACTAATAGATAATGTCAGCTCCACCACTAAGTACTTCATCAATTTCAATTTCTTTTGGTGCGCTATATCTGAATCTTGGTGATAATTGTGATCTTGAAAAGAATTCTCCTTCTTTAGGCTCTATTGAACTTGGATTGAAATAACTGGAAATACTAGATGCTAATGAAGTTGGGACTAATCCATTTGGAGCATATGGATGTGGTTTAACTGCAGCAGATGCATGGTCTAGAAAAGGTAAAGTTAGTATTCAAAGATTGAGTTGTTATATATAAATTATATGATTGCATTCATTCTCATTTATACTTACGAGCAACATGTGGACCACCAACGAATTTAATCAATGGTATGTGTTTCAATATACCAGCTGAAGCTTTCATTATGATATATAAGTATATTTGTTTATGATTAGTAAGTATCAACCTAATTTAATATTAGTTTGATGTCAGTTCTGATTTTTTTTCTTTTCTCTTAATGACGGTTGGTTAAATTAATTAACCCCCGGAGCAGTTCGGTACTGTATATAAGTGTCATGTTCATTTACACGTGACCCAAACTATTTTTATTTGCAACAAAATTCATAAATTTTACCACAAATTGATTTGATGGTAAGTATACCTTTTGAATCCATCATATCATAACATCAATCAGTATAAAGTGGGTGGGGATATGGATTTGAATCAACAATCAATTGATAATTGTATCAAATCTGAAAACATTGATGATTTGTTTAACTTACCGCCTTCAACTCCTTTGATTCCAACTTCACTTGATGATTTACCTGATGATCTATTAGAACGAATCATATATATTAATTATCGTCAATCAGGAAATTCAGTTAGTTCAATCCTTCCTATCCTATACACCAATAAGAGGATGTATAATAGTTTCCATTTCCTAGTTTATAAATTAACTATTCCCTTGGTTTTAAGTAATGAAATTATCAATAAAGGTGGATGGTTTAATCCATTCATCCCATCAAGGAAAAGAAAGAAGGAAAAGGTAAATAAACTTCATTATGATGAATTGGAATCGCTTCAAATGAATCCGTTTGATTGTGCAAGTATCAAACATTTAGTGATTGAATATAATTATCGACAATCATTTTCCCAAAGTTTTTATGATCTGACAAAATCATCACGAGTTTTTGATCAATTATTAAATCTGATGTTACTGAAATTAATCTATTTGAATTCAATTGAATTAGATATCACTGATATTTATGGATTAAGGATTTTAAATTATATTCAAGAAAATTGTTCATCACTTGATCATTTATATTTAACTATTCATGATTATAAATATTCTAAATTTAATAAAGTTGAACTTTATAAAGATCTTATCACTAGTTATAATCAAATTGTCAATAATAATAAAGATAAAAAGTCTTTTAAATTAAAAACTTTTTCATTAAGATCACCTAATGGTCCCATATTAAGTTCAACTGTTCATACTTCTTTATTAATAGCAGGAGGATTTGAAATGACTCCTCAATTAATTAATCAATATTATAAATCTCCATTGGTTAGAAGTTTTGAAGGTTTCTTAAATAATCATTCAAAAGCAGGATTAGTATCATTAGGAAAGTATCTTTATCAATTCATTGATGCCAATAGAAATCATTTAACTAAATTAGAATTGTTAGGGTTTGATTTATATATACTATTTAGTTCAATTCTTGAACCAGATGGATTAAATTCATTACCAGCTTTTTCATTCCCCAATTTAAAATTGATTCATGTTAATGATGCTTCATATCTTAGAATAAGTCATTGGTTATTTAAATTTAATCTGAAATTTCCTATGGCTATACTTTATCATAGTCATTTTTCAGGTAAATTATCCATTATTCATCTTCAACCTTTACATCCTATTGATAAGACTAGAACTTGTGCAATTTGGCAGACTAATGAACAAGTGTCTTATTCTATTAAAGGAACTACTAGAAGATATTTAGCTCAAGTGGAACCCATTAATCCATTAGTTACTTAGTTAGTTTACTTAATAAAATTTTTGCAACAAATATTTTGACCCATTTCACACGACCACCAATTTTTTTTTCCCAAATATATATGAACAACCAGACAGTTCAAAAGGTTTAAACAAAAATTCCACATGGTAATAACTCCACAACTTCAAAACTTCCAATTGAATCACTAAGAAATCATGTCTGATGTTAAATTGGCTAGAACCATACAAAGGTTCCAAGCCAAGATCGATAGTGGATCATATTATGAAGCCCATCAAACTTTAAGAACCATAACCAATCGTTACATCAAGGCGAATCAATCTGAAGAAGCTATTAATCTTTTATATGAAGGTTCGATCATATTAAGTAAACATAAACAATATGCATCTAGTAGTGATTTGATTTTATATTTGATATCGATATATAAACAATTTAATATTGTTGGTGGGGAATATAAGGGGAAATTGATTGAATTGATTAATTCGATTCCAAATCAAGAAACTAATAATTTATTAGATATATCGAAACAAAGTATTGAATGGTCCAGAAGTGATATTAATAAGTTTGGTGATAATGAATTACATAACGTGTTTGGGATCAAACTTTTGAAATCGATTCAAGAAGATGATGAAGATGTTAAAGATGAAAAAGATAATATTAATGAAAGTGATAAAGTTATCAATAATGAAGAAGAAAAATATAAGTTATTCACTATTGCGGAATTACATTTAATCTTGGGTACTTATACATCTGTCCCAGTGTATGTTAATTACTTGTATCAATGGTTTGAACTGACTGAAGGAGACGGAGTGGATGCTGGATTATTCTTAAGTCGTGCTATTATAAATTATGGATATTTAAAGAATTTAAAATTTGTTAAAGAATCCCGAGATTTATTCATAAATCAATTAATTAAAACTCATACTGATTATGAAATCATTGAAGAAAATGATAATAAAATCTATTATTTTAAATCTTATCCATTATTAAATTTCTTACAATTATTAATCTTCACTATTGAAAAGGAGAATTCATCTAATAAATTCTTGAAATTATATGATCAATATAAATCAGTATTAAAGACTTATGAGATTTTAACATCAATAGAATATTTCGGTAAGATTTATTTTAATTTGAAATTAGGATCTACAAATAATCAAGGTAATATCTTATCTAGCTTAATGGGTGATTTGTTTAAATAAAAAGTATATATATATATATGTATATTATACTGGAATAGTTTAGTCATAAAATAGTCATAATAAAATAATAATGTGATAAAAGTAACTTTTTTTGAGAATAGTTTATTGTCTTCTTTTTTTGAATTGTCCTATTGGAAAGTAGGTACTTTCCCCCTATGTCATCTAATATTCATCCTCTATATCATTTGGTACATCCTTTTTAATCCCAGACTGGTTTAAAGCATCAACCAATTCAAGACGTTTGGCTTTAATCAATTCATGTTTAGCTTCAGAGTATGTACACCATCTTCTTTGACGACTATCACTTTCAGGCCAAACTTGACTTAAATTATCAACAATCAATTCATACATATGGAATTCAGTCTTTGGTAAATTAACATCAGGATTGAAATCTCCTTTTATAACAGGAGCTGTCTTACCTCGTTTATCATATACAATGGGTAATTTTGAAATTATTCGACCTTCAACTCCAGCTTCTTCCCAAGTTTCTCTCAAGGCTGTAACTATGAAATCATCAGTTTCATCTAATTCAATTCCTCCCTTAGGTAAGATCCATTTATCAGGTTTATGTGATGATGATATCATTATAACTTTATCTTTACTTTCATTAAGACATATACATCCTGCCACCATTCTTGCTCCCGATTCTTCATTATAACGTTGGTTCGATCGACCAATTCTTGATTCGGTAGGTTTTGGCTCTGACATTTTAAATAGAACTTTGAACAATTGATATGATTTGATTTGATACTCTCTTAAACTATATAGAATGATGGAGTTTTGATCTTAAAAGGGATATTGATCGTTTGAAGTTTTAAAACGTGGAGATTTTGTATTTTTTAACTCTGGAGTGTGAAAAGTATGTATACAGGAAAATTAACTATTGAGATCATTCACACTCACTAAAAATTTTCTATGGCTCTGAAATTGTACGACCAACAACATCAAACATCAATATCAACAATAACAAGACAATGGTCAATGGAAGAGTTATACTAACATGGGTAGCATTGGTAACTGCCTTTGTTAATGGACATGATACTGGTGATCAACATCATAATGAAATCAAGCAAAAACCTCAAGAATTAAGTTGGCAAAATTGGCATATGATTGAAGAACATGGAATTCAATCATATGATGCTGATTCATTTTTTAGATTACATGATTTATCGAAGCAAGGCAGTTGGAATATTGAAGATATCTTGAATTTATATGGATTATTAAGAACCAATATCGTTGGTGATGGATCTGGTGGAGGAGTTCATCAAGATCATAATGAAGAAATCATTAATGATGATGCTAAAACATTTGTAGTAACCACTATTTTAAATTTAATTGATGCTGATAAAGATGGAGTTATAAGTCAACAAGAATGGAAAGTATTCTCTAATAATGGAGGAGAATTACCTGATTTTGGTTATGGACAAGGTCATCATTTTGATTTTGAATTAGAATATGAACAACATCATTGGCAAAAATATCATGCTAAAGATGATCCAGATGTGTTAATTAAACATAAAGAAGATATCGAACATGAATTATTACATCATGAACATGAAATTGAAGAATCCCATTATTCAGCAAGTGAACAATTAAGAAAAACTACAACTAATTTTTTATCAAATATTAATTTAATTAATCTACTGAATAAATACAAAAGAACTTAGCTAAGTAGGGTAAGTTAATAATCTATAGTACAAGAAATAAATAAACCGTACATACAACCATGGATGGTGCACGACTCTATAAATTCATTCATTCATTCATGCTATTTTAAAGTACCAAATGCACAATCTCTTAAATCCAGTAAATCTTGAGAACATTTCTCTGTCTTGCTATTGTTGATCTTCAAACATGCTTCATAAGCTTGTAATTTGCCTCTACATTCATTTTGAATCTTTTGAAATGAAGGCACTGACCGTTTTATACATTTTGATAATTCAACTTGTTGACTTTGACAGAAATCAGGATCAGGATCAGGTTTTGACAAACAATTATGAAAACTTAAGAATTGATGAGGACAATATCTAGCAATATCTTCCAATAGTATTTGGTCTAATAATCCACTTTTAGGGTTTGACATGGTATATATGCTTTTGATATTGTTGCTAAAAATCAACTTCAAACCGTTAAAGAAATTAATTTTTTAAACTTCGTCTCAACAAAAAAAGAATTTCTGTTGATGTGGAGCAGGAGCACTAAACAAAAAAAAAACGAAATTTAAATTGAAAATGACAGAATTTTGACTAACGAACTAGAACTACACCAACACTAGATCATAACAACGTCATAAGAGAGATAGAAGAACAGGAATGAGTATTTCTAGTGGGTTGAAAACAACCTTGCTCACGTTGACGTGGTTTCCTGTATTATATTCCTTTACCAATCATGTATATCAGCCATATCAAATTGAAGGTTCATCCATGTCACCAACTTTCAATCCCAAATTAGATACTACATCAAATGATATTGTATTAGTACAAAAGTTCAATTTAAAGAGTATTAATTCCTTGAATAGAGGTGATATAATCATGTTTCGATCTCCTAATAATCCGGAGAAAATCTTAACGAAACGAATTTTAGGTATTCAAGGTGATATTATAAATGCAAAATCTCCACCTTATCCTAAATCTCAAACTAAAATCCCTAGAAATCATGTATGGGTAGAAGGAGATAATTCATTTCATTCGATTGATTCTAATAATTTCGGTCCTATAAGTCAAGGTTTAGTGATTGGGAAAGTCATATATATATTATGGCCCTTAAATAGATTTGGTCATGATATAACTGGAACAAGCAGTGGTAATAGTGGCAGTATAGGAGGAGAAGGTGGTATTGGTAATAGTAGAGTCATAAATAATGAAAGCATCAATGGTAGTATAAGTTCGGAAGTTATGAAAATAAAACCGAGAGAACTCCTGGTTAAACAAATCGATGAGTATTAAGGCAATGAAATAAGCAATTAGAACAGGTCTGTTTGAAAGCCATAGTTTATAAGGTCAGAGGCATCGGGATATGTCGTACTCACATACACAGATCCACTGGCTTAGATTAAATAGCCAAAGATGAACGGTCATCACCACAAAGTAGTGTTAAACGCCGGAACTGTGGATTGGTTAGAAAATATTTGAACCGTACGATTTCTATAAGGTTAATATCATACTAAGATTGGTCAAAAATAAATTATTTATTAAGAATTAATTCTAATATTATAGGGTATATACGGTATAATGAACGGAAAAGAATCAAGCTTAAAATAATCCAAATGTGGTAAAAAGTTAGGGGGACAGAGTAGAAAGTTTAATAATATTATTTTGTTAGAGATAAAGATAACGAGATTCTAAAGGATTTATTCTAAATTAGACACCGTGCTTCAAAGACACCTGGTACCTTTTCAATTCACCTTGTAACTAAGGCAATTCATCCATCATCATGTTATGGGGGGGGAAGGTGGTTCATTATGGTAAGATATATGGTAAATTAACCATTCAATTAATCATTATAAAATAAAGCCAGTTATAACTAAACATATCATTAAATAATACTATTAGACCAAGCATTCAAAACATCCATCACCTACATACTTCCATAATTCATGTCATGCCAATTGCATATCATTATCAAAGAAGAATGGTAAATCATCTCTCAGCCCAAACGGAAATGCGACACTTTTTTTTTCTTTTTTGTCAAGACATTTCTTTTTTTCTTAATCTTTATTTTTTTTTGTCTGGTGGAGGGAGCGATCACAGTTGCAAAAATAAAAATATTTATTGGAAATATGTTGATTACACCCCTTGTTTTATTCTATTACATGAAATCTAAATCTAGGATTATTAATATTTTTAGAAGACTAGAATAGAAGATGATCAGACCTCCTTCTTCTTCTACGTACGTGTGTAATATCACATCTTATCGAGCATTCGCATGCTCTTATTGTTTCTTTTTGATTCCCCTCGTTCCTTATCTGGTTCGTGGGGAAATTTTTACTCCATGTAACATAACGATGAAGAGATGAGCTAAACAATAAATCAGAGCCCGAACCCCGTCTTTAACTCTAATTTCATTTGATTACTACAATGTTTAAATGATTTTAAATGACAAAATATATTAAATTAAAATATGAAAAGGAAAGAAAGGAAAAAATATATAATAAAATTAAATTAAAAAAGTAAACACACAAATATTTTCAGCTTTTTTTTTAATTAATTGAAAATCTTTAAATCTATAAAGATTCAGTTTCAACTTTAACTTCAGATTTCTTGGTAGAAGATTCAACTTCTTCACCAACTTTACCAGTGTAATCGTAATCATCAGTAGCAATAGTACCATCTCCCAATTGGGAAAGATCGTAACCGTTAGCCTTTAAGTAAGCTAAGAATTCTTCATCTTCCTTGTTAATAGCATCTTGACCAACTGGTGGACAGAAGAAAATAGCTAAGAAAGCAGAAAACATACATAAAGTAGAAGCAATATAGAAAGGCATTTGGTTACCTCTATCTGGATCAGTTCCACCTCTTGAAGCATTTCTGATAATAATTGGGAAAATATAAGTACCAATGAAACCACCAATTTTACCAACAGCAGCGGCAATACCATAATATTGACCTCTGATTGGAGTAGCAGAAGTTTTAGAAGCTAAAAGACCAATGTTATCACCTGGACCAAATTCACCAAAAGCAGTGAAAATACCATAAACGGTACAGAAAGCACCAACATGTAATTTTAAGGTTGGATATAAACCAGCCATGATGAAACCAATAATACCTTGTAAACCAACACCAACAGCTAAAGTTAATCTTGGACCAATGTAATCAGCAGAAATAGCACCTAAAATGGCACCTGGCATATAGAATAAGTTGAAAACAACATTCCAACCAAAGGTTTGATAAATGTTACCTTCTGGGATAATTTGACCAATAATGAATGATGAATAGATACCAAAAGCATAAGATGAGAAATCATAGAGAAACCAAATTAATGAAACAATTAATAATCTGAACCAGTAAAATTTGAGTAATAACCAGTATGGGTAATGAGCTTTCTTCATGTGTAATTTATCAAAAGTTGAAGAATCCTTCATTTTTAATCTACAGAAGAATAAAAGTAAAGGTGGGAAAACACCTAAACCTAAAGTTAATCTCCAAACAGCAGTTAAATGACGTTCAGAAAAGATCCATAATAAGACTAATGGAACAAAAGCACTAACAACGAAACCAAGATCAATCATGGTGTTAGTGAACCAAGCGAAATATCTATTTCTGTGACCAGCTGGTAATTGATTAGCAAATTCAGAAGCAATAACTGATGAAGTTGGGTATTCAGCACCAATAGCTACACCTAAAAGCACTCTAAATACAACAATGGAAGCAAATAAACCTTCTGGAGAACCATTAGCACCCCAAGTACCGACAGCACATAAAAGAGTGAAAACAATTAACATAATGTTAGCAGCCATCATACCACCTTTTCTAGCAATTCTATCAGAAATATAACCGAAGGTTAATTGACCAACAACGGTACCAACGAAAGCAATAGATGAAACATTAGAAATAGCAGTGGATTGAGAATAGACATCACCATAAATTTTAGCTAAACAATAAGAAACAGTAGAAATGGAATTATTAACATAACCATCAGAAAATAAACCAGCACCAGAAGCAAAAGCAGGCCATAAGTTTCTAACTTGAACTTTAGTTTGTTTTTCAGCATTTTCAGGTTGATAATCTTCTTCAATTAATTGAGCTTGAGATTTATTTAAAGTGATTTCGGAAGCTAAAGTCTTAGTCCAACCAAAGGCGAATTGCCCAAAGGATTTTGGTAAATCTCTTGAAGACATTATGATATGTATATGTGATGGATGATGATTTGGATATATAAATACAAAAGATAAAGAATTAAAAAAAGATTATAAAAGAAAAGAAAAGAAAGGAATTGAAATTGAAAAATGTGAAAAATTAGGATATTTCAATTGATATAAATACAAGATTATGAATTGATAGGCAGTAGTTTAATTTAGCAGTAATTTTCATGAATTAAATTTCGTTCCATACAAATCAATTCATTTCTTTTTTTTTTTGCCTTTTCATTTTCACTTTCATTTTCATTATCTACATAAAAGATAAATAATTTAAACGCTGTTTGTTTGATTACTATGGGAGTTAGAGAGAGAGAGAGGGGGTGGGACTGCATTAAAAAAATATTTTTTAAAAAATACTTTTTTTTTATTTTAATTTTAATTTTTTTTTTTTTGACATTTTATTTTTTTGCCGTACTAATATAATTTTAATTTATGGTTAATAATTGGAATTTCTTTTTTTTTTCCAGACACTGAAATCAAAACTTTTTTATTTTTGTCTTAAAGTGGTAATAATCATAGCTAGTTAGTTAGTTTAATATGGGGTCGGTAAATCTTTTTTTAGTATGGTGTGAGTTATAGTTAATCTCTTGATATTATAATTCAGAGGCTAGTCAAGCAGGTAGGCAGGTAGGCCGATAAACCTTGTTTTATGTTAGGTATGGGGATCAATGGTAGAGATGAGTTGGGCTTTAATTGATGAGAATTGATGAGAGCGGCTAAGTTCAATTATTGAATTATTGAATTAACTAACGAGCTAGCGAGCCAACCAACCAACCATCTTCAAACGAGGATAATCTACGTACTAATTTTAATAAAATGGTAATTAATGTGACATCCATCACATCAAATGGCTTTAAAAAAAAAATCAATTTTAAAAAAAAATTTTACAAAAGCTTTACTTCAACCGTATATTGATACAATAAGCACAAAATAAAAAAAAAAATCGTAGAACTTGTAACAAACAAACAAATAAACAGAACTAACAACTTTAAAGCCATCACACGTTCTCTATTTACTTGTTACTTACTTACTGTTTATGCTAGTTGTCTGTTATTACCGTTGTAACTAAGATTATTTCGTCTTTTTTTTCCTTTTTTTATTTTATTTAATTCATTTCAGGTTATTATTATTTAATTGTTTGTTTGTTTCTTTTTTTTGTTTTTTGGTTTAGAAATCAATCCTTTGTATGCAGTCTTGTGTTTTTCTTACGTAATTTATTATATAATATCGAATTTTTGTTAGCGTTTTCAACCTTTTTTTTTTTTCGACAACGTGGGTCAAATTGAAAGTAGTTTAAGTTAAATTAAAAGGTTATAATTAAAGGGTTGTTCGTTCTGTTTGTCTAATAATAATATTGAATTTTGACAATGACATATTTCCATACATCAACATTCACTAATTATTATTTACTTATAAACAGAAGCTTTTATTTTGCCTATATTTGGTTAATGGTCACAAGACTTTATCACTTTTTTCCGGTTTTAAATAATTTACATGAGAAGAGAAGAGATAAGATAAGATAAACTAAACCCCCTTTATTTTACGCTTCTCCATATCTTTAATCTGAGGTTTATCTAAGGTTTAGCATTACCGTTGATTTTGTTACGTTGTTTACTTATGATAGTCAATCATCAGTAATGGTCCCCATATTTGTTACTACATGTGGGCAAAATAAACTCTATATTAATGGGCAAATTGACAATTTTAAACCAACCAACCAAAAAAAAATATTGTCCGCTCTTGATCCTGCCTAATTCGGAAGCGCGTTCCCAGATCCCCTTAAACTTTCCTAATTGGTGCAAATCCAAGTTGTAAAATGAAAGCCATGCCTTTTTGATTATTATTTAGTTTACAACCCACGATTTGAAACAAACAATCACTGTTAAAAGTTTAAACATACCTCTATTTCATATTCATCTTCCTTGTTCTAGTATATCATGGTCTCCACTTTGCCTCTCCTCTCTTTAAAGTCTCCTCATTCTTTTTATCTCACCGCATCTGTTTCAAGATTAATTATCCCTTTAATCCAGGTTAATTTTTCCTAATTTTGGATACTTACCACAAGATCGTAATCCAATATTAGTCGATAGCCTTGTAATTAATCTCAGTTTATCCCAGCGGAACGACAACGTGATAAGTTTAAGGCAGTACATTAACCATTATACTTTTATGTGCTGTTACGAACTTATTTCAATTACGAACCTTTGATTGTTACATCTTATTAAACGATAACATATGATGATTTACCATGCTTGGTTATGCGCTTAATTCAAGTTTCATTAGTTCAATTAGTTTAATTCGGTTAAGATTTATTTTAGTCTAATTTGATAAAAATATTCCTATCAATTATTCTTTAGAGAATGAATGCTTATAATATTTGTAAATATTATTAATATATTTGATAGATTGATACTACATTTGCGCAAAAAGGTTTTGATAAAATGTCATGTCCCTTATCTTCAAAAATTCCATTTTTTTTTTTAGCTTAACCCTCTCTAAACTTGCCTCAGAAAATTATACAATTAAAACTATAATTATACACATTCTTTATCTTTCAATTATCAATTCAGACCTTCAGTTTACAATTAATCACACATTACACATTTTTCATTCATATCTTGCATCGTTATTCTGTTTAAATAAGCTTTCTCTTTCATTCACTAATTATACACAGTCTTTGTTTTATTTCTTATATCTATTGTCATTTAAAGATCAAAAATGCAAAATTGTCTTGGATCCCATTTAACGAGTTACAATAACATGAAGGAAGGGACTTTAGCAGTTGTAACTGTTTAGGCAGAAACGTGGGTACCTTTTTTGGGGGGTTGCTAGCTTAGCCAGTCGTCAGTAAAAAAAAAAAAAATGGAACAACTGCCTTGTTAAGTTACTGGGCCTTTTTTTTTTTGGTTCTTCCTAAGTTAAGTCTTACACCCCATGTTTTTATTTTTTTTTTTTAAATTTTTTTTTTTTTTTTTAAGAATTTATTTCTTTTTTTAATTTGTTTTTTTATTTTAGTGCTTGTGCTTTAAAAAATATTTGCAATCAAAAACATTCACTTTTCCATACTTCCTCCCCTCCCTCTATCAGTTTTAGGATATTGAAACCACCCTCGATGCTAACGCGGTTAAGTAATGGTCCTCTAAAAGCGCACGAGTACATTCTATGTACGAACGGTAAAGTTTGTTTGTTTTTTTGTTTGTTTGTTTCACCTATATCTACTATTATTATTTTTTTAGTTTAAACGTTTTATTGTTTAAGTCCAAACGACAATTCCGTAAATTAAACAAACAATCTAAGTCATGAACTATACGAATGTATCTAGTTTTAGACCATTCCAATCTCATCTCATCCCAACCCAGCTCATCTCATCTCTCTCATTTCGGTTTAGCTGCTAAAAATTTGATGTCACATACAATTTTTTTTATCGGGGTCCCACATGTTTATTCCGTTCACGTTACTTTTTGATTTTGTTACCTTTCATTTAAGCTAATACTTCAATTTGTGATGATATAGGTTTATTAGCAAAGCCGATAAACGTTCTTTATGAAACCATCTTTATTAAACTACATGCATTCGGTTAAAATTAAACTATTAAATTTTTCTATATTTCTTTGTTTTTTTGTTACTATATTTGTCTGTTTATTTCTAAATACTGTCACATTTCATTTAATGCATTCTCATCATGTGAGCTTAATTAAGCTTTTTGTCCCATTAGTAAATGCCTTGCTGCCAAGTTGAACATTAACAGAATGAGATGAAGAAGCCGAAAAGGCAGGAAGAGGCTAGAGAACGTGTGGGGATGAAACTTCCTAATTTGTATCTCTCCATTCAACGGTCCAATTCAATGATTCATCGGCTTTGAAAGGGACAACTTTGACTTCAGAGTTACTTATAAGTTTTGGGATTTGAATTTTTCTCTTAATTAACCATACTGATTTACCAGATGATAATAATGGTTTATCATCTAATAAATTATAAAATTTTAAACTATTATCACTAACGAATTTCTTTAAATTGTCTAATTTATCAAATTTTTCAAAAATTTCTCCTAAATAACTTAATACAAATGATTGAGTGAAAACTCCAGCACAAACATTTTGATAAACACATTTTAATTCAATAGGATGAGGAGCAGAATCACTACCAAAGAAAAACCATGGTTCACCACCAGTAGCAGCTTCAATTAAACTTAACTTATCTTGATGGAATTTAGCTACTGGTTTACAGTAATTAATAGGATTACCTGCCCATTTATCAATGGTTAAATATAAATGATGAGCTGTAATAGTAGCAGCCACAAAGATTTCATCGTTAGATGTTTTATCTTTATTTATATGTCTGATTAATTCAATTGATTCCTTTGATGTACAATGTTCTAAGACAATCTTTAATTGAGGGAAATCTTGATGCAATTTTAATAAAGCTGGTAAAAATTTACTTTCAGCATTTAAAATATTAATATCTTCATCATCATTACGAGGCTCAAATTCAGTTTCTTTATGATTTGATGGAGATGGTTTTTCACCATGTAAATTTAAAATTAATCCTTTTTCTTGCATGACTTTGAAAACTGGATAGAAATTACTGAAATCATTTGGATCAACCCCAGCATCAGAATTAGTAGTAACACCAGCTGGATAACATTTTATACCTTGAATTAAACCTTCATCACTAGCTTGAGCAACTAATTCAGGAGTGATATTTGAATTCAAATAGAAACTAGTTAAGAATTTGGTTTCTGAATCTAAGGCTTCTAATTGTTGTTTATAAGCTTTAACTCTTTCAATACTGGTGATAGGTGGGGTTAAATTAGGCATCACATATACAACTTTAATCCCACCTTGTTTAATGGTTGGAACTATTAAATTCATCATGGCACCTTCACGAAGATGAACGTGCATATCGGCTGTAACACCCAATTCTATTTCTGTAATACCACTAGACATTGTAGATTGTATAGATATTTAACTAATCACTGTGTGTGTGGGATGAAGTAATATAATAGTTCTTTTATCGATGAACTCGATTTCATTCATCGATTTTTCAAACATAATTTTTTTTTGAGGTTGGAGATCTTCTTTATCGCGAAATAAAAAAAATGTTTCAATTTCAATTTGTTAAATCAAAAAATGTCTTTCCCAATTTTTGCAATCATTTCTAAAGTAGGTCACTCTTAAAAGTGGTATCTATACACAGAAATATTGTTAATTTAGTTTGATGGATTGTTTTATGGGAATATTGTTCCAGTATCAGCCTATTTTCTTTGACCTTTATCATCCATATTTGAATCTACAAAGATGATATTCATAGTTTTAATGACAATATTTTCAAAAACTGGAATTTACACTAATTCAAGCACCACTTATATTTATAAAGCTTAATTTCTCTTATTTGCTAAATATAGACTATATTTACATGAAAAACTAATAAAATAACTACATCAATAGCCAAAATTTCAAAAATTTTACTGATTAAAAAATTTGGACTATTTCCACTGTTTGTGACACAAATTCACTACAGACAAATCACGAATAGGCGCAAATGGTTTAGTGGTAAAATCCAACGTTGCCATCGTTGGGCCCCTGGTTCGATTCCTGGTTTGCGCATATTTCTTTTTTTTGCATTTTCAGCCTTCAATGATCGATTTAACCAAGTCTTGAAGCTATTTTAGATGGTTGTTTAACAGTTCGTGTTTGTTGTTCTGCATGAAGAATTTTTTTTCTTTTTGCGATGACTCTGAGTTCTTCAGAAAATTTTTAGGTTTTAGTTACTGTTTACATGGTAAGTAAATGTAATCAGAGGTCATCGTTTGATTTAGTATAGATGTAGGTAAAAATATAAGAAAAGTTTTTATGCTTACTTCAGGTTTACAAAAAGTCCTTTTATACGCTCAACTTTTTAGATGGCTATTGAATGGCGTTTAAAGCTTTACATACACCATTCAAATTTCCTTGTTTGTTTTGAAAGGTGTGGCTACGATTAACGCCTTATGACTGATCCTACCAACCATATTCATCTCTTATAATCTTCTTCAACTTTCTATAGGTTCGAGATTGAAGGTAAGCATAATTTATTTGGTGCAAGTAATTCTCACCTTAAAGGGAAAGTTAGGTGCGAAAATTAAGCAAGCCCAATCATGATTGCAAAACTTTCCCTACAAAGAGTATTCATCCAAGCTTCAACTTAAGAGATGAGGAATGGTTCTATTTTATTTAAATAGATGGGAAGATGATGTATTTTGAATTATTTTTGTATACTTTTTTATTCACTTACAACTATCAAAGATGAGAGTTTTTCTGTGTTTAATTATTAGTCTAACCATTTTCAAGGTTGGTGTTTCGCAAGTTATTGCACCCCGAATAAATACGGATGTAATGGCTGCTATTGAAATGAATCTGAGAAATGGTAGTGTATCACAAATTATTTCACCCAGAACCAACACTGATGATGTATTGGAAAATATTGTAAAGGATTTGAAGGATGAAGAAGTTGATATTCAATACCAACAATTCCAATCTAGAAATGATGCTATTGATTTAGATTTATTTGCAACTGATTTTGAATTATTAACTTTAAAAGAAAAGGAAGCACTTGAAAGAATTAGAAGATATGAAGAAGATGATTATCAAGATTTGGAATCATCATTGATTGGTAATTCAACTGTAACTGCTCAAAAGGCTTATGATTATACTGTGGTGAAAGATTTAGATGATAATAGTGGATTTGGAGATGTTTCAAATTATACATTATCCAAACGAGATAAGTTTAATGACAAAATGTTGAGACATATACTTGAAATCAATCCTCGATTTCTTGTTTATTTTGCTGATACTAAAACTCATTTAGGTCCCGATAATAAAATAATGTATGGAACCAAGGAAGAAACTATAGCAAAGATGGATAGAGGTGAAGATCTTGTGTTTGTTGAAATTAATTTGAATGAAACCAATCAATTTTATGATCGTAGACTTCCAGCAACTAGTTGTTTATTATTCCCAACTGGTAGAGGATCAGGATCAGTTTCATTTGATTATAGTAATGATATCACCATGAATGGATATTTTAAACCCAAAATTGAGTATCCTATTTTTGATTTTAAATATCTTTATAATATCACATCATATAAACTTGCAGTTAGTTATACTATGGGATTTTCAGCATCAAGATCAGTTTCAATTTCGGGTGCTCATAGTTGTGATACTGATGATGGTGATGGTGTACGTTTATTTTATGAACCAAGTGTTGTGGAAGTAAAAGCAAGAACAAGAAATATTATATTTACCGCTATTAAAAATCTTATCCATCGTGAGGAATGGCAAGAATTGAAAAACTTTCGTTATATGGCTGATTCACAACCGACTTTTTATTGTGCTACATCAGATAAAGTTGATTTAAACTGTAGTACCACTATTGGTGAAAAAATATATGTGAATAATTCAAATGTTGTATATGAACAATATCTGCATACTAATTCACATGAATTTACATTTAATGATGAATAGTTTATAATTTATATATTTATATATCTAAATCTAAATAAATTCTAAAATTATTGTTGAATTATTATTATTATTCATAAGTAAAACTTTATCAAATAATGATTCAAAATTATTTGATGATACATTAAATCTTAAAATTTTAATTAAAATTTGAATTTGATCAATTAAGAATTCTTCATTATAAATATGATTTTCAAAGGGATATATCCAAATTGATACTTGAATTGAATTAAGTAATGATTTATAACTTATTCCACATACTGAAATTTGTAAATCATCTAAACTATTATAAATTTGATTGGAAAAGATTGCTTTACATAAAAGACATATAAATGATTTAATTGAACTTTCGGTTAATATAGTTCCATTTTCATTGTAATCATTATTACTGATTGGACTTTCTTCATTGCTAGATTTGGTAAGTTTTAATTCAAGAGTATAACCATTTGGTACTTGATTTCTATTAGGAATGATTCCATATCTTGTAATAAAAAATCGATGACATTGATATTTATAAATTAATTGATTATAATCATGATGTAAAAATTCATTTAAATCTCTTAAAGTTTCAATACATCTAAGAATATTCTTCTTTTTCGTATTATCTTTATCATACCATACTAACCATCTAAAATAATAATTCTGTTCAATATATTTTAATTCATTATTTAATTGGAATTTGAAAGCTAAATGATCACTTTTATCAAATAAAGCTAATCTATTGACAGGTATACCGGTATATAAAGGATTAATAATTGAATTTTTAATAAGGGATTCATAGATGGTAGGGATTTTGATATTTTCTTCAGTATCATCTGGAATTAAACTTAAACAAGAATGATTATAATCCATAGTATTTAATGGATGAAGAAAATTCGAATTATCATTAATTTTGACTGATTCCATTAAGGAGACTTCACTCGAAGTGGAAGAAGAAGGGGAGATATCAACGTTACAAATGGCATTATTTGAATGTAAGGTGAAAGTAGGAGGATTTGAAGTTGTTGGAGTTGAAGTTGATGATAATGGTGTAGTAGTTGATGAAGATGATAAGATTTCCACATTTTCCCTATCAATGGATTCTTGATTGATTTCGTTCTTTCCTTTTAAGGCATGACGTCTTGAAGACCAGGACCAACTCTTTCTTCTTAATATCCTTTTCATCTTGTGGTGATATTCCAAAGTATATAACTAATAAATAAAAGTTAATTTTTAGCCGCCATTTAAATTTTGCACCAAAAAAAAAAATGTCAAAACCGCAAACACCAAAAATGAAAAATCAAAAAAAATCATCAATACTGGAGAAGAGGAGTAAATATCAACACACAACACTACACCACACAATATCATGGGTTCCATATTCCTACCTCATTTACGTTCAGGCTGGCATGTCGACCAAGCGATACTATCGGAAGATGATAGATTGGTAGTGATCCGATTTGGCCGAGAAGAAGAATCACAATGTATGATTATAGATGAGATATTATATCTGATAAGTGAAAAGATTAAAAATTTTGCTGTTATTTATTTATGTAATATTGATAGGGTACCTGATTTCAATCAAATGTATGAATTAGAAATGGGAGATCGACAGTTGGAACCATTTACAATTATGTTTTTCCATCGAAATAAACATATGATGTGTGATTTTGGAACGGGGAATAATAATAAATTGAATTTTATGATTCGGGATAAACAAGAATTAATTGATATTATTGAAACTATTTATAGAGGGGCTAAAAAGGGGAAAGGGTTGGTTGTTAGTCCTAGAGATTATAGTTCTATACGGAAATTCCGATCATAGTTGGAAGTATGTGTTAATATATATGTATATTATATTTTTTATTAATATAAAAAAAAGGGTTTAGAATTTTTTTGATACAAAACAATTAAAGGAAGTAATATATACAAGAAAGAACAACAAGACAATTAATTATCTTCATGTTGAGCATAAAAGAAATTGACACTTAATAATTTCAGTTTTGGAGCATTCTTTTTAATCCAATCTCTAACTCCACTACTTGGAATACCCGTACCCCAATTTGGTCTATCATTTGGAATTTGAAAATTAGTTACATCAGGATCTTGTTTATAAAATAAATAAACATATCTATGTTTACCAGTTTTGGCTGGTGGAGCAGGACCGGAATAAGATAAGATTTCTTTCCCCTTTGAATAATCTAAAATATGACTTATATCATTATTTGATTCTGTTGAAGAAGAAGAAGAACTTGATGAATCATTTAATTTCAAATCGGTGATTATCCAATGAGCATATTCTGACCATTTATGATCTGAATTAGATGGAGCATCAGGATCAGTTAAGACAAGAATGAATTTATCATTATTTTTAATGGGTTCAAATTGACCATCGACGGTGGGACTATTTAATGTGAATTGAATTTTGGGTTTATTTTGAGTTTTGAGGACATTTAAAGTATTACCTAAAGCCACTTGATCTTGATCATTATAAGCAATGGTTAATAAGCCTTGAGTAGTGAATTCATCAATGACATCAGGGATGATTTTATGTTTGGAATATGATTCATCGAGGGATTGAGATATGGTGATTAAAGGCATTTTTGATTGAAATAATTGATTTGATTGACGATAAGAATAGTGAGGTGATAGTATTGATTTTGGAGATGATTTTAATAATGAATTCCGTATCAATTGAATTGAATTCCTTGAAAACATGAAGAGAGAAAGGAAAAGGAAAAGGAAAAGGAAAGGAGAGGAAAAGGAAAATGTAAAAAAGCAACTCAATGAGGAACAAACAATGATATATATATCTATATGAATGAATGTGATTATTGTTAACAAATAATATATAAACTATGTGATGGGTGGGTATAGGGGGGTTGTGGTCTAAAGGGAATTGGGTGATTTGTAACCAGATGTGTGGAGAAATCGTATATACCGGAAACTAGCAATGAATTCAACTATTATCCTATTAGTACCAGTAAAATGAATCTGTGAATGGCAAAAAGACTATGGGTTATAGTCAGATGATGTCTATAATATCTATTAAATTAACTTACAATTTGAACAGCTAGTTATAGTTATAATTATAATTACAATCACAATTATAGTTACTCCAAAGTGGTGTGTCTCCTTATACCTATGTGGTAATGGTCGTGTACTTTTACATCAATAAATCTCAACTATATACAGGACAAGAAAACTACATCCTGCACATAAATAATGACAATTTTTAATCCGGAAATTTACGAACAGTTAATAAGGACGACTCTGCAAAAATGAATGTGGTAATATGTCTGATAATGTTACGGTCTTATGACCTTTATTTATGACAGCTTTTTAATATAAAGTGTTAGTATTAGTTGATACTAAAACTAACTAACTAACTTAATATATAATAAAATTTTAGTTTATGTTGACCACAAGGTACACGTCTCAAATCATAATTTACGATCATAACTATAAATGAAATTAAACACTTTGTCTATAGTGACACTTCCTTCTTTCTTTCTTTCTTTCTAAAAATAAAAATAAAAATTACAATAATAACAACTCACCTTCTTTATATCGTAACTACAGTTAACATACATACACCTTATATTAATAACTAATAACTAATAAGTGGTGGTTAATTTAATTTTGGTGTTTGTGTTTGTATTGGGTCGTGTCGAATGGACCAAAATTTTATTTTTGATTTTGTAAATTTTTTTTGTTTTTGTATTTACAGCACTGAACAACAACTGGTTTGAAAGAAGAGTTTGAAGGCATACTTATTCAACTTTAAAGGGTGATTCATTAGTGGTTCTGGATCTTGAATCAATCTCATCAGTACTAGCTAATCACTACTGCTATCATAATTCATCTCAAAATACCTCAGTTGGTTTAACGTTAATCCAATTTACAACGATATAGATAACCTTTAAGTTACCAGTCATTTAAAAGGGTTTTTGGTTTGTGCTGCCTTTTTATCATATTATATCATCCTTTTGTGATAGATTCGCTCAACATTGTTTAATTCTCCTTTCTGATTTGTCTTGTTACATAGAATATTTTCATCCCCCCTCCTCCTCACTGTACTATCACCTTGATATAAATAACTATCACCATCCCCTCGCTTTCTCATTAAAACCACTCCACCAACCCCATATCAAGTAAAGCATAGATGAAGTTTTCTCATTCGTTACAGTTTAATGCTGTTCCAGAATGGTCTTCCAAATATATTGCTTATACCACTTTAAAGAAATTAATTTATTCCTTACAAAGAGATAATTTAAGACGTCGTCATCAAAGAGTAGCATCAAATGATTTAGAATTAGGTGAAGTTGATGAATTAATCACATCGGCAAATTATGCATCTACCGGGAATCTTGATGATGATTTTAGTCCTAGTAAAGTGTTTATAACTGCTTTAGATTCTGAATTAAAAAAAATTGATGATTTTTATCAATTTCAAGAATCATTTATATTTAAAAGTATTGATGAAATCATTATTGATATAGAAAATTTCGAAAGAGAAGTTGATACTTCAACTATCTTAGGTTTAAAAGCTAATAACGATTTAAAATCAGGTCTTCGTCCTAGAGCTTTATCCGATATTTCTGATGTCAATTATATAACTGCTACTGACCCTGATACTGAATTTACTCAAGCAGAAGATTTCGATGATGATGATGATGACGATGATGATGATGATGGACCAAATAATGGATTAGTTAATTATTCCGGTAATAATTCAAGTCATCATCATAATCATAAAACTAATAAAAAATCTTCATCTAATAAAAAATTAAGTAGATCAACTTCAAATCCTTTAGTTCATATTAAATCAATTGATGATTATCTTAAATCTCCTAAATCTCAAATTTGGAATAATCTCAATGAATCATTATCATCAAATTTACCTCCTCAATTAATTTTATTATCAGAATCAAGAATCTTATTAAGAAAAAGAATTATTGGATTATATACTACCTTATCAGAATTAAAATCATATATTGATTTAAATCAAACTGGATTTAAAAAAGCAGCCAAGAAATTCGATAAATCTTTAAATACCAATATTAAAGATGATTATCTTGATAATTTACCTTCCAAATCATATATTTTCCAACCTACCACCATTCAAAAAGTTGATGATAGATTACATTCTTTAATTCAATTATATGCCTTGATTTGTAATCATGGTGATGATTTAGAAGTGGCCAAATCAGAATTATCCATTCATTTAAGAGAACATGTGGTATGGGAAAGAAATACCATTTGGAGAGATATGATTGGATTAGAAAGAAAAGGGTATGCTGCTAATAATCGAAATGAAAAAATAAATGATAATGATAATAATAAAACGATAAGTAATAATCAATCTATAAAAAATTTTAATATTTCAATCACTAATCCTATAATTTTAAAATTAATTATCGTTTCTACAATTACCTTAATTTTATTAAATTTCTCCCCTTTTAGTGATGACGCTCAAAAACATTGTTTTGCATTATTAATCTGTGCTTCATTATTATGGGCCACTGAAGCCATTCCATTATTTGTAACTTCGTTATTGATTCCATTATTGATTGTTAGTTTGAACGTATTAAAGAATGATGATGGATCATTAATGAATTCAGTCGATGCATCAAAATTCATTTTATCAACCATGTGGAATTCCGTTATTTTATTATTATTAGGAGGATTCACTTTAGCAGCTGCATTATCGAAATATCATATTGCGAAATTAATTTCAACTTGGATTTTATCAAAAGCAGGAACAAATCCATCAGTAGTATTATTAACTATCATGGCGGTAGCATTATTTGCCTCAATGTGGGTTTCAAATGTTGCTGCCCCTGTATTATGTTTTTCATTAATTCAACCCTTATTAAGAACTTTACCAAAAGGATCTAAATTCATTAATGCTTTAATTTTAGGAATTGCCTTAGCTTCCAATGTTGGAGGTATGGCATCTCCAATTGCATCACCTCAAAATATGATTGCTATTGGTGCCATGGATCCTCAACCAAGTTGGGGTCAATGGTTTGTGATTGCATTACCAGTCTGTGTATTATCATTATTATTCATTTGGTTATTTTTATTGATTACGTTCAATTGTAATACGAGAAATACTCATTTAGTCCCTATTAGAACCATTGATGATAAATTCACTGGTATTCAATGGTATATTATCTTTGTTTCAACCTTTACAATTTTCCTTTGGTGTATTGCTTCAAGATTAACGGGTATATTTGGTGAAATGGGTATTATTGCCTTATTACCCATTATATTATTTTTCGGATCAGGATTATTAACTACTGAAGATTTTAATAATTATCCTTGGAATATTGTGGTGTTAGCTATGGGAGGTACTGCTTTAGGTAAAGCGGTTGCCTCATCAGGATTATTATCCACTATAGCAGTTACGATTCAACATGAAGTGGAAGGATTTTCGTTATTTGGAGTTACATTAACATTTGGATTATTGATTTTAACCATGGCAACATTTGTAAGTCATACTGTTGCAGCATTAATTATTATTCCATTAGTTAGTGAAATTGGGAATAATATGGCTGAACCTCATCCAAGATTATTAATTATGGCCAGTGCTATGTTATGTTCAGCAGCTATGGGTTTACCAACTTCAGGATTCCCTAATGTTACTGCCATTTGTATGACTGATGAATTTGGTAAACCTTATTTAACCGTTGGTACATTTATAACTAGAGGAGTTCCAAGTTCAATTATCGCTTATGTTATAATTGTTACCATTGGTTACGCTACCATGAAGTTGATTAATTTTTAAAATCCAATTACTCTAATTCTACTTTATTCATACCCTGATATTTCAATCAGTAATATCATTATTACTACTACACACATATCTACACTTATACCTATACATATACATACAAGTACACTTTTTTTTTTGGTTATAATATATAATAAATACTAATAAATAATTTACCCTAATATAACCCTATAGACTGTAGAATCATCTAACTAATTAAGGTTTAGTACCACCTTCAACTTATCATGTTATTTATAGTTTAAAAAACAAGTTCCAGGTTCCCCGGACGGAAAAATCTCACCAGAAAATAAAACACCAGAACCGCTAACCGAATTGGGACTGCACTGGAAAAATTGTGAGACAGTCTTACCGAACTAAGCCAAAACTGAAACTTGTAATTACAACACATCAATTTGATATCGATACCATTACCAATTGATTCAACATCAATTAATACTGTGTGTGTACTGTACTATAGTGGTGAGTTATACCAATTGATCTAGTGGACAGCGTCACGTGTATTGTTTTTCCAGTTCTGTTCGACTTGAATGTCAGATATTTGGAATCAAATTAGATTGTTAATAGTAAGTGGCAGCAACATCAACATCAACAAAAACAACCTTCAAACTATACCTAAAGGTTCTGGTTCAAACACTGGGATTATAGATAGTATTGTCAATTATTGGCATTCATTAACTTTAAGAAAACAACGATTATTAATCCTTCAAAGTTCCATTGTATTCAGTGTAGTGTATTATATCTTATCACCATCCATCACATCTCAACCACCAATGTTTTCAAAACGACCAGATAAGTATACTACAGGGTTTATCAATCTTAGAAATGATTGTTTTGCCAATAGTTCCCTTCAAGCTTATCTGTCATTACCTGGGTTAACTGATTATTTGAATAAATTCATTAATAATTTCCAAAAATTAAATCAATTCATTATTGATAATAAGATTAATATTCATCAAGTTATTGAAGATAAATTAACTATTTATAAAGAATCAAATAAAAAAGATCATCATTCTGAATCTTCTTCAAAATTTAAAAATTCAAATACAAAATTCTCCATCCCTTTACATTTCGCTTTAGCGGAAATTATTAAGAAATTACAAGAAACTCAATTAAGTTCAAGAACCATAAGTGTATGGACGTTTTTACATTGTTTAGAATCGATTTTTAATGCTAAAATATCAAGATCTCAACATGATGCTCATGAATTAACTCAATTAATCAATGAAACTTTAGAAAATGAAAATCTAAAAATCATGAAATTATTATCATTCATTATAAAACATTTACATAAATATATTAATAATCCAAACCCTCATGAATATGATTTATTACAATCAATCATTATTCCTGAATTCCCCTTTGGTGGTTTGTTATTATCTCAATTCCAATGTGCAAAATGTAATGGGGTTTCAACTCCTAAATTTTCCCCATTTACCATGATTACCATCCATGCTCCTGAGAAATTATCATGTGAATTGGATACTTTAATCGAACAGAATGAAAGTGAAACTATTGATGGATATAATTGTTTGAAATGTAGAATCGATGCCATTGTCCAGAATGAAAAACTTTTAAATCGAACAATAACGGATGAAGATGAATTAAATCATATCAATGAAATTAAAAAGATCTTTGGGGAAAATTTTAAAACTTTCTGTATAAATGAAGATTTACCAACTTTATTAGAAACATATATAAATCAATATCAAACTCAAACGTTAAATGGATTTCAAATTTCTCAAATAACTTCAACCGTGATAAAGAAAACCCAAATTTTAAAACCACCCCGGATTTTTGGGATTCATTTATCAAGATCATCATTTAATGGAGTGGACATTACGAGAAATTCATGTCATGTATCATTCAAAGATAATTTGAATCTTAGTATTGGGAAAGAATATCGTGATCGTCTTAAGGATTTTCAAGACCTGATTAATAATCAAGAACAGGTTGAATTCAATGAGATTAAATCAACTAATGTTTTAACTCATGATCTTAATGATGTGGAAGATGAAGATGTTCAAAGGGAAGATATTGATGAGAAGGGGAATGAAGAAAATGAAGAAGACGAAGAGGAAGAAGAGGAAGTGGACGATGTGGATGCTGATTCTAATACTTCTAGTACGGATGAAATTCCTGAAGGAGATGAAGATAAAGAAGATGATAGTAATCCATCTTCTAGAGGTACTTCAGTGGGGTCAAAAACTTCTCAAACTACTATTCCTCATAGTTCAAGTACAACTGCAACTAGTGCAGATTCAACCTCCAAAACCATTAATAATGCTCCTATTTCCACTGCTCAAGAAGATGATTTAAGAGATCATTTCAAAAAATTTAAATTCAATGATAATGACATTTATAAATATAAATTAAAAGCTATGATTAGACATCAAGGGTCTCATACCCAAGGACATTATGAATGTTATAAACGTAAACCACTTTATGCCAAGGATAAAGATGGAAATATCTTTAAATTAACTCCCGAAATCAATATTGATGATGATTATGATTTAACTGCTAATGGTGGTGATGGAGATGAGAATTCTAGTACTCTTATGAATAATACTACAAGTATCAAAACTACAGGTTCAACCCCTATGAAGAGAAGATTATCAAGTATAATGGGTAGTAAACCTTCTATAATCTATCAAACCAATACCGAAGAATCCAATATTGAAGAAATTATTAATTCAGGATTAGCTACTCCTGCTGAATTTTTAGTTCATGAATCAGTTAATCATATAGATGCAGCATTTGCATCTAGTTTAACTGAAGATGCATTCAATAAGAAACAATCTGACCAAGCTTCATCAAAAGTTAAAATGAAGAAAATCCCTTCCATCATAAAGAATCCTTATTGGAGAATAAGTGATTCAAATGTGATTGAAGTTTCGAAACGTCAAGTTTTAGTAGAAACTTCAAGTGTTTATATGATTTATTATGAACGTGTTGAACGTAAACAAATCAAATCCCGTCATCATTCATGATGATAATAATAATTCTTTACTCTATCTATTTATTCCTTACTATCTTTACTTATTATCCTATAGACTTTATTCTCGTGTGTATTATCTTTAAAATAAAATAAAATTACTTTTCGTTATATAGTTCTTTTTGCGGCTTCACAGAAAAAAAAAAAAAGCAACAAATCTAAAAACGTCAATTATTAATTACTACGAAGATAGAACTTTACACCAATACTGGATATGTTCACTGCTTCTAGGAACAACAACGGTGGTAATGGACCCCGTGACAATGTACCGGTTCCAACGATACGATTGGAAGGCGAAGATATAAATGAAGAAGATGATAAAGAAACCCCAAAATCACCATTCACCCCTCCAACCAAGAAATCCATAGCCAATACTTTATTCCCAGCTCCAAATTCAATACAGAGATCCTTAGGAGAACGACGTAAGGTTGTGTTGAAGCCAGGTCATTCACCATTAGATTGGGGGGCATTGAATAGAAAGACTCCTAAACATATCTTACGAGGAGTCCCTGCAAATACTCCTCCACCTCAAATCATCAAGATTTCAAAAGATGAATTAAAGAAACATAAAGTTCAACATGATTGTTGGACTTGTATAAATGGTAAAGTATTCAATATCACTCCTTATATAGATTTCCATCCTGGTGGAGTGGAAGAAATTATGAAATGTGCTGGTAGAGATGGTACAGCCTTGTTTTATAAATATCATAGTTGGGTTAATGTGGATAGGATGTTAGAAAATTGCATGGTTGGTATACTAGGTAATTGAATAGAAGTTTAAGCTTTATAGATGCTTGTTGTTAAGTTTATTTATACACATATATATATACGGTCAAAGGTGACTCTAATCTAATAAATAATACGATGATCTTCACCACCTATAATGATACTATCTAAACTCCAATCATGTTCTTCAGTATGTAGATGATCGACAAGTTGTTCTTGAAGTCCAATACCCAATAAATAAGGTTTCTTTCCGAAATGCTTAACATGAGATGATATATATTCATCGTAATACCCTGCACCATGACCCATTCTTTGTTTTAATGTGGTGAATGCCACAGCGGGGACAATGATCATATCCAAGCCTGCAGAATCATGAAACACATCATCACCCTCTGTTGGTTCCAATAGTTTATACTTCCCATGAGGTTTCAACTCCAATACATCTTCAAAACTTGATAATTTCAACATGGTTAAATGATTATGTTTTCGAATTAAAGTTTTATGATAATTACATTTCGGCAAATAGACACTCTTCCCCATTTCGAAACATGATTTAATGATATCTAAAGTCTTCACTTCCAGATCTGGCATGTTCATATATAATGCTATTTTCGTTGCTTGTTTGAATTGAGGATGATCTAAGATGAGTTTATGAATATCATGAGATTGTTGGATTAATGATTCTTGCGATATTAGTTTTAATGATTTCTTTATATGTTTCCGTAGATGACTCTTGGATTCTTTGATGGCGAATATAGTCATTGTAAAGTCAAGGTTGATTCCTTTGTAAATGGTTTAGTTTATAGAATCACTGGTATAATTCATGATGTGACTTTTAAACAAGTCATTTTTGTAAATAGACTTCCCTAATTGGGCGAGTGCGGCTCAAATCGAATTAAAAGGTATGAAGTAAATATAATGAAAATGAATGAATGAATGAATATATAAAGAAATGAATAAATAAATGCTAAAAACTCCTCTCTACCTAACTAACTAACTAACTATCGAATCTAAAATCTAATCTTTTATTACCTTCATCAGGGGTATTATGAACGTATTGATATTGTTCATCTTCTGTCATTGAATTCCAAACTTTACTTTTGGAATTATTTCTCCATGTATAATAAGCCTTAATCGATAATAATAATGGAAGTAATGCAATTCCAAACAATAAGATATGAGTATTACCTCTATGATATAATGGTTTATCATCATCTCTATAAATATTAGCTGAAATGATTCCACCAGCTTGAACGATTAAATTATATACTGCAGCACTAACTGATCTTGTTTTAATACTACCGGAATTTCTTGAAACCCAACTAACACAAATAGCATGGATATATGGGGCACCAGCGATTAATGATGATAATAACCACAAACCAGTTGTGGTTAAACGATCACGATTATATTTGAAAATGAATAATAACGGAATGGAATAAATAGGTAAGATTATGGCCACTAAAGCTCTTTGATTGAATCGTTCTGAAAGTTTAGTGATTTGTAATAAAAATGTGATATGCAAGATATAATGAGGGATTAATAATAGATTGGTTTGGAAAGTAGTTAATCCTGCTCCTCTATAAATGATTGGAATATAAGTTCCAATTGAACTAGCAGGGATATATGCAATAAGACCCACAAGATAAATAGGCCATAAATCATAATCTAAAAATACCCTGACTAATTGTTTTAAAGTTACTCCACTTCTATTGTTAGTATCACCTTTAGTTGGATCATCTCTTAAAACTCTATTAACAATGATTTTAACTTCATGTTCGGTAAACCATCCTCTATCGACTAATTCAATGGGTGATGGGATTAACATATAAATGGCTCCTACCCCAATCACTAAAGTAATTAATCCTTCAATAAGAAATAACCATCTCCAACCTTCCCATCCTAAAAATCCTCTTAATCTTAAAATACCCATGGCCATTACAGCCCCACAAACTTGAACCATGGTTGATGTTACCCATAACCAAGATAATCTAATGGGTAATTCCTTGGCTTTATAATAAGTTGATAAAAATAATACTAATTCGGCAATTAAACCACTTTCTAAAACGGCTGTTAAAGCTCTGGCTAAAAAGAAGGAATATTTACCTTGAAGAAAACATTGACATGATGCAACTATTGACCAAGTAATCATTTGGAAAGGTATGAATCTATCAGCTCCAATCCATTTTGATAATATTGATGAAGGAATTTCCCCCAATAAGAAACATATAAGGAAAATAGTATTACCTCTATTATAATCATTGGTAGTTAAATTCAAATCTTCCAACATATTATCGGAAATAGCTTGAGGTAAATTCCCTCTATCTAATTGTAAACCAGTAAACATAAGACAAGCAAACAACGCTATAACTTTATCTAATTTATGAACAATGATTTTATCTTGATGTTTTGACCAATTAAAATTAGGATCGAATAAATGACGACATTCATATTGAGATGTTTCATATACTCGACTATAATAATCGGAAAGTTTGGTATCTATGAAAGGATTGGAACTATCTTCTTCTTCATCTTCTTCATTTATTAATGAATCATTATCACTTGTGATTAATTGAATTGAAGTACTTAAATCACTAGCTTTCTTTTGGATTAATGGATGAGTGGCATTACTTCTGATGGCTCTTAATCCTTCTTCTGTTATTTCTTCTTCATCAGAATCACTGGTACTGCTGTAGGAAGGAGATCTAGCTTGATAATTTATCATACTGAACTCATTAGTTTGTGTCATTTCTGATTTCATAGGACGTTTGGAAAAACTCTTTAAAAAAAGTGTCTATGTCCTCTAACCTATTATATATATATAAGGATGAAATCAAAGTGTGACCTTTACCAAGCAAAATCAAAGAGAAGATACAATGACGTCTAAGGAGGTGGAGCTAAAATATCGTATTATCACGTCAAAAAATTGGTTGATTTCACAGTTTTATTTCATCTGAAAAATTGATCTCTCAATTGTTGTTAAAATGCAAAAATTGCGTCAACAGTGGCTGCTAGAAATATTTTATATATGCAGGAAAGGAATGTTTATATATATGCAGGATGAATCTATCTGTCCTAATTAGGAAAGTCAATCGACGGCAAACTATTATGCTTAATTATCTATCTGATTTTTTACGGCAATTGATTTTGATATTGATATTTTGGGGAAAGTTTATTATGTAAGCAAGTAGTAGAATGATTTGAATTTAGGAAATATAGGTTGGTTAGGACTAAGTAGATGGAGTCTGGGTAAGTATTATGATGATGATGAAGCGAATGAAGCAAGTAGTGTCATCATTCCAACTCATGTTCATATCATTTAAAAGGCGATGAGTATAACGATAAATATGTTTAACTTTTCCACTTCTTCTTCTTCTTCTTTTTCCATTATTAACCATCGCAATGAAATTCACTGGAGTTATATTCTTTTTACTTATCAGCTTTGTTGGTGCTATACCAGCTACCAATCAAGCTTCTTCAAATGATACTTTTATGGTGACTGATCTTGATCCTCATCATTATAAAGGATATTGGATTGATTATACCAATGAATTACTTTCAGTTAAGAGACATGATAATTTCAATATTGTTGAAGATTATCATAAAGATATTCCTGATGATTTAATCAAAAGAGATGCAAAGGAAATTGATACTCATACATTTTGGAATGAAGAACACTTAATGCAATATCCTCAAGTTTTAGACAATAAATTAAATGTGATTATTTTAAAGGAAGAACGTGAAATTATGTATTATTCTGAAGAAGATCAAACTTGGATTTCTCATCAATTTGATTCCAATGTTCATGATGGGGTTGATAAAGATAAAACTCTTGTGCCTTTTTATAATGAAACTCTTGTGCCTTATCATGATTTAATTCCAGTTACTTCATGTTTAAGTAATGAATTTGGATCAGGTGGTAGTGTTAGTAGACAATATTCATTTAATTTACAAGCATCAAATACAGCAGGATTTGGATTTACAGTGTCAGTTTTTTTTACATCATTTGGACTTGGGTTAGATATGGGGATTGGAACTACTACTACAGTTAATTTTAGTAGTTCATATTCTTGTGATATTGCAGCTGGAGAAATTGGTCAATTATTTGTGCAACCATTTATGGTTGAATATCCTCAATCTCATCGTCGTGTGATGAGAATTAATAAAAGACTTCGTAAAATCTTTAGAGGTCGTGATATTGAAATGATTGAAAGATTTAGAATGATTGCTCTTGTAAAACCAAATCATTATTGTATATCTGAAAAAGATGAATCAAAATTATCTTGTGGTCTGACGGTTGGTGGTACCATTGAATATAAAACAGAAATTGAGTAAGTAGTTTCCCTCTATTTATTTATTTATTTATTTATTTCTATAGTTAACTAACTCTCTTTTTATACTTCTTCAACTATTAATAATATGTCTTCTTACCTTTTAACCATATTCACTCCTATATAACCAATGGTTGTTAATTATGGTGTTACTCCGCAATTACAGTTAAATCACCAAATTGGTTTTGTGGTACCAAGTTCAATGAGCATACGACATCAACAAAATTTTCTTTTGTTTTGCTAATTCGGTATTTGAAAACATGGAGAAATTATCCAATCCAATCCAATCATATCATATCAACTATTAAGTATTAACGACCTCATGACCACTGCTACTACAGAGGAACACATCACTAAGAAGATCGAAGTGATCTCTATAAATGACGCTGATAATGACGAAGACCCTTTAAGTTCAAGTCCCATCGTCCCTCATGAAAGACAAATCGTCGATGGGGTGATAGCGATTTGGAAACAAGATCCAAGTACTGAATCTTTAGGAATTGGGAAATTACATGCAATATTAAAGGATCAACACCCTTCATGGTCTGTATCTGAAAAAAGAGTCAAGAGTTTATTAAAGAAATTTGGGTTAACTCCAAATACTAATAATGAACAATTCACTTATGCTAATGATATTAAATCTGAATTAACTGAAGATATAGATTTACCTTCTAATATTCAAATCATTATGACCACTAAGAGAGGGAAAGGAATCTATGCCAAACATAAAATCGCCAAGGGAGAATTGATTTGGTCTGAAGATCCATTATTTTTTATTCCACCATTAGCAAATATTAATTTAGTTAGATCAGCTAAAGCATGTTCATGTTGCGGGAAAGCATTAAAATCAACTAGAAGTGGTCATGTTTTAAAAGCTTTGGATTGTAATGATTGTCCTGAAGTTTGGTGTTCTCCATATTGTAAGAAGATTGATGTTAATTTACATGGATTATTAAAACATAATCATAAATCAAAATTAGTTGATTCAGAAGCATTTTTTAAATTACAAGAATATTGTTTAGAAGAAAATTGGAATGCCTTATATGCGATAACTATCATTTATGCTAATATCATTCATGATAAATCAGGTATTAAACAAAAACAATTTAAAGCTATGGCTAGAGTTTCACAAGAAGTAAGATATAAAGCTCTTGATTCATCAGCTGGTGCATTTGATTCATTACTGGGAGGTGCATTATTTGTTTTAGAACAACAAGAACAATTATGGAAACAAGGATATCAAAAATTCATTAGTGTATTTCCTACTCATCAATCTGAAGTTAATTATCAAGAATTTTTATATATGATGGGAACTTATAATATTAATAATGTTGATTCATGTATATTTTTAACTCAATCTCATTTAAATCATAATTGTGATCCAAATACATCAGTGGAAATCTCCACTGTATCAAGAACTGATGGATTAAAAGTATTTGCAGCTAGAGATATTAGAGCAGGTGAAGAATTAACTACTACCTATGTAAATCCAAGTCATACAGTTCAACAAAGACAACGAGAATTAAGAGTTAATTGGGGATTCATATGTAATTGTCAAAAGTGTAAAGATGATTTACAAACTCAACATCGAAGAAAATCATCTTCAGGTGCAGCAGCTCAATTACCCACTCATCAATCTGATGTTCGTAAAATGTTAGCTGATGTTAAAGAACAAGTTGGTGAAGATGGAATTGAATTATCTCATCCACCCACCGATTTCAATGGAGAAAGAAGAAAATCAGTTCGATTTGATGAAAAGATTATATCTGTCCAAGTGCAAGATTAAACCAGATCAATAAATCTCCCCTAAACTGATTAAAAAAGACAGTTTAAAGTATAAATAGTGTTTAGAAATGTAATGTATAAAAAAAGTGTAACGTTAATTAAAAAAAAACTATAAACTAAAACATCCTTACCTCAAATGGTACCATTTAATTTATTTATGCGAACACCGGGGAAAAATAATGGAAAAAAAAAAATAATTATAATTTTTGGTGTATGTTCAAAATTGAATCAAGTGGTTGGTAAAAACAAGGAATTCATTTCATAATTAGTTGATATACAAGTTCAAAAACAGCAGATAGTGTGTATAGTAAAGTTAGTCAGAACAGAAGAATCCATTCATTCATTCATAAATTGGTCTGGGAAAAAGTAATACTGTACATTTTGAAAAAAAAAAGACGAATTTGACAGCTTCGAGAGTTTGTTGAAAATCATATAATATAAGAATAAAGTCAGGGTCTATCCATGGAAAGATACGAGAATAACTACTTGGACGAGGAAGACTTATCTTCCCATCTTCAGCAACAACCACAGCAACCACAACCTCCTATAGTTGAAGAAGCGGAATTATTAGCTGCTCAAGCTGCTGCAGAAGCAGCTGCTGCACAACAACAAAGACAACCAGGTGGAGCGTTTAATAATGTGGGACAAGGATTAACAGGGAAACATAGAGATATGATGATGCAATATTGGCAAGAAACCATTAATTCGATTGAACATGATGATCATGATTTTAAAAATCATCAATTACCCTTGGCTAGAATTAAAAAAGTTATGAAAACTGATGAAGATGTAAGGATGATTAGTGCTGAAGCACCAATATTATTTGCTAAGGGGTGTGATGTATTCATTACTGAATTAACCATGAGAGCTTGGATTCATGCTGAAGAAAATAAACGAAGAACTTTACAAAAATCAGATATTGCAGCTGCTTTAACTAAAAGTGATATGTTTGATTTTTTAATTGATGTGGTTCCAAGAGAAGAAGAAAAGCCAAAAAAGGCAGCTTATACTCTGTCTAGAACCAATAGTTATGTCAATAATAATAGTAATAATCATCATAATGGATCGATTAATGAAGATTCAAATGATATAATTAATGGAAATGGAGTTATTCCTGAAGATTCAAAAGGTGAAGAAAATAATGAATCTCATCCAGTTTTAAAACAAGAAAATGATGATGCCTTACATCAACGATTATTCCAAGAACAGTTATTACAACAACAACTCTTACAACAACAACAACAACAACAACAAGCCCAATCTCAATCACAAGTGCAACCGCAACCGCAACCACAATCTCAACCCCCATCTCAACCTCCTTCTATAGAACAATCAAATTCATCTCATATTCAATCATCTACAAATGGAAACATACAGAATGGCAATAGAGATGAGAATTTTCAAAACTTTCAAGAATTTAACTCAACAGCTTATACAGCAGAGTATTAATAGATCTAAAAAAACCCCGATTATTTAACTTTTCCCACTTCCTTCTTCTTTTGTATTATTCTTAACTAATATTTTGTTGTTTTGTATAGGTTTGTCTTTCCCATGTTATGATTATTTAAAAAATAAAATTGTCGTCTTCTAAAAATTGTATTTAATGTTAAAAAATGAATTAATTTAATTTACTTTCTTAGATTATATATATATATATATATTAGTGTATTATGTTTCATGCCATGGACTTTCTTCAAGTATAGAAGTTATAGTATCATTTTGAAATCCTTGATATAAATCTGAATCTCGAGCAATGGCTCTTATAACAGCCATAGGAATAGAAACCAAATCAGAATGTTGATCATGAGCTTTCTGTTGAATTCGAGATTCATCAATTGTTTCATCTGCCACTTCCTCTTCTTCATCATTCATCACTACTGAACTGAAAATTGATGAACAATTGTTAGTAGCGGTTGAATCAGAAATATGTCTTAAAGATGCATCATTAATTGATCCAGTATATAAATTTAATAATGAACTTAAATTTTGAACTGTAGATTCATCTTGAATTACCATATTCTTATCATCAAGATTAATTAAATCTTCTTGATATTCTTCAACCTTTGGAAGTTGACCCTTTGATTCAAATTTAATTTCTTCATTATATGTAGATTTAGTTAAAAGATTTTGAAACTTTGCTATAATGGAATCTCGAAGTATGATTCTTGGGGAAAGGAATTGTTGATCTTTAGTAGATATCAACTTCTTAACTAAATCTTGAGGTAATTCATTATATTCAATTCTTTCAGGATATAATAGTTGTAAGGGAGCTAATTTAATATGAGGATATTTCATCTTTTCAAATTTAATTTGGTTTTCTAATATTTTCAATTGTTTTATCATATTTGATATTTCAAAACTAGTTAAATCATAATATTCATCACGAAGTTTACGTCTAAGATATTGAAAATCATTTTCTAATTCTAATATATGATTAGGCCATCCTGATCCTTTCCAATCCATCATTATTTGTTTCCGATTCTTTTGATCTTTTCTTAATTTTAAAAATTTAATTGGTGATTCAAATTCTCCACAAATCCCTTTTAATCGATAATATTCATATGAGTAATCCCAAAATTGATATAATTTATTAACAAAGTTATTATTATTAGTTGGATCATGTTGTTCTTTCAATGATGTTAATTTTGAAGTGGTAGGAGGAATACTGGTTGGAATTGAATCCATAGGAGAATTAGGTGATGATGAAAATAAATCAGGTGAACCAGTTGATATGGTAGAATATGATAAATTAGTATCTTCTTCTTTTAATTTTGAATCATATGGGTAATCAATTAAATTCTTAATTGGTTTATTAATTTCAATTTTAAATATTGGAGGTTCAAATTCATAAATTTTATTAAAATCACATTGAATGAAATAATCAAACCATTCAACCATTTCAATAGGGAATTGAGGAGGAGGATTATTGGTTGATGATTTATGATTAGTTAAATAATATACCCTTTCATCATTTAAATGTTGAATTAAATCTTGTATATATCTCATAATTTTCCAATAATCTTTCTTATTATAAGCTTTTAAATGAGGACAATGATGAACCACTAATATGGAAGTGATTAATTGACATCTTATATACATTATTTCATCAGGATAATCACATTCAATCTCATTCAAATATAACGATTCTCTCTTTTTGATCTGTTTGATTTCAGCATTCCTCCAAAATTTTTGATATAAAGTTAAAGGAGGTGAATCATTAAAATCTTGCCAACGATATTCTTCCATATACAAATTGAAAATAGTACCTAATCTCCATTCACATTTGGCCATACAACTTTCAATAGTGAGATTTCCAGGGTGTAATTTAGTATGAGGAGTGAATTTTAAGTAAATTGAAAGTAAATCATGATCTTTAAAATATCGTTTTGAAATATAATTACCAAACAAATGGGGGAAGTAATATAAATGTTTTTGAAGCGGTAACCATTCATAGATGTCGATCAGAATATCAGTATATATGACTGACATATCGTCATTGCAGTTATTATTCATAATTATATTGACTTCTTAAGAAGTATGTAAGGTTATAATAATTGGCGGCTAAATAAAATTCAATTTCGCAATTTTGAAAAGGTTATACATTTCACTTGTTACCTAATTAGGAAGGTTTATCAAGGTTCATATTTTAGAGTACCTCAACTATATATAACTTTCTGAAAGGACTATGAACCAACCATAACCATTAATAGATAATAACTACTGTAATCTAACCATTTAATAGCTATAAATAATTCACATACTTAAATATCAAATCACGTGCAACGTCACACGTCAACATCACCCCTGCATATAAACACAATAAATGAAACAGCATACAGCAATTCCAAAAATAGTCTAATTGTTATTATTATTAAATTTAAATAATAAAAAATTAAATGTGTCATTTATAAACTGTCATTATATCTTTTAAAATCAATTCACAATTCAAGTTTAATTCATTCATATAGGCAAAGATGGATTTCATGTTCTTTCTTATTGGGTGTAAGTATAGTTTATTTCGATTTGTGGGGAGAGAATGAGAGTCAGGACAAGACAAGGACAGACAAGCATAAATAAAGTGATTTCAAAAGTTGAATCGATAAATCACGAAATTTCATTATACGACTGAGATTGACATTACACAGGTCCAGGTCCAGGTCATTGTTATTATAACTTTGTTTTACCCCAGATATCATGATCATTAATTAAATATACTAACTTTTTAAATTTTCATATAGTTAAAGAATTTAATAAACCTTTACCCGATGTCGGTAACATAGCATGTTATTGTGGTCATTGTCATAATCAACTGGCTTATGCAATTCGTACCATCAACTGTGTAACTTTATTTTTCATTCCAGTTTTACCATTTTATTTTTCAAAACGATTAAAATGTTCAATTTGTGGTACAGTAGCTACGATTAATGATGATATCCTTAATCGATTAAAACTGGGTCAGCCTGTTGCTATAGCATGATAATTGTACTGTTCAAGATGATTAATGGGCTTTGGATATACGACATATGATTCACAAAGATTCAACTATAATTTCTTTTGATTTTGATGAAATGGGTTGTTGTTGTTTAATGATAGATGACTTCATAAAAATTTAAACTTTTTTTATGGCCGGCCCAATTCGTTTTTCTAGTTGATCATCATTACCGATTTTGCTATTTAATTACTCCTTCTTTATATAATTATATACTATAGCTTAACCAATTATAAAATAAAATAAATAATAATCCATAAAAACTGGTGATATGTCTCTATTTAATAGCCGTCTGGTACAGCTAGATGGGGGGTTTGGTTTATATACAGGAGCCGAGTCCGAGTCAGCCGTTCCCATATAATATGAATGATTGATTGATGATCTACTTTTGATCAGATAAAACTGAATATAATTTATTTATTATATCGGGAATCAGTTACATTTATGAGGTGTTTTAGGAGCCGTTTATACCGTGATAATTTAAATTTGTTAGAGGTATTTTTTTACTTCATACTTTGACTAGTATAGACGGCCTACTGTTATATTAACTTCTCTAATACAAGATTAACCACAATTAAAGCTGGTAAAAAGGCTAGTGATTTAGTTTAATTATATGATATGGAGAAATAACTTTATGAAACATGAATGATTTAGTTCTCATTCAATGATTGCTCAATTGTAATGATAGATGATCCTTCTCGCTCTCCCTTATCTAAAATCATCATATGTAGTAAAGTAACCAAAACTAACATTGCTTCGGCCAATGATCCTCCAAATCTACATAAGTAAAACTCCAATTTAAGGATAATTGATGTTAAATTAGGATTACAGGCTTCCAAGATTATTAAGCGTTCTCCACCCCTAGTCAAATTATTTGCAATAACCACCATTGAACATAATAGAAACGAAAAGAAACGAAAAGAAACTGAAAAAACAACGCGGTTGCAAAGTTCAACCCATTGTATAATTCAAATTTGTAATTTATCAATCACGGAAACTCGGGAATGGGGTAATTTAATTATTCATAATAGTTATCATACTTTTAATTATAAAATAAAAAATGATCATACAATGTCGCGCGATGTCGTGCTCTCCCTTACTAAACATAAAAAATGCAAATATGTCGGATCATGTCACAATATTTTTGCACCTCCTCCAAACCTAACCCCCCCGAGTGATTTTTTATTAATAATCATTCATTTTTTTTATATTACTGTTAAAGTATTTTAGTTATAGGGTTGACATATTTTTATGCGGATCAGAGAGTAAGTGTGAGCAAGTAAAAATAAAAAAAGTCAAAAGATTTTTAGTTTTGCTGCATATGGGTATCCCAATTTTATTTTTACTAATCAATTTGATAAACGAATGACTTGTTTTATATCAATAAGGATCATTCGGACGATTGTAAGTCTGTAAATGTTTGTCAAATATGGTTATTTCACTCTGTTTAAATATAATTTCGAATATAAATAGGGGTAACCTACCTCTGGTTTACCCCTATTTTACTTCTAGCAATAATTTTGTTATATACTGCAAAAATATTTTATTCCAAATTAGGTAATAACTATTAAATCAATAATGGCTTACATTTCAGATCTTATCAAGAAAAATAACGTTTTAAATCTTAACCCTCCAAATGATGTTTCAATTCACATCACTCAACATGGTTCTGATTGGTTATGGACTTGTTTTGCAATTTATTCTTTAAGTATTCTTGTTCATGTTGGATTTTTCTTTTTAACAAAGAGAAAGACTCAAGTTTTTAAAAGAACTTTATTAGGTTTCCCAATTTATATTCATGCTGTTTTAGCTTTTGCTTATTTCACTATGGCCTCTAACTTAGGTTATGCCCCAATGACAACTGAATTCAATCATGCTGATATTAATAATGATATGGTTGTTGGTGATGATATTAGACAATTATTCTATGCTAGATATATTGCCTGGTTTGTCGCTTGGCCAATGGTTTTAACTACTATTGAATTATCTAATCATATTGTTGATTTCAATACCGCTGATACTGATTTATTTACCAAGATTTTCTCATTTGCTGGTAATTTGTTCCTTAAAATCATTGGTACTGAATTATTTGTTATTGGTTATTTAGTGGGTATGTTTATTCATTCTACTTATAAATGGGGTTACTTTGTTTTCGGTACTGTTGGATTATTATTCAGTGCTTATTTAGTTGGTTATAATACTTTTATTAATACTATTGGTGATTTAAGAGCTGGTAGATTACAAGCTGGTGTCATTGGATTTTATTTAATCACTTGGATTTTATATCCAATTGCTTGGGGTTTAAGTGAAGGTGGTAACTATATTCAACCAGATTCAGAAGCTGTCTTTTACGGTATTTTAGATTTAGTTGTCTTTTTAGTTGTTCCAACTGCTTTATCTTGGGGTTTAATTAGAGATGTTAATGAAGAATTCTTTAAAAATGTCGTTGGTTACGATATGAGAACTGATCAAGAAAAGATTATTGAAACTCCAAGACATTCAGGTGATACTGCCGTTCCTCCAATGGGTGTTCCAACCACTGAAGAAGCTTAATCTTGTTAAGTTTTATTTCGGTTGACTAAAGACTTTTTTTAGTCTCTTTTTTTAATTTATTTGCTATTTGCTATTTATTATTTCAAGTTTAACTTTTATACTGATGTTTTATATCTCCCCCTTTTTAATTAATTTAATTTTTTCCATTTCCTCTAATATCTCTATCAGTCCCTAAATGTTTTCCTTTTAATTTACGATCATTCTTTAATATATTTATCGTTAATAATCTAAATTGGATGCAAAAATTGATTCATTGTAGTACTAAAAAATTCAAGCCCATCCTGCACACAAACAATCAACAACAAACGAGATTTTTTTTTTCCACCACCTTCTTTCGAAATAGGAGAGAATCAGAATGAGGAAACTATAATACACGTCTTAAAAGGTGTTATTTATAGACATATCCATATTGGTGTTAGCATATCAAACAGGTTTAGTTCATTATTGAGTATCATCTGTTTATCAATTGATAAATTTATTTGAACTCTGAGGTGATTGAAAGTAACCAGGAATCGATTCATCCCTTATCGCCATCAGATCATTTTTCATCCCCTATTGCATTTATCTAATATTTAATTTTAATTTATCAACCATGGCTCCCCCAACAACTCCAGCAATTACAAGTCCAGTAGTACAATTGAAGAAGTTGGCAGGGACTCAACAATTCTATTGGTTTCTCGGCCATGTGCTTGGGATTCTTTTCTTTGTTCTTAATTTCATTACTTCATTCTTTTCAACTCGATTAGCATTAAGATATTATCGATTTACTTTATTATCAATTTTTGTTACTTATATCATAGTCATTAAACAAATCTTTTTCAGAAATAATAAACTTGAAATCAAATCAGTTACTAAATTTCTTAATGATGATAATGTTCAATATTTTGGTTTAGCTATTATATTATATTTATCAAGTTTTAAAATTGGTATTACATCAGGAGCACTTTATTCATTTGTAATCTTTTCAGTATTTCATGTGTTAACTTATTTTCAAAACAATTTATTGAAAGTTAGCGTATCAAATGTTAGAACTCAACAATATTTAAATTCAATTATTAATCAATTCACTTCAGATTATAATGAAAGAGCATTATTTTTGGCTGCAAGTTCAGAAGTTGTTTTATCATTAATGTCATTATTTCAATTGATTCCAACTATATTGATTAATTTATTATTTAAATGGGAAATAATCTTTGTATTTGTGAAATTAATAACGATATTGGCTATCGTTGTATTTACAAAATTAAGATTTGATTCAAATAAATATACTAAAGCTGTCATTCAAGAATATGATCAAAGAGCAAATCAATACTTGATTAGAATCCCTCAATTGAATCAATTATATAATGGATGGTTAAAAGGAGAATTCATTCCAAAGTATGTTCAACCAATTAAGGTTCCAGTTTATAAAGAAGTGAGTAAAAAGACTCAATAAATGAATGAATAAGTGAATGAATTTATTCATTCATTCATTCAATCAATCAATCGTGGTTTTGACTTATTACTCAATCAATCTGGATGTGTCGTGGTCACTTTCTTCATTCTAAGTTTAGATGAACTGGCATCTAGTATGCCTTTCAAATGTCATCAGTTTCTTAGTTATGTTTATTTTATTGTGTATTTTATACAGTAACTGTTTTACTTTTTAATTGTTATTTCCAATTCTCTGTTGTTTAGTTTTTGTTTTTATTATTTATAGTTTAATAAGTATTTATATAATAATAATATATTTAATTCATTTAAACTTGGTTGATTGGAAGTGTAAGTATGTTAATGCAAAAAGTGAACAACTATGAGCCGCACGGCGACATTAATTATGTCGACAAGCATTTTAACGACATATTTGATCTCCAGCTGACCATTTTGTTTGACGTCAAAAGATAATATATTAAGCTTCATAAATACATACTACTTCATTACCAAGGTCAATTCTATCGATATGGCATCTCAAAGTGGTAAGAAACAAGCCACTTCCAACGTGAAGACATTACAAGAATTACATTTGATATCATTAGCTATCAATGTTCTTAGTATTATTGCATTATTCATCTTTAAACGACCATCCAATTGGTTTCCATGGATTATAATATCATTACCATCATGGGGATTACAATATTTCATTGAAAAGGGAGGGAGACCAAGATTCAATGATGAAGGGAAATTACTTCGTGTGGGTGATGATTTGAAATTATCAGGATCATTATATGAATATTTCTTTGATGTGATTTATGTTACTTGGATTTTAGATATTTTAATGATTGTGTTTGGTACCAATTTTATATGGTGGATTTATTTAATTATCCCTGGATTTGCCGGATATAAGATTTGGGGATTCATTGCTCCATTTTTATTTAAATCAAAAGGTGGTGCTGCTGCTGTTCCTAAAGGTTTACTGGAATCAACTGATAATGAGTCAAATGATGCAAATAATGGTAAGAGTAAACGTAGACAAAAGTTAGAGGCAAGAAGAGATAAAGGTCCATCTGTTAAGTATAGATAAGATAGTTTATAATTAGTTCATTCATTTATCCTACTTAACCTTGTATATAGACGACTACATTAATACAAAACAAAAAATAAGTTATAATCAAAAGATCTTATTCAAACTATTGGGCGAGTTGGAAGAAATAAACGAGACGGTAAATTCCACATACTATTAAGTTAGAAAGTATTGTAAGACTAAAATTTCAAAACCTAGATCAGTTAGTAAAATGATTCTAAATAACAGTTAGATAGGTCTTTTCAGTAAAAGACTAAGGCTAGATGAGTTAGTAGTTTATCTATCCTAAATAAGAGTTAAAAATTTGAAAGACATTTCAACCTAAAATACTTTGGAAAATAAACGAGTTCCTAGGAATCCAATTCAAAAAATCATAGATGATGAATACAGTCTATATATATAAAAGTAAAACCACATTTATAATGGACTTAAATGAGTATATCCCAGATCCTTCTGATGAAGACAATTCTGATACAGACATGTTTGGCTATAGAGACGAATTTATTGAGTCAGACTCGAACGGTGGCAAGGAGAACATTTATAACAGTTGCTGAAAACTGTAAAAGCAACCATAAACTGTAGAATTGTTAAAACCTGTAAAACTGATTTCTAAACTGTAAAAATGGTTAAATCAAAAAATTTTCAGCAAAAAGATTGTGAGACACACATATCAAAATGTGAATTCATAATGAAAAGATAAGTGTTGAAATCAATTATTCGATATCGATCATTCATTGTATATATACCAGATTGCATCTTCCCTCTATTGAATAGAGTGTATCAACTAATATCATCCCATTCACTTGTCAACCCATCACATCACATAGCATATCATGCCTGTGATTAAGAATATTGATAGTTTTATAGAATTAGCTACTGATTTATTAGTAGCTTATCCTAATACTACTTTATTATCGATAACGTATACCAATGTATCCAAGAAGAATAAGAAGAAATCGGAATCTTCCAGTGGAGTAACTAAGAAATCGAATGCTAGTAATTGTGTTAATATCAAATTATATGAACCAAATGCGGGAAAGACTCATAAATATAAAACTTATAAGATTAAAGAATTATCCCGATTATTGACTTTTATTGGTCCAAGAGGAGTTAATATCGGAGGTGATCATATGGTTGGGTTAAGTAGTATAATGAGTAATGTCAAATATGATGAATCGAAGGAAATAGAAGATGCTGAGAATGAAATCATTAGAGAAAGTACTCCTGCTGTTGGTGGTGGTGAAGATGTTGGGGATCGTTTAAGTCCTGTTCCGGTTAGTAAATCTACTAAATCTAAATCTAAGAATAAGAAAAAGAAGAAGAAGAATTGAAGAGAGGAGAATAGTTTATGATTCATGAAGTTATGGTTATGTGTATTTTTTGTTCGTATAAATCTATATAAAATGAAGTTATTAATGATGATGATGATGTTTATATAAACATACTTATAAGAAGAAAAATTATACATAATAGATATATATGGATATATAATCAAATTAACAACAGCAATAATAATAATAAGTAAGTTAATAATAAATAAATAAATAATAATATAATATAATAATAATTAAAGAATAAGGTGGAGGAGGAAAAGACAAAACTTGTAATATTAGCATTAATAGAGATAGAAACAACCAACCCTAGGTTTGGCATAAACAAGAATTTTGTATCAGAAATTAAATAAAAGATTTATAATAATAATAGTAGAAAAATAAAAAATAAAAAACCAATAATAATAATAATAATAATAATAATATTAAAAAAAAGATAACAATAATAACCACATTAGCAGCAATACTGTGAATAATGAGTGGAATAAGATGAATTAGAAATGAAACGAAAGATTATATTCAATCAAATATTGGATATATTATATGACCCCAAACAAAAAATAGTATACTCCTCATACTAATATCTAAATAAGCTTTTGAATCTTGAAATAAGATTTTCACCTCTTCTACCCTTTTCAGAATTAGATGAAGTAGCTTTAGTTGGAGTTGGAGGATTACTATTGGATAATTCAGGAGTAGTTGGATAACCACCAGGAGCTTTTAAGATTTCAACCACATCATCATGTTCATGTTCTTCATCATTGGTTGATGTAGCTGCTGTTCCAGATGATGGAAGTGGAACATTCGAAGTATTACTTAAAGTTGATTCTGAATTTATAGCTAATAAATTTGGTTTATTTACTGATGGAGCAGCAGTGTTCTTTTCTGATAATACTGTTGAATTAAGTACAGAATTAGTTGGAGTACTAAAATCGTCAGTAACAGGGTCAATATCTTTATTGACATTTTCATAATCGTGAGTAGAATCATAATTACTCGGAATTGAAACAGCAGCAAATGATGATGAAGAAGTTAAAACTTGAGTTAAATTATTAGTTTGAGCTTGAGATTTTAAAGTTGGAGATGATTTAGTTTCAATATCAGACATGATATTATCATCATCGACATTACTACCAACCACAACTGGAGATTCAATTGGTAAATCCTTTTCAGTAATATGAGTTGGTTCTTCTTCTTCTTCTTCTTCAGGTTCAATTTCTTTAGTAGCAGCAGAAGTAGTTAAAATTGGAGCAACAATAGCAGGGACTGATTCTGGTTCAGCAGCAGCTTGTTCAAATTCATGGAATTCAATTAATTCATTAGCTTCAATAACATTATTTTCAACCCCACTTGAATCATGTTCAATTTTAAAATTATGATTAGTGATCCAATTTGAATCATTGACAATGAATTTAAATACTAATTTTTCTTTAGTAGATAATTTAATCTTTTGAATATAATTATAGTCATTTGATTTGATTTCATCAATCGTTTGAGTTGGTAATGATCTTGACCAATTATCGAAATTACCTGTAATTTGGATAGATTTAATCTCATCAGGATTAATCGATGGCCTAGAATAGGTTAGTTAGTATATATTGTTCTATAAGATAGAATCATCGATAATTATTTGATGTGGTGATCTGGTTTGATTTGATTTGATTTGATTTGATTTCATTGTTCTGAATTTATTTGATAATTCTTCGTTGCATGACTTCTGTTGCAGGAAAAAAAAATGGCAGCCAATTCAAATCCTCACTAGGAATTACCGGTAAAGCAACCCAACCCATCAATACATCCAACCAAGATGGTAACGACGGGACTCAATTCAACTGATAGGTTGATGGATATATTGAATCATTTGATAGATGAATGATCAACTCCTAATCAAATTGATGAAATGATAAACGAATAATGAAAAAAAAAAAAAACCAGGCCAGATCAAGGGGTTGGCTCACACAAAAAATGTAAATAGATGATTAAGGGGGCTAAAAACACGTACCATTTGACAGTATAAGTATAATAAGTCATCTCTAAATCACCTTAGTACCAGTTGATGGTATATATGACTTGATTAATGGATTGATTGATAGAGCCAGATAGAAATAAGTAAAAGAAAAGAAATAAGAAGTAGAAATATATAAATTTAGAAAAATTGAAAAGGGAAATTTAAATTTTAAAGTTTTCAAAAATTATTTACATTTTTTTTACTGAAGAGATTTTTATTTATTTAGTGAGATTTTTCACCACTACCCACCACCACTCCGACCCACTAAAAATTATTTTTACAAAATTATTTCCAATTATAAAGATCGATATCGGAACTTGGATGTGGGTATGTGGATGTTTGTTTACAGTTGATATCGATGTTGGTATTGGAGTTACTTAATTTATGGTTATGTGTGTGTGTGGGTATTTAGGTTGTGTGTTAAAGTTTGTGATGAATCTATCATCCCTTAAAATAAAATTATTATTATTTTATTGTTTAAACTGTTAAGCGACATTTTACCCAACCAAATTTAGATCTGCCTTTATAAACAAAGTTACTAGTAATCATACATGAGTATGTCTGACTATTTCAACTATATGATTCGATGATGGTGTGGTGAAGTGTGTAAGTTGGTGATCATTACATTAAGCAGTTGCACCACTTAAGCGCATTACTTTCACTATAATGATCCTTAGGGAGAAGAAATTAGACAGGAAGAAAAGTAGGGACACAGTTTTTATTTTTAGTGATAAGAGGAGTCATTAGGGAGAAGACCACAGATATCTTTAGGGAGAAGAAGACTCAGTAAAAAAGGAATGAGACTCACTATTTATCATAGAGTCGTGTACTTGGCGTCAAAAGATAAGAAATAAAAATAATTTTGTTGTAAGGAGGGGAGAAAGGGGGGTGATGGTGGGGTGAGATTTGTTTCTCTTTTGAGCTCTGACTTCATTGCTTCTTTTGCTTGTAATTATAAACTAAGGTTACAACCATGTATAAATATACTACCATACAACATAATTGGTTAAACTAGACTTCCTTAACTATTTAACAATAATGGGGATTCATTAGTAAAAATAAAAGAATAATTTAATCGTGTATGGAATCTTACAATATTTCCTAAAGCAGTTTAATCCGAAGAAATATTATCTATGAGGTTGGATTATTATTTTATCAATATTCGCTAGGACGGCTTATACAATCCTTTATGAGCTTATATCGTCCGAAATTGAATCTGTACTGATAAAATGTGTTCATTGTAACTTCGAGGAATAAAAATGGGTTACATAATATGCCATTTGTCAATACTCCACATAATTCTTTGATCTTCTTTCTTTAACAATTAGATAGATCATTTTACTCTATTCCTAACCTTTAGTTCTTCATTGTTAAGCCATATAGTGATAATTCCCTCCCTTCAAAATTGGTAGCCGCCACTAAATCAAGACCTTATCCTTAACATACTGTATATTATACATCTATTTACAAAATTTATACATATATATATCTTAGTTGTAATACTTCACTCTAATATATATCGATGCAATGGCAATCAACCTATAAATGATTAAACAAGCAATCAACCCTCCAAAACTAGCACCAATGTTATTATTTAATCCATAATATTCTAATACTTGTTCACCTGTATTCAATATACAATCTCCTCCATCATCGGGTGAACATGTAAAGATTTGACCTCTTAACCCTAATTCAGCACATATACCAACGGCATATTTCATTGGACTTATAAAATTAATCCCTCTAAAGAATGGTGGCATATGTAATGACATAGTACCACCCATAAAAATTGCCAATATAACTAAATTTGATAAAAGATTAGTGGCCACTCCTAAATGTTTAAAACAACTATTAACCATTATACCTAATGATTCACCACAATTTATAGATACAAACCCAGTAGCAAACATACTGAAAAACATCCCTGGATTTCGAGGTAATCCACATACAAATACAATCATACTACTAAAGAATAAACATGGAATGATTTCAGTTGGTAATTCATTAATTAAATATGATCCACTGAATTCTAATACTCCATAAATTCCATCTTTGTATTCTTGATAAAATAAGTTTCTTTCCGTAGGATATAATGTGATATTATTAACCAAACCAACAAAATATAAATTCAAAACTTCTTGAATTAAACCTAATCTATTACTTATCCCTTCTTCCAGATTTCTCAATGGAGCAAAAAATAAGGTATGAACAATAGTTAAGAATATAGTTTGACCTGCCCGACTAATAACCACATCCCTTGATCTATATGAGGTTAAAATTTGTCGTTCGGCAATGGTGCTGAATGTGACATATAATGGCAATCTCTTATGATAATAATTTTCAATATTAACTAGTTTATGAGATTTAACCATCACTTCTTCATCGCCATTTGATTTATGACTTTTCCATTCTTGAATTAATGTAGTGATTCTATTTTGTAATTGTTGTTTATCTTCATCCATCTTCTTGGAAATTAAATCAAGAATATAATCAGCTAAATTAACATTAGATGGAATGGTATAATTTAATGATGTGAAATAAGGTTTGATATTATCAATACTACCATTATAAATAATCTTCCCACCTCTAGCTAATAATAATAATGATCCAAATCTTTGAAACATTTCTTGATTAGGTTGATGAATAGTTAAAATAACCGTGGTTTTATTTTCCAATGCTAAAGTATCTAATAATTGTAAGATTTTACAAGCAGTGGCAGAATCTAATCCTGATGTAGGTTCATCTAAGAATAAAATCTTTGGTTTCAGTAATAATTGAATAGCAATCGATACTCTTCTCTTTTCACCTCCACTAATCCCCTTAACATATTCTGATCCAATCAATTTATCTGCACAATCAATTAATTCTGTTTTTCGAATTAAATCAGTAATGATTTGTGGAATATATTTATGTTCTCGAGTAGGTAATCTTATCTTAGCTTGATAATATAAAGTTTCTCGAACGGTTAAGTTATGAATTAATGAATTATCATGTTGGGTAACATAAGCTGAACCATGAGATAATTGTTTAGCAGTAATAGTTTGGAAATTATTTATATTGATGATTCCAGTTGATTTATAAATACTTCCTCTTGTCTTTGGCAATCTATCAGAAAGATAATTTAATAGTGTGGTTTTACCACTACCCGATGGACCCATAATAACATTAACTTCATTAGCTGTGAATGTTGCATTGATGTTTTCTAATAAAGTCTTTTCAAATGTAACATTTCCTAAAATATTTTTGTTTTGAACTAAAAGATTTAAATTCTCTATACTGATATCTATATCATCATTTAAGTTCTTTTGAGTCAAATTATTATTATTATTGACGTTATTCTTTTCATCAATGAGGGATAAATCACTACTTTCATTCTCATCATCTTCATCTTTATCATTTTGATCATCATTAATCTTTTTATCAATTCTATTCTTTTTTGTTTTGGCAATGGATACATCAAATTTCTTAAAATAAAAGGCAATAGCTGTCAAAATATGAAATCCAATCATCCATGATAATAAAATCACAATAGGCTCAGCAATCCAATTTATAGGATATCCCAAAGTTTTTAATTGATTATTACCTGAATATTGCATACATCTTGGATCACCATGTTCATAAGGACATGCACCCATCCAATTTGAAAATTGATTGGAAGTTAATGCTCCAAACCCATACCAGAAATAAGCAAGATATTTAGTCCATCTAACGTATACTGGCATAGTGGCAGCATTAACGAAATATCCACAAGCACTATTTTGTAATTGATAAAATACATTTAGAACAAGTGAACTGATAGAAAAATCTTTAGCAACGGCAAAACATAATAACGATGAACCCATGGCGTTTAATTCCACTAATATACATATACCGATATAAACCCCAAAATAAGAAGAATTAAACGATCCACTGTCAAATTTTGTTGAAGTACGTAATCCCCACATGAAATAAGATATTGATCCAAATATAATGGCCAGCGGTAAATCTTCTAAAAATAATTTACCGAGCCTTCTTGATAAAAGAAATCCAGAAATACTAACGTATTGTTCCAGATATTCTCTATAAAAGAAAACTCCATCAGTTGACCATAATCTTTCAAGTTCAAAATACATTGGACAAAACCCAATGACTTCTAACATCACATATAATGTAGATGTGATTGATCTTATACCAGCTAAATCTGGAGTAGGTTGAAAGAACATCCAACCTGTGGCAACGGCTAATAATGCAGCTCCAAGATTCATGGATAATAAAGATAATATATCTCGATATGATAATAAAAAGGTTCGTCTTGTTAAAATTTCAACTTCTCTAAAGAATGAAATCCGATCTTTGGATTGAGTTGAAAATAATTTTAAATTCTTATTGAAATCTGATTTTGGTTCTATGATTGGTAATCTTTCGCTTTTCCAACTTTCAACTAATTTGTTAATCCTAGCATTGGTTATTTTTTCCATTTCTTCAGAAGTAGTATCTCGAACTGAAAGTTCCATAATATATTCTATGAAGTTTCCCTGACTTGTGGATCCTTCTTGCGATTGATTATTTTGATCTTGTAAGATATGCAAGTTATTGAAATATGAAGTGGCATCAGCTAAATTACCGTAATATACCAATCTACCACCCTTGGTTAATAAACAAATTTTATCAAATAATTCTGTGATTTCACTTCTTGGTTGATGAATTGATAGTATGATAGTCATACCATACTCTGGAGATGCTAATTTCTTTATAATATGTACTAACTTTAATGAACTAGTAGTATCTAATCCTGTGGTTGGTTCATCTAAGAATAAAATAGATGGTTTTGATAATAATTGAATAGCTAATGAAACTCTTCTTTGTTCACCACCAGAAAGAGTAGTTTCAAGACTTGAAAACGCAGCAATGATGGTATCTCTAACACTGGCTAATTCTAAAACTTCCAATAAGGATTGAATCAACTGTACTTTTTCTGATGCATGAACTGATGGTGGTAATCTTAAATCAGCTTGATATTTTAAAGTTTCAAAGACGGTTAAACCTGGTAAAAATATATCAGTTTGTAAAAGATATGCATGCTTGATATGATGATTATTACTTTCTTCAGAAGTATCATACTCTATAAATCCATCAAATTTTAATTTCTTATTGGTAATATTGGTTCTTTGAGATAAAGTATTTAATAAGGTTGTCTTACCACTACCAGAACCTCCCACAATAGCAAGACATTTCCCTGGTTCTAAATCAAATGATATATCATTCAAGATCTTAGACTTGATATCATCTTGAAATTGAGCCAGTTCAATATCAATATTACCACTGTCTTCATTCAATTTCTGATCCACCTGGTCTTTGACTGTAACAGTTAGGTTCCTAACCAGCAATCCTATTCTCTTCTCAAAAGGTATTCTTAAAATAGTAGAATCTATCATGTTAGAAACAAACACACTATAGACTCATACCTTATTATAACCTGAAACTAGAATAATAGGGAAAACTAAATAAGAAAACTTTTATGGTTTGGTTTGAAAATCGTTGGCATCTTCGTCCTCATATGTATTTCTAAAATCCAACTTCAATTTCTTTTTTTCGTATCATTTTTTTTTGATTTTCGTTAATCCTGCGGAACAGAATAGAAACGCAATATATGGCCTAATTAGGAAAACGCAAACACTAATTTTAATATAGTTAAAATTTTAATGCTTTTTAAAATTCTTGTTGAAACTTTTTTAACGGGCACTAGCTTCCTTGTAATATTTAGGTTTTAATAAGACCGTTTTGTCCTATATCTTGTGAAAATTGAGAGCGGGTTTTACTTATATAAACGGTATGCTGTTCATAAGGGTCAGGAAAGCTTGGTGTAAAGCGCAATTAATAATTAAACAATATATAATACAAAGCCAAGTTCATACAAAAATACACGTTTGCTGTTGGAGGATCTTTTGTTTGTGCGGCCCTATTCGTTAAGCTTTTTCTTTTAAATAGAATTACTGTTTAGAACAAGTATTACTCCAATTAGTTCACTAACATATGCATTTTAAATATTCTTAATATGGTGTGGCAAACGATAAGAATCAAAAGCATATCGAAAGCTTAATTAATTAATGAATTAATTGACAAGGCATTACAATACTTGAAGATGACAAATCCACACCTTATCAATATTTTTTGCTAATTTTCTTACAGATATGTATGATGCGCTGTAAAGATTTGCGTTCACCATTTCAAGTAATATATTCCTTTATAAACTTTGTATTAATTTTGTCATAAACTATTTTACACTAAGCTAAATACATATGTACTGTGAGGGGACTAGACCAGTCTGTAATAGACGGTGGAGCCTCAGTTTAGAATGTTTGTATTAAGCACTTTTCAATGATAATTGAGCCAATTTTAACACGGATTCTTTTGATTGAGCGCCTCCAATGAATCCTGCGGCATGAATGAAAATACATCCTTCAATGCCACTCTTTTCACTTAATTCTTCATCCCTTAAACCTCTTAATTCTTCTGGTAAGCCTAATCTAAATTCAAACGAACTTGAAGTTATAGAGACAGTGGAAATTCTCCAAGCATTACTTGAATCTTTAAATAAAACAAATTTAGTATCTCCTTGAGCATTGTTGTCCTTTTCAATAGAATATAAATGTTCTTTCCAAGGACAGAATTGATCTAATACGAGAATTTCTCCTGATTTATCAACTTCAAATCTAGATTCAAAAGCTTCTTCAACGATACTTCTAGCTGGTAACCAAGAATTTCCATATCCTTTTAAAAGATTTAAAAAGGCAGTACCCATCAATTCACTACTTAATAAAAATTGTCTATCATAATCCTTGTCAGTAGGATTTTCATTCCATGAAGGATTTAAGTTAGAAACTAATGATGGTAAAGTTATATTTTTATCAGTGAATTTTTTACCTTGTTCAATTTCACGAGAATAATTACTGATACCGTTGTCATTAGCATCCAATGATTCAACGAATTCTTTATAAAGCTTTTGATATAATAATTCAATCTTAGCCTCATCTTCAATTTTTAACACTTGTTCTATAATTTGTTTCCCATAATGCTTATAAATTAAACCAGCAGATGACAATTTGGTCTTATAATCATTGGAAAAAGTAGTGTTGAATTCACGTTGATGATGATCAAAGAATTTAACCCCATCGTACTTACCACTAACATCAACAACAATATCACTGGCATCCCAATCACTTGGAGTTCTTGATCTAATTAATTCAGCATCCTTGAATTCAGGTAATAACTTCAATAAATAAACAGCAAGGGATTCATCAGCATGGAATGATCCTGAATGAGTACAAATCTTAACCATTGTAGTATTATCTAATTTAATTCTTTTGGCAGTTGACATCAAAATACTTCTAATGTATGACATTCAACACTCATATAATAGGTCCAGTGAAATTTTCTCTTCTAGTTTTTTTTTTCTCCATACCTCATCAGTCTTTTGTCTTCGCATTATATAGTGAAGAAAGATTTATATCGATAAAGATTATTCTTCTATTAATTTCAACTACTAACAGAACAATTTAGAATATATGAAATCTTACAGAAGGTCAATGAAGGTAGGTTTTCTATAAAACCGGTACAGTATTCGGTATAAATGATATAATTATTATTTGAGTTAGTACTCACGTGAACATTCACGTGTTTTATATGCAGTTCCGGATTTGAGTTTACGTTGAGAGAACTATACCTAGCAACTTAGTCATGTTAGAGTGTATTTGAATATCACAGTCTAGGCCCTCAATGTAACTTCTTTTTAAGTTTCTCTCATTCAATTGGTTATTTTCTTTCTCTATTAGTAAATTTTATAGCTTTTTATTTAACGAAAGAAAAAAAATAGGTCAAAATAAAGAAAGTAGTTGTCACATATTTCGGAAAATATTTATTATTGCCGCTGGCTAGTAATAACTAGTTCATCTACATCACATATGCTTTATAATTTAACATTCAAGATAACAACCCAGAATAACAGGATTGGGTTTGAGATATTCGATCAGCGAAAACTGATAACAATATAAGTATTATGAGAAATAAACTAGGTATATTTGCAACAAAATCAGACATTTTTTCATTAATCTTGGCGACATTTATGTACGATGTTCCTGTTGCTTTAGCCAAAAGCTTGACAAGAATAATAAATCAGATTTGATAATGACATCGATATTGACATAAATGTACGTATACATAAATTCATATCTAGGTAAAAAATCAAGGATTTACATAAAAACAGACATTAGTGGCTTAAGTCTCATCCTGGGGTAATCGGATTATTTTGATGATTAATATTTTCTATTCTGTAGTTCAGTCTGAAAAATAACCTTCGGAATATCCTAACCACAAAAAAAGATAATCCGCGACAGTCAAGAAAAATCATTTTCTGTTTAAACTATACATGGCTCTAAAACGGAACTTAACCAGGCTCAAACAACAAACTTAACGAAACAAAGCCCATATCGATAAGATAACTTTATGACATGTATAACACAGTGAATTTGGAAAAGAATTTTAAAATTCTTTAGCATAAGGAAAATCAGAGAATATTATTCGCAAAGAGGAGGGAATGAAGGTGATTTAAGTATGTCTTTTATATCAAATTGGGAAATGTAAATGAAGTATAGAGCCATTGCAATAAATACAACGTTGCTTAAATTTCTTTCCGTTTATAATTAGGCCGTACTATTAACTGTTATAAATCGGACAATAATTACGAAAACAACGAATCGAAGGATCCCCATCTATACTTTGCCTTACCCCAATCCAACAAAAATAGGGGTTTATCCCCTTCCTCGTCTTCACTTGATCAAAACTGACTAAAATTTAGATAGAAAATAAAGAAAAATAAACGGATCGGATTTTGACTCAACTAACCCACTTTTCTCCACTTTTTAAAAATACCGCAAGGGGCTTTTTAAGAGGGGTATACCCAAAAGTAGAAAATTCTTTACAGATATTCGCTTCTAGACTGTAACGTTACAGTATATTCTAGTGACATCAGTTGCTGTAAATGGAAAATAGCTCGCCAACGGAATAAATTAGTTAGAAGAGGTGCTGTGATTACCAACACAATCAGAAAACTTTGAGGAGAATCAACGTAAATCTGATAGATGACAACAATGGTCTGATTACAAAGCATAAAGGGATTTCAGACGAATCAGGAAATGTAAAGATATCAAAGCTATAGACCTGTTTGGTGATGGCTAGAAAATAATCAATTATAAAGATTAACTCATAAGACAAGGAGTAAATAATACTTGATTTAAATTGAAATAAAATATTAACCCCACCCAACAACCCACTTTTTTAATTAAACTCTTGCAGACATTTTCGTAAATGTATATGGAGACCAAATTAGTTAACAATTGAAGTGAAATTAGATAAAGACGACAAGTATTACAAAAATAAAAAAGTATGAGATCTTAGAGGCAGTCCCGGATTATATTCTTTATTATTTTTTAACAAAATGGAGAAATTAATTGAAACAGACGAATAAAATCTCACCATTGATAACTCAAACCTCCTTAAAGTTAAGTAACTATTTACTATTTTTTGATTTTGTTGCCCAATAAAATGTATACGGTGAGAATAGTCCAGGCGGATAAATAGTGGAATTATTAAATTCACCTGGTTATGTGTAATTAATAAAATTAGCAAAGTGGGGAAAAACTTTATGCATAAAGATAATTGGTATTATTAATAGTAATTAATAATTATTATCTAAAACGAACTGGAAAAACCTTTTAAGTAAAATTACACAAAAATAATTCTTCCGAAATGTGAGAACACTCCAAATTAAGATCTACCAGCACATGAAAATGTCTGACTTCGACACTAGCGAGATGGTTAAAATTTAGCATCGATTATTTGCTCTTAAGTCTATCTTCATTCCATCTGCTTCCTTTACTTAGAACTAGAAATCCAAAGATGAGATATATTAAGGTAAACCTATTGAAAATGATTACGTTAAAACCCCAAAGCCAGTCAATAAAATTTTTTTCCTCATGCATAATAAATATCCGCAAAAGTTTATTTAGAGGTGGGGGAGTTTATGCAGACATTTCTTTTATCTAAATGCGGAAAGGTTGTGTTTTTGTCAGATTTCTTTAAATAGTTTTCATTCCCGCTGGAATAAATGAGCGGTCAGCGACAAAATAAAAGTTTAAGTTATCAAGGAACATTTGACTAATATTTCGAAACATTCGTTAGAAAAGCATGACTTACAGAAATAGGCATACAATCGAGCAACAGTAAAGTAATGATATGTATAAGCAGTTAGAAATAGGTCATTCATATGCAGTTCATTGGTTTTACGAACCGTTTAACTATTACTATATTTGAACACGCTACTAATTCTTTAATTTACTTATTTGTTTGTTTATTTGTTTTAGTGAGTGAAATAATAAAAAAAGAAATGAAACTTCTGTATGTGGTAAAAAATCAATATTTTGTGTTAGTCTCAGCGGTACAACCAAAACATATGATTTTTATTTTTTTTTTCGTTTCCCAGCTACCACTTTTGATGGTGCGATACAACATAAAATGCTAATAGATATCGATTATTTTGAATAGATATCATCAGATTAAAAGTTTAGAGCATTAAAAATAATTGAAATGAATGGTATGATGATAGATTTGACCCTTACAAAACAATAATAATAGTTTGCCGTCTGATTCAATATTATAGTTGAGCGGGATAAAATTTTATCACAAGTGTTACTTCAGAGGTCCAGGGGAAAATTTTTTTCACTTCCCTAAAATTATTCCTTACTACCTAATAGTTCGGTGCAAAAGTTTCTTTTAATCGCCCTAAACCGACATGCAAGTAGATAGTCATCTCCTTCACTTAAACTAATACTTTGAATCATTACAGCTTATAGTATAATGTATAGTGTAGCATGAAGTACATATTAGCAGTACAGATTCAAGTCTAGATCATAATCTAAGAATAATGAGTATTGTAATTCCGTATATCGTGCAATAGTTGGGAAGTTGGTTCTTTCCACGGATCAGAATCATGGACACCTGTTAACATATTCAAAGAGTAAATGCACAAAGTTGTTACTAATATCCACCACCTAAAGTTTATCATCAACAGCTTAAAATATTTGACAAAAGGTAAATTTGGATTGGGGAAATTAATGTATGAGTCTGGAGTAAATATCTGGGGCAAATATAGTTTAATCATATCTTTGCCGCTCGTAACTGAGACAATTTCAGTTTTACACATATTAAGGGAAAACAAATGATCCTTTTCTGCAATAAAATCCGATTGCAAATGACAAAAAAAAAGAAATTCAAAAAATGTCTGCTCCAAAGTTTAGAAATCTGACACATTACACGGGAGAATTCTAAATTGCCCCACACGAAATTATTTTTTATTCAGTTTTTGTCGGATTCTTGAGCTGCATGCACAACGCCAAATATACTCTTTTTGCAATAAGGAAAAATTTTTTATTGCTAGGGTGGGTATTAATCCAGATTTCTCCATTGTTAATATGCATTTCCCCAAATTCATATATGATATTGAACACTCCCCAGGAAACTATAAATTGGGGTTGAATTTTCCCCAAATTCTAATTTCAAATCTGTTTTCTTTCTATTATCATTACGACTTTCCTAATTATATATCTTCAATAAGTTAAAGTTTTATAATGGCTTACGAAGATAAATTGGTTCAACCTGCCTTAAAGGTTAGATTAATTTTCGATTCCTTCCCAAATATCTATAATGTTTATATTATTGCTGCTATTTCTTGTATCGCCGGTATGATGTTCGGTTTTGATATTTCATCAATGTCTGCTTTCGTCAGTGAAGATTCATATCTTAAATTTTTCAATACACCTAGTGCTAATGTCCAAGGTTTCATTACTTCTTGTATGGCTTTAGGTTCTTTCTTTGGTTCTATTGCATCTACTTTCGTTTCTGAACCATTTGGTAGAAGATTATCCTTAGTAATTTGTGCTTTCTTGTGGATGGTTGGTGCTGCTATTCAATCTTCATCTCAAAACAGAGCCCAATTAATGGTTGGACGTATTATTTCTGGTCTCGGTGTTGGTTTTGGTTCATCTGTTGCTCCAGTTTACGGTGCTGAATTGGCTCCAAGAAAGATCAGAGGTATGATTGGTGGTATTTTCCAATTCTCTGTTACTATGGGTATCTTGATTATGTTCTACATTTGTTACGGATTACATTTCATTAACGGTGTTGGTGCATTTAGAATCGCTTGGGCTATCCAAATTGTTCCAGGTTTAGTTTTATTCGTTGGTTGTTTCTTCATTCCAGAATCTCCAAGATGGTTAGCCAAGAACGGTTACTGGGAAGAAGCTGAATTCATTGTTGCTAAAATCCAAGCTAAAGGTAATAGAGAAGATCCAGATGTCTTAATTGAAATCTCTGAAATTAAAGATCAAATTTTACTTGAAGAAAACATTAAGGCTTTTACTTATCTTGATTTATTCAGAAAGAAGTATCTTGTTAGAACTATCACTGCTATCTTTGCTCAAATCTGGCAACAATTAACCGGTATGAATGTTATGATGTACTATATTGTTTATATTTTCAGTATGGCCGGTTACAGTGGTAATGCTAACTTAGTTGCTTCATCTATTCAATATGTTTTAAACGCTGCTACTACTGTTCCAGCCTTATGGTTAATGGATAAAGTCGGTAGAAGAAAGGTTTTGATTACTGGTGCTATTATGATGATGATTTTCCAATCCGGTGTTGCTGGTATCTTAGGTAACTACTCAGTTCCAGTTCCAGGTGGTGTCAACGGTAATGATACTGTCAAAATTGAAATCCCAGCCTCTAACAAAAATGCCGCTAGAGGTGTTATTGCTTGTTGTTATTTATTCGTCTGTTCCTTTGCCATGTCATGGGGTGTTGGTATCTGGGTCTACTGTTCTGAAGTTTGGGGTGACTCTGCTTCTAGACAAAGAGGTGCTGCTGTTGCCGCTGCTGCTAATTGGATTATCAATTTCGCTATTGCTATGTATACTCCAAGTTCATTCAAGAACATTACCTGGAAGACTTATATTATCTACGCTGTCTGTTGTTTAGCTATGGCTATCCATGTCTACTTCGGTTTCCCAGAAACTAAAGGTAAGAGATTGGAAGAAATTGGTCAAATGTGGGATGAAAAGGTTCCAGCCTGGAAATCTACCTCATGGCAACCACATGTTCCATTATTATCTGATGCTGAATTAGCTCACAAGATGAACGTGGAACACAAAGAAGGTGGTGATTTAATGACTCCAGAAACTGGTTCATCCGCCGAAAAAGAACAAGTTTAAATAAATTAAACTTCAATACAAAAACTATTGATTTCAATTGATGCTTTTAATGATTTCTAGATATACTAAAGGATGTATTTCATAATTTTTTTTAAATAGTTAGTTTACTTCTCCTTCAATATCACTTTAATTTACGAATATTATAATATTTTATTATTACTTTTAAAATCTTTTAGAATAGTATACAAGTGCTTACGGCGAAATGGAAGCAATTCTTGTAACAAATAATTTGTACGGCAGAACTTCCTTAAATTGGTTCCTTATGCCCCATTTTGTACACAGATAATATAAATCACTATTAGAATAGATTTTTGTCTGATAGCGTCATTTTTTGTATAACCATACTCGCATTGCATGGACTTCGATTAGAGTTGACCGACTACATATCGATACAAATGAAGTTTGGGGTAATTAAGGGATGTATAATCAAACTGAGGGGAACCAGATAATTATTTGGCGTTTCAATAGATAACAACATTGGGGGTTAAGCCGTTGATTGTATTGTTCCAATTTTACTTTCTACCCCAACTTTAAAAAATTATAAAATAAATAAACAATAGCAATGAAATCTTTAAAAAAAAAGGTTATTACGTTACATCTTAATTTTATTATTTTACATGACCCATCACCCAGATTCAATATAATTTATCCTTTAGTAAAATTAATTTTAAAAGTTCTGTCAGACAAAAAAGTGACTGAAAATAGCATTTCTTTTTTTTCGTCATTATTTCTTTTTATGAGGGACACACGGAAAAACTCTGACGAGCAAATCAAAAATTTTTTTAACACCCCACACAAATTTTAAGGGAATAGAATGGCTTTAGAATTAAAAATTTTGCTACAATTTTTATAACATGGGTAATAATAAATTATACATTTTAAGATTGTAAAATATAGAAATTAAACGAATATAAAGTAACAAACTAATACACTTTTACGAAAGGTATTGTCTTGTATGAAAAGGAAAAAACTGAAGAGGGTAACATTACCATATCACAAAAGTGTAAATGTAGATAAAGTTAGCTTAGATAAGACCAGCTAATGGAGCTAAAGCTAATAAGAACATACCGGCTTTAACATTGTTACCGGCACCTTCGTAGACTGGAACTGAGGTAGCATTCTTTCTAAGGGTACTGTAGATATCAACAGTGGTGGTAACAGCTGGTTTTGGAGCAACGGTGGTTGGAGCTGGAGCTGGAGCTGGAGCTTGACTGGTTGGAGCTGGGGCTGGAGCTGGAGCTGGAGCTTTACTAGTTGGAGCAACTGGAGCTGGGGTCTTGGATGCTTCTTCAGTGATTTCACAGATGGTAGTGTAAACAGTTTCAACACCGTGAACAGTGGTGGTAGTAACAACCTTGGTAGCTGAAACAACTTTTTCAGTACATACACTAACTTCTTCACAAGAAGTAATGGTGAGTAAGGTGGTTGACCATTCAGTTTCAGTGAGGGTGGTGTTAGAAACAGCAGCGGCGGCTAAGGTGGTGAAAGCGGCAACAGATAAGATTGATGAGAATTGCATTTTTAAACGAGTGTATAGGTTAGGGTATGAACTTTGGAGATAATTAAAAAAGAATAAATTAATATTCATACTGAATTATATTTAAAGAAATATGACCCTATTTATATTTTCTTCTACTACGAGTGCTCCTCCTCCTCTCTTTGTTTTGTTTATAACATTACTGATACTTGTAAAGCTTAAAGACTAAATTGGCAACCTCGTCATAAAATCACCATACAAAATTTTAATAGACTGCGAAATAAATGTAAACAAATCAAGAAAAAAATAGCTTAAAAGAAAAACACCACGCCAATTTTTAAGAAGATTGAAATGGAACAAGAAAAAAAAGTGGTGCTGTTTCCTTATGATCTTTACTCTGGGAGTGATCCCATTGGTTAGAGGCTAGGGGATTTTATTCCACAAGCAGGGTCAATGGAACAGTATCGAACCAAGAATATACATGCTTTCTTGGTAGTTAACGTAACAACGTAGCTAGTTACCGTGAATCTGAATCTGATTATAATCTCATAGACAATAAACTATAATGAGGTAAATGATCAACCCTTGTGAAACATATTCTCAAAAATTAGAGAAAAAAATAACGGAGTTTAAGCAGTTAAATTGCTGTCCGGGTTTATGGACTCTTGAAACGAATCAACAAATAGTGATGATGATGCTACTACTATACCAATATGAAGTTTCCAATTACTCCTATACCCAATTAATAAATACTAAGAAAAAACCATAAAAAAGTGACAAGCTTTTTTTCATCAATTTTCCGAATTAGGAAGGAGACTTTCTCAATTTATAAAAATGGGACAAGCAAAACACTATTTAGGTGACTTTTCAACTCAACTGGGTACACTTTTAGTAACAAGCTACATAACCTTGTAAAAGTATATAAGGACACAAGAAGCCATGGTTCGCAGAGGTACCTAGACATGTGGAAAGAGAGGGGTGTTTAAGGTTATTTAAATGGTGACCCATGAACAGCGCCATTCCATTAATTGAATAAATCTCTATAGTGAGGATATTTCTGTAATTGTAATAAAGCCATATCAACAACACATTGGCTACTTGTCGTGCCATTTATATACAGGTCCCCAGGAGCGATTTAATTTGATTTTGACATTCATATAATTGGATTCTCGTAACAAATTGATTCTTTCACAAACGAAGAGACTGTCACAAACATCAATTGGGTAACTGTTTTCTTGGAGTCAAAGGCATTATATCTTCTATCTTAACAATTGTAAGGGACAATGACCTCGTAGATGATAACCGCGTTTTGAGTACTTGATATAAAGTGATCATATCATGATGAACTAGGGTTTACCATAACAATAGGTTTGTTGATATCCACAAAGACACGAACGAAGAATAAACAAACCAATTTTTTTCTTCATTTTTTCTTCTCCAGTTTGCACGACTTTGGTTTCAATTATGAACGTGACTTTGATCACGATATATTTTGGTCCCATGTTGTAATGCACATGATTTGTTCCACCTGACCAACTTCAACAAAAAATACAGTAAGTTTTAGCCAATTGAAGCTTTGAGAAGAATAGCCAGCAAATTTAGATGTTAATATCGATTATAGCATCTATATCTCAGTGAAAAGCAGATTCGCATGACGATTGTTTGAAGTAAACTATAACAAACCATGTTGTACATAGGACTTATGATTCTACATTATATACTAATTGTTACCCCCTTATCCATGACATTTATTTAAACAAAATTAAAAGCTGGTTTGTAAAACCAAAACCATTGTCGTTTTAAGTTTACATGTTAAGTATAACTTTAAAATAATTTACATTGAAAGGATCGAAGTTCAATAGAACACTGTATATAATTTAAAGTTTATTATCCTATCAGACATTCCAGCGTCGATACAGATGCCGAAATCAACTCCAAGAAAAATTTATAGTAGCATTTGACGTTAATGAAGCAAATCCTAAATATATTAGGCGCGTTCTAAACAACATTTGATAAATTTCGTAACCTTAATTACTCCTTCAAACAGTTCGTACATCAAATGATACATATATGGAACGCATCATTAAAGTTTAAATTGTCAGTGTAACATTTGGGAATTTAGATAATCTTGTAGATTACGAATACCTGATCATCAACATACCATATATTGAAAAACAAAATATATCAACAGGTAATCTTTTGGCGATTTGAAATATCGTGAAAAGGACAAAATCAAAACAATAATACACTATACTCGACAACATCGAACAATGACAGAAGTAACAATAAACGTTCCGCATTTGTTTGTGAGCACTGCTGTAGATAAAACTTCATGCTGTACTGTAGGCTGGTTTATTTCAATTTCTAAAATTTAAAAACAGGTGGCTGGCTATTGTTCTCTTTCTGTGCGAGATAAAACACGATCAGACAAAATTAAAAAAATTTTGATATCCCGATTTTTGAGGCGTGTGTCTTTTTAAATCAATTTTTCCAAATTGAGAAAAACCAATTCATTTGGCAGACAATTTAATACCCACTAATTTCGCAATCAGAAAAAGCCTACTAATAAATACCGATACCAGGTTTTACAACTACAATTATAAAGTGAATTTTTTTTTTAATTTTTTTTTTTATTGATATTAAAATAAGTTGAAGAAGTAAAAATAAGCACCATCTCTGAAAAAAGGAGATAGAAATATGTAATCCTCTCTAAGAATGCGTTTGATGAGGTAATAGATATATAATAAAGGAAAATAGTAAAGATACTTTGTAAAAACAATTTATAAAATGACCTTCGAACGAAATATTGTAACCAATTTCAAAATTGATCGTTATAGTAGAACATGGATAAACCAAAGACTAGATTAGATACTAGCAAAAAAACCGAAACATTAATTCTTTTTAATTTCTTAAAAAAAGCAAAAAAAGTATAATCAAAAAAATCATATTTGAAGTGACGTGATAATGATTAATTAATCCAAAACTTAACTTAATTCTTTTCCATTAAAAAGAAGATTTAATAAAATCAACTATAAAAATATAATTTCCATATATTTAATTTATAGTGAATAAATGAAACAAAAGTGGTATTAAAACATATAATACATCCTCAAAAAATAATGCATTCAAAGACATTATTGGAAACATATCTTTCTTTTTTTCCTATTTTTCTTGATTAAAATAAAAAATAAGTTGAAAAATAATAACAAATAAAACCAGGAATCAAAAAGACTTCCAAAAAAATTAAATAGTACGAAAATATAAACAGTTGATTTTAAAAAACATCTTTTGGATTAAAAAACTTGTTAAATGAATGAATAAAATGCTTGAATGAAATAATGGTTGATAAACTGAAAAATAATAAATAAAATTTAAACTCCAATTAATAAAAATCTTCAAATAATAATCTTTTTTGTATTGATTTATCTTCAATTGATTTGTTTATAAAAAAAATTAATAATTTGAACAAATTTAATTTAAAAATTAATCTGTATCAAAAAATATTAGTGTATGTTGAAAATAAAATAGTAGTGAAACAATGAAAACAGTCGTTCTTTATTAGATACATGCGATAGAAACTTAATTAACCTACTTATAATAAGTAAGCTAATGGAATTAAAGCTAAAGCTAATAAAGAAGCACCGAAGTTAGAGGCACCAGCTTCGTAAGTAGAAATGGCACCAGTAGATTCAGCAGCAACAGTGGCTGGGGTAGTACCTTCAGCAGCTGGAGCAGCGGTGGTACCTTCGGCAGCTGGAGCAGCTTCAGTTCCAGTAGCACCTGGAGCAACGGTAGCAGTTTCGGTGGTAGTGGTTTCTTCACCAGCTGGAGCAGCTGGGGTAGCAGCAGTAGCAGCAGTGGCTGGGGTAGTTTCAGTGGCTTCTTCAGCAGTGATTGGACAGTAAGTAGTGTAAACAGTAACTTCACCGTTAATAGTTTCAGTAGTTAAACCTGGGGTAGCTGGAACAGTGGTTTCGTGACAAGCATTGTTCTTACATGAAGTAATAGTAATGATAGTGGTAGATTCAAGAGTTTCAGTTTCAGTACCTTCTTCAGCAGTAAGTGGACAATAGGTAGTGTAAACAGTAACTTCACCGTTGATGGTTTCGGTGGTAACAGCTGGGGTAGCTGGAACGGTGGTGGCTTCACATTTGTTGTCAGAACAAGAAGTGATGGTAATAATAGTGGTAGATTCTAAAGTGGTGGTAACGGTACCTGGTAAGGTTTCAACACCGGAAGAAACTGGCATAGTAGATGGAGCAGAAGAAGCTGGAGCAGATGATGATGAAGAAAGAGCAACAACTGAGAAAGCTGAACCACTGACTAAAGTACCATCAACTGATTCTAAAGAAGCAGCAAAATCAGAAGCAGCATCTCTCTTAACTAAATCAGTTTCATCTTTGAATAATCTCTTTCTGATAGCAGCAGTAGAGTTGACAGCTGGAGTAGCTTCAACGTGAACTTGGTATAATGGAGCACCTGGTAAACCGAATAAATCAATAGCTGGAATGCTAATAACTCTACCGGCGTTAACAATATCAGTGAAAAATCTGGTATTTTGAGCAATAGAGTAATAGAATTCAATATTGTAATCTTCTGGAGAAACAAAGTTGAAGAAAGCTGGTAAGTTAGATGGGATGGTGAATGGACAAAGACCAGTGTCTAAGTCAACGATAGCAACTTCAACACCATTAACTAAACAAGCAACATCAATAGCGATGGCTTTAGATAAGACGGCAGCGGTAGCGATTAAACTCTTAATTGAGAACTTCATTGTAAAAATTAGCCTAAGTTTTGGGATGGAACGAGAGAATAAATTTAGACTTTTTCTAGTTATCTAAGAAAGGAAAAGAAAAGAAGAAACAAGAATAAGAAAAGGATTCTAAAATTGAATTGAAGATAATCTACAAAAGGGGGATCTATGGTTTATAAATATTTTAAGGGGATTCCTCTTCCTCATCTTTACTGGCTATAATTAGAGTAAACAGAATTTTTTTAATCAGTTTTTTGCGATAAAAACTTAACCCCCATGCACTGCAACTTCAAAAATATTAAAAAATAAAAAATAAAAAAAATAAAACAATGAAATCTCAAAAAATAATTTGTTTTTGGCCATTTGTTTACATTTACCACATTTTACTGGTTATTCATCTGTTGATGCATTACGCAATGCGCGCAAGAGCTGTAAACTGTAAATTACAAAAATATGTTACTCACATTAGTGTAATATTACATAAAATAAATTACAAATTAATAAAAAAAGAAAAAAAGAAAAATAACTATTTGCCTAACCGCAGTTTGTGACAAACCGATGCAAACTTTACGGTAATTGCTGAGAATTAGGCAGATATTAACAGTATTAAGGATTTTGTTAGGTGCCACTGGGTGATGAAATGCCAGCATTATTGGCACTCTAGTGAATAAATTAGTGGAAATGGCTGAGGAGTGCTTAAGTTAATGGTGATATGGAATCATTTAATTCTACCTAAGAACAATCAAAAGTTAAATTTAGATTCAAGATTCTACATTGGATTGAGGCAGTTATGTCTAGATGTGTTGAAGTAAGTGACCCATAAAATATCATTGATAACAATGGCAAATAATATAATCACATCTTAAAAATACATTCCCAATACCACTTTGGTTTTATTTTTTTTTCTCCAACAATCATTCTATCAAAACTATAAAATGTTTTTTCTCACTGTATTTGAGATAGTAGTACGATTATAATGTTCTAGTCTGGTAATTGAGCTCTTCAAGAATCAAAGAGATGAAATGTGTAACCACAGATTGAAGGAGTTATATCCCTACCTACAAGTTTGTAATTTATTCTATACATTTAGTTGTCAGTAATCATTGCATGCTCTTTATTTTCAGGTTTGCTCACTAAATTATTTCTCTGCAAGGCTATGTTCGAGAGCGTAGGAAAAAACAATTGGGTGATCTCCATTCTTCCCTAATTTCGACATTCGCTATGTTAAGTAAGACTTGCGATGAGCGTCAATTGCCTCGAAATGATCTGTTTATGACTGAATGTTATTCTATGGAAGAGGGCCCCTTCAGCTGCTATACATAACGTCACATAGAGATGCTTCTGAAATTCACCATATTAAAATTAAAATTGCCTTATTTTTCAAATTTGAATAGAATTAAAGAACTAGACTAAATAAGCTGCCAAACTAAAACTCAAATTAGTGAAGAGGTGATCTAAAGCACTACGGCTACCAAGGATAATTTGTTATCGCAGGGGCAGAAAAAAAAAGAAGGTTTGGAAAAGCTCTTGGAAATAAGCTTTAAGCAAAATCCTCCTCACTAGCTATGATGAACAAGAAAATCGTTGCTAATAATAGTAAAATAATATTATTTTGGCCTCACCTTATTATTTCAGCTTATAATAATGACATTGTCAGGTCAATAGTTTGCTTTTTGTTTACATTTCTTAGAGCTGATTTATTACGAATTGGGAAAAATTTTCAACTAATTCAGAAATCTGAGCGTGTTCCTCAAAATCAAAAAAGGAGGTGTTTTACAGTTTATAAACCTGTAAATCTGCCATTGTAAAAATTTCTTTTTTTCCCTCACTTTTATTTTTGCATTTATTATTTTTAATTACTTCTCTGATCCGTGTTGCATGGTTAAGGGAAATCCTAAAGATGATAGTATTGCCGCCAGAACTACAGTAACGGTAAACACATATAAGAAATGAATTAGACAGAGCATGGCATGCTTCATCACTATTTTCTAGGGAAGTTATGGTTAATTCATTTCATATTATCACCAAGGGTGGAATTTCACATCCGTTATAAAGAGTACCTTCAAAACGTCCAAATCCAATTACACAATTAAAACAATGGATTGAAATCAAACAATAATTTCCCGTAGATGTGCTGAATAAAAATACCAATCTCATCGGGAATGTGTAGTGCACTTAAAATCAAAAAGGTACTCACTCATTGTGGTATTTGCCACTATCAAGTCAAGATCCCTGTTCTACACAATGGCCGGCGCTAAAGTACAATAGAAACGAACCTTGTGGTACACTTTTTATTTTTCTTTGTGAGTTTTTTTGCTTGCGTTGACATTTTACAGGTTAACTTTAGATTTCAAGAACCGTGAGGAATGAAAAAAAATCACTTGCATAGACATAATTAAGCATAGTACAGTAAGCCTACTCCTACAATAAATACAATGAAATTTACTGCTGTATCTAAAGTTTAACTATTTCAAGTTTCTTAGCTGATTTGAAAATGTCAATGGGATGAGGTTAGATTTAAAGAATGTCGATTGTGGGCTCTCACTATGTTCTGAATTAGGCATGGTGGTTACTTCTTTGAACGAATGCAATTCGATGTGATATATGCTATTGCGTTTCGTTTGAGTTTCTCGTTTCGTTTCAGTAGATTCGTTCAAGCAAGAGGTCTGAAATTTTGTATATTTATGGTGGTCTAACCTAACCATTATATTAATTATCATAAATCCATTTTAGATTTGTAAGATGGAATTGCGAAAAAATTTAGTCATTCAACACAACGTTTTCAATCTTATTTTATTTTTGAGGCAACTCTCTACTTCTTAATTGAGATAACAGCTCCGTTAAATTAGGTACCAACCATCATTAAGCTAAGGCAGTCAAGTCGATAAGAATGTTGAAGTTGATTTGAGGCTGTCTTAAACTTTCATGTATTGCGTTCTCAAGTAGCATTCTTTATATATGTGTTTTCAGAGTTGCATTTTCGTAAGAAATTGCACCACTTTGACCACATTAAACTATCTCATAGTTTATAATGAATATCTTTTTGATAACAAACAATCTAATAATTTAAACTATAAATAAAACAAAAAAGAATTTAATGTATGTAGATGTATCCATACAGTTCCTAATCCAATCAAGAAATAGATGATTTAAGCTAATATCCCCTTACTTGATAATGTTTTTTTCATCTTCCTTGTGGCAAATAGACTAAACCGACCTCAATTAATTCAGTTTTGGCAGTCAGTATACTAACTTCAGCTCTATTATAAACAAACAAAACGCATTGAACTATTTACCTATTAGTTATTTGTACTTATTACTGATACTAAGGTTATAAAATATCTGCTACCGCGAACAATAAGGTTAAAAAATATTGTTCAACGTGGGGGTATAGATACCAAAAAGCTTTTTAGTGTTATTTTTTTTAAATATAATAATCCATGAGCGGCAGTCTCTCTTCCAAATCCGTTTATATTGCAGTTAGGGTAATTTTTATTTTATATGTTGAATTCATTAATAATAACTAGAAGAAAGGAATAAATTGAGCTTAAACCTTTATTTGGTGTTTCAACTTGAATGATAACACCATCAGATGGATGCATGAGTCTTAAAAATATGGTGGAGAAAGCAATCTACAATAATAATCAAGTAGAATGAATTAGAGTTTTAATTCATCATCAATTTCTATTACTTTAACTTTCACCCCCTAAACTTTAACTTTTCAGCCCAGTTGACTAATCTTAAACTGCCATAATAATAATTTTTTATTGCAACAAACATCTGGAAAGGTAGTGCAATGATCCAAATGTGTTAAAAGTTATCTATATTTTTTAGTTCGTATAGGATTCATAACAAAATGAGGTATAAATTTGCGAACCTTCAAACTATCTATCTACGATAAGGTGTTAACGCTCCTTCCTACCCTTTACTAAACCTTCGTTTGGTTTAGGGGGAATTGCCATTTGGGTAATTAAAGGCATGAACGATGAGAGAAAACGATATGTAATTACATGATAACTAATTAAAACATCTCATTAAAGCAATTATGATTAGCGGCACCAGAAATTTATTGAAGTTAAAGGGGAGGATTATATCCTGATCTTTTGCTAGGGGTTTCTAGTATTTTCTTTCTAGTGTGAAAATAAATTGATTTTTAAAAATAGTATCAATGTATCTCCTCCTTTGTGGGAAATTATTTTTAGTTGTGTAGACCCAATCTCTTGTTTAAAATACAATTGAGAAGATATCTTAACCTTTCTTATCGTATGAGAAGTAGTAATCGCTCTTGGAAGTTTTATACAATTAATACTAAATGAATACCTTATGGTATTAAATCTTTGATGAGTTACTATTAACAAGTCACCGGTCATATTTCCATCACATAAGGAGATCATCGAAGATTTGTTCAACAAATTGGAGTGCGTCTCTCAGTAATCGTAGCGTGGGTATACTTAACAAAATCAGATAAGCTTGCAGGCGGAATACCAAACCATACCAAACCAAATCAAATCAAATCAAATCAATCCGAACCAAACCAAATAAAAAAGCATTTGGCGCAAGTTCGGTGAAAATAAAATTTATTTTTTGGAGCCATTTAAAAATATTTTTTTTATTGTCTTTTTCTTTCTATTTTGAAGTACCTAAACTGTAAAAACTCTAAAAAATGTTAAATTGTTTTTTTTAAACAAAAAATAATGTGTACAAAATAAGTGAATCTTGCATAATTTAACATGTAAATTGTGAGGTGGAACAATACCTCTATGATATTTTCAATCTCCCCCTCCCCCTTCCATTTACGCCCATGGATCAGCAGAGCTTTTTTCTTTTTCAGTTACTGAGATTCATAGATCCCCCACCTCCCCCTCTCTATTCTCCCTAACTTTTTGTAACTCGAAAATACTCGCTACACACTAAATCCAAGTTGGCAAATGCCCTTCCTAATTGGTATTATTTTTTAGGGACATCAACTGGTAGTGGACAAATCTTTACTGATGGAGATCATAATAAACACTATTATTTGTTTATGGCGGTGATTTAAACTTTATATTGTTACGGAGCTCACTAATTTTATATCGTTTGTAAGTGCACATTGTTGAAAAATTTCAATGCTGGTAGCAACAACTCAAAAAATTCTTAAAACGTTTCTTTCGTTCAATTGATCAGTAGGTTGGTTCTGAATGGTTACATAAACAAATCCAAAAAGTGGAGAAAGTGTTCATATGTATGAAGTTGATTCAAATGATTTGAAAAATAATTATACTTCTAATGCCTGTTGTTGTTACATGATTTATGTTTCTAGCCAGCCATCTTCTCATTTTCGTAGGGAGTCAAATCAAAATATTTTTTTGTTGTTTTTGTTTTGACTTGCTCGCTATTTTTTTGCGACTCTAATGAGAAAAGTTTGCTACTCTATTTGAGATGAGGGAGTAGTTTCAGTGCGTATGACGAGATCATTTTTTTATAGTTGCCTTCACAATTATCTACTTGCTGATCTCAAGTAAATTTAGGCTTTTCAACTAAAGTTTGATTTAGCTTTATTCCAAGCAAGCAGCAGGCAAGCCAATAAAAAGTTTTCAAACTGTAACTTTAATTGTTCGTAAATCAAATTAGATACGTCATATAGGGAGCTTATAAAGAAGCAAAAAATGGCAAGGTTTTTCCTGAAAGATTAATGCTTAATTTGATTAGATTAAGAAAATCAATATATGCTTTGTTATGATCAACCTTATGTAATTTAACTTCGTCAAAGCAAATCCATTGAATTTCTAATATTTGTTTTTTGATTAAGACATCTGCTGACCGCTTAATCTATAATTAAGTGAGCTAAAAAAAAGCTTGGTTTTAGAGATTAACTTTGCTTATGTCAAAGTGACGTAAATTAATGTATCCATTTAGTACTTGAATCAAATGAAGATCTTGTCTAAATATCGTTGAAATATTTTGTGATCGCTTACCTAACCTCGGCTTGATATGGGTCAGCTTGGACCTAACTAGGCTAATAAAAATTTTAATTGTAAAATTTTGCAAATTATAGATGAAATGAAATTTTATGATGTGAAATTATGAAATATGAGTAACTTGATTTTTCATCTTCTACAGATACCGATGAATGTTTAATCCGTAAACACAATGCTATGCTCGATGACAACAAGAAAAGCATCGGCCTACTGATAGTGAATTGGGTCCCTTTCAGCAGGGATGAATCATGGGCCAACCCATAACCTGTAAAATATTTTTTGACTAGAAGTATCTAAAAATAAATCTGAAAAATTATTAGCTATGTCATCTCAACCTGTAGTAATAGCAACGGTTGCAATGGGAAATTAATTACTTGCATTTCTTAAATCTCTCTCTCTCTCTCTCTCGCCTATATTTTTTTAACTATCGAATAGAACTAACTCAAAGCTAATATGGTAGTAAAGTCCAATTGTTACTTGGCTCATAAGATCTGATCGGTTATTTTAACAATGATAGCGATAAGCAGGACAATAATATAATTTTTTTTTCTTTCTTAATAATAAAGTCTTTATTAAATAACTAATTTACAAATATATATTTCGAATAATAAACTAGAGAAATGAAATTATGAACGGACATGATGCAGTTAATTTGACGGTACCGATGAATTCAGAGACCATCGTCATTGTGGTCTTTTGACGACAATGGTAGTAGGATGAAAAAGCTTTATTTATTTCTTTTTTTTTTCTTTTCGATGAAAGCTTTTTTTTTTTTTGCAATTTCAACTTTTGATCTTAATTCGTTAAGGGTTGAAATCAGCTAAATGAATATCATTCTTATGAGTCTCATCTATATCAAATTCATCGATCCCTGACCAATCGACTTGAATTGGTCTTAATTTACTCATATCTGTATTCTTTAAGAACATAGATCTTTCTATTTGCCAAGTATCTTGAACATCATCAAAAGCCTTATTCCATACTTTATCATAAACCTTTTTAATTTTAGCAGCTTCCTTTTGTCTTGACTCTTCTAATGCCATCCATTCCATATGTTTTAAATCATCGGAAGATGGTTCATAAATATGCCAAATAACATAATGAGGTAACCCTACCACGGAATAACCCATTCTCTTACTTAATTTTCCAAATGCTTCTGTTTCAGCATGTTTTTCAAATGAAAATGCTGGGAAATGTGAACCTGTTCTAAACACTTTTGCTTTAGTTAAAATTGAAACCCCACCAATACCATCTAAATCCATTTCAACTTCAGGATCTCCATAAGGATCTCGAAGATAAGCTAAATGAGGTCTCCAAGTTTGATATTCAACATAACCTTCTACTATACAAGCATCTTCATCTAAAGTATCAGCTAATTGTAAACCACCATCTGATTCTTGCCATGAATTTAAATCATAAGGTTGTTGATTACCTAACCAATCAGGTAAAGGTCTCCAAACATTGGGAACTATAACATCTTTATCATGATGCATTAAATCTTCTAAAATTGTAGGAGGAACAGTTTCGACATCGGCATCTCTCCAATAAACATGAGAATGATAAGGTTTTACCGCTACTGTCCATAACCAATTTCTTGCTCTTGCCATTAATTTTCTTCTTGGACCTTGAGCAGCAAAACCATGTCTATCAGAAAAACCTTGACCAATAATTTGACCAAAATCTTTTTCATATATTTCAATTTCACCAAATCTTTTTGATGTATCATGATTATTTTGAATTTCCATTAAATTTTTCTTTAAAGCTTCTAAAGTATCATCAGAAGAATCACTTACTAAGAATGCTAAATCAATTAGATTATGAGGATAAGTTAAATTTTTCATATGACCAAAGAACATGGGTAAATGAGAGGATGCATCTCTTAAAGGAACTAAGAATAACACTCGTTCTTCTAATTGCCAACCATTGGCAGATCCTTGATATTGATCTAAATCATAAAATTGTACAGTAGGGACTTTTTTAAAATCAGGAGTATATAAAGTTGGAGTTGAATAATCTATTACCCCCACTTTTAGGATTATAAATATTATGGTGAATATTATCCCTATGAATATTATTAGAAATTTTATGTATTCGATTATTTTTGAATAATATTTTTGATAAAATTTCTTCGTCGGTTGATCTAGATTATATGCGTCCATGATTATATGTGATTATGCTGAAGTAATGTACAAATGCTAGAAGAGATGAAAGTTGTTGATAGATATGAATGTATAAATATTTGAGATGATGATAATTATAAAAAAAGATAATACGGATGTATATGATGGGATGAAATATAATGAATAAAATTTGATTGATGACGGAGGAGTAATGAATAAGGATAAACAAAGCCAAGCTAATCAGTTAGGCGGAGAAGTAAACAAGATATAAAGGAAGGAAGGAAGGGATCGATCGGTTGATGGAAGAAAGGATGAATGGTTTGAACAGGCTGTTTGATATAGATAGATATGGGAGATAGGAACTAAGGCACAGTTGTCTACTTAATCCAAACTAGATCCAATGATTCGATGTACAGACACAGTGTCTAAATGGCTGGGTTGGTTGGTTGGTTGGTTGATTGGATGGATCCTATCGCTATGCTGATGGATTGAAGATGATGATGTTGATGATGACGAGGAAAAAGTTGATGTTTAAACGGACAAAATTGTGATCTATGAGAGTGAGAGGGAACAACAAAATTTTGGAAATGACAAAATGTCTGCTTCAACTTTTTTTTTTTTAATTGTTTTTTTTTTTTTTTCTTAAATTTTAATTTGATTCCCTTTTCTAAGCTTCAATTAAAAATGGAAGTGCAGAAATGGAGAAGGAAGAGGAGGAAGAGGAAGAGGACCGTAAATTCCACGCTATTACAATTGAGAATATAGTGTTACAAAATGACTACAGCATCTGGCTATAGTTGCGAACCTTCGACATATTTAGTCGCCGATTAGAGATATTATTATTATTATTTGCCCTTATATAGTTAAAAGTACAGGAGGAACGAAGGAATGAGTGTGGTGAATTTTTCCTAAACTATGTATTAATCCGGGTAATAGAGGTCAAAATAATAACACCAACGACGAGGGAGCGATCAGACACGACATTTTTTTTTTTTTTTAAATTTTGGTTTAAAAAATATTTTTTGACTGATTTCTTCTTTTTTTTGGTCAGTGTAAAGGAAACTATAAATTATTTTTTATTTTAAAAATGTCTGATAAAACCTTCGTTTACAAGGGGGTTTAGTTATGGAAATCCCATTTATTTAAAGGGTATGTGTCTGAATTAGTACTGTACGTGGAAACGCGTCAATTATATTAACTATATATATATACTATCAAACAGTTAGTTTATACGTTTTTAATTACAGCCTTTCTATTTAACAATAAAACTTATCAATGTGATGTAGGTTATATCATCATTTAACAAAGCAAGTATACGAGAATTTCAAGTATTTGATGTTTTGATTTAATGGCTTTTGTTGACATTTCTAAAAAAAGCAACTCAAACTCAAATTATAGTTTTCTTAGTTTCTTTTTTTTCTTGACATCCCAGTCATGTGACGCCAAGCACATGATTATAATTATGATTATAATCATAATTATAATCATTATCATAACCATTACAGTATCGTTACATAACTGATACAACTGATGTTCCATCTTGGAAACGAGTTCTGAATACTCGGTTGGCATTAGTGAACATCCCTTCCTTCAATGAAACCACTATAAACTGAGAACCTTTAAATCTGGTCTTAATTAAATGTCCAATGTTTTGAGTATGTGATAAATCTAATGCGGCATCAACTTCATCAAGAATATACATTGGAGCAGGTTTGAATTGTAATAAAGCCATGATTAATGATAATGCTATCAATGATCTTTGACCTCCTGATAATTCAACTAAACTTTCCTTCCAAACTTCTCCCAATTTAACTTTAACTTCTAACCCTTTTGTAACATCCATCATATTAACTGGAACTAATTTAGCAAATGATCCTGGTAATAAATCAGCAAAGATTTGACCAAAATCAATGGAAACCTTTTGATACGTGGTATTTAAAGTATCTCGTTTATATCCATTCAATTTATCTATAGTACCAATAATCTTATTTTTATCCTTTTCAATTGTTTTAACCATTTGCTTTAAGGACGTTTCTTTCTTCTCTACATTATCAATCATACTCATGATATTTGGATTAACTTTCCGTCTCATACTAGTGAATTTTTCTTCTAATATGCCCAATTGTTCTTTCGATTCTTCTAAATTAATATTTGGATTGTTTTCAATTAAATTATTTATAACTTGAATATCAGTCACCCATTCATTTTCATGAATTAATTCATCCAATTTAACCTTTAATACTTTAGTAACACCAACAGATTTCTCTAATTCATGATTCAACTTTTGTAATTGTAATTTGATTTCATTACTTAAATCATTCTTACTTTTAATCACAAGATTCAATTCATTAATTTCTTCATCTAATCCTAATAAATTAGCTCGTTCTTCATCTAATTCAGCTTTATTGATTATTAATTGATCATTAAACTTTTCAATATCTATATTGATTGATTTTTCCTTTCCATCAAGTTCTTGAATACTGGCATTCACATTTATAATACTTTCTTCAATATTCTTTAATTCTGATTTTTGTTGATCATTTTCAATTTGTAAATTTTGATATTGTTCAGTTAATTCATCTAATTTGGATTGTTGTTTATTAATAACTTTCTTTAATTTATCAACTTCTTGTTTTAAATCTTTGATTTTGGTTCCTTTATCATTACTAAACTCTTTAATATCTTGTTCGATTCTTTTAATTGATTGTTCATAATTCAAACAATTGGTTTCTTCAGTATTTATTTGATTATTTAAATCATTGATTTCAGCCTCATTAGCTTCATTCTGTTTCAAAATCATAGATGATGGATTATGACTTAATTTCTTCTCTAACAATTCTAATTCATGCTTCTTTAAATAAATCTCATTACTTAATTCTCTCGTACTATCAATTAAGCCTTGTTTATAAGAAATTTCTTGTTGAACAGTTTGTAATTCATGATTGACATGTTTCACTTGTTGATATATTTTATTATATTGTTGGATTTTAATTAAAATAGATGAATCGTTTCTTCTAGACCCACCAGAAAGATTACCTTCAGGATCATAAACATCTCCTTCTAAAGTAATTGATCTACTACGAATCTTAGGATCAAAAGTAATGATCTTTGCAGTATTAGGATCATTACAAATGAATGTGCTTCCAAAAATATATTGCATTGCTTTAGTTAATTCATCTTCAAAATCAATCAAATTAATTGCTAATTCAACCTTATTTGGTGCCAATTGTTTAGCATAATTAATGGTTTGTTGATCTATAGCATAAGCATTAATCTTGTCCAATGGAATGATAGTAACTCTTCTTCTCAACTGTCCTCTTTCCAATAATTGAGTAGCAGTATCGGAATCATCCACCACAACATTATACAATCTTCCACCAGCACATACTTGTAAAGCTAATGCCTTTTCGAATGATTGATCTGGTAATAAGAATAATTGAGATACTAAACCTCTAACAGCATTATCATCAAAGTTCACAGACGGTCTTGAATAATGAAACTCGATATTATTATTTCCAAGATCTCGTTTCACATAATTCAACTCGTTATTTAACTTTTGGAATTCTTTATTCAATTTTAATTCCTGTTCTCTTAACTGTATCATTTCATCTGGATCAAAACCTAATTGATCTCGTACACGTTGTTCATTGGTTTCAATTTCTGATTTATATTGATTTATACCTCCTAATAAGGATTCATTCTCTTGTTTTGCCTTCTGTAGCTTGATGGAATCATTTTTTATTTGATTTTCAAGATGATTGATTTTTAATTTAGATGTCTTTATAAAATTTCGGGATCCATTTAATTTTTCTTTACTTTCATTTAATTGACTTGTATAACCAGAACTAACATTACCAGAAGATGACATACCGGTTGATAATGATGAAAGTAACTCTTCTTTAGTATTAAACTCCTCTTTTAATCTATTCAACTCTTCAGTTGATTGTTTAAATTTAGATTCAAAGCTATTATAATTGTCAGCATTGTTATCAAGATTTAATTGAGTTTCCTTAAGTTGTTGTTCGTACCTCTCCTTTTTCTTAATTTCATCCTTTTTGTTGTCTTCCGTTATATCTTTTGAAGTAGTTAATCTTGCTATTTCATTACTTAATGCAACTTCTCGCTGTTCTAATTCTTTTAATTTACCCTCACTATCCAATTCACGTTCTCTTTTTAGTTTAATCTGATTTAAATCTTCATTTAAACTAGCAATTTCTTGATCTAATTTTTGGATTTCATTATTTAAATCAATAATCTTAGATTCATTTTCATTCAAAAAGTTGGATTGATTAGTGAAATTCTTGGATAATTTAATATAATCATGAGCAACAGTTATTCTACTTAACTTTTCAAGATCAGTTTGAATTTGTTGAAATTCAAGAAAATTTCTCTTATCACTTCTTAATTTCTCCAATTTTGGTTCGATTTCTTCCTTTAACAAAGTTCTAATCTCAGTTAATTTTGCTTCTTTCTTAGCCATAGTCTTTTGGGCTTTATCTTTACGTTCTTCAAATGTCCTGGTACCTGCAGCTTCTTCAATTAAAGACAAAATTTCAGCTGGTTTCATATTCAACACTTTTGTAATTTTACCTTGCATAATTAAGAAATTAGGATTATTAATATTCAACTGAACCGATTGAAACAAGTTCAAAACAGTTTGTTGTTGAGCTTTATGACCATTAATCAAATACTTAGAACTCCCTCCTAAGATGACTTGTCTAGTAACACTTATAGTCGTACAGTTTTCAAAACCGATTGGTGATTTGGATATTTCAGAATTATTAAACACAATCGTGACACTGGCTTTGGTAACACCAGCTTGTCCTCTTTTATATATTAAATCTTGTAAATTCGATGCTCTCACCGTTGTCATCGACGCTATCCCCAATACAAAACATATAGCATCTAAAATATTTGATTTCCCTGATCCATTTAATCCTGTAATGGCATTGAATTGATGATCCCAACCAGATATAACAGTACGTGTGGCATAGGATTTGAACCCATCAAGAATAAGTTCCTCTACCTTCATCGTCTATATCTCAAAACCTTTGTAGAACTAGATGATGATGGAGATGGAGATGTTTATGATTTTGACAGCCATTTCAGTTATAGGTATTTGTTTTTGTTTATTCTTTCAACTTTGTACCTAATTGCGCGTATCGATCTAGACTTCCTAATTAGGAAACGTACAATTCTGATTTCTTTTAAGAATAAAAGTTTAGTATTCACGTGACTTTGTCATCTTAGTTAAAAGAAAATTTATATATTGTAAAAGTTAGTAGTATAAAGACTGATAATTGTTGCAATAATCCTTAAATGAACATATAGATGTTACGAATACGACAAAGACCGTCATTGTCTACAAGTCTCACGTTGATAAGGCATAAGTATGTTGGTCGTGATCGTGAAGGAGGAATTTCTTTCAAATACAAAGAAGGAATAAGAAAGACAAGAAATGACAGAGGTAAATTGTATTCTACGGTAAATGAATCTCCAAGTTATAATAATGATAGAAAACAGTCATCCAAGAGGTTCGACTCAGATAAGAAAGAGTCCAAGAGCCACGATAATAGCGAATTAAAACATTCCTTTCTTAAGGTTCATACCGAGTTGGATCTTTTGAAGAAGCATTCTGAACATACAAAAGTGCAGCCAAAAACATTGGTTAGTGATAATACCTTTGATGCCATGAAAAAGATTATTTCTGATACGGCTAATGATCCTGTTAGAGGAGGTAAGACCAAACAATTCTTTGATCCTGAAAATAAAACGTTGAACTTAGGCTTAAGTAATAAGATATTATTCAAGCAAATATTTGGTGGTACCAAAGATCGTATGGATAAAAGATATGGAGATAGTTCTAAGGCTTGGTTACAAAAATTTCATGACATTACAGAAAGTCTCCCTAATGATAATCCCTCTATGCCCAAATATAAGTATTTTAAACAGAAAATCCAACTGTTCATGGTAAATGCTACCATACTGCCTGAAGTCGGTTATAATTCTATATCGATTGGTGATATAGTTATGCTTCAAGATGATAACGTTAATTTCTATATGTTAGTCAAATGTCCCAACAGTCTTTATTCTCAAGCTTATGTCTTCATTGATAATAGAGGTGAAATCATTCATGCCAGTAAGGCCAGTATAAGAATTAGATTTCCAAGTATTATCCCAAAGGAATATCACGAATTAATAGAAAGCCTTATTCAATTAGAAACCAAATATTTGGATATAGCTCCAATAGGTACAACTGATGAAAAATTTTCCCGATCAAATAATTCTTTACCTGAATCATTGAAGGATAAACAGGACGATTTTGAGTCAAAGGAAGAATTGGTTGAAGGTGAAGGGTTTGGAAATTCTTCCCAGGATGATTTCTTAGTTGCCCAAGCATCATCTCAACTCTTAACTAATACAAACGTTAACACTTTTCATGTTCCATTAGCGGCAAGAGATTTTTATTCAAAGGCGTTAACTGATTTATCGATTCAATCGTTTAATGAAATGTCAGAGGTGAATGCAAAGTTGGAATTATTACATCGTAAACTTCAATATGATGAAAATGGTGATTTGATTAATATTCCAAGATCAATAAGTATCTTTGAAATTTTATACTACATGGAAGATGCAAACTTTTTGAAAATAAAAGATTCAACAACAAGGGGTAATGAAACTTCGTTATCATTGTTAGGTAAACAGTTGAAGCAAGACATTGAATATGATACCCAAAAATATCCTATTGCTAGATTTTTAGCATTGATTTTGGCAATAAGAAAACAAGCAAGACTTTGGAGTATAGATAAGAGCAAGGCAAGTTTTACCCCATTAAGTGTTACCATATTACCCATAACCAATGCTATTTTAGTAGACAAGATCGTTAACTATTTGAAATTTGAAAAAGGAAATATCGATTTTGCTAAATACTACGAATCTAAAATTTTAGGTGAATCAATTCCAAAGCCAAAATATTATGACGACGTAATCAAGGTGTTTAAGGATTACATTGTTGGTAACTTCACCAGTGATCCAACCCTCGAAACTGCTTTAGTATCGATTATTAGATTGATTGATGATTCTTCTCAGGCTACGTCTACTGATAAGGCAAAAGAAATAGGCTTCACTTATGAATATTCCAGAGCCAGAGCATATATGATATTAAAGGAAATTGGAGAATTATCAGAAGATCTAGAAGATCCAATAGGATGGTCAAGGCAATTGAATTTGCCAGGAAGTGGTACCAGTTTAATGTCGGATTTAGTAGGTAGGTACTATAATTACGTTGAAAATATTCTTACTAAAGAAGATATAGACGAAATATCTGCCACATCTGAATCTAGCTCACCAGCAGATATTAAATCTTTAGATTCATTTGGCGAAGAAACAACGAGCGATGAAGCTGGAAAATTAATCTTTGATGATGTTTACAAGTCAGACCCTTTAGAAACTTTGAGAGAAGATTTTGGCGATGTGCCAGTTTATTGTATAGATTCAGCAGATGCTCATGAAATTGATGACGGTATATCACTTCATACCGAAGGTGATAAATATGTTGTGTCTGTACATGTTGCTAATCCAACGTCGTATTTAAAGCCAAATTCAATTACCAGTACTATAGCATTTGGTAGGACTTCAACCACATATACCCCCGAAAAGGCTTATATGATGTTGCCGAAGTTAATGTCTGACATTTCCGGATTAGGAGTTGATGGTAAAAAAGTTAGAGCATTCACAGTCCAATATAGATTGAACAAGAAGTTGGTTGACGATTATATTGGGTTAAAATTAGACGATCCTAATAACGAAACTGACGATTCGTTAATCAAAAGAGCCCTTAACGAAATCAATCAGTCTATTGATGTAAAATTTGTTAGTGTAAAGAACTTTCCTCAGAATTTCACGTATGACGCTGTTGATCTGTTATTGAACGAACAAGAGAAAATACAAAGATTTAAGGCAAATGCTTCTGATGATTTACATTTTAACAATTTATTCAGATTACATGGAATTGCTTCGCTATTATATGATGCAAGGGTATTAGGTGGTGCAACAAGTCTTAATAGCGATATGGGTAATATTAAAGTGTTCAAGAATTTCGATGATCTAAATATATCAAAGTCCGGCAGTCAATTGATAGCGGATGGCTCCAATAAGACTATTCAATTGTCAAGTACAACTAATAATAGGTCGTCAAAATCTATTTTCTTAGTAACCCAGCATATGATCTTTGCTAACTATTCAGCTGCCAGTTTTGCAAATAAAAATGATATTGGATTTATCTACAGAGGTCAAGAGTTGAACTTAGCTCCAGCTGTTCGCGAAGAGTTAAATCAATTGATTGGAAAGGGAAAGAAATTTAATGTGCCACTTTCAGAGGAGGATAACTCAACCATCATTGCAATTACAACAGGAGCTAAGTTTGTTACCAAGCCAGTAAAGCATGAATCATTGGGCATTGATTATTATTCAAATGTTACCTCTCCATTAAGAAGATACGTGGATATGATCAATCATTGGAAGATTGGTGAATATTTGTTAAATAAATCGAACCCAACTTCTCAACCTGTTATTGCAAATAATGAATTACGATTCATAGCAAATTATTTACAGAATGGAGAAATAATGAATAAACAACATCAACGTATTTCTGATAAATTTTGGGAAGGAATTCTTTTAAAGGAAATTTCAAGGTCAAAAGAGAATGGTGATCATCTGTTTAAATTCAGACTCTTAATACAAACTAGTCCGAAATTGGGTGATTCTATCAATGTAAAAACTTTGGGCTTAGGTCACTTGAAGGCAAAGCTTTCGGTTTCGGATCGTTTATTAGAGGAATATAACAGTGGAGAGTTAAAAGTCGGAAGTGTATTAGAATCAGACGATATAAAGATAGTCAAAGTAGACTTTGTAGAAGATGAATTAGTTTTTGAATATAATTGATATTCAAGTATGTACATATTATAGATCTTGTAAATAGAATTTAACTTGTAACAATAGAAGATATTAATAGTAAGACTCGGTACAAAATCGTAAACTATCTCTTATCATTATTATTTGAAATCCAATTTAAGTAATTGGCGACCATAAACTGGGTACTAAGGGCTATTATAGAAAAAATTCTTGGGTTGTTGCTGAGAAAATATGATTCGTTTCGAATTCCGCTTAGCCGCCCCATATTGCGCTTTGGGGGACCCCCAAAAGCCTCTAACTAAACTAACTAAATATTGCTGCTGTAGTTCCCCGAATCAGACACTAACGAAATAAGGTTTGAAATTGGTTATCAATTCCATAATTCAAATGAAGCTGATAAGGTAGATTTGGAATACTATTTAAAGAAAGATACTTTTCAATGGTTTTTTTGACATCGAAACTTTTTCAACTTCAGAAGTTATGATGGACTCCGACAAAGCTTCAGCTTCAGTTGATTTACATACGATTTCAAGTAAGCTTACTCATGGTACTGAGAAAGGAAAGCATTCAAAATTCTCTATTAAAGAATTAATTGAAGAACAAGATGAAAATGAAATAGTTGGTTTTGAATTATATGAGAGAGCTCAAGATATCTCTGCAGAAGAAGAAGAAATGATTAGAAAGAAAGTCTTGCGGAAAGTAGATATGAGAATTGTCCCATTGTTATGTGTTACTTACACTCTTCAATTTTTAGATAAGCTTTCACTTAATTATGCCTCAGCATACTCCATGAATGCAGATTTAGATTTAGTTGGACAAAGGTATTCTTGGGTAGCTGCGATATTCAATTTTGGATATCTTTTCTGGGCATTTCCAGGTAATTACATCATTCAAAGAGTACCTGTGGCAAAATACACTGGTTTATTGATCTTCTCTTGGTCTATTATTCTTATTGGTCATATTGGATTAAAGAATTATGGTGGTGCTTTAGTTATTAGATTCATTCTTGGAATGTTTGAGGCGCTGATTAGCCCTTCTTGTATGCTTATTTGTGGTTCATTTTATACTGTAAAGAATCAGCCAATTAGAATGTGTATTTTCCTTTCATTCAATGGAGTTGCAACAATGCTTGGAGCACTTTTAGGATTTGGATTAGGTCATGCAGAACTGTCAAGTTTGAAACCATGGAAACTTATTTTCTTAGTTATTGGATTGCTTAATTTTATTTGGTCATTTATTTTTATTTGGTTATGTCCTGATTCACCCGATAAAGCCAAATTCTTAACTGAAGAGGAAAGGGCAGGGTTGGTAAAAGAAGTTGCAACCAATAATCAAGGTATCAAAGATTCACATTTTAAAAGATATCAAGTACTTGAAGCCTTCTCCGATTTAGGTGTATGGATGATAGGTTTGGTTGGTCTTGCTAGTGGGGTAATTAATGGAGGAGTGTCAAATTTTTCATCTTCACTTATTAAAGGATATGGGTTTAGTGGATTGAATGCCACAGCATTGCAGCTTCCAACCGGTGCAATCGAGCTTGTTGTTGTTGCTGTTTCAGGGTTTATTATATTCAATGTTAAGAACTCTCGTTGTATCGTTTTATTTTGTATTTGTATAATACCACTAGCAGGTCTAATTGGTATTCATGTTATAGATTTACATCACAAATGGGCATTAGTGGGATGTACATTCTTACAATTTATTGTTGGAGGTCCAGTTATTTTAAGTTGGATCTTATTGAATGCAAACGTATCAGGGTTTTCGAAGAAAACGATATCAAATGGTATTTGGTTTGCACTTTACGCTTCTGGGAATATAGTAGGAGCCAATATTTTCTTTGCTAAACAGGCTCCAAAATACAATAGTGGTATGATTGGGTTGATTGTTTGTTATGTTGGTATAATGTCCATTGCCATAGGTTATAGACTTCTTATGATGTACAGAAATAAAAAGAAAAATGAATTACAAGGAGGTTATGATTCTGAAAAAGAGGAACAAGCCATTCTTGATGGGTTCAAAGGAATGACAGATTTTGAAAACCCTGGATTTAGATATTGTTTATAGATTTAGTCACTGTATATATTTCAAATTGAATGAATAAGAATTTCTTTGCAACCAATACATAGCGGGATCTTGAATTTGTGAATCACCGAAAATTAAAAATATTTTTGATCGCGATAAAAATATGAAAAACATAAACATCGTCACAAGATCAACTGATCAGTTAGCTCATTCTTACATGCTGTTAATGATAATCATATAGTTACAATGAATTCCGTGATTCTGAGTTCGTCGTCATTGCAAAACTCGTTTATTAACACCATAGATCATTTACCTTGTGATGTGATACGATCACTATGGCTTATCCAATCATGTAATATACACATCAACAAAAGTAGAAACAAACTAAATATACTATTAGAAGAACTACAGACACTATCACCAAATGAGACATTCCACCAGAAGGAACTCATACGTGAAATGATTCAATTGAAATCTACCATTAGCAGGTATACTGTTGAATCTATAAGCGAAGTGAAAGCCATGAATAATCAACTTATAACGCACAAACTAGTTCTTTCAGATGAGTTAACAGAACTTCAACACATTTATGAAGCTCGTTCCAGTCAGATACGAGATAATCGAGAAGTCAACGAAGGGTTAAGGAAACAATTGATTGAACATTATAAAGAAAATCCATTAATTTCGCAACAGGAAGCATTAAAAGAACGAGAACAAGCAAATAAGCTAGAAGCAAAGAAAAAGAAACAAGCTGCATCAGATTCATCAGGTTTAAAATTACTACTCAAAATCCCTCATAAAGTAAGCAAACACAAACTTAGTGTCAAGAGTGTATCACGTTCTAACAAAGCAAAGATTCCAAAGATAAAGAAGAAGGTTCAAAAGCCAATTATAATAGAAGAAGAAGAACCTGAAGAAATTCCGGTCGAGGATGAAGAAGCATTGAAGACTTATTGTTTCTGTAATCAAGGTTCTTTCGGTGAGATGATAGCTTGTGACAACGAAGACTCGTGTCCTAATGGAGAGTGGTTTCATTATAAGTGTGTGGGTTTATTAAATCGAGTTGAGGCTCTTAAGTATACTACGGGAAAACTTAAATGGTTTTGTTCTGATCATTGTCGAGAGATTGTTGAATCAAAGGAAGCAGCCATAGCAGAAAGGAAAAAGAAAAAGAAGAGAAGAAAGTGGTAAACGATTTCTATAGTACAAATATTATATTATAATTATTTATATGCATATTTAAACTGTAAGTAATTCTAACATACCTCCAATTTCATTTGCTTCTTTACACTTTTTAATCTCAACGTTAACTCTCTTTAACAAGTTAGAAAAGCATTCTTCAAGAACAGCACTCTTATCTATAAGCGATCCATACATTTCTAAGATCACAGCTATGTAATCACAGATTAAATTGAATGATCTAATATCTTCCAAGTTCTTAGTAAACCATTGTAAAATTGGTAATAATGATATTTCATCTCTACCGTACAATGAAATTCTTATTTTACCTCTCTTTTTCAATTCATTAAGGACAGTAATGGTCTGTTCTTTTGGTAAACCTGAAGCAAAAGCACTATCTAAAGCTTCTGACCATCTAAATGCATTCAAATGTTTTTCAAATTGTTTCAATTTCTTAGTTTGAACAGTACTGGAATGGATAATACGATGTTCTTCTTCACCTAAGTAATCTTTACCTTTCATCATTCTATTATAAGCATTAGATCTTTCTTGTTTCACACCTTGTTTCACTTTTGGTTCAGTCTTTCTAGTACGGATTGAAATTAAACCTGAGGTTAAACCAGTAACAAAATGTTTATGGTTATTTGCTCCAGGGGATACAGCACAACTTAATACACCTCCACTTCCAAATTTCCAACCAAACTTGACTTCCCAATTGGAAGAGGTATAATCGAATATTTTAACATGACCATCTAATGAACCAACTAATAATCCTCTATCGCCAGTATTATGTAATGCAGTAGTAGTTTTAGTGAAATTGTTTAATTCACGAATTTGAGATCCTCTTGCTAAATCCCAAATTTTTACTTGGGGACCACCAGCACTTACTAAAGTAGTTGGTGAAATGGCGAGAACATTTTCAACTGGATTGTTTTGTTTGAACTCACTTATTAATTGTTTATCATTTGTGGATGAAATTCTAGTATCAAATATTCTTACAGCTCCATCATAACAACCGGTTGCGATTAAATTTGGATTTCCTGGTATGAAACTAACACTTCTGATATAATCCCCATGATAAGAATCATTGAATTCTAATATTGGTCCTTTGGTAGTTTGAGAGATATCATAGAATCTGACTATTCTATCATCAGATCCGGTAACTAATTGGTTACCTATAGTTGGATGGAATTTTGCTATATGAGTTGGATGACTGGATGGATTTAAACTTACTAACAAGTTACGTGGTTGATAACTATCATATATGGAGACTAAACCAGTGGCATCTGATGCCACTAATAATTTACCATCATATCTGAATTCACCGGAATATACCACATCTTTGAATCTTGAAAAGGTCTTTATAACTTGTCTAGTTTTTGATGAAAAAATTTGTATTCTGGTTGAACTAGTGATTGCAAAGTCATTTGGTGAGACGGGGTTGAAATGTATATGGGTTATAGGATGATTTTCCTTTATGAGTTGTGGATTGGCATATCCTCTCCAGTATCTTTGTTCTGGAGTAGTTTGTGAAGGTAAGGTTGGATTCCTAACCTGAGGTACTCTAGGTCTACTACTTGACATTTATGCTATTTATACGACAAACTAACGCTTTTTCTTCAATTCCAATTTGATATCTATTGGCAATGGAGGTTGAAATCTTCTTAAGACGTTATTGAGAAATATGAATATTAAACAGTACTTGATATTATGAAAGAGTTAAATCAAAATCAACTATCATATCTAACTATAGATATTTAAACTGAGATGAGAACTAAATTTTTTTTTCAAAAGTCACGTGACCGATTTTTCCAAAAATTGATTATAAGATCTGATATGGTAGCACTTTTTCTACAATTTACTTTTAAGGAATTTTTTTAAAAAAGATGTTTTTTTTAATTAAACACTATACAATTAGTTATATAAATATTCAAAGAAGAGAAGATCCTTTTCAAAATGTTTTTTTAGGGATGTTGAAGATTAAGATAGAAAAACTTAATTAAATTTATTCTAAATCTTTCTTTAAAGTACCTAAGAAAGCGTGTTTTTCAGCTGGGGTTTGGAATCTACCCTTACCGAATTTAGAAGCAGTATCAATCCATTTTAAGTTGACTTCTTCTAAAGCTCTTCTAGAGGTGTCAACGTATAAGGATTTTCTTAAAGTAACAACTCTCTTTCTGGTACCTGGAATTGAACCCTTTAATAAGACGAAATCGTTTTTAACGTTACCGTATCTAACGAAACCACCTAATGGGTTAATGGTCTTTTCAGTTCTATCGAATTCGGTAGCACCGTTAGAAGCATTTTCACCGGAACCAACTCTGTAAACCTTGTGGTTAATAGAGGTTCTGTGATGGTAACCGTTTTGACCAGCTCTAGCAACGGTCCAGTTAACATTAGCTGGATGCCAAGCACCAATACAAGCAACCTTTCTTAAACCTCTATGGGTCTTTCTTGGTAATTTCTTGGTACCCCATCTGTGGGTTACACCTTCGAAACCGTGACCTTTAGTAACAGCAACAACATCGATCATTTCATTTTGTTCAATAACGGAATCAACAGAAACGGTTTTTTCAAAGTGTTCTCTGGCCCAGTCAACTTTATCAGAAATAGAACCACCGTTAACTTGGATTTCAGCTAAATGAGCTTTCTTTTGGGATAATGGGGTCTTTTTGATTTGAGTATGAGCTAAAATTCTAACAACTGAAGCGTACTTCTTAATTCTGGCTAATTCTCTTTCAACTTGAGCACCATCTTGAGCGTATTTAGCAGAGTATTTGGTGAAAGCCTTCTTTTTAGATTTGTACCAGTTCTTGTAGAATCTTCTTCTAATTTCTTCGGATAAATGTTCAGCCCAAACAGTGGTTAATGATCTTAAACCTCTTGGAGTTTCAACGTAACCGACAACACCAACAATAACTAATGGTGGAGTGTCAACAACAGTAGCAGCTTCAACAACTTCTCTCTTGTGCATTTTAGAACCTGGTCTGTCTAAGTCTCTGACAATGGTGGTCATACCAGCTTTGTAACCTAAGAAGGCAGTTAAAGCAACTGGTTTAGATTTAACATCCTTTGGGAAGGATTTAACTCTACCTTGGTGCTTGGCAGCTCTCTTTCTTGGTAAGAAACCTAAGGAACCATGACGTGGTGCTTCGTACTTTCTGTGAGACATCTTGATATATCTATATGTGCTATTAACAACTAAAGAATTAAAAAAGAAGAAGAGTAGTTAAAAGTAGTGAAAATTTTTTTATTTGATACCCTCACACGAAGTGAAGAGGAGGATGGTACTGAAAAAAAAATTTTCAAAAAGAGAAATCGTCGTGCGCACGCAAAATTTGATTTTCTTACCGTTTCCTGTATATAAATACCAGATTTGTGCTCATATTTACAATGGATCATGATATAAGTTACACGGTAGTATCAAATGTTAGTCTACTATTTTATGGAAATAATATGGATTGTTAAAAAATATAAAGAATGATACGTTAAAAATAAGTATGAAGTAATGAAATAAATGCCCTGGGATAAAAATAATAAAAAATAGAAGGAATACAAAAAAAGAAAATGAAATAGTATCAGAAACTATTTGATGATATAAAGTTTACTTGTTCTAAAATTGATAGGAATAACAGTAAGTGTAACGACGAAGAAATAAAAAAAAAAGATAGTGTTGAAATGAGATATGATGAGCTACTTTCTCTTGATATGAATGATTTTCTTTAATGCAAGTCTTGCATCGCCTGAATCTTCATTTGAAGATGATCCCGAAGATGAAGTCATTTCTGTAATTACTCCTTGTGAAACATTTGGTTTTTCAACTAAAGAAGTGGAAGTATTGGTATTGTCTCTCATAGATAACAAGTCATTCATATCGATGGTTTTACCTTGACTGTTTGTTTGATCCACATACTCATTTTGTAAGCTTTGATCTTGAGTAATGGAAGTATTTTGAGAATGATTTTCTAATGAATCTGATTGATAAAACTCCTGAGAAATTAAAAATTGTTGATTACTCATTACACCACCACTTGCTTTCTTTTGTTGAGGAGAATTAATATTCATCATGGAATACATCATTGAATTAAATTGAGGAGTTAAATTGAATGTTAAATTACTGTTTGGAGTTAATCCTGTAGTTGAATATAAATAATTTTCTTTATAATTTGGTGTTTGAGGAAGTTGAGTTAAAACAGATGGAGCTGATGTCATACTAAGATTACCATTTTCGTTAATAGATGATAAACTTGTATTTTGATTTAAAATACTAGAAGCAGCAACACCAATAAAATCTGAATTGTGTCTTCTCAATAAATTTGGACGTGACTGTTGAAATTCAGCACTATCATTATTTCCCATGGTTAATGGTGGTGATAATCCACTAGATTGGGCGTATTGAGCTTCAATTCCAATAACTGAATTAACATGAGTTAACTTTGGTTTCAAAATTTCGTTAAAAGATTGTTTAGAACTAGTTGGATCAATTTGATCTCCATTGTCATTAACAGAGTTAACTTCGTCATCCTTAACTACCACAGACTTTCTACCTCTTGTTTTCTTTACCTTTGGTTGTGCGACTACTTCGGTTTCCTCCTTTTTAATTTCAGTGGTAGAAGTAGTGGTAGAAGGAGAGTTTGATAAAAAGTCGGTGGATAAAACAGCTTTACCCAGGTCATCAATAAATAACTTAAGCAGGAAGTCATTAGTTGAACTTGAACTAGAGCTTGATTTTGAATGTGAATCGACCGGTTTAGAATCATCAACATTTGATTCAATAGTCTTTGGACTGATCTTTCCATCATTGTTTTTATTTGATCCAGGAATTAAAGAAACAGCTGGTAATAAGTTATCTTCTGAACTTGACGGTAAAGGAGGTGAACCATGACTTCTAATTAAATAAGCAGCAGTTGAGTCTTGTTCAATTGATTCATTCACTTGCCTTTTAGGAGCTGGAGCTAAATTCGATTGATTCATGAAATCAACAGCAACTTGATTTGTCGAGTGATTATTTGAACTAGATGTTGATGCAGCATTAGCAGAACCAGAATTCAGTGGAGCCAAATAATTTGGGAATTGACTCTTGACAGTAGAGGAAGGTGGAGTATTATAATAAGGTAAAGATTCACCAACGTTTGAATTTGATTGAGTTATCATTGATAAATTATCAAGAGTTTTTGAATTAATCTGATGATAATTATTATAAGCAGAACCATTCACAGATGATAAAGGAGTAATTAAAACATTTTCCAATATATTTCCAGTAGAAGCCGATCTTACTGAATCAGATAAATTTGAAGTTGATTTGTGTTTTTTAAGTAAAGTAGGAGTAGTAGTGGTTGAACTTGAAGAATTCTTTCTCTTCTTCTTGGTTCTTGAACTTGGAGATACTCTCATTAAAGGAGTAAAGAAATCAGGCACCCCTCTTCTAGCACTCAGTAAAGAGTTTGATTCAGCCATTGGACTTGTATTTAATGGTGAAGTATTGACACTTATATTAAGAGTAGTAGTGATTTGATTGGTTAAAGAAGAAGGCTTTGGAGGTCTCCCTCTCTTTCTCTTTTTAGGAGTTTCCGGTTCTTCGAAATCATTATGAGTGTCTACTTTTGTGGTTGTAGATATAGCACTCTTTGATCTAGGTCTTGGAGCATTATAAACTGAAGGAGGAATTGAGAATTGTTGATTCACATAAGAGTTTTGTTGTTGATGTTGTTGTTGATGATGATGATGATGAAGTTGTTGATGTTGGAATTGATCAAGTTGCATTTGTTGTTGTTGTTGATAATGAAATTGTTGTGGTGGAGGAGGAGGTGGAATTTGATGTAAATCTTGTTGCGAAGTAGGATTTTGGTAGTAATTCGCATCTGATGTATGCAACACTTGTTGGGGTAAATTTGAGGAATTATTACCACCATTCAATTGATGATCTTGCATGGACATAGAATTGTTTGAACCAAGTAACGACGACGAAGGATAAGATTGATCTAATGAACGGTTTTCAACAGTGACAGTATATGCTTGCATGTAATCGTGTTTAATTCTTTTAACGTTAGGGAAATCAGCTATGAAATTATAATTTGTAGTGGGACGGGGAAGGGAACAAAAAAAAAAGATGCCAGTTACTTAGTGGGAAATTTTTAAAGAAAAAAGAGTTCAGTTAATTCACCATATATTGGGAAATGATTGCCGTGGTGATTGTTGTAATATGTTGTGTGTAGGGATCGATTGATATAGCTTTGGATTCGATAGTTGTATTAGAAACACCAAAATAAAGCAAAATAAAGCGATAGGGGGAAGAAACTTGTGATGAACTCTTGAATGAAAGCTGAAAACAAAATGCTGGTAGATTTGGTGGTGAAAGAAAAAAAAATGAACCTTTAGATATGGGAATTGGAATGAATTAAAGAGAGGACTGGGGTTGGTGATGAGAAATGAAAGTAGATAGTGGAGTCAGATAATCAATATGGATCTATTAACGAGAGTAATAGGTTTGGTGGGTTAATGAAATTAAAGACAAAAGGATATACATTTAAATAAATATCGAACAAGAGCAAAAAGGTTTGAAAAAAAAAGGTGTGGAAATTTAATCGGTTTTTTTTTTTTTTTTTTTAATTAATTTTTTTTTTTAGGAGAGAGAAAAGGCAGACAGACAGACATTAAAATAGAGATTACGCACTGACATTTTTTTGTAATTTAGCGCCCAGTGGGAGAGAGGGAGGGAAGAAATCAAATCACCTCCTTTTTTTTTTGGCTGAGGTAAGTGATGTAGCATATTTCAGTCAGTGATTGTAGTTCATGGATAACCTTGGGCAAGAAATGACGGAGCAGGGTATTGGCAATTTAGCAACCGAACATACTAACCATTTGAGTTAAGTTCTATACCTAGAAAGCTTATGATTAAAAACTTAATTAACTCTTCTATCATCAAGACAAAAATATTTTAATTTTAAATAAATTATATAGCGAGGTAATTCCTAATCGAGAGGTTGTGGAAAAATAATATCGATATTAAAAAAGACGACAATTTATTATTGTGAAAAAAAAACAACAACAATGGCATGGAAATGCAAATTTAAGTACGCTGGTCCAGATGAAATTTCTTATTACTAGAGTTGTTTAATGGTTTTATTGTATAGGGTGGTGTTGTTTACTGTTAATAACAAAGAAGTAGTTACTCGATGCAGGTTTATTATGTTGATAGCACAATCTGAAGAAAAGACAAACGAATGAATGAATGAATGAATGAGAATGGAAGTGAGAGAGGGAGGGACGGGGGGAGCGTAATTGTCAATGTAAGTGGGGGTGGATCAGTAGATGGAAAGATATTAAACTAGTAGTAGTAGTAGTAGTTACGTAATGATAATTCTTGAAACTTAAACCGGAAAAGAATGAAAAGAAATGTAAGAGATTATAACCATTGCTTGAGTGGTGGTGGGAACAATGCCAGTATTGTAAAACTATAGAGAAAAATAAATTCCGCCGCCTTATTAACTTCTTCACTTACTTTCTTTTTAATCATTTACTAATGCGGAGATTCATTTCGCTTTACAATATATCCATGTAACGACGTATATCTACCTATCTACGGTAACATCATAGATTGGATTGAATTGTAGAAAGCATTATGGTTGTATCGTTGCAATAACCTTGTGATTAGATTTCTCTCCCCCTGCGAAATCTAACGACACTTTTCTTTTTCATTTGTGGTAATAGTAGTGGTTTTATCCGTCGCCAGACACTCCAGACATTTACTGCGCAAGACAAAAATAAAACTGAACAAATCAAAAAAAAAAATAAAAAAAATAAAGATTTTTAAAAAATAAAAAGACCAGAGGAATGTCAAGCATATGTAATACATGTTCGAGTAATTCTATGTATTTCAAAGTAACCATCTTCATTAGTAAGGGTCGAAGATGCTGCATTGAAATCATGACCTTGGTTTTACCAATTGACTGGTTCTAGAGATACGAAATAATAAAACTAATTGGTAAAATGGTTATAAATTCTTGAAAGAAGAAGAAATAAAAATAAGACATTTTAGGCAAGAATTTCCCAAACTGAAAAATTACATTATCATTTCTGTCTTGTCTTTCTGTCTGCAAAATCCCTAGTAGTGCTATCCAACTACAGTCTCCCCATATAATATATTTTTAATTTACCAAGTAAATTGTTTCCTTCGTTTGTCACCCACCCATCCATCCATCCCCCCCCTCTCAGCGAAGATTACTCAAAGTTTAACCTACGATTGAATTGGTTATGTTTCATAGATCTGATCAGCTAATTTCTTGGACAATCACAAGCCAACGATTATTTTATGGATGATATATTGAAGTTTAAACTAAAAATAATAAGTAACAATTAGAGTCAAAAAAAAATAGTGAGTACTTTTTCGATATTCTCACTAAAATTTACTGATTATCGTACAGTTAAAAGCGTATCAAGGGATGAAATGAGGGGGTACAATCATTAAACCAATAGTATAATCTTAATTTTGGATTGCTCACTTCCTTATGATGCAATTTCAAATTCATGCCTAGCTTGCAATTAATATTGCAATTTCAAATAACTCCGTGATAATATTCTCTTCCTTATTATTCTCTTGAACTCTCTACTATAAATTAATTAATTCTAAACACTTATATAACCTTCCCAAACTTATTTAAACATCATTATGTATCTATATCTAATGAATGAACTAAATCAGAGAGCCTATTGAAAAACTTTTCAGCCTAGATCATTGACCAGTAACAGCTCACTACATCAACTAACATGACAGCACGTATTCACTCAACCCAAATCGCCCATTGGTTGATTCGTTTGGTACCTTAATATTTACGCAGTGGTTGAGCTACATTACAAATGCTTGTCAAAGCATGCAATTACACGTACCATGGTGTACTAATGGTTTAATTTAAAATAAGACGACTGTCAAAAAAACAGGTGTTTAAAAAATAATTCTTTTTTTTTGCTCTGTAATCTGGGGAATTTTTGAAAAATTTACTGGCAAAAAAAAAAAAAAAAAAAAAAAAAGAGAAATCAGACGCGTCTAATTTAAATGCAAGTAATTTTCCCAATTAGGAAAAATTCAATTCTGAATTAATTACGAACCGCGCAAGTACCTTTGAGTTGTGGTGGTGGGTTGATTTAATTTCGGTGTATAAAAGGTAAATAGACAATAAAACCAAACTGTGTAATGTCCGTTATCTATATGTTATTGGGCTTTTTTTTTATTTTTGAGATTTAACTCCTATTTTTGTCAGTATTTTCAAGGGATGGACGGCACAGAATAAGTGATTTACTGTGTTATAATCTATATCAAAGAATTATCTTAATGCATGTAATTCTTCTGGAAGTAATTCCTATAACTCCCCGAACCAGATTTTAAAACATTTTCCTCCTTGTCTTTCAATGAAAATTGTCTGCATTTTAAAGTTTATGGTAATTTTTTGGCATAAAATGTCTTTTTATTTATTTTAACAAATCTTTTAATAACATTTTGATAAGTGATATTTAAATTAACCGATACTTAAACATCTTAATTATGACATTTAAGCCCAATTTAAACTGGTTAATTACATTGTTCGGTTGAACAGTTCAGTTTCATTTTAATATATACTTGTTACAAATGAAGTAGGACGTAGAGCATAACCATACATAACTCGGCATCTAATGACTCCAGGACAATGGGAGGCACCATACAGTTTTTTTTTTCCAAATTTCCATACAGTAAAAAAAAAACAAGAAAAATAAACAATTGGATGTTTGATATTTGTTGTTATGTCAAAACAATGTTCCCAATTTGAATAAATATCCACACTGATCAGAGATGTGAAGGTAAAGAGTAATTGAAAAAACATCTTAATGATAAAGTAGTTTAAAATATTCACAATTTCGTAAATACTTATCACTGAAAAAAATACCGTTAGTCTAGGCTTTACTTATCTACGGCTCCAAAATTTTGAAACCATAAAAATAATTGATTTTCTTAATACCGTTTTTGTACCTTCCATGATATAGATATAGCTTGTAATGTTATCAAAGATATCAAATTGCCACTCCTTGTTTACAGTTTCGTTTCGGAAAATGACGATTTCATAGCAATCGGGCTTAGCCGAGGACTGTTTAATGTCTGTTTCTAAAACTGTCTGTCTGATTGCCACAAGACAATAAATGACAAAATTGATTTAACAATACAAGCGCAATTGAAGTGTTGATCAATTTTTAATATCAATGTCGTTAGTAAATCCATAAACCAGCCTATAAGAACTGCTGTGACTATCCCAATGATCGGTTTAAACCGGCTTTATGATAAGGTGGAGATACATATCCAAGTACTATATATCCCCTATTCATTTCTTATAAGTTGACTTTAAGTATCATATATTGTTCAAATTTATCAATACTCCATATAGTTAGTTGCTTTAAATTGGTTTGTTAAACTACTACCACAGACACCGTATGTATTATGATTAGAGCAATTTTTCTTATGTTGCGATCATAGCTCGTATAACAACCAAAACAGTGTCGTATAGACAGTTGAGGCTAAGTTCAAGTATTGTAATTGTAGGGAACGACTAAAACCATATAAATCAACGAATAGATACCTAAATTACCTGAAGTACCTCAACAGTCCTCTTATTACAATTATATTTCATTAGCCATACTCAATTAGATCATATTTCAAGCTTTGACACAGTATTATCTCGGTGAGCGGCCTGAAAAAAAAAATTATAACAGTAAACATTGAAAAATTTACTATACGAGATCAAACAATCATTTTCAAGACATTACTTCAAACGATATGCCACAAGTATTGAATCCCAAGACGACTCATTGGGAATTCTCTGGTCTTCCCGGTGCCATTGGAATAACGTTAGGATTACCTACTTTAATTACATTTTTTGCATTAATCACCAATGAAACTTATTCATTAGATGGTATAAATCTTGATATAACAGCAGTTTTATCACAACTTCCGTCAACTCCAACTGAATGGTTTGAATTATGCTTTAATAAAGCTTGTTGGACAGCTTATTTGGTGTGGTTCTTTGGTTTAGTGGTGTTGGATTTCATTCTCCCTGGAAAGAATATGAAAGGGGTTGCTCTCAGAGATAATACTCAATTAAATTATAAAATTAATGGATTAGCTATGTCAGGTACTTTAGTTGTGGTGTTACTTGCTCGAGTTTATCAATCTGATAATTGGTTTTTACCAGAGTTACAATTCATTTATGATAATCAATTACAATTAACTATCGTCACTACCATATTTTCATTCCTTTTGGCTGTGTTCGTCTATGTATGTTCATTTATCCCATTAGCCAAACTTAATGGATCAGGAAACAGAGAAAGAATTTTATCAATCAATGGTAATACAGGTAATGTAATTTATGATTGGTTTATTGGCCGTGAATTGAATCCAAGAATAGGTACTTGGGATATTAAATTGTTCTGTGAATTAAGACCAGGTTTATTACTTTGGTTTTTAATTAATTTATCTTGTATTCATAATCAATATCATACCTACGGGGAAGTTACCGATTCATTAATTTTACTTAATGCTTTACAAGCCTTTTATGTTTTTGATGGTGTATTGAATGAAGAAGGTGTGTTAAGTATGATTGATATTACTACCGATGGATTTGGATTCATGCTTAGTTTTGGAGATTTAGCTTGGTTACCTTGGTCATATTCTGTTCAAACTAGATATGTAAGTTTACCTGAACATAAAGTTAATCTTGGACCTGTGAATATTGCTTTGATTGTTGGTATTAAAGCCCTTGGCTATTATATTTTCCATTCATCCAATAAACAAAAATCTGATTTCAGACAAGGAAAATTAGATCATCTCAATTTAAAGAGTATTAAGACTCAAACTGGATCAAAATTATTATGCGATGGATGGTGGGGATTATCACAACATATCAATTATCTTGGTGATTGGTTAATTGGATGGTCATGGTGTTTACCAACTGGATTCCAAACCCCTTTGACTTACTTTTATGTTATCTATTTTGGAACTTTATTATTACATAGACAAACAAGAGATGAAGCCAAATGTAAAGCCAAATATGGAAAACAATGGGAGGAGTATGAATCTAAAGTTCCTTATAAGATTATTCCATACGTTTATTAGGAATAAGACTAACAACACAATGCATAATAATAATAATTTTTGTATGTATATTATTGAAAAAATAGAACTAAAAATGAGTAAATTGACAAAATTTATATAATCAAATAGAATGTAATAAAAAAGTAACTAAACTAGAATATAAAAACAAGTTTTAATAATGGAAAAAAATATAATATCTTAATAGTAAATGATGATGGTAGTGATACAAAAATATATGAAACTCTATTCATTTTTCTTTTCATAATCTACTTGTTTTTCAAATGAGTAATATGATATTTCAATAGCTGAAAGCCATCCAACAGCAGTATATAAGATAAACACCAAGACGAATGAAATAATGATAGCTGACCAAATACCAGGGCTAAAGAATTGATATTTTGCAAAAAGACCACCAGTTCCAGCTTGAGCAATCACATTTGAAGCAGAGACATCATCAGCACCAGATTCATCAAAAATAGATACGATAGAGTCACCTTCTTCAGCAATGAATGATTCAGCAGCTTTGAAATCTTCTTCAACTTCAGCATATATATCATCATAGTTTTCTTCATCAGCAATTTCATCTCTTTTTGTCTTGGATGCATCTTTCTTTCCTTTGAAGTCAATATCAAGATTTAAATGTTCATATAATTTATCTTCAATCAAATGTTCTAAATGTTTAAGTTTTGGAAATTTAGATTGGAATTTTGGTTTACCTTGAACAATAACTTTAATATTTTCATTTTGAGTATTTAAGAAATCATCAATTGAATGATGTTTATCATCTTCCACATCAAAAATGACGATACGAGAGTCAGCAATATCACCATCAACTCCATTGATGTATTTAACACTATCTTTATTACATGAAGAACCGAATTCAAAATCTATTTCATTTGGTGAGTTGTAATGAACGTGCTTTATGAATGAAGATGAGGAAGGTATGCTGCTAACATTATCGTGAGATAAAGCTTTGACTCTGTATATAAATAATTTTTCATCTGATTGAGATCCACAAATGGTTTCAGAAAGGGATTGTATCGAATTTGAAACTATAGAAGCTTCTGTTATATAATCTAATTGACCATTTAATTTGATGGATGAGTAAAATGAGGCAGTATCTGAGAAGGCAAACACACCTTCAGTAATAGCCAATGCAGAAGCAAGTAAATGTAAACCACTCAATTTCATTATCCAACTAAATCTAGATATATGATGTCTGGTAAAGTTCAAAACTGTCAATGGCAGAAACTGTAGCTCTTTAATTCATCTATCTCCCCTTGGGTCAATTTAAAATTTCGTTGATGATTAAAATTTGGCTGAGAATTGTATGCAGGAAATCGATTTTATTGAGTGGGAAAGTTTTCTGGCAGTTAAAGTTATATTTGCCTTAACAAAACATAGTTAATAGAGAAGACTAATAACTACATCAATTGATATATAAAACTATCGAATCATGTCTGGTCGTCCTGATATCCCACAGTATGTATCTATTTCTTGACTGAATTTTGTTGGTCGAGTATTGAGCTTCGTATCATAATTATGGATAATGATGTACTAACAATAATCGTTTCTAGAGCCGTGGTGAACAAGTTAGTGTTTTTCACAGCTGCCATGATTATATTCCCAATATTCACTTTCTTTGTGGTTCAATATCTATTCAACAACAACGCTATTTTAAGTGGTGGTATTGCAGCTGGGGTTGCCAATGTTGTATTGATTGGTTACATTGTTGCAGCTTTCTTAGAACCTACCGATGATTCAGTGGATGAAAATGGCGAAACTAAAAAGGACAGGTAGTCCGTACATTACTTATGTTGCCTATATAGATATATATCTAGCTTTTGTAAATATATGTGTAATAATCCTTTGATTCACTGGGTTGGTATCAACCAAAACTGTAGAGAGATATTTGGCGAGGAACAAAAATCCCAAACTGAAAAAAAATCCAGAGCTCTATATAATAAACAGTAAGACTTGACCAAAGAAATCAACCACGACAAGATCAATTGGGTACTAAGGGACGTAATGGTGCATCAATTATTGTTAGTGTCGTCCATACCACATAGTAAATATGTTCAAACGATATCCACGCTACAAGCAATGACGAGATTACTATCTCCCCAACCAATATCAACATACACTTTAGTGACCAAACCTTCATATGTATTCAAACCAAAGTTTGAACCAGGAAAAGTGAATCAGATAGAGCAATATTATATGAAATGTACAACCACCTGGGAATCTGGAGTGGACCTCGATTTAGCTATACCACTAATAGCTGATGATGAAACTAGTCTGGTTTTCGTTGAAAGATTGTTTAGTGGGAATGAAGAAGTTGAAAGAACTTGGACATTACAGATTTCAGATATTCCAATTGCTGGGAAACAAGTATGTAGTAATCAAACTATATACGAGAGTACATTGATACATGCTCATGCTAGAATTGAAGATAGTGAGATCAAGAAACCCAGTGATATTGCCGATGGTGATGCCATGGAAATAGATGATAAAGTTGAAGAACCAAACAAAGAAGTTAAAACTGACTCTAATGGAGCAAGTGAAGAATCAAGTACCAGCATTGTAAAATCCCACAGCTCAGATGTATCAAATGATCCTGATTTAACTGGTAGAAAAGATTCTTTCTTATTATTATTGGAAAGCTTAGGATATGGAGTTGTCAATCAATATTGGCTTAAAGGTGTAAGATTTTTCCAAGGTGATATTGTTATTGAGATATTTAAGATCTTTATAAGGGATGATAATGTATCTTCGACTGATGCTAACAACAATAAGATCAAATTGAAGTTATTAGATGAATCTAATACTTTCCAAATAAAAGCATATATCAACATTCCTAAGTCAACAGATATTGAACAAATTAGTCAAGGTTCGAAAGATTTATTAAAACTACAAGATTTATTAAAGAATTTATTTAAATTAGAAATCCCAGATAGAATGTTCATGGATTCTAGAGTCACTTTAAAAAAAGCAACCTAATTTATATTATATGTATATATACAAGAACAATGTACAGTAAAGTAATGCCAGCAAACTTTTATTCCTCTTTAGTTCGAATTGAAAAGAAGGTTTTGTTATTTGGATCCAAATCAGTTATTTTGAATGATGACTCAACTTCACCCTTTTCAACATCCACTTCATGAGGTAAGTTTTCAATATCTGATAATAATTTCTTTAAAGTGATAGGTTCATCAGGTATATGATCGGTAGCGATGAGTCTGAAGTTCGAATCATTGGATGTTTTACTCCTTACCATTTTCTCATCCTTATCATATAGATTCTTAATGAAAGCCATTTGTAGTTTCAAAGCTCTAATTAGTTCTACTTCTTTTTCTGACAGTATATCTTCATGAAACCCTGATATCTTTAACATTCTTCGTATGACAGTGGAATCAACATCGATATCATTCATATCCTTTTGAGTATTATTTATCAAATCCTTCACTTTCCATGTTGGTGAATTCAATAATTTTGCCAATTCGTCATTTGTCAAAGTCTTTTCGCCAACCTTTGCTCCACTTCTGACAACTCGAGATATATGAAACAATCGTACTGACAGCCTAAACATGATTTGATAGATAGCCTCAATGTAAAACAATAGTGTATAAACTCTGTAAAAAATTTCGCACTCATATTTTTTTTATGATACCAATAATTGCAAATATCAACTCTTGCGAATCATTCTACATTTAACTATTCTTTCTCTAATGTAATGTGTGATTTAACTATATATACAATTCGTAATCGAAGATAACTACTTTTTATTTAATTTACTTAATTCAGCTTTAGTCTTTTCAATCTTTCTTCTCTTCTTACTTAATTCTTCTTGTCTAGCTTCCTTCTTTTCAATACCATATTGCATCTTCTTGTATAATTTACGTTGTTTGTTAGTCATCATAATCTTCTTTAATTCTTTTTCTTCATCTTCTTCTGAAGTTCTCTTCTTTCCTTTAGATTTCTTGGTAGAAGCTTTTTCTTCTTCAGCAGTTTCAGAATAAGTGACACCAGCTACTTCCTTTTCTAATTCTTTTTGAGCTTCGAGTTCGGCTCTTTCTTCTTCATCGAGTTCTTCTTCTTCTTCATCTTCTTCTTCAGCATCTTCATCTTCATCAACTTCTTCATCTTCTTCTTCCTCTTCTTCAGCTTCAGCACCTTCCTTTGGTTTTTGTTCAGCTAATGGATCATATCCACCAGCATCTCCCCATGGAGATAAATGTGGTGGTAACGTTTCACCTGGAGCATATGAGTTAACTGTTAATAATTCACTCTTATTTATACAATCAAAGACCCATTGTGGTTGAACATAGGTTCTTCCTGGAACTTTTTGATTTATCTTTGGTCTATCTATGATTTGATGAGTGATATTAGATAAATCCAATTTCTTAAAAGCAGTTGGATTATTTATTTTTAAATCATCTAATGCAATTTCTGAAACAATAGAACCTCCACTAGAGACAATACAAAATTCCAAAATATCTAATGGAACTTCACGACCAACAAAGAATATAAATTTAGAAAATAAAGTTGAAGTTGGAGATAAAAATCTTGATGGTTGAGCTAATAAATCACCAGTACTTTTGTTTTTACTTTCAAATTCATCTAATTGAGCTTCTTCAACATTTTCATTATCATCTCCTTCTTGTTCTTCTTCAACTTCATCATTATCGGCTTCAATAGCTCTACTAATTTCTTCATTTGATAATTCAGTACCTTCAGCAATTTCAGTAGATTCTGATTCAACTGGTTTTTCAGTTGGTAATAAAGCATTAACACCTTGTTCCTTTGATTGTAAAACAAATGATGAAAGTCCACCAATACCCTTTAATTTCTCAATATCAATAGTTGGAGGATAAATTAAGTTAGCATCGTTATATAATCTGAATAAAGTGAAATGCAATAAAGTAGAATAAAATTCTAAGAAGGTTAACATAATTCTGAAATCAACATCAGTTGGAATATTAGTTGGGAATTTGAATGGAACTAACCATCTAACTTCTTGACCTTTAATATTAGCTTGGTAATAAACACCCTTAATAGAAACAAATACCTTTTTAAGAACTCTTTCCTTAGCAACATAAGCAAACCATTGGTTACATAACTTTTCAGCTTCTTTCGTTACTCTATGACTAACTTTATCAGTGGCTGGCATATTAGCAAATAAGAATAACATATTCAATGGATCATCAAGATCTCTTAAAGCATCCAAGAAAGTAGGATATCTTTCTTTAATTATATGTTCTAAAGTATATTTTGGACGATTTTGTTCTAATTTTTGAGCATCACTTACTTCACCTCTACCTAAAGCTCTTTGTAATTTTTTGGCAAATGTCTTATGTTCTCTGAATTTAGCTAACACAGGTTCATGTAATAAGTATTGAATATCTTTGGAATAATAAAATGTGACTGGAGCAGTTGAACCTTTATTGGCCTTCTTCTTATTTCTTGGTTCTCTTGGATAAATACCTTTGAAAATACAAAGTCTACGGAAATCAGCTAATGAAACTTGTAACTTTTTCACAGCTTGAGTTCTGGTAATGAAGTTTTTGGCATTACCAGAAGCACCTCTCTTCTTAATTTTAGCCATGTTTGATTAGTTATATGTATAGATATATTTCAACTACTTAGCTTATAACTCTATAAATTTTGAAAATAACTTTTCTTTTGATTTCTGGATGAGATGAGTGAAAAAAAAAAAATCAGTAACAAAAATAGTGTATGCAGGAAATTAAAAAAATAATTGCAAAAATTAACAAATTGGTAGCGCGGATTAGATTTGATCTAATTCTAACTTAATAAAGACAAGTAATATCCACATTTCATGAAATCTATCTCTAAGTCTAATTATATCCACAACTTGGACTTTGTTATTTTGACCAGTATCTTCGTCAGAAGCTTGGGTTTGATTTTGACTATTTTGGTTCTGGTTCTGATTCAGGATTTGCCTCTGACCAAAAGGTACAACACGAACAAGTTCTTGGAGTCGACGTTCAAACTGATTTTGTACATTTTCTTGAAGTTCTGAAGCAGCCCCTGACATGAAATCCCTAATTAAATCATTTAATCCTTCTTCTGAACCTGGGTCAAATTCCGGTTCCGTCTGTTCTCCTTCTTCCTCAGTATCTTGTTCTATCTCTCTAATATTACTTGAGATTGGAACAGATTCCATTACTGGGACATAAAACAAAGGAGCAAAACTTCTTGCAACGTCGTATAATAATTCTTTAATATCTGTTAAAGGGTATTCTAAAAGGGATTTGTTACCAAATTCTTCATATAAAGATTTTGCTAAAGCTTTAATGACTGACTGTAATGAATCGAAAACTTGCATTTGGGTATCATTTTCAGAATTAATCCCTATAATAGTTCTAATTTGATCAATTGTAAGCTTTAGATCTGATCTCAATATTAACTCAATTAACCACGTCTCCGAATTAGAGGGATACTTATTTACAGCATCATTTTGATAGTGAGAATAGGCGTTTTGTAAGGAATCTAATCTAACATTTTTCTTTGAATCAAATGGATCTTCTTCTTGGGAACCCAAACCAGATTCAATCATCATTGATAGATTAATTAAAATAATGATTAATACTGATGAAATAATCAAAATAGAGAAAATGAAGGAGAAAATCAAGGGGCAAAAGTGGTGATAAAAAGTTTGGCAGCACGAAATGTTTATTTTTCCTGATTTTATTTATTTACAACACAGTTCATTTGCAACAGATAATACAAAGAAAGTCATAATCACCATCAACATGTCTCAAAATACTGATCTGGATGGTTATGAAAGTGATGAATCCTTGGAAATATATATCCCAATCACTTTGACAAATGATTTAGATGTTCCTGATCCTGAACAATTATACACTCATTATTTCTATATTTATTTCTATAGAGCGTTCGATGAGGATAGTTATACGTTTCAGAATCTCGTAGGTAAACTGGCAGATAAAGAAATTGAGAAGTATCCGATCCATAATTGGAAGCATTTGAAGTTCAAAATGCAATTGAAGGAGTTGCTTAAAAAGAGTGGTGTATCTTTTGATCAATACAGATCCATTAAATTTGGCCACAAACATGATCAATTGTATGTTGCAAATCACTTTAAAACTGATACGCCCATTGTAATCCATGAAAATGACTTCTACGACTACAAACTGTCTACATTAGAATCCATATCCAAGTCTCCTTTAAGTCATACTTTTCTTGATCCAAAGCATATTCATTACAACATTGAATCCAAGCACGTGAATCACTTCAAAAGTTTCATGGAGAAAGAGTACTTACATTATTTGAAATTATTGATGAATTTAAATCGTGAAATTCCTTCAGGATATGATGATTACACTACTCCTTTTAATGGATTACTTCTTGATGGTAGATTCAGTTATCAACAGATATTCGAAAACCAGAACTTATAGAGCCCACCAAAACGTGTTTGATTGATGAGAGTACCCAAAAAAACGTTGCTTAATTTTTTTTTATGACATATAAATAGAAAAGAAAAATTTCTCCACGTTAAATTTTTTTTATTAGAGTTTTATCGTTTAAAAGGCTGTAAAATCAGTTTAGTTCAGAGACAGAGGAAATGTCCTTCCAGGATGTGTTGAAAAGAGGGGATGAATTCCTTTCAGAATACCCTAGAAGAGCTGGCTTTTGGAATTATGCTTCCCATGCAACATGTTTGATGATGATCTTGCAGTCAAAACTACTTCTTAATGTGCTATACAAACCTAGATTACATGATGTCCATAAATTAGATGATGCCTTCGCAAAGGCAAGGTCAGAGAAAAGAGCATTGTTAACTGTCATGAATCATATGTCTGTGGTAGATGATCCTACTTTCTTTGCAGCATTACCAATGAGATATCATTTACATGTCGATGATATAAGATGGGGATTTGGAGCTCATAATGTTTGCTTTTCAAATTTAACTCAATCTTGGTTTTTTAACTTGGGTAAGATTTTAGGAACTAAAAGATTTGGTGAAGGTCCATTTCAAGGTTCCTTAGATGCCGCAATTAGAATTTTAAGTCCAGATGATACTTTAGATTTAGAATTTTGTCCTGGAGTTAAAGATATTGAAAAACCAAACTTATTACAAGAAGTTAATCAAATAACTCCTCAACCAAAAGATACTACCAACTTAGTCAAATTCATCAAACCATCCCCAGAATCAACTAATGTTTTAATGTCAAAATCTCCATTCATACGAACAAGAACTTCTTGGTTCCATGTTTTCCCTGAAGGGTTTGTATTACAACTTAAAGAACCACATAACAACTCAATGAGATATTTCAAATGGGGTGTATGTCGTTTGATACTAGAAAGTACAAGAGCTCCAGTAGTTGTTCCTGTTTTTGCTTCTGGATTTGAAAAAATTGCTCCTGAGACAGCTGAAGAAATTGGATTCAGAAGATGGTTACCAGGTAATTTAGGTGCTGAGATTCATATCAGTTTTGGAGATGCATTCCCTGATGCCACCATAGAAAAATATAGACAAAAATGGAGAGATTTAGTTAAGAAATACATTGATCCCAAGAATCCAACTGATCTTACCCAAGAATTAAAAGAAGGAAAGAAAGCTCAACAATTAAGATCTGAGTTAGCAGCTGAATTAAGAGAATCAGTATTAGATTTAAGAAATTCACAAGGTATGTTTAAACCAGAAGATCCTCGTTTCAAAGATCCAGTATTTTGGAGAGAATATACCTCTACTGAAGGTATGAGTGATCCTGACGTTAGCTTTGTTGGATTAAACTGGGCTGTCAAAAAGTTACAAAAGCATTTGCCTGAATATACAGAAAAGTAGATCAAGACAACACGGGTTTATAAAAAGAAATATATAGTAAATACAACATGTATATAGAGGGCAAATAAAATAGTAATTGCTAACATAATATAATTTAATTTAATATAATTTTTACAACCATTATAATTTTTTTTTGTGGGAGCGAAGACAATCAATTTTTCAAATGCCTTTAACGAAAGTCTTTATAAAGACAATTATATAAAAAATAACCACAACAATGATACTGAGAGGAGGGAGTCGGGCATTCGTGGGACTCATACCGTCTTCCACTGGTATTGAAGCCACCAGACTTCGGACATTCTTTTTAAATCCTATATATTTACAATCATCAGCAAATCAACTTCATCAAACAAGATATAGATCATGGTTTAATCCATTAAGTCGGTTTAATAATACTAAAGATGTGATACGACATGATAAGCCGAGCATTATTGAAGAACCAACAGATGAGAAACAAACCAAGAGTGATGTCAAACTTGAAGAAATGAGACATTTGTTAAGATCTAGTGATCTGTCTGTGAAATCGAGACATAAGTTATTAGCAACTGTTTTTGCTGAATATATAGAGAACAAGGAATCAATTACCACAAAAGAAATCAATGAGATTGATACGATACTCAATGGGGTTGATATTTCAATAAAGCAAAAAGGTGCAACTGGTTTGTTGGACTACTATACGGTAGAGAGTCTCATCCAGTTATTTGAATTAACAGCCACAAGCTTATTGAATGAAGGACAAACAGAGAATAACGACGACAATAGGTCACCAATCAAGAGACCTACTTTCAGATTACCTAAGTATATGGTGAAGCTCATCGAGAACTTTTCATCCTTAGATATGAAAGATTTACCCATAAGTTTATTTACCAAGATCGTTGATATTGGGGCAACTTTAAAAGATTACGAAACAGTCATCTACAGTTTAATAATCAGCAGACGTGATGAAATAACTCCGGAATTTTCAAATGAACTTATCCATTATTATAAAGACGTTAAAGTGTTGTCTAAATCTTCAAGGGAGAGACTTGTCATGGATATTTTTGAAATATTCATACAATGTTCAATTAAAATTCCAAATGCTAATATCATAGATGACAGATTTCGTGGTCAATTTATTCAGTATATAGAGTCCTTATTTCAAGATCGTCCACCATTCACCCATGCTTATAAGAATCTTGAAAGAAGTGTTGACAGAATACAGTATCTCACATGTCAAATGCTTTCAAAAATTAAATTTAATGAATCCTCACCCGTTACACTAGTCAAGTTGACATCATTTTCTAGTGAATTAACTGCAGCAGGTAACAATCAAGAATTGAGTGATGCTATGATCAAAACTTTAGCTAGCTTAGTTGAACAGAGTAAAGAAAATAATTTTGATATCATAAAAGATGTTATTTTTCAACAAGATTTGGATAGTGAATCTGTATGTGAAAATTTATTATTTATGGCTTGGAATAACCAACAATTTCATCAACTTGGAAAAGAATTATCTGAGTTCATTATTGCAAATGAAGTTAAATTTTCTTCCATATTAAGATTTCAAAGTACTATTTATAATATCTTACATTCTGAATTACCCGAAGATATGGATTTATCGGAAGTCATAACTTACACCGTGGAAGATTTCAAAGAAAAGGACTCTTTCATCGATTTGGCAAATGCCTACACTAGAATAATGCAAGCCATTATAACTTCTGATGTATCGCCAACCAGTGAAGCGGTTAAAGCTGTCACGAGATATTTCACAAGAGATCTCCAAATAGAAATCTCGCCATATGCTTATAAATATAGAATCGACAAAGCAATCCAGAAAAATGATTGTGAAGCTGCAGTAACTATTTTTGATGAAAGTTTAACCAGTACTCTTCAATGGCAATTGGAATCTGATCCAGTGATATTCAAGACTTTGAACGATTTAATTGTTCTTGTTTGCTCAGATGATAAAGATGCTGCATCTATTTTCCCAATATTCACTAGAATAAAACAACTGATGGTTAGAAAATGTAACGTGGAAGCTATTACCGCCCTTTCAAAGAAAATGTTAGAAGTTGAATATGTTGGTGATCTAATTGAAATGTTGAAGAGAGAATTACCAACTATAGACAAAGACTCAAGAGTGAGGTTACCGATAGACAAACCATATGGTGCGAAGTATTTACAACTTTTCAATGTTTTACATGATTTCGTTATCCAGTATACCAACGAAGAGACATTTGAAACGAATTGGGTCTTATATGGTGAAATTCAACGATACTTTAACATCCCTGATGATAGATATTTACCCGCCCTAGAATTCTTTAGTGAAAAGGGTCGATTGAATGCGGCATTATTAATCTTTCGCCGAATTAGACAAAACAGCGATTATTTTGATTTTGCTCCACCTCTGAGAGATATCTATATGTATTTATTCAAAGTGTTTGGAGAGAATCTTTATGAAGATGGTGTTAATGAATTATACTCATACTTGAACTTGGATACAAAATTAGATTCACAAGATATAGAATTACAAAATCAGGCCTTGAATGCTTTTGCTAATTTACAAGATGTGCCACGAGCTCGTGATTTATTCTTATCCATGTCATCTAACCCTAAGAAATTTGGTGGAGTTAATGAAAAGACAATTCAAATTATGATTAAAGCATATACTTATCACGATCTTGCATACGTTCAAAGATTATGGAATAACTTATCTCAATTTGATATAATCCCAGATCACAACATTTACAAACAATATTTAATTGCATATGTATATCATGGTTACGCCGAAGAAGCTATAAAAAGAACACAAGATATTCAAGATCTTGATTTGGAAATGACTACCGATATATTACTAGATTTAAACAATTTCTGCTTTGAAGAGAGAGGTCAGAAAGTTATAGTTGAATGGGCTCAATCTACATATCCGGAATTATGGCAGAAAGTAGTTGATACAGGTTTGTTAAGATCGGCTACGAAATACATGCCATCGACAAATTTAATTGCCGGACAGAAAGAAGAAGAATAATAATAAAAACCTTTTGTATATAAAACTATTTATGAACCTTTTGTAAATACTAATTTAATATTTTATCTTGAACTTGGTCTACTTTGTTGTAATTTTGTACTGTTGACCTTAGTTGCGAATCGAAGAGAGTTAACTGTTTCGCTGAAATTCTTTTGGGATGGGGAAATATTAACAAACATTAAAGTTTTAGAATTACCACCCAAGCTATGTTTTAAGAGATAGGTTAACTTTGAATTTCTATAAGGGATATGTTGACCTTTGTTATTTTGTTTTTGACCTAATGAATAAATAACATCACCCAAGCATGATAAAGATTTATTAATGGCTTGAGTTTCTTTCAATCTATCACCTTTAGCTTGAGAAGCAACTAATCTTTCTGATCCAGCTAAATCAATTAAATTCAAAGTACCCTCTGAAGTGATTTGCTTTTCAGCGTTAACACCATGTAATTTAAATATGAATATAAGATGTGATCTAGATGATCTATCATTGGATTTAGTGAATGCAGTTGATCTATTGTTAGTGGCTTTACTCAAAATACTATTAGCATGTGCTTCAGAAGTTATCTGAATGGTATGGATATTAGTAACTGTCGTTTTCGCTTCAATATCATCATGTTTGATTTCATATTTTAAATTGGCATCACTTGGAGCTAACAAATCGACTATATTCTCATTATATATTTCAATAAATTGACCCCGAACAGTATATTCCCAACCCTTAGACTTCAACTCCTCAATATCTGAAAATATTTTACCAAGCGATAATGGGATCATTCCATCTTGGGGATGTGACATTGTATAAGTTTTTCCTGAACCAGTTTGACCATATGCAAACACACATACGTTATAACCATCCAATGAAGATTGAATCAATTGTGAAATTTCTTCAAATATTATTGGATTATGCGATCTGGAATTGAATACTTTATCAAATTGAAATGTGTAAGAATTACCATTTGATTTCACTAAACTATATGAGTTTGACTCCATATCTTGTCCATTTGAAATGGTTAATTCTTGATTTGAATTTTCATTAATTTCATCTTCAGTAACTTCAATATTAGAAAGTTGTTCTAACTTGTCTTGAATCGGCCTTATACGACAGAAGACACGGATATTTCCCTTTAGTTCCTGTAATCTGTTATGCAAGTTTCTCCTTCTATGTTCATAATTAGAAAGAGATTCATTAATTCGTTGAACTTGTAAATTATACTCCTTGATTCTGTTGGACTTATTCAGTATGCCAGTTTTTATCTCATCAATTTGAGACTTTTTATTAATGATATTATTCTCCAATAAGGTAACCTCAGATTCCTTAGCAGCAAATTTAGCTTCCAATTGCAGGAATAATGAAGTGAGTCTAACTTTCGAATTCAGTAAGTCTTGCTCCAATAAGGTTTCAGAACTCTTCAATTCTTTAGTTTTACTTTCTCTTTCGATTTCTTTATTAAGTAACTCATCTTTGAAAGATCGTATACTGTCATCCAACTTCATATTTTGTTGTATATGTTTCTTATGATATTCCTCTTTAAGTTTTATTAACTTTCGATTCAGTTCTTGATCTTCTAGTTTAATAGCATTCTTTGTATCATTCAATTGTTGTACCATTGAATTCAATTTCTGTCTATATTCCTGTTCACCTTTAGTTATAATCGCCTCTGCTTCTGCAGTATATTTTTCTTTAATCTCATTTACCCTATTATTATGATCTACTTGAGCAGACTTCTTTTCCATGCTTAATTTCTCATGAAGTCTTTGTAAAGATGAATATTCTAACTCTTTCATTTCTTCAAGTTGGCTTTCAACCAAGTTAAGTTCCTTCTTTAGACTAGAATACTTTTCATCCAATTCATAATGGTTTAACTCATGTTCTTCCTTTTTTGTTATGAGAGTCGATACTTTTGATCTCAAATCCGAAAGTCTCTGTCTTCTATCACTTATAACTTCTCGTTTCCTTAAGATAGCAGTATCTTCAAAATCATTAAATTGGGAGTATTTGGACATTGAATCAATGCTATCTGAGATTTTCTTTAGTCTTTTAGCTGGTGGTTTTTCATCTTCATAGTTATGAGTTTTTGATCTGTTAAGGTTCAGAGGGGATGAACTCCCAAGGACAGAACGATTGACCAGCATCCTACCTTACTCTGAATGATAATTGATTGACCTTATATCTGTTACAATCATATTGCAATTTGTAAACAGTTCTGAATCGGTATGTTTTCATTTCTGCGCAACCATGTCGCATCAAAACATTGCGACATTGTTTGAACGAGACATTTTATTGCTGTTCCTGTATATTGAATAATTTTTTTTTGTAAGTTAGAGTCTTTAGATGAGATGGTTAAATATATATTTGATTTAGTATATAATAGCTTGATTTAAGTATCTATCTAACTAGTTATAATTAGAATATACATAGACACGATGGTAGTGGCTCTTAAGAAACAAAAGTTGAACCATTCAACAAAAGGAAAGGCTGCTCCTATAACGAAGGCTAAAGTAACCATACAAGAAGAAGAGTCTGAAGAAGAGGAGGAAGAAGAACAAGATGATGTTGAAGAAGAAGACGACGATGAAGAAATAGAAGAAGATGACGATGAAGATCTCGGGTCAAATGATGAAGTCGATGTCGCAGATGTATCATCATCTGAAGCAGACAGTGATGAAGATGATGATGATGATGATGAAGATGATTCTATTCCTAAATTGAAAAAGAAAAAGAACTTAGATGATGGTTCTGCATCATTTGCTAATGCTTTCACTGCTATTATTGGTTCTAAATTAAAAGCTCATAATAGGAAAGATCCAATATTGGCTAGAAATAAAATAACTTTAAAAAAATTAGAATCTGATAAACTTGAAAATAAAGCCAAGAGTGCCTTATTAAATGAAAAGAAACAATTACAAGATCAATTCAGAGTTAGAAATTTATTACCATCTGCCAATGAACCTGAAAAAGTTAGAGAAGTCTTGGAACATGAAAAGAAATTAAAGAAAGTTGCTCAAAAGGGGGTTGTTAGATTATTTAATGCTGTGTTATCAACTCAAATTAGAACTAATCAAGAAATAAGTAAAGAAAAAGTGGGTAAAACTAAAAAGGAAGAATTAATGAATGAAATATCAAAAGAAAAGTTTTTAGATTTAGTTCAAGCTGCTGGAGATGTATAAATTAACTTATGAAGTACATATAATTTTTTCATAGCATATCACCTGTATATTAGTCGTAAATATAAGTCATCAAAAGTAACACGTCTGTGGGGTTCCTATATCTTTGTAATTATAGTTATAGTTGTAGATATACTGTTTAACGGTAGCACTTCCAAATTGGTATAGATTCAAATTGCTCGGAAAAATGAAGTCGTTCCTCCACAAACGGTAATACACCAAAGAACTCCGCATTTTTATTATTCATCAAAATTCAATTTGATTCCCATAACCTCCCGCCTGTGAATGTAATTCTTCTTCTTTGGTTCATTGAGTCCATGCCTAATTCAATAACCTCACAAGGTAGTACCCAAGTCGGGGTACAGACCCAAACAAAGGCAGAATCATTCAATGTGACAGTGGTGAGTAGTAGGCCACCATTGGCTACTATTCAATCGAGTGCAGAGATTAGACATATGGTCAATGAAGAAGTGGGGATAATCGAAGTACTTCCAGATCAACAATCTCCATTGGGGAAGATGTCCATCTATAATCCTCCTAAAAACTTTGCCAGATTAGTGGTTTGTGTATTATGGTGCTTTAATGTTGGATTCAGTGATGCTGCTCCTGGGGCATTATTACCCCATATTGAGAAATATTATGGTACGAATTACGCTGTTACTTCATGTATTTGGATTAGTAATGCAATGGGATTTATTGTGGTGGCAGCATTATCTCATAAGATTCAGCCTTGGTTAGGTAAACGAATGTCAATGACATTTGGTTGTTTTTTAAGTAGCATTATGTATGCAATAGTTTCCAGTGGAACTGTGTTTCCAGTAGTTGTAATTGGATTCTTCTTTGGTGGAGCCGGAGTGGCAATTGTATTATCTCAAAGTAATGTATTCATTGCAAGACTTGAAAAAGCATCTAAATATTTATCATTCTTTCATGGATTTTATGGTATAGGAGCTACAATTTCTCCATTACTTGGAACATTAATGGTAAGTCATGGAGTTCCATGGCATTACTTTTATTTAATCTTATTAGGATTAATGATTACAAGTTGTGCTTCGTTCTTCTGGACATTTGAAGGTGCTGATGAAGATTTAAAACCATGGGATATTGATGAAAGCAATAACAATAATAATGATGGTAATATGGCAGCTATAGAATTAGAACAAATTGGAAGTTCAGAAACCACAGATGATCCCGTTCGTAAATCTAATGATATGAGTCTAATGGCTGATGCATTAAGAAATAGAGTTACATGGTTAATTGCATTTTTCTGCTTATTTTATCAAGGTTCAGAAGTCTCTATAGCGGGTTGGATTGTTTCATTTTTATTAGATTATCGTCATGGTAATCCAAATACAGTGGGTTATGCAGCTTCCGGGTTTTGGGGTGGATTGACTATTGGTAGATTACTTTTAGCTCGTCCATTACATGTACATGTTGGAGGTAGAAGAAGTGTTATTATTGTATCCCTAATTGCCATTATATTAATGGCATTAGTATGGGCCATTGACAATATATTTGCTGAAGCTGTTCTCGTTGCTATCGCAGGTATATTCATAGGTCCAAACTATACGTTATTAATTGCTTACACTGCTCTGGAACGGTTATTACCCCGTAAGATCCAAGTCATATCATTAACTATCATGACAGCCTTTGGATCATCAGGAGGAGCATTATTCCCATTCTTAGTAGGGTTATTATCAGAAAAGGTTGGTACATTTGTAGTGTTACCTGTTTTCATTGCCCTTTACACATCGATGGTAATCTTATGGATTTGTTTACCTAATATTGAAAATAGATCAGGAAATAATAAGCAAACACTCTGGGATAAGTTCTGGTAGAATAGAACGATTTAGCATAACAAATTTCTATAAAACTAAGGAAATTTATAGATAAATGTACATAGTATAACAAAGATCTTGTGCAGTAATATACTTGTAGGTGCTACCACGCACGCGTAAAAAAATTCTAGAAAGAGCATAACAGGCAAAAAAAAAAAATGATTTCGTGGAAATTCTAAATTTAAGGTCAAAGAGTATAAATTGGGGACTGATCCATTCATATTTCAATTCATTCAAATATCACTTTCTCTTCATAACAATTATCAAAACCATGACTGTTGGAAGTGATATTAAAAGTGGAGAAAAAGCCTTGGCTGAAAGGGATTATCTTGGAGCCATTGGCCATTTCACATCAGCTTTAAAAGAGAATCCTACTGCTTTTCAAGCATTACTTAATAGAGCTAATGCTTATACCAAATTAAAAAATTATGAAGCTGCTACTAAAGATATTTCAGCTGCTTATACTACTGCACAAGAAAAGGGAAGAAGAAATGATATTGGGTTATGTTATTTCAGATTAGCTAATATTTATTATTTGGAAAAGAATTATAAATTAGCTGTAAGTCATATTAATAAGGCTATAGCTTTGAATGGTACTGATCCAACCTATCTGATTTGGAAAGCTAAATTTGAAATGGAATTAAAGAAGAATCCTCAACTCGTAGAAGTTAATGATGAAGAGGAAGAAGATGGATTTGCTGTGATTAAAAGTATTGAAGAAGAAGAACCTGAAAAAGAATCCAAGATTGTACCATTACCAACCACCACCATCACATCTGATCCAATTGTTAAACCCATTACCGACAAACCATCCACCAGTATTGATGTTATTAACCAACAAGCTCCATTAAAAATCAAAATCAGAGAAGATTGGTATCAAACCAATGATACCGTTATCGTTACTATTTTCGCCAAGGGAGTTAATGAAGATAAATTACATATTGAATTTGATTCTCGTTCCGTTCAAGTTTCATTCCCTACTGTTTCAAGTTCTGAATATAGTTATAATTTAGATCCATTATATGCTGAAATTGATGAAACCAAATCATCATATAAAGTTTATGGAACTAAATTAGAAGTTAAATTAGTGAAGAAGGTTGCTAAGAAATGGCCAACTTTAGAAGGGTCAGGACAAGATGACACTACAGTTATTACTTCATCTGAATCATCCACTACCACTAGTGATGTTAAGAATGCTGCTTTAACTTACCCAACCTCATCTAAGAAAGCCATCAATTGGTCCAACTTTGCGGTTGATGATGTGGAAGAAGAAAAGAACGATATGAGTTTTTTTACTGATTTGTATAAAGATGTAGACGATGATACCAAGAGAGCCATGATGAAATCATATGTCCAATCCAATGGGACCGTCTTGACTACCAATTGGAAGGAAGCTAAGGATAAAGAATTTGAAACTAGTCCACCAGAAGGTATGCAAGCCAAGAAATGGGATACTTAAAAAAATGGTAAGTAAATAAGTAACGATCTCTATTTCAAAACCAACCCCCTCCTTCCAAATCTCAATTGATTCTATAATTATTTAATTTATATACGATTTTAATGTACTATTTGTTTTAGCTAATTTGGTTTAGTTTATTTATCATCGGTATGTTCCGGTATCTACTCCGATAATAAAAATCTCACGACATACAAATATACGGAACTGTCAATTTTTTTTGAGGGGTTGGTTTGTGTAATTAGTAATTAGTAATTATGAATTATCAACAAAGCAATTTACGCCATTGCAATTGATCAATTGTGTTTCAACATCATATATATATACATACATCAACAGTGAATGATCTTGTATAATTCAATTGTTAAACCAGGGTTAAGAAATTTGAAAACATCATCAATTATTAAAACATTCGTTACCAATATGCATATTGAATCGATTCCTATGAGATGGGGAAGTGGCAATAATTATGCTTACTTATTGATTGATACACCTACCAAACACGCATGGTTGATCGATGCTGCTGAACCTGAAGAAGTCACTGATTATATCAAATTACATAAACCTAATTTTGAATTGAAAGCGATTGTGAATACTCATCATCATTATGATCATGCTGGTGGTAATAAAGATTGGCATGGGAAATATCCTGATTTACCTATTATAGCCGGTAAAGATGCTGCTCATGTTTCATATACGCCATCTCATAAAGAAGTGATTGATTTAGGAGATGATTTATCCATTACGGCGTTACATACTCCATGTCATACTCAAGATTCGATATGTTATTATGTAGTTGATTCTAAAACTAAAGATAAAGCTGTATTTACTGGTGATACACTTTTCACTAGTGGATGTGGGAGATTTTTTGAAGGTACAGGGGAAGAAATGGATCAAGCTTTAAATCATATCTTAGGGAAATTACCTAAAGAAACTAAAGTATATTCAGGTCATGAATATACTGCTTCAAATGTTAAATTCTCCAAAACTATTTTAAATAATGATGCTATAAAGAAATTAGAAAAATTCGCTAATGAAAATGAATATACTACTGGTGTGTTCACCATTGGTGATGAATTAGAATTTAATCCATTTATGAGATTACATGATCCAATCGTACAAAAGAAAACTGGATATACTACATCAACTGATGTGATGACTAAATTAAGAGAATTGAAAAATAGTATGTAGAAGAAGGAGAAGATGTTGATTTTATAGGTTTGATTTTTCTGTAATGTTTATTAAATATATATATATAAACTATGTTGTCATATTCTTACGAAATCAGGTTTTAAATCATCATTAATCCATAATTCAGGTTGCCATAATTCAATAAATTCCAAATCAAAATCAGATTTCCCCATAGCGAATTTTTCATATTCTTCAAATATCCCACTCATACACCAACCTTGTAATAATTTTCTCATTAATCCAACTAATAATCCTGTCCGATGTTTCCCCTTATTGGAATGAATCAATATAGGGAAACAATTCTTATTTAAGAGGAGTTGTAACGCTTTCGTCAATGATTCTTGAGCTTGTCTATGTTCTTCTGGTTTATTAAATGGTTCTTGAGATGATTCAATTAATAAATTATGAAATTGAATATCAGTAGTGGATATCCATTGTAAATAATTAGCATAAATATCTCCTGTACCTTTATCTTTATCCTTTGATTTAGATTTAGATTTAGATTTATCTTTATCACTATTACCATCTTTCTTCTTTTCTTTCTTTGGTTTCTCATGACCTAAATCTCCCAAGTATATAATAGTTTTCAATCCTAATTGTTCTAAAAATGGATAATTTATCGGCATGGGGAATCCACTTCGATATATTCTATCTTCAACAAGAGAGAAATTCAAAGGTGGTACATATTGGATTTGAGGATGATACGTTATTAATACCGGATTATTATTATATTTTTGATATATGTCATGTTGTAAATCCTCTTGATCTTGGTCATTGATTAACGTGAGTGTTTTACTTGAGCTTGAAGTTGGTAATGGTGTTATAGGATATACTATCTCTGAACTACTCATGATATGATATGAAATGATAAATCTATATGGAATCGGTTTATATGGGATGGATAATATGGAATGATGTAAAGAATGACTGATTGAAACTGATAGTTAATGCTGTGTGGGATACTTTTACGATTGGTAATGACTCTTGTATTGAACTGAACCTACACGAATAATGACCTCTTTCACTTATACAAACATGAGGTTCAAACCTAAGCTTTTAAACTGATTAATTCATACTTCATTTGATAAAATTCCCTTTTTTTTTAATTTATCCATTTTTGGTTAAAATGGGCTATATGCAGGAAATTATACTATAATTTTAACTATTAAGTTAATACGGACTATAATAGTAATGAAAAGAGCCAATAGAAACCTACTGTTAATAATGGTTCATGAAAGTACTACAGTTTCCGATTGAACAAAATAAAAAGTAGTTAAATGAATAACTAATAAATTTCAAATCAACTCTAACTCACATGACTGACTAAAGAGCTCATAAGACCTTTTGGAAATAACCTGTAAATAACACTTAACCTGTAAATATCTTAATTTACAAGTTACCTCATCATAACCTGTAAAAAAAGATCAATCATTCACCAAAAGAAAATAAAAAATAAAAAAAAAATTTGAACGGTAAAGATTTTTCACTTATCCCAAAAAGATATATATTGGATAATTATTACTATTTAGTATTTGACTCCCCTTCATCATCTTGGTATAAGGAGAGGATATTCATCATAGTGGGTTTGAAGAAGGATAATTCATAGATTTCATATATATCCATATATTGCATGCTCATTCTATTCATCGAGGATATATTGCCATCTCAACTCTAACTTAAATTGATTACCATCAACATAATAATAATAATATCATATACATACATATAAACACATCACACATCATGTCTATGTCTTGGTTATTTGGAAGTTCCTCATCAGCCAGCTCTACCACACCTGCATCAACATCTAGTACTAATGACAATAATAATAATGACAGTTTAAAACAATCACTTGGATTTGATCCTGCTCAAGTGACTGATGTTTCAAATATATTAAAAACCCCGGGATTATTCGATTCTGCCAGATTACACCCTTTAGCTGGGTTAGACAAGGGGATTGAATATTTAGATTTAGAGGATGAACAATTGAATAACGTTGAAGGATCACAAGGGATAATCCCATCCAGAAGTTGGAGTGATGATTTATGTTATGGAACTGGAGCTGTTTATCTTTTAGGATTAGGATTTGGAGGACTTTATGGAGCTCAAGAAGGATTTAAAAATATTCCAAAGGGGGCACCAGCTAAATTACAATTAAATACTATTTTAAATCATATTACCAAAAGAGGTCCATTTTTAGGTAATTCAAGTGGGGTTATTGCTATGACTTATAATATCATCGATAGTACATTGGATGCTATAAGAGGTAAACATGATGATTTCAATTCCTTAGGTGCTGGTGCTTTAGCAGGAGCATTATTTAGAAGTAGTGCTGGAATAAAACCAATGTTTATTTCTTCAGTATTAGCTACTGGGGCAGCAGGAATTTGGTGTGGTGCAAAAAGATACTTACAATATTAGATTATTGTTGTGATCTTTCTTCTTCTCTCTTGATATATACGTTAATTTATCTGTACATAAATCCTTTCTATTTAATCATTAGTATTATTTTTTCCATACGCCTTTTTTTTAATATAATATATACATAATTTTTAAAGTCTATTAATCTATATGTTCCTAATCTTGTTGATGGGATCAGTTCATACATTGACAGATGTGGTACTTTCACTAATCCTACTCTTTTTAAACATTGATCCCATATCTTTCCCATTAAGTTCAACCTTGACATCATCATTTCTTCTCTTTTTACTCTTTTTCTGATCACCACCACCACCTCCATTTCTCGGATCAATCACCACTGGTTCAATCACAGTTTCAGAATCCTCATAAGACTTAATCAATGGTTCCCATCTTGATTTCCTCTCCTTTAAATACTCATCAAATTCTTTACTATCTTTATAAAATTTAGTCATGGTTAAATCCCTTATGAAAATTTTCGAAAAAAATTTATCCTCCTTTAATTCATCCTCCTGTAATAATTCCTCCATAGCATCATAGGTCTTACATTTAGCAATCTTAGCATAATAAGGAGATTTTCCTGGGACTTGATTTAAAATCATATATTTCGTATTAGGAAATCCATCTTGATTCATCAATTTACAAATGTTAAAAAACTGACATACATTTTTATATTGGAATGAAGGACCATGTTTATTAAACACGGAATAATTGGTTTCGGCCGATTCAGCAATCATTCCTCCGATTCGATCATTTTGTAATGTGGTTTGTAAATGTTTGAAATCTTGATATGATAATAAACCTCCATTGATGATCACTGATATTCCTTGTGATTGAATGTAAGGGATGAGTTTGGGTAAGTAATTCCAGATTATATCTTGACGGTTTCTCATTTGTCGTTGACGACAATGGATGGTTAAATTATTAATCCCGGTTTGACATATTCTTTCAATGAGAGATCTTGTGGTTTCATAATCATCTAATAAACGGATTTTACAACTGATGGATTTTTGAAATGGTTTACCTACTTTCTCTACTAAATCTCGTAAGATTGAACATAATAAATCAGGAGTAGATAATAAAGCAGCACCCATTCCGGAATGAATGGAGAAATTCTTAGGACATCCACAATTTAAATCAATTCCATCTACATCATGAATCACTTTTAAACTTGCTTTGACGGCTAATTCAGGATCAGCACTACCTAATTGTAAGATCAATTTACCTTGTTCTTCATTGGGGAGAGTTCTGAACACGACAGATTGCTTATGACGGACATTTTGAGGATCATTATAAATATAATCAATAGTATTAAGTTGAGAATTTATGATTCGAGTAGTTTGAATTAATTTCTTATCCACTAATTCTGGTGTCCATACTATATCTGCCCCATTTCGAAGAGTAGCTAATCTCATCGGTAGTTCTCCACTCCGAACCATGGGAGCAAGACATAATTTACCTGAGAAATTTATCATCCCGTATTGATAATTATTGATGTGATGTGGGTATACTTGTCTGAGGTCTGTACAGCTTATGAATTTTTTTTTTAAAAGTTAAATTTTTTTTAATGAGGTGAGTTATATGCAGGGATAGACCCAAAAAGTAACAAGATATAATTACATACATTAAGGTTAGTGTAGAATAAGTTAAGCACTAATATATTGTAAGTGAAAGAGTGGAGAGTGGGGGGTATAATACGATATACGTGGTTGGAAAGTATGATAACATGATCCAACAGGGGGAATTCCTTCCATAAGGAGTAACATATCCATTATTACGAAGGGAGTACACGATAAAAGGTCAAGCCAAGAAAGAAAGAAAGAGAATTAATAAGGAAAAGGACAACCATAGACTAGATGATCAAGTGTACATATCGATATTATTTAATCATACAATAAGACTCATTATAAAATAATGAAAGTCCAAGAAATGAAATGATTTAATAATAATAAGATAGAATAGAATAGGATAGCTATATTCGTAACTGACATTAACGTACATTAAGCAAAATATGATCCACTCATTTTGAGTGAGCTAAGATTGAAAATTAAGATAAGCGAAGGAAGAAGAAGTGAAGTGAAGTGAGTATATGATGGATTAGGAAATAATAAAGATTATCTCATGACGCAAGGTATGAACGCCTTTATCCATTATATCCACCTATTTTCAAATCCCACTGTTGGAATAAGTCAAAGTTAAGTCAAGTCAATCCCGCCTGTCAATTCAATTCAATTCGTATGAGTTATAGAGAGAGAGAGAGAGAGAGAAAGCGGTTGGAAAGGCTGAAACAGTGTGCAGGACATTCCTGCATAATGTCACAAGAAGAAAAAGTTTTTTTTTTTTTTCTTTTTCTTTTTTTTTTTTGGTTTCTGTTTCTGTTTATTTCAGATGATGATTTCTTTTCTTTTTTTAAATATTTTTACTTAATTCGGATAATATTACTGTTATGGAACGGATACTTAACCACTAGTAGTAAAGATATACGTAAAGTATTAGTAAAGTAAGACGTAAGATATAAGAAATCATATGTTATTTTCCCTCTCTCAGTTAAGTTAAGTTAAGTTAAGTTGTTTTGTAACGGTTATTTTTTGTTTGCTTTGTGACTATAAATTAAAAAAAAAGAAGGTGATTAAACAGAAGTTGTGGGGAGAGTCACAACAAGTCATCAGTAGATCAGAACAACAACTGATTGTTGTTATCTGTTACTTGTTACTTGTTATGTATGATTATCGGTATAACTATCTAACGGAACTAGATGTTTCATAATTTCAAGTTAAATGTTGTTGTTGTTATTGTTGTTGTTATTCCATTTCCATTTTTGTATGAATTTGAAAAAGAAATTTTTTATTTTTATTTATTTATCTTATCGCTTTCAGTTAAACAGCAGTAGAAGAGTATAGCAAACAACAACAACAACAACAACAAGACAACTAACCAACCAATGACTAACTAGATTAGTCACTCCATATCATCCTAATTATACACTGGTCCAACTTCTTCTAGACCATTCTATATCGTACAATTTAATCCTACCTAAATTTAGAGTGAATGATCAGTCAGTCAGTCAGTCATTCATCTTTTCTCTGTTTATACTACCAATTAAATGACCTGCACACAAGAGAAAATTTCTTTTTTGTGAATTTCTTTTTTTTATTTTGGTTGAGATGATTTTATCTGCAGGACCCATAGTTAAGTACTAAACAAAAAAAAGAAATGACACAGTTAAGAGGAAATAAAAAAAAAAAAATAAAAAAAATTAAAAAAAAAAAAAAAAATTTTTTTTTTATGTAAAATTTTAAATCTAAATATATAAAACCAAATATCACCTTTTTTTGATTATAAATAAAAATTTTATACCTTTCTTTCTTGTAATTATCATCAATTGTCATCAATTGTTATTCCATTCCTTAGTTTAAACCATCTAGATATCATCAATTCCATCAATTGAATAGTAATCACCTTTAGCCTTTAATAATTCATTTTTTTTGCACACAAAAAAAACACTGTACTCATTTTTTTAAGCAGACATAAAAATTACCTCTTAAGAAAGTATAATACCCCATTAATTATTTAATTAATCAGCAAGAATAACAACACCAAGAAGAAACAAAGAAGAATATATATTATACACATCCCCACCTCAACCCATGTCCTTATTATATCATCCCATCTCATCTACTACTGTTAGTTCCAGAGATTTAACGGGCTGTTTAACTCCAAATAATTTATCAAATCAATCAAATACTAGAAATTTAAAAATGTCAAACCCAAATACTAATGAATTATATCAACCAAAAGTGGTGATTCCAACCACTTCCAATTATTATACCAAACCTTACTTCACCCCTACTCCCGTGCCACCCACCAAAGAACAACAACATCAATCGGAAAATATTGGTACTAGCTCAACTAATAATCAAGATTCAACTATTTTATCACCTCCAATTTCTCCATATCAAAGAAATGTCACTTTAAACACTATCAAACCAATTATTACCGTTGAAGAAAAATCATATTTAATCAATTCTAATCAAGAATTCAAAATTGAGAACTTTAAAGATTATAAATTAACTATCGATGCTTTCAATACTAATACTATTAATGAAGATTATAAATCTAAACAATTGAATTTTATTAATAAATATAATTTAATCTCTAATGGTCAAACTGATATTTATATCCCTCCAAGAAAATATATCAAGAGGAAATTGAATGAATATAGTGATAATGACAATAATAATAACAATGGGAATAATTCCGCTACGGAATCTACATTTGAAAGAATTAGAACGAGAAGAATCATTAAGAACAAGAGTACTAATAGTGATTCATCCGATTATTTTGAAGAATTACCTATGACTCCACCTCCTCAAAAGAGAAAAAGACCAACTACTCCATCCACTCCTAAACGAGAATCAAACAATCCATCTCCATCCATTGCTTTACAACAGCAAATGTTGATTGATGAAAGTATTCCTGATTTCTCACCTGATGCATTTGAAACCTTACCCACTAATAATAATCGTGCTTTAAAGATTGAATGGAAAGGTCAACCTATGGATTTATCTCAAGATCCAAATAAATCCAAATTACATCCTGCTGAATTAAATTTAGCTTCGATTTTAAGATTACCCGTGGCAGTATATTTGGATTCAAAGAGAAGATTCTTTTTTGAAAAAGTGGATAGATTGAAACAAGGTAAACAATTCAGAAGAACTGATGCCCAAAAGGCATGTAGAATCGATGTTAATAAAGCTTCGAGATTATACGCTGCCTTTGAGAAAGTGGGATGGTTGAATGATATTCATTTTAAACAATATTTATAAGGAGACACCTCATACATTTTATTTCGGTATACTATTATTATTTTTTGTGATATTTTTTATTTATTTCAAAGGAAAGAAAGAAAGAAAGGCTTTCATTATATTTTTAACATTTATTTATTTGGACAACAACATTATCATCATTAGAGGAATCGGCAAGGATAGATTAAACTTACTCGGTCAAAAAAGAAAAGAAAAGAAAAGAACATACACATACAACATATTTATACAAACGTACGTTGATACGGTTTGGATTTGGTCCAAATGGAATGGAAGGTTATTCATTTTTATTACATTTATTTTTTTATTTACATTATAGAGTTCATTTATTAGGTTAGTTTTGTGAAATTGGGAATTAGGATTCATTCTAGGATACTTCAAAAAGAAAGAAAAAAAACATAGACAGAGTTAAGATACATTTTGTACAATATAGACAACAACTAACTACTACTTAGCGTAACATTACTTTATTATTTATTTTATTTGGATTCATTATTTTTATTTTATTTACCTTTCTGAGATTGTATATTTTTTTTTTTTATTTATTATATTTAATATATTGTTTAGAGTGATTGTGAAAATTAGAAGAATGTAGATAGATTGGGATGATCGTCATTCAAGCAGCTGTTGCAGCTTGGATTTCTTCCTCTTCCTCCTCCTCCTCATCTTTATTATTATCCTTATAAATATAAAATTGTAAAAATATAATCGAATCTTCAAAAATAGTCCCTAAAGATCCTAATAACCAACTTAAATTTAAAATCACATAATTATAATCATTTCTATAGAATAAAATTTGTCCCGCATATGTTAAATTCCCTAGCGTAGAGAATAAAAAGAAGAGTAAACTTAATCCATGAACTGATTTTCTTTGATGATTTTGAATAATTTGAGGTATACGAGCTCCTAAATATAATACTGCTGAAAGATATCCCATAACTTGAGGACCAATTTGAATATCTGGTGTTGGGATTGGTTCTGGTGTAGTTGGATCATCATTTTCATCCGGAATAACACTACCTAAGTAGAATCCGACAATCCCCGTTGCACAAACGAATAAAATAGGTAACACATATTTAGTAAAGATTGAATGATATTCGGGGTCCAAAGCAATATCAGTCAAGGTGGATGATCTTCTTCTATGATGATGATGATGTTCATGAGAACGATTAGGAACTAATGGTGTATGTTCAGTATCAACTATAGCACTAGTAGCATGACGTTCACGATCAGAATGAGTACTACTAACACTCTTCTTATGATGAGTTGTCTTTTTGGCTTTATTATGACTTTTAGGGAAAATATGAGTATAATACATATATGAAAAGATCATTAAGAAATCAGCAATACAAAACCAAACCGCTAAGAAGATAACTTCCGGTAATAATTGAGCCCAAATTGATCCAATAAGATTAAAAACATCACCTAAAAACCAAATACTAATGAATCCAATTGCAATCCCCTCAGCTGATTTCAATCTCCATTGTTCAATCAATTGAGGCATTAATAAGACAATCCAACATGCAAGAGAGGTTGAACCCATCACACCGGAGATTTGTCTTCTCCATGGTTCGATGGGTGGTTCTCCAGATGATAATAATGTGAAAAGGGAATTCATCAGAAGCGTAATGAGTCAATGAAAATGAAAATGAGTGAAATGAATGAATATTTATATGTGCAAGATTAAAAGTAATACAACAGTAGAATATGAGTGTGAGTTAAGGTTCTATAAATATCAGATCATATCACTGATGGTGAAAGTCCATACAATTAAAGGTTCAAGATATGAATAGATAAATAGCAAGAGAGATCCTTTAGTTTGAGATTGTTGAATGATGATGTTCGATGATAATGCAACGGAAGGAAAAAAAATGTTTATCGTTTGCAGATTCCCAATCGGGAATTTTCTCGTACACCTTTAAAATTCTTAATATTACAATTTTATATATTATACATATACATTATATTATACACATTGGTCTATGAGGTTGATGTAGTGGTGGTTTCAGTTTCAGTATCAACTTGTTTTTCATTAAGATTATCTGTTATGTTCTTAATTGCTTCTAATTCTGTAGTTAGCGACATATCAGGGATGAAATTTGATCCTAAGGTAGTATCATTCCCATCATCAATATCTGGAATATGATTCTGGCTGGTGATTCTAAACCCTGTTGTGGTGGCATCTTCTTCTTCCACTTCATCTTCATCATCATCTATTTCCATCGCATCATCATCATCTTCATGAACCACTTCCACTTCTTCATGTTCGGGCTGACTTTGTAATTCATCACGATTTATCATACCTACTTTCTCTAATAATTGAAATGCTTTATTATCAATATATCGATCTCGTAAATTAGGAATGAATTTAATCTTCGTCAAAGTCGAATCATGATTGATTCTTTCTGCTAAGGATTGAGTTTGTTTAATTAAATCATCCACTTGTTTCAAAATGAAATATAAAGTTTCATCAATGGGTGATAATGCTTTCAAAGCATCTTTAGCAGGTTGAGATAATTGATATTCTGAGGAAGAAGAAGTACTGGTGATATTATGATTTAAGAAATTAACTTGATTTTTAAATTCTCGAAGGGTAATGAGGATCTTCTTTGTCTTTAAGATTTGTAATCTTAATATTTGTCGTAATTGTAATTCTAATTTAATATTTATAATTAATTTATTAATTGAATCATCTAATTGTGATTTGGTATGGATAATTTCCAGATTCTTTAAAAATTGAACATTCTCATGATGTTTTAATTTAATCCATCCTTCTTCAATCAAATCTTGCGGTAACATCATTATATTTCTTAATGTATATAATTCAAATTTATCAAAATTCTTATCAACTTGATTCTCCAATAAGGTTTCTAATTTACCTGTCCCAATCGCAATTTCATCTTCAGGTATTCTCGTAAACACACTTCGTTTAGAATCATCATCAATCAATACAGAACTATCACCACCTTCACTAATCTCATTGAAAGCCTGTGTTTGTTTTTCCTTTAAATAAGTTTCAATCCCAGTCGTACAAGTATACATGATTTCATTAACTGCATTAATAACATCATCAATTAAAGCTAAAGGAGGAAATCCAAAATGTTCAGTCAATAGAGACGTCACTCTATAATCGATCGCACCACCAACACCACCACCATTACTCTTCGTATCTGTCATGATTGATTGATATACAGATACAGTAACTAACTTTGTCTTAACTTTGATTTCATTTGTTTATACAATTAAGCGTGTTTTGATTTTTATCAAATTGTGATCACATGACTGGACATGTGATTTATAAACCTGCATACAAATGTCCAATTAAAAAAAAGATGAAAATAATTAACAAAACCCAAAGTGAGAGGAAAATTGGTATAACATGAAGTAGGAACTATCTCTGTTTGATAAACCATTAGTTAACTATAACCAAACATATATACATATAATAATGGCAGGTACATTAAAACCAGATCCAGAATTCCAAAGATTCAACACTGCTAAAGAAAATTTAGGGGTTTATTTCAGATTTAAACCAAGATCAGCCTTGGTTAATGTGATATTTATGGGATTAGTTCCAGGTGCTTTAGCTTATTTAGCTTATAATACTGAAGGTCAATTATCATTTAATAGAAGATTTAGAAAAGATACTGTTTTAGAAGCTGATTCTTATGTTCCAAGAACTAAAGATTTAGATAATTAAAGTCATTTATTCATATTTTAGCATTTTCATCCAACCATTTCATTTTCATGTACATTATCCACCATCGACACATATAGAATAGTTTACCTATTTTGTTAGACAGTTTTAGCATTATAATAATATTTAAAAATATACATCCAATCCAGATATAGAGAGACTTTGAAGTGAATTACTGTAAGCTTTTTATTCTTTTTTTAAAAAAAAATTGAACGTATAATTAATACTATTATCCTATAATAATATTTTGTAGAATTGAAATAAACTTAATAAACATAGAGAAATTGTGAATATATTTCATCTCTGAATTGAATGATTTAAAACGGCATAAACCAAATGTATGCCTTTATTTGTTTGTTCCTTACTTATTTTTTTTTTTATTTTACCCTTTTTTAAACCTTTACTTTTATCTTCTGTTATTTAAATCAATTTGAAATTCAATTAATCCAGCCTTCATACTTTTCAAAACTCTAGGAGACTGTTGTTGACTTTGTTGTTGATTTTGATCTTTGGAATCATCACCACTACTATTATAATAATCATATTGATATTGACTATTATGATTTAAACTTTTAAAATTTTGAGTTGATTTAGTTTTACGTAAATTATTAAAATTAGAACCATTCGATTTTAAACCATCAGGATTCTCATAAACAAAGGAATAATGATTCCCCAATGCAAATACAGGAATACGTTGTGAACATTCACTGAATGATATCGATGGATTAGGTTTGATGGTGGGTCTCTTACTACTATTGTTGTTACCACTATTTGGAGTTAAGGATGAATCCAATACTAATGTAGTTTGAGATTTACTCATCTTAGAATTCAATAATGTACTAGCATTAGCACTGGTAATAGTGGTGGTAGTTTGAGATGGTGTATTGGTATGATTATTAAACGTAGGAGTAACAGGGGCAGTTATATTATTGAATGAATTACCACTAAATGAATAAGATTTCTTTAATACTTTATTCTTATTAATCTTAGCAATTGATGCTTTCTTTTTTACACTTTTAATTGAACTTGAAGATAAGTTCTTTTCATTTATGCTCGAAAGTTTTGTTACAGATGCAGTAGTAGATAAAGAAGATCTTGATGAAAGTCCTTCACTCTTCTCCTTACCCACACTACTATGACTTTGATGATTTATTAAATCTTCCGATTTTTCATCACAATCAAAATCAAGAAATTCAGAAATCAAAGCATCAGTAGATTTACGATCCTCTTCACCATCATCTTCTAAATCATCCTTCTTACCCTTATCTGGACTTGACGATGATAATTCTTCAAATGGATCCCCACTAAGTATATCATCAACAGTAACATCTCCACCATTACTCTCATGTTCAAGGATTATACCATGCATAGGATGATTTGCATCAAATCCATGCAGCAGTAATTGCGGATGACCATTATTATTATTATTACTATGTATTGAACTTGCAGATTGAGGACTTGAAATTGGAATAGTGCTGGGAGAATCTTCATCCACCGTGGAATTACCACCATAATGAGAATAAGGTGAATGGAACCCATTATTATGATGTTGTTCAGGGATAGTGTTACTAGTATTTGAATCAATATGAGTGAACGATGGATTGGATAATGACATGGGAGATTGGATTTCTTTCTTAATTTTAATCTCTCCAATTGATCCTCTTCTTGATGATCCGTTTGATTTAGACTTCTTCATGATGGATTTAGGTGGTGTGGTTGATTTTTTAACTGTGATAGGGGTATTAAAACTATCTTCATGTTTGACTTGAACAGGCAGCGATTCCACAAGCATGGTGGACATCTGAGGATGATTCGGATGATTTTGATGTTGCTGATGTTGTTGTAAGATTTGTTGATGTTGTTGCTGTTGCTGGAATTGCATTTGTTGATGTTGTTGTTGTTGTTGTTGTTGTTGTTGTTGTTGTTGTTGTTGTTGTTGTTGTTGTTGTTGTTGTTGTTGTTGTTGCTGTAATAACACTTGTTTTTGTTGTTGTTGTAATGAAAACAATTGTTGATCACTAATATGTTGTTGAGCATAATGATCCAGTAATTCTTGTAACAGTTGTTGTAATTGTCGTTGTTGTTCTTGAATTGAATCTTCCATTGATAATCCTAACCCTACAGTATTATTGTTTGACTTTGAAAATCCTTGTTGAACATTCATCCTATTATTATTACTCGTAGTAACACTACCAGTATTTGGAAATTGAATGATAGGAGAATTATTGGAGAAATTCCAAGTTACAGATGCAGGTACATTACCTAATAATTCATTATAATTCTTTTTAGTTAAACTTGGAGTCATAGGAGATATCATATTACCATTCAAAGGACTTGACAGTTGATTTATTCCCGAGGTGGTAGTCGGAGTAGCCACCATTTGTTGAGTTACAGGAACTACAGGAGAGAAATAAATCGCTTCATTAGTGGCATGAAGATTATTTGGAAAGGTAGGACTACTTGAAGTTTGAGGAGTTTGTAATTGCAGACGAGGTTGATTTTGATTTTGATGATTTGCATGGGATGAAAATTGAGGAAATTGATTTAATTGAGGCGATTGTTCTGAGAAACTATATGGTGGAGGAGGAGTATGAGATTGAAATTGCAGAAACGAATGATTTGTATTTGGTGACATAATATTATTACCATTACCAATAGTATTACTATTATTACTATTATTATTAGTATTTGAAGACATATTTGAATTGTTTTCTATAGTTATTTGTAACTGAGATGGTATAAATTGTAGATTAATATTCATATTATGTCTTTAATAGGATAGGGAAAGCGATTGATAATGGGGGTATTGATATGTTTAGTAGCGATTGTAAAAAATAGTGATAGATATTCAACTTGAATGGGGGATGGAAAACACAAACTAAAATTGGAATAAAAACGAATGAATGATATATGAGATTTACAAAACGTAACGAATGATGATGATGATGACTATAATAATAATATCGAAAGTTTTGGTTGAACCTTTTGATAGACCAAAATAAAGGATTGAAAGCGAAAGTGGGGTCTAATTAAAGGTTGAAATTAAGGATATAATCGATTTGATTAAACAATGTATGTTTTTGAATAATCAAATGATAACTTATTTAAATCGATATCCAACTTATAACAATAATGGAAAGGGGTGGTGAGATGTATATATATGTGAAAAGAAGTGATGATATCGAGAAATAGATATATATTAATTAAATAAATTTCTCAGAAATTCATATTTCCACTTTACTTCCTTCCCTTCACTTCGCTCACTCCACTGTTTAAAGTTTTATGGTTTGACCCTACCAAAAAAATCATCCCAGCGACTCACACAGTGAGAGAAGATCATTCGCTGAGGGAAACTTACTTACTAACTAATTTTTCTGCGCAACTTCCCGCTAATTTAGTGAGAGAAAAATGAATTTAAGTGCAGGGCAGACGTGGAAAAAAAAAGTGCTGGATGAAGGGTTTTAGGCACTTGAACCAGCAGTGCAATACTTCAGTATACCAACTATCTTTCTATTAATAGATATTAATTATATGATATTATTGGATATAGAAATCATAAGACATTATATACAATGTTGTGTTGGTGATATTTAAAATTATAGTTTAATCAGATAACATAATTACCACACACACTCAGAGAGAGCAATTATTATTAAGCTTCCTTCTTTCCTCGATCCTTAATTTTTCTTCTTCCTTGCTCCTGAACAGGAAAAACAGGGGCAACCCACTAATAAAAATGTTTCTGGAAGCATATTTTATAGTTTTACCAACAGTTTAATAGATAATTATTAAAATTGGTCGAGTATATCTCGAGATCATATGAAATTGTCATATTATTAATATTATTAGAAGTAAATCATTTCTTTATTTCATCCTAAAATTTCATCCCATGATGAGGTTTCACCCTTGTTTTTTTACCACTTTTTGATCACAGGGGACTTCTACCATTAAGCGAAAAGGTGGGATTTGAATCAAGGTTAATTCTTCTTTTGAATGCTTCTACTGGTTCAATTTCAACTCATTTATAATTTACCCCAATGATTTACGTATTTAAAACCTTAATAATAATCATCATTAATAGTAGTATACTCGAAATAATTACTGTAGTAGTTAACTAGTGTTATCTATCGCCCTTAATTCATTGTCATTTTTTCCTCGATAAGAGATTAAAAATAGCATCGATAGGGGAAAAAAATATTAGAGATTTAATCTTTATCGTTTGCCTTACTTTCAATTAGATGTTTAATGTGTTCTTAGTTACTAGTAACGTTACTCTATCACATTAATAGCATTCTCGTAACTTGAACTTTATTGAGTTAAACATTTTGAATTACTCAATTCTTTCTGAATTGTCTTATTAAAGGTTATTAATCGACTAAGAATAGTTTAAAATGGCTGTCAAAAGTACAACCTCCTAACATGATGACTCAAGATCTAACCTTCTTTCAGTAATCTTTTACTATCATTGTCTATCAAGTAAAGTAAATAGCAATCCAAATATTAGTTTCATTAATTTGCGGTATGGCACCAATTATCTGGTTGATGAAGTTTTGGGTAAAGGAGGAAGTGGGAGTGGAGGGGGTGAAGTGGGGGGTAACAATTTTATTATTAATGAGCTGATGAGGGAGGTCGTGTATTGTTGCTCAAAAAAGGAAGAACCGTCCGGGTGTAACAATAATGGATTTACGTCCCAATTAGGAAATCTAATTACTTACAGAATTAGCACCGAAAAATATTTCAGCCCAACCATCCACAATTTTTCCAACCAACTTCATAAAAATATGATGATGATATTATTAATATATGGTTATATTTCAAATATCACCACTAAATGATCTCATTCTAAAATATATGGTTATACTGTAAGGTCAATTACTCTTTATATAGATAAGGTTTAACAAATCTCTTGGTAAAATTCGTATCCTTCTTTTTTTTTTCTTGCTTCCTTCGCTCACATTGCTTATCAAAAAACGGTTTGGTTTTGCAATTATCATGAAAAGATTAACAGGGAGTATCTCATACATAATAAATTAAAAATTGTGACGACATACCATATAAAAAGAAACCGAAAGTGAATCAAAGCAAGAATATTCGAAAAAAAGTATTCCAGCCTTATCTCTCTGTCTGCCTCCCTCCTTCTACGGCTCCCTAAATCGAAATCAGGTTCCCACCTGTCAAACCAGAAAAATAATTTTTTATTGAAGGGAAAAAAAAAACTTACATCAAAGGAAGACGATATCCTTTTAAACTTACATATCATTCTTCTTTTCATTATCTTCAATTAGATTACTATTATTTGCTCCTCGTTCCTTTAAATTGAACTAACAGGTTAGATAAAATTTATCGGTGCTAGTCCAAATTCAAATCAAAACTATTATTCAAATATAAATTCCTCGGAGTTTTCTTAATATATCCATTCACAAGATCCCAGATAGACTCAGAACAGATACGAAGTTATGGCGGCGACATATACTATCAAAGAACAAATGGAAGGGTTCCCCTTGTTCCAAATGATCATCATAGGTTGTTTGCGTCTAAGTGAACCCATTGCTTTCACATCCATGTTTCCCTATATCTATTTCATGATTAGAAGTTTTGGTGTGGCTAAAAATGAAGCTGAAACTTCAAGATATAGTGGTTATTTGGCTTCATCATTTGCCTTCAGTCAATTCATATCGACGGTCCAATGGGCAAAATTATCGAATCGATATGGTAGAAAATCAATTTTATTACTCGGATGTCTGGGAACTGCTATATCCATGTTAGTGTTTGGCTTTAGTACCAATTTTTATATGGCTATGTTTGCTAGAGCTCTTATGGGATTACTTAATGGTAATGTGTCAATCATTAGAACTACCGTGGGTGAAATTGCTCATGAAAAGAGACATCAAGCTTTAGCATTTTCAAATTTGACTTTATTATGGAGTCTTGGTAGATGTGTTGGAGGTTGGTTAGGTGGTTATTTAACTGATACCGATAAACTTAATCTTTCTCCTGATCCTAATCAAGAACCAGTAAAAGCAGATCCTAATGCTCCATTTTTTGATAAACATCCATTTGCATTTTCAAATATCGTGGTGGCTATTATACTATCGTGTTTCATCATTATTGGGTTCTTATTCTTAGAAGAAACTCATGATGATTATAAACATAAAAGAGATATTGGATTGGATATGGGAGATTTCATAAGAAAAAGATTAGGTTTCACACCCCCTGATAGACCATGGAAATCTCAAAGATATACAAATGATTTTGAACAAAGTGAGTTCTTAATTGCGGAAGAAGATGATGAAGAAAATACAGAAAATCTTGAATTACAATCCTTCCCATATGATGAAGAAGATAATAAAAAGGAATCTATCAAACATGAAATCATGCAAAAGGAAAACTCTCAAGATTCTGCATCACCACCAACATCATCAGCATCTTCTACCAATGATGAAAACGAAGATGATAGTATTAGAAATTTACCTGCTCAAGTGGTTCATGTCATTTGTAATGATTTTATGATTAAATTTCTGAATATTATTTATGCTGAATTTTTCCCCGTTTTCTTAGCTAAGGTTATTTCAATCGACGATCTTAAATTCCCTTTCCATATTAGAGGTGGATTTGGATGGAATTCAGATGCCATTGGTTGGTTATTATCATTTACAGGATTATTAGGAGTATTTGTCGTATCATTCTTATTCCCGGTCATAACGAAATTCTTTCAACCGAAAGCTGCGTATAAGATTGGTTTATTATGTTATCCCTTCATTTATTTTTCAATCCCACTATATATTTTTACTATTCCCCAATATTATCCTGGAATTCATCCATTTGTTTCAAAGGCGTTATTATACTTCACAGCTTGTTTAACGTCGTTTTCATCATCATTAACTGCTTCACAAGGGATTATTTTAATCCATAGAGCTTCTCCTAAACGTCAAAGAGCGTTGATCAATAGTTATAATATGAGTATGGCTGCTCTTTCAAGATGTGCGGGCCCCATTTTATTTGGGTGGATCATTTCTCATTTTGAAATAATGGGGTATGAAGGATTTTCTTGGTGGACACTTGCTTTATTTTCATTGTGTGCTTTGTTTTACTCATTTAAATTAACAGGTGAAGAGTATGAAGGGAATTGATTTCTTTACATTTGTGTTATAGTTACACCATTTGGTTTTGTTGTATACGTTTACTAATAGAGATTTATTTTATTTATTATAATCACTGTCAATACTGTTTGTAATTTGGTGTCTCATAAAGCTATATTATTAATGAACCCACGACTCCTGAACACTTACCTACTCCTATTTTTCTATTTCTCTTGTAAATCTCATCAACGAATAGAATATTAGAGTTTCAATATTGGAAGGGCGCTACCTGCATTAATTATCTTCTGACACATCTCACCAGTCGTAATAATAGGTGGAGCAACAAATGTATTCCAGTTGACGATGCAATCGACTACCTCGAATCTTATATTCGAAACTGAATTCTCACTATTAAGTAAGGTTCAGGAGAGGTCAAGTACCCAAATGTCAGATTTTGGTAATAAGTACATAGTTAACGCTCACTGCGAAATCCACAAACATTTCCTAATTGAGAAATTTTTCGATTTGTCCAAGAATCTTGGATATTACCGCATTAGGAAATTCATACATTAAGCAACAAAAAAATGAATAAAAAATTGCAGCCTGTTATTATGTTTAATTACTGACAGTATAATACGAAACCATGTTTTTTTTATGATGTTCTATTAGAATTTCCAGATTATTTCCATTTTAAGCCTTATGATGATTGTTTTGGACTTTTAAGTAAACAATTATGTTGAATATGATTTGAAACTAATTAATTTATAATGAAATTCTCCTCTATTAGTTTGTAACTGGTTATATTCTCTGCTTTTTGTTTAAATACCTTTTGAAATACCTTCTTTCGTTTATTAGTTTCTAAATCTCTTTCTTTTTTAAAAAAATTTGTTCCATCATATATTTATTCCATTAAGCAAAGATGAAGTTATTATATACCCTTGTGAGTTTCTTTTTACTCGCATTTACTTTCGCCAATATAGCTGATGTCAGCCTTCATGAACTTGCTGCTAGAGGTGAAGCCTTAGGAGATCTTGCTCAATTAATTCCAATTGCAAAAAGAGGTCCATCTGCAACTGTTCAAGAAGAAGAAGCAACTTTAGTTAAAAGAGGTAGTACTCCACCAGAATATTCTGCTCTTACTGTTGCTTGTAATGTTTTAAACAATACTGGGTTTGGGGTTCAAACTGAATATACATTATGTACTCAATCAGCCACTTCCGGTACCGTCATCACCACTATTAATCAATATTTAACAAAGGAAAATTTAACTACTATCTTAGAAGCTCTTGATGATTCTAATTTAGCTCTTGATGTTGTTATGGCTATTTTTACTGACCTGTCCTTTGGTTCTGGGTTATGGACTGTTGTTAAAACATTATGGTCTAATGGTGTTATTCACTTAAAGCGTGATGAAATCGAACTTACTGCTATTAATATAAAACGTGATCAAGAAGAAATTGCTTTAATTGAAGAAGCTAAACGTCAAAATATTTCAGTTGAAGAATTGAAAAAGAGAGGTCTTCTTGATTTCCTTGGTGGTATTTTCAATGTTGCTGAAATTACTGCCATTGATACCTTCATTACTGCTATTCAAGCTACTACTAATCTTGGAAGTATTTGTGTTTCCCTTGAGAAATCAGGATTAGGACTTTCTCTTATTGAAGAATTATTTGGACCATCCAACATGCAATCCTTTGCTGTTCAACTTGTAACAACTATCATTCAAGATAAAACCATCACCTTGAGTTATTTATTATCTTCATTAGAACAATCAGGTATTGTGACCAGCACTATCAAGAAAATTCTTGCCAATTCAACTGATGTAAAAATTATCTTCCTTTGGGCTGTTAAATTATTAGTCAGTTTAATCAAATACGTTATTTAGAAAAGTCTTATTATTTATTCCCCCGGACAATCAGTCAATAAAAATATTAAAAATTTAAAAAAAAAATTCAATATCTTCTACGTCACTATTTTTTTCAGTATATTTCAACATTCTGTATATTTATATTTATATTTAACGCTATATAATTCATTGCATTAATATTATAGTTTATAATTATTTTCGATAAAGTTTCTCATCTTTCTTTGATGACCTCTAAAGAAAATATCAGTCCAATATGGTTCGTATACTGGTAATTTTCTACCTGGTCCATCATTAGTAGCCAATTCACGTAATTTATTAAAATACTCTTCATATTCACCATTGATATAGACGAATTTATGAACATCTCCTTTGAAGGCAATTCTGTCTTTCTCCCATTTATACTGCTCTTCTTTCGGTGGTAATTTAGCTCTTCCTGAGAAAACTCTTGCTGCAAATACTGCTTGCCATTCAAATACTTTGAAAGTTAATCCTCCTCCAACACAACCAACAAAGGCTAAAGTTGGATCTTCAATATATAACACATGTTGATATAAATGTTGAATTCTATTGTTAGCTAAATCCAAGTTTGGTAAAAATGGGAAATTGAATGAATAACCTGTTCCAAATACAAATGCATCTATTCCAATTTCTGAACTACCATCTTCAAAATAAACTGTCTTAGTAGATGGATCAATTTTAACAATCTGAGTTCTTCTTTCAATTTGAGGATGAATAAAAGGGGATTCACCAAAATTTGGTAAGAAAATAGTGGATTTCTTAATGGAACTGATTACTTTACCTTTAACTACTGGGATAATATCATGAATTGCATCCATAGCACTTACAGAAGCACCAACAACTATAACTTTCTTGTTTCTATAGAATTCCTTGGATCTATATTGTTTAGAATGAATCACAGATCCCCAATAAGTATCATGAAATTCTTGTAATCCATCAATGTTTGGAACATATGGTACGGTATATTTACCTGATGCTACTAATAAAGCATCGAATTCTTCATGCCATACGTAATCTTTCTTGACTCCAAATTTTCTCAATGTTAATACCCATTTACCTGTTTTTTCATCCTTTTGAGCTAATTCCACTGAAGTTTTGAATTCAATATGATCATCATACCCTTTTCGTTTATATAAATCTTGAATCCAATCTTTGACTTTACCATAATGTCTGAATGGACTAGTTTCACCATATTTAGCAATTGACTTCTCAGTTGGACCTTCTGGGAAAACCTCCTCAGTGAACTCCATGATCTTAGCTTCCACATTCGATTCTAAGTATGAATAGATAGCAGTATCGGCGTATCTGTGCTTATTAGTCTTGGGAGTATATGAAGGTATTCGGGAAGGAATAATATCATGTTTATTAGCAACTCTTTGACTTAATTGTTTAATATTACCCAAAGGTTCAGGAGGTTCTTTATTGAAAACCCATTGACCTCCAGCTTCAGCTTTTCTTTCAAATAATCTAATTCTGTCGAACTTCTGTTCTCTGATTAATGAATCAAGAGCGATTAAACCTGATGGACCGGCACCAATAACTGCAACTGATGAAATTGTCATGATTTATAATTTTGTTAACTTTGTAAGATTCCTTTTATCCTTGATATTCGAGATCACTTTATATAAAGAGATTTAGTAAAATATTATAAAAATCGTTCAGGGTTGAAAAGTTTTTGAATCCCTTTATAAATGGGTGAAAAATCCACAATTAATAATTGTGCAAAAAATTACGTCGCAAATTGTGGATCCTTTCCGATAAGACATTTTTAGATTAGACATATACTTCAAATCAGATCATCGTGCATTTATTTAACCATGGCATATATATATATATATAGATACTATATAGTTATTTACAATTCAATTACTTTAAACCTTTTTCTAGCTTCTTGGATAGTGAAATTGGCTTCAGCTTGATGCCATCTTTCATGTAATCTTCCATATAATAACACTAAATTGGGTTCATCACCTTTACTATCATTGACATTTTTCTTTCCGAATAATCTTGCTTTCTCTTCATACCATTGACCAAAAGTGATTTTATCCCATTCATCAGGTTTAACAAATCCTAATCTTTTTAATTTTGGGGAGTTCAAAGGTTCTGGATCCACTCTACAACTAGTTTTAGGAGTTGAAAAATAAATCAATACTAATCTTCTATAATTTTTTTGATCATCAGGAGGGGATACCACTCTATGAATGGAAGATTTAAAATATCCTCCTGTAATGAATTCCATTCCATCAGCAATATTAACAATAAATGAATTAGGAGTATGTCCCACATATTTCCACATCCCGGTAAAGTAGTCTCTTATTTGCAAGGATAAAATCGGTTGAGATGTTATGAATGTAAACCCACCACTATCAGAATGGCCTCTTAACCAATTTCCATCAACTTTTGCTTCATCTTCAGAATTCATATTATGATATAACATAAATCTACCTGCACCTTGACCAGAATTTTCATAATCTCCTTCTATTACTTTATAATAATTCTCCCATAAAAACCCTTCTGGAATTTCTAATATGATATCACAGAGAATAGTTAATTTTCTTAAGATTTCATTATGGATGTATCTATAGTAATCAGCAATTTCCTTTAAATGTGCTTGAGCAACTTCTGGAACCTTAGAATCGAAAAAGGCAGGATGTAACATTTTAGTAAAATTATAATGAATAATAGAATCTTCAACTCCATTTTTCATAGACCAATACCCCTTAGGTTTGAATCCTGGACCTCTTTCAGCTCCAAGCGATATGGATCTATCTTCTAAATCTGATTTCCAAGTCCCAGCAAGATAATCTTTTTGAACTTCCACGGGTAATTCTAAAATTGATTGAGCTACTGCTTTTAAATTCTCAAATTCTTCGGTATCAATCCCATGATTAATAATGGAAATGAACCCGTATGTGGATAATGATTTTTCCAACTTCTTGGCTAATGCTTGTCTAGCAGGAAGATGTTCGATGCCTTCTTTGAATAAGGATAAATCTACTGATTCTAATTCAATAGGGACTAAACCAGATTTCGATGGTGGAGCTTCCACAAATGGTCTAACATTATACTTTTTATCAACTTCTGCAACACTGAGTTGAGTCATTTTATCTTAATAGATCTATCAGTAATCTAACTCTTCGTTTCTCCATAAATCAATCTATTTAAATCATTTTTCATTTATCCCGTGGTAAAACTAATAAAAATAAAAAAACTCTATATAATTGTGGCTCACTATAAATAATCATTTGCAATTTGTTTGTTTAGTGCGGTTGGATTTGTCTCCTTCCCAATTGGGAACTTGGTTCCGAACCGAAATTGTGGTTGCAAATTACAAATGATCCGGTGGGGTGCATACTAATAAGATGATATAATATATAGTTAATTGGCTTAGATAATAACAACTCGAATATAATAAATAAATAATAAAGTAATAAAAAGAGAAAATTATGGAAATATGTATAAACAACTACTTATCAAAAGTGAATTTTTCTTTAATGGTGTTGTTAAATTTCTTTTCAAATTCTTCTTTAGATTCATCAGCTTTCCATCTCAAATCATGAGCGGGATGAGTTTTAGAAAGATAAGATGGATCTTCTCCTTCAATACCATATAAATTTTCTCTAAATGTAAGGTTTTCCTTTGGATAATCATCCCATACTAACTCTCTTTTCCTTAATTCTGGAATTAAATATTCCACAATATCTTCATAAGTAGCTGGAGTCACAGCATAAGTTAGATTAAATCCATCAACTCCAGATACATCCACCCAATGTTCAATTTGATCAGCCACTTCTTCAGGAGATCCATAAATAACCACTCCAACCCCACCAATTGCAATATGCTCGGATAAATAACCTCTCGTTTTCTTCAATTCTTCAGGTTCACCCGGTAATTTCTTAGTCCATGAATCAGCAAAACTTCTAACAGCATTACTTTCAACTTTAGTTAATTCTTCATCATAGTCATATTTAGATAAATCAATACCTGTCCAACCTCCAAATAAGGCTTGTGCTCCTTCAATATCACTATATTTATTGTATTCTTCGTATTTTGCAACTGCTTCATCATGAGTTGGTGCTACAATGATAGTAACTAATTGGAAAGTTTTAATTTCAGATGGATCTCTTCCATAACTTGCAGCTAATGCTTTTAATTCATCAATTTTATGTTTTAAAACTTCAGGAGTTAAACCGGTGATGAATACTGCTTCGGCATTTCTAGCGGCAAATTCTAACCCCTTTTTAGAAGCACCAGCTTGTAAAATAACAGGTAATCTTTGAGGAGTAGGTTCAGTAATATTTGGACCTGGAACATTATAATATTTCCCGTCATAATTGATTTCTCTAATTCTGGTTGGATCAGCAAAAATACCAGTTTTTCTATCATATTTCAAAGCATCATCAGCCCAACTTGATAAAAACAATTGATATACTACTTCAAGATATTCTTGAGCTTTATCATATCTTTCATCATGAGGAGTTAAAGGTTCACCATTTAATAAATTTCTGGCAGCACTATCTAAATATGATGAAACAATATTCCACCCAATTCTACCTCTAGTTAAATGATCCAAGGTAGCTAATCTTCTGGTGAAATGATAAGGTGCTTCACTTATAGTACTGAAAGTAATGGCAAATGATAAATTCTTTGTAACGGCAGCCATAGCACTAACCACAGCACTTGGTTCATTTACGGGGAATTGAGCTCCTGATTTAGCAGCAGCCGTAAAATTTCGAGGTCCATTATAAACATCATAAGCTCCTAAAACATCCGCAATAAATAATGCATTGAATTTCCCCTTTTCTAAAAGTTTAGCTAAATAAGTCCAATATTCTATAGTGTTATATTCACGGGATTTATCATCAGGATGTTTCCATAATCCAGGACATTGTAATCCACTACATCCCATATCGAAGGCATTAAGAATGAGTGGATTTTTTCTTTTTGTGGCAGTCATAATAAAAGTAAAAAAAATGTGAAGTTTGATAAGTCAATTGAGGACAATTGATTAGAATTTACATTGAATTTCAAGGGGGTTGGTCTTACATCTGTCTTTATATACTTTTACAAGTTGAAACTACTATAGTCTAAGCATGAATCAAAGTTTTAGCAGTTGAAATTTTTTTGATTTAATTAAAAAGTGTGGCTCTAAAGTAACAGTGGTTGCATGGTTCGGCTGAGACAACAATTTATCACAGTAGAAATTGAGGGTGTGGGTATATAATCTAGCGACCCGAAAGTGACCCGAAACATAATGAAAACAAAGACGTGATTTTTTAAAGTTAATTATAGTTTGATGGGTTAGGAGTAATCCTCAGTTTTGACCCTTTATAGTTAGTAAAAGCTCAAAGTGGTAGGATCCTAGCTTTGATTGTTTGCAATAATTGAAGAAAAAAAGTTGAAAAGTTTTGTTCTTAATTGGTAGCGAATTACGAACTTTTATTATTTTGTAAAATTGACAGGGTTCATCATCATAAATATTTACAGCACAGACCATAATCAGATGGCAACACGTAATCAATCAATCAATTAGGTGTTATAGATTTGTTAATTGATGAATGATATATAGAATGGAATCCTTAATGATGCCATTGTAAGTGTTTACCGCTAGAGATCAATCTTAATCATCAGATCAAAACAGCCACAGAAGAGATTAAGCATAGATACTAACATCAGAAAAGAATTCAAACAAATACCATTGTCATTGATCCTGGGTTAAAACCAAGATTTGAGAGGAAGAAATTAAGAGATTCAATCAAGTTTTATGATGTATTTACTGAAGATGATGTGATTATCAATGATCATGAAGTTTATATCCCTCGAATCATTCAAAATATAAATTATATTGAGATTGATAGTTTTTCTATATTCAGTAGTATCACTAATCCTAAACGGAAGAGAGGTAGACCACCTAAGAAAACCAGAAATGTTATTAGTAATCCGATTGTGAAAGTTAAAGAAAGTAAAAAGGTTATTGTTCATAAAGAGGATGAACCAATTCGATCTGTTTCTGAATTAAGAAGAAGTACAAGGATTAGGAAGAAACCTACCCGATTATTAATTGATGGTATTAGTGATGATAGTAGTGATTTAGAAGAATGTGAAGAGATATTACTGGAATTTGAAATGAAACTGGATGAAAGTGATGAAGGGGGGATTGAAAAAGAAGAAGAGATTTTAGTGGTGGTTGATACGGCTGAAGAAAAGGCTTTAAATAAGAATAATCAAAGTTGTCAATTTATTGAAGATTTAAATGTGGCTTTCAATGCTAATGAAATGATTTCATCAACTCCACAACGTACTAATCCTATAATTGAAATCATTGAATCGAGTGATGATGATGATGATGATGATGATGATGATGATGATGATGATGATGATGAAATATCTAGTGAGGATGATAAACAAAATGAATCATATTTCAAACAAGTTAGAAGCCATAATCGTACATATTATTACGAAGTAGAAGAGCAAGATGATGAACAAGAAGATGAAGAAGTACAAGTTGTTGGAAGAAAAGGTATTATACTTAATATGAATTATAATAAAACGAATCAACCTAAATATAAGGATCATTTCACCAATATTTTAATTGATAATGAATTAAAGAGGGAATGCAATATATGCAGTATATGTTATAATTCATTACGATTATTTAATAAACATTATGAATTGGTGCATAATGAGAATGAAGAGTCATAAATAGTTAGTTTTTGTTTATAAATAGAAAATACGTAAATGGTTGCTAATTTAAACGAGGAGGAGAGAAGAGAAGAATAAAAAAGGTGATAAAAAATATGTAATGCCGATAACACCGAAGAACAAAACCATGCCGTTATGGAAACGGGAAACGCAAAAATTGTTTTGTTGCAGTTTTCCGTTTAGTGATACAATTGATGATGATGAGATCAATCAATTAAGTATGAGTCATTCATAATCCACCACACTGATCTATGGTATAATAGGTTGAGAGATGATAACGTGGGTCAAGTAAAAGTCTCATTCATCTATTTATATAGTTAAATCAATGGGAAACTATAAATATTCTTACTTACTTACTTACTTAATTAAGTTGATCTGTTGATGTATTTATATTTATAATTTATTTATTTCTTAATTCATACTAACAATCCGATTACGTAATGGCTGAATAAGCGGAAATACCGTATTTTTCTGGACTTCTTGTTTTGTTGCCACTTGTTTAAAAGGGCAAGTGCCATCAATGGACTTAGTTCCTAATTAGGCCACCGCCATTTTTTAAAGGCTTTTTGTTTGTAACAAGGTCTATTTATCTATCTATCTATGGCTTATCAATTACTCATTATTTCATTATTTCATTAATCTTGTTAATTATGCTGATGTGTAATGATAAATGCTTGGCTTGGCTTGTCTCTCAGTTTATACTCTTGTTGTTAATCCAAAGATACTTCCTATAAGTTATATATATATATACTATTACTATAAATGACAGGTCGTGCCCTCATCTCCAATATCGATGGAGATAAACTGCGTTAAAGTCCTCTTATCTCCACGGAACCTCCTTCCCGTTTAAGTTCTAAGTGCGAGAGGGCAGTTGTAAATTTGTTTTTTTATTTTTCAAGTTTATGGTAAAGGCTGTACCGAGTATCTCCATCAATTCACCTTTACCTTACCACTATCACTTATGGTTATATTTTCTTCCTAACCTACATGAATTGATAAAATTGAAACTTTAAGCCCTACCCTAAAACAGTAACAATAACGCTTACATTCATCAATGTAATTGTCTGTTAATGTCTTTCTGTTTGTCTTAAGATTCGTATCACTTTTATTTTTTATATTTTTTATTTCTTTATTTCTTTTTTTTTTTTTGGCTTTTTGCATTATTTCTGAAATAGTAAAACTGAAGAAGATATAAATATAAATCTAATTCTCCGTCACTTACCTTTCTTTCTTTAAGTTCGATTTACGAGTTTCCTTTCGTTTTAGTTTGCCTAGTTTTCCTAGTTTATATCCCCAAAAGTTATCCTGTATTCTTCATTACTCAAGTCCATTGCTTTTATACCAACGACAACAACAACCATCGTTTAAAACCAATCTACTGCTATTACTAAGTCAAATAACAATACCATAATGGCTAAACCAGTGGATACTCCCCTCGAAGATGGGAATTCCGATCTTCAACGACAGAAAAGAATGTTAAGTATGTTCTTTTCCAAGAACATTCCTCATTTACCTACCGATGAAGAAAGAAAAGTTTATCCTGAACGTTCATCAAATTACCTTTCAAGAATGTTCTTTTGGTGGTTAAGTCCCGTCATGCATACTGGTTATAAAAGAACTTTAGAACCAGAAGATTTATTCAAATTAAGTGAAGATATCAAAGTGGAAAATATGGCTCTTCGATTCAAATCAATTGTTTATCAAGATATTGAAAAAGCAAGAAAAAATCATATTATTGAAAAATGTAAAGCAAGAGGTGAAACTTTTGAAACTACTCCGGTTGATAGAAAAGTAGATTTAGAAGATTTCAAAATGCCAAAACTTTTAACAGTTTGGGCTTTATTAAAAACGTTTAAATATCAATATTTTGGTGCTTGTGTATTCTTAACTATTAATAACGTCGGTCAAACTACAAATCCTCTTTTAACAAAACGTTTAATTCAATTCGTTACTGATCGTGCTTATGGTTTACCAGAAAATATCGGGGTAGGTGTGGGTTATTCCTTTGGAGCTAGTCTTATCGTGTTCATTGTGGGGGTTTGTATTAATCATTTCTTTTATCGTTCAATGATAACTGGTGCTCAAGCCAAAGCAGTGTTAACCAAAGCAATTCTTGATAAATCATTTATTTTATCCGATACTTCAAGACATAAATATCCCGCTGGGAAAATCACTTCAATGATGGGTACAGATTTAGCTAGAATTGATTTTGCTATTGGTTTCCAACCTTTCTTATTCATGTTTCCAATCCCATTTATTATTGCTATTGCTATTTTAATCGTTAATATCGGTGTATCAGCTTTAGTTGGTATTGCTATTTTATTCATATTCATGGCTGGTATTGCCTTCTCTACCAAGAAATTATTCGCTTATAGAGCTAAAGCTAATAAATATACTGATGCAAGAGTTAATTATATTAAAGAAGCTTTAAATAATTTAAAAATTATTAAATATTATTCTTGGGAACCTCCATATCATGAAAATATTTCCCAAATTAGAAAATCTGAAATGAGAATCATTTATAGAATGCAAGTTTTAAGAAATATCGTTACCCGCCATGGCTATGTCTTTAACTTTATTTGCTTCCATGATTGCATTTTTAGTATTGTATGGTATTGGTACTCATGATAGAAACCCAGCTGCTATTTTCTCATCTATTTCCTTATTTAATACTTTAACTCAACAAGTTTTCTTAGTTCCAATGGCTTTATCTTCTGGTTCAGATGCTTATTTGGCTTTACAAAGAGTTGGTGATTTCTTAGCTAGTGAAGAAATTAATGTTAATGAAATTAAAATTGAAGCTGATGCCGATAAAATAAATGAAATGGATAATGATAATATTGCCATTGAAGTTAAAGATGCATCCTTTGAATGGGAAACATTTGGAAATGATGAAGAAGCTGATGAAATGGAAGAAGAGCAAGCTAAAGATAATGAAAAGGAAGCTGGTAAAAAATCATCAAAAGCAATTACTCCTGATTCTAAGCCTGATCCAATCTTACGTCATAAAGATTCATCAACTGAAAAGGAATTAGATCTTTCCGATTCAAGTTCTGATGATGAAGTTATCTTTACTGGATTAAATGATATTAATTTCACCATTTCAAAAGGTGAATTCATTGTTATTACTGGTTTAATCGGTTCTGGTAAATCATCTTTATTAAGTGCCATTTCAGGATTTATGAAACGTACTCAAGGTGAAGTTAATGTCGATGGATCATTATTATTATGTGGAACTCCATGGATTCAAAATACTACCGTCCAAGAAAATATCACATTTGGTATGGATTTTGATCAAAAGAAATATGATGATGTGATTTATGCATGTTCTTTAGAAAGTGATTTAGAAATCTTACCTGCTGGTGATCAAACTGAAATTGGTGAAAGAGGTATTACTTTATCCGGTGGTCAAAAGGCCAGAATCAATTTAGCAAGAGCTGTTTATGCTAATAGAGATATCATTCTTATGGATGATGTTTTATCGGCTGTTGATGCTAGAGTTGGTAAACATATTATGAATCAATGTATTCAAGATTTATTAAAAGAAAAAACTAGAATCTTAGCTACCCATCAATTATCATTGATTGGATCTGCTGATAAAGTTTTATTCTTAAATGGTGATGGTTCATTAGATTTCGGTACTATGGATGAATTAAAAGAAAGAAATGAAGGATTTAATAAATTAATGGCTTATAGTTCTGAATCAAAAGATGATGAAGATGAAGAAGATGCTGAAAAGGAAGAAATCATTGAAAATGAAGATGTTGTCGAATTAGAAAGAGATAATATTCAACGTCAATTAACTAGAAAATCAACCATTATTGAAAATGCTGATGATGAAGCTGTTCATAAAGATTTTAATAAAAATGTAGCTGAAAATGGTAAATTAATGGATCAAGAAGAAAGAGCCGTCAATGGTATCAGTTTTAACGTTTATAAACAATATATGATTTTAGGTTCAGGTGCTTTCACTCCTTGGGGTTTAGTACCAATCATGTTAACTGCTATGATTTTAACTACTTTCTGTCAATTATTCACCAATACTTGGTTATCATTCTGGACTGAATATAAATTTGAGAATTTAGACAATGGTTTCTATATTGGATTTTATGTGATGTTTACTGTTTTATCATTTGTGTTCTTAACTATTGAATTCATCATTGTGGTTTATATTACTAATACTGCTTCTGTTACCTTAAATGTTATGGCGGTTAAAAAAGTTTTACATGCTCCAATGTCATTTATGGATACAACTCCAATGGGTAGAATCTTAAATAGATTCACTAAGGATACTGATGTATTGGATAATGAAATTGGTGATCAATTAAGATTCTTCTTATTTGTGTTCTGTAATATTATTGGGGTTATTATCCTTTGTATTATTTATTTACCTTATTTTGCTATTGCAGTTCCATTCTTAGGTTTTATGTTTGTGGCTATTTCTAATTATTATCAAGCATCCGCTAGAGAAGTCAAACGTTTAGAAGCTATTCAAAGATCATTTGTTTATAATAATTTCAATGAAACTTTGAGTGGTATGCAAACTATTAAAGCTTATAAAGCTGAACAAAGATTCTCCAGTCGTAATTCTTATTTGATTGATAGAATGAATGAAGCTTATTATTTAACCATTGCCAATCAACGTTGGTTAGCCATTCATATGGATATAATTGCTTGTTGTTTTGCCTTAATGATTTCATTATTATGTGTTAATCGTGTGTTCCATATTAGTCCTGCCTCAGTTGGTTTATTATTATCCTATGTATTCCAAATCGCAGGACAATTATCTATGCTTATTAGAACTTTTACTCAAGTTGAAAATGAAATGAATTCAGTGGAAAGATTAAATGAATATGCTTTCAAATTACCTGAAGAAGCTCCTTATGAAATTCCTGAAAAGACTCCTCATCCATCATGGCCAAATGCTGGTGCAATTCAATTCACTGATGTATCCTTAACTTATAGACCAGGATTACCATTAGTATTAAAGGATTTAACTTTTGATATTAAACCAAGTGAAAAAATTGGTATTTGTGGTAGAACTGGGGCAGGTAAATCATCAATTATGACTGCCTTGTATAGATTATCTGAATTAGAACAAGGTAAAATTACTATTGATGATATTGATATTTCAGAATTAGGTTTAAGAGATTTAAGATCTAAATTATCGATTATTCCTCAAGATCCAGTCTTATTTAAAGGTACGATTAGAAAGAATTTAGATCCTTTCAATCAAAGTCCTGATAATAAATTATGGGATGCTTTAAGAAGAACTGGTTTAGTAGAAGCTGCTAGATTGGATGCTGTTAAACAACAAACTAGACCTAGTGATGATACTGATTTTGATCCTACTTCAATTCATAAATTCCATTTGGATCAATTAGTTGATGATGAAGGTACTAATTTCTCCTTAGGTGAAAGACAATTAATTGCCTTTGCCAGAGCTTTAGTAAGAGATTCAAAGATTCTTATTTTAGATGAAGCTACATCATCAGTTGATTATGAAACAGATTCTAAGATTCAAACTACTATTATTAAAGAATTTTCTCAATGTACAATCTTATGTATTGCTCATAGATTAAAGACCATTCTTAATTATGATAGAATCTTAGTATTGGATAAGGGTGAAATTAAAGAATTCGATACTCCATGGACCTTATTTAATGCCAAAGGTAGTATTTTCCAACAAATGTGTGAAAGATCAAGTATTACAGAAGATGATTTTAAATCTGCTACCAAGTTTTAATTTACCGTTGTACTCGGTTTAAATAGTACTTTTTAATTCAATTCATCATATTGTTTCGTTTGGTTATTTCGTTAAAAGTCAAACAAATCAAAAAAAGAACTCTATTTATTATTATTGTTAACATACAAGGGATAGACTGTCCCTTCTTTAAGTTCGTATTTTATAGTCAATTGCTCCATTTTTATATATACCTTTCTACACTTAATTAGTATAAAAAAAGTATTGGATTTTTAATCGTTGCTGTTATGTAAGAGTATTGTATAATTCATCAAATCAATTAGTAATGGCTACGTATAATAATTATGAAAGAGGCGTAGTAACTTGTACCTGAATAGACTGTTCAGGAACAAGCAATTTCCAAGAAATAACCAAATTAAACCGTTAAAAACTCTACTAAATCTAAAAATAGGAAATATTGCTCTTGCTGCAAACAATTACTCTATGTATGACTATATTTTATCATTATAACAATAATACACAGTTATAATCGTTATCTATGAGTTACTGGTGGTTATGACTGGTTGGTGGTATCAGTTGATCTAAAAATAAACCCTTCTATTTCGGGAAGGAAATCCTTACCGCAGTACCGAGCCCCATTCTCACCCATAAAATTTCGAAACCCCTTCAAATTCTGAAATATAAATAGAATGGCAACTGTGTTATTATTGATCAACCATAATAAATTTGATTTTAGAATGCCTCAAACTACAGATTCAACTCATTCAGGTGGCATGGGACTCTTTGCTAAATTGTCTGGTCAACCTCAATCGTATGCAAGGAAACAGAATTATATATTTGGTCAAACGTTAGGGGCTGGATCGTTTGGAATTGTGAGATGTGCTAGAGATAAATTCACTAATGAAGAGGTAGCCATTAAGATTATTTTAAAGAAAACATTGAAGGGTAATGAACAAGTGGTGATTGATGAAATTAAAATGTTACAAAATTTACATCATGATCATATCATTGGATTCAGAGATTGGTTTGAATCAAGAGATAAGTTTTATATTGTAACTCAATTGGCTACGGGTGGAGAATTATTTGATAGAATTATTGCAAAGGGAAGATTTACTGAACATGATGCTTCATTAGTTGTGGTTGAAATGTTGGAGGCAATTGCTTATTTACATGATCAAGATATTATTCATCGAGATTTAAAACCAGAAAATGTCATGTATTTAACTCCAGAAGATAATTCAAATATTGTCATAGTTGATTTTGGTATTGCTAAAAAGCTTAATGGATCTGATGATCTTTTAAATAATTCAGCTGGTACTTTTGGTTATGCTGCACCTGAAGTTTTCACTTCTGGTCATGGTAAACCTTGTGATATATGGTCATTAGGGGTTATTACTTATACTTTATTATCAGGACTTCAACCATTCAGAGCTCAAAATGGTAGAGATTTCATTGAAGAAACCAAGAATAATAATGGAGTTATCTTTTATAGTGATTATTGGTCTGATGTTTCAAAAGATGCTCGTAGATTTATTATCAAAGCTTTACAACTTAATCCAAAGGATAGACCTACTGCCAAAGAATTATTACAAGATCCATGGTTAGTTTCTATTGCTTCTGAACATAAGGAGACTGATTTATTACCAAACTTAAAGAAATTCGATGCCAGAGCTAAATTCAGACAAGCTATAATGATGGTTAAATTAAACAATAGAATCAAGAAATTGAAAGAAGTACAAACTGAACATGATGATGATCCAACTGAAATCAATCTTTATAGTAAATCAGGTTCATTATTCCATGATTCTGAGGAATTGACCAAGAGTGATGGTGGAATTGATTCATTAAGAAAATTGTCTGATATTATTAATAACATGGATACAGGTTTATCAAAGGCATCTGTATCCAATGTCAAATCTCCTTATGGTGACAGTGTCTCTAAAAAGGAAACTTTACGTACTGATGCATTTGTCCAATTAGTTCAAACTGCTTCTGAGAATAGAGAGCGGGTGAAAAGTTTCAAAGATGATGGAACTGATGCTCCAATCGAACCAGAAAAGTGATCTGCTTTCATGATTCGTTGCAATTAGAAGAACTTTCTCTATTTGTATTATTTATTTACTTTATTATTGTTATGTTTTCCATTACTTTACTTTTCTTTTCTTTTCAGATTTTTTAATTTAGTTTCTACAGTATTCTTTTTGATTCGTTTCTAACTTGCATTTGAGAACATTCCTCTAATATACATCATGACAATTATAAGGTTGTAACTAGTTAATTATTCATTCATTTTCAATTACGAGGCTATCTAATCAAAGAGTGCGTTGAGCAAAAAAAATTGAGGTCCGCCAAATTCGAAAATAAAAATTTCACGGTGATCAACCACATTATAGGTCTAATTATAGCTTCAACGCCAAGCTTTAGAAGGGGTGTACTAATTGAGATTGATTTATTCATAGAACGGTGTTTCATTACTATAAATTTGGTGAACAGCGGTGATTTAGAGATTGCAGGTCGATTTTTGACGTTTATTTTAATCTAAATTTACCACAAGCATACTTAATATTATATTATCATCATATCATGTCTGATCTTTCAGAGACAGAATCAACACCAGCTACCTCAGCTCTGCCTGTCAGACTGAGAACTCCTCAATTGTTTCTTGATGAACCAGATAAGACTGAAGAAGCTACCTCCAAATTCGTAGTGTTGTCGGAATGTACTTATACAAATAAGAATGTGGGATCTTCAGGTCAACACGAGTATATGACATGTGATTGTGAAGAGCATTGGGATCCAGAGTCACAACTGAACTTGGCATGTGGAGATGATTCAAACTGTATAAATAGATTCACTTCAGTTGAATGTGTGAATGGACAATGTGGATGTGGAGAGAATTGTCAGAATCAAAGATTTCAAAAAAAGCAATATGCTCCTGTATCTGTATTTCTAACTGAAAAGAAAGGATATGGACTTAGAGCTACGGAAGCATTGACTGAATCATCTTTTATTTATGAATATATCGGAGAAGTCATTGATGAACCAACATTTCGTAAAAGAATGATTGATTATGATACTAAACATTTCAAACATTTTTATTTCATGATGTTAAAGAATGATTCATTTATTGATGCTACCGTAAAGGGTTCATTAGCAAGATTTGTTAATCATTCATGTAATCCTAATGCATATGTAGATAAATGGGTAGTGGGTGGAAGATTAAGAATGGGTATTTTTGCTAAGAGATCAATCCAAAAAGGTGAAGAAATTACTTTCGACTATAATGTTGATAGATATGGAGCTCAATCTCAACCATGTTATTGTGGTGAGCCAAATTGTATTAAATTCATGGGGGGTAAAACTCAAACTGATGCTGCTTTATTATTACCCGAAGGTATTTCTGAAGCACTTGGTGTTACACCTCAACAAGAAAAACAATGGTTAAAACAGAATAAAGCTTCAAGAGCCAAACAACAAAGTGAAGATTCGGCCATTAATGAAAAATTCATTAAAGAACTTATTGTTGAACCATTGAAAGAACCAGAAGTATCCAAATTAATGGGAGCATTAATGAAATCTCAAGATTCAGTAATAATTTCGAAATTAATCCAAAGAATTAATTTATCAAAGGAAGATGATATCAATTCTGCCATTATTAGATTCCATGGATATAAAACTTTCTCGACTGTCATACAACAAATCAAAGATGAAGGAAATAATGGTTTAATGATTATGATACTTGAAATTTTAAATAGATGGCCAAAAGTATTCCGGAATAAGATTTCATCATCTCAAATTGAAGATGTTATAAAAGATATCAATGCTACTACTAAACAAATTGTAATTAGAAAATTATCAGCTAAATTATTAGATGAATGGAGTAAACTTGAAATGGCTTATAGAATTCCAAAAACTAATGGTGGAAGTGGTATAACTGATTTATCGCTGTATGGTAGATCTGGTCGTTCTCCAGATGCAGAATCAGCATCAACCCCATCAGCAGCTACAACTGTTGATGATGAAACTTTACCACTAGGATGGGAATCTGCTCCAGATCCAACTACAGGAAAGACATATTATTTTCATCGTGAGTTACAAAAGACTCAATGGGATAGACCTGGCGCTATCCCTCTTGGTCCTAAAGCAGTGGTTAAACAATTAACTCCTTCTCGTCCATATAGACAAACTAGTGGTAATAATAATGGTAATAGTAATAATGGTGGTACTCCAAGTGGTCAAAATTTATTTAGAGAGGAACTTGCCAAAGAAGAAGAAATCAAATTAAAATTACAACGTGAAGCTGAATTCAAAAAAGTTCAAGAAAGACAACAAAAATTAGATAATTTAATTGAACAAACCAAAAGAGTAGAGCAAGAAAGAAGAGATCTTGAATTAAAGGAGAAGCAAAGATTGTTGAAGGAGAGATTAGCCGCCAAGAAACTACAATTAAAGAAATCATCCACATCATCATCGTCATCATCAACAGGCCGTCATCATCATTCATCAAATGGCGGTAGTCATCATCAACACGCATCTAGTGATAAACCTAGATCATCATCAAATCCAAACAACCTTGAAAATAAATGGAAACATTTATTTGCCAATTATGTTCCTAATTTAATTAGGAAGAAAGCCGGAGATCTTGATCGTGATGATCTTAAAGGGTGTGCTAAAGATATTGCTAATAAATTGGCTGAAAAGGAAATTTCAAGAGGTACAAGATCAAATGTTCCTTCTGAATTGGATAAACATAAATTAAAGAAAATTGGAGAATTTGTCGATGCATATATGGAAAAATTCTTAGTTAGATATAATGCCAAACATAAAAAGAGATCCCATGAAGATTCTCCTGGTGACGAAGAAGGAGATGTGAAACGTACAAGGGATTAAAAAATAATATGGTACTGCTAATACCATGTATATAAGAATCTGTATAATTTACAATGTATAATAATTTGTTAGAAGCATAATAAAGAAAGTATGTGTATTAAGGGGTGTATAATATCTATTAAAGTGGGGGGGGGGGGGGCGAAGGTACTATATAAAACAAACTGGATTAATTAATGAATGGATGAATAAATAGGACGACATGAAGATAAGATTAATCTCTTTCTAATAAGTTTGGTAAGTTTTCAATTGATTCAGAACCATAAATGATTTGATAAGTTGCTTCAAATAATGGGAAATCATCTAATTTATCAACATTAACTAAAAGTTCATGAACTTCTTTGACAGTAATGATACCTTGAGAACTTTGACCATTCAATAATTCCTTTTCAGCTTCTAAAGCGGAAGCACCAGTTTCAGCCATGTACCTACCAACTTTAACATTTCTACCACCTGAACAAGTTGTAATTAAATCAGCTACACCAGCAGATTCAGCGGTAAAAGTTTCACTTTGAGATGATGGGAAAAACATATTGGAAAATTTAATAATTTCTAATAATCCAACTCTCATAACGGCTGCTTTGGCATTATCTCCCCATGAAAGTCCTTCCACGAATCCGACAGTTAAAGCAACGATATTCTTTAAAGCACCAGCGACAGAAACACCTTCCACATCACGAATAACATTAACATGGAAATAAGGTCTATGGAAAGCAGCTTTAAGAACAAATTCATCAATATCTTTACCTGGACCTCTATAACTAGAAGGTAATCTATAAGCCACGGTTGTTTCTGACCATTTACATCTGGCAACTTCAGGAGCCAAATTTGCACCTGATAAGACTCCACATGTTATACCTAATTTTTCAGTAATAACAGTAGATAATAATTTACATCCAGCTGGAGTAACTTCTAACCCTTTTAAACATGAAATGGCTCTTGTATTTGGAGATACATGACCTTTTAATTGTTCACAAATTTTTGGTAAGAATTGATGAGGTAAATTAAAGATTAATAAATCAGCATCATAAGCAGTTTTAACGATATCAGGAACTGCAACTAAATTATTTGGTAATTTAACTCCTGGTAAGTATCTAACATTTTCATGATTAGTATTTATAATATCAGTTAAATTCTTTCCATCAACTTTTTCTTCAAATACCCACATTTTAACATGATGTCTGAAGAGATGAGGTCTTGCTTGAGCGTTTTCAGCTACCACTTTAGCAATGGTTGTCCCCCAATTACCAGAACCAATGACGGCGATTCTGAAGGGATGTTCTGGAGCTAATGATTGTTCACGTCTATGATAATGCCATTGACCTGAAGCATCAGTTTTGTTGGGGTTTAAGATTTGAGATAATTGTTGTAATCTTTCTGTGGCTTGTTGTTGTTGTTGGGATGCCATCTTTAACGGTGTTCTTCGAAGTATATAGGGACTAGATTTAAAAAGGGATGAAGAAAACAATGTTAACGTTGTAGTTATGGGTGATGACTTCTAAGTTCAATTAGGAAATGTAATTGACGATTAATGATAAATTGAACTTTTGAATGTGTTTGATAACAGTAGATATAACCTAAATTGAAAAACTTGTCGAAAAAACGATAACTTTTAACAGGTGAAAGATTTGGTATACTTTCAGCCTTATATATATAAGTTTGTGCCTATATTAGTTGGTGATGATGATTCAAATATTTTTCTTTTTTTGTTTGGGTTAGGAACCGAGGAGTTTCGGTATTTGCAATTTAAAATTATTTCTGATTATGATTTGACTTCCGTTAAAATTTTAGATATAGTATAGAGATTGCGTTAAGAGATTACCTTAAAATAGTTAAGGTTCTACTATTGTATGAGGCTTATTGTGTTTTGTATGTAATATGACTTGAATATGACATAAAACAATGATTGACCACAAAACACCGATATAGCAATTATAAATATGTAAACTGTTGATTTCATTGCAACCAAACATTTATGGTTATAGAATCGATATTTTTCATTCAAATATATATTTACCCCTATGTTGGAAGTATACATTACTATTATGCTAACGATACCTTCCTATGGCTCCTATTTCCATTTATTACTATCATTCCCAACAAAAAAAGTGGAGGTAGATCCAACCAAAAATGGATTTAGACATAGGGGGAGTTAAGTGTAAGATCAGATCAGATTCGATTAATTATCGGTCTCACATCGAGGGTGAAACCCATTTTACTATTACTCTATTCTATCTTATCAATTATGAGTCATGTCATGAACTAACCATATGAAACCATCTTATGACTTGACTTAAATTATGTCATTTAATTAGTTATAGTCAGTAGCAGCAGCAACAGCTGTTACAAAAAAAAAAGAAATTCCATCACCAGACCAAGAAAGTAATTGCAAGCGAATACCCAAGCAAATGACAGCACGATAACTGTTTCGAAGATATATCATCGTTAGATGTTCGTAAATACATGGTACAGATAACCTTCCTTTATAATTTAACGTGATCACTATTAGTTTAGTTTTAGAAGTAATCTTCTAGAGATCAAGTCTTGTGGTTTCAGTCTCGTGACAATTATTTTGTGAAGGGACGCTGCCTAATTAGGCAATACCACTTCTAACCGAGGATTATAAATCAGGAAGAAAGGAAATACCTTTATCTATCTACAATGCATTAAACAGCCTATAATGAAAATATGAATCAAATAATATTAATACAAAACCTACATATGAAATATACAATTAAAGAAGTTGAAATAAACAAACAAAAAGAAAAAAATTAGCACAGTGAATATTTTATAGATGGATCTTATTTTTAAAACGTACTTACATCAAATCCACTATTACCACCTCTTGAACTATGATCATTATCATCATCATCATCACCACCATTTGGGGTGGAATTCTTTGGATCTCGTAAATAATTCAAATTATCAATATATAATTTTTTATCGGCATTACGTTTACAAGTTAATGTACCCATATGTCTTTTTAAAGCATCTTTTCTAGCGAATCCTTTACCACATAATTCACAAATATTAGGTGGGATAGTTAAATGTTGCTTTTCATGTCTTTTTAAATCAGATGATCTTCTAAATGACATTGAACATTTCTCACATAAAAATTTCCGAACTGTTTCATTACCTGATTCAGCTAAAGATTGTTTTCGAATAGTGCTGGCACTACCAATTGATAAGGATCGATTTGAAGTTAAACTATCATGTAAACTAGAAGCTAATCCATGAACGGAATGCGATCTAGCTCCACTTCCACTACTATCCGCTGTAGTTGGAGTAATATTGGTGTTTGTAGATGATGAAGCAGATAAATCTGGACTATCTTTATTATATCGAACTCCAGCAACTTTATAAGTTAATGGTTCACCAATTAAGAAATTCCAACCATCATTATTTGAACTAGGATGATTTGAACGATTTGGAATAGTCAAATTTGGTTTTGATTGAGATTGTGAATGGGAACTTGATGATTCTGGATGATCATGATCACCTTGAAATATATCATTACTTAAATTTGGAAATTGTTCATAAAATCCTTGAATATTTAATTGACCCTTTTGATTAGTTGTAATATCACTCCCTCTTCCAATAGGGTTTCCATGAGGTGAGGCAGCATATTGTAATCTTGTTAATAAATCTTGAATGGTTGGATCAACTAAGGCTGATCCATTTGGATTTGCTCCCGCTGCAGTGGCAACTAAAGCTTCTCTGGCAAGTCTTAAGAATCTTGCATCTTCATCATCAGTTTGAACTTGGTCTACATGTACTTGAGATGGTTTTCGATATGATTTCAATGAAGGTGGTTGTTGAGATTCTTGGGGTTGTTGTTGTTGTTGTTGCTGTTGATGATGCTGTGAAATTTGGGATGGTGGTGTACTAACAGATAATAAGGGTGGTGTGGGAATATTAAGACTATCTCTTCTTATATTTGTCGAAGTTGTATTTGAAGTACCTCTTGGAGAATTAAAACTTCTTGTATAACTTACATTTTGTTCAATTGAACTTGGAGTATGTCTTTGAGTAGGTAATAAGAAATTTATATTTGAATTTGGTGAAGAAGCAGCGCTTGATCTTTTATTAGGATTGTTGGTATTGGTATTGGATGGATTTGATGGATTATTTGGTGTTGTTGAAGATGGGGAATTATGACTGAATGGGCTCGTGGGCCTAGGTTGAGGTGAAAACATATTATTAAATCGATTTGACGTAGTTAAGTTTGGTCGATTAGGTGGAGGATATGTTTGCGATTGTAATTGTGGAGCTTGTGGTTGAGAAGGTAATGGTTCATGAAAGTGTTGTTGTTGTGGTTGTTGTTGTTGTTTATTGGTATCTATAGGATTAGTATTGGTTCTACGACTATTACTATTCCTTGTTGTATTATTATTGTATGAGCGACCAAACTGTGGCTGATCTGGGTCCATAAGAACTTGAACACGAGATTTGAGAAAATGAACAACAAAAGGTTGGAAAACAAAGGTTATGAAAATGAAAGTAATAAAATGAAGGATTGTTCGATAATATATTACTTTGTTCGTAAGTGGTTTGGATGTATTGAAGATTCAATGTAGTTGTTTTTATAGTTATTATTTTGAATGTAATTATTAATGGTAAACTTTTCAAACATTCACGGTAGCAGCGTATAAAAGGTGGGTAACTGAGTTGAATGATATATTTTTCAGCAGTAAATATAAAATGAAATCAATTGATGGGGTAGTTTAAACTTAAGAAATCTAGACTGATGATATCAATATTAAATTATCAAAACTTAACAGGGAAATATATCTGATTATAAACAACCAAGACAAACAAACGTTTGTGTCTATTTTTTCAAATTGGCAACAAAAAAAAAAGTGTGGTGGTTGAAAAAAAGAGATGAAAGTACACCCAAGTTATTTCCTATTTGAACGTTTAGATAGAATCTGTGTGGAAAGATGGTATACGGGGTTTGTCCCAAGGATTCGTCCTCAAAACTATGACTTTATTCTTCTTGTTGTTGATGGAATATTTGGTGGTATAATTTTTTATTTTTACGATTGGGATCGTTAATTTGTCTCTCTATTTATTATTTATTTTTTTATTGCAACAATTGGTATTTGGTACACGTTAAATTGTTAGCGACCTTTGACTGTCTGATTTCACACCCCCCTCAAAATTGTAATGATGAATAGTTGAAGTAATACCAATTATAACAAAACTGGCATCTACTAACGTTATAAATAAAGGTTGATGGAAATGGTTCTAAATTTTATTTGATAATAAACTTTTGAGTTGATTGAAGTTTATCCTTTTTTTGAAATTTAAGAAAAGTTGATTGTCCCTTTAACTGTGGAGCCACACTTTTTTAAGCTTCTTGTTAGAGCGGCCAAATTCTTAAAATTTAATTCTGCGTGTCTGTCTATCTGTCTGTCTGATAGGTTTATATATAAAACTTGATATTTCTTCTTCCCTTTTGATGCCTTGTCAAATTGAACAATGATATATTTCTTGGTGGCAATTACAATTATAATTAATAATTGCAATTAGTAATATGAATTCCAGTTACTGAGATACTTACGTTTAAACTAACTAACGGTTGAAGTTAGCGACAACCTTAAAAAAAAGAATCTGCAAAAGTCGGCCACTATTAAACAATCCAATTGTAACAGTATCTTATTCTGTGTATGTCTCCTATTGTAACTAAAACTTGGTTTGTCAAATTGTGGATGTATTTACGTTAATTTTTTGACTAAAAGGCATTTTCTGATCGGTCTTGTTCAATTTTTTTAATGTTGCGAAAAATTTAAAAATTATTTTATGACGCCACGTGACTTCAGCTAATCCAAAAAAAAAAATCTGTTCCTCGCCTTCTAATGCTTATTCAAACATTATCAATATTGCAAATTTATCTGAAATTATTCTCTATCATATTCGTAACTGATATCATCATAAAAGGTTAGAATGGGAAATATATCTTTGATGTAAGGTACGGCTCTATTCTTGGTATATTTTCTATTTTCTATTTTCTATTTTCTATTTTCCTTTCTTTTAACTAAAATGATGATATTAGTTGATGCAAAATCAATTAACAGGATGTATCAACTGCATTAGGAATTACAGAATCATTTATCTAACGAAAGGCTCAATCTACTTATAAATCGAAGTTGGATCAATTAACTTTAAGCTCCTATCGGAAGTAATTGAGACCTTTGCAACCAGTAACAGACAGACGTTTGTTCTAGAAATCAGATATTTACAGGTTTGATATCCCAACCCCTCTTCTTTTTACATTTTATACACTTTTACAGTTTACACCAACTATTTTACATGTTTTAATTTATTTCCTGTATATTAAAATATCCTGCATATACCGTTTTTGTTCTCCCTCTTTTTTCGTTTTAGTTTTGGTGTAAGCAGAAACAGACACTCCTTTTCAAAGAGATGAATTATAATTCAAATAAGACCAATAGATAACGTGTTTTAACTCATATCACTTAGTTAAATCTATGACACTCAGTGCATACTTTTAAACCATCGTCTCTTGAAGAAAATAGCAAAAAACAAAACTCAATCCAATCATGACTTATCAAGATTTACCATCTCGACAAAAATCACAACGTCTAATCAATCGACTCAAGAGTCAACAACAACAGCAACAATTCCAACAATATAAACAACGTGCTAAGAACATAAACAACATTAATGAATTATTACCTGGTTTGAATGATATCAGTGATGCATTTGAAGCATTACCTCTTGATTTAATTAAATATTTCACCTTATTAAAGGAAATCGATGCTAAATGTATTAATTCTATACCTCAAATAAATTATCTTATTAAAAATCATATTAATGGATTACATGAAACTAAAGATGAAGAGAATGAACAATCTAAACAAGAGAAGAAATCAGATGATTTTAAACGATTGTTTTTAATTAAATCTAAAATTAATGAAATTATCCCATGTTTAGAAGAGAAAATGCATGTTACATCCGTTGCTACAGATTTATTACATAAACATATGTATAGAATCAATAATGATTATAAATTGATCATTAATAATAATGAAATCCCTGAATCCATCAGAATCGGACCTTTGAATCATCCTGCTATGATTATGGATTCAAGTTTTGTTAATAGTAACAGTGTCAATGGTAATGCTGCTGATAGATCAGCTCAAGCTCAAAGAAGTGAAAGTAGAAGGGAGGCTTTGGCAGCTAAGAAAGCTAATAAGGAAGATTCTGATGATCATGTTACTACTAAGAAAAAGAGAAATAATAATAAAGAAGCTACACCTTTAGATTCAAATGCAAATGGTAGTGGAAAACATATCAATAATAATAGTAATAATGGTAATAATGCCAATAATTCTAATAATAATAATAATGGTTCAGGTACAACTACTACTAAAAAGAGATCAAGAAAAGAACCTGAAGATAAACAAAAAGCCATTACTCCATCATCATCGGCTGGTTCTAATCCTGCCAATCCATCAAATATTCCTAATAACAATACCGCTGCTAATGTCAATAATGGATCTAATGTGAATGGCCCATCGAATGGACCAGCAAAGAAGAAATCTAAACCTAAAAAGGAAGAAAGTACCGATATCATTGCAAGAGAAGGAGGTCAACTCACAACTGAAAGTGGTCATAAGATTAAAGTTGATATTATTGCTCAACAAAAGACTGCCGGTGGTTCATCAACTAATGTCGAGCCTACCTATTGTTATTGTAATCAAGTGTCATTTGGTGAAATGGTGGGTTGTGATGGTGATGATTGTAAACGTGAATGGTTTCATTTACCTTGTATTGGATTTAAAAATCCTCCAAAGGGGAAATGGTATTGTGATGATTGTTTAATCAAAATGAAAAAGGTTAAAAAGATATAAAATTTGTCTAATCTATATATCTATGTACGTATTGTATGTATGTAATTAATTAATTAATTAATGTGTTTTTTGTCTAGTATAACTCATCATTTAACCATGAATTTAACATATGTAAAGATTCTCTTGGTTTATCATGAGGAACCATATGACCGGCATTATAAATTCTTAAAAAGGTGAAATTCTCATAATATTTAACTTCTCCACTTGGAACTTCATTTGAAGTGATTTTCCATGGTTTTAATGGTTGTTTATTAAAGAAATAATGACCGGAGTAAGGTAAATTATTAGTCCATTCATAATTTCCAACCCAATTACATCTATAATCTTTATCACCAGCATAAATCAATACTCTAACTTTGGTTTCTAATAATTCAGTAATGAATTGTTGATGAGGGATGGCTTTATCACCAACAGAATGGAATAAACGAGATACAGATGATGAACATCCGGAAAATTCACCAATCACTTTAGGATCAACTCCGACCACTTGTTTGATGGATGGAAGAGTTAAATATTCAGATACGTAATCAATAGGTTTATAACAATCACCAGTATCATCAGGACTTTCATGACATGGAACTCTAATATCAAATGGATTTAATCCAGTTTTATCAAAGGGTCCAAACATGGCTTTAGAGCAGAATGAATCTGCAGTAGCACAAACAGTAGCATTAGTTGGATCAGCATAACATTCATCTAAACCAACTTTACATTCAGGATAAATATCTTCAAGATGTTGACAATCTTCAGCACTAATGATAGGATGATATCCACCTTGACCACAAGCCATAGGAATTAAAGCTTTATATTGTTGAATGGCATCAGTTATACCGTTCCCAATCAAGACACTGGCTAATTCGAATGATCTATCCTTTTGATTTATGATTTCACTAGCGAATTTAGGGATATAGTGACCAGCGTATGATTCACCTGAAATATGAAATTTGTTATTTAAAAATTGGGGAAATTTCTTAAAGAATAATTCTAAAAATATATAAACATCTTTACCTGCAATATCAGTACTATTGACATTAACTGATAATGGATCATCAGAATATGAATATCCCACCCCAATAGGTTGATCTAAAAAGATCACAGATGCATTTGAATTCCAACTATATGGATTATATTGAGGTTGTAAAGTTTCATTAATGAAAGATGGACCTAATTCAAAGAATAATCCAGTGGTGGATGAACAACCTGGTCCACCATTTAACCATAATACAATTGGATCATTAAGGGGATCATTTCTCGATTCAAAAAACCAATAGAATAAATGTTTGGATTCGGCAATATCAAAATACCCCGTATATTGATTAACCACATCCAAGCCTAAACTTTTAGGATTCAATTGTTGGATTCTTAATTGATGATCTTCGAATTGATTAATATTTAACACTTCATATTCAGTTTGTGTCTGTTTATGATTGTGTTCTTTACTTAAATCCAAATGTAATACATTATCGTTAGGATGGGGGATTAAATTTGAGATTGAAAATGAAAAGACAGGTACAGAGGCTGCAATTATCAAAACTGCCAATTGATTGAAAAGTTTCATGATGAAATTAACACGTGTGAATTGTGTCCGTTCTAGTATATGGCAAACCGGTCAATTGGTGTGGATTGATCTTATATATATATATATATATATCTTTTTATACTTATCTTTAAGTTTGATTAGATTAGCTTGTCGCTCGAGATATCTCTCATTATGGAGCCGTACCAAATTTGACATTATGGAGAAAAGTACCGATTAGGAAAGGCCCGACGAGTTGGCTCAATTGGGAAATAGCGCCGGAACATATTAAAAAAAACCCTTTCAACTTTTCTTATTTGGTATTGTAAGGGTCAATAACATATTTATAAAAAGTTTTTGCGCTTTTGTATCAAAGTATAATTATTGAATTAAAGTCAAAGAACTGGAAAGTGTAATCTAGTTTAGTAGATTTTGGGAAAGCTTAAAATCAGACGAGAGATAAACGTAAAACCAACCACAAAAAAAAAAGTGTCAGATTATTTTAAAAATGACTGAATTGATAAATAAATCAGACATTAATATTCTCCATTCATAGCCAAGGCTGACACTTTTAATTCAACCAGTCAAGTCAAATAAGGTCAATTGATCTAAAATAGAGGCTAACTGCCTCCCTATAAGATTAATTCAAGGATATCTCCCTCTCTGATATCCTCGGCACACTTGGATGGAAATATACCAAAGTTTACCTAATTAATTAACTAACCCCCTGATTACCCTCACATAGAAATTATATTGGAAAAGTAAAATATATAACTAAATAATAATTGCTATACGTATATGTAATATCTAGTTTTAATTAAATAATAGAACCATAACCTATATACTCATAGATTTTATAAATGCGAAAATTATTGAGGACCAATTAATTTACAGTATTCATTTTTATTTTTCAATTGGTGAAAATAATAATAATCCTCAAATAATATAATATTAATAATATCCCTGGATGATGATGGCGAGAAGGATGATGAAGGCTTTCGTATAGTCTGATTAGTTATATCAGATAATTGTCTAGACTAGGCTATACCAAAAAAGGAGTAATAGAGAATTTATTATAAAGCTAATCTTCCCCACTTCAAATAGTGACAATTGCTGCTTTTGCTACCATCCCCTCCCCCTCCTCAGTTTGTGGTACACTATTGTTATTATATTACGAGTTTAAATTTTAATTTTAATTTTAAGGGTGTAATGAACACAAACTAATCATAGATATAGATAACCTGTAACCGTAGCCGCCGGTTAAAGTCTATCTTGCCGATGTGTAAATGTGTTTATTGTAAGATTAGGGAGAATAATATCGGTGAGAGAAGGCAGAATCACTTACACACGCGCCCACACCACAAAAGAATAAATAAAAAATCTAATTTTTAGCGGGAACCGCCCTGAGTAGAATTTACAATTTTTTTAAGGGGGTGAACTAAACCTAATTAGTGGTGATATCGGCGGCTGAATGAGCTACAAAAAAAATATTACAAAAAGAAAGCGAATTAGGGTGAGGGTAATAATAATAATATTATTAATATTTTAGGATGGCGGTCAGTGAAACCAAAAATAATAAATCAGGAGATTTTATTTGATTGAGGTTGAATTGGGGGAGACATATGACATTAAGTTAGGTTAATTGACTTGAAATTAGTCTTGAGAATAGGAGAGATGTAAACCATTATTACCTATTACTATCTGTGTCAGGAATGACTGAAAAAAAAAATAATGGATGCTAAAATTTTAAGGTAATAATTTTTTTTGCTACTGGTATAGTATAAACAGTTTAGAAAATAAGAATTTATTGTGTAGTTAATCAAATGTAACTTGTAGAAAAGTATGACGACTTGTATAACCCCGATTATAATAAAATTTCAATTTTGTATTATATTTCATTGTGTTTTTAATTTTTGTTTGGAATTAAGGTAGGATAAGGATTACATTTCTCTTTCTTTAATTGTCTTGGATTACGTCTCATGTGCTTTACATTGCCTTACACTTTTGAGCGCATTGGATATGGTTAATCATTTTTGGACTAGTGGGGAAGAAAAGAATAGAATATCGATCAATAAGACAATGAAATCTATGTTTTGATCGACGATGAGTAGTAGGTAGTATCAACATGAATGAACCCTACAAAAATAGAAACCATCACATAAAAGTTGTTGCTAATAATAAGTATCTATTTTAACACTTTAATTTAAAGTGGTTTTAGTTAAAGCAATTTGGGAATTTTGGTAATAGCGGAATTTTAAGCCGAGCAGACAAAAATTTTAGTATATATACGCAAATCTTTATTTTAAGTTCTAAACTTTAAGAAAATATAATTGGACCTTCTGTTTACCGGAATTGTATACCATATAAGGTTCAATTAAACTCAATAATGTGATGAGTTGAATTGACAATAAATAAATAAAATATCGGCATTTAAAAATCTAGACATTATCAATGTAAATTCAGTATAGTTATTCTCGTAACTGACAGACAGACAATTGAACGCGTGTAATAGAATGAGCAAATAATCGAATCAGACACTAAATTTAGTGAGAACAACTAAGGACAGAAATTTAGTGAGAGAGGATTGTGAAGAATGGATTCTACAAGCAATATCAAAAATACCTTGCCAAGGTAGATATCACATTTCAACATGGGGTATGATATGGTTATATTACCCTGAATTCGAAGAATTTTTAATCTTTTATGTCTGCCTCGTCTTCATCGGTCTGCAGTTATAATTGAAAATTCCTAACCATAAGCCATTTTTTTTTCACGTCTCTTTTTATTTTATTTATTTATTTTTCACTTCTCCCTGAATTGGTAAAAGTATCTTTTACTTTATTATCTACAAACACTTATTGATAGTGTAGAAAAGGACAAGATACTAATGTTAAAAGATTGCCAGTATTGTTATCTTAAATCTAACAACCCCAAAAATAAATAAATAAATAAATAAATAAATAAAATTGAAATTGAAATTAGCATGATGATGAAACTGAAATTATTTTTATTTATTTATTATTATGATTATTATTTATGCAGCATAAAAAAATGTGATAATTGATGGTTAAGGAGATTGGCCTTAAAAAGTAAGCATTGTCAATCTACTTTTCTTTTTTTTTGGTTTAAAGTAAAGTGGTTTAGGGAAAGGAAAAAAAAATCTCGTAATTGCAGAGGTACTAACCAGGAGTAATAAGCGTATAAGTAGTTTAGGGTTATTGATTCTGAAAATGTATCCATGTAGGATTTATCTAATCAGATAACAGACCATTATTTTGTGATGATGAGACGAAAGGGAGAGACTAGATCATGTTAATTTCATACTGATTAATTTAGTGAATGACTCTTTAGTAGGTAGACTCAGCAGCTAATCTTCAATTTAGTGACAAGCTAAATTGAGTGTGACAAAATTGTTAGCGAGGATAATCTGTGAAAAAAATTCTTACCCCTAAGAAAAATAGACAAAAAAAGCGAAGAACAAGACAAAAATACCAAAAGACACAAATAAATATTATTTTTTAACAGCTATGCTTCTATTACTTTTTATTTTTTCAGTGATGCTGCTTCTGATGGTATGTCTGTCTGCTTGTTTCCATTACCGTGCTTTTAGTCTACATGTACTGCTAATGATAATGGAAGTGACTAAGAGGAGAGGATAGGAGAGGAGTGAAGAGGATACCCCCGGGCCTTACTGGTAGTACTACTCTTACATGTGCTTATGCTTCTACTTCTTTTAGATTGACAAAAAAAAATAAATAGATTGAAAGTATTAGTAAATGGTAATTCATATTATTTTGCTGTGTCTGTCTGTCTGTTTTTGTCCACTTTTTTTTAAGCATTAATTTTTTTTTTTAAATATTTTGTCTGTTCTGTTCTGTTGTAACTGTCTGTCTGTCTGTCTGTTATGTCTGTCTGGTTCAGTCTGTCTCTTTTTTCATAAATTAAATTTTTAAATTTTTAATTTCAGAATTATAAAATCTTTCTTTCTCTTTCTTTTTATATCAGTAATTGTCATCAACATCATCAATTGTTTGTTTATACTATTTCAATTGTTCTATTCATCTCCATCAGATTGGAAATACATCCCTTCACCTCACCTCACCTCACCTCACGTATCTTCTTGTGCCCCTTTTGTGACTCTATTTTTAAGGGAATAATCGAAAGAATTAGACACATAGAAACAAACAAACGAACCGAAAACAAGGCAGAAACAACACCTATTTTGTAAAACCAACAAAATTTTACAATTATCACAAAATTGGAATCTAATTAAAAAAAAATCATTCAATAAGCTTATATTACTGTACAGATACTAAAAAAATCCTTGTTATTGTTATTATTGTTTGTTCCTTATACTACTTTCTACTACAAGGATAATACCGATAAAAATAAAAATTTCATTCATTCTTTCATTCACCTTTAGTTTTTTTGGTAAAGGATCTTTTTGAAGTTTTCGACAACATTATTTTATCATCTCCTTTTATTATCAACTCCAGTGAATTATCATAAATCATTTCATTTGTTGTTTATCCATCCTCTCCTTCATTCCCTACCTCCCTCCCTATCCTTCATACCTACGAAGCGGACAAAAAAAAAATTATTCATTTCATTTCACTCACTCGTTAAATTTTTAAACATATTTTAGATCATCAAACTTTTAAAAAATCAAACAATTAATTAATAGAATCATTCATTCCTTCCCTCATTCATAATGTTAAAAGAATATAATTTAGTTGTTGTTGGTGGCGGTGGTGTTGGTAAATCCGCCTTAACCATTCAATTGATTCAAAGTCATTTTGTTGATGAATATGACCCCACCATTGAAGATAGTTATAGAAAACAATGTAATATCGATGAAGAACCAGTTATGTTGGATGTATTGGATACAGCTGGTCAAGAAGAATATAGTAATATGAGAGAATCATATATGAGAACTGGTCAAGGGTTCTTATTAGTATATTCTATAAATTCCAGAAATTCATTAGAAGAATTACAATCATTTTATGAACAAATTTGTCGTGTAAAAGATAGTGAAAATGTTCCAGTAATAGTTGTGGGTAATAAATGTGATTTAGAAATTGAAAGACAAGTAAGTTATGATGAAGGATTAAATTTAGCTAAATCATTTAATTGTCAATTTTTAGAAACAAGTGCAAAACAAAGAATTAATGTTGAAGAAGCATTTTATAGTTTAGTAAGAAAAATTAGAGATCAAGAAAACATAAAACAAAATGCTAATTCAAATCAAACTACTAATAATGTTAATAATACTACTAATAATTCATCATCTGATGCTAAAAATCCAAATTCTTCAACTAATCAAAATATACCTAATGGTTCAAATACAAATAATGCAAATATACCCAATCAACAACAAAAAAGACAACAAAAACAAGCATCCCAATCAACTCAACAACTTGCTGGTGAAGCAAAAGAAAAATCAGGTTGTTGTGTGATTGTGTAGATCTAATATCTACCGTTTCTTTCATACAACTTATGTCTCATTTGATATGCATTTGTTTGATTTTTTTTTCATTCATAAATTTTACCATTATTGTTTCACTTCACCTCGCCTTACTTAACTCCTCCTTTCTTCAATGTACTTTATCCAACCCAATCTGAGTTATCAACTAAACCAAGATCTCAGTTGATAAAAAGTTTTCGATTTAATCCCTAAAAATATATTTCAATAAATCAACCAAAGCAAGTCTACAACCAAACAAACCTTCAAGCAAACAAATTTTCAAAAAAAAAAGTATCATCTACTTCTTTATCTTTAATTATTATTATACTTTTATTATTTACTTTTTACCCTTATGTATGTTTTATATATATATTTAACTTATATTTATACTTTACTTAGCTATTTCACTATTCTATGGACGTATACCATATAACTATAAGCAATTGAAATGATAGCAAAAAAATAACACTTTTCATCAACTGATTAAATCAAGTCAATATATATATTACGTATATAAAGTGCCCGTGATAGCAATAGCAATTATGTTTTGTATTGTAGGATCAATTGATGAAATGAATTACTATGAAATGTAAGATTAAACTTGCAAATATGAAATCACCAAATGAACGTTCAGGACTAATAACCTTAAATATCTTATCGCTAACTTTTGGTTCATCGGATTTAATGACCAATTCTTCATCAACAATTTCTTCTTCATCTTCTTCAGCATCATCATCTTCTTCTTCATTGACTTTTTCATCAGATTTATGAGTTTCTTTCACTTGTAATCTTAAACTAACAGTCAATACGAATTGACCCACACATGAAATAAATCCTCCTAAAAACGCATTAAATGGGAAACTACCAATTAATAACACATGAATAAATTGAAGTATACCTAATGCCACTAAGAAGACTAAGAATATATCAATCAATTTCAATCTTGGAGTTAAAGTTTCGAAATAATCAGCATAAGTGGTATTTATGGCAGAAAATACTTCATTTATAGATGAAGTGATATTAGATATTTTAGAAAGTGGGTTTTTAGAACCAGTTGAATTGGATGAATTATTAGACGATTGAGATTTTTTAAGAGCTGCAGCGGCAACGGCAGCTGAATCTTTTCTGGCCATGATTGATTATTGTGTATGGATATATGTGTGAAGGGTAGAATTGATGGGATTGGATCCTTAAGCGTAATACCTTCTTTTAAATCAAACGTGTTTTCAAAACTTTTTCAACAATTCAATTTTGGTTTGAGGTTTGACTCGCACACTCTTACTTTCTAATTTTTAAATTTGTGTAACCAAATTTTTGAATTTCAAAAAGTTGAACATGAAAGAATAAGACGAACAAGAAAGAAGACGTTATTAAAAGATCAATTCAATTGGATACCATTATCTGGAAACCACTATCATCTAACAGTTCATAAACTATAGTATAAACCTAACTTACAAAATGGTTGATACTGAAGATCCGTTGTTGAATCATCTTTATTCCAAACTTGGATCCATAAATCAAGAAAATATACTTCATGCCAATGATGAATTAACCAACTGCACCACAACTAATAATAATAATAAGAATAATAATCAAGTAGAATCAGATATACTATCAGGTAATGTCAATCAAAACAAATTAAGAAAGATATCGCGACCTCCAACTCTTCGAATCATTCCACCATTGAACTTTTGTCCTGTTGAAAAACAATTATATAGATCAGGACAACCATCGATTATAAATCAATCATTTTTACAAGATTTGAACTTAAAGACCATTGTATGGTTAGCTAATGAAGAACCTAATGATGATTTTTTAGAATTTTGTCAATACAAGAATATTAATATTGAATTTGTGGGGATTATAAATGAATATTATGATCATGATGGGAATTTAAATACCAATAATACTAATCATATTACAGTGAATCCATGGGATTCATTGAATGAATCTACGATTAAGAAGGCTTTAGAAATCATATTGAATAAAGAGAATTATCCCTTATTAACATGTTGTGGGATGGGAAGACATCGGACAGGGACAGTGATTGGATGTTTAAGACGATTACAAGGATGGAATTTAGCTAGTGTTTCAGAAGAATATAGGCGGTTTACAGGAGCAAGAGGAGGTAGAATCTTGGTTGAATTGTTAATTGAAAGTTTTGATATTACCAGTGTTGATATTGATCCAAGTAAAGTACCAGAATGGTTGCCACTTCAATAGTTTGTACAGAAAATATTTAGAAGAGATGACAAGAGAATATAATAAATATCATCATATTTTTACCTTACGATTACATGAACCAGTTGTATACAAAGATAAGAGATTAAGGCTTTTGTTATCCTTAATTGTAAGTTAACCTAACTACCTAACATGTTAAGTTGCTATATGACTTAAAGCTTATGATTACTAGCTTAGATATTCGAGTCGTGTACTTTTGTCGTAAAATCCATCAATTTCTGTCAAATCGGACACGACCTTAAACTCCACATTTAGTGATTGCCCCCTCCTTGTCCCTAGATGATCATTGATAAGTAGATATTTTGCCATTCCATCTATAGATACTTTTTCTTCTCTAGATATCATTTATATCAACTTAATTGGTGACCATCAACTGTTATCTCTTGTTATAAAAAGCCGTTACTTTAATCGTTTAAACTATTAAGTCTCAAATAGGAAAAAAAATCAGTTACACTCACACACCCACAAAAAAAAAAAAAAGATTTTAGGGAGAGGAGAGATTTTTAAACCAAAATACAATCACACTGAGAGAGATCATTCATTCAAGCAATCTATCCATCTTCATCTTAAGGATAGATACAACTATTCAAGTGATTCACATATTCTAGTAAGTAAGAATAGATATTCATTCAAAAGTTCTATTAGTTTAACAAACAGACTCAATTGATTCCCTTTGATCAGTGTGCTGTAATCTTTTGCCATCCATCCATCCCATTTTCCCCCTTCTTTTTTTTTTCTTTGCTGCTGCTGCCTTTTTACATCATTTGCCTTTCATCATCAATTGATATAAATTGAATAGAATCTGCCTTTGAATCAGTCAGTCATCTAAATCAAATCATCATCATGTCGTGCATTGCTACTGTCAAGATAATTGGTGCAACCTCTTTAGGTTTGTTAACTGCCTCATTAACTTATCAATCAATTGAAACTATTCCTCTTTTAATAAATGAATTATCAAAACCTTTCAATCCATTAACCAATTCATCAGTAATCTCCAACTACTTAAATCAAGTAAAAGCTATCATTTCAAATTCAAGATTTTTAAATTTGATCTTTGCTGGTTTATCAACTACTTTCTTTACGTTAGCATTTAAATATAGTCCTCCATCTGGTAAACATCCTTATCTTTTATATGCTGCTTTAGGTGCTCCTTTAACTATTGGAGGAGTTTATTATCAAGCTTATAGTTATGAAGAAAAAATTTTAAAATTAGATCATAAACAAACTGATTCTATTAAGAAATCAAAGAAATCAACCCCAAAGAAATCATCAACTGTTACACCATCAGTTAAAATAGAACCACTTAAACCTCTTGAAATCCCAAGTATCGCTACTGGACCTGTTGTTGCTGCCATTGAAGAACAAGATGATTTAGGTAAATCCTATATTCATGTATCTGAAGAATCATCATCAGCATCGTCAATAACTTCCACTCCAAACGCATCCATCCCAGGATCTCCTCAAATCGCTCATCAAGATGAAATAGATCAATCTGAATCAGCCGTGGTGGTTGAACCAATAGTGGAAGAGGAAGAAGTGGAACAAGAACAAGAAGAACAATTGGATCTATCAATCGAAGAAGAAATCGAATCAACTTTAACTAAAAAGGAATTCGTTAAAGATTTACAAGAAATTAAATCATCCTATATCATTGGAACAACCATATCTGGATTCTCATTCTTTATCGCTGTAATCGGTTTAGTAGGTGATTATTATTTATTATGAGAAGCTAAGTGTTTTCAATAACTTTATTTAATTTTTTTTTAGTTGGTGGTTGTCGATGTTGATTTCATTTATTATTGTTATTATTATTATACTGTTATTCTTACTATTATCATTTTTGAAAATGATATAAATGTTTTTGCAATGATATTTGGAATAAGGAAGGATATTTTCATATGTGTTTTAAGTTGTTTTTAAGTTGTTCTTTTTTTTATTATTTACTATACTTATTATTATTATTCAACTGGTGTTTAATCTTTTTATTTACTACTATTTTTTAAAGTTTAGTTATAGCTTTTTTAATCTATATATTGCATGTATGTATATAAAAAAAATTAATATACTATATATATATAGTTAGTCATCATCAACAATACAAGGGTTAAACAAATGAAAGCTTATTATTAAGATCAGGATCAGAATTCTTGACTTTTCTACCAAATCCAACTTCAATTCTGGTTCTTATAAGATCCACATCATTAGTATCATATACCAATATTAATGCATTTCCTGTTAAGTCAAATAGTTCTAATTTACTTGCATTTCCTCTTGAACCATTTTCTTGGAAGCCGAACAAACTGATTTTGTTATTCTTGAAGGTGAATTCTTGTAAGTGTTGATGGAATGCAATCGTTCTGGGTATCAATAGGATTTGGAAATGATTACGGTCTAAGTAAAAATTGATCAAACTTGATGGTAGTTGAATGTTTCTTTCTAACTTAAATAACAAGTTGTTCCTTAATGATAGTGTCTTTAACCGATCTGAAATAATTCCTTTATAGGGTATGAAACGATGAACATTATTAAAGTTTTTGATTAGGTTATCATCCAAATACAACTCATAGAGGGTAGTAGGTGTTTTGACATCTGCAAGAGTTGTAATCTTATTGTGACTGAGATCAAGATGTGAAATGGGGAATCTTGATAAATTTAAGTTGGTAATATTACTATTCGTTAACGTAACTGAATTTAAATTTTCAGATACATTCAGAAATCTCAATCTCTCCAAATGCACCACATTAGTTAGAGATACGGTGACTAGCGATGGTGGAAAATGGATGTAGTCATCCGTAAACCTATAATTTCCTAACATTATCTCGACTATCTTGTCAGGTACGTTTTTCAAAAATCCTTTAACTTCACGTGGAATTGATGGATATCTTGTAGTTAAGAAGTCTTTTTTTAAAGAATTATGACCTATACTTAAACTTTCAATACCAGGAGGTAAATTAGTTAATTGATCCCACATATCAATTTCAATGTTTCCACTTAAATTTAACCTCTTTAGTTCCTGTGGCCATTCGTGCAATGTTAAAATTATAAATCCTCTGTTGTCAATATTACAATTTTCTAATATTATGGATTCTAAACCTTCAGGCCATCCCGTTTTGAACGTGAATGATACAGTCTTCATAAATGGATTATTTGATAGGTCCATATTAATTAAATGTAATGGCAAGTAGCACACTTCCAATGAATCGATGAGTGTAAAATTTACCACAAGCATCTTTAAATTTGGGGTACAGACTATAAACCCATAGAAATTATTGGTGTGGACGTTTGTATTTTCAATTACCAAAAATTGTAGTTTATTAAATGCCTTAAATTCGTCGTATGGGAAATTAAAACACCAATTAGTAACATGCTGATTTTTCATACCAATATGTACATGAGTAATATCTTTCGGAAAACGATGTAAATTTTTTCCCCTAATCATTAAAATATCACTTATCATAATAATTTTAAGATACTGATGATTTTCCCAGTTTAAAACAGAGTTTGACTTAAGCCTAATGCTTCTTAATGTTAGGGAATGTAAATTCATTAATTTTAAAGCACTAACACTATTTGAAATGAATATATCATGTATATCTAGGAATATGTTAATGAATGAGGCTTGCAATGTGGTAGAGGCTTCATTAACAAATTCATCAAATTCATCCCATTCTTTCCCTATTATTATTTGAAGTTCTTTATGATTAATGCCTATAGAAAGAAATTCTTTGAATATTTTTACGCTTTTGAAAGCTTTACTGAGAATTTTCAGTTCTTTGTTTTCTAAAATTAAATAAATTCGGGGACCGAATACAACATCGATCAAAATTGGCATTAACCTTCTTAGCGGTTTGCATTGAACTAAAACATGTATCATTTGATTGAATTCTAATGATTTCAATCGTTCGCCAATTTCAAACGGGGATAAGGATTGAGCGAAGATGGTGTAATTTTCAACAGTATTGATGCTGGGATCATCAATAAAGATTGCATTACCCAAATCTGCCGAATTAGGAGCATTTAAGGCCATTTTTGATACTGCCGCCAACACTTATCATGAAGCAATGCTAGTTACATTTTATTTTTATTTCCTCAGTATGACTTAAAAAAGCTTTTGCAGCTTTTTTTTGGTAATAAAATGGTCACGTGTCAAATCATCTGACTGGAAGTGGGGCACTTGCTTCAATCAAGTTTCTAATTCAGCATTTTAATGTCTCACGTCCCTATAGCTAAGTGGTATTAAAGATGTTATTTGTATGATGTAGGTGATAATATTGCCTATATATGTCATCAGTTCAAGTGAATCAACATTAATGCAGGTGTAATTGATTATTATAGGAACTAATTCAATTTCTTGCTTGACAGCCTTAGAATTTTCTAATCATACTTGCTCGGTAAATTCCTATCTATAAATTTTGATTAGGCATGATCGCACTGCAACCTTCAGGTAAGAGAAGTGGTGAAAACATTCATTTTCGTGAAGTAAAAGAAGTGATAATAAGCAGAAAATATCACGGAGAAATTTGTTTTATTTGTTGTGATTTCAGCATGTACGAATTCCTAATTTCCTTTGCTGTTGCTCAGTTGCATTGAATGTCACGTGAACACTTTATATGAAAAGTCGTGCAAGAAATCGACTTTTTGCGACAAAACACGACAAACCTTGCCCGCGAACATGGGGAGATTAGATCCTTCTGATTTTCGCACGACTTTTTTGATCATTCAAAAAAAATTTGAAAACATCAAAACATCAACAATTTCTCCCTGTTCCCAAACATCAAAACATTTTTCATTTTCAGGTCTGATTTACAAAATCAAAACATCCAAACCTTTTTTTTAGCAACAACAACAATCTAATCTTTACAGTCAAATTCAAATTTGAATCTAAAATCTGGGAACGATCGAATAATTGTCAAAAACATGAGTAACAATCCATTAAACACTATTGTATTCGATGAGGCTATTGCTAGTAGAGGTGGTTTCCTGGGTGCTATCAACGTTCCTAAGCAATCTCCACTTTTCACCTATACCAATGGAAGATCATTAATGTTTTATATACCACCTAAGGATCCTCAAAGAAACAAGTTCAAATCCCTTATTATATCCAATGGAGGGATTATAGTTGATACCAAGCCTACTGAATTACAAAACCATAACGATATCATTATTGTTAGTACCAAGCCTATTCTCGATGTATTACAAGATGATGGTATTTATAATGTTAATTTTGATTTTATTTTAAATTCCCTTGAAAATGGTGAATTAGAAAGTTTAGAAGATTATCGTTATAAATTGAATACTCAAGAAACCGTCATTGCTCCAAGTCATGGTCAAGATTCAAATGCAGTAAATACAGCTGTTGCAACTACTGGTACTGGTACTGCTTTAGGTGGTAGGGGTCATAATAGATTCACCCTTGAAAAAGATGAATTTATCTTACAACAAATCAGATTGAATCCAAGATTTAGACAAAGTCATCGTTTCTTTGAAGAATTAAGTCAAGAACCAATCTTAAAAGGTCATACTGGTAATTCAATTCGTTCAAGATTTAGAAAACATTTAGTTAAAAAGTTACTTTGGGTCTATAGTTTTGATGAAAATAATAAAGTTATTAAAGATAATGAAGGTAACCCTGTTAAATTAGGTTATGATGAATTACCTGATACTTTAAAGAATAAATATACTGCTCATGATGATTATTCTTTATGTTTAGATGCTTTGGCTTATATTAAAGAAATTAATTCATCCAGTACTGAACCTATTGATATTAATAAGAAGCTTCCTTTACCTTATTCATTCTTTAATGATATGTTCAAGAAGATTCCAAAACATTCTTTGCATTCTTGGAGAGATAGATATAGAAAATTTGTTGGTGATGGTACTTTACAATCTTATATTACTTATTATGAATCTTCAATTGCTAATGGAGTTGCTCCAAGAACTTTAACTAGAGTTAATGAATTTTCAAGATCAGTTCAAGAATTTAGGGATGCTGTCAGATCAACTGGTGAAGGTTCTTCGTCTTCTACTACTGCTGCTGCTCCTGTTGCTGCCGTCGCTTCACCCACTACTATTGTTAATTCAAGTGGCTTACCAGCTCTTAATAGAAAAAGAAAATTGGATGATGGTATAGCTGATTCTTCAAGATCAGCTTTAGATGAAGAAATTGGTGAATTAAAAAGTTCTAATATTGATGCCACTTTATTTGTTAAAACTGCTGGTGATGATAGTAGAAAGCAAGCTCAAGCACAAGCCAGAAAAGCTAGACAACAACAAGAACGTGTTCTTGCTGCTGCTGTTGCCGTTGCTACTGCTGCCACTAATACTAATGAAGATGAAGAATCTCAAGATATTTTAAAACCTATCCAAGTTCCAAAATTAACTGCTCAATTAGGTGATGATGAAGATGATGAAGATGATGATGGAGAAGATGAAATTGAAGATATTGAAACTGATAATTTAACTTCATCATCCAATCAAACTCATTCTCAACCAGAGCCACCATTTGCTCAATCAACTCAACAACAACCTGATGAACCAAGTCAATATGATACTGCACCTCAAGCTGCTGAATCTCAATCTGAAGAACCTTTCCAATTACAATACCTTGATATGAACAATGTAAATATGAATGATATCCTTTTAGAAAAAGCCATTAATCTTTTAGAAAATAATGAATTCTTAAGTAAAGTCAATGAAGTCACTTCACCTAAATTTGAAAATGGTAAAGAAATCGATGAAGATTTAGCTGATTTAGTCTTAAGATTAGAATCATTAGGATTAACTGATAAATTCTTATCTCACATAATCTTAAGTTGTAATGCTGATAAATTAACCATTAGATTCTATCTTGAAATTTATATTTCAAATTTCCAGAAATATCTTCAAAGTAAAGCCGATGAAATGCAATTTTATGAAACTTTTGGTATTAATCATGGTGAAGGTATTTGGAATAGAAATATGGATTCGTTCATAGGCACTAGAAATGAAGATAGTTTACTTGAAGTTCATTCTAAATCTCAACTTAGAGCTAGAAAGTTATTCTTACAAGATGTGGGATTATTAGGAGCTTAAGTTAAATAGGGGTTTTTTATCGTTAGTCGTTCTTGTTTGTATTTTGATATTAGCGTTTGCTTTTCTCCGTATAGTGTAATCTAGTTTTTTTCAAATATATATCGTATTTTGTTATAATTGCTTTACTTACTACATTTGTAAACGCTCTTTTTTATTGAATAATTCATTTTTTATATTCATTTATAGAATTGGGTTTTCTTTTTTTGCAATTGCAGTATATATACTATTCTTCTATTTTTCAATTTACTATTTTCTTTCTAATTCTCTTTAAATAGTAGTAAAAACAAAACTCAAATAAAACTCACATAATAATGAAAAAAAAACAAGATGATATAAATTGGGAAATAAAGTAAAGTAAAAAAACTATATGATGAATGATGGAATGGATGGGATTGGGGAATCAAAAAACAAACTATAAAATAAAATTGAAAATGTCCTCTTTCTTTTAAGTCTTTTTTTCTTCTTTTTCCAACTTTCCAATTTAACTCTTTTTTATTGGGGTATATAATATAAATCAACAATAACAAAGGGTGTAATAGGAAAAGATAAAAGAAAGGTGAAAACAAACAAGCAAACAAATCAAAGACCATATAATGTATTTGTAATATATAAAAAGTCAACAAGGATAAAAAAAATGTCAAAAATAAAGTTAAGTTAAATCAAGCTGTAGTATCTTTTTAACACACAACTGTGTTTCTTCTTTTCACTTACTCATTTGACTGGTAATAGGGTAACGATGAAAACGAATGGGTGTCAAATAAAAAAAAATAATAAGGAAAAACCAAACCAAACAGAAACTAAAAAAAGAAGGTACTTTTTTAATGAGTAAAATCAATCCATTTAATTGGAAGAGAAAATTCCCCAGTATTGTTCAGCGTCGAAAGCACCTGGAGCTTTCCATAAATCGTTGAAAGCAGTGAATAAAACAACATCACTACCACATGAAGATTTAATGGAAGAAACAGCAGCTTCTTGATTTGGTTTAGATGGAACGGCGACACCATTGGATTCACCTTGGGATGGCCATCCGGTTTCAGTAATGAAAACAGATTTAGCACCACCACAAGCAGTCCAAACTCTTTCAATTTGAGCTAAAACCCAAGCACCGGCTTGATCAGCAGTGTAACCACCATCGAAGAAAGCATGAGCATTGACAGCGATATAATCAGAGTATTCACATAAAGATGGGTTGTTAATAACAGCAATAAAAGTATCAATAGCAACAACTGGACCAGAGTAACCAGCAGCAGTTAAAGCAGCTCTACCAGTAGCAACGTAACCGGCAACTTGAGCTGGAGTAGCTTGACCACCGTTAACTAATTCATTACCAATAGAAACAGTATAGATTTCACTCCAACCACCGTTAGCATTAACGGCTTCAGTTAAAGTTTGAATACCAGCAGCAATAGCATCCATATAATAGATACCGGCTAAGACTTTTTGGTTAGCAGCTTTAGAAGCTAAAACAGCACCAACTTGGTTACAATCAACACCATATAATCTAATGATATCGAAACCAGATAAGGAAGCGATTTCACTGGCGATTTGAGATGATGATTTACAAGTACCATCGTTAGCATAAGGAGTATAAGTAATACCCTTAGCACCAGCAGCATCGGCACCAGCAGCAGAAGGAGCTGGAGAGGCAGCGGCGGTGGTAACGGTAGCAAAAGTAGTTGGGTTAGTGAAAGAAACAGGTTGAGCTTGAGGTGGAGGTGGAACTTGACTTTCAACTGCAACAGTGGTAGCTGGAGCTGGTAAGTCGACAGCTGGTAAGGTGGTAGTTAAATCAGCACCAACAGTGACGACAATGACGTTAGTTTTGGTAACGATAACATCTCTTTTATCTTCTTTATGTTGATGATGTTGATGAGGAGCTGCAAAAGCTAAAGCAGCTAATGAGATTGAAACGACAGATTTGAATAACATTTCAGGAGATCAGTAAGGATAAAGGAATGGACAGGAGGGAGATTTATTGATTTGATGTAATATTTAAAATATAAATAAATAAACTTCTAGGGATTATTTAGAATTACTGTAAGGAGTGACTGTAGAGAGTTTATCTGTAAATAGATTGAATATTGGACTATCTTAAGAGGGAAGGGTGGTAGGATAAGATAGTTATAAGTTTAAAGGAATGAATGAATACTTAAAAAGGAATGGATAAGTTTAAAGAAAGTGGTAAAAAAGAAAATGTGGTTAAAATGTTTTAAAAAAATTTTTTGATATGGTTTAAACCCATATGGATTTGCTTGGTTTGGGAAAAGGATTTGTTGTTGACGATATTTATGTTTTGTTGTAAAACGAAACAAAAAAAAAAAAAAAAAAAAAATTTAAAATAAAAAAAAATTAAAAAAAAAAAAGAACAATCTGAAATTTAAAAACAATAAAAAATAATATTATTTTTCTTAAAGGAGACGACTAAACTGATACACAAAACAGTCTAACCTGTAGTTTCTTATGTATATATTTACTATTTAAATCAGTTCATTTTGTGGTTACAGTTCTAAACTGTAAACAGATCAAATTTCTTAACTATGTGAATCGGAAGTTGTGAAAAATTTAACCAATTTCGGTCAATGGTTAAGAGTTGTTTTACAGGTTAACTGTCTCGTTTGTTTATAATTTTACTCACTTCGGTTTCTCGTTTGAGCACAATGGTAAATACCGGTACTGTACACAACCACGCCCCTACTCCTTTTCCCACCATTCTCACTCTGTCTCGCTAGTGAACAGCACAACCACAACAACACTCATGAAGGGATATAACATTCCAGTATTTAGTGAGGAAGTTACGGTAAGTGTCTTTGGTTGATGGGTACCGTTAGTGATGGTACGCTACAATGAAATAAATTTCATCTGGCTATTTTAACCCATTGATTCACTAAGAATTATTATTGTTGTTGTTTTGTTTATTAATTACTTTGTTAGTCGAATTTAAAGATAACCTAGAGTAGTAGATTCATTTCATCTTACCAAGTAATAATCAAAACAATATAACTACAATCTCATCTCATTCATTCCAATCCATATGAATCATTCATCGCAAATAAGGACAGTTGGAGTCCACATCCATCCATCCATCCATCCATCCTAAAATTTTAAAACTCCTGATTTACTGATCTAGAATAATAAATAATTATTTAACCACATCTTCAAACCATCCTAAAAGAACACTAAAGAGTAGACTAGACTAGACTAGACTAGACTATACACAAACATATCCAGGCTGAATTATTTTTAAGCTACCAACCCTCCTCCTTTAATTTACTCCTTACACTTGCTCTCGCCAACTTACTGAGTATATTGTATGATTGATTTGTAAACTTTATAATAATCCCAAGAAAAGCCCTTTTTTTCACACTATTTAAATTTTGTTTTTTTCGCGTTTATTTTTTTTTTTTATTTTTTTTTAATTTTTTTTTTTCTTGTGATCTACAGTTTATATTTATTTTTTATGTAAAAATGGCTTTAGTTTGACAGTTAAAAGGTCACGATATTCGTTCCACGTGATGATATTCTTCCTAAAAAAATCATTGTTTGACCAAATTAGGAACATTAATTACAGATGGCATTATTATCATATGTATGCAATATATATGAAAGGTTACACATAATCATATTTAAACAATCTTTATTGTTCATCTATGTGTGTCCTTATGATTTTCATATAGTAATTTAATCATTTAACCTTTTTCATCGTAGTAGGAAAACATGTGTCTTCAACCTTCTAGACCTCAAACTTAGTCTAGCTGTCCTGTCATTAGCACTAATACTTACACTCACTTTATGAAATTTCTTTTTTGATTTTCAAGTTTCATCTCACATTATTTTATAGCTAATCCCCTTTTTCTTAGCTATCTTTCTTCCTTCTTTCTTTAATCTGCTGCCATTTCTTCCTGTGGAGTGATATGGAGTGGACTGATACGGCTCTGTTATTTGTTACTTATCTGCATTTTCTACAAACATACACATTTGACTTACTAACTTTATTAAAAAGCCTTAATTTTCATTAACTAAGCTTGGCTCTAACTACTTGTCTCTATAACCGGCTGGCTAACTGGTTCATTCTCATTTTTCATAACTCTTCTACTTCTTGTTACACTTCTTCTGACTACACCGAAATCGAAATTTCGTATTTAAAACTGAAAAAATATATTAATTTAAATTAAAAAAAATTTTCAGTTTTAAATTAATTCTTGCATTAAATTAATTTAATTATATGACGTCGTAGACTTAAACCTAGGATATTTTCATCCAAGCACATAACTTTGCAAGACATCAACCTACGATCGTAATTGGCTCATACTCAAAAATTCTTGATTATGGTTGATTAACCACACGCAACCTTAAAAGGGTCTAGACCTTTTCCTTTGCTTACCACTACCACCCAGCTCTACTGGCTTGCTTGGAACGTAAAGTCTTGGTTGAAGGTTTACTGGATGTTATGTAACTTTATTATATAAACTACATTATAAGTCAAGAAACATATAATGTCAATAGAATTATACTTTTTTATTTCATATTAATTGACAAAAAATTGTTAAAAAAATAAAAACTTATCGGTAAAAACAATTTTCTCAACGGTTTTTCCGCATATGCTAAAAAACATTTTTACGGGACATCAATGATGTATTTTTTTTTTTGATTTTTGATTTTGATTTTGATTTGATTCAATTTGTTTTAAATTAGTATTTCGTAATGAGCCATGAATTATATTAGTTAGTAATTAATTTGTACTTCATACAGCAGTGTAACGATGTAATACCCTGGATTGTGCGTGTACTAACATCTCCGTACGTTTATTGTCTTGTGTGTTAGTCGGGATATCGGTATTCGTCAATGAAATAAATCAAGTCAATTCGATTCGACTAATTTAAACTGTTAGTTCTTTGTTTTACGATTCACTATACTCCTATTTTCGTAATTATTAAAATTGTGAACTAAAACACTAGAGTTTGACATAACTTTGCATGTCTTGACATGATATGACTCCACATTCTAAAATTCACGTCTCTCGTCAAATCATCGTCAAAATTTGCAAACGAACTAAAATGACGAGCAAAATAATAAATCCTTTTTGAAATTGGTGGTTGCTAACTGGAACTATCCAAAACTGGAATTCGATCAGAAATACAGTTTATCGTGGTACTTTTTTGCAATCTTTACTTCTTGAATTTTTTAGCAACCATACAGTCTATCTATACTCTTTCATACCTACATATTGTACTCTAGCTTTTACAAACGTTCAAAAAAAGACACTTTAATTTTATTATTAGTTGATATATTTTACACACCTATAAAGAGTAAGACTTTTACTTTCCAAATGGCGCTTTTTGACAAAGGGATGTCATTAACCTAAGATTTGAAGAATTTGTTGATATAAATAATTTAATTCAACTTTAGCATCATTAAATTGATCATCATTTGAATCTGAATTAGTTGAATTTGGTTGTTGTGATGCACTTGAATTTTTAATACCAGAAAGTATTGGTTCACTTTCTTTAATTAAAGCTTGAATATCATCATTATTACATTCTAATAATTGTAATATAGTCCATAATGCAATATGTTCAAATGTAGCACTACCACTTTGTAAAAATCTTAATAAAAATCCATATATACCTTCATCTGGTTGATTCCAATTATTTAAAATATATTTCCCATGAGCCAGTGAAACTCTTGAACAAAGATTGGCTAATGCTGCAGCAGAATTACCACAAACTTCACCATTTTCACTGAATGTAAGTGGGATCAATACATCTATTATATGACTTTCATATAATTGAGGTCTTAAATCATCTGCTAAAGCTAAGATAGCAAAACAAGCAGAAATTTCCAGTTGAACTGATAAAGGTAATTTTAATACTAATTCTTCACATTTTGATAAAGCACCAGCTTGAATTAAAGCAGTACGATTTTTTTCACTTGATGCTGCTAAATTTCTTAATGTTGATACAGCATGACATTGAATTTCTTCATCATTATAATCTAATAAAGCAATTAAAGGTTTTAAGAATCCAGCTTCGATTATTAAAGCTTCATTTGATGGATGAATTGATAAATTTCTAATACAAGCTACAGCAGCCAATAATAATGGTTGATGATTACCAGTTAATAATTGAACTAGATGAGGTAATCCACCTGCTCTTACTATTTCAACTTGATATCCAGAATCAGATGCTAAATTTCTTAAAGCTAAAGTGGCTTGACATTGAATTCTTGGTGATGGTGAATCCATTAAATTTACTAATTGAGTTATTAATTTTGGTTCTGTACTGGCTAATTTCTTTCTGTTTGTTTCATCAACGGCAATATTTGATAAAGCAGTAGTACAATAATATTGAACATCAGAATCTTCATTGGATAATAATGATACCAATACAGGAACAGCTCCAGCATTGACTAATTCTTGTCTATTTTCATGAGAATGGGTCATATTTAATAAAGCTCCTGTAGCATTTCTTTGAACTCTGATATCTTTTGATTTAGCTAATTTCGTTAATGGAATTAAAGCTCCACTTTTAGCAATTTTTAATTTATTATCATCTTGAGTAGCTAAATTGGTTATACAACCAACTGCATTACATTGCACTTCAATATTAGTTGACATCATTTGTCTTATTAATGGTTCTAATCCACCCATTTCAACTATTAAAATTTTATTTTCAGTATTGACAGCTAAGTTACCTAAAGCTCCACAAGCAGCTCTTTGAACTTCAGAATCATTACTTTGTAATAGAATAAGAATTGGTTCTAGAACATCTCGATTAACTTCTCTGACATCTTTTTCAGTAATTTCAGCAAAGGCTAAAGCAGCACTTCTCTGTAAATCGATATTTTCGGAATATACTAAAGTACTTAAAGCACGTAATGGACCATTACTAAAGAAATCAACATCAGATCGGTTTTCCAAGTATTGTAAAAGTGCAGAAATGGCTTCTCTTTCATTTTCAGCTAATAATAGTTGAGGATGACTTCCATCACTGGATCCTAAGCAACTACAACAAGCTCCCATTCTGGATGTGTTTCTTGTTTATTCTTTTTAAAAAGTCGCTTGATGTTTGTTGAACGTGAACAGGATACTGATGAGGACTTTTGAATAATTGATTACGTTTGATAGATAGGATATATTATATCAAAAGGCTAATTTCAACTCCAGATTTCTGTAATTGAAAGTCACGCACTTTAGCAAGGAGCAATGAATTCAAAATGAGACAAGGGGCAAATTAAAGGGGATGACGATGGATTGTAATGGACAAGTCTCCCTAATAGATAGATTGATTCTGATTAATAGATAGTACTGAATAGATACTGGCCTCAGAAATTGATGATATGTTTGATTTTTGTATTATGATTTAAGCTTAACAAAAATTTCCCCTTCAAACTTCCCATTTCAAAACTTTTTGATTGTCGTCTCTTTTTCGACTTTTTTGGTTTCTATTTTGAGTGTACTGTATATAAGCTGCGCTATACTACAACGCGACATCGCCATTTCCTAATTAGGTTTATTAATAGATTGAAACGGAATAATCATAATAGTAACAATTTACCACCCACATTGAATCTGTTACCAAATGTATATATCTATAATCTCATAGTTTATATTTTATATATACTTTATATAAGTTTAAAAAATAGAAGAATAACAAAAAATTAGAAAAAAAAGGGAATAGATATAACCCATTTAATAAGCTTCATCATCACCCTTATAATTGTAAAACTTACCAGAATCTTCTGGCTTCAAGCTTTCAACTAACTTAGCAATGGATGTAGCACTTACTTCTGAAGTGATCATTTGACCTAATAACATATCCATGACAGCTGGTCCTCTTTCTTTAAACAGCTTAAGAGAATGTTCTGCCATATCAGTTTCAACAACACCAGGATGAATTGGTACCACAATAAAATTCTCATGTTTTAATTCACTACCAAATTGTAAGACAGCATGGTTTAAAGCGGCCTTAGATTCACCATATGCAGTAGTATTAATGGCTTGGAAATTTGATAAAGAAGCACCCATAGTACTGATGAAAACAATCTTTCTGGTTTGCTTTGCAAGTAAATATTTGTATAACTTTTGAACAGTTAAAATTGGTCCAATAGTATTAACTCTAAAGTGATCATAAAAGGTCTTACTTTCAGTCTTGAAAAGTGAATCAAATGAATCACCAAGAGCTCCATTATTGATATAAACATCAATGCCTTTGATTCCTAAGGCTTCTAATTGTTCATCGATCTTTCCAATTGATTCTTCATCACCAACATCTAATTGAATAATCTTGATATTTGGATTAGCAACAGATAATTCTTTTAATTCCTCGGCTCTAGAAAGATCTCTAACAGTAGCAATAATAATGTTGGATTTATTTAAATTGGAGAAGGCTTTCACTAATTCAAGACCAATACCACGATTGGTACCTGTAATAAAATAAGCTTGAGCAGACATTTTTCTTTTGTTATACCTAGCTTATAAATGTATTTGTGTTTGTATGATTTATACCAACTACATTCAATTTAAAAGAGAGTGGAGAGTGGACTCCCTATTTATAATCAAAGTTTAAGATAGCTGTGATATCATTACTGTCATTAGCTTTACCTTGATGAACTCTGTTACGATCGAATCGGGTGCAAACATTATTTAAGCGGTATCAAGAAAATTAGTAATTTATTCGCCATTATAAGCAACGGTGACTTCACAGTTGTTAACCGCTTGCAAAAGCTTACTAAAAAACGGAACACCTTTATTTCTTGGCATGATTATTCAACATATAATTACAGTCATATACGGTTTGATCTTAAAGGATGAACTCTATTAGATAAAAATTATTAATGAAAGTTAATATACAAAGATATAAAACTCTTGTTTATGTAGATAAATACGATAAATACAGTAAGAATTCCTCATTGGTTATGTTTTGTAGTTCTGCTTAACTAAATGTGGAAATTTCTTTCCCATTCATTCCCTTGAATTATGATAGTATTTAACAAGAGCAATCATCTCTCTCTGTTATCTAATATGGTTCTTCTTCACCTTTATAGTTGAAAAACTTACCAGAATCTTCAGGTTTTAAACCTTCAACAACTTTTGAAATAGATGAAGCACTTTCAACTGGAGTGATCAATAAACTGTTCAACATACCCATGATTTCAGGTCCATTATCTTTGAACAGTTCAAAGGAGTGGGCACCCATATCAGTTCCAACCACACCTGGATGTAAAGGAACAACAATGAAATTTTCAGCTTTTAATTCATTGCTGAATTGTAAAGCAGCATGATTCAAAGCAACTTTGGATTCACCATAAGCAGTAGTATTAACTGGCATAAATTGGGTTAAAGAAGCAGCAACAGTACTAATGAAAACAATCTTTCTAGTTTTGTTTTCAACTAAATATTTGTATAACTTTTGAACAGTTAAAATTGGTCCAATAGTATTAACTCTAAAGTGATCATAAAAGGTCTTACTTTCAGTCTTGAAAAGTGAATCAAATGAATCACCAAGAGCTCCATTGTTAATAAAAGTATCAATACCTTTGATTCCTAAACCTTCTAACTGTTCATCGATCTTATCAATGGACTTTTCATCACCAACATCTAATTGAATAACCTTAACGTTTGGATTGGTAACAGTTAATTCTATTAATTCCTTGGCCTTGGTAGGATCTCTAGCAGTAGCAATAACAACATTTGAATTATTTAAACTAGCATATTTCTTAACTAATTCAAGACCAATTCCACGGTTAGCACCAGTAATAAAATAAGTTTGACCTGACATTTTTGACTTTTCTTGTTTGATTTTAAAGTATATTGGATAGTAAATCTGTTTGACTTTGATTGACTAATGGTTTAAAAAAGAAAAATTATTGGAATTAATAAACAGATTTACACCTCTACTTATAGTGAAATATAAGGAGAGATGTATATCATCTTGTTGCTCTTGATTCTCTAACATTCTCCCTCAGACGGACGCAAAATTCCAAAATTAAGGTTCAAATTTTTATCCGTGCTGATTAAAATTACAAATCTAATCGCAAATTTAAAAATTGGTGACAATCCAATTTTTGACAGCCATATTAGATTACAAAAAAATATGCCGTAAAAAAATGTTCGCAACTTTCAAAACGTTTCAAAGTGGGGCTGTGAAATATATATGATTACAATCATCAATGGTGTCAAGGTAAATGGTGAACATAATTATACAGGTGCTTACTAATTAGTTCAGATGTACATTTTTAAACGTAGCGAAGTAAGTGATAGACAGTTTTATATATAATAATAATAAATAATAGTAAAATCAATAATAATACAAAGAATAATAACAGTTATATATCTGGTTTTACCTAAAGATATATATATTCATAAATCATAGGAAGATTATACTGTTATCTTGTGTTTCTGGGAAAGACATTATACAGAAGGTTGGGCCCATTTTCTAGACGCCTTCTTTTCGCACTTGCAATATAAGTTTCTAAATCGCTTCCTTCAAGAGGTTTAATGTTTCTTCCCCTATTCCTGAGAGGAGCTTGTTGATTCACCTTTTGACGAAGATTAGAAGTTATTCTATTGTGTTTCTCTTTGAAGTGACGGTAATAACTAAGGAAAGGATTTTCTTTAGTTCTCCAACAATTAGTCAAAATAACGTAACCACAAACAGGACAAAGTACTTGATTTTTTACATCTGGAGTAACATTTGAACCAAGTGAAACCTTTCTTCTCGTAGTACCATCTTCATCAATAACTTGAGGTTCGGGAACTAAATATCCAGTAGCAAATATACCATGTTCTAAAGATAAATGTGATAAATAACTCGAATTCTTAAATGGTAAGAATTTGATCTCTTCACAATATGGACATAACCCAGATGTAGTTCCACGATTCAAACTTCCGTCCTCCCTGATTTCATATCTAACATGTTGTGGTTCATATGGGTGTAAATCATTAAATTCTGCATTGGTAACATATGTAATGTTTGTGATTGAATCTTGAATCTCATCAATGAATCTTTCATACTTAGTTCTTGTTTGAGAACAACTAAGACGAGGATCGATCTTGGACTGATCTCCATAAACATGATTGAATTCTAAATTCTCTTTCTTAATAATTGTTCCTTTATATTCTTTACTGTATTCAATCTTGTTACAAGTCAAACAAGTCACTTTTTCTTTTGGATTGATTTTGACGTATCTATCATCAACAACTTTAAATCTTTCATTAGATGGATTTAATCCTTCCACTTTAAAATCTTCAAAAGGACTAGTTGAATGAGCACTTGGTTGATTTTCTCTACTATGTTCAATCGAAATTTTGACATTTCTTGAATTTGTATTATAACTCAATGCATCAACAGTTGAAGTTGCTGAATCTAAAAAAGAATTGTCTTTAAAAGAACTACTGTTAACAATCTGAGTCGAAGTAGATTTATAGCTTAAAACTTCATTGGTAGCTGAATCTAAACTAATGGTAGAATTTTCAGAGTTATTACTAAGATTTTGAGCTAAAGTAGTACTACATGCTGAAAAGATTGAGTTAAAGGAAATGGTATCATGTGGAGGACTATTGATAGCATCTTGACTGCAAATATTCAATGTAAATTGACTTCCATCAGCTTCAAAAAGATTTTGTCTAATAGTTTCAACACCATCATAAAATGATAATCCTTGAGAGTCATTCAAAAATTGATTAATATCGAAAGGCTGTTCAGGAATTTGATCTTCGTGTAAAGGTTGGACTTGAGGAATTGAGTGATCATAGAAAAGTTTATTATCAGGAATTGTATCGTCATAAGAAAGTTGATCTTCAAAATCTGGTTCTTCATATGAAGTTTGACCTTCAAGAGATCCAAATTCATCTTCAATCCATTCAAGAATATCTCTCAAGTCTTGCTCGTCTTCTGAAATCATGTTTGCGTTCATTATCTTCGAAAAGGTATCTTAGAATTAATATAAACTCTAAATCTCTGAATATATTTATTATGGATTTAGAATGCATAACAAATTCTTTGATATTTCTTTTTTCTAAATAAGTCCCTATATTATGGTGTTTGGAGTATAAAGACTTTTGTGGCAGGTTGGAGAGATTATGGTTATGCTGATGATAGTTTCCCAGGATTTTTTTGCAGTATTCTAGATTTGCAACATTTTTTTTTCTTTATAGATAAATGAGAGTAGGCAACTCCTACAATTAAAAAAATAGAAAATTGTTCCAGAATCACAAGTTAAGAAGATCACACATACTTGTAGAATTTCCCCATATTTCATCTTCACTTAATAAATATCCTCCCTTTCGATCTGAAAAAATGTCTAGCCTTCAATTGAGAGGCTAGAATAGATTTTACTCAACCAAATATTTCATTCATAACTGAATTATTATGCTTGAAATGAGATGGTTAGTCTCTTAGAGTTACCATGTTATAAAGTTACTTACTTTTATCAACTTGATAAGTTTCTATCCTTAATTCTGTCAAACCATTGCTATTAATGTCAAAATCAAGCGTCTTTAAGTTTTTGATGTGGTAGCGCGCTTTTTATGGAAATACTATTTACAAAATTTACAATTTTATAAGGTTCCAACACTAGATCCTAGTACTCAAACTCTTTGTTCCACTCTTATAATATGATATAAATGTTATGGGCAATATTGTCACTAACTAATACGTAAGTAATTAACTCATAATAATCCTCTCTAACCCTCTCACTAAGTGGTTCTAACCTGACCTTATATATAACAATGTCTTGTCTCTATATCCGTTGATATATCTTCTTGCTTAAATATAGGTGAGAGTCTTTCGGACTCTAAGGGATAGCCACCCCTATTTATATTAATTGCCACCTGTCACTCAGGAGGCAAGGGAGATTTTGACAGCCTTACTGGATTAATAAATATGCAACGTATAAAAGTACGTAACTGTCAAAATGTTTGGAACATATGTTGAGATAGTGAACATACTTATAAGTAGAATTATTAATGCAGGTATATAATGCCAAACTCACAGAATTAAGCAATAAAATAATTTTATATTAACAACTATAATAATAAATAATAGTAAAATAGCAAAAACAATCATAAAATTAATACAAAGAAGAATAACAGTTATATACCAGGCTTACCTAAAAACTCATTAGTTCATAAATCAGAGGAAAATTATACTATTAGCTAGTGGGAAAGTTATCACACTCATGATTAGGATCAGAATCGAGACTTCTTCTCGCAGCACTTTTAGTATACTCATAGAAAGCGGTACCCAGAAAAGGTTTAATATCTCTTCCCCTATTCCAAAGAGGAGCTTGTTGATTTACTTCTTGTGTAATATCGTGAGTTTTTATACTATGTACTTCATTGAAGTGATGATAATAAATAAGAAATGGATTTTCTTTACTTCTCCAACAATTAGTTAAAACAATGTAACCACAAACAGGACAAAGAACTTGATTTTTTGCCTCTGAAGTGACTCCTGAACTAGCTGAAAATTTTCCATCTTCATCAATAACTTGAGGTTCGGGAACTAAATATCCAGTAGCAAATATACCATGTTCTAAAGATAAATGTGATAAATAACTTGAATTCTTAAATGGTAAGAATTTGATTTCTTCACAATATGGACATAACCCAGATGTAGTTCCACGATTCAAACTTCTATCTTCCTTGACTTCATACCTAACGTATTGTGGTTCATATGGATGTAAATCATTAAATTCTGCATTGGCAGCATATGTAATGTTTGTGATTGAACAATAAAGCTCGGCAATGAATCTTATATATTTAGTTCTTGTTTGAGAACAACTAAGACGAGGATCGATCTTGGACTGATCTCCATAAACATGATTGAATTTGATAATCTCCTTGTTAATAATTGTTCCTTTATATTCTTTACTGTATTCAATCCTATTACAAGTCAAACAATTTTCTTTTTCATTTGGATTGATTTTGACGTATCTATCATCAACAACTTTAAATCTTTCATGAGATGGATTTAATCTTTCCACTTCATTATTCTCAATTGAAGTAGTTGAAAATTCACTTGTTTCATTGATATCATTTGCTAAATTGATAGAACTCTCAGCTGATGTAGTACTACTACTTGGACTATTGCTAGCATATGGACTATTTCTAGCATATGGACTATTGATATTCAGTTCACCATAAAAAGATATCCCGAGATAGTTTTTGGCAAAAGGATCAATTTCAATTTTAAGCAGTTGTTTCACTTGAAATGAATTAGTTGTTCCTTCATTATCAACTGCTTTATCTTCAACGCGTTTGTGTCCATAATCAAGCCGATTGAGTATTTCCTCCATGCTTTGCTCTTTGTCGGAATCTTTGGATGGTTTCATTATATTCAAAAAGGTATCTTAGGATTAATATAATTTCTTAATTTCTGAAGATATTTATTGTGATTTTAGCATAACAAATTTCTTTGCTCTTTCCTATTTCTAATAGAAAAAAAATGTGAATTATTAAGCTTAAAATGACATAATTGCTCTTCTAGAGTACCCCTCATTATTTTTATCAACTTCGTTAAATTTTTAATATGAAGAGGAATAGAGAAATATATACTAAAAACTCTATTTATAGATTGGAAGGTCAAAATAGACCTTTATAGCAAGGAATCATGAAGATTTATTTAAGCAAAAGTAAGATATCCTGTTATTCAGTTTGGATTTTGTCGTCGTGGGAACAACTTAAAGACAATTCGAAGATATCGTGTAGTCAGAATAGTATCAGGAAGCAGTAAAGTGACATTGACAATTATAAATGAAGTATGGAAAGGGATATTGGGACCTATTTTGAGCCAAATTTGTTGACTTATTGAACATTCAAAGTAATGATGATTCAGATAAATAGTAGAAGTGTTGAAGTCAAGTTCTTGTGAACAAAATCCACATCTTTTCAGCACTGGTTGTTTTAAGTGACGCCTATGTCCAAAAAGAAACCTGTGTAGTTCATCAAATTTCTTCGGTTCCAATGATTTGAGCTGTCTAAGCTTTCGCCAGGATTTTTCTCATTGTTCTCGGGTAAGATTATATTCTTGAGTCCATCCTTTTGGTTCTAAATAGACTCTTTTTTCTGTAGTTCACTTTTAAAAATATTGTCTTTAATCTTTGCATATCCAGTTCCCATTTTGATCTATTAGGGGGGAAGCATGATAAGATCTTTGAAAGCAAAGTATTGTGGAGATTTTCAGTCAGATCAAATCGAGCTGTGAGATAAGCTTTTTTTTTTCGAAATATACATTTATTAATATTCTATAAAATTAGAAGAATCAATGAAGTCTTTAAATTTTTTTAATGTGGTAGCGCACCTCTAGATTGTGATAATTCATGGTCAGCTTACAAAATTTACAATTTCAATAAATTGGAGGGTTGGCCGAGTGGTCTAAGGCGGCAGACTTAAGATCTGTTGGACAGTGTCCGCGCGAGTTCGAACCTCGCATCCTTCATTATTTTTTTACGAGCATTTTCACTAATTTTTAATGAATCCTCGCTGGAATTTAGTGAGAACTATTTTTTTTTCTCGCTAAGAGTCGGTAATTTTAATTCTACATGTATATTATCATGTTTAATTAAATTATTTTTTAAAAACCTAAAGCGTTATATATTTTATTTACTCATTGTTGCACTGGCATTGAAGTTGAAGGTTTTAAGATTTCTTCATCAATTAAGTTGGATTTCCAACTGGCAGTGATAGTTTTTGGTTTGGTTAAGAAAGTTACACCACTCTTACCATAAAAGTTTAAGTCACCTAAGAAAGAACCTCTTGAACCAGTAAAGGAAAACATTGGTAAAGGAACTGGAATTGGAACATTAACACCAACTTGACCAACATCGATTCTTTTAGTGAAATATTGAGCAGAAGAACCTGATGAAGTGAAGATAGAGACACCATTACCATATTTATTAGCATTAATTAATTCAATAGCTTCATCAATGGTTTCAACATTGACAACTGAAAGAACTGGAGCAAAAATTTCTTCATCATAAGCTCTTTGTCCTGGTTTAACATTAGTTAAGACAGTTGGTCCTAAAAAGTTACCCTTAGAAAATCTTTCATCGGCGGGTTTATAACCTCTACCATCTAAAGCTAAAGTTGCACCATTTTTAACGGAATCTTCGATAATTTCATGAGACTTAACTAAACTTCCTGAGTTGATTAATGGACCTAAATCACTAGCTGGATCGAAACCACTTCCTACCTTTAATAATTTTGCATCTTCAACAATATCATTGACCCATTCTTTAGTTTTACCAACAGTAACTAAAACTGAAATAGCCATACATCTTTGACCAGCAGCACCAAAAGCAGCACCATTAATGGCATTCACAAATTGTTGTTTGTTTGAATCTGGTAATACTACTAAATGATTTTTTGCACCTAAATTTGCTTGAACTCTTTTACCTAAAGAAGTACCCTTTTCATAAATATATTTACCTGCTTTATCTCCACCAACAAAAGTTAAAGCTTTAATTCTTGGATCTTCAATCAATTTATTAACAGTATCATGTTTACCATGAACAATGTTAAGTACACCAGCTGGAACACCAGCTTCAGCAGCTAATTGAGCAATAATAATGGCAGCTCCTGGAACTCTTTCAGATGGTTTAACAACAGCTGTATTACCTGTAACTAAAATTAAAGGTAATGACCATAATGGAACCATGGCTGGGAAATTAAATGGACAAATAGATGCAACAACTCCTAATGGTTCTCTTATCATTTTAGTTTCCATATCAGTTGAAACTTCTAAAGTTTCACCTTTTAAATCATTGGTTATATTACAAGCAGCTTCGGCAACTTGTAAACCTCTTGTAACATCCCCTTGAGCATCAACAAATGTTTTACCTTGTTCTAATACAATCACAGAGGCAATTCTATCCATATTTTCTCGTAATAATTGTACAAATTTAAACGCAATACCTTGTCTTTTGATTATTGAATATTCCTTCCAAATTGGGAAAGCCTTAGCGGCTGACGCGATTGCGTCTTCTAATTCTTGAGGAGTTGATTGAGGAACTTTTGAAACAACATAATTAGTAGCTGGATCATGTATATCAAACCATTCCTTGGAGTCAGATTTGAAAAACTTGTTATCGACAAAACTTGGAGTTACGTATGGTTCAACATTTGCATTGGTATGATCTGTGGGGTAAGAGTTTACAGTTGAAGATAAAGTAACACTACTTTTTAATCTTAAGAATTGAGTACTTGGTACCACAATCTTGTAACTTCTTGATCTAATGACTCTAGACAACATTTTTGATATGGTAACTCCCTGATCAAAACCAAAAAGAAATGAAATCAAAATCAACTTTTGAAGAATCACTGTTTAGACAATTATTCATCTATTTAAATTAAGCTATTTTGAAATATTCAATCATAATTTCCTGCATGTATTCCGGCAAGCGATATCCGCTCTCCCCTCCACCTGTTTTCCTGCATGCAATTAGCCGCTGTTTTTCATATGGGAAACAAAAAGGATTTTAGCCATGGTATTTAGAGTCAGTTTTAAGTTGGGTGAATAGGGATTAGTAGTTCAAGTCTATGAGTTCAATGGAGAAATTATACGTTGGTCTGGTTCATGATTGAGTCTAGATATAGACTATGGTAACCTAGTGATACAAATCATTATCCATCCAACAAACAACTTGACACCCCCCCCCCCCTCGCCCCACAATTGTGATGGAAAATTTTGCAATCGTATGAAAATCATTTTCGGCCATCGATTCCCTTTGGCCTTATTTGTGGCAATTACATTTCTTACACCGGGCCATAAAAATTTGTAATTAATCCTTTTTTTAGATTAATTCGATAAAGACAAGCCAATTATATATTTTTTATAAATGTAGTAATATCTAAGAATAAAAGTATAGTAAAGTAAAAGTAAAAAAGTATATCGAATAGCAATTTAATGTAGTTGATCTTCTCTCAGCTACAGTAATATAAATGAAATGAAAATTAAGTGTAGTTCAAACAAAGATTTATCTTTGATAATGTTCATCATTCCATAAATCGTAATATAAATCAAGTAAACATGAACTACTCCATGCTTGTGTAGGACTCGAATCGTGACATACTTCTCCATTCTTATTAGTTAATTCAGTTAATCCAGCCCATGGACTCTCTTTGATCCATTTATTATGACCTTGGATTCTCTTATTAACTTCAGTCAAGATTTGTGCTGATGGAGTACCACTTTTCGTTTGACAATCGCTTGCATGCAAATAATGAAATAATAAATATGACCTAATAAAATATCCAAATACCCAAACCCATTCTGGACCTTGATGATAATTTCTACCTTTTGAAGTAGCAAAATCATAACTATCTTCACTATTATTATAATATGGTCTATAATTATAATCACTTGGATCTAAAGTGGACATTCCAACTGGTCCTCTAATTGTTGCATCCGCCAATCTTAAAGCACTCAAGGCATGCTCTGGTGTAAATAATTCAGGTGCTGCCACCATAGCAATTGGGAAATTAGGTCTCAATTGATAATCTTCATATTCTTTACCTGAACCATATAAATCTTTATAAATACCTCTTCTATTAACAAGTGATTTGTTAATGACGTATTTGTCATCGTCATTAGGATCGATTGGAACAAAAAATTGTTTTTCAAAATTATCTTGAAGTAATTGCTCCCATCCTTTTAATGATATTTTTGATCCATCTGGTTTTTCAACTTCAGTATATTCAAAAGAACCTTGAGAATGTAACTTATTAACAAATCTTAATGCACTCTTTAATAAACCTTGTAATTCAACAGCAGCTCCGTCACGAGGAGTACCTGGGACACCCTTGGATCCTGATTTTTCACTTTCTCCCATTTTATCCATCCAAGTTCCACAATTAAATTGAGAACCACCACGAACTAAACCAGTTTCCCAATCCACAGCCACTTCGACGTCAAAGCCTTCGTATTTCATTTGAGAATCTAAATTATGTCCAGCATTAGCTTCACGGTATTTGATACCTTTAGCATGACGACTTAAAATTTCATAAATAACATCTCTGATTGAAGTTTCGTAACTGAATGCTCTTTCGTCGTCATATGCAATCCAAGTATCGTCTAATGGGAATCTTCTTTTAACCTTTTCATCAAGAATTTCAATACCATCAGGGGCATAAGTAACATATTCTTGAATGGCTTGTAAGAAGAACCAAGCGGCATCTCTAGCATTATAACGTGGATTTCTACCAGCATCCAATAAATTTGGAATTAAACCATGTTTTAATGTTTTGGCAAATCCTAAAATATGTTGTTTAGCATCATCAAATCTTCCAGTAACAATAAATAAACCTCTAAATGAAATAAATACATCTCTACCCCAACATCTCATATAATCATTACTGAAATGAGGTAAACCAGCAGCAATACATGGAATTTGATCGAAAGGGATTAAAGAAGTATTATTCATCTTTCCAACCATTTGAACTGAAGTTAAGGCTAAACTTTGAACGAAATTAGTTGCCATTTGGATTTCTGGACTGAAACTTCTTAAAGCTCTAAATCTAGCACCTTCATATGCAATACCAACCACTAATGCGAAATAATGAGGTCTTAAAAAGTATGGGGCCTTTTTAATAGCTTCAATTCTAGTTCTTAACCAATCTTGAAACTTACCTAAATTCTTCGACAATTTAGCATATTTATCCAATCTATTAACAATATAATCTAAGGCCCATTCACCTTGTCTAATATGGTCACAAATGGTATGACCTAAATTGTTTTGCCAAATCACATGTTTCAAGGCTGTATTCCAGCCTTCTAAACCAGCATAAACTAAAGTACCATAATTTGGAATAGTATAGACATTCTCAGTACCTGCACTTGCATCAAGTTCTTCTGGAGAACTCTTATAAAGAATAGCATTTAAATCATACAAGTCTAATCCTAAAGATGCTTCAATGGCACCTTCTTTCACAAAGTGATCTAATGATAAATCAACTCCTGGAATTTCAGTAGAGAATACAGCAATAGAACCTGGGATGAAACTTTCATCAATACTTATAATAGATTCTTTACCATTATATTCAATATGTGGAGAAGGTAATTCTTCTAATATAGTTGGAACTCCAGTTAAGAATTTATCACTTTCAACGAAATCTCCATCCTTTTTAAGAGTATAACTGAATTCATGTTTTACTATGGTACCACTCAAAACTGGTGGGTTTAAAATTTGAGGACCTTGATAATTATTAAATTTAGATCTTGCAATTAAAAACCAACCTTTACCAGTTCTAGCATTATGTCTTTGAATAGTTATGTATTGATCTTCATGATGGATATACATTTCATGATCTCTTAACACATCATTACTTTCAGCGGCTAATTCTTTTCTAATGGCATGTAACTTCTTTTTAACTATTCCAATACCATTAGAATCATCTAAGGTATATTGTCTATGTTCGGTAACAAGATTCAATAAACGAGGGAAGATTTCATCGTAACCATAAACTGAACCAATAGCAGAAGAACAGAATGCTACTAAAGCAGCATTTGGTAAAGTATCTTCAGGAGTTCTCTTTTGATTTGGAGTTTCATTATCATGAGTACAATCCATGAATAAAGCATGAGGAGCTTGTCTTGATAAGATTTTTGGAATTTCTATTTCAGTATAAGAATCCAAATACTTATCCTTAACTGGTTCTTTATTGGCTGGGAAAGCAAAATCATCAAGAGGTAACCAGGTTAAGGAACCAATTGGTCTACCACCATGTTTATGAACTAATCTTGATAATTCTTGAACATTCCAAGCTTGCATTGCTTCTCTGATTAAAGTATTAATACCTAATCTTTCCACAAAGATTTTATCCATTTCTTCAGAACCAGTGAATAATTCAGCAACCACATATAAATTAGGATTAACTTTTCTAGCTTCATCTAAAAGATATTCACCAACTTGTAAAGGAGTAGAATGACAGTTATCAATTCTAAACCCATTAAATAAAGATGCACAAATTTGAGTATATTTTTTCATTCTATCCCATAATTGAGGAGAGTCCAGAGGTTTTTCACCATATCTTAATTTAACACAATCACTCCAAACAATGACTTCTCTTCTTAAATAAGCTCTTGATTGCAGGGAAGCAAAATCTACTAATGGATTTCCTCCCCAAATCCAACCATTGTTAGCTAAAGCCCATTCTTCACCAGTACTTTTCTGAGTAAATCTTGTGAAATACAGTTCAGTCAAAGGATTTTTATCATTAATTTCTCCTAATTTTGGTCCACCTTCTTCTAATCTTAAATATTTAATTCTATTTTCAACTTGTAATTTAATAGTATGAATATCATCATCATAAATGGCATATAACGGAGCATTTATAGTATCAATGATTTGTTCAGCTTTTCTTGAAATAATGGAAAATTCAATTTCTTTTGATTTAAATACAGTGAATAAGATACCTAATAATTTAACAGAATCTAATGTATTGTCACCTCTTTCACCAAGAATAGCTTTGGCATTGGCACTGGCGTAACTTAACGTGAAGTCTGCTAAATCTTTTATATTATCAAGTTTCACGGTAGCAGGGATATCAACTGGTGAAATAGTGGAGGTTCTATCATAATAATGTTTCTTCAAATCTTGTAAGATATCCACTTTATCGAATACATAATATTCCCACAAGTTTAAATCATCAATGACGAAATTTGATAATCCATTCATAATAACTCTTAAATCATGTTCATTGTTGATATTGGTTGGCAAGTTATATTCTGATAATTTTGAAGAAAATTCTAATAACTTTGAATCTAGTTCAATGGCAGCAATCAAATGAGGAGCTGTCTTTACATTATAACCAGCATCAGGAAATTCTTTAATCCAATCTGAATTATTGGCGGTATGATTCCAAACCACATCAGTTAATGATAATAAGTTATACTTAGTAAGGATAGAAGTGATCAAATTAGTGGCTTCTTCATTATTGGCAAAAATTTCAGGATCAAATTTCAATTGATCATAAATTGAATAAGGAGAATTTGATTCACCTCTTGATTGTAAAGGGGTGAAATGAATCATATTATAACCCTTATCAGCGATGTTTCCAAAGAATTTATCCCAATTGGATACAGGTCCAATCCATTTTGATACTACTGATTCAATATTGATGGCATTAAATGCAAGATATTCATTATTAAGTTTTAAATTAGGAGGGACATTGAAATAGAATGTTTCAGTTTCAACTTGTTTAGAATCATCATTCTCATAAGAGATATAATAACTATAAGAACCAGGTTTATATACTGGGATTTTAATAGTTATATCTTGATGGAATGAGCTTTCGATATTATATTCATTATATTGATGACGATCGAACGGGGTATTGAAGTCCTGAGGTAAATTTGAAAACAATTGACCATTTCTGGTGATAGGGGAAGCGGCATTCAATTGAAAATGTAATTGGAATATAGGATCTCCTAACTTATACTCATTTGGAAGAGCAATGGATGGAAATAGTAAGACTCCATTATTAACCCCTTCACTATTGACTGGTTCACCAGTGTTGGACAATCTTAATAAAACAGTCCTTTTTTGAGCCATTGAGAAACTTAATCGATGAGTAAAGCGACAGAATGGATCAATTGATGATGATCAGGGATGACAGGATGTTTTATAATAGATCTATGATGTATATTTCAACTTGATTTGTAAAATTGATTAAATTTAAAGGATGTGGTCAAAAAAGAAATGTGTGATGGGTGGTGGTTTGATGGTTACCGCAAATTGAACCTTTTCTTCCTTTTCTTCTCCCTCCTTGAAATTTTTTGAATCTCGCTGGAAAAATAATAATTCAAAATTTTTCACTAAAACTAATTTAACTTGCTTACAGGGGGGAATGGGTTGGTTAAAAATAATCCAACTGATGCTGTTAAGTAAATATTATTAACGAAAGACCCACCGTGTTTAGATTTAACTCTTCGGGTTAGCAAGGTTTTTGAAATAAAAGACAAAGCAATTGGTAAAGGCTTGCTATTATATTTCATCATACCATAGCAATTTAAGGGAAGTTAAAGGAAAAGGTTGCTGAAGTTTATTCTGGGAAGTAAAGTTAAATTACATAGTTAAGGATAATGGATAAATTAATCAGACATAAAAAAAAAGTCTAGCCTGGATTAATAAAGTATATTAGCGGAAAGGTGGGGGGAGAAATCTAAATTAGCCTCTAAATTATTGCACAAAGAACTGGGAGAAAACCTTCGTTACAGCAGCGATAGCGGCAAAAGAAGCTAAAAATGTCAGCACAAAATCTAAATCGAAGATAAAGATCCAAAACGAAGTCTAAACAAAGGTCCAAACTAGTTAGTTATGGATAGTAATTTGAAAGTTGATGACAAGTCTAAAGCCATATTATTCTTAAAGATTAAGTCTTGCAGATGGTTAAAGACACTTTAGGATTGTTTCTTTAGATTATATATTAAGTAAAATCTGACAGACACAAGGATTTTTAACTGCGAAAAAAAAGTGTCTGAAATATTTTGCGTACAGGACAAATAACAGTTGATCATAATAGATGCCATAAATACTCACATTTGATCAACAGAAGTGGCTTAATAGCGCTATGATGAACATAAGCGTATTACAATAGTTTATGTAAGACTCATATGTTTATACTAATAGACGTAGCTCGACTAAGCAAGCGAAAACCGTTCCTCTAGCTTGATGAAACTACAATTTATGGGTATATAACATTTATAGAATCATTCAATGCCACTCGCTCTGATTCCCAATATACATTAATTTTATATTTTTTAAAACTGATATCAAACCCTGTAGAAATTAACTCTAATATTACCTGAATTTAATTTAGAAAAGTGGCCATATTCAATTTCTTATAAGGTTATTAAGATAACTGTAGGCTCGTAAGTCTCTAAGTATCTTAAATATCATTCTCTACATTAGATTAACTATAACAGTATAAAATTTCAAAGATTTTCTAAATTTTTCAAAAGCGGAGAAGTAGGAAATATCTTTGATTAAACGAGCTAATCTTCACGCACTCATATTAACTACCAGTGGACTATTTAGACACTTAACTATATAAGCTTAAGTTCTCATTATCATAAATCATTCTAATTTTTATTAAAACAATATAACTCCAAGTTGAAAACGTTTATAAAACAGTTATGAGCATTCCAACCCATTTTCTCATAAACCCTTTAGAGTTGATTTTTAACATAGAAGAAAAATAATGATTGCTGCGTGATCCTTAAAAATAATCGATTTTAACTTGTAATGTTCTTTCAATAATTAAACCTGCAAAAAAGAATGAATCTATACTATTAATAGTATTAGAATTCAAAAAAAAAACAAGGGGAGAGCAGGGAATTGAACCCTGGGCCTCTCGCACCCAAAGCGAGAATCATACCACTAGACCACACTCCCTTATTTGTTGAAGAGTAAAAGTGAAATGTTGCTCGTAAGTTGTTCTACCGAGATCACGTTTTGAGTCATGTGATGCATAGTTAATTTACGATATTCGGTCATTTTTTGTAATTTAAATCAATAAAATTTAACTTAAAATTTAAATTAATAATCAATTCACAAGATAAATCTTTGGTTTAAACACGGCCGATAGTAGTTCTAATGTTGAATTTTCTAATTATATAAAAAGAAATGAACTAAATTGTGAGCAATATGGAGAACTTTTATTCTTTTATTCTACCATTTTTATTGCAAATTTAAGTCTCAAATGCTGGCACAGTGCACACTTGTTGGTTTATAATTTAGCTTGTAAAACTGCGAATTTTATAAATTTACTGATTCAAAATCAATTATTGGATGTCATTTTTATATATTCATATAACTCCTCTGGTATTTATATCCCTCTCCCATTCATTAAAAAAGAGATTTACTACTAAATAGTGTGGAAAAAGCTGATTTAAAGTGATCAAATCCTGATTTCAGAAGTGTTGCACTGTGCGCGCACAGGTGTTGCACAGGTGTTGCACATAGTTAAGGAAATTTGTAAAATTATTGCAAACATATACTTTTCATGCGATATCGCTCTGTTTAACGGTCCATTATTCTTAAATCGAACAATGTCAAACAACACTATCTGGGACATGTATCTGGGACGATAGTTTATTTTGAATCTGGTTCAAAAACGGAAAACAAATGAATTTAGGAACCATAACAATAAAAACTCCGAGAACCAGCTATGGTCAATTCGGTAAAGAATTTAAAAAAATCAGACAAAAAGTTTCTAAAACGGATGCATTCGTAAATTGGACATTAAAAAAAATAATGGACTCAGATTTGGAGGTCCAAATTATTATCAATGGGGTAAAGTATCCTTGGAGATATTATAAACGGTAAGGTAAAAGACAATATTATGAAGAAAAATAAGTGGTTCGATTTTAAATTTTGCACCAAAAAAATAAATTGACGAATTATTTTAGTAATTAAAAATAAGTAAACCACTTTTTTTATTTTTCTTTTCTTAGTTGCATTTTCTGGGGTTTAGGATTATGAGGTACATATATGGTCCATACCAGTTGAATAAGAGTAAGGCGACTACTAAACAACTATGTGGGTGATAATAACCATGGATATTTTACATGTGAAAATAATCTAATCATAATCATAATCATAAAAGACTCAGCAGTGTTCTAATAATTTGACTCAGGCGTGACCTGCCATAAGTTAAGTCAGGGGAGACCATATTTACGTGAGGGAGTTTTAACTCGTACTAGTTTATAACTCCATTGTGTTACGAAAATAAAACCTAGTTAATGATTGTAGATGTGAAAAAATTCAAATTACCCCGGATCAAGACAAAATATTTGACAACTACGATTGAAAAATAAATAATTTATTTTTTGTCTTTTCAACGATTTCATTATAAAGGAAATTGAAATCTAACCGAGTATTTGAATCAAACGTAGAATGTATAACCAGTAAAACAAACCAAGTATAAGCTTAATAAAACGTTAAAGTTGGAACAATACATGAAATAAAACAGACATTAAATTGAATTACCACGGAACTATGTGAAAAATTTTTACTGTGAAAAAGACAAAAAAGAAAAAGAGTTTACCGACAGATTCAAGACAAAAATAAGACAAGCAAAATTAAAAATATACACGACACAAAAAAAATTCATTTAGCGCGTCATTTTAATTAATAGGTAGTTGCAGTTAGTTAAAATTCGGAGCTTCGGTGAGACGGATACTCACAAATAGACAGTCTCTGGCGATTAGCATACTGAGTCGCTATTAAGGTAGAAAGTTTGCAAATAGAGAGATTTTCAGATTATTGTTAAAGTTTTTAGTGTAAGTAAGTAAAGGCAATTAACTTGGCTTTATAGAGAAAACAAACTCTAAGAAATTTTTCAATATGGGTCCGATCCATTCAAGTAGAAAGTAAATCTGATTACAGTTGCAGTTTTACAAAATGAACACGAGTACATAAAAAGTACGATCAACTACGTATGTATCCATCTATACGAATTGTCAGTATAATTCTTGATCATTCATGATTGGAATTGGTGTAAGTAATATAATTAGTGTATACGGATATTGAATTCAAACCCCTTGAGAGTTTTCTCTGACCCGATTCAAATCCAAAAGAAACTTAAGCCAACTCAAAAAAAAAAAGACAAAAAAAAGGGGGACACAAATAGGAAAAAAGTATGGGGGAGTCAGGGTGAGTGAAGATTGTAGAGAGAGGCAAACTCAAACATGAATACAACAAGTTAATTAATACGGAGAAAACAATTCATTTAATGGATGACTCTGATACGGAGGATTCGAAGTTTAAATTAGTTTATGCATCCTTTCCTATCTATCAATCAATCATCCATTCACTCAATTGAAGTGATGAAGGTGAGGCTAAACGATGTGGAAGATACGGGTGAGTGTGAGGTGTTGGTCTCAATTGAATTGAGTAACATGAACATTAACCATAAAAAGATTTACTAACTACTAGATAATGTAAATCATTGTTGTTTAACTATAATTTTGTAGAAGTTTAAATTCAAAATTGCTGTAGATAGTTTAAAAATAGTTCTGAACCCGCCGCTACAAAAACATAATAAAACAACAGAAAATGTAACGAACAAAACGAACAACAAGCTTAAAGTTGATTAATTGCCTCACACAAAATTAAAAAAGAAATAAAGATATGGATCGCTCGATTCAATTGAGTATATGATCTTTTCTTTTTTAACAAAGTATTACCCCTTCAATGATGGTCGTACCAATGAAGAAGATACTATTAAGTATAAGATGAGACTAGGGAATCATGATGTAAGAATTGATATGATGATAAAATTTACTGATGTAATAATTAGTGCGCCCTCACTAATTGAACTTCTTGTTGTTGTTTAGTTGATTCAAAATTGAATCATCCTCAACTTAAAAAATAAATTAAGAGTTGACCTAATTAGGACATGATCAGACAGACAATTTTTTCTTTAATTAATCAGAAAAATCTAGCTAATGTCGACAGGGACATTAGAAACACCGACGGTAGTAGGAGATGAAATAGAGAAAAATTCCCGCAAATCTTGTGTCTGATTTTTGTCTTTTCCTAATTCGGCTCCATAGAATATAAGCTCACCCGTAAGTTTCCGGCTACAATCATATAGTTTCATAGAACAAATACCTGCATGTACTGCACATTTTTGTCTGAAAAAAGAAAATTAAACATTAAAATTAAAATTAAAATCTCATCAAGCACTAATTGTTTTTTTTTTTTTTTTTTTTTTTTTTTTGGCTCTGCGCTCACTGTCTGCTGTCTCTGCTCTCAGCGCTTTTGCATTTGACTTCCTTCCACTAACTGTAAATTGTATCTTTCTACATATGCTGCTCCTAATAATATATAATATATCAATTTCCCATTTCTCTCAATTAATATTATTGACATATCTTTTGATACTATGGATATTTAACTATATTCTTGTTACTTATATTTTTTTGTTTTCTATTGTTTACTTAGGTCGACTTCCCTAATTGTACGTCATAGTAGGTACTTGCCAGTTTGTAACATCTTCACACTAGATTTACCGACCGACCGATCATACTAAATTTTTTTTTTCAGCACTAAAGTATCAACCATCACCAACAACTCAATTTCAACTTTAATCTTCCAATTTCAACTACAATAAAAGTATCGACCATTTTTATTTTATATCTGTGTTTCCTTTTTTATTTTGAATTAATAATTATTATGCAAATATAATCTTCAAAATATACCAAAGTAACATAAAAAGTACCCTAACAAGAAAACCATCATTCGAATAAAAAACAGAGTATTTAATAGTACCAAGCAACATAATATTCATCATCTAATAATATTACAGTATCAACAATGGAGTTAACTTCATCTATACCTAGTTTACAACCATCATCTGTAACGAATCATTCATCAAATATTCAAATTTCATCACAATCTTCTTCCTCACCTATAGTGGTTAAAACTTCCAAACAATGGGTATTACCACCAAGACCTAAACCAGGTAGAAAACCAATAACTTCTATATCAACCAATGCTTCACATTCTCAATCTAATTCCAATTCGAATTCGAGTGTAGCATCTCCAATTGTTAATAATTCAAGTACTACCAATTCAACTTCCATCAATGCGAATCCAGAAAAGAAGAAAAAATCATCCTACACTAAAAAATCATTAAATTCCACAAACACTAACAATAACCATTCAAATAATCATATAAATTCACAAATACTATCTCAATCAAGTCATAAGTCAAACAAATCCACCATCAACCCTCTTATTTCATTATCCCCATCTCCTAATGCTTCATCTCCATCCCCTTCATTAATTTTATCTAATTTAAATCAAAATATAAAATTAATTGATTCAGAGAATTTATCTTTAAAATCTCATTTATTAAGTTTGATTCATGATTATAAACAATTGAAAAACATTGTTTTGGATAATACTAGTAATTATTATTATTATAGTAACCCTACTTCTACTTCAAACACCAACCAAACTACTTCCACATCTACTCCAAGTCTTACTCCATTAACTATTGATAATAATAATGCTCATAAGAGATCATTTAACGAACAACAATTGATTGACAATGAGTTTGATAATTATATCACTATACCGAGTAAGAAGATGAATACCAATGATGATGCTATGGATGTTGATGAAGACGAATTACTTGATGAAGTTGATGAATTAGATAATAGTGATATTGAAGATGAAGATTTAGAACATAATTCTAATTCCAATAGTCCATCTACATGTAAATTATCTAGAACTTCATCACCTTATTCCGATGATTCAGAGAATAATTCATTAATGAGTACTTTAACTAGATCAACTACAGTTTCATCTTCAACTTCATATTTCAATGATAATTCGAAATTAAGTAATAGATCGAAATTAATTGATTTACCTTCATTCAATTCAACTCAATCTTCATCAATTACCAATCCTTATCAATTCAAATTCGATGAATTAATGAATCAAACCCATAGTCATCAAAAGGCTTCAAGTTCCGATTTATTCAATCAAGATCAATATAATATGATCACTGATTTCTTAGAAGAGAAATTAATTAATAATGATGTTAAGTATTATGTGGAGAATAATAACGATTTATCCAATCATGGTGGTGCTGGTAATGGTTCAGGAAGTTCAAATGGTGATAATAACGCTTGGTGAAGACTCCCTAACACACCTTCAACCTTTTGTTTCCGATTTTTTTTATGTTTTATTTACGGCTTATGTTTTTGTTTTTGTTTGTTTATTTGATTGTGCTTGTGTTTCTATTTCTACTTCCCTTTCCCCCTTTAAAATATGGTTTAAAAGAGCTGCTTTCACCGAAGTGATATCATGCTTAATTTGTTTGTTTGATTATATTATACTACCTATTTATTTATTATTTATTTATCTATTTATTCCTGCTGCTTATGATTTAACAAGAAAGAGTTTTTTATTTTTATTATCAAAACTACTATTTAATCGATTTGACTTTTATACACTATTTATGTTCTATATTCTTTCCAGTTTACATTTGTTAATGCTTTAAAATAAAAAAACACAAATATACAAAAGCTTTTGATTATTATTATCTTATCTCATCTCATCACAAGTAGTTCTCCTATTTCAATTCAATTGAACACACCCCATTGAATCAATCAGAAGGTTACCATGTCAAAATCAGACACTAACACATTTTCACATCCATTCATTTTAATGATTTCCTCCTTCTTAAAATTAGTGCCTTATCTTTTGAGATGAGACTTTTTTTTAAATTGGTTTAGACCGGAAGTTAACCACCGATCAGACAAAAAAATTTACTTAAAAAAGAATTCAAAACATGTGGGGGAGGGGGGGGGACAACAAAGAGAGAGAAACTTGGTGTATATACAGGATGAACAAATAAGACTGTATATAATACTCTGTAATAATGTAACTAATTAACTCTATTTAAACCAGTTCCATTTTGCAATAATACATTTTCAATATTTTTTAAGGCTTGAATAGATGTGAAATTGAAATTTTCAACTGTAGAAGCTCCAATATGGGGAGTTAAGATTACATCTTGTCTATCAAATAATTCTTCATTTACTGTTGGTTCATTTTCATAAACATCTAAACCAGCAAATAACACTTTACCTGATTTTAAACCTTTAACTAATGATTTTTCATCAATGATTATCCCTCTTCCGATGTTTACGATTCTAAATGGATGTTCAATTGATTCGATGATTTCATCATTTATAAGATGTTTAGTTTCTGGAGTGGCTGGACATGCAATAACAATTAAATCAACAAATGATTTCGTTGATAAGATATTTGAATGATAAGTGGCTTTATAACCTAACTTTTCTTCTTCATGAGTACTTAATGGAGTTCTCTTTATATAATGAACATTCATCCCTATATCATTTAATTTCTTCCCTATGGTTTTACCAATATTCCCAAATCCAACAATAACCACATTATGATTTCTTGGATTTAAATTAGGTCTATTGTTAATGTAATGACCGAAATGATATTCAGTATGATTGGTATTAAGTCTGGTTAATCCTTTTTCACTATCAAATTCTAATTCATCATCTAAAACTTTTCTAAATTTAACAGTATGATTATTATCTTTGAAAGTTCTTTCATATTTATTGAATTGTCTGAAACTTGCCAATGTATTATATAATACTAAATCAGCCACAGGTTCAGCAGCACCTTCAGATGGGACATGAGTAAGAGCTATACCTCTTTTGGCCATTTCAATTCCATCATATCCATCAAATCCAACTGAACAAATAGCAATCACTTTTAAACTTGAAGGAGCATGTTCTAAGATTTCACCTTTGAATCCACCTAATGGAACAAAACCTAACCATGATCCATAAATGGCTTCAATTTGAGAGAATTCAGTTTCAAATTTATCAAGTAAATCTTTTAAAGTGGTGATCTTATAAGTTAAAACTTCAAATTTAGTTGTAAAATCGATATATTCTGGTAATGAAGTATCCAAATCTCCAATAAATAAAACTTGAGGTTTAGTCATGATGAATAGTTTGTTAACGTATTTGTTAATTTAAAGATTGAAATCAAAATGATTGTGAAATCAAAAATAAACAGTGGAATGGGTTAAGTATCTTCTTTATATGAAATGTAATCGCTAAATTTTTCACAAAATGTTCCTCGAGGGAATCTCACACCGGGACAGGAAATCAAGAAAAATAAAATTCGTTTACTGTGGATATTTTATAATTATACAGTAAATTTAAAAGCCCTGTCTTATAGGCTTCAATGAAAAAGTGCCGTAACAATTTGTGGCTACGATAAGCTGATAGTATAGTTAGTAGACCAAAACTTCATCGTTTGTAATGGTGGTGGTGTTATGGATTGTAATATGTGGTAAATGTTGAAGTAATTGCAATTGTAACTGTATTTGTAAATAATAATATGTACAGTTCAATTATAATTCAGTTATGATCTACAAGTATTGACATAACAACAATAGACTCTTGAACTGTTGACTGTATTATATTTTTATCTATCATCTTCTGGTTATAGTATGACAGTGATATATCTGCTGGAGAACTGACCTACCACACCGCTATGATCGATATGCTATTCAATTGGCAGTTAAGCAAACAGATCGTAAACTAATCATTCGTCAACGACTAGAATTACCTGCTGGAATTACCAAGTTGAGTAATACTGAAAACTGTCACCTAAATCAACTCATATTTAATATTTTTAAGACATACCTTACTAGTTATATATGTCAAAAATAATGTCAAAAAACAGTAACCTGTAAAACTTCCGTTAATCTGTAAAACATGAGATCTGATAGTATTTTTTACAGATTACAACTACAATTTACAGGTTATCATCGTATTTGGGATTTACCTGCTTAAAATAATAAAAAAAAAGACAACAACAGAAAAAAAAATTAATTGAGTAAAGTGGATCCATTACTTATTTCAATACAAGTGTCATTCAATCAATTGATCATCATCATTTGATTACAGCAACCGCCTTTGAAGCCGTCTAATAATAGCAACAACCTAAAGATGGAGTTTATCGAGTTCCCATTGACTATACCCAACCAACCTATAGTAGAAACTATCATAAGTTACTCATCATATATCCAAATTATAGTAAGTTTATTAGTGGGAGTTATTACAAACTCAGTTATAAATATCGCGTATGTTTTTGGAATTCAATTTATAATTTTGTTGATAGTTGTGTTACCTAACTGGTGGCCATTTTTAAACCAAAAGAAGGGTCTTACCTGGTTACAAATCAAGATATGAATAACGAATAACACATAATATATGGAAAAATAACGGAATAATATAATTGTTCCCCCACAATAAAAAGTATATCGAGAAAAAATTATTTATTTCTAATTTTCCAAAAAAATATATAAATGAAATTTAATTTCCCACTTTTGTTAAAAATTTGTAGATACTGTAGAGCAGGTTTCTTATTTAAGATCGCGTGTTAAGGTTAAACTTTTCTATTCGTCATGACTTCATCAACTTCATTATATGAATCTTCCAAATCTTTATATTTGGGGTTCGATTTATCAACTCAACAATTAAAAATCATCGTCACTAATGATGCCTTACAAGCTTTAAATACTTATCATGTTGAATTCGATGCTCAATTTAAATCGAAATATGGTGTCACTAAAGGGGTACTTTCTATTGATAATGAATTAGAACAAGGTGCTATTGTTAGTCCTGTGTTTATGTGGTTAGATTCTATCGATTATGTATTTGGACTTATGAATGAGGATGAATTCCCCTTTGATAAAGTAGTGGGTATTAGTGGTTCATGTCAACAACATGGTTCTGTATTTTGGTCTCAAGATTCTGAACAAATTTTATCTAAATTAGGGGAAAATATTAATCAATCATTAAGTGAACAATTAAAAACTGGATTTACCTTTGAAAATTCTCCAAATTGGCAAGATCACTCCACTGGTAAAGAATTAAAAGAATTTGAAGAAGCTATTGGTGTGGATGAATTATCGGAAATTTCAGGTTCAAGAGCTCATTATAGATTTACTGGTTTACAAATTAGAAAATTAGCCACTAGAACCAATCCAAAGAAATATCAAGAAACTTGGAGAATTTCGTTAGTAAGTTCATTTGTTGCCAGTATTTTATTAGGTAAAGTAGTTAATATTGAAGAATCAGATGCTTGCGGTATGAATCTTTATGATATTCCTCATCAAAAATTTAATGATGAATTGTTAGCTTTAGCAGCTGGTGTTCATCCAAAGATTGATAATGTTACCGAAGAAGAAACTAAAAATGGTATTGCTAATTTAAAACAAAAATTAGGTGAAATTTCACCAATCACTTACGAAAATGAAGGTTCAATCTCATCATATTTCCAATCAAAATATGGATTTAAAGATCATTGTAAAATTTATTCCTTTACTGGTGATAATTTAGCAACCATTATTTCCTTACCTTTAGCTCCAAATGATTGTTTATTATCGTTAGGAACTTCCACCACTGTATTAATCATCACCAAGAATTATAAACCATCATCACAATATCATCTTTTCAAACATCCAACTATGAGAGATGAATACATGGGAATGATTTGTTATTGTAATGGATCATTAGCTAGAGAAAAAATTAGAGATAAAGTTAATCAAAAATATCAAATTGAAGATGAAAAATCATGGGATAAATTTAATCAAATTTTAGATTCAAATGAAAAATTTAATAATAAATTAGGAATTTATTTCCCATTAGGTGAAATCGTTCCAAATGCTTCAGCTCAAACCACAAGAGCAATTTTAAATCCATCTACTAATGAAATCAAAGTAGCTGAATTAAATTCATCCCATTGGAACGTCGATGATGATGTTAGTTCGATTGTTGAATCCCAAGCTTTAAGTTGTAGATTAAGAGCAGGTCCAATGTTAAGTAAAAGTAGTGGAAATGAAGATTCTCGTGAAAGTTCAGTTACTCCAGATAAAGAAAATTTAGCTGCTATTTATAAAGATTTAACTACTAAATTCGATGGTGATTTAATCACGGATGGTAAAGCTCAAACTTTAGAGTCTTTAACTGCCAGACCAAACCGTTGTTTCTACGTCGGTGGTGCTTCAAACAATACTAGTATAATCAAAAGAATGGGTTCAATCTTAGGTCCAGTGAATGGAAATTACAAAGTTGAAATTCCAAATGCTTGTGCATTAGGTGGGGCTTATAAAGCTAGTTGGTCACATGAATGTGAATTAAAAGGAGATTGGATCGATTACAATGATTATATCAATCGTTTATTTGACGTTAATCAAGAATTAGAATCATTCGAAGTTCATGATCATTGGATTGATTATTTTAATGGTGTTGGTTTATTAGCTAAAATGGAACAAACTTTAAAACATGATTAGTGGATTGTCTTACATCTGCTTTCATCCCTTTGCATATATTTTTATAGATCGTTTTTTTAAGTAAGTAGATATACCCGCCATACACATGTCGTTTAATATATAATAGATTTTTGTTTTAATTTGCTTCCCCGGGCAGTAGATAATTTTTTTTCGCAGTAAATTTGGAACATCACCGTGGATCATCTACAATTCAAAAAAATTCAAAATTTTGAACTGAAAAGTTGAATATTTGAATAAAGAACGTTTACACATATATATAGAACTTGTCCCATGACCATGATATCTAGGTCATTCCATGGACTCAGAAGTGGGAATAAGAACCAAAGTATATCATTCGTTAGAAACTTTTCTAGGTTACTAACTAAGGATCCTAATGACATAACTGTATCTGAACTTCAATCCATACAACAAGAATTAGAACAGCAAGAAACACAATCTGATGATACAAATTCACGAATCTCATTACTTGCAAAGATAAGCAATTCAAATAATCTCGAGAAACAATCATTAGTGAATGAGATCATCCCTTCATTCTCATTATTCTTTAAGTTAAGCAAACATGAAGATAATGTGATAACAACGAATGAGATCTTAAGTCGATTAATTGAGATAAATCCAGGTAGAGTTCATTCATCGTGGGATTTGTTTAAACAATATGAAAACGGATTGATTCGAGGTGTTAGTCCCGAGTTGGTTAATCAATTATTACGTAAATTGATTCATGGAGAAAATTACGAACAACAAAATCAAGAAGAAGATGAAAAATATGTGATCTCATTGGAGAATTGTCAAAAGATTGATTACTTATTAAAGACTCATGTGGAGAGTCATGAATATGTAAAGGATAGCATAAGTCTGTTGGTTGATACATTGATTGAAAATGACTTGTTGATTTATTTAACTTTATTAATCAAGAATAATCAACTTAAGATTTTCAATAGTCAAGTTATTCAAGATTTTCTTAACAAAGATACCGTTGCAGATGTATCATATTTAACATTATTTCAAATATTATTCCAACAAGATCCCAAATTATTATCAAAGCAACAATTAGTGGAAGCATTAAATATCCTTGAACGTCATTCAGTTGATTTTTTCATGGTTCATAATAAAAAGCAACAGAAATTAATAGAAGGTACTAAACATGAATCTTCTATAGACTTATCCCTTGATCCTAAACAATTAGAATTAGATATCGTATCATACATTGAAACCAATCATTTGGATTTAGATAAGACTCCTGAAAGTTTATTGATTAGATTAAAGTTGATTGAATATTATGGAATTGAAGTTAATAATCTCGATAAAACCTTAAAGAAATTCCATACTTATCAAACTCATGAAAAATTCGGTATTGAATTTATTCAAATCAATCTTGTCAAGAGTTTTATTTATCAAAGTTTTGATCAAAATGATGAAACGTTCCTTAAAGTTGGAGAGACTTTAATCCCCCAAGATGATCAAATCGCTGTCAAAGTTTTACAAATGTTAATCATTGGTCATTCTAGTTTTAATGATGAAGCAAGTTTAAAACTCTATAATGACTATATCCAAAAAGTTCCAAAACAGATCAATATCCATACTAAGAGATCACCCGCTGGTTTATTAACCGAGTCATTAATCGTTGCAAATCTCTACAATAATGATCGTAATTTCGCTCAATTGATTCTTGATAAAGCCATTGAGAATAGTATCTTACACGATGAGTTCGAAATCACTCATATCAAAACTTGGTTAAAGAAATATGGAGAGTCATTTGTTGATGATGATAATTGGAGTTTAGCCAAACCTATATTTAAGAGTCATATTTTAAAATATGTTAAACTATTATAGATTTATATTTATTTTCATAAACATATACTGTATTAATAGAAAGACTGCAAAAATATAAACACAATTAGAAAAGGCAATTTAACCGGCTGTATGTATTGATGGATCTCGATATAACCTTAACTTAGAGTTGGAAAATATTTTTTTGGTGACTAAATTCCCAATTGGGGAAATTTGCCGCTGGCCCATACATTGGGCTCTTTTTGTACTCATAGTTTATACCGTAAATAATTTGCAATCAAATCATATACACTTCAGATTAAGAATATATAAATACGATTGTAATTATAAACCACTGAACTGTTATTATATTTCCAATTCAATTAGATAGAAAAAAAAACATTGAGAAAGATGTCTACCACAAACACTCCAGTTATTTTGCACTTAAGGGCAGAAGTCAAACCTTTAGAACATAGAGCTGCTTTAACACCAACTGCTACAGCACATTTAATTGATTATGGGTTTAAAGTTTATGTTGAAGAAAGTTCTTTATCCACCTTCTCTATTTCGGAGTATGAATTGGCAGGTGCTGTTATAGTTCCAGAAGGATCTTGGAAGACTGCTCCTAAGGAAAGAATTATTATCGGTTTAAAAGAGTTTCCCACAAGTGATACTTTTCCATTAATTCATGAACATATTTTATTTGGACATTGTTACAAGGACCAAAGTGGTTGGAAAGATATATTAAGAAGGTTTCCAGAGGGTAATGGTACTTTATATGATATAGAGTTCTTAGTAAATGATGATGGTAGAAGAGTTGCAGCTTTTGGTTATTATGCTGGTTTCGCGGGAGCTGCCATAGGTGTCAGTGATTGGGCTTTCAAGCAAACTCATTCCGATTCTGAAAACTTACCTGGTGTTGAAGCGTATCTTAACGAAGTATCACTAATTGCCGATATCAAAAAGAACTTGGCAGCTGCGTTAGTCGCCAATGGAGGTAAATACCCAACTACATTAGTTATTGGTGCTTTAGGCAGATGTGGATCTGGTGCTGTTGATTTATTCAGAAAGGTTGGTATTCCTGATGCTAATATATTAAAGTGGGATATGAAAGAAACGGCTCCAGGTGGACCATTCAAAGAAATTGTTGAAAGTGATATTTTTGTCAATTGTATTTACTTATCACAACCAATTCCACCATTCGTCAACTACGAAACTTTAAATGTTCCAGATAGAAAGTTAAGAACCATTGTTGATGTTTCCGCTGATACCACCAACCCACATAATCCAATTCCAGTTTATTCAATCATTACCGATTTCGACGATCCAACAGTTGCAGCTGAAACTACGATTGGTCCAAAATTGTCCGTAAGTTCAATCGATCATTTCCCATCTTTATTACCTAGAGAAGCATCAGAATTGTTTTCGAGAGATGTATTATCAACTTTATTGTTATTACCAAAAAGAAATACCTCTCCAGTTTGGGTTAGAGCTAAACAATTATTCAAAAAACATGTTGCAAGATTAGATTAAAATATCGTAAACATTAGTTAGAAGGCATTTTATAGATGACTGCAAAATATAATTACTGATTCTCCACAGTCCTTTCCACTAATTAAAAAAGATTTTTGTGACTAATTCCCAATTGGGAAGATTTGCCGTATGTAATGCGATAAGGCTCATAGTACTGACTCATTTTTAATTTAATGGCCCGCGCCAATGTTGTCATATTAATAAAGTTCTACGGCTTATATTATATGCAGTCCGATGGGATAAGGTCTGGAGATTTTTCATTCATCATCAAACCTATACCGAATATAAATTAGATTGAAATTTTTCACTTTTTTCATTAGTTACATTTTATTCTTTCTTTGTATATCAATTAACTTAATATCATATATTTACAATGTCTACTACTCCTGTTATATTACATTTAAGAGCTGAAACTAAGCCTTTAGAACACAGAGCTGCTTTAACCCCAACCACCACCAAACAATTGATTGATGCTGGATTCCAAATTTTTGTTGAAGAAAGTTCTCAATCTATTTTTAAGTCTGAAGAATATGAAAAAGTTGGTGCTACCATTGTCCCAGAAGGTTCTTGGCCAAATGCTCCAAAGGAAAGAATTATAATTGGTTTAAAGGAATTACCTGAAAACGAAACTTTCCCATTAGTTCATGAACATATTCAATTTGCTCATTGTTATAAGGATCAAGGTGGATGGAAAGACGTTTTAAAGAGATTTCCAGAAGGTAAAGGTACTTTATACGATTTAGAATTCTTAGAAAATGATCAAGGTAGAAGAGTTGCAGCTTTTGGTTATTATGCTGGATTTGCTGGTGCTGCTATTGGTGTCAGTGATTGGGCCTTCAAGCAAACCCATCCTGATTCTGAAAACTTACCAGGTGTTGAAGCTTATCCAAATGAAGATGCTTTGCTTGTTGATATTAAAAAGGATTTGGCTGCTGCCTTAGCTGTCAATGGTGGTAAATATCCAACTGGATTGGTTATTGGAGCTTTAGGTAGATGTGGATCTGGTGCTGTTGATTTATTCAAGAAAGTTGGTATTCCAGATGCCAATATAATTAAGTGGGATATGAAAGAAACTGCTCCAGGTGGACCATTCAAAGAAATTGTTGAAAGTGATATTTTTGTCAATTGTATTTACTTATCACAACCAATTCCACCATTCGTCAACTACGAAACTTTAAATGTTCCAGATAGAAAGTTAAGAACCATTGTTGATGTTTCCGCTGATACCACCAACCCACACAATCCAATTCCGGTATATACCATTGCCACTGTGTTTAACGATCCAACTGTTCCAGTTGAAACTAAAGTCGGTCCAAAGTTATCAGTTTGTTCTATTGATCACTTACCTTCTTTATTACCAAGAGAAGCTTCAGAATTTTTCTCCAGAGATTTATTACCATCTTTATTATTATTACCACAAAGAAATACTGCTCCAGTTTGGGTTAGAGCCAAACAATTATTCGATAAGCATGTTGCTAGATTAAGTTAAACTTGGATCTTATTTGTACAGCTTGATTTTCAATTCTCTACTTGTTAATTTTCTTAAAAATACACGTTATTATTATTTTATTTTATTTATAATACAGGATTAATCTATTCTAAAGTAACACTAACTTTTGTCTTCTTATTCTTATTCTTCTTACCTTTCTTTTTACCCTTTAATATCATTTTTCTGATTTCTTCACCATCAGTTTCATATTCAGATTCACTAACACCACCAAGTTCATCAGCTTTATTAGCACCATTTATTTCTTCAAGAGTATTGAAACGTCTCTTCATAGTTTCCATTTTTTCAACATGTTCTGGACAAGCAGATACACAATTCAATCTTTCACCAGTATCATAAATTGCAATTTGATCTCTCACTGATTCAGACAAATTCCAAACCACAATCTTACCATCAGATGAAACCGAAATCAATAATGGAATTCCATTAGTTTCAACAGGATCATTGAAGTAGGTGAATCCTTTTATTCTATTAGTATGACCTCTGAATTGGAAAATTGGTTCTAAAGTTTCTGAAGTAGATTCCCAAACTTTTGATTCTTCTTTATCTTCACTATTTAATTTAGATATGACTTGATCATGTAATTTAAAGAAATCAATGGTTCCATTTCCATGACCGGTTATTAACCATTCTGTACCATCAATATTTATAATTTCAAAATTCATTAAAGTTGATTTAAAGGCCAATTTTTTAACAATTTTAGCAGTGGTAGTATGATAAACTAAGATTTGATCTAATAATCCTACTAAGAAATAATCACCATTAACTGACCATCTCACAAACTCACCACTTTGACCTAAATGATCTCTACCTTTAATTTTCAATACAGCTGCTTTTTTAGCAGTCATTAAATTCCATAATCTAATAGTCTTATCTTCTGATACTGAAATAGCAACTCTTCCAGTTGGGTGAATAGCTAAATCATTTACTTTGGCTTGATGTCCCTTCAAAGTTCCAAACACTTCCCAATCTTTAGTTCTCCATATTATAATCTTACCATCAGCTGAACCAGATAATAGCCATTTACCTGACTTTTCAGTAGAGACTGATGTTTTGGTATTATCGATTTCAGTAGAGAATTTTAAGGTGGTTACAGTACCTTGATGACTTAATAAATTACCTAATTCCTTTCTCTTTTGTAAATCATAAATTCTGATATGTTCATCATTAGATCCTGTAACTAAATATCTCTTAGCTATATCCATGGATTTAATTGATAAAGAATGAGCTTGGAAATGAAATATAGGTTGGAAGATTGGATCTTTCTTTGAATTTGGGTCTAGTATGACTGAAAGACATAATAAGTTATGTTCATAAGAACCAACCATTATACGAAATTGTATAGTAGAGCGTAATGGTCTAGAAGGTTTAACTTGTTCAACTTTCTCTATTTTTGATTCCACCTTTGATTCAGCCTTTGCTTGAATGCTGACATTCTTCTTATTCTTAGTAGCCATCTTGAAAATTGATTGTAAGCTATAATGGTTAAACTGGTTAAATATGGGTTATACCATTAATTTTTCAGAAAACAAACTTTTATAAAGAGAGAGAAGAGATGGGATCAAAAGCGCGACATCTTCAAAAATATTTAAAACTGTCGCGTTCTGTAGTGCGACATTTCTCTCCAAACAAACCAAACCATTTGTAAACACTGCAAAAACTATAGTTAAAGGATCAAACAGGCTAGATCTGGTATCATATAGACGAACTAGTATCAACAGCTATCAATCAGTTGATTCAGACCATACGTTTTAGGATCATAATTTACAGATCTGGTTGAGGTTGTCATTTGAATCAGTTTCAAACAGTATATTGTATTATATGTATAAATCAAAAAACGGTGTTGTAAATAAAACCAAATTAATCATCATCCATCATCCCTAGATACTGTAAATAATCATATTCATGCAATGGTACTGAATCAGAAGACTCCATCACAGCATAATTCCACTTTGTTCATATCGCCTGATATAAATAGTCGTCGACAGGACTTATTCATTACCCCACCTAACCCAGCTGCTGCCAATTCTAATACATTATTTGATTCACCAGCATCACGGCGTTCACTGTTGTTTGGTCATCATCAAGAAGGATCAACATCAAATGAACCTCCTCATCATAACATTAATAATTATAACCCTAACCAAAATAGAATTCTTGAATCAGAACCATTGACGGCAGCTGAAAAGCTTCGATTGTGGAGACATGATGCCTTGAATCAACATCATTATAAGACAGCTGAGTTCATAGGTAATAAAGTATTGGCATTAACTGATGATCCTAATGATGCATTCTGGCTAGGTCAAGTTTATTTTAATAGTGGGAATTATTTACGAGCCAAACTGTTATTAACTTCCAAACCTGAATTTGAAAAATCAGTAAGTTGTCGATATTTAGCAGCTTATTGTTTAATTAAATTGGAATTATGGGATGATGCTCTTGATTTAGTAGGTGAAACCAATCCATTTAGAAAAGATGATAATAATAATAACAACCTATCTAATCAATATGAGATAAAAAATAGTGATGGAGGAGTTAAATTAGAAGCTTCATTATGTTACCTTCGAGGATTAATATATTCGAATCAAAGTAATTTTGAAAAAGCAAAAGAGTGTTATAAAGAGGCAGTTTTAGTGGATGTTAAATGTTTTGAAGCATTTGAAGAGTTAATAGATAATAATTTGATGACTCCATCAGAAGAATGGGATTTTATCAATATTTTAAATTTCAGAGATCTTGAAGATAACGATGAATTAATTAAATTATTATATACTACCAAACTAAGCAAATATCTAAACATTGCTAAATTTGATGAAGCTGAACAAATCTTAAGAGAAGAATATGATTTAGGTAATAATAGTGATATTTTACTTAGTCGAGCTGATTATTTATTTGTACAATGTAATTTTGATGAATGTTTATCTATATGTGAAAAGATATTATTTCAAGATGAATATAATTTCAGTGTTATGCCTAATTATTTAAGTACATTACATGAATTAGGAGGTCGAAATAAATTATTTTTGAAGGCTCATCAATTAGCTGAAAATCATCCTACAAATCCTATGACATGGTTAGCGATTGGAACTTATTATTTATCAATAAATAAGATTATTGAAGCAAGAAAGTTTTTCAGTAAAGCTACATTAATAGATTCTAATTTCGGTCATGCATGGGTGGGATTTGCTCATACCTTTGCTGCAGAAGGTGAACATGAACAAGCTATTAGTGCATATGCATTTGCAGCAAGATTATTTCCTGGAACTCATTTACCTAATTTATTTTTAGGAATGCAACATTTACAAATGAATAATTTAAATTTATCCGAAGAATATTTATTAGCCTCATATCAAATTTGCAATACTGATCCATTATTATTAAATGAATTAGGAGTTATTAATTTTCATAAGAGTAATTTTATTAAAGCAGAATTATTTTTTCAAGAAGCTTTAGGAGCTGCGAAATATTTAAATTCTGATTCTAAGACTTGGATTTCAATTCATGCTAATTTAGGTCATGTTTATAGAAGAGGAAATCAACCATATAAAGCATTAGAATGTTTTAATCAAGTGATTAGAATTAGTAATAAGAATGATTCTAATATATTATCAGCTATGGGATTGATATATTTAAAGCTTGGTAATGCATTTAAAGCGATTGATATTTTACATGATGCATTAGCTATAACACCATCAGATGCGGTTGCATCTGATTTATTAAAGAGAGCTTTAGAATATAATGTCACCAATTCCGATTATATTTTAAGTGATAATCTTATTACATCACATAATCCTACTTTACAATATTTAAGTAGAACGAAATGGAATAAGGCTAAACAAGATAAAGAGAATCGAATTCGTCATCAAGAAGAAATAAGAGAACGTCTTAAAGGTGGTGATAATGGAAATATTTATAATACTAAACTCATGACTCCATTAACTCAGAAGACGAATCACTTTTTAGATAAGACTGATCACGATACTAGTGGACATGAAGGTAATATTATTGAAGGTGACGAAGCAGAAGAAGATGTTGATGATGAGATTGATATTGTAGCTGAAGGGTTAAGAAGAGGAGAAGATTCTAGTGATGAAGAAGAAGCTGTAATGGAAATCGAAAGTGATTAGTGAGGTTGTAATTACTGAGGCGGTTATTATTATATAGAATGTTTATTATTTATTCTGATAATTAATTAATGAAATGCATAGAACAAGTTGTTTATGTTATGATTTGGTGTAGTAACATATAGTAGTTTAGGAAAACAAGGTTACAGAGTATTGCCTAATTGGGAAATAGTTTCTATTATTAAAAATAACAATTATCGGATCATTTAAATAAACAATCTTGTAACATAGTTAAAAATAACTAAATAACAATAACTAAACACTGTGTCAAAAAATTAAAACTTAATTATATGGGGTAATCGGAACTGTGATATAATTTCACGTTACATTATCTTACGTTTACTTCACTACGCGATCCTCCTTCCGTTCTCTCCCCTCCTTATTTAATCATCATCAAACTATCAACAGATCAAGTTTTAACCACCTGTTTATAAACAGTAAGTTAAGTTCATTTTCTGATACTCATCATCATCATCATCTACTCACTCATTACACGTAGACATTGTGGTATATATAACTCATCAGCTGCTTTGGTTACTGATCGCGATTGTAACCATCTAATTCCACATACACAAAAAAAATAAAATAAAATAAACGACATCATCGATCGTCTAATCTAAAACAAAACAAAAACAAACCTCATACTGATAACATCACCAAACATCAACAATAACAACAATAGCCCAGCATTATCATCAGGGACATCTGCAAAACCACTCCTGAATTCGTACAGAAAGGAGTAATTATATTTAAAAGTCACTGGTGACTTATACATTACACGAATCTCGTAATCAGACGAGAGGATCAATTTGCATCAGTCAGTGTAATATTCATTTGACACATTCCTCTTCCATTCCTTAGTTTCTTGTTCTACTTCGTTCCTTCCTTCCTTCATTTATTCATCCATCAGTCGAATACAACCTTACAGAACGTTGAAAAAGGATTGTTTCCTAAATGGTTTGTTCATTGTCATCCTCATCCATAATAATATCATCCTTACTTTGTCTTTATCTATCCGTTAATTAAACATCATACATACATACATACATACATACCCCATATAATGAATACGCATACACCCATACCAACTCCTTCTAAAGGTTCAAAAATATTATGTATCAATTTCAATCAAGATCAAGGGTGCTTTGCTGTAGGTCATGAAAATGGATTTCTTGTATATAATACCAATCCTATTGATTTACGAGTAAAACGTAATTTCAATCATCATCATAACAATAATCATAATCACAGTCGATCTAATTCCAATAATGAATCGAATCAACCACAGCCATTCTCTCATCACTCATCAGTTTCATCATCTAGTTCTTCTGGGTCAGGAATAGGTCATATAACTATGTTACATAGAACAAATTATCTTGCATTAGTGGGAGGGGGCAAGAATCCTAAATTTTCCAATAATAAATTAATCATATGGGATGATTTAAAACGAAAGAATAGTTTAAGCTTAGAATTCATGAGTCCCGTGTTAAATGTATTATTATCAAGAACTAGAATTATCATAGTTTTAAAAAATCAAGTATTAGTATATGGATTTTCTGCTCCACCTAAGAAATTTGCAACTTATGAAACTATAGATAATGAATTAGGATTAGCTGATTTATCAGTTAATTCAACTATAGTATCATCATCATCAACTACATCATCTAATGGAGATTCATCAACCATAAATACTAATGATAATAATAGTACTATGTCATTAAATGCATCTATATCATCGAATGGTTCCAATAAGGACAATAATGGTTCACATATTAGCACCACTGCATCATCATCATCAAGTAATAAATATCAAACGTTAGCATTTCCAAGTCGATCAATTGGACAAATTCAAATTGTTGATGTTAGTCCTCATGGCCAGGAAAAGAATTTAGTTAGTATTATAAAAGCTCATAAATCAAATATTCGATGTTTAGCTTTAAATCGATCGGGAACTTTAATTGCATCTGCTTCTGAAACTGGAACTATTATAAGGGTTCATTCTACTCATAATACTGCTTTATTATATGAATTTAGAAGAGGGTTAGATCGAGCTATTATTACATCTATAAAATTTAATCATAATGATTCAAAATTAGCTGTGTTATCAGATAAGAATACTTTACATATATTTAATCTTTCCTCATCGATTCATGGATCATCCCTAGAGAGTAGTACATCAATGAATACATCATTATCATTATCTACATCGAATTCATCTGCCAATACGATAATGTCATCACCATCACCATCTCAAACAATATTATCAAAGAACAATGGACAAAGTCAGAATCAAAATCAACAACATACAACAACCAGTACTACTACGACTAATATTTATTCTAATTTCCAAAATTCATCATCTAATAAAAATAAGACTAATTCGAATGATCATCAACAAACCCAATCTCCTCAACCTCAGAAATTTTATCATATCCCAGTTAATAGACATCATGTATTACAAAAATTACCATTACCCTTACCTAATTATTTCAAATCCACTTGGTCGTTCTGTTCGATCAATACGAATCAATATCATAACGAATTCAATAATGATGTGAATCATAATGATATTGGAGTTCTTGGATGGTCGAATAATGATAATGTGATTATAATTTGGAAGAATAAGAAAATATGGGAGAGATATGTTATATTAGAGAAATATGGACCGGGAAATACTACCTCTTTGCATGCTAATTCGATTGATGAAGTTACATCGTCAAACTCTACTGCTGGTGGTCATACGAGTTGGGAAATTGTCAGATCAAGTTGGAAATACCTTGATAGTTTAGAAGATTAAGTACATGCTTTTTTTTTCTGGGATTGATTTTGTAAAGATTGTGTGTGTATATACAAGAATGTAAATAAATAAATAAACAAAACTAAACTAAATACATAGCAAAACATTATCAATTAATGATTTCACATAATATAGGATCATATAAGATTTTCTCCTTTTGATGATGTTGGAATTTATCCCACTTTTTACCATGGAAATTCCTAAAGAATCGTTGGGCATTAGTAGGATTTTTAAATTTAATTAATGACGTATTGATTTGATGTTTGGGATCCTTTATGATTGATATGATTGGATTCCGATCGTTTAAGTCGTAATTCCATAATAATCTCGGTAACGTATGTTTCGATAATCCGAATGGAAGGTTTTTCACTAATACCATATTCCCTCTTATATTTGGATTTATTAAATCGATAAGTAAGTTATAATTTGGATGAGGGGTGTGAGCTTGTTCAAGTGTGTATGTGGAAGATGGTTCTGATTTGATCAGGGTTAACGCTGTGATATCTTTGACGAGTTGGGATTGTTGATTAGATGGAAATAAATGGTTAAATTTAATCGTGGATATATTTGTCTTGGACGGGAATAAACCAGGACTTAAAGAATAAGTTTGATAATGAGGGGATATCATATTTTTTAATTCTTGTTCGGTTGGATCAACGAATTGGAAATCAGTTAATTCAAATCCATTAATGGTTTTATGTAATACTTCATTATAATATACACAGGCTTGAATATAATTTGGAAATATAAGATAATAACTATGTTGGAATTGCAAGTTTAAAGCTTGACGTGATTTTATAACATTGAATTGTAAATCTGAATGATTGGTAGTAGGAACGATGGATTCATCTTGTTTCGGTATGATTGAATAGGTTCGTTCTGGATAATTGGGATAAATACTTTTGAAATCATTAGCAGTGATGAATGAATTTACACAATTGAATTTCAAGATATTTGAATGTAAATGAGTATTAGATCGTAAAGGTAAGTCTTTAACTGCCTCTATCATAGGTTTTAGATTCCAATCATTCTTAACTAAAGTATCTAAATACAGCAGCAGCAGTTGATTTTGATCAGTTTGATTATTATTATCATATAAATGTTTGGTTATTCGAGGTAATGTGGGCGCCACTTTTTGAGATGTAGCGTTATATAGTAGACTCATAAGCTTCTCAGAAGCCTTGTTAGATAGCTTAGACAGCATTGATACATGTGAAATCAACTTTGAATTGTACTATAACTTGGTTGGCTGTAAATAAAGATGTTTGGTGATACTATTTTCCTGTTTAAAAAATATTTACACCCATACCGCTGAAAAATAGATTCGCATCCCTGCCGCCGTGCTCGTGATTTTTTATTTATTTATTTACGTCTCAACGTTTCTCGGTAGAGGTGATTTTAAACAGATTTTACGATTATAACCACTACCACCACCACCACCACCACCACCACCCACCACCATTACAACCATGTCCCCCCCTGTGATAATAATTATAATTTAAAGTTTAATAAGTAAATTTAAATTCAATTGTTATGATGTCTAGTTGATTTAAATTAGTTTATGTATATAGAAGTGTGTATAGTTTATACTTGAAAGTACTGGTATTGTATCGGTCCACACTATTAACCGGAACGTACTTAAAAAAAGACAACAAATTCCGTCTTGAGGCCTTTGCCCCTCCCTCTCTCTCTCTCTCCCTCCCTACGTTAACTAAGGCTGTCTAAAGTGAGTGAGTGAGTGAGTGTCACTGACTCTGACAGAAAAAAAATTTGTGACAAAAAAAGTTGATTCAAAAAAAAAAAGAGGACGTAGTTACAACCAATTAATATCTCCAACACTTCAAGTTCATTACCTATCAGATATATATATACCATATCTATCTGCTTGTACATATACAGAACTTGTTGTATATAGAGTAATCCAATACTACTCAAAAAGAAAACCAAATCAAAACCCCAAAAAAACAAACAATTCCAGACAGGAAAACCCAAACCTCAAAATTAGAAATAAAAATTAACACAACCGTCAACGCTCAACCACAATTTTAACTCAACTGAATCCCAACCAAACCTTCATCCACTTTTTACAATCAAACTTAGAAGTGGAAGAAGCATACTATCATCTATACATATCACATCAACACTACACCCCTACACCGCTCAGATTGTGTGTGTTTTGCCGTTGACTTGCCTAGAAAATCCACAAATACCGATTTTTGATTTTGATTTTGCCGTCTTACAACCAATATAAGCAGAATACAAATTATTATCAACCGTGATTTAATCCTACTTTCCTTATTATTTTTTTTTATCCCATCCATCCTTTGTAAATAGAATTCTTTTGTTCCACTACGCTTATAGTTCATCCCCCCGCCCTGTTCTTTATCGTCGTCCTTATCATCCACCTCATACTCATATAATTAAGACAACGTGGAGATATAGAAACTTGTAAAAATCAATCATCAAATCATATACATAACTTTAAAAAAATACAACCTTTCTTGAGCATACTCAACCTAACATGTCAGAAACTATTTGGTCAAGTGGTAACACTTCTCCTATTCAAGCTCATGGTGTACCATCTCAATATAAATCTGTATTAGATTCAGTTGATCCAGACGTGGCTAAATTCTTATCTGCCACCGCATCTTCCAACACCAATACCAATGATAGAAGATTCTCCTTCAATGATGGTAGTGATATTGATAATTCAAATATCTTTGGCTTGAAAAAGGGTACTTTTTCAGCTATAACTGCTCCCCCTGGTGTTGGTGGCGGTGGTACTACCAATCATATCTCAACTGGAGTGGTTGTCAACCATACTAATGGGGTATCTACCAATAACAACAATGGTACCAATAATCAACGTTTGAATTTCGGTACTGCTTCCATTAGTGGTGGTATTGCAAGTAGACATCCTCATCCTCAAGATAGTTTTTTACAAAAATTTTCTTCAGTTGCTGATGCTACAAGAGAAATTGAATTATCTAATGGATTAAAAAGTTTAAATCTTGATTCAAATTCAAGAAGAACAAGTTTTAATACTACTAATGATAATTCTTCTCCTGCTACTAATAATGGGAATAATGGTACCGCCAATTCCATTGTTTTAACTTCTCCTCATGGTTCATTAAATGAACCATTAAATATGTCAAGAAATTCAAGACATCAATCGATTAGTGATAAAATCGATCAATATAATAACACTTCTCCTATTCAAGGTAGTGCTGCTTTATCAGTTAATTCCGATTTAAATTCAAATGTCACTGATATTAATAATAATGCCAATCCAAGTTCAAATATTAATAATAATGGTGTTGCTAGTGGTGCATCTGCAAATCATCATCATCATCAAAATGCCAATTTGAATCATATGCCTCATAATTTTTGGAATCCAGCTACGGCAGCTCCATTCACTCCAAGTGCTTCTTATCAATATTTCATGGAAGGTATTCCAGAAGGTATGCAGCCACCTCCACCTCCACCATCTCAACAACAGCAACAACAATTCAATCCTTATAATGGTAGAATGAGTAATGTTATGGGTGGTGCTGGTCAAAGTGCCGGTGGTGCTCCAAATAATGGTGGTGCTGGTGGTATCCCACCTATTACTCCTCCTCCATTCATGCTTTCTTCTCCACCTCCTCAATTTATGGATCCTGCTTTATTCAATTTAATGAATTATAATAATAATGCTACCCTTGCTGCTGCCGCCGCCGCTGCTGCTGCAGCTGCTGGTGGTGTTTCCCATGACAAATCTGGTTCTGAAATTGGTGATAGTGATTTAGAAAAGAGTGGTAATGGAACCTCAGATGATTCTAAAAAAGATTCAAATTCAAAAGCTAATATCGGAGCTCCAGGTATTGGATTAATGAATAGACAAATCCCACCTGCCTCATTCATGTTTCATCCTTTCAATCCTTATTCAATGTATAATCAATCTCCTCCACCTATTGGTATCCCTCCATTATCACCAAATCCAATCGATGGTAATGTAGTGACCGCACCTCAAGGCTATGGTGATCAACCTCAATCCCAATCATCACAACAACAAGGTCATCATGGTGGTCATCACCATCCTCATCCACACCATCATCTCCATCAAGATTTTGTCCCACCACCTAGTTCTACATCCACCACTAGTTCATCTTCTCATCAACAATCTCCTGCTGCTAAGACCCCACCGAATGGTGGTAATGGTAAGAGAAAGAATGGTGGTGCTAAGAACAATAATGGTAATGGATCCACTAATGGTTCTGCTCCTTCCAATGGTAAGAATGGTAATAATAATAATACTAATAATAATGCTGGTGGTAATCATATTTATAGATCACCATTATTAGAAGAAGTTCGTTCCAACACTAAAGGGAAAGAGTATTATTTGAAGGATATTTATGGTCATGCGATTGAATTTACAAAGGATCAACATGGATCCAGATTCATTCAACAGAAATTACCTGATGCCAGTGATGAAGAGAAGGAAGTTATCTTTAATGAGATTCGTGATATTTCTTATGATTTAATGACGGATGTATTTGGGAATTATGTGATTCAAAAATATTTTGAATTTGGTAGTATGACTCAAAAGAAAGTATTATTAGAATACATGTTGGGCCATATTTATGAATTATCCTTACAAATGTATGGATGTCGTGTGGTTCAAAGAGCATTAGAAGCCATTGATTTAGATGGACAAATTAAAATCATTGAAGAATTAAAAGATTATATTTTAATTTGTGCTAAGGATCAAAATGGGAATCATGTCATTCAAAAATCAATTGAAAGAATTCCATTTAATCGAATTAGATTCATATTGGAAAGCTTAGAAAATCAAATTTATCATTTATCAACTCATCCATATGGATGTCGTGTTATTCAAAGATTATTAGAATATAGTGATATTAAAGATCAAGAAGTGATTTTAGCCGAATTGAATCGATTTATATTTTATTTAATTCAAGATCAATATGGGAATTATGTAATGCAACATATTTTAGAACGAGGAGAATTAAAAGATCGGGAAGAAATTTTAAAAGTTGTCTTGGGAGCTGTGGTTAATTTTTCCAAACATAAATTTGCATCGAATGTGATTGAAAAATGTATAAAATTTGGAACTTTAGATCAAAGAAGACGTATTTTACGTGAAGTTATGCTTCATAATGAAGATTTCACGGTTGAATTAGTTGATGATGATTCTCCATTAGCATTAATGATGAAAGATCAATATGCTAATTATGTGATTCAAAAATTAGTTGAAGGTTTTGATGCTAGAAGTGAAGAAAAGAAAATCTTGGTGGTTAAATTAAGACAATATTTAAAACAAATCAGTTCAAGAAATAGTTATGGAAAACATTTAGCATCGGTTGAAAAGATGATTATCGTTGCTGAAACTGCTTTAGATGAAGCTGATAATTATTAACTCTGATCCCAATCCCAATCCCAAATTCAAACATAAAAGTTGTACATATATATCGTTGATAAACAAGATCCAGACATCACATTATTCCCATTCATTCCTTTCACCTTGCCTTACTTAATCCATTACTTAATTTATTTATACTTTCTTAAATAGTTCATTTTCATTATTATTGTTTTATCTTGTGGTTTTAGTCATTTATGTTTTATGTTTTACAAATCAAAAAAAGAAGTCATTCCCTTTCAAAAAAAAAAAAAAATCCTATCATTTTTATAATTGTTATTATTATTTAAAAAAAAAACACTCCCAATAGAAAGACCATCTAATCTATTATAATTGTGCTTACTTATGGATATAGTTGTTACCCATGTATATATGTTTATAAAGAAAATTTAAAAAATCTAAAATTTAAAATTTAAAATTATTATCTAATCGATCTAGATCTACAAGTTTTGTAAGAATTTTTATTTTTATACCAGGCGGGGGTTTATGCAAATTATTGGCGGTTAGTTCAAACTCACCAAATTTGCTATAAAAAGTGTGTTATTAAAGAAAGTTAAAAGTAAAAGTTAAGTCATAAAAAAGGAATCTAATAAATAAAAAGCAAATAGCAAAGTAAATGTGAAAAAGTTAAAGTTGAAAATATGAAAGTGCATCCCCCAAAATCAAAGTGAAGAAAAAGCCCAAAATATACGAAAAAATTGGTTATTTTTAGAAATCAATCTCTTTGAACGAACTTATTAAATTAAGGTGAAATCTCGACCATAAATCCAATTTAGAACTGTCATTTGATAGATTCACTTGATGATAATAATCAGTATATAAAGACTTCAACGTCAGACATGGTATAGCCAAGTTTTTCTTATCAATGATCAAGTATTCAAAAATCGTTATCCATTGTAATAATTTAATTTCATCTTTGATTTCCAAGGACCAGATTTCTTCATTTTTGATTAATTTGATTTGAGTCACTGATGCCGATTTGATCTTATTAGTTAAACTGATATCGATATTGGAATTATTTGTGTTATTATTAGTGGTTGATTTCGATTTAGTACATTTGGAATCATCATCTTGTTTTAATTCAAACACATCATATTCATCATCTGATGAAGTTAAGGATGAGAAATTCGATTTCACATCGGTTGAGATTGATTTTCTAATTGATATAGCTCCAGGACCAATACCACCATTAGTTATACTATTATTTCTACCAAGACTTAATAAACTTGAAGTACTGTATTGAGAACTGAATGATTTCTTCATGATATTAGAAAGATTAACTGATGAAGAAGCACCACTACCATTTCCATTCTGATTAACATTATCATTTAAATGACTTAAAGCATTCCCAATTGATCCACCCGGATGTTTCATGGAGAATTGCTTCTTACGTTTTAATAAATCTCGTTCAATCATTTCCAGCAAGGCTAATATGGTAGCATCGGCAAGAATTAAAGATAAAGTAGTTGAAACAGTTGGAGCAGGTAAACCATGGATTGATTCTTCATTTAGATAATTGGGTAATTCAGTATATAATAAACTATTAATTTGAGGATGAGATGATAATTTTGAATTTCGATTACAAGTTAATAAAACGATGGGTAAAGATGAAGATAAATGAGGTAATAATTGTAATAATTCAGTTGTATTACCACTTGCTGTTAATAAGATAAGACAATCTTTTGATTCATCGATTAATCCTAAATCACCATGTAACGCTTCTGATGGATGTAAAGTTGAAGCATGAATTGATAAAGAATTTAAAGTTGCCACTAATTTATTAGCGATTTTAAATGATTTACCAATTCCTGATATAACGATTTTCCCCTTATTAATATAATTTGTTTTAAAAAGGATTTGTAAAGATTCTAAAAGATTAGTTTGACTAAATTTATCAGTTTGATATTGCAAATATAAATGATTCACAGCATCATTTTGATATCGAAGGGTATTTCTGATGGAATCCAACGCGATTAATGATAAATCCTCAAACTTAGGATCGAAGTTATCGATATCCATAGCGACCAACTAGATGATATGAAGGATATAGACGTGTTGTGATGGAATAAAGGTGTTGATGAAAATGGCAAAATTTGTCCTGTTTTGTCAATTCTTTTCTTTTTTTTTTTTGGTGGTATTTTTTTTTTGCTTGGTGATGAAATGAAATGGGCTATGATTATGGGATTTGAATGCCGAATTGGATTAGAGGAAGAGTTAACCAATAGGATTCATAAATACATCAAGTAAAGGTAACTTCTATAAATGAACTTCAACAAATAAAATAAATAAAATAAATAAAATAAATAAAATAATTGAAGATCATAAAATTTTGAATGAATTACAAACCATTTTCCATCCACTGATTACAAACACTATAAAAATAAATACTGATTATGGAAACAATAAGCATTTTTCCATTTTCAACCAAATATCGGTAATTAAATATTCTAAATCCATATTTAACCCCGTCAAATCATTTGACTCCTTAACTACTACTTAACTACTACAAGCTATTTCTAATTATGTTAACCGACTACGTAATTGTGATGATTAATTGTGATGGTTAAATTGCAAATTTTTATTTTATAACGAGTATACACGTGATAAGCCACATATATTAAATCTAGTGGTAGTAATAACTACGACTACGTCGTAGTTATTGTTATGACCAATGATAGGAAAGATCATGATTGGTAGGAAATAACTATTCTAATGCTATGTTACTTTATCAAATAAATGGTCTACCAAACCATCCATTCATCTTCCAGTGAGAACTTTTTATCATATTCAAAAAGTGTCATAAAATTGCTATAACTAAAAAACTTAACTGAAATTTATGTCTAAGTTAAAGTTTTGACATAATGTATAGTTTACCTACCTCCGTAGCCTACTTCCGTAGTTTACACCCGACACATGGGGTCTTAACTTAACTTTACCTATTTTTGGCATATGACTTTTAACCCTTCATGTTTACTTATATTAATCTTAACTATAGATAATACTTCATCATTTCATCTACGTTCTAAACTCCCTATGTATGATAAAGTAGCGAGTGTATCTCATTATCTGCCCCTAACTAATTTCATATCTTTTATCTATCTACCTTTAATTAATTGTGGACAATGGCTTAGTACCTATTAAACTTATCTTCGGAAAAATTATACGAATTGAACCAAAAATTCCGCGGGTCAACCAAAAAACCACAAAATTTCCAAATTTAGTATAAATTTATATTGATCTATAGATATATATACAATTAAGTCGCCTACTACAATGCATTACCATCATCTTTGACTTTAGTATTAAGCTTATAACACTCCTCTTAGTCCAATTGCAATTGAAGAGTTTGTATCTATACCTACCTCTCATAACCTCTCATACCTTCCATCTTCCTCTAATCCAATGCAAATGAATAAAATATTTGCAATATTCTTGACATGATACTCAAAATTATTCCACTACTTTGTACTAAATAATATCCAAATCGAGTATATAATAAAAGAATCATGATTATCATTTTGATGTCGTCTGTGTCAAGATCATAATCTATCATGTTTGACATTTTATAGATCAATTCAGATTCAGATGAATGATCTGATCTACACGATATTAATTGTTTAATCTATCGTTTTAATCAATTTTCACTTCAATATATATATCATATCATTCATTTCTTAATATACTCATGATCTGGTTGATTCTAAAAATAACCATTTTTACTAAATCTAAAAATAAATTATGAATGCGACTCATCGTCCCCTCTTTTTGCAGTCAAAGATAAAACTTACAACATTAAACTCAATTATTATTAATTATATATACTTAATTCTAAAACGTATAAGAATTGAATTCAACCAATTGATATAATTCATCAGTAGGATGGGTCTTTCCATCTTCATTATCATTATGTAAGTATTCAAATTTATAATCATTAATATCCTTAACATCATTATCCATACCCATACCGCCATTATTATTATTATTATTATTATGGGTTTGAGATCCTACATTTGACATTCCGATAGTGGATCCATTACTATTACTTTCACTATTAATATTGGGTTGTAATTGATCAAATAATGATTGGGTGGTAGTTATATTACTAATATGACTTTCATTACTTATTTTCGATTGTAATTCTTCTTGTTTTAACATTTCATGATTTGAAAGCGTCTTTTCTCGTAAGATTTTAATTTGTTTAACCCTTTGAGACCAATTTGATATAAATGATCCTGATAAATTCGCATGCCAAACATTAGCAAATTGATCGGCTAATATAGCTAGGTTTCGAATAAAATTAGGTAAATTCGTTTCCGAAATGATTTTAAAATGACTAGTGGCAAACACACCTGGAACTCCATATCTTCTAAATGTTTTCACTTTATAATATCGATCTTGAAATTCTCCATTATTATTAAGGTTGTTCTCACTATTGTTGGTCTCCATATTGATTTCATGTCTTTCAATTGAAGATGTGGAAATGGTATGCGGGGAGATAACAATGTTTAAGAAATTGAATTGAGATTTAATTAAATTGAAATTAAAGTCTAATCCCGATTCATCATAATAAATATTAACATAATTATTCCCAATATGTCTTTTCTTTAATTCTATAATTCGTTGTTTTTCATCATCCAATAATTCATCACTTGATAAAAGTTTAGGATCATTCATCATAGTAGTGATATGAAATATAACTTGAGTAGTAGTATCTCTCCAATATCTTGAATATTCCCCATCGATATTATTCTCCGTATCCAATGATCCCATATATATTTGACTTGGGTTCGATTTTAATTTAACTAATTTCCCAATCTTGTATAAGAAATTTTGATAATTCTTCGATCCAATCTTATTCAATAATACATCATTTTCAGATTGTTGACCTTTACCAATATAAATGATTCCAATTTTATGAAATTCAACGGTAGGGATACGATCTAACACATTCAAAGCTCTTAAAATAATCGAATCTTCCATAATTGGGATCGGTTTTGAGGTATTATTTTTATGATTCACATCAATATGATCAAATAATTGTAATAAGAAATAATTAGGATTAATCACATCCGTCTTGGTGATACTATAATGTTCTTCATCATATTCTAATTTAATCACTAATTTAGCCACCCCAGTTGGTCTTCTCACAATCAAATTCGTATTCCCATTAGTATAATCTGTATCTATACTTAATATACTATTCCCAATAATCCATCTACTTAAATTGGCTGTTTTACTTATCCGACCTAATTTCCCAGGGGCAGTTGAACTGATAATTTTCAACGGTAAATCACTATAAGTGAATCTTATAATCAAATCAAGATATCCTATAGTTTGATCATCTAATTCTTTCCCTTCATTACATAAGATAAGATTCTTCAATATAAATGAGGATAATTTCTTACGATCATTAATATTGATTTTTAAAAACCATGTCGAAATAACATTATATGATAATGATAACATGTATTGAGAAAGGATAGGTGTGAAATGAGTGGATTGATTAGATGGAGTTTGATCCACTTGAGCATCAACCCCATGAGCTTGTAAGATATTCTTCCTATCTTCATCATTGTCAGTATTATTATTATTATCTCTCTTTTTAATGATATCATTGGAGTATTGGATTAATTTAAACGCTATTCCAAATACTCGTCTAAATTCATCCAAAGTGAAATTTGATGTTAATGAAGGTAAATGAATTAATGAAAGTAAGAATTCTAATGTATGAGTACTAGCAAATGCACTTGTAATTCTGGTTTGTAAAGTAGTTAAAATAACCGCCAAATATTTCTTAACTGATAAGGGAAGTTCGTAACAACACACAGTAAGGATATTTATACATGGAATAGCTGTCTTTTCCCATGATCCTAATCCAATAATCAACGAATTTATAATTTGATCTTTATCATATTTAGAAAATTTATGTTGATAACCTAATAATGGTGTTAAAGTTCTTACTGATGTAACTTGTAAATCAGCTTTGGTAATATCTGGAGGGAATTTAATATGAGAAGGTAAATTCAATGTTAATTGATCACAAATGATATTCTTTAATTTAACGATTTGTTCGTTATATTGAATGAATAAGTTGATGTTCGATAATTGAGAACAAAAATGTGCCCAAATAAAAGAATAAATCTCCCAATCGAAAAATTGTTGCATGATATCAAGCACAATCTTAAACCATTCTGATAAATCTATATCGAAAGTAGTTGTGGTTGGTTCTGAAGAATCCTTAATGACCAATGCCTTGGAAGGTTTATCATATAATTTATCGGGTAAATAAGGAATGATTTCAGGATATACCCATTTATATTGTTTAATCATATCTTTATTAAAACTTGCATCTTCACTATTTCTTTTAAACGCCAATGATAATCCTGTCATATCAGTAGGTTTAGAAAGAAACATTTCTCCTTCTGCCGTGGCACGGATTCTGATTAAACATTTCGATATCGCTAATAATAAATCAATATCATTATTAATCATAGCATATTGAGCCATTTTAATCATCAAATTATAACATTCTTGAGCCTTTTCACCATTATTATTATTAATGCATACCAAGAATACTCGAGCTATAGCTTTAGCAATCTTTAAGAAGAATAACGGCGACGAAGTGTTCTGATTTGACGTGGTTTGGGATATAGAACTTAATGATACAAAACTTTTTAATTTACTACTATTATCTTGTTGATGAGCTGGTTTTGTCTTTTCAATTTGGAAGATGAAGATATTACATAATTGTTTGAATTCAGCACTTGAAGTATTCAACGCTAGGAAGATGAATAAGTTATCAATTAAATAATCCGCTATGATTTCATCCTTTTCAAAGAGGGATTTTTTAAGTATATCGAATATAATATCATAACTCATACTTGTTTTGGTGAATATGGAAGATGACATTTCAATACTATCTTTAATCACTCTTAAACATTCGATTTTAGATTCCAGATTGGTCGAATTATAATAAAAATAATTCAAAATCTTCAAACAATTATCTTTCCAAAACGGATTTAAAAGGGTACATAATCTCTCTTCATTATAAAACTTCAACACGAATCGAATATTTTCAATCATCAAGATATTATAATTTTGGATTAAAAAATTAATTAATTTATCTTGAGGACATTTCAATTCATGATTTTCGTATAATTGTTGTAATGATAAACAAATTGATTGTAAATAACTTTCATCTTGTTCTGAATTTATCTTTAAACTCTTCAACACTTCAAACATGGATATACTATTGGAATACCATAATTGGAAGGGTAAGATCTTATCAAAGGATTCATTGAATTGAATATTAAAGTTTTCTCGATATGAATCCTTGGAGAATAATCGATCAAAGTATCTTAATATCACCGAGTTTATAATGGGAATATTAAATGATATCGCTATCTTAATCGATTGATAAATATTCAAATAACAATAATCGATTGATGGTCTATTTTCTGCCGCATTGACAATTTGGATTAATTGAATGATCTCAATCGCTCCTATGCATGATTGAATAGCGGGATTATTAATAGAATCGGATTGTTTGACAGCTTGTAAGCCTGGATTGACAATGGATTTACTTAAACTTGAAATAATAAGTTGAATCGAGTCTTCAGTTGATAAACTGTCAATACATTCCCAAATCCGTTTGTTTAATGATTCATCGAGGTTTGATCCATAGATATTACTGAATAAATGAATGATATGATCGAATGAATCTGCCGGTATGGTACCGAATAGAATAATGGCATGAAGAAGGTCTATGATACATGATATGATTAGTTTATTAGTGGTTTGATTTCCTATAATCATGATTATGGAAATGATTGATATGACTAAAGTTTCGTCAAGGATGGTAAAACTATATTTTAAACAATTCTTTATAAATGCAAGAGTATTGATTAAATTATTAACTTCTGATTCTTTTGATAAATCTTGCGATAGTATAGTTAAACTTGAACGAATAAATAAATCAATGTTTTTATCTTCATCATAAATACAGAAATCATGAATATCTCTTCCTTCATTAGTTAAAGCTCTTAAAGCTTCAAGGAATAAATCATACTCAGGATCAATCTTAACGTTTGATTTCAATTGACAGTAAGTTATAATATCTCTGAAATACCGTATTTTGGTCCCTACTGCATCATCATCATGATTGATACACAGGATTAACAATTTCAATGCCACTCGTCTTGTTTGAGACAGCATTCGTTGATCACATAAATCTCGAGCTAAATACCATACTTCAGGTATAGATGATATTGAATATTTATCCAATGATTCTGTTAATTTAACGGCCGCTGACGTTCTGGTTGATAATGAACTCGATTGTAATTGTTGAAATAGTTGAGGTAGATCACCTCCACCCCCTACAACCAAAGCATTAATCAGGACTGGCACATTCTTTGCCGTTGATGATGATTTTAGAGTCTTGGTTAATGATTTAAACACACTCCCTATACCTGACGTAGCTATAGTAGGATGATGTGTTGACATTATGGTTGACTCACGTAAGCTCTATCTTTCGTTATATCACACCTGTAACCATTCACTAACTCTACTTATAGATGGTATTATATTGACTTTGGTGGATGGTATTGCTCCAGACAACCTTAAACGCATGAAATTTTTTTTTTTTATTTTTACTCCAGATTATTTTTTTTTTTTCGGTTGCAAGTAGAAGTATCACCATCTCAACTTAACTTTAATTTCCATCTCATCTAACTACAGATTTTAGTTACTATAAATAAATATATGATATAATGCATTATGAGGGAGGTTTTGAATATATACAAAACATGAGAGAGATGACTAATATACAAGGGGAGGGGAGGGATGATATACATGGGGGTTTTAACACCAGAAACGGTAGATTCTATAAATCAAAGGTTTAGAACGTAAAATAGCTCTTTCTTCTTCTAATTCTTGTTTTAAAGCTTCAAGATCAGTTTCTCTTCTACCTGAATCAATATCAATGTCTTTAGCTCTGATGAATAAGATCCAATTCTTTCTCCATATCTTATGACCGAAATAGAAGATAATTAAAATGACAAAACCTAAATAACCTTCGAAGAATCCTTCTGCATTTGGACTTTCACCCAATGGGAATAATGATAACCAGAATTGTGCAATAATGACTAAAGTATTTAAGATCACACCGAACCAAGATCCAATGACCCCAGTTTGGGAGGTGAAGGCTAATTCATCAGTAAGTCTACCTTGAACTTTCAATGCTCTTCTGAATCTAATATGAGCTAAACAAATTGATAACCAAGTGAAAATTGAACTTAAAGCTGAGATAGATAATAACCAATCGAAAACTTCAGTTTGTTTACCACTAGCAGCGATGAAACTTAATAATCCAAATACATTAGTGATCATAATAGCTACTAATGGTCTACCGGCTCTATCAACATATCCACAGATTTTTGGTGCTAAACCTTGTTCAGCTAAGGCCGTTAAAGTTCTTGATGTGGCATATACTGAAGATGATCCCACAGAAATGACAGAGATTAAAATAACGGCATTCATAACTGATGGTAATCCATGAATACCACCTTGTTGAATAGCAATGACAAATGGTGAAGCAGTAACATCAACTGAACTTGCTCCTAATAAACGATCGGAATTATAAGGCACTAAGAATGTAATTAAAGTGATTGAAACCATATAAAACATCATAATTCTCCAGAATACTTGTTTAGTAGCTTTTGGTAATGATTTTCTTGGTTGATCTGCTTCAGCAGCAGTTAAACCTACTAATTCAGTACCACCAAAACTAAAAGCAGCAGTTACAAAAACGGATGCAACACCTTTGAATCCATTGGCAAATGGACCAGGGATATGCCAATAAAGGCTACCAACATAATGACCTGCTGGACCACCCCCAGCCACTAATACAATAGAAACAATGATAAATCCAATGACGGCCATTACTTTTAAACTTGAAAATAAAAATTCAGCTTCACCATAAGCTCTAACACCAAAAAGATTTATAGAAGCTACAACCACATAAAAGATTAAAACCCAAACATCAGGATTAATAGTAGTATTCCAATATTTCATAGTGATTGAACCTGCTACTAATTCCAAAGGTAATAATACTAAAAATTGAAAGAAATAATTCCAAGCTACTGAAAATCCAACACTTGGATCAATGAATCTCAGAGCATAAACATTGAATGATCCACTAATAGGAAAAGTGACAGCCAATTCCGCCATGGCTTGAATGGTACATAAGATAGAGGCTCCAGTTAAAGCCCATGCGATTAAAATACCAGCGGGACCACCAGTATTTAAAGCACTACCTGTCCCGATCAATAAACCTGAACCAATCGATGATGCAATGGCAATCATTTGTAAATGTCTATTTTTTAATTTTCTCTTTAAGGGTGATTTTGAAGTATTAATATTGATTCTTTGAATATCAGTTAATGATTCTAATTCATAATCATCTGATTCTTCGATATTATGTAATTTTTCATATTCTGTAGCTGGTTTAAATGAATCTTTAAACAGTTGCCATTTTGAAAGTGGTAATGGGGCTGATACTAATTCATCATATGGAGTTTGAGTTGAAATAGGACTGTTGACAGAATATTCTTTAGTGGAGCCCAAAGAGGACTTTTTTGATTCTTCTGGTACCATATTAACTCTATAGTCTTGACTTGTGTAACAGTCAATGGTTGAATAAGAAAGAAGAAAAGATGTATATAATTAACCATCTGTTGTTGCAGCCTTCGTTAAAATTTTTATTTTTTAGTCACTGCTGCTCATCAAAAAGGTATACAGACATAAAATCGACTCACAGACAAAAAGAGCCGCATTTGCCTAATTTAGGAGACAGACAAAAAAAAAGAAATTTTTTGATTTGCAGCTAAAAATGACTAGCTGTTTGAGAAATGCCGTAGAATAACATCAGTAGAGGTAAGAGGAAATCACCTCAACTCTAAATATGGTCTACCAAATTAATAAATAAAAAAGTATATTAAACTTAGTATTAGTTAGAAATGAAAATATTATAGATCTAACAGATATGATCTGTTACCATTAATATGTATGTATATATATGTTGTTCTGCGAGTAAACTCTCACCTTGATAATTTTTGTAATTTTCTATTTTTTTGCTTTTTTATTTTAAATTTAACCATAAAATATATCCATTAAGAAACATAAACCTCCACCCCAAGTAAATCTTTGTAAAGTTTTTCTTATAAATGCTGGTTTAATCGACATGAATAAATTTCCACAATTATATCCTTCACTTTCAACTCCAATTCCCCATTTTATATTTTGTCTGACATTACAACCTCCCCAAAAATTATACCATTTTGTACGTTCACATGGTGATAATCTTAATAAATTTTTAGCTAATGGACCCTTTGGACCATCAATGAATTTATAACCTGCTACCAAATTATAAGTTTGTCTTGAATCTTTCATAATCAATTGTTTATCACCCCATTGACCATTATATGATAACCAATTAAAATAAGATTCTTCTCTTCCTGTATGTTTTGAATTATGATTGGTAGTACCAGGATAAACAAATTGTCCATCATAAGTATAACCAAGATAATTTTTAGTGGGGTTCCATAATGGACCACGATCGGTAAAATCAGATAAGATATCATAAGGTAAATCATGAGGATATTGTCCTACACTAGGATAATTAGCATGAGTACCTCTTGCACTGAAAATGATGGGATGTTTTGAATCTAACAGATATTTTTCTAAATTATGATAATAGAAACCTCCACCACCTCCATGAGCTGACATCCAAACGATGATTGGAACCCCATTATAGAATCTAACTAATGAATGTTCCCAATCCCCAATATGATTACCATAAGGACCTTGACCCATGACAAAGGGACCTAAATTGAAAGAATAGAAATAAAACCAATAAGAATCAACCCATCCATTACCTTTATCAACCACGATTAAAGTAGCAGGAGCATCTTTAATTTCACCATCGATTAAACTTGGTTTATTTTTAATCCCAGTTAACCAATTTGGATCCTTACTGAAATCAGAATTTGATGTTAAATAAAGCTCAGACGTATCGTAACTTTGAGATAAATTACCAAAAATTTCAATATTTAAATCTTCCGTACCGGGGACATGAGTACCATTAGGGAATTCAACATGGAAATTAGTTAAATAATCCTTGATATCATAAGGTAAGTATCTTTCTTCACTATAGAGATGGACCAAAGGGGCATAATCAATGACATAATTGGGGATTTCACCATCTTTAAGAGTTCTTTGATCTTTAGTGGGTAAACTTACAATAGGAGGAAAGCCTTTGAAATTGATTGGATTCTTAAGGATGTTTTCAATTTGAATCTCCCGTTCTTCATCATTTTCGATTAATTGGAATAAGACGTTTTGTTTTGAAGTTTTGTATTTGGTATGATCATGTTGTTGATGATGTTTTTGTTGTTGTTGTTTATGAGGTTTATATTGTTGTTGTTGTTGTTGTGGGGTGTAGTGATCCTCAACCCCAGCCTCCACGGGGAAAGCGGTCGCAATCCACAAGAGAGATAATAGTACTATCACTAGACTATTACTATACGTATGCATTTGATAGATGTGTTATATTCTGTATGACATTAAAACTTGAATGGTAAAAGGAAACAGTAATAGATTTTAAACCATGTGTTGTAAAAGGGAACAGAACGTTTTTATATTTATTTGATTAATGATGATGATGAAATGCATTTTTTTGTTTGTTGCGAAGTGATCATTTCTTTTTTTATTTTGTTCTATTATTTATCCCCTATAATTACCGCACCTCTTTTACCAGGTGACCATAAGCATAAAATCACTGCTTTTACAGTTTATTACCGGAATTTTGTCACTTCTGCAGGAAACATCCACACTGCAATAGTTAAAATGTATATGCAGGTCCATGTCGTTTAATGATGTCGTAACGCATAGAAAAGAGAAAGAGAGACATCTGATAATTTGATTCTATACGAAATAGATCACCTTATATATATAGTGAATTATAAGAATATACTTTTAATATCGTCTATTCTTTAAATTGTATACGATCTACATAAGACTTGATACTACTCAATGGTATCATATAACATAACCATTCACATTGCCGCAAACTACTACTGATCTCTACTACTGGATACTACCCCAATGTAATACGTTAATGATATTTTTCATTCTATAATCAAAAGGTTCTAACTAAATATTGAATAAGTTTAAATGGTTAACCGACTCTGCAAATTTACTTCAATTGATTAAACTTTATGCTTCTTTTTTAGTATGAGCTAAAAAAAAAAAAACCAACCTCTCTATCTAAAATACAAACACTTGATCTCCTAATTTACTAACTGGTTTAGCTTTAGCAAATCCTAAAGTTACAGCTGCTTTTTTCATAGCTCCAATCATTGGTGGTGGTCCACATAATAATAAATTAGTATCTTCACTTGATTTTGGTAAATATTTATCAATGATTTCTGGAGTAACAAATCCAATTGATCCTTTCCATCCTGCTGGTGCTTCATTTAAAACAAAATGAATCTTAAATTGATCACTATGATCTTTTTGAAATTGTTCTAATTCAGCTCTTAATAAAATATCAGTTTCAGTAACATTAGCATAGATTAAATTAATCTTAGTTTTATCCTTTGGATTCTTTAAAATAGCAGTAATTATTTGATACATTGGTGCAATACCTGTACCACCAGCAATCATACCAAAACTTTCAACCATATTTGGAGTATAAGTGAAAAATCCTTTTGGACCTCTAATATCAACATATTCTCCAATCTTTTTAGATTCAACATACTTGGAAATATTCCCATTTTCATAAGTTTTAATTAATAAATCAAAATAACCTAATTCATCATCAGTACTAATTGGAGTATAAGATCTAACAATTTCTTTACCATTTATAGTCGTACCAATGGAAATATGTTGACCAATAGGTAAACCTAATCTATCATCATTCTTAGGTAATCCAAATCTATAAACACATGAATTATGACTAACTCTAGTCTTTTCAATCAAAGGGAATTTTTGAAATTCATCAGGTTTTAAAATTGGTTGATTCTTTAATGAAATTTTATAAAAATATAATGCAATAAAACTACCAATGATTGTAGCAATAGTAGCAAAGACAATCAATGGATTTGGTTCACTTGATTCACTCATGATGATGATCGACAATTTATGGATAACAATGGATAATTATAAATTGGTGTTATGTATGCTGTTATATATATATAATTTTTGATTTCATCCAATCTCAAAAAAAGAGCGACATGATTCTGAAAAATATCCAATTTTGTTTACCCGGATTATTCTTTGCCTAATTAAGTAAAATGATCCCATTATCATATGTCATTTTACTTAATACAGTCAAGTTTAACATTAACACCATCTCCCGACCCCTGGAATTGAATAAGTTGCAAAATGTCAATTTAAACTTTAATTTAATTAATCATTCATATCATGGAGTTTGTAACTTACATGGATATATCATCCGACTCACTATTAAACAGGATATTATTACTTCAAATGTCATTAACGCTTTATTAGATCTAAGTAACTATTTACATGTCTAGATATCTTCTCTATTCTTATACTTCCTCCTCCTCCTCATCCTCCTCCTCATCATCATCTTGTTGAATGTTCCATTGACAACTTATATCCCATCTTGACCCCTTAGCATTGATACTCACATATTTAATAAATTTCAATACTGAACTATCTCTTAATACTAAAGTTAATGAATTCCATTGACATTGATTGGTAAATAATACACTATCATCCCCATTACTTCTATAAATGGCAGGATCATCCTCTTCATCATTTTCTTCATCATCTTCACCATCACCTCCTCCACTAGACATACATAATTCATACCCTCCAAATTCACCTGATTCCCAATTCTTTGGATTAATAGCACTAGGAGTTAAATTTAATGTAGCTTCCAATAAGAGATCTTCAGTTTGTTTAGTAGCTAAGATGAAATCTGATCCCGGTCTGAATCTTCTAATTAAAACTTGATCACCTACCAATACTAAATTTGTAATTAATTTTAACCATTTTTTAAAGACAATCGATTTTAAAAATCGACTTAATTCAATCAATTTATTATCAACTTCTTTTTCACTTTTAACTTGAGAAAAATTAGGTAGTTCTTGAGGACCAATTGAATTAGTGAAATTGATCGATTCAGCAGATGTGATATCCATATTGTTTGATTTCCCATCGATATATAAGAACCGATGTTTATGAGGTGGAATGGCACATTTCCAAGGTTGAGATATTTCATCAACTTTAATTGGAATCTTAACGTTTAATTCTTCATGTCTGATTAATTCACGTAAAGTCAGAGCATAATCTTCATTTAAAAACTCTTTTAATTCTAAGATTGATTCATTAAGGAAACTTTCCGATAAATTCTTAATCAAACTTTCATTATTAAGATAATTTTTATTAATAAATTTTGATAAATAATCAATATCAAGTTTGGTAAATTGTCCCACATTTTCAAATTCTTCATAATGTTTAATTTCAATCTCATCAAACTCATTTTTAATCAATTTTGGGAAATCAAATTCTTGTAATTCCTTGGATTGTAATAATTGTAAGGTTGATTTCCCAATGATTGATTCTTCTTCACCTTCAATAAACCCATCTTCACCAGGTTGAGGAATATGAAACCATCCTTGAATACTTAATCTCTTTCTATCTTCTCTAACTTCTTCCACATCATGGAATGATAATCCTGGTTGAACTGTAAAAAATGCCATTTGATTAAATTGAGGTGTAAATTTTTGATAAAAATCAGTTTGAGGGACATTAGGTACAATAGAATCAAATAATCTTAAGGATCCACCATATCTTTCATGCCAAACCTTATCTGGTTCAGGCATATATAAGATAAAACTAACTCTTCTAGTATCAATCACATCATCATGAGTTAATAAATGACATCCTTTATTATAAACATTAATTGACATATCAGTCTTAACTCCACTTAATTTCCCACATCCACAAACTTTGGAAACAATATCTCTAAATTGTTGAGAATAAATAGCACTTCTTAATTTATATAATGATGGTAATTTAGATAAATCATCCCAATTTAAGCCTGATAAATTAGCTAAATCTCCCGATTGGAATACTTTATAAATATCAGTTTCTTTCTTAGTGAATGCTATTTCATGAAGAACTTCAGTACGAACTTGTCTTAATAACGTATCATCTACCAATTCAGTGAAATGTCCCCATCTATAAGGTTGACTTTCTTTAATTTCTGTTTGTAAATTATCTTGAAAAGTTTCATCAAAGATCTTTTGATTGAAGAATGATTTGATTTCTTCTTTATTGAAATTAATATTCAATTTCTTAGAACTTGGTCCGTTCAGATCCTGAGTTTCTTCTTGTCTCTTAGTCATGATAATGAATCGTTTACCCTTATGGAAGAAGTTTTTCAAATCCTTTTTAACAGCTTGATCTGAAAAATTTAAACGACTACATCATACGTCTTGTATCAGACCATGTTTTTAAGATGGTCTAGATGAGATCATGTGCAGTTAAGCACATGACTGAGAAGTCGAAAATTTTTTTTTTAGTGGAGAGAATTTGTCGACAATTTTTCAAACGATTTGAGATTTCAAATTTTTCAGCTTTTGCTGACTTTTCTTTCTTTTTAGAATCAGATACAATTCATATCAAATCAAGTACAATGTCTATCGAAGAAATCCCAGCCGGTGCTGACGTTAACGTCATCCCAAAGAACGAAAAGAAAGCCAGAGAAATCATCAAAAAATTAGGTTTAAAACAAGTTAAAGGTATTACCAGAGTTACTTTCAAACAAAGAGGTAACTTAATTTACGCCATTGATCAACCAGATGTTTACAAGTCTGCTGCTGGTACTTATGTTGTTTTCGGTGAAGCTAAAGTTGATGACATCAACAAGAGAATTGCTGAAGCTCAAGCTCAACAAGGACACGAAGGTCACGACCACGAAGGTCACGATCACGACCATGATCATGAAGGTCATGACCACTCTCATGAAGATAAAACTCCAGAAAGTATTAACGCTGATTTACAAAAATTAGCTCTTGATAATGAAACTAAATCAGCCACTATTGAAGAAGAAGAAGGTGATGCTGATGAATCTGGTTTAGATGCCAAGGATATTGATATCATTGTTGAACAAACCCAAGTTTCAAGAGCTAAAGCTGTTAAAGCTTTAAGAAAACATGATGGTGATATGGTTAATGCTATCATGGAATTATCTTCTTAAATAAGATAAAAAATATTTGTATATACATATTTAATAACATAGATAATAATATCATTATTTAATATCTCGTATATTTATAAAATTGGTAACTATATACTGTAGATTTATATTTACATTTATTCCTTTGCTTTCTCTTTTTCTTCTACATCCTTTTCGGAAGTGTCAGTAGTCTCTTCAACTGGCCTTTCAGCTTCGGATTCTTCTTTGGCAGCTTCCACTTTGATTACTTTCTCTTCCACGGGATTAGACTCTTCTTTCTTGGATTCTTCAGCTTCCGCCACTTTCTCCACAAATTCTTCCTTTCTATTACCATTAATTATATCATTCAACTCTTCATTTAAAACCCCTTGACCATTCAAAGTATCACATCGTAAACATCTGAATTTAATAGTGGCAGGATTCTCTGTATTGGGAGGAGCTAATCCATTATGAGTATAACATTTATAACAAATTAATGCGTATCTATTTTCAACTGATTCATTATTATCCGATCCAATTAACACATCCAAGATACGATCTTGGAATGTTCTCTTTGTTTCTGTAGGGGCAGTAGGAACTGATGGTGCTTCTATTTGTGCTTTTGATGTGATTGATGATGGTGCAGATGTAGTAGTGATTGGTTGATTTGGTACTACTGGTGCTTGATTAGGAGTTATATTTATATTCAACTTTTTCAATTGATCTGCTGATAATTTATTGACATCAATATTGGAAGGAAAGTTATTACGTTGTTGTTTTCCTTTTCCTTGTTCTTGTGGTTGAGGTTGGGGTTGTACTTTTGGTTTTGGTTTATCCTTTTCATCACCAAATTTATTTAATAAAGCATTTGTAGCATTAAAATTAGTTATTTTCTTTAATTCTTCAATCTTCAACTTATGTTTCTTTTTCAAATTATTTAAACTATTAGTTCTACTTTTAATCAAGAATGCATAGAAATAATGAACAATTGATATAATCGTATAACCTAATACAGGATATAATACCAATATAAGGAATTGTTCTCTGGATTGATGTTTGATAAACAATTGTAATCGAGTTAACTTGGTAGATGAAGGTAAAGTGAAATAATCATATGCGAGGAATAACAAATATGTCAAGATGAAAAAACGACCTACCACATGCTTTGAAGTTTTACTTCCTTTCTTCAATTTCAGTATTTGCTGACTCGTAGTCGATATGGTTTGAGTGATGGTGCTAAGTTCTTTCTCAAACTCATCTGGATTGAATCCACTTCTTTTGAAAAGACTAAACATTTCTTAACACTTAACACTATCCAATGATCACCTCAATCTGAATTGCTTTCAATGATGAAGATCTATCAATTGGACCCTTTAAACGTCTTTTGCCATTTAGAAATTTGAACTTGCTGTCTCTAAATTTTCCCTGTGTGACATAACAAAATAAAAAAGTGAGGCATGGAACTGAACTGAACTGAACTGGAACTTTTTTAACGAAATGAGATTTTAGTCATCTTGAATTGGATCATCTTTATCATCATCACTTGTATATATATCATACTGTATCATATTAAGACTTAATTCAAAGTATTATCATTGCTTCATTACATTATTACATTCAACTGTAACTAATCTAGAATTCATAACATTTAAACGTTCACCAATTCAAAGTCTGATTCCAAATCACAGTTTATTACGTCTGATTGCAGTCAGTCAGAAAGTTTGAAAAGATAACATCATGACTTATACTATAGGTGATCGGAAAATAACTCTAAGGGACAATTTATCACAAGCAGATATTCATTTATTATTGGCTCATTCCAAGCTTTTTAAATATTGTTTAAATAATGCTACGTTCAAATTTCTTATAAATTTAAAGAAATTAGTTCATCTTTATGCTGATATCATAACTATCTATTCCACTTTACTTAAGAAGATCCCTAATTATGATGATATAACATTGATGGCATATAAAGCCAAATTAAATGTGTTGAAATTGGAAGGTGATTACAATGAATTATTTGGAGAAGATACTCTGAATAACTTCAATGCCAATCCATTTAAACTTGCCAGTAATTGGGAAGAAAAGAATTATGAAAATAATATTAAGAAATTCACTATTTTAATGTTGGATAGTACTATTGAAACATTTGATATCATGTTTAAAACTTTAAGATGTATTGATGTATTCTTTTGTAATTTCAATAATTTAAAGAAATTATTAATTCCATATTTATTAAGTCAAACCACATCAATCTCCAAATCATTACAGAAAGCTCAATATTTATATCATTTAACCACCATAACAGATGATATGGGTACCATACTGGAAATAACAGCTCCAATTTTAAAACAATTACGAAAAATTGAAAAGATAACCAGTGGTATAGAACGAGAATCAAGCATATTAGAATACGCATTTTTAACTTTCAATCCATCATTGGAACAATATACTAGCATATTATTAGGTAAAGCCATCCTAAAACGAGAAGTACCCCCTAATCAATGTCAATTGATTAAACGAAGAGATGTTTGTTTACAAGCGGCGGAACATGTGGTTAGTATTCCATTAACAGAAGATACTACTAACAACTCAACCTATGAATATTTAAGAAAGTACTTATCGTATGGAGTCATGTTATTAGTAGCATTAATAGCATTGTTCTGTTATAGATTAATCCATGTAATCTTTGGACAATAGAGATATATATACTTAATATACATTTATTTAATAAACTTTATAGTTATACTATTCTGGTAGCCCAAATGAAACTTACTTTTAGCGTGGTACCTGCATATAAAACTGGATTTACCAATGCTCTCTCGAACTTCTATTTACAAACACAGAAAAAGTTTAAAAATAAGGAATTCATGAACTGTAACCCCTCCAACCATTCATAGCAAAAGATATCATCAGATTGTATAATTAAAGACTAATCTATTCTTGTTAGTGTATGTTCTGAGTGTGAATTCATTACCTAGAAAGAAAGTTTGGTTTGATTGTGTTGTTTTGAAAAGAAGAAACGCTCTAACTACAAAACGGAGCATCAGCAGCACGATAACAATAGCTAAAGTAAATCTAGAATCATTTCTATCCCATATCTAATTACTATCACAGACACCAATTAAAATTACTACTTTTCATCGAATTAGTACAATCCATATTCCATACGTTTTATTTCAATCTATTTCAATTCAGTTTCATCGTTTTATTATAACAATTTTTTATTTAACAATAATCAACACTTAATTTTCATATCTTTATATTTCTAAACATCAATTATTCATATCATCAATCACATCATGACTAATTCACAAATATATTCAGCGACTTATTCAAATGTCCCTGTATTTGAATTCGTGACTCCTGAAGGTCCTATAATGCGAAGGAAACTAGATTCTTGGATAAATGCAACTCATATATTAAAGATTGCTAAATTCCCTAAAGCAAAAAGAACAAGGATATTAGAAAAAGATGTTCAAACTGGTACTCATGAGAAAGTTCAAGGTGGATATGGTAAATATCAAGGAACTTATGTCCCCTTAAATTTAGGGTCAGACATTGCGAGGAATTTCGGAGTATTCGAAATATTAAGACCAATTTTTGAATTTAAATATATCGAAGGTAAATCTGAAACTCCACCTCCAGCACCTAAACATAATCATGCATCTGCTTTGAATATAGCCAAACGTCAGGGAATCATCGCATCTGCAAATAGTAAACAATCATCAGCAGCAACAGGAGCCGCATCATCATCTACAACTACAGCAGCATCCTTAAGGAAAAATAAAACTTCTCCAAACGCAGGAGTATTGCCAGGGGAACCAGCTAAGAAAAGAGGAAGACCAAAGAGAGTTGCCTTAAATGCAAAACCAAATTTAAAACATTCAGATACTACCCCTATAGAACCAGGTCCAAATATTGGTACTTTCAATACAAATTCAAAAGTTTCGTTTACAGTCACAGCTCCAATTTCTTTATCAAGACAAGATACCGAACAAGATGCCTTACAAATAATGTCAAGCAATATGAATCTTAAACATGAAGATTTAGAATTGGTTGAAAGTGACGATGATGAAGATGATGAAGACGATGTAGAAGATGATGTTGAACGTCATCGTCGTCGTCACCATCATCCTAATCTAGGTAGAAATGGAAGTAATCTTTTGAATGGAGGAAATGATAATGATCCGTTACGTTTTGATTCGCAAGTGGGTGATGATTTACTTGGAAGTAAAGAATTATTTGGTACTTCAAGAGATTCATTTGAAAGAGTACATCATAATTATAATAATAATAATAACAATAATAATCATCCACATCCTCATAATGGTAATACACAAAACAACAACAACAACAACAACAATAATAATGGACATCATGATCCTTATAGTTTGCTGCAATATCATACCCATACACCAGGAATATCAGCCAGTCAACCAATTGCTAATGGAGATCAAATCTATGGTGAATATTTTTCCAACTTATTAGGTTATCTTACTGATGATACAAAAATACGATCAACTGAAATACCACCAAATATATTAAATCCACCTGAACCATTCAATAAGATCAATATTAATCAACCGATCGACAATGAAGGTAATACGTTATTCCATTGGGCTTGTTCATTAGCTAATATTCAAATGATACAGTTTTTGAAAGATACGTTTGAGATCAGTTCTGAAATTAGGAATAATAAGGGTGAAACTCCATTAATGTTTTTAGTTAAATTTGTTAATTCATACCAATTAAAGAATTTCCCTTCGATTTTACAAATCTTATTGGAATCGATATTATTAGTGGATAATTCAAATAAAACCGTCTTACATCATATAACCTCGATTGAAAATGATAAGAAACATAAAGAAAGATTCACCAGATATTACATGGAGACGTTAATCGATAAGATAATCGAAGCATCTGATGATGGAGAAAGTGGAGAAGAAACTAATAATAATAGTAATAATAGTACCAATGATGAGTTACCGATCAATAAAAAGGATGTGATATCGAAATTTATCAATCATCAAGATTCAGATGGAAATACTGCCTTTCATATTGCCGCTTATAATTTGAATAAGAAATGTATTAAAGTGTTTATAAGTTATCATAAGTATATTCATTTTGGATTGAGGAATTTAGTATCATATACGGTTGAAGATTATTTAGGAGCTCATAATTATGTCTTAAAATTAGATCTGGAAGATAATAATGGTGAACCTGATGATGGACTTAATTCATTAAGTCAAATGGATAGTGAAAGTGTGATTGGCGGTACGATTAGTTCCCAAAGTTTTGAAAGTCAATTATATTATTCTAAACTTGCTATTAATTTACAAAATTCAACATCAAATTTGATTACTGAAAAATTAACCGAATTAGCTTATACTATTGATAAAGAATTAAGTGAAACTGATCAAAATATTTTAAGTTTCTTTAAAATTTTGAGAGTTCTTAATGAAGAAAAAATCTTGAGTCAAAAGGCTATATTATCGATATTTAAATTAGATTATTTGGTTGATGATAGTAGAGTCAAGGAAGAGGGAGATGATGATGATGATGAAGAAGATGACGACGATGAAGACGATAATAAAAAGAGACATCATAAACATAATAGACAGAATGATAATAATAAAAAGATTGACAATCAACACGAATATTACATTGATCATAAGAAAGATCAAATTATTCAAGATGAAATTCAACGATTAGTTAATGATTTAAGTTACTCATATTTACAAAAGAAAGAAGGATTTGACCAATTATTATCTCGGTTCAAGACGGTGAAGGAAAGACAAATATTCTCGGCCATTATTGAAGAAATTAAAGATGAAGAGAAAGAAAATGAGCAACATCAAGGAGAAGAAGAACAAGATTTATTACAAGCTGGGATTCAATTATCGGAAGAAATCATTAAGAAAAAACAATTAATTGATAAGATTGCTAAACTTGAATCCGAATTCTCCTTGAATCAAATTGATAAAGAAAACTTATCATCGACATCAACATCCGATATTAGTAATGGTATTAATGATTCGATTGTTAAGAAATATGCCTTGTTAATTTCGAAATGTTCGGGTATGAATCAAAATGATGTTGAGAAAAACATTGATGAAATTGAGAAATCATTATTGAAGTCGAAATGATTATTAAGTAAGACATTTACCGAATGACAAACACCATATATAAAGACGTATACGCTTTTAATGTAAGAATTTAGAAAGTAAAGTATAGAATGTTGTAGAAATGGAGTGTACCAGGTGTTTTTAGTAGATGGTACCCGAGCGGTTAATCTTGTTACACTATAACAGAGGAGTGGCAACAGTGGGGTAGACCATGATATATATATAATTGGTAGCACCACCAATGATAGCCTTACATACACTTCCAAATAAGGCAAATCTAAGACTAGCCACAATAATGATGATAGATCTACAATGTAATTATATTGGATGATGAGTTACTAACCATAGATAACCGATACCTTTATATACAGAACAGACACGAAGTAACTAAATCATTTTATAATGTACCTTACCCGAACTAAACTCATCAGATAATCCCTTCCAGCTTCAATAACCGACATATAATCAATCGATATAATTGTTGTTATCAGCCTCTTCTTCCCTATAATTCAATACAAAATTTTTTTTCAGACGTGTTCGTGTCTACCGTTGTTAACCGAGAGTGATGGTCTCATAGTTAAAAAATGTTGCAAATATTTTTTATCTCGGAGTGGAACAGAACATTTTTGATTTTGATTTAGCGTCAATAACCGAGATAAAAATTTTCTTAAGACCACAACTGGTTAATTTGGCAGCATCTGAAGCCATAGAGCCATAACAACACATATAGGGATTTATATGGGTAAGTGCCGTAGATTTCATATTAATAAGTAAGGGTTTCCCTGATTCAGTAAAATTTGTAGATGTAGATTTAACTTAATTTGTTATTATTGTTATTATACCTCTTTCTTTCCATCTTATAGATATAAACAACAAACAAGGGAGAAAGACAAAATGAGTTCAGACGACAGTTCAAGTATTGAAAAGCTTGAGATGTATACAACTCAACAACACTCTACTCATGATTCATCATCAACCACTTCATCTGATGAAAACCCTATTGCATTTACTAGATCTCATTATGAACAACAACTTCAACAAGAAACCATAAGGAGAGAATCTCATTCTTCAAATCATAGAAGAAACTCTACATCATCTATTCATAAATCACTTGAAATCATACGAAAAAGTTTGGTAGGGGAAATCAATCAATCAAATTCAGATAATATTAATCAAGAATATGCCGTTAAAGATATCTATGGAGATTTAGATAGTGAAGAAATTGAATTACAAAGACAAGCCACAAGAACAACAATTTTAAATGAATTAATTGAAAGAACCCAACATCAAGATGATACTGATTCTGAATCAATAATAACTGAAAAACTTGATCATCAACCAACTTTAATTGAATCATCTATTCCAATTGAAAATGATGGGGAAGAATTTAATAAAATTGATCCTGAATTAATCACTTGGAATGGTACTGATGATCCAGAAGATCCAAGAAATTGGCCAATCACTTTAAAAGCAGGTTTAATTGGATTTGTGGCCCTTTATGCTTTAGTAGCTCCTATGTCATCATCAATCTTATCACCGGCCATGAGTGAAATCGAAGAAGAATTCCATATCACTAATGAAATTATCGCTGCCATGGTAGTTTCTATTCAAATTTTAGCTTGGGCCATTGGACCTTTAGTCATTGCTCCATTAAGTGAACATGATAACATTGGTAGAAAATTAGTTCTTGACGTTAGTTGTTGGATGTCATTATTCTTTAATATTGGATGTGCCTTCTCCAAAAACACCGCTCAAATGATGATTTTTAGATTCATTGGAGGTTTATTCGGTTGTGTCCCAATGAATGTTTGTGCTGGTGTTATTTCAGATTTATTCGATGCTAAATCAAGAATCTGGGCTTTAGCAGGTTATTCATTAGTTCCATTATTAGGACCAGTCATTGCTCCTGTTATTGCTGGATTCATTGTGGAAAACTTACAATGGAGATGGGTATTCTATGTTTTATGTATTTTCAATGGTTCAGTTGCTATCATCACCACTATTTTCTTTAAAGAAACTTATAGTCCAACCCTTTTAAAGAGAAAAGCTAATAAATTAAGAAAACAAACTGGTAATCAAGATTTACATACTATTTATGAAATCGCAGATGGTGAAACTACCTTAGGTAAAATGTATATTTGTATGGTTAGACCTATCAAATTATTATTCACTCATCCTATGATTGTTGGTTTAGGTTCATTCATGGCTTTTACTTATGGATTCATGTATCTTATGATTGTTACTTTCCCAACCATTTATGGAAAACAATATGGTTTTGATAAAGGTATTACTGGATTAATGTATATTCCAATGGGTATTGGATTTACATTAGGAGTTATCATTTGGACTTTCTTAATTAATAAATCATATAATGATTTAACTAAGAAAAATAATGGGATTCCAAAACCAGAATATAGATTACCAATGTTATTCCCAACTTCATTAATTATCCCAATTGGATTAATTTGGTTTGGATGGTCAGTTCAAAAGGAATTACATTGGATTATGCCAAGTATCGGATCTGCCATTTTTGCATTTGGGTTAGTATGTGTATTCCAAGCCTTACAAAGTTATTTAATTGATATGAATACCAAATATGCTGCCTCATCAGTAGCCGCTGCTGCTTTATTTAGATCATTATTTGGATTTACTTTCCCATTGTTTGCTAATAAAATGTATGCCAAATTGAATTATGGTTGGGCTAATACTATGTGTGGTATCATTGGATTGATCTTAGGTGTTCCATTCCCTATTATTTGTTATATCTATGGAGAAAGAATTAGAAAATGGGCTGATGGTAATATTGAAAATGATCAAAAGAAGAGAGATCAAAGAAATCTTGAAAGATTACAAAGAAAACAAAAGGAAAGATCATTAGTTTAGATTGTTTCCTTTAATTTGCATTATTTATTTACTTCTTGTGTATGTTTTTTACGGTTTATTTTATTATTTGCATATATTTTTATTTAGAGTTATAGAAAAGTATTAATTATTTTATTATCATTAAATTTAAATTTGTATTGGTAGCACTTTTTTTGTGGCATCCAAAAAAAAGTTGTCTGGGGGAAAATGAATGAACAATCCATCTGAAGTTATATACAAACATACAACAAGTTCATCAGTTAGTCATAACAAAGCATAGCAACATATATAACACTACAGTATGAGTCTACGCAATGATGCTACACCTCCACCTTCACCCCAGAACTCCAAGCTCTTGATTGAACCATTCAAGATAGATCAACTTCAACCATTTCCGTTACCTAAGTCATTAGAAGGATTACCCAATGCTAATTTTGAACAATTTATTAATAATGAAGAGTTGATTAAAGGATATATCAAGGATCTAGAAACATACAAGACTCATCAGGATACGATTGTGGATCGATTGAGTCAATTACAAGGGGTTATCAAACAAGAGATCTTGGATCAATTATTAACTCAATATATTAATCAAATTCAAATTATCAAGAATCAATTAAAATCAATTCATCAAATATATCAAGATTTTTTGAATTTAGAAACATATCAATATCAATTATTATCATCTAATTTCAATCAGGATTATTTGATTAAGAATAAATTCACAAAATTGATTGAAAGTAATAAAGAAGATTCAATGCAAATTATAAAGAAATTTGGTAGTAAGAATACAGGTGATGATAGTAATATTGATGAAGGGGAGTTTAATGAACTTATTGGGAAGTTTAAACAAAGTCGACAATTATATCATTTAAGAAAGGAGAAATTAAATCGGTTTAATGAAGAAAGAGTTAGTGGCTTTATATGAGCATATCATTCATTTCAAATACAATTGGCTAGGAAGTTAATGATTAACGATTGATATATTATATATATCTAATTTTATAGGTGACAGTAGTCGGATACGGAAGAGGGAATAAAATGAGGTGAAGTTTAAAGCCAAATCGATTCTTAAAGCCCTTGGACAATCTTGGACCCATTCATCCGATCAAGATTAGTTTTGAACTATTTTTTATCTATTATGTATAGTATAATATAACATGTAACGGCGGGTCTGTTTATATTTCTTCTATAAACTGTTGTAAACAATACCTCAAGATGAATGGGATTAACTTAAATATGGTAGCATGATTCATAGTCATTTACAAAAGGTCGTTCCCACTTTATACTATATATTTACCGATAGTAAAGGTGTATTTTGATAAATCCCTCATATATGAACAAAACCTTTCATATTAAGATAATTTCGGTGTATCAAACTCCGGCACACCCTTTTAAACTGGATTATATTAGCGCGGCCAAATTATAAATTTTTTCTCTCTCTCTCTGTTCAAAGGAGAGAAGGAATGATGAAGGAAGACACAACTTAAATTGGCTGCCATTTCAAAATAGAATCAACTTTCAATTGAATTCATCTTCAATCATCCAATTAACAAGATGATGCTGCTGCAGATGAAGATGATGAGAATGGTGTCTGCTAGAAGCAGTGGTATGGCTGTTAGAAACAGCATGCCATTAGCTGCTTCTTCTAGATCTTCCATCGTGTCAATGAATAGATTCTTATCTAGTTCAAAACCTTTAATGAATGCAACTGTTCCAAAACCAAAACCATCAAAGGGTATTTTTCGTACTATTTGGGGTTATACTAAATTAATTGTCTTTTTATCAGTAGCTGGTTCTTTAGGGGTTATTTCTTATAAAGTTTATAAGGAATCTCGTCCTGCTGATCAATTACCTCAAGTTTCTGCTTTTGAAACTGGTCAAAAGAAGAAAACTTTAGTTATCTTAGGTTCAGGTTGGGGTTCAATTTCTTTATTAAAGAATCTTGATACTACCTTATATAATGTTGTTGTTGTATCTCCAAGAAATTATTTCCTTTTCACTCCTTTATTACCATCTTGTCCAACTGGTACTGTTGAATTAAGATCTATTGTTGAACCAGTTAGATCAATCACTAGAAGATTACCTGCTGAAGTCATCTATTTAGAAGCTGAAGCTACTACCATTGATCCAGTTAAGAATGTCGTTACTATTAAACAATCAACCACTGTTCATTCTGGTCATTCCGGTAAAGATACTTCCTCATCTAAATCTACCGTGGCTGAATATACTGGGGTTGATGAAATTACTACTCAATTACATTATGATTATTTAGTAGTTGGTGTTGGTGCTCAACCTTCAACTTTTGGTATTCCAGGTGTGGCTGAACATTCCACTTTCCTTAAAGAAGTTAATGATTCTGTTACTATTAGAAGAAGATTAATGGATGTTATTGAAGCTGCTAATATTTTACCAAAGGATGATCCAGAAAGAAAAAGATTATTATCTATAGTTGTTTGTGGTGGTGGTCCAACTGGGGTTGAAGTTGCTGGTGAATTACAAGATTATATTGATCAAGATTTACATAAATGGATGCCTGAAGTTGCTGGGGAATTAAGTGTTACTTTAGTTGAAGCTTTACCAAATGTTTTAAATATGTTCAATACTAAATTAGTAGAATATACTAAACAAGTATTTGCTGATACTAATATTCGTTTAAGAACTAATACTATGGTTAAACAAGTTAATGATAAAGTTGTGATTGCAAGTCATAAAAAAGATGATGGATCTAATGAAAATGTTGAAATTCCTTATGGTGTCTTAATTTGGGCCACTGGTAATGCTCCAAGAGATATTACTCGTGATTTAATTAGTAAAGTTGATGAACAAAAAAATGCTAGAAGAGGATTATTAGTTGATGATCGTTTATTATTAGATGGTTCAAAAAATATTTTTGCTTTAGGTGATTGTACATTTACCAAATATGCTCCAACTGCTCAAGTTGCATTCCAAGAAGGGATTTTCTTAGCTGAACATTTTTCCAAGTTATCTGAAATTGAAAGTGTTAAACATACTCTTTCAAATCCATCATCAGAAGATAATGTTGATAGATTAACTAAAAAATTAGCTAAATTAGAAGAAAAATTACCTATTTTCCATTATAATCATCAAGGTTCTTTAGCTTATATTGGTTCTGAAAGAGCTGTTGCAGATTTAGTGTGGGGAGATTGGTCAAATGTTACTTCAGGAGGTAGATTTACTTACTTATTCTGGAGATCAGCATATATCTACATGTGTCTTTCTGTAAGAAATCAAATCTTAGTTTGTTTCGATTGGGTCAAAGTTTCTTTATTCGGAAGAGATTGTTCAAAAGAATAGACGATTTATTCCAAATGTTTTATAGTATGATGTGTGATATTAAATGATGAAACAATGAATAAAAATCATAGCTTTGTTAAATGCGCATCATACTCTGTTTCCTTTACATAATATTGTTCTCTTGATATTTATTCATATATAAATTCCTTACACAAATATAATACAATACAATATAATGAACTAAACCATTTTTCTTTTTAAGTTTAGACATTATTTTTCATTTCGTTTGATTTATATATATATATATATATATATATATATTTATTACAAACCAATGAACGAATATCGCCTCACTTTCTAGGGTTTGACGAATAAATTAATTCCCTAATGTAGCTATTTCTAATAGTATAAAATATTTTGGTTATAATTGTCTTCTGACATTAACCAACTCTGAATTACGCCGTTAATTACATAAATACAGACAGCATACATACATGCATACATATCTACATATAAGCTTTGTTTAATCCCCCTTATTATAAATCTTTGTTGATTGGTTTGGCATAATTCTTCGAACTTCCCAATTTGGAAACTCTCCTCACCTTTTCAGTTCTTTAACGAATTAGGAAATTTTGCTGTAAAACCTAAACTGAAATAGACGCAATTTTTTTTTATTTTTTTATGACTAGTCATTTTAATTCGACAATTAGTTTGTCAATTGTGACTAAATATAATAGGCTTCTGATTTTTAATTGGTGCTAACCTTACAATAGGTTAGGTTGAAAATAGGTTTACAAATAAGGAAATTATGTGGTTATTGTGGAGGTTGTTTGGTGCAATTTTGCATTGTCGTTTAACATCCAGACCCTTCAATGAATGGATACCCCAATAATCATCAATGGACAAGATGTGTCGGAATTTGAAACAAAGATTATATATAAAGAAGACTATAGATTGATTTTGAAATCTGATTTTGTTCTTTACATCATTATAGCCTTGTTTAATCTACAGTAGGATAATGAAGTTGTATTATTTATCATTATTGTGTTTATTTCTACTGTTGAATATCAATTTCACAATCGCAGCTCCCACCGCGCCAGTTTTAACTCCTGCTGAAGATCCTTTTTATGCTGCACCAGATAATATAGATGATTATCAATTAGGAGATATTATCAGATCAAGAGTTTCACCACATTCATTAAGAAGTATCTATCTTAAAATCAACGTTAAGAATGCTTGGCAATTATTAGTTAGGTCGGAAGATTCGTTTGGAAATGCCACTGCTATAGTATCAACGATCATAGAACCTTATAATTCAAATTCATCTCGATTACTTTCTTATCAAGTGGCTGAAGATTCTGGAAGTCCAAATTGTGGGATGTCTTATGCATTCCAATATGGGGCTTCTATGTCGACAGTTATTACACAATTAGAAATGTATTTTATACAGAGTGCTTTACAAAGTGGTTGGTTTGTTAATGTACCTGATTATGAAGGTCCTAAGGGTGCCTTCACTGCAGGAAGACAAGCTGGTCATGCCGTATTAGACTCCATAAGAGCAGCTTTAAATTCTGGTAATTTCACAGGGGTACAAGAAGATGCTCAAGTTACTGCTTGGGGTTATTCTGGTGGTTCATTAGCTAGTGGATGGGCAGCTGCTCTTCAACCTGATTATGCTCCAGAACTTACTGATTCAATTATTGGTGTCGCAGTAGGTGGATTTGTTACCAATATTACTGAAACTGTTATAGCTCAAGATGGAAAACTTCTTGCTGGTTTAATTCCTTCTGGTATTAATGGTCTAATGCACGAATATCCTGAATTAAATACATATGTTAGAAGTGAAATCAATCCAGATAAACTTCAAGACTTTTTACTAGGCGGGACATATTGTATGTTACCATCCTTACTTCATTTTACCGAACATCATTTTTTCAGTGGTGATAATGAATACTTCGAAAACGGTTATGGAGTCTTTGATGATCCAATTGTTGTCAATATATTGAACGAAAATACATTAGCCCTTCATAATAATACAGAAATTCCAACTGTTCCTTTATTTATCTATCAAGGAGAACTTGATGATGTGGTTCCAATCGATAATACCTATAGAACTTACAATAATTGGTGTGCATGGGGTGCTAATTCTATTGAATTTTCACCCGATTTGGTCAATGGACACATTTCTGAATTTGCTTTAGGAGCACCTGCTGCTTTGGCATGGTTAACTGATCGTTATGAAGGAAAACCTACTGTTAAAGGTTGTCAAAAAACGGAAAGAATTAATAACTTATTCTATCCCGGCGTTACAGATGCCATGCGTGAATTGTACGAAAGTGCTTATCAAAGTGTCCGTGATCTTCCAATTGGACCAAAAAATAGCACTGTTGCTGATATAGACAATTTAAAAAGAAGATCACTTAAGCGTGAATATGATATTTAGATACCTCTGCAATTTTAAACTATAAATAATAGGACAAAAATAAAAGTTTTTTACAGTTAGAATGATTTGCGATTTCTAAAGATGTTTTTATGTTAGAACATGAAGGATATTAGAAAATGGGCCCACTTGTCAATTTCAGATCATCCTCGTGTTTGGTGTAAGTATTGACCCTGATCACCTCTTTCGTTTGTCTAACAGCATTACGATCCGATGAGTATTTAAGGCGTTAAAGCCTTGAGGCTAGAGAGCTTTTAGACACAACCAAGAAAAGAAAAGTGTGTCTCTTTAATTTTAAACATTCTCTTTCCTCTTCTTATAGACCATCTCTTAACTGCTGTACCTTGCATATGTATCAGTTCATCTGCTTCAAATATCTTCATAAAACAGATAAAAGATTGTTAGTAATAAGCAAGATAGGGTCCAACACCCTGAACAAAGAAATCTATCATGTGAAAGTAAATTTTAGTTTATAACAGACTTTGTAACTATTTCAGTTATATAATCATATCATATATTCTTCCATATATAGTAGAACAATTGAAAATCTCTTTTAAAGTTGATGAGTTTTCATTCGTGTAACAATAGTCGGTTATATTCCGTATAATAATCAGCCATAAAATGCTTTGTGTAGAATTTCCTAACGTTAAATGATTGGCTAGCCGGATAATAGTTTAATAAAATCGAGGACAAAACGGTGGCATTATGAATATCGAGGAGTAATATGACATTCAGAAACTATTCTTTAATTCATTTTGCACCTCATATTTCTGGGTTTGTTCACTTTTTGTTTCCGCCTTTTTTTAGTTTGGCTGCTAAAGTTTGAGTGATAATTTAGCTTTTCAACCCTTTTAACGCCTCTTCATTCCACTTTAAGACAGAATATGTCAAATCTGTCAATATGCTACTTTATTTATTTACATTTATTCTCTTTTGCCCATTGATTGGCCCTTTGATAAACTCATAAATTAGCACATGTTCTTGTTGTTTGAGGTGAGTTTCATATCAGAGAAAAGTACTTAAATGGTTGTGAAACCCCTTGACTTACTTGATTTCTGTAATTTCTCTTTTGCAGAAGTATACAAACCATTAAAAATGCAAGCCGTTTTAAAATCTTTGTTCGCTTTAGTATTGTTATTCAGCAGTGTTGCAATTGCAGCTCCTTCTGGCTTACTTACTCCAAGTAATGATCCATTCTATACTCCACCACGTGGATATGAAAATGCTGCTGTTGGTGCTATCTTAAACTCCAGAGCTACTCCTCAATCCGTTAAGAGTGTTTATGCTTCTGTTAATGCTAAGAATTCATGGCAATTATTAGTTAGATCTGAAGATTCTTTTGGAAATCCTAATGCTGTTGTTACTACTGTGATTGAACCTCAAAATGCTGATCCATCTAAACTTCTTTCTTATCATTTCTTTCAAAACTCTGGAGATTTCGATTGTTCAACTTCTTACGGTCTTCAAGTTAACTCAGCTTTAATGCCTGTTCTTCAAACTCAATATGAAATGTTTTTCCTCGAAGCTGCTTTACAACAAGGTTGGTATGTTGTTGCTCCAGATTACGAAGGTCCTAAAGCTGCCTTCACAGCTGGTAGACAAGCAGGTAAAGCTGTATTGAACTCCATTAGAGCTTCATTACAATCTAACAGTGTTACCGGTATCAATGCCAATGCTAAGATTGCTCTTTGGGGTTACTCTGGTGGTTCAATTGCAAGTGGTTGGGCTGCAGCTCTTCAACCATCTTACGCTCCTGAACTTAGTACTAACTTAATTGGTGCCGCTATCGGTGGATTTGTTACTAATATTACTGCTACTGCTGTCGCTGTAGACGGAAGTCCATTCACGGGTTTAATTCCATTAGCTCTTAATGGTTTAAGTAATGAGTACTCCGATATTCTGTCAATTGTCCAATCTCAAATGTCTTCTTCTAACTATCAATCATTCTCACAAGCAAATCAATTTGGTATGATTCCAGGTGCTCTTAACTATATTGGTAAAACTTTCTTCTCAGGTAACAAATTTTTCAATGATGGTCTTGCCTTCTTCCAAAACCCAACTATTTCTAGTATTTTCCAAGAAAATACTTTAGCTATTAGTTCAAGTACCGAAGTTCCTCAAATTCCATTATTCATTTATCATGGTGTTAATGATGCCGTTGCTCCACTTGCTAGTGCTCAAAGAGCTTATAACAATTGGTGTTCTTGGGGTTCTCCATCTATCGAACTTGCTCTTGATAGTACCAATGGTCATGTTACTGAAATCTTTAACGGAGCTCCGGCTGCTATTTCATGGCTTAACGCTAGATTCCAGGGTGAAGCTGCTGTTAAAGGATGTACTTCTACTACTAGAGTAACCAACCTTGAATATCCTGGAGCTACCACCTCTATGATCTTTTACTTCCAATCTGCCTTTGCTAGTTTAATCGACTTACCACTTGGACAATTACTCCAATTCTTACCTTAAAAGTGATTGTGGAATTAGCTCTTATCTCTAAATTGGGTGTTTAGTTTAATAAAAAATATTATTTTTTCCCAATTTAAAATTCTTTTACAGCCAAAAATTTGTAAAATCCGTTTGAGTTCAACACCGTGCTACAAGAAAACAAGGATATATACAAATTTCAAAGGATACGAGAGTCATTCAAGGATTAAACGGAAATATGCAGAGAATGTTGCCCAATTCCTCTGGTTTAGGACTTCAATTAGACTGAAAATGTTAAATCAAGCAGGACTACTATAATCTCACCGCGCACCTGCATTATTGATGTGCTTGACTGATGCTTAAGACAACTGCTATAGGTTATCAACATGCTGTAAGAGATGGTGTGAACTTACTATTCATCTCTTAGAAAATAATGAAATGCAGCTTATACCTCTGAATAGGGGCATACAGAGTTAATATGCCAGGAGAACTTAATAATTCTGCTGTTTCAACGGTGCTGTTTCAGATCTTGACAGATCAGAGTGAGATCTGCGGTGAATTTTGAATTTTGAAATTGAAAATTTTATAAGTATTTCCAGGCTTCTCTGGCTTCTAAAGCTTCTCTAATTACAATGCTAGACAATAATAATGTAGAGAAGCTATTCGAAGAACAACGTTTTATAAGTTTAGTCATTTCATTATATTCAAACAATAAAGGGGAATAAGGGATAATGACACCACTTGTCAATTTTTAGACTATACTCCTTTTATTGTTCGATTTAGTATACTCCGCTCTTCGGTGTTTTCTCCCCGAGCAATTTACCATGTGAAATAATTTGACAAAAATTTCATTTATAATTAGTTTTGTCACAATTTCATTTATAGTGGAGTCAATTGAAAATCTTTGAAAGGAGAACAATCGAGCCTTTATGCAAAGAAAATAATTGTTCCCTTCGTAAACAAATGGTAGTTTTTCTCACAAATTGTCTTCCATAACGCTTTGTGTAGAATTGAATACCGTAAAGTGATTGGTTCATAGGTTGGTAAATTAAGAAAAATATAGATCATTAATGTAACAGGTCGCCTATCACTTTGAATATGGTATATAAAGCTTAATGAGGAGTGATGGGACGTTCCATGTTTCACTTGACTCATTTTGTACTTCAATTTACTCTCTTCTTGTTTCCTTTTTTGTGTTTGGCTGCTAACTCTCGGAAAAAAATAAGCTTTTTTAGTCAATTCGACGCCTTTTGACTCCACTTTAAGAAGTTAAATTTAAGTACTATTTGCGTTTTTAGGTATATGTCACTTCGGTATTTCAATTCCCTCACTCTCCATTAACCCACTTGGGCCTCTGCGCTTCTAGGAACGATGTCGAATGTGGGAAAACTACTTAAATGGTTGTAAAACCTCCCCAGTTCTTAAAGTTATAATTACTTTCAATACAAGATCTATCAAATCTCCAAACCATTAAAAACATGAAAAACGTATTCAGATCCTTGATTACATTAGTATTATTACTCAGTAGCATTGCAATTGCTGCTCCAACCACTTTACTTGCCCCAAGTAATGATCCATTTTATTCTCCACCTGAAGGATATGAAAGTGCTGCTGTTGGTACTATCTTAAAATCAAGAGTTACTCCTCAACCAGTCAGAAGTGTTTATGTTACTGTTAACGTTAAAAATGCCTGGCAATTATTAGTTAGATCTGAAGATTCATTTGGAAATGCCACTGCTATTGTTACAACTATCATTGAACCACATAATGCTGATCCATCTAAACTTCTTTCCTATCAATTCTTTGAAGATGCTGCTAACTTAAGTTGTTCAATTTCTTATGCTCTTCAATTCAATGCTCCAGTATTACCAGTTATTCAAACCGAGTTTGAAATGTACTTCCTTGAAGCTGCATTAGAACAAGGTTGGTATGTCGTTGCTCCAGATTATGAAGGTCCAAAATCAGCTTTCACTGCTGGTAGACAAGCAGGTCATGCTGTTTTAGATTCAATTAGAGCCACTTTACAATCAAACAGTATTTCTGGTGTCAACTCCGATGCCAAGGTCGCACTTTGGGGTTATTCCGGTGGATCTCTAGCTAGTGGATGGGCTGCAGCTCTTCAACCAGCTTATGCTCCTGAACTTAGTACCAACTTGATTGGTGCTGCAGTTGGTGGATTTGTCACCAATATTACTGCTACTGCTGTTGCTGTTGATGGTGGTCCATTCACAGGTTTAGTTCCTTTAGCCGTTAATGGTTTAATGAATGAATATCCAGAAGTTGCTCCAATTGTCCAAGCTCAAATGTCTGCTTCTAACTATCAATCATTTTTACAAGGAAGTCAACTTTGTATGATTCCTGGTGCTCTTAGCTTTATCGGCAAAACCTTCTTTACTGGAGCTAACAAATATTTTAATGATGGTCTTGCCTTCTTCCAAAATCCAACTGTTGCCAGCATTGTTGAACAAAACACATTAGCTGTCAATCCAGATGCAGAAGTTCCTCAAATTCCATTATTCATTTATCAAGGTGTCATTGATGCTGTTGTACCAGCTGTTGGTGCCGAAAGAGCTTACAAAAATTGGTGTGCTTGGGGATCTCCATCCATTGAACTTGCTCTTGATAGTACCAATGGTCATGTTACTGAAACTTTCATTGGTGCTCCGGCTGCTCTTACCTGGCTTATTGATAGATTTGAAGGTAAAGCTCCAGTTCAAGGATGTACTTCTACCACCAGAGTTAGTAATCTTGAATATCCTGGAACTCCAGCTTCTCTTGTTATTTACTTCCAAACTGCTTTAGCCAGTATTATTCAATTGCCAATTGGACCTTTAATTCAATTCTTACCCACTTTGTGATCTATATGTTTTATATTTAGAATAGAAAAGCGATAGTGTTTTTAGTTTTATAAAAGTTGATTTTTTTCCCGTGTTTAATCTTTTTTTTACAGCCAAAACATTTCGTAGAATCAAATTCAAGCTTATTCATCTAAACATCTATCAATCAATCAAAATATGGCTGATTTAAGTTCTTATAATATCAAGAAGTACTCTGTACTCAAGGGGGATGGTAATTGGTTTCATTATCCACAAAGAACTGGTGTTATTATTACTTTCTTACCTATTAAAGGGGCCAATATCCTTTCAATTAGTATAACTCACAAAGCAACAGAATTAGTAAGTAGTTCACTTTACAATTGAGCCTAAAACATTATCTAACATAAAATCTATAGGGGAGATATTTACTTAACTTGAAAGAGATTGATTCAATCTCAATCATGGCCAAATCCAATGCCATTGCGTTTAAACAGAGTGATACAGTTACTCAGAGAACGAATCGATTTCAAATTAGCTTTGAAAGTAAGAACGAATATAATGAATGTATTCAAACAATTAGACACAAATATCAAATGCCCATCAATGTTCAAGATGAGGTGGTAAAAGCATTCCCTAGTAACAGTCAATCTACATATACTGATACAGTTAAGATAAATCCTACACTTTCTTCAATGCAATTTTCTCAGCAATATGTTCCACAATATACTACCCAACAGTTACAACCTATTGAATCAGTATATTCATTCCCAACCATATATCATACTAGTTCACAAATGCAATATCCCGTGCACTCAACTCAAGCGAGGTACGTAGATCATCAACTGCCTTTGAGGAGTAATTTTTATTTTCAACCACAAAACAAGGATATAGTGGTTCATAACCTGCAACCGATTGCCAATACGACCGATGTAACCATGACTGAAAACACGGCTATCGAAGCAGAAGAGGTTAAATTTGATTATTTGAAAATCAATAATTTACCTAATTACAAATTAAAGAAATTAATTGAAACCGAGTTGAAGAAACCTGAGTTTATAAAATTAGTAAAGAAATTAGATCATATCATTGAAAATTCATAAATAATAAAAACTACTTTGCTTTTAATAATATATATATATTTCTATACTTATCTATAAATTAATATCATTATCTGGGTCCATAAACTTTAACCCATTTCTTAACTGTTAACCCATCCTCTAATTGAAACTCTTCCGATTCTAAACTATAGTTAAATAACTTTGGTAATAAACTGAATTTAACCACCCAAAATAATATACAGAATATAACACAGATCAACCCAACAAGAGCATAAGATGGCCAATGTTCAAGACCACGAGGATTAGGACTCACTGTGGTTGCTAGTGGTGAGATTACTAAATAAAGTGATGTGATCAATACCAAAGAAGTACCGATCAAGCTTGCTCTTATCGGAGCTCTTATTTCTGGATATCTTTTTCTGATTACAAAGACACCAATGGATACAAATGCTAATGCGATTTGATTTGGATACCCTTCTAATGAGACGATATAATTATAAATATCTCCCTTAGGAAAGATTATAATGACTAATGTACTTAACAGAACACTTAATAATAAAGTTGGCATTGGAGCACCAAAGGGCCAATTTGATGACATGAATTTTGAAAATGGTAAATAACCTTCTCTAAATATTTCTTGACTGACTCTGGAAATAGTATAGATCACCACAAAGACATTTCCAGCTGCACATAAAGCAACCGATAAGGTTAAGAATTGTCTTCCGATCGTATAACCAAATACTCTTTCAAATAACATGGATCCTACCAATGTTCCACCATTGATTATATCGTCACCTGGAATGACTATTAAATATGCAAGATTGATAAGAGCATATGTGACAGCCATGATACCTAATGAAGCAGGCCCAGCTATTTTCAAAGTTCTGACAGGATCTTTAATTTCATTTGTAACGTTATGAACTGTATTCCAACCCCCAAATGAAAAAGTTGCCTTTATAATAGCACCAGCAAAATTTGATGCTGAAACCTTTTTATTAATCTTAAAGAAATCGTCCCAATGTAAGTTTGATTCTATTTTAGTAAGTGAGGTTGGGAAACAAGTTACATAAATACCGGTTCCAAGCATGATTGCGATTAATCCAAGTTTTAAAGCTCCTAATAAGTTTTGAACTCTAACCCCATGATGTACACTAACCCCATGGATCAAAGCAGCACCATATAAGAATACCAAGCCGACAATTCTAATTCTAACGGGAGTTACTTCAAATCCAGTTGCATGTAAGGAATATTCTCCAAAGATTAATATATTTGAAAGGGTGAAACCAAATATGATTGAATATACCAGATATGCAACCGTTGCTAATAATTTCGGTCTTTCATAGATAAATTCCAAAAATACTTTAGTTCCACCACTTCTAGGTACAATGGAACCCAATTCAAGATATATATACAACCCACTAAAGGCAGATATAGCAGCTATACCCCAAGCTGAAAAGAATAGTACGATTGATCCTCCACAATCTTCATAAATCCCACTTGCTATACTAAAAATCCCACTTCCTAGTATTCTTGATATAAACAATATAATAGTTGAAAACAATCCAAGATGTCTACCTTGAGGAATATCTTCTAAATCTTGTAAATATGATATTCTACCATTGATCTGAGTTACAGGGCTTGAATATGGATCATCTTGGTTATCAATCAAAAGAGTTGTATTGGCACTATCTTGATCTGAATTTGAATTGCTTGACACTGAAACATTCGCTATCTTTTTGTATTCAATTTTATCCATTTCAATATCTGGAGGTGACAGTCGATTAAAGAATGATAGCCACTTTGGAAATCGTCTATTATCCATCTATTTATAATGAACTGTAGAAATCAAATGCTTAATAATTAAAAAACTGTGATTTGTGATCTGAGCTACGGCTATTTTGAAAAGGGGTGGTTTGGCGGTGGGAACAGGGAATTTGTTGCTGTTACCAATTGTGGTGGCTGCAGGCGACAGGATCCGATAAAGACTCTGAAGATAAGACGAGACAATGACATGGACACGACATTTTATGTCTAACTTTTTTCTTATGTCATCAATGACGACATATGACTCGTACGACATAATTTGTAAAAATAAGTATTTATTTATTAATATATATGTAATAATAGTTTAATTATAAATATAGGTTTATATAATAGGATTACACCAGAGCATTATTATTATCAATGATAGTATAATAATAGTATGAAATAAAATAATGAGCAGAGACATGGAATATAATGTCTCCAACTTAGTAATTAACAAAATGAATCTAAACACAGTTCAGTAACCCTTATTTGGTTACTTTTTGATTTTTCTTTTTGACATAAGCTTCTTTAGCTAATTTAATCAAAGTATCTAATTCTCCAGAGTTTTCACACATACTGTAGAATGTAGTTGACTTATCTGCAATTAAAACATATGGATTATCATATTCAACCACTCTACCTGCATCCATAACCAAGATTTTATCATAATCAATAATGGTTCTTAATCTATGTGCAATGGTTAAAATAGTTGAATTTGAAAATTCCAGTCTAATGGTTTTTTGAATCATAGCATCAGAATTATAATCAATAGAACTAGTAGCTTCATCAAGAAGAATAACCTTTGGATTCTTTAATAATGATCTACCTAAACAAACTAATTGTCTTTCCCCTTGAGATAAATTACCTCCACCTTCACTTATAGGATTTAATAAATTACCAAATTTATTTTGATTTTCTCCAGCAACTTCTTCAACGGTAGTAGTCTTTAATAAATTAACTCTCTTTAAAGCTTCAAAGATTTCTTCATCAGTATATTCATCAAATGGATCTAAATTAGATCTAATAGTACCAGAAAATAAAGTAGGATCTTGTGGAATAATTGTAATAGCTTGTCTTAAAGTCTTTAACCCAATAGAAGTAATATCAACTCCATCAATAGTAATAGTACCAGTTTCTGGATCTAAAAATCTAAAGAATGCAGTAATAATAGTGGATTTACCAGCACCAGTACGACCAACAATACCCACCTTATTATCAGGTTCTACTTCAAAGGTAACATTTTTAATAACTCTTGGTAATTCAGGTGAATATCTTAATGAGACATCATTAACAATGATTCTACCTTCTTGTGGCCAAGTTGGAGGTGGTTGAGTTTCTTTAATTTCATATGGTGGTTCTTGTTCAACTTTAAGGTATTCTTGTAAACGTTCAACAGAATTCATATTCATTTCGACATTTGCATAAAGACGCACGATCCATAAAGCACTTTCAGAAAAGGCAATGGCATATGATAACGATAAACCAGCTAAACCAGTATCAATAGTTCCAATTGAAAGTAAGACGAAAATACCAGCAAATAACATAACTAATGAACCAACAGCATCAATACGGAATGATAACCATCTATTAGCAACCCATAAATAAAAGAATGGTCTATTGTTTTGATCAATAGCACTTAAATTTTGTTTCATGAATCTTGATTCAATACCATAAGCTCTAATAGTAGCCACACCATTTAATGATTCAGAGAAATGTTGATGAATTGGAGATTTTGTAATTGATTCAAAACGTTTTAATTCTCTTGAAAGAGAAATATAGAATAAACCAACCAAATAATATAAGAAGGCAATAATAAACGCAAAAATTAAGAAACCTGGAGTAATAAAAGTAATCAAAATTAAAGTAGAAACACATTGCACGAAACAAATGAAAACACCCTCAGCAAATGGAGTAAGTTCTTGATCAACAGCTTCAATATCTTTTGAAAATCTATTCATAATACGACCTTGAGGAGTTTTATCAAAAAATCTTAATTTAGCTCTTAAAATAGTAGTTAAAACACTCTTGAAAATTCTATTAGAAGCAGTAATACCAGCAAAGAAAGTAATGATAACTCTTAAACATGCTGAAATAGCATAACCAAAACCAATTAATGCATAAACAATAATATAGTAAAGGGTACTACTATCTTTCTTGAAAGTATTAACAGAATCCATTGAAGTTGAAACTAATGAAGTAGCACCATTGAAAGTACGAACAAAAATATTTTGACTGAATTGAGTAGAATCATAAACATTAGAAATACCAGTAAGAGCCATAGTTGAAATAAAGTTATTACTTGCAGCTTCATGTTCACTATGAATAGACCAATTTCTTAACCACCAAGATTGGGACATGAAAACAGCTTGAGAAAGAGCAAAGGCTAAAATAATAATGGCCCAAGTTCTGAATCCACCAAATACTTTGGCATAACCAAGATAAACTTCAGAACCAACCACACCATCAGATTTACCTTCTTCTTCAACTAATTTACCATCAGTTTTCTTTAAATCTTCTTCTTCTTCTGGTCCAAGAGCTTTTAATTTAGCATCAAGAGTAGCGGCTTTAGCTTTTAAATCAGTATTTTTATCAGCTAAAGTTTGTAAATTAGTAGTAGATTGATTTCTTGAACTTAAAACAGTTGATTTAACTAAATCATCATCACCAAGATGACCAGAATGTAATAAATCTTCTGGAGAACCTTGAGTTTTAATTCTACCATTTTCCATGACCACAACCCATTCAGCATTTTGAATAGTTAAAGCAACATTATGAGAAACTAAAATACAAGTTCTACCATTCATTAAAGGACCAGAAATACAATTTTCGTAAATCCACAAAGCAGTATGGGAATCAACAGCAGATAAACAATCATCTAACAAGAGATGTTTTGAATTAGAATATAAAGCTCTGGCTAATGAAACTCTTTGTTTTTGACCACCAGATAATGTAATACCCTTTTCACCAATTTCAGTAGCATCACCAGCACTTAAAATTTCAAAATCACGTTTTAAACCACAGGCTTCAACAACTTTATCATATCTTTCTTGATTAAATGGAGATCCAAAACTAATATTATTTCTAATAGTATCATTCAATAACCAAGCTGATTGAGAACAATACGCTACTGATTCAGTTAAACCAGTTTGAGGATCAACAACTAATTCATCTCTTGGGATAATACCAGGTAAGAAGATATTACCATGTAATAATTCCATTTCACCTAATAAACCTAATAATAAAGAAGTTTTACCAGCACCAGTTGGACCAATGATAACATTTAATTTACCTGGTTTGAAAGCAACATCAAGATCTCTTAATTTGAAATCAGTTTCAGATGATGAATTCCATGATAAAGTAGCATTTTCAAATCCAATGGTTGGAGAATTTGGACCTGGAGTTTTACCTAATTGATCATATTTAGCAGTTTCTTCTTCATCTAAAAAGTCACTAACTCTATCAAGAGAAACTTTAGATTGAACCACAAATGAAGTCATATCAGATAATTGATCTAATGGAGATCTTAATAAAGTAAATAATGATAATGAAGTGAAAGCAATTGGAGCGGTTAAAGTATTACCTTGAACGATGGTATAACAATAGAAGGAAATTAAAGTAATTAAAGTTGGAGTAATAAACCAAACAAAACCACCAAGACACCAAACAATGGATCTTAATTTTAAAAGATATAATTCTTCTTCTCTAATTCCCATAACACTTTCAAAAAATTTATCTTCCCAAGCGAAGAATTTAATAATTCTAATACTTTGGAAAGTTTCATTTAATTTTTGAATTCTTTTATCAGTAACCCCTAACATTTCCTTTTGTAAATCAGAAACCCATTTAGCAATTCTATAATTGATTGGTAGTAAAGCCACAATAGATAAAGAACCAACCAAAGCAGACCAACCTAATAAATTATATAATAAGGTAATACAGAAGATAATCATTAAGAAAGCTCCAACAAAGTAATGTAAATAACCACAAATTTCAGAAACCTTAAAAGCATCGATAGCCATTAAATTGATAATAGCACCTAATTCAGCAGTCTTTTTACCTTCCTTTTTATCTTTAGTAGTATCGCTTGAATCTTTACCAGAATCTTTCAAATCAGAATCACTATCAGAAGAAGCGTCATTTGATTCAGAAACAGTGATTTTTCTTCTTAAAGCTTTAGCATAAACTTCACCAATAATAATAGCTTTCATTCTAAGACAAACTCTTCTACCAATGAAAAGAGAACAACCGGACGCAATTGAATCAATAATCTTAGCCAATGGCATTAAAAGGACAAAACTCCAAGCAAGAGAGCCAGGGGATGACGATGGATCTTGAACATATTCCAATACTCTCTTTAATAATAAGGAAGGACCGAAAACTAACATTGATTCTAATATAGCCCAAAAGGCTTGTAAAGCGAATAAATATTTAAAATGACTAAAGATTTTAATAGTGAATCTAGCAGTTGATTTAGAAGCTTCAAATGATTTAAGAATGTATAAAGCATAATCATCTTCTCTTAAACCCCAAATATCATCCATTTTTAAAGGATTTTTATAAGCTTTCCAAACCATTGAATCTAACCAAGAATAAGTCGCAAATGAAAAAATACTGGTTAAATTTTCTGGAGATGGTGTAGCACCATTACTTGGAACATAAATAAGGGAAGGTTTATCACCGATTTTAGCTGTGAAATTAAGGATTAATAATATGGTTGAAATGGCAAATTCAACAATATAATAAAGTTTTATAAATGAAGATACATTTTTTGAAATTAAAATGGATCTAAAGATTAAAAGGATTGAAAAAAAGTTAAAGAAATAAACGGTAGTTGAATGTATCCATAAGCTTGGTAATTTAATATTGACTTTTTTTAAATTTATAATTCTAATGGAACAAATAATGAAAAGATAAAACCAAAAGATGGCTTTAATAATAGGGATATAAGTGGTATGTTTAAATTCATCAATGGCATCTTGAACAAAGAATAATGATAAAGTCAAACCTAATTGAATGATTAATAAAAGATATTCTATACTAACTCTTAATCTTTCAAACGCGTCTTTATAAACTTCTTTTATATGACCATGAGGAGTACCATCTTCATTTGTATCAGGTAATCTTACTAAATCAAAATGACGACTCTTTAAAGACACATCTTCAAGTTTTGTGCTTGGTGTATTGATTGAACCATAAGCATCGACATTGGATAATAAAGGACGATCTTCACCAAGTTGAATATTTCGGCTTCTTTTTTTATTATTATAGAATGATATTAAAGATTTTAAAGTAAGGATGGTTAATGAAATACCTCCGATAAGGACAGGAGGTATAGAATCTAACTGATCTCTACCACATCTTGTTATATCATCATAATCCCAGAACGATGAGCATTTTGGAATGATATCGGTTGGAATTAAAGCCGATTGGTTGAAGGATGACGATGACATTGATAATGGAATGGAATAAGTAGATGGAAGTGAAAATTGAAATTGAAATGTATTATAAAAAGGTAAACAAGAACTAAAACGGGACGATTGATTAAAGAACGAACTGGTGAAGGTGAATGGTATAAGTGAATAATAGCAAAATTTAAATAGTAGTTTATATATAGACTTTGAAGTCAAAAGAATCAATCTAATCTATCGGTTGAATGATGGGATTAGTGATTCGACTGGCAAGTGAGATCTGTATCCACTGTATCTATCTATCTAACTGGTTTTCTAAGTCAAAACTAACGTATTGAAACCAGGAATAACGATAAAGAAGAAAGATGGAAAAGGGTTGTAAATTTAAACAGCAGAAAGGGAATTTTTCCCTTTAATTTTTTTTAACCTTTCAAAAGAATTGGTTCCTGCACACAATCACAATTCTGGTTTTGTGACTCTCCAGCTTTGAAATGGATAAGCGATAAATAATTACTGAGGTTTATTAAGCATATAATGCCTTACAATTGTTTATGTGGTTATAATTAGATTAAGTAGATATATAACTGTGATTAAAGACTAACTAAGTAATGTAAATGACTACTATGAATCATGGTTTACAGAATACCAAGGGGAATAATAAATAGAGTTTTATTACTCATCGCTAAACTAAAGTTAAAATGAGCCAGTCATTTCACAAATGTAATAAAGGGTTTGAAGTAATTGGATTCGTTTCATCAAGTCTATTTTGATAGATAAACCAATCCATTCCATTCATTCATTCACTTTGACTTTAACTTTGCTATACAAAAATTTTGCGCATTTAAAATTAAAATTAATAAAAAACCTTCACAAAATTTTGCTAATTTAAATTTTGGTGCCGTTTCCGTAATGGGACATAGTTTACAATGTAACTGATTAGCTTGATTCATGTACCATAAAATAATTTCTGATATTAGCCTGAGGAGGAGAGATGGGGCGGACATGTCAAGAGAGGGGGGCACACATTATTTACTTATTTCACCTTATATTACTCAGTTTTATTTACAATTTATATATGTTAGTTCAGATTTAGCCGTAGGTACGGTATTTCACGGTACGATAATCAATATCAATTTTAATCTCTCTCATCGCTTTGATCAGTTTCTTTAACTATTTAGTATAGTCATTAAGCGATTTAACCGATCGGTCAATCTTAATTCAATCTTAAGCTAGTCTATATATCAATAACTCTATCACTATAGTTATATTATTAGTCAAAATCTTTAAACTTCTGTGGTCGTTTTTTTTTCTTGGTTGCGATGGTCGTAAATAATGACTAATTGAGCCACATGTGTATCGACTATACCAATCAGTTTTATAACTGTCCAAACATGAAATCAATTATAATCAATTCATGCAATTATGACTAATACACTCAGATCACAAAACTTCAGAATATACGAGAGGAATATAAGTAAGCCCACCAACCGTTTGTCAGATTTTATTCCCCTCTCCATTTCTTCTAAGCAAAGGCTAATTTCGCAACCACATTCACAATCACAAATATACTTCTAACCCCGATAAAGATCTACATTTCAAAGAAAAGTCTTAGGTTTAACTAATATATTAAATAATGCACAATAAGATTCTTATTAAAGAAATCTATGTATAAATGGAATTTACAATGACGAATATGATGACTAACTAATCTTGGGTTTTTTGAGTACCTCTTAATAAACCAGTTCTTCTAGCAGCAATCAAACCTGCCTTTTGACCAGCAACTGCCCCTCTAGAAATAGTAGAAGCTTTACCAATATGTTGATGATTACCACCACCATGAGGATGATCAACTGGATTCATAGCAACACCTCTAGTTTTTGGCCATGAGTTTCTTTTAACTCTATATTTATGGAATGCTCTACCAGCTTTTAATAATGGTTTATCAGTTCTACCACCACCAGCAACCACACCAATAACTCCTCTGGCATCAGATGAAATCACTTTTTTAGCACCTGAAGGTAATTTAACTCTAGTTTTACCTTCATCAGCATTATGACCAATGATGACCACATAATTACCAGAAGTTCTCCCTAAAGCACCTCTATCACCAACTTTTTCTTCCACATTGGAAACAATAGTACCTTCAGGACAAGCACCTAATGGTAAGATATTACCTACATTTAAAGAAGCTTTCTTCCCAGCATAAATGAATTGACCAGTATAAACCCCTTCATTAGCAATGAAAGTTTCTTCTCTTAATTTATACTTGTAAGGATCTCTAAATACAATTTTAGCTAATGGTGCACCTCTACCTGGATCATGTAAGATTTGTTTTACAACCCCTCTAATGTATCCATGTCTTTCGGCGAAATCCAAGGTTCTTAATTTAGCAGCCCCTTTTCTTAATCTGGTATGAGAAGTGAAGATTGATCCTGCCCCTTTTCTTTGATTACGAATAACTCTACCTATAATGAAGATTAATTTGTTAGTATTTTGTTTTGAGTCTTGTATTGTGATAATGAAGACTGATTGTGGTTTAGAGTAATGATGATTTTAATTGATTTGCTATAAATGTCAGCCCGAGCTAGTTTTGATTCATCGATGATAAAAGTAAATATATCTCGTTCTTACATTGATCTCGTTATTCGTTAATGTACTTATACCTACCATAAATACACCAATTGAAAATCGACAATAAACCACATCAATCAACCAGGATCTTCCATTATATTTCATTCCCACGATTACATACCCATGTTTGTATATTATTATTCAATGATAAATAAACATCAATTCTGATTCAAGTAATGATTTTTCACTCTTATTTTTTTTTTTCACGATTCCCATCTCTCATCTGATTCATTGTTGCTTTGGTCGCACTACATAAATTTACCACCATGCATCTGTACAACGTTATAATTTACAAGTTATATAGGAAGATTGTTAACAATCATCATTAATAAATCATTTATTTAAATTTGGATAAAGTATAAATAGAATAAAAAGTAAAACGAGGATGGATTACAAAATGAAGATTCAATTAAGAACTCCACTTTTATCCATATCCCATTTTTTGTTACTTAAACTTTGGCATTTTGGAGGGGATTATTTTTTGGGGCTAAATAATAAAATAAAAAGGGAATAGACGTTTTTGTAATAATACCATTAAGAAAAACAAAAGGTGATTATAATAACAAACAAACAAACAACTATGATTAGTTATATTATTACATAAAAACACAGTAAAAAGATAGTTTAAAGAATAACTTAGGTTGATTCTTCTTTCTTTTCTTCTTCTTCAACAACAGGTGCTTCCTCTTCTTCAGCATCAGCAGCATCACCACCATTGGCAGCAACTACTTCATCATCTTTTGGAATTCTAGCATCAATGGCAATATCAACAATGATTTCACGACCATTAATTTCTTGACCATTAAATTCTTCCACAGCTTTCTTTTGAACTTCTTCACTAGAAAATTTAACAAATGCAATACCTTTATTAAAAGGTCTTTGATTAGTACCTTTTTTTAAAATATGAAGAGGGATTTTTCTAGTTGGAACATGAATCCATTTTGGTTTTAAATCTTTAAAAAGATTATTTAAAGTTTTAACATTAACTTTATAATCTAAATTTGTAATAAAAATAGTGTCTGTTGATGCTTTACCTTCTGGAACTTTTTCTTCTCCATTAGTAGTTGAATCTTTAACTTTTTTAACTGGTCTTTCCTTAGCTGGAGTTGCAGTTTTAGCAGTTGCAGCAGCAGCTTCAGCTTTTTCTTTATCAGCTTTTTTCTTTTCTTCCTTTTTAGCTTTATAAATTTCTATTCTTTCCTTTTTTTCTTCTTCAGTTGGAGGTGGAACTGCTTTTTTAATAAAAATATTTCTTCTTTGAAATTTCTTACCATTATATTCTTCAATTGCTTTATCAGCTTCATCCTTTGATTCAAATTGAACAAATGCAAATCCTAAATGTCTTTTAAAAGTTCTTTCACCACGTTTAGTTTCTTTAAATGGAATTTGAACTTCAGTACTATAATTGTTTGTTAGTATTATCCCTTATTTATCAGTCTTAATGATATTACGTGGGTGGATGGGTAACTGTTCACTTGATTTGTAAATGTGGAGAAATATAAATTCAGAGTGGAGACCCAAAATAGGAACTCCACCCCTCATAAAAACCATCCATACCGCAACACACACACACCATATATAATATCAGACTATAATTAACCATTTTTAGTTAAAATTGGGTAGTTAGATTATACATACACTTTTAAACCTTCGAATAATTCTTTTAATTCATCTTCAGTTGCTTTGAAGTCGACATTACTGACATAGATTCTATCTTCAATGATAGGTTTAACCACTTTAATTGATTCTTCAGTAGACATGATTGGGGATAATGTTAGTTAAGATTATTATTTCTGTTTTAAAATACAATTGATAGATGATAGAACGATGGGGATGATGATAATTAAGTTAAAATGATCTTCAGGTCGTTCGTATATGATGATATAACGTATGTGGTTGTTGATTTCTTAGGATGGATTCAAAAATGGGATAAGTTCACTTATTTTATTTCACTCCTTTTAATTTCAATTTAATTTCAATTCAATTCAATTCAATTCAATGGGTTTCCAAATTAATTATTTCCTCAATCAGATAGCACAAGAGTGATGACAATGATTGACTTTGGGATTGATTAATTGTTCTAGTTAATTATAGATAATACAAGAAAGCAGAAAGAAAGAAAGGAGAAGTGAAATAGAAAAATGTGGAAATTTTTACTATTTGGTCGTTTGTTCAACTTCTCTCTTTCACACTGAAAAAAAAGATCGTTCAACTTTTTTTTGGTAAGCGTGACATTTTAAAACTGTCTCTCTCCTGACTATAAATCTACAAACCATAGCACCCTTAACCTGGTTGTCTACAGTGTAAGGAGGTTACTTTGGTACTAGAACCAAGTACACGTTGGGTCGTACTGTCCATTCAATTACGACTATTATATATCTAATTTTACTGTACGTTGTATGTTCCCTTCCCTAATTGATTTACGTGTTAATAATAATAGTTCAAATTGCCACCCATAATTAATTTTCTCTCTCCTTAATATTTCCTCGATCGAACAAAACAGTGGACCGACAAACCGAATTATAGATTTTCACGTGACTTTCCTAATTCGGTAAGTCGTATTATAGCTATACTAATTAGTTATATTGTTATATTATGGTTTGATTATTGATCAGCATCGATTAGATCATATGTTAGAGATCATGAATATGATTTAAACAATTGCTGTATGATCTTAACATTGTTTAAATATACTATAATGCATTCATATCAAAGTATGTCTACAATACAATCATACCATCTATAAATATTACTACAATTAATCTTCATAGATACTACTACAGTCTATCATAATCGAGGATCTACACTCTCACTAATGTTATAGGAAGAATAAATTTTTTATATATTTTCATATATGACCATATATATATTTATTGATAAATATGGACTATTGTAATAATTATAGTTTGGATGGTTGGTAGGTAGATGAATGATTCATGAATATATTTCAATTCTTTATAATCGTATCAAAATTGGAGTATAGATTCATGATTGGTGATTGATGGATGGAAGTATTTGATTTGATCAATCGATTGAATATCTCATTCGATTGTGAGATTTGAATTTGGTAAATTTTTAAAATGCAATAAAACGGAATAAAAATAAAGGGATACTTGAAAAGAAGGAGAAGAAGAAGAAGAAGACTAAACAACAAGCAATTTTCTAAAATGATAAATTGAATGAATTTAATGATAATGATAATGATAATAGTAATAATAATAAATGGAGAAAGTTAATGTTATATGTATTGTTGTGTGCAGTTGATTTAATTTGATTGATATATGACTTATCTATTTCAATTTGTTGAATAATCTTGGAGCAACACAATCATTGACACAATGTTGAAGATGAAAGAATTCTTCAACACAATCTTCTTTATAATGCTTTTCAGCATATCCTTCTTCTTCCAGTTCTTTAGTAACTCTTTCAATACATTCATCAAAATGATGAACATATTTCTTACAAGCTTCTGAATTCTTACACTCTTCTGATAAAGCAACCAATGGATCTTCAACTTCATCTTCATCTTCATCGTCTTCTTCTTCTTCATCATCATCACCACCAGCAGCTTCAGCTTCTGGTTCTTCTTCAGCTTCTTCGGTTTCTTCAACTGGTTCTTCTTCAGGCTAAATTAAACTTAATGTTAGTACAAATGTTTCATCATTATAACGAATTGACCACTGTCATTTGAATCAATCATAGTCCATAAGACCATAATCAATCAAAATGTTCATAGTGGTCTGTCTTCATTTCAACAATCCTCATTACAAGGATGTCCTTTATTTTAGTAATAACTTACTTCTTCAGCATAAGCAGCTGGAACAACAGCTTCTATTAAATCTCTTAAGAATGACATGGTATATAGGAAATGGATACGGGGTTGTTGTTGTTAAAGAAAACAATACAATTCTTTTTCAATTCAAATATATCAATTTTAACTTCATTAACTTTCTATTAGTTTTTTTTTTTTTCGCTGTTTTCCATTCGAGTTGTTTACCCTATAATAAACTGTAACCTATTGCAGTGTGGATGTTCTGACATATAAATGAAAAATCAAATGTTTTATTGGCTGGAAATTAATTGATCATGTGATGCGGATCAGATGATCTAGCACGTGAATGATTTTATATCAAAATGAATTAGTTACATAGATATATATATAGTATAACTAATAATTTACAATAACACAAGTCTAGTCAAAACGAAATATGATTTATTTATTTATTATTTATATCTGTTTGATTTATGATATACATATAAAAGGTACAACTAATTAAACTGAAAGTGTATTTAACAATGATAATCCCCATAAGGAATTTAAAATGATATACTTTCAAATTTAATTGGTTGGAGTAGCAGCAATTTTAGCTCTTTTAATAGCTTTAGCAGTAGATTTAGCACCAAGAATACCACCACCCCAATGTCTTCTGTTATCTTCGTATTTTTCAATGAAGTTAGCATCAATGGTTGAAACTAATTTAGCTAATTCAGCTTCATCAGCAGATTCAACTTCAGTTAAAGCAACAACAGCAGCAGTTTTTTGATGAACTAAAGTACCTAATCTAGCCTTACCTTTCACAATGGCGTATGGAACACCTAATTTCTTACATAAAGCTGGTAAAAAGACAACTAATTCAATTGGATCAACATCATTGGCAATTAAAACTAATTTAACTTTCTTGTTTTCAATTAATGAAACAACATGGTTTAAACCATATTTGACAACAACTGGTTTTGGAGAAACATCTTTGGCAGATTTACCTTCAGCAATAGCAGCAGCTTCTTTAGTTAATCTTTCTTTCTTTTCAGCAGAAGTTTCTGGTCTATATTTGTTGAATAATTTGAAAGCTTGAGAAGCAGTGTTTTTATCTAAAGTTTGTTGGAATTGAGAAATAGCCGGTGGAACTTTTAATCTTAATGATAAGATCTTCTTTTGTCTTTGTAATCTAACATATTCTGGCCATTTAACAAATCTGGATAAATTTCTTTTTGGTTGAACAGATTGACCAATACCGAAGTTCTTTGGAGTAGAATCAGTTAATGGGTTCTTGACAGTGGTAGACTTGGAGGTCTTGGCAGCTAATGGAGCTGGAGCAACTTTCTTACCTTTTGGAGCCATCTTTGATATAAGTGTTGGTTGATACTAAAGACCTTTAAAATGGTATACTGAAATTTTTTTTTATTATATTTTTTTCTTCACTATACCGTTTTGGTTCCATCACCCTCACTGTTTTGTATTGTGCGCTCATATTTCTGTCCTTAACTATGTGTCATGTGACTGGACATAGTTAATTTTGGACGCGTGCCTAGCACGTGAGTAATGTGACTGGTTTTTCTCACATATTTTTTCGTTCATCGGGGTTTGAGATTTATTGAGGTTTGGAGGTTTTGGAGGTATGGAAGTGAAATTCGGTATAGTTCCTAAATTGGTATCATTATCCTTTTATGTATGTATAAATGCCGTTAGATGTTTTTTATGGCTGCAATTAACGTAACGTTTCTATAACTACGACTTTATGCTCATGTATGTCTCAAATGTAGGTTTCAAACGTATGTCAACTAATTAGGTTAAAATAATGCCAGTTAATGATGAATATACATATTATTAACTATATAATCTAAACTATATAATTTTAATCTAACCTATTGAAAACCTTTGATAATCTTGCTTTGTTATAGAGTTCATTATTCTATAAACAATAAAAATAAAAATAAAAAGACAATAACCTGTTTAACCGTGTCTTTTCCCATAAAAATACATAAATAATAATAATAATAATAATAATAAAACCCCAAAAGAAAGAAGAAGAATAAAGAGAAGTAAGAAGCAAAGACAGCCCCTTCTCTAAGAATGAACCACAACAAAGCAAAATAAAAATAAAAAAAAGTAATCATAAATAGTAGTTAGTTTAAGTTTCAATTTCATTAGAAGTATCAATCCATCTTGGATTACACCATCCTTTAACAGTGAATTGAGCCTTTGTAAATCCTGATGTAGGTGATAATCCATGATTTAATTTACATGAATTATTAAGAATACCTGCTGGTTTGATTGATCTTACCGGATTTAAAGTTTTGGAAGTAGTTGTCCATGGTAAATAATTCCCTTGCTTTCTAGTTAAACTATAAGATCTTGAAATGACAGGACGTTGATCAACTTCAGATGATTCAGAAGATTTTTCTTCATCCTTTTCTTCGGTGATTTCTTCATCACCAACATAAACATAATCATCACAATTAATATGATTTAAGGGAGAATTATCTAATCTTGGAGCCAATATGACACTTTTCCATAATTTATCTCTGGAAATATTTGAAATTCGATAAAGATTATATTTTTGATGGAATTCAATAAGATTATCATTAATATATTGATCAATCCCATCATCATCATCGAAAACATTTAAATCATTCGTATTATTCGATAATGGTTGATTAATTAAAGTCTTAGTGATGGCTCTTGCATTATAATCCATAGCGTATAATCTTAAAAATGTTGAATTAATCCGATGATCTCTATTCTTGAATGATTTACTCGAAGGAATCTTAATAAGATCGTTATTATGATGAGTTTCTTCCTTATTGAAAGTAATTAATTCTTGTGGTTCATCTGGGATGGTGGATGTCTTGACATTTTCACTAGGTAAGATATCATCGGTTAATCTTGGAGATTCTTTAAGGAAAAATATAGGATTATTCTTAAGTAATCTCCAATTTTTCTTAATTGATTTAGTTAAATTTGAAAATACCACTGATTTAGTATTATCAGAATTTGTATCATTCTTGGATACAAATTCAATAGATTCATCAATTTGATCAGGGATAGTTCTTGGTTTTGAATCTTGTAATAATTTAGTTAATGAATCGGTTGATGGTAAAGATTTCATAACTTGAGATGTAGTATTTATATAAGAAGGAGATACGGTGGTGGTGGTAGTAGTAGTGAATATATTATTAAGATTTATTGAACTGGAATAATTTGATGATGATGATATTGATTGAATGGAAGGAGATTTAGATAAGATGGTATGTTTATGAGTTGAATATGAACTTAAGGAATAATCATCGGAGTATGAGAATGTAACTTCATCCACGTCATCTTCATCATCCTCATCATCATCATCTTCTTCTTCCTCCTCTTCTTCAAAAGATGTATCATCTAATTCATCTTCATAAAAGTATTTCTCTTGTTGATGATCATTTATAAGGGGATGATTCTTATAAGTATTCAATCTTTGATTATATAAATCTGATTTGATACTTCCAATACTAATAGATTGTTTTAAAGATTTAGAAGATTTGATTAATAAAGGGGATGATATTGATTGTTTCCTTTTCTTTTTATGGGTATTGGTAGTTATGGGAGTTAATATGGTTGATATTGATATGGGACTTGTTCCGGAGTAAGCCACTTGAGGATGGTCTATATTGATTGCCATAGTTGGGTTATGACTACTAACTGACTGTAATGAATAGATAATGGGGGGTATAATATATAGATAAATAAACTGGAATAGATAGATATTTGATTTTAAGGAGATTTCTATAAATGGGACTAAAATAGATCTCAGATAATAGATGTGAAAATAAGTAGTGTAAGGTAAATTGTTAAGGGGAGTGGGGTGGGGTTTGATTGAGTGAGTCAGTTGAAGTGGTGACAAACGATAAAAAATGTGATTAGATACGATATATATATATATAAATATATACAACTAAATCAAGATAACACGTAAGAACTCAACTATTATTTCAAGGTATCATTTAATATTTATATAATTATAGTTCAATTTAGTTAGTTTTATAAATTTTACAGAACTCTAAAATTATCGTCTAATTGAAATAGATGATGAAATGCCATTCCATTCAAAGGATGTAATGTAACCAAATTCATTCTCCTTTTAACAGAAAAGATGCTAGATTCCGCGGACTGTATACAAGAGAATCTTTCTCTATACATTAACCGCTTTGTGTCATTGAAATTTTTGAAGTGGTACGACATTTTTACGAATGAGGAAATTATTTCCTTTCGATTTTTTCTCGTCTCGTCTTTTCTTTTCTTTTGTTTTCTCTCCTTCTTTTTCTGCCTCACTCCCTCCACCACCACTTCACTTCCTCCTTACTCCTCTCCTCTCTCTGTTAATTCCCATTAACTGTTTAAAATTATTATTTGATGATTTTTGGTTTGTACATATTAAAATATTTTTATTAGCCAATTTGAATTAGGTTAGGCGAAGTACCTATGAAGTATTACATATATTGTTTGGTTAATTACCTCAAAGCTTTTAACTAGCGGCGATTGATTGATATATCAAGGCTTTTAAAAGTTAATGGTAACGGCATTTTTCTATTTTTACTTACCATTTGTTCCTTTTACAGTCGTTTTATTTGTGGGCACTTTGTTCTTAAAGATTTCCATGCAGGTCTCCTATTTATTCCTTCAATAACCGTTGAGAAATTTTATTTGTACCAGAATTCATTTGTGGTTTCTTTCTTTCTTTGTTTCTTTTTTTTTTTTGTTAGTGCTGTTCTATGGTTTATGCGTTGATTTAATTCATTTTGGGTATATTTGAATGCGCTTGTATGCAGGATGCACCAAATACAATCTTTTTATGCGACCAAAAAAAATAATAAAAATTTAAAATCTCTCAAACTGAAAAAATCCCAAGAAATGTCTGTCTGTCTGTAAGTAAGAAAAATAATTAAGAAAAATTATATTGTTTGGTGGAGGGAGTTATTTGTCTTAAGTGAAAGTGAATCTGTACTTTTTAAAGTGAATCTTTCAAGCCACGAATTAAAAAGAAATAAATAAATAAAAATGGGAACAATTCAAAAGGACGACATCCGTATGCACCGATAACAACTTCCTATTTAAGACTTATCAGCGTACTGCAGATAAGAAGATCCAGATAAATAAAAATAAATGCAACCCATCACTTACTCACTCACTGCCACTATTATTTATATAAATACGTAGTTATCATCTTGTTAGTTGTTGTTACATTTCCACAACTGTAAAACATGTGTTCTATAAAATTTGAAAAGAAAGGTATAGCCTGACTTCGGATAAACTTGGAATGAATGGATTAACTTTATGGGTACTGAAATTCTCTACTATATAATTGATCGTTACTTTATTTACTTATCAGTTAGGTAGCACTATGAAAAGAAAAAATATGTAACTTGTAATTATACCACTCACCATCATCATGAATAGGTCAGTTGATAACATAGTCTAACGTTAAATGGTTATGTAATGATATTAGATGGTTATAATCATTCATCGTTGTCATCATCATCATCTACTCCATCCCTGTCTTTATCGTCATGAGATAACAACTTTATTCTTCTCACAGTCTTTTCTTTTTTCTATCATATGATCTGTTACTCCCCTCCCTTACTACGTATTAATTACGTATGGCAGAGATGGCTATCAAATGATTACGGTTTACGATACTGACACAAATTAAAATTTATAGATTTAAATCTTAACCATTCCATTGCAAAATATAATCATACTCTTTCTCTTTCTCTTTCTCCCATCTTCAAACCTTATAGATTATAGACAAACCAATACAATATCATGGGATCAATGTATAACCATGATTATACCATCCGTTTCCTTCATGATTATTTCCCCCAACTATGTCCTGATCTAATCCTAGAAATTAATCAATATCTACCTATGGAATATGTCATATTATGGTTAATTGATCTACCTGCCATTCAATCTAGTTTACTCGCTCATTATAGTAATACCACCATCACATATGCTAACGATACACCATTCACAAGTTCTACTAATCCTCAAACTAATGAGATTTTATTAAGACGATTTTTGAAATATTTCATTCCAAGACGGGTATTTCTTAATGATATTGATATTTTAAAATTACCATCAACCGTATTTCAATGTAATGAGATCTATTTTAATTGTAAGGATGATTTGCATCCAAATGAAATCACATTTGAAGATTTATCATCATTATGTCAGATTAAAGGAATCAAAGGTTTATCATTTAAATTATCAGGTACAACACCTACAAATACTGAATCCAATATATTTTATAACTCCCAATTAAAAACTTTAAAACATGATTTTGATTCATTCAGTTTATGTGATTATAAATTACCCCCTACATTAGAAACTTTAACTACGATATGGTCCCCCAATATTAATTCATCAATCATACCAAACTTAACCAATTTAACTATTTTCATTCCTCCTTATTTACATAATACTTATCCGGTCACCACTCTTCCATCCACCTTAATCAATTTAGAAATCATATCTCAATACGGTAATAATAGTTTCCCCTTTATAGTATCTGATGAAAATGAATGGCCACCATTATTACAATCAGTTAAAGTCAGTCTGCCTCATGATACCGTTCCTGAAGTTACGATTTGGCCTCATGATTTACAAACTGCCGATTTCGGATGTGGAACAGTAACTTTACCTACCATTCAAACTTTACCTCAAAAAGTTGAATCATTAAGTTTTGGTACCGTTATGGAAGATGATATTATTGATTTCCCGCCTAATTTACATACTTTAACCTGTGGAATTGTCGATAGAACTGTGTTTTTAAAATTACCCATTGGAAGTGCATTATTTCAAAATTTAAAAGTCCTTGAATTAGTTAATTCTTATTTAACATATGAAGAAGTTTCTGTTGATTGGCATTTATTCACGGGATTAGAGTCTTTAACGTTCAATAGAAGAGATGTATCATCATTCACCAAATGTGAATTACCTCCTCCAAACCTTATCGAATTAAATATCATTGAATGTTATTATTCATTCCAAACTCCATGGAAATGGCCTATATTCACCAAGAAATCAGCCTTCCCCAAATTAACCAAATTAAATTTCAATCTCGTATCCATGATTGATCTTGTTCCTGAAGTGGTCTTCCCTCCTAAATTAGAATACTTCCAATTCACATCATGTGTATCAATGTTTTGCGTCACACCCGAAATATATAATCATGAACATTTAACCCATTTAAAGATCTTCGATACTAATGCGGTTAAATTCTTTAATAATGGTAAGAATGATCAAAGAGGGAAATCGAATTTACAACATCTTGAAATCCTGAGTTATGTATTTTCATTCTACGTGCATAGTGTCGAGGGTGGATCGTATGATTTATTATATGATCAAATCGAATGGAGATTCGGAAGACATATTAAAAAGAGATATTATGATTCTCAAGAAACTTATATCATTGAGTTTGATTCGGATTTATAAAATTAATCCGTCATTGTTTTTATATTTTTTTATTTATTTTATTTTATTTTATTTATTGGTAGGTCTGGAATAATTTTTAATTAATACACTTAATCTATAACATTCTTCTAGTCTGTAATGGTTCGTTATCGTTATCATAATCAAATTCATCTAATTCGAAATCATCATCTCCTCCTCCATCTCTTGCTTCTTGTTGAGCATCAAATACAGGTTCATATCGAGTAGTATCAGTTGCTTTTATAGATCCACCATAAAATTCAACAAACAATTGATCAATATCTTCCAATTCAACTCCTTTAGTCTCAGGATAAAACCAAATAACCACAAAGATACTTATAATACAACTTGAAGCCGGTAATAAATACATTTTCCACCCAATTTGTTCTTGTAAAATAGGAGTTAATTGTCCCACAATATAATTCGCTAACCAATTAGTCGCCACACTTAATGATACCCCTTTAGCTCTAATCGCCAATGGATAAACTTCAGGGGGGATTAAAAATCCAATCGGTCCCCAACTATATCCAAATGATGCATTATAAATTATAACCAATACCGCCACCATAGTAGGAGTATATGATTTATTTAACCACATGATTAACGATACTAATGAAAGACAAATCCCCATTGAAAGTCCACCACTGATTAAGATCGGTTTTCTTCCCCATTTATCCACGATAAACCAAGGTGGAATCGTACTTAAAAGATAGATTATCCCATTTATACCTGTCATTAATAACGCGTAAGAATCATTAAATCCAGCTTCTTCAAATACTAATGGGGCATAATATGAAATAATATTAATCCCATTTAATTGAGCAAATCCTAACGCAGAACATCCAATGAAGATACGAGATCTATAATTTTTAAACATATTTTTCCAACTTCTTTCTGATTTAGGAATTAAGATACGTTCTTGTAAGATGGAATTTTTGATCATGAAGAATTCCTTTTGAGGTTTATCATCATCGGGATGAGAATCATATAATAAGGCTAATACATTCAAACCTTGTTGATCTTGATCTACATCCAATAACCATCTTGGAGATTCAACAATGAAAAAACCTCCGATTAATAATATAATAGCAATCAAGACTTGAATGAATAAAGGTAATCTCCAACTTACATTTGACCAGAATTTAGATTCTTCAGGATTAGAAGGTTGAATGAAATAACTAAAATAATCCACCCAAACTGAAAGACAATACCCCACAATATTACCCGTGAATTCCACACATACTAATTTGCCTCTTTCTTCACTTGGACTAATTTCACATTGATAGGATGGGACAATAGTAGATAAGATCCCAACTCCAAATCCTGAAAATACTCTTCCCACTCCAAATACCCATAAATTAGGAGCGAATGATTGCAATATCCCACCAATTATGAAAATAAATGTCCCCACTAAAACGGTTCTCTTCCTTCCAATCATATCAGACATTTTAGCCACTAACAAAGAAGATATCATAGCCCCAATTTCTAAGATTGAAATAACAAGACCTATTTCTGATTTAGAGGGATAATCGAAATAATGATTGAAAGTTCGAAAGGTAAGAATACCAGAACATACTCCTTGTTCATATCCGAATAATGATACAAATAAAGAAACGAATGCTGATGTGAAATAAACGAGAAATGTTCCTTTAAATTTCAAGTTTGACGTGTATTGTTTGGTATGGAAGTTGATATGACTGTATGAATTACCAAAATCATCCATGAATTCAGTACTTGAAGTAGATGATGAACCAAGTAAAGTGGATGAATGGGAATGTTGCTGTGAAGTATTGAATTTTATAGGATCATACAAATCATCATCTTCATCGTCATCCCCGTCTCCCTCTTCTTCATCATCATATGTCATCTCTCGCTTTTCTGAAGACGGTCTAGCCATATCCTGAATAACAATCTTTGGAATCAAAGTTGCAGGAGTGGTTGTATCATGAATGGTATTGGTTGTAATCAATGGTGTCACATGAGAATCTCGATTGAAAAGTAAGTTATTCTCGTCAGAGAATGGATCCTCATCATGTTTACTATTCACCTTGTTATTATGATCTGTCATTATGATATTATCATATCTGTAAAGACCTAATAGCTTATAAATTGATAATGGTTATAACTTTATAACTGTGCCTTTGTTTAACTGTCTGTCTGGGCTTGGATTGTATTTTATATCTTTTGTGTCTGATTTTTTTTTTGTCGCATTTATTTTTGTCTGATTTAATTATCTGATTATATGACGTAATCAGTGGGGGGGACAATTAAAAAAAAGATCTATGCCGACAATCTTTACATACCACAAATCAAAGCTTCTTTTTTTTTTTTGCAATTATCTAATATTGGTTGCTAATTTGGTTCAAACTAGGTACAAGTACAAACTAGATTTAATAAACTTAAGAATATATATTTATTTTTGATTTCCTTTTCTTCATAAATTAATGAATAAATATTAATGTCTATACACAGAATAAATTATTTTATAGATAAATATTGTAATAATAGTAAAAAATGAAAACAAATAAACAAACAGCAGATAACATATTAATGAAACTTTATCTAACAATCTATCTATTTGGAACGTTTCAAATAACTATCGATATAAAAAGCAGCGAATAATCCTGTTAAAGGAGTTAAATAAGCCACGTTGATTAAAATTGGTAAAGCTTGATCAGGAGTATTTATACAACTTATAATTTTTAAATTTTCATTATCAGAAGTATCCACAATCCAAATGAAAGCGTGTAAGATGGCAATGGATCCACCCACTACGAATTGAGTGATTTGTAATGAAGTTAACATTCTTTTAAAGAGAATTGGAACTCTAATATGTAAACAACTTAATGAAAAGTAAAAATACATTAAAGAATGAATGAAAGAATTAAACACGACAAAGATCCAAATAGGTGGAGATTGGAATCTAATACCTGCCCACATACACATCATAGCACCAGAATGATGATAACTTTGTAATAAAGATGATGGTCTTCCCTTTAAAAGAATAATGATAGTATCTAAAACTTCATAAAATTTTGAAATATAAAACCACCAACCAAAGATTTCTAAATTATGTTGACCAACTTTATCAATCACTAATTTAGAAAAGATACCTTGATTTGAATCACAAATAGATTGGAAAAAAATTTCAAAATTTAAATTTTTAAAATTTATAGTGGAAGAATTAAGACTATTAAGTGATTCTACAAAATTTGGTAAGATTTGACCTTTAAATAATTCCATATTACTGACAATTGATGAAGTCATACCAATAAAAGTCCAAACTGAATAAACACATAAGAAAACATTATGTAAAAACACAAAGATTTTAAATAACGATGATTTAGCAATACAATATGGAGCAGCTGGTAATCTTGAATTTGAAGTAGGTTTTGACCCCGTTTTCTTTTCATGATTTTGATTTTGATTTTGATTTTGATTTTGATTTTGATTTTGATTAGCTTTTCTAATTTGACGATTAACAATGATTGGATTAATGAAATGAACGGATGAGAAGTAAACTATAGCAATAGTTAAAGGAGTCATGACGTTCATGGAAGCATCGAAAATCGAAGTTAAAAATGCATTACCAAAAGGTGATTCAGGTATAGGGGTATCTAAAGTTGGTAAATGCCAGGCATCAAAGTTTGGTAACCCAAACTTGACCAATTTAGAATTGACAATATCCATAGTTGAGATATAGAGTTGAACTTAATGAATGAAGGAAAACAACGAAAGAAGGGTAGGGTCTATAGCAAAGAATTTAAATGAAATTGAAAGTTGAAAGTTGATTTTATAAAAATAGTGAAAAATTTGGACTTTCCCTATTTCTGTTATTATTTTTTTTTTGTGTGCGTCGCTGTCTGAAATGGGGACTTGCCTAATTAAGAAATCAGTTTAAAAGTTTTGTTTGCAAAAAAGCTTTTTAGTTAATCTAATCTAATTAGTGGGTTGCAGTATGGTAGTATATAGATTATAATTATATGTGTCTATGGGGTGATTACAGATAGTTAATTATACTAGAGGTAACTCTCACTTAGCACTACTTAAAACAGTTAAGCATCAGAAGACATTAAAAAAAATATCTTATTTTAAATAGCAATAATTTTTATTTTGCGTTCAAAAAAGGATGTTAAAATTTATGTTTATTTTTTTTTTCTGGTATAGATTTTGTTGAGGAACAATTTGATTTTGGTTGGGCTTTTTTTGAGACAAAAAAAAAATGGGGAGTTATTTGTACCGAGGATAAAGTCATGTGATGTGTCATGTGTGTTTGATCATGTGATTTATAACCCCTTAACAGTCTTTTGTAAGATTTTATTTTTTAATCTAAAACTTTAAAACATCTGACACAAACAAACAAAATAAATAAATAGATAAATGATTGATCATATTTTTCAGTTTGAAACAAACCCTTGATAGCAGGATATCCATTTATATATAAAGGAAAAAGTCAACCACTAACTTTTATGATTTATCAATATCTTCCAAATCTAATGATCCTGGACAGTTTTTGGGTCGATAGCAATTCCAATATTTGATTTGTTCGTTAATCATTTGATAGTTGCACTAACAGTTTCATATCTATTTAGGAACCCCCTTATGATTTACTAACTAATTGACAAATAAAGTGAATATGCCATCTGTTATAAAGCCTGTTTTATGTCTACAAGCGATTGCTTCTCTGAATAGTTGTGAAAATATATGAATACTAACCATGTTAATCTTATATATATACTTATTTTAATACTAACTTATGATCTAGCAAAATAGATGGCTTTTGTTTTCTATTGTGTTGAATGTACAATTTATATTATATCTATATTGATTCTCATCATTTGTAAGTTCATTTCTCTTTATTTTTACCTCATATAATTTAAGGACCCTCATCAATCAAAGTGTGTTATGAAACACGCTCAGTACTAACTAAAAAATAAGTATAAATATAAATTTAAATCTCAATTTTTTCTTTTTCAATTTTTTCATTTTTTCATTTCTTACTCTGTGGGTGGTATTGAATACTTTACCTTATAGTAAGACATAAGTATATGCTTCTCTTACAAATAAATGGAATGATTTTTTTAATCTCTTAACGTCTATTTAGGATAACTGTTTTATTAACAAGTATTTAGGAATGAAGTTTATGAATTTGATTTGAGCTTCTTATTAGGTCGTATAGTCGGAAAGATCAAATAGTTCTGACATTAAATATCTTACTAACCTTTCATTTATATTTAGAGAATTGATATATCTGGTAACTTTCCTTGTCAAATATATATAGTTCGTTGTTGTTGAGTTCTCAGAAATGTTTATAATAAATGTTTTAATTTTAAATTATTAATATCAATTTGTAAGTCCTCTGTTTAATCGTATATGTAAAAATCTCTTGTTTAAACTAATTTCTATTCTTCTTTCTTCAAGATTAGATGACATGGTAATGTGTTGTTGTTAATGTAATAAGTACTTCATTGTACTTTTGGAATACATTTCATTTTTAACGTTCATGATCTATTTAGCTTTAGGTTTATTAAATTACTAACAACTTTATAACTTCTATTGTTATTGAATTAGCAGAATCATTAACTTCGTTAAGAATAATTTATGTATATCTTTTAATTATTATTATTCATTGTAGTGATTTGATAGTATGTAGCAACTCTAATAAATTGACCTTAATTCTACAATTGATCAAATAATAACAATCTCCATTATTGTTATATTTTATGGTTTACCCGCTGTTGCAAATATTTTAAAAAACTATAAATAAAATTCAAAATCTCTCAATTTAATTATTTTCCATTTCCATTTTCTTTTCTTTAGAAAAGACTGGTTTCCTTTCATGATTTGATGTTTCAACGATTTGTGTATTGTTTATATCAATTATTTATTTAGGAAATTACTTTATTAACGATATATAGTTCATCAGCTTATTTCCAAACTTATGTCAACAACGTGTAAATCCAATATTGTTTCTGAAAAGGATAATGAATTTTTAAAAAATTATTATACCAATATATTATACTATATTATTATCTATCACCATGTAAGCAACTCTTATCAAGGTCAATTTACATTTTAATCTCATTCAAACCATCGTGTAATTGTCCATGTTAATCATTTCTTTTACGTTCATCCCTGTTTTACATTTTCACTCTCATTTTGACCACATAAGCGATGATATTTTCCTTAAAAAAAATTATAAATAAGCGTTTAAAATCATTTAATTTACAACTTTCCTTTAAACTATTACTTTATTAAGTAACTTTGTATGAATTTTTTAAATTTATTTAGTATGATTTGTTAACTGTATATTGATTATAGTTAATCATGTTTACTAACTGTATGGAAAGTGAAAATTATGTACATGCTAATTATATATTGCGAAGAGAGGTTGAAAGGTATTAGAGTTTAATGTATACTAATTATTTATTTATTTATTCATATATGCTTTATAAAGCAAATTGTAGAATGTTAAGCAGTTCCATTTAGATCGTATTCTATTCATTCTTTTGATTGATTGATCTTAATTAACTATTTGTATCTAGCGTGACCATTCTCAAACTAAAATTTTTCTTGGTGTTGCAAATCGGTAAAAAAAACTATAAATAAGAGACAAAATCTCTCTTTTTAAAACATTTTCCTTATTTTTCCTTTCCATTGCATTTTGGTTTATGTTTGAAACGTTTATTCAAAAAGATGTGTTAAGCATCTCTAATGAAATGCTTTAAATGTTATCTGATCTATTAACAAACTATTTAGGATTTCATTTCTAACCATTTAGGTTTAGGCTTTTAACAACAAATAATGCGCCGCATTTGCCTGATAGGATTTCTGAGATCTCTCCTTTCCTTGTTGGAAAGCATGTTTGATTCGCATGTTTTCATATCTAAGTTTACATACCAATATATATTATCTTTTATATCAGCAGCTTATATTGTAAGAAAAGTTCGACAAATATTGGAATAAAGTTCTTATTTTATCCAATGGGTTCCATTAAAAGAAGTCTTATAAATAAACCAAGTTTTTCCCTACTTTCTGTTTTTCTACATTTAGTTTTTCTAATAACCAGAACTAGTTCTCTGTAATGAACTTTGAATTATTGATGTTAGTTATAATGTATTAACCTTTTTAATCTATTTAGGATTGATTAACTGATTTATTATTATAGCTACTAAATAGAAATAATTATCTTATCTAATCCTTTTTACATGTCTGTGATTTACTTTGAAATAATATATTTATATCTTTTATTAACATTCATTGTAGTATAAAAGTAGCATAATGATCCCTTCAATTGTCTTGAAACGTCGTCATGCGATGGAATGATCGCATTACACCTCTCTTATTTTTTTAACCATGGACATACCCACGCACACGCACAATGAGATCATTGACCCCTCGTAAATTCTCATTTTTCTCAAAAGTTTTAAAACCTCTTGTATCAGAACAACCATATAAATATGAAAGAAAATCCACCTACACATTCCAACAATTTATGATGTATCATTATTCTCTCTTTAAAGAAACTTCATTTTCTATTTAAGGGTTATTTAATGAGGTCTTAATTCTTCTGTTACACTAGTCAAAAATTAACAAAAAAACACACAACAATTATCTATTTATGAACCTGTCATAATTTACTAACTTAATTACAATAATAATAGATCCATCACTTAAGGAACCTATACTTGGATTGCAAGATATCATTTCTCGGAACAATTGAGAAATATCTATATACTAACTTTAAATTGAATTTAGAATATTTGTGACTTACGTAGTTGCCTTAATGATTGAAGTTATCCTGATTTATATTATCTTATACCAATAATTTGTAAATGAAATTCTCTAAAGTTAACCAATCTCCTATAAAAAAAGATTATACACACACATTCACACATTAAATTAATATAAATATAAATTTAAATCTCATTTTTTTCCTTTTCAACTTTTTATTCAGAGATCTGTTTTCTTTATACAAGCATAATCGTATGTTGCTATCTCACTTTCAAATATTCACATCATCAATTTAGGATTTTTTATTAACATTTAGGTTAGATGCTTTAAGAATTCTATCGAATTAGATTTGCTTAATTAGTTATATAATATTTAAAAAACCAGCATCATAGATTAGAGGAAAACTATGGAATAAATCGATTCCTCATTAAACGGTTTATTAACAACTGATTTATATTTAGAGAGATATATTACTAAATAACTTTTTTTTGAAATAGGACCAATCGAAGTCATAACATTTAATCATTTCTATTCATTCCCTAAAGATGGTTTTATCCTTTCACATATTAAAATTTTTTGTCCGTGTTGCAAATTTGTAGAAAAATTATAAATAAGAGTCAAAATCTCTCAAGAAAAAAATTTATTTTATGATTCACATTCTTTTCAATTTATTTATTAAAAATTGATAGTGAATGGAGACTTCTCGGAAGAAAGTTTTAATCAGA